AAGCCATGTAGTTCATGTTTGGTTAGCCCATTTGTCATGACAATACAAATTTCCGGATAAAACGGCGCTCTCAGTTAACTGCGCGTTGATGCGTAGTTCTAGGACCTGCCGATTGGGAGCTGGACGCCAGCGCTGGGGTTAAAGCCCCATTTTGCGTTATTGGCATGTACAGGGCCCCATAGGGCCCAGCATAAAGGCAAGCCCTCCACCGTTGTTTCCTCTTCTCCTTTTAGCCCTTCGTTTGAATGTGGCTACTAGTGGCCTTCTGCTCTGAGCCCACCCATCGAGGTCGAGGGTATGGCAAACGGTAAACCCACTGTAGTACGAACCCAAATCCTGGACCAAGTACCAGGTAAGAAATCCTGGGCTATGTCCCTTGACGGCTCAGGTCGGATTCAGTTCCAAACGCAGACCGCTGGTCTTGCACAAATCCTGGATCAAGTACCAGGTACGAAATCCTGAGCTATGTCCCTTTACGGCTCAGGTCGGATTCAGTTCCATACGCAGACCGCTGGTCTTGCACAAATCCTGGATCAAGTACCAGGTACGAAATCCTGAGCTATGTCCCTTTACGGCTCAGGTCGGATTCAGTTCCATACGCAGACCGCTGGTCTTGCACAAATCCTGGATCAAGTACCAGGTACGAAATCCTGAGCTATGTCCCTTTACGGCTCAGGTCGGATTCAGTTCCATACGCAGACCGCTGGTCTTGCACAAATCCTGGATCAAGTACCAGGTCGGGTTGCGATGAGATTTCTCTTGCCCGCCCTCCAGCAAATGACAGACACCTCTTCGCGGTGCTGGAGACTATTACTCGGCTTTAATCTAAGCCGAGGAAGCCAAGATCTGCCCTCATTTTTTACACGGCATTTTACACAGTCCGTGGAACTGGCAAGAACTATTCAAAATCTCAAACTGTCAACATTGTCCAAACACCCTGTGTCCGCGCAATTGACACCGCCTTTAAATGGCATAGGATACCTGAAAGAGGCAAATAATCATCGCAGAACGACAAGATATAATCTCGCCTACGCGATATCCAAGCCAGTATAGTCAAAGTATAAGATCACGTAACTTTGAGGCTACACATTCATTCAGTTGCTCGAGCTTTAAGCTGTTTAATTCAAACCTGTTTAACTCAAATCTGTTTAGCTCAGATCAGGTTAGCTCAACCTAGAACCTGTTCAAAACGGCCATTCTATAAGTAGCCAAAACTTTATCGTTTGTTTGACCATATCATTTACACCTTTGATTCTGTTAAAGAATCCCCCTACGGCAAAAATACACGCAGGCGCGGATCGTGTTAGTCTTATCCTCAATGGAAACATGGGCCAAATTATGTTTATTTAACTGTGGTAATAAAGACTTTCCCCAGCCTGTAGGCCGAGCGAATTGTAGACAAGGCTTTGATTAATTAGTGGCTCCATTAAATACTAGAAGCAAATTATGGTACTGTTCGTTCATGATACTGTTATAATGTTCGTTTTAAGATACTGTTCGTTCAAGGCAGTGTTCGTTCAAGTGTTAGTCAGATTACGAAGTCTAAGATAGTGTTCGTTCAAGACTGTTCGTTCAAGACTGTTCGTTCAAGACTGTTCGTTCAAGACTGTTCGTTCAAGACTGTTCGTTCAAGACTGTTCGTTCAAGACTGTTCGTTCAAGACTGTTCGTTCAAGACTGTTCGTTCAAGACTGTTCGTTCAAGATTGTTCGTTCAAGTGTCCGTCAGAATATGAAGTCCGTGTCTCAATATTTAGTTTTTCTATGCACTCACTCTCTGCCAAAGTGAACATATTCGGCTGAATAAGTAAAGCAACCTCACTTTTCACCCACTATGCTAGTTTTGCTATCATCTGTTCGCAGACTTTGCCGGTGTTACTCAGCACTAATTGTACGTCACCATCCTGTCCCCAATTATATCACAAGATTATTCGGTGACCAATAATTCTTCATCGCTCGCGTTTATTGTCGACTTACACAGCACAAAGGAGCTTTCAGCGGCCGTTTAAATTCCCCGCGGTCTGTTAAGCACTAGCTACTTCGACGTCTCGACACCTAAAAGACCGCCTCTACCTGAATACTAGGGTATTGCAGTTTACGATCTATTTTGTCCGCTGGCGATAATTTAGCGTATGTGAAATATTTGCTCGGAGGTCGTAAACCCCCGCAGATTGATCTCTAAATACCCAGGAGAAGTCTACTGTTGACTGCTACCCGCCTGGCCTAAATAGCGGATCAGAATAGAATTAGCCGCGGGTAAACTTGGCCGAACGTCCCCTGTGTGCATTTAGACTCTAGTAGCATAAGAAGGAGTCATTGCAGTTCAGAGTGCACTAAGTATGGCACTCCGGTTGTATCTCAGTAAGCAGCGAGAGAATTATCTGAATAAATCAGACTAAAAGTTCGTTCACAAAACTGACACTGCCTAGGGCAGTTTAACCTTGCTCCACATCAAGACTACCAATTTCAGCCAATCAGACCTACGCTAGCTAAGGGCACTCTGGCCAAAGACGGAGTGTTCTGAAGCAAGATCACAATTTCTCCGTCTACTATAGTGTAGGGGTTCTTCTCCGCTGACCTAATATTTCGTTGGGTTCTTTCTTATTACCGTAGGCAGTCCGGCTTGATAAATCATATGCGATACAGGGGTATACGTTCCCTTGTCCTTTTCCAGTGCCCGAATCTCTCGCGCCGCTGAACTTCCGTCCATAACAGGCATTTCCTGATCCATGAGAATGCAGTCGATTGTCAAATGAATCGTGCTTCCACGCGTCAAGGGCTTCCTGCCCATTGTTGGCCGTGGTGACCTCAAATCCCAAGACTAACATGAATTGTGTAATTCCAGCCCTCCGCATTTTCCTACCAAAAATTATATTTTCCAGCTTCCTGGTCACATTCTTGACCAGAGAAGAAGCTAGCCATGCTTTTGTTCTGCTTTTATCTCTGTGTATTTTGTCAACTGAGGCGTGTTACCCATGCACCTTGGGCGGCTTCTATTAAAACAACCGTCTTCCAAAATCACATGGACCAAAGTGACTTCTGGAAAACGGCGGGTGTCAAATTGAGGGTGGAAACTTGAATGAGATCAGTTGGCCCATTAGAAATGTTTCCAAATGGCGGGAGTTTCCCTGCTTTATATACAACATGTGTTGGGGAGCAAATGTGTTACATGACCGCGTGAGTGGATATAGATCTGTACATAGCTCGCTCCCTCGCCCTCTTTCTCTCTTCTTCCCGTCTGTTTTAGCGCTCGAGACAGGTAATCTACTGTTTCGAAGCCATTCCCTGCTCTCTTCGGTTGATTAGCCTGTCATCACTTGGAGCTATATCACCACACTTAAAAATGTACTTATACATACATCCAACATAGGAGTCCAGCTACACACGAATGCAGGTATCCAAACTTGGAAAAAACAAACGAATGGGTGATGGAGGCTGAAGTCTTCGACATTGTTTTTTATGAGCGCATCGAACGCGACGCTATGACAAAAGGGTCAGAAGACAGTGGGAGATTGATATCCAATTATTTAGCGTCCCCACGATCCACAACATTAAGCTCGGATCCCGCAAGGCAGAATCTGTTGATTTCTGAGATAGTTTGCGACTAGCAATAAATTCACACTAATCTGAGAAACGAACGAAATCTGCACACTGTTTCGTTGAGATTTATAACACAAATACAAATCACTTAAAAACGATGTGAGCCTTTTCTCTGAGTGTACTGTACAGATAGATAATTGGGAATACGAGCTGGAATGTACAGGAAACCCGTCTTTCGGTATTTGCTGACAGCAGATAGCCTTCAAACAGATCAGCCGTGCAAGTACAAATCAAGTGCACCTTGGCGTAATCACCGAATTTAGATGCATATTCAAAGTACATTCAGCTGACGTGTTCTGGTTGTTCTTTTTGAGACGGTCACAATAATCCCATACTTCCCCAAAACCCGTGAAATACCAGCCTCAAGCACCGCAAGATCCACTCGGAATGCTTCCTTTGTGATGCCACTGCCCAGCTTGCGGAGATATGCGAGCGAAAATGGGAGAAAGAAGGCAGTGATTGATAGAGTGGCTTGCAGGTATTAAAACGAGAGCTGGGAAGGGCCAGCGGCTACGCAAGCCACATAAACGCCTATGCGCAGTGTGATGTATTTTTACCAATGAGAGATCCCAATCAAGTCACGAAAATCAGCCTTGTTAGGTACTTATGAACCGCCCGGTTCGCTCATGCCTTAGCATGGTAGGGGCCCCCTAGGCAAATTAGCGCCAGTAGAGAGAGAGAGAGAGAGAGAGAGAGAGAGATTCATTTGCCCGATGTAGCTCGCTCTAAGTATAAGCTGCTATGCGGGATTGCTGCCAGGCCTGCCGACAGCTGGAAAGTGTGGCTGCCAGCCCAGTGGACAAGTGTTGGCAACTCGCTTTGCGCATTTCCGACCAGTCGCCCTCGAACGGAAGAATGTAAACTATAACAAAAAAATGATACAAAAACAGAATGAGCGTCGTCCCCACTTCTGGCCGTAGGGACCAGAATCACATCTCACCACATAACCCCCATATCCCCTTCGTTCCAGCCGCTCATCCTTGTCGGCTGTCGCTCGTGTGATGTTGGATGGCCTCGGCGGCAAAGGATGCTTATTCATTCTCTGACGGAAATACCCCTTGAACAGATGATAACTACGCCTAGAGGTCTTGGTGAGCGTTTGCATAGCGATTGCATAGCGGTTGCTTGCTGGTCCGCCTTTTGTGCCTGCTGGCTTTGATGAGATCGGCACTCCTGGTCCAATGACTAGAAGGGTCCGTGACCCGCCCCACTGACCTTAAATAGGCTGGGCTCTCTCCGCGCACTCTCTGCTCCCTCCTGACACCCAGTGCTCTCTCCGCGCACCTAGTGCTCTCTCCGTGCATCCAGTGCTCTCGTCCGACCCACCTTTCTGTGTGCGCATTCACTGCGCTGCACCCGTCGTGTTGCCGCTCCACCCGCTGCAGCAGTTATCCCCCATACGATGTTACCGTTCATTTCGAAGGACAGTGCCTACGGCGTTCAGGTCAACTTGCCGCAAGGCTCTTTTTATTGGTGTGACAACTATGGACTTGATGCACAGGACAAAGAATTGTTGAGGCTCGAGGCCAAGTTCTTTCAACATTCACTCGAGCCCTACGAAGCGACCAAATTCAATAAGATCTACCCATATGTTGAAAAAAAAGCAAGAGGAATAAAGACAAGTGGTTCCTCGCTGCTGGTAGATCCGCAGGTCAAAAAGAACCTTGAAGCTTTAGAAGGCGATGCTAAGTTCCTCAATCTCCTACGCAGCGGATTTTCGGAACAAATCTGTGCGGGAAAGATCTGGGGAGACTCCAAATACAAGGAAATGGTCACTTTTACTAAGCAGCGCTTCGGTCCCGCTTATGCCCTGCTGATCATTTCCATTTTCGGCACAGGCGGCCGGTATGATGGGACAAGACTCACAATGTATCAGCTCGCCAAAATTATCCAATGCATCAGCCGGGATATACGTCATGGCCAGTGTTCTTTATATTGTCCGGAGCTAGAAAAGTATTGGAACAGATTGATCGGAGAATCAATTAATGACTGTGCTTGCGCCCCATTACTATCCGGTGGTGTAATGGAACTTCAGGCTGGTGCGCGGATCTCAGGAGACCCGGAAGGAACTTCTACCCATTGCAGCGGCCAGAATTGGCATGCTACCGTAATGAACGAAGGTTAGTTAGATTCGCATGTGCACTTCAATGACTGTTACTTGTGCTGATTCAATTCAGATGCATACGAGCAAATTGATGTCGATACCGTCACATGGAGTACTAGAAGGAGCCAATTTCTGGTCCTTGTCCATTTCATGGGCCACGATTACGTCCGTGAAGATATCCTGCAGCGAGGGCTTTTGCCTCAATACCGTTGGGACCGCAACGGTGATCGGACAATCGCTTCTCGGACAGATATCATGGAGTTCGAGGAACTTTTCGCTAATGATGATACTTTTCATCAAGAGATCCATAGTTGTACCAACGATGGGCTGATCAAAAAATTCACGCTCGAGGATGGGACTCAATGCTACACACTTAAGGGAGGGTTGGAAAACTGTCTGCGTTATTACTCACGGCAATTGTGGGTAGCTCTCTTCGCACTCGTGGCATATATCTACCCCCGCGACCATGCTTTGGATCAGTCGTAAGAACACACCTCCGTTGAACATGAACCTTAATGCCATTAACACTATGCTAGATTCCGTGCAATCGGTCAGCTATTAATGCCGGCGATGGATAAACTATGGGAATGCCTCCGAGAAGGTGGTTCTCAAGATCTGCCATATATTGTCAGGTCAAGCTTCATGGAGGCGTCTTTATCGGCCTGTAGACTGGCAAATGCTGCTCGTGCAAAGTCTATAGTGTCGACAGTCCGCAGGCTGCAGGTTCCATTTGTACCACCGTACCTGGCAGCGATGCTTACCTGGCAAGAGAGTGTTTCTCTCCGGTGGGAGGGAAACCATAACGAGTCGGATACCGTTCTGGACAGTATCTTCCGCCAGCTTCCCGAGGCTCCAGAAGCAGACCCGGACATCAGATTGCATTGTGCGTACGGCCGCTTAGTCTTCTCACGGGCGGAAAACGCGATACTGCGGAACGACTTTGCTCGCGCATGGCAATACCTGGACCACTGGGAGAGCAGAAGCGAACCCCGGTCAATGATGGAGATCAAATTAATCCGACTCTTCAACACCGTCTTCGGGCGAGTAGCCAGATACACAGGGAAGTTCTTGTATGCTCGGGAATGTTTTGAGCGTTGCCTGCGTGACGGTGACCCCAGTTATCGCCATATTCAATTTCACCTCGCTGACATCTACTGTGAGCTAGGATGTGCTGAGCTGGCGAAAAATCTGATCCTAGATGATGTGGAACGGCTAAGGCACACGCAAAGCCAGCAATTGAAAGCATTCAGGCGTCTGGCACTCCCGCTAGCCGAGGCTCACATCAATTTAAGACAGCTTAACGCTGCAAGATACACCTTGGAGGAGGTACTCCAGGTTTATGAGAGCATGAAATACCATGATGTGACTGATCAACTGGGCCATGTTCGCACGCTCATTAGCCTAGCACGAGTGGATTGGTATGAAGGCATGTACTCAGGTGCTGACGAAAGGCTCAACCGTGCAACGGCGCTCGTTGAGAGTTACTCGACGTTCATAACTCGTGGGTTTGACTTTGCATTCATCACCCTCTTTCACTCTGTTGTGAAGAGAGCCCTGGCTAGTGAGCTCCTCTCAGAGGTATCCCGTGGCTACTTCATGGCAGGGAACGGAACGTATTTTTTCGAAGAGATTTCTTCCAGTGCCTGGACGTGTATTTCTAGTTATAATACGGAGCTTTCTTCAGTTCCCTTTGGTCTCAAGAATTCCCAGTGCACCGCTCACTAAATGCAAGCTTCCTGTTATCAAAACATGTGTCAATTTAGAATTCCGACCAATTATACGAGCCTTCTCCAGGGCACCTTCAATTGTCCCTTCAACATATACCGTACTACTAGGTTTGTATGCTCTCCAAGCACCGGCGTACGCATGTAACTTTTCCACTGAAGAGCGGGCCTTGAGGTTTCTGTCTAGGACAAGATCAGCACACTGTCTATATTTTTCTCATGATGTTTTGAACATACATACCGATCTTTGCCTGTGTGTCCTGTCTTTCAGTGTACGTAGTCAATATCATGTGCTCTATTTCGAGACCTTCCCTATCGAGGGATTCCTTGATAACGCGTAAAAGTTCGGCGCCATCACGGTCTGAGAAATGGCTGAAGATGACCATCCTCAAGGGGTGGATGTTGAAACTATCAAGATGAGCATCATGTCACCGTGGAGCATCTGTAGGTGAGTACTCCTACCTTTGTGATTCGCTCATCTCGGCAAACCATGATACCGCAGTGGGCAGACCTGACTTATTATGAGCACCGTCAAGGAACCATGTGTGATTGCCTTCTTCTATCTGCTGGTAACGGCCAGGCCAATCAAATTTCTCAATGCCAAGGTCAATAAATTTGGTCAGGTTCGTCAATCTATCGGGCTCCCTGAGTGATATCCATGTCTGGACCACTGCTTTGGCAAGTGAGCAGTTTTCTTTCTGAAATCTTGTCACTTGCAGTGATGAATCAGGCTCAACAAATAACAGCATCACGTCTTTCTCGTTGGCACGTTGCTCAAGCACCTTAGCAACATTTTCATTTTGGGGTGACGAGATAGCCGGACAACGAGGCTTAAAGATCCCCGCCTTCTGCCAAGCGATGTTTTCAATAGTGGGTCCGAGAAATTTGACATGGTCTTCTGCTATTCGAGTCACCGCTGTCACGACGGGTGATGATACGACATTCGTCGCATCGTACTCGCCACCCATGTGTGGCTCATAGACTGCAACATCAACCTTTGCTTTGAGAAAGACATGGAAAGAGAGAAGGGTCAAAAGCTGGAGGTACCGGGGAATGTCTATGTCGGCACTAGCCTCACGTGGCAGTTTATCCCATATTTCGAAAAAGGCACTCGCAAAGGCGTCTTCCTCTATCGGCTTGCCATTGATACGAATTCTCTCACGGATGCTAAGAAGATGTGGCGAAGTATAGAGTCCGACCTTGCACCCGGAGCTCTGGAGCATGGACGAGATATATGCGCAGGTGCTTCCTTTCCCACTGGTGCCGGCTACATGTATGACGTTTAACGTCCTTAGGTGGGTTTGCTGGTGCGATCTTAGCAGCTGCACTTTTTGGTGATATTTGGCCTTGCCATACAGAATAACCGAGTAACCCCAACCATTTTGTCATATCATCCGAACCTCTCATTTGCTCCAGACTCGGCTGCGCACTGGCACGTCTGGAATTGAGAAGCTCGATAGCGTCCTGCGACAGTTAAAATGTGTGACATCAGACTCGATAGACAAACTCACGTTGTACTGCCTGTTCATCATAGCAGTCATCAGTTGAGGACATAATAGGTGTATTGATGATGTTCGTGCGACGCGGGGTTGCTTACTTTAGCGGGGTGGAATGTCACCTGATCTACATCCCCCACAACTTACAAGCCCACATATTCCATGAGCTCTCACGAGAGCAAATGAAGAACCAATATCACGAGATTATCAATTAACACCAATCTACGAATAGACAAACCCGCCCCCGCTCCGACTCGCTGTGCGTGAGCATGTTGTCATCAGTGTCTTTCAAGGCTATTACTCCTGTTCCAGCCTGGTCAATGTTGTACGATTTGTGATACTTGTCTAGTGACCTTTTCCTGGAAGGAGGCAGAGATGCGCTCTTTTCGCTTGGTTTGAGGGGAACGTCCATTCGGTGTACATGGCTTTTCTGCTTTTTCGGCGGGCTTGCTTCTCCCTCAGTGTCCTCATTCACATCATCGTCTCTTGTATTGAAGTCGGAATTTCTTGCATTGGCATCTCGTCTATTTGGCCACAATCTATTTGGTAGAATAGTATCTCGTTTGGCGCTTGACTCCATGCTGTAATTTCGGGATCGGATGATTCGGATCCTTTATGGTTCGATTCATAAATAGGTAGTGGGTGTTGCGCTCCACGAACTTTTTATGTTATGCTTTTGGCTGTAGGTGAGGATGATCCTTCTTAGAGAAAAAAGAAACTTGGACATGGCTATTCAATTGGCCGGTCGTGCCCTATTTCCTCATTCCTTACCGACACGTTGGATGAAACCTGATAGGCCCTAGCAGCCCCCAATTACCATACTTCGGGAAATTGGTGTCACCACCTACACTTTTTCAGACTTTTCAGTATTTCTCCCCCAAACAATAACATGACGCTAGGCCAACCCAGCTAGCTGGAGAATAAACCGCTTTTTTGTGAGTAGTATACTGAACTTAACTGGTTAGGTAAGTCATATGATCCCACATGACCCAGCCAATCATGTTTGGTCTGAGCATGCTGAGGTAACTTTTCCGATCAGATCTAACACAGAGGCTTAGTTAGTTACCGAAAGCGAGGCTTACTTGACCTCTGTCTAGTTATGAGAATGAAGGCACTAACGTAGTGTCTAGTCGTCGATTTGTGTTTATTTCAATGCTTCCGTCCCACCTATTTTATTCGTCTATCGTGTCTAAGGACCAAGGTGTCCATGGCCATTCAATTATTTTTTTATGATCCAAGTGGTCGTCCGTAGATGTAAAATAGCCTTGGCGGCAAAGGATGCTTATTCATTCTCTGACGGAAATACTCCTTGCACAGATGATCACCACGCCTAGAGGTCTTATTGTGTAGTGAGCGTTTGTATAGCGGTTGCTTCCAAGTTCCCGGTCCACCTTTTGTGCCTGCTGGCTTTGGTGAGATCGGCACTCCCGGCCCAATGACTAGAAGAGTCCGTGACCTGCCCCACTGGCCTTAAATAGGCTCGACTCGGTCCGCGCACCCTCTGCTGAGTCTGCCCTCTCCTGACACCCGGTGCTCTCTCCTGACACCCGGTGCTCTCTCTTGACACCCAGTGCTCTCTCCATCCATCCAGTGCTCTCGTTCGACCCACTTTTCTGTTTGCGCATTCATTGCGCTGCACCTGTCGTGTTGCCGCCCCACCCGCCACACTGCCATCCACATTGCCATCCTTGTCGGCTGCCGCTCGTTGCCCGCTAGGATCAAGGGAGTACAGTGGACTTGGCTCTGCACTCCCAAAAGGTGCCATCCTTCTTCTACTTAAATTCAAGCATCGTATTTCGTCAGCCTGTAAGTTAACTAGGTAGATGTTGATAAAGCTTGCAGACATGGCACTTTATCCATCCCAGGTGTTGGGGATTTCGTATAAATAGACAGGCACAGCATCACAATTTCCGCGCATAAGCTCTAGAAACCTTTCTACTAGTAGAGCAAGGTAAAAGGGACCCCGAACTCTATGCTAAGACTTGCGCTGACTTAAGTTCTTCTATCACAGGTTCACGCAGGCAATTGCTGGCTCGTTAATCACTGCACCAATATCTAGCAGGTGTGCAATACCATCAGTTCATAATAGCCGGCACCAAACTAATAGTATAGTGCGAATAAAACAGTCGCCGATCATGTGTTACCTTATCACCTACAAATATGCATGTCGCCACGAGGAAACGACCAAGTTACGATGCCCCCAATTAATCTTCAACAACGAATGCAAAATGGGACTCAAATCCAGAACCAACGAGTTCACTTACAATTGCCCAAAATGTGATACCACCACACTTGCATGCTGCACCATATTTGGTTGCTTGAATCGACGTGTCTGATTCCAATCCCCCATCTGATTCTACTCCCCTTTCCGCTTACAAGGATCCTTGTTCCGGATGCTGGGAGATTCGGCCCAAAAGGGAAAGGTTTAGTAATACCCATTGGTTCAGAGATAGCCCCATCTTCCGACTTGCCATATAGATTTATCTTAATCGGAATCTCTAGGGTACTACACAGACTCAGGTGGAATGGGTAGGTTGAATGATGGATTTGAATTGGGTAGTGCGGATTTTGGTTGATTCTGAGAAGCTGTGATATTCGCACACCTGTAGGTCCCGGAATTTTGAATTTGATCTCTAGGAGCCACCAAGAGCGTGCCTAGGAATCATGGTATGGATCCTGGGGCCGAATATGATCCTAGGAACGTCTCACTGGCGTATTAAGCGGGACCTCAAACGCAGGCAATAACTCGCGGGCGGCAGAAAGATGATGTGATTGATCGGGCAAAGAGTATAATGCAAAGACACTGGTTGGAGGCTTGGAGCAAGCATGAAGTTTAACGGACAAGAACAGATTTGCAGCCGGTGATCAAAAAAATAGTTGCCTCAGAAAGAAGCCCCGCATCTCCATCTCCAAGACGCGGTCGCCAACCGTTGAGTCATTCAAATCAAAAAATCCCTCCTCGAGGAGAGACCTATTTGCCACATCTAGCTTAAATGCAGTTGATGCCATAAGTGAGACTGGCTGTGCCTGAAGCCGACGATGCAAACAGCTGCGGGGCAATGGCCGGTTGAAGCTATGGAATATTAATTTTTCAAATCGTCAAATCCCAGCCCCACTTAGGCCTCGGGCATTCCCGTTCCAACCTGTCCGTATTAGTTAGGTACGTCGGAAGCCCTTTTCACCTCAGTGAAGCATAAAGGTTGAGCAACAGTTAGGCCTCTGGAATTGAGACAGGAAAAGGACCTACTCAGAACTTTGTTCGCTCGAATGCATGATGTTCGTCACTACGGATGTGTTTCTCCCTGTGCCTTTTCCGTGAGCAATTTCTTTCGTCTTCTGCCACCCCTTATGTTAACTGCTACATAACTAATAGCCTTGATTGGCGTTATTTATCAGAGACAATATACTATTCCAAAGTACAATACGTACAATGCACACAGTCCTCATTATGGCTACCAATACCTGCGATTCTCCTTTCGGAAGCAACATTTCGGTTCCCTAGTTCCCCGGTCCTTGTCTCTCTCTGACTCGCTCGATAACGAAGTTCCAGCTCTCGAAACATCGGTAGAAGAACTGAAAAGCAAATCAGACCATTTGACTTTTTCTTGGCTAGTCGAAAGACATACTGGAGACAGCATCGGTTACCATCACAACCCTGAATGTCTGTCTGAGGGCCATACCTCCTTCGTGGAGACCGATCTTCATCCAAGGGGCTGCATATCAGGCTTCTTGAGAACACACTGCTATATGGGAGGGTATGTATATATTTTGGATAAATAGTTGGCGTTACGTTCGTATTGACAAGCTCACAGAATTTCTAGTAGATACCAGCTCTGTTCTCAATATCAAGCTCGGTCATAGGTGCACGTCTAGCAAAACAGTAGCGGCGCACCACAGCCTTTAGTTTTGCCGTTGTCACCATTTTTCCAGACCCTTTGTGTCTGTTATTTTCCAAAGCGAACGAGCAAAGATTCTACTCGCTCATGAACCATCAGACTATGCAATCGACACAGAACCAGGAAAGGAATCACCATTTGGTCCATTTATCCTCTTTCCGTGCACAAATTGAAGGTTCTGAAGAAATATCTGGAAGAAAGTCTCCAAACCGGTCTGGTTCGACCATCGAAGAGCTCTGCGGGGGCTAAACTCCCGTGTTACCTTTGTATGATTCATCACTCCAATTTCCCCAGATTCAAATTTAAAACAAATCTCATCCAACCCTTTCGCTTTGTTTCTAGGACTCCATACATCAAAGCTGTTCCTCGGTATGTGTAGCAGTGGAGGTTGTAAATATGGCACCCAGAAGGCTGACGTAAAGTTGCAGCTACCAGTTGAAGAGGAGAAGGTTGCGTGACGGGCACTTTAGCATATCCATCAATTCGAGTGAACCCATCCTGTACATATTTCACTCCATCCACTACATCCACTCCATCCTCCTTCCTCCTTCCATTCCTTCTGTTCGTGGCCTGAAGTATCCCTGTCGAAAGACTTGTAGTTGCCGCACTATTAGGTGTATCCTCAACACTCTCTTTCTGTGAGCTTCGCTGCTAATCTCGCTTCTTCTAACCTCCTGTTTCCCATCTCCTCCAGGGATGCCAGTAGTTGTTGGTATTCATCAACCACGTGGACTCCGCAGTTTTTGTTGAACGCTCCCCCACGTCTGGCCAGTTGCTGACGAGCATTGTCTGAGACCGTCTTCCAGTCACTTTTCAGTGACTGGAATCCTCCAGTCTCTTTATTGGGAGCTGCGCACAAACTAAATCTTTTAATATGTTAGGTGCGTCTTGCCGGTTACTGGTGAGACACTAACAGATACAGTGGCTCTCCCTTGCAACTATTTTCTGTTATTATGGAAACGATGTTCGAATGATGGGCCCACTCACTGGATAAGCCAGCTACGGCCAATCTGTGCGTTCCGCTTGATTGCCTCCCACACACAAGGAGCGTGGAATACCCCAGGTACCCCTTCTATGTTGTCGCCTGAAAACGTCAATTTGTTGCCGTGGATAGTCACCGTAACCATTCTCCCTTCTCCGTTATGTGGAAAACGAAGATCACCTTGGGCTGTAGGAATATGCAGCTGCCACTTCTTGAAAAGCAAAATCTCGAGCATAAAGGGGTACTCGATGTTTGCTATTGGTAACTCAGCGCTTGTGTATACCAGATCGCAGAAAATCTCCTCTAAGTTATGGTCCTCAGAGTTAGGGTTGCCCATGGTGCAGCGTGTAGATAACGCGGGATGGAAATCACATGGGGGATTGGAATCAGATGGGGGATTGAAATCAGACACGTCGATTCAAGCAACCGAATATGGTGCAGCATGCAAGTGTGTCAGACTAGGATCCCTGAGGCCTCCCGAGGAAGTAGTAATAGTATATTGTCTAGGCTAGGCCTAGTCAGAGTCTTAGCTCGCGGCATTTCTGCGAACCTGCATAACCCGAAGGAGGAGCAAGCTTCTGCCGCGTTGTTCCTTCAAGACCCGTCCCGAAGGTGAATTCGCGTATAAGCGCAGGAAATGTGTGCCTTGCTTCTCACTCACCATTGTTCGGTATGATTGTTCTCGAAACATGAGGGAGAGAGTCGTGCCTGCTTTAATAAAGTATAATAAGCAGGATAGATACTACTGGAGAAGCTTCTTTATAAGCATTTGTAAAATGGTTTAGAATTTTATCTCAAATTGTTCAGCTTCTTGATATTTTTTACCGTGATCTCGTCAACCTTGTCATGATCTGTCTCTCTATCTCCCCGCGAACGGTCCTTCCGACCTGGATACGTACAGGTAAATACGACTGATCCGTATGAGAGCTGAGCCTTTTTCTGGAGGGCTTCAAGCGCTATCATGAAGTATCGCTCCTGCATATGTGGTGCCTCGTAATGACGCCAAGGGATGATGTACGAAACACGGGAGCCCCTGCTCCAATTTCGGCCCCCCAGTGGAAAGCAAGCACGGCATATCACACGCATACGCGCCTAGGAGCAATACACAATTCAGTGTAGATATCAGCCCGCTTTTGATATGAGTTAATACGCCAAGTCCTTCCTGTGATCCCTGCCACTACTGCGATTTCTGCGAGTCCTGCGATTTCTATGAGTCCTGTCATTGCTACCTGTTCAATATTCCACCGTCCCTACCAAACGAAAACGGAAAATATGAAGCCAGATGTGTTGTCTCATATCTACGAGACACGAGACAAGCTTGTTGCGACTCAAACCATCTCTGCCGGTTTTCAACCGTTTTTGCGAGAGCGATTACCGATATATCTTCATAGTATGTACCGTACTTCCCGTAATGGTTGCTGTGTGAAAGAGGAAAACAGGTTGTTTCCCGGTGAGGGGGTCTTAGCTTTGCGAGTGCTGCGAGTCATGAAGGCTGTCTTAACTTTCCCGCTCTATTTTAATTTTTGTCACGTTTCTGCCATCTCGCATTAGGATCATATTTTCACTTGTGTCTAACCTGTACTGCCCCGTCAGTTCATCAGGATCTACGTCGTTCCCAACGAATCGCGTAATGCCCGAAGGCTGCGACTTAGTAATCTGTCAGACTGGGATATGCTGGGATAAGGCCTCCCTAGGCCATAAACAGGAACCTTCGTTTTTGATGTGGTCAAGTGGTAATTAATTCCCATATAGTTAGTCCTTTCCTTTCTAGAATAATCTCGTGATTAAAGGTCGGATATTGTTGGAACCACTGCTCATGGATCATCGGGTGCCACCAATAGGATATCAACAAGTCCAGATTGCTATGATGTGACGCCGCGGCTCCGCGATCTGATTTTCGGAAGCCACTGTATTTGATTTGGCCTTTTGTTCCCAGGTGATGCAGTGCTCTCATTGGTGAAGTTGGACGGCCCCACCAGGCATTGAGACATGACCTAACTATGGAAATCTCCTGTGACAAAACAAGTGACAAGTGCCGCCGATCGGTACATACATCCAAAATGGAACATGGATTTTTCGTATGTATGAGGATCTAAACCCGTGATAATAGGTGCGCCGCCAATTTTAGATCGCATCGGGAGCTATGATGGCCGCTGGGTATATATACGCTCACTCCAGTTCACCCAGCCTTTGCTCGATTCTACCCTTCCATCTAACTCAGAGGTCCTTAGCGCCCATGCTACTGTAATGTCCGTCAAAGTCGAAGTTCCTCGAGTGCCAGAAAGGGGTAAGTCTGGAGTCACCATTGAACGTTGTGTTGTCCAGATGACTGCATCGGAGACATGAGGACTCACATTTGTTCATGTAGCAATTGCCCACTCGAGCTCTGCGGCAACGGAAGTCAACTCTGATGCCCTCAAGGAAAGTGATGGGCATCACAGCAAACCGGCTAACTGGAAGCGCGAGTTACCAAACCAGACAACGACAGGTGGTGAATGGTGGACAATTCGACCCCGCGGGTTTGGGGACTGGATTTACTCTTGGACGAAGAACCGACGGACAGATTGCTGGGCCTGGAAGTGGACTGTATCACGGCTTCAGGCAGACAGTCCCGATGTCATTGCCGATACCCTATCGCAACAGAGCTCTCGCATATTTCAGCGCATTCGTTTCGATGAATTCGTCTATGAAGCTTCTGGGCAATCCTCCGAGGCGATTAAATCGTTCCGATGGCAGTACAATGCTCTCAGTTGGAGATTGTTCCGCTGGTGTATCAGGAAACACGACATGATGGACAGGCTAAGTGAAGTGCAACAGGTGAGGTCGTAGTTATTCTTTCACTTTTGATCCAGCTCTGACGTTTAATAGGCCATGCAGAGAATAGCAGCCGATCCGTTTATTCTTGACACTATTAAAAGCACCTGCCTTTGCGTGGAAGAGGGACGCTACTCCGAGCCGGAGCTGGAGCAGTTATCTCGTCTCATCATCAAGCCACTGCAGGCAGGTCTCCGTCAGCCTACATCAATAAATGATCTACAGCTGCGGATACTAGAGTTTCGGTTCCGAGGACAATACCACGGTCTTGACACAAACTGGCAACTACCGTTAGATACCCAGAACAACAAGTTGCTGCAACAATTCAGTCAAACCGAGATACCAGTCGTGGCGGAATCCCTATCTAGGGAGGACCTTGCATTGTACCGACAGCTCAAGCTCGATGCCATCACGCGAAATTACCTTAAACCCAACCAGGTCAGGCATGATCTAAATGTACGATGGGATCATCTTTGCCGCTCAGTTGAGGAATGCACTGCTGCTGAGGCCGGGATTGATATGGAAATTGCCCACCTTGCTCAGGTAGCGTGATATCTTAGTCCACTGACCGGAATTTCTTTCTGATGTTGGCATTCCAGGCACTTCACCAACTACGGAACTACTATTCATTGACGGCCATTATTCAGGGAATAAGAGCAAGCGGAGGACCAAGACAAACGTTACAGGAGTTTGGTTACCTCGTGAACTGGGAGCAAAACTTTCGGGCATATCGAGAGAGCATGCAAGATCGAGAGAATATGGGATATTCAGCGGCCCTACACTTTCTCCTACCTGCTGCGATTGCAGCCCGGGAAGGAGATTACACGGTTGCTCAAAAGGCAATCAAAGCATGCGAAGCGTACAACGTCGGATCATTGTATGCTGCGGCAGACAATACTTTTGCTGAAACCAGGTCTCTCAGCTCGGCGACCACTGTGAACGCTGGTGGGTATTTCAGAAGCGCAGGAAACCTTATTGAATATTCTACTCCTACCCGAAATTCCCTGACGGATACTGTGTTCTCGCGAGGTATCGAAAAGGAATCCCGTTGTGTCCCATTTTTGATGCCCTTCTTTTTCTGCTGCGCGGATTGATTTTCTTCAAGTTCTTCTGCCCTGCCTGTGCATTATTTGGTTGTTGGAGGATCAGTTCACTATTTGTACAGTACTATAATACACCCTGGGTCGGTCTCACTTCAAGCCATCCCTAAACCGTGCCAAGTTGTTTGGGTAAATTCTGAACAGAGAACTATCATCTTCGTGGCCTCGGGGGTCTACGGAGAAGAACCGAGTATATTTTGAAATGGGAGAAAAGCCCCAAACAGATGAGGGCGGAGGCCAAGGACCGTCAATGATAGTCTGGTCTGGCATCATTGCTCTAATATGACACATATTCTGTGCTCGACCCACACGTGGTAGTTTCTGGTGACTTGAAATTCTGATTACAGAAATGTTCGTCTCACCACATACTACTTCTTTTGCGGAGTTGTTCACGGAATCTACTAATCTGTTGTCAGGATGTGTACTCTTCTCTTTGCTGACCGAAAGCCAGGTCCAGGATGCTAGGATGCTGCTGGACGCTTGCAGGACTTTGGGAAGCAGAAGATCCCAGCAACCAAGTCCGAACGAGAACACCCCTCTCCGAAATGACTTACACGTCTACGTGGAGAATCTTCTACAACACCTCAGTTATGGTACTGTTCTGATGCTGGCCCTGATGACTTCGCGTTTCGACGCTTCATCTTCTGAAGCATCGCAGGGCTTGATTATGTTCTTAGGGCGGCCCTATGACAGTGAAGTGAAGAGAATACTCCAGGGTCGATACAAGAAAATAATGTGTGAAACGGCATCTTCAGACTTCGACTTTTTGCTTGTATTGAATTGAGCCTAATTGAGTGACCATCAAAGAAGCATTGCATGTGTTTAATTCAATGCGTCCGTCCGACCTATTTCATCCGTCTATCAGACTATCGTCTATCGTGTCTAAGGCATCCATGGCCACTCAGTCTTTTTATGATCCAAGTGGTCGTGCTCGTTTTGGCATAACGCTCGGAATTTTGAGCAATTGTAAGTGAACTTGTTGGTTCTGGATTCGAATCCCATTTTGCATTGGTTGTTGTAGATTAATTGGGAGCATCGTAACTTGGTCGTTTCCTCGTGGCGACATGCATATTTGTAGGTGATAAGGTAACACATGATCGGCGACTGTTTTATTCGCGCTATAACTATTAGTTTGGTGCCGGCTATTATGAACTGATGGTATTGCACACCTGCTAGATATTGGTGCAGTGATTACCGAGCCAGCAATTGCTTCCGTGAACCTGTGATAGAAGAGCTTAAGTCAGCGTAAGTCTTAGCATAGAGTTCGGGGTCCCTTTCACCTTGCTCTACTAGTAGAAAGGTTTCTAGAGCTTATGCGCGGAAATTGTGATGCTGTGCCTGTCTATTTATACGAAATCCCCAACACCTGGGATGGATAAAGTGCCATGTCTGCAAGCTTTATCAACATCTACCTAGTTAACTTACAGGCTGACGAAATACGATGCTTGAATTTAAGTAGAAGAAGGATGGCACCTTTTGGGAGTGCAGAGCCAAGTCCACTGTACTCCCTTGATCCTAGCGGGCAACGAGCGGCAGCCGACAAGGATGGCAATGTGGATGGCAGTGTGGCGGGTGGGGCGGCAACACGACAGGTGCAGCGCAATGAATGCGCAAACAGAAAAGTGGGTCGAACGAGAGCACTGGATGGATGGAGAGAGCACTGGGTGTCAAGAGAGAGCACCGGGTGTCAGGAGAGAGCACCGGGTGTCAGGAGAGGGCAGACTCAGCAGAGGGTGCGCGGACCGAGTCGAGCCTATTTAAGGCCAGTGGGGCAGGTCACGGACTCTTCTAGTCATTGGGCCGGGAGTGCCGATCTCACCAAAGCCAGCAGGCACAAAAGGTGGACCGGGAACTTGGAAGGTATTATGTAGCCCGAAACATGATTCCTAACTGTGAGGCCGCCCGAATGCATGTGCGTTTTCATTGGATATGTTTTGCCATGTGGCGACGCTAGATATGTGGGCGTCCAAAGTGAGCTAACAGGAAACAGAGGGATGACGAGGAGACCTGTGCATTAGCCCAGTGTGACAATGGGAATGCAGTGTGCTCCTAGTGTGAAAACCATGACACAGCCTCGCGCTAATGCATGGAAACTCACATGTCCGTTTCCGATCTGACGCCATTTTTCGGCAGCAAATGGCTGGACAGTATGCATGCCGCGCAAACTGTTCAAGCTATTTCTCATTGGAGGTCCGAGTGGTCCAATGATGCTGAAAATTGGACCAGTTGAATATGTATAAAGATAGCCGCAAGATACTACAAGATTTCCCTAAGCACGCCAAACCATTTGTCTTCCCTAGGCAAGTGTACTCTTTTATCTTTGTTTCAACGTCAGTACATTCAATCGTCACCCACTCTAAGTCTTACTGAGAACCCTCGATCAGCCCTCACTACATTTTTCCCGTCGCCGCAAACTCGATCAGCACTCAATATGTGTTATGTTGTGGTCCGCGTCTACAAATGTGGTCATTACGTGGCTAGCCTGATGGGAGATCCATGTAAAGATGCAGTGAAAGATGGCCAAATATGTGACCCGCCCAAGGTTACCAACCAATCCACGACAGGAACATTCTGCAACCAAGCAGGCTGCGATAAGAAGACAGGACTCAAAAGAGAAGGGCCAAGTGAGTCCTCATTGAGATTTTCTATCTCACTTCCTAACGAGTACACAGATACAACAGTGAATGGCGGACTCCGTAGGTATCTATAGTTGACCACGAGTCACGCTGGAGTTTGAAGCTAGTCCTATCTGATGATTTGTTGCCGTCGAGCGTTGAAATCCTGACACATGGACTGGGGCAGACATCCCAAAGCCAAGAACCATTTGTAGTAACTCCTATCGGGCAAGAAAAGTTTCAGTGACAGAGCGACTGTAATATCCTCAGCGTGATTTCTTCCGTAGAGATGCTTGACAACTTCGACCCAATTGGAAGATCCCTGGTATACGTAATGATATTCAAGGAAAACAATGATTGGAATGACAGCCGCGTACTTTGAGAATGATTGGTGGAGCAATTTCCCAGATTCAATTAGCGTATAAAATCGGTCGGTTGCAAACTGTGAACACGTGATCCAAGCAACAACTTAACTATCACCCCTTTCCCTCCTTTTTCCACCAATTTATCTTTCGAAATCTTGTTTTCCTTTTGGCAAAAAGAGGATCCCCTCCCCACAATCGAACAAAATGCCCGAAAAGACTCTCCCTTCCTCTTGCAAGCTGGAATTCAAATCATATCAAGATTGGAACGGCGACCGTCCATCGCAGACCCTGATATTCCATAGCAATGGCTCTTTATGGTGGATCAAAGTTGTCGTTGATTGGTCTCTACCGGGATCGATACTGGATCTGGGCTATTTCCAACGCCGGTCCATGTTTCAAAAATTCGTTGAAGCAGTTGATTTCGGTCAACTGCAGCTCTTGGAAGATACTGTGACAATGATTACTTTAAGCTTGACTGAGCAGAGCCAAAACTCGATCACGATCCGGGATGGGTATCAAACCCCAGCAAACTTTTTCATTGCAGTTGCCCATCAAATGTGCTGCAAGATCACGGAAGACCCAAAGAGAGTCATCTACCCGACTTTAGACCGAGCCAGGTGTCTGCCAACATTTGAGGCTAGTTGTCTGCAGAATGTTGAGGTTGTCGCTCCAACAGTCTCCACGGTCTCAATCAACCAACACACGTTTGCTTACAAGAAGATCGACCGTCCTATATATGAGCCTGGAGACACAAATCATATTTTGGACGAGATCGATGCCCTTGCACAACTCCGCGGACAGCCAAACATCGCGCAACTAGTTGGCCTAGTTGTATCGGAGAACCCGTACAAGACCTGCCCGTCAACCGATATGCCAGCAGTTATTACAGGATTCCTTCTTGAGTACTATCCCGGAGGGTCGCTTGAGCAAATCATCGAGGAGGCTGAGGTCCAAAATGGTTCTTTGCCGTTGAAATGGGCTGTACAGATTGGAAGAGCATTAGAATCATTGCACAAGAGAGGCCGAAGTCATCTTGACATCAAACCTTCAAATATCGTTTTCGATGCCAGGAAAAATGCCATCCTAATCGATATCAGTGGGACCGGGGGTTATACGTGGGAATGGCTCTCTCCGGAGATGCAGATGCTCATTCAACAAAGCTGTGAAATAGCTCCTGCCAAAGCTTCATTTGAGGCACGGATTGCTACAGACTGCTGGGCTTACGGAAGATTACTCTCGACTATCGCTGAGAAAAGTGGCACTGGTGCAGATGCAAAGCTGCAATCAGTTGCTGATGATCTGACAAAGGCAGCTTTCGAAGCTCGCATTTCATTAGGCGACGCTCTTGAAAAGCTGCAAGAGAAGGACGATGAATAGTGGCCGTAAGCTGACTAGTGAGGATTTGACCTATTTTAATTATTTTTTGTCAATTGCATTTGTTGAGTCGCGCTCTGTTGAAGAAATGAAATGGTAACTATTCAACCACGAAATTCTCTTGATCCTTGCCAGGTTGTGCAATCTCACGGTGGCTCGGTGAATTCGTTTAAAGGAAATTAACCCATTTGAGGGTGAGAACGTGGGGCTCCGAACATGGCCTTTTAGAAGAGCAATCAAGGGCCTAGGTTCACTCCATCTCTTCCTAACAACTGGCCAAGTGGTGTGCTCCCGAGAAAAAAAAACGACTTCTGGGGCTTGGGTATTCAAGCAGAACAGACAGAGGCGCGGCCACAGCCCGTTTAGGTCTAGACCAACTGCTGCTTCATGGAGGCTGAAGTAAATTTTATGATAGATCTGGGGATGCTGGGGGTAAAGGATGGTGCACGTGATTTCAGGTGGAGACACTCTTGCTGGACCAATACTTCGCAATGCCCACTTTACCTATAGAGCGTTGAACCAGCAAATTCCTGCGATTTTCTATTTTTATAAGCTTTAAGGTTATGCAATCCGATTTGGTGTCGCAAGCTCGCCGCAACGCATACTTTTGGCTATCATAACTGCAGGCGAATATAGCTGTGGTTGTCAAACTACATGACCCTCGAAGCGAACCGGACCATTGGAGCATACGAGATGAACAGCTGGTCATCTCAATTCTATGTGCTCCCCCATAGGTCATTATCTACCCCTCCGCATGGCATGTTCCTCAACACATGTTACCAGCCCTTCCACTACTTCCAATGTCATATACTCGTATTTCAGCACTCTATCCCATGATCCTATTGGGAGGCCATTTGCCAATTGTCGGAAGTTCCAGATTACTCGGATACCACAGCTCCATACGTCGCGATATGGGGGAATCAGCGTCGCTACTGGCCTTGAAACGAACAGCCTAAATCCAGTGTTGACAAATGGTCATCCAGGCATTCCAATCCTCAAGAGAGAGAAACTAGAACGGCAATGTATGTCACAGTGCGGTCCAACCTCCAATTTAGATCGATCAGCATGATTAGTATACTAGCTCCACATGTCAAACTGTTTATAAGCCCTCGTCCAGAGACCGTCCGCCATTATCCGAGTCAATGGAGTCAACCGACTGAGTATTTAGTACACCCGCACCACAGAGACGCCAGAGCGAGAAAGAAACAGCCTACATTCCAAGCCGTTCCCCACTCACCGAAGGTAAACTTGGCCACAATGACAGTGCCGAAAAGCAGAGACATAGCCAAAGGCAATAGAATATAATGCGACTCAAATTTCCAATTTTCTTCAACCAAGACCCCACGGAATTTCATCTCTCGAAGTTTTGGGCAATGCCACTCGTTCATCAGTGCGAGAGTGTCCCTATGAGTCCAATGTTAGACAGCATCTCTGGGGATGATACTTTTCCTTAAACACTGACTTGTGTCCATAAACCACATTCTCGCCTTGGAGAAAGTCATTCAAGGATGCGAGTTCGGGATCAGAAAACGCAAGGGTCATAAGTCGATGCGTTTCAAGGTTTTCAAGTTGCCGCTCGGCATCGTACTTCACCTTCTCCGGGCATTCCACGTCTATTATAGATGACATACAGGTTTCCCAACAATCTACACTTCCTGTGGATAGATTGTATTGGCATGGGTCATCCTGCTGCCGGTAGTTATCGATGATACGCTCCAATCGCTTCTTCTCGTTTTGCAAATCTTTTTTCGTATACATCCCTACAAATTCCGCAGCTCCACCAGAGCCACGAGGTTTTCGTAAGTTCATGCCAGCAATAGAAATCTAAAACATCTGTCAGTCCAATGATTAGTCGAATCTCCTATCCTTGGGGCATACCTCGACTAGGTCGACGCGATTGACGCCAAGGAAAGAGACATATCTTCTCCAACCTCTTCGAGCAATCCAGGCTTGTCTGATCTCTCTCCATATGACAGTCTCGGGAGCCGAATAGGAGATTGGGACTGGAATAATTGAAGACTGGTATTCTTTCCCCAAACAAAGGAGAACAAAGGCATCGGTTCCATCTCCAAGCATTGACTGTAATTGATTTGCCAAGGCATTTTTGCGAGCACTGTGGACGGCCTCGCGGCCGTCTGCCACAATGAACTCAGGCTCAACGCTTGGCCCTTGCTCGTCCGCTCTTCGACTGTGACGATTTCTATTTTCAGGGCCACTTGGGCGGTTGGAGGGTATTGTTCGACCACGGAGACTCCTTTGTGAATTCCGTCCCAAGTGGAGTAAGGGTATTCCTTGTCCAAGCCGGGGGTTGCGAACATCGCGTGTATTAGTGACGGGTAAAGAAGGCTCTTCGAGTATAAAAAGTGAGAAGAATTTTTGAATCAAATAAGGATGGCGGAGGGGTCGATTTTGCGACGCGGGTACGTAATGTGGAATGAGAATATTCTCATCGTCGTTAGGTCCAGCATCCTCTAGACGACTTGGCACCGTAAAAGCTCTTTCTGGTACCCGAAGCTCATCCATCTTCGCTGATGTGCAAAAAAGATATTTTGAAGGTCAAGTTGGACGGATTGTTGCGAGAAACATCCAGGTCGATAAATGAACTGCGAGACACCGAGTTATTGTGAGGCTGAGAAATTCCCTTCAGCAAATTTTGGTCGAATATGACCGCCCCATAGCTGAGTATGCGGCTCCAGGTTTCTTGTGAGAGACCAGACACAGCCTCGCGCTAATGCACGGGATTTCACACCGGACTCCAGCGCTATGACCCAACTATTCATTGCGCATGGCGTTGTCTCATCATATACAACTTGATATCTCTCAGCGGTCGGGGAAGGATCGATGTTGACTACACTGACGTGCGCTTTGTGCGCAGTAGCTCATCAGGTATACATGAAGCATATACGATGAGTGACGGACGCACATAGCCTATCTAGGTTCCCCTTAACGTGAGAAAGCTTCTCTTTTACTTCCTCGCGCTACGTCTTGTATCTTGAGGTAGTCAACCAGCGTTGGCGATCAAAGAAGGGGAATCAACGACATCCATAAAGTACATGCTGCTGGAATCTTAACCGGGTTTAACGGAGAAGTCAACAGAAGTGAATAGTAACCATACTGCTACGTTCCACCCTCAACCTTTGGAGGGAAAGTAATGGATCGAACGGGGGAAGAGTACGTACCGGGTGTTGTTGATTAATGGATGGGCACAAAATCGAGGGCAGGGAAAACTCGGTCAATGGGAGGGAGGAAAGCGGTGACCGACGAAAAAGCAACTGATGATACGAATGATCATTCAGATTAGCAGCAGATATCAACATAGGTGGACATGGGGGGGCCCAAATCGATGGTCAATAGCGATCAACGATTGATACGTAGGCAGAGGAGAATGGCAGCCAGTGAAGAAGCAACTGCTCGCCAGGCCAAAACCTAGGACCCAAACAGATGAACACAAGCAGCTGTTTAACCGCTGCCCTCCGAAAAGGGAGGGTTGAAATCGATTGGCCAAACATCACCACATCCCTGCAAACTCTCTAGGGTGAGTCATAATCACGTGTGTTGGTAATACCTCAGCACCCCCCAGCTCCGCGGCCAGCTTTTATTTCAACCTGCTTTAGTCACTGATGTCTAAGGCATCAAATTCCAGGTGTAGAGTCGGGTGCTCTGGTGGTACGCAGGGCCGGCCCGACCCGACATGATCCGACCTGGCCCGATCTGGTCCGGCTCAGAAGTCAAGGAGCATGCTTCTGCCGCGCTCTCCAAGCTCTAGCCCAACGGCTCGTCTCCTGCTGGCTTATCGCAATAGCGGCTATCGGCCGCGTGATGTTTCCGGATTTCAGGAGACCCAGACCAGGAAGCCGACTTCTATGATCGCTCCCGAAAGTTGCCGCAGCACTAAATGGTGCCGCAGAACTAGGCAGAGTCGCAGAACGAGAGAGTGTATACCGAGAATATCAGTGCAGAAAAAATTTGTGTGGTAGTAAGGAGGGAAAGGATGTGAGGGTCTCATCGTATGCATAGCAAGCGCCTCGAGACGCTGCTGTAAACCCGCAAGCTCGGTCCAGCAGGACTAGGACTAGGAGTTCATTTGGCGGGTAAATCGGAGACTGGGATTATAGGCGAGAAGCCGCCGGATCGCAAGGTCGATATCCTGAGTCGAAGTCCCGGAGCGAATGGCGTTGACAAGATACTGCACTTCGGCGTTGTTACCCTCGCGAAGCACGCCCAGTAACTGAACCAAGAACTCTTGCAGACCGATCAGCTCCTCCTGCATCCGTCGCGCAGAGGCCTTGCGGCGCCTGTCAGCCAGTTCATCGAAGATACACTCCCGGTTACGCCTAATGCACTCTGAACATGGAACTCCAGTGCACTGTCACGCGAATAACGAATGTCAGATGTGTATTTGAGCAACCGTGGAATACGGAGAAGGGTGCAAGTGGCTATGAGGGGTAGAGTTAGGGTTAGGAGTTGCGTACCCTTGTTCGACGCTTCTGGCACCCCCTGCAGGCCGTCGAGGCCCGTTTCATCCTGCTGTCATCAGGAGGGGCCCCTCCAGGGTATTCAGGGGGTTGACGACCTGCGGCACCACGAACGTGGCCACGAGGCACGCCGCGAGGCGCAATGGGCCTGGAAGAATTGTTGCACAGGCGGTCCATCACGAGAGCAGTGTTCCTCAGTAGATTCGGCATGATTTCAAATCCGCGCTGAACGATGATCTCCAGACACACCATTGGATACAGCAGTAGATCTCTTGCTCAATGACTCAAGTAAAACGCTAAGGGCCATAACTTTGATGGCCTGGTAGCGGAGCCCTCTGCACTCTGCTTCCGCCATCCCGACTTGCACGTAAATCTCCTTGAGCTGTCGTAGAAGCCGTCTTCTCTCCCTTCGCGGGCCCCGCATAGTACAACAAGCTTGTTTTGCAGTAGCCCATAATAATCATGTTGAGGCACCATCTTCGTCGTATATATTGACTCAATTTATGGCCAAGCGCGCTCTTCTGCGACAGGATCGGATGGAAACTTTCCGATAAAACTGATCAATAGGCGCAAAAGCTTCATTTGAGCCGGTAGTCTCCCAGAAGACCATAGATACTATACGCATCTGGAGACGCTCAAGACGATTGGGGCACATGCAATCAAGGAGCCTGTGTCATCCGAAATCGCGTCAACGTTGAGCAAATACCAGCAACCGGCTCAACCGGAAAGCATGTGGTCATCCCTCGCAAGTGAATATGGTACCAACAACTTCTTCTATGTCCAGAAGTACATCAACTCGTCAGCCCGTTCAGGAGTAAGACCACATTTGGTCCTGATGACGGAAACCTCCTCTATGCATTTCTTATGCATATTAATGAGCTCATGAGGATCCGGATATTTGGCGCTTTCTTGTCCAGAAAATACATCGCTCCGGCGTTGGGACCGGTCTCCGCTCAAAAGACAAAACCAATTGCCGGTGGCCGTCGATACTCAAGGTCCCAACTCCCATCAGGAGTCATGAGTGAGGAGGCTCCAGTCTGCGCCTGACCATATCTAACCTTCATCCAGCCAACCTCGCCCAACGTACAGCCGTACACTGGCTCGTGACCATCGTCTAGCCCCCCTCCTGCAGCCAATTCTGCAGCCAATTCTTCGGGGTCCCACTCTGGGGACCACCTCCCATTGATCAGAATCACAAATCCAGTAGTATTATACTGTTCCAAGTCCTCGGTCGGTATATCCAGCACAGACTGTAACGCCTCCTCGTCAACCATGATACACAGCCGATATCGGGCCGAGTACGCCAACTCCGCACGTTTGTATGGCACCCCATGCTCCGTCTCGCAAGCCACCCTCGCCCACTCCTTGAAAGCGTCCCGTATTTGATCAGGCGTGGCCCCGTCAAAGCGGCGCGCGTCTTCCATCACAACAGGCCGAAAGGAATCCAACATGTCGAGCCCGTCGTGGCTTTCCAGTTCTGTGCGGACACTGCCCATGAATCGATCGAGGAATTTCGCCCAGTCCGCGTCGCTCTTGTAGGTGGTTCGGTACATGGTAATACCCAGTAATGGAACCCGTCCTTCTCCAAATTTCTCTCAATGAGGTCAGCCGTGTTTTCCTGCAATCGACGCCATGGGGTTCTCTTGGAGTCTTCAATGACCATGGTTGCTGATGTGGATGAAAATGGTCGAGGTAGTGATTCCCTCCTGACCCGGGGAAATCGTTGAGTCCTTGGCTTGGTGCCCCAGTATGGTATTTTCTCTAACCGTGAGGCGAAGACGGCTTGTCCAGTGCAGCACGTAGACAAAGATGTAATGCTAGAGAGTGTTCTCTTCGCAGGGGTGCTGAACAGGTATGTTGAGCTTCTGAGGAAAACTCGGGAAGAGAATGAGAACGACATTGAATCTTCCGTAGCTTGCCGAGGAAATTAAAGAATTAAATTCAGATACAGAAACGGTGAAACCTGGAAATTGCGATTCATATCCACGCTTGTGCGCTAGCCACTTAGCACGGCACACAGTAGTTAGAGGCCTTTTAGCAACTTAGAGCTGCCATATGAATAAATTGGAGGGTCAATCAGTATTGAATTGTTCGTTCCCTATGGACTTCAGAGTGACTTAGTTTTGCTAGTACTTTACATAGTAACTGTAGGTACCGCTGCAGTACTTGTGAAATCCCAATGCTTGACCAGGAGGCGGCGAGGAAAGCGGTCAGTTAATGCCTTGATGTAAGCGGGAAATCAGGCCAAATTCAGGCAGATGGGGGGGGGCGGTCGAATGATCCAAGGGGGGAGTGGGCGAGTGGCTATATCAATCCCCTAAATTTACATTGATGGATTCTGAGGATATGGGGCTGTCTTCATGGTGCCTGGCGTCTGCGGCCACCCGATCTGCGCCCTGCATTAGCCGCTTCCTTGTTACCGCATACAACATCCAGCTTTGCTTGCAGAGCCGCCACCTGCGCTTCCAGGGCATCTATTTTCCGGTAGTGTTCAACAATGGCCTCCGTAAGGCTTGAAATGTGGATCCGCAGAAAGAGATTGAGAAGGAAATCCCAAGTGCTACTTAACCTGAAAACCGCTAACTAACTAACTAACTAGTCTAAATACGTAAGGGCTACTCGAGAGCTTCAACTTTTCACATGGATCTATATCCACGCCGCTGAATAAGGTTAATCTCTCATAACATGCATGGAAATAGCCCACGTACTAGCTGCATGAACGGGAGTTTCAAAATGATGGAAGTGAAGCCTCAAGACACTCGCTTCCATAACCTAGTATACCGGTAGGGTCCCTAGTTAGGGCAACTTTCTGAATTTCGGATATTCCACCCGAGCCGGTTAGAACGAGCTAAGAAAGACTAGTACACCCCCCGGCTGGCTAAATAGTAGTACTATTGCCTCGCCCACCTTGAGCAAAAAAGGGGTTTTTCCAAGGTCTTCGCAGTTCGCTTTTCGCCTTTGGTAGAGCTTCGACTGGCATATCGCAATGGCAGCATTGCGGATTATGGCACTGTTGGCTGCGCTGGCGGTTCTCCTGTCTCTGTCCTGGGCGCAGCAATTCCCTGGTACCCAGATGTTCACCAACTATACAGGCTTGAGTACAGACTGCCAGCAGGCATTGGCAACAAATGTGACATGTTCTCCGTATCTGGGTGTTGTCTCGGAAAAGTACGTTGAGTTATGATCCTACCTATGCTTCGGTGATTGGACAAAGGTCCAGCGTGCAGTATTCGGACGAGTGTTCCGTTGAGTTGCTCATTGTGTCTTCGGGCTATTGATGGATGTATGTGGTGAGATTATTTGAAGACATCAGCGGCTTAGGGTTATATAGCAGTGAGTCCATGTTGCGACTGCGGCCCTGACGACTCCCAAAATAGATCTCATTTAATCCGTCCGATACGCACTGAATTCCGCTGATTCAGACTGATTCTGGGCCGTTGACAATTTTATGTTGGAGCCTGATCCGCATAAACTGGCTTGCTGGTTGCGATGCAGTCTCAGTGAATGCATCCTCCCCGGTCATCCTGTGGATGAATGCACGATTTGTCAGGTGTACGGACGCGAGGACCTGATTCTCATTGTCTTCGTCATCATAGTCGGACACTGGGTCATCATCAGACTCATGTCCCTCGAATTCGGTCAGGTATGCCGTGAAGCTGTCACCGGTTGATCCGGTGAACTCGGCATGCATCAGGAACTGAGATTTCGCATTCCTTCTTTCCTCGGGAGAATGCCTTGTTGACCTGCATCCTTCCTTTTGGCAGACGAAGCATTTCTTCCTCCATCCTCTTCTTTGGCCCGGATGCTCATCCCTGTAACGCGAGCCGGTTCCGCGATGTCCCTGAAATGCTCCTCGTGAGCTGTTGCCATTTTTCTTGTACTTCCGGTCTAAGTAGAATTGGCTGTTGCCGTCGACCATGTAATTCGCTGATTGCTTGCGAACTAACGATGTCTCGATTGATGATCGAAGGTCGGAAAACAACTGTTCACAGGTCTTGGCAGGCTTGTAGAGCGCGTGTTCGAGCTCTGAAACTCCTCGACATGCTTTGATTACCGAGGTGTGCAGTTGGTGCTCTCCTTCGTAATCAGGACCAAGAGCTCTTTGACATCGGCGCATCTTGTCCAGCAGAATCTGCAGCACCTCATGGAGACTCTTCTCTGGGTTCTCCTCTCGGACTTTCATGAAACTAATCGTCGTCCACTCCGTGAAATAATGCTCGTGGTTAACAGTAGTATCGAAATGCGACTTCAGCTTCATGTACTGGGTCCTGAAGTCATCCCGCCGGTCTATGTTGTGGAGGTAAAATTCCTCCTCGTTTCCGGTGAGAATCATCGGGAACACAGCATGGAATTGTCCTGGGGCAATCCCCAGATGGAAGCACGTGTTCAACATGAGTCGCCCTGGAGGGAGGGTACCGGATGGGTCATGGTCTCCGGTTGGAGATGTGGTCTCACTCGGTCGGGGGGGTATCGGCATTGCCCGGGGGATCTCAGCTTTCACTGGTATTTCCTCATGGTCTCGTCGAAGGGTTCCATCTTCGATTCTATGGTGCTGGGGCTCTTCCTCCTCCACGGTGGTCACTCTACCTCCTCTTTTGAGTCTGAGGCTTACTGGGTACGCCTCAGACCGTGGGTTGATGTCGGTTTTCAGCAAGTAGACTTTGCTGTATCCCGGCATTACCTCTAGATCCTCGTGCTGAAGAAGGGCAACAAATTGGGGGGGTACCGGCCTAGTGATAGGTCCGGTGTTAATGCCACCCTCTCGAAGAACCTTGTTCATCGCGCGAAGATATGCATGATGGACACGTTTGAACATCTATTCAGTCCATCCTTCGAACTGCTCCTGGAACACATAGAGGAGTTCTTCATCATACATGGGCAAGATGCATATACCTTTGATCTGTTCGACCATGAAGGTGTTTAGATGCAATTCCTTGGACGTTGCAGTGATCTTGACATTGACACCCCACCATTTGGGACTGATGTGTGTCGGGTCGATCTTTATAGGACAATCCTGAACAAGTTGTTCCCTGGTCATATCGGCACATGGGGAGACAATGTCCTCTTCGATCGGTTCGTTTCAAAAATTCGATGGGACATCCAAATCCAACGCCCGCGGGCCTTGGGACCGAGAGTTTGAGTTACTGGCAAATGGTACCGTACAGCAGCAGTAACGATTCTATTGGGAGTACTCAATACTACAGCGGAAAACTGCCCAAATCAAGGACTGATGGAATCACGGTCAGGCATGATACTGATGTCAACGGCGCAGTGGGGAAGCCCTCAGCTATCCGACACTGATCACCAGTCATCGGGCGACTCCATCGGACCACCATCAGGGCAGGCCGAAAGGAATCTACTACCGTCCAAACCTACGTTGCTCCAAAGAGATGGATCGTTCATATCGCCAATGCAAAAAAACCAGCCGTAATGTTTACTGATCTGGGGGCTTTGATCGGACAATCGTAATCGCACTGAGCGGTTCCGGCGCGCCAGAAACCGTTGCTTCCGATATCGCTCGTCGTAAGCAAAGTCCCCGAACGCAAGAACCTCTAGTCTGGGTAAGCCGGACGGTCCGAACGCCCAGTCCGCAAAGTCCATGGCTTCTTTGATCTCAGCTAAATCGCTGCCGAATGCCTCCGACACATCTGAACCGTCCGATGGCCCCGTTCGTGGGGACTCGATAGATTGTTCTTCCCAGAGACACGCAAAGTTAAAATCGCGGTCGGAAAGGGAGGCCCGTCTCGCCAGCCCGTTCCAACAACCGCACGGACATCTCTCGTCTCTGTCTTCTGCCCGAATCTGCGAGATGACTTCCAATTGAATGTCTCGATGGAGATGATCTACGCCTGTGAGTCGAATATGAAGCACCCGAAGATGGGAGCCTTTCGCACCCGGTTCAAGACTCGCTCGCTGTGTTAAAGGGATCAGCCGCCTCTCTTTCTCGTTACTGCACCCTCCTCCCACGCAAGTAACTAACCACAGAAGAAGTGTTTGCACACAGCGCCAAGGCAGAGAGCCGATTGAGATGCCTCAATTCGGCCTTATCGAATATCCAGGACGAGCAGAAGTCTCGAGTACCCCACCACAGTCTCTCGTTATCAATCGGAGCGAGTTGTTTTTCATGAAACACAAAGGTCTCCAGGGTCCGGCTGTGATGGCGGATCACGGCTTCAATCTGGTGGGTGTGTGCAAAGTCGGAAAGTTTCAGATAAAGATGCTGCAAGTCTTGGAGAGAAAGTAAAAACGCAACAACCGGACCCAAACTTGCCTTGTTGGGGCCAAGCGCCTGATTATCGCAACAGAGCTCAAATAGCTGCAGTTGAAGCTTATTCTGCAAGCGCGACAGTGCTTCCAACAACTCGCAGGAGTTTACGCAGTCACGCAACTTCAAGGACCTCAACCCAGCAAAGGTCGACAAAGCACTCGGTTGCGTGCTTTTCTGGAGATATGCCTTGGAGAGTGTTAGGCACGTAAGAGAGGGCAGAAAGGTAGGGGCTGGGCCCGCCACACGTGTTGTGGTCACGGGTGTGGACCCTTGCAGCCCAAGCACTTGACGGGAGAAATCCGGTCTGCCAGCTGATGCGCTGAATGCAATCGAATGTGTTCTCAAACGCCTTTGGTTTCGACTAATACATTTTTGCAGTAGCCCGATCTCCGTCGAATGCTGGATACCTTCCCATTCGATGACCTCCAGGGAAGATAGTTGGCACAGACCACCTAAATGGCCCGCGGCATGGGGACAGGAGCCATCTGTGACCAACGAAAGTTGGATGAGATTTTCCTGATGTTGGATTAGGTATCCCTCTCTATCCAACACACCAGCTGGAAGGCATGTGCCCAAGCGCCACCTGGTGGCCGATCAGCACTGAGGGGGATTCGTGATATGGGATGGTCTGATACGCACGTGAATGACCGAAGGAGACCAGGGCTGAGATGTGCGAAGGCCAAGCAAAGTTGATCCCCAATGTCCTCCAAGAACTGCTGATGGGCCTTAGCGCCGTCGGGGGTCCCAATAGTCGAAAGGATCAGCGGCCAATCCGACCGCCCGAAAGATGTTGAATGCTGCGCAGCGATTAAACCGAGTGAGATGGATCGGGGCGTCAAACTTCAAGTGGCGGGTGTGTAGAAGGTGACTGGCGCTTTTGGAGTGATGGTTGAAGAAATCATCGACGTTAAGCACATTCAAAGCCCATTCACTCGCAGCACGAAACACGACCACACGGTAAATTCCAGGGACCAGAGCATGGTAAAGTTTCGAAGAGGCATGGCTTAGGGATCGAAGAGCAAGGGGGGTAACTAAGGAGTCAGCAATGCGCTCGGATTCCATAGGAGAAAGGTATGGTATACGGACCCACTCGGCAATATTTTCCAGGAGCTCGTTCGGGAGATCCTCGAGCATTTTATCTGCGATCTGGTGTTTGTTCTCTTTCAACAAAGGAAGGCCCCTTTCCTATTGTAGTGGGGAGGTGTGACCTCCCCCTACAGTCTGACTTACCCTGTTCACTCTTTGTTCACTTACGTCAGCATTCTCGAGATTTGGGAGTCTAATACTCAGATAGCCCTAGTTTAGCAAACATACACTCCTACACATCTCCTATTTTGACTGCTTGTGTGCAAGCGCCCAACCTCTTTGTTCCTCTAGTCGGATGCTATGCTAGGTGGTACTTGCTGAATCGACCCGTGTGCCTCAGAGCACACAGCCTTCGAGCGTTCCCCTCTTCACTATGTACTACGCATCTCAATGAGGCCAGTTGCAGCTAGACAAAGGAATAGATGAAACTGCCGCTAAAGAATGACAGAACAAGAATTAAATACGATATTGCACAGAAGCTGTTCAAATAAACAGGTCATGAGTGGCGAGCTGGATCGAAGAAGATGCCAGGAAATTTGAACGATGCAGAGGTCGGATAAGCATATTGACATGAGTTACTCGGCAAGTGTAACTATGATCAACTGTTGAACCCTGGCTATAGAACCCGGTTAACTGTACGTTGTTTCGGGACCTATACGAGTAATTGGGCGAAAGGGGAAAAGGACCAATCTAGTACCTGTGGAGCGGAGAGTCACATAGCCGTGGAGACAGATGGTCCGGCCAACGGCATTCTCCCTTTGGAACTTAGTAAAAGACCACAAAAGATGAACTGGGTTATTCGCATCCACCCTATGTGACTGTAAAATAAATGAATGGCTCTATCCAGTGAGATCTGGAAGATCAGCCAAGCCTGACAACATATGTCCACTCCTGTATCTAGCAGATAGCTTATTGTCAAGGTACGGAACACCAGACTTTGTACGCCGCGCTACGCACGGCTGGGCATTACACCTTCTACATGGATACCTGCGGTAATTCTAAAGCAATACTGCCTTCGTTGGGCGCAAGTATAACAGTCTTCTTCTTTTTAGGCTTAGAAACAGTAACAGCCGGCGCCGGAAACCCATCTAGGTGCTTGGTATTATCCATCAACCTGAAAGGGCACAGGGAATTGAAAGAGTAGACACTGAATTGTAAATAAAGAAAAATAAGAGATCCCAAAAATATCAAGAATAGCGATCACTGTGGAGTCCCGTAGAGTAAGGATATTAGGACCCTCCATCGAAGAGAGATACTCTTGATACCTTCAGCGAGCGATTGTGATCGGGATTTTGCTTGCCACCGTTGCTATGGTTATTTCACACACGACTAACAGAAGACTCGTTCACGATTCTTACCCAAGATGACACAAATTCCGTATAGTTACGTTTCTGCTGTTTCTTCGCCATAATGCACTATTTGGGTCACAGTGTTGTACCTGCGAAAGCGGGCCTTGTTGTCGAAAAAGAGGCCAGCCCCAGCAAGCGTGGATCACACAGCCCAAATCACTCTTCGCTTAGCCCAGCGCCACATCATCGACGAATCATTATTGTGGCTTAAGCCATGTAGTTCATGTTTGGTTAGCCCATTTGTCATGACAATACAAATTTCCGGATAAAACGGCGCTCTCAGTTAACTGCGCGTTGATGCGTAGTTCTAGGACCTGCCGATTGGGAGCTGGACGCCAGCGCTGGGGTTAAAGCCCCATTTTGCGTTATTGGCATGTACAGGGCCCCATAGGGCCCAGCATAAAGGCAAGCCCTCCACCGTTGTTTCCTCTTCTCCTTTTAGCCCCTCGTTTGAATGTGGCTACTAGTGGCCTTCTGCTCTGAGCCCACCCATCGAGGTCGAGGGTATGGCAAACGGTAAACCCATTGTAGTACGAACCCAAATCCTGGACCAAGTACCAGGTAAGAAATCCTGAGCTATGTCCCTTTACGGCTCAGGTCGGATTCAGTTCCATACGCAGACCGCTGGTCTTGCACAAATCCTGGATCAAGTACCAGGTACGAAATCCTGAGCTATGTCCCTTTACGGCTCAGGTCGGATTCAGTTCCACACGCAGACCGCTGGCCATGCACAAATCCTGGATCAAGTACCAGGTCGGGTTGCGATGAGATTTCTCTTGCCCGCCCTCCAGCAAATGACAGACACCTCTTCGCGGTGCTGGAGACTATTACTCGGCTTTAATCTGAGCCGAGGAAGCCAAGATCTGCCCTCAATTTTTACACGGCATTTTACACAGTCTGTGGAACTGGCAAGAACTATTCAAAATCTCAAAACTGTCAATATTGTCCAAACACCCCGTGTCCGCGCAATTGACACCGCCTTTAAATGGCATAGGATACCTGAAAGAGGCAAATAATCATCGCAGAACGACAAGATATAATCTCGCCTACGTGATATCCAAACCAGTATAGTCAAAGTATAAGATCACGTAGATTTGAGGCTACACATTCATTCAGTTGCTCGAGCTTTAAGCTGTTTAATTCAAACCTGTTTAGCTCAGATCAGGTTGGCTCAACCTAGAACCTGTTCAAAATGGCCATTCTATAAGTAGCCAAAACTTTATCTTCTGCTTGACCATATCATTTACACCTTTGATTTCTGTTAGAGAATCCCCCTACGGCAAAAATACACGCAGGCGCGGATCGTGTTAGTCTTGTCCTCAATGGAAACATGGGCCAAATTATGTTTATTTAACTGTGGTAATAAAGACTTTCCCCAGCCTGTAGGCCGAGCGAATTGTAGACAAGGCTTTGATTAATTAGTGGCTCCACTAAATACTAAAAGCAAATCATGGTAATGTTCGTTCATGATACTGTTATAATGTTCGTTTTAAGATATTGTTCGTTCAAGACAGTGTTCGTTCAAGTGGTAGTCAGATTATGAAGTTTAAGATAGTGTTCGTTCAAGTGTCCGTCAGATTATGAAGGTCAATATACTGTTCGTTCAAGACAGTGTTCGTTCAAGACAGTGTTCGTTCAAGTGTTAGTCAGATTATGAAGTTTAAGATAGTGTTCGTTCAAGACTGTTCGTTCAAGTGTCCGTCAGAATATGAAGTCCGTGTCTCAATATTTAGGTTCTTTTATGCACTCACTCTCTGCCAAAGTGAACATATTCGGCTGAATAAGTAAAGCAACCTCACTTTTCACCCACTATGCTAGTTTTGCTATTATCTGTTCGCAGACTTTGCCGGGGTTACTCAGCACTAATTGTACGTCACCATCCTGTCCCCAATTTGACCAATCATCGCTCGCGTTTATTGTCGACTTACACAGCACAAAGGAGCTTTCAGCGGTCGTTTAAATTCCCCGCGGTCTGTCAAGCACTAGCTACTTCGACGTCTCGACACCTAAAAGACCGCCTCTACCGGAATACTAGGGTATTGCAGTTTACGATCTATTTTTGTCCGCTGGCGATAATTTAGCGTATGTGAAATATTTGCTCGGAGGTCGTAAACCCCCGCAGATTGATCTCTAAATACCCAGGAGAAGTCTACTGTTGACTGCTACCCGCCTGGCCTAAATAGCGGATCAGAATAGAATTAGCCGCGGGTAAACTTGGCCGAACGTCCCCCGTGTGCATTTAGACTCTAGTAGCATAAGAAGGAGTCATTGCAGTTCAGAGTGCACTAAGTATGGCACTCCGATTGTATCTCAGTAAGCAGCGAGAGAATTATCTGAATAAATCAGACTAAAAGTTCGTTCACAAAACTGACACTGCCTAGGGCAGTTTAACCCTCGTTAATCAACCACAGCCCTTATTAAGGTTTAAGAAGGAGCTCTACATCAAGACTACCAATTTCAGCCAATCAGACCTACGCTAGCTAAGGGCACTCTGGCCGAAGACAGAGTGTTCTGAAGCAAGATCACAATTTCTCTGTCTACTATAGTGTAGGGGTTCTTCTCCGCTGACCTAATATTTCGTTGGGTTCTTTCTTATTACCGTAGGCAGTCCGGCTTGATAAATCATATGCGATACAGGAGTATACCTTCCCTTGTCTTTTCCAGTGCCTGAATCTCTCGCGCCGCTGAACTTCCGTCCATAACAGGCATTTCCTGATCCATGAGAATGCAGTCAATTGTTAAATGAATCGTGCTTCCACGCGTCAAGGGCTTCCTGCCCATTGTTGGCCGTGGTGACCTCAAATCCCGAGACTAACATGAATTGTGTAATTCCAGCCCTCCGCATTTTCCTACCAAAAATTATATTTTCCGGCTTCCTGGTCACATTCTTGACCAGAGAAGAAGCTAGCCATGCTTTTGTTCTGATTTTATCTCTGTGTATTTTGTCAACTGAGGCGTGTTACCCATGCACCTTGGGCAGCTTCTATTAAAACAACCGTCTTCTAAAATCACATGGACCAAAGTGACTTCTGGAAAACGGCGGGTGTCAAATTGAGGGTGGAAACTTGAATGAGATCAGTTGGCCCATTCACCCAACAATGTAGTGGCAATTTTGAGCCAGTTTGTCCTTTGATTTTCAGCGTTGCTCAATAGTTAGAAGAATCATGGCCAGTAAATAAAGCACCACTTTCGCAGAGACACAATAAGCAAATTAAGTCTTGTGCCTGCCTCATTAGTAATCTCTCCTATAAGTTCCGCGACCATAACTACAGATCAAATCTGATCCACTATGAGAAGGCGGGCTTCAACATCAAAAGCCTTGGCAAAATGGACTATACTGACCCTGTAAGTTTCCGAACAGTCCTTTGCAGCAATCGCGCTTCCCGTTGCTGTCACAAAGCCCCTGAAAACCTCGTAGCACAGTCAAAGTAGTGGTCACCGTGGGCCTTCTATCAGGTTGAAGCCGGCCTCTTGTAGAAAGCGTGTACCACCAGATAAATCTTTTGATCAGAACAGTGTTAGGGCGGCAGATTCCTTCTCCAGCTCATAGCTTTGTAGCGCCATCCCGCCTACATCAAGAAACCTTGTAAGTCAACAAACAGGGAAGCTGAAATAGCATTTCGCGGCCACTCACTCGATCCATAGGTCGACGTACTTCTGGTGAAGGACTTTGACCTTACCAGCACATTTATACCTGTTATAGAAGTCAGACTCTCGGAAGAGTTATTGGCAGAACTAGTGGATTTGCGTTGCGACCCGTGTCTTTCGCCCGCTGAATCGAGAGCCTGGAGAAACATTTCGATGTCTCAATATTGAAAAAGAGTGTAGAATAAGCTTGAGGACTCAGCGAGAGCAAAAGGAAAGCCGACTTGTTGTGATGGTGGTTTTTCTCCGGTTCTGATAACCTGATATTTTATGGAAATTCAACCAGTACTTATAGCTCATCTTTGGAACTGCTGTCCGATGTGTCCGATGGAATAGTCCTAACAACAGCCAGTCTTGTAGAGAAGGGAGCATACAGCGCTCCCAGGATCACCAGGTTGATGCACATGCCCCAGAATGCATGCAATTCGTCCTAGGAGTAATACGCACGATGTGCAGCCAAGTTTCCAACCCTGCTTCCACTGAACGCGCTTCATGGGCTATGATCATTCCTAGGAACAAACCAAGGGTGCTTCCAGGAGCTCATGAACAGGCTGTCAGAGATCGAGCATATATAGTAGCTTGGCTGTTTGGTCGCTGACCAAACATTGTGCCTTTTTGGCCAGATGGCGTAGTGGTAAAACCCAAGCATCCATGAACCGTCACACAGGCAAATGGGTCATCGCTTGCTCCCAGGAACCGACCCTTGAATTTGAGGAATATGCTACTGAAGAGCCTGCTGTCGAAGAATCCGCTGTCGAAGAATCCGCTGCCGAAGAGCCCGCTACGGCACCATACGATAATAGTATCATACAGGATCATACCTGTTTCATGTAACTCTCAGGTTACAGGTGTTTTAAGTATTGTGGCTTATCTGTCTTAAAGCGGTGGCTGTGCAGGTTGGACAGAGCCGCTGTAATTACCTTACGGCGGTAAATAACAAGCGGTTGTATCGAATACGGGCCCAGAACATCACCTACTAAGCTGATGACCGAAATGGCCCGGCTATTGATTAATTGAGTCTCGAGGCGTAATTGCAGTTTCTGTGAATTTTGATTGTCTAAGATTTAATGTGTTCCAGAGATAATACAAGTATATGGGAGTAGGTTGTCGGGCCTTGTCCATATATCCACCGTAAGGATACAAGATGAAGTCCAATTGGTTTTCAATGAGCTCATTCATTCCTATAGATAGTACATAATTAAGCGGGTTGGGTCCTAATCTGCAAATGCCTCACTCAAATCACAACATTCTAAACCTGTCATATGGTAATCCAACCGTATCGACCTGGCAAACATGAACAATATAATAAGATAAATAAAAACTGTAATCCAGATCTGCAATATGGAGCCTGGAACGCCGAGGGCATAATGTAGAATACGGCCTTTCGGTTATCAAGTCCGAATAGGTTGAAATTTCCACAGAATTTCTGTGTCACTTTTTGTCGGTCATTATCAAGTGCGCTTCATGGCAGCGAAAGCGGAGACCCAATGGAGCGGATTGTCTTGAAGAAATTGAGGATCATATTGTACGCATAAGCATTGAGTGTAGAAAGCTATACAGTTGATGTTTGCTTTGCTGGATGCGCGTCTTCGCTCCGATAGATTAGTTTTTTCAAATATCATGACTCGACTGAAAGCTTTTAAGTCCTACTGCCGGAAGAAGCATGGTCGGACGAGTAAGGGCGTAAGGGCCAGAGTCAAGAAGATGCCTATAAGTCAGAGTGAAATGATACAGACTGAAGACTGGCAAGCGAGGCTGATTATCGTAGCATGGCCGATAGTCAGATCAGACACTTACTCATTAGAAACGGAAGAAGCGAGGGCTCATTTTTGTGCGTATTCATGGCATCTTCAAACTTTCTCTTCCAGGTGTAGTACTCTACTTGGGACCTTCCCAGTTTCCGAAGTAGTAGTATTGTGACGTATGAATTTCGTCTAAATAAGTATCAGTTTAGGCCAATTTTGTGAAAGGTTCAGTTGTCTCGCTGCCATTGGTCTATGTCGATGTCTAGCAAGATTGAGAAGAATGTGCATCACGTACATCTCCCCGTTTGGCTCTCAACCATATATAACGAACTCAGAGCTCGGGCATACGCAGGAAACGGCATTGCAACTCTCATCGGTTGTGAAATATTGGATATCGATCAGGTTGTCGGTTTTCTTTGCGGCATCAGACTATCTGCATAATAGTTAGGCTTTTACTCTGGCTGAGGGGTTGAAAAGAGACAGACCTGGATCACTGAAGTTGCTAAATTTATGAGCAGATTTTATGAGGCCTTCCATGAGGAGGGATCGGTGTTTCTTTATATACTTTGACTCTCAGCATTAGCGGCACCAGTTCTCGCGAATGGGTACCAGCACTCGAGCTCCTAGGATCTATCCTGTCTCACCAATCACATTGTGGCGGCACAAAGGTTCTGGAAGCTCCTAGGAATACCTGCCAGGCTTCTGAGGTGTTTTATTTGTAGTAGTTAGAATATGTCGGGCAAATGAGGGGTCGCGAATGCCATTATGGGAGGCTAGACCATCCAGTAGACATGGCCTATACGTCTAGAATGGTTTTGCAAATGTTCAGGTCGCTATAGTTGAAGTCGTATTCCTAGGAGCAAGCGGCAAAAAGTGCATTGGATGAGGCTAGCGCGGTGCATTTTATTGAGGAGAGCTGCTGACTTAGTTCTTCCGCTTCGCTCAGGTCGCGCTCAGTGAGCAAGACAGAGCGGTCAGGTCACGCTCAGTGAGTGGGATCGGGGTGCTCAGTGAGCAAATCAGAGCGCTCAGGTCACGCTCAGTGAGTGGGATCGGGGTGCTCAGTGAGCAAATCAGAGCGCTCAGATCACGCTCAGTGAGTGGGATCGGATTGCTCAGTGACGGATCATCTGGCTTACATAAGGGTCAGGTGATGCTCAGTGAGCGAAAACAATGCTTATATAATACTCAGGGGTGTGCTCAGTTTTACTCAGTGAGCAAAAAGCGGCTTGGGGTGAGCACTAAAACGGAAAGGGAAAGCCAAGACTTGTCAGACATTATCCTGTATATATGCACTTCCAATGGCCTGCCCGCCACTTGATATACTTTCACTAGTCAAAGCAGCACATGCACTGCGTTACCAGCCACTGGTTGGCTCACCCAAGTCACTATCTTAACTGGGAATGACTGAAACTGCACTTGCCATGGCCTACATAGCGCTGTATATACTTACGCTGGTCGAAGCCGCACATGCACTGCGCGGTCTTGCACTGGCTAGCTCGCAAAGGCATTCTCTTGACTTGCAATGACCGAAGCAGCTCTTGACTGCTCATGGATTTCACTTATCCACTATTCCAAGGCCTGCTTAGCTCATGCACTTCATTCTCCCGACTTCCATTGGTTGAAACTACACATCCAGGGCTGTCTCTCGTACTGTTCTGCTCCTACAAGTCATTCTCTTAGCTTTCAATGATCAAGTCTACACGTTTACAGGTATATCTTGCGCTGGCTAGCTCGTTAGAGTCACTCTCTTGACTTGCATTGGTCGAATGCGGACATCTACATGTCTCTCTTGCACTGAACAGCCCATCAAAGTGGTTATCTTAGCTTGCAATGGTACGAACCGTAGTTCTACAGGTCTCTCTTGCTATGCCCAGCTTATCCAAGTCATTCTCTTAGCTTGCAATGGTCAAATCTTAGCTTCTACAGGTTTTTTTGTACCTGTGGACTTAGCCAAGTCACTATATTGCATTGCAATGGCCTTAGACGCACATCTACATGTCTCTTGTGCACTGGGTTGGCTCATTACTGCTAGTACTTTAGCTTGCAATGATGAAATCTGGACTTATACACCTCTGTCATGCACTGGTTGGCATAACCAACTCAATAAATTGCCTTTCAATGACCGGAGAGGTACATCCACTGCGCACACTTGCACTGACCAGCTCATCAAAGTCATTATCTTGGCATGCAATGATCAAATCCTGACTTAGACGGCTCCATCGTAGGCTGGTTGGCATTGCCAAGTCAATATATTGGCTTAGGACTATCAAAACTGTACTTCGCGGCGTCTCGTCCAGCGGTCCCTATCATCAAGGCACTATGTTGGCTTGCAATGATCAAATCTGGACTTATACAGCTCTGTCGTGCGCTGGTTGGCCTGGCCATGACACTATATCGGCTTGTGATGGCCTTAGAGGTACATTCACAACGCTTAGGGGATTAGACTGGGTCATCAAACACATTCCCTTAGCAGAAATTGATTTGCTTTTGGCTACCTTAAACAATTATAAAGCGCTAATCTTACAAGTCTGATCTTTGCCGTCGTACTTGTATACTCCGGGGAGTCTGTTGTCTTAGCAGGAATTGTGCTTCTGTACCTTAAACAATTATAAAGCGCTAATCTTACAGGTCTGATCTTTACTGTCATGTCTGTATACTCCAGGGGCGTATTCCGCAGGTCCCACCGACGCGCCGTGCGGCTCTCCTGGGCCTCCTTCTGCCAAGGAGAAAGCTCGTGGCGGCGATAGGGGTTGAGCAGCTCGGCCTTGACAGAGGGAAAGCCCAAAAAGCGATGCCAATCCGTGCTGCAGATACGGAAATGCTGGCGTTTCTCTGCCGTGGCGCCGGGCTGCTCGGTAATAAGGCGTCCATACACCATGCCAGCGACGTGGGAGGAATGGGCAGCTTGTAAATCGGCGATGTGGCCGCTCCATTCCTCAGGCCCCATCTCACGCTCGTCGAAGTCATCATCCAGCACCTCGGCGCGGGACTCATCGTGCACGTTGTGCGTAAACTGGTGCGTGGACCTCAGAAATCGTCGACTGAGGCCAATCGCAATGTCGCGGTAGGCCATAAGATTGAGCTCGGCGTGCAGGATGACCTTGGTCTCCTCCTTGAGGGTCTCACGCAAGCGCTCAGAAGACCACGGCTTATCAGAATGGGGGTCGGGGTGCCACATGTACGCCTCGCGTTTGCGTCTGTTGTCGCGGTTAGCCCTGGATCGCAAACAATTCACCCTCACGACTGCACTTACACTTTATGGTTAACCGGTTGTTCCCTCTCATGGCGCTGATACAGCTCCAAGGCGTGGACAAAAGGCAACACCAACCACAGATACCACACCACCAACTCACCGATCTCCCGTGGTAGGTAACGGTGAATGATCTTGGCGTCATTGGTGGCATGGAAGCCCTTGTGGTAGGAGGTGGCCATGGCCACCAGGCCATCCTCAATAAAGACGTTGCGAACGCCGCCAGCGTCGGTGTTGCGGTGCCTGATGGAGAGCAGTTCAGGCGCACGAGCGGGCTGGCCGCTGCAGATGTGCACCAGCACGGACAGCTTGCGGCGGAAGGCGACTAACTGTTTCATGTAACAGTCAATCTTGGCCATCCGCGGTTTCCCATCTCGGAAGAACTCCCGGTCAACGTCGGGGTTGTTGGCGATCTGCTCAAACATCCACTGCTCTCCAACGACAGGCCACGGCGTTCGGGGGTCTTGGAGAAAGCTCCAGCCGGCACCAACGTTGGTGGGATCGTCATAGAAAAAGTCCCATGGAATCTTGGGGACCTCGGTCTTGTGGCCAAGCATGAGGTCATCCATCAAGATCTGCCTGGCGTCATTCACCAACACATGTACAAAGCCGGTGAATTCGCCCACCGTGAAGGTCACCTTCTTGTAGCATAACCGATCGATGCCCATCCAGCCAAGGTAGCCGGGAGTGGTGGTGTTGTAATGGATTTTCAACCCCACCGCGCGCAAACCCAACATCCATTTCATCGGCCCGCGAGACTCGCGCACCATGAACTGATCGACCAGCCGACCAAGCCAGTCTGAGAAGGAATCGTGTGAGACAGACTCGAGCTCGGCAATGCTGGGCACGGCGAGCACATCGCTTGGTAGCCATAGATTGTGGCTGATGGCAGGCGGACCGGTTGGCGTAGCACCCAAACTGTTCAGCTCGAGCTGCCTCCCTATCTCGCCAGCCCGTGAATCCATGCTCAGGGCCTTGAGGACGACCATGAACCTGGCCACTTTGATGACGCGGGACAGGATGGGTGGGTAGCTGTCGGCGGTGAGCCACGCGACTTCGCCTCGACCCAGCACGGCCAGTGCGCAAACGAGCGCGCACCCGTACTCATTCACGTCACAGTTCTGACTGAGCAGGGACAGGCAAAAGTTCAGACATGCCTCATTGAGACCGGTGAGCTGGAATTTGCTCTCCCCGGGTTCGGGCGTCGAGGGGAACTGGCCGGCACGAGCAACCGCAATGTCACGTGTGACAGGTTTGCTTTCTATTATTACTTTTGTTGTTTGCTTTTGAAGGTGCATTGAACCAGACGGAGGGATGAGAACACATGACGTGAGGATCTATATCAAGGCCCCATCTCTCACTTCCCTTCTTCCTTCTTCTCCTTCCCTCTCTGTCTTCAATATTCTAGTTCAAATGCACTCTTCTATCATTGAGGACCTGGCATCATCGTAACATCGCACGAGCTTCCCTCCACAGTATGCTCCATGCAGCCTGCTGGTGCTCGTTGAAGGAGTAGCGAGGGCTGCGCCAGGAGTGTGCAACCTGGGTTCGAGCAAAGAACATCAAGATTTGCTGCCATGGAAGGCAATGCGTGGCAATGTTCTCCTGGTTCATGTATGCCTTGAGTGGCCTGTGGGGGTCAGTGTCTCGCGAGACCTTGGCAGCGACGATGAGAAGCTCATAGCCGAGCGTGTTGGTCAGCTCCTGGCCGGTTCGTGCAACCTCCGCCATGGATTTCCAGATGGCGGCAGTGGCCAAGGCGTCGTCGCTCTGGTCGTGCTCGAGGGGTTCCTGAATGCTCAGCCGGTACTCGCTGGGTTCTAAACCCTCCAGGTAGCGGTCCCACTTGGCATAACGGAGGAAGGAGTTGGTTTCATCCCACTGGCCGGCTTCGGTGGTGGTGACGGGCTCCTTGTGCTGCTGGTACAGCGTTCGGAGGGCGTTCAACCCGGCGTGGTGCTGACCAGCCTCACGAGTCACCTCCTCGGCGGGATCGGGAAGCTCATAGTTCTCGATCAGGACGTAATGGCTGCCAACGCCATGAGATACCACCTGCTGGTAGGCAGCCCTGGCGGTGTTTGCCTCCCAGAAGCGAGTGCTTTCGGAATCCTTGCGGGGACGACCTCTGGCACTAGGCGCAACCCGACCATGGTCTGCACGCCAATGAGTTTTCATCACCTTGTCGTTGCAGACCACCCAGCTGCATTCGGGGTCCAAGCGGCATAGGAAGCCATCGGTATGGACCACAATGCCGGGAATGGGCTCGAGCAATCGTCGTGGCACTTCCCAACTCTCACAGTCCCCCACTCCATTCCAAAGGTGGACGGTAGCACTGATCTGTTTTGCTTGGGGAAATGGGATGTTGTGGTGTGGACCTTTCAGGTGCGCGGGGATCGTACTGGGCCTGACGCCGACTTGACAGCGTTTGCAGACAACGACGGGGTACCTAATAGTTTGTTTGGTATAGATCACAATGGGGCTTGGATCGGGAATACGTACTCGGCGTGCTTGATGAAATACTGGTTTTCAAAGTCGATGGTGTTGAGTATAAGGATATACGTCAATGTAGATGATGATTTCACGAAAGGGTGTCAATTGAGGTGTATGAAGTGGTGTAATTATCCAGACTCGAGGGCAGGGTCGATGCGAGTTTAAATGTCCCTTGATTTAGCCCTAATTACTTGAGCTACATCCCAGATGAACGCGAGAACGCGACTTCCTGGCGCGTCGCGGTGTTTCAGTCGCGTAGTGTTTTGATTTCACTCCATGCTGTTCAAACTAGAGTGTAATACCGAGTGGTAACACCCGTGGGGACGTTGTGTCGCTGGATGTTCACACCAAAACAATTGACGATGGAATTCTCTGCGAGGTTTCTGCCGGCCTTTGGCTCCCCTTTTGGTTGACCGCTTTGTCGAATTTTCCCCGCAACACCTCACCTCTCCCATTTCGACGAGCACTAGCAATGCTGACCTTTCTGTCTGTTACATAGTCCTCAGTTCTGCTTGATATTCTCGGATTGTCCCATACACAGTACAATTCACTGCTTTACATACACAGATCAACCCAGTACAATGTTTTACTGGAACAGTCAGTGGGTCAGCTCGGCACAGACCCTTCGATGATGTACCTGGCGCAGACCATTTTCTGGGGTACCCACCCCGGTGGGCGGAAGAAAAGTCAATTCGAGTCTCGGTAAGCTTCCGACCATGCATTCTTCTGCTTGATTCGACAGAGGAAAAGTCAATTCGAGTGGATCGCGGGAAAATCTCCTGCACCGTGAATCCTAACCACGCACTCGGTATGCCCTCCGACCATGCATTCCTCTGCCTGGTTCGATGGGAGAAAGTTTTTCAACTCGATCCGCGAATTAGGGCTTTAGCGATGGATTCTTACCACGCAGTCGGTATGCCCTCTGACCATGCATTCCTCTGCTTGCTTCGATGGAAGAAGTGTTTTTCAAATGCATCGCCAATTTAATTGACCTTGCTCAATCCCATATCTCCTGTAAACCTCATACACTCAGAATTCGTATCGTTCACTCACTTCGAGCATGAACATGCACCCATATCAGATAGACATCAACTTGAATAGTACCCATGCTCTCAATACTAGTAACTACACTTCCAGGATAAATAAAATTGTATACAGGGAATGCCGTCGACATGAGAAGTGTTCACTGCCGCACCACGACAACATCCTTCCAATTCACCAGGTTCCAGTCACACAAACAATAACCAATACTTGGTCAATTGACTTCGAAGTAACAGAAGATGATTGCAGCTGCCTACAATAAACTGCAATACATCTGGAAATGATTAAACCGGACCTGGAATGGAAGTCGAGAACAGAGATACTTTGTAAAGTATGAAGCGCCACATATATATTCACTCACATACCCTCCCCATATAATTGCAGTTCCCGGATTCCAATCACACAAGCATGACCTAGACTGGTTCAATTACTCGAAATCTACGCTGGCTGAATAAACACCCTGCAGCAGAACTCCTCTAGTTCAGAACATGAGCAGAGGAAGCTGGATGGAGAAGGGAAATGGAACCGACAACCTACGGCAGAGTGGGCATAGAATGGTACCCTCCTACGGCAAAGTGGAAATGGAATCCCCGGGAGAGTAGAGGTGGAATCGGACCCTCCTACCTTCTGACCCAAGGATGGAAATGGAATCCCTGAAAATCCTTGAAAAGAAAGGGAGCTTAGAAGTCGTAATGATACGGTAACACCATAGTTAATTTGGTAAATTACACCATAGTAATCGGTAATTACAAAGAGGGGGACCTCGATGCCCCCCTTTCCCATGGAGTAGGAACTGGATGTCACCGAGACTGCCCTCCAAGTCCTCCAAAGGGTCGTGATGTCCTCACAAAGGTACCCCATTTGCACGCATTGAGACCTGAAAGCCTGCTGTTTCTCAATTAGGTACTCGTAGGCGTGGGTGGGGTTTTCCGTGTACCAATACCGCAAATCTTCGGTGTCTTGTATCCTGATCAAGATGTTGAGCTCATTATGCAGGTGCAGCATGCGGGAGGTCGGGGAAGGAGAAGAAGGCGGGATCCACGTCGTTGTCCTCGCAAAGGAACTGGATGTCACCGAGACATATGAAATATGACAGATACATTGAGTAGAGATTTCTGGAGAGTATCGACCGCACGACTCACGAGCGCAGAGTGAGCTGAGTTTCAGCAAATGCTTACGTTCGTCGCTATTGCAGTTTGAGGAATGAATGTTCTAGGAGCTCACGAGCAGTTGGCCTTTCTTCTGGGTCCCAGGTAAGCATCTTCCTTGCGAACGATAAGAGTTCGTATCTGTCTTTCTTTTCCAGAAGTGGTAGTGTATCTTCGATCTTTCGATCGGGGATTAGCTGTTGATGCAGGAAATTGCCTGTTTGGCACATATCAGCAAAAGCCAGTCAAGGTAGGGTTGAAACAACAACTCCACGTACCGTCATCGTCGAAAAATGGACCGTGGAACATTTCCATTGCATTCTCACAAAGTTCGCCACCGTAGAGCTGTATTTTCTGTGGCCATTTCAATACCAGTGTGGAGTGAGATGCACTGATGAGATTTGGAGGAGGCGGCCCAAGTAGTGCGATCATTTCCGCAAGATGCGCCTTGGCATTATAGTTTCCAGTGGGATCTTGAGCTTGCTGGAAAAGCTCTGTCCCTTCGGCCATGTCCCAGATCTAACCCGTTTTAGAACTTTCTCTCCTCGCAAAGTGAAATCAATGAGTCATGAACGCACCAAAGTTCCAAGATTCCAGATATCCGCGCTTCTGTTCCAGGGAAACCCAAGCGTGACCTCTGGTGCACGATACTGATTTGATTGAATTGGATAGAGACCCCGTCCAGTCTCACCATGGAGTTGTAGAGACGACCCAAAATCAACAATATGTGGGACCATATTCATCCACAAACGTCTGAGATCGCCAAAATCACTGTTGTGACGATAAACGTGTCGACCAGTAGCATCGATTTTGTACTCGGCCGGCTGTTCTAAATGCTGATTCAGGAAGTTAGACAGCACCTCGCCGTCTTCGAAGGGCATCATAATATTTTCGAGCTTCAGATCTGCGTATGGTAAGCCAGGTAGCAGAGTTAGAACTTGTTTACCTCGGGACCGATTACTCACCTGAATGAACAACGCCGCAAGCTGTGTGGAGGCAGTCCAAGGCTTCCAACAAGATAACCAGATACACTTTAAGAAGGGGAAAGGGCACAACCGAATTCTCAAACCGTCTCTGAAAACGCCAGAGGGACTCCCTCATAGGTGGGTATGCTAGACATAGATGTTTGCCCTGTGGGCCTTCCACTTGAAAGTACTCCAAGTTCGTTCGTAGCAGTGCACGCCCACCATGTGACGAGCCGGACTTGGCGATATGCTCCTCTATTTCGAGCTCTTGCTCAGATACAGCACCGTCGCTGTTGGTGATTTTTAATGTTACCACAACCTCGCCATCACTAGAGTCACTGACACTGTTTAGCGCAATGTTCGGTGATGAGATCATAGAATTAACATACTGCCGGAGATCACGCGCAAGCCATGCTGTTGAAGAGCTACCATAGCCAATCTTGACCAAGATCTGAAAGCAATCGGCCAGAACATCTCCAGGTTTTGCGGGGTAGAATCTGTTGTGCCCGTACCACGGCACGCGTTCCTCGTCGACCAATTTGGATGATGAAATAAGCTTTGGAGGAGGAAGGGTGAATGGCTTCTGGTGGAGCGAGGAGAACCCCCTCCTGAGGATCGGTCGGAAAGCTCTCATATCACGCCGTTTGGATGTGAGCTCCGGTCAGGATTTCCTGCTAAACAGGGGCCACGGGGCTGTACCTATATTCTAGGCAGGAGGATGATATATTGCCCTCAAGAAAAATATGGTTCAGTATGAAATGCCGTTGTACCTTGGAGTTGGCAATGTTTGACGCGTGTGCCCCCCCCTTGTAAGGTTGAGGACGCGACTGTTCACGGTCACGGGATCATCAGGTGCTTCCTATCGGTTGCACAGCGCCCAACTCACATCTACGGTACTTCCGGTTTACGGCCCATTGTGTCAGGAAAAGCTAAAGTGAATGCATTAGGTCTCTGACGCAGGAAGGCTACTGTAACATTTGACGAGAATATCGAAGCTGGCGGGATACGTATGACCAGTTTGAGTTGGCTCACATGGCTGTGTGGCATGATTCCTATCTTCGGCCTCCTCTGGTGCTCGACGACTTTGATGATAAGGAAGGAGAGCCAAGCTGAGCGGGCTTCTGGCGAAAGTAGTCATAGTATAGAAGGAATTGATGGATAATATTAGAGAAGTGGGTGCGGAATATTGAAGACCTTTCTCTCTCGCTTTAACGTGAACTACCATCCAGTCTTTCCACAAACACATACCATGAAGAAATTGTTTGAACAGCAAGCCACGGCGAGAACCTAATTGCGAGTGTGAGATTGTCATTTCGAGGGACGAGGGGCGCTCAACTGTAACATAAGCCAAGAAATTCCTTGATAATTCAGACCAACAGAAACTTCTTTCGATTGCGAAGTGTAGTCAAGTAGTTAATTGGGTTAGAGCGACTCCAAATATGGCCCAGATGAATGCAAAATGAAGTTCGAAACTGCGTAAATGTCGCTTCTGATGTCTACACTCCTAACTGACTGATTTCGGACACCCCGAGAGCCAAAAAACAGGAAAAGGCATCAAGCCCTCAATATGCTGTTTATCAGCCCAGCGAGGCAGTAGTACCCGAGTTTATGCGATCACGCATGTTCTGCTGCCGAGAGAAAACAGATGATGGGCTCTGGGTGGTGTTGTTATAGACTCAAACTCACCTTTACAAACGATCTGCGTGAACAGTGACATGCCAATGTCGCTCGGGGCGCGGGGAGTTTGACAAATATATACTTAATTAATGCTCAAAGGAGACTGTCTCTCACTGATTCCTTGCAATTATTGCTCCATTTGTGAGATCGGTGAGGGGGCCAACGATGTTGAGAAGTTAGGTTGTAGATATAACGGCGTGAAGTTGCCAAATCCAAGGAACCATAGGTTCGGAATCCATCGTCACGCCAGAGCCGCTGACGATATATTCAAGCGGGAGATTCGACGCTTTTTTGGTAGTGGAACGTGCACTTTGACGTTTTGGCGTAGACTTCGTATTGGCGCATGTGATCGAGGACGAGAGGGATGTGCTTCGTATGCGAGTCGCGGCTTTGGAGAAGACGAAGATGTCGTCCAGATACCTATGTTACACAGAACACGGCGAGGTTTCCCGAAAGATCAATGTGGATGTAGTTTTGGAGGTGGCAGGGGTGTTGGTGAGTCGAAACCGCAGTGCGAAATCCTAATTCAGATGCGCACTATGAGGACCGGTATTCGACACTTATTGTTCAAGATTGAAGCTGCCGATTCGGGCAGATGCAGGTGCGGGGAGAGCCAAACGCCGAAGCACATTTTACTACAATGTCCACTGTACAGAGATATTCGGCGGCAAGATCGGACAAGGACGAGGTTGAGGTGGAGACCGGCTATGGCACGATCATGTCTACAAGCGCAGGCCACCTGCTACGTGACCAAATAATGCGACAAACAGGTCTTCTCCGCCAATTCAGATGTGTTGAACTCGAGAAAGATGACGAACTGCAAGGCATAGTGGCCATGAATCGAGGTCGATGGGTATTAGCCAATGACGAAAATAAGGCGGGGAAAGAGGAATTCAGCAAAGGTTGACAAGCATGCCTACCAAGTGGCCGGCAAGAACAGCATTATCAATTGAAACATAGGTGAGGGAGGATGCAGAAATGAGGACGGGAGAGTGAGAGGGAGAGAGAGAGAGAGAGAGAAACGGAGGGTGCACTCCATAGCGATCATTTTATTCATATGTCCTGAGTTCAGTATGGGTTTACGGGCTGATACTTGGAATGGCTGATTTCGTACCTACTCTTTTCAAATCAGCCTCTGTTTCTCCTGTTGCTCATGTGATTCTAGCGCTGGCGTCTGGACGGAAGAACCAAGATGCCAAGTCGACTGGAAACACCCAGAAACAGCATGGTCAGATGACTGCATACACTTTCGTGATGGTCGTGATCGTTGCAAAACAAGAAAAAAAATAGGCTATTTGCAAATGCTAAGGTGGGGGAAAATGGTAGACAAAGATGTTAGCATATTAGTTAGCCGGTTGTCAAGGAGCCCTTGAATGCAGGGGAGAAGACAATCAACAGTTGCCGGGGGTAGCTCGGCGAACAAAGCGGCAAAGGCATGCTCTACGGTTTGGATCCCTGGCCTTTGCGCTTGTTCGGCCACAACTGTCCGCGGCAGTTGGCTTCACCACATAGGCAAGGCACCGCGTCAGGGTCAACTTCTGCGGGAGTTGTGTGTTCCTCTCCTTGGGTGTAGTCGAAGGTCAACTCAGTGCCGGGTGCGATATCCCGGTTTGCGAAAAATGCAAGATTGTACAGGTATTCATCGGCGTGATTGGTGGTGGACACAGGCACGATCTTGCAATTAGGGTTGCAAGAGTGATTGATGAAACGGGTTGCGGAGCCGAACTCGCGGGCGTCGACGACTTTCATGTTTCGGTCTTCGTCCTCGTCGTCCTTTACGTTCCGGTCCAGAGAGAAAAGATAGGATTGCGTATGTGAGCCTTCGGCGAGGTTCTCGCGTTCATCAGCTTCAGCTTTAGTGATCACTTCGCCGAGATAAAGGTCAATGTATTGTCCTCGGTGAAAGAAGTCGGGAGATCGGAGACCTGATAACAATCCTAATTAGTAGAGCGAGGGGCCGAGGTGAATTTGAACATACCCAACCCCCTAGGGCCAGTGTTGAATATCTCCAACCTGATAGACCTTCCCTGTTGAACGACGTGATTCCAGCATCGATCACCACTGCAGCCGCAACGTGAGTTGCACTCGTAGATGATGGCTTTGCGTCTGAGGAAGTCCTCGGTCGCAACAATCAGGTTAGCATTGCTTTCGCTGGTTTGATATGGCACAATCCTATCATCTGAATCCTCTTCCATGTTGAGACAGTCACATATAGAAGGATCGCACTCATTCTCATTGCCACTGCATGGGCAGCCGATGTTGAACTCGGAGTCATCGGGGATCCGCTCAACTCCCGCACGATACTCGTAACTGTTGACGAACTCAAAGTTGTCAGCTAGCCTGGCAAGAAGCTTTGGGCAGTCGATGTTCGCCGTGACTGCAGGGCCGGCGATACGCCCTAGTTTCTCATTCAAGGTGTGGTTGAGCGTTGTTAGATGGTCCCTTTTCAGCGTCGCATTTATAGTACGTTCCAGCTGTGTGAGGAGACCCCTTACATTAGGTGTGAGATGATGACCTAAAGGTGGACTGAACGACGGGACTGAATGACGATCGATGGGATCCCGTGGGATAGGATAAGCGGCCTTGGCAATTACCTCGTCTTCTTCGCTTGTAGGACAGCAGTCATGGTGTAGCTGGAGCTGATCAGTGAGAAGCCGGGCGAGGTCATGGATAAGATCGGCAGACTTGGCCGCAAGAAGCTCTGATCGATCGGGTACTGACTTCACGCCTGTTTCGGTCGCTTGAAGGGGCTTTCGGCTGTCTCCGGTATAGGGCCGGCTGGGCTGATCTCACTTGGTGTGGTTTCGGGCGGGGTGTGTGTAGCAGGCTCTTGGATGAGGCTTTCAGCCGTCTCTGGTATGGGGCCGGCTGGGTTGATCTCACTTGGTGCAGTTTCGGGCGTGGTGTGTGTAGCAGGCTCATTGCTCACATCAGGCATGGATTTTAGCGATAGCTCATCATCCACGGGCAGGAATTCCAGAGTAGACGGTTCCCATGACGCAAGGCCAGGGCTGAGAGATGGGGCTTGTCGCTCAACCTCGGTGGTGATAGAGAGTTCTCCTGGAGGAAAGTAGCTTAGTGGAGATTCGTTAATGCCAGTGGACCGAGGCACCGACGGGGAATGATAGTGAACAAATTTCAGGGGTTGTGCAGCGCGTGCAGCCTGGCGCTTCTCCCGCTCTCGGGCACTCTGCGCCGCTTTTCTTTCTTCAACAGTGGTGTATTTTGGAGGTCGACGTCTTTTCGGTTTAGGACGATCAGATGGTTGCTCCATAACGATGCAATAGAGATTTAATCAGTTAGTATAATGGTTTGTTACTGGGGAATGACGGCTGACACCCCCGCTAGTCTTAATATAGTAAGCGCATTTCTTTCGTAAGTACTGCGAGGTCGGGCGTTGCACCAAATGAAACCTCCCCACCATTCCGAGTTGGTGCCAACTGATTAAGGCATCAACTTTTTAGGTAACTTGGTTTAGCATAATTGGAGCTGGTCATGTCTAGGTTGAGCTATGTAACGAAGAGAAAAACTATATGGCTGCTATTCAAGCAGCCATATTTTTGTCAGTTGAGACCCGAAATAGGTCTACACATAGGGAAGAAAAGAAGCCATTACAACCAGTATATAACTGGCCATCCAAAAAAGGAAGGGCACCTGAAAGGTCCGGGAGCTGTTCTTAATCGCTCGTCCTACCACTTTTCGTTACTCGAGGATATCCTTCCTCGCAAAACTGGCCAGGAGACCTACAGTGGGTGCAAAGTATGACCCCCAGACGCAAAAGATTGCAAATCCACTGCAAACAGTTCGAGCCCGCTTCTGACTTTGCACTGCTCGCTCCCTCCCCTTCTGTCTCGTCAACGCTTTTCTTCGCAGTTCCTCCGCAGCAGGTCTTTGACTTCCTGCACTCCTTCTTCACCTCCCAACTCAGGATACAAACGAAGCACAGTATCTAACTGTGACATTGCAGCCCTGATGTTCTTTTCTGTCCATGGACAGTGCATTCTGACGAACTCCGCATGAATATCTTTGAAATGAAAGGCTGATTGGAAAAATAGTCTCTTCCCAGAGTCACTGAGCAACGTCGAAAGAGTAAGAGGCAGATGCTGCGAAATCTCTTTCTTCCTGATTGACTTCTCGAGGTAAAGGCGATCCATAGCGAAGCTTTCGCCCTCTGCTACACCATCGTTATTCCATCCAGGAATATCGGCTATGAACCAAGGGTGATGTATAATCGCTGGCAGCGGTGCCACGGACATCCAATCCCAGTCAATGACCCTATAATCGAGTCCATCTGTTAAAGAGGCACTATACAGAGTATAAGAAAACGGTGCACTGTGCTTACCCTGTCAGGTGGAATTCATCACTTTTCATGATGTTATGAGCGTTTAGATCCCCATGGGTAAAGCCGATGCCAGTGTATTTATCAAACTCGGCCGCATAATCTGGGATCATGGACCGCATTATCAGATAGTCAATAGCATTGCCCCATCTAGCAGTACCTCTGAGAGTTTGCCGAAGTCCTCGATCCAGGCTTTCAGTGAGCCAGAGAGAGTACAGACAGCTTTTCTCTTGAGCAAGGGCGGAAGGAACAGGAGTAGTCCATAGTTGCAACAGGAATTCCGCAAGATCATCCAAAAGTCTTTGACGTCTAAAGGAATTTGAGAATTCCAAATTTCTAGCGGCTTGCCGCTGACCCATTCCGAATATAGCACAGGATGCTCTGCTTCAACGAAAAGTTCTGGTGCTTTGATCTCTGGACGATGCTTTTTGATGTGTTGGAATTGCCCAAAGGCTCGAAGTTCGTTTTTCCAATTATTGGGATCGTTGCTGACTCGGGCAGCCCATTGTACGGAGTCTTCAAAGACAACTTTGAAGACGCGGTGTGAGCCACCAAGGCAAGGACTTCCGCCGGCAAGCGAGCATGGGATACCTAGGCGAAGGCGGCTAGCTTCAGAGAGCACATCAAGGCCGTCTGTCATATTGGAGCCGCAGGAATATAGAGTGAGTCTTGTATTTGGCGGCGTGAAATGGCAGATGGTAGATGGAAGAATGTGGATGCTGGAAGCTGGGCCGCTTGTTATGCTTATACCTTCTATATAACCGTTAGGTAAACGTGACTACCGACTCCAGCGACCTTTTACTTTAACGATTTTTTATTACCAACGACCTCTTAACAATAAATTACCTACGGGTAAGAAAAACACCAAATCTCCGGTAAGGTGGTAGTAGTAGTATTCAGTGCTCGCTCAGCTAGTTAACTATACTAAGAGTAGGGTCCTGGAATATATTAACAACGCATTGGCAACACATTGAGAATATATTAAGAGTACGGAGTACGTATCCCTCAGACCAAACATCTCAGCTGAACCTACCTTGGGCCATAGTTAGTTATAATTTACTTGAGCAATAGAATGTGCAAATCGATAGGGTACACACAGTACAAAGTAACAAAATGAGAATATCACTGTAGGCGATATTGCATATTACTGATTTTCTGCCTGGCAATAAAAGCCAATAGGACCAAAATCAAGCATGGCGGCTACCAGCGTCCGTAGCCGCAGCAGAGTTCCTCAAGTCGGAGTGTTGAAACGGGAATGTGCTTCAGCAGGGAACGCTGGGCGGGTGATAAGGAAATGATCGTCGCGAGATAACCCCTTTCCCGGGTACCCCCGGGCCTGCGGGCGGAGATGATGGCTACGTTGTACTGCTAAGCCACGGCATGGGAACTGAAAGGTTGCAACAAACGAAGGTCGTTCTATGGTAAACTAGTATGCGCACTTTACAGCAACCCTCGAGCAAATTGCCATGGGACGGAAATCTTCACACGAAGTTTTTTTGCCGCGGTGAGCACCCATTCGGGCTCACGTAGGAACTGACGGGCCATCAACACCGCATCAGCCTTAGGCTCTTGCCCAGCCAGCATCGCTTCCACGGCCTGGGCCTCTCCTGCTCCTTGAACGATATCGCGAGCAGACTCAGCCTCGGTAATAAAGCCAACGGCTCCAACTAGAGTATCCTGGTTCGCGGCGTGGATTTCTCCGCGAATTTCGCCAGCGAGGTCGATTTGATAGTTGGTATGAGGTTCGATCCGTTGACTTCGGTGATTTCCACCCGAGCTGACATCCAGGAAGTCCACCTCTAGATCAGGCAGCATTTTGGCCAGCTGGATCGAAGATGGCACATCCCAGCTTCCAGTCTGTTCTGCGGCCGTCTGATTCTCGAGCCAATCCGTAGCACTGATGCGCAGGAACAATGGCATTGCCTTTGGAATCACAGCGCGAATTGCCTTAACAACTTCGTATACGAGCCGCGTTCGGTTCTCAAAACTGCCACCATATCTGTCGGTTCGTCGATTGGTGACCGGGCTCAAGAACTGATGGATAAGGTATCCATGAGCGCCGTGAATCTCAATCAAATCCACTCCAGCCTTTGCTGCTAGCTCTGCACTTCGTGCAAAATCCCGAACCAGCTCTTCGACCTCGGCAGTTTTAAGCTCACGAGGAGCCCAGAATTGGTCACCAGGCGTCCAGATCTGCTCCTCGCCCCCAGAGGGCCCTACCACATTTGATGGCCATCCACCAACACTCTCATCGGCTTTGATGCCACGTTGCTTTGCCTGGGATGCGAGCCAGGGTGACACCGTGCTAGCCTTGCGGCCTGCGTGGGCCAGTTGAATGCCGACTTTGGCGCCTTGACTATGGGCGAAATCCACCACGCGGCGCAGCCCTTTGAACTGTTCAGAGTCTGTGCCATCCTGCCAAAGACCGGAATCATTGGGCGAAATCCGTCCATTGGGCTGAACTGCTGTAGCTTCGATGAAGATCAGACCAGCGCCCTTTGTGGCCAGATGTCCAAGGTGTGCAATGTGAAAGTCCGTGAGCGCACCTACCGCGGGCGACTCAGGATCTGACTCGGCAGAGTATGTGCACATAGGTGCCACTATAACTCGATTTTTGAGAGTCACACCTCGAATTTGTAACGGACGAAACAAGGTCGGTATGTTGGGATCCTCTGGGTTCACAGCGGCTCCCGCATTGTTGGCCGGGGTGAAATAAGGAACACCTTGAGCTTGTTGAATTGACGGAGAACGAAATGAAGTAGAGCCCATCTTGTCTATAAATCTATCAAATTGTTTTCAACGATGTCATGTCTTGAGAACTTCTTTTTTCTTTTTATACACGACCTGCCCTGATCGGCTGACAAATTGGCCCCCGCTCCCGTCGCAAACATCTCCGACCTCGGGATGTTCTTCTTCTCCACCTTCTTCCCCCTTTATCCCATTCTCATCTTCCCCTTAATTATGGAGTCAATATGGGGAAGAGTCGAGCGAAAATGAAGCAAGTTTCTTCACATCTATATTCGTCACAATAGTCAGCATCTAGAGAGCATCTAGAGAGCATCTAGAGAGCAACAAACGTCGGATGATCACTTCCAGCCTGGACCCTTGCTTTTCTATCAGAACGGAGACGGCCATAATGACATTCATGAATTATGAGCTGCGCAGATATGGGCAATTCAATAAGGATCTTCCCAACCATCATTTCCATCTTGACATCCTTTGCATGGACTCGGAATCCTGGCATACCCGGGTCGAAAGTAGTTGATATATCTTTGCCACTCTTTGGAATGAGGTGCAATGCTTCTCTTCAGTGGGTGAATACAAGCAAAGAATTCCCCCAGACACTGAGCCGCCAGACATTTGTCCATCTTGACAATCCAAAAATGCCCACAACCGTGAGGGCCAGTTTGATCCACGACTTCGAGCAGGCACATCTGTATGTCGTTACAGAAAGATCGGAATATTTCCCCCACTTGTAGTACTGACCTTCAAGATTTTTGTCTCGGTACCTAACTTGATGATTTTGACTGAGCTGAAGGGAATTGTATGAGAAGACTTGAGTCATACGGCCGGGAAATCCTGGTCTTAACTCTTAGGAATGCTGTAGCAAGGGATAACACTGGTTAGATCGCCAGCCCGTGTTATGTTCCATATTCTTTATGTACACTCAGCTTTCATTTACCTATCTTCTCTACTCTACGGATATCTTACACGAGGGTGTCACCAGAGTCTCAAGTCGTCCTATGAGCTTGGCTTCCGGGCATAATATAGGTGTCCACGCTCTCCACCAGAACAAGGCGAGTAGCTCCAGAGGTGTGAAAGTAATTTTAATTCAAGACATCCATCCCTCAAGTCAAGAGCAATTCCAGGACCTTTTCAAACCTGACTAGTTAATAGGTTGTCTCCAGTGCTGTGTAGACATATGGCAAAGGGTGATGTACATTGACATCCGAGACCGTCGGCGTTATGATATACAAAAAGCAGGATTAAAACAAGAGATATAGCCAGTCAAAACCGATCTTCTTTCTTTTCCTTCCCTTCCTTCTGTTCTTTCAGTTTCAACTCGCAGTCTTTTTGGGGTGACACTGAGTGACACCGAGAATGAGATAACAGGGGCTCAACAAACCAACCAATAGCGTCCACGCGGTCTTCTCCTCTCTGCGTCTCAATGTCATTTCAACTTCTCCACTCGACCTCACCTCGAATGTAGATATCTCCCACGACCTGAATGGCTACCACCGTCTTTATCAATGGCCGCATCCTCAGTTCTGACTCCAAGGCCGGGTTTGTCTCTACTATGGTGGTGGAGGGAGACCGTGTCACTCACCTTGGCTCGGAACATGATGAAGCTGTTATTGGGATTAAAGAACCAAAGTCAACGGTGAATCTGAACAATCGACTCGTACTTCCAGGATTTATTGATGGCCATGTGCATATCCTCGGTTTCGGCTTGTCGCTACAGAAACTTGATCTTCTGTCTTGCAAGTCCCTCGCGGACATCCGAACAGCTATCATCTCCTACGCAGCAACCCACACATCTGAACCACGGATATTGTGTCGTGGATGGGAGCAATCAGTCACGAATGGTGAGGCTTTTGCAACAGTCCTAGACGATCTAGACCCTCGGCCAATCTACGTCGAGGCTTTGGACCTCCATTCAACTTGGTGCAACAATGCAGCTCTTGCAGAGCTAGATGTTCGTTCCCAACCCGACCCGCCCGGGGGTAAGATTCATCGTTATCCAGATGGCACCCCGTCTGGTTTGCTTGAGGAAGCGGCGCAGTTCAATATCATCTGGCCGTTCTTGGATCGTGTCACATCCCTGGAGAAGAAGCTCTTCGCCATTGACGCTGCAATTAATGCACATCGACGGGCCGGATATACCGGACTTGTGGATATGGCCATGGATGAGAGCGGATGGTCAGTATTGAATATCTATCGAGATCGACGTGGTGACCTTCCGATGCATGTGGCAGCACACTGGCTGGTTCCCTACTCAGAGTCCAATGCCGATATCTGCAGCCACATCGACCGCGCTGTTGCGCTTCACAAAAGGTTCAACCGCACAACCTCCCCGGAGCTTTGTATCAACGGGATCAAATTGATATGTGACGGAACGGTGGATGGTTGCACTGCAGGGCTACACCAACCGTATGGCGGTGTTGCTAACATCGTCGAACCCATCTGGCCTGCTGATGCCCTTGCCTCGGCGATACGTCGCGCTACCAACGCCGGCCTACAATGTGCCATCCACGCCATTGGAGACCGCACAGTGCAACGTGCCATTGATTGTTTATCCCAAGTTCCGAATCTGCCGTCCTGTCGCCATCGCATTGAGCATCTGGAGGTTACAGCGCCTGAGGATGCACAGAGGCTAGGACAACTGGGCATTGTGGCTTCAGTCCAACCTGTCCACCTAGACCCGGCAACTTTTAGTGCATGGCCAGGACTGCTGGGAGCACAGCGTTGCAAACGGGCCTTTGCTTACCAAGAGTTCGTCAACGGTGGTGCCCGTCTGGCATTGGGGACTGATGCTCCCACCGCTAAGCATTTCGCACTGCCAAATATTTATATTGCTACTACTCGGCGATCAGCCCTGGAACCTGCCTTGGAAACAACCATCAACCCCGAATTCGCTATTCCTCTCGCGACGGCCATTTCGGCAGCAACTGCGGGTGCTGCATACGCATCCTTTGCCGACTCGTGGACGGGAAGTCTACGCCCGGAACTGCACGCCGATTTCGTCGTCTTGGATATGGAATGGGTTCCGGAAAAGCTGTTAGAAGCTCGGGTATGCCAAACCTGGTACAAGGGGGAAAAGGTATTCGATGAAGAGGAGGATGGCCAATGACACACAACTACTACACGCTACATAGCTCATTTTGAGTATCGGTGAATCAATGGGATAATTATGGTATTGTACGATCCAAATATTTCATATTTGCAGCTCGTATGGTCTTCCGTGTATGTTCAAGGCTTACAAGCCCCCATCCCATCACTCCATTTGGTAAGATTCGCTCTCTTCAGACACTTGTCTCCTCGATGTGGATCGCCGTGCTCACTCCTTTCCCGGTCTCTGCTATCTTCTCCATTTTCAAATTTGTCGCGGTAGCAATGTCATCTCCATCGAAAATCTTGGTAATCTCTTCAAGTGGCATATACCGTGTCTCGACGTAGAGGAACCAGATGACCACCACCTCTACCGCCAGGAAGCAGCAGTAGAAGATGTAGTAGCGCCAATGGATATTCTCCAGCGCAATTGGGTTGACATACTGATTGAAGAACAACGGAATATACATGGCATATTCCATGATTGTATACCCCTTGGCGCGCATTGAATATGGGAGGATTTCTGTAGTATAACTGCTGATCAACCCCGATCTAGAAAACGTCAGCCGATACTGTGTATAGATCGTTTCCAAGTCAGTGTTCGTACTCACTTCAAGTTATAGAATAGGTAGTAGATGAATATCATCGCCAGCACTCCTTGTCCAAGAGCTGAGCTTTCCCGTTGGTCATATTTCGCCGATAGGATTGTCCAAACCACGAAGCCAACCAGCATACCAGCCGAGCTGATGAGCATAATTGGGCGACGACCCCATTTGTCAACGAAAAAGCTGAAGAAAAGATTGGTGGCGAGATTGAACGAAGTCAAAGCCCCATTGATCAATAATTGGCGGTTGGGGTCTGTGATTCCGATGCTGTTCATGATGAGATTCAAATAGTATGAGACCAAGCCATTGCCGGACCATTGAGCAAAGAGTCCCATAGTGATGATGATGAAGAGTCGCTTGCGATTACCGGGAGTCCGCAAAAAGTCTAGGTAGGACCCGGAGTGTTCTGCGTTTTTCTCCATCGCAATCGCAGTGGTAATCTCGGTGAACTCCAACTGAACAAGTTCATCACTCTCATTCCCTTCAGCATGGTAGTATGCGAGGACCTGTAGCGCTTTCTCGGGTTGGTCCTTGGAGACATAGTAGCGTGGACTCTCCGGTATCCACCATACAACAGCCAGCATAACCAAAGTGAATAACGCTTGGATCAAGCTCGGGGCTCTCCATGACCATTCGCTCTGTTGGAGAATTTGTCAATCTCGATCCACAAGCTTGGGGTAATAGCAATTTACCTTGATCTTCAGTGTCCCGTATGTCGTCCACGCTGCGATGAAAGCCCCCGAATGATAAGTGGCACCAGAGAGGGTGACCAGAATTGCCCTGTCTTGTGCTGGTGCTAGCTCTGTAATAAGTAGTGGGGCGGTGCAAATGACAATAATATCACCAAATCCGAGGAGAAATCGAGCGCCCACGAACATAGAGAAGTTGATGGAGCCCGATTGCAATGCAACGCCCAGTAACATAAAGAAGCAGCCAAAGACTAAGCACGGTCGACGACCAAAGTTATCAAGCATGTAAGGCATTATCAATAGCCCGGCAATGGCACCGACACTCATCACACAGTTGAATAAGCCCAGTGTTGGCCCCTTGGGGTGATGGAAATAATCCTGCCAATAGGACAGGGACTGGAGGCCATTCCTAGCGATGGTCAGAATGTGAAGTATTAGACCTTGAACAGACTCACATCATGGAATTGTCGAATCCATTCGCTGTGTTTGTCAGAATCAGAATCAAGACATAAAAGTACAGGACTCGCATGTTGCGGCGTTTCCACCACTTCACGCGTGGAAAAAGTCGCCCTGCCAAGTAGAAATGACCCTTAGGAGGCTTGACTGTCTCGATTGCTTCACTCATCTTGATCTGTTGTACCTACCTAAGAAGCCAGATCTGGGGTATTAGGTTGCGGGGGAATCCCGGACTATAAATATAGCCAAAGCTTAACCAAAGTATATCGCCAACGCGAACTTCATATACCCGATCCAATGGGAACTCCCATTATACTCCGTAAATAGAGGCACCATTCTTCCTGAGGCTGTTAGGTTCTTTGTCTGTTGTTTGTTCCTTTAGGCTAATTCGATTAATTGCGGGGAGATTTGGCTATGTGATTCTGTCGGATGCCACCCCGTGTCCCAACTGGTTAACTGGCTTAACTAAACATGAGCTCCCACCCTCAGATATCTTGAGCCTTTGAAGATTCCTGAAATTACTCCGACAAGCACGAAAGAACCGAACATGGCTGCTACATACCAGAACCCGATCATTCCAGGATTTGCTCCAGACCCTTCCATCTGCTTGATCGATGGCACTTTCTTCTTGGTGAACTCGAGCTTCCATATTTACCCCGGGTTGCCCATTTATATGTCGGATAACCTGATTGAATGGAAACATATCGGTATTGGGATTTCCATCTTCCATCCCAAGTGTTGAAATACTTACAGCTTCTCAAGGTAATGCCATCAATAGACCAGGTCAACTGTCCCTAGCCCGAGCGACCACCTATCTCGCACCCTGGGATGATGGAACGATTATGGTGGGCACAGGAGGACTGTACGCGCCCACAATCCGTCATCACAATGGAATTACCTACATCATCTGCACCAATGTCATTCATGGCCCCTCCAACGAACCGGGAGATGAGCGAACCGAACAATTTATTATCCACACAACCGACATTCGCTCAGGGAAGTGGTCAGATCCAATAGTCTTTGACTTCCCTGGGATTGACCCGTCTCTGCTGTTCGATGATGGCCGAGTGTACGTGCAATTATGCAAGACAGGGCCCGAATTTCAGATTTACAACCTGGAAATTGATCTTCTGGCTGGAAGAATGGTCGCGGAGCCGGCACTCATCTGGACGGGATGGAAGAAAGGATATACAGAGGGTCCACATATATACAAGAAGGATGGCTGGTACTATCTGTTATGTGCCGAAGGGGGCACATTCCGATACCACATGCTGAGCATGGCGCGATCGAAGTCCATCTGGGGACCTTACGAAGCGTTTGAGATGAACCCACTGTACACCGCCAGCGGAACCACGCAGTATGTTCAAAACACTGGCCACGGTGATCTGTTCCAAGACCGAAATGGGAAATGGTGGGTAGTGATGTTGGGCATTCGCAGCAAGGAAGGACGAAGCATCATGGGAAGGGAGACATTCTTGACGCCGGTGGATTGGCCTTGCGACGGGTGGCCGATTATTGAGCCTGTTACCTGCAGGAAAGACTCAGGGGTAGCTCCCAACCATCGGCTTGATGATTCACTTGCTGCTGTTGCCTGGGTCTATCTGAGAGACGCTAAACTGGATCGGTATCACATTCGGGACACCCACATCACCCTGCGAGCAGATCTGGTGGAACTCGCCAGCCCAGATGAGTCCCCTGCGTTTGTTGGCCAGCGTCAACGAAGACTTGAAGGCACTGCTACAGTGACTTTGTATAAACCACAACACTCCACCCCGGTCCACGCAGGCTTATCTCTCTACAAAGACGAGCACCGACACTTCACGATCGGCTACGACTTCCACCAGCAGCAAGTGGTTTTCAAGGGGTTGAATCAGGCGAAAAGGTTTTCGCACACTAAGACCGAACGCGTCGAGGTCCAACATTCTGTCTCTTTCAAACTTGCCTATACCGAGGCGTGTTTACAGTTCCTGTTTCGGATACAGGGAGAGCATTGGCGTGAGTTGTCAACAATTGACGCTGCAGTTCTGACGGACTATGACTTCACTGGTCCGGTGATTGGAGTTTTTGCTGTTGGAGAGCATGTTGCGGTGGATTTTGGTGAATTTGAAGTAGATGCTGTGCACGGAAGCGAGTAGCCGCCATGCCAGATTTTGATCATATTGTCCAGTAGATACACTCCATGTGTCTGGAATCAAAGTGGAATTGCTCGTTGATCTATTGCCTAAACACTTTCAGGCTGAAGCTTCTGTAGATCTTCTGCTGTCCAGTCGGTGACTAGCATATGCCCTGGCTCATGAGAGAAGACCAGCCCGTCGATCTTTTTACCTGCAGCTTCCACGGCTAACTGTGGTGTTACTCCACAGGCCTTGAGGGCAAAGGTCAGATCAATATGCCACACAGGGGGTGTACTGTGTAGAACTCACCCAGAAAACAGGGACTTCGCCTTCCTCAAACTGCTGTGGCTCTCCAAAGTCCGGCTTTTCCACATCGTCGATTCCCAGTTGCTTTGCACCCTCCCATCCCCAGGCGACAGGTTCTCCGTGTGTCGAAATATACGCGCGTGTGATTTGTCTCACTCTCTCGATCTGCTCTGGGCGATACGGTCGCATTGATACAATACAACATCCTCCCGTGAATATGCCCGCGGGGAGCAAGGGAATGGTAGATCGATACATGGCAACTATCGTGTGCGTCTTCTGGTGACGCGGTGGCAAACCCGCTGCTATTAGGGCATCCTCGAACGAGAACGAACATCCGATCAAAAAGCCAACATGATCATTTGTCCACACGTCCAACAAGTCTCGACGACTCTCGACATATTTTCCCTCCGAGTATACTCGATATTTGGGGAAATCCGTTCGAATATCAAAGTCCTTTGACCGAATACACTTCGCAGGTCGAATCGCACTTGGGTTGCCTGGGACTGCGGTCATTCCTAGCAGCGGACATGGCACTGGATTGCGAAGACATAGGTTATGGAAATCGGAGGCATATCGTGCAGGAAGCACTAGGAGGTTGGCTTGTAAGTATCCAGGAGCCCTCCCTGCGGTGTTGGTGAGTTGGTTGTGCCGACAGAGCAGTCGTGCCTCTTGAGCGGTAGTTACAATACTCCCCATATTGTTGAACACAAGTGTGGGAAAGGAAGAGCGAACTACTGCGTACCATCATGAACATCACCAACAGCCCTCCAGCGCATCGGGATCCACTTGCCGACATCCCTGAATCCTGGGGAAGCAGGTTGGAGATCTCCAAGAGTTTCCCCCCGCCAACTCCAATCCGTCCAGTCAGACTGTCCTGTTTTTGACCTGCCTGTTTGCAGTAAAGATCTGCTGCATCTCTTGGCCTCTCACAAGTCACAACAGACCTGAAGACCAGTGGGCAAATAAAGACCCCCCCGTACACCCCCACATGTCGATCGGTCGATCAACTTCCCTTCTAGGCTTTCAACCCCAATGCTTCTCGTCTTATCAGGACTTCATCGGCCCGATGCCCCCACACAACCCACTCATGAAGATAAGAGATGGGACGGTTGAACGGACTGATGGACTGACGGACTGAAGGGACAACTTGTAAGTCTATCGAGTCAAATACGGACTGGCTTTTCTTCCTGTCAACCTGTCCCTAGACAACCATCACCATAACACCATGTCGAACGACAACATCCATGAACCCTTGGAGTTGAAAGACTCCTTACACAAAGAAGATGCCGAAGGTGCCAACGATCTCATCGAGAATTTGGATGTGATACTCGATCCAAAGAAAGAGACGAAACTACTCGCCAAGTTGGATTTGGCCTTTGTTCCGATCATCATGGTCACCTACTTATCATGTTTCTTGGACAGATCAAATATCGGTAGGTCGTTTGCTGAATGTCGAGACCATCTGACCAATAAAATAACCGTCCCTAGGTAATGTCAAGGTGGCTCATATGCCGGAGGACATTGGGGCTTCCGAAAGCCAGTTTTCAACCGCAGTGTCCATTTTCTATGTGACATATGTTATCTTCGAAGCACCCTGGGCAGTTTCAATGAAGAAGTTGACCCCTCGCAACATCCTGACGGCGCTCTGTATCGTCTGGTCTCTGACAACTATTTTCACCGGGTTCATTCAGTCGGTCGGCTCTCTCTATGCCACCCGTCTGATCTTGGGTGCTTGTGAAGCTGGACTCTTCCCTTGCCTCAATCTCTATCTTACCATGGTCTATCGCCGTGAAGAGCAGGCAAAACGTGTATCCTATTTGATGAGTTGTGCTGCCATTTCCGGCGCTGTGGGTGGTCTGTTGGCCTACGGTCTCTTGCATATGGATGGCATCGGAGGTAAAGCAGGATGGAGGTATGTATCTTGTGTCTTCCCAGAAACAACACACTCTTGCTCATGACCTTCTAGATGGGTTTATATTATTGAGGGCCTGTTCAGTGCCATGTGTGCTATTCTCATCTGGTTCGGTTTACCAAACAACCCGGCCGAGTCTTACTTCCTCAACGAGGAAGAGAAGTGGATGATGCGCGTGCGCAACGAGCAACGCCGTAAATACATGGGCAGTGAAAAGTTCAGCTGGGAGGAGATGTGGATTGCACTGAGAGATCCAAAGCTTTTCTTCAGCGGCATTATCCAGTTCTGTCAGGATATCCTCCTGTATGGGTTTAGCACTTTCCTGCCCACCATTCTAGGAGGCATGGGCTATGACTCGCTAATGAGTAACGTCCTCACTGTCCCGGTCTACGTATGGGCGGCGGCGGTCGCCATCGCAGTTGCCTTCTGGTCGGACCGGAAGTCGAGATTTGCCTCCGTACGTATGGATCCCTGCAATCCCCAATGTCCTTACTAACTGTTCACAGTACATCTTCTCCGCGAACATCTTCGGTATCGTCGGCTACATTCTCCTTCTTACGGTCAAGAATACCGCTGTCGAGTACTTTGCCACTTTCCTCATTGGTGTCACCACCTACACATCGGTGAGTCTCAACGTCGCGTGGTTGAACATCAATATCGCCCCGCAATATCGCCGCGCGCTCGAGATCGGCCTCCAACAGACAATTGGCAACTGTGCCGGCATTGTTGCAGGTCAGGTATATCGCACAAAGCCTTACGTGTTGGGCAATGCCTTCTCTTTGGGTTCCATGATCGTGGCCCAATTGGTAGTGACTGGGTATGCTTATTACCTGCGGCAGGAGAACAAGACGAAGGAGGAAATTCTCAGTGGTGAAAAGGAAGAGACTCGAAGAGTCCAGACAGGAGATGGAGCACTGGATTTCAAATACATTTACTAAAGAGTCATGTTCGGTTATTGAGACGCTTCCAGCTGTGCAACCTTTGTTCTCCCGGGCTTGTATCAACACCACATCGCTATATACCTATTGTACATACTAGAAGAAATCCTTCATCACAGTGGACAGTTCCTCGCCGTAATCGTACACAAAGCCCCCATTGGGCACCTGCTGGTATGGGGTTCCATTTGGCACAGGGCCGGTTCCCATTCCCATGATCTGATCCTCCAGATTTCCCACTGATTCAAACCACTCCATCAGCTCCTGTGTTATCTGTTCACCATCTTGTGGTGTCTGGCTTTGACTGCTTGGTGCCTGGGCTATGGGAAGAGAGTCCGGAACATGATGTCGGTCTGGGTCATCTTCCGCGGCAGCTTGACCATCAAGTCGCTTCTTCTGAATGCCCAGACCCAGTTGAGGACCAAGCTTGCGAAGGCTTCGAATTGATTTCCACAACCGGCGTGATATATAGGACTGGGCTGAAAATCCTTTGACAAGTTCCAAAGCCATGTAAAATTCTTCTTTGCACGAGGCGCTGACTTGCGTGGGAGCTTGGGCCACTGCAAGGAACAAAGCAGCAAGAGCCGAGGCAAGGAACCAATTGAATGCCACTTGCTGTAATTGGTAAATATCCGAAGTATCATTTAAGCGGGTGATGAAGCGAATAGTATCCTTGGCGATCTCAACGACGGTCTCGGACTCGCCTGGGTAACGCATGATGTGTGTCGAGGTATGAAGGACGGGACGATGAATGAGCATCCGTAGCTGATTGCCACGAAGATAAAGTAGCGCACGCAATCTGCGCAAGCTCCGTGAGCCCTCCGCCGTCTCACCTCCCACGGGGCTTGGATCGAGCCGCAACGGCTCTGGAATGTCGTGCACCCAGCGCAGCACCTGCCAATCCAGATAATTCATTTCCTCTTTTTTTATCTCGTTGGTATTGTTGAATGCCGATATGAACTTCCATACCTTCGCTGCAATCCGGCTGTATTGGATCATCACGCGCAGATAGGGCGTGTTCTCGGCAGGTTCGGGCAGCCAAGGATCGATGTCAGTATCTTCCAAAGCGAATGGCATGCCAGTTCCAAAACTCCAACGAATATCCAAAATATAAACAGACCAAAACAGTCGCAGCACGCGATCCTTGCCCGCGGCGATAATCGCCGGCTGATTCAATGTTTCTCGTCGGTGAAGACCTTTTTCAAGGCACATGCGCTCCACGATACCCACGGTACGCCATGCCAAAGTCTCTTCGTCCATTTGGAAGTAGAAAACGGACTAGAATGCAATTAGCACATCTCGTAATCATGGGTGGCTGGGTCATAACGAACCACGAGCGTTAGAAATACAATGCTCTTGATGTCGGGCGGACCCCAAACACAGTTGTCCTGGACCTCGCGGACGCTGTCAAAAAGGGCAATAGCCTGTTCGCTTCGACCGCTGGCCTCTGCGGTCAAAGCACACGCAAACACGATACGCAGAATGTGGATATCTTCCCGGGCCAGTCCACTTTGTACAACGGGCTGAAAGGCCGGTCCAAGGACGCGATCCATTGGGCCGTAGAGAAGATCCACATGATCCAAAAGGTCTGAAAGCTCTACAACTGGATACATGATGCCCATTTCTTCTTCATAAACTCGGCATAGGCGGAGGGCTTCTTTCTTGGGGAGAGTCCAAAGTGGGTCGACAGCCTGGCGTGGCTCCAATTCCCTGTTATGTGCGGATGGCGATGCCAACGGTGAGTGTTCCTGGGCCATATCGCCCTCGTCTCCAGCCTCCGTATGTTCGACGATCCCACGTTGTTGCAAGCTGGACTTCGCAAGGTCAAAACTAAAAGCCGACGTTGTTGGACCTTGAAATGATGTCTCTCTTGAGCTTGAGACGCGCCTCAACGCACGTTGCGCAGGTTTTAGTCCATATGTACCCGTAGCAGAAACCCCAGCGGGAGAGTGTTCGTTGCTTGCTATTGATCGTACACTGGCAGACAATAGGGTAATCTGGTCCTGCATAGCTCTCATCTGCTCAAACAACCGCTCGAAATTTCTAAACATGAATATCAGTAGGCAATCTCACCGAGCACGAGTGGACATACTCTTGTTCACTGGGGCTGTCTCGATGTGAGTTCTCGACGTAAATGCATTCAATGCGCTGACGTCCACAGCGCTGACAGGGCGTCTGGCCATTACATTTGATCTTCCGACGTTTACATTCATTGCTGGAAAATTCCGTTAATAACCATAGTGACAAAGATAATCTCGAAACTGACCAGGCTTTGGCGATGTATTTGCGGCGCTTTTTCCGCGGACGATCATCGTTGTCATCCACCGAAGGTGGCTTTTCCCAGTCCTCGGAAGTCGGAAAGTTCTGGACGGTATTCATCGACAATGACGATTTAAATCAAATTTCATTTCAGCTATGGTGCAAAAGAACAGAGATGTGAAGAAGAAGAAAAAGTGTGGAGGCGAGATGCGGGGGATTCCGTTCCTCGGGAGACTCGAGAAAAGGAGATAAGCTGGAAAATGAGTCTCCATAGATTGAGAGGGGCCCCCCGGCGAGCACGTCAGGTAACTTCTTTCGTCAAGAAGTTAGGACGATGGATCTCTACCTTCTCGTGGTGTCTGGTGTCATTATCCTCTCATTCTGTGGAGGGCTCAGGGGAAGCCAAAAGAATCCACGTGAGATAGGGGTCGGGCCGAAGAGTTTTCCGTGGTTTAAGGGTGCTCCGGGGACGGTTACAGGACCGCTGGAGGAAACAGTGGAAGAACGAGACGAACGCTCGACCTACAGATCGCTTGCTAAAACGGGCTGATAAGAAGGTTCTAACTTCTACCTACCTGCGCGGCTGCGCCTGTCGCCTGTGGGTTCGGCCAGAGAAGCTTAGGTATACAGACAATGGCAATTAGAGGGTTCTTGCAAAGGATCTAAAAATAAATAGCTGACCATCACATCTAGCCTTGATTGCACATTTTTATTATCGTCATCCCATGGAAAAAAAATCGGTATATACAAGAGAGACCCTCCGCTGAAGAAAGGCAAGGGACTCAGAACACATCGTAAGTAACATCAGTTCGGAACAAGACACTCAGAGGTGACGTCTCTTATAGATCCTTGGTGCGTTCGTCGCTCTCGGCAATCCATTGTTCCAGCTTCTGAGGGTTGCGTGCGCTGAACCCGACCTTGAAGGGCTTTGGCTCGGTAGTCAATGCAGTAGGAATGGAATTGCATTCAATTGCATTGAGAATTGGTCGATCAGCCGCCTCTTTGGCCGTGTGCATGTGGAAGGCAGTGATGAGACGGATGAAAGCTGTGAACAGCTCACGATTTGCGAGATGTGAGCCAGCACACATACGGGATCCCGCCCCGTATCCGTAATGAGGAGTGCCAGAGCCCTCATTGAGCCCCAGATAACGCTCTGGGATGAATTTGTCGGCATCCTTGAAGTGCTCCTCATCATAATCGGCAGCCCAGGCATTCTGATGACGATTAGCATGACCCAAATGCGACAGAAGAAGAGAAACTACATACCATGAAGAAAGTGGTACCAGCAGGAATCGTCGCTCCATTCCATTCAATGTCCTTCGTACTCTCGCGTGGCAGACAGATAGGAATGACAGTCCAGAATCGCAGGATTTCCTTGACCAGGGCAGTGACGTAGGGGACCTTCTCCTCCACCAAGCACTTCTCCCAAGCATCGCCGTCCGGATAAACCTCCATGATCGCATTGTAGGCCTTCTCTTGGATCCTTTGGCCATCCTCAGACGCCAGATAGGCAATTCCCATAATCAAGTTCCCCGGAACGGTATCAAGACCAGCTGAGACCATAGTCAAACAGATTGATTTCACCTCGGCTGATCAATGAATTAGTATTATGCCCAATTTTCCGTAGACAATGGGGAACTCACCATCATTCAACTTGGCCTCAGGGTCTTTCAGAATGTTACCAGTAATGCAAGGCTTATCGGTGCCCTTGGCAATTTGATCCTTAAGCACGTCGAGCAGGTAAGTCAGGTATTTATCACGGCGACCGCGGAAGTCTTGGGCCTCGTTGTTCATCTTGGGGAAGATGCGCAACAGTGGGATGTAATCCTGCCAGTTGTTGGAAGTACTGCGGAAGTTGGACACTCCACGCTCCACATCAACAATCTCGTGCAGCAGGGTATCATCCACGTTGCCCGCAATACGGAACCCATAGTTGAGAGTCAAACTAGTGTTGAGCGCGTATCGTTGAAAGTAGGCAGTAGGGTTGACGTCCAATTTGCCGTTCTGGCTGTCGCGGTATAGCTCTTTGATGCTGGAATTGGACTCAAGGTCAATGATCGGCATGTACGATTGCACCGCTGGTCGGTTCAGGGCCGTGGCTGCCGCCTTGCGGCGCTTCTTGCAGGACTCGTCCCATGGGGAAGTGCCAATCGTGAAGCCCTGTGAGCTCGAAACGACGCTGTGGAAGGTATGGAATGTTGGGCGGGAAATCAAAGCTGATGAATCCTTGATCCACAGTTGACGAACAGACTCGAAGCTGTTGGCAAACACAATACGCTAGTGGAGCATCAGATTAGCTTCTCCGCCGATCCTGTCTGAGCGCTGGCGCAAGCACCCACCTTATTTCCCATGCGGACTTGGAAAACGGGGCCAAATTTCTTCGCCCATTTCGCAGCGACCGTGGCATGCTGGTCTCCCAACTGCAACAAGTTGCCAAAGATAGGTACACCGGGAATCTCAGGAAGACCTTTGATCTTGGGGATATCGGTACGGTTGAAATACCGAATCGCAAGATAGACCACCACGATGATGGCGATTGCAAGTGTTTGGACGGTCATGGTGAGAGTGTTATCCAAATAATTACAGTACTCTTTGACCAGGTGGGAAGAATGCAACTCTTATAGCTGTTGGCGATCCTGGCCCATTTGGCTTCGGCTAAGCGGGTGCAGCACGGCATAGTTCCGACTTTGTAGACTGACAGCGAGACTACCGTCGGAGAAGGATATGGGGATCAACAGATTGGCCAGTCATCGATCGTAGAATCATCGATTGTCATTAGACCTGCAGTGGCCACCCCTCAGTCCGCGGGGGAATTTTGGCCATTCGCCGATAATGCGGGAAAGGCGGAACCTCTAGAACCTCCGTTCCGCGACACCCCACATGACCAACACGACCAACGGTTTGAGCGGAAGGTAATTCCGTTTATTCCGCCGTCCCAACATCTCGAGCCAGAGACATGTACTCCGTACGGAGTAACTAACTACTGCGCAAGTAACTAGTCAACCATTACTTAACTATTCATGGCGGACTCTGTTTCTCCCTTCTCAAGTCTGCCCACTCGTACTTATGGACCCCGGTGCTTGCAGTCTGCAGGAAATGGATTCCAGAATTTGCCCCATTGAGCGATTGATTGTCTCCGCTCCGACCACTTCGTCCTCTGTTATACCCCGCTTCCAGTCGCGCTCTGTGTTTGTCGTATGTCCATCGCGCCACGTACGACCATAGAAGACTTTGGTCTCTCCCTTTGTGCACACTCGAAGGGTATCATACGTGCTGGCACTTTTTAAGGCGGCATCTCGATTACGGCTCATTTGACCCTCCGACGCGGCGACTCGTAACCTCTTAACTCGGCCAGTGTGGACAGGGTATGCCGGTATGCCAGCAGATATCCGAGTGCATCTGCATCTACCCCGCCTGAAAGAGGACCAATAACGTAGAGTTGATCACGACCGATCTTATGGTTGATCAGGGCAGGGCCACGTACTCCGTAGTGACTGGAATAAAAAGAATTTTTTGTCATTTTCTTAGAGTTAACCTTTGCCTTGGATTGACACCTGGCTAATCAGGCATGAATCACACAACAAATCAGGTGACTTGGCGCGTCGATCTTCGACAAAAGTCGCGGATGTTTTAGCCTTGTGGATCGAGGTGTTCGTGTGTGTCGATGTCACTCGATGAGCCATTCGTGATAGTTGATACATAAACGACATACATACATGTATGCGTGATGTCCTCCCAATCGTTTCTTCCGCTTTCTTCATCTCCTGAATTGCATTCGCCTGTACTACGTCCCCGGCGCCCAAGCCTGGATCCAGAACGGGAAATCCTATCCACTAGAGGCCAACGCTTGTTGAACTTTTTGCCCTCTCGTACCCCTAGCCTTGCTTTGAACGAGGTTGACGACAATACCTCTGACCGACGTCTCTTTCTTCGCCGTGGCTCTTTATTGATTGGAGAAAGTAACCCTCGTTATGAATGGTACCACTAGATCCGATTGACGGTATGATGCAATGGTATCGAAACTAATCCCGTCGCAGGCAACATTACTACAGATCACCCGATTCATTGAAGAACCTTTCCAAGCCAATGCTCGTCCCCCCTCTCTGTCATTGATCAGCAGAAAGCTAAACGATGATATAGCCGGAAATATCATGAACGAAATAATGGACTGATCTCCCAATATCTCTACATTGATCGACTGCTGGACTCCTCCCTACCCCACAATCTGATTGAGGAATACAATGAATTCAGAACCCCCAAACTTACGCCAGATGGAACCCATCAGCCATCCTCTGTGGCAATGGATGAGGCCGAACCGCTAGAAGCCAACCCTAGAGGCGGAAGGATCAAACGCACTGCGCATAATCTTTATCGCATTCCCGATGAGACAACTCCCTTGTTCCACTCCTCCGAGGGAGTCGACGGCCCGTCAGGGCGTATACCCGACCTAGAATCACCTGGAGCGATGCCGCCAGGTGACGAAGACCGCGTTATCAACCTGGCCATTCGCATCAATTTCATCGCCAACGTTACTCTTCTTGCATCGAAGATCGCCATCATGGCCATGACTAGCTCGATGTCCATGCTGGCCGGTTTGGTTGATGGAGTCTTGGACTTTCTCAGTACGGTTATTATCTGGGTAACGACAATTATGATCCGCCGAGAAGATCGTAATCGATACCCCATCAGCCGTCGACGATTAGAACCCATCAGTGTGCTGATCTTCTCCGTCATCATGGTCACTTCCTTTTTCCAAGTGGCGTTGTCATCGATGAAACAGTTGATTGCAGACGATCACAGAGTCGTGGAGCTTTCCGCTCCATCTATCGCGTTGATGGGTGGCACCGTATTGGTCAAGCTGCTCTGCTGGCTATGGTGCCGATTGATTCCCAGCCCAAGTGTCCAAGTGTTGGCCCAGGACGCCATGACTGACGTTGTCTTCAACACGTTCAGCATCATCTTTCCCTTGAGTAAGTCTCCGTCTTGTTTGCGACCAGGGCTCTAATTCTAAAACATGGACAATCGCAGTTGGAACTTTCGCAAACCTTTGGTACTTGGATCCCTTGGGTGGTCTAATCCTCTCTTGCTACATCATGTGGAACTGGGGTCAAACGGCCGCGGAATACATCCGCCGGTTGACAGGCGCCGCTGCCTCTGCCGATGATCACAGCATTTTGCTGTATATGACCATGCGGTTCTCCAGAGTGATCCACAAGATCCAAAACTTGAAAGCGTACTACGCGAGTGACAAGCTGAATGTTGAGGTTGACCTCGTCTTGGATGAAGGGACCAGTTTGCGGGATAGCCATGATGTTGGTGAGAGTCTACAGTATATCCTTGAAAGTGTGCCTACTGTCGACCGTGCCTTTGTCCATCTGGACTATGATGAGTGGAACCTACCCAGCCACATGAATCAGATGGATCGGTAAGACATGTTTCATATGTTTCATACAAGGTGGCAAAGCCAGTTCAGTTCACAGTGTAGATACCATGATACTCCAACCTAGTACATGAAGCTGTGTCACATAAAATCATTCATCTAGTAATACATATGAACCATGACCAAATGGAGACTCCTCGCTGGCGTAGATGCCAGGACGCTGAACAGGAAAACAAGAGAATACAAAGGCCAAGTTAATGTACAGCCAATCCGACAGTAAACCAACACTCCGCCTGGATATTCAAATCAAGCAAACATTAGGTCTTAGCGTGGTTGCGACGGCGGTGGTAATGACCCAGGTAGTCCGCCTTGTACCGACTCATGGCTACAACCTCGGTGATGTGTTGGAGTAGCGACAGTATCCCCTAGAGATCCTGGAGGTCGTTGGTGGAGCGGCGGCATAGATCCAGGGGTAGACGACTGAGTGGGAGCATAGTTACCCATGGCAGGTCCGCTCATGGATGAATGCAGGCCTGCCGGTGGAGTGTATGAGCGTCCCAGGCTCGCCAGCGATGCCATTGACCGACCGGCCTGAGATTGTGGGGGAGGAGTGTCGTGTCCGTATTGTGAAGATCCACCGGGCAAATTGACCGGAGTGGAGCGGTGGGATTGCGGCTGATGCGACCCGCTGACCATCGTCTGCACGTGTTGTTGATAGCTGTGTTGTTGTGTCGGGTTCTGCGTAGGTGGCGCAGCTGAGGAGTACGAAGCTGGGGTTGCGGACTGGCGTGAATGCATACCATACAAGTTGCCAGAAGATTGCGCCGTTATCGGTGGATCTTGTCTTGTTCCAAACGGCATACTGGAACGCGGGCCAGGTGAGCTTGGCCGGTAGGATGCAGGCTGTGAGGCAATATCTCGCGAACCCGACGACATAGCCGTTTGCGCAGAGGATGGTTGGGAGAAGACGTTGGAATAAGCCGATCTTTGGGGTCCGACTGATGGCGGGGGAGTCGGCGCAGGAGATGGCACCGAAAGATTCGTCAGAGGAACTGAAGGCTGACTAGGTGTTACAGCATAAGACGAATAAGGACCCTGGCGACTGCTTTGCGGCTGTTGATGCTGCTGTTGAGACTGCTGCTGCTGTGCTGGAACTGACTGAGCCTGGGGCGGCGCAGGATTCTGTTGCGCTCGCGGATCGAATCGTGCCATCCAATCATTGTTCGCCGACGTGCCTGCGCCACTATGAGGGGGACCATAGCCAGAATAATCTGAATAACCGCGAGAAGTTGGTTGATATTGACTTTGCTGGGCGTAGCCAGACGGCTTTTGCGACAACCCTGACATGCCACTATCTTCTTGGCGGGATGACCCGCTCGCCTGATACACGGGCCTTGAAGTGATGCCTGTAGTTGCAGTAGGGGCGGACGGGCCTTGTTCGCCAGCGAACCTCTTGCGTGGTTGAGGCTCTTCTGGTTCATCGTTGAGAATACTCATGATATTGGACCGTTTAGCGGGTACATGCCGGGCTCCTTCCGGGCCAGGAGTCGCACTCGGACGAGGCACATCCTTGACTGGCGACAAGCCAGGGCGAGGGGACTGGGGAATACCACCAGGCGGTCCTGTAAGTGGATAATAGGATCTTTGGGCGAAAGGGTCGCGGTGAAAAGATGGGATATCCAATTCTGGTCTCAACTGCTGGCTAGGCGAGCTCGGATGACGCGAGTGGCTCGATGAGAGGATGGGTGGTGGCTGCTGTGAAGGCATATATGCCTGTGGAGACATATGGTCCATTCGTACCATCTCTGGTGGCATGGAGCCGGGATGGCGCGACGGTATCGGCAGGTCTTGCGTACGCGGACTCATTATCGAGGAGTCCCGCCTATCCTCTGTAAAGTATCCAAGGCGGGGGCCCTGTATGCGGTGTGAGGGGCCCCCTTGGGCGCGAATTGCCCGAGTTGATTCTTCGATGAGAGTTGCAGTCGAAGGCACTGCTGAAGCAGTGGAAGCTTGTGCAAGCGGCTGGTAACGACCGACATTTCGCTCTTTCTCGGACAACGGCCGCCCGTGCAGGGGAATTGGTTGTGGGGAAAGTCCAACGGGTCTACCTTTGGAGGTGTAACGCGGGTCTTCGATCTCAGCCATGGGATCACCCTGAGGAGCAAGCGGACGAGGAATGATCGAGGACGGAGTGGCCTCGTATCGTCGTTTGGGAGCAACACTTGGCACAGGAAGCGGCCCTGTGGGCTCACCACGAGCCTTTTTCTCCTCTGCATCTGTTACAATCATCTCGAAGTCTTTCTGGCCCGAGTCCAGACGGCGTTGATAGAAGTTTTTGACCTGTACCGACACATATTAGTCAACTAGTCAAAACCAAAGATGGGATCGCAAGACCAATACATACCATCACTGTCGTCTTTGTCTTCATCCAACTCGATATGCCCTCAAAATCGCGGCCAAAGTGACCCAACAAAGCTGGGAAATCACGCTGCTCCGGTACAGACCAGTAGCTTGTCGGCTGTAAAGACCCATACCCCGTCTCGGGCTGTTTGATTGACACGGGTTCGACTTCTGTAGACTCAAAGACATAGACCCCTTCTTTCGTCCTCCCGCGTCCAACTCTACCTCTCGGGACTGAGTGCAAGGAATCCTTTTCTGCACGCTCGGCCTCCCGAGCATCAAACGCTTCCATGCTATTGTCTGAGACCAACTGTATCTCACTTACAGGGCGAGGAGGCGCTGGGGAAACATCTGGCTGGAGATTACCCTGTGGCATGGCCACCTGGGCTTTCGGGTCCGGTTGAGGGTTCTTTACACGCCGTCCGCCACGAGAATTTCCGCCTCTTCCGCCACGTCGAGGAGTTGACCTTTCAACTGATTCTCTGTCCTTTCCTATCTGACCACGACGGCCAGTTGACGCACTCTCTGCCTCGGTGGAATCGCCGAAGGTGGGTGCAGCCGCACGTCTTGGACGGCCAGTATCAGTAACAGCGGGTGGCTCATCTTCGCCGACGAAGTCCGGTTTCACAACGCCCAAGTCTGCAATGAGAGCATTGGACTTTGGTCGTGGGCCCTTTCGAGTCCCCCTACCACGCTTGCTCCAACGTTTGTTGAGTTTGGCTTTGTACTTGATCTCTTCCTTGGTAAGATAATAGTGAATGATACACTGCTGGAAATTTCGACCAGGCAAAGATTCAGCGATCTTGCCCCACAGTTTCGGGTGTGCCATGAAGGCATCGGTGAATATCGCGTGCTCCTCCGGGGTGAAGTCATTGGGAGGTGGCGCAAAGCCGAAGACTTCTAAAGCCCTACTGCACTCGATGGTGTTGTTAACATCTTTGTAAACACGTGCCTTCTTCTCCCGCGGTTCGAGCATGTCTGGAATGACTGCTTCGCGGCCCAAGTCAGGCTGAGCAGTGGCCATCTTGATCCGCCGACGCTCCCGCTCTTCTTGCGCTGAGATTTCGGAGGCTTTCAAAGCATTGAGGAAATCGAGCTCGCTATTGCCTTTGTGCCGACGACCTTCACGGCCTTCCGGAATGGGTGCCGGTGTAGTTGGGACCGTGGACACCGAAGGGGAGGCTGGTCCAGGAGTCTCTAACTTCTTGTCCTTCATGCGGTCAAGCTCCCAAATAGCCAATCGCCAAAGCTTGTAATGAGACACATACTCAGCACGGAGAATCGCATTTTTCCTGAAAACCTCTCCTCGAATCTTTGAAAGCTCTGTGCTGATTTTATCCTTGAGGCGATTCTGGGTGGCAATATTTTCACAGTATACCGCCATATCCTGGATAGGCGTGGGTGGACCTGTATGCAAAAATGGCAGCGTGTCGACGGTAACATTGCCACTGGATACCATAGGAGGTATGACAGTATCCGTGATTGGCTTCGGTTCCTGTCCGGGGGTTTCACGAGCTAAAGAGGTCATTCCCTCGCTGCTTGGGCGATCTGTTGGTACTTCACTCTCCAATGAGGGTACATCGCCCACTGGTCGCTCCGAGGGGCTTTCAGCGGGTCGTCCATCGGGTTGTTCTATCGGCGGTTCCGTTCCCTCATTGTTGGCTACAATTCCGAGTAGCTGGATTTTGAGGAGATGAGCGACAATTTCTGGATCTTCCAGTGGAGACGGTGGTAGTTCTGCTCGGAGTGACTCCATATCCTTTTCAAATAGCCGCCTTCTCTCGTCAAGATACTCTTGGGTGAAAATGATGTTCTCTCCATCTTCCTCATCGCTGGAGCCTTCAAAGTTCGGTATCAACTTGGCTTTATCATTGCTGGCCTGTTGGGTGACCACTCTGGCATCACTGTGTCGAGTTTCAGCAGCCAAGGAAAGCTGATGCAAAGGAAGATTCATGGATGGAGAAACAGGAGATGGGTTCTTCGCGGGCTCCTGGGGGATAATCTCGCCGCTCTCAGGGCCGTCGATATCCGGTGAAGGCGGAGGACGATGGTCTTTCCGCTTGGTTTCAGTTGTAGGGGGAATTGTTTCATGGTCATCATAAGACTCTTGTTTCGGCAGTGCATTAGGAAAGGGGGGCGTTCGACCATAGCCAGGTCGAACCCATTGCTTGCTGCCTTTACGACCACGCGGAGAGGGAGCCTGCCGTTGCAACGCTCGAGGGCCGGTTGGAATACCGGATGGCTGCATCCGGGGTGAGATGGAAGGCTCACGGGATCTTGCACGCTGTGGAAGTCGGGCAAAGGTAGGGGAACGAGTAAGAGAGTTCGACCGCCCAGTCCCAAACGCGTCGCTGGGTCCCAAAGCTGGATCTGGCCGAGTCATGGCAGCTGGAGCAGTGGGTGGTGATACGTCCGGTAGATGGATAGATGACTTAGGTGGTAGAGGAGGCCCTACTTGCTGCTTCCCCGGTTCGCGATGAGTTTCGAGGCGGCGACGAGGCTCAAGTGGCTGTGTGGTCTCGGTTCTTTCTGCTCTTTCCGCTTTGGGTCCGGTAGGAGGCTGTGGTGGTCTGCGTTGCGCAACCTCATTGTGCTCTTTCTCTGAGGGCAAGGAAGGCAAAACAGAATCTAGCGGCATCCCTGTCTCGAAAGAATCATTACTTGAGGATGTAGTCGGAAGAAGGGCAGTTACCGACCCAAAGGCGGGCACCGGAGGAGCGGCTGGAGGCGGTGAGTGTCGAACAATAGGACCAGACTCCGTCGGAAGATCAGGTCGAGCGGCATCAGGTCGAGCGGCATCAGGTCGAGCGGCATCAGGTCGAGCGGCATCAGGTCGAGCGGCATCAGGACGAGCGGCATCAGGTCGAACGGCATCAGGTCGAGCGGCATCAGGTCGAGCGGCATCAGGACGAGTGGTATCAGGACGAGTGGCATCAGGATGAGCGACATCAGATCGAGGAATATCCGGTCTAAGAGAAAGGGGCCGAACAGGAGGGTCGTTTCGTGTGGGATCGTGCGCAGTCTCTGGAGCCGCAATGCTGGGTTGTGTTGGAGCTTTCCGACCTTGATCACCTTGGGGATGGTCAGACAGGCGATCCGCAAGGGCTGGCACAAACCCAGTGCCTGCTGCTGTGGGGGGGTGTGAAGAGGTGGTTGAGCCGCTAGCTGCACGACTTGGGGGACGCTCTCGCTTCCAAAAGTCCACTGGGCGATCACGGTCTTCGCGATCAGGCCGTCTATTGTCCCTATCTTCGCGACGGTCAAAGCGATCTCGACGGTCCAAATCTCGGTCTTGCTCACGCTCCCGATCTCGAGGCCGTGGAAGGTCTCGATCACGATCTCGGTCTATCATCCGGTCGCGATCTGCGGCACGGTCCCGGTCCAAGCCTCGATCTCTGTCGCGATCCAGCAGCCGATCGCGTCCGCGCCAGGGTTCCCGAGAGCGACTGCGTCGACGGAAGAGATCCCGGTCATCGAAGAATGCCGGACGACCGCGACCACGACCCCCTTCCCAGTCTGCGCGACCGCGTCCTCGCATAGCTCCACGAGGTACATGGCCGGTGTTAGGCGGTGGACCATCCGGACCCCCTGAAGACGCAGAAAGAATGCTGTCCCTCGAATTCCGTCGCATCCGAATCAAATCAAAGTCGCGTGCGGGAGGCTCCCTCATATCCCTAAAATCGCGTGTCGGTGACCTTGAGCGACCTCGGCCGAAGCCAATCCTATTATCTCGAGGATCGAACTCGCGGTCGCGCCGAACCCAGTCACGATCCATATCTCGGCGAAACGGTGGACCATCGCGATTGTCTCGAAAGTCGCGATCTCGGTCACGATCTCGTAGGTCTCGGTCGCGATCACGAAAATCACCACGGCCATAACCTCTGCCACGACCACCAAAATGACCACCCCTGGGAGAGTCGACAAGGGCCCGAGGACCACGGGGTGGATCTCTACCGAATGGTGCAGGCGCGTCGTCGGGGCCACGAGGACCGACTGGGGGGCGACGGTCTCCAAATCGCTGCGGAGAACGGTCACGGGAATTGAACCCGGACGATGGGGGAAATCGGGAGGACATTATTGCGTCATGCTATCATGCAGTTATGAACCGGTTAGCGCCTCCAGCACGTAAGAAGTAAAGTGCAGATTCAGCCCAGGGCGGTTGGAATGCAGAATCCATCGCATACTCAGATAGAACGACACTTTAGATGGTCTGCACGTGACATTGAATGCACGGACCATATGAAGAATTGAAGTGTGATCGATCGGGTAAGGCGTGGTTTTCCACTTTTTGGGGGGGGGGGGTTCGGCAAAGATTCGGACAACAAACCTCAAATCGCGTTCGCCTTTTGTTTTCTTGTTTACGTTCAAGTCCTTGCCGAGTGGTAATGAAAGGAACATCCAAGTTGGTCAAAGCAGATAAGCCAGACCGGTACCTTCCGTCGTCGACAGGTCGAGAAAGTAGATGTGTCTTTGAGCTCAGTAGGAAACTGTAGCACGTTGGAAGATCGGAGAAATCATGCGACCTCCTTGCGCCAGATGTGACTCAACAACAAGAGTCCAGGACGATCTACTGAGTACTGTGTAAGAAAAATGAATAAGAACATGAGAAGAATGAGAAGAGATGAGTTCGTGAGACTTCAAGGGGTCGGCTTGGCACTAACCCGGTTCGACGCTAGTGTGGTGAATGGGGCTGCTGGTGCCTCTTAAACTCTATCTGCCACGATTCGATGTATGACCTTAGCTATGTTGTAGACAACGTACTGCGAAGATATCAATTGCTAGATACCACTGTATACTACATGTATACTTAATAAACGTGCTTGCTAGTATTCTCTAGTTTGTATTACAGTATTGCTCCTTCGCTTAGTCCCAAAGGAATGGCTCGCCAACGTATTGAATGCCTTAGGCAGTAAGGCGTCAAGGCATCAAGGCCCAGACTGATGCAAGTTCCCCGCCGAACAAAAAAAAGATCGAGACTTGCCCCTCTTCAACAACTTGACCAATTCGTTTTGATTTTTACCAAAGCTGGTAGGATTATATTTCTCAAAGACGTGCAATTTTTTTATTTTCGGCCTCCCCTCGTCTCTTGTCCCATATCATATCACCGCAAATATGAGCACCCAGAAGCTATCGGCAGTCCCCGCCTCGGTCACCGAGTCCGTTCTGCAAAGCTCACAACCAGTCCCGGAGGGCTCTCACGTAGTGAGCGGCGTGGATTTCGATAAATTCCAGGGCCGAGATATCACAGTCGCCGAAATGGTGGATAATCTAGCCAATACTGGCTTCCAGGGCAGTGCGGTCGCGGAAGCCGCCCAGATCATCAACGAAATGGTATGGCCTCCCACTCTGATGGGTTCCATAAGTCGTGAATCAGAAAGACTGACCATTTATTTTCCTTCAGCGTGCTTTCCGTGACCCCGAAACCGGGGACAAAACCACAATCTTCCTCGGCTATACATCGAACTTGATTTCATCCGGTTTACGGGATACCCTGCGCTATCTCGTCAAGCATAAACATGTCTCAGCCATTGTGACCACTGCCGGTGGCGTGGAAGAAGATTTGATCAAATGTTTGGCGCCCACATACCTCGGATCGTTCTCCACCCCCGGAGCTGGACTGCGCGCTAAGGGCCTCAACCGCATTGGCAACCTTCTTGTGCCTAACAATAACTACTGTGCCTTTGAGGACTGGGTAGTGCCGATCTTGGATAAAATGCTGGAGGAGCAGGAGGCAGCCAAGGTCAAGGCTCGGGAGACTGGGGATGAGGATGACGAACTTCACTGGACCCCAAGCCTCATCACCGAGCGACTCGGTCGTGAGATCAACCACGAAGATTCAGTCCTGTACTGGGCGGCGCAGAACGGAATCCCCGTATTCTGCCCCGCCCTCACAGATGGATCACTGGGAGACATGCTTTACTTCCACACTTACAAGTCTTCCCCGCAGCGACTCCGGGTGGATATTGTAGACGATGTGCGCCGCATCAATACCATGGCTGTCCGGGCGAGCCGCGCTGGCATGATCATTTTGGGTGGTGGCGTGGTCAAGCACCATATCGCCAATGCATGCTTGATGCGCAATGGGGCCGAGCATGCAGTGTATGTGAATACCGCGCAGGAGTTCGATGGCAGTGATGCAGGTGCGCGACCAGATGAAGCGGTGAGCTGGGGCAAGATCAAGGTGGATGCCAAGTCTGTGAAGGTATGTTCTTTTTGGAACGATATTCTTTTCATTTGGGCTATCAAGCTAATCTCTATTCCCCTAGGTCTATGCGGAAGCCACAGCGGTATTCCCCATGATTGTGGCGGCTTCATTTGCTCGTGCTGAATCAACATAATCTCAATTGCACAATATCCCGTCGAGTCTTGTACGACATGACAAGGTACGAAAATGCCAAGCGATGCGGGAACCGGCAGTCTCAATAGGGTTTCGTCTTCAAGGGGGCCAATCAGTGTCGATCAGCATAAAAAACTGCGGTCCACCTGGTCAATTAGGGTACATAGGGCCCTTTGCGCAATTGTTTCAGGATTGGTGGGAGTCAGCCCCGCTCCACCCTGAACACATGCGCCTATGCATTGAACCTTTTGATAAGGTCGACCGGTTTGAGCCATCCAAGACTGCCCAGGATAGCGTTCAAAGTTACATATCTTGGAGACAACAGAATGATTTCCCATGTGGCGTCCACGGGGAATCCGGGGCCATTCCATGGATCGGGGAGCTTCCAGGGGTCAGTGGCGAAATCGGAGAAAGTTCGATAAGCCGAATCGCCACCGAACAAAAATCGGCAATTTTTTAAAGATTTGACCCTGAGTGGGGATCCCCTCGGATCGGCACACCGCCGGATGAAATTGATCTTGGTGATATACAATGTTCGTATGAATCAAGTCAGGTAGAATATGTTTATATATTGTAGATTGCAAAAGATACATCAGTTGAGAGGTATAAGATCTCGCGACTTCATTGAAAATTATGTAAATCACCCCATAACCCACATGGAACTATGTACCTCAACTCATACAGTCCAAGTGACCCACTCGGCATCTTCCCCCGGACTCGCGTTCTTTATCTTTTATCTTTTTTTATTTTTTTTCCTTTTTGGTTCCCTTTTCACCTTCCCCGACTTTTTCTTTTCTCTTTCTTCTTCTTGTATCTCTGTTACTCAGTATCTTCATTCTTTTGTATACTCTCGTTTCTCTTCTCATTGCTTATCCTCAAACCTTCCCTCCTCAATTCCATTCTCTCCGCGACTCCACTCGTCCGATAAGCCCTTATCAGAGTTGACTAGACACTTCGAAGGGGATAGGTAGTATACCTAGCGGTGTTATATATATACACTTTGCTGGCTCGTCACCTTCGCTTGAAGGATTGACATTCCTTCAATTGGGATATTATGGATCCCAATTTGCCAGTCCCTGAGACTGGGGTGGAAAATGCCGCGAGAACAGGGCATACTCCAGAGAACGCTGCCGAGACCGCGTCACCAATTCAGTCCTCCGAATCATCACCCCCGACTACTCAGCCCACGCTTCAGTCCCCTGGGGAGATTGATCATGCGTACTGGGCGGAATATGAGGAGGATACGACGACCCCAGATGAGGATGAATTGAAAGAGATCGACGGCGGCGATTCGGACTATAGTGCCTGCGATCGTAAGTCTCACCCATCTGGAAGTTTGGTACATGTCTAACAGCGTGACAGATAAATACTGGGAAAACAACTTCTTCCGGGACTTGGGGGACCCTGAATATGTCCCCACAGAGAAGGCCCGTCTTACATGGACATTCAAGGGTGTCCGGGGCACCCCCGAGAAGCCTAATCGTGCCAAAGTCATGCGCTCCCCGGCAGCATTTGTTGGAGGATATTGGTGGCGAATCAAGTTCTATCCTCGGGGGAACAATGTCAACGCATTGAGCGTCTATCTGGAATGCTCTACCACAATCCCAACTCCCGATGACGATCTTCCCGAGACAGAATTCACTGTCCGCCGCGGTGCTCCCGACGATGTATTAGACGACAGCACTCCAGAAACCGAAATCAAGACCATAGCCACGAACGACACAGCAGCATGGCTTGCTCACTACAGGTCTCAATATCCTGCCGCCGGAGACTTTGCCCAGCCTGACAACGGAACTTCGAGCCCTTGGCGTGTACCTGCGCAGGTTGGTGTTATCGTGTACAATCCCCAAGAGCCACGCACTGGTTGGATGCAGTCATCATGCCATCAGTTCAATCCCCACAACTTGGATTGGGGATGGACGTATTTCCACGGCCCCTGGGATCAAATCCATTCCCGTCGGCGGGGACAACATCGCGCCCTCTTGAATGACGATACACTGTCTTTCGATGCATATATTCGTGTGGTGAATGACCCAACCAAATCCCTTTGGTGGCACCCAAGTGACTCCGAGCCCACTTGGGACAGCATGGCCTTGACCGGTTACCGACCACTAGGTGACTCGATGATCAATCATAGCCCAGAGGTAGCTGGACTTGCCTCGTGGCTGCACATCGCTCCATTCTGCGAGATCATCCAAAGTGTTGATGTGCTTGAACATCTCACCAATTCCGACGCCAGGCCTAAGCCACTATGTGATGCTCTCCAAAAGCTTCTGTGGCAGCTTCGTCGCCAAACCCTCTCACCAAGCTACGTCGATACTGACGCCGTGACTACCACTTTGCGCAATTTGCACGAGTTCTCGAACGACGTATCAGAATTCTGGGAGCGCCTGCGACGTACCCTAGAGCTTGAGCTAAATGGGACAGAGGCCGGAAAGGAGTTCGCCAAACTGTTTGATAGCCCGGCTGTGCATGCTACATCTCCCGAGGGCGAAGTAACCGTGAATATGCTACCCACGGACTTCAACTCGCGTCTTTATATACCAATTGATCAAGCAAAATCCACCTCGGGAGCTGTCGGTGCGTACTTGAGTGCCAAGCCCGGCCGTTGGTCGCTTCCACCGCTTCTTCATGTCGAGTTTGGTCGCCATACTTTGGACAAGGCCAAACGCTGGCAGCTCCGATATGACAAAGTCGAATTGGATGAGGAACTGGACCTGGCTCCTTGGGTTGTTGATGGACAGGGTAGCAAATATGTCCTTTATGGATATATTGTCCATCGTGGTCGTCGCACCTCGGGCAAGTTCTTCAGCATCCTTCGACCAGCAGGGCCCGGCACTACCTGGCTGGCTTTCGATGATGGTAGTGACAACCGTGTGGAGTGCTTAACCCAGAAGACCGCCATGGGCCCTCACCTTGGTCTTGATCCCTCTCAAACTGTCGACCACAAGAAGGGCCATGATGTCCCCGTTGTGGTAATGTATGTCCGGGAAAGTGTCGTGTCGGCCCTGTTGCCTGGTCCTCAGGGGCCTTGGGAAGTTCCTGAGACCTTGAAGCAATACTATGAAACCGGCATATATCCCACTGGTGACAAGCCCACAGATGTTGTCCAGGTGGAGATCTATTCGCTTCCGCAATACGGCCAGCTGACTAGTCTGTTTGACTCTTATGATCTTATGGCACAGGCCAAAGCGGCAAGTTCTGTCATGTACATGTCTTTGCCCCGCTCAACGCGCTTGGCCGAGCTACGCAAAAGGATTGCCACGTGTAAATCCGCAAGCTCTGATCCCATCGCCCCCGAGCGGGTTCGTTTCTGGCAAATTGGGAACTTTGCTGGTTCTGGGTCGTCATTGGCATTCGATCGCACTACGGATCTGAACGTTCCACTGGATCCTTCATTGAAGATTATACGGTTCTGGATGGAGATCATATCGGAGGGTATGTGATTGCATTACTCCTCGTTCTAAGTGTCGCCTAACTAACCTCATAACAGAAGATGCACAGTTGTTCGCCATTCCAGACCCTCCGACCTTCACCACCTCAGAGGATAAGCCAGACACCACAGTCATTCAGGACCAAGTGCTTGGGGCCTCGGAAGACGTGGCAGCCGAGGGGGATGCTGTCGCTAGCTCATCGGGATACACTCCTCATGGGCGTCGGGCTATTACAGACAATGTGCACTCCACGATTGACGATGACTCGTTGCCACCGTCGGCCACATTGTCTCCTGAAAATGATGCCTTTGCGTCTGACAATGCGGAGCAGGCACTGGTGCTAGCTGCTGTCGCTGCTCCCGGTCAACAAGCCACCACTACTGCGTCAGCTCCTCCAACTGAAGGCACAAGCTCCGCTCTTGCACCATCCACTCGAGACCCCCCTACAGCAGATTCCCGGCCTGAAGCACAAGCCGCATCATCGAGGGTCAAGCTGCCTATCGACCACACATATTACTTTATTCAGATGTTTGACGCGGACAACCAAGTGCTCAGGACCGTTGGGTCGTTCTTTTCTAAGCTCGATGCCAACGTCAAAGCGTCCATCCGGCGCCACTTACAGCGGCCTCTTCGCCAGGACTTCCTTATGTGGAAGCGTGTCGACGGTGCTGCTGTTACCACGGTATCGCCAGCCGACAGCTTCGCCGAGGTGGTTGCGCCGCACGGGGTATGCTTCATCGTTGGAGATAAGTTGACGAAGGATAAGTAAGTACACCTTTATACCTGATCTCAAGTATTTCTTTTTCTTCGTCTCTAACATGGATACAGGCGGTCTGAGCTTGCTGCTTTGGGGTTGTTCACAAGCCCCGATCGTTTAGTTCAATACCTGTGGGCCGATTCTCGCGGCCATCCAATCCAAGGTTTCACTGGAGTCAAGACCATTGAAGCCACATTCGCAAACGATTACTACAGTGGTGACTTCCTCAAAGGTCATCGCCACGGAAGAGGCACGCACGTTTCGGGCACAGGCATGGTATACGAAGGTGACTTCGTCTTCGGCCGACGGCATGGCCAGGGCAAATTGGTATACCCCACTGGCGACTCTTACGACGGCGATTGGGTCGAGGATGTATGCCACGGACAGGGTACATATATCGAGAAAACGACTGGCAACAAGTATGTCGGTGGATTTAAGGATGGTAAACGCCATGGCAAGGGCGTCAGCTACTGGGAGGTGGCTGACGCCGAGTTGGATCTCTGTCAAATCTGTTATACGGAGGAGATGGATGCTGTCTTCGCCGAGTGTGGGCACCTATGTTCGTGTGTCACATGTGCCAACCTCGTCAGCCTGTGTCCGATGTGCCGCAAAGAGGTCAAGAAGGTGATCAAAATTTATCGAGCATAGCTGGAGTTATATAGTGGGATCATTTCTGGAGTTAGAACGGCTTGCATTTAGGTTAATGGGACTTTTCCTTAGGTACTAGATTGTTGGGCATTTATAGGTATTCGTCGGTCCTTAGGTAGCGAATGTTCACATTTCGATTATAGAGGTATGCAACCATACGCTTGCAGGTGGTTGATCTACAGGTAGTCAGTACATTCCGTACTAGGTGTCCTACATCAAGAATAGACATTTGAAACACAGTTGATCTTATATTGAACAAAAGGTATATCCGATGCGCCGGGTCCCGGACCTAATACATGATGCTTTTGACTTGCCCGAAGAATTATACACAAAGAGGTGTGATCGATTGATCATTTGCTGGCCTTCTTGGCCTTCTTATCTTTCTTTTCCCCCTTGCCCTTGACAGCAACCTTCTTCTCTTCCTTGTCCTCAGTCACCGGCTTCTTGTCTTCCTTGACTCTGCTGACAAGCTTCTTATCCTCCTTGGGGACTGTCTTCTTCTCCCCCTTGGGCTCATTAGTGGACTTTTTTGAGGCAATGGTCTTGGTCTCTTCTTCCTGGCTGGGTGCCACTGATTCGCTTGTCTTCTCTGACACCTCTGCCTTGCTCTTCTTAGGCTTGTTCAGAACACCCTTGGGGTTGAGACCCTTGCGACGCAGACGATTACGCTCAGCGCGAGCAATGCGCTCGGCGTCCTCAGGATCCTCGAAAGCACTGAAGGCACCACCCTCGAAATCAGCGGCGTGGCCATTCTCATCAACAATAGGAGTGCGATCAATCTCATCATCGTCCGTGGAGGCGGCCGAGGAGATGCTGCGAGCTTTCTTGGGGCCCTTGGCACGGGGTTCGGCATCCCCGGACTTGGCCACAGGGGTCACGGCGGTTTTCTTGAGCTTGCAGACGAAGAAACCGTCGACGTTCTCACGATGAGGGAAGTAACGGCGGGTGAGCGCCATCTTGGCATCGAAAGTCTTACCCATGTAGCTGAGGAATCCAGGGCTGCCAAAGCCACCAAGACCGGTGTCCACAATCTTGACATTGGGGCGCTTGCGAAGCACATACTGAACAACGGCCTCGTTCTCTTCAACCGTCACACTGCAAGTAGAGTAGACAACGTATCCGCCAGTCTTGGAGGCGTGGTCAACGGAGTCAATCGCAGCCAAAAGAAGTTGACGCTGCATGTGAGGAATGGCGAGGAAGTCGCGCTCGTTCTTGGAGGTCTTCACACCGGGATCCTTGGAGATGACACCCGTTCCAGTGCAGGGAGCATCAAGCAGAACACGATCGAAGCCACCCATCGCCTTGGGGAAAGCGGTGCGGGCATCCATGTTAGTGACAATGGTGTTCTTGCAGCCGAGGCGATGGATGTTACCAATCAAACCCTTGGCACGGGGCTTGCTGGCATCGTTTGCAACGACACATCCAGTGTTGCGCATGAGAGCGGACATGTACGTCGTCTTACCACCGGGGGCAGAGGCCATATCGAGGACACGCTCGTTGGGCTGGGGAGCGAGAGCCATAACGGGAAGGAAAGAAGAAGCGGCCTGGAGAATGTAGTGACCGGCAAGATACTCAGGGGTAGCACCGAGGGGGACAGGAGACTCGAAAACCTGCAGGCCAACCTTGGACCATTTGCCAACGGGCTCGAGAACGACACCACGGTTGATGAGAGCCTGAGCAAGGGATCGGCGGTTGGTTCGCAGAGTATTCGTACGGATGACGACAGGGCGAGGAGTCTCGTTAGCTTCGAAGAAGGCAAAGGCCTCCATGGGAGTGAAGAGGTTGAACAGTTTCTCGGCCAGGAATCGAGTGTAACCGTAGTAGGTGCAGATATCGTCAAGCAGGAGGTCGATATAGTCGGTGCGCGACTTTCCAGGCAAACCAAGAGTCTTCAGGTCACCCAGAATTCGAATCGTGTCCGTGATGCGCTGGCGCAGTAACTGCAGATCAGGAGCGAGTCCCTGCTGATTTTGGTCGGCGAACACGTCGGGTGCAGCGATGTTGGTCTGCAAAGCGGCTTCCTGCAATTCCTGCTCGGCGGCTTCCTCCTCCTCCTGTTGCTCAGCATCCAATTTGCGAGACAAGCCCTCGATGTTTGCGGCTGTCAATCTCTCTTCGGCATCGGAATCCTCGTCGTCAGAGAACATGGCGCCGCGAGTTGGGCGGTCTTCGTCGGAGTCGACCACCGAATCATCATCCTCCAGATCAGACAGTCCCTCAATCTGATCGTCACTCCCGATTGAGCCTTCACTGATCCCATCGAGGTCATCAATTTCATCGTCATCCTCCATATCTTCATCATCATCAGACATAGGTACCGGCACAGGCGCCGCCTTCTTCGTGATGGATTGCTGCTTCTTTGGCTCGGACTTATCAGCGGCAACATTGACCTTCTTCTTCTTGGGTGCTTCCTTCTTCGACACAGCCTCGTCGGCGTCAGACCTGCGACGCTTCGATGGTGCAGGCTTCGCAGGAGCCGCAGCTGGCTCGCCAGCCTTGCGTTTCTTGAGCATGGTGACTTTTGACTCGTCGAGTGGGGCCGGGGGCCCCTGCTTCTTCATACGGCGACCGACACCCATTGTGAAAATGTGGTGTTTATGGGAGACGTTTAGTGTGTTTGCTTTCTGAGAAGCTTCGGTTTCTTTCGTTCTTTTTTTTTTTCTTCGGGCGGTGGACGCTAGCAGTACAGAATTAGCGGAAGGCGGTCTAGCCCTTGTCTTGGTACTTCTGATGCCTCATGAATTAGGTGTCGGACTTCCATCAACATCAAGAAACCCCAACCCAACTCATTCATTGCTCCAACGATTATCACCTCGGGGTTGCTTTCTCTTCCGTTCAATTCTCTCGGAGATCTCTGGCATTTGACCTCAATTGCCCGACATGTCAGAGCTGACCTTTACAAAATCATTCCTGTCCACTCTGGACTCACGGTCTGTCAAGCTCCGCGCTGACCATGTCTTTGACTCAGAGCAAGTTGGACTGCGAGTTCCTGTAGGTCCCGATACGGACTTCTTTTCTGCCTCTGAATTACCCATGGATTTTATGCTAACGAGTTCCCTATCCACCACAGTACACTCTCCCCCGCCTTTCAGCCCCGCACCCCCCGATGCCCAAGAAAGTGAGCTCAACACAGATCCCAGGCTCATCCAAATCGATCACTGTCCGTATCAAGTCTGCGCGCAACCCTACCTTGGAGTTCACCATCTCCAATGCCCCTCTCTCGACCATCTCAGTCCAGGACCTTCGGGATGCCGTGCGAGCGCGCGTCACTGATGCGCAGGGAGGCCAAGTTCCTTTGGACAAGATCAAGATACTGTACAAGCGGAAGCCAGTGACTGGGACTGGGAAGACACTGGCCGAGGTACTAGCGGACGAGCCGGCCGCTTTGTCAGGAGGCAAAGAAGTCGAGATCGGAGTGATGATTATCGGTGGCGCTCAAGCACTGGCTCAACCGGAGGTGACGGAAAAGAGGGATGAATCCCCACCGAAGTTCGCTGCAGTAGGGCCAAGTAGTGAGGAGATATTGCATACCGAAGCTTTCTGGAATGACTTGCAGGGCTATCTCCAGCAACGATTGAAGGATGAGGAAGAAGCGAAACGGCTGAGGTCCGTGTTCAAAGAGGCGTGGATTTCCTCCAAATAGGGATCTGGAGCGCAGTGTCTGAAATAATGTCAACATGGAATGATACCTCAATTGGTTCTACTTGAAGAGTCATGTCTGGTTTGCTGTGACGACGTAGGGAAGACTGGCTGGCTTGATTCATGCCATGAAACCAGATAGATGTACAAAACATGGGCCATCAGTGTTTAGGGCACAAGCCACGAAGCAGAGGAAACAGGTATCCACCCCATGCACCTTATACAATATCTGTAGGTAAAGATTATCTACTTGAATTGATGAAGTGCAAACGAGTCAGCCTCCAAAGAGGACCTGTACCAGTTCTCATGGAAAGTCGGGCATATGCCGAAATATTTGAAGGCGACAAAACACTCACGCACGCCAGGGAATCTTTTTCAAAGCATGTTAACAGCAAAGTAAAAAGTACACATGTTGGAAAAGAAAATACAACAAGAAAATCAGACAGGAGAGTATCATATGCCAAACAGCTGGGGAGAACACCCTTGCAAATGCTCGTACGGACTGGTCAGGCGAATCGCTCCAGTTCATGGGATCATACAGAGAAAGACGAGTAGCAAACGCGAAGAGACACACACACAGGTACAACGCAAGAAGAATCATACACAGGTTTTCATTTCGTCGTTTCAATCATCGGGAAAAGACCTTGACCACACCGTCTCCGCCACCACCGACGACCCAGCGGCCATCACGGCTCCATACCACCGCACAGACTCCTTCCCCACGCATCAATCTGTGGCTTGTCAACTCCTGGATACAGCTGCGCTTCTCAAGGTTCCAGAATCGCAGGCTTGCATCGTGTCCGGCCGAAACAAGCTCCCGCCCATCTGGAGACAATGACAGTGAGGCTATCGCAGCCGGGTGAGCAAGCATCGTGTATGTACATTGGCCTGTGTCAAAGGTTAGCGGATTGTGAGGATATCATGGAGCTGCAAGTGCTACATACCACTGTTCGCATCGAAGAAACGGATGTATCGATCCTCGTAACCACTGATGATTACTCCCTCCACGCTACTTGATCCAGTAGCTCCATGGACCACTTCTTCTTCGGCCATTGCGCGGTTGGGATCAAGATTAGCTGTTCCATCGAAGCCGATGGTTGTGGCAACGACAGAGTTCACGCCGGTGGAGGGCGTCCCGTCATATGTCTCGAGACTCGCCATAACAGCAATCTCTTCGCCAGTTCGCGTGTCGTAGACGAGGATAGATGCGTCCGAGTAGGAGACAACGAAGTTAACGCCTGCAAGGGACAACGGGCTGATGCATGTAGGAGAAGGGGAATCGGTGCGACTGATGTGATGAACAAGGCTGTAGTGGAAAGATGTGGTAGTTGCAACACTCGGCTGAGGAGAGGTTGGGAAGTTGGAACCGGAGGATATTGAGTTCGCCCGCCGGCTTCCGCCTTGACGGCGGTTTCCAGCCGGAGGTGAGGCGATTTGAGGAGGGGCGCTGACGGCCCAGATCAAGATGCGCCCATCGGCTGCGCCCGAAGCCAGAAGGATTCGATCGGATCCACCATAATGGCTGCTTGAGTCGCCGAAGACAGAGCCCACAGTGCCAGGAAGGACGCATAGTCCCCAAACTGCATCTGTGTGTCCATCCAAGGTGGCTTTGGGATCGACCCGACCACGTTCCCATACACGTACGCTGGCATCTTGGCCACCTGAAAACACCCAGCCATCGCCCATAACACGGCCGCCATTGGAGATGTTCTGAGACGGTGAGCAGGCCGCCAGGGAGGTCACAGCGCCTTGATGTCCGCGATGAGTGAAATAACTTGTAATGTCCAAATCATTGCTGGAGCCTGGACCGTGAGCTCCGAAACCACCATAAGTAGCCGGAATGATCCATCGCTTGATGGTTCCATCGTCACTGCAGGTGCAGATCTCAGGCTCTGATGGGCTACCGCCACCCGTGAAGATGACGGACCGGATCACGTCCAAGTGGCCGCGCAGCGCAAAGCGGACTTTGAAATTGGAATCTTGCTGTTGTCCAAAAGCTGCGCCGGCTTCTCGGGCATCTATCGCACCATCACTCTTGCGCCTTGACCCTGAGCTCTTCCTTCGGTGAGGAAGCGATCCGCCCTTGGTCTCAGGGGGCACAAAGTTGGCTTTTGGAAAGGCATCAGTATCCGGACGATGAGGCGGGATTTTCTCAGTAGCCACAGGCTCTTGCTCCACCGGTTCATCAAAATTCCAACCATCCACGTCCTCGGTTCTGTCCTCGGTCGACTTTTGCAGATTCATGCCCTCTTTGACGGCCACATGAGGGCCCTGGGCCTCATATGCCTGGTTTGAGCGATCGTTCACGATGCCCTGTTCGTATACCTGGCTTCGGTTTTCAACAGGTGCGGTGGATCCTTGCGTGTCGATTGATCGTCGATCCATAGCATCCCGGGTAAGATACTGGTTCTGAGAGCGAGCCATGGCATTGTCAGAGTAATGATTTGGCACAGGTTGGTTGTTCTGGAGCACCATTTCGCGCGCCATAGCATGGTTTGCCTTTTGGCGCTGTTGCTGAAGGTAAGCCTCCTCGAGGTTCTGCTGCGACAGCTGTGGATTGCCATAAAGCTGGCCTGACATGTCGTTGTCGTTCATATCAGGAGGTGGATGAGAGGTTGGAATAACATGGTAGGCGATTTCTTGGGAAGCCTTCGATAGGTAAACTCGGACTTTGTCTATGTCCTCCTCAACTTGACCCTGACCCTCAAGCTGGTGTTCATTATCGGGTTCCTGGTTGTTCTCGCGGTCCGCGCTGGGCTTTGGGTGTTGCGCTGGTGAAGAACCAATTAGTACTCGCACGCCAGAACTGGGGATGCATTTGAATGACATACCTTTCAGGAAGTTCACAGTATCACGGGCAGTCTCCTTGGGATTCTTGGGATCTTCAACCTTTTCGTTGTTTGACAGTTTCTTGACCTTCTCCCTCTCCCTCTTGAGCGCAGTCTCCATCAGCCGCACGTGTTTCCCGAGGGACTCCTGTAGGCGCTTGCTCGTCCGCAGGTCACCTTCCAGTCGGCCAATGCGAGACTTCATCTCCGCTCGTTCAATCTCCCACGCGTTGCGGTCACGTTCGTGCCTGTGCCATTCTGTCTGAAGGAAGCGCATCACACCTACCAACGGCAATTAGTCAATGGCAAACATGGGAACCATGCACGTGCAAAACTTACCCTGTAATGTGTATTCCGTCCCTTGTGGGCCATTTGAACCATCCATGGCGGGCATTCCTCCGATCCCAGCCATAGCTGATGAAGATTGCCAAGACATGAACACGGGACAGATCGAGGCTCGATGGTTCAGAAGGTACCCGGTGGTACCGGAAGCAAGAGAAGGCCGGGTAATAAGTATGGACGGATAGCAAGGTGCAAGCTTTGGTTCTCCTGACCGCAGTGAATCGTATCCGCGGTAAGCGAATCAAGTCCCCTAGTGGCGACGGCAAGGAACTAGGTCCCACGCCGATTCAGCCGGTGGATGAGGGGGTCCTAAGAAGAAGAATCAAACGAGGAGTCAGATGAGGCAATGATAGGAAAGCTTGAGGATGAATGTGCCTTGACTTGTCTTTTGTTATGGAGAGGACGATTTGGCCTCGGGGGGTGCCGACCGCCTTCCACTTACAGACGATCGATCTGCACGGACTTCCAGCGAGGTGAGAGCGAGTGGAGCGAATAGGAGGACATCTACGGAGTAAACAGTCCACAACAATGAATGTTTTGGACAAGATTGGCAACATCAAGTTAATTTGTTATCTGGCTATTTGCAGCTATCGATGGGTAAGGCTGGAGGACATCCTATGATCTCTGTGTCTTGATGCCACGGTTATCAGGCATTTACACCTGCACCGCAGCACCTGCAGGCTGCACGCAACATTCCAAGTAGTTTCGCATATGATACCCACAGCGCAAATTGAGGGTTATGAAATTGGACAATGGATGTAGCCTGGATATTCTATCTGAGTGCTCTCATGCTCTGGCTGCCTGGCAATGAAAGCTGGCTGATATCAACCTAAGTCAATCCCAAGGCCTACAGGTTCCAAGGTCAGTGCTTCAACTAGACCCGTCCACCTGACGAGTGAGGGTTGTTCCGCATATATAGGTTTTAAGTACCTGATGTATGCCCGTTGATCTGCAACCTTACCTACCTAATTGCATACCTACACCCGTGCACAGAGAGAGCGGCGTTCATCTCAGCTTCCATCCATTGCACAGATACTACCATCCTGTTCTGCGGGCATACTAGGTGAGAATATAGCGTGACAGCGCCATCTCCTTTCCGACCATGCGCGATGAGAACGATTATAAAATTCACCAACTATCCACATCAGAGGGGAGACGAATTTACTTACTCCACAATACATATCGACTTCAATGTCTCCTACTAGAAGCTGTTTTCGATCTCATGGATTTCCATTCATCTCGCCAGCTACCGAGATGGTTGTCAGATAACCCCCGTTGCAAAGAATTTGAAAGAAATTGCCCTGCCTGAGTTGATACACCAGACGGGACTATTAGAGCTTCCATATTGAAAGATTCCCTTCATGCTTGGAGTTACCAGGGCAAATTGCAAGACCGAAGAGTTCCCAGTTATACTGCTTAAGTGTTACATCTGTTGCTAAAGCCACATTGCCTCCCAGGACAACGGATTGCGGACGGCGTAGCCAGCACGCAGAATGTGCCATTCTGAAATTAATAAAGTATCTATCCCAAGTGTTGGCAAGAACGCTGGTGTCAGCAAAAAAAAGGGACTCACAATTTCGAAGTGTTGGAATCCCAAACAAGGTGATCGGCCCAAGGCTCATCAAGCAGCCAGTCGATTTTAGCCAACTCCCGGTCCGCCTTGTCGAATTGTTCGCGAATTACATCTCGCTGTTTGCGTTCGAATCTCCGGAAGAATGTATGCAGCGGAAATCCAGGATAAGGTGCTGATTGATCATCCGCAAGCCGGATCCCAGGTACTTCCTCAAACACAATGAAGACGATGTAACCCCCTGGTACACAACCGTCCGAGCCCTGAATATCCACCTTTATTCCGAGGAGGGCCGGTGTCATGGTTGCATTTGCATTGTGAAAGTCCATCAAAGCCTGCACCTCGGTGTGCCGACACAGGTTAGCTTGGAGGCGTAGATCCTCAATATCCCCGTACTCTGTACCGGGATGAGGGACTTGCATATGCACCCGCATGAATGCAATTTGGCCATTTGAGTCTCGCCGAACATGGAATGTTGCTTCCGCAGATGATGGTTTGAATCCTCGCTATCCAGGCTGAGGGGCTTCCCGCTGCCGAGTGTGTTGCGAGACTTTATCTTCGATCGTCCAGGTGATGGACTGTGGATGTTGGAACCTGAACTGCGAGCCAGGGGCAAAAGTCTTCCGAGGAAACCAACCGAACTCAGACATTGTGAAAGGCTTGGAAGAGTAAGGAAGAAGCAGAAAGGTGAAGAGGATGGGAAGGATTTCAAGCGGAAGGACTCGAGGTAGGACTTGAGGGGGAAGTGAAAGTCTTCAAGAGGAGACGAAGAACTTGAAGGGAAATAAAAGTTTGAAGACAATGTGGAAGCCTAGGAAGGGGAGAAGAAGTAGAAAAGAGAGGGAAAGAGGAGTGGGAGAGCCTTCATAGCTGAACCACGGAATTAATTCTGTGGTCTGATTGGTTGAGAGCTTCCATTGATTTGCGCATCAATAGGCTTGATCAGGTCGCTTGATTGGCTGGGAGTTGTCTCTGTTTTGCCCAATCAGGCATAGCTGATCAACTGGGCTGGATCCTGGTATTTGATTGGCCAAAGCTTTTCAATTGTTCCCGCTCAATCGGGCTTAGTTGCGGGAGATGCGCATGCGGCTATGGCCCAGCTGAGGGCCGAGGTGCCTGCGCAGGCGTGATCTCTAAAACCCCAGTTCCTCCACCTCCATTCCGCAGTCTACACATGTCTTGACTCCAACCCCGGTCTCTGGATTCTCCACAGATCGGCCCCATTGATGAACATGTTTTCGTCCAGAAGCTAGATCGTCACCAAACTCTCCCCCCGAGTTTCCCTGTCGATTTCGGCGGTAGGCTTCCACACGCGTGCGCTTCTTCAAGTCCTGAAGCTTTGTTTTGAATTTAGCTTCTCGTTGCCGTTTCTTGTCACTTTCTCGCCGCTCAAACTCGGCGTCCAGGGCCTCTGTCGATCCCCATTTCTTGTCAGAAAAGGCATACTCCTCGATCTGATACCGTAAATATAACATCACGCTGTTCCATGTCGACTTGTGTGGATTGGGACGCTCGAGACGTGGCAGGAGTTCTTCGTCTCGTAGCTCGGCTGTGCGCAGGCTGATTAGCAAAAGTGCGCCTTCCCATACGTTGTCAATCGAACACTCACGGTCGGTCAGAAGATAGTCTTCCTTGGCTTCAGTCTTGGTTAATAAGCTGTATTTCTCCGGGATCTTCTCCTTGCAGCCATGGCAAATGCAACACTTCAGCTCTTCCTCCCATTTCCAGTCAATTTCAAGACTACTACACTCGCGACATGTCTTCTGCTTGCTTTTGTCACCGAGAACACTCAAGCCTGGCTCGAATGGTCCCTCTCGATTCCGCCTTAGTGATTGAAGCATTTGATGGCGTTCCCACTCCCTCTGGGTCATATGTGCTGGTTTCTGCGCCTCTTTCTTATTTACCACGTGGAGCTGCTTATTGAACGGATCATCCTCCTGTGTCAAGAAGCCACCCTTCGTGTCGGTCATCTTGCTAAAATCATAATCGACATAGCGTGTGAAGTTGCGGGCCGGCTCGATCGAGTCCAATGGGCGATCTGAAGAGAACGCGTCGAGCATATTGGCAGGTTGATTGGACGCTGCCATCGAGGTGAACGAGCGCTTGGTGCCTGTTACGGGCTGGGAGGTGCCAAGAACAGGTTGGGATAGTTCAGCTTCGCGCTGCATCCCGAAGAGCTTTGGCTTTCATGCGATTGAGTTCCTAGCGACGATTTTGTCAGCCTGCGTTGACTGGGTTACAATGACAACGCCTGTTGCGACAAACATACCATTCTGCGCTGCTGCTCCGGAGTTATCGGACCGCGAGGAAGCTATCCTGTTCCGGAGCCCTTGGGCTGTGGAGGCGGTGTAGAGGGTCGTTCTCCTGACATTATGAGAATATAAGGTGAAATAATTCCGTATCTCCCTCCATGCTTCCTAGTAGTAACCAGATTTGGTGACCAAGGCGGAGAGCCGCCACCGGCCAGACACCGATCAACAGCCGCACGTGATGCCCATGCGTTGCGACGTCATTGGCTGCTTCCACCAGTAAACAAGAAACACCGAGAATTGATGACAGCAATCAATTGATCTGGCAAATGGACTCAAGGGAGAAGCTATGAGTCTGCATGATAATCAAAGACTTCATCTCGATCTTGGCCATACAAAACTTCACACACACCTCCGACCGGCACATCCATGACCGCATCGGTTCCCTCACTCCAGATTTCTCGCCAGTTGACTTTGCGGTTCTGGGGGCCCATGATCTGGTAGGATGTCGCACCTGGCTTCATCTTGGTAGCGCCACCGGGACGTCTCCGTGCCTTGCCATCAATCACCGACACGTTCGCGACCTCGTCAACAATGTTCTCGATACTGTGCATGGGCAAAGTAAGATACCCCGTATTATATGCGGCAAGCGCAACATAAATGTAGATAAGTAACATCACCAACCACGCAGGGATCGCCAGCGACCACCAACGGTTGGGGTAATAGTAGATGCCGAGTTGATGAAGGAATGGCGAGGGGAGATAGGACCATAGGAGATAAAATACTGAAGATGGTAGGGTCAGCAGAAAGCGGGCTGATCGGGGATGTATTCTGATACTTACAAAATGCCAATGAAGAAGCCAGGTATAACACAAAGCCGTAGTATTCATAGGTAGGAACCTTTGGACTGGCGCGCGGGACAGTGGTAGCACGACGGGCTGACTTGGCGACTGCTGCCTCGGTATCATTGGGGGTCTCTACATCGGAGCTATCGGGAGTGGTCGGACGCGATGTGGTGGTCGAAAAAGGCGGCCGTAAAAGCGAAGTCAGTGAGGGCGAAGGCGGTAGAGGCGTGGGTGGACGATTGTAGAATGGAGGCGCAAATGCATTCGGGCCGTGGAGGGAGCTGGAGGACTGGCGAAATGGGTGATGCCGGTCGAGTTCGTCAGGAGAGTCCTCGGAGTCCGTATCGGAGAACGCTTGATGTTCCAGCGAGTAGTGCGACTGGAAATCCGCATCATCCTCCACCTCAATACCCTCATAGCCGGGAGAGGTAACGCTTTCGTCTTCATAGCTCGATTGGGGTTCGTCCGGAGAGATCAAGTCCTCGGTCAGTGGTGGGAAGGGCTGATTGGCCTCAAAGGACGAACTGAACGTGCCTTGATTTGAGTTCCCCATCTTGCAACCGATGGGGAGGTTAGCTTCAGGTAGCTTTGTTGATTTCCGCTCTCTCCTTTTCTGCAATCACCTTCACCGCCCAGCTCCACGTTCTCCATCTGAGACATTGAGGTTTACTACTCCGTACACAGTAGTACGGAGTGCTTACTACACAGTAGGACTCGATAGCACTCGTTGTTCCTTGGACCTTGATCATGAATCATGATCTATCCATTTACTCAACATATCGACGATCGTGTGTAAACCTGCCTGTCATTAATCAAATGAATACGAACTCATTGACCGGAGTCTAACTCGTGCGTTCATGTTTTACTGCAACCATGTTATACTCCATAGGTACTCTCAGTGCCTCGTGTAATTTGAGCCGGATGCGTGTGAGCGCTACTACTTCCATACATATATTCCCCAGTTGACGGCGACGCAGACTACATCGCCTTTCTGCGGCGGGAGGATATTACAAGAATTGCCCAAATAGCCATTGAAACTACGGAGTACCTATAAACTATATTTCTCCGTGATATAATCAAAACCAACCTAGTCATTCGGACAATGCCGATCGACGCCCATCGTCGCCCATGGACCATGGTTGCCTTCCATCGGCTTCTTTCCGTCAAGGCGGCTCATTCCCGAGATCGGCGCGGTGTTTTAGCGACAGATATTTCCTCGTTCTGCACATTCAGACTCTTTGGACAACTTTGCCATCTCATTCATACACTACCCCGGTTCGACATCCAATTGACCCTCTCACTACAACCATGAACAGCGCCTCCGAATTGGAGCATGTCCGCGGGGTTTGGGAACGAACCAAGAATGACAGTCCCATCTATCGCTTTCTTCTATCCGATGTTGATATCATCAATGCAACTCGGGGTCAGATGCAAGCCCGACTCAAACTCACTGCGGAACACGTCAATTCCCGTGGCACTATCCACGGCGCTGTGTCAGCCGCCATCGTCGATTGGGCTGGCGGTATGTCGATAGCCACTCATGGATATGAGAAAACAGGCGCCAGCGTTGATATTCACATTTCATACCTGTCAACTGCAACCGTTGGAGACACCCTGGACATCTTAGCTGTTGCGGACCGGGTGGGAAAGTCAATGGCTTTCACGACGGTCAAAATCTCCCGAGTCGTCGATGGTGAAGTGGGCCCGTTGGTCTCGAGGGGTTCGCACACGAAATTCCTGCCTGTATCTAAAGAGAATCGCGTTAAGAGTTGAGTCAAGCATTATTGCAGGTCTTGTATTATACTGTGCACAGAGTATATATCTCAAAGTTCCTTCCTTGATCACGTCCCTGTCGAACAGGTAATACCGCCATCCACGAGCTGCTGGCCAGTAATGTAGAAGCTTCCGTCTCCATAAACACAAAGTACCCGCGATCTGCCCGAATTGAGTCTATTTTCATCGATGTGCAGAAGGATTTGAGGAAGGTTTGCGTCACCTGCCATGTACTTGGAAATCTGTCGATCCTACACGAGGCAAACCAATGCAGTCACCGGACTCCTCGATTCTGAGCACGTTCTAGAGCTTTGCTGCTACATGAAGGTCAACGCCAGTCAACATACTCATGTGGTGCCAAGTTGCCTACCGCCAGAAGATGGCTGCCCCCTTACGTCCGAAGAACGAGAGAGGAAAGAACCGTGTGACAGACGACAGTTAGTGAAAGCTTGGAAGATTCGAGTCCTTCCTTTCAGGGAAGACAGCATCCATGGATACATCAGCATATGCTTTTGTGCAACATGATCCACCAGTCGTGACCCAAATACTCATCGTACTCCGCAAATCACACCTTAGTTAGTTACACAGCAGGGATTGGGTGATGAACGCCAGCCAATCTCATCACATTCGCATCTAACTTGCATGAACTCCTCGACTCCCTTTCGTTCAGGGGTCTCGTTTACCCGGGATCGGCAAAACCTTGAGAGTCGAGACCCACAGGTTGCCCGTGTAGGTTCTTTTCCTAAATTCCTTCGCTTGCAAAGCAATGTCTTGACAGGTTCCACTCTGTGAAATTAAAAGACCCACACACTATCGGATCGACATCGGAACTAGTATCGGAGTTTCAGGGATTTTAACGAGATTGGAGAATAAATTCAATTCTGCTCATTTTGACAGGTCAAATTCACGGACCATGTGAGGGGCCCGGCGTCTTGTCATTCCTTCTTGCCTTTACTCCGTAGTCCGTACTCTGTACAAACTGGAGACTTGAGTCTGGTCTTGTCTTTGTTTCTGTCGTTAGGATAGTTGCAAGTCTTGACCATGAATAAGATAACGGTACCTTAATCTTACTCCAGCTCCCCTATATCCTTGCTCATACAACAAACAGGAAAACGACTCAAATATCGGCTCAGCACGGGGCAATGCGTCAACGACCTCTGGTGATATCGCCAGTGGTCTCACTGGCGGAGGGGGCTCGTCAGGCTCGGCGCTGATGATGACTCTATTGCCTGCGCTTGTATACGCGATCTTTTGGGTCAGCTTGTTTCTGATCTTCCGCCGAACTCAGCGCCGATGGTATGCGCCGAGATCACATCTGCCCCATTTACATGAACATGAACGGAGTCCCGAGTTGCCTTCCGGCTGGGTGAACTGGCTCGGGACATTCTTGAAGATTGAAGACAACCATGTGCTGCATCACTCCTCACTGGACGGCTACCTTTTCCTACGGTTCCTGCGCGTCCTGGCCGCCACATGCCTCACGGGCTGTGTGATTACATGGCCGATCTTGTTGCCTCTGCATGCCACTGGGGGTAATGGCAACAGTCAACTCGATAAGCTGAGTTTCAGTAATATCAAGGACCCCAATAGATACTATGCCAATGTCATAGTGGCATGTATTTACTTCAGTGGGTTCCCTATACCTTCTTACACAGCAACTTACTGACGGGTGTAGCGTTCGTGTTCTATGTCGTGGTCAGAGAAAGCCTGTACTATGCCAATCTGCGCCAGGCTTATCTCAATTCCCCGGCCTACGCATCTAGGATATCCTCCCGTACAGTCCTCTTCATGTCGGTACCAGATGCATACAAGAACGAAAAGAAACTGCGACAAGTATTTGGAGATTCGATTCGGCGGATATGGATCACTTCCGACTGCTCAAAGTTGGAAAAGATGGTGGATGAGCGAGACAGACTAGCTGAGAAGTTAGAGACCGCAGAGACCAAACTCATCCGGAGTGCGAATAAGGTCCGCACTCAAGCAGTCAAAAAGGGAGAATGGAACGTCGACACATGTTTGGACTGCGAGTCGAGCAATCCAGCATGGTCCCACAAGGTCGAACGTCCGATGCATCGACTCAAGCTGTTTGGCGAGAAGGTCGACTCGATTCACTGGTATCGTGCGGAGCTGGCAAAGAAGACCGAGGAGGTATCGAGACTGCAAGCAAAACACCAAAACAATGAAGCAAAACAGCTCAGTGCAATCTTTGTCGAGTTCAACAGCCAGGCCGATGCGCAAATTGCTCTACAAACCCTGTCTCATCACCAACCCTTCCACATGACGCCTCGCTTTATTGGAGTTTCACCTCGCGATGTTGTTTGGTCGGCGCTGAACCTCAGCTGGTGGCAGCGAATTGTCAGAAGATTCGCAGTCCAAGGGTTTCTGGCGACATTGGTTATCTTCTGGTCATTTCCTGCCGCGATCGTCGGTGCAATCTCGAACATCACCTACATCTGCGAGCTGATTCCGTTTCTCAAATTCATCCTTAAGCTGCCCGATGTCATCAAAGGTGCCATCGAGGGTCTTCTACCTGCCGCCGCACTGGCGGCCTTGATGTCCCTCGTGCCGATCATCTGTCGTGGTATGCCTCTATCACCTCGTTGAGTCATTGCTTCTTGGATCCCGCTAACTTGGATCTAGTATGCGCTAGACGAGCCGGAGTCCCATCCAAAGCAAGGGTTGAACTGTTCACGCAAAGTGCTCACTTTGTCTTCCAAGTGGTGCAGGTGTTCTTGGTCACCACCTTGACCTCGGCCGCATCGGCAGCTACTGCACAGATTGTCAAGGACCCTCTGTCGGTCAAAGATCTACTGGCACAGAACCTTCCAAAGGCAACTAATTTCTACATCGCTTACTTCATGTTGCAAGGATTGAGTATGAGCTCCATGGCTCTTGTTCAAATTGCCAGTGCCCTGATCTTCAAATTCATCACTACATTCTTTGCCTATTCGCCTCGCCGTCTGTTCCAAGGATGGGCTGAGCTTGCCACCCTTAGCTGGGGCAATGTCTTTCCGGTTTTCACCAACATGGCTGTGATCGGTAAGTGATGTGACCATCGCAGCAGCAGCAAGACTTGCTGACCTGATTTCTCCAGCATTGACGTACTCATGCATCGCACCGCTGATTCTGGGATTTGCTTTCCTCGGGCTGTACCTTGTATACCAAGCCTACCGATACAACTTCCTCTTCGTATATGACATTGAAATAGACACGAAAGGCCTAGTCTACCCACGAGCCCTACAGCATCTCTTGACGGGTCTCTATCTGGCTGAAATCTGCCTCATAGGCCTTTGCGCCATCAGGAGCGCCGTTGGCCCGGTGATCATTATGGCCCTCTTCTTGGTCGGTAACATTCTGGCACACATGTCGCTCAACGACGCCCTCGCGCCACTCAATACATTTCTTCCACGATCTCTTGATGCCGAAGAGGAGATGCTCCAAGAAGAGCAGGACGCAGTGGCCGAAATTAACGAACAGCGCCGCCCACGTGCAATGGCGTTCTGGAGATGGTTCCACCCAAACGTCTACAGGGACTATGCGGCATTGCGTCGAAAGGTCCGCCGGAACGTTGAAGGGGTCTCCTATACACCAGAACAGATGGCCACAGCATATTTCGAGCCCTGCGTGGCATCGCCGCCACCGACTCTATGGATCCCGCGCGACAAGTGGGGGTTCAGCAACCATGAGGTTATGGAAACCGATTCAATTATACGTATCACGGACGAGGGCGCGCATTTGAATGAGAAGAACAAGATTGTGTGGGATAAATACGACCCCCATCTTCCTTTGCGGGAACGGAAGACTCTATATTGATCCTCGCTTATCGCCTGGCCTGGCTTCTCTGATGATTTATGACAGCGCTGATTTGGTTTTTGTACATTAATGACACTTGGATGCGCTATATGATCTGATCTTCCGCCTGCGCAGCACTGTATTTAGACAGTCAACGTGAAGTTGACACCATTAACCACCCCATTATCCCGCGGATAGAACTCGAATGTGAACACGCTCGATTCGCCAGCAGAGATGACAGAGCTAATAGCCGATGAAGTGATAATCACATGGGAGGCATCCCAGTTATAGTGACTGCTATAGGTCTGGAACAATATTGAGATCAGCAAACGACACATCACGGACCAGAACTGACGCTTACTTACGGCCCTTGCTTGCTGGATAGGGCCCAGGTATACCGTCCAGTCATCAAACAAGTATATCCCACTCTCAGTCAAAGCCTTGACTGCAGCGACAGTAGGTAGCCCACCCCATGTGATGGGGATTGAGAGGTCAGAGCCAGAGACGGACGAGGCTGCTACCGACGTGGACGACAGAGTCGGTGGCGTCCACTGAACAATTTGAATGACCGGAGATGAATCGCCACCTGAGAATTGCAAAGTCAAACTGGCAACGATACCTGGTGCCGTCGTGGACGAAAGATGCTTTGACAGGTATGCAGCCGTGAAGATGATATTCTCACCCGAGACCGAATAGTCCGTCCCTAATGACAACTTCGAACCCGTCGAGTCACTGATTGACGAAAGAGTGTTACTATTGAAGACGAACGGAAGACTCTGCTCTGTGACATCTGTTCCATACTGATGGAAAATATAAGCCGAGGATGACTGGGTGGTTGCAGAACCATCTTCGGTACTACCAGGCAAGCTGTTGGTCGTAGACTCATTCGAATTGGTGATCATGGAGATTGAGTTAGGGTCACGCCAGGTTCCGGCAGTTCGATCCAGATGGTCCAAGCCGTTGTCCCACAGCACGCAGGAGATATCAAAACTGGCTGCAGTCTTTACCAAGAAGTCTACGTACTTCCACCTGGCAGCAGGCTCGGTGTTGGTAGGTGAAGCATCGTATTCACCCAAGATCAGAGGCACGTCGGTGAAATTGTCGCGCAGCAGCTGGAAGTCAGACTGTAAAGCCGATTTGTCATCGTCAGAGCCCCAGATCGTCTTTCCCCTGTACAGAGTCAGTAAATAAAGCCAATACCTACCTATGCCCGATGCGTTCTCCTACCAAGCACTGAAGATGAAGTCATCTATATGTTGTCCGCTCGGTCAGCCAGGTTCAACCCGATCCAATAAGCTCACGATAACTCACATGGACTGTAGTAGTGGAACTGGATAGCATATGGATTCGGAAAGCCCGAAGGTGCAACGAACCACTCGGAGGTCTTAATGCTATCCTCACCACCCCCTACCAGAGTAACGACTCTTTCCGGATTGAAACCACCAGCATCATTGATAGCTTGGAGAAAGATCCTGTTCAGTTTGTTTATCTCTGCAGCATCAGCTTCAGTATTGCACGGAGGTTCGTTGATTGACTCAAACGCAACGAGACTCGATTTGCAGGCCAATTTGGTTCCAATTTGGTACCATAGTCGGTAAAACCTCTCTTCAATCATGGTGAGATTAGCTCCAGACTGAGTAACATCAGCCCAAGCCCACGAGTCTGCAGAGAGTCAGTGGGAATCGAAGTCAGACACAAGGGACACTCAGATACCGTGATGCACATTAACAATGGCGTAGAACCCTCGAGCCACGATCATATCAACTACATCTGAGACCCGCTGCAACCAGGCTGGATCAACAGTTCAATCTGGTGAGATTCCAGTGAAATGATCAGTATAGGTAACTGGGAGCCGCACACTCTTGAAGCCGGCGCTCTTCACGGTATCGAATGTAGATGCAACAACGGGTACATTGTTCCAGGATCCCTCGTCGGGAATAGCGTCGAGTGTGTTTCCCAAGTTCCAACCTGGATGCAGATTAGACACAAAATCGGAAGCCGAGATTGCACTGAATGTTCCGGTGCAAACAGCCCCGGGCGAGATAGCGGTAGCTGGATATGCCGAGGTCTTGGTACTGGCGAGTAGGGCCAGAAGGGCACCAGAAAGAAAACTCCGCATCGCTCGGTCTATCACCGGGGAAATTCTCCAGTTCCTGATGGCTAGGAGAGGTAGAGTTGGTGTCAGACATCGGGTTCTTCAGGATTATTTATAATGCCACGGTGACAAGCCCTCTGGGGAACTCGATTCATGGCCCAATATGTGGCGCCGGTCTTGGTCCTTCTCATTTTTTCCGTATGAGGGGTATCTGCAGACAAATTGAAGAACACAGCCAGTTTGGCAGTTTGCGATTATTCAAACTGGCAGCCTTGGCAGGGTAGTTGGGCAAATTGCTTGGCTATTCTCAGAGGCGAGCTGTCTGCAACGTATGTACGGAGTACGGAGTCCTGCATACTTCGTAGTTAATCCGGGGACGGTGAATTACGCAAAAGAGTTTAGCGTGCCCGATCATCGTAACCCTGACAGCGGGAGCTAGTCCATTCCTGGATTAGCGTGATTTGAATGTACGCTGCTTAGTGCTTAGTTACTTGCTTAGGTTCGCTAGTTAGTGGAGCCCAAATACACAAAATGACGGTCGAGCGCGTGGGAAGTTATGCTAGGCTGACTACCAACTTGGAGTCAGGAGCGCCAGGTGAGGGCAATTGGAGAAATACATTAGGACAAGCCTGAAAATAGAGAGACCATCTTGAACATTACCCTTGTCATCCCCGCTCCTGTAGAAGACACGGAGAAGGTCCGTGTTGTTCTGCATCAATCCCGTGGAGAATGAGGTAAACTAACAGAATTTAGGTGTTCCGAGCAAAACTAGTAGGTATCCTGCTTGCAGCATGTGTCATCTCTACGAGAATCTTAAGGGTCAAGTGAACGATTGGCCCTTCTCTACTGTGTATGTAGGCGTATCATGTCGTTATATTCATTGCATCGTAGGTGCATTATCGTAAAAGGAAAGAGACCATGCATGCTTCCGACAGTATTTCCGGGCAATACGGTCTTCACATCACTATGCAATCCTTGCTACGGTCTCTGGTCATTCGATCAGCCCCCGTGGGTAGAGAAGGACGTGGTCGGTGGGAATATGGTCCATGGGGGTTGCGGTTTCCAGGATACTGATTCCCCTGGCCTCCGTATGATCGTCGGTCAGGGGGTGAATATCGCGGCCCACCGGCAGCTTGTTCGTACGGCGGAGGAGGTGCGTTTGGGTCATCGTGGTCAGATGCATGATGTGGCCGAGGTTCAGATTGAGAACCCATCACATTAGCCGCGCTCGAAGTTCGAGCGGGTACGCGAGGACCACGCTCCTGCCCCTCTCTAGCACTTGCACGTTGTTCCTCCTCTTGGAATTGGAGCGAGAGCGCGTATGCATAGTCTGCATCGCTCTGTTCTTGACTAGGTTCAGGTGTCCCTGGGGCTTCATTGACAGGTTGAGCGGCTGGTGCACTGGAGGTTCGAGGCCCCGCGGGACCAGAATTTTCCGACGGTCCAGCGCCCACGGGACGGAAATCACCCGAGTAATATTCCGTGTTGAACCCTGTCACATCGACCAGAGATTCCCACACAACTTCAGCATGTCCCGCATAACCAGCGTCGGTAACCAAGGTGTAAAGTTGGTGGGATTGTGGATGTTTGTATAGAGTCGAAAAATGATCGTTGCGGAAGAGGATTGACACAGAGCCGGGCGCAAGTTTACTGGATAACTGTGTCAGGCCAAATGGGCTCAATTGAGTCGCATTCTCAATCTCCACAAATTGTTGGATAGTTTGGATATCCTCCATGGTACTCTCTTCTTCGGGCGTAAGAGCCTCGCCTCGAGTGATCCGGTCTTCAAACTCTTGTTTACGAAACGGCAGCATTTGTATATCGTCATAATATTGGGCGATTCGTGACATTGCTGCGTGCGTGGGACTAGACCACGAGGCTAGCCAGGCATGGATCAAGGGTATGCCGAACGTGCTGTACAGCCGCAGATCATTTGTCTCAAGGAAGGTGCCAACCCCTTCGGTGGAATCCTGTCGCTGGATTAATATATGGAGAGTTTTGATATAGGCATCGCATCTACTTACCATTGTTAAACGCGGGTTGACATTCATGCCAGTGTGCAGCATAGTGAGGAATTGAGTGAGAGCCTCGATGTCGGGAAACTCCTGATCAGGGCCCAGACAGGTTGTCAGTTCCTCGAACATAGCTTCGATCAACAGTCCCAGAGAAATTTGTTCGCGGGTTGACAGAGCTCGGACAATCGGTGGCTGGGCCTCGGGGTTCGCTCGCAGCACCAATGCATTGATGAGAGCCAGCAGCGGGCAGGGTCCATTCTGATTCTGTACCAGAACCGGAGACTCCAACAGCCGACCGCTCTGATCGGTCCATCGGACGTGCCGAATAGTATACGTTTCTGATCTTTGTTCCTTTTGCCGTGCAGCTTCGGCAGCAGATAAAACAGGGCTTGGCTGGGGCTTTGGCCGTTGATTTTCTGCTGTATCCAACGGCCCTAACTCGGAAGACGCAAACTTTGTCCTATCTGGCACTGGCGGTGCACCATTCGCGGCTGGTTCGGAGTACACTGAAGACGCAGCATGGGATCCGGTATCAACCCCCAACTTGCCGGAAGTTCCGGGCACGCCCAGGTCTATCAGCTCATGGGATGTGGCGGATGTTGCAGTAGAGAGAGTAACGGATGGGGTATTGATTCCGGTACCTGGTTCGAGTCTACCTGTATTTGATGAATACGGATGTTGTGAGTGGACGTAGTGCTCCCCACTAGCTCGGTCAGATAGCTGGAAAGTAACCCCCGGTACGTCTGGATTTAACTGTGGTTCCTGTGAGCAGATATCTTGGGGAGCTGAGACCTTGATAGACTGCTGAGACTCCCACGGCGAGTTATCCTCAAGGTGGTGGCCGGGGCGTTGCTCAGATTGAGGAGCAGGACGAGAAGGCTCGTCCCAAGGTGAGTTTTCCTCCGATTGGTCTAAAAGAGATAACCGTGCGGTCATTGGAATATACCCCTCGGCTGTCAGTTGTCAGTTTCAACAGATATCATTTGGAAATAATTTCATCCGCGGATAGTATCATACTTTGGCTCAATGGATCACTGTCCAACGTCGCATGTGAGTCGCGCCCCCATTCGTTACGATCGAGTACTCCCTGAGTATGGTCTGTCGGCCTGGGCTTCAAGAATGGGTTATTCGACTGTAACTGTACCGGCAGTTCCCCAGTGGATGCATCACCAGCACCGGAAGCTGGCCGCCACACGTTCTCGGCTTCTCCAGAATATTGACCTGCCATCAATGACTGCGGCATGCAGTGCGCATTGTTGTTCTCAACTTTCGGATGGTATGCCCCGTGATATTGACTAAGCTGACTGTAGTGATCGTGACCTGACTTTCCAGGGCTGTCAGGCCATAGGTTCGGCGGGTGACAGGTGGGCGATCCCACTGGTGACCGTTGTGCCTCCTCAAGAGGCATCAGGTCGAATGCAGGTGAAGTGTTGAGGTCGGGAGAATAGATAGAGTCGTCAGATGGGAACCGGTCGAGGCGAGTTGAACGGTGGGTGTTTGCCGAGGTAGGTGATTCCGGTGAACGTGCGTCCGATCGAGCATTCGACTTTCTAATGTTCTGCAGACGGGGTGGGGGCTGTTTGCGCAGACCCATCAAGACGTCGGTTGACCTCGGGAGGTGGAGGGGTGAGGATGTGAGCTCGGGTGTAGTCTGAGGATGGAAATGCTATTATTGGATGGCTCGACGTCGATCAAGCACACAGCACTAAACTCCAGTCTTGTATGATGCGAAAGTGCATTCAGAATGAAGGTTCAAAAGTTCATGATAGCAATGGGTCATCAGGATAAGATGAACGCCTTGCGCCTTGCGCCTTGTGCTGGGGCTGCAGGGGCTGAGGTGCCCGGACACGTAAACGATAATGAACAATAGCTCAGTCTTACTGTAAGCTCATAAGAAACATGCTCAATATTGAGGGCAATGAGATACACCCAAAACAATGATGGAGGGGGATGATGATAAGTTAGGCAGCAGAGTGTATCAGAGGCTCTTGCAGGCACCTAGATTTCGCCGACCCACGATGTTTGACCTGGGGAAAGCTCTCCAGTAAGTGTATTACCGCAAGATGTTTCAGCTGTGGGCGTGAATTGTTGACAACATTAGCCAAGCATTGTAATGTTACGGTATGATGTGCGATCATTGGAGACGATGATGGAGTAGGCAGTCCCACCAGTGGATGCCAGGAATTGAAGGCATCAAACCTCGGCCCGTCTATCCACCCGGCTGTGAGTATCCCCTTCTTCTGATTGGCTACTGCTTTATCGGCCATAAAAGTCTCCAGAACATTTTTGTGGAAAGAGCTCGAGGCGCTGTTGCTACATCGTCAACATGCACTCCTATATTCGACCGGGCCAGTTCGTGGCTCTCCGGCTACAGTCGGATCAGTTACGACTTATCCAGATCATCCCAGATACGTGAGTACTTTCTGTGTATGTGGGGAAGGATTATCGCAAGAATTAACATCGGATTAGAGTCGTCAACTTGGGCCGATTTGGTCAATTCGCCGCCAACCAGATTATTGGGCGGCCATTTTATCTCACCTTTGAGATCGCCGATGAACGGGACGAGGATGGCCATCAACTACGGGTCGTGTCGGCCACCGAGCTGCATGCGGAGACCCTTCTCGCGGAAGGAGAGGGAGATGGGGAAGCCGAGGACTTAGAGACTGGGGAAAATGGGGTACCAATGCGGACGAATCGGCAAATTGTTGACGAAAACTCTTCCCAGAAATTGACATTGGAGGAAATCGAAGAACTGAAAAGAGAGGCCGGTGGCGCAGGGAGAGATATTGTCGCAAAGCTTTTGGAGTCGCACAGCGCAATCGACCAAAAAACCGCATTTTCCCTCGCAAAATACACCTTGCGGAAACGCAAGAAGTATCTCAGACGGTTTACTGTCCTCCCGCTGGATGTCGGCTTACTCGCCAATTATTTGATTGAAGAACGCGATGCGCAAAAGGCAATGGAGCTGCGGGACGAGCATATCGGTCTCATTGGGTGTTGGGGAAATGTACATCACAGCGGAACCCTTGATGTGGACCCAGATGTGAAGCCCCATGGACGCTATGTCATTGTCGATGAGACTGGCGGACTTGTTGTTGCTGCCATGGCGGAGCGCATGGGAATTCTATATCCCCACGATGCCGAGGAAGACCTGAAAACCCCAACAGAAGAGCAAGATCCTCCAGCCAATCCCGATTCTCAAGATGCCAGTGGCCCTCCCAAGCCCCGCCGCAAACGCACCCAGCCTATGTCCGCCATCACCAACACCATCACCGTTATCCATGCATACTCACAACCGAACTTGTCACTCTTAAAATACTTTGGATACGACACCAACAACCCCGATGAATCCCATCCACTCCACACCCATCTCAAAACAGTTTCCTGGATGCAGCTAGCTGATCCCACTGCCGATCCCCTCTATGCCAACGAACCACCTATAATCACGGCAGAGGAATTGGCTGAGCTCAAACAAAGCAAACGTACGGCCTACTACCACAAGCGCAATCGCTGGGAGCGAGTCAAATCGGTTGTGGATGAGGCCCGGGCAGGTGGCTTTGACGGCTTGATCGTCTCTACCTTGCTAGAGCCGGCAAGTGTCTTGAGGACGATGGTCCCGCTCCTCGCGGGATCTGCCCCTGTTGTGGTGTATTCACCGACAGTCGAGTCTTTGGTGGAATTGATGGACATGTATTCCACTGCTCGCAGAACCGCATTTATCAACAAAAAGCGAGAAATCGAGTCACAAACTCCCGAGGGAGTGGCTCCTGATTTGTCTTCACTCCACGACAAGTTTGTGGTTGATCCGACTATTCTTCTGCCACCCACCCTGCAAACGTCGCGGGTGCGCCCTTGGCAAGTGCTGCCTGGTCGAACCCATCCCCTCATGACGGGACGCGGTGGCGCTGAGGGATATCTCTTCCATGGCGTTCGGGTTTTCCCCACGGCGCAGAATATCCAGGCGGCTGGCAACATTCGCAACAAACGACGAAAGATGGAAACGACTTCCACCCCCATCAGTGACCAGGATGTGGCAATGACGTCTTAGTTTCATGAACGCCCGGATGCCCTCTAAAATAGACCCAATAGCATCTCAATGTACAAGTATAACAACTTATGATCCTTCGTTGTCCTTCAGTCGGCCCTTATTGAGAGATACGGAACGTCAATTAAGGTCTCATCCGGGAACGACATCCACACCAGATATGCAGATCTTTCCAAAGCTTTTGGATCGCTACGGAAAGCAGGGTGATTTTGAATCGAAGTATCAAGTTCATTCATGCGCTGAATTTCATCAAACAATATACAACAACGCTTGTCATCTAGAGGCTCTTTCCCATGAACTTCCTCTTAGTGAAGCTGAGCCAGAACTAATCATAGTCAGCATTCTGAAGCAAAAGGATGTCAGTGTCCAGCTTACCTTGGACGGGCCAATTCCACCGGGGTATAATCTAGCGTGTAGGCGCATGGCAATCTCCTGTCGCACCTGAGAGATGAACCTACGAAAGGAAACTGGTCAGCTCGGATTTCCCTGGGGCCTTTCTAATAGGATATCTCACTGGCGAAGAGTCTCGGCATCCTGGCGGTCACGCGGAGGCTCAAAGGCTTGGTTGAGCGGGAACGAGACATCACCAGGAATAGCAAAGCTGTCGAGTGCGGCATTGGTCAGGGCCTATGATATTCAATTAGCGATTATTCTTCAAGACCGTTCTTCATAGAATGCAGAATAACCCACCTTTTCCGCATCGCGGGCATTCATCGTTGGCTTGACCTTCCCGAGACACTCGCTAATAAACAGGGTTCCATAAATGAGCATGCGGTCCGCGGGGCCGTTGATCTCGAAATTGCGAAACAAGACGTTGGCACGAAAGAGCGACAGGATTTCATCGACGCAGTCGTATGATTCACTTTCTGGCGACACATCGAGGTCATCGGTGTTGGGAAGCGGGGGCAATGTGTATGCAGGGCCACGAGTACGGGTTCGAAGGGGAAGAATAGGGAAGTTTCCTAATAAAAAGAGCTCCCATCGGTCAATTCAATGTTCGCGATGTTGCTGAATAGCAAATGAATTACTGCGCTGGCCTTGAGGGTGTCGTACCTATAACTGGGACATCGCGGTCCTCCAGGAAGATGGAGTGGTATGCCTGCATTGATCAATAAGGGAATTCCGGGCACATATAGTGGTATTCAGAACGTACAGGCATTTTGACTGCGTTGACAAGAAATCAAGTTGTAGAGAGAGCAATCAGAGTGAGAGACACGTTGACCCGTGGAGGTTAGGCAGTGAGGATGTCATCTGTGGAGTCCCCAAGCTCCATGATTTTCCGCCCCGAGCCTCTTTACGCGCCTTGAACACGCGTCAACCACTTAACCGATCTGGTGTTTCTCGTGCCTTTCACTATTACGGCTATTTATTATTGAGCTCTATCTCGGACTTCAATCATGTCGGATCACGACGAAATGGACGTGGATGTGCCCAGGGAGGTGCAGTTCGGCGACAATGCCAGTGGGAAAAAAAGAATCGTGGCTGATCTGCCAGTTGAAGCTGAAGATAACCTGCCATGGTGAGTTGAGCTATCGTATTCTGCACGCTATCTTGCCTCTCTCTTTTTCGCGCGCTCTAACATCCTTATCAGGGTTGAGAAATACCGACCAAACAGCCTGGACGATGTGTCCGGCCATCAAGACATTCTCGCGACTATCAACCGTTTCGTGGAGACAAATGTACTCAATGCCTCTGTCAATGGATGTATAATGATCACCAACTAACGCTTTGATATAGCGACTGCCCCATCTCCTCCTCTACGGGCCCCCAGGAACCGGAAAAACCTCCACCGTTCTAGCTCTTGCACGACGGATTTATGGCACTAAGAACATGCGACAGATGGTGTTGGAGCTGAATGCAAGTGATGATCGTGGTATTGATGTTGTCCGAGAGCAAATCAAGACCTTTGCAAGTTCGTGGCCCAGCAGTCTCCAGTTGAAACACAAGCTTACCTGGAACACCCATAGGCACAAAACAGATCTTCAACATGGCCCCCCAGGCCGCCGCCGGCTCCTCCTCGCTGGCACAATTCAAACTTATCATTCTTGACGAAGCCGATGCTATGACTGCCACTGCACAGATGGCCCTCCGCCGTATCATGGAACGCTACACGGCCAACACCCGATTCTGCGTCATTGCCAATTACACACATAAGCTGTCCCCAGCTCTCTTGTCCCGGTGTACTCGGTTCCGATTCAGCCCGCTCAAGGAGGCTGATATCCGGTCTTTGGTTGACCATGTGATTGAGAAGGAGGGTGTCCGGATACAACCCGAAGCGGTCGATAGTCTAGTGACCCTGAGCAAGGGTGATATGCGACGAGCCCTGAACGTGCTACAGGCATGCTTCGCCAGCAGTATGTTCGATGCTATCTCATTGACTCACATTCCACCCCATTGACTTATGCCATTCTTTAGGTATTCCATTGCCAATGCGAGATGCTCCCAAAGCCCCCCGTGGCGAGCCCGAGACGGTCACCAATGCGACAATCTACGACTGCATTGCTGCCCCGCACCCATCAGATATCCAAGAAATCATGATGACTATCATCTCCACCAGCGACGTTACCTCCTGTCTAAACACAGTGCAAACCCTCAAATCCACCAAGGGTCTAGCCTTGGCCGACATCCTCTCCGCACTCGCAGATCAACTCCAACAGCTCGAAGTACCGGCCCAAACGCGTATCACGTGGCTCGAAGGGCTAGCGGAGATCGAATGGCGACTTGCTGGAGGTGGTTCCGAGGCCGTTCAAACAGGAGGACTTGTTGGTGTGCTGCGGAATGGTTGTGAGTTAATGGGCGACAAGGGTGTTGCAATGGCATAGGGCAAAAGCGACTTGGTTCTCATCTTCTGTCTTTTGGGTTCTTCTTCATGTTACGATATAAACGTTCAGTTTGGCTAGCATATGCTTAGGGCGTCAGGAGTGACAAGGAACAAGATTCATTTCTAGAGGGGACCTATGCATCATCATGCATGTAAGTGAGATAAGTTCTGCGGTAACTAGAAGGTACAGCCTGGGCTTAAGCCTTGGTATGTCTACGATAACCTTGGAAAGACCTCTAGCATCCTCTGAAAGTGTGCCCGTTGCGCCTTCTGTATTTACTCGAATGTGAAAATAACCAAAACAAAGCAATTGCACTCACCACACGGCCGTCTCCGTACTTGTGTAACCTTGAAACCCTCAAACTCTCCCATCTCGACTCCACTTTCTCTTCTCCGCTATCGCAAACCTCCGAACGAGGGTTTCAATTAGCTAATTAATTCTCTCTTTGGATCTCCTCGGGGCCAAATGAGTTATCAGATTTATTCAATAAACTCTCAGTAATCTTGCACTAAACCAATAGTATCAGTCTAACCTTGCCTGTCCAGCCTTAGGGTTCTCCGTCGGGTTCTCCAGGGAGTCTAGAAGAGGGGCAGAGTCGACGGGTCTGGCCCGCTTAGTGACATCCATGACATTGACATTGACATTGACATTGAATTGATAAGGAAGCTTGTACCCCGCCTCTGATTCTTATTCAATTTGCTGTCTATTTGGCACATTATGCGATACTCAATTCAGTCCAGCCTCTTGTTGGCTGCCACTTTGTCCCCCGTGGTTGATGCCGAACGTGTTTTGGGTGCTTATATCTTCGCTCGTCATGGTGATCGTACCCCCAAGGTGTTCGGTAACACTCAACTGACCGACCTGGGCTACCGGGAGGTCTTTGATGTCGGATCATTCTATAATAAGCGATACATCTCGTCGGAGTCTTCTAAGCAGATCGAGGGGATCAGCGCCGATGTCGTCAACCCAAAGCAGATCAGTGCCTCTGCTCCCTCAGATGCCGTGTTGCAGAACTCAGCCACTGGCTTCCTGCAAGGCATTTATCCTCCCGTAGGGAAAGCGGCTTCCCAAACCCTGGGCAATGGAACCTCGGTCGAAGCACCGTTGAATGGATACCAGCTTATCCAGCTGACAGCCGCTACTACAAGCAAGAACGCCGAGGACGGGATTTGGTTGCAGGGCTCTAGTGGCTGCCAGAAGGCGATGGTGAGCAGCAATAACTACTTCAAGTCAGACATGTATACCGCACTACTGTCTTCTACTAAAAGCTTCTACCAATCGCTGTCACCCATGCTGGACGGCGCCTTCTCTTCGGCTGATATGACATTCAAGAATGCCTACACCATTTTCGACTACTTGAATGTTGGCAGAATCCACAACTCTACCAGTCAATTCCCACACAAGTCAGACTTGACCGACGAAGTGTACCACCAGCTGATTGCACTGGCTGGCAGCCACGAGTTTAATCTGGCCTACGACTCCTCCGATGAAGTGCGTGCTATTGACGGCGCTGTCCTTGCGGGTGAGATTCTGGCTGGTCTCGGCGAAACCATCACTACCAAAGGCAAATCCAAGCTCAACGTCGGTTTCGGCTCCTATGGTACCTTCTTCTCTCTGTTCGGCCTGATGCAGCTGCCTGCTGCATCCGTCGACTTCACCGGAATCCCCGACTACGCCTCTTCAATGGTCTTCGAGCTGGTGACGAATTCCTCCGGCACGGACTTCCCCGCTGACAAGTCCGACATCAGCGTGCGGTTTATGTTTCACAATGGTACGATCACGGGCTCATCTGAGCCCACCGCATACCGTCTGTACGACCAGAAAAGCGAGCTTCTTTCCTGGGATGAGTTCTCTTCGAGAACCAACGAGATTGCTGTAGGCTCCGACGACGAGTGGTGCGCGAAGTGCGGCAACACAGACGGGAAGTGCTCTAGTTTTGCCAGTACTAGCAGCAACCCCGGCTCTGCCGATACCTCTGGCACGGGCGGGTCGGGAATGTCCCTAGCTGTGGCGGGCGTCATTGGCGCTATGGTCACCCTTGCGGTGATCCTTGGTTTGCAAACCATTTTCTTCCTTCTCGGTGGATTCCGCATCACGAAGCGAACCAAAGCTAGTGCTGAAAGTTTGTCTACCGATATCGAAGTGGAGAAGGAGGCTTAGGATCTGGGATCATGGGAGATCAGAGATCCCACTTACGGATATGATGAATTGATGATTCTCGGTCTACGACTTGCCTGAGACGATCTACATAGCACATACATGTATTGAACTTATTGAAATACGTGGATATCTGAGATTTGGTGCTCAATGGCGAGCAGCTACTTGTTTTCAACGGCCATACCTACATGCCCTGTTCTTCTAGCGAGTAGCGATAAGACGGCAAATGGCCTCATGGCCCTCATCATTCATGTAAGGCGCCATGGAAGATAACCATCGTAAAGGAGCCCACCTAGGACAGCGAAGATGATGCTAGTATGAGGTGGACCGTGGCTATCGAGCAAAGGTGACCATCCCGCAGATTCACCGCCTTGTGCGTGTCAACAACCCAGCTCCCTTCTCTTCCCTTCTCCACCTCAGAATGCCCCGCCACCAAATCAACTTAGAACCCTACCGGGATGAGATCGTTATTCTTTATCACGGCGGTAACAGTAGCGACTCCATCAGCCGCACCCTTGCGAGTCGACATAACATCCAAGTTAAAGAGCGAACCATTCAGTCTCGCCTCCGCAAGTGGGGCATCCGCAAACGACATCGGACGACAACAGGCGATGAAGCGTTGCATGCGCGAATCAAGATGCTCTATCTGCAAGATAGGCTGACCGACAAAGCTATGCTCAATATGCTGCAGCAAGAAGGTTACGGTATATCTGAGCGCACTTTGCGTCGTCTGCGATTCAAACTAGGACTCCATGCCAGGACTTTGGATCAAGAGCAGCATCAGGTACAGGGACAAATGCAGATGATGGCTCCGCTCTCCCAGACAGATACCCAACAGGTGTGAGCTCGACTTGCTTGGACTTGCTTCAAGCAGCAACATCGCTGCTCATGATGATTATGTCGAATAATCGTCCCCCATGGAACAAATACGGTCCACGTCCTATGCCATCCACTTGCGACAGCTCATGCCCCGATACTCGTCGACCCCCAAGACGGTGATGCTGTTGGGACTTCCTTTATCTTGCATGCAAGGTCTCTCACAGTCGATGTGGTTGGTTTCTCGATGGTCTGACCAAGCCCTGATTCACCCATGACAAGCCATAATCGTAACCTTCAGCTCCCTCATGCAAGACTTGATCTTGTAGCAGCCATTGAGTGAAGCTGGGAAGACCCAAAGATCGATTAGCCGACATTCCCTACCATCGCGCATGGGCGCCCCTGCCTCATCCCTAACTCTTTCATTCTCCTTGAAAGCCCCAAGGTGCCCTGGAAACAGATCGGGGTGTGCCAGAAGGCAACGTCTCAGCTCCTACTCTCGGTCTATCCCAAATGCGACAAACGTCTACGGCTATCGCCTAACATCCAATCCCGTTTTCCCTGGCTGGTCATAGCCTCATAGGTGGCTTAGGTCTGACTTTGGCACCGCGAAACATATGTCATGTAGTCTTAAATAATAAATATGAGTGGACTCATGTGTCATAACCATCACCATTGAGATAGTTCTCTACTAGTAACCAAGTTCATTGATCCAGTCACTGAACCCGGTTTATCTAGACGTCACGTGCCATGACGTCCACCGGAGCAGGGAGCTTTTGATCGGACAAACTCATTATTAGATCGCAACGTAAGAGGGGTGTCTTTCTCCCCAAATACACTACAATCCTCTGCGTTCTGCTCCTTGGCACGCGCCATATCCAGGCAGCTCGTTTGCCCGCCATGTCCTCACAATACGCCAGTGAGCCGAATCCCACTGCGTCGGCCACACTCAACACAACGGTTGGCCCTATCCACATCGCGCTCTTCGCAAATCAAACTCCTCTCACCTGCAAGAACTTCCTTCAGCATTGCAAAGACAACTACTATGCCGGAACAATCTTTCATCGTGTCGCCCCTGATTTTGTGATCCAGGGCGGTGATCCCACAGGCACTGGCTCTGGTGGGACGTCTATCTATGAATACCCGGAATTCGAATACGATCCTGAAGCTCGGGACCCAAATGAGCGAGTGGTTTTACGTGATGAGCTACACAGTCGATTGCGGTTCAACCGCCGTGGCTTAGTCGGAATGGCCAAGAGCGAGGATGGCACCTACGGCAGTCAATTTTTCATTACGTTGGCGAATACGGAGCGCGAGATGAACGGACAATGCACAATCTTTGGAAGGCTGGAAGGGGATAGCATCTATAACGTCTTGAAGATTGCGGATGCGGAGCGCATTGCGGGCACCGAGCGACCTGTCTATCCGATCAAGGTGACATCCTGTGAGGTAGGAGAGCTCGGCCCCTTGGAAGGTAAGCTGAAAGACAGGAAGACTGTCTCAACAGCTGAGAAGGACGGAAAGGCCGCACCGAAGAAGAAGAAGAAGGCGTCCAAGGGCGCAAAGACCCTGCTGAGCTTTGGGGACGAGGAAGGAGATGAAGGAATGCCCATGCGCCCAGCGAAACCAAAATTCAACACCAACCTGGTGGTCGATATGCCAGGTGAGAAACCCGAGACCTCAAAACCCAAGCCCCAGACAGGGGGGCCATCACAGCCGCGCAAGCGGCTACGGTCACCGTCCCCGGCACGATCCCCGTCTACAGAGCGTAAGAAGCGCCCCAGGACACCAGAGCCAGAGACACAGCTCCCGGTGCCTGACCCTGAGTCACCTCGATCCCCAACTCCGGACACTGAACCCACGAGGGAGTCGAAACTGTCGCGGACAAATGCGCAGATTGCCGCCTTGAAGGCATCGATGCGCCGCGACGTCGACGTCGGTCCCAAAGACACGGAGCGAAAGAAATCCGCCCTCGAAGCCATGATCCCCGAGACCTCTATTCGCGGGCGAAAACGACCACCTCCCGGATCTGCAAATGGCTCCAGCCGTAACGGCACAGGACCCAGCAGCGCAGCCGAGCGGGAAGCATTGCAGCTCTTCAACGCTTTCAAAGCCAAGCTTGAGGGCGCAAAACCCGAACCCACTCCCGCAACATCACAACCCAAACCTCACGACGACAAAGATAACCAAAATCAAGCCGAAGACGCAGAAGACGAAGAAGCCCAACTCTGTGACCTACACTTCATTGCAAACTGCCAATCTTGCCGGGCATGGGACGACCCAGCCGCAGAAGCTGACGATTCCGCCCAACAAGACGCAGACTGGCTCTCGCACGAACTGCGCTTTGGAAAGGATACACTCGGCAAAGACCTAAACTGGAAGCGCGAGCACGGAGCCGATGCAGACTCGCTCATGGTGATTGATCCACGTGAGCGAGAGAAGGAGGTAGTTGGACGGAAACGGGGGTTCGCGCGCGATAGAGAGCGCGAGCGTAAACGGGAGCGAGTGGGTGATCTGGAGTGGGACAAGGGGCGCTGAAGCATGTAATGAATGGCCATTCTTGACGACTAATATTAGATCTCGAGTTTCATCCCGGGCTTGCGTTGCTGTGGTAGACATAGGACGTCGGGCAACCACCTGCACCTCCTCTCCCAATATAGGTCTACATTAGAAACGTTTATAACATAAACGAGAACAAATCCCTCCGTTCCTAGTTAGGAGATGTTCTGGCAGCTCTGATACTAAGACCGTAACTCTCCACTAGCATAGGTGGTTCCAAGCCCTTCAAGTCTACTTATACCTCTGGCCCACTATGTCAGGCTATTGTGAAAGGGAAGCAAGTAAAGTTGTAAAATAAAGCAAAAAGGTATCTCATTAAAGATCCAATAAGTGGAATCATTCATGAACCATCATAGGCTTTTCTGAAGTAAAAGCTGGACATTTTTCCAGGCACGTGAATAACCCTATGTCAACAGGATACAACGCCCAATCCAACGCCGAGAAGCTTTGTTCTCATATTCATAACCCATGTTTGTGAATCAGCCTCCGTCTGATAGCCTTGTAATTCTTGTACCATCAATAATCTCATGCCTTGCGACGTCGTTTTGTCGCACTGCCACCGTCATCCACAGCTTCACCGAGGTTGTCCGTGGTTGCGGGACTAGTGGCTTCACTGTCCGTCAATTGCTCAATCACACGGCCGGGATCATCGTAGCCGGCACCGTCAAACCCATAGTTGTAGGTGGGTTCACCTTGACCATGCTGAGGGGCTTCAAAGAGATCAGGCTCGGCAGGGATGTGGTCAAAGTCAAATAAGTCATTGCTGTTCCCATCGTCGCCTTGCATGGCTCCCACAGGATTCTGTACATTCGAGTCTGCCCCTAGATGGCTTAGGGGATCCTCAACATGTCTCTTCACATCAGAGCCCGCATCTCCAATGTCGGTAAAATAGTCATTGTTGAAGATTTGGTCGAGATCAAGCGGAGGAGGGGGCACATTTCCTTCACTGTCGAGACCCGGAATGGTACCATTCGGGCTCAGCGGCTGAAGAAGACTGGTCAAGTTCTGCACGGAACGATCCTGTTCGGCTTGCATTTTGACTAAGTTGTCGATTTCTTGTCGGGTGCTGGCTAACCTGCCTGAATAGTTGTGCGGCATCGGAGGTGGACTCGGAGAGATGAGCGCATTATTGGGTGGGACGCCAGCATCGGGTTCGGATGAGTTGGTCTCATGGGCCATAAGTCGAAGCATATCGGCGCGTTGGTTTGCTGTAAGAGGAACATTCCCACCATGGTTTTCGAGGGAAGACAGCACATTGGGAAACTCGGTGAAGTTGGTCGAGAGCCCATTGCGTGCGTTGGAGTTCTGGATTACAGACATGATATCACGCTGAGGAGTAGCCTCGTCTGTCCGCTGTCCAGGACGATGGCTTGAAACACTGGTCCGCGGACTGTGATCAAAAACCTCTTCCACGTGGCCGGGTTGGGTGGCGCTAGGTTGTCGAGTACTGCGAGACCGTCCGTCATAGGAGCCACTGGCTGATGGTGAAACCGTGGGGCCCCGGGTATACCCATCCGCTGCAGGCGGAGCTTTCAAAAGTAGTGGCTGTCTTTTCATCGTCCTTGTGTTGGGGCTAGTCATTGGCCCCAGAGCATTGGTTAGGTAGTCATCATCAACATCCACAATGTTTCCTTGGTCCTGCGAGATGGCACCTGCAAATGAATTCGCCAGATTTTGTGGTCCACCCTCGCCCTGCAAGCTGCGGTTGTATACAGTGGCAAGGAACGTAAGGATGGCGTTGATGGAGTTTTCATGGCGAGTGTGTTGCTCCTGGAAGTTGGCCGCCTGCGCGTAAAGCTGCTCGTGTTCTTTCCGCAGCCTGGTGATTGTGGTTGAGATTATGGACTGTTGTTGACGAATAGCCTGGAGTTCGCGATATACCCCAGAGAGTTTATCCTTCGGCACAGAGCTATCCGTGAGTAATGATAGCTGCTGTGGCCGGGCGGCACGGGTGTCCCGAGCAGTCGCTGCACCTTCTTCGGCATAATCATCCAGGTCATTATCATCAACATCCTCTGTCTTCACACGCGTGCTTCCCTTGCTGGGTTTGCTCGCATGGCCACTTCCAGCATTCTTTGGCTTCTGGATGAGCCAGAGCAAGTCCGGATGGCCTCGCTTGAAATAAGGGTTGGCGTATTCACTGGGGCTCTTATTTTTCCGTTCACTGGCGCGCATGGAATTGTCGGATAGCCCGACCTTTTTGTGAAAGCCGTACATATTCAGCTGTCGGACAAATGAGGCGTAGTTATTGTGCTTGAAAAGCTCCGGAATCAAAGTTCTCGCAAATTCATCCTCGTCCAGAACAACAAAGGAATTCCCATCGTCAGACCATCGAATCAATTCTGTGTTTTTGGATTCATCCAAGAAACTATTCGAAGTTAGCCTCTGAAATTGACATCAAGACATCAACGTGATATGTGTGACATACCTGCTTAATTTCTGTACAAATGGCGGGATTTGCTTTCGCTTGGCCTGTGCATCTCTCTTCGCGGTCAAGGCCCTGCTGTAGAGCTCCTCTAGAGATTCGCTCCATGCGCCGCCTTCACCACTACCATTGTTTCCCCCATTTTCCACATATGAAGCGGGAGGATGTTCGTAGCCACGGTTTCGGCTGACTACCTGGTTCGCTTGTCGGCGGGCCAGTTGATTAGATGGTGTCGCAGCCGGCGCGGACACGTCTGGCGCAAAACCGGCGGATTTGTACGAGGCATCGGAGAAGGCGGAGGCGTTGACGGCATTAGCGGGGGGATTCTGGCCCCATTGTAGGAATTGATCGTTCGAAAGCTGAGAGGCAGGGTCCCCGGCGGGCGCAAAATTCGGTACCGGGTTCATCTGAGGAGGTGGCACTGTTCCCGGCGCAGGTCTCTTGCGGGTGACTCCTTGCGAGCTCATTGTGACAACGCTGGTGCAAAGGCGTTGAGTCTTATCGACAAGTTCGAGGTAGGATTGGGTCCCAAGGTTCTTCACTCCCTGAGTTGGAAAGGGAGTTAGCCGGTGGGCGGTTTGCCTAGGAGACAAAATAGCCAGATGCAAATTCAGAATGTAGGAAGTGCTTCATCCAAGTCGCTTCTAATTTTTTGACTCAAAGAACCTTTGACCACAGAACCGAGAAAAAATGGTGGACGGCAGTGATTCCGGCGCGAAATCAATTGACAGCGGCACAGTAGTAGAGAACAGTCCGTAGTATTCAGCAACAGGCTGCAGATCAAGGACCAGCAGTGATCGATACGAGACAGGTGACGCTCGAGAGGCGCGTGAATTGTCCAACATTCAGAGGCGGGAGCGATCAGCAGAAAGCGTCCACTAGGCGGTGAATGGGCTGATCCCAAAGACGATATGACTTGTCAACTGAGAACCTCAGAACAGTCAGATCTGGCAAAAGGAAATGGAAGCAGACTCAAGCAGTTAGTATTATCAAAGATATGGGATTCAATCAAATTAAAGGCTAGACCAGTCAAGTTCACTCCCGAGGTCGCAGGCGTCGTCAAATTGCGGAGGCAATCACTGAGTCAGCATGATAGCCCTGCCCATGTGATGCGGGCCATTGGGGGACTAGCTTGCAAGTATTGGTACCTCAGTTCGCCCTCTTACTTAGCCTATGTTTGAGGTATCAGTACCTAGGCAGCTATGTAACATATTTCCAATGCAATGCAGGGCTTTCTTGTTCATTAAGCTCAATCAGACAATAGATTGATAATGTTTACCATACTGCCTCGCAGCAACGTCTACAACACATCGCAACTGAATCGCTGCGACGTCGCCGTGACATCCTCAAGGCGTTGTACAGTCCGATCTACTCTACATCGGATTCGGGAGTACATGGCACCTCGCGTCCTAACTCTCCCGCCGTAGGGCACCGGAAGTGGATATACATAATCTCGACGCGAAGGGCTCCATGGCACGTGACCTCGCTTCCCATCCCATCCCAACTCCCAAGAGAAAGCTCATGTCCATGACTCCATTGTGACATCCATTGTCGTCCAACCTCCTCGACCCACAATCTGGGTCTGTGAGCCAATCCACTAGTACTATCCTTTGCTTCGTCCCACTTTTCGTACTTCTGTCGGCAGATCTTTGTCCCTATTCGTGCGGGTGTGAAGTGAAGTGTGAACCTTGTTCCATACTGTACTTAGTGTACTATGTAGTAGTTGTTAGTACTGTCCTGATTCCACCCCACATCTTGCCTCAGCCTCATACTGTGTACTACTACGTAGTTGCCCGAAAGATTCATTACCATTGCCAAGCATTATCTCTCTGGCTCGTTTGCCGCCAGCTGCTGGCGGCGCCATATGTTTCGGGATCATATATCAACAACTTTGCGGAACTTGCCACCGCCAAAGTTGCGCGGACATCTGCCAGCGGCCCGTTTGAAATGTCCGCCGTGACCTTTCCGACAATTCGTGTGGTCAGCTAAGCAGCTTACCCCGATGCAGCTGGTCTTAAGGCCAAGCTGTCACTGATGACCCAAATAGAGAACTCGGACGAAGAGATCCTCGTTCGCTCAGTACATCTCTCATTGAGGGACTGCCCCCATGCTGCAGTCATCGAGGGTGCCCCTCTGGATTGGCCTGTCTTGGCTAATCACACCTCAGAACGCAAAATGCATTGTCAGCACGCACGCGGCCGGCAGAGAGATTCATGTCAAGCCGAGCTTTTTGACCAAAACTGTGGACTACCAATTTGTGCCAATCCGCGGGGCTTTCTTTCGGAAGAAACCATCGAATGTATTCGTCTAGCCTTTCCCGGGTCCGTAGGGGCTCAGGTTCTTATTATTGGATGAAGCTTGGTCTTGTTTCCGGACCAAAAAACACTGCAGAAATGAATGTGACGGTTAACGAGTGCCTGAGGCAAGTGCTCAGGCAAGTGAAGCAGACAGGGTCACTTGACAAGTAGAAGTAGAAACAGGAAGGAACGGCAACAAATGAAGTAGCAGGGACGCGAGTCACGCGAGGAAGAGTTTAAAGTTTTTGTTGGTTTTTTACCTCCTGCTCTTCTCTTTCTCTTTCTCTTTCTCTTTCTTTTCCCACTGTCCCAGACTCGTTACCCTGTATGCAGTACGGCAACGAACGATCTTCTTTTGGTTTCTTTCTCTTCACGAGCCAACCATCGACCTTAACAGAAATGTTGGGATCCTGGTGCACCTGATGAGATAAGCCATCTACGAGTTGGATACGTATATCCTTCTGAAGTGCTATAGTACCGCTACCAGCACTACTATCATCGAAGCTGGCCAAGCTGTGAGTGACGCGCCAGATTTTATTGACAGTCAGGCGAAACTGACGACTTCCAGGTGGATGGCCAGCCAGCTCACGCACCGGAGCTCTTGAGCATCCGGCACTCCAACACCGACACCGGAGGCTGTCGCAACGTTTTCATCGAGGACGGGCTCGTGACTTTTGTCACACGGTATCACAAGGGCTTCAACGCGTCCAACGATACCAAAGTGATTCACCGCTATCTACCACGCGAGATTGGTGAGCTCGTGGCCTACTATCTATGGCTCGTGCTACCATTTGCACGGCATTTGGATGCCTAGATCGCGAAGATGCCCATGGTCCACACTTTCTTCGTCGTCCCCAACTACCTCGCCAGCAATGTCGATTGCCTCAGCATTTTAGACTGCTGTTACTCGGGAGTGACCCGCGAGATAACCGAAAGGGCTTCTCAGGTAGTTTCTGCATGCGGCGCCGAGGAGACGACTCGGGGGCGGTCTGGCGGCGCGGCGTCATTTTCACGACGTTTCTTCCGTGCCGCCTGGAGTCTGAAGGCGAACGAGAAGTCCTTTGCCACGGCTGAAGATCTGGTCGCCGAGATTAACCGTCAGAATACCAGTGGGAGCCCGGTAGCCCGGCTCACCTACCATGGAGGGAAGCAGCCAATCGCAATCCCTTTTAAGGGAACTTCCTCCGCGTCTGTCCAGTAAGGACTGCACAATCTTAGCCTGATAAACCCGCTAGCAACCACGCAAAGCGTCCTGGTAGAACTCTCGATCGCTAGGACGCCTGGGCAGATCCTACAAGAATTCAAAGACGTTATCGAGTCTTTGCCCGGCCAATTCCGCGTTCAGATCGTTGACGCCTATGAGTCAGGATCAGTGCTGTTCATACTGCGTATGTCACCAGAGACAGACTTGCGGTTGTCGTCAACAATTGACTTCCGCTTCATTGGAAGCATTCATGGTGCATCTTTGATTAGGCCAGGTAAATACCTCAGAAAAGTGAAGACGTTCAAATTGGTCCGGACGAGGACTTGCCTACATTCAAGGGAGGCTTCCTGTTGCCCAAAGTGTACTCATTTCGGTTGAAAACCTTTCTTCGAATTCCTTCCTTATGCCTCAGAAAAATTACGATATGGAGACAGCCACTCAGGAGAACTCCATGTCTGTTTAGAAATATCCAAAACACTGATATTGTTATTAACTAGCTTACTGTAGGACCTTAATCGAAATGATTTCGCTGGTACCTCTGAAATTAGAAGAGTAGAAGATTAGTTCTCCATACTCCCTGAACTTTGACCTCTGCAAGAAGCAGCATACAAGGGCAAACTACAGTAGATACCTTATGGCAAAATTGATACTATGAATCCTAGGTGAAGACCGAATCCTATTCATGTACATGCGCATATATGCATACCCTAGACAATCAATGATCTCGCGGAAGCAGCGAGAACGTCAGACACTCTATGCCGAATCAGATTCCCCGATCAAGCCTCGGAACTCTGTCAATATCTGTTGCCATAACTCAGGCTGCCTCACCGTGAATTCTTCCACCTGTTTAGGAGCAGCCAAGTCTTCCCTCATGCGCGACTCATTCTTGGTCCCATTCAGCACCGTCACATTCTCCAAGCCCATGACCAGAGTATAAAAAGCAGCTGCCGGTGTGATTTCAACATGGCGAGCCAATTGTAGCACAGGTTCAGAGCGCACAAGATCTGGATTTGCTGTTAACGTCCAGAAGCTCTGGTAAATGACTTGGTTGTGGCGACAGAATGCGCGCAATGGAATATCGAACAGGGTATCCTCATAGAACCTGTTTTGTACCACTGATGGTTTGACGGTTGTCTGGGACGAAGTGCACAATTCTCGAAGCATAGGTAACGTGCAATTGGAGACACCCAGATTGCGGATGCGATGGGGAACGTAAGTCTCAAGGGCGTGCCAGGCCTCCAGAGTCTGAGCTAAAGTGGGAAGCGGGGAATGGATGACCACAGTGTCAATGTAGGCCTCTTCCACAGAGCTAGGGTCGCTTTTTGAGCGAAGATTGTGCAATGATGATTTGATAGATGCATGGACCTGTTCTGTCACTGGCGCCGCTGGGTCATATGGCATATTGGCCACATCCTGTGCCGAGACCGGACTGAATTTTGTTTGCACCTGGCTCTTGTTAGCGAGCAATTTGACTGTTTACATCAAAACAGTAAGTGTCCACTCACGTATAAATCTGCTCGGCCGACAATCCCGTCGGCAATCGCTCTGCGGATGCCATCGCCGACGAGATGCTCTTGGTAGTGACGGGGCTGTGCCGCTGTGTCCACCGCCCTAAATCCAGTTTTGATCGCATTGTAGACAAGATCCGCGCTGCGGTCTTTCTTCCAGGCTGTGCCGTAGATGAAGACCGGGATGGTAGTTGAGACAGTGCCCTGGGTTGGACGCAGCCTGTACTTTTCCCACATCTTGCTGACAGCTCGAGTCATCTCTGATCTCAGAAGTTAAGAGTGAATCTAATATTGAATGGTCACCAAGTGCAGGCCAGGAGTGCGTATGGTTGAATGTTGGTGGTGTTTTGATTGCGGGGTTTCGGCCCGGGATCCGGGGGGTTTAGTTATCTAGGCCTTACTAAGTCGATAGCAGCCCAGCCCTAACCTGAGACTACATGGAGGAACTACTGGCAGATTGACAGGCAAAAATAGCTCATAACTTCTTCCAAGAACATTGGAATGATGTGTCGTTATTTACCTCAGGACCGAGTCACTTCCGCTAAATTAAGACTAGCGAATGGGATTATGCAAAGACGACAAGCATCAATACCTATGATCGTCCAAGAATCCTGAAGCCTAGAGATCGTCCCGCCTGTACTGGCTTAATAGGAAGTATGTTATACATCGTACCTGGGTCGGGCATATGGAGGATACCTACATCGTTGCATAGGTTCCATTACTTCCACAGCGACCCTCTAACGTCCAATGGCTCTTCCAACCGTAGTATAACCTAGGTTACTACCTACGCCACAAACTCGATATAGATACAAGCAAACCTTTTGTAGAATGCTGCCCGGATGCCAAGTCAAGTCCCTGATCTGGGGTTGCTGTACCTACTTCCATCGCCTCGTCTATCTATAGTCTATATATACCTGCAGATCGGCAGGGTTCGGCTACAGCGGGAGAACCACCTGCATACAACAGGACATACCTACATTTGCATGATTGACATACTGAGATTCTCGGAGATTCAAAGTCACCGAGAAATGGTCGAAGCATGTCTAACAGTCCCGTCTAAGGCTACAAGATACAGAAAATATGCACCGATTGGCCCCACAGTGTGGCTTAGACTTGGACAAGGTCGTGAAGACATCTTGGCAGCACAAATGTCTCCGCCACTATGCTCGCTAATTCAACCCGATTTACTTCTGTTTGCGCTTGGCAGAGCTCAATGATTAACCAGGCAACTGCTTTTCCACAGTCGACATTGGTGGCCTTTCGCTGATCAGTGGGGGATCATCCCGTCAATGTCCTTGGCAATTATCCTAGGACTGTAGGACATACTAACTCCGCAACATTGTTCGAGGCTCAGATCATCAACTATGTACTTCGTACAGAGAATGATCAAGGGAACCGCCAAGAGAAATCAAGGAGAAAGGGAGCAGCAAGATAAATAGACTTCCGACCTTATAAATATGCCATGAACTCCCATCATTTGCATCAGAATCAAGAACATTCCAGTTACTCAACATCTACCTATCAATCGTCATTCAAACTCAATCATGCGTACTCAGCAGCTCCTCCCTCTATGTGGCCTTCTTCTGGCCAGCAACTTTGCCATTGCATCCAAATTGGACCATGACGATGTCCCCAATAGCTGCTGGGCTGCCTGCAGTTCTGTCGTCCGAGTCGCCAACAGCTGCGATGACAGGCACGAGAGGGATTCTTCCGAAATCCAATGCATCTGTGATTGGGATGAAGCGAAAACACAGATCCCGCTCTGCTCCGCTTGCATCACCCAGCATCAGGCCGACAGGCGAAACGGCACCCACAGAGACCAGGATCCCGATCATGACCATGACCACGACCACGATGACGACGATGACGACACTGATGATGATGACGATGATAACGGTATGTATAATGCGAGATATCCCTGATCATCTTGCGACAAGAGAATTAATATGGTAATCAGAGGCCCTTGATCTCGTCCGCTCGTGCCGATTCACCACAACTACCTACAACTCAGCCGCTGCCACTACTCTAGTTGGCACTTCCACCGCCACTGCTGCTTCGACTGAAGCCACCACTACGGACGCCTTCGGTGCTGCTACATCGAACACGGCCTCTGCAACGGACTCTTCCAGCCCCAACGGAGCCAACGGTCAGGACTCGAGTTCTGTTACACCGTCGTCCTCTGATTCGGCTGGCACCTCGCCGGGCTCAGCATCCTCGCCCAGTCCCACACCTGATGCTGCGGCGGGGGCTTCGGCTCCAGGTGCTGCATCCATGGCCGGTATCATGGGGCTGATGGCTCTTGCTTGGCTGTGACTGAGATTCGTCAGTCGGGTCTCCAGCTTATATGGATTGGATCTGAATGAGTGAATATGTGCATCGCTTTATGAATATATGTCGTGCTTTAAACTTTCAGATGTTCAACAGTAATGATAGATTTCAATACACCGTAGTTTTCCACAAGCAATCCCCTCACCCCTGCTTGTTTGGGGTGGACGAGTTCCCGAGAATACCTTCGACAGGCGTGACTTTGCCATCTTGATTAATGTGGAGTTTGCTGGTTCGATTGGTTTTGTTCGGTGACAAGTATATTGTCCTAGGCATTTGTTCAAGCCCGGGCAGCTACCTAAGTACAGTCATGTCTAATTGAAGGGTATCTCATCCATCCAATATCCCCAGAAGTCTTCACCAAAGAGACCTTCGACTGGGTCTTCATAGTCCATATCATATACATCCCTATAACATTGCGCTTTTGCAGGACAACTGTGTATACACGGTTAGCATTGATCCACTAGTTCTCTTTCGCCGGAAAATACTCACAACACAGGATCCTGGCCGAAGATAATGTGCCATAAGTACTCAAAAACACGACCACTCGTCTCGTCATCCAATTCAGTCGTCATCAGCCACCGATGATACGACTCGTAGTCACTTCGCGGCCGCTGGAGAACCTGCTCTCTGGTCACAGCAAACTGAGCACAACAAGGCGTAGCAACAATTTCGGGCACATCTGTATTGTTGAAAATGCGGAGCCAAGCCCCCGCAAAGGCAAGCTCGGTGGTGCGACCAGCCGTTTGCCGGAATGGCTGAACCTCATCGGGGCATCCAGGAGACCAGTCACAGCGTAGGTTGAGATATCCAACTTTCCGGAGATAGTCGAGTTGCAGTCTTTGGACCGTCAATACGTTGTCCTGCTCCCAGAACTCGACGTGACCGCTATATTGATGAGCATGGAGGAATACTATGTACTCGGGCAACTTGTGATAGTTGTCGAGAATGTATTGCAGATAAGCATTGCTCTCTTTGCCTTTGTTATGTTTGACTGAGAGGGATGCCTCCGGGTCATCGACAAGATAGACCGCGTGTTGCCATCTATTCGGTGTCCGGGTCAGTATTGATTCACTTAGTTATGGACTGGTAATTGACATGTGAGCACTTACTCTGGCAGCTGCTCCTCAAGCCAGTCGGTGTCCTCATACGACATTTTCCCCAAAACAATGATGCGGTCCAACTTCGGAGTAACCTTCGGGCGAGGAAGCGCAGTTGATGAAGATTCTACCTTCTGCTCTTCTTGCTCTACCGGAGTGAGTAAATTCTCATGTGGTTCCTGCAGATCGGATAACATGTTCCTGCTTATAGCCTCGAACAATGGCTCTTGCACATCCCATTCAGCGCTAGGGACATCGACGGGAATGCGCTGGGGTTCAGAGTCGGCCATCACTAGACGAGAGGCGGGCCGGATCGTAGGCGTCCATTTCCTCCGTGTAGTGGATGTGGCAATAGGCGCCGAGACCAGCTCGATATACGCATCGCCATGATCTTCCCTGGTGTTCTGTAGATCACGTCTAACATGCCATTGCGAAATGAAATCGAGATAGATCTTCCACAGAAACATGACCACCACTAGCACAATGGCCACCCGTGATAAAGTGCGCATTGTCCATGGCATAGAAATATTCACAAGAGAAGAAGTCGTGAACACGTCAAAAGTTTTAAGGTAGCGGCTGATTGCCACTATTCGCCTTGGCCTTCAGCCCGTCAGCTTGGGTGGTTTCTGCAAGAGCTCGCGACGATGAGCCACATAAAAAAATATATTCTGAACTGGACGCGAGATTGGTAGAGAAGTAAATGTGCCTACTCGAAAATCTTTTCTCGGAGATGACTCGTGCTAAGCAGGCTTGATCCGGCGAGTGCAACCTCTTGTCGATGTGGGTCTCACTGTCGTCACTCATTTGTGTCTACTCCGTACCTCGAGAGAAGCCGAGAAATATTTATGTCCCATGCAGAACAGTCATGAAGGTGTTGTGATTTGCGAAAGACATGGGCATAGTTATGCTTTTGAATACATTATGTTAAGAATGTACCAGCGGGAGCCAATCCCGTTAGACTAGGAGCCGCATGAGCTTCATTTCCATGAAGGCAATAGCACTTTACCAATGCAATGCATGTGCTGATAAAGTAGATCGCAAGTTTTATTGAAATACTTCTTCTCGTCGAATGTTAGGCAAGTAAGACCCACCATCGAGCCTTCCATGACTGAGGTTTTAGTCTGCTCCGATGTCAGTCAAATGGCCATTTGAGGATCTCTGGGTTCATAAGAGTAGTATGCTCAAGTATTCCTCGCCTGCCATGTACGCAGTACAGGCCAAACGGTTGCTTGACCTCCAAATAGGGTGTTTCCAGGTTTTCCCCTGAAAGGTCATCCATGTTTTTGCGACCCGACCCGTTGTGGATCAGCCCACCGTCTTGTGAATGCTATCTGGAGATGATTGCTTTGTTCGTTTCATCATGCGTGCAGCGTGATATACCACACAAGTCGGATGGTAATGGGTAGCAAGACGCTCCAGCGCCACTGTTCTGCGAGACATCACCGTTTTCCCATAAATTCGAGACCAGCCATCCGACAGTCCCGGACTAGAGCAGGCCTGAAAGTTCCGTAGTCTCTTTTAGCGCCACTCTAAGCCCAGCGAGTCAGCGACCATACCAGATTCCAAAGCCGAGCATGACCACGAGCCGGAGCTCCCCTGCTCCACTGGGCTGGGGTCTGACACTGCCACTAACGGTTCTAATCAGCGTCTAGCGGGTTCTAGCTGGACCACAGGAGCCTCTGAGAAAGTTCGGCGCACACGCTAGAACCGGGGAAGGCGCGGATCGTGGAGACGGACGAAAGTTCCAATTTCGTGGAGTGGGACTGGGTCAGCATAGCTTCATGTACCGTCAATCCGTCGTGCATGGTGCCGATTTGGAATAAGGTGGGAGCTTGTTGTTAGTCCGCTTGGGAGTCATTGGCGTAAGCTTGCAAATCACAGAGCCAGGCTTGTACAAATCTATCGGGTGGCGAGTCATGGACTCGGGGGATGAGTCGAAAGATGGGGCGAGATGGAATAGGGGGAGAGACTAAATTCAGGAGCACTATAATAGTACATTTCCATAACGAAAAATGACAATACAAAGAGACCCCTGAAGTATTTGCGAACGGTAGACAATAAGATAGTTAATTAAAGACGGGTCAATGGTCAATGCTGATTGCTGAGTATCAATACCAGTGTCATAAGCAATGCCCTTCGAAGCACGAGGCAGGGGGCGAACCCCAACGGGCCGTACTATGTCATCCTCGTGCGCAACATCCACGAGCCAGGTTAGAGGCGAATATTGAACTCCATGAGATGAAGAGATCTTTGATTTTGCTCATCTTGTCAACTTGTCACTTTCCAAACCCACCTTAGCGGGGCTCCCTGGCCCTAACTTATCTAGTGACGAGCCTACCGAGACATGGCTTGGTAAATGACTTATGAGGGGGGACTTCCCCCAAAAATAGGGATGACAAGCAACCGGGACTGTTGAATTGGCCGGTAAAAGACCCGATTTCCAAATTAAACAGGGGGAGTGGATCTTCAATACATACAGAGAAGGGGAAAAGAGAAGAGAGAATAGGGGATGTTCATGATCCTGTACGATGTGTACGGAGTATACGGAGTGTATCTTTGGCAGTCATAGCGGGGAGCAGTTCCAAGGTTGAGCAGCGGGTGACCAAAAGCCTACATTTTAGATGTACACCGATGGATGTACACAGATGTAGTAGATGTTATGAGGATAACATAGCATACGGAGTTAGTAGAACAACTCCGTACTCCCCATAGTGTATCATAGTCACCTGCAGGTCAAGAAATAGTATCATTTCATTGGTATGGCGAGTCCACCAAAGATCCCAGGGGCGAGGGAGAGTCGATCTCCAGATCGAAACAGTATAAGTACGGGCCTAGTCTTTTTTATTGTCAACTCTTCAACTGTATACATAACTTCGTATCTATTCCTCTGATCACCTGCTTTCTGCCTAAGGAGTCTTATATTTCGATCCTCTTCATCATCTTCTCTTCTTATCACCTCCTTACTCCTCTGTTCTTGGCGAATTTGTGGACCGCTTTCTCTCAAATTCTTTCTTTCTTTTTTTTTCATCTCTCTTTGATCTTGAGATCTATATCAGATCTATATCATCTCTACATATATTGATATCTGTTGGATATCCTGTTGATATTGAAAGTTCCTTGGAGAGGGGAGTCAAATCGAAACGACCCATTCCCAAAATACCCGGGGAAACGACGAGAAAAACGAAAGGCGAAACTTTCAAAAAGGAAAACGAAAAAAAAAGAAAATCAAAACCGAACTTCTTCTTCTCCCTTGAATGAATCGAAGCATTCAATTAACGAAGTTTTGGTGATCTTTTCTCTTCAGTTTTCTCTTTTTCTTTCCTTTTTTCTGCCTATTCTGCCTTTTCTGCCCTCTTTTTTTTCACCCATTTTCCATTTCGCCCGAATTTCTCCCTCCGATCGGCTTTCCCTTTCTTCCCCCCCTCCGCACAATCCCGTCCCCTCGACGGTCCCTGTGTACAACCAAACAAATTTCGCTCTCATGGTGGAGTAGTCCGTGATCTTTCGTAACCTGGAATTTGTTTGGTGGAATTTTCACATTCCTCGGACGGAATGAGTTATCAACAAGACATGTATCACGATCATTCTGCGCGTTCCCCTGGCTCTCAGCGACACCAGCAACCTCTACACCGTCAGCCGTCTCGACAGTTCGACGCCTACGGCCCCATGCCGACCAATATGTATGAACAGGATCAGATGCGGTACGAGTCCGGTCGCCTCGAACGCCTGAACCCAATGCAGAACAACTCCTACGGATATGACATCTCAGGCTCACAGACATGGAATCCCAATGGGTTTGCCAATGCCCAAACCCTCGGTGGAATTCGTTCAGCTTCCGCCAGTTTGAAGCCCAATGCCCGTGGACGTGCCGGTCTCCCCACTGTATGTCTCGTCTTTCGATCCCAACCGAGTCCCCTTTCATCCCGAGGAATTTACTGACAATCTGCCCACGAAGACCTGGTTGGATCAGCAGCCGAATATGCCCCAAGCATTTTCGAACCTGGGCCCTGGCCCCATTCAGAGCAGTGCCATGCGGCCGGAAGCATCGGCTTCATCCGCCGACGACGACGAATTGATCCCAACAGCAATTGTCATCAAAAATATTCCGTTCGCCGTCAAGAAGGAGCAGCTGGTGCAGTTGATGACGGAACTCAACCTCCCCTTGCCCTATGCCTTCAACTACCACTTCGACAATGGCGTGTTCCGTGGTCTGGCCTTCGCCAACTTCACATCCGCAGAGGAGACGGCAACCGTCATCGAGGTCCTCAACCACTTTGAGCTGCAGGGTCGGAAATTGCGAGTCGAGTACAAGAAGATGCTGCCGTTGCAGGAGCGCGAACGGATCGAGCGCGAGAAGCGGGAACGTCGTGGCCAGCTGGAGGAACAGCACCGTCCGATGGGAGGAGGTCCTCAGCTCCAGACTCAAAGCTCTATGTCTTCGCTCACCTCCCACATTCCGGCCACCTCTCCGTCGCCTGTATCCCAGCGCGGCCAAAAGATCGGTAGGTTACACAGTCTTTCAAATTTCTCGGAAATCCGACCTCGCGTGGCTAACCCAAATTTGTGTACAGAGGTGGACCTGAACGACACCCAGACCCTTTCCTACTACTCCCAGCTACTGCTGTTCAAGGAAGACACCGTCCGCGATTCCGTCATCTTCCCCCACAACCTCACCCCCTCCCAACGTCGCACAGTCCACACTCTGGCTCACAACATGGGCCTGGGTCATGCTTCCCGTGGCAGCGGTGAACAGCGCCAGGTCCAGGTCTTCAAAATTCCTGCTGGTGCCAACGTTAGCCCTCCGACCTCCTCGATCCCACCTTCTGGCCAGTCCGACGGGGGCCGCCGTGGCCTCAACCGGGCGGCTACCATCGACTTCAGTGAGGCTCGCCAAGAAGCCGGACCTGGCTCCTTTAACACCTTGCGTGGACAAACCTCGGGCTTTTTGGGAGTAATGGACTCTCCCGGAAACTTCGCCAACGGTCAGAACCTGCGCGCCGCCAAGTCGTTTGCCGACCTGCGATCGTACACTCCCTCGCCCGTGCCTTCCTCCGCCAGCTTCCCCGCTGCCTTGCAGTCCAACGGTGCCCGTCTCCAGTACGAGGGTGCGCAAACGGCTACTTCCCACATTCCCACTCTGAACTCTGCCCAGTCCGGTTCCAACCTGGGCATGCAACGTGACGACAACCTATTGGTCAACAGCCTTGGTGGCCTGTCCCTCGGCACCGGCATTGGCGGTCCCAACTCCAGCCCCCGACGCCTGAGAGGCATGTTCTCTTGGGAACAGGATAACCAACAATCCAACGCTGGCGCAATCGGTAGCAACCGCAGCATGGGTATGGGCTACGACGGCCAGCAGGAGCGCATGCCTGTCCGCCAACCCCGTGGCCCGACTCCCGACAAGGGCACCGGCTTTCGTCGCCAGAACGGCCACCAAGCCCGCGGGAGTGATGAACTTCGCACCAGCTCCGGTGTAGAGATCATTGTGGAGTAGGATCACAAAAACCTACAAAAAAACATTGGACGAATTTATTGAAAATGGCGACTCCCCTTTTTTATTGCCAGCATCCGACTGATTTGCCGCGAGACGGATACGACTCGTATTACGAGACCCTATTCTGCGAATTATCGGCTTACGATTCGATGAGGGATGACGAGATGACAACAAGAAAGAAAAAAAAAACAGACCAGAAAATCCTTTGTTTTCGCTGATCTAGCCAAGTTTTAGACGTTTCTTTTCTGGGGCAGCCCAACAGACGTGCGGTTTGGATGAATGCTTTGTTTTCCCTGGACTCGTCCACTTACTCTGGACGTGTTCGCTTTTTTACTTATTTACTGAAATCCTTTTCTGATATTGCGGGCGCCTTGCATGCAAATCCATGGCTTTCTATCATGCTATGTCTGGCGGAACGAACTCCACGACGAATGCCTCCTGGTGATATCCGGGACGCATACGAAGAATGACACAAAAGACCTTCTTGCCCATCGGCAGAAGAAACGACAAATACCAGCATCTTGCATATTCTTGTCTGTTCAGTTTGTACATGGGGTGACTCGCATCCGTTTTTAATGTTTCTGGCCCCCGACGGCCGCTTTCTCCTAATCTCCTGGGGAAATTCATGTTCGGTCTGTCCAGGTGCGGTGGTTGTGACAAGTCTGCTTTCTTTTCTTCTCTACCTTCTTTTCCGCCTGCTTTGGTTGCTTTCCTCTTTGACCTGATATCGTTCGAATGGAGGAATCGGTGGTCATGGCGAACCTACAACTCCCAGTCAAATAAAAATCGCAGCAACTATATTGCCATACTCATAGCATGCTGCTTTCCCAATGTGCCGACTCGATGGATCAGCCTTAGTGCAGATGCCTGTGCACTTCCTCATTGCTGTTGATGTATACTCCCACGTCTCGTTGCCGAGGGTTCTATATCCATGCTCGGTATCTTGCCATCTTGCCATCTAGGAATCGCTTTCCTCTTTCTATTGCCTTTGTACTCAGAATCTACCAATCAATCAATGTACCTTCTACTGCTTGTCGTCCACCAGTAGGATATTGAAATATTCTATGTCAGCAAATAGATTCTTAGGTTGACTCGATGAGTCCTAGAAGTTGGAAGTATCAAATCACATAGTTAAAGTACACAGTACATTTTGACACGACTTGAATGCCAAGACCATATGACGCGTTGTTTACCTCGTTCTCCCGCCGAGTTATGCATGTTTGTCCCTGTCGATCCCCCGTGGTTCCCGACTGTGTATATGCAAGGTTCTCTCATCAGAGAGGGGAAAGTAGCCAGCTAACGTACCTACCACAACAAACTGATTTCTCAATGTTATTGGTAGCTCCACATGCTTGTTGCCATATCGGATATTTGGCTCCTTACCTGAGGAATGTTAACGGGATAACCATCGGACTTGACTCAGGAACCTTCCACTGGGGGAGTCTAGATATATCTAACTACGTACCCGGACCTACTAACGTAGCTAAGGCATGGCCTACAGAATTGGGATCAGGGTAGGTAAGATTCGAAATCTACACAAGTGAAAACTACGTGATTACTCGTAACAGGCATGAAGCACATAGAATCAGTAAAATTTCCACTACCAGGATATCCCCATTTTCCCATTACAGCGCCCTAAAATAAAGTCGATAGAAAATGAAACACGACTGAAAAAAGAGAAAAAAAAAGACCGGGGAATATCAGACAAAAAAGTACAAATAGAGCGCCATGAAGAACAAAGCCAATCGAGCGGAGAAGTGGGCAGGCAGGGTCGGTTGTTGGTGTTCAGAATGTTAGCGCGACCTCACGCGGCACCAGGCCATCTTTTTTCGCATCATTTCAGGTGTTGATTTAGAGCTCGGCCTTGCCACCCTTCTTCTTGTTCTCAACTTTCAGGAGCAGCGCACGGTTGATGCGGGGCAGAACACCACCAAAGGCGATGGTGGCACGGATAAGGGTATCCAGCTCTTCATCACCACGGATAGCCAGTTGAAGGTGGCGAGGGGTAATGCGCTTGACCTTGAGGTCCTTGGCAGCGTTGCCAGCCAGTTCAAGAACTTCGGCAGTCAGGTACTCGAGAACAGCAGTGACGTAGACGGCAGCTAGGGAAGGGAGGTGTTAGCGACGGGATAGGCGGGGCGGGCCAAGTTTCAAGGGGCAGCGTACCCTTAGCACCAACACGCATCTTGTTCTGGGTGTTGTTCTTCAAAAAGCGCTTGACACGGCCACAGGGGAACTAAAGTTCACGTATGTTAGCGATCGCGCTACATTTGTACAGGTGGCGACTGGAGGGAAATCGCGTCTGGAAATAGGGCATGCGACCGCAAGGTTCAAGTTTGGAAGCCGAGATAGCCCCTATTGGAGGGACGAACTCGACGCGTCTTCGAGGGGTAAGCAGTTCCATCGACGAACTCATCGCACACATCGCATGATCACTCCCAGACACGACTATCCCTAAACCACCAGCAATGAGAGAGGTTCCGATGTGACTAACCTGCAGACCAGCCTTCGCACTGTGAGACTTCTGGGCCTTGCCCGCCGCATCACCCTTTCCACCCTTTCCACCGATCGACTTTCCCTTTCCGCCAGGCATTGTGAATTAGTTATGCGAACGCGGTCGCAAAGAAAGGTTTAGTAGAGGGAGATGAAAACCAAGACAATATGGCCCTGGTGTGGATGTGGAGGCGATTCAAAGTGTAGAAGAAACGCGCGTTGTTGATGGATGGAGAAGTCAGAATGTGCCAGGCCGGCTGAGCCAAAAAGACAATCTGACGCTAGTCCCAATGCGGAAACATCCCTCACACGTTGGCTGACAGCTTGGTATGAACCACCGAAGGACCATAGAAAGACCCTGACAAACTGGCTTTGATTAGTAGCTATGATGTATAAGCAGTAAATCTCCCTTCAAGAAATAGGGCTGGACCCATTGCTAGTTCCCCCTGGTGAGGAGACAATATCATGGGGCCAGCATGCCTTCATCCTGGATGTGAGTGCGATCGAGGCTCCTGGACGTATGGGTATGATCGACAAGTAAGAGTTTTGTAATTGCTATTGCCCAAGCTACTGGGCAACTTCAATTGGAGATAGTAGAGACCCATCAGTGTGGTGGTTGCTCATCTTTTGCAAATAAGCTGGTCGGGTTTGAAGCTGGACCATCACAGCTGGTATGCCATTGCCAGCAGTGGGAGGGTCATGTGACCCACTTGCCCCGAACAAAGCGAACAAAGCCCCGAAGGAATAGCGCGTCGGCCAAACTGATTTTCCGGCACCCTGGCCTTCCAGAAATGCCAGGTGGCCCGCGCCTTCCACAAGTTTTGTTCGCTATTCGCGCGATACATTTTCAAGACGACGATTCATCTATCTCGCAAAGTATCCGGCAAAATGGTGTCTCCTCAAATGTATGTTCGCACCAAGAGAAATTCTATCAATGATTCACTCTGTTCACAGAAACTAATAATGGTCGCACAGTACCAATCTCGCCATCATCTTGGTGATGATGCAGCTGGCCAAGAAGGTTCCTTTTGAGGATCCCCAGGTCTTGATGCTCGTGCGCGGCTGCTACATCCTGTCCAACATCCTCATCCTGGCTGTTCACCTGTATACACAGTTCAAGATCAACCAAAAGAAGGGTACGCTGACCCCGATCGCGTCGTTCCCATTGACTCACAGTACTGATTGAATATCTCTAGACATGACGACCCTCAAGTACGTTGAGCCCGCCCCGATGGGCAGCACCGAGGAACCTAAGCCGGTTACAACCACCAACATGGACTACGACAAGGGTCAGCTCCGCCAGTTGCTCCGCAGCCAGCTGATGGGTGTTGGTATGATGGGTGTGATGCACCTGTACATGAAGTACACCAACCCCCTCCTCATCCAGTCGATCATTCCCCTCAAGGGAGCCCTCGAGTCCAATCTCGTCAAGATCCACGTCTTCGGCAAGCCTGCCACTGGCGACCTTGCCCGTCCCTTCAAGACCGGTGGTGGCTTCATGTCCCAGGGTGGACCTAAGAGCGACAAGGCCTCCATTGAGGCTGCCGAGAAGAACTGGCGCGGCGGTGTCAAGGAGGAGTAAATGATATATCTTCTTGCTTTCGTGTCCTCAGCACAGCATAGGGTTACAATCGCATTTCCCACCCATGGTGGTGTTCGATGGCCGATCTGGATCATAGCACACTGTGTCCCGTCATCTCTCTTCATTGTACCATAATCCATAATTCCATCTTCCTGAATTCGGGCCCTCGTTGCTGGGATGCTGGGACCCTGAAGTGCCATTCTTAACCATTGTGTCCCCTAGGTGTCGTCTGCCCTACATGTACTACGTACGATGTAAATTCCGCTGTACCACTCACGTGTTGGGAGGTTGCGTCACTGATGTCTAGATCTGATTCCACAGCCTTACATGCCGAGATGGGCTGATCAGGTGTCACGTCGAACCTTGTCCTTGGGTGACATAGCTTGTGCCTTCATGGCCTTGTCCCGTTGGCTGCCTCTCAAATCGGATGAACGGCGCGGTGGAGGCAAAAGGGATTTCTAATCGAGTGAGATTGGGCGACTCTATTAGTCTTCAATCGTTCTCTTTCAGTCAAGAGCATAGGTAATTCGTTCGAACCCTATAGAAAGCATAGCCTCAAGAGAAACAATAATAAAAAAAGAAGAAAATTCTGCAGGATCCCGTGGCCCCCATGCATTGAGGTACCGGTGACTCCTTTCAGGGCGGAGGGAGCCACAACTTATATCGCCATACTCGATCCGTCCACCGCAGAGTGGCCCGCATTTGTAGATGTGAGAGAATGTACATCCAAGTACAAGGGGAGAATTAATTGAATCAATTCAATATTCTAGAACATATCTCGTTTGCCCTGTATCCTAGGTAATATACTATATATACTATACAAAATAAATTACCACAACTACCTCATACATAGCCGGGGATAACATGTCATAGCATCATCCATCTTGCCCCCCTCCTTAAGTTATAGCCCATTTCTAGTTCAATCACCTCGGTATTGCCCTCGGCTTGTACCTAATAGAACTGCTTATTATCGTGATCATCTCCTTGTACCCGAGTAGACATGAGATTTATGAGAGAAGCTCCGAGAAAGTCGTAGTCAGAACCCGAAGAGCGTGAGAGTGGTGAGTTCCTATTGGTCTATAGGAGCTAGTGAGGGGCACTGCAAGAGGATAATATCGTGACGCTTCCTGTTTTGCCCGGTGTATGAAACCGGAAATGGGGTTGCTGGGCAAACATGAAAGCGGCAGCAGTCGGGAAAAACAATTTCGAGCTCCGATCCGGGGAGTTGTACAGTCTTGTACCTACTGCGCCGCTGCGGTATCCGCTGCCCCTCCGTGTTCTCGGTGAGGGGTGATCTGTCCGTTGCGTCAGTCATCCATTTTTTGGTTAATACATATTGCCCCTCCCCCGATCTTTTTCCTTTCCTTCTTTTTCTTCTTCTCCCCATCTACTATTCAAATTGATTCTCTTCCCCTTTTAATCAATTTTACTACAGTGAGTTCTTCGGTTTTTATCATCGTCATACTACGACCTTATCTAACAGCTTCCCCAGTAACCGCAATTATGGTTGTCAAAGTCGGTATCAACGGTTTCGGTCGTATTGGCCGCATTGTAAGTTCTTCCATCGAGCATCGAATTTCATCAAGATACTAACAAGCCTCGCAGGTCTTCCGCAATGCGTAAGTCACGGCTTAGAGAAGGTCCAATGAGAAATCGTCTAACCATAGCTTATAGTATCAACGACCCCAACGTCGAGATTGTTGCTGTCAACGATCCCTTCATTGAGACCCACTACGCTGTATGTCGCCCCATCAACCCAACAATATACCATCACTATCTCGGTTGAGTACTAATTCTTAATCTGCTGAGTAGGCCTACATGCTCAAGTATGACTCCACCCACGGTCAGTTCAAGGGTTCCATCGAGGCTGCCAATGATGGTCTCGTTGTGAACGGCAAGAAGGTCACCTTCTTCGCTGAGCGTGACCCCGCTGCCATCCCCTGGGGTAAGGCCGGTGCCGACTACATTGTTGAGTCCACCGGTGTCTTCACCACCCAGGAGAAGGCCTCCGCTCACTTGAAGGGTGGTGCCAAGAAGGTCATCATCTCCGCTCCCTCCGCCGATGCCCCCATGTTCGTTATGGGTGTCAACAACAAGTCTTACACCAAGGATGTCAACGTCCTCTCCAACGCTTCTTGCACCACCAACTGCTTGGCTCCCCTCGCCAAGGTCATCAACGACAACTTCGGTATCGTTGAGGGTCTCATGACCACCGTTCACTCTTACACTGCCACCCAGAAGACCGTCGATGCTCCTTCCTCCAAGGACTGGCGTGGTGGCCGCACTGCGGCCCAGAACATCATCCCCTCCTCCACCGGTGCCGCCAAGGCTGTCGGTAAGGTTATCCCCCAGCTGAACGGCAAGCTCACTGGTATGGCCATGCGTGTGCCCACTTCCAACGTCTCCGTTGTCGACCTCACCTGCCGCATCGAGAAGGGTGCCACCTACGAGGAGATCAAGGCTGTCGTCAAGGCTGCTTCCGAGAACGGCGAGCTCAAGGGTGAGTTTTATCTTTTCTATGATGCTTCCACATGATCCTTTGTTAACATTCTATCTAATAGGCATCCTTGGCTACACTGAGGATGAGATCGTTTCCACCGATCTTAACGGTGATGACCGCTCCTCTATCTTCGATGCCAAGGCAGGTATCGCCCTTAACTCCAACTTCGTCAAGCTTGTTTCCTGGTACGACAACGAGTGGGGTTACTCCCGCCGTGTCGTTGACCTGATCACCTACATCGCCGGTGTGGATGGACAATAGGAATCAGGACAGCATTCTGGGGTCAGAAGTGTTCTTTGAGTGCTGTAGTAAGCAGTTTACCCCACAGCGTGCAAATATGGTTGCATTAAGGGTCCGCCTTGCGGGAAAAACCAGACAATAACGTCAAACAACTTGATAACGTCAATTAATGAAATGAAACGAAACATTTCCAGTTCACTGATCTCTTCAATTACACCTGGTAGACCGTAGTCTTAACTTTACATCAGATTGTGTATAAATTTGCTTTGCGCAATTTCAGTGCCGTATGTATGCATTTTATGGGCTATGTCACAGTCCTGATTCGCGTCCATGATTCCGAGTATGTAACGTCTCATCTACCTAGGCTATCGCATAATCGCAGTATGTTAACATGCACTCATACAATATGAAAATTTGGTTCCCGAGGTCGACGTCGGCATGTTGCTATTGTGATACGCTCTTTATGAAATCTCTACAGCCACTCAATGGCAGATGTGTAGCTTTTGTACGGAGTATGGATGTAGAAGCTGGAGTGATAAGCCCTCTGAAAGAGGCGTCCTTATCGTGCCCTTATCGCGCACGGATCTCCACCCACCGCAACACGCGCTAGTCCTCCGGATGGCGGTCACTACGGCGGTGAACACCACAATGTCGGGCAATAAGAAAGACTGGCCCAAAAGGGATCCAACACGCACATTGATCCATTTCCATTGTCACTCCTGCCCACCATATAGGTCTCTGCAATCTCGCTTTACTTCGAATACTCTTCATTCAACCATAATCCCTTACTTTGTACACTGTGTGTGTATTGCTGTTGACCTACTCGTCGGCAGGAAGTGCTTGTATACCATCGACGTGTGGCTTGTAAAAGCTACCTACACCTCGAGGTATTTATACCAAACTTGGTAGTCTTCCTAACAGCAGACAAGAAGTGGAACACTTGACCGGCTAGTCTTTCATACTTCGCCATACCAGGCGCATCAGGCAACTCAAGCAGAAGCATCAATTCGATCAATATCGGGTTGATATCAAGATTCAAGGTTGCGATACAGCCCAACGCGCCTGTTGTGGAAGCGCTTGGTAATGAACTCATAAGGGCCGAATTTGAAGTCAAAACGAGGGGTACCTGTGGTTTTCTCATCCACAATGGACGGTGACGATGACACAATCATGGGTGATTCCCACCTTCCTAATTTGAATTCCGCCACAGCTTTCACACCAAGCCATCGTCCGACACATTTGAACAATGAATCTAACCCCACGCTGGCTCCTTCTTTCATCTCGCAATCTGTTGCCTCTCCATCACCCAGCTCTGAGAAATCTCAACTTCGGGAGACCATCACCTCTACTCGCATCTCCCCTCCTGAAGGCGTGATTACCATCAGTGATAGTGCAAGCTCTGCTGCTGAACAAGCGTTGAAACGCGATAGTTCAATTGAAGCCAACTCGGACTGGTCGGAAGAAGACATGCCTAAGTCCGGTCTTCCCCTGACATCACTTGCCACAGGACTTTGTTATGATATTCGCATGCGTTACCACTGTGAGGTTCGCCCACAGAGTGATGTTCACCCAGAGGACCCCCGGCGTATCTACTACATTCACAAAGAACTTTGTAACGCTGGTCTGGTCGATAGTGCAGAATCGAGTCGACCTTTGGCGCCCAAGACCCTGCAACGGATCGAGGCTCGCGATGCGACCAGGGAGGAAGTCACTCTAATACATACCAATGCCCACTATGCATTCGTCCGGAGCACCGAAGGTTTGGCCTGCCACGACCTGCAATACTGGCTTGCAACTTTACTGACCTGAAGCATAGATATGCCCGACGAGGTGCTTATTGAGCTGGAGAAGGAACGCGATTCCATCTATTTCAACAAACTGACCTTCGGTGCCGCCATCTTGAGTACTGGAGGAGCCATCGAGACATGCCTGGCGGTCGCACAACGTAAGGTGAAAAATGCCATCGCCGTCATCCGTCCACCTGGTCACCACGCCGAGGACGACGCTGCGATGGGCTTCTGCTTGTTCAACAATGTATCTGTTGCCGCACGTGTTTGCCAAAATAAATTAGGAAACGCCTGTCGTAAGATCATGATCCTTGACTGGTGAGTACATTACATAGCCGCCCTGCCCGTCCACCCACACTGACTGTTGTGCTAGGGATGTTCACCATGGTACGCTGGAGAGTCAATGCTCCGTCTTTCGAGGATTGGTGCTCACAAATCACAGGAAACGGCATTCAGAAGGCATTCTACGATGATCCGAACGTTCTCTATGTTTCAATCCATGTCTACCAAGACGGCCACTTCTACCCGGGAGGCCCCGCAGGAGACTGGGATCACTGTGGCGAAGGTGCAGGAGTCGGAAAGTGAGTCAATGATCAAGCATATGAGATGACTATAAGCTAACGCTTCTCAGGAACGTCAACATTCCATGGCCCAATCAGGGTATGGGCGATGGCGACTACATGTTCGCCTTCCATGAAGTGGTGATGCCTATTGCACAAGAATTTAACCCCGACTTGATTATCAGTGAGATTACCCGAACATTCTAACATCGATAAGATCGTTATTGACACCAGAACAGTCTCGGCTGGCTTTGACGCTGCCGCGGGTGATGTGCTAGGAGGTTGCTTTGTCTCGCCGGCTTGCTATGCCCAAATGACGCACTTGCTCATGACTCTGGCCAACGGGAAGGTCGCGGTCTGTCTGGAGGTAGAGAGGATATTCTTTTCCGATAGCTTTTTGCCAATCTAACATTGACGCAGGGTGGATACAACTTCAAGTCTATCTCGAAGTCGGCTCTCGCTGTGACCAAGACCCTTATGGGAGAACCTCCCGAGCGTTTGACGAACAACATCCCCGCCACCTCAGCAGTCAACGCGGTCCGACAAGTGAGAAGCATCCAGTCCAAGTACTGGAGTTGTCTGTATCCCAAGACGCTCGCCCAGGCGCCACGCGGCGAGCGGCTTCATGGTAAGACCCATGGATCACTGATCAGGCAACAGAGCTGATGCCCTGTCTAGATATCCTGCGCCTTTACCAGGCGAGCCAGCTATATGAAAGCTGCAAGCTCGTACCACTTTGGATTTATCGCACTAGCATATCCAAGTCCTTTGAGAAACAGGTTCTAGCCAGGTAGGCTTCACCATTATATCTGAACGTTCTCGAGTACTCACCATCTGGCAGCTCAAATTACACCCAGGCCGTGCCACTCGTTGTCATCTTCCACGACCCGTAAGTGTTCTTGTGTTCTTCCAATCAGCCGCAGGTCGTATAGCTAACATTGTGTAGGCCCGAGATGTATGGACAAGGCCACTTTGTTACTAATAAGTTGGAGGCCCACGATGTCTGGGTGGTAGGTTATTGGAGATCAGGATTGAGATTACCTCCCTGCTAACACATTCAAAGGCCGATGCACTCAAGGAGTACGTTAAATGGGCTGCGAAAAAGGGTTACGCGGTGATTGATGTCAATATTCCCAAGCACGCAACTCGGGAGGGGGTAAGTCAACTGGTAGTCTCTTTACTGTGGGATAGCAGCTCATATCAGTGCTTTCAGGCTGCCGATCAATTCAAGAGCGTTAGTGAGGATGAGGACCGTTCGGCCGCCACCGAAGAGCTTGCCGGATACTTATGGGACAATTACATCGAGTGAGTCACAACCAACTAAACATCTACCGAGAAGGGTTGGGTTCATATTGAGCTAACGTGTTATCAAAGTGCGCACCATGCAACCGAGATATTCTTACTCGGCGTCGGCAACGCTTTCGTCGGCGTAGTGAACTTGTTGATGAACAGGGGTAAGCTTAGGCCAAACTACTCATGCTGTCCACGGCCGTAGCCTTGCTAATATCCGAGTAGAAAATCTCTACAAGCGTGTCAATGGCGTGGTCTCGTTCGTGTGTGAGAATCCCGTCAAGGCGGTCGCATCCAACACCCAGACTTGGCTTTCGAAGTGGTATCGCGAGGTATGTTGTTTACAATTTCCCACATTGGCGATGTTTCAACTCACATTCGTGTATTACAGAACTCCCTTATCTTTGTTTCAAGAACCCACGGCGTTTGGGACGTTGACCGCAAGCCATCCAAGCGGTACGGACAACTGATCCGATCTCCACGCACGGGACTGAATGACATGCTGGCCGCGCATGAAGAAGAAGTGTACAAATGGATTTCCGATCGTGCCGACCACGTGGATGAGGATACGGAGGAAGATTCTTGATTGATTTCCCAATGTTTCGGGCGAATGCCGACATCCCGTAGACTTCCTTGTCGGGACTCCTATGATGGTCTATTCGAGGCATTTCTATTCATAGCCTAATGTACCATGACATAGTTCGAAGCCACTGCATAACGATACAGCGGCTCACATGAGCTTGAAAACTAGCTGAACCATGGCTCCGCGCAAAGTTTCCCCGCAAACTAAAATAAGCCAGTAAAGGCGCTTTTGAACACACACACCACCACCAACTTCGCCACCAACAAAGACAAGCTGGTGTTAGGCAGATACCAGGTGCGAGATTCTATCGAAGAGTGATATCAGCACTTCTTTGATTTCTAGAGTGTGAAATATGAGACAGTCATGCTTGCTGTGACACACAACCAACCATAAGTCGAGGACCTAGTCATATTATGACCAAGGTACTGCCCACTGCAGACTAATCTGGAGACCTACAGCGTATAGATACTTTCTCGATGGAGCGTTGATCTGCATGTTGTCCCTGGGATGTAACGGTGTCTCACCTTTTACCCCAGAAACCCTGGCAGCGCACACCATGGTTCTGATCTATGCATGAAGACCGAGACCACTATTTCTTTCTCTCCGCTCTTGGCATGATCCAAATGTTCAAGTGATCGTGCGGTTCCACTGGAGCCATTCTCGCCCGCAACCGCATCTAGAGATTTGGTCGAAGCGTTCTGAGACATCGTATTCTTTTGTCTGCACCCATGGCTTGGTCTGTCGAGTTTGCCTCTACATGAAGCTTCAAGCGAATCTATCTCGGAACCTTCAGTGTGTATGACCATGCGATGCGGGGTTCTTTTACGATTTTACGAATTGTTGCCCCTCCGGGCCCTGTGGTGGATGGCCTGACCGCTGCCCAAGTGGCTCCAGTTCGTCAACAAGTTGCTTTGGGATGGAATGTCTCGGATTTGGCGGGTCAAGTATGATGCTTCCGAGGACTAACCCTCCAGACGGATCGAGTCTATACCTAGGTCGAATGAAAGAGCGAGACATGTTAGCATTGCGGTGTCCAACCCGCCAACAGAAAAGCTATATAAAGAGCCATCGATCCTTCCCGACAGAGATATCCTCCTCAGCACAATCAGACTTCAATTCATCGAAACATCAATACAATCCGATTCAAACATGCACTTCTCTACTGCAGTCATTGCCTCCGTTGCCGCTCTGGCGCCTCTTGCCAGCGCCGTCGGCAACGCTGTCGTGACCAACCACTGTGACTTCCCCGTCTATCTCTGGTCCGTCGGTGGCGGTATTGGCCCCAAGCAGACCATCCCGGCAGGCGGCAGCTACACCGAGAAATTGCACCACGACGATGCCTCCGGTGGTATCTCGCTGAAGATCACCACCGTCGACAACGGCCTGTACAATGGCAGCCCCCAGACCAACTTTGCCTACACTCTGGATCCAGGCACCGTCTGGTACGACATGTCCGATGTCTTCGGCGATCCATTCTCCGGCAAGACGATTGTCGTGCGGCCCACCGAAACGACCTGCTCGAAGATCTGCTGGCCACAGGGTGTCAACCCCGGTGGTAGCCAGACCAAGAGCTGCACCTCGGACTCGAGTATCAATCTGAACCTCTGTGCAGCTAAGTGCTAAGCGCTCGGCTCTGTGTGATATATGGTATATAACGTGGTTGAATATGATGGGGCCAAGTGCAACACGTGTGGGTGACAGTGGGTCTGACCAGCCGAGCTTGCAGGGGTAGCAGGGGCCAGGGGGAAGGGAAAGCAAAGCAGAGCCTCGACATGGGGACCAGTCAGTTGGCGTCACGGCGTGTATGTAGCTAATAATAAAGATTGAATACCATTTAATCAAGAGCTTCCCCCCCAATAGGTCAACACCTAGTCTGCCTTAGACCAATACGCCACCTTAGGTGATAGGGGCGCTTATTAGTTAGGGTTGGGGAGCCTATCACCGCCTTGGGTGAGCACCTGGGCAATATTCTCGAGCTCGGACTAGGCCTGATCGACCTAAGCCAGTCCCATTCCCTCGGTTGACTTTACAACACAATCCCCCTCATCTGTATAAGTTTACGACAATATACATATCCCTCCATACATCTATATATACACGGCTTCGTGTTTGGATTCTTTGGAATTCCTGACCGCATTGACCTTATCAGTCACGTCATTGCCTCTCCCCTTGGCAACTGAATGCCTCCAAGGTCCTCCTGTGCAGCAAACCTGTGTCACAAAGGTCTCATTCACAGCTCAACTCGTCCTTATCCCGATTTGTTGTCGCGACTTGCTGGGATCAGCCTCCGTTCCATACCCGTACCTTTTCCGATCCTTTCTCCTCTGCATTGGTCCCGCCGCTCATCCTCTCATTCCACCCCTCACTCTACCGCCACTCCCTCAATCATGGCCCAGGTCGAGCGTATCACAGAGAAATTGGAGAAGCCAGAACTTGATGATCGTTCATATCGGGTCATTCGTCTGCCGAACAAGCTCGAGGCCCTTTTGGTCCATGATCCGGACACCGATAAGGCCAGCGCGGCGGTAAACGTCAATGTTGGCAACTTCTCCGATGAAGATGACATGCCTGGAATGGCTCATGCGGTAGAACATTTGCTGTTCATGGGCACGAAAAAGGTAATTCAACGGCCTATCGATACGTGTCCAGCTGAGATGAATGTTAATTGAATTGCCGAGGCTTAGTACCCCAAAGAGAATGCATACAACCAATACCTCACATCCCATTCCGGCTCGTCGAATGCCTACACAGCTGCCACCGAGACGAACTACTTCTTTGAAGTGTCTGCCACGGGTGACTCTAGTACCCCCAAATCCAGCGGAGACAGCACCCCTGCCGAGACGACAAACGGAAACAACGGTGTTTTGGCAGTCGAGAATGGGGCAGAGGGCAAATCGCCTCTCTACGGTGCGTTGGACCGATTTGCTCAGTTTTTCATCGCCCCGCTTTTCCTTGAATCAACTTTAGATCGGGAGTTGCAAGCGGTGGATTCCGAAAATAAAAAGAACCTCCAGAGTGACCTGTGGCGCTTAATGCAACTGAACAAGTCCCTCTCAAATCCTAAACATCCTTACAGCCACTTCTCCACTGGTAACCTGCAGACCTTGAAAGAGGATCCTCAGAAACGCGGTCTGGAAGTGCGCAGTGAGTTTATCCGATTCTACGAGAAGCACTACTCGGCCAACAGAGCGAAGTTGGTTGTCCTGGGTCGAGAGTCTCTGGACACTTTGGAGCAGTGGGTCACCGAGCTGTTCTCTGGTATCGAAAACAAGGATCTTGCTCCGAACCGCTGGGATGATGTACAGCCCTTCACCGAGAAGGACATGTGCACCCAGGTGTTTGTGAAGCCGGTCATGGAAACTCGCACCATGGACATGTATTTCCCCTTTCTCGACGAGGAGGAATTGCATGATACCCAGCCTAGTCGGTATATTAGCCATTTGATTGGCCATGAGGGTCCTGGCAGTGTTTTGTCATACCTCAAGGCCAAGGGATGGACCAATGGCCTGTCTGCAGGTGCTATGCCTGTCTGCGCTGGGGCGGCATTCTTCACCATTTCCGTGCGCCTGACCCCCGAGGGTCTGAAGCAGTACCAGGAGGTCGCAAAGGCGGTCTTCGAGTATATCGCCATGATCAAGCAGCGTGAACCAGAGCAGTGGATCTTCGATGAGATGAAGAACCTTGCCGAGGTCGATTTCAGGTTCAAGCAGAAGACCCCCGCCAGTCGGTTTACCAGCCGCCTGTGTAGTGTCATGCAGAAGTCCCTCCCCAGGGAATGGCTACTGAGCCAGTCTTTGTTGCGACGCTTTGATCCTGAGCTGATCAAGAAGGCACTCAGCCATTTGCGGGCCGACAACTTCCGCCTACTCATTGTGTCCCAGGACTTCCCGGGCACGTGGGACCAAAAGGAGAAGTGGTATGGTACTGAATACAAAGTGGAGAAGATCCCACAGGAGTTCCTGGGTGGGCTCCAGAAGGCCCTAGAGTCGACCGAAGCTACCCGCACCTCCGACGTGCATATGCCTCACAAGAACGAATTTGTGCCGACCAGACTCTCAGTAGAGAAGAAGGAGGTTGCTGAGCCAGCCAACTTCCCTAAGCTGATCCGCCATGATGAACGAGTACGGTTGTGGTTCAAGAAAGATGACCGTTTCTGGGTGCCCAAGGCCACTGTCGAGGTAACGCTTCGAAATGCTCTGGCATGGACCACACCCCGCAACCTCATCAAGACGAAGCTTTACACCGAGTTGGTGAGAGACTCCCTAGATGAGTACTCCTACGACGCCGAGCTTGCTGGCTTGGGCTACCATCTCTCGGCCACGTCCACGGGCTTGGATATCTCCGTGAGCGGATACAATGACAAGATGTCTGTTCTATTGGACAAAGTACTCAATACCATGCGCGGACTGGTAATCAATCAGGACCGTTTCAACATTATCAAAGAGCGCTTGACGCGGGCATTCCGCAATGCCGAGTACCAGCAGCCTTACTACCAAGTGGGCGATTATACTCGGTATCTTCTTGTCGAGCGAGGCTGGGACAACGAGCAATTCCTTGAGGAGCTGCTGCATGTTGAGTGCGAGGATGTGGCGAAGTTCTTCCCCCAGCTGCTTGAGCAAACCCACATCGAAGTCCTGGCTCATGGAAATCTATACAAAGAGGATGCTCTGCGCATGACAGACTCCATCGAAAAGGTCCTTGGAGGCCGCCATCTTCCTCCGTCGCAGTGGTACATGCGCCGCCACGTGACCCTCCCTCCCGGTTCTAACTATGTCTACCCGCGGACTCTTAAGGACCCGGCCAATGTCAACCATTGCATCGAGTACTATTTGTACATCGGACTCTTCTCTGATGATGTGTTACGGTCGAAGCTCCAGCTATTTGCGCAGCTGACTGACGAACCTGCATTCGACCAGCTTCGTAGCAAGGAACAGCTCGGATATGTGGTGTGGAGCGGTGCGCGCTACAACTCTACCATTCTCGGCTACCGGGTCATCATCCAAAGTGAACGCCCGGCACAGTATCTTGAATCACGCATTGAGAGCTTCCTGAGCGGGTTCGGCCCCATCCTCGAGAACATGCCCGAAGAAGAATTCGAGGGTCACAAGCGCAGTGTCGTGAACAAGCGTCTGGAAAAGCTCAAGAACCTGGGCTCCGAGACCGGCCGATACTGGTCGCATATCGGATCCGAGTGCTTTGATTTCCTGCAGCACGAAACCGACGCAGCCAACGTGCGCACTTTGACCAAGGCCGACCTTGTTGCCTTCTACAGGCAATATATTGATCCCTCTTCGACGACCCGTGCCAAACTGGCCACCCACCTTAACGCCCAAGGCGCGCAGTCTGAGAACAAGACAGCTGAACAGCGGGCCGCTCTTGTCCAAGCCCTGAGCAAGCAGCTCGAAGCCGCCGGCTTCACTGTGGATGCTGCTCGCTTCGCAACAGCATTCGAGGAAGTTGAGACGACAGTGGTGGACAAGTCACAGGTCCTCTTCATTGTGAAGAATTTCCTGGCTACGGAGTTGAGCCAGTCCACACAGCAGATAGAGCCTGTTCTCGAGAAACTAGAGCAGACTCTTGGTGCCCAGTTGAAGGGGCTGGGACTCGGCTCTAGCAGTGATAAGCAGAGCGTGACCAATGGCTCTGACAAGGCTTCGACTCCCTTTGTTATTAGCGATGTGCCTAACTTCAAGGCGAGCCTGCCTATCAGCACTGGTCCTGTCCCAGTGGTGGACCTCAGTGTGTATGAGGATTTTGATGCCAAACTGTGAACAGCATACATGCGGAGTGGTTCGGTGTTGATTGGTTACATGCAAGAGCTGTGATATTTGTCATTGGGGAGTAGGGATATAGTGTATTCCGAGGATTGTCACAATATTGAATAATTAGAGAATTAAGTACTATTCAAACAAGACCAAGCATAAGAGCTGAACTTTGCTACTAGGCAGTCATCTAGAGTGCTGCAAAAGGCGTTAGTCAACTGGCCAACAACAAACAGGAACGGGACGTCGGACAATCCTTAACCCGTGACGTCCCAAAGGCGGTCAACAAAAAGGTCCCACATCTCTGTTGATAAGGCGATAAGTGGTTGAGATCGCCTTCGTCAACTACAACTAACACACAACATGGCCACTGAATCAGGAGAAGCTCTTCAGAGCAGTATCCCGTAAGGCCCCCGTCCTTTCTTTTGATACTGCTGCTTTGATGATGCAGCTTCGGACTCTCGGAACAAGCTGATACGATAACTCTAGGCCCATCCTCCCCAAGGACTTCTCCGCACAGCAGCCGGAGACAATCCGCCTGTATCCTTTGTCAAACTACACATTCGGCACCAAGGAGACACAGCCTGAGGAGGACCCCTCTGTTTTGGCCCGACTGAAGCGTCTTGAGGAGCACTATGGTCTTCATGGTATGCGACGCACCTGTGAGGGAATCTTGGTTTGCCATGAGCACAACCACCCCCATGTGCTGATGCTACAGATTGCCAACGCTTTCTTCAAGCTGTATGTATCTGCTCCCATCTGGGTGCCCCTCACCAAAATCAATTGCTAATAGTTCTCAGGCCAGGTGATTACCTGCAGCACGACGACGATGAAATCGAGGGTTTCAAGAAGCGATTGAATGAGCGCCTTGCGCCTGTCGGCTCGCAGTTTTCTGGTGAAGGTGTCAACTCCGACTGGGAAATTAGCGATACTCTTGCGCAGTGGTGGCGCCCGAACTTTGAGACCTTCATGTACCCGTTCCTCCCGGCACACGTTACGCGCCCGAAGGAGTGCAAGAAGCTGTACTTCATTCGTCTTCCGAAGAAGAGTGAGTCCTTATCCACTGTGAGATTCTGTCAGATGAATGTGGCTAACACAATTTAAATCTTCACAGAGGTCCTTTCGGTCCCCAAGAACATGAAGCTTCTCGCTGTGCCTCTCTTCGAATTGTATGACAACACCGCTCGCTATGGACCCCAGCTTTCAGCGATCCCACATTTGCTCTCACGATACAACTTTGAAATGGTTGACGAGAATGACAACGTCGTCTCGGTGACTCCTGGCACTCCCATGGCCAACGGTGTGCCTCTCCGCACCCGGGTTCTTGCCGGTGGTGAGCCTAATGACACTAGTATGGATGGTGTTGAGGAGGGTATGAAGATCGAATCTCACCACTAGTGGGGAGTGGCCTTCACTGAACCTCAAGCGCTTACCCAGCCTATCCTCCGTTCAGGACTGCATGTCCGGGCCTAGGCTATGGCTGGCGGCAATGATAAACAAGTTACGGTTATGACTGGCACCGAGGAATATCAAGAGCAGGCGTCTTCCAACAATTCGGCGGTGAAAAAGAACGAACATACCCCCAGAAGCAAGACTAACATGAGCACGGAGATGGGAATGAAACAGCCTGCTCACTAATCAGTTCTACTCAAATGATCATCCCATCTTCCAATTCATTACCCCATATGGAGTAGTTGATCTTGATACCGTAGTCCTCTGATATATTGGATCATAGACACCATTTCGCGACCTAGGGGATACGAACAGCTCAACACTCAAAGTGCATGAGACCATGTAAGAGCCGGGACACGATGGAAATGCCAAGCAGAACTAAAGACAACTAAAAAATGACAACCGTGATAACTGTGTCCGCCTAATATGCAAAGTGCCCAATCCTGTCTTCATGGAGAGATTATCACATGGAGGATAATCTTCGGCGGTTCGACTCCGTCCGTTCCCTGCAAGGCACACCCCCTCACGATCGATATCTTGAAGAAACGCCTTACCCCGCCACACTCAGCCATGAGCCATACAGCTCGGAGTAGCCGATGCTCACGCGGGATAGGTTACATTCTTGCATAACAGTTGCATGAATTCCATGTCGATCCCACCGGAATTCCACCGGTCACGCGTGAAATATGCGCCCTGAGGCCGGAGATAGATCTTACTGGGGAATATCGTACTTGGCGATTGCTTTATGCAATGCACAAACGGAACTATACCCCGCTCAAAGGAGCTGTGAGGAGTTGCGAGAAGCTGCGACTCATGCCACATGGAGGTCCTGAGGATCTATATAGATCCACAAATCGCCGAGCATACATAAGGAGCTGTATCTGCGCAGCTGCTCCTGACTGTGTGTCTCTGTGTGTGTGCGTACTCGCTCATCTAGGGAGCCTTTAATCTGAAAGAGATCTGTTATCCATGATGCGTCTTCTTGCTCAGCTTTCAGGTGTTGCTGCCCTTGCAGTGTTGGCGGTTGCTGCTCCGGCTCGCTGGGTTCCCCGAGGTATGAGATCTGTCTTGTCTTATTCTTCTCATTGCTCACGCAAACAATAGATGTATCCTCTGATCTGCTTGCTCAGTTGACCCTATACTCCCAATGGGCTGGAGCTTCATATTGCACCAACAATATCAACTCGACCGGCGATGCACTCTCTTGCGAGGAAGGCAACTGTCCCTTAGTCGAGGCTGCTGATACAGAAACTCTCTATGAGTTTGATAAGTATGTGCTAGCCTTGAATTTCATGTACAAGATCCTGTTTACTAAACACCGGTAACAGGTCCTGCAGCTATGGCAATGTGGCAGGCTTCCTCGCTGTGGACAGGACAAACCAGCTCCTCGTTGTCTCCTTCCGTGGCAGTCGCACCCTAAGCACCTGGCTCGCGAACATCAACTTCGATCTCACAGATGCCAGCAGCCTATGCCCTGGCTGCGAAGCGCACGATGGATTCCTGCAATCCTGGGAGACCGTCGCAGACGATCTCACGGCTAAGATCGCTGCCGCGCAGGCCACATACTCGGGCTACACGCTCGTTCTAACCGGCCACAGTTTCGGTGCCGCCGTTGCAGCATTGGGTGGTACAGCTCTGCGAAACGCGGGATATGCTCCAAATGTGGTAAGTAGCGAGATGAACCCAGCCTTGATCCAGATTTACTTACATGAAACTATAGTATTCGTACGGCCAGCCACGTGTGGGCAACAAGGCATTGGCTACGTATATCACGAACCAGGGTAGTATCTGGAGAGTTACGCACACCGAGGACCTTGTGCCCAAGTTACCACCTGCGGCTGTTGGATTCAGCCACTCCAGCCCGGAGTACTGGATTACCAGCGGCGACGATGTGCCGGTGACAGCGTCTGATATCGAGGTCATTGAAGGCGTTGGCTCGAGGGATGGCAATGCAGGGACGTTGAGTCCTAATGTCGATGCACACAGTTGGTACTTGGGGCATATTACTGCATGCCAATAGGTCAATGTTGGACAGGACAAGGTCAGATGTATATGGGATCTTATGAAGTTATGTTATATATACCAGTTTATACCTACAAAGCAACACATTAACAACTGAATAGTTAACAGGAAGCAGTACTCTAGGTACCTATCAGATGTAGTATGTTGTGTTGTTACTTGTTGCATACTTATCGCTGTACTGGGGTGATTCTTTAGGGCAACGAGATAGACCATTGACTTGTTTCTCTCATCTCCAATAACAGTATAACTGCACATACTCTCTACTCTATTACTATATATTCTACACTCTACACTCTACATACTTTACAATACTGCTTTATGTATTTATTAGTGTCACCTGATGTAGATGATGTAGCTCGACTTCTCCCTTCCCCACGGTGGAGACTTTTCGATCTGCCCGAACTGTCCACTTTCACCTCCCCAATGAACTTGACCACTGGGCATCGCGCCCTCCATCCACCATGTTGTTCGCTCCTAGTGGGCCCCAGGGTCCCCGTCGCCGCAGTCGATTGAAGGCTATCTTTATCACCATCTTTATCGTCCTCGCCATTTACCTGATATTCTTCCCTACCAAGGCCACCGTCAATACCGACACCTATGCCCAGCAACATGCAAAGACGGATGAGCTGGCTCATCCCGAATCAAAACACAAGACTATGGTTGTCGCCAGTATGAAACATGACGACACGTCGTGGTTGACCGAGTACTTCCCCGACTGGCCGAAAAGTATCTACGTGGTGGACGACAAGCACGCGCGATTGACAGTGACGCGCAACAAAGGGCGAGAGTCGATGGTATATTTGACGTGAGTCCGACATGCGAGAATACCTTATCCCATACACGATACTAACTCGAGCTACTGAACCAGTTACATCATCGATAATTACGACAACCTACCAGAGACAATGCTCTTCATTCACTCCAAGCGCTATCAGTGGCACAACGACGACCCATACTACGACGGCGTGCCTCCCCTCCGCAACTTCCAGATCCCATATCTACAAGAACAAGGATATGTCAACCTCCGATGTGTTTGGACCCTTGGTTGCCCGACAGAGATCCGTCCTCTGACGGATACACATCGCAACGACGTACACGCAGGCGAATACTTCAAAAATGGATTCATGGAGCTGTTCCCGGGAACCCCAATCCCCGAGGAGGTGGGCGTGTCCTGCTGTGCGCAATTTGCCGTTTCCCGGGACAAAGTGCTCGAACGGCCGCTCAGTGACTACGAGCGCTTCCGCACTTGGCTGTTGAACACGCCGTTGCAGGATGATCTGAGTGGACGGATTATGGAATATTCATGGCATAGTATGTGTTTCCTGTCTCGACCATAGCTTGTGATTGAATGCTAACTTCTGGTCCAGTGATCTTTGGAAAGGAGCCTGTACATTGCCCTAATGCAGCAGAATGCTACTGTAAAGTGTTTGGACTGTGCGATCTAAACTGCCCGTGGGAGGGCGGCTGCGATGATCGCTATGCCCTGCCACCATTCTCCTCGCTACCTAAGGGGTGGCCGAATGTTGGGTGGAAGGGTCAAGCACAGGACACTTCGCATGGATTACCTGAAACTTGAACTTGGTCATGGGATTTTGACACCAATTCTACGCGTTCCGCGTCTTCCCTTCTGTCTACAGTCTCGGGGGCAATGATTCGACGTGCTTGAGCGTATGCGCTCTCTCGCAGTTCTTCTGCTATGCCGCACGCCGATATTCGTCGGTCGCTCAGAGTCAGATCGCGACCGACAAAAGGATTTCTCTCTGAAGATTGATAGGTACAATCGAATATATAGCGAGATAATTTCTGAGCTAGGAAGAAATGTCATCAGTGCCTTCAGTCTCATACTATCAAGACGTCACTCTCTGTAAAGCGTCATGCGGGCCGAGGCTATTTAGCTCCCCGCATTCGATCTTAACTCTACTCCGTACAACTCTCCAACTGCCGTACTCCAACTCACCTACAACCTCCCACCAAAATGTTGATCATCGGACTCACCGGCTCAATAGCAACGGGCAAATCCACCGTTTCAACCATCCTCTCCTCACCCCCCTACTCCCTCCCCATAATCGACGCCGATGTTCTCGCCCGCAAAGTAGTCGAACCCGGCACCGCCGGCTACAAAGCAATCGTCAACTACTTCGGAGCCAGCACCCCAGACCTACTACTCAACGATGCACCAGACACACCACACGGCAAACCCCTCAACCGACCAGCACTCGGCCGCCGAGTCTTCGGCAACACCGAGGAGCGCAAACGCGACCGCCAAGTCCTAAACGGCATCGTGCACCCCGCCGTCCGCTGGGAAGTCTACAAAGCGCTAATCTACCACTACCTGCGCGGACAATGGGCCGTCGTGCTAGACGTGCCACTCCTCTTCGAGAGCGGAATGGATCTGATCTGCGGGACGGTGATAGTGGTCGGCGTTCACGATCCGGAGATCCAGATGGCGCGTCTGCGGGCGCGGGATGCGCATTTGACAGCCGAGGATGCGGAGAATAGGGTAATGAGTCAGGGGGATGTGCGGGTCAAGGCGACGCAGGCGGAATTCAGAGGGACGGGGACTGCGCGGGGCGTGGTTGTTTGGAATGATGCCGATAAGGCGGAGTTGGAGGTTGCGGTCAAGGAGGCTATGGGGAGTATTTCGGCGTCGAGTCCGAGGTGGTGGGCTTGGATTTTGTTGGTTGTGCCGCCCGTTGGGGTTGGGGTTGCGGCTTGGAATTTGATTGTCAATTTTGCGACGCAGAAGGGGTGGGAGAAGAAGAAGCGGGAGGAGAAGTCGAAGCTTTAGCTTCCACTTTGAAGATATGTTCTACTACTGTGCTATGTCTTTGTGCAGGACTGTACATATAATGCTTAACCTGACTCGGGCTCACTGAGTATCATTCGAGCTGATTATACAGACGAAGACCAGAGAGAGTGTCTATTCAGGTGGACGCTCAAATTTACCACGTCCTGTAGTATAAACAGGGTATATACATCATCACGGTTCGAGACGAGCCTGGACCTACAGGTAGGTCAGGTGATTGTTGGTAAGAATAGTGATAGTCACTGTAAATCGATGGACTCCAAACCCCAAGACGCCTTGCATGCAGTGTTCAAACGCCAATCCAAAAAATTCCAGTTCATAGCCAAGTACCGTGGAAGATCAAGCATCATAGCTCTTGCGCTTCTTCTTCTTCTTGTCAGATGACGGTGCTCCCACCATCCGACTTCGGCCAGATCCAGAGATGCTGGTGAGGTCAGAGAGCTTTGGGCCTTGGCGTGCTTGCTTGTATCTTCTGAGCTTGTCTTTTTGCATTTTCTCAATTTCCTCCGGATCCCCTGTATTCATGATCGTCTGTTCTTCCTCGGTATACTGTTCCCCAGTTTCCGCAAATACTTCCTGTAAGAAATGAGTATATAACACCAACCCAAATGAGAAAGGTACTGACCTTGCGCTCCTTGCGCTTGAAGTTTCCAAACGCCCGTCGTCCACCGCAGCCCTGGTCCTCTGCGTCCAACGAGTCTGCCGCTAACACAAGAGGTTGTTTGGTGGCCTGGGGCGCAGGGGGAACGTCCAACACCCAGTGGGTCTCACCAGCCTCTGCAGCTGCTCGGGCCAGGGCCTGCTGTCGCTTTTCCTCCTCGGCCGCAAGCGCAGCTGTGATCGCTTCCATATCGGAGGCACGAGGACTCTCGGCTTCGGTGGACAGACGCGGGCGTTTAGATGTGTGGGAAGTGGGCTCGGAAGGAGGAGTTTGACTTTCTTTCGAAGCTGCAGCGCGTCGCATGAACTGTACAATATTGTTAGCTGCAAGCCTGTTTGATCAGGAACCTATTAATCTTGCCTTCATGGTCAATAGATTGGACGACATGGTCTTTCCGGGCTTCCCAGCCGGCGATGCCGGGGATGCCGAGGAGGACGGGGATAACGGAGGTAAAGAGTCAGACATTGTAGGACAGTAGGAGTAGACGAAGTGTGCAATCTCGTCAGAATTAAAGAACAAAGGTCTCAAACACTTTCTCCAGTTCTTGACGCAAATTAAAATGTTGCGGCAGAAAGTGCACGAGGTGGAGCTATCTAGAAAGAGCAGGCGGTCGCCACCCACCAAACCACACCTCGCGGATTATTCAGTGCCGGTTGCACCTGGTCGCTTGTCAACGCTCTTTTTGTCCTCTGTCCTAATCAACCACCCCGGAGAAACCTGCCCAGTATGATGTCCTGTGGCCGCAGACTCACGACCTTTGCGTCGGTCCGCCCGCGCTTCGTCGTTCGCGCCTACTCCTCGACCGTGCCCCGTCTGAACGGTTCTACTGAAGCCAACGACCCGACCCCGCGGAAGCCCGTGCCGAACGTCTCTGCTACCAATGCCACCCCTGTCGACTCTTTCGGAGCAATGGATGCTGCCCTCCAGGAGACACCCGAAGTCGGCGAGCGCATCCGGAGCATGCAGGCCCCGAACCGGGCTACCACCTGGGCGGCCAGCCAGCAGCCGCGCGAGAAGGCCATGGTTGGACCCCGTTTCGAGCAAACCATCATGGAAGCGCAGGTGCGGATTTACTGAGACTAGCAATGCCTATGCCATTGGCAATGGTAGGCAATGCATATATCGAGATCTATGACTGACTTCTACTTAGCCGCAACCATATGCCGCTATCGACCTCATTCACAGACAGCCCGTCCGCTGGACAAAGTCCAAGGTTGTCAGCTGCGATGGTGGTGGTGGCCCTCTCGGCCACCCCAAGGTCTTCATCAACACCGACAAGCCCGAGATCGCTACCTGCGGATACTGCGGCGTTCCCTTCGTACGTCCTTTCTTCCCCCGCTCTTATTGGATATCTTATTAACGTTTGTTCAGGCCCACGAGCAGCACCGCGCTTACCTCAAGTCCCTGCCTGCCACCAGCTACCCCCTTGAGCCCACTGGCGATGCCGCCGAGGTGAACGAGTCCCAGCGTGTGACAGAGGGTGGCTTCGAGCAGCGATAGACTAGCATGAGATTTCTTTATCGGCGTTGAACACTTTTGCGTTTGTGTGATTTTGGGCCCGAGGCCATGTACAGAATATCGATGAATGGATCCGCCATTTGATCGTGTGATGATGGTATTGTTCTCAAAATATGTACTATTTCGGCCACTTCCGAGGTTGCATCTGATTGATCTCATATAATGAAGGTCATATGTCGACCGTCTAGCAAGCCCAACTTCTTTCGATCTTGTATCGTAGCCAAGGCTTAGATAAATCACAATTGTCCACGCTCGGCCCCCAGTCAAGCCTTCTGCCCTTGAATTGTCGCGACGACCTTGCGGCTGTGTCGACTCGTCCGGAACTCCAGGTACCAGATACCCTGCCACGTTCCTGTCGCCAAGCGACCGTTTGTGATAGGGATATTGACCGAGGCGCCAATGAGGGCCGATTTAATGTGAGCCTGTTCCGATTTAGTACATATTCCCCAAGTCCAAGATCTAGCCAAAGCTATACTCTGATAGCGAGCATAACATTGTCCCAAATACTGTAGATACATACCGGCATATCATCCTCTCCCTCAGCGGAATGACGATACAGATTTCCCTTTTTATCCATAGGCGCAATGCGATCGAGTGCATCGCTCATATCGGCGCGAACATCGTCATCCCAGTTCTCGTTTAGCGAAAGGGCACAGCTGGTGTGCTGCACGAACAGATTCAGCATGCCGATTTTGTAGTCGCGGATCTCGGGGACTTCTTGGAGGACATGGTCGGTGATGAGGTAGGAGCCGCGGCTGCGGGTGGGGAGGGTGAAGTTCTTCTGGGTCCAGGACATGGTGGAATTTGGGGGAATTGAGGGAGATGGTATAGTTGAGTATGCTGAGTATGCTGTTGAGATAGAGGGGAAGAAAATAAGAGGGATGTGGGGTTGTCTGATGTCATCCTTATCGGAGGACGTACTTGCCTACTTGGACACCTCAACATCTTTACAACATAGTAAATATGAGAACCTATGGGATTCACGCAGAAAATGGCTCCCTCGGTTGAATCTATGTCTCTCTTTCCACCTAGTTGTTACAATGCAGAATGCCTCAGAAGAAGAGCATTGTCAATTTGTCATCCATGACGGGGACAGGAGACCATGAACTATACAACGTCTTGCTTACGACCAAGCCTGGGAAAGAGGGACGATTATCTACAGATGCTGGTATAAGTATCTGAAGATGACGACTCCTACGATGCGGTTGGTCACTGTCTTGCAACACATTTTTATCGGGAAATGATGCTATTTTGCTATCTTTTTGGGGAAGGGGGGATTCAATACCTCTGCTTCGGATGGACGGCGATATGTCACTAGTTCCTGTTCCATGGGATTAACATCCTCAGTAAGATACCTAGGGTCTGTTGGGCCTTACCCCAAACAAATACCTCATAAGTCAAAGGAATGACCCGTTGACTCGGGGGATGACTGCCGGAAATTTGTGGACTTCTATTCCGAAGACTCATTCGAGACAGGGAAGAGCGGCAACTGTCATGTATGCCGGAATAGTTTTACGTTCGATCTATTGGCAGAACATTGAACGATTCTTTGGACCAACCTAAGTTGACCCCGACTTTGCTTCCGGCCCGGCCCGCCCTGAACAGGCATCTTCATCGAGTGGGGCCTCCGCTGCTGGGGCTGCCTTGGCGGCCGTATGAAGTATACTCTCACTCTCTTCAAGAGCTGGTTGACCCCAGCCTTTCATCCATTCCGAGTGCAATACCTGTTGTGCAGTGGCTCTATCCCCGGGCCGGAAGGTCAACATCGAGCGAATCATCGCCTCAAATTCCCTGCTCTCGCTCTCCGTCACGACCTCCATGCCCGCCTCGGCTCGAGGCTTCTGTATGCTGTAGCCAAACCTCATATTCCAGGTCTTGCGCACGGTATCATGACTCCTAGCTGCCCCACCGACTTCTCCCTCTTCGTTAAACCATTCAGACCTTTTATCCCAATTCTTCCACCACTCAGTGGGCAACATGCCGAGAAGTTCGACATGTTCCGCGGTGACACGATCAGCGGTTGCCCAGAAAGCGTCAAACAAAGGTCGCTGGCCGAAAATCTCGAAAATAGTGCAGGCGAGTGTCCAAATGTCCGAGGGAAAGGAGAGAGGCTCATCAGAGAATCGAGCCTCGGGTGGCTGGAGGAGAGGAAGAGTCCTCGAAAAAGACCTAGGCGTTTTATAAGGGTTGAAAGATTCCCCCAAGTCGCTAAGGAAGATTCTGTCCTTTCCAAGAGTAATCTCATTGCCGCGAACGCCAAACCAGCCTGGAATAAAGACATGTTCAGGTATTCCATTTGGTAACGGCATCCCATCGAGACGAACAACGGCCTCTGACTCAGGCTCTCCAAATTTCTCGTATAGTTCCGACGTGGAATAACGATCGATGGATTCGGGAAACTGGACTAGAATGTTACCTAGATGAAGGTCTTGGAAGAAGTCGAGGTCAGCTAGGCTATCCAGCTCAATCCATTTATCAGCTTCACATACCGCCGTGTACAATATCGTTACTATGTAGGAAGGCCACCCCACGAATGAGCTGAGCGATAATTGACTGCGCAACTTTCGGCGGGAAAAGACAGCAAGTCGAAGCCTCTTTAGCATCGGACAAACTCATCTGTGCGGGTGGAGTGACGATGCACTTGTGCTTCCCATTAGAGCCAGTGACCCAGAATTCGTCGAGAAGGGGTGGAATAATTCCCCGGCCCGGTGTCGACGGTGAGTTCCCAAGATAATGCATAAGACTAGCCTCAGGTGTAGAAGAACTGGCATCGGCGGTAATCGCCTTCAATGCCACGTATCTATCCATTCGTAGATCACGGGCTAGCCATATAGTCGAGTATCCTCCGTATCCAAGCTTGTCAACTAGTTGATACCGGCCGCCATTCAGGGCGTCCCCAATTGTTAAAGGGTGATACCCCCCAGGACAGTAGTTGTCCAAATCTTCGATGAACTCGATAAAGCTGTACTGGGTCTTACCAGGTCCCGTGGTCGACGGTCCAGATCCACTGGATCTGTTTGTATCGTGGCTCATTTCATCTGCTTTCGAGGTGTAAGTGGACATAAATGGCGTCTTGCGGACAGGCGGATGATTTGAAACAAAAGCGCAGACTGGTCGTTGAATACGTCGGGCTTTAATGTAAGTACGTGCCAACATATGCTGGGGTTGCGCAACTTCCAGTGCAAGATCGGTCTCGCGTCGCGCGTTGGTGTCTTGGCTTGCCACGAAATCGATCTAGTCAATCTCGGCATAAACTGGCGGACTTTTAGATGGCTGGCGGCTGCAAAAGTTGAGATATTCGGTTTAGATGAAGAATCAGGGATTTTCAATGAGACATAAAATAAGTGCAGTTGTTAAATAATGTGTTCCTTCAAACTAAGGTGGCCATGAAATATACTCCTGTCCTTCCGCCCCCCGATTTCTCTGGCAGAAAATGCAATCCCTCCCCCCCCTCCAGCAACTTCCATGGACGGATCAATATCACTTTAGATTTAGGGGATTGAATCCTGTGCTACCTTATGAGTTTGATAATGATAATATCAACTTGATCTAGATCTACAGATCTACTCAGCTACCCGGCATAATAACTACCCACCGCCTTTGCGGCGTTTTAGGGCAGTAGGGGTCTAATGCCCACCCAGTCTAATGCCCAGATCTCAAACCCATCAATTTCAATTGCAATTTATCAGTGCCCACCAACGGTATCTATAATCCACTCGCAAGTAGGCTCTTAATGAGTAGCTACCGCATCAATTCCATTCTAAATTTGCCTCCTCCCGCGCCGCCTCGGCGGCCCTATTAGCAAGTAAAGTCGAAACTCCAAGGAACCGTTTCTTCGCAGTCGGATTTCTCGCTCCAACTCTGCATCATCACGAGCCTTAATGTGGCTTTTAGCACTGCTACAGGATATACGGTCCCCCATATTAATCCTCCTCTTGGTTTTATTTGCCTCCTTCCGTCGTTGAAGGTTGAGGATGTTGATGTTGTCGGTCCCGTACTGACTCAACTGAGCACCCGCTTCCGCGAGAGCGAGGCTTCTCTCCAAAATTGGAGCCAACTGACGGCGTAATTTAGGAGATAACGTTCGAGGATGTTTGCCTCTGACATGCAGCTGTGTCCCTTGACTATTGATGCAGAAAGGGATGCAGTGTATGCATGACATAAGAGAGATATGCCCTAATACATGTCATGATAGACCAGCGTTCGCGGCGAGCTTGAGTGCCGCGACAAGCGTGGAGTGATTGATGAGCACGTTATCTGTCGCTCTAATCTACTCCAGCATAGAGATCGACGACAATGTTGATTGCAGCCACGAGAATCTCGGCGGCGATCAGGACGATAACTGTTATTCGTTAGACTGGTCCACGAAGTATCGTGATAGATGTAGTGAGACTTAAAAGCATCAAGGTCGGTCCCAATTGCATCGGTTTTCTTACGCATTTTCTCGACCTTTTGACGAAGAGAAATAACGTCCTTGATAGGTGAGTTTGGGATCGAACTCGACGCTGGGGGAGGGTATATTCCCCTTTTTTAACACGAGACAGAGTGCTTGCTTGGAAGGATTGAAGCCATTGGAAAGCGGTTAGATCATTGATCCAACCACTAGGAGTAGGTACTGCCCAATAGTTCTCTGGAAGGTCTGTTGTGCGGTACCAATTTTCCATACTGTGTCTGATTTTCCCCTTTCACGAGGAACCAAGGTGGCATCACCCAGCCATCGGCAGCGATACACTCGACAACGGTGAGACTCTCAGCAGGGCCCCGGTGCTGATAGACGACTGGCCATTAGGTACCACCCTTAGAAACCACCTTCTGGGCCTTTCCTTCCCAATTCTAAAACCGCTTTCATCAAAGTTATATAGATCTTTCGGAAGAAGACTATAGCGCTCAATGGTCTGTTGGAGCCGAGTGAACCATGTAACAAGATGCCCAGGTGTAACTGCTTCGAGCCTATCCTTTTCCATCAGCTTTTATTCAATGCAGTTGTAGGTTGCTGGGAGTCTTTTGATAAACCGGTAGTCCCAGTTCCGGCCGAGGGTGCGGGAAGTGTCATTTCAAGTGCAAGATCATGTACTGTGTAAGGGCTCATGAAATGTATTCATGACTGCACAGGGCCTATTTCGAGTGATGTCTCGGCGCTTGAGTCGTCTTCTCTTAGCAGGCAATCACTTCCTTGCAACGCAGATTGTTTTATACGTTACCTATCATGTCCAACTTTGGTTCTAAATATGGCAAAGGTTCTTGCAACATGGTGATGTCGTATCCTGCCTCGCAGCCTCACTGATGTTTGACTAGCTGAGCGCTCACCTAATCGTTGAGTACATAAAGTCCTACTCCCCTAAATCCCACCGTCATGCTAAACGTACCTTTGCACCGCCAGTCTTGATTTCCATCATATCTTCATCCATGATGTCGACTACTCATATAGTCAAATATTACTTCTACAAGGGACATATGCCAGCCGAACCGAATGTATTGAAGAAAACGGTAGCTCTGGCATATCAAACTGCCCGGGGCATGCAACTATATCCTCGGGCAATCTTGATCAGGTGAGAACCGGCTCGCAAACGTCCTAGTATTCTATACAGCACTGTGGGATAGCTAATCTCAATTCATGTACAGATCCAAGCATCACAACACTACCACGATCAAAGGAAAGACCGTACTGGATCCGAAAGGTTGGCATTTGACATTCTGTTACAAGGATGCCCGACAACTGAGGAGAAAAACACATACCGCTTGCCATGGATACGCGAAAGATGCGTTCTCCTGGGATCTTGTTGAATCCACACACGCCGGTAGAAAACCAGATTCGGTGAAGGCCAGAAACTCGAAGTATTCCAGTGTCTGGCCAGGACCTGAGGAACTGGATGAAGCCCCATATGTCAGGTATAGCCAATATCTGTAATACTCGTGTTAGCGAGTGGAAATGATGATGTCTAGGAGTCAGGATAAACAGGGGATCTGTATGGAGAAACTGTGTGAGCTGTCTTCCTACCACATGGAATGGAATAGAAGCAGAAGGAGAAGAATTGGAGAGGAGCTAGACAGAGAAAATGATCTAGTTAGTTAATTACTGCCGCCCAACAAGCAGGCGCTACATTTTCAAAGTCAAATACTCGCTCGACTTCCATACGAACTTATCCTATGGTCTGCTGTTTTCGAAAGCGAGAGCGTTGTTGAATCTTGAAATGAACTGGATCGAACTACTAGACGGGATTCTAAAGTATTCTGTCTACCTAGATCAAAATCTGGCGTAGTTAGCGCAGCCAAACCTGACAATGGCTAGATTTTAGATACTAATATCGAAATTTCAAGAGGGAATATCATATAGTCAGACTTTCAAGAGTTCCGGTCAAAAGTTAGCGATACAATAGTCCTTGAAATTTCCTTCTCATAAACATTGGAAACGTCTTTCTTAAGGGAAAAATAGAGACATTATTCCCACCACTCGTTATTTTCCTTGATAGTAAACATAGCAGATAATAGCCATTTATGTATGCAAATAACAACAAACTAGAGGCAGAGGCTAAAGCCAAGGGGGCATGCAGTTTCGCGCAGGCCAATGATAACGCGAGAGAAAGAGAACGATGAATAGCAAAGCAGGAAATGGACGGGTTTCGAGCGTTTTCAGCCAACTGGTAAGCCTCACACCAACTAGCAAACTATCCGCCAACTGGCAAACTATCCGCCAACTGGCAAGGCTATGTATCCCTACGAATTTCCCCAAGGATCCCACTGCCACACGGGCCACATCTGATCTGGTGTTGGCCTTTCCCCACACAATATCCGCTGTGAATTTTACTATGTATAGGTCTGTTCAACGACGCAGCCATGTCAAAGTAGGCATAGCTCTCTGTCCTTTCCTTCTCTTCCTCGTGCGAGATGGACGGTCATATACGCGCGATGTTCTCTCCAATCCTCCATATACCTGTAGGCTGTAACCTATCGCATCTCTATCAATTTAACACAGTAGATATCAACATTCTGTGACTCTACATTGGCCTTGATCCTCGCAATTCGAGACCCGCACTCACAGTCACGACTCACGAGGGACCAGGAAGAGTGTACCCCACATTATCCATCCTCCATTTCCCCGTAAACCTCCTGAAATGCTTAATCCCTGAGCTTTCCCTATGATGGCTAGGATCGGCAATTCGGCATCTGAAGTTTAGGAGTCCCCGATTCGGAGAAATATCTCGGTTCAACGGACAACGGATAGAACTCCGATTTCGTACTTTCCACTGACTGGGGTCGTGAGGTCATGGCCAACACAGTGGCGACCATCCCAAAAATAAAATGCGGGGAAGTTTTGTTTATAAGTCCCCTGAGCTCTTCAGAATTCAATTGACGATTCTCTGGTAGATTGTCGTGAAATTCGAATTGCCTCCACTGATAACCTCAATCATGGCCCCATCTAATGATCCCGCCTCTCTGCTTATGTCCGCAGCAGTTCCAGCATTCAAGTGCCCTACCGGGACCAAGATGCACATCTTGAACTTTGGTACCCTACAAGCGGATGAATCATGGTGGGTAGAATTGCGCAACGAAGAGAATTCCACTGATCACTAGATTCACTAGGATCCTCCGAGGAGCTAACTCAAGCACCTTGAAGAATCCGAATCCGGTGAACAAACGTCGGGATCTAATTCTCCTTTCAGCCCTCATTGAGTACCCAGGTGTTGGCCTCATTCTATATGACACAGGCTGTGCGGAAGATCTAGAAGTGGTTCGTCACCAACCTCCAATTTATCCCCTTTACATCACTAAGCAAGAATCAGAAATGGCCCGCCCCAGCCACAGATATCTTTCCCCGAGTCGAATACTCCGACAACCATCGGCTACCAAATGCGATCAAAGCCACCGGGAACGATATCAAAGACGTGAAAGCTGTCATTGTTAGCCACCTTCACCTCGATCATGCAGGAGGACTCGAACATTTCGTCAACACAGATGTACCAATCTATGTCCACGAAGAAGAGTTCAAACATGCTTGCTGGGCCGTTGCAACGGGGGCAGACCTGGGTACCTACTTAGGGCACTATATGCTGCTGGAAGAGTTGAAGTGGAACACCTTCACCGAGTCACAATTCGACCTTTTCCAGGGCATAATCCTTCACCACTCGCCCGGCCATTCACCTGGACTGTGCATCATGCAAGTTAACCTGGCCAATGATGGAACATTTTTCTGGACCTCGGACCAATTCCACGTTGCCGAGAACTATGAGCTAGGACAACCTCAAGGGGGACTGGCCCGGGATCATACTGCGTGGTATCGCAGTTTGAACATGATTCGCAGACTGCAAAGACTATATAATGCACGGATAGTATATGGCCACGACATGAATCTTGCTCGCAAGCTCATCAATGAAAAACCATACTACGAGTGATGGTGCACCCAAGGCCATACTGTCATACATGTCACATTTAAGCGCAAGTCCAATCAAATGCTCAGAATCACAACTTATTCAACTATTGGTACTTTATGCCTTATGTGTAGAAAAGGGAACATGGTGGTTTTTGTTTACTTTCCAACTGATTCCCCACAGCACATGGACAACATGGACCTTAAGGTGATGGTAAGATTGTATTCATGGACCGGAATAGGAAAGTGGATCTAATCTCAATGTAAGCAGTAAGCGGTCCAATCACAAGCCCCGAAATAAATCTGCCAAGACAACCTTAAAGATTGTCATCCATGGGGTGGAATGGCAGTGGCGGCACAGACCTGCAGGCTGCAGTCCCAAGGTTTCGCCCAACATCTTAACCGAACATCTCAAAGCGAATCTGAAGATATTCATGGCTCCAATGGCATAGGAGACTGACATTACAGCCAAAGTCAGCCTAATTTGTGCCCAATTCTGAGACAGCACAACAGCCACGCTGAAGTGCCCACCCTAATCGCGGTCCCAATACCTCGGTTCGACTTGTACTAAGTTCTACTAAGAGTCAGCCATCGGAAATGCTGATTGCCGAGCACATATTCATAAGCGTGCCAAAGTCTCTTGATTACATTCGCCGCTGGGGGCCAAATTCCTTCACAACATGCCGCATATCCCCCATGTTTCGCAGATCTCTCGGGTATCTCGGGTACCTATTTCCCCATTTCCCGCAATGAAGCATCTGGACGCCGGTAGCGTCTGAAGGAAATGAAGGAAATGAATTAATGAAACACATCGAATCATGCTTAACTGCTAACTTTGGTGCTGACAGCTGAGGACCCCATAGAGAGTTTAGAGAACCCTAAGAGAGAGCTGAGTGGGATATCTCCGGGGCTAATGCAGGCCCGCCCGGCACGATGTGACCCTTAGCAACTCATCACCAAATTAGGAAATAGGTCTAGAGGTCTTCCGATCGCAATCCTCCGGAGTATGGACACGACTGCTATCACAGTATTTAATGAGCCAAGTTCCCCAATGTAAATGTACATCCCACACCTCCACAGTCACAGACCAACGACAATCCAAACAGTGCAACCATGCACTTCAAGTTGGTAGCTAGTCTGGCTGCCCTGGCCGCCAGCCATGTCTCCGGTCTCACCCAAATCAGCGACGATGAGATGAACTCGCTTCTCGATGCCGGCGGCGTGGATCTCGCAGACCGCTACGCACCCATGTGGTTCTTCGGCCAAGCTCAGAACCAACCCCCTTGCTACCCAACCTGGGCCTTTGGGGGCTCACCGGATACCGCCGATGTATACGATGATGCGCACAAGACGCCCGCAGCAGCGCAGTGCGAGTATCCCGATGTCGGGTGCAATTGTCGCAATCCGGGCGTGGGTATTGGGAATCCAGGCCCTGCGTTCCCGGTGTATTATACATACCAGAAGTGCAATGACAACGAGGTGCGCGTCGTGTATAATCTTTTCTATGAGAAGGATGGTGCCACCTTTGGCTCTATCCAGACTGGACATGACTAGTGAGTGAGCCGTTGTCAAGGATGTTGCGTATGTGCCTCTAACATGTTTTTACCAGTGACTGGGAGCGTGTGGTGATTATCCATTCTCGTGATGGCAATAACATGTGGGCGCCATCGAAGGCACTGCTCTCTGCCCACAGTGGTTATAATAACCTGAACTGGGGTGATATTCAGAACACTCTGACTACCGACGAGGTCAATGCCGGCGACGCCAGAGATCCCAATGGTGTGCAGAACAATGACCACCCTAAGGTGTATGTGGCGTGGTCAAAACACGCTAATTTCGACACTCGTAATACTGGCTGGAATGACCCGGCGAGTCAGTCGCTGGACCAGGCCTTCCGCAGCCAGGATTGGTGGCACTATGTTGCACCTGAGCACTATGTAAGTTTCCTACCTCGCGTCTGCGAAGTCTGGAACAGAACTGATACTTTATAGATTCGAAGCGATGATAGTACGGATGCCGGGAAGGCCCTTGGGTCTGCGGACTGGGGTAACGCAACTAGTGACCCTATCACGGTGCAGGCTGGCGTTTGTGATGCTTCGTAATGGAGGCAATATTGGCAGCGTATATATTGGTTCGATTGAATAGCCACGGACCGCTGCACCTATTCATGTAATCATCTTTTATACTCCATAATGCACATAGCTATGCTCAACAAGATTCAAATTCATTTCCCACCTTCAATCCGTTTTCCTTGATCATCCAGTCTGTCACTGGAATTATCCATCCCGCTCCACTTGGGAAGACCATCGGGGATATCTATCATGCGTGACTCGTAGAACATGTGACATCTAAGGAGCTGATTAGTCTTCCATAATGAACTTGCACATAAGGAACTTAACACATACGTCGGTTTAAAGATCTCTCTCTTCTGTCTCTGCTCCTCCTCAGATCCCTCTAGCTCAATCAACTGAGGGAAAATCAAACACATATTGCGGCCTTCATCCATGATAGGCGTTCGACAAGTGGCACAGGACACCTTGGTAGGCAAGTTATAGTCCTGAGACTTGTGAGTCGAGGAGTAGAACGCCAGCCCACTTGCACCGCTCGTGAACGACATGTCGTGCTTGTCGAAGATAGCTGCCCACTGGAAAGGAGCACCGTGTGCTTTCTGGCACCCACGACAGTGACAGTATTTGGCATTGAGTGGTTTTTCCCGGTTCAAGGAATATGTGACCTCCCCGCATAGACACTTTCCACGCCATTTGACGGGGCCAAATGCACTTTCAGGTCGCATGTCGTACGGTGCGTGGTGCTTCCATGGCTCTTTGACAAGAGTATTCTCGGGGACTCTGTTGGTCACGGCCGGACAGGGAAGAGTTTCGTCTGGCCTGGTGGATCCTACCTCAGCCATGATGTAGGTTGGATTGATATGCGAAGTTGTACGAAGTTGTATGAAGCGGTTGTAGTGTTGGAGTGGTTGGTGGAAGGTTGAGTGGTTGGTAGTTCAGTGGTATGTAAAGGAGAAGAAAGGCAAGACGATACAGTATGAAGGTGAACTTAAGGTTTGAGTCGCACGTTCAATATATAGATGCCCGTGACAGCTGAAGACCCAATGATGTCAGACAATGACCGCAGGTCCAAACTGGGAAGTTGAGACCAGTGACGATCTTCCTGCCACATACGCCAATGAGAGCAGGAAGATTCGGTCGATTATGAAGTCCGATTTGGAAGCAAAGGCTCCATCTGTAGTCCACTCGTTGGCAAATGACGATTCTTCCCCAGTCCAGTGGAAATGGGATGGCCCACGTCGAGTTCGTGATGTCATGGCCAATTCCCCTGCATCGATCTTGGATTGGTACAGTTTCCACCTATGAGAAGACAGAATTCTCTTCGTTGTTTTCCTCCTAAATGATGAAGTCTTTATATACTTCGATCTTGAAGCTCAATGAATGAAAGAGCCACAAAGAGCCTCCTGAAACAGCAAGATGATTGGATGTTTCATCCCTGTTTGGGGCTGCGGGCCTAAGGGCTGAGGGCTGAGGGGTCGCGCTTTGTCCCTTTCTCCCCTTCGATGCTTCGCATTCCACAACATCCCACAAGTAGAGATGGGCCTCTTTAATCGATTGCGTCGAAGTTCAAGGCGAAGTGGAACGCCGACTGGAACTCCGACCGAGTCTACCCCCCACTTCAACGTGCTCAACGTGGGTCGAGATCTCACCAGACAGCTGCCACGCCCGGTCTTGGCTCGCATTTTCACCTTTGTCTGTCCTCACACCGTCGATAACACATATGGTACCTCGGAAGAATCAGCAAGCGATGGCTGTATGCTCTGCGATATGCGCGATCTGGCGCACTGCGCACTGGTGAACAAGCGGTGGTTTTTGGAGGCGCGGGCGCTTCTGTATGGAATTTTGGATCTCTCCTTTTCTCTTTTTCTCATCTAATTCCAGAGTGCTACTAGATATACAAATGTCCGAATTGACCCTGTCCATTATTGCGAACTCGAAATCGAATTAGCTGCCAAGCGAAAACGTCGCTCGTTCTTCGACCGGAATGGCGACCCAATCGATGCCCCTCAAGTCCGTCTGGAACTGTTCATGCGAACTGTACGCGAGTCGCAAGGGCTAGGGAATATGGTATTGTCCCTCCGGATGCCATACATGACCCGCGAAGCCAACAAAGCCAACATTGCCCGCACGATCTCCGTGCTACCTAATGTCCGCTTCGTTGACCTACCGGTGGGTCTGTATAGCGACGAGCCGTCCTGTCTACCTTTGAAACAAGAATTGATGGCCCGGTGCCCCGAGTTGCGTCGGATGGCCTACCGCCGAGGGGCGGAGGGCAGTTTCGCCCGTCTGCCAGGATCCCAGCTTTGGATGAATCTCGAGGTGCTCGAGCTATCCGGGGTCCAGATGGAGGCTGGTACTCTGCGCGGCGGACTGGCTGCCTTCCCACATCTGCGTGAGCTGACGCTCGAAGATCTCGACTGGCTTGACGACACGGCGTTTGCAGTGAACGTGCCACTCCCACCGTTTCCTGCCGTCCAGACTTTTACCCTTCGCGATACCCCCTATGTCACGGCAAGCGGGCTTGCCACATTCCTTTCTGTACCAGCGAATCGAGCGAATTTACAATCTTTGACGTTATCGTCCACCGGCGTCGCTCCGGCACAACTTCATTATATTCTCTCTGCAGCACCCCGGCTCGAGAGCCTTTCTGTCATTCAGGAGGTCTCCCGCTCGTTCCCGATGGAGCAGATTCCTCCTATGGCATCCAAATCGCTGCGTCTCTTACACTATGAACTCACATCTCAGACCGATAATCATGGCATGCCACCCGTGGTATCCTCATACTATACCTATCTCATCTCATCATTGGTATCCCGAGCCTTACCAGCGCTACGGGACTTATATGTGCGGGATGCCCAATTCCCCGATACCTTGATGCTCATGCCTCCACCAAGGCTCTTCGGTGGCGGCGAGAATGGACCCCAGATGAGGGGCGGTCTGTCGCAGCCCCTGAATGTCTATAGCAAAGGCATGGACGAGTTTGAGTGGAATTTCACACCGTACGACCCCAACCCCGGGCGTCGTGACTCGCAGACGCGGCCGGTGAGTTTCCACGAGGCGCAGCTCAACCGGTCTTGGGGCGGTGATGCGCGCAAGAGTGTCCTCGTTGGCAATGGGTTTGGCGGCTTCCTCGCAGTTCCGACTGATGAAGAGCGGCCTCAGAGTAGTCAGGGACACAAGCGGTTGAGCAAACAGGATCTATGGCGGTGATCCATTTGGTCAAGTCGAACTGCTTCTCCAGATAATATAAGCGGGATGAAATGTGCTGTAATGATTGAGTAGTCTCTCTGGAAGAAATGTTCGATTCATTAATGGCATACCGGAACTATAGGTGTGCATCGCTACGATTCGCTCTGCCCAGGCCAACCCTTTGGCAGCTGTAAACCACGCCAAACCCAATGCTTTTGAATCTCCTCGTCAGTCATATTACAATGACCGTAGGTACGGCAATAGCACTCTCGTTGATCAATGCAATACTGAGCGGGTTTTCCAAAGATCACTATTATGCAGTTAGCCAGAGATACAACTTAGAAGCAAGAAAGCTTGGAAGCAAAGAAAGACCTACTATGCCACGAATACTCCAAAATCCGCCCACTAATACCCGTATCCAGCTCCGTCTCCATCAACCACCTCCGCAACCGAATATAATGCTCAAGAGGACGCTCCCGAATCATCACCTTCGACAAGGCAAACTGACTACAACATGGCGTCCCCACAACCTCCGGCACCTCCACCCTTGGAAACAGCTCCATAAACCGATCCGGATACTCCACCGCCGTCGGATGAACATGATCATCCGGTCTTTCGCGAAGATATCTTGCCGGCTCGAGTTCCGCGGGACAACCGACGCCCCACGCACAGCGCAGATTCACATAGCCGGCCTCGAGTACGAAGTCGAGGTTCAGATGGGAGATGGAGATGACGGAGTCGTAGAGCGGGTTATCGACGTGCCATTGGTAACGGTCGCCATGTAGAAAGATTGCGATATCGGGGAGGGAGGAGTATCTGTCAATGATGTATCTATTCACAGTCAATGTTAATCACTGATCAGTCTGGGGAGCTATTCTTGAATAAGTCTTGGTCGACATACGTCAGATATACCATAGCCTCATTACCCTTATTCATCGGCACAGTGAGCTCGGTTTCATTTGGCTTCGCATCAGCGCGATAGATATTCACCTGCCAGTCTGGCAGATTCTCTTGCACCCAGGACATGTTGCTCGCCTTCATAGCTGCGAAGACCAATTCGGTCTTTGGTGGTACAGGGTTCGAGGATGGAACGTCGCTATCGACTGTGATTTTACTTGCAATCATTGTTCCATTGTCGCCTAGCTCCGGAAATCGGACTAGAATGATCTGACATGATAGAAAGAGTAATGTTGCTGCTAGACAGAGGTAGAGGAAACGCCGTGACCATGTAGATCTGGCATTGTGTAAGGAATGGGGAGAGTGTAGCCACCTCATTGATTTGCTTGAATTGAGATGCAATGAGCAACGAGCAATGAGCAATGAGCAATGAGCAATGAGCAATGAGCAATGAGCAATGAGCAATTAATTGGAGTGGCATTGAATGTATAGGTAGGGTTTGTTGTGAGGGAAAGAAGAAGCTGGTCTGACGTAGTTGACTCGGTACTTTCCTTGGTTACATGAAAGTCAATTAGGTTGTTGTATACAAATAGCATGAAGCTCCTAAGAGGCTAAGCTTCATTTGATAGGCTATAGCAGTATTAAGGACTGAGTCTCGAGGGGTTCGAGCATTAGGGCTGACTCACTGCCCCAAGGACATTCGAGGCTCCTACAATATGTCACAACTGCAACCTCCAGGGCTATATACTTCCATGCGGAATACATGGACACAGCGGGGGCATTGCTAGTTCTACACTTGAGGTGCTTAATAAGGTAATACAGAGAAAGAATGATAGAATCATGATAATAACATATTCATACAACAAATGCAAATCACAAATCTATATCCATTAAAGGTACAACAAAGGAAAGTAAAAAGAACGGATACTGCTAAATAACAGTGTTAGAACTCACCTCAGTTCAATCTACTCCCACAGCTACTCCTCCAAATCAGCCGTCCGCACCTTCAACGAACGATTCCTCAAATTATAACGAGAGGACGAGGCCGGAGCTGAAGTGCGGTACGATGAAACAGAAGCATGCCTAGTAGAAGTAACAGTGGACCGCCGAATTCTCGAGTCACGGCGAGCCTTAGCAGAACTGACCGTTGACGGAGTGAACGTCCGGGGGTGCATGTTATACTGCGGTATAACGGATGCTCGAGGCTGGGTCAAATGGGTCTCCGGAAGGAACTGAACCTCCTGCGGAAAGCCAGATGCGCCCGTTGCTGGGAGGAAGCTAAGATCCATCGGCTCGTACTGACTCTGTGGTTGCAGTCCTGTGAAATCGGTGTCAGGTTGAACCGCCGTATCTATGGAGTTTTGGTTCGACAGGTCTAGGTTCATATCCATCGGCAGGTCTAAGCAGAATGAGTCAGTAAACAGCGTGTCTAAAGCATCATCAGTCAGAAGCTGGGTGGGCTCATCAGTCGAGGCCGCTGGCATGGGATAGTCAAATAAAGTCCCATCGGACACACCTAGAGTGTCAGTAGTCTGAAACGCATCACTCTTGAGAAATTGTGTGAAGTCCACATCAGTCGGGTTCATCCAGTCAAATGAAGTCCCATCTGGCAGGTCAGCAGAACCATCGTCCAAAAGCTGGGTGAAGTCCATATTACCTAGGTCAAGCTCAGTAGAGCTCGCTGGCTGCGGCCAGTCAAACAAAACAGCGGGCTGTGCAGAACCATCGAGGAGCTGCGAAAAGTCAATATCCGGCAAATCCGCTCCAGTCCAGTCCGCAGACTGTCTCCAGTCGGGCTCATTCGTATCGACTGGAGCTGTATCGACTGGAGCTGTATCGACTGGGGCTGCGTCATCGACCTCTGGCAGTGTCTCGACGGTCTCACGTGGAGTACCAAATAGAGAACGATCATCGTCGTTCAAGTCCTGGGATTGCTCTGTAGTCAAATCAGGCTCTGTGGTCAAATTAATCGCCTCTGTAATCGTCAGTGGTTCCCCCTGTTCCAACGGTGCACTGGGGCTAGATCCAGATGAAGCACAAGGAGGAGCGGCAGAGCCAGTAAGTTCCTGTTCACTGAACGGCCTGAATGGCAGTGGCTGCAAGTAAGTAACATACTGATAGTTCGACCGTTGCGGGTCTACCAGCCGCGGCGGGAGTGAAGCGTGCAAGTACGGATGAAGAGACCTGATGGGCTCCGACTGGCCAGGGAACAGAATGGTCGGAACGGTGATATCAATCATGTCCAACCACAGACCCTTAGACATATGCGCATCAAACTTCGGGCATCGTCGACGGAGATCGGCGAATTCCTCCTCGCCACGCTCCTTGGGCGCCCGAGAGCGGCTCCTTACCCGCGCAGGGTTAAGTCGGTAATATCCACAATACCTAAGGATAGCAGGTAGCACCAGCTCTGGTCGATAGTCAGTGATACTCTTCAGGCCTGTAATACTGAAGTCAGTCCGATCGGGGATAGGTCTCCGACTATACACTGCGTGAACTGCAAATCGCAACACATAAATAGGAGCCGAGTCCATGAGATCACGGAATCTGCGGAAAGCTAGGGCCTGGAGGTCAGTAATCCTAAGTAGGAGGGCAGTCTGGAACATGGCCAAGTGGACACGCAACAGCTGGCAGATCTGCGGACAAGTCACACAGCCATAATTGCATGGAGGGGCGGAGTAATAAGACATGTCGTCTTCGTCGACCGAATAGTCACCGGTATAGAAGAAATGAAGGAGGCTGGGGATTTGTTCGTAACGTACCAAGTCGGGAAGAATCATCGTCTGCCTGTTTCGCGTCACATCGATTCGGTGGTCAAACCAAGGCGTTGATTGACGGATGACGTCCAGGTGTACGCCCCAACTCTTTCGGCGGCTGTCAGGATGTAGTAGTATAAAATCGGGGGCATGGGTCGTGAGATACCTAAGCGTGTGTTAGCATGTCTATCTTTATAATTAGGAGTCTATGACTTACTCTTTCCGGGTTCGTTCAAGTTGTGCCTTTCGGTTGCCCAGTTCACCCCAGCCCAGCCAGACCCTGGGAAGGCCGGCGTGAGCAGGACAGTGACGGGGGGCCATATTTGCTGTAAGATTGGACAAACTGTGTTGATCTGGGAATCAGTGTTGGACCTAAGAGTGGATAGTGTCTGATTGTCTGATAGTCGAAGATCTGAAGATGTGAAGTGTGACGAAGAATGGAATTATCCCGGGACATCGAGTCGTTTAAATACTCGACATAGAGAAGTCGAACAAAGCAAGTCCCTTAGGTATCAACAAAGATATTGATCCCTTTGAATCTAAACAATGTAAACAAAGACAAAGAGACTATAATTATCGAGCCGAGTATCAAATTGCTGCGCTTTGTTCGACCTCCAACACAAGATCATTGACCCCCAAGTTTATTGCCTCGGTAGCAGATCTTCCGGGCAACATGGCCATTGTAGGTGGTGTTCATTGTTGGCGAGTCCGTCTGGACTACCAACAATGCTCTTTATATTCTTTGTATCATGCTATCTTGGAGCACTTTGAACACAGAATGTAGCAGAGTGCTACCTATTTCGAGTCAAAAAAGAAAAGGCAGAGCTTCAGCTCTAATCAGCATCGTGATACATTTCTATCGTAAAATCATTAGTCGTACAATATACATTGCGCCATGCTTCCGCTACCGCCCAAATGCATATTAAAAAAGAAACTTCACTCAGACAAAAGAGAAAGAGACTATTGCTCCTTCCCCATGATCAACTCACGGGCCTGACGGGGATCAGTACCAAGGACAGTGATCAAATACTCGATGCTAGCTTCCGAGGCCAAGCGACGCTTCTCGTCCTGGAACTCATGATTGCACGAGTCCCACGTGGCGGCCCGTTGTTGAGCAAGAACTGTCTTGACACGAATCTTGAACGCAGCGCTGACTGGCCGGTGATCGGAGGCTCGGACTTCATGTCGTCGATAGTCGAGCTGCTTGACGCGGCCCAGACCACGGTATAACACGCGATCGCACCAGGCGGGAGAGCGTTTCTTTTCGCTCGAGTCGTAGTCGTCCGTGCCGACGTCGTACTTGTAGGTCGGAGCAAAGGTGATGGGAGACTCGACGAAGGCGCGTAGTCGGAAACCAGGGTTCTTTCGTCGGGAGGCGAGTAGCTGATCTCGTTCTAGGAGTTTGGGTAGGTTGTTCTGACGAACGGCATCTATAATCACATTGCGAGGAATCGAGTCGATTCGGTAGTTGAGGTCGCCATTCAGGATGCACACTTCATGGTCCATGATCATTGATCCGTCACCGCCGCTGGCGAACTGATCTGCCCGCAGAGTCATGCTGTTTTCTGCGGATAAGGATTCGGCTTCCAAGATTGCCGCAATATCATTGTTTCGGTTTGCGGTCTGAGTTTGACCGGCAGCCAAGTGACAGTTCACAAAGCACATTGAGCTGTCATCCAGGACAAAGCGAAGGACAAGGGCACCCTAAGAAGATTAGATAAAAGCTTGAGCAATAGCTAGAGAATCACGAACCTTGTTCCCATGTAGTCCACCCATCCCGCGCTTGATCTCGGAGGCATTGATGTTTTTGATGTTGTGACGTTCCTTGTGCTTTACGAAAACACAAGTAAATAGTCCGACCATGTTGGCAGAATGCAGGAGCACATAGGATTCCTCGAGTGGCATACACTCATGAAGTGTACGAGTAAGATGGTCGATCCACACGCGATATTGACGACTCATGTGTTCTTTCTCTCCGCTCTCTTTCTTTTTACTACCCATGAGCAAGCTCTCTGTGGCGCCGTCAGCAAACGTTCACATCTAGGAACCAATGATGACTTACTCGCTGTGATCTTCTTGTTTTCTAGATCAACCAGCTCTTGGAATCCGAATACCACGATCTCCGGCGGGTCTTCGGGGGTCACGGCATCTCGGATGAAATCAGACGTTCGCACACTGCCAGGGGTAGCAGCTCCCGCATTCCAAGTCAAGACGACGGCTTTGATTTCTCGGAAGTTGCAGAATTCAACATCCCTACTTTGCATCCTTTGTTCTACAAGATGTTAGAGAAAGCCATGAGAGGATTAAAACGATTCCACTTACCCAACCAATCGTCTTCGAGCATTCCATCCCAGAGGCGAATGCAGTTGTCGGTGCCCAGTGATGTCACCGAAAGGCGATTCATCGTCCAAACGCTGCTCGTGTCTAACACAAAGGTGGAAACGGGACTGTCATGGGCACGCCAGTCTTTCTTCACCGTCCACGGATTGGTTGATACATCGTAGACGTAAATCATGCCGGTCTTATATGCGGCCCATAGATAGTCTCCCACAAATCCTAGGCAGTTAATCTTATAGACACTAACATTGACCACCGCCAGGCAGGAGTAGTCAGTGGAAGAATATATAGTAACCTTGCCGTCTGCGTGGCCCAAGTATACACGGCCACCATCTCGCGTGGTATACGACCCAGAAGTCACATCACCAGAGTGCTGCAAACCAAGAGGCCGTTTGAGAACCTTGAACGAAACATCATCCCGCGCAGTGGGCCGATATATGTGGACATCCTTGCCTGTCGCTAACCATAGTTTGTCTCCAACAACCATGGAGAATGTGTGGCCTCGAGCAACACGTTCCGAAGCACTGTGGTAGCTATATTGGAGGTTTGGTGTGCCGGTCTCGTCCGGCAGCCACACAAGCAGTCGACCTTCATCATCCAAGGTCCACATTTCTTTCTCGTGACGCAGGATTTGGATCACCTCTCGCCGTGAGGGATACGAGCGGCTGGCCACGATGGATTGGCTCAGAATGTCGAGTTCGTGAAGGTCACCAGCACTAGTACCGAGCCAGATACGCTTTCCCTCATCTTCGAGGCTTTGTCCTGGCTTGAAAGCAAGCGATAGACTTTTCACAGTCTCGCCATGACCAAGACTCATCACCTGTTCGCCGGTGGTGAGATCCCACACTCGAGTCAAGTATCCAGTTGTACACACATACTTGCCGCATACCGCGAGCAAGCGGGTGTCATACTTTGTCTGGATCTCCCTAGGTCCAGTCTTTAGTCGTGGAGGCCGACGATTGGCCTTTGATGCATCAGGGTAGTCGGTCCGCAGTATAGCCGGCTCTTCGGCGTGCTCTTCTTCTTCCGTGTCTGTCCGTACCACGCGCCGCTCAGGAAGAGAGGAAGATATCCGGGGTTCACGAGGCACCGATGATTGTCGCCGGATTGGCTTTGGCGCGGAGGCTTCATTATTAACGCCTGGGTAAGAAGACACAACCCTAGAGGCCGGCGTTACCTGCGCAGGGCTATTCAAGTGCCTGGAGGACTCTCGTGCGGGGGACACTCCACTTCGGCGGGGAGTTACAGGTGGTCGTGGGGGCAGCCCAGGACGCTCGTAAGGAGCATCACTGGTTCGGTATCTCTGCGCCGAGAGAGGGGGAGCAGTAGAGGCAGACATTGGGGCATCGACGGGAGTAGATGGAATTTGCACCATCAAAGGCTTGGTCGCCCGTGAAGGCTCCGGACCAGGGCGGGCCCTCGAGAATCCCATCTCTCTAGCATCATGCCTGGCGGCCGCAGACGGAGCAGGTGGTCGCTCATCAAATGAGCGCCGAGTTGGCGGTTCCTTTGATGAGCGACGAGTTGGCGGTTCCGTTGTTGGTCGGGCCAGCGGTGGGCTGACATTCGTCCTCCCCGCAGAACGTGACGGAGACATCGGCTTTTCTGGACTACTAGGCGGGGTGCTGAAAGGTGAAACGCTCGGGTCGGGTGATGCTCGTTCAGGCCGAGGGGCCAATGAGCTTGTGTCCGAATGAGAAAACATCGCCGGTTTCGCGGGGACTTTTGGCTTTGGTGCGCGATTAGCTGGAGGTGGCTGCGACGCACTCTTCAATTTCCGATCCCCTGCGCTCTCTGCTTGGTTGACCCGCAACGACCCATTCGATGGTTGGGAATTCGTATCTCCTGAATGGACAGATGGCCCGAACTTCGGCACCGGAGAGAGTGGCCGAGGTGGTGCTGGTGAGACGGACATGGATTCTCGTGGGCGATGACCTGGACTCCGAGTCTTCCGGGTGTCATCACGCGGGAACCAGACATCATCACGACCTTGTCCGCGCGGAGGCGATTGAGGTGACTGGACTGTTAACGTTGGCGGAAGCTGTGGGGACGAACGGTGGAAGTTCATAGAGATGGGCCGGCCATATCGTCTTCCGGAGAACCCGCGGTCCGGGGTATCTTCGCCATTCGTCTGTTGATGCTGACGCGGCGTTTCTTCGGCTGGAGTCCACGGGGACTGTGTCCTGGGCAAGTCGAGAGAAGCACGGCTGGATGATCGGACCTCATCGTTGGGCTCCGGTGCCAGTAGATTATTAGTGGAGGCGCGCGGGCTACCGGTTACAGCGGAGGGAGCTCTGCGGTGGGAAAGATTTTCAAAATGAGACAGCAAGGAAGAGACCGGCCGCTGGGGCTGCGATTATCGTCAGTTAATTGTAGGCCACCAGGCAGTTACGTATGCATACAGTGGGGGCATCATCATTGCTGTCCGGCTGTTGTCCTGTGCCCGCCATGGCCATTATCACGTATCCGTCACCGAATCCAACAGGAAGAATGTATCATGGGCTTCGAAATAACTCCTGGGAGTCGTAAATCGGCGGACAAGCTGTGGAGTAGGTATTCGTGAATATCGGACCTGAGGTTACAGGGATGTTGTCGGGCTCGGGACTGGGAGCGAGGCGTGGACGTAAACGGCGCAAATGCTTTGTCGTAGCATATGAAGCTGGACTGTCAAAGGTTCGGGGTATAAGGAGAAATTTCGAGGGGTCAAAGGGGTGAAGAAGGTGAATGTCGATGAAATGGAGTGGCGGGGAGGCAAGTGGAGGGAATCACGGGAGTTTGGCGATCATTTTGGTGTCTGAATTTCTTCAGGCTTGAACAACAACAACACGCACTTGACCGTCACCTTGCCCTCGCACGTTATATCCAACATGTGGTGAGTCTGTTCCTTGGGATATTCTTGAGATCTAAATTCTCGAGATCTCCCCAAACCTCCCAGAAATTCTCCCGGTAGCTAATACAAGCTCCCCGCTTTCGCAGTAAACACGTTCTAAACGCCCAAGTGGCTATTCGCTCGCATTGCTGTACGCCTGGATTCCCTCGTATTCGCTGATAGGGAATTGACTGAAGAGTTTTAGGCCGAAAATGGTTTGACTGTGCTGAATGTCATCACGAGAGCGAGTCGCACCCGCTTCAGAAAAGCGCCGAGATGGTACGCGCCCCTATTCCTCAATCAGCATGAGTCTAGCTGACATTCCCGGCAGATATTTGCGTGCAAGAAGTGCAAGAAGTGTTTCCGCAAAGATGCTGCGGAATTTGACGAGAGGTATGCCAGCAGGCATTCAAACGGGCGGGAGTGCGCTAACCTCCTGTATAGCGACGAATACTGCCCTCACTGCGATAATCACTTTGTTATCGATGCGATTGAACCGGAGGCACGTTTGCATGTGGAGGGTGACGATGCCCGTATGGACAATCGGTATGTTCAGCGCATGAACTCTTGTAACTGGCAGGATACTGACCGTACCCAGTATGCTTAAGGATGAGCGTGTTGCCCGAGACAAGGAGCGCTCCCTCTTCAACATTAAAGATGTGTCGGATCGCATGGGCTAAGCTGCATTGTCTATGGAATAGACAACTGGCAGGAGCGTAAATTCATGATGTTGACGATTTGATGGTTACTGTTTCTTGCGATAGTTCAGGGAGGATGGATATAGCCCCTTTGCATCAATACCCTTCTGCGTTGTACAATACGAAATGAGAACGGGAGATGCGATTTAATCTTCATGATTTTGGATTCTCGTCAAGAGACCAACGCTACTGTAAATTGAACAAATCAACGATCCAGTCACCCCGCAGGCTCTGAACGCCAGTCTACTTAATCGGTGGACTCGCTGCCACCCGGCCGGGTGAGGATTGCTGCCGTGGTGGTCCCTGTTCGGGTCTTCTTCTTGGCTGCCTCCTCCTGCTTCTCGGTCTCGATGTTCTTCACGTACGCCTCGATCTGGTCGTCCGGCAACATCTCAAGAGTCTTGCCGGGTGCCATGATGGCGACCTCGATGTTCTTAGCACCCGTCTGCACAACCTCAAGCAGGGACTTGATGGTCAGCTGGATTGTTTGTTCGCGGTCCATGTCCTCCTGGTGGTTGCGCTCGAGGAATTCGCGGACAGTCTTGCTGGAACGACCGATGGCGTTGGCTTTCCTGTTATGCGAGAGGGATGGTCAGTAAGATGTCCTGATGAAGCATGGGTCTGGAGCAGCCCTACCAGGCAGAATAGATTCCAGAGGGCTCCGTCTGGTACAGTCGCGGGGTGGAGTCATTCTTGTCGAAGCCGACCACCAGCGTACTGATACCGAATGGACGCACACCACCACTCTGTGTATATCTCTGCTGAACACCGGCAATATATTTCGTAATATACTCGATGCTGGCTGGGTCTTCCACAGTCAGGCGGTGGGACTGCGCCTCTAACCGGGCCTTGTCGATAAGGATGCGGGCATCGGCGTTCAATCCAGCGAAAGCGAGACAGACGTGGTCATCAACCAGGGCGATCTTGGAGGGAGTAATGCGGGTATCTTGGAGCTTGAGGGCGGAGCGCTTTTCGCAACCGAGGACAACGATATCCTTGCCTTTGACACCGACAGCGCAGGTTCCTAGGACCACCCACCATCAGCAACTTGTATCTTTCGGTTCAGATATTTCGCTCTCCAGCAGCAGATGCAGTAGCGAAAGTTTCTGGCGGAGCGTATAACCATGATCTTACCTCGCTTCACAGCCTCCATGGCATATTCAACCTGGAAGACGTGTCCATCAGGACTGGAGGAAAGGTTAGATAATAAACTCCGGAGCTGAAGTGTCACTCAAGGGCCTCTTTACCTGAATACTGCGATGAGTTAGCATGATACAGCTTTTGGTTTGGTCGGGAGCAAAGGGAGCTGGGCGTGGGGAGCTAGCTGACTTACCTGAAAGAGCTCGGTCGTATCCGGACATTGTGAATCAAGGATGACTGGAGGACAGGTAATTAAAGAATGGTGCAAAAAACAAGTCCAAGAAAAGCAATGAGGTAGAATCAGGCAATGTAGACGAGTGTCAAGTAGCTGAGGTTAACTGGGATGGAGCAATGACGGACTCCGGGCGGTGGGACGCGAAAGCCTACGGCTGCCTCAAGCGCTACTGCGGGTACTTGTCTTTACTATGGGTGCATCGTACTAATTGCACGTACCTACCAATATCTAACAACCTGACCTAGAATTTCCAGTGAAGAGGGTAAATTTCCATTGATTATTGAACTTGAGGCTTTGAGCAGCATTTCAATATTCTGTAAGAGAAGAAGATTGACGAGTTTTGGCACTTGTCAACCAACTACACAGTAATCTGCATGCCCGACTATAAGAACAGTGCAGCAATGCCCAGGCATCACGATCCCCTTTACAAAAGTGAGCTCTGTCCAGCAAGAAACAGCACAGAAGATAAGTCAAATATAGACAGAACAATGTATTTTTGTTGCATTCACAGTCCCGAAGAGATCCTCGATGTCGGCGCAAGCTTCAAAGTAAATCCCCAACACCCCAAATGGAGGCCCAGTATATCCCCCAGATCAAGACCGTGAATTCTCCGACGCTTCCCATGCCCAAAGCAGAAAGGGAGCACAAAATATCTAAAATGCAATGCCAATAGCAGGATCTCGGCTCCCACCGTGTGTCCATGCCTGCAGACAAAAAAATAAAAACCCAAGGGAGAGAGAATGCCAGGACATTCAAACATACATGCACCACCATCAGGGGATTCCTCCCCTGTCGCCGAAAGAGAATAATAAACAACCATATAGCGCAAGATGGAAAAATCACATGGGGAAAGCAGCTCCACAAAGGTGAGGAGTAAAAAAAATCACACAAGACAGACCAAAAGCAAAAAAGCAAAAGAAAAGCATCACACAAAGCATAGGACGGCGAGGCGAGAAAAAGAAATCCCGAAATCTTCGACAACGCTAACCCGCCTGCTCCTTTCAACCCGATGCACCGAAACCGCAGAATCCCTTATACAAATGCGTATCAACGAATATCAACCAACGCAGAAACCCGCCACAATGCAGGGTTGCAATATGGACAACATAAGTGTGAGCGCCCAATTCGTGAGTGGGGCGTGAAGTAGGTACAAATAGACCTAGATTTAAGCAGGCGACTTGTTGGCACCGGAACCGTTGCGACGAGAGTGAGAGTCATCGCTGACTGTCAGACCACCGAGGCCAGAGGACAGGAAAGCGAAGGGATCACTGGCACCATCGGAACCGTAGAAGGCACCGTTCGAAGCGCTGGTGGAAGGAACGCCGTGATCTGCGCCAGTGAACGCAGCCTGGGTGGCCGGGTTGGCGAAGGAGGCGGCCGAGTGAGAGGTGCTGGAAGAACCATAGCCCGAGTTCATCTGGCCCATGGGAGGGTAGGCACCAGGGGTGTTGTTACCGAGACCACCGGAAGGCAGAGCATAGTTGTTAGGTGGGCCACCGAACTGCTGGCCGAAACCGCCGAAACCACCGGCGGTAGAGGCGAACGGAGCTGGGGCCGGGGTGCTAGCCATCGAGTTGGGCCCCATGTTGAACTGCGACGGCGGATCCATCGGGGACGGGAACGCCGAGTCGGCCACGACGGCAGCACCTGAGCGAGGCGCACCGCAGCGTAAGCAGTTGATGTTCTTGGCAAAGTTGTGGTAGCCACAACCCTCGGAGCCACACTTCCAGTCACCAGCGCGGAAGGGAACAACACCACCGTTGCCACCCATGCCCCGGGAGTGACCACCACCCATACCGTGGCCACCGTGACCCATGTGCGGAGGCATCATTGATGGCGGGCCATAGCCGTAGTTTCCATAGTTCATTGGGTCCGGCGCGGCAGCCATGGCGGGGAACGAGCAACGGAAGCATGCCGTGCGGCGCTGGAAGTTGGAGAAGCCACAAGACGGGCAAGTCCAATCACCTGGACGAGGGCGGTTCTTGGAGGGTGGGAAGGGAGTGAGGATCTCGGCGGCGCGGTCCAGAACCCGGCTGGAAGAGGGAGAAACCTCAATGGCTTTCTCGTTGAGCGCACGACCGTTCATGCACAGGCTTTCAGCAGCCTAAATGAATTGTATTGTTAGCAGGCAAGACATTGGAAGAACGACAGCAGGTGACTCTGTGTATAAAAAGATCAAAGGATCGGGAACAAACTCACCTCCTCGTGAGAAGAGAAGACAGCAAACCCAGTGCCGGTAGGCTTATGCTGGTCTGGGGTCCGCAGAGTCCAGAAGGCAATGGGACGACCACCGAACTGGGTGAACCAGCTCTCCAACTCAGACTGAGTGGTATCGTGGGGCAGACCACTGAGGTGCAGAACCTTGCTCCGTTCCGACAAAAAGGCACGAACATCGGCATGAGCATCCATAGGACGAGTCAGGATCTCGGGGTGGTCCTGGGGCGGCTGCGACTTGCGGATCAAACCCCGCAGCACACGGGCGAGAGTAACGGATTCCTCCATAGCTCGGCGGGGGGAAGCGGGCGCCAAGGCTTGCAAGTGGAAAGGAAGATTGTGCTTGATCGGGGCGGACGACTGAACGGGCTCAACCTCGAGGGCAGCGCAGATGTTAGAGAGCGAGCTGGGACCGAAAGGCAACGACTCAGGGTGGTGATTCTGCCAGCGTTGGTATTCGGTTCGCAGGTCAAAAGTACGGGAGTGCTGCAGGTATGCGGGCAGCGCTACAGCCTTGTCGCGGGCCTCGCGGGGCAGCTGCACCCGCAGATCCCACGAGTCCAACGTCACAAAGGCAAACTCGTGTTTGTTGAGGAGGTGTTCCTTGGCGAAGGCGTCGAACCGAGCGATGGCATCCCGGAAAGTGCCTGCAGAGCGAACGTGTTCCCATGTCAAAGTAGTCAAGCTCGCTTGAAATATGTTAGTCACAAATTGATCCTAGAACTCCAATTCTAAAGTTTGTTCCAAGGCGAGTCTTACTGCAAAGCGGAGTGATTGGTGTATTCACAGGCTTAACGAGGACACTTTCACGGTGCAGCTGAACCAAAAATAAAACATGTCAGCAATCGGGTTGACCTCGGGAGTGAATTGGACGGGTAGAATGTGTTCTGGGGGAGGGGGAACGGACTTCCTCGCATGTCTTGGTGTCCAACAGGATCCATCCCAACTCAATGACCTCAGCTGAATCCTTAGTGACATATACACCATGTTCATCGCAGGTAGTTGCAACGTGGATGACAATGTATCGATCCAGCTTGGGGGTAGGTGCTGAAACGGCCGCCATCGCTGACTTTGTCCGCCAACGGAGCGGCAGAGGAATCCCGGGGAAATAAAGGGAGAAATGTCTCTGCGGGAGAAGCAGAAGACAATACGACACGACCGAAGGAGCGAGTCGTGGGAAAATTAGAGGAAGAGAAAGCCCGGGGGAGGAGAGAAGGGGAAAGGGGGGGGGGGAGAAAGAAAGAGAAGGCCAACTCGGTGGAGTTTTAAGAGAAAATGAGAAAAGTCTCGGGGCTCACGGGGGGGCGGAGATTACCATAAAGTGTATAGAAATGAACGAAGAGACAACGAAGAATATTTTCTTTTCTATTTTCAATCTCTCACTTCTATTGAATCTTCCATCCCGTTCAATTCCCCTGGAAATTGTGTGTTTGGACTGGTCTTGACCGTGCAACCCCAACCGGGGGCCAGATCCCTGCGATCTTACGATGGCCTTTTCACCACAGAACTAGCTAAGTAGAACAAGAAGGATATAACTATCAAGACAGTCCTCTTTTCTCTCCTGAAATCATACAAGGAATTGTTGACCTTATTCCACCAGAGGCAGAGGAAGAGGACATGAGAATTGACCCCAACCAAAACACAAGCAACAATAGGTAGGTGGGACAGATATAGAGAGGGGAAACAGTGAAACACCAGAAACTGAGACAAACGCATTCCAATCCCCAATCCCCAGAGTTTGTCTGTCTCTCGCCGCTGTCAAAGTAAAAATGCACGGCCGATCATCACGTGGCACATCACGTGTATCTATATCAATCTCTAGAGTCTAGAGAAGAGGAGAGCACTCTGTATATGGCACGAGCATGTGAAATTAAACATATGTACAAAACCCTAACTCAACCCTCCATAGAAAGTGGCCTCAGCCCTCAACAAGCTACACCCAACAAGTAACAACCAACGCCAAACAATTAATAAAATCATCACTCATCACCCGTCTCTTCCTTAATGATAGTACCTCGGCTAGTATCATTCTCATCTTCCTCATCGACTTCCATGATACTAGGCTCAATGGAGAGAATGGGGCGGTTTGCGGTAGCAGATGTAAGACGGCTATCGCCCTCCTCATCTTCCTCCATGATACTGGGTTCAACGGAGACGTGACGACGCCCATAACCACCGGTGGGGTCCACGGAGCGACGGACACTACCAGAGCGCACGCTAGCTGCATCGTTATCAATGTCCTCGGTGCCTTCTCGGGGGCGGACGCTGGCAGCACGACCATCCTGTGCAACGGCCAGAATCTTCAGGACAGCATTCTTGGCTTTCACCAAAGCGTTCCGGCTGGAGGCTTCGGCGGCAATCCCCTCCTCAATGGTTTGATCCAACAGTTCTTTGACCTCGGTCGCGAGTTCGGTGTTTTCAGGATCGATTTCAACACTGGTCGCGCTGCGGATGCTGGTTCGGAATTGGTCTTCACCTTCAGGGGCGCGGGAGCTTGCACGGGCGGGCAACGTAGGGGCGGCAAAGTAAAGTTTGCTGAGGAGGGAGAAGAGAAGTTTGCGTTCTTCGCGCGAGCAGCGATTGGGCGCTGCGCTGACCCCGAGAACACGCTCGAGGATATCCTTGACCAGAGCAAGGTGGACCCATCCGCAAACATTGGAGTTGGCAGCACCGCCAGCCATGACACGTTCACCACCGAGACCAACGACTCGGCGTTCATCAGTCCACTCGGAAAGCATGCCAATGACGCCGGCCATGAGAGCCTTCACTTCGCGCTCGCCGACGCTGGGATCAATCTCTCCATCGCTGTCTTCCTCGGCCTCGAGGGAGTAATACTCATCCGCCGCATTCATTACAGCGCGAACCACTGGCACAGCGATCCGACGCATATGTTGAGTGTTTTCCAAGCGCGAATGGCAGTATACGGGGAAGAAATACGCCAATGATTGTCGAAGAGCGGGGTTTTCGCGGGTACGTGGGTGATAGAAAGAGACCACAAGGGAGAGCAAGAGGGTTTCAACGGCAGTTTGGTTATGCTCCTGAATTGCCGGTGGTACATTTGGCCCAGAGGGGGTAAATGTATTGGTGAGTAGGAGTTTGCACAGAGCGGCTGCTGCTCCAGACTGCACGCTATTGGGTGAATTAGCACGCAAGGCGCGGGCGAAAACCTTGAGCAAAGGTTTCTGCATGGGAGGCGGCGTAACAGTCTCGCCATCAGCTTGGGTGACAGGGGCGAGCAGGGATGGGTGAGTCGTAATCATATCACAAAGAATTTCTATAGCCGTCACCTGCAACGCTTCGTGCCCTTTGCTATAACAGTGAATGAAGAGCGTCATGTTCTCTTCCGCCAAGTTCTAGAAATGTCCCAAACGTTAGCAAGCGGTATCGTTACAGCAATGTGGAAGAAACACCAACCTTATCAAGCAGACAGCAAAGACCCAAACATAAGAGACCACGCTCTCGGATTGGGGCCTCGTGGCTGCGAACAGCTGGTACAACCAAATTGTTAAGCATGGTAACCAGATTCATGTTCTGCTGCAGATGGCCTTGGATATTCTGCAACATGCACTGAGCAATGTATAGACACTTCATGTTGACAACGATCTCGCGGACGATCTTTGCCTTGGCTTCCTCCTTGTTGAAGGGAGTAACCTCTTCATCACCTGGAGTCTCGGATCGTCTGCTAGTATCATCACTGATCTCAGACCTAGCAGACACAAAGCTGTCTTCGGTGGTAATAGTATCATGGACCTCGGCAATAGCCTCGAGGACAACGCTGCAAAATTCGGCTTCAGCTGCAGCGTCAGGTCCGCAAACACACCGCAGAGTTTCCACAACCAGCTTGGTGCTCTCCTCGGGAAGTTCTGGCACAGCCAAGGTTTCGCGAAGTAGCGAGAACATCTTTCGTCGACCGACCTCATCGCTGTAGTCTAAGGTAATAGCGATGTGTAGCAATTGTTCCACAACAAACTCGTGCTCAACAGCGTCATCGTCATTTGCCTCTCCCGACTCTTTGGAAATCTTCTTCCGTTGCAAAAGGTGGGTGATGTGTTTACCCAGGAAATAAGCCAAGGCCGTGACCTCAGGCATCTTGTCATCAGCAAGGCTGTCGTACTTGCCTTCATTCTCAACGCGGCAGAAGTCATTGAAGGACCGCACCAAGAACGCTGATTCTCCCGTCATGTTCTCCCAGAATGACTCGTCAAAGACAACAGCCTCCCGATAGTCCGCACGGCCTTCCCAGAACCCGCGCATTGCCTCATGTGCAATTCCGCTTTCCATTCCGGAGTTGACGACGTCGATTCTCTCGAGGAGTTCAAGTAGTGCATTAATGTCGGGCGGAGATCGTTGGCCAGTCGGACCCTCGTCCTGGTTATTGTTCGTGCCAGCGCAATCCTCGACCCATCTATCGTAAAACAACTTTGCTGTAGCTTTGCGAACACTCTCATCCCGATCACGTAATCCCCAGCGAAGAAGCTTTTCTCTCATAGATAGAGACAGATGACGGAAATCGCCCAGGGTAGGCAAAAGACGTGAGTACAGTGCGCGTCTAGTAGCGGCATCAAGGTCACGGGCACGCTCAAGAAGATAAGGAAGCGTCACTGGGACGAGAGGAAGGTTTGTGAGTAGCGTTTTGCGAACGTCGGCACTTGTATCGTTTTGCATGATGTCCATCAGCTTTTCTAAGAGGGCAGAATTGTCGTCGTCTTCTGCATCATCTCCTGCCAGACGCCCTAGTCCCAAAACTGCTTGCACACGGACAGAGGCCTCCTTGTCCCGAAGGCGTTTCAGAAGCCCTTGCCTTATAGTGTGGTATAATTCGTCGTCAATGGCTTCCAGCGAGTTCACGATGTGGGCGACAATTTGGGTTGAGCGGAAGCGCACCATCTTGTCCTTGGCAGCCATGACAGGCACCAGCGTTGCCACCAAGCTGGATGTAAGGCGGGCGGTCGGTGTTTCGGCGCTATGGTCTTCATCCTCACTCGGTGCGAAGATTTCGGCATCTTTCTCAGAAGCATGACTGAGGAATGTACCCAAGAACCGCAGAACTCGGTCTCCAACAGGCTCACTCTTCTTAATCGTCAGAATGCGAAGCATACAACGGCCAACTTCCACATTGAATTCTCTCTCAATTTCAGTTTCCTCCGCAGGAATCAATGCCTCTTCGGGCTCTTGATCTTTGGTGTTCCTGCCATTCTTCCTTGGTGAGATACCACAACAGTGTTCCTGAAGCTTGCGTAGGCGCACTACCAGCTTTCGGTGACCAGTAGTCGAGCGCTGCGCGTCTGCAAAAAGCAAGCAAACATCGCGACGCAAAGTGGGGGATGATGTAGGCTCTGCTGGTTCCTCAGGTATCGCGAATGATGGGGTCACGGAGCCAGCACGCCCAGACGCAGAGGGCTGTGCTGACGACCGGCGTGTCGTCGCAGCAGAGGTCGAACGGGCGGCGACTCTGCCAGGCATGGTGGTGTGGTGGTGTTGGGCGTTGATTATTCGGAGGCAAAAAGCATCGCGGGCTGCGGGACCGATCAAAGGAGTGGAGGTCTTGGCGGTAAACAAACAGCCCAAAACGGGATGCCGATAAACGATAAGGGTCGACTACCCACGTGACCGAGTTAAGGCCGACGATCGGAGCTCGTCATTCCCCGACGAAGGCCGAACCGTTTGTTCCTGCATTTGCAAGTCATATCCAGAATGTTTCGTCAGAGTGTTCGTCGCTTTGCGACTACGGCAGCCCGCGCCGCAGGCGAGGGGTCTACAGCCTACTGCACCCGGGTATCAACAGCTCAGGGTGTCGTCAATGGATTGACCGAGGGTATGTTCTAGCTCCGAGTACATTGTGCATACTCTTTGCAACATAAAGCTGACACGCTACAGCGATCGGAAATACCCCTCTTATCCGACTAAAGAAGCTCTCCGAGCAGACCGGCTGCAACATTCTTGGCAAGGCGGAGTTCCAAAACCCCGGAGGCAGCGTGAAAGACAGAGCGGCGCTCTTCGTGGTCAAGGATGCGGAAGAGAAGGGCCTTCTTAAGCCGGGCGGTACCGTCGTTGAGGGAACAGCCGGCAACACCGGTATTGGCTTGGCGCATGTGTGTCGATCAAAGGGCTACAAGCTTGTGATTTACATGCCCAACACCCAGTCCCAGGGCAAGATTGACTTGCTCCGTCTGCTGGGTGCGGAAGTATACCCAGTGCCCGCAGTAGCCTTTGATAACCCCCAAAACTACAACCACCAGGCGCGCCGTCACGCCGAGTCCTTGGAGAATGCAGTCTGGACCAACCAGTTCGACAACATTGCCAACCGTCAAGCACACATCGACACCACTGGCCCGGAGATCTGGGCTCAGACTGAGGGCAAGATCGACGCCTTTACCTGTGGCACTGGAACCGGAGGTACCTTGGCTGGTACCACTCGCTATCTCAAGACCGTCAGCGACGGTCGTGTCAAGAGCTTCCTCGCCGATCCTCCTGGCAGTGTTCTCCACAGCTTCATCCAGAGCGGTGGCACTCTGATTGACCGCTCTGGAAGCAGTATCACTGAAGGTATCGGTCAGGGCCGTGTGACCGACAACCTTCAGCCCGATATTGACCTGCTCGATGGTTCAGTGAACATCAGCGATGAGAAAACCATTGAGATGGTCTACCGCTGCTTGGATGAGGAGGGTCTCTACCTGGGTGCTAGTTCCGCGATGAACGTTGTGGCTGCCAAGGAGGTTGCGGAGAAGCTGGGCAAGGGCAACACCGTTGTCACTATTCTCTGTGACGGCGCTTACCGCTATGCTGATCGCCTTTTCTCCGGCAAGTGGCTCGAGAGCAAGAACCTGCGTGCCTCCATTCCCAAGCACCTGGAGAAGTACATCGTGCTGCCTTAGACTGTGACTGTACACAAATTGAAAAAATATACCTCCATTTAACTTGCAACCTTCTTGCGATTATGATCCGTATGATTGAGACTTGAACATGACTTTAGCTTATTAGTTCCATGTGGCTCGGCTGTCATTGGGTAAAAGGATATGGACCGAATAGATTGGCTTAGAGGCGTGCATCTCATACGTGATCACAATCTAGGTCCGAACCGACTAAAGTTGATATCTAGTTGACTCAAAGTTCGAATTGGAATGATCTCCTGGAGCTCTTGGGTTATATCACAATCTGGCCGCTTCCATCCGCGAGGTTTGAAAGGACGGCAGACGTCACAAGTAAACGCTCTAATGATGAGCAGAGTATTCATTGACACAACGAGTTGGATAGAAAATAACATGGTATCAATTGTGAGAGGTGAGTCTCAGAGGCCAGTGGTATATCCACGCAGTTGGTATTGTACAGTTGAGTAAAGAGGTAGACCCGGAGTGTCTAAAATAGAGAGAACCACTAGCTCGAGGCCAGGTAGCGAAAACAGAACATGTAACGCAGGGGAGAGAGGTCGGAAGAACGCTTTTCCCCATGCAAAATAGACAAGAACAACCGAAACGCCCGCAATGCTTCCGTTCTATACCAGAACACCAGATGCCGAAAATGTACAGGTCGAAAAACGCAACGAGTCAAGACCGCCTTGCAGAAGAGACGCCAAAAGACGGAATGGGCCTGTGCAACTCGTATCCAAAAGGAACGTTTAGTCGTCGGCAGGCATTCTCATGTAGGCATCGATAGCCGCACTGAACGCCGCGAAACCAGCGCAACCGAATGCAGCAGCCTGAGGACCAGCCTTTGCGCCGAGAATACCACCGGTAACACAACCGGCGGCAACGCTGTTGGTAAGATCGTTCTTTGCGCGGAGGCCCTCGATGCAGCACTCTGTGCCGGAGTAGAGCGCACCGACGATACCGAAGTTCTTAGCAGAGGACCATGAGCGGGCACCCATGTCCTTGAAACCGCGGCGGACTTGTTCGCGCCAGGGAAGGTCGGCGATCGCGCGACCCTGAGGTGTGAAGGTCGAGTCGTAGGACATCTGGAGCACGAAGGAATTAGACATGAAGATGTAGATGTGGATGACGATATGAACTTACACTGGCCATGAAGAGACCGAAGGCACCACCAAGGCCGAAACCCATGGTACCTGAGATGACTGTCTTGATAGGGCAAGACTCCATGCCAGCTTGCATCTATACGGGCTTTCGTTAGAATTCCATCTCATCCACAATAATATAGGAGACTAACCATCTTGACCATTGCTTGTTCCTGCTCATTCATGCCTTGTGTCGCGGGGTTACCCCCAAGAGCGGTCATTGGCATTGTGGTGCCCGTTGTTCCCGGAAAGGCCATTTTGGAAGACAAGAGGAGTTGTATTTAGGTCGAGGGTATGTTGAGGTGGAACTCCCTGAGTAAGATCCAAGCTGACTTGATTGATCAATCCACTGGACCTCGGCGAGACAGATATCGCGTGGGCAAATGAAAGATAATGGAGACGCGGAGATCTTGCGGAGGCGAGTAACTGAACCGCAAATTTATTTTTACGGCGTGCCAGGACAGCCTAATGCGCAAATCAACACGTGACATACTCTGCTCCGCAAAATAATCGTGTCGTTATCTTATCATGTTATGGCTTCCAAAACATCCCGAGGCAAGAGAGATGGAGCAATCACCAATCTACGAAGGACATACAAAGGAAAAAAGACAAGAAACTGTGTTTACAATGGATAAAACGTATGGCAAATAAAGCAGAATCGTTTAATCGTTAATGCGAAAAATCGAAGTTGCAGAGATCATGATCAAAACGATTGGTAATTCCAAAGTCTTGCAGAGAAATCAATGCCTGCACAAGTTCTTCCAGAGCAGCAAAGGGAAGAAATGTGACAAAAGAAGAAGCAACGCTTTCGTATGGTATAAGTCAAAAGGTCGTAGCCCTGCGCGATTCCGAGGGCCAAAGAGATAGCAAGTATTTACATGAAGGAACGAAAGAACCTTATTAGTCTTTCTTGCTGTCCTTGCGACTGGGCGAAGGAGAAGCATGTCGCTCAGGGGAAGGCGACAGTGAGCGCTCCCACTCTGCCATCAAGTTGGACGCAGTGCGCTGAAGCTTAGAGGGAGCCAACTTGGTAATTGCAGGCCAAGGGATGCCTTCAGAGATGTTATGTTCGAGAGCACTGGGGGTCGGGTTCCAATCGCCAAAGCTAGGAGCGTGGTCAGCGCATGACGAGATTGTCATAGATGAAATCAGAAAAGGTCGAACGGTACCTAGCGCTGGTTCGAGGGCTGCTACCCTGGGTGGCGGGCGACCTATCATGTTTGGTATCAACTGTCGATCGACTTGATGAGGGCGTGTGCGTCTTCTGGCCAGATAGGGGCGTTTCCCAGCTATCCCAGTTGTCGAGATCTTCGGTTTCCGCATCGAGTGACTCATTGGGGCGGTGGTCGCGCTGTTCGGCTTCGGTCGCCTCGTTTCGGGTGGCTTTGCTGTCGGAGGGGGTGCGTGGAGCGATGGGAGACTTCTGAGCGGGTGTATCAATGCCGAATTCGTTCCAGAAGGATGTGGAAATTTCCGCCGGCTTGGTGTCTTTACCAGTTTTTGTCTCGGCCGCTGGCCCCCTCCCCCGCGAAGACGATGATGACGATGATCGTGATAGCTTCCCGTCCGCTAGCAACCGTTCTCGACTTCGAGATTTCGCCAATGAATCCCGTTTGCGACCATTGGGCGGTGCCAACGAGTTGGATGGTGACATGTTTCGTGTTTGTGTTCCGCTGATTCCTTCTTCGCCCACCGTAGCCTGTCGGATGTCTTCCAAGAATGTCCAAAGACCTTCACGGAGGTCGGATGCCATCTGCTTGCCTGTGCGCACCAAGGCCTCCCGTGAAGGGGGAGGCAATGTATTCCGCCATTGGGCGAGTAAATGTTCGGGTACCTGGCTCTCATCCATTTGTGAACTCATTGTAGCTGCATTATTGCGCTCGACGGATGGTAGTGTCGCTGAACGGGGAGTGCGCCCCACCCGATCAGCCTCTGAGGGACCTGCCTCTCCACGGGAGGAGATGGGACCTGTAACAGGCGAGAGAAGAGAGAGCGTCCGTGTGTGTGTGCCATGAAATACTCGCCGACCATTGGTCCCAATTTTGGTTCCTGGTACGGCAGCACGAACACTAGACCGCCGGTCAAGCTCCCGGCTGATCCGTTCTTGCGACACTGTAGAGCTCGCCGAGCTCATGCTCTTGTCCCGGCCATGTAAACTCGAAGGATCGGGTGTTGAGAATTCAGGCGATCGCAGTGGCACCAGAGGCTCGACGTGGTTGATCTCCGCCCGCTTCCTAGACTTTTCAGACTGTGCCCATTGTTTCTTGATCGTCACCAATTCAGCTTCCGCCCGCGTGAGCTCCTCACGAAGCTCCATGACCTTCCGCTCCTGCGAGGCGATGGCCCGCAGGAAATCGTAGCCATCATCTGGAACATCAAATGCCATTTGTGTTCCAGGAGCCTGTGCGGGGGATGGTCGTGTCGACGACTGTGCGACGGGGGTTATAGCGCCAGGCGAGGCAACGGTGGAATCGCGTGTGGGCTCAGGATCGTTCAGATTGACGGGGAAATTCAGAGTAAGGCGTTTGGCATGACGGGTAGGGTGAGCAGCACGAGGAGGCAATGATGAGCGTTTCTGAACGAGTGAAGACGAGAGGTGGGAGAACTCGGAACCAGAGTCCTGTCGCACTGAAGTCGAGGTTGAAATCTGGTTCGCATCCGGCAGCGATCCGTGGATGAGGCTCTCCGCTCCCGGAAGACTCTCCATGATGGGCCAGCCAGTAGGAGAGAAAAGGAATCAATAAATTTACAATAGAGTCATATGAGAAGAACGAGTGAACAAGACAGAGTTGAGGAGAGGAAAATTAATAGCTCGGGTCTCCTGAGTCCAGCCCGCAGCGGGTCCGAAGGGTTGTTTCAGGGGGATATTAGTATTCCTAGCTTCTTATTCAGCCCGTTCTGTCTCCGGTCTTGGCATCGCTTTAAATTGCAATGGACATTGGACCTCGTAATAGCGTGCAAAGCTGTGGGGGTATTACTCGATGCTCCATGGTGCTTCAAAATAATGGACACTGTGGATGGTCGCAATATTAACATCTGTCATGATTGCAGCCCTTCAAAGTTTCTCAGAGCGGAATACCTTACGAAGTAGCTGTCATCGTAGTGAGCAGCTCATATATTGTTCGTCTGAGGTTCTGCCTTGAACTAGAGCAGTCTCCGCGAGAAAAATTGATTGCATGAGCTGACAGTTATTAAGCCGGCTTGCTGCTTGTCCCCTCAAATGGACTTGGCAAACAAAGTACATAGTGGCAGGTGTAGTCTGTAGACAGCGATACAGGCTTAACTAGATAATGTTCTATCCAAATGCTGCACTCGGTGCGCTAACTATCTACATGTTGATTAGGGTCATGAAAGGTTACCTATGAACCAGACAACGAGTGACAGTGGAGATGACTTGAATGAAGCATCCGGCGGGCCATTCCATCAAGCGAATCGTGTCTGCATTTGTATACACACGCGAGTCTGTGAGCCTCCCACAGCACCTCGTCATGGATTGTAATCTATGGTATAAAGGAGATGCTATATTATTGGTACAACACATCGCATTGTACAACTCTCGGCTACCTAGTACTCGAGTAATACCACGCCATAGAGGCATTACACGACGCAAATGTCTCCGGGCTACCTAGAGCGCTGAAGCCGGAAACAAGTCTTTGCCGGTCTACCGTCTACCTGTCAGATATGTCTTGCGGAGGATTTCAGTTAAGATACAGCCCCTAGACAAAATGCGTTGGCAGCGTTGCAACATTAGAAGTCAGCAAGTGTGTGGGGTCCCCGTGTGTCAGATCATTCCAAGGTAGGAATTGGATAGCTAACGTATTGTGTAGTTTAAGCCTCAAGCTACGGCTTAAGCTTATTTTAGCGGTGACGCACCAATTCAACCTACATCATAAATCCGCTCATAAATCTGCTGGATTAATATCACAGTGACAAGCTGACTCTTCGTACGAAAAAACACTTTGTCTTTTCCTAGCCATGAAGGAGTGACAATAGACTTGGAACTGATCAGGATATAAATAGAACCTGCAGGGGTTGACCCTCGTCAGTTTTTCAACCACATCTCCGTACCCTGTGACTGTTCGTACACAGACGCGCATTCAGCAACACGCGTCTTTATCATGAGTTGGAGAGCGAATCCTACGAGGATTCATTCCAATGTCAAGCCTGTACTCAGATGGAAAGTATACCCGCTTCCCATCCGAGCATATCGACGGGTCTCCCTCTTTGATCGGCAAATGGCCTGGTCGCGTCGATGCTCATCACAATGGACGTCGAACCCGACAGTGTTCCCAACCTTCGATTTGCGGCTGTTAGATCCATCCCTCAAATATGAAGAGCTTGCAACAAGGGGTGATGTGTCCAAGGAGATATGCACATATTCGGTCGAGGAAGGAGATGTGCTGAATGACCGATATCACATCCTACACCAAATAGGCTGCGGCCCTACTTCAACTGTTTGGTTTGCTGTCGACATGTTGTATGTATTCCACCCAATCAGGTGCAATGCTACGCTGACTTACAGTTCACGATAGGGATCCAAGAATGGTCGTGTTGAAGATCTACGTGGTGGACTATATGCTCAATACATATGGAAGAATTCACCCACCAAAGTTGTACAATCAGCTCGAGTGCCCACTTTACGAAGTGAGCGATCGATTTACAATGAAGGGCCCTCAAGGTTCTCATATTTGTGTTGTCCACGAGGCGCCCTCAATGGACCCCGAACAAGTGCATGCGGGGGACCACCATGACCTCGGATTGATCAGATCTACAATGAAGCAAATGCTCATCATGTTGGACTTTTTACATACTGATTGTTATCTGACAGCTCGTATATCACCTAATGATCCTCCTGATGGGCAGTCTGCTAATTCTGTCGCAGGTATAGACCCGAATAAGCATCTGGATGCTAACACCGATCGCGCACGGGTTGCTGGGCCCAGCAATGGCCAGCCCATTACCCCGATCATTCTTCCAGGCGATGGTGTTCCCCTCACCTTCCATTTTCCAGACGAGGACAAGTCCGACATCGCCGAAAACCATTCCAGGTCCCCGGAAGAGATCCTAAAGTCGAAGGTAACCTACAAGACCGATATTTGGGCCATTGGAATGACTGTGAGTATTCAATCATAAGACAAAACCAGTATATCGGCTCATATCCTGCAGGCATGGAGATCTACCAATTTCCAAGAGATGATCAACGGAAGGAACTCAAATGGAGCCTTCGATGACCGAGTTCACGTCGCAGAGCTGGTTGCTCTACTTGGTCCTCCTCCAGCAGCATTCCGCGAGAATGTGAGACTCGGGTCCATGTTCTGGGACGGAGAGGGGAATTGGACGGGCCAAGCTCCCATACCAAACCGGAGCCTGGAGAGTCTGACATCTAGCGATGGTGCCAGCGAAGAGGCGGAGGGATTCCTAAAGTGGATAAAAAATGCCCTGCAATGGGATCCTGACGACCGACCGACGGCACTCGGTCTGTTGCGCCATGATTGGATGTCCCAGACGACCAAGCCTGTGAAGGGAGAAGACACAGAGGTATCCATAGAGGGCGGCTAAGGCCAGTCCTTTCCTCGTGTATGGTTCAAACATCTGTACATGTATGCTTAGACATAGAAGCTCCACTCAAGTCAACTGCACTCAGTGAAAGACCTGTTGGGCCGCCCGTGAATTAGGAAGGAGTATACAAGGAGACTAACCAACCAATTGATAGCCAAATATGTAGAACCTAAGTGGTTTCTACAGTGTGGACCAGCAAATTACAAAATTATATAACGTGGATCCTCGTTGTTCGGGCACCCCGGATATTCGGGCAGGCACCCTCAATTTTCCTCTCCTCACCAAACCTCCAATTTTCAAATGCCTACCATGCCACCAATCCGTGGCCAAAAATCTTAGAAATTAGTTGAGCAGGTAGACAGAATCCTGCTTGTAAATAAGGTTATTAAAAATGCTGGGTTACCTCCATTGCTGCTGCTGCTCGCTCTTTCAAGGTCCCGCGGTCTACGCGGGATCCAGGTGGTTACTATTTGGTCTGTCATGAGGGCTACAAGCCATAAATTCACCCATAACTAGGAGGATCAATCCAGGATAGATTAATCTCTATGGTCACTAGAGGTGCTGCTCTTACGATCGCCATGTCGAGAGATATAGCCAATATACAACTCGAAACCCGCAGAGGGGATACCCTCCAGACCGTTGGCAATAATTGGCCAACACGATACATCAAACGACATCCCGAGCTTTCTAGTCAATTCTCTCGTGGTTATAGCTATAAACGCGACTTGCTGGAAGATCCAAATACCATTATTGGGAGGTTCAAGCCTGTTGAAATCACGAGTGCTCAATATGGTATCACTTCGGATGATATCTACAACTTTGACGAACCAGGGTTTGCAATGGGAGTTATTGCAGTGACAAAGGACATTACACAGTCATTCTGTACCGGTCGGAGGGGTGTTTTGCAGGATGGCAGTCGCAAATGAGTGAATATTGTCGGTCAAGTTAGTTGATGAGCGTATCTTGATGCGGGATGAAATTGAGCATTTATGAAAATGGAACAGAAAGCAGACAAGAAAGATGGACAAATTAATGAAGCAAATACCCAGTAGAGGCGATTTAACCGAGCTTTAGGGTCCTACTACCAATGTTGGTGGTGAGGAAGGTACCTAGTGTGAGATATATATCTCGTCCTACATCCGCTCTAGAACCCTATGTTGAACCTACACTCCATATTTTACCCCCTATGCGTCGGCAAATCGCCTGTTCTGGGTGTCATAAAAAAGGGCATTCTTTTAACAAATGCCCCAAAACTTAGTTTAGTAAAATTTATGGGTTTCTGGTTGATTAATTGGCGTTTAAAAAAGGTAGGAAAGTTGATGTTTTGAAGTTCCTGCCCGAATATCCGGGATGCCCGAACAACGAGGATCCACGTTAGTCATGTTTGAAACCTTAGGTCCCGAATGGTAGCATGGAAGATCCGTTGTGATCTTCTGGTTAAACCGTCGGGAGGCGTGCTTTATAATGGTCGGTCTTGGCCCTTGGTAACATTAGCATCACATACAGCTCGATAAATGTTGTCTCCTTATCCAATGTAGGTATACATACATAGGAACATAGCCACACATAGTGGATCCATCCCATAGTAGATTTACGTTCCCCACATAGACCCACCCGGCATTAACCCGTAGAGACCCACTATACACCTTATTCCAAGGGAATTCAACTTCCGGCAGAATCTGGCAATTTTCTGAGAGTGTCCTGTCCTGGGTATTTCATAGTATTCATGCAGAAATACTGTATTTGATCGAATATGTACCTTCATTTGATACCAGAGTACTAGGAAAATCAAAATACTATGCTTCACACGGTAACTACCTATTCATTGCAATAAAACAGTATTTATTGCGGTATTCTTCATGAGTGCAGGTTCCTAGTTCAAGACGGTATCTTAGTTTTGTATATGGCCGGCATGGATGGAGGGCGGTTTTTTTCGTAACAGGGAGAAGCTAGTGAGCAGGTCCATTATTCAGAAGCCTTGCGTGGGTGCCGAGTTCCGTTTAGCTTTCCGCCAACTGGCAAGGACATAGGTATCCCCACGTGCCTCAATATCCCACCGCACCAAGTACTGCATCTGATCTGTTGTTTGATTCTATGGCCAAAGGTATCATTTTTCAAGGTTGTTTGACAACTTAATCTCATCGACCTCGAATTCAGCGGTACCTAGCCCGACAGGTAGCGCGATCAATTGCTTTAAGAACCTACACAGTGAAGAGGGCAACGCTCAAGGCTGTGTGATCTGAGGCACACGGAGCCATAGGGCCATCGAATCGGAGGTGTGGAAACTGGCGACCCGAGACTCGACTCCCACTCGAAATTTGACTATCAGATCGCGAAAAGAGGGGCGCGCCGATTGGCGATTACGCGTGACCGTGAGCGCGTGAGCACGTGACCATTTTAGCATCATTATTCATTGTGGCTGGCAAATGGCAATACAGTACGTTATCAGCCTATCAGTAACAGGAGTCTTACTGTGTACAAAAGTCAGGAAGAGCAAGAAGGCTATATAACATATGTAGATTGTAGTACATTAACATTGGACGTACATATCAACAGGAGGACCAATTAGGTCGCAAATCCTACATAGGTGGTCACGCAAGGAAAAACCGAGGTCGGGCAGCCAACCGGCGAGCCCAAAGTTGGAGCAGTGAACGGAGAGACGGAGACCATTTAACGGCCAGTTTTGACTGGCATCTCCTTTCCTTCATACTTGGTGTCTCCTGGTCCGACTTCGCTGTCGGGGACCACTTTTGGCCCACCGCCACGCTCCACGAGCCTGCCTCCGTGCGCGCTCTGGTAGACATTCACGTCGTACGTGTATTTTACGAGCAGATGGTACACGTAGACTGTTCGTGTCTGCCCATATCGGCGCGCACGACCAATGGCTTGGGTCATCCCAGAATTGTAATCCCTCTGGGTAGCGGCAATTAATGGGGACAAAAAGATGACGTGATTTGCGCATTGCAGGTTTCTGAATCAGTTAGACGGTCGACCAACTTCCAATGACAAGAGAGATTACTTACAATCCTGCAGCCATTGAACTACCCAGTTCGAGCAGCAAAGCCTTGGGGCGTGGAAGGACTTCCGATGAGCCTCTCTTCGGCTTGGACCCCTCAGTGAAGTCAGTGATCCCTTTCATGCCGGTGGTCTTGGTGACCTTGCGATGCTCAATCCCAGCATTCCGAAGGGCATCGGACGTGACGAGCACGAGAGTGGGTGCTTGAATGAAAACAATGACAAGCTCATCCTGTGGGGTGTTCTGGATAATTCGGACGAGCTGGTCGAGCTTGGAGCTCCTGGTTGTACCCTCGTTGATCACATCGTCACGGCAGATAACCTTTGATGCTTCAAACTTGGCCTTGCAGCCTTCAACGGGGCAGGACTCGGTCACCTTCGCAGTAGCAAGGCAATTCTTGCAGAGGGCGTGCCCGCAGACTTCGATGATGTGGATATTTGCATCCACTTCCCACGTTGCGCAGGCTTCATATTCACATTGTGGGGTTTGCCCACTGGATATCTGGAGCAAATGTTGATTGTATCGATCTTGACGCAACAATTTGGCCGCTTGCTTCAACTGAGCAAGGATTTCATTTCCTAGATTCTGACGAACCTTTGACGCTGCAACGGCGGGTGCATCATCGATTCCTGCACTGTTTGTAGGTCTGACACGTCTTGCCCTGACCAAGCTCAAGGCTTTCTGAAACCGTCCGTCGACCTTTGCTTTGGTTTCTTCAACAACTTTCCTGTCGTCGTACGAATCAAAGCCCAACCTCAAACGTCTGATGAAGTCTTCGCCGAGGCCCACATCAAATTCGTCTTTCACCACGGCAATCAGAGAGTCTCGGCAACCTGCCGGCGAAATGTCTTCCGGGGTGGTTTCTGTGGCTTTGCCTTTGAGCGTGGTTTTCTTTGAAGCTGTCGCTGTAGGGTTTCCTGCTCGCCCCTCCGGTTCCCGATACCAAAATGTAACCGCTTCACTAATGAGCGAGTCTATTCTGGATTCGGTCTGAAGCGTTTGCGTATGCACATTTTTCATCACTTCCTGTGTGGGGATCCAGTTTTGCTTCCCAACCTGGGTGACCACACTACACATGACGAGAGACTCCGTGGGAGGCAGTTTCCTTGACAAGATGCTGTTCACCGGCCCGGAGACACTCTTGGTCTCGTTTTCCAGTGCGTCAAATAGCAGCTTGTAGTTTCTAGCCTCGGCTGGGGACGGATCAATCATGACAAGTGTCTGATGGCACTCAATGCCCTTGGTCTCTGCGGTGTTCTGGCGTGCGTATCGGTCCAGGAATCTTTGTGCAAGATCCCTGCGGTTACTATACCACGCATTGCTGCGAGAGGCGTGGTATGATTGGAATGCCTCGACTTTCGTGTACCTTTTCCGCACATCTCGCAGTCGAGGGTTCTTGCTCGGCATCTCACAATCGCCATCGTCGTCAATACCAAGGTTGAGACCGAGGTAAAGCGCAATACTCTTGATGTCAGCAAATTCATCAAGTGCAGGCGTCCCAGAAAGCACCCATTTCGAACGCGCTTCTAATGAGAGCAGGGCTATCTCCTTTCCTTCCCCGGCGTATGTGTATTCGTCGATTACTACACGATTAAACCTGAAAGCGTGCAAGAATGCGCCCTTAACAATCCGCCAGTCTTGATCGTGACCTGCCGGTATATTGAATTCCGCACGGTCATCCCTGACGGCCTTCGGCTTGGTACGGCTTTTCGTCTTCAGACTGGACGAGGTGGTTTTTCGCCGTTTCTCGGCTGGACCCTCCTTCGCACACCCTCGCTTCGGCTGACCTGTAGTGGTTGATGATACTTGATCCGAATCGGGATCATCGGAATCTTCAGAGTCGTTGGAGTTGTCAGTGTCGTCGGAATCGTCCAATCCTGGAGCAGGCCCTGTATCCGCATCCTCAGTTGCTCCCGAGCCATTTTCTGTTTCCGAGCCATGATTAGCTGCGGCAAATGCTTTGCCACGGAGGCGCCTGGAAGGTACGTAAGTGGATTCGGTTTGCGTCTCTTGAACTCGGCGACGGCGGGCCTCCAATTGCTGAAGCATCGCCTCAGGGCCGAACGTTCTCAATGTGCCAACAGACTCTCGCAGGGAAGCACGAGCGTCATTGAACCAGCTTTCGAAGTTTCTACCTGTTGGTCCGTTCCCTTTTCCGGGAGCCTGCGGTGCCCCGGTAAATCTTTGCAGTCGGGCGTAATAAGCATCGCCGCCCAGGACACTCCATGACAAAATCACGATATCGGCATCTTGGACAGCCCTGATCGTGACTCTGTTGATGTTTGTCGATATCGCCAAGACGTTGTACATGCTTCCAAGGAACTTTTTGCATTCCGAAACCCACTGCGTGAACACGTTCTTGGGAACAATGATCAAAGTGGCATTTGTGGGTATCAGCCCGTGGTCTTCAACGGGGCGACTGTAATCTTTCATCCATTGAGCATCGATAAGTGCAAGGACTATGGCAGTTTTTCCATATCCAACCTCGTCAGCTAGCACACCACCGCGGATAACTTTTGGCATGGTCACTTTAACTTCAGCGCGCCAGGGCATCACCGGAAGGATCGCCTCTTCGACTTCTTCTTCCGCAAACGGTTCAATGTCGGCAGCTTCTTGTGAAACCATCCAGTTCAACGAGCGAAGCTGTTCTGTCCGCAGCTTGAATATGAAATTGGGAGGCTGTAGTGCACACGCATCGTTCTTGTTGTTCATCAAGGTAAACATAGCTGGATTGCGGTGGTTCATATCGTACGCATGCGGGAGTAGTCGCCAGTGAGATTTGACCGTCTCACGGCCTGCGACGCCAACCAATTTCCCTTGTGCCTGGTGCGTCAGGGCCTGAACATTGAGAGTAAATCTCAATTCAGCATCTCCTTGCTCGTTGACCCTTCTGAACACCAAGAACGGCGAGGGTCGGGTTTTGATGGCATGCTCGTACAATGCAGCCTCCTGGGGGTTCTCAATAGGCATAATCCGGCCAGCTTTGTCCCGGCCCCAAATCATGGTTGGTCCCGGAGGATTGCAAGTATCACAATTATCGCGCAGGTCATGGCTGTGATCCGAGGAGCCTGGGCAGAGGATTTCGCTCCAGTTTTCGAAATCGGACCATGCCGAGATCTTTGGGAACAACCAAGCGAGGCTCTTCAATTCTCTCGCAGAGGCTTCTGGATCCCATGATTGCCAATAGGTGGTTGCCTTGGGCAGATTGATGGTGGCTGTAGAGGCTCCCAGCGACACGAGGGTCACAGAAGCATTGTGGCATCCATGATTTCCAATCGAGACTTGAACACCGGGTTGCAAGGTGTCGAGGGTAATGTGTTCACCGTCACAAAGGACGAACTGCACGTTGGGAGCCTTGGCCCATTGGCGACAGGAGGCAGACACACGTTGCGAATCCGACGTTACATCCCATGCTCTCCAGGTTGGGGATAACTCAGCGATGGTCGTTCTCGCATCATATCCTGTTCGCCGGTTGTGTTCCAAGGCAAATACACAAGCATCCTCATCGAGCGGTCCGATCTTTGTCTGGTCCAAGTACAGGAATACTGGAGGCCTATTCGCGGTGTTATCTTCCCTGCGGTACAAAGATCCCAGCGCTGTTCCACACTCAGGGAGCCAATTGTACACTCCTTCGACGTCAACATCGAGAACTGCGCCGTTTTCACACGGTCCTTGAACCAGGAGACTGTCCCAAACTTTTGACTCGTTCACAATGGGGTCTTGAAGACCACACGTAGCTTGGAACGAGGGAACATGATTTCCTCGACCGGTGATTGTCAATGACAATAACGTGCTTATTGGCGATGATACATCCCAATGACCACGGAGAAGCGACACAGGGCCCGGACTCATTCGTGCGATTGGCTTGGCCAATATTTCGCGAATGGGGCTTCGCATGCTTGCAGACTCGGGGGGCTTTGCGTACAAAAGCCACTGGATAGAGTCCGGACCGATTTCAAGGAACAAGTTCGAGTGATCGCCCTCGTACACAACTCGCCATTTTCTTCCGCGCTTGATCTCAAAAAAGCGAAATTGGTCGTGCACGGCAGACCTGGTGCATTGAAGGAAGTCGCCCCAGAATTGGGCGAGAATTTCGCCTGAGTAAAGGGGTTTAAATGTCTCGAAAGTCGAATCAGATAGGCCGGAAAGCCTGATCTTCATCGGCACCACACTTTTCACATCTTCAATGAATTCTGAAGGCTTCGCTCTGGAAAGAGGGGAAACATGCCGATATGAGTGTGTTGGGTTGCCACGGCAGGATCCGCAAGCGGTATGCCCGCATAGTGTGCAGAGGAAGATCGAATCATGAACCCCAGTCTGCCTCTCGCAGTAACAACAAATCACACTGCACGCTGCTTTGGCTTTCATAGCAAACTGGTCGACAGGGGGAACGTCGGCGACTTGGAGAGTGCGTCTCACGAAGCCGTAAACCTCGTTTGGAACAAGACGTGGTGTCTGCGTGTCGCCGGGTGGGATTGAACCCGCTTTGTCGTTGTCGAGAATTTTATGCACGGCTATCAAACCAGCAAGCATGACTGCACACACTACAGTACTGGTCATTGCATTACCTGCCATGTCCATCAAATCGGCGTTTGTTTCTCTGGTCAGCAGCATCCGATCGAGTGGCAGGCCTTGCAGTGAAAGAGCCTCCGTGCCAGATACGGGGCCGCCCCTGGTGGTTGAGAAGGGTATTCCCTTCGGTGTTATGCAACCTGCAACTCCAGCACTTGCAATTGTCTCATTGCTTCGATCAACGCCCTGAGACAGGTCAATCCAACGTCTGTTAAGTGAAGTGTTAGTCAACGATCCCTGAAGTGAAGTGACGGTAGAGTAAAACTTACTCCTTGTGATTCATATCATATCCTTGAAGCATTCGCTTCAAGAAATTGATGTCGATCGTGTCCCACACTCGCTCTGGCTGCGTCCGCCAGAAACGGTGCCAGTAGAAGTCAGGCGCCTGCAGGTCATTGACTCCGGGCAGGGACCGAGTAATCGGTCTCCCGGTGCCCAAAGCAAGGTCTTTTCGGTGCTGAGCGTGCCGGATTTTGTACTGTTCCCAACTGACCTCGCTCCGGGACTCGAGGCAGGCTTTCATCTCGATGAGCTCGAGTCGGCGGTCGTCATCGTCTAGCATGAATTGTCCGACAGGCGCACTTGCTGGGCGTTTGAACTTCTCGATAAGGTCGCTAACGCGTCCAGCGAGTGTCATTCCCCGCGGGTCCAGAGGGTTAATCAGGCCGACTTCTTTCAAGCGGCGCTGGTCAATGATAACCATGTACCCACGCTCGCGTGTCTGCGGGATGTAGTAGTGCTTGGTATCAACGTTGGCTTGCACACACATGTATCCGAGCTTCTCCCACTTGTCTTTCATCTGAGCCCATGGCGCGCCTCGGACATTCTCCTGGATGACCATCTGGGGTCGATATTTTTCTGCGTACTGCAACAGGCCGCCAAATGTTGCCGCGGATTCTCCACCTTGCTGGAGTGACTTTTGGACGCTGTTCAACGGTGAAAAGTCGACACAGGCGGTGCCAGCAATCAAAATGTCCAGGCCACCTGGAATTGCTTCCAAGGATCCATAGGCGGTCCGCCTGGACTGGAGGTTAGTTACATGGTCAATTCAAAGGTAGATGAGTATGGAGACTTACGCCTTCTCTCCACCGAGCTCGGTAATATCTCGGAACAACACCGGTGGGCGGAAGTTTCGTTCAATGTATGATTGCTTGAATGGGACAATCTCGCAGCTGAAGGCGTGCGAGATCCGGAATTGCTGGTTTGATACGAGACCTATACCAAGAAGAGATTAGCCATTGGTTCATCATCGTCTTTGAGATGTCTGATGTCAACTGCATCAAATCGACCCCAAGCGTTGCCAGGGACGCGGGTAGAGTTAGGGCAAAGACCATCCATGTGATATCGGACCCGCAACATCCGCAGCGTCGATAGGATACATGAACCTCGGAGCAACACCCAAGCAATCGACCAAAGCAAAACAAAACAACCAAACAAAGAACAAAGAAGGTATGTCACTGCACTTACCCGTCTGAATCAACTCTAGGGCCAGAAGAGGAGCTTCCGTTCCTGAACACATTGTGGCCACTCGAAGTGGTCGACCACCAAGCTGAGAGAGGACACGCTCGAATCCCAGCTCCTGGGCCTTCGATGCCATGTCAGCGAAGATATCAGGCAGCCTGTACAGGGGCGGGAGGTTGGTGGCTAGATATCGCTTCGAGTCGATCGCGCGTCCTCGCCGCAGCTCGGGAATCTCATCTGCTCCAGCGGGAGGCTTCTGATCATCCTTCGCCGGACCATACGGCAGCAGCTGCTGAGTAAGTTCCTTCTTGGCCGGCATTGTTGCGTCAAAGAAAGGCTAAGGATGGGATGAAGGTGTTGATGATGAAACAGAGGAACGACAACACAGGATGGGGGTTGAGTCGGAGTTGATGAAACAGAGGAACTACAATACAGAAGATAAATGAAAACAGTCTTTGAGGGAAGACAAAATGATGCGGGAAATGGATGAAAGTGTGTACAGGAGAAGGAGAAGAAAGAAAAGAATTGGACTGGAGAAGATCCTCTATTTATGTCGATTGATCCAGACTAGGCAACGCATCTGCGCGCATGAGAATTGACAAATACGGCGGCAGCTCTCGACCATGCCCATGCCTCGTCTGGAAAGAGAAGATTCCGGCTATCACCTCCCAGCCGCGCCGAGCAGAAGACACGCCAAATTGGGAAAAAGCTCTTGACCATGCCCTATACCTCACCTGCAAAGAGAAGGCTCCGGTCATGAGGTCCCAGCTGCCGCGATTCAGGCGACGCCGGATTGGGCGGGAGCCCTCTGAAGATGTTGTTCGGAGCAAGCGCCGGCGAGGTGATCCCAGCCGCGCTGAATAGGGTCATTCTGGATTAGGCAGCGCTTTTCCAAACCACCACTGGCACTGCTACATACCCAACTCATCAAGGGAAGACTGCTCTTGATCAGCCTACATAGTCTCATGACGGACGGCAGCATTATAACATCAACAATCAGCTATGCTAACTGCGTAATGGCTCGCGCAGGCAGACAGGAGCGAATAGCGCAGCCTCCGTTACAGGTATGATATCAAGGGTCAGGCAGTCTTTGTAGCGTCAGGGTTCGCAGCCATGAGACAGAGTTCATAATGCTGATGGGGATGTCAGACAAAAACATGACAAGCTCGCAGCAAGAAATGGGAATGTGGCAGACTACATTACTGGTACGATGTTCAGGTTCAGGCTGTCTCTGCATGTGCAGTGTCAGGGCCTACAGCGATGATACAAAGCTACAGATACAAAGCTACAGGATGGCGATGATGGGAATATCAGACAAAAGCATGGCAAGCTCACCGCAATCCGAAACCCCTATGTTGTACGTGTCATGCATGTTTCCTAGGCGCGAAAATCCGTTGGAAGCTTCCAGATCGACAAACGCGCTCGACCTTGTAAACTTATTAGAGGCTACGGGGAGAAGGTTCTGACATGAGATGTATACCTAGAATGAAGAGGGTCAACTTAGAAAATGTCATTGCTACTATCCAGAAAATAGAGCTTCAGATAGAGTCGTTATGCAAATAGAAAGATTTCACCCCCATTGCGCCACCATTCGCCTGGTACAGTAGTGAAACAAACGAAAGAAAGGCTCTGAGATACCAGCCACACCAGGCTCGCTACCAGAGAGCAGAGGACGAAGTATCAAAGTACACGTGATTGCATGCCGTGTCATGAGTAGAGGAGGACCCCTTCCCTCGACGGGGGGCAAGGCATCAATAGTAGCCTGAGGCATGGCGAGGACTTGCCGAAGGAGCTCTTCCTGGCCGAGCATGGGAGATGTTCGCCGAACTCCCTACCATTTGTGTGAAAAGATGACAAGACGCCAGTTGGAAGATACTGGTACAAGAGAAAGCACTTCAGAGGATACCCTGCTTTTGCAGATCCCTGTAGATCCTTTCAGGCATCACGTTACCCTCTGCATCCTCCATCTGAACGACATTCTCACGATTGTCCCGCTCCTTTTTGCGCTCCTTTTCGAGTTGTTCCGCAAGCGCCATCGCCTCGTTAATGCTGGTAATCTCACGGAAGAGATTGGTGTTTGCTGTGATACCGAGGCATGTCAATCCGTAGATGTGGCGAGATTCCGAGAAATGTTTGTCAAATGCTCGGCGACCCATGTAGGTGAAGTTTCCGCAAATCTCGCACGGGTATTCAACACCGAGTCCGTGGAGCTTGTAAAGCCAGAATGGAATAGGTTTTCCATCCCATGCCAGTGGCAGCTTCAACGGGTTGTAGACTTGCTCCTCGTCATCATGGTCCGACTCTTCACCGTCAAGACCCTCAGGAGCTGGGTTGTCAAGGCCGGCCTGCACAGCTTCCAATTCGGCTTGGCGCTCGCGTTCGGTCATACCCTGTCGACGCTCAACATTGATTCTAGTCGCTTGTCGCTCTTCCTGCAGGACGTTTGCCAGGCTTCGGATTTGGTGTTCACGTCGTGCTACTTCGCGCTCCTTCAAACTCCGAGCCAAAGACTTTATTTCCGATGCAGATGGCTTGTCGCTGGTTGTACCTCCTGCCTTTCGAGCTTCTGCCGCTCGGATGTGTTTTCTGGCAGTCAAATGGTTCCGGTAGACATTGGCATTCTTAAATTCCTTCTCGCAGTCAGCGCACCAAGTGCCCTCGCCGGTGCCTTGGGTTGCCGGGCCAGAGGTACCGTTCTCTGATTTCTCTTCTGCCCAGCCCGGAACTTCCTTTGCTGCCCATTGTTTTTCAAATTCGCTGTCGAAGCTGGCGAAAAGGTCGTTCAACGGTTGCAATGGTTGGGTTCGCTTGATGAAACTCTCCAAATAGGCGGCAAGTTCGCTGACGTAGCTGAAGTAGCGATCAGAGATCTTGTCGGAACGTTTGATTGGCATAGCTGGGAGCGTGAAGGAGTCGAAATTTTCCAAATATTGAATGTAGTTCAAACGCTTCATCCCAGGAAGGTTCATGTAATCTTTGTGGAAAGACGTAAGATCCAGATATTGTCCAAACCCTTCTTCACCAGTGAACATATTGTCGATTATGGAACGGGAAACTTCTCCTTCGCCAGGGTGACGGCGAGTGTATGCCTGCTCAAGGTTTTCGATGGGCTCATTCGGATAGCGCTTGTGGTGCTCCTTGATCTCTCCGAGCTGCTTGTAGAATTCTTCGAATTGATCACCTGTCGAGATAGCCTGGATTTCCTTCTCTCGTAGTCCGTCGGCATCCTTGTAGATCTCTAGAAGTCGCTTAGACTGGCTCTCGATTCTCTCGAGGTACTGGGCGACTTCATGATCGCGAGCCAATCGGCCTCGAATCTATCGATTGTTAGAACAAGATCTGATTAGCATTGTCTGGGGCGACACTCACATTTCGCGGTTCTTCCGCCACGCGATCAGCGACAGCCTGCTCTAACCTCTCAAGGTCCTCATGGAGATATCTCTGGTCCTCGATCAACATATTTAGAAGTGACCCAATGCAGTGGGGGTTATCCAAATGACGCGCGAAGTGTGTTGGCAAAGTGTCGCCGTGAGTCGCTAATATGCAGATAGTGATTGCAGCTACCTGAGCTGCTACCAATTGGATTGGATGGTCTTTCGCCACCGCCCTTTCTACCGCCCTTTTATGCCGAAATTTGCACCTCCAACTTTTGAATCATGTGACCAAACCGCTTCCGCTGCGAAAAGTTGGGCTGATTAACTTCACTTGATTCTTAAGGCTTCAGGATCCTTGAATCTCATATTCATTTGTTTACCGCTGCTGCTGTACCAACACTTACAATATGGCGGACGGAATTGACAGACGCGCCGAGGGTATGTCGATATCAATCCTGAGCAATATGAACCATGCTAACAGTGAGCAGAGCGCATGGAGTTCAATACCTCCAAGGAGGTGACGGTCGCGCCCACCTTCGAGGACATGCACTTGAAGGAAAGTCTGCTTCGTGGAATTTACGCCTATGGATATGAGTCTCCTTCAGCTGTCCAGTCCCGCGCGATTGTTCAAATCTGCAAAGGTCGCGACACTATCGCCCAGGCGCAGTCCGGTACTGGTAAAACCGCCACTTTCGCGATCAGTACATTGCAGGTTATTGATACTGTTGTACGAGAGACTCAAGGTATGAATTCACTGTCTGGTCAGGTTACATTCAACTCTGAACCGGTTCTGACCACCATTCGCTCATAACAGCTCTCGTCCTATCGCCGACCCGCGAACTCGCAACCCAGATTCAGTCCGTCGTTATGGCCCTCGGCGATTACATGAACGTTCAATGCCACGCCTGTATTGGAGGAACCAACGTCGGCGAAGATATCCGCAAACTCGACTACGGCCAGCACGTCGTCTCAGGAACTCCCGGTCGTGTCGCTGATATGATCCGTCGCCGCAACTTGCGCACACGTCACATCAAGATGCTTGTTCTCGATGAGGCTGATGAACTCCTTAACCGCGGTTTCCGTGAGCAGATCTACGATGTCTATCGATACCTGCCCCCCGCGACGCAGGTCGTCGTGGTCTCCGCCACCCTTCCCTACGATGTTCTCGACATGACTACAAAGTTTATGACCGACCCCGTCCGTGTCCTGGTCAAGCGTGACGAGTTGACACTCGAGGGTATTAAGCAGTACTTCATTGCCGTTGAGAAGGAGGAATGGAAGTTCGACACACTTTGCGATCTCTACGACACCTTGACTATCACCCAAGCCGTTATCTTCTGCAACACCCGCCGAAAGGTCGACTGGCTCGCCGATAAGATGCGCGAGGCCAACTTCACTGTTTCTAGCATGCACGGCGAGATGCCTCAGAAGGAGCGCGATAGTATTATGCAGGATTTCCGTCAGGGTAACTCCCGTGTCTTGATTTCTACCGATGTCTGGGCCCGTGGTATCGATGTTCAGCAAGTCTCCCTCGTCATCAACTACGATTTGCCGACCAACCGTGAGAACTACATTCACCGCATTGGTCGTTCGGGACGTTTCGGCCGCAAGGGTGTGGCCATCAACTTCGTCACCAGCGACGATGTCCGCATCCTTCGTGACATTGAATTGTACTACTCGACACAAATTGACGAGATGCCTATGAACGGTAGGTCCATTCTTTTCATGAAACTTCCGAGTCACTCACTAATTATCTCCCAGTTGCCGATTTGCTTTCATAATTTCCGAATGATATCACGTTCGCGACACCTCTTCATACGTCAAAAGCAACATGGCTTTATTTCTTCCATCGACTTGATCAGATCGAATGCGCTCGCATTGTTGACTCGATATAACTCGAAATTTGGGTGGCTCAATCAAAGTGCAAGGCCAGGTCAAGCGTGGAGGAAATGGATAATGACATATTTCAGTAGGCGATATCCCTCCCATCACTTTGTTGACTCATGCTAACAGCCTGTTTAGTCCAAGAATGCCAACAACTTTGTACATCCTAAGGGGTGTTGACGATTTTGCCTTTTTTCAAAATTTCTGGCCTTGGGCCTTTGTAGCAGGGTTGTTCTTGTGTTCAAGGAGTTTCTTTCTTATTTCTTATATTGCCACACTGGATATCATGAATGATGGAATCTATTTACTATATACCTGGGCATTGTCATGTATGCGTAGTGGCTGTGTCTTTCTGTATTTTGCTTGGGCGAGGCACCTTTCACTACGAGCAAGAGACACATGTAGGTATACAGGGAAACATGGAACATGGGAGAGAGATAGAGCACACATCCAAACAGAAGGTACCTGAACTATGAACTCCTCAGGAAGCCACGACCCAAGACTAAACAACAAACAGCCACAAAGCAAAATGAGAATATCAACCGCAGACAGCATATATGTACTCAGAAGCACCATGGAATATCGACCGGCGCCAGGTTCCTGTATTGGGAAAAGAGATGCTAACTGCAGAGGGTAAGAGTAGGCTGTGAGATGAGTGAAGACCTGAGAAGACACACAATGCATATGCTCTTAAGACAGCACGATGGGGGCATGTCAGTGGAATGATGTGAGGTGGCTGGGAACGAAGAAACACCAGAGAGAATTCAGAAACAAGGGAAAATCATTGCAATAAAGCAAGTTTATCGTCTTTCAATCCAAAGCTACAGGTATGTTTTCTCGGCCAGATGGAGGGTTGTGCCACAAGCAATAAAGACAGGCAATCACCAGCGAAGCGGCAAGGGACATGGATTAGAGATGGCCGCTTTGTGATATCCGTGGCGAAGCGTAGTTGGTTCATATCGACTAGAAAGCGGACGTTGTCCTCAATGCGCTAGTCCGTGTAGACCCGTTTGACGAAATCCCCCGTCGTTGAGGAGGTGCTATGGGTCGGGAGCGATTCCTATCTCGAGACCAGCTGCAAGTCCACGTCAGCAGTGTTCAATGTCTGGAAAATGGACAGGGCTTCTTACATCCTTACGGCCTTATCATCGCCTGCTGATGCAAACATTCCCGGATCTACCGGGTTCCATGATATTGAGTTTACACATCCCTTCATATGCCCTTCCAAGGTCTCCACAAGGTTGCCATTTTCTTTGTGCCAGATGTAGACCTTTGAGTCTGCTCATAGATTAGTACATGTCACAGATACACAAAGGTTGAGACACTTACCCTCACTTCCGCTGACGACAAAGTTCTCCGCTGCTCCCCCAAATGTGCTGCGAATAACGAACAGGCCTTGCTTTTGGCCCTTAAACTGGCGGACGACAGCAGTGGTATCCATGTCCACCAACTGGATCTCGCCCTCGGCCAAGTTGATTAGCACATGTCGAGAGTCCTTGCTGATAGCGACCGATGTGGGCTTGCTCGGCAGCGGGAGACAATAGTCTTCCTCGTATGTGTGAAGATTATAGACGTGCAGTTTTGCCTCTGTGTCGGCCGCGACGAGTCGTCGTCCGTCGGGACTGATCGCACAGTCCTGTACACGGAAGCCGCCTTTCCACGTGTGTAATGATTGGCCGCGCATGCCCCAGTGACGCAGTTGTGCTTCGGCGTCGAGAGAAGCCGTCACAAATGATTCCCCATCTGCTGCCCAGGCTGCCGCAGTCACCGGTTGACGGTGATGGTTGATGGTGAGCAGACAACGACCGCTCTAGATAATGGACAACCCAGTTAATATGGACCTCGAGATTTTGAATCACTGTTGTGAGAATCAACACTTACCTCAGCGCTCCATACTCGTGCCTGGTGATCCTGTGAGCAAGTAATGAGCTTGGAGTCATCTGGACTCCAGCTGGCGAACGCAACACCTTCCTCGTGTTCTGTGAGCCTGTGAATAATTGTAAAATCGGCTGTATTGTAGATCAGCACGTTGTGGTCCTTGCCAGCAGTGACTAGCTTGCTTCCATCGTGCGAGAACTCGCAATACCATACTTCATCCGAGTGATGATGCAAATCCAAGCTGACTTGTAATGGGAAGTCATTGCGGTCACACATATGATCTGAGTAGAGGGAGGGTGGATTGGCCGTATTATGGTAAAAGCAGTTGTTGATCTGCGTCTGCTTAACATGATCCAGTAGGTGTGCAAGGCGGTGTTGTGGGATCATCACGGAAGGAGAGATAGATTCTAGCGGCTCGATTAGCAAGTTATACCATAGATACCGGCTAACACATGGGGGCTCACTGGACAACTCGTCAAGCAGGCGTTCACGGGAGGAGGTGACGGTACCATCCCACTCTGCTTGAGCATGTAAGGTCTCGGGCGGACACATCAGAAGGCTAGTCGAGGTAATCGGTAAGCAAGTTGGCTTTTATTGAAGATACCTATAGATCGGCAATACCTTGAAAGGGCGTGAAGACGATTGACGTCGAAGTTCAACGGCGTCAGTTCTTGCCGAAGGACGCTGAGAGCTGCAGCCAGGTCCCGCGCCTCCAGTAACTCGAGGAACTTCTGTTGTCGCAAATAAAATAACATCTCGTTCATGTTTGCCTCATCCGCTAATACCAGTGTCTGATCTGGAGGACTTTTTTGATCCCCTGGATAGGTGGCCAAAGAACTTTGAAACGAGCGCATCAGGATCCCCTCGGCTTCTGACCAGTTCCCACCTAACACAGCACTCCGAAACGCTGCAACACCCGACGTTTCTAGTTCATAGCCGCTCTCTGAGCTTAACAGCGATGCTGATTCATCATATCCCAGCTCGTAGAGACTCTGTATTAAAATGCGAGTCACTTCCTCCCTGTTGTGGCCATAGTAGGTTTGTGGTCGCGATGCTCGTTTAGAGCCATTCGTATACGAGTTCCCGTTGGTTGACGTTTGCCCGTTCGGTGTTTGTCTCGTTGTGACGAGTGGTTCATTCGACCCCGCTGAGAAACTCGTCTCGGCGACCGTTCCATCGGGACGCATGATTACCAGGCGCCTGCGCTTGGGGGAAGAAGGTCGGCCGTCCGGTCGGCCCAAGAGATGGTTTGGGGAATTCTGATCTGCGGTCTCACGTGCTGATGGGAGATGTCCAGGCCCTGCTCTTGGAGAAGCAAGGTTATCCGGGCTACTTGAAACGCGGCGACGGCGGTTGCCACGAGGAGCTGAAGGACTGGCGGGGGGTTGAGATGTCGTGGGCAGGTAGTCGGGCAGTCGAGCGTCGGGATCGCCTACCGAGGCGGAAGCTGTGGTATTGACGGGCAAAGGAGGTTCAGGATTGTCGGGGGCGATAAAGGGGCGATGCGGCGGAGGATTGTTAGCCAGTTCGACAGTATCTCTCGATCTGCCCAATTCCCTGGCTCTTTGCAAGAACCAGGTGAGCAGACCTCAAGCGGTGGCGGTTGTCCGATAGGTAATCGCCGGGAGCTCCGTAGGCGATGATGCAGCTACCGCCGGATTAGCACAATTCAGCACAATTGTCACCAGCTTGGCTAATAATCACACAAAGGCAGGTGATTAAAGAGCAGTAACTTACGAGCAATTACGAGCTTGTGAGGTCTCCGCCTTGAAGTCGGGGGGGGTTTGTCGGGCGGGCTTATCGGAGGAGTGGAGATGAGGAATTGCTGGCCTTAAAAGGGGAGCTCGGTAAATGTTGAGATGTCGAGACTTGTCATAAAGTTGATCAGGAGGAACAGAAAAGATAAATCAAGTATTCATACTGGTCATCGTATGGTGTGGTCTTCGTGTGATAAGGTCTTCGTATGGTGCTTGAAGTTGTGGAGGAAGGATGGATCAAGGTATTACACTTTCTTAGGCATCGCTCGACACTTAACCCAGTGACTAGTTATCGTACTTTCCATAAACTGTGTAATTACGTTGCTTTGATTATTCGCGTAATTATCTTTTTCTCAGCTGATCTACTGGGCTAGACTTACTCTTCGTTAGTTAGCGGTTCATCTTGTACTGATTTTATACGAGCGAGTTTGCCGCGAGAATAGCAGACATACTCGTCAGTGGCTCAGTGCCCAAGATATCATTTTGCGAGGGATCTAATGAAAACATAGGTAGAGTAGATAACCGGGGATTAACCCCGTACACAGTAGATGACTGTACACTGTAAAGGTCAAGATGTTTCTACTGTGGTAGGATTTAAGGAATACTTCCGGCAATCGATCATGTGTTCCTCCACTGACGCCATCATGATGCTCCCAGTACAACCCTCGGATCTTCTATAAAGCAGCTGTTCTGCCACTTTGACTTCACCATATATCATTATATCCTCAGAAACGATTCAAATCAATACACATACTCCAAACAACTGTACCTTCTCATCATGGGCTGCTCTTGTGGATCTACTTGCACCTGCACTGGTGGTGCCCAGGGCTGCTCTTGTGGCGACAACTGTAACTGCAAGGGATGCGGAGTATGTGATAAACCTGCGATTCTTGTGTCAAGGCTAACACCCTCTCCTTCTAGAAGTAATCTATTTCGCCATCGCCCCGATTTCGACGAGATTCGTTCAGGCGGATCATTGGATCTTCTATAAAGCAGCTGTTCTGTCGCTTTGACTTCACCATATATCATTATATCCTCAAAAACGGTTCAAATCAATACACACACCCAAACCTACAATTGTACCTTCTCATCATGGGTTGCTCTTGTGGCGATAACTGTAGCTGCAAGGGATGCGGAGTATATTTCGCCATCGCCCCGATTTCGATGAGATTCGTTCAGGCGGATAATAGTTTGACGAGATCAATGGAATACTTGGACAATCCAGAATGAAAATTATGAAATAGCATATGATTTGGACTTCTATTGCACCGGGCTCGATGGAGGATTTCTCCTGCAAAGCCTCCTTGCCCGGACCTTGTAGGTAAACGTCATAGGTCGCGCATAGATATATTTAGTTTCAGACAACTCCCCAACCTGGTGTAAATGTTTCCTCGATTACCCTCGATTCTAGGTACCTACTTGACCGGTCTATAAGCCAGTGAAACTCCCGGGCATCACTGGCCAGGCCATCAATTGTACCTACGACAAAGATACTCCATGTGGTAGTCGTGATATCCCTGACAGCTATCCACTCCAACACAACACCGAAGATTACACCAGGACGTGAATATCAGCATGTTGCGAATGGGGAGCTCGAGGTCATGCCCGGATACTGACGACGAAGCAACTCAAGGACTCGCCGATTTCCTTGTGGAAGAGCCGTGCTCTGAGGATGTTTGACACCGCGTTACGCCGAAAATCAGGTTGTGAGCATTGCAACTGCATACAAAGAGCCAAGGGCAGCTATTGGCTCGGTGGGAGAAGACCGAAACACCTGCAAACGGCGGAGTCGGGTTACCGGCTGGCCGGCGGGCTTTCTGAGGCGCCCAGGATGATTGTCGCTAATTAGGCCTTCCGAGGTTACTAGGGTAAGTTCGTTAGCTGCTTATATCAGGCAACGCCGCAACAAGATCCGATGGATGTGGATCTTCGATTTCCCCTGCAACTTCAAGTCCTGTCGAGTGTACGATCCGGCCCGTTGAGGAATATTTTGCTACGCCGAGGTACGCCGAGGTACGCCCAGAGCCCCATGTTAGAGCTCTCATGTTGTAATAGACATCAATAAGGAATGAGTCGAATGATACGGAGTAGTGTAACTAGACATTGGCCTTACGGGGGGGGGACTCGGGGATTCGGGGCAGTCCCCCACCGAGAACCCCGTGGGGGTGAGAAAGATAGCTGGGGACCTGGGGTCACCTACGTCGACTCTAGTTTGTACTTCGACTTGACTTGAGCACCAACGCCATATATTCAGACCGTCACCACAATGAGAGACTACTTCAAAATACCAAACTCCATCAAAAGCCACACTTCACTTCCCCCCATCACCAAAACCCAAATGTGGGGGTTCCTCGGGTAATCGGTCGGAGGAAGGCCGAGTCCTCTCTCCATAGGAATGCGAAGCCCCCGTTGAAAAAGTGCCATTTCTACCTGAACTCGTCCTTCTTCATAATTAGGCAATTATATCACAGTCATGGCTTCTATTGTACTCCGTTCAGCACTGAAATCCACCCCGGTGGCATACGGCTTCTGGTTGACGTATGTTGATCTCCAACCCCGCGTTCTGCCAGGCAGCATCATCTACCCCCAGATACATCTTGCTGCGTTCAACTCAATCCGAATTACAATACTAACTCTTCCATCCCGATCCGCAGCCTCCCCAGCTCCCCCTCGCTAGGACCGTCCTCCGTCGCAGCCCCGATTTCTCCAAAGGCGGTTTCAGCTGGGTCCTGGTCGACGCTGAACATGGGTTGATCAACGATAGCCACTACTATGATGTGAGTGCCCAGTTCAACCCCCGAACCGAAGAAAACAGCCACTAACAGCCACCGTCAAGCTCACAAATGCCGTCGCCCACGAAGGCGCAAGTCCCATTATCCGCGTCCCCTGGCCAGAAGAGTGGATGATCAAGCGTGCTCTTGATGCCGGCGCCCATGGAATTATGACTCCCATGTGCCACTCTGCTGTATGTATAAACCGGAGTCCAGGTGTATTAAATCCCCGCACATACTGATATACGAACAGGAGGACGCCAAGAAGGTCGTCAGCTACTGCAAGTACCCGCCTGTCGGAGTCCGCGGGTACGGACCTATGTACACGGCACACTCGTTCCCCGGTGTTTCACCGGCGGAGTACGATGCTAAGACTCATGCGGAGGTGTTGGTTGTTGTGCAGATTGAGTCCCGACCTGGTGTGGAGAATGTGGAGGAGATTGCTAAGGTCGAGGGACTCGATGTTCTTTTCATTGGTGAGATTGAGATTCCTTGGGGGTTTGGTTGCTTGGGTGCGATTGGGTTATGACTGACTTTCTTAGGACCCTTCGATCTTGCTAAGCAGATGCGTATTACTCGTGGTGGTGAGGAGCATGAAGCTGCTATCCAGCGGGTTCTGGATGCTGCCAAGTCAAATGGGAAGAAGGCTGCTATTTTCTGTATGTGTTGCTTTCCCTCTTTCGCGTCCATGATGGCTGATATGTATACAGGTACCGATGGCAATGATGCTCTTCGTCGTTCGCAACAAGGATTTGATATGGTTTCTATCATTACTGACATCGGTGTCTTCGGTGATGCTATGCTCGCTGAGTTGGAGAAGGCTAAGGGTAATGCTAAGGTTGAGGAGAAGCGTGAGGGCTACTAGATGGCCTAGTGGTTATTGGTTAAAGCAATTGCAAATGAATCCAGAATAATCACCAAAATCACGGGGTAAGAAACAGATCAGATATCAGCGCAGTATTATGTAGACAGATGGTATCAACGTTAAGTGGGGTACAGGCCGGTGAGGAGGTAAGTAAACCTCCCAGACAGGAAAAAGCCAGGTTAAATATACAGTCTGATGATTTCTATTGCTGGAAGAAAACACCCAGCTAGTTTCAATGGCAACTCATGCTCGAAGCAGGAAAAGCCGAGAAGGAATCATCCTCGCTGCAAAGACGAATCCCATTGCCAGCGTAGCCACCGCAGCAAATGCAGCCAACAGTCCTAGACGCGCCAGGCTCTCGATACCAGGTCTCTCATATTTGATGGTTCTTCGCTCACCCAGACGGGTGCGGCGAGTGAGAGTGGGCATGTATTTGAATTCAAAGCGTGTCTCCTTCCCAAGGCCGTTCTTCTCATCGAGGAGTTGCTTATAGAAATTCCTCCGGCGAAGCTGGGGAATAGAAACGGTTAGTGGGCATCACCAAAATTTTGGGTGGTTTTACATACGGAAATCATCAGCCGGTCGATGAACCATATCTTTGGAACAATGTATGAAGCAGTCATGACCCAGAAGCAGTATCCCCAAACCAACATTCGATAGTACAGATTAGGCCGAGGGAGGTCAAGCGCATCGGACAACTGATCCCCGTTGAGTAGTCGACTCATTGCTTCCAGGAACCCCTTGGATGCATAAGCCGGCGCTGTGTTCTCCAGACCAATGATAATGTTCTTTGCCAGAATCCTTCCTGTTTCGCTTGGATCAAACTCGGTGATCAGAAGAGACTCCATCATAGCACGAGCTTTAGTTGCGCTTTCGAAGTGTTCCGTCGGCGTGCCCATATAGTATGCGACCAGTCTCCACAGCGCGATATAGTCGTCGATTTCTTGCTGGCTGAGGTAGATACCTTGTCGTGGAAGCCCAACCCATACTACAGCGCTGCAGAATGTATTGATTGTACCGATAGAGTCGAGATCGTTGACGGGAACTCCGTATTTGTCGATATCGTAGTATTCAGGGCTCTGCTCGATCAGGCTGAGGATTCTTAGTCGGACGGCTGAATGAAGCAGCCGAACGCGGGCGCATGAGATATTTCCTTCGCCACCTGGCTTCATGCCTTCTGCTGAACCGTTGACCTGAAGGACATGTTGAAGTGTTTCGAGTAGTCGTCGGCGCACTACCTTGGCACCAAAGCCACCGGTTCGTGAAAGGGTTTCGACGACTCGGATCGCTCCCCTAGATTGAAGGTCAGTTGGTTGCTTGATTTCTATTATCGCGGATGCAAGGAACGCTCATACATTCCACCTAGCAGACTTTGGAAGCCGAGCTGTGGGCTATGTCAGTCTTTCTTCACAAGTCATACTCTGTGAATCGACTACTCACGACATTGAGGATGGGAAGACCATATCGGAAGAAAGTGTCTTGCCCTCGCTGGATCTGATCCCAGTCCACCCACTCCGGAATTGTGTTGATTTCATTCCATAGCTGTTTCAGCTTTGGATCCTCGTCGGCATGGTCCTTCAATAGAGCATACAGGTCTCTATGGAAAGGTCGTTTCCCGGCGCCGTCATCCGCAGACGGGATCTTGTTCAGGCGCTTTACACACTCGTCGGCTAGAGTATCATATGTCTTGACCATCGGACGGAGGTCATCTGCAGAGGTATGAAGGTCGGTCCAACGAAAGGAGTATCCCCAGTAGTGATACTCTGTGCTGTTTCCGTGTTTTGAGGTCTTCAGTGACATGGTTGCGTTCAACTCCTTAAGATGGAACAGATTTCCAGAGGTCATCAAAAGCGTCTCCTATTTCGCTATGAGAATAAGCCATCGTTTCTATATAGTTTAATGTTTTGTTTGGCCATCTGACATGAAGGCATTGCGGCTTGTGGGTTTGCCGTGGCCCACGGTCCGGGGAAGAAGAGGGGTCAGCTCAAGGGGTTAGGGCATCGTCAATCTTTAGCATGTGAAGTTATTCCAGCCAATCAGGCCATTGACCCCGGAATTCCCCACGTTGTTGTTTTTATTTTTTTAGATCTCAAATGTTTATTGGCAAGTTAAACCTTGGCAAAAGACATGTGAAATGTCAAAATAATCCGAGACGACCTTCTCCTGTAGTTCCAGCTCTACAGGCCACCGAACTTCCATAGTGTCATTCTTTGACCACATGGTCGTTGGGTTCGAAAATGACGCAGCTGAGGTAGTGACTTACTCTTTGTCAATCTTTGAATAGCCCAATAGTCTTTCTTATGTGTAATCGCCGATCACTCTTTGTCTTCCTTTGATCGTACCCGCAGACAGGCTTAGATGATGACCCGGAGATGGACTTGCCGCTTGAAGTAGACTATAAAGAGCCGGACATGTCTGGACCTTGCTAACGAACCAAAAGAATCATGGATCCGAAGCCTTACGTTAAATGCAAGCTAAATGGGGTGTCCAAATCAGGAGCAGATCTCGACGGGTTGGAGCTCCAGGCCTGCCATCGCGCTCTCAATAATCTGCGAAGCTTATTGTTCCAAAAGCCAATGTTAGACCTTCTGCAGGACCAAATTGAGGAAGGGGATCGCTACTTTGAATCGTTAATCGAAGCCTCCCGGGGGCTGTATAGGGAATGCAGGATATTTATGAAAGTAACCGGAGTCTCAGCGACAGAGTTCAAGGCGACTTGCAGCCGCTGGCAGGTCTCTCAGCCCCTCGATGACATGGCCCGGAGGTATGTGTTCCCAACTCACCCAGAGCATTATGCCGTCATGCAATCGCCAGGTGCTCCTCCTGAAGGTGGACCAGACTGCGGAGTGGAGCTCATCGGGGAACACATGGCTCGGATTCGATATGTCGATCTCACGCAGACCATCGTAGATGTCCCAACGTGGTTGTGGCATGCACGGAGTAAGAGTTATGATATGATGGAGGTGATGGTTGCGAAGCTTGACAGCGGGAGTAAATTCTTCTATCTCATGAATGAATTCGTGAATACCGAAGGCGGCTGCAAAATCAGGCTACGGGTCTTCTTTCCCTCGGCCGCACCCTGGTCGTTGATCAATCAGCACGCAGAGCATCTTGCGGTTGAGTTTCGGAACCTGCTCAAGATGGTTCATGCGGCAATTGAGGGTCTTGAAGACAGCTATTAACCTATCTGCAATCGGGGTAAACGTTCTGTAGTTTTCCTTTGCGTGCCTCTTTCTCCTCTTTTCTTTTTCCCATCTTCGTTATTCTCATTCAATGCACTCTTTTTCTTTGAAGGCCTGGCTAGTAACATCTTCTGTATCTCAAAAACCATGCTTTGACCAAAGAAGGCATCGACACCCAGTTCGCACTTGTAAGGTCTGTTCTTTGCTTCGAGACGAAATTAGAGATGAAGAAAAGTCTGGATTATGTGGGTTCTAAAAATTCAGGGTTGTAGCTACATGTGGTTAAGCGGATGCAAAGTCCTGTGCACGACTCAAAGGAAAAGAAGGCGCTTCCAGCACCTCGTGCTCATCTTCTCCGTCAATATCCGCTATCTGATGTTACCAAAGACCTTTCAGCATCTTCCCACAAAAGATATTTCCAATTCGACCTTCTATATCCTCTCGCAGATTCGTGGGCCAGTGCCCATTCAGTTCGTGCGGTGGGACACGTGGGACGAAAGTTCCCGAGTGTATTAATTTCCCATGTTGCATGTAACGCCAAATATTGCTGAACTGCATGTGACCCATATAGTCTCGTTCGCCAACCAGGAAATCTTCTGTATACTGCCACAGAGCTGGTAGATGTCTGCAAGGGAACCAGTCCCCAATGATGAAATGAAATGAGAGAAGGTTTAGACCCGCCTCATGAAAGGAGTCGACAAGGGCCTCGCATGTTCTTTCGTTAAGGTAGGGATAAGGCCACTCCTCAGAGTCCTGAAAAGTTATTAAGGGTACGTTAAGCTCTAAATGTTCAAGATGAGAGTGTTGAACAATGCTGGCGAGACTGTCGTATGGCTATGGGAACATTAGCAACTGGGATGCCGGGGAATCTCCATTCACAGTGAAACAGTGAATGAAACAATATCATAGATACTCACCAATCCCTTGTCGGGCGCCCAGCTCAGGGTCATACCGAGTGATAGTAGGTTAGGGAGCTGGTCGGCCAGATTGGCTAGGTTGTGAATGCTGATGGGAGGGCGTTTGTTTTCACACCGTTTTGCCTCGAAAAAACCGGAGACCATTTCAGATCGAAACCGAAGGTGACGAAGGGATTTGGCATGATATTCCGCTAACACCCCCAGGGTCTGTTGCGGAAATCCATACCCTATGAACATTTTTAAGGGTGGGAGCACTTTCAGAAAGCTGTGGAATTGCTCCACTCGCTCAATATATGCAGGGTAGTCTCTTTGATATTGATATTGAAGATGCAGGTCTGGAATGCCCATTTCTAGGGTTTCCAGCGCCTGAAAGCAGCCAGGGAGAGTGACTTTAGGCAGCAAGTGGATCCAATCGACCCGGAGCAAGGATAAATGTTTGATCACTTGCCATTGTAGTTGTGCGGCCCATAACGCGCTCTGGGGTGGTCCAAACCTCATACTGTCAAAGTAAATGTTTTTTACCCGAGGTAAGAATTTCCCTTCGCTTAATGTGATGAGCCCTCTCTGGTTCTTCTGGGCTTCAGATTCCCTCCTCTTCTGATCAGGTGAGACTTCGTCATAGCGAAGTTCGTGGTCATAACCCGGTCTCCAATCATCCCTGCCAATCAACCTGAGACTTTCGAGGCTGTGACTTCGATAGATAATATCTTTCAATTCAGCAGGAGAACTTGCCGCTGAATCTGGCCTGATTGGTCTGTCGTACTCGCCGCGGTACCACTCTGCTTCGATTGAACGGATGCTGGACAGTTGAGGTGCCGACGAAAGCTTGTTGTTGAGTTTCTCACATAGCGCAATCTTCGAGCTAGCTATGTGAACACTTGCTTGAGGGTGGTATTGGAAAAGTTGGTGCAAAATCTGCCCTGGCATGTATCTTTCATGCCACCAGCTAGAGTTAAAATCAGCACTGTGTCAATTCAATAGGGAAAGCAACTTACTGAAAGTGCTGGAGATTCACCGCCACCCTAAACAGGTATGATAGGAACTTCATGAACTCATCGCAGAAGCCAACCCGGTAAGAAAATACACCATGAGAGCGCACCACGACGATGTTTTTCACGTGTACACGCAAATGAATCGGATAGGTTCACCTTTTCCATGGGGAATATAGTTGAGACGTCTCGTCCGGCTTGGACTCGAGATAGAGAGTTTTGTGGAGTATGGCAGCAGCGATATGATAAACCCTGGAGTTGCAGAGCACAACAGCTTTGAGAGAGTTGGAATCCAGCTGAATTCTGATGTGAGCTTGACATTCTGTTGAGTTCTATGTGCTTGGAATAGATGTACCATGCTACAAATAAGGTGCCAAACCTCCACAGGCAGTCTGCCTGCGAGCGATTGTTTGGAAAGCTCCATCTTATCAATTACATCGCCGTGGATATCAGGAGAAGGAGTGACAGAAATTCACCCGAATGAATGCAGGATCAGGACAGGAGTGATTGTCAATGTGAGCAGGAAGAAGCAGTGATACATATCACATTTGCTTGATTTTTTGCCCAATCGCAGACGGGGAGGAGCGAGAGAATGAAGGATTGAAAAGGCCCGATTGCGAGGATGAACACAATCCTGCGGGTCACCTGACCATCCAACAGATCTCCTCAGTGATAAATGCTTGGATTCCTGTGAAACCAGTAAACCACCCCCAAACGGGAAAGGTTAGGTTTGCCTTGTTCTGAGTTGTTCTTAACTTCTTCCTGTTTTCGCAGTCACCGACGCCCAGTTCGCATTTGCAAGGTCTGTCCTTTGCTTCCAGATGAAATTCCAGGCGAAGAAAAGTCTGGATTATGCGGGTTCTAAGATTTCAAGGTTGTAACTACATGAGGTTAAGCGGGTTCGACGTCTTGTATCTGACTCAAAGGAAAACAAGTCGCTTCCGGGCAGCACACTCGTGCCCATCTTCTCCGTCAATATCTGCTATCTGATGTTTCCAATCACTCTTTAAGCAGCTTTCCCCAAAAGAGATTTCCAATCCGACCTTCTATATCCTCTCGTAGATTCGTGGGCCAGCGCTCCTTCAGTTCGTGCGGTGGGATTCGTTGGACGAAGGTTCCCAAGCGCATCAATTCCCCATGTTGCATCTGATGCCAAATATTGCTGAACCGCATGTGACCCATATAGTCTCGTTCGCCCACCAGGAAAGCTTCTTCATGAAACATCTTACATGATGGAAGCCCGAAAGGGAACCAGTCACCAACGATGAAATGAAATGAGAGAAGGTTTAGGCACGCCTCGTCAAAAGCGGTGACAAGGGCACGACATGTTCCTTCGTCAACGTCGGGATAAGGCCATCCCCCAGACCTTTCAGGAAGTGCGCGCATGTTCAGTTCTAAATGTTGAAGATGATTGTGTCGAACAATGCTAGCGAGACGATCGCATGGCTAAGGAAACATTAGCAACTGGGATTCCGGGAAATTCCGTCACAATGAAACAATATCATAAATACTCACCAACTCCCAGTCGGCCCCCCAGCTCAGGTTAATACCAAGTGATAGGAGGTTAGGGAGTTGATCGGCCAGAGTGCCGAGGTTGTGAATGCTGATAGGAGGGCCTACACGTCCTGGCTCCCCATGATCGGCGAATAAGTCATATCGAAACCGAAGGTGGCGAAGGGATTTGGCATGATATTCCGCTAACACCCCCAGGGTCTGTTGCGGAAATCCATACCCCATGAACATTTGCAAGGGTGGAAGCTCTTTCAGAAAGCCGTGGAATTGCTCCACCCGTTCAAGATATTCAGAGTAGTCACTTTCACCTTGAGAATCCGGCTCCGCAATGCTCATTTCTAGAGTTTCCAGCTCATGAAAACAGCCAGGGAAAGTGACTTTAGGCAGCAAGTGACTCCAATCGACGGAGATCAAGGACAAATATTTGATCATTTTCCATTGTAGTTGTGCGGCCCATAACGTGCTCTGATGTGGTCCAAACCTCATACGTTCAAAGTGAAGATTTTTTACCCGAGGTAAAGATTTCCCTTCGCTTAATGTGATGAGACCTCTCCGATTCTCCCGAGCTTCAAATTCCTCCCTCTCAAGATCAGGTGGGACTTCCTCAAAGCGAATATAACCCGAACGACCCGGTCCCCAATTTCCCCAGCTAATCAAACTGAGACTTTCGAGGTTGTGACTTCGATAAATGATATCAATTAATCCAGCATAACTTGCCGCTGCATTTGGTCTGATTGGTCTGTCATACTCGCCAAGGTGCCACTCGGCTTCGATTGAACGGATGGTGGAGAGTTGAGGTGCCGAGGAAAGCTTGCTGTTGAGTTTCTCACATAGGGCAACCTTCCAGCTAGCTATGTGGACACTTGCTTGGGGGCGGTATTTGAAAAGTTGGTGCAAAACCTCCCCTGGCATGTATCTTTCATGCCACCAGCTAGTTAAAATCAGCACTGTGTCCACTCAATAGAGAAAGCAACATACTGGAAGTGCTGGAGATTCACTGCCACCCTAAACAGGTATGATAGGAACTTCATGAACCCATTGCAGAACTCAGCCCGGTAACAAGATACGTCATGGGAGCGCACGACGAATATGTTTTTCACGTGTACACACAAATGAATCGGATAGATACGCGATTTCCATGGGGAATCTCGGTGAGGTTCAGGTGACCTTTCCACCTTGGACTCGAGATAGAGAGTCTTGTAGAGTATGGCAGCAGCAATTGGGTAAACCCTGGAGTTGCAGAGCACAACAGCTTTGAGAGAGTTGGAATCCAACTAAATAGTAATTAGTAAATTCTTCTGTGAGCTTAACATTCTGTTGAGTTCTATTTGTTTGGAATATATGTACCATGCTGCAAATAAGGTGCCAAATCTCCGCGGGCAGAGTCCGCCTAAGAGCGATTTCTTGGATAGCTCCATCTCCTCAATTACATCAGGGCATCAAGAGAAGGAGTGGGGGAGGGGCCGAATGTAGAATCAGGACAGAAGTGATCTTAAAACTGTTAAAAGTGAGCAGGAGGAAGTAGTAAAATGTGAACTGCGTTTCTAACATTGGGGTGAAATCACGTGGTATCGTGTGCCCACCGCTGTTCCTCTTTCCTCTTATCTTTCTTGAACTAGACAGTACACAGTACTGTCCTAAAGTCAGCTCGCAGAAAGAGGAATGTACCATATCCAACATATCGGAGTACGAATACAGTTCTCGCCTACCCCGAAGTACTCACAGAATGGTGGCTTCAACACATCAGACTAGGATTGTTGACATCAAATGGGACTCCACTTCTGCTCTGGTCTGTCAGAGTAAGCGGCTTCTGGGCTAGTATCTACCCAATAGAAGAAATCGAGCGGAAGTGTGAAAGAGTTCACCCTGCATACATATGGGTTTTGAGGACAAGTAGGACAAGCCAAGCTGATAGACGGCTTATGGCCGCGATTCGCCCTGCGGGGAGAATCAGGATTGGACGAATAGATCAGGGGGACTCCACGACTGAAAACTTGGTGAAAATCGACGTTAATCAATCCAACACCTGTAACTCAGAGCGAATGCTAGGCTTAGGACGTCCTCGACTGAAAGCTCGGGCATCATTGTTGGATCTGATAACCGTACAGCATACGTTGACACAATCACCGCCCGCCGAGCTGTCACCGCTTCCAGACTCGCCCTCCTCAACTATCACCACCCACTCTGTATCCCCCCATTCCACACAGGCCTCTTCCATTATGACTTCGGACGATTCTGAGAACCATGGCTCGATCTTTTCGGTCTCCGGCCCTGTCGTCGTGGCCGAGAACATGATCGGTTGTGCCATGTACGAGCTGGTAGGTGACAGAGCTCCGAGATCGCGGAGAACCCCAGGAAGCTGATCGGAACCATAGTGCCGTGTTGGTCATGACCAACTTGTTGGCGAGGTCATCCGTATCGAATCAGACAAGGCCACTATTCAGGTCTATGAAGAAACAGGTACCACTCCACAGCCCTTTCGCCCAACATGATCTCGTCATAACCCCACAAGAGCTATGCTGACCTATGCCACCTTTGAATAACAGCCGGTTTGACCGTCGGAGATCCCGTTACGAGGACAGGAAAGCCCCTTTCAGTAGAACTGGGCCCCGGTTTGATGGAGACGATCTACGACGGTATCCAGCGACCCCTCAAGGCCATCGCCGACCAATCGAAGGGTATCTACATTCCCCGTGGCATTTCCGTGAATGCTCTCGACCGCGAGCGCAAATGGGAATACAAGCCTGCCGGCTTCAAGGTTGGCGATCACATCACTGGTGGCGACATCTGGGGTACCGTGTTCGAGAACAGTCTGGTAAATGACCACAAAATCCTGCTACCTCCTCGTGCACGGGGTACCATCACCCGCATTGCTCCTGCTGGCAGCTACACTGTCGAAGAGAAGCTGCTCGAGGTAGAGTTCGAGGGCAAGAAGACCGAGTATGGTATGATGCAGACCTGGCCCGTCCGTGTTCCTCGCCCGGTTAGCGACAAGCTGTCCGCCGATGCGCCCTTCATCGTCGGCCAGAGAGTGCTGGATGCTCTCTTCCCCAGTGTCCAGGGTGGTACTGTCTGCATTCCCGGTGCCTTCGGATGTGGCAAGACTGTCATTTCCCAGAGTGTGTCCAAATTCTCTAACAGTGATATCATCGTCTACGTTGGCTGCGGTGAGCGTGGTAACGAGATGGCTGAAGTTTTGATGGATTTCCCCGAAGTACTTACCCTCTCTCAAGCGTACTGCCGCCATTTTTACTAATTGTTATTCTCGCAGCTTTCTATTACCGTCGATGGCCGCAAGGAGCCCATTATGAAGCGTACTTGCTTGATCGCCAACACCTCCAACATGCCCGTCGCTGCCCGTGAGGCCTCCATCTATACTGGTATCACTATTGCCGAATACTTCCGTGACCAGGGCAAGAACGTGGCTATGATGGCAGACTCCAGTTCCCGTTGGGCCGAAGCCTTGCGTGAGATCTCTGGTCGTCTCGGTGAGATGCCTGCTGATCAGGGTTTCCCCGCCTACCTTGGAGCCAAGCTGGCCTCTTTCTACGAGCGTGCCGGTAAGAGCAGTGCTCTGGGTAGCCCCGAGCGTGTGGGCAGTGTCAGCATCGTCGGTGCTGTTAGCCCGCCCGGTGGTGATTTCTCCGATCCCGTCACCAGCAGTACCCTGGGTATTGTCCAGGTGTTCTGGGGTCTCGACAAGAAGCTAGCGCAGCGCAAGCACTTCCCTTCGGTCAACACTTCGATCTCCTACAGCAAGTATAACACCGTCTTGGATAAATATTACGAGAAGGACCACCCCGAGTTCCCTCGTCTGCGCGATCAGATTCGTGAGCTTTTGGCCAAGTCCGAGGACCTGGACCAGGTCGTTCAGCTGGTCGGTAAGGCGGCGTTGGGCGACTCGGATAAGATCACGCTGGATGTGGCCAGCTTGCTTAAGGATGATTTCCTCCAGCAAAACGGATACAGTGACTACGATCAGTTCTGCCCCTTGTGGAAGACCGAGTACATGATGAAGGCCTTCATGGGCTACCACAACGAAGCTCAGAAGGCCGTCGCTCAGGGTCAGAATTGGAGCAAGGTCCGCGAAGCCACCGCCGATCTCCAGAACGCTCTGCGCAACATGAAATTCGAGGTTCCCAACGATGAGGCCGAGGTCTCGGCCAAGTACGAGAAGATTCTCCAGTCTATGACTGAGCGATTCGCCTCGGTCTCGGACGAGTGAAAGTGACATCTTAGCTTAGCATGTATTTTCCTTTAGACGTTCCTTCAAGCACATTCCCCTGTAGTTATTGTGTCCAAGCCAAGTTCATTTCCTTCCAGGTCCGTTCATCATACTGCGTACTACCGATATGGTACATGTGGCCCGTACGGGTCAGGCCGCAGAAGGCGCACATGACCAAGTGACAAGCCAAGAGATCATAGGCCATCAGCTTAGCAGCTAGCTATTTGGATGGTTAAACTAGTCGATTTCTTCAAAATTTCCGAGCTATCACTATATACCGTTCCCCCTTTGAGTGCAGCCTACGAGGCGGAGACCGTTTCGGACGCCACTACATCACCGCCTTCGAGTCAACCAAACAATCCTCCACTTGCAACGTGCATCTCCCCAGTTCTGCTTTCTTCGGCTTTGCTTCTGTTTCAATTTTCTTACATTTTCAGTACTTCCCTAGAAGCAGTCTTCATATCCTGAATCGCCTGCCATGGCAAGCCCCACCACTGGCTACTCGTGCGCACACCCCTGTCCCTCCACTCCGATGCGGTCTGGCTAATCTCCGTGTCTGCAGCATAAACGTCAATGACCCCAGCTTGATTTCGCTCGTTAACAAGCTTCAAGATGTCTTCTCCACTGTTGGCGTAAGTTTTCTGACTCTGAAGTCCCGCGACATCGTCATTCTGGGGCGGTCTATGCGCTGACACCACTGCTTGCTTTAGGTGCAAAACCCGATCGACCTGCCTCAAATCGCCGTCGTCGGATCGCAGTCCAGTGGGAAGAGTTCAGTATTAGAGAATATCGTGGGCCGAGATTTGTACGTGGATTGTTTCTGGGAGCTTGCGCAGTCCTTGCCCGCACTCATGGTGGCGGGCATGTGTGGCGATGTCAACACTAAGTACTAACACTGATTCTACCTACAGCTTGCCTCGTGGCTCTGGAATCGTGACGCGCAGACCCCTTATCCTGCAGCTGATCAACAAGACCCCCCTCTCAAACGGTGAGACCAAGTTGGAGACGACGGATACCGAGTCCAATGTGAACGAATATGGCGAGTTCCTGCACCTCCCCGGCGAGAAGTTCTACGATTTCAACAAGATTCGCGATGAGATCGTGCGCGAAACGGAGACCAAAGTCGGAAAGAACGCCGGCATCTCACCTTCCCCGATCAACTTGCGCATCTACTCCCCCAACGTCTTGACCCTGACTCTCGTTGATTTGCCCGGTTTGACCAAGGTGCCCGTCGGAGACCAACCGAAGGATATCGAGCGTCAGATCCGTGACATGGTTCTCAAGTATATCAGCAAGCCCAACGCTATCATCTTGGCCGTCACTTCGGCTAACCAAGATCTTGCCAACTCGGATGGCCTGAAGTTGGCACGTGAGGTGGATCCGGAGGGTCAGCGCACCATTGGTGTGTTGAGTAAGGTCGATCTGATGGACGAAGGAACCGATGTGGTGGATATCCTCGCTGGACGAATTATCCCCTTGCGCCTGGGTTACGTGCCTGTGGTCAACCGTGGCCAGCGTGATATTGAGAACAAGAAGCTGATTTCTTACGCTCTGGAGAACGAGAAGAACTTCTTTGAGAATCACAAGGCTTACCGCAATAAGGCTTCCTACTGCGGTACACCATATCTGGCACGCAAGCTGAACTTGGTACGGATTGGTTCTGAACGGTTCGGTGAAATCCACACTAACGTACTGTCTCCTTTAGATTCTTATGATGCATATTAAGCAGACACTACCGGATATCAAGGCTCGCATCTCTGCCTCCCTCCAGAAGTATACCGCGGAGTTGGCTCAACTGGGCGACTCTATGCTTGGCAACAGCGCCAACATCATTCTGAACATCATCACAGAATTCAGCAATGAGTACCGCACAGTATTGGAGGGAAACAACCAAGAGCTATCTAGCATTGAGCTGTCAGGTGGTGCTCGTATTTCCTTTGTTTTCCACGAACTCTATGCAAATGGTGTCAAAGCTGTTGATCCTTTCGACACTGTGAAGGACATCGACATACGCACCATTCTTTACAACTCATCCGGTTCTTCGCCCGCACTGTTCGTCGGAACCACTGCCTTTGAGTTGATCGTCAAGCAACAGATCAGACGCTTGGAAGAGCCTAGCTTGAAATGTATATCGCTAGTATACGACGAGCTGGTGCGTATCCTGAGCCAGCTTTTGAGTAAGCAGCTATTCCGCCGCTATCCCATGTTGAAGGAGAAGTTCCACGCTGTCGTCATTGCCTTCTTCAAGAAGTGCATGGAGCCTACCAACAAGCTCGTCAAGGACTTGATCAACATGGAATCCACCTACGTAAACACCGGCCACCCCGATTTCTTGAACGGACACCGCGCCATGAGTCTTGTAAACGAGCGTCAGGCCGCCGCCAAGCCCACACAGGTGGATCCCAAGACTGGCAAGCCTCTTCCCAATCGTGCCCAGAGCCCCTCACTCGACACCACTGGCGAGGCCACCAACAACAGTGGGTTCTTCGGCAGCTTCTGGGCTTCTAAGAACAAGAAAAAGATGGCCCTTATGGAGGCTCCTCCTCCAACTCTCAAGGCTTCAGCCAGCTTGTCTGAGCGCGAAGCTACCGAGGTTGAGGTTATCAGTAAGTTCAACCATGCAAATAAGTCACTGACCGTTCCTCGCATCAGCTTGCTAACATGCACCAGAACTTCTGATCACCTCTTACTTCAACATTGTCAAGCGAACAATGATTGACATGGTTCCCAAGGCCGTCATGTACACTCTTGTCCAGTATGTTTCACCTGCGTTGTTCTTTTCATCCCTTCTAATGTTCGAGTATACTAACAAATGCTCCTCCAGGTTCACCAAGGATGAGATGCAACGCGAACTTCTCGAGAACATGTACCGCAACAATGAGCTCGACGACCTCCTCAAGGAGAGCGACTACACCACTCGCCGACGCAAGGAATGCCAGCAGATGGTCGAAAGCTTGGGCCGCGCCAGCGAGATCGTCAGCCAGGTCCAGTGAGCAACACTTAGGTCGCAAGACCGTTCATCTACGCAGGGAAATAAGCATCCCATTGACCGAGTGTATTGATGAACCATCGCGTTATCGGAGTTCGGCTCTTCGCATCTCTTTGTGATTTTTGCACCACGCTCTGAATATCCTGCCTATACCTCGCAGTTGCCTTGCTGTTCGTACCATTGGTTAGCGACTTGTTTAGATGTGTTATCTCGGTGGTTCGGGCTCGGGCTTTGTGATCATAGTCCTTGGTTTGTGATGAGGAGTTCTCTCCTCTTTTTTTATGTTTGTTTTTCCCAATTTGAGAGCTCTATACCGTTTTCGTTCTTCGTTGCTCGGTCTGTTGCCTGCGTTCGTGGACTTGGACGTCTGGATGATTGTATCAAATGACTCTGTTTCTGCTTTATGATCTAGCTTAGAATTCAACTTTAACTTTTCTCTTGTCATACACCTAAGTTGTCGACGTGAGGGATGCATGATCTCGACCGGTCTGGCATGACCCAGGACGCCTACAGCGGGAATTCGAGGCTTGTAGTGACATAGAGGCATCGGAGACGGGAGCTCATAACCTGATGAGGCCTACGAGAGATGAAGAAGATGATCGAAAGCAGATAAGAAGATGGATGAAGAAGTGAGCAACTATCTAGGTGAGAAGCAGCCTACAATTAAGTGCTCCGGCAGATAGAAGGGCTCCTTCATCAACAGCAGATCCCTTACGCATTGACACTCATGACTGACAAGAAGAAGGCCGTTTACGCCCGTGTACAGAAACGGCATTTTGGCCCCTGGCGCTTATACAGCGGCGTAGGATATCCTACCGTAGATCTATAGCGCATGGATAAACTAGGTCCCCGACGCCTTTCTCCGGTTTCATACGAAGGCTTATATTCAACTAAATGAGCTCTCGACATCACGAATGGAAGGTAAGTAAGCAACCATTCAAAACTACCAACTGATAGTTTCCAATAGGTATGTGGCCATTCAGCCACAGAGCGAGCTCTTCGAGCATCAAATTTTGATCTCCTTTTAGTGGCTAATTTATTCACGATCACTGTCCAAGGACACAGTCAAGCGATATCCACTGAGATCCAACAGTAGTCGCCTATACCAGTCGCAGATCCTACGCTTACGCCAGCGACCTTTACCGCCTCTTATTCAGCAGACTACAGGTATCCAACAGATAGATGTACACTCACTATGAGGTCGAAGTCATCTCAACTGGCGTTGCAGGTGCCCCTATGGTGCTTCCATTCGAGGCTCTTTATAGCCGGTCACCAGGACTCATGGAGGGTGACTTGTAACAGCCTAGAAATGGGGCTGTGAAAGAATGCGTACAACAGCGATGCGAAAGGCTGTTCGTTCATCTCTTGCAGTAAGTTTAAGACATCATTCTAAAGAGGCCGTATTTCGCTTGCTGGCATCGAGTCAACCAGTACAGGGGCTATGGCTGCATAACTATGGCGGCATAAATCGTGATGTGCACGGGATTTCATTGCAGTGGAAAGGAACTCGGCCCTCGATGGACCAGGAATCTCTTCGTAGAGACGTGGAGAAGGGTTGCTGACCCATGCGAATTGCCGAGAGCTGATCCGTATCCATGGCGAAGAGATCGCAGACTTCGATCGGTATACTAGCGGGTCGAATGGTGGACCTCCATAGGAGAATTTTGCTATTGTGTGTTCCGATCGTGCGGGACTTTCTTACAATACTTCTTGAATTATGAGTCCACTACAGTGCTGCGAAGAGCCCTCTTGTACCTGCCGCGCTGCTTAGTCTATATAGTTACACCTGTAGGCTGTCGGCTTACCGGCGCGAGAACAATATAACTGTGTGAAAGGTCTAGAGCACTAGCGACTCAGACGAGAAATGAAGTTGGATTGGAAGGTGTAGGTACAACTAATATCTACTACCTCTGCGTATGCCGATAAACATAGTGCCAATCCTCCTTCTTCAGGTCTTCTCGCACCTTATAATTCCTCTCCGCGGCCTCAACAACCGCCATATCCAAGTCAGCAACGATGAACCCCTCCTCAGTTCCCATTTTAGCAACTGGTCCTACAACAGGAAGTGTAATCTGCGACAAGCCCAAGAAGTCCTCAGACGGCCCAGCCGCGTTGGCGAAAACAACAGCACAAGTGTTCTCGAAGCAGCGGGATGTGATGGTCGACTCTAAAAACAGTCCCTCACAGTCTGGGTTGTATGCACGAATTTCAGAGGATCCATCATGCGGTGTCCCTGAATGTATACGATTAGACGAAATCATACGTAGGCTGAGCCGGGTAGAAACTCACAGTAGGTAGGCGCAATAACGATCTGAGCTCCATCGGCGATCAACTCCCGGAATGCCTCGGGGAATGCCACATCCCAGCAGATTAGCAATCCCACGCGGCCGATGGGGGTGTCTATCGCCACATGGTGCTCTGGGCCGGAGGAGGTTAGATGGGGTCGTTCCGGGTGCCAGATGTTCTTCTTGCGGTAGGAGCCGAGAACGGTGCCATCATTCGAGATGAAATAGGCTGTGTTATAGAATATCTCCTTTTGGCTGGGCGCGGCATGCCTTTCGATGACAGTGCCGGGCACGATGCATACTTGCAGTTCCTTGGCCAGGGCTTGGTAGCTCGACAGGTATTGGGGGGTTTCCCCGGCCTGCACAGCCCAGCGGGGGTCTGTTGGAACCATGCCGCTGAGGTGATATCTATTTGTCATGTGTTAGCAATTGAATCTGTTTATGTGCGTGTCTGAATGGGATCTTTGTGTTGGAAAGGCTGTCTGATGTCATAATTCTTACTCTGGGAGAACGGCCAGCTCAGCACCCTGGGCTGCAGCCTCGCGGATGTAACTGCATGCTGTCTTGTGGTTGTATTCAGGGTCGAGCTCCTGGAGGAAAGTGAGTCACGCTGTGTTGAACAAAGCTGCATGTGCTCTGGTAGTCACAGCTCGGGGACGGCCGATTCTGAGGTACGCACCTTGATCTGCCATTGAATGACGGCAACGCGGTGAGTTGAGGCCATAGTGTCTGAAGTCTATGTTGCACAGGTGTGACAACCAGGTTTCATTGAAAAGGAGAAACAATTTAAATGTTGTCAACCATAAGTTATCTTGAGTTACCCCAACATGGAGTTGGAGAATCCCCCAATGTTGCCAAAGTGGAATGTGGGGTCGAGCTAATGCAACCCCACTCCGTCTTGGTACTAACAACTTCCAACACAGCGACAGCACAACTCAAGGACAGAAACTCGTCAAACATCCTCGAGACTGGGACACTTGTCACTTGATAGTTGATTGCGCAGAAGGACCACAGCACAGTGAACAACAGAAAAACTGCGAAGTGATATGGCCTACATGTTATTTTGCTCGGATAACGGTGTCCGCTTTTATCTGGGAAAGTCCTAAAGAGTAAAGACGCGACTCAGGACGACAACCCTCAAGCGTACATCATAAGCACTTAGTAGGTAGCAATGTGTATCTATGAAGCTGGAGAGCATCGTCACTATGTGCTTGGATTGATTGTACGGAGGAGTACCCGAAGCAGTGAAACAGCTGTGCCACGAAAATGGCCCCGGATCTCGGTGATGATCGGCTCTCGCCTAATTGATGACAACAGCCACGGTGAGGCTGAGATTGACACAAACAAGGTCAGTCGGCAAACATAAACACAGTCCTATTTCAAACCGGTCCAGATCTTGCATACTGCTTATCTGCGATTCTGACCTGTCAGGACGTTGCGTTGCATGCACGGGTTTTGCGGTTAGGCCCGATTCGCCCCAAGGTACGGACCGTACGGCCGTGTTCACTCTTAGAAAATTGCGATTTGCTATTTCCCCATATTCAAAACATCGAGAACATGTGGGTCGGGCTTGATCGCCTGCAAAGAGTGACGAGTCAGTGGATCGATATAATTCTCATGTAGGGCAGCGTTCGGTGGACTACATTTCGCCTTTTTCCTGTACGATTCGTTAGAGAGAAGGTTGAAGTCTCCTACTCAGAGGTTTCTCTGCGGTTTTGATCCAAGCTATAGGGAGGCCCTAAGGGTGCACCCCACTTATAGGATGCGCCAATCTCCGCGTTATTCCAGCACGCACATTCCTTGAGATAACAAGGGTCGAGGTTCGCAATTTCGGCTGCGTGCATCACTTTCTCGCGATAGTAACGGATTGCTCGTCCACACTCGTCGTACCAGATGATGAGGACGGTCCCTGCGTCAGGGCCTTCGGAGGCCAATGTTTTTTCATCAACGATGTAGATGCGTCCCGCCGCTAAACGGAAGAGGTACTCCAAATAAAAGCAAATCCAAGGGTTGCCATCCTCCTCTGGGTCATAGCCGCTTTCCTCGGCACGCTGGGGATCCGTCTCGTCGGATTCAATTCCCTCTTCTAGGGCCTCCTGGACATTCTCTTCGTATTCTTTGAACAAACAAGTATTATCTAGTAGCTGTGGGGCACGAAGAAAAATCTTCTCCCAGTTGGAACCAAAGTTATACAAAGATGAGTCGTTGAAAACTGTAGCTGAGTCGACGACCTTGGTATCGATGTAATCCTGAATCCGGGCCCACGCGACTTCTGTAGAAGGGTCGTAGCAGGTGCGGAGCCAACATGGATCCTCATTCAAATCACGCTCAGCAGGTAGGCGGATACGATCCAATAGCTCTTGACTAGGTACTGGAAGGCCTCGAACAGACCTCTTCTCTAGCCTTCGCTGCTGGTTTCGATATGGCTAATCCGATAGGTTAGTTTTCTGGTTGGAGCAACGAGGGGCCAAAATCAAATTACTTCGCGACCGCGGACTCCGAGTGCCACATATTTAGCGAAAATTTCCTCGCGTTGGGCATCAAAGATTAGCGGGGAGTGTTCTTGCCAATGCTCCTGGAATATCGTCAAAACATGCATATAATCGCTGAGTAATAGGTCTTACCAGAAGGAACAGATCAGCCTGCCAGGCCGTAAAGGTTGACATCTTGCAGAGTATTCTGAAGGATGCTGGTGGGAGAGTGAGAGAGTTATTCGAAATCGTCTCGGTATTTAAGCCCTGGGAAATCGGATATGAGTTGGAAAGAAGTGAGAAGAAGTGAGAGAAAAAAGGATTTGAAGATGGGGTGAGAAGGGCCGACGAGTATCTGTCGAAAATTAAGGAACCGATAACTAGGATGTTTTGCTATGTGACCTTCCTATGCGACCACCTTGCCAGTTGACTGCGTTATCTTGCATAGGGCTAGGAATGGCCCAGCAACCCGGGGCACATAGCAATATTCGGAAGTGATCATCCCTTCCGGGTGAAGAATGTCGGGCGGGCCGACTACTGTAGCTCTCATATTTCCGAAAGGGCCATATGCATATGCCCCTTGTCGCATTGGCTTCTTGGATACATTGGGTTCCTTGAATCCCGGTGGACCCGTCAGCAGATTTCGGTAAGGGCGCAGATCAGAATCGGGGCATCGCACAATGCTGCCAAGTATAGGGCTGTCTAGGGGTGCAGAATGCAAGCAGGATCGATGCACAATCGACCGTTAGAGTGAGATTTCAGCCCTGACAGCACAGGGGCAAGTCCACTAGGAACGGGCCATGGCATAACTAGCCGGAATGAAAAGTGGGCCGATCTAGAACTTCCCTTAGCTTAGCTATTAGGCAGAATAGTTACCAATTTCAGCGTTCCAGCAGGTTTTGGGGATAAGATGCTAAGCCAAAAGTACCTTAATCTTCACATGTCAATGTAATGCGTCTAGATCGTTCGACTCAGGGATGTTGAATAGCCTGCATACAAGAATCATGAATGTAGCTAATCTGGTGCCAAGGCCGGATAGCGAACCCCTAAATTGACTCCCTTCGAGTAACAATTGAAGCTCTAGCTGATCAAGACTCTAGCTGATGTTATTTATTCTAACTTCTAGTTACTTACACAGTAAGTACACAGTAAGTAACTACTCAATATCTGTTTCTCCCTATAACTCAAACCATGATGGTCGGATCCCCAAACCTGCTCCGCCACACCCCAAAGCGGATCGGCCCACGTTTTCTGTGGCTAACAATACCGATACGGTATTGTAATCTTCCTGCATGCGTGATCAATTTTTCTTATCGCAGCATTTTCTTCTTTTTTTTCGCATTAAACGGTTCTTTTTTCTCCTGTCATTCATCCATCTTCACTTCTAATTACTCCTCTACTGTCATGCCCTTATTCACATCTACGCACAATTGTGGCTCCATGCCACGGGGCTAACAGTGGCGTCCTCGTGTTCTCATCTGCAGTCGAAACTCTCCGGTAGCGATCGACGGGACCACATGTACGTCGTATGCGCAAAACAGCTTCGAGCCGTAACAGCTAATTAATCAAGTCAGGTCTGAAAAATTCCCCTCCTTTCGAGAGCATACCATCTCGACATCTTCTCCTCAGCGGCCAGTGCCAGTGGCTTCCACTCGGCAACGACGGTCTGGCCGTACCCGTCGATTCAATATGTTCTCGACTTTCCTCCGCAAGGCCACCTCCGTCAAGGAAAAGATTCCCTTCCTCAACCAACTGCATCTCAATTTCATCTTCCTCCACTATGCCTACATTATCTCCTGGGCTATCATTGGCTCGATCATCGTATATCCCGGTGGCAACGTCAGTTACATCGATGCCCTCTTCCAAGCAGCCGGCGCCGCCACCCAAAGTGGATTGAACACCGTCGATCTGAATACTCTATGGCTCTACCAGCAAATCGTTCTATATCTGATCACATGTCTGTGCACACCTATCTTTATTCACAGCGCCTTGGTGTTTATTCGGTTATACTGGTTCGAGAAACGCTTTCAACATGTGGTTCGAGACGCTCGGGCGATGCGACGAACTAGATCCCGCATGGAAACTGTGACCCAAGATCGGGATAGCGAAGATGTCAACCGTGCAGAGCTAGGTGTCAGCGGCCGTCCTATTGTGGTGATACGGAACACTTCAGGAGATGCCCGGGATGGACGATTGACGGACCCGGGGGGCAAGACTGTCGAATCGGGTATCAATACGCCAGAAGCCCGGGGGAGCAGCGTCGACTCCAGCGGCGAGGGAACTGATACTGGCGCCGAAGAACCTCGCTTTGGTTTGGGTAGCTTGAGAGTGCCGACCCATTTGAACCCCGAACATCACATTGCCTTCCTGGAAAAGCAGCGGAAGGACAAGGGAGCTCTGCGGATTCCTAGCCCCCGGGAGTATGACCGTGGTGGCGCCCCCGAAGCTTTGGACGAAGAACAGGATGCCGAGGAGGGTGAGCAGCCTCAGCCTTCCAATGACCCCGATGATCAAGTTAGCCCCGGTGCACACCCCGAGGCACTCGATCAAGTCCCCCCGCTCGAAGGGCCACACATCACCATCAACGAGCCAGACATACCAAGACCACGTCCACGCGGCAATACATTCCCGCGACTAAATACCCAACCTACTTTCCGGGAGACCAAAGACGGCAATGAGACGACGAACCTTGCCCCTACTACCACGAGGAACACTTTTAGAGGCATTTTCCGGTCTCTGACACAGGAAGGCGACCTCACAACTCAGCCATATCTTAGTTGGAACGCGACTGTGGCACGTAATTCCAATTTCATCGATTTGACAGAGGAGCAGCGTGATGAGCTGGGTGGTATCGAGTACCGTGCGCTTAAGACCCTGGCTGTTGTCCTCATCACCTACTATGTGGGGTTCCATCTCATCGGAATGGTTAGCATGGTTGGATGGATCATGACAACGGATACTTGGGGCAAAATTGTCCGGGAAGATGGAGTCGGCCGGCCGTGGTGGGGTATCTTTACCGCTGCGTCCGCCTTCAACGATCTGGGCTTCACTTTGACACCTGATTCGATGACCTCTTTTCAAAGGGCCATTTTCCCTTTGCTGATGTTAGCGTTTCTGATCATCATTGGCAATACTGCCTTCCCTTGCATGCTTCGTCTAATGATCTGGGTTCTGTCGAAGTTCACTCGCAAAGGCACTGCGCTCTGGGAAGAACTCAAGTTTCTTCTTGATCACCCTCGTCGCTGCTTCACTCTATTGTTCCCTCGCAACGCCACTTGGTGGCTGTTTGCGATTCTTGTCGCCTTGAATGGCATCGATCTGATATTCTTCGTCGTCCTAGATGTGAGTTTTGATTGTCTTTTTCTTTCCACCGTGGACCCCTGCTGACCCTGGCTCTATAGCTTAATGACCCCGACGTTACCGCTCTACCCCCTGGGATCCGAGTTGTGGATGGCTTCTTCCAAGCCGCTGCGACACGAACGGCAGGCTTCGGAATCATCAGTCTTTCCGAGCTTCACCCCGCCATCCAGGTCTCCTACCTGATCATGATGTACATCTCGGTCTTTCCCATCGCTATCTCCATGCGCCGAACGAACGTTTACGAAGAGAAGAGTTTGGGCATCTACGAAACCACAGAACAAGAACAAGACGAGGAGAACAATGCACCCACCTATATCGGAGCCCACTTGCGGCGCCAACTGAGTTTCGATCTGTGGTATGTCTTTTTAGGTCTGTTCATCATTGCAATAGCGGAAGGAAACAAGCTGCAGAATCCAGCCGATTACTCCTTCCAGCTCTTCACCGTTTTGTTTGAGGTCGTCTCCGCCTACGGTACTGTGGGTCTGTCCTTTGGCTACCCCACTGCCAATACCTCGTTCTCGGGCCAATTCAATGTGATCTCCAAATTGGTGATCATCGCCATGCAAGTCCGCGGTCGTCACCGTGGTCTACCGTACGCGCTCGATCGTGCCGTACTTCTTCCCTCCGATGCCCTCAACCGACACGAGATTGAGGAAGGAGAGCGCCGCATGCGTCGTCGTGCATCCAATCTCAGTGGTGGTGCATCCTTCGGCCAATCGCAATCGCGTACTTTATCTCAAGGGAGGACTGATGCTGGTCAATCTTCGGGTCTGGACACCCATGACTGGCAGACACAGCCTGCTTTGATACAACGTTCCTCGACTATGCGGTCCAACCGGTAAATTGGGCGCAACAAAAATTATCTTTTATTAATACTTTAGATTATTGATACGTCCAACATTGTATATGCGTTGGCGGATCAATTATTGCATTATGCACATAGTAATTTCATGGATTTCTCATGGCTTTGAGGCTTTCTTCATTTTCTAGGGTCATCTTTACTTTGAGATGTACGCAGTACTTGGGGTATCTGAAGTAACCATGAAACCTAGGTCAGACATCATATTGACATGTTCCTGAACCTTCAACCTTGCAACTAGTAATGGTTCCATTGTAGGTATGTATAGGATGAGTGGATGACGAAGAAATAGGCTCAGTTATTTATAGTGAGATGACCCAGGGGTTCATCAGCGGAAAGATCGACGCTTTTCCATTCCAGGCCACGGAAGGTGTCGATGACGAGCGATTGAATATTCGCTGTCTCTATCATAATACTATATTGTACAAACAGCACTATCCAAGCTCCATACCAATCCAACATCGCTACATCTCAATCTCTAAACTATAGTTATATCAGTTACTATCTCACAACCTCGGAATGGACGAACAACTACCCCAATACTCTCTCCAACCCCATTATAGCGGGGCCTCGGGCGACCCCATTCCCGAATCCAAGACCCCAATAACAACCAGCCAACCACAACCACCAGCCAGACGCCACTTCCCTCGGTATAATCCACGCTGGACCACTGGGCTCATCGTCGCATCAGTAATCATCGGTATACTCCTGATCGCGATCGTCACCCCCATCGAACTCAGCATAAATCAAATCCGTTACCCAAACTACAGCCCTCTAGACTATAAGCTAGTGGACGACTACTCCGGTCCCACCTTCTTCGACCAATTCACCTACTTCACAGACGATGACCCAACCAAGGGCTTCGTCATCTACGTCAACGAATCCACCGCCAGAAGCCTGAACCTCACTTATGCAAGTGGTACATCGGCTGTGCTGCGCGTGGACGCAGTAACTCCCAATGCCACGGCAGGCAGGAACTCGGTTCGCATTGAATCGAAGAAAACATACGATACAGGCCTCTTCGTCTTCGACATCATCCACACACCCTTCGGCTGCGCAACGTGGCCAGCCCTCTGGCTAACGGACGGCTACTATTGGCCGGAAAACGGGGAAATTGACGTCCTCGAAACGACCAACCAAGGCTCCCACGGTAACGAAGTCACGCTGCATACTACCAAAGGATGCAAGATGGACGTCAAGCGCAAACAGACCGGTCAGACTATCTACACGGATTGTCACAGTGACGGGAATGCAGGGTGCGGCGTTGCCGGCGACGAATTCACCTACGGTGAAGCGATGAATAGGCGCGGCGGAGGTGTCTATGCACTTGAGATCAGGAAGGAGGGGATTCGTGCTTGGTTTTTCCCGCGTGCGGATATTCCGGCGGATGTTATCGCTGGGTCACCGGAGCCGAGTGCGTGGGGGACGGCGTTGGCGGATTTCCCTGGGACGGATTGTGATATTGCGGGTCATTTTAGGAATCAGAGTATCATTGCTAATATTGATCTTTGCGGGGAGTTGGCGGCGCAGAAGCAGTATTATGAGACTCTGTATCACTGTCCTGCGACTTGTACGGGTTTTGTTGAGAGGTATCCTGCGAAATTTGGGGATGCTTATTGGGAGTTTAGGAGTTTCAAGGTTTATAGGGCTTGAAGAGAGGGTCCGAGGGAGAGGATGTCTTCTATATATTGCTATTTGTATGTGGATGGGGTATTGCCTTGCTTGAGATGGTATAGTTTCAATTGATCGTTTTGTGTACTTCCTCTTGTCATCGGTCTAGTGTGGATAGAACCAAATAATATACCTACGCTCTCTGCTGTCCGATCCTCTACACATAGCATATAGATCTAGATAGCGACGATAGCGAAGCTACTCTGCCCCAGGGGTGATACCCAACCCGATGACCGGTGGATCATGCCACGAACGATCCCTACAATAATAATCCCTGCTGAAGAAACCTCCGATACGGAGCCTGCCTTTTGCCGGGAGAAAACTTGAGTTCATTACTTTAGAATCTAAATAGCAGGAGAAACCAAGGCTGATCCTCAATAAACGCGATTCAACACCAGTCAACAACACTTCCACGAGCTGCTAATAAATAGAAAAGGGAAGCAAGCCATCAATAGCATATGCGCAAAGTCTAGATAATAGACATGTGATCTCCCCCGGATTCCACTTGCAATGCCTTAGTCGCAATTCGTCATAGCGCAGAGCTGATTGAGGTTGTATTCCAAGAATTTGTCCTGCATAGCGAGGGAAATCCGTTCTCCAAGAGCTAACAGCGATGTCCCGTTGGAACGCTCCAGCCTTTGATAAGTGCTTCAGGCCTCTGGGCAGTTCGCCGCAAACCCGGGCTTTAGGCTCAGATACTACATACATACCGTCTACGTAGTGAGAAAACTTATGGAACCTGAGGACTACTCATGGGCATGCTAACGAGGCAAACCAAGATATTCATTCAGAATAAAAGGAAAAAGAAAAAATGTACAAATTGACGACCAGCGTCAAACACCTTCTTCGATTGATGCGGAGGGAGCAACGCTCGAGACCTCCAGGGAGGATGGGGCCCAAGTCAGCACCGTTCTGACTCATTGAAGGAGCCTATGCCCTAGAGCTAGGGGCTCGGAGAGGGAGCGGCTTCCCGCCAGCTCAAACGGGAGGGAGGTGATGGGGTGGAGGGCGCGGGGGCAGGAGCTGCAGCGGAAGTGAGAGAAGCAGGGGTCAGGGGGGCGGGAGCAGCAGAGGACACACCCGACTTCTCACAGATATCCATTCCGGGAGAGTACTACCGGACACTGGTGTGAACCGTCGGGGGGGCAGGAGCTGCCGCGGCGGGGGCGGGGGCGGGAGCGACAGAGGACACACCCCGCTCCTCACAGATATCCATATCGGGAGAGTACTCCCGGACACTGTTCCCGACCGTCGGGACCGAAACACCCGCAGAGGCTTCAATGCCCTCCATGGGCATGATGTCCTCCATTGCAGGAACGGTAGCTTGCTTGGCCGCGGCCGCAGGGGAGAGGTAGAGCCCCAGATGGTGATTAAGCTCCCACCACCAGTTGCTGACCCCCATGTTATAATGGAGGGCCATTGAGGCAACCAGGTGGTGGGAGTGGAGGAGTTGGAGGAGATGGGTAGAGTAGTCGGTGAGCTGGGCTGGGAGATGGTTAGCATGCGCTGTTGCTTCGATGCCGACAGTTGATACTTACCAGGGTATGGTCACCCTGCCCAGTGGAGTCCAAACCACAGGAACTCCGGTGTCAGCACCACACGGAGTATCCAGGCATTTTCGGTTCCTGGGGCCACGACCACGACCAGGTTGGTGTGGAGCCCAGAGAGCTCCCAGGCCATGACAAACATCTCTGGTGTCGCGGCCCCCCAAAGCAGCTCGTCAAACAGGTGGAGCTGGTCCCACTTCAGAAGGGTACCAGCCAGGTACTCGTCAGCGAGTACGTGGAGGTCGCCCTTCGTGAAGGAAGGGAAGGAAGGAAAGGATGCAAGAGAGGACGGAGGGGAAGAGGTTGTTATGGGCCAGGTCTTTTGGGAAAAGAGTGCCTTCAACGAGAACAACAACTACGCCATGCCGGGAAAGTACTCCCGGACACTGGTTTCGACCGTCGCGGGGGCGGGGGCGGCATAGGACACACCCGACTCCTCACAGACATCCATGCCGGGATAGTACTCCCGGACACTGGTGCCGACGGTCGCGACTAAAACACCCACAGACACCTCAATGCCCTCCATGGGCATCAAGTCCTCCATTGGAGGAACGGTAACTGGCTTCGCGGCGGCCGCAGGGGAGAGGTAGATCCCCAGATGGTGGTTGAGCTCCCCACCACCGGTTGCTGACCCCCATGTTATAATGGAGGGCCATTGGCGCAACCAGGTGGTGGGAGTGGAGGAGTTCGATAAGGTGGATGGAGTAGTCGGAAAGCTGGACTGAGAGATGGTTAGCATGCGCTGTTGCTTCGATACCGACAGTTGATACTTACCAGGGTATGGCCACCCTGCCCAGTGGAGTCTGAACCACAGGAACTCCGGTGTCAGCACCACACGGAGTATCCAGGCATTTTTGGTTCCTGGGGCCACAACCACTACCAGGTTGGTGTGGAGCCCAGAGAGCTCCCAGGCCAGGACAAACATGTCCGGTGTCGCGGGCCCCCACAGCAGCTCGTCAAACATGCGGAGCTGGTCCTACTTCAGAAGGGTACCAGCCAGGTACTCGTCAGCGAGTACCTGGAGGTCGCCCTTCGTGAAGGAAGGAAAGGAAGGAAAGGAAGGAAAGGATGGGAGAGAGGACGGAGGGGAAGAGGAGGAGAACAACAAATATGGAGGAAGAAGAGAGAAGAACAAGAAGGGAATCGGCGAAGAAGCTATTTATCCCACTTGTTGTCACGGGACTCAAGACAACAACCACATGACTTGTCCATGCTCTCGACCTACTCTGAGCTGCCTGATTGTCACAGAGGTGAGAAAAGAAGATGTGAGAGAAGGAAAGGAAGAAAGGAAAGAACGAAGGGAAGTAGAAACGGAAGGAGCAGCCATTGTGCGCAGCACAGATGTACAGATCGGATGGAACAAGAAAGAGACCGAGGAGGGGGTCTTACTACACAGTATGCTTTATTCCGTTCAGTCATGCTGAGTTTATTGAGAGCTCACTCGAATGAGCATGAATGTATTATCACTTCATAGTGGATGTCAAATTAGAGAGAAATGAGGCTTTAATGACTTTGAGTGGTGTCTCCATTGAGACCTGCTGTTAGTTAGAACGAATAACAATCTAGTCGGTCGAACAAGGCCACTGAGAAGTATTTGCTAATTCAATATCGAAGTCTCTCTGCAATCTCAAATTCAATGCAGATGTGGTTGCTATTGAGGTATATTCGAATCACTTCAATTGTTAGGCAACTTAGAATCCCAGATTTTCTAGGCCTGGAATTGCGAGGACTGCACCAACAGTATTCAGACAATCCAATCCAATTGAATGTGAGGCCTTTCAAAGTGAAGATAATGTCGGTCATAGTAAGGTCCGAGTAATGGATCATGGCAAGCACAAGAAGCCAACGATGAATGACATTTGAAGTCAAATCGAGGCTAAATGGGACTTGATTGAAATCACTGGAGAAGAGCCATGGCATTCCAAGTTAGCAGATGACAACTAGTTAGTGCTGGACTAACTACTACATAGTAGGAACTGCACCATCCTTGACATAGAAGCACTTGATCCGACCTGAGATACCCAATGCGATTCCTATATTTTCTACAAGACTTTTGCCAAGTGACACCTGAAGCGTGTACCTGTAAGTATTAAGTATATACAAAAGGCGAACAGGACATGTGTACAGTACCTAAGGTTTCTAAATAAAGTATGGACAAAAATATTATGTTCAGTTGTCAGTATCCATAGTGGATGAGGAGTTCCAGACGGGTGTTAGCGAACCTTCCGTCAACTGGCAAGCCTTCCGCCAACTGACAAACCTCGAGCCAACTGGCAAATCTCGAGCCAGCTGGCAATGCTATTCATACGAAATGCCCAATAATCCCACAGCGGCAGCATGTATTATTTTCTATTTCCAGTTTTGCCGAACAAGTAACCAAACTGTCTAGTCTCAACCACGTTAGTTAGTGCAGTGGGAGAACTGTGAGACCTATTTCCTCGTCCACTCGCCCCATGCCCCAAGTGGGTGCGGCACCTACGCCACTCGGGTATTACGCTAAAGATCAACCCTTAAATATCTCCAAGCCCCCCCCCCCCCTCTTCTCATCTACCTTTCCCAGCCCAAAGTTTCTTCAGTTCAACATGGATTCTTTCGAGAAACTGCCCCCTGAAGTCATCCAACAGATTCTCGCCGATATCGGTGATTTTGCAGGCATTGAAAACAGCCTGTTGGCATCTCGACGACTCAATGCCGTCTTCCAGGCCCAGCCTACCCGCATCATACAAGAGCTGATCCTCTTAAATCCGATTACTTGTTTGCCAGAAATACAAAAGCTATGCTATAACATCGGGCACCCCAGTATCTCTTCACTGCAATGCCCGGATCTTGAGCACTATCACCAGACATGCGAGGATCCGCCAACTTTAGGGTACACAGAATCACGGCATATACTTAAGATAGGCGCGCAGATCCAGCGGCTTGCGTGCAAATGTCTCTCTATTATGCGAGAAGGTCTCATCAAAACTCTTGATAATATCCCCGCGGATTCAATAAGTGGACCTCCACTCCAAATCCAAAATGCCAGCCAACCCTTCACCTGGACAGAAGAGTATCGCACATACTGGGCTCTCTGGCATCTGCATCACTACTCCCACCTGCGCAGAGCAGCAACCCAGCGATGGAACTGGAACGAATCCTCAATCCGGGAACTAGACGCATACAACACCTGGAGCGAAATCGACTATCGCTCAGCCGAAAGACTCTGGACAGTATCCGCCGTCCTCTCAGATCTGGGTCTGACCCTGAACTGGCTGCCTAATGACCCAGAAGCAGAAGAACCCGCCCAAACCATCTGGCCCGCTCCGGAAGAAACATCAATACCTTTCTTCCCATCATTTGACCTGCCACCCACACAGTCACAAGATAGCAGCCTCTGGGCTACGCCAGATCCTCCCGAGGACACAGAGTTAACATCCGCCTGGATGTTCGCGCCGAGACACCGTGCCTCGCATCACTGGCACGTCGCACACCTCTATCTCAGTGGTATACATCTCACGCGGACCATGCCTGCATGCTACTCGCTGACGAACATGAAACCGTGGCGACGACTCGGTTGGGTTATCTGGGATGGGTGGCGTATGTATTCTATTGGATTGAGTAAGATCACTCGAAAGAAAAAAATCCCCCTTCCGGATGGCGGTTTCCTTGAAGCGGAGGCGCTGAATCCGAGGGATCGGAAACCGAGGATTGATTATGTGGCTAGGTGGTTTGCGATGATTGGGGAGGAGAAGCCTTGAGGGGTCTTCTGGAGACTGCCAGACTGGGGAATCTACTTACAATCTGGACCACAAGTAGGTATTGTAGTGGGGAGCTAGGCTCTCCCCTACTATATGCTTCCCCAGGCTCCAGCTGAGTTTCACGCTCTCTTGTGGGGTTACCCCACCAGCCGGCGTGTCTCTTGGCCTGCAGACCCTAAAGCCGGCGACTGCCAAGCCCTGGGATGAACTAACTACTGCGCTAAGCACTGGGTTTGGGCTAGGCATTTTCTCCCAGCCAATGTTGCGACTTCGGTTAGAATTGATCTAATACCCGCGTTTCCGCTGTAATACACAGCCTACAGGCTCGCTCAGACCAAGAGATGACCGTATGGTATGGCATGGCATTCATTAACGTCCGGCGGCAGCCGGCTGTCGGCTGTGAGGCTTTACTGTGGAGTTTGGCCGGCAGCTAAGTGACAATTCACAAAGCACGTGGAGCCGTCATCCAGGACAAAGCGAAGGACAAGGGCACACTACACCCTACATCATCACCGATAGATTGATCAGTATCGATCCGGTTCAAAGAAGTAAGTCTCTTGCAAAATCGAAAATATAGAAATTGTAATGGGTATCCCAAATCAAGATGAATGTCCATCGAAATGAATCAGATATCTCCTCTCCAGATCCAAAGACAGGAGAATGTCAAGCCAGACGAGACTCCGACTCGAGTGTTCTTGTCCGCACCGTGAGGATCCAGGAGGCCGAAAAGGGAAATGATGAACTAGGTATACTGAAACCCAAATCCCGCGCATAACAGTCATGGCCATCGTAAATTGTCATAGCAGAAACAAAATAGAAGATTACAGCTGCCGGAGCAAACTGCCATCTGCGAACGGATTCTCCGGTGACATATCCAGCAGCGGCCGTGTCGCACTGCGGTCACCCGTGGCGATACCATGTCCAGTTCGCGGATTGCGATGACTAGACGTACTGGCCGAATGCGCCAGCAGGCTGTTAGGAGTGAACTGAGTGGCTGGCGGTGCCGGACTGCCTTCGGAAACAGAGGGTGCGTAGGCATTTTTATGGCTGCGTACGCTGCGAGTGGTGTTGCGCCGCTGTGGGATGGTGTCTGTGGCTGGGCGGCGCCAGGAAGTTGCCGGTGGGATAGAAATTGCGTTTTGGGTCAACTCGGGTCCGGTGGCTGCGTCGATCAGTTGCATGCCGGGTTGCACTTTGACGCCGTGGCCCTTGCCTTTGCGGCTGTGCTGTGGTGGCTCGGCGTAGACTGGAGTGAGATCGACTAGAGGCTTGTTCTTCTGGTTGAGAGATGGGGTGCTGTTGAAAAGAGACGGATCGGGAGCGCGAGTCATGGTATTGGTTCGAGAGTTGGGACTCGGTGCGCAGATGGGGGAATGTGGTGATACTCCGCTCATGAGGCCACCACCCGTGAAGGCTTCTTGTTTAGTTCTGTCGTCGCGTTCTCGCATAGCAGTTTGTCGCTGGGTGTATGTTCGACCTAGCAGTCCAGTCGGTGAAAAAGTAGATGTATCCCCATCTTCGGGTAAACTGCCTGGAACCAATGCCGCCTTGTCGGTAAATGGCCCATCTAGATCGGTGTCGAGTGTAAGAGTGTGGGGATACGATGCCGGAGGGGGGGCATGTCCACGAAGGGTCCGCTTCCGCGCAAAGATGTCCTTGGAACTTGTTGGCCTCTGTTGGGCAGAACTTGGACGCTTTGGAGATTCAACGGAAGCCTGCCGTTCCACAAGAGGAACGTCCTTGACACTTCTCGGCTGGCGGGTCGATTTCTTTGTCCCTGAACGCTTCAAGCCAGGTTCAGTCTCTAGTGGTTGGGCAGCGCCTCTCTTGTTGACAAGGTACCAGCTCCTCCACTTTTGCACTGATCGGTACCAGGTGTCGGCAATAGACTTGTCGCTGGTTGAGAAAAAGTGCAAGAAGTTCTCCGTCGAAAGAAACATTGAGGATTTCTGCTGGCTTTTGATCGCAAAACATAGCTTCTTGGGCGGTTTGATGTCTTTATTCAACGCCCGAGCGCTGGGGAAATAGATGTCAAAATCAGAGATATGGCAAATGTTGGTCTGCTCCTTTGCGTTCTCCTTCTTCGAGATCGTCACCTGTCCGTCAGCACGCAAGGTGACATACCGCTTGTCCCACTTGCGAGGACGTTGTGAATGGTAGATATGAACAGTGACCGGGGACGGCGGCTGGCTGGGCGCGTGTCTTGCATCAAGCTGAGCTAGCGCTTCCACGCTAGAAGGAGGAATAATGATGAACTGATTGTCGGCATCGTGTGACCAGGAGTTCATGACTTCTCGGATGTGCTCATAGCGACGAAGCGGACGCTCCAGACCAACTTGAGCGAACGACTCCATGAGGATGAACTTCTCGGCATCGATGTCTCGAGAGATCTGCCTGGCCGCGTCTAGTAACAGATCGCGCACTTGCGTTGATGGAGTGATGGTAAGCTCCGCAGTGGCATCTCCGTATTTTACTAGGGCATGTCGCTCCCCGGCATTGACCGCGCTGACAGGAGCATCGAGTCCAGGAACCACGCCAGTTCCGCCCACCCCAATGTAATTTGCAGGCTCGACTTTCTTCGCATTTTCTTTGCTTCTTGCTAGCCCGACCTTCTGAAAGAAAGTCTTGCGGTTGCGGTCACTTCCTTGGGAATTGCGCGAGGGTTTGGCAGGTTGTGATCGGGGTTTCTGTTGGGGGTCATATGCTGGCGGAGCGGATGTCTGAGGCCGTCGTGGTTCTTGTGTCAATTGCTCTTGTCCGGTCAATTGTTTCATCGCATTTTGTCGGTGTGCCTCACGCGCGCGCGCTACCTTCTCATTTTGTCCCGCCAAAGGTAGGCCGATTGCCCCCTCATTTTCTCGATGTTCATTTCGGTGCACCTCCGATTGAGTTTGGGCGTGGCCGGGTATTGCAGGGATTGTAGAGGCGGGAAGTCCATTGCTATTTGCCGGTGGTCGATTGCGCCGATATCGAGATCTGCTCCTCGCGATTGAGGGATTCGGTTCGCTTGCACTATTCACTGGCGCAGGTGGAGCCATTTCGACGTTTCCGGTTATCAGTCCTCGCGCGCCGCGGTATCGAGAGAATTTTTGAGGCACAGCATGCACCGCGGCTATCGCACTGTCGCTCATGCTGGAATTTTCTCTCCCGGGGTGAGAATCGCCCCCTAGGGGCCGAAGCACGAGCGTTTCGAGATTGTCTCAGGTTCTATCGCCAGAATAAGATTAGCGTCACCTTTGCGCGACCAAAGACCAATTTCCGTAGCAATCTCCGGTGTGGTTGTTTGCGATTATGCGACTCCCAACAATACAGTGTAAATAAGATGAAAAGGAAGACAACAAATTCCAGAGGAAAATGTGGGAAAAGCCACAGTGGGATTGGGCACACGGCTGGAAAGAATCCCACACCCCTAGTCCTCACGATCAAACCGGCCTGTTCTCAATCGACCATTCGCGCCTTGGGAGAAGGTGGCCCGCATCGATCGTCAATTGGGCCGGGCTGGGCCGGGCTGCATCTCGCTTCTCTCTCGTGTGTGGATAGATCAGATCTAGAATGGACTCACCTGTCTTGGCATGAAACTAGACACGATCGAGTACGGACTACGGAGTATTGGGAGATGAGAGGAAACGCTGGTTTCGGGGGTGGAATTATCCGAAGCCGACGCGCCAGTGTCATTCCTGCGACGACAGACGGTGAATTACTCTACGGTGGTCACTGTTACCATGTTTATATGACGTTCTTCATATGATTTCCTACACTAGGTGATCGGCAGGTACTATTGGCACTATTGGATCAATCCATGCTTGTGATTTGACTATCAGTTCTGACCTGGTCTCCACGGGCCCACAAGAGGATCGCACACTTACGTCCAAGTCAACATGAATCTGTCGTAGATTATCTAGGATCATGGCAGATTGACGCCCTGGTAACTGCTAGTGATAACTTCCCCAGATTTATAAATATGGGCTAAAGTGAATATCGTGTCGCTTCAAGTCCCACGATGTGATGTGGTTCGGACATCTCTTGGACATCAGGTACAATGCAAACAAAAGAGAGTGTTGGTGGAGGTTACTAGTTTCTTGTCCCGGATTGACTTGAATTTGTTCTTATGTCCTAAGTAGATGATCCTCTATGTTTGAGTTGTTCAACCATTCAGGTCATGCCTATTTCCTATAAGCACCCAATTCTCGGCGCCTGCAGTGTTATTAGTACTATAACTTCCACAAGTGATACAGATGGACAGAACTTACCACCATGCAATGAAATCCATCGTCCGTACATCAATCCCAAGCTCGGTCAACGCCTTGGTAGAGAGATGGGTGTCATAAGGCCGTGTGACACCAGCATTAGGATCATTGCCCTGCTTATTTGCCGTCATGCCGGGAGTCGCAACACCAAGGACGTGAGCCAGCTTCTGGCAGATCTCATACTTGGTCATACGGTCCTCGGATGAGAACTGCAGGATCCGAGGGAGGTCCTTGCGCTTCTCCTTTTCGCGGAGGTACTTGATGACAATATCTCGGCACACACGCGCGACATCCTCAGTGTTGGTAGGATATCGCTGGGACCAGTCATCCATCTGCACCCCGGCATTTTCGTCGGTAGCCTTCTTGACAGCGTCGACTAGCGTGTTGATTGCGCTCTCGGAGTTATCCTTAGCGTTACCGTACAGCACTGGCACACGCAGCACCACACCCGCACCGGGACTCGTTGTTTCTAGAACGGCCTTCTCGCCATCTAGCTTCATTTGTCCGTACAGATTCGGCGGCTTGGTCTGTGCATCGGCCTCGTAGGGCGCATCGCCTTCAGTGCCGGGGAAAACGTAGTCGGTTGAGATGTAGATGAGGAAGGCGCCACGAGACTCGCATTCTTTGGCCAACTTGCGAGTCGCTTCGACATTGAGTCTCCGCGCTTGGTCGGGGTTCTTCTCACAGAGGTCTGGAGACTTGTTTGCGGCACCTATGAGCTGTCAGTCTATCGGGGATTTCAACATGGCTCGTAAACTGATTAGCTTACAATGAATGACGATTTGGGGCCTATTGATAGTTCGAAGCTTATCAGCATCAGCAATTGACGGTTGGGGGAATATACATACTTCACTTCGTCAAACAGCGTCTTAATATCCTCGTCCTTCTCTAAATCGGCTTTCAAGATGGTTGGCGGGGCAGGGCGGCTGAATCCCTGTCCAACGACCAACACGCCTGAGTGCTGGAATGTGTTGAAAACAGCACGACCAAGGAGGCCACTGGCGCCTGTGACAAGTACAGTAGATGTCATATTGAATGAGTGTAGTGTCTAAAGTCAAGAAATGATTTCGACGTTATTTTTGAATTGGCGGGGGGCCACTGTGACGTAACTGACTCCGACTGTGGATATACCGAAGCAATCGAATCCACTCGTTCTAGTTCTTTCCAAGGTTCTATGTTCCTTGCTGGCCATACGATCTATACGTTCATGATACCATGATCGACAGATATTCTTGCATACGTATTTTGTTGTAGCGAAGTCGGCCAAGACCTAGGTAGTGTCGAACGTCGGACCTTACGGGGATGGTCGAGCAACATATGTCTCCCGACCTAGGTACTACCTAGCATTACGCAGGTACCACATACCTAACCGTATAGGTAGATAGGGCTGCAATATACTGTAAAGAACTACCTAAATCACGTATAATATCGATCTAGACTTCTCCTAAGCACTCTAAACTGATTAAAGAACCCTGTCAAGCTCCAATAGCAAAAACCGAAAATCTCCGAGGTCGAATCAAAACCGGGCGGGACCTGATTCGGGGAAATTGACGGATCTCCACCAATTGACCAACCAAAATTTCATGACTTGATCCTCCTTAATTATTGTCTCACTCACCATGTCCAGTGCTAGGAACCTCACAGCTGCTTTGCGGCGGGCCCGAGTGCCTCGTCCTCGCCTTGCCCTTCGCCCCATCCAATTCACACCCTTGACCGCGCGCACCTTCAGCGCCTCCACACGCAACGCCGACTCCCGAGAGATCAAATTCACCAGCGACGCCTACCCCAACCTCAAGAGGAACCCCAACTTCGGTGAAATCTCCGCCGACGATGTCGCACACTTCAAGGAGCTGCTGGGCTCTCAGTCAGCCGTAATTGATGGCGTGACGACCGACGCGACCGATGATATCGAACCCTTCAACAGCGACTGGATGCGCAAATATCGTGGCCACACTCGGCTTGTTTTGAAGCCTGGGAATGCACAAGAGGTCAGCAAGGTGCTGAAATATTGCAATGAGCGCAAATTGGCCGTTGTCCCTCAGGGTGGAAACACCGGTCTCGTCGGTGGCTCTGTGCCCGTCTTCGATGAGATTGTCATCAACACTTCGCGTATGAACCAGATCCGTTCTTTCGATCCTGCCTCGGGAGTGTTGGTTGCCGATGCGGGTGTGATTCTCGAGGTGGCCGACCAGTATCTCGCTGAGCACGACCATCTCTTCCCTCTGGACCTCGGTGCTAAGGGATCCTGCCACATCGGTGGGAATGTCTCTACCAACGCCGGCGGTCTGCGCCTGCTCCGCTACGGCAGTCTGCACGGTAGCGTACTCGGTCTCGAGGCAGTCCTGCCGGACGGGACTATCATGGATGCGCTGTCTACTCTCCGCAAGAACAACACTGGCTACGATCTCAAGCAGCTGTTTATCGGCTCCGAGGGCACCATTGGTCTGGTGACCGCGGTCTCTATTCTGTGTCCCCCTCGCCCCAAGGCGGTCAATGTGGCCTACTTCGGCCTCGAGAGCTTCGATCACGTTCAAAAGGCTTTCCTGGCGGCCAAGGGTCAGCTCTCGGAGATCTTGTCTGCCTTTGAGCTGATGGATGGCCGCAGTCAGAGCTTGGTCAGAGAATCCACTGGCAACAAGTACCCTCTCGAGGGTGAGTATCCTTTCTACTGTTTGGTGGAGACCAGTGGTTCCAATGCCGAGCACGATATGGCTAAGCTGGAGTCATTCCTGGAGAGCGTCATGGGCGACGGCATTGTAGCCGACGGCGTATTGGCCCAGGATGAGACCCAGTTCCAGGCTCTGTGGCGCTGGCGTGAGGGTATCACCGAGTCGCTCAGCCACCTGGGTGGCACCTACAAGTATGATGTGTCTATTCCATTGTCGGATCTCTACCTACTGGTGGAGGACTGCAAGGCCCGCCTGACCGAGATGGGCTTTGTGGGTGACGATGACTCTTTCCCCGTTCGTGCCGTGGTTGGTTATGGCCACATGGGTGACTCCAACTTGCACTTGAATGTTTCTGTCCGACAGTACAACAAGGAAGTGGAGAAGGCGATCGAGCCGTGGGTGTATGAGTGGATTCAGAAGCGTAAGGGCAGTATCAGTGCTGAGCATGGCCTCGGGGTTGCCAAGCGGGAGTTTATTGGATACAGTCAGAACGAGACGATGGTGAAGTTGATGAAGCAGCTCAAGAGTGTCTACGACCCGGTAAGTGGTATCTCATCGCTACATGTGATCTATTGCTAACGTCTGTTTTCCAGAATGGGATCATGAACCCGTACAAGTACATCTAGCGGATGTATGCGTGTATATAGAAAAAGGTAGTAATTCATAAAAGCAAGTGCCAGCGCAATAACAGGAATTGTCAAATCAGTCCAAAATATCCATTAAACAGTAAACAATACATACTGTGTAAATGATACTCTGATAATCCTTGCATCAATACCCCGGTTGTTGCCTGAGGCCGCCCGTTGCCATGTGAGACGGGGATCGTCTGTTTGGGGATTTACCTACTGTGTATGCTCCACCCCTTGCCCCCCATTCCGATCCATTGGCTTTCTTTTGTGTACTCTCCATCATCATCCTAAAGCTCGAGCTATTCAAGCTATTCATCCAACTTGGATGATATCTGTCGACATCGCGTGCGACCGGAGCTAGCTGGGCTGATCATTTGCGCAACCATGGACGACATGGCAAGCCATTACCAGGTGATGGAGGAATTGGGGAGTGAGTTGCCATGGATGTTATTTCTTTTATTTCGTCGGCTAACCGAGTGTTTTTCGTTTGCAGGTGGCAGCTTTGGTGTTGTTTACAAGGCCATTGACAAGACCGACGGCGAGATCGTTGCCATTAAGCACGTACGCATTTCCTCTGCTTTGAATATTTCACGAATTTCGATTGTCGATGTCCTTTGGTTCCATAATTGACGTATTTCCAGATCGATCTTGAGTCCAGCGAGGATGATATCCAGGAGATCCAACAGGAGATTTCCGTTCTGGCTACCTGCGCTAGCCCCTATGTTACACAATACAAAGCCAGTTTCCTCAAGGGTCACAAATTATGGATTGTCATGGAGTACCTCGGAGGTGGCTCTTGCTTGGACCTGGTATGTAGCTTACTACCCTGCTGAGATGCGTCGCTGACCCGCCCAGTTGAAACCAGGATGTTTCAATGAAGCCCATGTGGCCATCGTCTGCCGAGAACTCCTCCTAGGCCTGGATTATCTGCACAATGAAGGCAAAATCCACCGTGACGTCAAGGCAGCCAATGTTTTGCTTTCCCAAACCGGAAAAGTGAAGTTGGCGGATTTCGGTGTCGCTGCACAGCTGGTCAACATCAAGTCGCAACGCAATACATTCGTCGGAACGCCATTCTGGATGGCGCCGGAAGTCATCCAGCAGGCTGGTTATGACTACAAGGCGGACATCTGGTCCTTGGGGATCACAGCAATCGAGATGATCAACGGAGAACCCCCGCACGCCAGTACACACCCGATGAAAGTGCTCTTCCTGATTCCGAAGAATCCCGCCCCTCGCCTCGAAGGCAACGAATACAGCAATACCTTCAAGGATTTCGTTGCACAGTGTCTGACAAAAGACCCGGATCTGCGACCGAGTGCAAAGGAGCTGCTGCGACACAAGTTCATCAGGAATGCAGGCAAGCCCGAGTCCCTCCAAGAACTCATTCATCGCAAGCAAGATTGGGATAGTGGACGCGGTGAAGCCAAAGATGTCAAATACTACGCCGAGTCTCTGAATACTATGACCAGGCCCGGCGATGTCGATGATGACGACTGGGTGTTTGAGACAGTCAGGGCTCCCCCTATGTGGAAGCCGAAAGGTACCGACTGGATGACATTCGACGAGGAAGATGAGAACATGCCCGAGCCCGCGCGATTGATGGAGGAGTTGCGTATTACTCCACAACAGCAACCTCCGCCTCCACCCCCCAAACACCAGGCAAATTGCACAGTTCGGCGGGCTCCTACCGACCGCTCTCCTTCTGTCAGGCGTGCTAACACGAAGCGTCGTTCGAGTGGCATTAAGCAGCCACTTGGGTTGGACTTGAGTTACGGCAACAGCCCCTCTACAGTCAGACAATTCCGTCGCGTTTCGGATAAAATTGCCAACGATGTGAACCCAGCCAAGCCAGCCTTTGATGAAAATGTTAGCCCTAAAACGGTGTCCACCGACACTGTTAGCAAGGAAGCGAAAATTGGACGGCGTGCATACAGCAAAGCCGTGGGACTTTCCTGTCAGGAAGTCCTATCAACAACAGGAGATGGCGACAAGCGTGAAGCCATCTCCAGACTCGCCGAAGCCTGGAGTGATCTGGAGATGGTCGATCCCGAGGGTCTCTATCACATAGTCAGAATCATGAACGAGAAGATCCAAGCTGACGCCCGCCTTTCCTCCTTGCTCCCACCCACACAACCCGATTCCCCTTCTCGGCCACGCCTGGTCCTGGCCCAGAGTAACCCACACCTCAAAAGCCACCGTCGTCGCCAATCCTACGTCCCCGAACCCCAACCGCAATCACCACCCTCCAATTCCAGTCCACCTGCACCGGGTATGGAACACACCAAACAACTCTCCGACGTCCTCTACCAGCGGTGGTCAGAGGGTCTCCGCAACCGCTGGGGTGGTATATAAACTCACCTTTGCTTCTCAACTTCCCTCAATCATCAATCATCAACCTCGACACCGACACCGACACCTACAATATTCTTTATTCCATTCGCTGTATAGACCCATTTCGGTATTTTGACACTTGTACAACTCTTTGCCATTGGCTGCATCCTTGGTGTCCGTTCGTTCTGCTGCGTTTACTGTCCCTTACTCGGTGGGACTGGTCCCGGAGTTCTAACGATATGGTGTGATCTTCTTGCGCTTTCTTCTGTACCCTCTTTTCCCGATAGAATGCTGTCTGTGCTTCTGTCCTTGTCCATTGACCACTGGTCTCGTCTGTGATTTTGGCTGTGTACTTTTTCCACAAGTACTAGAACATAATATGTCTGGAATGTGATGAACGTCTTGGTATTTCCTCAATAGTTATCGTTATCTCTGCCTCGGCCTAGGATGAATAGTTCGCCTGTCGCTTCCCTGCATGCCCTTGCTTCAGATTCATCCCCAAGCCTCCTTTATACCGTGCCTATTTAATCCGTTCAGAACTACTTTAACGTGCAGGCGGAGTATCATTCTGTGCCATATGTCTCAGCATCGAATCAATTTCAACACTATCATTGCGCGCATGGAATGAGTTCCGTTGGGGTTCGTCGGGAGGGCTCCACGGGATAAGACGTGCGTGCTCAGGCAGGTTTCGATGATATTCGTAGAACTTGAAATTGATCCCATGAATCATAATCGCCCAGCATCTCCCAAATTGAGTGTTGGCATGCTCAAGGGCTTTCTCAAGTTCTCCTAAGGACGCCTGTGGGTCATCGCTTGCGGGTTTCGCTTTGGCAAAGGTATGATGGATGATGCTTCGATCTCCAGGGACCCCACCTTGGAGACGGAGAATGATGAAGCCGAAGTTGTTGTTTCGGTTTGCTGATGTAACCACGTAGCCATCGGCCGGCAGAAAGGAGTAGTTGAGGATCCCAGAAGCCATTGCCTTCACGGTATTTTCGGAGGTGGGGTCGTTTTCAACAAATCGAATCACCGCGTCGACGATAGGCTGGGAGTGGTAGACTTCCATGGCTGTGTAAGGGCGAGAGGGTAATAATTTCACGAGAGAACGTGTGAAAACCACGATTTTGATGCTTGGTCAAACCCGGGCAAGATACCTTTTGTATATTTCTCTTTCCCGCGCCTTAGTTGCTGCCACATACCAAGGCTGAAACAAAAGTGAAACTAGCCGCCGAATTGTTGATAAGTAGGACTTTCAGTCAGCACATAGCTACCCCGCCTTCTCTATCGCTAGCCGCCGGCCAAAATAACGTGGGAGTTCAGGCATTAGCGCGAGGCTGAATCGTGCACATGAGAAACACACCGGCTAGTGCTACCCATTCAGTCGACAGCCAAACCGTTGCCATCACTTGGAACATTATCATGCATCATGTACATGAACTGTACACAGTACATCGGCATCTCTGCCTTCGAATTGCAAGGGCCTGGGGTGTCAAAATAGGCCTCAGAGTTTACACCGGGGAACCACGTGGCACGTGAGACAAATCATTATGTCAACGCATGCACCACTGGACACACTGGACTGCGATATACCCATATCCACTGAGACTACATACATTTCTTCCTCGTCTTCGGATGACCATAATGGACGTCGAACTTGGAAGCAGTGCGGGCGTCAATACGGTTCGCAATCGCCATGGGCCGACTCGAGGCCACTTAACCATGTCGACCAACGCGATGACACCCTTCCCTAAAGTAACCCACACTAACCACCTTACCACCGGGTGCCAGAGATGGTAGAGATACTTCATCTACCGAGGACAGGATGTTGAACACTTGAAGAAGCGCCTTCAACCTAGCCAGTCTACTAACAAAACTACTAACCCACGTGGTCCCGCTACGATATCGACAGCTAAGGTGACATGTACTGAATGGAACAATGTATGGGGACTAGGATAGGAGTATGAGCTCTAAGGAGACATGGTATCCAATGAAATATGGATTAGGAATTCGTGATAATTGCCCTTTCGGCTTAGCCGCCGGCCGTTAATGAATTGTGTGTGTGTGCCACAGTGTGTACGGGAATCTAGCCACACATAGTGGATTACGCCACAAAGATCCACCCTGCATGGACCCATAAAGACCCGCTCGGACTCCACACCTGATCTCTTGTGGGTACCTACTATACGGAAGGAGCATTAATATTATTGTGATATCTAGCGTACCTACGCGGCAGAAGTAGATGCAGGGAAAAAAAAAAGGAAATACCCCTTAGGTTCGCCACGCCCTGGGTTCGAACCAGGCACCTAACGTTCCCAACCGACTCCGTTATACGGCGTTCGGCAGCACGTGCACTGTGGGAAACCAGTCAAACCACTACACCACGAGGGGAAATCATTGTAGAATACAACATTTTCTTCAATATATAGGAACAGACCCACATATGGTGGATTCAATCCACCCCAGAGACCCACACGAGCCTTATTTTGATATACAATATGCAGATAAAATACTCCATAGTGTGACTGAAATGTAAATATGGAAATAAAAAAAGTAGAAATCCCCCTTAAGTTCGCCACGCCCTGGGATCGAACCAAGAACCTGACGAACCCAACTGACGCCATTATGGCGTCAGCAGCCCGTGCACTGTGGTTAGACCACTACACCATGAGGGGAAATCTTTGCTAATATGACCATTTTCTTCAATATAGGAACATACCCACACAATAGGATTCCGCTATGGCCCCACATATATCCACCCTGCATGATCCCGCCGAGATCCACTCTACACCTTATTTTAATGCACATAGCACGTGCAATGTAGAACACCCGTCATCGTCTGCCACTCCAGACCGCCGCCTACTTGGCATTAGAGGATAGTAACTTAGTACTAGTTACCTGTGTATGACAGCGACGTCTGCTCTTCCACATTGATACTGTTTGGTCATGTGACCTCTGCTGAGTCTGCTCCCTCGCATTTTATAGGCTGCTTCTCACCTAGACAGTTCTTCTCTTTTTCATCCATCTTCGAATCTGCGTTTCAACCATCCTGAAATCCTCTTGGGTCTTAGCCTCTGCATTTCCCACCGTGTCCGTCTCGCACCTCACCGTGTCCGTACAATGACCTCAAAAACGCCTGCCGCCTTTCAAGTGCACCAGACCAGAAAGCCACTGAATCAATTTTCCGTCGACCTACAGGCAGCAATCAACCATGCAACAAAATTGAGCACCTATCAAAAGACAGTGGTGATAGCCTTTCACTGGCATAATGACGACATAGGAGTCGAGCCCCTCGAGAGAGAACTTTTAGGCGTCTTTCGATCTGTTTTTGGGTTTGAGACGGAGAGTTTCTCAATCCCGCTTGAGGATTCCCAGTGGATACTTCTGCACTATCTTGTCTCTTGGTCACGGCGCCACTCTGGAGAAGATACCCTCCGAATATTTGTCTACTCGGGTCATGCAGGTTGTGCCGGAAGAGTCGCCGAAACCTGGCACTTGGGGTAAGTTACGAACTCTCTAGCTTGGTTCGAGTAATGTATCTGAACTAAGAAATAACAGTGGTCAATGTAATGCCAATACCGGCAATCTGGTAGGCCCGAGCATTAACTGGTGGGAAGTCCGTGGATACATGGAACGACACCCAGGCGAAGTCTGCTATCTTTTTGATTGTTGGTCCGCAGGATCAGGGGCTTTGAGCGCATATAAGGGCGCAGAGTTTCTGGCAGCCGCCGCCTGGGATCAAATGACAACGGCGAGTATTAATTTCTCCTTAACCCGAGTTCTCATCGACGAACTGCGTCTGCTGAACGGCCGGTCCGAGACCCTGGCAAGCATTTATTCTCGAATTTTTTCCTGCGCGCAGCAGAATCAGGCTGGATCTGCACCAGTGCATATCCCTAAACCAAATTCGCCCAGCGTGACCATTGGCCGCAATCGCTCAAGGCCGGCGATCACCAGGAGTAGCGACCAAGATGCCTCCTATGTTCTAATAAGCATGAAAGTCCGGGAAGATATTCCCCTAAATCTCACTGAATGGAAAGAGTGGCTGACACGCCACATTCCTGCCCACGTGCTGTCCGCCAAGGTCACGATCGAAGGTGCTTTTCGAGGCTCCAGTCTCCTCCTTTTCACTGTTCCCGTGGAAGTCTGGACAATGATGCCGGCTAATGACCCGTGCTACGCATTTATTGCGCACGTTAAGTCGCACAATCTGTTATCCCAACCACTAACTCAGACAACCCTACCAATGCACTTCCCCCTTTATCAGGAAGAGAGAATCGGCCACGGTGAAGCCCAGACAAAAGGTCTTTCGGTAGCCCTGGACGTTCTCCGTCTCGTTGAATAGGCTTACAATCTGATTGATTATTATCCCCTTTGCTTTCTGGAGGTTGATATGTCTAGCCTCACGCTGATTCATAGAAAGAGATTATATCCTTCTCCGCAGAAGGGTACTATAGCGTAGGAGTTGTGTTGTTGAGTTTGAGAGGAATACTCGCTGTATTTTACTTTGCTGTACGCGCATTACCACGCAAACTCCGTCCAGGTCAATAACATTAGTCCGTATTGCCCGTTTGAGGAACAAAAACTGGTGGGTTTTAATTGACCCTGTATGACTATGCTAAGACACAGAAAAGTGAGCGTCAGGCACCTATCTGGATCTAAACCTTGCCAACTCCAGTGTGGAGCGGGATGAGTGGTCAGAGTTATGCCCCAATCGAAGTGGACCCTATCACGATCACATGGAGGCACCTTATCAATTTATCGGACACAACGTCGATTGCGTTCAGTCAATGTAAGCTCACCCTTGAAGTAGAACTGAGAGACAACATGAGCACTTGCTAGGTGGTCAAAGTGCATGAAGGTATTGCCAACACGTCATCGAGATATGACCTCAACAAGATAGGATAATATTTGGTAGGTACTGTTACGCCCAGTTACGAATGATGAAGAAGATCGACCAATGTAGTGGCATAAACGAAGCAACTAAGCATGAGGAGAGAAGGAAGGAAAACATCTCCGCCAGGACGTGCTGATATCCTGTCCGATAAGCAGCACGTGCCCCTCCCTTATTGTTAGATTCGTTACGTGTCCGTCTCCCTCAAGTCACATGCCTCATAGCCCCAAGTCCTCCACGACCTGTAACAGGTACTAGGTACGATGGCATAGCTCCATAAGCTTGAGGAAGAAACCTAGGCAATCCGGTGGGAGGGTGCCAACACATACACAGTAATTGGAAGAGGAAAAGAAAAAAAAGTAGAAATCCCCCTTAAGTTCGCCACGCCCTGGGTTCGAACCAGGTAAATCTGTTCTGACATCCCGAACACTAGTGGTTGGCCCATGGGATGACGAGTCGCCCAAAGCCCACGTCCGCCAGGACCTTGAAGTCGTTGAACCTCAGTTGGAGCCGGACCAGAACGGCGTGATAGCAGCCGACCTGGAACAGCGCCGCACAACTGTCCAAGATGGTCTGGCCAGCCTTCCTCGTTGCCTTGGCCAAGAATACAACATCCAATAGGTCGGTTTGCTGCTTCTCAAGGCCGTTTGAATCATCGGAACGGAGGTAGGAGCACCTGATCTTCACGGCTAGGGCGAAGTCAAATCGCAACATACGAACACCCTCCACGTGCCGCGCGTACCCGTCCACCTGATTATAGGTGAAACGGTCGTCAATGGTGGTGAGCAGATCAACGATGACTTCTCGGTATGAGAGCCGGCCCTCAATCACCTCGAAGCCCTCAACGGAGCCAAGAGAGTCGAAAACGGTCTGAGACCGGATCAAGATGTCGACGTCGGTTGTCGACCTCTTGTGGTTTCGTGCAGGCCGAGCATGGCCCTGCTCCACAACTCCGCCCAGCTTAACGGGAGTCCAGCGGAAGCGTCCCCTCATCTCGTGGGCCGGGTTTCATTTGGCCATCTGGTATAGTTTACCCAGGTCCTCGGACTTGCGTCGTCAATCAAGGGCCTTGGCAAAGAGCTGATCTACACCACGCTCATTGACTCTCGGTCTGACAGCAGCAAGTTTTGCCCGGTAGTCAGCTTCCTGGCGTGCCTGGGCTCTCATCCAGGCATCCTCGGATCGAGACGCTCGCATCGGCTCCCTACAGAGCTGCGACTCCCACCTCTCGAATCTCACTGCCAGCACCTTGGCTTCGGCCGCCAGGGCTGCGGCACCGTGGTTTGGGCGAGGCTCAGTGGCCTCAGGGCTAGGAGTGGGGCTGAGGCTGTACAGGTCAGTAATGATTTTGTATCTTTCAATCGCTTTGGGCGCAGGGTTTGGACAAGTCTTTCGAGAGCCCGATCAAGGGGAGGAGGGGATTTGGAAAGAATGTTTGAATGAGACACCGACTGGGGACTTGGGTTGAGGACTCGGGCATACGTACTTGGAACGACTATGCCGCCATTTGCGATTGAAGAAAGAGCCCAGTAGTGCCTGAACTGGGGACTGTATATAGCCAGGCACATGGCCATGGCGAACAAGCAAATGATTTAATCGACGGAAAGCATTTTCAACTTTTGCCGAGAATCTTTATTGATAATCTTTGCGTTGAAGGCAGAAGTCTCAAGACAGAAGTTGGAAAGATAAGTGGGAAGAGAGAGGAAGAGAGAAGAGAAACAAAAGTCGAGAGGCGGGATTTAATAGCAGTTCTGTACGCGTTCCTTCTGAACTCAGCAACTACCCATCCAAAACTATGCCCAGCCACAATAGGTAAGGTAATACAATGAGCAATAATCCAATCACGAGACTATTTTGAACTTGTCTTCTTCCACATACACCCATTGTTCCCTACTACGCGCGCAGATCAACTGTCGCGCTCGCGCCAGGCAAATCGCGACTACTGGCCCAAAAGGGACCAGACACCAGTTCAAGAAAAGGTGTTATCTACCTGAATCTATACTGTAGACAGTACATGGCTTCGATGTTAAAATGCCCTCTCCATTGTCGTAGACGCTGCAAATGGAATTTTAAAGCGCGTTGGCTCCGTCCGGCGCCGTCGGACCCGCCACGGCGCCAAGCCTCAGCCACCCGCTCTCACGTGCGGTGGACCCACACTGCACAGGCCGCACATGGGACATTAACCTTATATATGACGTACATATTGACAGGATAATGTCTGACAAGTCTTGGCTTTCCCTTTCCGTTTTAGTGCTCACCCCAAGCCGCTTTTTGCTCACTGAGTAAAACTGAGCACACCCCTGAGTATTGTATAAGCATTGTTTTCGCTCACTGAGCATCACCTGACCCTTATGTAAGCCAGATGAACCGTCACTGAGCAATCCGATCCCACTCACTGAGCGTGATCTGAGCGCTCTGATTTGCTCACTGAGCACCCCGATCCCACTCACTGAGCGTGACCTGACCGCTCTGTCTTGCTCACTGAGCGCGACCTGAGCGAAGCGGAAGAACTAAGTCAGCAGCTCTCCTCAATAAAATGCACCGCGCTAGCCTCATCCAATGCACTTTTTGCCGCTTGCTCCTAGGAATACGACTTCAACGATAGCGACCTGAACATTTGCAAAACCATTCTAGACGTATAGGCCATGTCTACTGGATGGTCTAGCCTCCCATAATGGCATTCGCGACCCCTCATTTGCCCGATATATTCTAACTACTACAAATAAAACACCTCAGAAGCCTGGTAGGTATTCCTAGGAGCTTCCAGAACCTTTGTGCCGCCACAATGTGATTGGTGAGACAGGATAGATCCTAGGAGCTCAAGTGCTGGTACCCATTCGCGAGAACTGGTGCCACTAATGCTGAGAGTCAAAGTATATAAAGAAACACCGATCCCTCCTCAAGGCCTCATAAAATCTGCTCATAAATTTAGCAACTTCAGTGATCCAGGTCTGTCTCTTTTCAACCCCTCAGCCAGAGTAAAAGCCTAATCATTATGCAGATAGTCTGATGCCGCAAAGAAAACCGACAACCTGATCGATACCCAATATTTCGCAACCGATGAGAGTTGCAATGCCGTTTCCTGCGTATGCCCGAGCTCTGAGTTCGTTATATATGGTTGAGAGCCAAACGGGGAGATGTACGAAAAACTTCAAGTAACTACGGCCTCTCTAGTTATAACTAGATTTATAGTAGTTTGAGGTCCTATCAATTCCGAGGACACTGCCTGATCTCATCCATCTCATCTAAGGGTATCTAGTTACTACTTTCACTAATTAGTAAACTTAGCGTCCTTCGTTAAATAACTACTAACTACTTTCCAGCTAGCCGAAGCCGCAAAGTTCTTGGCTCATTCTTACAGTACTACCCTTAGCATAACTATTCGGTAGCACTGATAAATTACCCGAAGAAAGCCGCAGGATCCATGTCAGGAAGAGTCATAGGAGCCAGGCTGGAGCCTTATGAAGTCTGTGTGTAATATTTACCCGTTAGCGTTGACTACTCGAACTAGGCACTGTAACGCTGCAACTACTCCGTACGCGGAAGCGAGAGCCAAGGGCTTGGCAGGGGACTGCAAACTTGCAAAGGCAAACTTCCAGCCCAGGGTCTTTAGTTTAGCCCAGTTGTTGATAGGAGCATGAGCTGCCAAGCCGCTACTTGTATACTTGTATGCGGGCAAGGATTAAAGGTCTCACATGGTCTTTCAACCCCCAACACCCATTTGATTGCCTTTGGTGTCTAGCTGAGCGCTGGCCCCCTAATATCCCTAATATTCTTGTTCATCTTACCTTCACTGGTTACCAATTTGGTTCGCTATTTTGCAGTTTGTCTTAAATCTGCGGAGTGTTTTCTCGCTCCCATCTCTCCGTGATCACATTCGAAGGTCGGACTTGCCCTCATCATGCACATTTCAACGACAACCTGGATGCTCGCTGCCTGTCTGGGGACTGTGATCAATGCTTCTGATGTACTGGAAGTGAATCTGGTTTTCCCGCGCAATGAAACATATGCGCCCAACGACACGTTCCCTGTTGTCTTTGCGTTCAAGAATTCCGAGCTCGCGAGACACCTTAACCCCTCAATCAGTTACAGTCTATGGAACGAGGTTGACAACTCAGCCGACATCCTGTGGCATGAACTCAGCTGGGTAAACTGGACAGCCCAGGAAACCTATTTTGCCTACAGATACAGCGGCACCTTCAGCACCGAGGGTCGTTGGAGAGTACTCTGGACCCTAGGCTGGAATCGTTGCAACGTGGAATCACCCGAATATGGCAACGGGGTGATCAGCACCAGCAACACCAGCTCAACCGTGTTCACCACCAGCAATTCTGCCCCAAAGCTGGACCCCGTTGCTGCTACAGCCAACAAGACATGTACCGGGCAACCAGGCGTGGCGATCAATGTGACCGACAAAACCAAGTCCGTCAGCAGCGCGCTTTGGGAGGGCGGTAAATACACCAACCATACATGCGCCGTTGTGGCAGCCTCCCCGACCCCTTCAACGAATCCCTGTCGGACTCAAATTGACGAGACTGCTCTCGCCAGCATGGAGGCCTCTAGCTGGGCCAGTTACTGCGATTCCAACTTCAACGAGCCAGCCGAGTGCTCGGATAAGAAGAGCTCCGCACAACCATTGGCGGTGGCGGGCCTCTCCTGCTTGCTAGGCCTTACTGGGGCGTTGGGTTTCTTTCTCGTGTGACCAGGCAACTCTCTTCTACTGATTGATGCCCTACTCCTGCTGCAGAGTCTTGATTAATTCGATTCCTTTCTTTCTGTCCATATCGTTCAGACACTCTACTTGATAATTCCAATTCAATACCCAGGCGTTGCAATTGACCCACATGATCCGTATCTTAAAAGTCTGACGCCTGTTACGTTGGTGCACGTCCTTCGCTTATGTAGAGTAGCCTCTCATCTAGAGCTAATATCAGCTATTGGTCCTTCAATTCGGAACTAAGGAACATTGTCTTACAAGCTCCTCTTAGCGGCAGATTAGTAAACGCCGGGATCACACGCAACTTTTGGCATCGTCCTAGTTAGTTCCTCCGCACTGTCCCCCAAGGCGGCTACACGGCCTAATCAGGGTCGTATCGAGATTGAACCCCTGGTGGCTAAAAAAATGACAATGTGCCCCTGCATAACAAACCAGTGTCTACTAGGACTAGGCACAGTAATCTCAATCATTTACCGAAATGGTCAAGGCCACAGGATGTGGTCCGTGGGCTGCAGCATGGCCTGCGGGAGCATAGATCAGTTCCGGTGTGGAGAGTCGAGACCATGGCTTAAGCCTTGCGGGATAGGATTCCCACGATATCAAAGATGCCAAGGCCCTAATCTTGCCCTACTTTAGGGGAGTCCGGAATCTGACCGAGCTAGATCAGGAATTTCGTTTTCATCAAATTTCGACATTTCCAATTACCCTGACTAGGCATCTTCATGGTAGCGAGTGACCCTGCGGCCCCTGTAAGGGCTTCGTATGAGCACAAACCGGGCGCCAAATACTAGTACAGGATGACATTTGGCTGAGCCGGCGTGATCCGTGAAATGAGCGGATGCAACCCGGGGTCCAAGCTAAGTATACCAAGACTTGATACTAGGGCCTCCAGGACTCGGAAATTGAGGATTGATATCCGTGGCGAAAAGATGGGAAAGATCTCTCGACATCCCGAGGTCTATAAGGCTAACACAATCATTTTCAAGGGAGGTCGTTCAGTCAAACATTCATTCTATGCTCATCCATTGATGAGATCTTTCCCTTTCATCGATTATAGTCACTCGTCCGATACTTTTCTCGCTCTCTTCACTTTTTCTCTATTGATCTTTCTTTGGAAGGTATGGTGTCTTTGTCCTTCACGGCGGCAGTGAGGACTTTTGTCCTCCTGCTCGCCGTCAATGGCGCCAGGGCCTCACCAGGATTCAAAAGTTCCGCCTGGCCAAGGTCTGGCTACAACCCCTGCCCTGAGCGATGTGCCATCTCCGGCCCCAAACAAGGAAACTGGTCTGTTTACCCCGACTTCCGGCAGATCAAGAAATGCAAAGAGGCCATGTTCTACAGCTTCGGTCTGTACGACCCCGTTGATGACCGGGATATGAAGCACAAGATTCATGCTTGCTCGTCCTTTGGTCCTGACTTCTCCACAATCCCCGCTTCGAACGTCCGGGTTGCTTCCGGGGAAGCCATCGATGTTGAGTTCGAGGTGGGCTGGTGGCAGGAAGGGTTTGGCCTTGCAACTTCGGGGCTCCGGTCCCTTGTCAAGCAGATCCGCCAGTATGCTGATAATGGGCATGGGGCCACTGATAGGCCCTTCATCATCTATGGCCAGTCTGGTCAGGCTACTATCGGTCTCTATATTGGCCAGGGTCTGCTGAATCAAGGCCTCTCGCAATCGGCCTTAAAGATGTTTCAAGACAACCTGGGAAATTTTACCGACACATCGCCGAGCTTGGCCATGCAGCTCTGTGAGAAAAACTATGACAGCGCCCACATCTTCGGCATCGTTGGTTCTAGCGACGGACAGTTTACTTCTATCCAGAATCGTCTCCAATCTTGGGCCAATGGAACGTGCTTGTCGTTCGAGGAGTCTACAAGACTTCCTGGCTCAGCTACCTTCACCACACCACCCATACAGTCAAATCGCACCGTCTCCAGTGCCGAAGTCAGCCCAACTTCCGTGGCCACAAAACTTGGTGCCCGTGCTGAATGCCGCACGATTCAGGCTGAATTCGGCACTGCCTGCCCTGAGCTGGCTGTCATGTGCGGTATTTCTGCGGCAGACTTTACCAAGTACAACCCAGGGTCTACCTTCTGCTCTGACGGAAGCCCAAGCAGCACGTTTGCTGTTCCGCGGGAACCCTTCCCGATTTCAGCCCTGACCAAAACGATGATGGTTCATGCTTTTCGTACGAGGTCAAAGAGGACGACAACTGCGACAGTCTCGCTGCAGAATATAGTATCACCAAGGAAGAGATCCAAGAATTCAACAAAAACACCTGGGGTTGGAGCAATTGTGACCCTCTCTTTGCGAAGTCAATCATTTGCCTCAGCAAAGGCACTCCGCCGTTCCCTGCCGAGATCGCAAACGCACAATGTGGTCCTCAGAAGCCAGGCTCAAAGTCGCCAACCGATGGCTCCAACATCACTGACCTCAACCCCTGTCCGCTGAACGCTTGCTGCAACATTTGGGGGCAATGCGGGATCACCAATGACTTTTGTATCGACACCAACACCGGTGCCCCAGGAACTGCGAAGAAGGACACCTTCGGCTGCATCTCCAACTGTGGAACCGATATTGTGAAAGGCAGTGGAACCGGTGACATCCGCATTGGCTACTACGAAGGATACAGCTCGACACGAAAGTGTTTGTTCTAGGATGCCCTTCAGATCGACAGCTCCAAGTTTACACACATTCACTTTGGCTTCGGCACATTGACGCCTTCCTTTGATGTCGAGACGGGTGATATACGTTCTACCTACAACTTTGGTGAATTCAAGAAGATCAAAGACGCAAAGAGGATGTTGTCATTTGGTGGCTGGGACTTCTCTACCATGCCTGACACCTACCAGATCTTCCGCGACGGAGTCAAGCCCGCGAACCGGCTGTCAATGGCCCAGAAGATTGCAGCTTTCATCAAGGACAATGACCTTGACGGCGTCGACATTGACTGGGAGTATCCCGGCGCTCCTGATCTCCCAGATTTCGACCCCGGAACCGAGGAAGATGGTCCCAATTACCTCGCTTTCCTTGCCGTTCTCAAGAACCTGTTGCCTGGCAAAACCGTCTCTATCGCAGCACCTGCCTCGTACTGGTACCTGAAACAGTTTCCCATCGCGCAAATCGGCAAACTTGTGGATTATATCGTCTTCATGACCTATGATCTCCACGGTCAGTGGGATGCCAACAACGGCTATTCTCAGGAGGGATGCGATGACGGCAATTGTCTGCGCAGTCAGGTCAACCTCACAGAGACTAAGCAGTCATTGGCCATGATTACCAAGGCAGGGGTCCCCAGAAACAAGGTCATCGTCGGTGTGACCAGCTACGGGCGAAGCTTCAAAATGGCCGAAGAAGGATGCTACGGTCCCAACTGCGCGTTCGTCGGTGACCGATTGAATTCACAGGCGAAGCCGGGCAGATGCACGGACACAGCTGGGTACATCTCCGACGCCGAGATCAAAGAGATCTTGAACAGTCCAAAGCGAGCAGTTACCGAATCATTTGTCGATCCTAGCAGCAACAGTGACATCCTCATCTATGATGGCACGGAGTATGTTTCCTACATGGGCTCCGCTATCAAGGCGACGCGTGCTACTCTCTATTCATCATGGGGTCTGGGAGGCCTCACTGACTGGGCCACTGATCTTCAGGACTACAATGATCCCCCTCTTCCGGCAAAGTCTTGGGACGACGTCTTCAAGCTGATTGACAACGGGGAGAACCCCAAGGCGGATCACACGCGAACTGGAAACTGGACCGACTTGGATTGCATGCACGAAATGATTGTCGATGCGAATCAATACACGCCTTCTGAGAAGTGGGAAGCTTTCCGAGCGGACGAAGCTTGGGAAGATGTTGTCTGAATCTTCAGAGACACGGACAAGAAGAATGGCATCACGTTCATTGATTCGGCCGCACAAACCCTGACTATGGTGGAGGGAGCCAACTGTGGATCTCTTTTGGAAGACAGCTGTGTTGTACAGCCGTGTCCAGCTGGCGCGAACGGCCCGACTTCTGGACCGGCGGCGATGCTGATCTGGAATTCTTTGGTACAGCTTCATCTCATCTTCAGGGACTACCACAGACTTATCGGAGAAGCCGAAGTTGAAGGTGCCCTGTCGCTCCAAGATCTGGAGAATAAGTTTGCGCCCATCCCGCCCGAGGGGGACAACACCTGGAAACTGCTGCTTATTGATCTTCTCACTGTTGGAACACTCGGCACGGCAGGACCGATCTTCAACACGGTCATCAAGAGACTCCCTTATTTCCTCGAGAAACCAAGCCATCTCGATAATTATAAGGATACTACCATGAACATGATTGGACAGGGTACAACCGTCGCTAAAGACTTGATCGACAGCCCCCGCTCCCCGTGGACGCCGGAGTCACAGGCTGAGTTCTCAAATTATATGGCACAGGTCGTCACTGGCTGGAAGAACATGACCTCTTGGTCACTTGGGGAAGATTTCTCCGGGAAGGATGATTCAATCGAGCGCCTTGGAAAACTCATCTCCAACGGAAAGCTCGGCAAAGGGAAATCCGTGTTGTCTTCCGACGAACCGGATGACAAGCAGGATTACAACAGCCTGGTGGCCAGCATCAAGAAGTGCTTCTTCGGGTTTACCATCCCCGCTCTCTGGCAGGCTTCGAAATCCTACCCATTTGTCATGGGCGCCGGTCATGATTGTGGAAGCAAAGAAATCACCGATTACCTCACAGAGGACAACATGGACGCCACAGGTTCCTGTGTCGACGGCAAGCAGTACTACCTCGTATATCCAAAGGGTGACTCCGATGATTGCAAAGTGATCTGTTATGACAAGGGGCCCTGCCAGACCCAGTGCACCAACGCCAAATTCTCGCCGCTTCCAGGCCTCAGCTACCTCAACGGCACAAGCTACGGTGGCATCAGCAAGGACGATCTGATCAAGGGATCCGTCCGCACATGGATCAAAAACGGAAAAGAAAACGGCGGCAAAACCCCGGATCCCACCGATGAGGAGACAATCGATAACATGATGAACGCGGATGTCACAACGCCTGGATACGTGCGAATCCCCGTCTGCAGTCCCGAGCGCGCCTACAAATCCTGGGACACGACCAAGGCAGGCTCCAGCGCAAATTACCCCTGCGACATCCCGCCGGGCAAAAACACTTGCGGAGACTCGACTTTTGAGAATGACACCACCGATGGATCGCCTCTCGCTGACGACTGTCTTGTCATTATCAAGAACTGGGAAGGCGACGGTGGGACAAGCTGGAAGCCCCTCGTTCCTGGCAAGCCGCACCGCGAGCTTGGCAGTTATGGGACTTGCGCCATTGGTGTGGAGGCGACCAAGGTCGATGGCAATGCGGATTTTACTGTCGGTGGGCAAGATGCCATTGATCTTATCAATGAGTCAATCAAGCGGTTTAAATGGGAAGGCAAGGTTGGAGCGAGTGGAACCATGAAGTGCGATGGTACCATCAAGCAGCAGTCAGTTCTTTGGGGCATCTATCACACTTGATGCCTGAGTATATAGGGTGCTTCAGATACCTTACTAGATAGGGCTAAGTAGTTATATAACTCTCAGACCATCATTTGGGAACTCGTTTCTTTTAAAAAGTTATTCTACTTAATCGCTAGGGACCTCCTTATACACCTTCGGGCTTGTTCATGCAGAGGGATAACGCAGGGTCAAGCGGGTGCCGGGGTGCGTATGAAAGTGTTTGCCCCTGTACGACTCCGAATGGTGTACAGAGTCACTGTTCACAAAGCCCAGTGCCCAGTGGCGGAGTGGCCTGTGTTCAGAGTGTTCTCAATTGTAAATTTTTGGATCTGCGAAAGCTGTAGGAGCTTGTGTTCCTTGGATGAGCTCCGGGTACTTGGATTGACAGGCAGACACCATAGAAATCCTTAATCCTCTTGGCCAATAAGCCATCAAATCCTCTTTTAGGGGAATCTAATGGAATCCAGTCGATTAAATTTGTCTAGCGATTATTTCAAACATGCCGGTCGTTGGCATGCTGAAAGCCTGGGGAGATTGCCTCGTGCGGTACCCATAAGTCACTTACATAGGACAAGGCCGTCATTTCCCTAGTACGGGCAGAATCCACCAGTGGACGGCGGCCTCGTTCCTTATCCCTTTGGCCCCATGGATACATTGCTTGGGGAGATGTTGGAAACTCTATTGTCAGTAGCGGACCACAGCCGAAGCATTTCAAGGGCGGCATGAGTGCTGTTTATTTATCAGGTGTATATAAAATACAGTAACAGGCCGAGCCGCCAGAGAAAATACACAACCCTTTTTTTGCCCTTCTCCGGATCGACCGTGCTGGGGCCCACACTCCATCCCAGGGTGGGTCACCAATGATAAATTGCAGTAGTAGGCCGCCATTCACATGAGCATATGAGCATATAGCATGCATAGCCCATACAATGAACATCGAATCCATGAATTTACATTGTGTTCACATTGAATGTATATAAAAATTAGGATAACTGATAATCTGGATGTATAGCCAGTGCTAATACCAGGTATCACGCACATAGAGAGCTTGTACAGAGACCACTATTAGTTATGCAGGCCACAACTCCTGAAGGCTATGGTGTCTTCATCACAGAAGTCCGGAGAGGACAGCAGATTTTGATTGCCCGGTCAACATTGCAACTGTAATTGATTGAAAGTATAGGTACCTTGAGGAACGAGCGTTGCCAAAGGCTACATTGAAATTACTTGGAAAGGAGCGATCTAGAGTCCATTTCTTTGTTCTATTAATGCATCATTCTATTGATTGTTTGCCATTGTTCAATCTGCCGTTTCTCACTGACAAACGGGATTGTCGCTTCAGTCTCGAACAAAGAAATTCACTTCTAAATCGTCGATCAGAGCGCTCCTGGGTCACCAATCAGACCCTGGGACATCATTGATTCTGGTCTCGTCCAGGACTATAAAATCTTCCTCCTTTCCAACCCTTTCTCCTCTCTTACCCTTCATCAGTTTGATTTTTATTTATTTATATTCCATCTAAGTACAACATGAACCCCAACAACAAAGTCTCCCCAAACCACAACCAAAAGTAAGTCACATCAGCTTTCATACCTTGGCCGCGTCTACTCCCTGTATCTCCCTTGACACGTCCCTTCACCTGTACTCGATGATTACTGTGAGACCTGTTTAGTCATATCTATCCATCCATCGACTCATTCTTAGCGACATCGTTTCTGACATCTTCTTCGCACAGTGGAGAAGGGAGAAAGACCAACACTCCCTAAGGGACCACCGCGTCGGAACGGTGTCATTCCCTTTCAGATGGCGCCGCCTGATAACCTCGCGCTCCCAGAGGAGCAGAAGCGTCCTGGCACCCCATTTACAGGTACCACCTCAAGGACCGCTGCCTCTGCTGCGCTTGTGGAGGCCTCCGAGTCACCGCCAAGGAAGTGCCTCGGTGGCTTGGTCCCAGGTGTCACTTTGGGGACTGTCCCGATCCAAAGTGGTCCTTCTTCTATCCCGACAACCTACAAACAGGGTTCCCCGCAGGGGAAACCCCCCTGGTGGACCCCGACACATCCAAAACCCCTTCTTTCAGATCCTCCAACATCCGAAACCAGCGCATTGACGGCCCCTGGCTATCAGAGACTGGCCCCTCTGGGGCAGTCCCCAGCACGACTATCCCGGCCATCTCCGACCATCGGCTCCAGCAGGCGCAGCGTGAGATCATCGCGCTGAACAACAAGCTCGCTGATGCCGAAGACATAATTGCTCGACAAGAGATCGAGAAGGCTGACTCCAAGCCAAAGGAGTCGTCTATGGAACCGAGGATTTACTGCGACTTCATTGTCCCCCGAGAGAGTCCCCGCTCCCAGAACAAAGAGGAGATCGCGAGACTATCAGCCAAATTCGATGTCCTTGAGGCTCGCTATAAGGAAGCCATGAGGGCACTGGAGAAGGCTGAGGGCGACACAGATGCGGGCTCCGCTTGGCGTGGCAAGTACGGGAGCGACGATGAAGCCTGGAAGGCGCTTTCGGACCTCGTGGAAGAAATCGACGATGACAACCTTCGTATACGCCATACCGACGGACAGGGGAGTGTGCACGAACTCCTGGCCCAAGAAAGCAAGGTCCTTGGCATGGAGTTTCTGAAGCACAGACAGAGGCACGCGCAGCGTGAAATACCATCTACAGAGGCTACCACTGGATCGATTCCACAAGGTTCGCAATCAATCAAGCGACTGAAGCACGCCACAGAGGTCAATGACCTGATGTCTAATCCCACCGAGAACCAGATCGCCGAGTTCAATCAACCGCACGATGGATCACAGACTGGGGAATATTTGGCTCCGCCTGATGGTTACATGGAATGGCAGGAGACCAAGGAGTGCCTCTTGAGTCCGTGGACACCTATTCACAGACCACCACTCGTCGAACAAATCCCACAGGCAGAAGAGCGCATGGGATCCGTGGATTGGACCCTTTGGACAGAGCGCAAGAGGCGGATCAGCAGAAGAACGGTCGTCGAGGCTAGCCCTGAGTTGCTTGCTCGGATTGACGAGATTCAGCCATGCAACGGGCAAGTCGCAGAAGAAACGGTCCGCAAGACCGAATCTTTGTTGCTTGGCCGGGATGAGTCAATCCCAGCCCGGTCTATCCAGCCCGTCCATCTGCAGCTAGTCCCGGCGCAGCCAGTTTTGCAAGTGCAACCCGAAAGCGTTCAGACAGAGGAGGCGTTAACTCCGGAAGTTGTGAGTCAATCCGCTATTTCGCAGCCAACTATCAACATTCCACAGACCTCCGAGCAGGTTCCTCTCGAGGCAGCTATGAGCGTGCACAAAGTGCACTTCGCGACTGTTCCGACGGAAGTGCCAACTCAAACCACCATGAGTGTGCTCACTGGTTCTCAGACGACGCCAACGACTCAAACCGTTTTAGAGTACTATGACAAAGTCGCCACCGAGGGAGTTCTGAATGAGCCTGCTCTCTATCCGCAGGCGCATGCTGCCCTGAAGCCTTCTCCACCGGAAGACAATAACTCTGCTTGGTCTGACGAAGAGAGGTGGCCAGCTCTTGAAAGCCAGGGGCCTTCGGAGACAGGTCCGACCTCGCCCACGCTGACAATGCCCGGTTCCTACGTTTTTGACACGCTTGATGAGGTTGTGCAGGCGCCAGCTGCTGTTGAGCTGTCCTTTGTTCACGAGTCAACACACGGGAGCTTGCGTACCGGTACTCGTTCGCACCTCGAGGTTCTGTTGTCTCAGCGCGAGGAGCGTAGACAGACAGAGTCGGCACTCATGCCAACTCCCGAGGGGCTGCAGGTCGCATCAGCCTCTCGAGACCCCACCTCTTCCCAGGTAGCTAGTCCCGAAGACGGTCCGGCAACAGGGACAGTCCGTGCGGCTGTTTCCGAGGGCGCAGAAAGGGTCGAGGATGCCGATAGCCCTGAAATGCTGAGCGAAGAGCAGACTACAGGAGAACGACGGGAACAATCGGGCGGCAGAGAGGCAACTTCTGGTCATCAGAAACCAGATGCCAAGTCCTCCGGCCCACCCGCCGTCACTGCTACATCTGAAGCGTCTGACATGCAGGAGGGATCGGCTTTGCTGAAGGAACTGTGGGTAGGAGCTCGTCGGTTGACCTTCGGCTTATCCGTTTTGATGATCCTCATCCTATGGTCATTCCCCTTGTGGGCCAGGTATCTTGGGCATTGGCGGTACGCCATGGAGGGACCGGAACAGTTCCTATCAGAGCTCCGTGAGGAGCATGGGTATGGCGTTCCCATCGTGGGGCGCCTGATCTATATCTTCCTGCGTTTTTGTGCTGGAGATCGGACCTTGTTCGGTTGAAGGCAAGTGCTTAAGCGCGTGCGACGTGCGGAGAGGTCGCAATTTGATCAAGTGGAGAGACTTAAGGGGTCACCTCTTGCTAACTAGATTAGACGGAACCCGAAAAGGCAGGAAGCTGGCAAGCCCAATGGTTGCCGCTTCACCTACGCTGAGAAGTGTCCGTTACCAAAGACAAGGGGACAAAAACCATTCTTTTGAGTAGTAAGGTTACCATAGTACTATTCCAAGGTGGTAACACCCTCGTTGGTTGCATGTGAAGTAAGAGCTACAATGGAAGTACATGTGATGGAATCTAGAGGAGCCAAGGGGAACCAATCGTAATGAATATCATAAAAGATGAATGAGTTGATTTGAGTTGATCAGAGGACAAGGAAACTCAGCCGGAAAATCTTGCCATCCGCTAAGGCAAATCTAGACTAGCGTATATACATGAATGATCCACCTCGACACAATAAAACAGCAATTATTGTATGTGAAATGCAAGAGATAAGAATCAAGATCAAAACAGATTACAGATACATATATCGATTTAATGCTGTTAAACTAGTAAATCAGTATATCTAATTGACTGCCCCCTCTGCTAGAAAACAAATGTTGGCTAAAGCAGAGGTGGGCTTACAAGCGCTGAGAGGACTCCGGTTCGCACCTAGTACACGCTAAATCACGGGTAGGGGCATCAGCCAATCATCCTACGCGCCCAATTTCTTGACGGACTTTTCAGATAACTTTTCGGATAATTGCGGCGTGAAGCGTCCGTCGCCTCATACGGAGTACAGTACCCAGTATACCTAGACTAGGTATGTTTTCATCTGCTGGTCTTCTCCGGTCATTTCAATGCCCATTTACGCATTTAGCCTCGATTTGACTTCAAATGTCATTGACTCATTCATCATTAGCTTCTTGTGCTTGCCCAGGTGATCCATTACTCGGACCTTACTATGACCGACATTATCTTCAGTTTGGAAGGCCTCACATTCAATTGGATTGGATTGTCTGAATACTGTTGGTGCAGTCCTCGCAATTGCAGGCCTAGACAACCTCCAGTTGGAATCCAAGTTGCCTAACAATTGAGGTGTTTCGAATATACCTCAATAGCAACCACATCTGCATTAAATTTGTGATGGTAGACTTCATCTTTTCACACAAATGGTAGGGAGTTCGGCGAACATCTCCCATGCTCGGCCAGGAAGAGCTCCATCAGCCAGTCCTCGCCATGCCTCAGGCTACTATTGATGCCTTGCCCCCCGTCGAGGGAAGAGGGCCTCCTCTACTCATGATACGCCATGCAATCACATGTACTTTGATACTTCGTCCTCTGCTCTCTGGTAACGAGCATGGTGTGGCTGGTATCTCAGAGCCTTTCTTTCGTTTGTTTCACTACTGTACCAGGCGAATGGCGGCGCAATGGGCGCGAAATCTTTCTATTTGCATAACGACTCTATCTCAAGCTCTATTTTCTGGATAGTAGCAATGACATTTTCTAAGTTGACTCTTTTCATTCTATACATCTCATGTCAGACCCTTCTCCCCGTAGCCTCCAATACGTATGTTTACAAGGTCGTGCGCGTTTGTCGATCTGGAAGCTTCCAATGGATTTCCGAGCCCAGGAAACGTGCATGACAGGTACAACATAGGGGTTTCAGATTGCGGTAAGCTTGCCATGATTTTGTCTGATGTCTCCCCATCATCGGCAACCTGTAGCTTTGTATCATAGCTGTAGGCCCTGACACTGCACATGCAGAGACTGCCTGAACCTGAACATCGTACCTGTAATGCAGTCTGCCACGTTCGCATTTCTTGCTGCGAACTTGTGATAGTTTTGTCTGACATCCTCATCATCAGCATCTGAACGCTGTCTCATGGCTGCGGACCCTGACACTACAAAGACTGCCTGACTCTTGATATCATACCTGTAACGGAGGCTGCGCTATTCGCTCCTGTCTGCCTGCGCGAGCCATTACACAGTTAGCATAGCCGATTATTGATGTTATAATGCTGCCGTCCGTCACGAGACTATATAGGCTGATCAAGAGCAGTGTTCCCTTGATGAGTTGGGTATGTAGCAGTGCCAGTGGTGGTTCGGAAAAGCGCTGCCTAATCCAGAATGACCCTATTCACCTCGCCGGCGCTTGCTCCGAACAACATCTTCAGAGGGCTCCCGCCCAATCCGGCGTCGCCTGAATCGCGGCAGCTGGGACCTCATGACCGGAGCCTTCTCTTTGCAGGTGAGGTATAGGGCATGGTCAAGAGCTTTTTCCCAATTTGGCGTGTCTTCTGCTCGGCGCGGCTGGGAGGTGATAGCCGGAATCTTCTCTTTCCAGACGAGGCATGGGCATGGTCGAGAGCTGCCGCCGTATTTGTCAATTCTCATGCGCGCAGATGCGTTGCCTAGTCTGGATCAATCGACATAAATAGAGGATCTTCTCCAGTCCAATTCTTTTCTTTCTTCTCCTTCTCCTGTACACACTTTCATCCATTTCCCGCATCATTTTGTCTTCCCTCAAAGACTGTTTTCATTTATCTTCTGTATTGTAGTTCCTCTGTTTCATCAACTCCGACTCAACCCCCATCCTGTGTTGTCGTTCCTCTGTTTCATCATCAACACCTTCATCCCATCCTTAGCCTTTCTTTGACGCAACAATGCCGGCCAAGAAGGAACTTACTCAGCAGCTGCTGCCGTATGGTCCGGCGAAGGATGATCAGAAGCCTCCCGCTGGAGCAGATGAGATTCCCGAGCTGCGGCGAGGACGCGCGATCGACTCGAAGCGATATCTAGCCACCAACCTCCCGCCCCTGTACAGGCTGCCTGATATCTTCGCTGACATGGCATCGAAGGCCCAGGAGCTGGGATTCGAGCGTGTCCTCTCTCAGCTTGGTGGTCGACCACTTCGAGTGGCCACAATGTGTTCAGGAACGGAAGCTCCTCTTCTGGCCCTAGAGTTGATTCAGACGGGTAAGTGCAGTGACATACCTTCTTTGTTCTTTGTTTGGTTGTTTTGTTTTGCTTTGGTCGATTGCTTGGGTGTTGCTCCGAGGTTCATGTATCCTATCGACGCTGCGGATGTTGCGGGTCCGATATCACATGGATGGTCTTTGCCCTAACTCTACCCGCGTCCCTGGCAACGCTTGGGGTCGATTTGATGCAGTTGACATCAGACATCTCAAAGACGATGATGAACCAATGGCTAATCTCTTCTTGGTATAGGTCTCGTATCAAACCAGCAATTCCGGATCTCGCACGCCTTCAGCTGCGAGATTGTCCCATTCAAGCAATCATACATTGAACGAAACTTCCGCCCACCGGTGTTGTTCCGAGATATTACCGAGCTCGGTGGAGAGAAGGCGTAAGTCTCCATACTCATCTACCTTTGAATTGACCATGTAACTAACCTCCAGTCCAGGCGGACCGCCTATGGATCCTTGGAAGCAATTCCAGGTGGCCTGGACATTTTGATTGCTGGCACCGCCTGTGTCGACTTTTCACCGTTGAACAGCGTCCAAAAGTCACTCCAGCAAGGTGGAGAATCCGCGGCAACATTTGGCGGCCTGTTGCAGTACGCAGAAAAATATCGACCCCAGATGGTCATCCAGGAGAATGTCCGAGGCGCGCCATGGGCTCAGATGAAAGACAAGTGGGAGAAGCTCGGATACATGTGTGTGCAAGCCAACGTTGATACCAAGCACTACTACATCCCGCAGACACGCGAGCGTGGGTACATGGTTATCATTGACCAGCGCCGCTTGAAAGAAGTCGGCCTGATTAACCCTCTGGACCCGCGGGGAATGACACTCGCTGGACGCGTTAGCGACCTTATCGAGAAGTTCAAACGCCCAGCAAGTGCGCCTGTCGGACAATTCATGCTAGACGATGACGACCGCCGACTCGAGCTCATCGAGATGAAAGCCTGCCTCGAGTCCCGGAGCGAGGTCAGTTGGGAACAGTACAAAATCCGGCACGCTCAGCACCGAAAAGACCTTGCTTTGGGCACCGGGAGACCGATTACTCGGTCCCTGCCCGGAGTCAATGACCTGCAGGCGCCTGACTTCTACTGGCACCGTTTCTGGCGGACGCAGCCAGAGCGAGTGTGGGACACGATCGACATCAATTTCTTGAAGCGAATGCTTCAAGGATATGATATGAATCACAAGGAGTAAGTTTTACTCTACCGTCACTTCACTTCAGGGATCGTTGACTAACACTTCACTTAACAGACGTTGGATTGACCTGTCTCAGGGCGTTGATCGAAGCAATGAGACAATTGCAAGTGCTGGAGTTGCAGGTTGCATAACACCGAAGGGAATACCCTTCTCAACCACCAGGGGCGGCCCCGTATCTGGCACGGAGGCTCTTTCACTGCAAGGCCTGCCACTCGATCGGATGCTGCTGACCAGAGAAACAAACGCCGATTTGATGGACATGGCAGGTAATGCAATGACCAGTACTGTAGTGTGTGCAGTCATGCTTGCTGGTTTGATAGCCGTGCATAAAATTCTCGACAACGACAAAGCGGGTTCAATCCCACCCGGCGACACGCAGACACCACGTCTTGTTCCAAACGAGGTTTACGGCTTCGTGAGACGCACTCTCCAAGTCGCCGACGTTCCCCCTGTCGACCAGTTTGCTATGAAAGCCAAAGCAGCGTGCAGTGTGATTTGTTGTTACTGCGAGAGGCAGACTGGGGTTCATGATTCGATCTTCCTCTGCACACTATGCGGGCATACCGCTTGCGGATCCTGCCGTGGCAACCCAACACACTCATATCGGCATGTTTCCCCTCTTTCCAGAGCGAAGCCTTCAGAATTCATTGAAGATGTGAAAAGTGTGGTGCCGATGAAGATCAGGCTTTCCGGCCTATCTGATTCGACTTTCGAGACATTTAAACCCCTTTACTCAGGCGAAATTCTCGCCCAATTCTGGGGCGACTTCCTTCAATGCACCAGGTCTGCCGTGCACGACCAATTTCGCTTTTTTGAGATCAAGCGCGGAAGAAAATGGCGAGTTGTGTACGAGGGCGATCACTCGAACTTGTTCCTTGAAATCGGTCCGGACTCTATCCAGTGGCTTTTGTACGCAAAGCCCCCCGAGTCTGCAAGCATGCGAAGCCCCATTCGCGAAATATTGGCCAAGCCAATCGCACGAATGAGTCCGGGCCCTGTGTCGCTTCTCCGTGGTCATTGGGATGTATCATCGCCAATAAGCACGTTATTGTCATTGACAATCACCGGTCGAGGAAATCATGTTCCCTCGTTCCAAGCTACGTGTGGTCTTCAAGACCCCATTGTGAACGAGTCAAAAGTTTGGGACAGTCTCCTGGTTCAAGGACCGTGTGAAAACGGCGCAGTTCTCGATGTTGACGTCGAAGGAGTGTACAATTGGCTCCCTGAGTGTGGAACAGCGCTGGGATCTTTGTACCGCAGGGAAGATAACACCGCGAATAGGCCTCCAGTATTCCTGTACTTGGACCAGACAAAGATCGGACCGCTCGATGAGGATGCTTGTGTATTTGCCTTGGAACACAACCGGCGAACAGGATATGATGCGAGAACGACCATCGCTGAGTTATCCCCAACCTGGAGAGCATGGGATGTAACGTCGGATTCGCAACGTGTGTCTGCCTCCTGTCGCCAATGGGCCAAGGCTCCCAACGTGCAGTTCGTCCTTTGTGACGGTGAACACATTACCCTCGACACCTTGCAACCCGGTGTTCAAGTCTCGATTGGAAATCATGGATGCCACAATGCTTCTGTGACCCTCGTGTCGCTGGGAGCCTCTACAGCCACCATCAATCTGCCCAAGGCAACCACCTATTGGCAATCATGGGATCCAGAAGCCTCTGCGAGAGAATTGAAGAGCCTCGCTTGGTTGTTCCCAAAGATCTCGGCATGGTCCGATTTCGAAAACTGGAGCGAAATCCTCTGCCCAGGCTCCTCGGATCACAGCCATGACCTGCGCGATAATTGTGATACTTGCAATCCTCCGGGACCAACCATGATTTGGGGCCGGGACAAAGCTGGCCGGATTATGCCTATTGAGAACCCCCAGGAGGCTGCATTGTACGAGCATGCCATCAAAACCCGACCCTCGCCGTTCTTGGTGTTCAGAAGGGTCAACGAGCAAGGAGATGCTGAATTGAGATTTACTCTCAATGTTCAGGCCCTGACGCACCAGGCACAAGGGAAATTGGTTGGCGTCGCAGGCCGTGAGACGGTCAAATCTCACTGGCGACTACTCCCGCATGCGTACGATATGAACCACCGCAATCCAGCTATGTTTACCTTGATGAACAACAAGAACGATGCGTGTGCACTACAGCCTCCCAATTTCATATTCAAGCTGCGGACAGAACAGCTTCGCTCGTTGAACTGGATGGTTTCACAAGAAGCTGCCGACATTGAACCGTTTGCGGAAGAAGAAGTCGAAGAGGCGATCCTTCCGGTGATGCCCTGGCGCGCTGAAGTTAAAGTGACCATGCCAAAAGTTATCCGCGGTGGTGTGCTAGCTGACGAGGTTGGATATGGAAAAACTGCCATAGTCCTTGCACTTATCGATGCTCAATGGATGAAAGATTACAGTCGCCCCGTTGAAGACCACGGGCTGATACCCACAAATGCCACTTTGATCATTGTTCCCAAGAACGTGTTCACGCAGTGGGTTTCGGAATGCAAAAAGTTCCTTGGAAGCATGTACAACGTCTTGGCGATATCGACAAACATCAACAGAGTCACGATCAGGGCTGTCCAAGATGCCGATATCGTGATTTTGTCATGGAGTGTCCTGGGCGGCGATGCTTATTACGCCCGACTGCAAAGATTTACCGGGGCACCGCAGGCTCCCGGAAAAGGGAACGGACCAACAGGTAGAAACTTCGAAAGCTGGTTCAATGACGCTCGTGCTTCCCTGCGAGAGTCTGTTGGCACATTGAGAACGTTCGGCCCTGAGGCGATGCTTCAGCAATTGGAGGCCCGCCGTCGCCGAGTTCAAGAGACGCAAACCGAATCCACTTACGTACCTTCCAGGCGCCTCCGTGGCAAAGCATTTGCCGCAGCTAATCATGGCTCGGAAACAGAAAATGGCTCGGGAGCAACTGAGGATGCGGATACAGGGCCTGCTCCAGGATTGGACGATTCCGACGACACTGACAACTCCAACGACTCTGAAGATTCCGATGATCCCGATTCGGATCAAGTATCATCAACCACTACAGGTCAGCCGAAGCGAGGGTGTGCGAAGGAGGGTCCAGCCGAGAAACGGCGAAAAACCACCTCGTCCAGTCTGAAGACGAAAAGCCGTACCAAGCCGAAGGCCGTCAGGGATGACCGTGCGGAATTCAATATACCGGCAGGTCACGATCAAGACTGGCGGATTGTTAAGGGCGCATTCTTGCACGCTTTCAGGTTTAATCGTGTAGTAATCGACGAATACACATACGCCGGGGAAGGAAAGGAGATAGCCCTGCTCTCATTAGAAGCGCGTTCGAAATGGGTGCTTTCTGGGACGCCTGCACTTGATGAATTTGCTGACATCAAGAGTATTGCGCTTTACCTCGGTCTCAACCTTGGTATTGACGACGATGGCGATTGTGAGATGCCGAGCAAGAACCCTCGACTGCGAGATGTGCGGAAAAGGTACACGAAAGTCGAGGCATTCCAATCATACCACGCCTCTCGCAGCAATGCGTGGTATAGTAACCGCAGGGATCTTGCACAAAGATTCCTGGACCGATACGCACGCCAGAACACCGCAGAGACCAAGGGCATTGAGTGCCATCAGACACTTGTCATGATTGATCCGTCCCCAGCCGAGGCTAGAAACTACAAGCTGCTATTTGACGCACTGGAAAACGAGACCAAGAGTGTCTCCGGGCCGGTGAACAGCATCTTGTCAAGGAAACTGCCTCCCACGGAGTCTCTCGTCATGTGTAGTGTGGTCACCCAGGTTGGGAAGCAAAACTGGATCCCCACACAGGAAGTGATGAAAAATGTGCATACGCAAACGCTTCAGACCGAATCCAGAATAGACTCGCTCATTAGTGAAGCGGTTACATTTTGGTATCGGGAACCGGAGGGGCGAGCAGGAAACCCTACAGCGACAGCTTCAAAGAAAACCACGCTCAAAGGCAAAGCCACAGAAACCACCCCGGAAGACATTTCGCCGGCAGGTTGCCGAGACTCTCTGATTGCCGTGGTGAAAGACGAATTTGATGTGGGCCTCGGCGAAGACTTCATCAGACGTTTGAGGTTGGGCTTTGATTCGTACGACGACAGGAAAGTTGTTGAAGAAACCAAAGCAAAGGTCGACGGACGGTTTCAGAAAGCCTTGAGCTTGGTCAGGGCAAGACGTGTCAGACCTACAAACAGTGCAGGAATCGATGATGCACCCGCCGTTGCAGCGTCAAAGGTTCGTCAGAATCTAGGAAATGAAATCCTTGCTCAGTTGAAGCAAGCGGCCAAATTGTTGCGTCAAGATCGATACAATCAACATTTGCTCCAGATATCCAGTGGGCAAACCCCACAATGTGAATATGAAGCCTGCGCAACGTGGGAAGTGGATGCAAATATCCACATCATCGAAGTCTGCGGGCACGCCCTCTGCAAGAATTGCCTTGCTACTGCGAAGGTGACCGAGTCCTGCCCCGTTGAAGGCTGCAAGGCCAAGTTTGAAGCATCAAAGGTTATCTGCCGTGACGATGTGATCAACGAGGGTACAACCAGGAGCTCCAAGCTCGACCAGCTCGTCCGAATTATCCAGAACACCCCACAGGATGAGCTTGTCATTGTTTTCATTCAAGCACCCACTCTCGTGCTCGTCACGTCCGATGCCCTTCGGAATGCTGGGATTGAGCATCGCAAGGTCACCAAGACCACCGGCATGAAAGGGATCACTGACTTCACTGAGGGGTCCAAGCCGAAGAGAGGCTCATCGGAAGTCCTTCCACGCCCCAAGGCTTTGCTGCTCGAACTGGGTAGTTCAATGGCTGCAGGATTGTAAGTAATCTCTCTTGTCATTGGAAGTTGGTCGACCGTCTAACTGATTCAGAAACCTGCAATGCGCAAATCACGTCATCTTTTTGTCCCCATTAATTGCCGCTACCCAGAGGGATTACAATTCTGGGATGACCCAAGCCATTGGTCGTGCGCGCCGATATGGGCAGACACGAACAGTCTACGTGTACCATCTGCTCGTAAAATACACGTACGACGTGAATGTCTACCAGAGCGCGCACGGAGGCAGGCTCGTGGAGCGTGGCGGTGGGCCAAAAGTGGTCCCCGACAGCGAAGTCGGACCAGGAGACACCAAGTATGAAGGAAAGGAGATGCCAGTCAAAACTGGCCGTTAAATGGTCTCCGTCTCTCCGTTCACTGCTCCAACTTTGGGCTCGCCGGTTGGCTGCCCGACCTCGGTTTTTCCTTGCGTGACCACCTATGTAGGATTTGCGACCTAATTGGTCCTCCTGTTGATATGTACGTCCAATGTTAATGTACTACAATCTACATATGTTATATAGCCTTCTTGCTCTTCCTGACTTTTGTACACAGTAAGACTCCTGTTACTGATAGGCTGATAACGTACTGTATTGCCATTTGCCAGCCACAATGAATAATAGTCGGAAACTGCTTAGTAAATCATAGCGCGTACCAATCGGATATCAACAGGTCTGAATTTCTATGAAGCCCCTGGCTGGCAATTTGTATGGGCATAACAATGACTAATCTAAGTGGGATATGGTATCTCCGTTCTCCGATCTCCACTGCTGCTGTTGTTCCGACACACCCCCTCAGCGGTTAGCGAGTGTTGAATATCTTCGCCAATGTTATATTCAATCGAGCTGAGCGCTGATTTCCCGCAGCAGGTCTCTCTTTCCTCTCGCCTACACCTCAATCAGGTCGTGTATGTCCTCCATGCGCATTAACCGAACAAACTCGTCGTGTTTCAGACGTGGTAGGAGCTTCGTGAGACCATCTGCTGCCATCTTGGCCGTTGGAACCCATTTGATGTTGATTCTGCCTTCTCTGACCTCTTGCCTCAGCCAATGTCCATGGATATCGACGTGACGAAGCTTCGTATCAATTTTAGCATGTTCGGAGGTTAACAATATGACAGTCTGTTTGTTATCACATCGCAGGGTGATTGTATGGTCCGGTTTGAACGAGATTCGTTCGAGGAATCGCGTCCACCACTGTAACGAGCGCGCAGCATCTGACAACCCCAGGAGTTCAGCTTCAGTGGTAGATGTGGTGACAGTGGGCTGTTTCGAGGCCTTCCAATCGACGGGGCCTCCATAAACTTGGCAGACATATCCTGCAGAGCTTCGACGATCGTGATTATCAGCGAAGGATGCATCACTTGCCAGTTCAACTGACTCCATGTCTCCTTTATTTCCATATTGCAGTGCCAAATATCGTGTGGTATATAAGTAGCAGATCACTCTATCAACAGCTCGTTGGTGCTGTGGTCCGGGGTTTTGAAGGAACTGTGAGAGCTTCGCGGCTGCTTTTGATGCATCCGGTCTAGTGATCGATGTTGGATACTGCAATGAACCAACCTTTCCTTGGTATAACTTGATCTCAGCCGGTGTTGCTGTTCCTTCGAATGCCTTCATTTCTTCCACCGGGAGAGGGGTGTAGACAGGTGGTCGATCGGTCAAATGATATCTAGCAGCCATACTGCTGATATATGCGTCTTGGCAAAGCCAAAGTTTCTGTTGCTTCCGATCGCGTACAATTCGAATATTCAAAAACCATTCTGCTTCTCCATGATCCGTAAGCTCCCAGTGTGCCTCCAGATCCTTCTCAAGTTGGCGAGCTCTGTCTCGTTCTGACGGGTGGTTCGCAATAAGCATGTCATCAACGTAGAAGAACACGATTATGCCTTGTGTTACGAAGACGCAGGGGTCTTCAGGGACCTGTGTGAGTCCAAGTTTCAAGAGAACCCTTGATGCTTCCTGTTGCCAAAGCTTCGGTGAGATGCGCAGACCATAAAGCGCACGATTAAGCTTCCAACACATCCCTAGCTGTTCAAATCCTTCAGGCATCTTCGTGTAGGTTTCTGTGGGCAGTATGCTGTTTAGGAATGCGGTGACTGCATCTCGCTGACGTAGATCGAGATTAAACGCTGCGACCAGGGCAAACATTACCCGTGCTGTGCGCGCTGCTAGTGTCGCCGCTCTTTTTTCCTCAGGCGATATTGTCTCAAGGTCTCCTCTTACACAGATGCGTGCTTTTAGCTTCAGCAGATAACCGTCTTGGTCGAACTTGTATGCGAATACCCATCGGAGTGGCAGGATCTGTTTCGACACGTCTTTTGGTCGTTTAATGACGGTGAATGATGACTTTTGCTGCAAGGATCGTATCTCCTTCGCGCAGGCAGCCAGAAAACCTTCAGCCATTGGGTGCTTCAACATGTTCTTCCATCCATCAGGCGCAGGGGGTAGGTCGTCTCGGTGGCGTTGCAACGGCTTCTCTGTGTACAGCGCGGCGGCAAACGTACGCAGTAGCTCCGGTGGATCTTCTTCAGTCTCTGGCAAGATCGTTGCGTATGTTTGGTAATCCGGATCTACCCTCGGTCTTCTTTCTCTGCGTCCATTCATGATGTTCGCCGTGACAATCCCGTCTCTCCTTTGAGTGTGGAGCTCAGCATGTAACTGCTGTTCGCTCTCGGAGAGCGCGTCTGGATCAGGTTGATTTTCTAGGCTTTCAAGCGGAGGATTTGGTTCTGGCGGCTGGTCTTCCTCCTCGTTCTGTTCTTCACACTGGTCCACCCCCTGAGCAGCGGCAGGGCCAAATTCAGCGGTATTCTCCTCTGGTGGACTTGGTGGTAGTTCCGGTATCACTTCTGGAGGAAACGAACCAGGGAGTGTGCTGTTAGGGGGATCTTCCTCAGGTTCCGGGGTGATCGGTGCATACACCCCCTCAGGTGTACGGTCCTCATGATCAAGTTCTTCCTGGTGTTCATTCTCTGTGCCTTCATGATTACTCTCGTGGAGTTCTTGTTGGCGATCTTCCTGCGTGTTCCGGTTGACTGATCCTTCCGGTATTCCAATGTCTTCACGGAGGACTTCAAGTTGCTCCTCCTCAGTCAAAATGGTTGCTTCAGGTTCAGGTACACTTTCGATATCTTCCCAGTACCGCATATCAGACTTCCACTTCCTCGATTCATCGAAACGTGCATCTCTCACGAATTCTATCGTATTCCTGGCAGGAAACCAGATCTTCCACACGTTCGATGCGACATAGCCAACGAGGAACCCAATCTCTGCACGGGGAGAGGTCTTCTTGGTGCGTGGGATATTGCGAATACGGCAGTACGATAACGAGCCATATACGCGCAGGTTGGCTAAATTAGCCTTCTTCATCCGTTCGCCGCCAAAATCCCTTCGTGCTTCATCCCAAGGCACGATCCAACGATTCTCCTCCTTTAGATGGGTAGGGATACGGTTCAGGATCCACACAGCAGCGCTAACCATCTCGGGCCACAGTTGACTCGGTAGCTTGCTCTCGATTTGAAGGTGTCTCGTCATGGTCAAAATCACTCCTCCCGAACGTTCAGCAGGTCCGTTTTGCTCGGGATGGTAGGGGATGCCATGTGATACCACAATGCCCATATTGTTCAAGAAGCCTTCAATCTCTGCGCCTGCAGCTGTTTCATTGTCATAATGAAACGATTTGATTGGTATGTTCCACCAGTTTTTGATCAGAGCGATGAATTTCCTGATTCCATCTCTGCACTGCGACTTCAATTCGTGTGTGTATAGCCAGTGAAATCTGATGCCTTCAACGTAAAAATGTGTCATCCACCGATGTCGGTTGTATGCGGGTGAAAATTGGACCAGATCGAAGTGAATTCGGCCATATCTTCCAAAGGTCTGGCCAATTGGTCGTCGTGATATCTGTCTCGGTGCGTTTGAGAGATTGCACACCTGACAAAGCTCTCCTTCTTCGGATGGTGTTTCTGGCAGATCTTCGTTGATTTTAACACCATCTACCATTTCGGCAGTTTTCTTCATCACACGCGTGGATACGTGGGCTAATCGACGATGCCAACGATCTGCTGAGGCTTCCGAGACGAGAGGTTTCACCGATCTTCGTACTGCATGTGCGTGGGCAAGGGTTTCTGGTGAGGAACGAGGCTCTCTCGGTTGATTAAATGCCCATATTCCTAACGACTCCATGAGGCGTACACTAATGACTGATTCGCCACTCGAGTCCCTGATGCACTCGTTATCCTCGTCCCAGCGAACACCCTTCTTTTTCAGGGCTCCATAAGACATCAAATTGGCATGGAAATGAGGCGAATATAACACATTGCTCAGTTTAATTCGTCGAGTTGATCCGTCAGGGCCCGCTCCAGTCATGACAACGTTTCCAATACCTTCTACCGCAGTGATCGAATCACCTGTCTTCAGGCCTGATTTCATCGGTTTAAAGGTTATGAAGAGGTCTTTGTCGTTGCATACATGTACTGACGAGCAACTGTCGAGGAACCAACGTTGTCGAATGTCATCATCGGCGCCTCCCGTGTTCTTTACGCTTTGGAACACCTGTTCGGGAAAACCTGTGGTGAGGAAGGAGCCATACAGTTGTGTGCTATTGGCCGTATTCGTGGCAGGCCTCACTCCATTCTTCTCGTTGTGATCCCTGACAGATTTCTCTATCCAGGCTTTCCACGCCGGGTCTTTCGAAAGACGATCTTCCACTCGCCTCGCGGTCTTCTCAAAAACTTCTTTGTCAGGGAATGCATCCCGGTTGACCGCCCAGCACTTCCACGGCTTATGGTGACGGTTACCACAGGGGCAATATCGCTTCGGGATCGGTGGTAAAGTTCGTTCACGTGGCGATTCCTGCGCTTGCTGGCCTTGCGGCTTTCCCTGCGGTGGCTCTGGTCTAGCTTCATCGAAACCTTGCAGTGTCGAAAACGATGCTTTGGAAATAGTGCTGACAGTGCTCGCGCTCTGTGGGTGCAGCTCACGATAACTTCCTCTGAAGTTTTCAATCAAATCGCGAGTATCCCATTCTTCCTGGTTCAGCACGATCGCCTCAAATTTCAGCTGCCACCAAACAGGGAGTAGATCTTTAACAGCGCGGAGGAAGTCCTTATTGGCACTCTTCATTTCTGGCAGGTCTAGGCTTACACCTTGCTCTCTTAGTGCATCCCATTCATTGATCCACTGATCGATATCAGAACCCCTCTTTGGTGGTGAGGCTGACACTCGCTTCCACTGTGCACGGATATCTTCTTCTGCCGCAGATGATCGGCCAAATCGGGTTTGAAGATATACAAGCCGTCCGTATGGGGTTTCGTAGTTAAGCATCGAGGTGTGATGGACTGGATCCAGATTTGAGATGATCCATTCATTGATGGCATCTAGGCTCTTGTTTTGCTGTTCCCATTCGGCAAGGTCCAGCTTGTAGATATCCATACGATCTCTCCACTCTCTCTTCGCAAGTTCGTTGCCACCCTCCGGGTATTGCGGTCTTCGAGGTTTGCGAATTGGCTTTTCCAGATCTTCTTCTGCGGTGTGAGGGTCGATCAGTTCCCATACCCTCTTCTGTCGTGCATAGATCTTGATTCGTGCGAACCAATTCCTCCATTGACTTGGTTCCTTCAGTTTTTCGCCCTTCATGGCGGAGACAACGGTTGAGTCCATATTTGTCACGTTCTCTTGCAATTTCGTTCGATGGGGAGCTGATCGGGGTCGACGTCTGTCCTGTTTGGCTATCGCGGTAAACCTGCGTATGTCTTCAATTGACGAATTTAACCCTCTTAATTGCGAACCGGGCTCATAACAGTCGGAAACTGCTTAGTAAATCATAGCGCGTACCAATCGGATATCAACAGGTCTGAATTTCTATGAAGCCCCTGGCTGGCAATTTGTATGGGCATAACAATGACTAATCTAAGTGGGATATGGTATCTCCGTTCTCCGATCTCCACTGCTGCTGTTGTTCCGACAATAATGATGCTAAAATGGTCACGTGCTCACGCGCTCACGGTCACGCGTAATCGCCAATCGGCGCGCCCCTCTTTTCGCGATCTGATAGTCAAATTTCGAGTGGGAGTCGAGTCTCGGGTCGCCAGTTTCCACACCTCCGATTCGATGGCCCTATGGCTCCTTGGTCAGCCATAGGACTACGTAGTACGTGCAAATAGGCCATGGGTTTCCAATTTGCGTTCTTATGCGACCTGCTGTCTAGTTTGGACGATAGCCGAACGGCCGCAGCCAAGGATGGCAGTCTACACATCAAAGTGGTCGCCCAGTGGTTTGCTCGACATGGTCGGGAGATCAATAATGCAGACACAGACAGAGTCGCGTTACTCTCCTGCATATTTCCGGAGAAACGAACAGACCGGGTATACTATTTGCAGGCCACGCAGTTATCGAGAGTCATAGGGCGTTGCTTGGGTCTGGGTTCTTCGCGCCTTTCGGAGCTCAATCGTTGGCAACATCCTGGTGGCTCTGATCTCGGTGGATGTGTCGAGGGCGTCATGCGGCAAGCCGAGAACTATGTTCCTGCTGGTCAGGAGTTGACGGTTGAAGAGGTTGATATCGCCATGGCTAAGATTGCATCACGGTGCCGTTTTTCTGGTCCTCAAGTCCGCCGGAACCGCTCAGCTGTAGACGTTGAAGAGATTCTATCAAAGTTGTATCGTCGAGCAAGCAGCCGTGATGCTAAGTGGCTCACTCGCCTGATTTTGAAAACCTACTCTCCTGTTGTCTTTCCCGAGAGATTCACACTAAAGAAGTTTCATTTCCTACTTCCCCAACTTCTTCAGCTCCAGAACTCGTTTGAAGGGGCGTTGGGGATGCTCAATTCGGACCCAATTTGCCAATTCCCGCCAAACCCAGATCCCAAAGCAGCCAAAAGCCTTAGCACAATAGCGCTGCAACACCTGCGACCTCGTCCCGGCATCAAAGTGGGCCGACCTGATTATTACAAAGCTCGAAGCATCAAACATTGTCTCGAGATGATCAATGGTCGCCGAATGAGCCTGGAACGGAAATACGACGGCGAATACTGTCAGATTCACGTCGATCTTTCTAATAAACTTACTCCCATACAAATATTTTCCAAAAGTGGCAAAGACTCGACAGCAGATAGAGATAAGATTCTACCTGTGATAGAGGAATGCCTGCGCATGCGGTTGCTCGGGTGCAAATTCACACACCGATGTATCCTTGAGGGTGAATTGCTCGTCTTTAATGATCAAGATGCCGAGATCTTGGACTTCAACAAACTCCGGAGGCTGATACCTCGATCTGGCACTCTGATCGGTGTTGATAGCGATTCCCCGTACGTGCTACTCCTTGCAAAATAAGTTCTCTTTCTGATTGACGCAGGCCACAACCATACGAACACTTAATGATGATGTTCTTCGATATCCTGCTCCTCGACGATGATGTCTGTTTAGCGAAGCCCCATCGGGAACGTCGATTGCTATTGCAAAAAGTAGTGAATACCATCCCAGGCAGGGCTGAGCTTGCTCACCAAGAAGTCTTGGACTTCAGCCAAGTTGATAGCCCGAACAGAGTCATACAGAGGTTCGAACAAGCGATCACTCAACGATGGGAAGGGTATATCCTGAAGGCTTCCGACGAGCCTTATTTTCCACTATATTGCGCTGGTGTAGATCGTCTGTTCGGTCGGTGGATCAAGCTCAAAAAAGACTATATCCCTGGGCTAGGAGACACATTGGATTTCGCGTTGATTGGAGCCTACTACAACTCCCAGGATGCTCTTGGTCTGGGACAAGTCAAAAAGCTGAAATGGACTCATTTCTTCGTTGGCTGTCTTCTGAACAAAGAAGAGGTTGTAAAGAGCGATGCTTTACCGCATTTCCGAGTGGTTGATGTCATTGGTCGGCACAGCATGAGCATCTTGACTATGCAAACCCTCAATCAGATGGGGGCATTCTGTGCCCGTGAACCTGACAGTTATGACGGCTTTCGCGTCGAGTACGGGCACCAAACCCTGCCCATGGCATCCACATTGTTCAAGCACCCGTTCATCGTCGAGATGCTGGGAAGTGGTTTCGACAAACCCTCTGGTGCTAGATACTGGACGCTTCGGTTTCCGCGGATCTTGAAAGTACACGGCGATAGGTCCTTGGAGGAGGCTGCTTCATTCCAGGAGTTGCAGTGTCAAGCAGAGGCGGCTCGGGCTGTGCCTACAGACGAGCTAGAAGAGCTACAAGAGCGTGAGAGATGGTCAAAACGCCTCAAAGCTGGTAGCGGACTCAACCAGTACCTTGTCAGATCGTCGAGCCCAGAATCGACCTGTTCAGATACCGATGAGACGACTCCTCCGTCATCCCAGCCTTACCAGGCTTCTCAGGATGTCACTACCTCTGGAGGTAGTATGGAGGTACGTCCCTTGATGGTAGACTTGCTCGAAGACTCAATGGGAGGAGACGTACTTGGTGGATTGCACGAGGCTCCTTCATGCACCCCCGTGGTCTACATCGATGAGCCGGTGATATCCACGGACGTTGGGAATTCAGTTCCCGACGATAGTGTGCTTGCCGAGAACGAGAACCTATCATCTCGTCAAAAGCCCAGCCAGAGGGATGAAAAGACTGAATCGCAGGACCTTGAAAATTCTTTGCCGCTTGAACAACCTCCGATGCCGCCATCGTCCGGTGTTACAAGTCCAATGCAGACGACTAGTGCCACCTCCGCGCCCAAGTTGGACTCCCCAGACCCTCAAAAACCGCAGGCACCGCTTCTGGAAACGTTGATTACGCCCCCGTCATTCAAGCTGAAACGCAAGGTGGCACCCAAGTCCCCTTTGGCCACAATTCCCATGTGGACACCGAAAACAACTTTACGGGGCTTCAATCGTCCCCATGATGATGGCCAGTGCGCCAAAGACATCGAACAACATGATTTACGCCAGTTCCTGCAGTGTATTTGCTCTGATTCAATGGTTGCTTCACTACATCAATCAAACCCATATGCTGCATCTCAGGGAACACGATTCGGAATTGTCATGTTGGACCCCAAAACAAGTCGACTAGGCGAAGAAATGCTCAAAGTCGCAACAATTATTTCAAGTGTTCTCCTCACGGAAACACATCCCATGCCCTCTGTGGGCAAGATATTCTTTTTGGGCTCAAGCATACTGGACCGAGATTTGTGCCCCAACGACCTCCGCTTCTGCTTGCGTGACACATGGACAGATATCGGACGCCATGATTCTTATGGCTGTATTTCATGGGACCTCAACAGAAAGCGCAACAGCAAGACTTCCGAAGCAAGGGAGCCGGTTTTTGGAAGGGATCTGCACTCTTCTGACATGCGAGATAAGACGTCGCAGCAATACAGTGTACCGAACGCGCCAGTTATTTGGATGACGTTTGATGAGAGCGATGTTGCTGAGTTGGGCGAGTATATATCGCTCGAACCACTTGCTCATATTCTTGATCTACGATACCCGGTTCTCTTTATAAATGACATTGATATGCGCTAGTTAGGAACAATATATATAAGGTAGTGCCCATCAGCTGGCCTGAAAAAGATAGTTCTGGAAGCGGACTGAGACCTAGCACCGTAGGACCTAGGTAATACCCTAGGATTACTAGGTTATACCTAGGAATACGGTATTCCGCCTCACTCCAATGGATCTGCATTTTTGAAGGGGAAATCTGGAATACCGTATTCTCTCAAATACCTACCGTAGCATCACGGTACCCAAAAACCACGACTGTAGGTAGCACTACGGTTCAAAACATGGGCGGCATTGAATCTTGGTTGTTACTTTGATGTGACCATTAACATCAGATTGGAATCGTACCGAGGTAGCTACTATCATTATAAGACTCATAAAATGCTTCGCAGCCATGATAATCCATAATCCAATCAGTCAACACAATCACGTAGCACCCTCCCTTCTAGCTCGCACGTCTCGCATCAACGCCTTTGCCTCCTCCACTTCAATTCCATCTTGACACAACTCGCTCGCTAGCTGATCCGCACGGTCAAGATCACCATGTCGCGACGCATACTGCGCCAACCACAGCCGTGCCTTCGATGTGGTGGCCGTAACACCAGTGCCATTCCACGTCTCACTGACAATCGAGTCGTCATTCTGCATAGCAAATGATTCAGCCTTAGCACGAGGCTTACGATTGCGACGGTGTCGATGCGAGGTATCGTGGTCTTCGTCGCCTGAGTGCTCGATGTCGGAATCACTCTGACTGTCGTGCTCGGAGGCAGATGAGTCGCCGTCATCTGCGTCGTCGTTGACAGGGGCGCCGGATTCTTGTTGAAGAGTAAGTTCCATGTACGCAGCAGCCTCCTCTTCGTCGCCGAGGCGCTCGTACAGCGTGGCGATTTGATGCAGAGTTTCTGGATCGAGGATCTTGCGACCGGGGCCTGCGGTTCCCTGTTGACCGCCGTCATCTGGCTGTAAAGATCCGGCCACTAATGCACGTTTTAAAGATTGAATACTCTGTCCCATGCGGCCCATTTTCGCATAGCAGGATCCGACTGCTTGCCACATCTTTGGGTCGTAGGGGCGGAGTGCTGCGGCGCGCTGGTAGTAGAATAGAGCGTAGAAAGACATGTCCAAAACTTCATAAGCCTGCCCGAGACCATACCAAGCGCGGTAGTCTTTACGATTGACGTCGACAGCTCGACGGTATGACTCAATTGCGGTGTGAGTGTTCTTCATTTCGATGTATTCATGGCCCATGAGGGTCCATGCAGACAGGAAGTTGCGGTCGAGGGTAAGTGCACGTCGGAAGTACATTACTGCCTTCTCGTGCTCGGATTTCAATGAGTAGTAATTTCCAACGACACAACAAGTCTCTGGACGGAACTTGTCGGTGGCGGTTGCGACCTGAGCGATGAACGCCAGCTGAGGTCGCTGGTCCATGACGTAGAGGATGTTCGAATAGTGATCGAGACTATCTAAGCGATGAGGTGATGTGGCCAGGATGTCTTCGAATATGTGGGATGCTTCCTCGAAGTCTTATATGGGTTAGGTTAATTAATTCACACGCTAGAGTGCGGACGGGGGTAGCTTACCTTTCGAATGATACAACAACAATGCATGTTGCGTTTTGAGGAATGCACTCTCCGGGAACATCGACTGTAGTTCAGAGAGTGATCTATATGTGTCTTCCGTGGCTTGATACAGCTCCTGGCTGCAGTAGACGTAAAATATCAAACTCATGACATTTTGCGGCAGAAGTTCGAGTATTTGTTTCAGCTGGCTGAATCAGTACAGACATAAACGACTCTTGGTGGAACTAACTTACATCTTCTGTGCTGCCCAATAGATCGTTCAATTCTTGCCAAGCACCCCAGTGGTATGGGTTTTGATGTACGCAACGAATGAGCCACTTCTTCGCCAGCTCCTCATTCCGTCCTTTTAACAAAACAACGGCATAGAGATACTCCAGCCATCCCTGTCCTTGGTCATCGAGGCCCTGTGCAGTTCGGTCAGAAAGCCATCCATTTAGGCCTCTGGCGAGACCGGGCAACTCTCGATTGACAGCCATCCCACCGTCTGCCGGTCCCAACACCATCTCCGTTTCTTCTTCCTTGCGCTTCTCTCCGGCTAAATATTTGGCATACAGGGCAAGGAAAAGGGACTTTTGACTGAGTTTAGGATATGGATTCTGCGGTATTTGGTTCTTTGGGGTCTTTGAGGCTGAGAAAGGTGAAGCTTTGTCTTTGCCTTTATGAGAGGTTCGCGATGGCCTCGACTTGGCATTGGGTGAAGTGACGGAGAGAGGAACAGGGGGTGTTGTCGGAGGCAGGAACACGGCTGCACAGCGGTCATATTCACGGGTATCAAAGTAAGATTTGGCCAGCAGGTATTTGTATGATTCTTGTGCTTCGAGTGCAGCCTCTACTGGGTCTTGCACTTTCAGGTAGGGATTCGTAGCCGGCGAAGACGGGGTTGTGACGTCCATAGGAGACTCGAGATCAGTGTCTTCATGGTTCAAAGGCCGGAGGGAGTCGAGCATTTCGGCAGCCCTAGGTTAGTGATTCGCATTAGTATTTCGGACTTCTTAGAATGAGACTTGGAAGACATACCATTTTGATGACTGATAGAGACACCGTTCAGAGCACTTGATGGCAGCATTTTCCAGCTGGTACATGAGCTCACGGATTCCGTCATCTGTAGGTTCTTCCATGACAGGCGTATGCCGCGAGTAGTGGTCTGAGCCAGAACGTCGCGTCGTCGCGTTGATGACGAAAGGAACTTGGATAGGTTCAGCAACTGCTGCGACAGTCCCGCCTCACGAATCGCGTCGGTGGAATGAAGCTCAGCAGTACTGCATTCAGTCCCGAAAGTGAAGGTCCGGTGGTGTAAATAAAGGCCTCGGCCCTTGTCGCGTTTTGACGCGGATTAAAGATCTCCACGCAGAGTCAATTTCACGTGAACAACGAGAGCAAATATGTAGCCGGCAACAAAGCTCTGCCGATCAATGAACAAGCCGAAGATCGTTCAATGGATCCTGAATCCAAGTAGTCGACGGCTTTGGCCCGGAGAAGCAACACCCCCCATGCAAACACAGACAAACCGATGCAAACATGTCAAACGGTCCCTCCGCGGGGAAGTGGTCCCATTGAGGTCCTAAATGTTTTCTGTCCTAAGTGTCAGATCAATATTTCTAAACACACTCTCGCAATGGCTTCTACAACTAAGCGTGCCGACTTTGAGGCGGTTTTCCCTGCCTTGGCCCGGGACATCCTCGCCCACGCAAAGCGTTACAACCTCCCCGCCAATGCGCTTGAGTGGTTCGAGAAAGTAAGCAATCACTCATGGATTGATGGCACTCGCCTCACTCAATGGAATGACTAACATGTGACTCTATTTCCTATAGTCCCTCAACGTCAATGTTCCCGGCGGCAAGCTCAACCGTGGCCTCTCGGTTCCCGATACCGGTCTTGCTCTTCTGCAGAAGCCCCTGAGCGATGAGCAGTTCGAGCACCTCAGCATTTTGGGCTGGTTGACTGAGCTGCTCCAGGCATTCTTCCTGGTCAGCGATGACATTATGGATGGCTCCATCACCCGCCGTGGTCAGCCTTGCTGGTACCGCCAGGACGGTGTCGGCATGATCGCCATCAACGACTCTTTCATGCTGGAGTCGGGTATCTACCTTATTCTCAAGCAGCGCTTCCGCTCTCACCCCGCCTACATTGACCTCGTTGAGCTCTTCCACGAGACCACCTGGCAGACTGAGCTTGGCCAGCTGTGTGATCTTATTACCGCCCCTGAGGATAACGTCAACCTGGACAACTTCTCCCTCGAGAAGTACATGTTCATCGTCACCTACAAGACCGCTTACTACAGCTTCTACCTTCCCGTCGCTCTGGCTCTGATCTACCTGGAACTCGCTACCGAGGATAACCTCAAGCAGGCCCACGACATCCTCATTCCCTTGGGTCAATACTTCCAGATCCAGGACGACTACCTTGACAACTTCGGTGACCCATCTGTCATTGGCAAGATTGGTACTGATATCCAGGACAACAAGTGCTCGTGGCTCATTAACCAGGCCATCGAGCGTTGCACCCCTGAGCAGCGCCAGCTCCTCGATGCCTCCTACGGCCGCAAGGACGCTGCTGAGGAGGCCAAGGTCAAGGCCCTCTTCAACGAGCTCCAGCTTGAGAAGGTCTACAAGGATTACGAGGAGAAGGTTGTCGGTGAGCTGCGCGAGAAGATCGCCGCTGTCGACGAGTCTAAGGGGTTGAAGAAGGAAGTCTTCGAGTCTTTCCTTGGCAAGATCTACAAGCGCACCAAATAAAGGATTGATCTCTACCTTGAATTTGATGGATACCCATAGTCCTATTGGCGCCTAACTCCGTGACTCTCAAAAGCGCATTTGCACAAAACTGAACATGTACGGCGATTCTTGAACCTCATTCTATCGCGATTACTTTCTTGGAATTATTCACTTGGATCCAGTGACGGATTGAGTCTTCACATATATAATAATTACTCAGAATGTATGAACTTTTATTGAAAACTCCCCCCGGTATAGGAAAAGGCTAAGAACGCTAGAAGCACGACGAACTGTGAATGTCTATATTACAGATGGGGAGCATTCAATGCCATCAAACAGAGCAGTCCAGAGACCAATCCTGCACAAGGCAAAGTCAGCACCCAACCACCAAAGATAAAGCCAAGCTGCCTCCAATTGACAGCGCCAAGATCATAGTTCATGAGAGCAACTCCCATGCTAGCACCAGTCAAGCACTGAGTCGTGGAAACGGGCAGACCGAGTCTCGAAGCCAACAGCACTGTGATGGCAGCTCCAAGCTCAACACTGAATCCACGCGTCGGCGACATCTGAGTGATCTTGTTACCCAGAGCACGAACGATATGGTATCCGTAAACCCAGAATCCAAGACCGAGCAGCAGACCCGCAATGACCAAGAACCAAACGGGTGTAGGGGCCTCAGTGTCGACGAGGCCAGCGTTGTACGTGCTGTAAACGGCCGACCAGGGACCAACGGCGTTAGCCACGTCATTTGAACCGTGGGCAATCGACATCATCATTGCTGAGACAACTTGGCAGTATGTCCAAAGATGTTCAACGCGGTCGTCGTAGCGGTGAGCACGGGCGTGAATTGCACGCAGAGCAGGCGAGTCGTGGGTAACCACATCGCGAGTCACACCCTGGAGGAGGACCCACTTGAGGTAACCTAGATACTTCTGAGGATTTGCCCAGGACAGGTGTCGGACGGGGTCGATGAATCGCTCAGTGGGCTCGAGGTGCTTCTTGCGAGGCGCGATCGTTGGGGAGGAATTGGCGGAGTACAAGTCCTTCTCCTCGTCGTCACCAACTTGGGGCTTGGTCATTGGTGTGATCTCCGGTGTGGGCATAACGGAGTCCGCGTTGGCTGTGGCATTTTCTTTGACCATGTCAGTTTGGCCAGCACGCACTTCGCCGTAGGCATCTTCGTAGTAGTTGGCCACATAGCTGTCCCCCTTTCCTGGGAAGTAGAGGGGCGGGTTTTCCCTCAGCAGCAACGGACCGAGAGGAATGTGATAGAATCTGATGCGGCTATCTTTCTGGATGAGACGACGCTTGAAGTATGGGATGAAGAACACATAGCCGACGAGGAGGCAACCAAAGAACACTCCCAAGATGATGCCGGCTGCCTTTCCAGCACCGAACTCTTCCAGAGAGGGTGCCGTAGGGGCTTCGACAACGATGAAAAGGGCGAGGATGGCACCCGTGAGGGCAAGATAAAATGGAATCAAGCGCATTGCCCACTCGAAGGAGTTGGTCCGTTCGAGGACACTGTACTTGAGGGTTCCGAAGATGATGGCAGAAAAGCCACCTGCCACGAGGGGAGCGATTCCCCAGGACGCAGCAATCTGGGAGACACTGCCGTCTGCCCAGCCCCAGGAGATAGAAGCCTGGGTTGCAAAACCAACACCGACGAGGGCGCCGACAATAGTCTGCGTCGTCGAGACAGGCCAGCCCATCCGAGTGGCGAGCATCAACCAGGTGGCGCTACCGATCTCGGCACAGCCCATGGCCAGCATGAGTGCGCCGGGTTTCCCATCGAACCGGTCGATGCTGATGATGCCGTTCTTGATTGTATCGGTAACTCGTGAGCCCATGGCGACTGCGCCGATGAACTCTGTGAAAATCGCCAAGACACCGGCCGTGGCCATGTTGAGCGTCTTGGCTGCGACGGAGGTGGCATAGGAGTTGGCGACATCATTTGCTCCATTGCCGAAGGCAGAGAAGACGAAGGCGATCGAGGTGATGGCCAGGATCCAATCATACTTCGCGGTTGCTGCAGGTATCATGGCGGCGATGAAGGGCTGTGTTCGGCCACACAGCAGTTCAGCGAAGAGTGAAGCTGAGTAATATGCTAAGGATTGACTAGAACAGTTCACATTTTCCAGAACTAAGGGTGTCCTTATACAAATTGCAAGGTCGCCACGACAATCGCCAAGTGAGGCCTTTGATGAAAACCTACAGTGTACTGACCTTGGCTTGATGCACATTGAGTTCCATACTGCTATAGCTCCAACCCATCATAATGGTCTCATCGACAGCGTGCACTCGATATTTGACAGCCATTGGTCGAGTGCAAGGCGAATTTTCCGACTAACACAGAAGAGCGGGAGTTGGCGCCAAGACTTGTAGGCGGTTGCCAAGAGCGGACCATGGTCGTGTTCCGGCGATGATAAGAGTGTTTGCTGGAATCGGTGGATCGCCAGAGCCAATCATGTTGGTTTTGGATAACCACGTTCCTGGTTGATAGGTTGACAACGAAACGTTTAACTGAGCTTAATGTGGGTTTTGGGTGGGTGTCCAAGGTCTTGGAAGCTGGGCTTCTCGGAGGACTCAGGAAGGAGCACTGCCACTGCCTGCCCTTGGCATAATGTCATGATCGATTGCTCTCATTCGCTGGTCTACACATTATTGGTACCGCGTATGGTATGCGGGGTTTGTGTGGGAGAGAGTTGATAGATAAAAGATGATCTCGAAGATAATCCTGAGTTTCGCACGTGTCGAACTGCCCACACAAAGCTGACAGCGCCAAGTTAGTTCACCCGAAAACGTCGCCACTTGGATCCCTTGGGTCCGCAGGAAGAGGGGTGCTGTGGAGAATATCTTCGCCAGAAGGATACTCCTGCGGCAATCTGGATCTAGCGTCCTCAACCGGTGACCAGCCTCAGCATATGAGGAATAGCCTCATGATTAACACTGGCCACACCGGTGGGCTTCGGACGCGAAGTTGGGCTCTCCGCTCTCGTAAGAGAAGATACTCGGCATTGGCACTTGTCTAGAATTGATCAATTCACTGATATGGCTGCCGAAATCGGCCATGCAAGTAAGCAAGCAAAATCTGGATATCGCTATTAAACAAGTAGAGAAATGCACTTTTGATCACCAAACCCGCTAAGACGCGACTGTCGGCCCTTCGATGCCCGTTATAAGTGTCTGCGCGAAGTTCTCGAATCGAGGATAGGACCAGGTGTCTCGGTACCGTTCAACAAGTGGCCGACTATCAGGTTCGGCGGGAGTGTCATCTGGTTGACTGTTTGAAGTCTGACCGTCCTCATCCTCATCGTCACTGTCTCCCGCCTCCATCTTTCCTTCGACCAATTCTCCATACTTCACATCAACAGGCACGCTGCCCAAAAACGGAAGTTTTAATTCTTGCGCCATAACCTGCCCTCCACCACTGGAGAAGAGATTGCTCACTTCACCACAGCACGGACAAGCATAACCAGACATATTCTCAATGACTCCGAGAACAGGGATATTAGTCTTAACGCAAAAATTCGCCTCTTTGCGCACATCGGAAGTCGCCACAGCTTGTGGCGTCGTTACGAGGACTGCGCCAGCAAGTCGTGGCAAGCCTGACTGTGCAGCCGCAGCAGCATCTGTGGTTGACAGCGTGAGCAGCTGTTCAGCCAGCGCAATGTGCTCATCACTGGTTCCGGGCGGCGTATCGATGAGCAGGTAATCAGTTGTGCCCCAGAAGACATCTGATAAGAATTGACGGATCATCGCCGTTTTCTTGGGACCGCGCCAGATGACAGCATCGCCGCGATCGCGGAGTAGGAAGCCCAAGGACATGCAGCGAAGGGAGCCGCGCTGAGGTTGTGTTGAGGTCGAATCTTCGGCTCCAGCTGCGGGTTCAGCGTCGTGGACTGGTACTGGCATCCAACCGCCTGGAGCTTGTGTGATTTTGGCATCTTCGAGCCCCACCAGTCGTGGCATTGAGGGTCCTGTCAGGTCAATGTCGAGGATGCCGACGGATTTGCCTTGTAGTGAGAGCGCGAGGGCGAGTTGGAGCGTTACAGAGGATTTGCCCACACCTCCTTTGCCGGAAAGGACCTAATATTGCAGCGCTTGAGTTAGTACTGTCTTGTAAATGCGCTTAATCGTTCTTGCTCGTGGCTCTTCCCAATGGCCTCGTTATCGATAAGCCATGAGGGGCATTGCTTTCTTCTTTTTGCCCCCGCGATGGGCACAGCTAAAGAAGTATCAAAACGGACTTACCAGCACAACATTCTTCACCCCGGTCAAAGGCATTTTCCGTACAATGATATGCTCGGAATAAATTAGAGGTTGAAGTGAGCAATGACGGATTTCTAAGAGTGGGGAGCCGACTTCGGGAGCTCATACCCGGCTTATCAATCGCATCTGACTAAAAGGGCTATCGCTTCGTCAACCAGACCACCCTCGCAACATTCATGGATTCTTTGGATAAGCGCTACAAGGACTGGATGGCCATCGCGCGCAGGAGACAACATCTTACATCTTACTGAGAGAAGCGTTAACCGCGCCATCACACAGCAGCCACAGTTGTCGCACCAGGAGACCCAATCACAGTGGCAGACCCGCCGCCAAGAGAGCTCCGCCCAGCGACCCCAAGGGCAACAGGCGCAGCGCTCAACTCGACAATCGCAACATCAGCTGCAACAGACACAGCGGCTTCCCCTGATTGTCCAAGCCCAGCTGTCCAGCAAGCCTGGTCAACCGCCCTGCTCGAGGCAGCAACCCCCAGGGGCCAGCGCGCACCGAAAACTGTTTTGAGGCCACGTGACCTCGCTTGCTCCCGCACACATCAGCTAGCCTCACATACAAATAGTTTCTCCCTTCTCGTGCAACGCATTATCACTTCTTCCAGAGGACTCTACAGTTGCACAGTGGACGTCCTTTATCACGGACCCCCAAGGTACTTCTCGCCAGGAGACCTCTCATCGCCACTGGGTTGAGCAACTTCTACCACCCCTCTCTGCCCCTCCGGCGCTCATCATCCATGGGCGGGACTCCCAGAGTTCATGGCTCCCATAGCCCTTGAGGCCAGGGTGAGAGGGGTGGCAGCAGTTGCTCAGCATCAGTGGCGATAGAGAGTTCTCCTGGAGGAAATTCGGTTGGTGGTTCGGTGCGCGCCGGGTGTTGCTGCCTCGAGCAGGGCGGTTCGACCAGGCTGACTTCCACGATGATCTCTTTACTAACGGGGATCCGTACGGCGCCGACGCGGGTCTATCTTTGGCAGATGCCTCAGCCCAGGACGCTCGAGGAGATCACATGGAGGAAGCAAACGTGGACCTTACCGATCCGCCCGACCAGAAGGACGATTTTTCGTTCCCGGTTTTAGCGACTGCTGATCCTCGCGCGAACGAGTTCCGGGACCGCGTCCGTCAGTATAACGCGGCTTTCGCCTTTACCTCCATCTCCTATACTCCGGATCAGCGTGTCAGTGGAAACTACAAACCCCTTATGGTGGCTGGCGAGTTGTTTCATCTGTATGGACCATTGGAACCCTCGGTTCAGGTAGGTAGGGCATGTGTCCGTGGATCGGCGTTTCCCTGTAGGATGATACGCAGGTCCGGGTGATAATATCACATCCGTAGGAGTCTGGGCAGGAGGGCATATCCCCAGCGTTCGCCCAGCTATGGCTGTTAGAGGACCAACAGGCGACTATCCCCATCCAGGCGACTATGGCGCTATGAACCCAGTGCGGGGTCAACGGAGGCCAGGTGCCGGCAATGTCGATGGGACTCGAAGTGCACTTTCCGCGGCAGTCCTCGGACAGCTTACGGATGAGCTTGCCCATTCATCGGGATGTACCAGATGGCCAGGGAGCTGCTGATCGAGGCCGCCCAGCGCCAGACTCCTACTGATGTGATATTATCACTGGATCCGCGTATCCTACAGGGAAACGCCGATCCACGGACACATAATCTACCCACCCGAACCGAGGTAGCTGCATTCATCCCAAATGCACCGCCAGACTTCGGCAAGAGGACGTACCGGGATATGGTTTTGACCTTACGGGCGCCAGATACGGATTGTACTTCCCTCCGTAAGGTACTCCGTACCGCGCTTCCATACAACGGAGTCAAGTGCAAAAGTTAATTAGGTTAGTTAGTTATAACTTAAACTAGTTAGTTAACCAACAATATCGATTAGCTTACTGGCTACGGATTTCGCCTTCAAGCCGCCCGAGCGAAGCGAGGGTAAACGGCTTGTTGGGATAGCAAAGCAATAGCCCTCTTCTCGTCACGCGCAATGGCAAGGGCGAGGTCAGCCGGATCTGGATGAACACCCTTTGAAATGAGGTAGGTAGAGGTAGGTAGTGTAATGGGAGAACCGCGCCATCTCCAGGATTGACGCCTTGGAGCCTCAGGCCATGACATTAGATAATACCTCAGGTTAGTTAGTTACAGAAGGCTCATCTTCACTAGGAGGATAGGCATGAACACACACACCTTTTCCCTCATGAACAGCTTCTACAGTATGATTCCCATCGGATCACAGTAGGTCGTATGACGTCCCCCGCTACTGTCTCCTGGGCTGCAGTCCTCCCATCGTCCTGTCTGCGATGTCAGACCGCCTTCGCGCTCTTCCCACTTCACTATATAATAAGTAAACTTTTCCTAAGAATAGAGTTCCAGTTGCAAGAGAGAATAACAGAGAGAGTAACTATGAATCAAGCGGGACGAAGGTTACGGTTCTTGAAGGTAGTCCTGGCTTCATCGCGTAGTGCATCAATATCCAAGTAGTTGTTACTGTCGAAAGCTAAAAAGGGAAAAGAAATCAAGAAGGAGATCGATCCTATGCTGTACTGCACACAAAGTAACAAGTCTGGGAGAAAGAAAGAAGAAGAAGAAGAACAGGAGGTAAACAATAAATACACTCTTCCCCGCGATCCCTGCTCCTTCCCTTCCTGATTGCCCACTGTACGAAGGTGCATAACGGCCAACGGGCGAGTGCCTGATTTAAATGGTTTTATGGCCTATTTAGTACTAGTGTATAGTGATTTTAGACCGCCTTCGACACCGCTTAATACCATGTTTTGTAACTAGTCCTGTAAGTTGAAAGCCACCAACTGGGAATTTTTGGGTACAGTGAAGGAATTCATTTCAAAGTTTCCAACAACGAAGCTACATGTGGTTGTCGCACGGTATGAAGGCGCAATTGATAATTGGCCGGATTCCAGTATCGTGATACGTACATCTGGTGAAGCTATTCCCGCAGCTGTAGCTAGTGAACCAATTCCTACGGTTGCCGCTAGTGAAGCTATTCCCGCAACGCCTACACCCAGATCGCCGTCTCCAGTATGGGTATCCCTGCTACTATTGCAACACCGCCTCCTGCTACAATCATCGAGTTGTCATCGCCTGCCGCAGCCACCGAAAGCGCAATCCGTCCAAACACTCGAAGGGGAAACGCAGCAAGGGGCCAGAAGCGGGCTCGGCCGCAGGCTGAGGGCACTTCACCACGCCGGAGCCAAAGGAGACGGAGAGCTTAGGGGGTGGGGACACATTGGAGCCAAAGGAAACGAAGAGTTTAGGGAAATAGGGACTTTGTACGGTCAGAAATGCCTTAGAATAGGGGAATACACAGGTTTTTACTATCGGAATAGCTTCTTCAACTCCTAAGATCGATGGAAAACAGGATATGGGGGGTGTGAATAGCTTCAAATATGGGCTTTTGCAGTTCCAAGGTTGTTGAACTTTGGGACTTTGCTTAACTACTAGGAGATCTGTCATAGTAATTCGGGTATTTTAATTTTCTGCCAGTCTAAATTCAGGCCAATTCAGGCCAATTCAGGCATTAACACACCAAAATCAGGCACTCGACTGTTGGCCGCTATGCACCTTCGTACCACTGGCTCACATGACTTGTTCCTGTCCACCGTCACAGTAGTACTTCTCATTAGAGTCGCGATTGGGCCGCAACTGAGAGCACAGCGAGCCAAGAAACTCGCGACGAGAAATCTCCGGTTTTTGGGGTCGATATGGATCCGGGATAGGAAAAATCTCCTTGAAGATATTAGACTGGAATTCCTAGAGAATGGTATCAGGTTGCTAACATACCTCTGTCTGCTGAAGTTCGGGTTTACCATTTGAGTCGAGTCTCCAGACTTGTGCTGTACTGGCAACAACAGTTTTATGCTGTTGTAGTCGCCAGTTCAAGGTAATCACTGCCTCGATAGCACGGTTCCCTCCTTGAAGGAGAAGCTCCATGTCCTTCACAAGGTCGGTCCCAGACTCCGACCAGCCAACCTCAACCGTGACTGTAGGATTGAACTCCTAGAGAGAAGAAGCACTGCCTAGACACAAGGCAGGATTTCATAGGAGGGGGAGCGTCGCAGCAGCGGGGGATGAGATCGGCGGGGAAAGGAAGATAGGTGAGGTACATGGTGATAGTGATATGAAGAATGGATATGAAGAATGGTTGGTAGGTAATATCAGATGCTATGTCTGAAACGACTGGCGAGTACCGCAGGACCCAGCTTCCGTCAACAATCTCTTGCTTGAGGAATATGTGCTGGTTGTAGGTGGAGTAGAAGCCGTATTCCACGCCCAGCTCTTGCATGTATCTCGCCAGCTGCCCGATCTGCCGCCGAAAACGCTTTTTGCGCCTCGCGTTTTGCACTGTTGGGTTTCGAAACAACTGATGCTGTGTCATCCACGGAGACTTCAGCTCACCCACAGCTTTCACTTGAGGCTGCCCAGCGCGCCGTCCATTCATGATGACCGCGTCTGGGGTGCGTGGATATGTGTCGGTGACGGCCTTGAGATCGCCAAATGCGATGTCTAGGCCCTGGGAGCCGAAAACCGCGGTCATCACATGGCCAACTTGTTGGCCAAATCGGCCTTGCACTCCAGCCTCGTCGCCGATAGGCAGTTGTTCGTGAGCAATATTGTGTGGATCGATTGGCCCCGTCGGTCTGATGGTAATTGTGCTGTTATGGCTCCCCCAGGCTGACGTTCGAATGCGACTCTGACGTCTCGTTCGGATGTATCCCACTTCTGCAATGGCCCGTTGTACCAAATAGGATGAAAAACATCACAGCAGATTTGCCTGAACCCAGCCTGAAGCGCCACCGCAAGATTTAAGCTTGCGAAGACCTCGAGATCTTCGCGGCAGTCGATGTGCCAGGGACCCCACTGCTTGATTCGAAGGAAGTTCCCCTTGTTTCTAGGCTTCTTTGTACCAAATAGAGATTCCCGGTATTGGTCATTGGGGACGGCCATTGCAATGTATAGCTCCTTACCGTCCTGAGATACCAACAACGCCCTAAGCAACAATCAGCGCTTGATCTATTTCTCATAGTAGAGATGTATGATCACAAACGTAAGTAAACTTACCGGGTCCATGACAGGCCTTTAGGGGTCGGCGTTCCGAGCGCGGCGACCAACTCCGCTGCTTCTTGCCAGAACACATTGGGGGCGTGCTCCTCGCGGGATTTGGCCTTTGCCTCCAAGATTACATGCGTCTGGGATGCCAAGTCGGAGTACAGGTATCCGTCGAGCATGCAAACCATCCACTTCGGGAACTGTACCGCGAGGTTGGCGCAGTGTGGTGTCCACGTGGCCCGCACATCTGCGGGTGTTACAAGCCAGAAGGAAAAAAGAGCAGAAGAGAGGAGATGATCCTGTGGTGAGATGGAGGAGGGAAGAGGAAAGAAGAAGAGCTGCGCAGAAGAACTCCTTTTTATGTTCTTCTGCCATGCTTGCTCCTTCCCTTAGCTGTCGTCTCGTCACATGATGATCCAGTATTCACTCTTCTATTGCCCTCTTAGCCCGTTGGATTTCTCCACCCATTTTTAAAAAATCGCTCGGTCAATCTTTTGAATTTTTCATGCTTGCGTTCGCAAACGGGAAGTGAGGAGCGATGAGGAAAGAACGACAGTTACATGCCGAAGGGGATGGTGACCGCACCTTCCCCGAAGTGTCCATTTGCTTAGCACCTTCCCAGTGAAGTGGATAACCAGTGCATACCTTATAATACTGCTTGGAACCCCAGGGAAGGTGCCTGTTTATATGATCAATGCCGATGGCAATGAAATGAAGCTTCAGTAGGATGAATGCAATTCGTGTAAAAAGGCCTCCCTCTGAGGCTTCCAACTAAATGTGATTTGACCATAAAAAGCAAACATGATGTGGGCTCAAAAAACCACCGGCGCCGCGCTGAAGATGACCAAAACAACCGAGACTATAACGCTTTTCGAGGAAAGCTCGCATCTTATCCTTAACCCCAAAGGGGTGGGTGGATATACTCCGCCGCGCGATCCATTATATTGGGCATTGTCCATTCGCCGCTGCCGGAGCTTTCTGGCGTAGGGGGCGGGAGAGAACCCACACTAGGCGTCAAGCTTGCGTGTGGAGGAACCATCGTCCCCAGAGACGCGGAAGGAGGGTTGATGTGAGGATGAGAACCGGGGTAGGCAGGCGTCCCACTGCCTCCCATTGAGCCGCGAGTATGTGGATTACCAAATGCGGCGAGTAGCTTCTGCAGAGCACGATGCGTTTTGGCTAGAGACTTGGCCCATTGCGTTTGTGTGTCAGGGGGCAGTCCAACCGGAGAAGTTGGGTCCATCGCCGGAGCAATAGGTCCTGGAGCAGTCGTGGTGCCTGTGATTGGGTCGTATGTGCCGAGGGTTTGAGGTTGCTGGGGCGAGGTCATGTTGGCCATTGTGGTGGCGGGATCGTTGGTGTCATAGGCTCGTTCGGCACTTGCCCTTTGGGCGATGATGCCTTCGAGTTGATGCAAAAGATTCCAAGCATTAGGGTCTGCTTTCGCCTCGTCAATGACAGCGAGTAAAAATGCGCAGCTGATCGCCCGCTGCAAGAGAATCCAGGAACGAGCAGCGTGAGAGCTTATGTTGTGCATTTCAATATAGGCCTCGACAGTTGTCATCAAGTTCTTCACACATTTCCCACGCATAGTAGCCGCAGCGGCTTCACTATAGTCAGCCATGGGCTTGAGCGCTGGCCGGCAGAGCTCAGAGGCAAAGTAAGAAGAGTGCAACTTGAGCACGACTCGCTCTAGATGTTGTGTGGGCGTAGAACAATGTCTCGCATCGCGGAGGTACGGCTTGGCCTCTACCATGATCTTTTGGATGCGATCTTTGTAACCTTGGATACTCTCATAGCTCATCTGCGCATGTGGGCTCAGCATGCGAATGCGGACAACCTCAAGTGCAAGGGAGATGACACGAGAAAGAGATTCGAAGTAAGATAAGTCTCCAGGTTGGGAACCTTCCCTGTAAGCGATATCTGGTTGGCTCACGGCGGTAGTAGAAGGTCGATCGTAGGAGAGTGAAAAGTGGCTGTCTTGCCATGCCATAGACCACCTATTGACGTTAGGGTGGCCATACTCGGTATCGTATGAATATAAAGGGCAACTTACCAGACATGTCGTCGGCGGTATCGTTCGGCTGATGAGAATCGACTTGACTCCACGTGGAGGCCGAGTGCCAAGCCCATGCGGAGGGTCATGCCAAGCAAGACGTAAGAAATCCCGGGATTCATGTTGTAAGACAATACATTTCCTATCACCAAAAGAGTCTGGATCGCCTCAATGGTGGGCTGGGACAGGAAGTTGGTCATACGGAGGCATTGATAAGAGCAGCACACTATCACTAGGCGTTAGCATGGACTTCGATCTAATTGGCATAGATCACATACCATAGACTTGGGAGGTCAACTCCCTTTCCTTGCTTCCATAATCAGATGACTGGCAGCCAGAGGCCAGAATGGCGAATAGCAAACCCAAATACGCGATGCTCACCCCGAAAGGCTTTTGCGCTTCGTCTGCGTCAGACCTATACTCGCCACCAAGAGAGGCTCTAGTCTGCAGTAGAAGCTCTAGGGTATTTTCGAACTCGAATATGTCCGCTATAACGGGGTATATGGCCCCGGATATGTCCTTATAGTAGTAGAACAATCTATAGTGAGAATATAAGGTTAGCACAAATTACCCGAACTTGATGGTTACTTCGAGACACTTACTCTCTGCATTGCTGGTCAGTAGGAAGGGCACTACAGACAGCGCTAATGTCGAACGTTGACATGTCTGATGACCATAGATCAACAAACGGATATGTTGCAGACTCGTTATCCAGACCGAGCTTTGGCAGTATTCCTCCTTCCAGAAGAGCTTGCAGTTGATCGGACCCAGACTGATTGTTCAGGATATACGCCAAAACGGAACGTGATCCCAAATGAACGGTGCCTTTGCCTAGAGTATTCGCCGCGTGGATACCCTCGCGTTCCGGTGAGGTACCCTGGGAGGGGCGAGTTGCTCCGCCACTCTGTACGCTTCCTGTGTCTACTGGATTTGGGAGGCCCTCTTCTGCCCTCTCCAAGCCTGTCCGGAGCGTAGAAATCGTGGACTCCATTTCGCGCAATCTGTTGCGCACATTGTCCCATTCCTCGCGGGCGATTGACACACGACCATTGCGAGTAGCGGAGATGGTCGGTCGCTGCAACATTGGTTCTTGTTTCACTTCCACCGATGGTTCTTCGTACGTATAGGTTGCTGGATATTCGGACACTGATGGCGTCGACGTGCTGGCAACGGCGTTGTCCTGGAAGACCTGTGATCGTTTTTTGGAGGGGCGTTCGTAGGAGCAGAGATCCGCATGGTCACGCTTGACGCATCCATCGCATGGTAGATTACGATCGCATTTGACCTTGCGCGCATGGCATGGATAGCAGGCTTTGGGCTCGCGGGCCTTGCGTTTCGTGCGAATGATTGCGTCTACCTGGGCTTGCGGCAAATCAGAGACCGCTCGATTAGGCGCCGCAGTGATGTCGGAGGCAACGGACGGCGAAAATGCAGTAGATGGTGGATAAGGCGATGCCATGTTGTCTGTTAAAGAATGTCGCTGGGTAAAGATATATAGCTCAAGTTTGTCTCGTCGATTCGTACTGCGTACTAGTTATCGCGGGGCGGCCTAAACAGCGATTCGTTGGCTCATTGGCAGCATGGATGTTGGAGAATGACGGTGTGTGGGACAGTAAGATCAAGACATCGGGGAGTTGTAGATATCCATGAATCCACTAAATAGACCAAAGCAACCTATCAGGCAATAGAAGCTCGATTTAAAATTGCAGGCGAAATGTTCAAGGAAGCTGGAATCAAACCCCGGGATGCCGGGGACCATGACACGTGACGTCGTCCAAATGCGGAATCAAACCCTACGTCAAGCATGGTCAGCTTGGAATTTCTTGCACTTCAGCATGTAGATTGGTATCACATCTGAGTGTTCACTGTTGGAGGATTTGGCTTATATTTCGATTTCCTCAAATTACAATTTGTCCCAAGGTCATGGGTTTGCTACATGCCTGACTCCTGAGGCTATCTTATACCAGGTCGCACCGTCGCCCGGTTAGTTACGTACTGCTGAGGCATCACTTATGGCGGTGGCGCAGTTCTACTACTTACACGGCGCAGATACCTACCAACATGGTCCTATCTGCTATCATCCTATGCGACAACCAATCTAGGTCCAAGAATGGATGGTATCAATCGAGTTCACACAATTGTGCGGATGTGGTTCTAAGATTGCAATTTGCATTCTGCCTTATATACCGACATAACATAACTGCCCTCTGTCCAGGTGCCCGGTACATAGCAAGTGGAAGGAATGGGAGACACAAATATGATCTCGCCCCTGAATCAAGATCCCTCTTCGTGGATGACGGTTGCCTTAGAGTCGTTACCATCTGAGCTATGCCTCGGCGATCCACCTTTCTCTTCGGATCCTTCTGCTAGCATTGTTCCTCGCCCTTCCTGGGTAGTGTTGTACCGGCGGGACACAACGTTCGCTTCATCACCGAAGAGCGCACCGATCTCTTCCAGGGTCTGGCCCTTTGTCTCTGGGAAAAGGAGGTAAATAGCAACAATATAGCAGAAAGAAGGAATGATCAGCACTAGATAGAATTTCCATCCAATGTTGTTCAGCGCCACCGGAGCACCGACCAGGGTGATCTCGGAAGCAAGGTAGAAACTGCTCAGGCCAAGTGCGACACCCTGTGAGCGCAAATGATTCGGGAATATCTCCGCGACATAGACATATTGCGTTGCATCAACGAAGAATGACCACCAGAAGATGAAGAAAAAGACGAAGAACACCCCGGCCCGTAGCCCGGCTATGTTATCTGTTCCCAGATACTCGGCTGTTATAGCACAAAGGAATATTACAGACACGGTGCACCCGGTTGCGCCAAGGAGCAGGCATTTCCGTCGACCGACACTGTCCACGTTGAACGCAGTCCAGGTGTTTCCGATAAGTGTAAAGCTTGTCCAGCATGCGTTTAGAAGAAGTGGAATAGAGCCACTCATCCCGAGGCTGGCATAGATTAGGACACCGTAGTTCGTCATGACAAACACTCCAAGGAATTGGTTTCCCCACATGAGTATGAATGCAACGAGAGCGCGTCTGCGGTTGGGCAATGTGCGGAAAAGCTCGAAGGGACGAACCATCATGGATCTGTCATGTTCAAACTGCTTTTCGATGAGGTGGAACTCTTCGGCAGCTTTGGCGCCGTGAGTATCCCTCGGTGTACTGTGCAGCTTTCTAACAACGTCGAATGCCTCATCCCGTCTCCCTTGCTGCAACAGCCAGCGGGGAGAAAATGGTATCAGAGGACTGCCAGCTAGGACAATCAGAGGAAATATGACTTGGAATGCCAGCGGGAACCGCCAAGAGAATTCTGCTGCTCGATCGGTTGCTCTCATGAAGTAACAAGCGTATCCGAGCCAGCCAGCAAGACTGTACCCGACGGCGTACATAATGCCCGTCACGGAGACCATAGCACCGCGTGTCTCTGCGGTCGAGACTTCAGATTGGTAAATAGGCACGATGCAGGCTAGAATGGCGGCGCCAGCACCGGCAATGAATCGGCCAACGAGGAACATTGCCATGTTGACAGCACCTGCGCATAATGCACCACCGATAATCAACACCACGCATCCAAATTGCAGGGTGCGCTTGCGACCGTAATAGTCTGCTGACCAGGCCTGGTAAAGACACCCTACAATGGCACCAGCCGAGTTGATTCCATTGAGGGCACCAATCATGTTTGTAGTGTGGGAGTAATCTGGCTCACCCTCAGTAGCCAAGTTGAAGTAGGTATAGAAGTTTGGTTGTCCAACGGTCGATCCGATGACAGCCAGCCCATAGGCACTGGCAATTGTGCCGATGGCCACGAAGACCACGACCCACAAATTGTATACATTGACGATAAGTTTGGTCAACATTGTGTTGAGATAATGATTGCTGCATTGAGATCAGGAGAAGGGAATGTTCTACGTACCAGATATATGATGAAGTGACAAGCCCGGCGAGCAGCCCGAGAAACCCCACTCGCGGTCCTTAAACTCACATCCACAGAGTTTTTGAGACGGGATACATTGCTATTGTCCTTCAGTAAGGGCTGTTCTGAACCAATGAGTTTGCAGATAAAATCAGGAGTGACTGGCGGATCTCTAGAGATGCGGGGGATCAGCATTGTCAGTTCGGTTTGCGGGGAACATGATGTCAATCAATGAGGATATCCCGAGGCACAGCAGTCAAGTAGACGAGCTCCCATTACCATAGCCGGAGACCCTTAATGTCTGGAGTTGTTGCTGTGGTTCGCTAAATCTGTTCGTCTCAAACTGGTGCGTTCCGGTTCATGTCTAGATTAGGGTTAGCCGATGGCAGCTATGATTTCCCGACAAAGATGCCACTTCCTTAGGTGAGTCTGTTACTTTTAGACAAGTGAAATCCAACGCCTTTGAAGGTTCGACCATGTGGAGGCCAGGGATGAGGTGTTTGAGAGGATTGGCGGCAGAATAGGGGTAGCCTCCCGCAGTGAATCCATGGCCAAAGGCGAACATACATAGCCACATATCTCATTAGAGAAGACCATTGACCACTTGATCTTGGCGTAAAGGGTGACCAAAACAGGAAGATTCTAGTGGCCAGACACGTATCTGAAAAGATGGCGAACCAAATGTATCGGAGGTACATCCTGCGTTGTCTGGAGTATCGGGAATGGACATGGCAACGAATGATCGTATGGAAGATGCCCTGTCGGCACATACTCAAACCGCATGTTCTCCTTATCCATTAGGTCAGAGCGATCGTCTTCAAACCTGTCGGGGTCAGGCATGGGCTCCGAGGGGTGTGTGGTTTTGTTAGAGGCATAATCAGACGGTGTCCGGGCTGCCCCTGGTGTCATCATACTAGAACTCGCGGCGGTGGGGACAGGTTGAGGTAAATTGGTCGAGGGCTGTTTTCCCTTTAGCGTCACCATCGAGCCTTCCTTCAAGCTTCGAGATGATCCCCTCATAGTACTTGCGGACTCCTGCGCATCGGAGCACTAGACCGAGCACCGCGCTGATTGGTTCGAGCACTACTACCGCCCTTACGAATACATCGGGCCACTCCAGTCCGCTGGTGGTTCACTTCTAATTCGGACCGCTCGTAGCGCTCGGCGGATTCAGCCAGGGAGTTCTAGCCGGACTGAGACATGTCTTCTCCATGTTAATTTGCGGTCGAACCACATTCTCAGCTACCCAATCGCTGGCTGCTCGGTGGCTAGCGCTTGTGCCGGATGGATGGTGAGTTCCTCGTTGATCCCGGCTGCAGGCTTGTTTTGATCTCTCTGCCTCGTGAAGTGCATATCTCGCACCTCTCCGGGGCGAACATGATCTTGTTGCGCGCGCCCATTCCATGATTTGTCTGACATCTCTCGCGGCGAGTCGCGGATTGCTCGTGCTTGCTGGCTATCCTAAAGGTGTTGAGGTTGTCGCCATAGCCGATCCTCTGGTCGTGGAAGATAGGTTTAACGTCTTCCTCCTATACATGGCCGAGGCTTTCTGGGACAAAATGGGGGGAAGACATTAGGCATATCTTCCACGAACAGATGATCGGTCACGCCGACGATCTATACATACACCTTTAGGATAGCCGACACCCTCGAGCAGTCCACGCGACTCGCTGCGGAGGATGACAGACGAATCATCCGATGGGGTGCACACAACAGGATTGTGTCCTCCCCGGCGAAGTACGAGATTATGCACTTCACGAGGCAGAGAGAGTGAGAGACCAAGACGTCCCGGCAGCCGAGCTCAACGAAGGCCTCACAATCCATCCGGCACAAGAACTCACCATCACAGGCTCACAACGTGACAGTAGTGGTGGTTGGGCCTCAGGACCCTATTTATGTTCAGGAGGTAAAAGATTAGTAGTAGAAAAAAACACAAGAGGAGGACAAACGAGTAGGTGGCAGAAATGGGGACATCAAATTTCCGATGAACTGCCCAAGGTAAAATATGTTATGGCCTGAGGTGTCAGTAATAGGTACCTGCGCCTCAGGCGTAATCGGGACGGAAATTCCCTAGAGCCGGCTGACCAATGGAGTGACGTACCCGTCCGCGCAGCTGTGGTGTTGAGGTCTGTTATCTAACTCAGCTCTGTTGACATCAACTCGTTCTCCCACCTTGACATTCAGAAAATTCAGAAGCTAGCTTCTCTCACTTCCCATTCTCTAGCTTGAGCAATCTCGATCGCTGCTCCCCACCCATCAAGCTTAAACATGGAGGGCAACCCCGCCGAGCACGATGAGGTCGTGTCTCAGTTCTGTTCTATGACTGGAACTCAGCCTTCAGAGGTAGGCTTACTATTACGGATGCACATAGGTTCAATCGCTAAACTTCAATGCGTGATAATCTAGGCTCAAGAATATCTTACTGCCAACGGATGGGATATAGAAGCCGCTGTCACAGAGTTCTTCGCGGAGCAGGACGAAGCCCTGCAAGATACGAACTCCGATGATAGACAACCGGTTACAGAGGGTACTGCTGGAGCTTCCGGGGGTAGGACTCTCGGGGGAGCTTTTATACCAGGTTCATCTTCCGCCGCAGGCGAGTCGTCATCATCCGCTCGAGCCGCTGCGCCCAAGAAGAAGTTCGCGACAATAGGAGACTTTGCTTCTGGCGGTGGTGGTGGACACGGCGATTCGTCTGATGGTGATGATAGTGATGAGCATGATTTCTTTGCCGGTGGTGAGAAGTCAGGTCTAGCCGTGCAGAACCCGGAGGACTTGAAGAAGAAAATCCTGGAGAAGGCCCGCAGGTAGGTCCTACTATATTGCTGCGATCAATGAATGTCGCTGACGTATACACTCAATGAATAGGGCGCGCCCTGCTCCTTCCGACGACCCTCAGCCTAGACGATCACATTTCACCGGCACTGCTCGCACACTCGGTGGTGACGATACGCCGAGTGAGGTGATTGAAAACCCCCTCGGCACCGACTCAAGACAGGGCCCAGCGCGTTCAAAGAACTCTTCACTTCTGGGCCGATGGGTTTTCGGTGGATGATGGTGAATTGTTCCGATCTGACGATCCCCGTAACGCCGAGATTCTGGACGGTATCCGTCAAGGCCGCGCCCCTCTTTCCATCATGAATGTTCAACCTGGGCAGGAGGTCGATGTGGAATTGAAGCAGCACGAGGAAAAGTACACAAAGCCTAAGCCGAAGTATAAGCCTTTCTCCGGATCGGGGCAGCGCCTCGGCAGCCCGACGCCCAGCGTAAGAACCCAGGTTCCTGCGCCTTCCGCAGCTGGTCCTTCCACCCATGAGCCACCGAAGGCAACTGTAGACGAGTCGCAACCAACGGTTACTCTACAGATTCGCCTGGGGGATGGTACAAGGCTGACATCTCGGTTCAACACTTCCGCCACCATTGGCGAGGTCTATGCTTTCGTTGCTGCTGCTACTTCGAATAGTGGAGACCGCGCCTGGGTTTTGATGACTACGTTCCCCAGCAAGGAGCTAGCTGATCGGGAGGTTGTTCTCGGTGACATGCCCGAATTTAAACGTGGAGGTGTCGTTGTGCAGAAGTGGCAGACCTGAGGCTCAGGCCTCATGCTTGCATTTCTATTGGGTCGGAGACTCGGAGTGCTCCAAAAATCGAATACCAGGGCTCTGGATTTGTATGTTTTACTTTTCATGACATATCTGATACCATGGAAAGGAGGTCTTCGGTGCCCGGTTGTCTGCATATGTCACTGTACAGTAGCGTAGTGTATTAGCCGCCACTGTTCTACAATCAATGAGCTGTTCGAGAACGATCGAATAATGGCTCGGCTACCAGTAGGCTGATTCCGTCACGGAATTATTCCCGTGCGCATCTTGGTGCAAGATACGGAACAGGGTGGCGGAGGCTCGAACCTACTAACCGTATCGGACGGCTTTCGAGTCTGCGTAGTCGCTGTTCATCCTGTCTCCGTCAGAACCTTCGTGAAACCTAGCCTTCTTTCCACCCAACAAAAGCAAGTCTTGATAGCGCATAGTCATGCGAATCGCCATCTTCATCCTTCTGTTCGTGAACCATCTCCTGTATGTACATCAATATCTCCTGCATTCGATTCGTCCCAAGTATCGTGGTGTCCGCTCGAGTTAGGGCGAATGGATATCGAGTGTCCGTCTTGCAAAGCCCTCCATTGGATTTCTGAAGTGACAATACCTTCGCGTCCTGCATACCGAACCTTCTGGGGATGTTGTTATTAGGGCGCGGTTAAGCCGGATCCTTTACCTCCTCTACGTAGATGGTCCATTACTTTACGTCGTCCGACGAAGATGCTCTACGGTTTCACAGAAACATTCAAGCTCTGAATCTTGCCCTTTCCTACACTACAATTCGGTGTACCTTTGATGAGCGTCTACCATCTCATGAACGGCATTGGATATTTCAGATACGTGGTGCTTTGTACCATGTTTTAGGTCCTTTGAGTGGAGCGTCGGCTATGACTGGCCAGCTCGCCAGAGCGGCCCAGGTTTACTTCCTTGGCGAAGGGCCTGAACAAGCATCTGAGCTTGCAACAAATGCAAGATCAGACTCGAATCCTCATCTGATGTCATGCCGTGATATACTGGAGAAACTTGGTTTGGTTATTCGGGAGAATTTCCCATACCATAGGCTCTTCCTTCGAGCATATGAGTATCTCTCACAACATACCACTGTTGATGCCCTTTGCGTGAACCCTTAACTACGTTTACTACCGAATGTGGAAGGTGGCCGGCAGTACGATTTACCAAGTGTTAATGCCGAGGTAGCTGCTCTGATCATCCCGTCCGAGTTCGGCCAGCGCGGCTACAGAGATATTCAATTATACCTTCGAGAGGCGCCGTCACTTACACGGGCCACCGATCTGATTTCAGTTGATGGTGACAACTCGGATAGTGATATGATCGAGAATCTGGCACAAGTTACGCCAGCCACCCAAGAGATTGATTCGGACGAAGATGATTGGGAAGATGACGTTCTTGATCATGATATCGACCAAGATCATGGTGAGGTTCCCGACGGATTGGTTGCTCCTCACGATCCAGCTATCGATGAAGAGTTTGACAATATGAGGCAAAGGTTTCTAACCAGGATCCACCGTGAACACCCTCTTTATATGCCATTATCGTATGTCGTTCTTTATACGTCTGGCGGCCGTGGCTTTTATCGGAGTATTCCTCTCCCGGCGGCAAATCCTAAGACTGGCAGGGCTTTTCAACGCTCTAAGGTCAGCATGGTTGAGTTTCTTCGGCTTGGTGTCTATACCAGGCGTCACTCAATTAATCGATTCCATCGTGCTGGCGTCCTCTTTCAACAGTGCTTGGTCGATGGCTGGATTGCTGCAGAGGGCAAGAAACTTGAATATATTCGATGGCATCAGGATGAGATCAGACGCTATGACATGTCTCGCGAGGAAGATATTATCAAATTGCCGTCCAGTATGACAGGTTTGTCTTAGCTTACCGATTACCTGATCCGATAATGCACTGCTAATGACTACTATCCTCCTAGGTTCCTATCTTTCTCACTATGGTTCGCCTTTCTTCTTCCTACTTCCTTCCCATATCCCTCCCACTTCCTTCCCACTTCCTTCCCAATTTTCTCCCTCTGAATACTCTTCACTCAAGTCGACCTTTCATTCCCAGACTCATTTTCACTTTCACCATGTCGAAACACGATCCCCCGCTTTACTCGACTTTTCGTCCCTTAGACTCAGGCTTAGGCACACCTAGCCTAAAAGCTGAGAGTTCAGTGTCGGCATCTTCTACGCTCTCTTCGACTTCTAGCTCAAGCCCACAATCGAAATTTTCTGCACTTGGGTACGCATCGGAGCCTGAGTTTCTGGACTTTGTGGCCCAGAAAGTCCAGACCTTACTTCAAACCGAGTCCAATGTGACGGAGTACCAATTCACAGACATACCTCTTTCGTGGGGGCGTTCTCTCTTCGAAGAAGTCGATAAGACCTTTCGATTTCGGTAAGTGACTCACATTTGACTCTTCGGCGCCCCTTCGGAGACTGACATTCGAAGACAAACTTGGGACGCTGAGTCCGGAACTTTGCGGGTCAAAGTGCCGACTGACGGCCACGACATTGCGCAAGATTGGTTACGTCTTACCGTTTCTAAATGGGCGCGAAAAAAAATCATTACTTGGCAAGAACACGATTCGGTGGAGATGAGGTTCGGAAGCACAGTCGAATTACTTACGCCACTTGGAAGTCAGAGCACGAAACAGCCGGATATTTTGCTTCGCCCGAAGACTGGACAATTGCTTCCTAGTTTGAAGCATCAAGCAAATCCTGTTGTCAACTCCGCCTGGCAACTGGGTCATCGACGAGTGAATATCACGTATTTAAGCCTCCGCCTTGTCTCTTCGTTCCTCAATCAATTTATCCACTCATTGTGGATTGGTTCCCCTTAGCTTCTCTAGGCTCCTTCAAAACGTACAAGACCCTTAGACCATACTGTAATTGCATAGATTCACAATCCTCCTAGCGACGTTCCAGTACATAATCCGAAGTACTTCAGCCTCACTCGACTGACAGGCGCCTCTTCCGCAACTAAGCCCGATTGAGCAGGAACAATTGAAAGCTTTGGCCAATCAAAATGCAGGATCTAACCCAGAGTATCACCTACGCCTGATCAGGCGAAACAGAGAAAACTATCAGCCAATCAAGCGACCGGACCAAGCCTATTGATGCGCAAATCAATGGAAGCTCTCAACCAATCATGCCACCTGATCAAGTCCATGGTTCAGCTATGAAGGCTCTCTCACTCCTCTTCCCTTCTCTTCTTCTACTTCTTCTCCTCTTTCTAGGCTTTCACATTTTCTCCAAACTTTTATCGCCCCTTCAAGTTCTTCGTTTCCTCTTGGATACTTTCACTTCCTTCTCAAGTCCATCCTCGAGTCCTTCCGCTTGAAGTTTTTCATATCCTCTTCACCTTTCTGCTTCTTTCTTACTCTTCCAAGTCTTTCGCACAATGCCTGAGTTCGGTTGGTTTCCTCGGAAGAGCTTTGCCCCTGGCTCTAAGTTCAGCTTCCAAAATCCACAATCCATCACCTGTACGATCGAAGATAAGGTCTCGCAACACACTCGGCGGCGGCGCGTAGCCCCTCAGTCTGGAGAGTCAGGATTCAAACCATCATCTGCGGAAGCAACATTCCATGTTCGGCTAGACTCAAATGGCCAAATTGCATTCATGCGGGTGCATATGCAAGTCCCTCATCCCGGTACGGAGTACGATGATATTGAGGATCGACGCCTCCAAGCTCGCCCGTGTCCACACCCCGAGGTGCAGGCTTTGATGGACTTTCACAATTCAAATGCAAGCATGACACCGGCCCTCCTTGGAATAAAGGAGGAATCTCAGGGCTCGGACGGTTGTGTGCCGGGGGGTTACATAGTCTTCATTGTGTTCGAGAAAGTACCTGGGGTCCGACTTGCGGATGATCAATCAGCACCTTATCCTGGATTTCCGCTGCATACATTCTTCCGGAGATTCGATCGTAAAGAGCGAGATGAAATTCGCGAACAATTCGACAAGGCGGACCAGGAGTTGGCTAGAATCGACTGGTTGCATGATGAGCCTTGGGCCGATCACCTTGTTTGGGATTCCGACACTTCGAAACTGTGAGTCCCCTTTTTTCCTGTTGACACAAGCATTCTTAAAAACACTTGCAATAGGTACTTTATTGATTTCAGAAAGGCACATCCAGCGTGCTGGCTAGGCCGTCCGCAAGACGTTGTCCTGGGAGCCAATGTGGCTTTAGCAACGGATATAACGCCTAAGCAGTATAACTGGGAACTCTTCGGTCTTGCAATTCGCCCTGGTAACTCCAAGGATGAAGGGAATCTTTCAAAATGGAAGCTCTAATATTCCCGTCTGGTGTATCAACTCAGGCAGGGCAATTTCTTTCAAATTCTTTGCAAGGGGGTTATCTGACAACCATCTCGGTAGCTGCTAGATGAATGGAAATCCAATCCCTTGATCTTTCACGTGAGCATTCCTTACCTCAGTAGTTATGAGCTGGAGATGTAGTCGCGAGGTAGCGTTAGTTCAATATCACACTCCTACACATCTCCTATTTGACTGCTTGTGCGCAAGCAGCGAAGCGCCCAACCTGCCTCAGGCCTGGGTTTAAGTAACCGTTATCGACCTGGAGCGAGGGCGAGGAAATCGAACTACTTGTGTACCGGTAGTTCGTGAGATGACGATCCAGCAGAAGAGAGCGGTCAGGGGCGGCTCCTGAAGCGCTCAAGAACCAATAAGGTAGTCAGTAGGTGTAACTTAACGGAATTACGCAGTACTGTATTACTGTGTAGAAGTTATGGCCTTTTTTTTGGTGGGGGGCTGGGCTGGGCTGAGCTGAGCTGCAGTCACATCCATCTTCCATCGTAAATAGCCCTAAGAGGCTAAGTTGACCGGATACATGATACTTACCATCATGGATACCGTCACCGTTATGAGGTGATGATGCAAGCCAGCCTCGTATCCCCTCACTGAGGACTCGAACAATGGCAGACCGGGTATCCTTCCAGTATTGTCCTCGAAATATACATGCTTCTGAGCGATCCCAAGTCGTTGCACAGAGATCAGTTTGAAATTCGACCAGCGAACCAGGATCTCTCAGGTGTCCAATCAGATGGAATGAAATCAGCCACCTGCAAGCAAGAACGTGCAGACTGCAGGTGTCGCCTGGGCAGGGTCGCATTCAAACCCCGACACCGAGCCGCCTCAGGCCGGAGGGTGCCCCGTTTGTAGCTGTCCTTATCTCACCATCCATCGTTCCCCTATGGCTTGGGTTGTTTCGAGTGCCATTGTAGCGTCCGACATCATCTCCATGAGGACCCGTACAATGAGATTACTGGGCCACACGTCCCGACATGGATCCCCTCGGTCCCCAGTTGACGTTCAAGGCCCAAGGGATCGTTATCCCTCAGCACTAAAACATGGCGGCATTTGGATACCTTGCAAAATTGTCCCAGCCGTCGAATCGGGGAATGCGGAGACAGCTTCAGACACCGAGGTAACACACCGCCCGGTCAGCGATTGGTTTCGGAGTCAGCAGCGTCTCTTTGCAAATGCTCCGAGGTAAAATGCCCCGCAGCCCTTCTCACGCCGTTCAAGTAAATTCATAATGGGCTCCAGGATTTCCACCCCCAAGTCTCTCACCTTCCCTCGCATCCGCCAGAGCAAAGTTGCCACGGGGCATCTCGAAAGACCAGATTGAAATCCATTCCATCAAATCATGCCATCGGAATCCTCGAACAAGTACTACAAAGTCGGGGTCCTCCTGATCCCCGGCGGAGACATCCTCGACTTTGCAGGCCCAATCGAAGTCTTGTCCCATGTCTCGCACAATCGCAACCCAGATGACCCGGACAGAATGTTCGAGATCAAGACCATTGCTGGCACTTCTGCAGTTCGTGCCGCGCAGACCCTCACTGTTGAGGCAGACATTCTCTTGCCAGACGCCATTGACAACATCTCGGACTTCAATATCCTGGTCATCCCAGGTGGCCCACCATCCGCTATGCAGCCACTCCTTGAGGGCAATGGACCAGAGTTGGAATTGATCCGGAAGTTTGCAGCACTATCTTCAGATACATCGTCTGACGAAAGGATCCTGTTTTCAGTCTGCACCGGTGCCTTCCTCCTCGGTGCTGCGGGTGTACTCGCCGGAATGACCGTGGCAACGCACCATCGCGCTCTGGACGTTTTGCGTGAGATTTGTGCTCGTTCCAATGGTCCAGACGAACCTGCTACGACTGTAGTGCACAAGAGATACGTCGACGGGGGTATGCTGAAGACAGGCGGTGTCAGGCTCATTACTTCTGGAGGGGTCAGCTCAGGCTTGGACGCGAGCTGCTATATTGTCAGCCAACTGGCGACGCATGACATGGCAGTTTTTGTGACTCGAGTCATGGAGTATGATTGGCGTGAGATCAAAGAATGAGCTGAAGATGTAGTCAACGGAGGTGCCACAGTGTTGATCACGTATCAGTTTGGAATACAATTTTGAGTACAGATGATCTACCTTTTGGTTAGGTACTTGACTTTCTTGGGTCAGACAAGACATGGTCATGCAGACTTTTCTTCGCCCGTAACATCCCCAGGCTAGATTGCGTGTCACGCTGCCGCAGAAGACTGAACATGCTACTTCGGGGTTTCTAAATGAATCAGAGTTTGATAACGCATCGGAGAAAATGCATCTCACGTCGAGATCTCACTAGTCTCTCATGCATCAACGGCGGCGCCCGTCAATGGCCATCCTTCTATGGTTGTAATCTCGCCCGTCCACACCCCGTCGTTAGATCAGTCCAACTCTGCCGCGATCTTGGCGGTCCAAGCAACATGACGTTACACTTGCCTTGGGGGATCTACCATGCATTCCCTAGACGATCACGGTTGTGGCTTCATCTATTGGTAGAGATTGCCAGGGATCCTGAGCTCTACAACAGCCTTGTTGACACATATAGACCCAGCCATTCCGCGTGGCCAATGGGTCTACATTCCCGATGCATCTCTAGTCATCGGGATCAGCGAGAGGCTGAACTTTTGGTAGAAGGTTCAAGGAATAACCTCTACGCCACCATCTACATGGAGTTTCATACAAGCCGTGCTGACACAATGGCTGAAGCATCAAACCCAAACTTTATCGAGTTTAAGGCTCAAAGACTAAGAAATCTAACCTAAAATCATATCATATTCAGCTGGGTCGTTCTTTTTCGGCTACTTTACTCCGAAATTCAGCCATTAAGTCAAGAAGAGTCTCCAGAACGTACTCTGAAAGTTGTACAGAGATGATGGTCATCCAAGCCTGGGATGTCCTAGGTTTGACCTAAGACTTTGGGTTCTACTTCTTAGTCCGCATGAAGAGTTACAGTCATCGGAACGAGGTATGATTCCCCCAGACAGGCTGTTCGAGCGGTCAGTGTTGTGGTCGATGCACGTTATATAGCACCAAGTGGTCCTGGACGAAACACCACCTCTTGCCTCTTTTTCCCATCAGTGAAACCAAGTCAGCCCCCTCATACTTCCAGCCTCCTTCTATACCTACCCAGGTAGATAGGTGACTGGACCAGAGCCCCCGACATTGGAAAACACATACATTACACTTCGAGAGTCACTATGTTCACTGTGGCATCACCCGGTGCGGACACCGTCCCCTCTTCATACCTCCCCGCACTCGCTAGTAATGGGACTATTCCTACCGAGAATGGGGTCTCCAATGGAAAAGCAAGTGTCAAGACTGTGGAAGTGATGTCCGAGGGTGACAGTGCCGATCTTGGGGTTGTCGCCGCAAACGGCGATACTAAGCACCAGGAACAAGGGCTTGACAACCCCATTGTTCCTGAAGCTCCAAAGGCTGTATCAGAGAATGAGAAGATGACGATGGAGGTCTTGAAGATCATCGAAAGCTATGGGGTTGATTTTGAGAAATCGGGTGTTTCCTGGAAGGGCTTTGAGTCGTTTGTTCCAGTTGTTCTGGAACAGATCAGCAAAGAGGAGCCGATTCGGATGATCTTGCCTGCTTTCCCTTTCAAGTCGCCGAATGCACGCGATAAAGTCTTGGGTACGATGCCAGATTTTGGTGAGGAGTTGGCGTTGGCCCATTTGAATGGACTTTGTCAGAACATTGCCGAGGGTATATCCACCGGGTGCAGAAGTTCACATCAGTTCGGACGGACTTGTGTACAATGGTAATACCCTCCGAAACAACGATGTCACTTGTGCTCAGTGCTAACCTTTCGTAGATATCCTTGGTGTCCCCGATGAAACCGTCTGGGACTACGGAGAGACATTGCGCCAAACGGCCATCGAGAAAGAGCTCCACCATGTCAAATTCATCCGTCTTTTCGAGCTGCTCGAACACCCTTGGTTCCCATCTTCCACCCCCGAGTCAGCCAAAGCATTCTACCTAGCTCATGCAAGCTGTCTTCGCCGAGAACTGATGTTCGCCTTTGGAGACCCGAAGTTCGACGCAACCCACGCCATTAAAACCGACAACGACACCTGCCTGACATACCGCGGCTACATCAAATTCCTGACCAAAGATCTCGCCCACCAAGACGAGACCAAGTCAATGTCCAAGCGCGGCCGCCAGGCCCAGATCGCCGAGACAGCCCGCCAAATGATCATCCGGGGCAAAATGTTCGCCGCAGCAATCCGAGCCAACCGCAAAGACTACGTGCGACTTTCCATCCACGAGTCGGCCGGCGAGAGAAAGCTGTCCGTCTCGCTGATCCCGCAACTTCGAGGCACACTCGGATACACTCCCTGGCATTCCTCCGTAGCAGTCGGATTGGACGGATCATATCGCACCGTCCACGCGGAAGACGTGCGCGACACGCACGACCTGATCTACAAAAACGGTCAACCATATTACTTTCGCGAGCGATCACCTCTCTTCGACTGGACCGAAGATGGCCTCTCCGTCAAGTTTGAACATCTCTACCCCTGCGGCCTCATCATCCGCCCCGCCGACATCGACAACGTCAACCCGCCGCCATCAATCCGCTCCATCCCCATGCAAAAGGTCCGCCAGCTATCCAACGGCCTATCCCCAATTATCCTACGCGGGTTCGCCGAGTCACTCGAGGAAGAACTTTACGTCAAGAAAGCCGAGGAACTCGGCAAGATCCTGCCCTGGAGCTTCGGAGTCATCCAAAAGGTGCGAGACCAGGGCCGCTCCGATAAAATGGGCAACAACGTAACTTCCAACGAGGCGATGCCGATGCATTTCGACGGAATGTTCAAGTTCGACGAAATCACCGACCCAGAAACAGGCGAGAAGAAAAAGGTTCAACACCCACCAGGCTACCAATTCTTCACCTGTCCCGCCACCGCGCCCAAGGGGAATGGATATACCCTGTTCGCCAGTTCGCGGCTGTTCTTCCGGTATTTGCCTCTGCCTTGGACTGTCGAGCGTCTGGATAAGATTACCTGGGCGATGGACAATGATGGATTCTGGGATGCGAAGCTGAAGAATCTGCCGCTGACAGTTAAGCATCCTGTTTCTGGATTGTCGTGTCTGCGTTGGCATCAGCCGTGGGATTCGAGTAAGACTAAGTTCTCGACTTGCGATGTCAGCATTGAGAATGATGAGAGTGCTCTCGTTGAGGTTATTGATCGGGTTGTTTATGATTATAGGGTTTGTTTGCGGTTTGGTTGGGAGAAGGGTGATATGCTCATCAGTGATAATACTGCTATGTTGCATACTCGCACTGGGTATATCAGTAACTGTGATCGGGAGTTGTGGAGGATTCATTGTGACTGAGCTGAGATTGGCTTTTGGTATTTTGTCATGGGTTTTTGGTTTGTTGGCTTATGCTAAGTTTCAGTATGAAGCAATCACACATGCAATGCAATGACTCTGGTACTTCTGGATAGTTTCCGTGGTTCGTAAAGTTTAGTCTTTCATATACTCCGCCTGTTGCCCTTTTCTCTACACCCAACCCCCGGACAAAGATAAACACGTGCGGCGTTACCTAGAAGTGTTAACAATAAACAAAAGTGAAGAGGAGATGTGTATGGTACCTTTCTACGGAGTAAATGATAACAGAAATCTTTTGTCCGGTTGTCAGTATCCACTTGTGCCGAGTTCCAGACGCACGGCGAGCTTCCCGTCAACTGGCAAATCTTCAGCCAACTGGTAAACCTTCAGCCAACTGGTAAGTTTTTAGCCAACTGGCGAGCTTTCAGCCAACTGGCAAATTTATTCTTACCATTGCCGCAATAATCCCACAACAACACGTGCCGCGTCTGATCTGGACTCTGGTGTCTAATACTATTATACTATCCCCAGGTAAGGTCTTTGACTCCTCTCTGTCAACTCACTTAAGGTAGTGGGCATTGTATTTCACCCGTCTCATCTTAGATTCGCTATGCTAACATTGGATTCGACACCTGTAAGGTAAGAGCCAAAAGAATTGCTGGAAGCTAAAGTATGCACAATTTATCCCGTTCGTCCTTGCCCGTATATATCACCGACCAGCTCATGCACCTCTCTCTTTATACAAAGCATGGAACCACAGGTCACAACATCCTCATTGGAAGGTTTGTAGTCACAGTCTTATGTAAAGGACATACCTGTGGACATTGGCCGACACCCAGCCAAGATCTCGGGGCAGTGTGTCCAGACTGTGCAGAATAACCATTCTGGGAACACAGACAGCCCATATTTTGAGGGTTAGACTGCTGTGGAGGAGTATGCTCCAATCCAGTGTGACCGGCTCCATGCAGCAGATCTGGTGTTGGGAATGGATGTGCAGATGCTGACGCTGGCGATTCTGGAGGAACAAGAACGATCACTTTATATTGGGGGGACATGGCGTTGATGACCTGGATTATTTGAGGCAGTGCTGCTTCTGTCTTTTGTTAGTTGCGTCAACGACCCATATTATTGTCTGCAGTTCCTACCAGTGGCAACATAGTATAGAGGCTGGTGTGGCGATGTGGAAACGGAATCGTGGATCAAAGACTCTGAGGTGCCCTTATCCCGGTATGTATCTTCAATGACAGTCGTAGGCGGTGACATTGTGGGAGACTGTGTCAGCCCGCTTGTCACAGGAGATACTGAACTTGCTTCACTGGCAGTGGAGAAGTATGGTAAGTCTCCAGGGTAGCTGCTATGCTGTTGAAAAGTGTTGTAGTCATTCGGCCATGACTGCGGGAAAAGAGGATACGAGGGCATGAACGACGAACAGTCGGGAATCAACGGAGACATATCCCGCGAGCCAAAGCTGAGGTCATTGTCTGACTGGGCTGAGTGAGGCCTGGGAAATAGTGAAGGATTATATGCGTGATCCCATCCGTTGAGGGCGGCTGCCGCTCTCAGTTCATTGGCGATGACACGCTCTTGCAGTTTTGCAATGCGCTCTCTGATCTTGCGTCCTGAGTTTTGTCAGTACTCAACTTGGCTTAATAGGCAAACTGTCTTACGATGGTTTCTCTGCGACAGCCGGTTCTGCAACCTCCTTCTCTCCAAAGGGTCTTGGGTTTGGCTGAGGATATCCTCCTCGGGACTCGACTGTTCTTCCTTCATCTTTGACAGTTCTGTTTCCTTCGATGGAGGATATTGCATATGTTATAGATTCTGAGAGTTCCGAAACTCGTTCTCGGAAACTCAGAACCAAGTCCCTCAGCCTCCGATACCTTTATACAGGCAGTGCGTCCACGAGGAGATACGCCTGATCTCACTGTGTCACGCCAGTTGTACAACCGATCGGGGGTTCATTCCTGAAAGCCACTTCAACCTTCACCGTTTTCAGCCGCGCGATGGTCTGGCCCAGTCTCCTTCAGCTTGTAGACTTAGAGAGAGCGGGGGAGACAGAGAGAGCGAAAGAGAGATGTAGAGAGAGAAGGTTATTGTGTAGACTTGGATAAGGAAAAGGTTTCAGGGATGGTTGCACGAGGCAGTGTGGTCAGAGGCTATTCCCGGTCTGGGTGCATAGACGCTGCCCTGGCTCGTTCTTTCCATGAGATTTGGGCAAGTTCCATGGAACTCTCAGCTCTTACCTTCAATGAACTCCTCGTCTGAGCTCATTAATCTTGTTTTGAGGTCTGTTGTGGCAAGACCGTGCTACCGATCAAAAGTCAACTTCCTTCTCGATACGGCTGAATATGCCCTACTTATACTTCATCTCGATGGCGTATACTCGGACATCTCCGTATACTCCATGATACACGGACTCCACGTGGGGGGAAGTACCTTGTGTTGCTGATTCCAGTAAACCTCCTATTGGATCTCGACGGGGTTGTAGATCAGAAGTCGGAGTACGACAGGCTAGGACCATCCTGACCTTCAATTGCCCTAGTACTACTTGGTGCAATGTGAAGGCTAAAAATACGACACATTGGGCCTTGGCCCCTTGAACTGGAAGATCGGTCCATTTTAATGGAAATACTCCGGAGATACTCCGGGGACCTACTTAGCCTCAACTCTCTCCATTTTGACTTCTCTAGAGAGGTTACATCGACGTCTGAAAAGAGTTCAATAGCCGGGGAATGGCAACAGCTCTCAAAGTGTATCTTGCATCATCGAGAGAGTATTAACGTGTGTAAACGTGACTGGTCCATCGAATAGTTCCCATCTGGCCCTGGTTGTTTCTGACTTAGGGCACTGGCATCCTTTCCACCTTCCTGGGATGTATGTGAGATCATGCCTCGGGGAGTGACGGAGATTATGGTCACTTCATTACATGGAGGTGAATCTATTGGTGTAACTTGAGGCAGAGCTGCATAGGTGAGCAACTTGGGTTGTAGTGAGACCATATGAATAGGTGTTGGATGCCTGTATGCCTGAGGCATCCAACATATGGTTAATGGAACCCAGCTACTGAGTGTGCTCGAGTGTGCTCCCTCTCACTCTCTCCTTCCAACTACTCTGGGACCAATACATACGGAGCTTTTTCCATCGTTCCGCCATCTGTGTTGTATTCCCTTGAATAGGTGAGGACATATTATATATATGGCCACCTGATGCTTATTCTGAAGGTATACCTACCGATCATAGGTATTGTACGGATCATTAACTGACATCTAAAACCAGCCATCAACCAGAAGCATCTACAAATACCACCCACAATCTAACGTCCTTTTATTGAGGGTCGACGCTTTGATCGACCGATTAGCCGCCAAGGGTAAGCCAAGGATTCCATCGCCAACCAGCCCACCCCGAACTCTCACCTTCTTCCTCCGATCCTAAGCTTCTTTTCTCCAGGTCACACTTCTAACCACATCCCACATCTCTCAGGTCACAACCCACCCACAAAATGGGCACCTTCCTACAGACAGTAGGGAACCTCCTCCCCTACCATCTTCTCTCCTACGGCGCACTCCTAGGAACAGAGCTATTCCAGGTACGGCATCCACTCGGTCCAACTCACAGAATCCTGACAATGCTCAGAGCTTCATAAACACAAAAATATGCTACCAGGCCCTCCCAATGAAAGAGTTCATAAACCTCCAGAAACGCCTGTTTCCAATCTACTTCGGAACACAGATTGGACTCACAGTCCTGACGGCAGCCACACACCCACCCTACAGCCTTATCTCACTAGTACGGGATCCATGGAGTATAGCTCCTCTGGCCGTGGTTGGCATCACCGGGTGTCTGAATTGGATCATTTACGGGCCTCGAACGACAACTGCCTCGTTGGTTAGAAGGGCGCTTCAAGGTGGGTTCTACGAATATTGTGTTTCATTGCTTGACCTGATTGGTGATACAGAGAGCGAGAATAATAACCCCGACTCCGATGGATCTAAGACTCATCGGGCGAATCGAACCTTCGCGCATAATCATGCCATGGTTATTCATTTGAATGCTATTGCTATGATAGCTACTGTGGTGTATGGGTTCTCGCTGTCTGCCACGCTTGTTGCGGGAATGTAGACGGATTGTCTGGGCACAGAACCTTGCTACCTATCTTTTGCTTGCTACTGACTTATGAGAAATCACGATCCATGCTGGCTCAATCTAAGGTATGTTGAATTGTAATGGGGGGATTTGTTGTCTCTATGTTCCGGAGTAGGCTAGTTCTCTGGAACATATCAGCCATGGCCTCCACTCGACCTGTCAGTACTTGAGCTGTCTGTAATGGGCAAAGGAGCCCGAGTAGACTCGAGAGTCCGCCTGGGCGCATAGACGTTTTATAATCTGCGTCTCCATCAGATATCCATCACTATCCAGGACCTGGGCATACTAAACCCTCCCACCCACCAACCTAATAACCGAACAGAAGACCAGCACGCCTCCCAAATTACCTCCATACGAGCCCGTACACCCCAAACTAAAATATAACATCTCAGAGCTGACACAAGAAACTCAAGTTTGACAGTGTGACACTCAGCGCAGCCTCATTGACCTCCGCTGACACCAACTGCATTAGGGCTCAAAGCGCCGAAGTCCAGCACACCCTCTATATAGAACAAGACAAACGACCGAGCACAGCTCCCTCTGTACAGGAATCCGTCTCGCAACGAACTAGCCCAGTCCAACCTTACCTCCAACCTCCGCCCAAAATGCCCCTATCCCCTCTCCTAACAACCCTAACCACCCTCCTCCTCCCCCCATCATCTTCCTAGCCTGGTACCTGCACCTCCCACGAACAATGCCCAACCTCCCCAAAATTCCAATCTACGTCTCCATCCTCGGCCTCTGGTCCTCAATGGGCCAAGACGAGATCTACGAGCGCTGGTTCCGCACTCCACTAGAAAAGCATGGGGCCGTGCTAGTCTGGTTCGGCGGACGATGGAGCGTGCTCGTCTCACGACCGGATTGGTTAACGGATTTGTTCCGGAATGAGGATGTATATGCCAAAGCTGGGAGCCAGGTGAAGATTCCGCATGCTGTTATTGCGACGCTGGTGGGGGATAATATTATCAATTCGCATGGGGCGAATTGGAGGCTTTATACGGGGATTATGAAGGCGGGATTGCAGAAGAAGGTTTTTGAGACGGGGTCTTTGTTGAGGCAGTCGAGGAAGTTGGTGGATGTTTTGATTCAGTTGCAGAGGGAGGATAAGGGGGAGAGGGGGGTTTTGGTTAATTCGGAGGTGCAGAAGTGGGCTATTGATGTTATGGGGGAGAATTTTTTGGATTTGGAGTTGAAGGTATATTCACATTCACATTCTGGGGTTCTATAGAGCCCGGATATTAGGGTATGAGATAGTCAAGCTGACACCATCCAGAGCCTCGGCCAACCAGACAACCACGTCCGCATCGAAGCCCTCCAATCCATCATCAAAGCAACTCTCTTCAAACCCATGTACTTCAGCTTCCCAGACCTCGACCACTTCCCCTGGCTGCTACCATCCCGCAAACGCGCATACGCGATAATGAAAGAGTTCGACGACATCCTGTACGACAAGATAATGTCCATGCTCGAGCGACGCAGCAAAGCCACAGACCAACCCAAAAGCGAAGAAATGGTCTCGCACATGCTAGGCGAAGCGTACAAGGCCGGCCGGATCAACGAGAAACAATTCCGCGATAACATGAAGATAACATTCCTAACAGCGCACGAGAACGCCCAGCAGCTCGTCAACTCGATGTTCTGGCAGCTGGGCGTGAGAGTAGATATCCAGCAGCGGCTGCGGGATGAGATCCTTGCAACGGCACGGGTCCACCCGGACCCAGGCCAGGAAGTCATCAACAGTTTGCCGTATCTGACGGCCGTGGTGTTGGAATTGCTTCGGCTGTTTCCGCCTGTCAGTCAGCTTATCAACCGCGTTGCGATGCGGCCGGCTGTTCTGGGTGGGCAGCTTCCTATTGCGAAGGGTACGTTTGTGGGGTGGAATGCGTGGGCGGTGCATAGTAACCCGCAGGTGTGGGGTGAGGATGCGCGTGAGTTCCGGCCTGAGCGATGGGGCGAGAGCGTTGAGGAGATGCAGGCCAAGTTTCGGAGGGAGACGGTGCGTGGCACGTATATCCCGTTCAATGCGCATAAGCGGAAGTGTCTTGGACAGGGGTTTGCGTTGTTGCAGGTGAAGATTTTGTTGTTTGTTTTGCTGGGGAAGGTGAGTTGGGTAGTTGATCCTGAGTATCGGTTGAAGATGACGCCGGTATGTATTTCCTGGGCATTGTGCTCTTAAGACGGGCTATGCTGATATCGACAGGGTGGAATTCTGGCGCCTTTAGGTTGTCGAGTGATATTGACCGAGTTGGAGGCGTGAACAGGCCTTGAAAGCGAAGCTTTGAAAAGGCCGAAGAGAACTGAATAGATTTTTATATGAAATAATGCAATTGACAGGATCAAATATCCAAGCTGTCTTCAAGATAATCGCTTTCGTGGTATCACATGTAGCATGGGGAAAAGTCGACCCCTGAACGCCTCTAAAAATGACTCGCATCTCTGCCGATCGCAAGATGTCGGATTATTAACACATTATTGTAGGTTATATGCAGTCTGCCGTGGACGTATGTTCAGTACGACTGCCACTTCTCAGTGTCAGTGGCCAGGAATTCCGACATCTTCGCGCTCTCCAGAAGTGCAAATGATTCGTATCGAAGGCCTCTTTCGATGTCTTCTCCAGACATCTGTTGGACGGTGCCATTCCAAACACTGGCGTAGCCATCAAACAGTGACCGCCAGTAGCAAGCCTCGGCGGCGAGGGTGAGGTACCGTTGGCGGAAGGTCCTCACACTGTTGTTGGCGATGCGTTGAGCAGCATCGGTGTTATTGACCAGGGGCTCCATCTTCTCTGCCAGATCGCTGAAATCACGCTCGACCTCGACATAATTCTGGTTGGGACCGTCGGCGATGAGAAGGTAGTGGTGATGTTGGATGAATTGAAGCTTATGTGCCACGATGACCGAATTGCAGGCTTGTCGGTATTTCAATGAGGCTGAATAAGAGCGACCTGAAGAACCAGTCAGTCAGTTGTTCGCTACAATTCTCTCAGTGGAGGACTCACCTTCCACATGCGCAATAAACATATATTTACAATGATCCTCCATCTTGAGGACATTCGAACCGGTGGTCCAATCCACCTGCTTGACATCGCCCCAGGGTTGATCTCTCGCGGCCTCCATCAACATACGTCGCAACTTGGGCGCAAAACTGGGCTTGCCCCGCCAAACCAGCTGGGGCGTCTTCTCTGCCCACGGGAGATCCAATCTCTTGATGCGTTCCACCACCTGATCATAGGGCCCCATGTAATTATCCGGATTGTCCCACGCCCAAAAGCTGAAATCAGGCATCAGCCACACCCCTTCTTCAGTCGCAGTCCGCGAGAAGACCCAAACGGGCCATTCCGCTTTCGTCACATCGTCCACCTTATCTTCCACCGAGAGGACAAATTCAAAATCACGTCGGGAAGCCCGTTCCGGGTCGGCGGCCAGCGCACGGTGGATAGAGCTCAAAGTCCCCAGAATTTTCCGTCGGTGATCTTCGCCCTTCGATCTTGCGGTAACCACGTATAACTGGCCATTGGCGACAAAGGCGCGCACCATTCCATGTTGGATGGGGATTGCATCCAATTCCGTCGCCGACAAGCGACCGTGTGTGGACCAGAATTTGCGACCACGCGCGATATCCTCGAACAACCCGGGAAAGGCCCATTGGCACTGTCGTTGGTTCAATGCCTCATTGCGGGCATCGCGGGCGTATTCGAAGGTCCAGGCGGGGGTGGTGTCGACTTGCAACGCCGGATCCGGGCAGGTGAGACAGGTCGAGCATTGGAAGGTGGTAGAGGATTCACAGGCGCAGTGTCCGGCGGGGATCAATTGGGTGAGGACGGGGTGGATGTAGTCTCGATCGGAGTTCATGCCAAACCAAATGACAATCACGGCGCCGAAGGTAAATGCAGCAGAAATGACGCACAAAAGCGACAAACCGCGTCGCGGGCGGATACCAAAGGAGGCTGTCATGGTGAGAGGCCAGGCTGGCACGGCATGGCCTGGGGTTTGCAGTTGGCAGTGGGGAGGAGAGAAGACAAAGTTGAAGAAGAGAACGGGGGGGAGGTGATCAGGGAAGCCCTGACAAGACTAAAAAAGGAAAGATAGGCAGGTTGAGGCAGATCGCCCCCGACGTGGTCAAGGCGATTGGCGCATTTGAGGCTCAGCCCGGCCCCAGTGGGTCCAGCGGCGTCATAATCTTTTCGGGGGTCTTTTCCTTGCCAGTTCTCGTGAGAGTAGAAGGGGGGAATGAAGGTCCGGATAAAAAGTATTAGATAGCTTCAATGTTGTTGGAATAATTCTACACAGTATTATGATGATTGAGTAAAGGAGGACGGAGGTGGGAGATGGGGAAGAAATTTAGGGGCCGGACCCTTTTTGGGTTTCGGAAGCTTGTCTTTGGGTTAAAGGGGGCCACGGAAATGAGGCTAACATGCATATACCCTGTGGCAGGCTGTACCTCGTATATGCACACCGTACGAAGTACGGAGACATCTCGTAGATTTTAATAACACGTGCAGTATGCAGTAAACCTCATGTTCAGGGGTATTTGCCATGACAGTATTCAAATTGACTGCTCATCGGGAAAATACTCCGCACAACGTAGAAATGACTCTAACAATATCTGAACAGTCTTCTAATATGAGATCCATAGAGAACCAGCCTGAGAAAGTCCCAAAGCCTCCGTGTAAAACCCCATGTGCCCCAAGCCCGACCAGCATAAAACGCCTGTACGCCCGCTGGAATGCATGCAAAGAAGTCATAGTTAGGCCCACCAGAACACGAAAAACGTAAAGAAAAACCAAACGAAGAGCTCAATGACCAATTACTGTCGCGAGTGACCCAGTGCATGTCTCAGCCCTCGACTTCGCTCATTGGATGGGACAGGGGTCTCGTTAGCGTCCGGCGTGGTAGGTGCAGCGCGACGGTGTTTACTATGTCGAACACGACCGAGAGCTCGGCGTAAAAGCCCGTCGGCTTCATCGTCAAGGTCCATTTCGACTTTTTCATGCTCAGGTGCGGGCGTAGAGACGTCGGCCGCCGCGTCCGTAAATTCCTCCACGAACGGTTCCTGGCGTCCGCGTCGTCGAGATATCTCTTCCGGGGCGACTCGCTCTTTACCCTTGTGTTCACGGGACCGACCAGATCCTCGACGTTTGGAAGGGGCGGCGCTAGTTTGTCGCATAGTCTCTTCAAAAGCGGCGCGGTCCTGAAGACGCCCTTCTGCGGCCCAAAGCTCGAGGGCACGTGAGAGCAGCGTACCTGCAACACCTGCACCGCTCGCTGCATCACCGCCGCCACTCGCTCCAAGGACACGAACAGCCTCATGCAATGCTGTCACAGCTTCGGTAGTGCGCCCAAGCTCCAGTAGGATAAGTCCACGGGATGTATGAAGCGAACCAGACAGCCCGCGATCTTCGTAGCCCCGAACGCCGGATGCGGTGGCCACTGCGGCCGATGCCGTTCCACCACCCAAAAACGGGGCGTGACCCATGCTGCTACCCCCTGCGCCCACACGCAGGCATTCATTGAACTCACAGAGAGCCTCCGTAAGCCGGCCCGTTCGGCGGAGGGCATGGCCCAAGTTTGCACGTGTAGCGACCCAGGCACTAGGCTCGCAGTTGAGGGAAGTAGCTAGCACGAGTGCTTGCTCAAATAATTCAATGGCCCCGGTAAGATGGCTTTGATGATAAAAGACAACACCAAGCTCGTTCAGGACCAGTGGATCTCCGCCCGCTCCCGAGACGATTGTTGATGAACCCGGGGGCCCAGAAGGGATCGAGTTTGGGGCTGCTCCAGTCGACATCGCGTGAGCAGCACAGAGATACTCATGCGCGAGAGACATATTGTTGAGTGCGAGATGCTGCATTCCCAAGAAGAGTTGGGGAAGATGACTGCCCTGGAATAACCGAGCAGCGGTGCTGTATGCCGCAATCGCTTGGTCATGCTCGCCCTCTGCGGCAAAAGTGTGCGCAAATCCAATCCAAGCCGGGGCTGAATGAGGGTCAAGCAGTGAAGCTTTGGAGAAAAAGCGACGCGCTTCAGCTACCTTTGATACTGACAGATAGTACACTCCAATTGCCAGATATGTGTAGGGCTCTTCTGGAGAGTGGTCCGCGAGCATGTGAGATAGTAAGAACAAGGCATTGGTGGCACCGGTTTCATAAAGACAAGCCAAATGGAGAGGATAGATGGCTGGGGCATGGCCAAGGTGATTCTGCGCAGGGATGCTGGAACTGGTCGTGGTGAGGTCGGTGGATTGAGATGTGGAGAGGATAGAGGATGTCAATTCCAGGGCTTCTGCGAAGCGACATTGGGTATAAAGAGCCTCGGCACGAGATAGAAGGATGTCTGGATTTTCTGCCAGGTTGTAATGCGTAGAGAGGGTTTCGGTGGCGTCAGAGAGTATGGTAGGAGAGGAGTATTTTGATAGACGAGTGGTGTAAAGCATTTTCGTAAAGTGGGCGGCTTCTTGGGCCATCGAGGGATCTGGAGATGAGACAGAATCAAAATCTAACGATTCCAGAAACTCCAGTTCTTCGGCAGGAGACATCAGGGAGTTCTTCATCAGCTGGTCAAATGCCTCGAAGCACTGCACATCGATCCGCACTGCGTCCTTGTAGCAGTCCCGTGCACGGTCGAACGCGTTCTGTTTAGCGAAGCAGAGTCCCCGCAAATAACACATGGCGGCTTCGAACCGGACATTATTGGCGTCTTCCCGTTCTCGCTCCTCGGCCCTATCGTTGCGCGGAGTCGCACTTCTCCCATTGCGCAATGTGACATGACTTTGGTGCTGGATCTTGCGTCGGGTGTGATTATTGCGGATGAGGTCGGTTGGGTTGTGCTCGCCGAGTACGGAGAGGGCGTGCTCGAACTGGCCTTGTTTGATGTAGCAATGAGCAGCTAGGTAGCGACAGGCAGTGCTTCGAGAAATGAGGTCCTTTCGGGAGAGAAGTGCTAGTGCACGCGTGAAGTTGTTACTAGAGAAATGTACTTGGGCCAACCAAAACGCGTCAGAATCACTGTCTGGGGTAGCAAGTCAGTAATCGCCTTCGGGGATTGAAGCTGATAACCATACTGGTGAGTGCCAGAACTTTGTCGCCAATGTAGATCGCCGAATCATGTTGGCCGCGGTTCAATGCATCCTGTCGCCAGGATCGCAAAAACCTTTCCATGACCGTAAGTCGGATGCGACGACAGTGTGCGCGTTGTAGGTAGGACCTTCCAAGGTTGAAGGTTATTTTGAACCACTGTGTAAACAAGGCTGGTCCGTGCGCAATGGTGATGGCGGCGGTCCATTATTCTGCCGAGCACTCTCCCGATTGTATCTCGGTGGAATTGACCGCTTTCACTCCGCTCTTTGTATGGAGTACTCCGTACACAGTAGTGCCAGTACACAGGAAGGGGCCATATTAATCCGTTATTCAGGCAGGTGCCAGGTGGCGCCTGGCGGTGAAAATGGAAGGAACGTTTTTGAACGAATAAAAGGAAAAAGTCACGTGAACTCGTTCCATCTCAACTTCTGCGAGGAAGAACTTTCAGTCGCGCCATTTCAGATCATCCATAATCATACTGTGTATCACTGTATTTGCAGCTCTGAATCTCGTACTCACCATGACTTAATTCAACATATAACTAACAATATTATCATCCACCTCCGATGTTTCGATCCTCGGAATATTGTGTCTCCGGAGGAGTCCCACTCCTGGATGGGGCTTATCGATAAACCGCCCGTCTTATCAATGGAAGATGTCCGCTAATCGCACGTGACTATATATTGCCGCCGCATGTTGGGGACCAAAAGCTCATTCTCTGTCTCTGTCGCTCTATCTGTTTCTTCCCCATCTTCTTTTCTTCATCCACCTCTCTCCTCCCCGATTTCGTCTCGTCTTTTTTTTAACCGTCTCTCTCTCATCACACCGTAACCATGGCTGAACGCAAGGTTCTCTCGAAATACTATCCACCCGATTTCGATCCCAATGCCATCACCCGCAAGAAGCCCTCGGGCGATCGCCGCGCAAAGCCCCAACCAGTCCGCCTGATGACCCCATTCTCCATGAAATGCGCCCACTGCGGTGAATTCATTCCCAAGGGTCGCAAGTTCAATGCCTCGAAGGAGATCACCGATGAGCATTACATGAAGGTCAAGATCATCAGGTTCCACATCCACTGCTCGCGTTGCCGCGGCGAAATCACCTTCAAGACCGACCCCAAGAGTAAGCTACTATCCACTTATCTCTTACTTATTGAAGTGATACTGAAGCTAATCTCATCAACAGACAAGGACTACGAGTGTGAACGCGGCGCTAAGCGCAATTTCGAAGTCTGGCGTGACCCAGCAAACGAGCGCTACCATGAGACCGAGGAGCAGACCCTCGACCGACTTGAGCAAGAGCAGCTCGAGCTCGAAGAGAAGGTCGAAAAGGACAAGATGGCAGATTTGGAGGAGAAAATGCTCGACTCAAAGCGGGAAATGCAGATCGCTGACGCTCTTGACGAGATTCGCACCCGCAACGCCAGGATAGAGCGCAACGAGGCACGTGGAGAGGATGCTGCTTTAGCCACCGTCGCCCAAAAGAAGCTTGACGAGGCTGCTGCTGCGGAGGCTGCCAAGCAGGCCTGGATTGAGGAGGGCGTCGAGGAGGCTCGGCGGAACTTCAATGACATCCAGCGCCGTCACCGCGAGGAGGAGCTAGACAAGGCCCTGAAACAGGCCGAAGAGGAGGAGAAGGCGGCGAAGGCTGAGCAGCTCAAGGCTTGGGATAAGAAGAGCGTTCTTGCCGACCTCGCCGCTCGCCGTGCCAAGCGGGGAGAAGACCGCGCCAAGCTTCTTGGATTGAAGAAGCGCTAGGCCGGTTTTCCTCCTCTCCTCCCTCCCTACTTCTCCTTCCTTCTGTCTCTTCTCTTCTCCGTCCGCCTTCCTCATCTTCTTCTTCTTATAGCCTCCGCCCCTTCCCCACCTCGCCACGATACAGACGGACCGACTGACCGCACCGACCCATAGAGGGGTGCGGTTCTGCATGATACCAATTTGTTTTGAGCATGGAGTGCCTGGTGTGCCGGCTGGTTGGCCTTTCAGGTGTGAGCTGGCTGGGGGCTGCCACTTAGGCACCTCTTCCAGGCTCATGGTACCGGAGGTCGGCCAGACCACCCCATGGCAATGGAGTTTGTTTCTGTTCATATATTTAAACTAAATAGCGATGACAACGTTGATAATGTGTGAACTCACAAAGCTGAGGGGCAATAAGGTACTTTGTCCTTGTTGAAAAGCCCATTAGCAAGTAGCCACAGACTTGAACTATAGCCAGTAGAGCCCATAGGTAGATAAAGCAATTGACAAGCATACTATCGAAGTCTGGCCACCGAGACAGACATTGGAAGCGATATGGAGTTACAAAGTCAGAGACAAGTCAAAGCAACTGAATACATTAGGAGCTAAACGATGATATCGCCTGAGCTAAGACATGTAGAAAGACAATGTAGAAGGTATTCCAATAAACGAAACAAAAAAGAAATCGGTATCACAATCATAGTAAACATGAATAAAAGCCGCGCACCTCAAGCGCCCCGCTTAAGAAGTAAGACAACCCCCGGTCCCAACACCGCTTAACAAAGCACAAAAAACAATAGAAGATCACCAATTTGGCAAAAGAGAAACAAGCAAAGCAACGAGCAGCGGCTCACAGATACGGCATCCATAACGCATCACACGAGGCCAAATGTTGAGGATTGACAGCCTTAGAGATGAGATCGATGGTAGTCTGATTAGCAGGCAAGTTGCCCTCTGGCGGGCTAGCGAGGCTAACAGCACGGTTGACGATCGTCTCGCTGTTATTGTAGACCAGATCTCTGAGTTGATTGGGTGGGAGGACACCGCGGTGCTGAGCCGTGGCCCAGAACATCATCTCGTCACGGACGAAGACACTGAGCTGTTGCTCCAACTCGTGGCGTGGCTCGGTCAGACAGCGGGCGATAGCCATCATGGCGCAAGCGAAGACACCCTCGGTGGCGATTGGACCCAATAGAGTTTGGATATTAGGTGTGAATCTGAAGGGGACTTGCTCGGGGTTGTAGAAGAATGCCTTGGTGGGGTTGATGATTGGGATCATCTCGGCACCCCAGATGTCGCCTGTCGAACGAGAGATCATGATCTTGTTCGGGTAGCGATTGCCGATGTGCATAACGTAGGTCATGAAGGCGATCGCTGCATACTGGTAGGCGAATTGCCGGCGGAAGAGCCAGAAGTCTGAGAAGTTCGGGTATGTCTGCTGGCAATATTCCAAGACCACAGTACTTGGCACCCACTTGTCCTGAATCGCGGTGAGAATCTCTGTGCGAAGGACTTGTTGCTGATCCGCCGTGCGCTGGGATTGGTCAATGGACGTTCTGTAAATCATGTCAGGGACACTCACGTTCTGCTTTGTCTCTGCTAAGGACCTCATCTTGTCCATTGTAAAGAGCACGGGGTCATCTTTGTTGATGCCCTTGCGTCGGCAGTAATCCTCGTAGATTCCCTGCATGGAAATGTACGAAGAATCGTCGCGCACCAAGCGAATGTGTGGTGCCAGAGGGACCATCAAAGGAAGGTGGAAGTACAAGTTGCGACGGCGACTCTCCTTGCGCTTGGCGAGCAAGCCATTGAAGATGCGGAACAGCTGGAGAATGCGTTCTTCGCGCCTACAGTGGCGGGCAGCGGGATGCTGAACAGCAAATGCCTGCATGCTACCGTCATGTCCACGAATCTTCAAGCGGCGGTGACAGACACCAATACCCCGGATCAAGTCCACGTCCGGAAGGAAGCGGTCGATGCGGACAAAGTCCTGGTTCTTGTCTTTGTGAAGCAAGTACTGACCGGGAACCTCAACCTCATCAAACTTGAGGAATCGGAACTCACTCAGATGTGGCGAGGCGTTCTCAAGGACGGTACTGTGTTGTCGGCGGTCGAGCTTCTCTTCAAACTTGTCACGCCAGCGGCGCAATTTGTGGATGTACTCATTCATGGTCGGCTTCTTGGTAACAAAATCTGCTTCGAAGGACTTGCGAATATGAGCTGGGAGAATTGTCTCCGCGAATCGAGTGATGTTGGCTTCCGTTGCGGCAGGCAGCTTGAAGTCCTGAGCATAAGAACCGGGCATGCGACCCACATAGGCCAGTCCATCGTTCAAAAGAGCAACGATAAGACGGTAAGCATCCTCGTCGGGAGGACACTTGAAGTTCTTGTGGATCTGGTCAACCATTGTCTCCATAGACAGAGCCAGCAATGGGAATGCTGTCTTGAGTCCAGACATGATTTCATCCGAGTACTCCCACGGTCTCTTGAGAGGTTCCTTCTCCCCATCCGCAGGCACAGCGAGGGCTTGTTGCGGGGTCGCATTCTGACCTGGCACTTGCAAATGAGCTTGCTGCGCTTGGCCTGGTGTTTGGCCAGGCTGTGGAGAAGCCTGGACATTGGGTTTTGGCTGGACAGGGGACTGGTTCTGGCCAAGAACCGGGGTTTGGGTAGCCGGTGAGTTCGCAGGCGGGACTGAGGGAGAGGCATTGGCAGCTGCAGCTTGAGCCTTTTGAGCCGGTGAACTATCGGCACCAACAGCTGGGTTGGGCTTCGCGCTGGGCGAGGATCCTTGCTGCTGTTGCTGTTGTCTGGCTCGGTTTGCCAGCTTTTGGTCATGCTGCTTCTTGATGCTCAGCATGTCCTCTCGGTTCGTGCGAAGCAGGAAGAAGAGGGCCTGGGGATAAAGCTTGGCGATCTTGACCAGGACAGCCTTGCAGAGACGCGCCTCACGGTGAGACAGGCTGGTGAGAAGTTGAGGAATGAAAGTGATCCAGTACCATACGGGGGTATCTCCCTTGAAGTTTTCGAATGCACTTGCGATCTTGCCTTCTTCATTGTCCAGGCTGAGGAGCCAGAGAATTCTGCTGAGCAACTTCCGGGATTTCGCACTCTTGTACAGACCAGCAGCCTCGAGATAGCAGCTAACAGCATTGCTAGCCAGCTCGTAGTCAGTAGGATCAGCTTTAAAGCGTTGGTCACTGTATTGTCCCCATTCGGACCAGGCCTTGGCAAGGCGAAGGTCATAGTATAGTGCGACACCAAACGCTTCATTGGCCTCATTGACATGGTCAAGTTTGGCCAGGAACATTCCCTTGAGAGTGTAGAATTCGGCCTTCTGCTGTGGTCCGAAGTAGTTAAGATTGGTGTTGTTGATGACGTCCAGCCCACTGTTCAGCTCCTTGGGATTCTGGTAGTGGCATTTAGCTTGCTCCCGAAGCTTGAGGAAGGCCTCTTGGATTTCGATGTTGGGAAGGGTATAGATCCGGCTGAGCTGGTTGATGCAAACCTCTGGCATCTGGTGCTTCCGGGCTACGTGAGCGAAGCGATTAATGATCCAGGCGGTCTCGTGGTAACCACGGTACGCATAAGAGTTGCTGGCGACATTGTTCGTCTGTGGGGGCAGAAGACTGAGGTATGTTCCGTTGATGAGCTGGAAGATGTGCTGACGCCAGGTGACCAGATCTTGCCATGTGTTGATGTCATCCCAGAGGTTGGGCAGGCGGTCTCTCCAGGTTCCAAGCAGCAATTTCAACTCGGCAGACTTGGTATCCAAATTGCGTTCGTTTGTTTGGGCCAAGCTGCCACAGATATGGCTAGCATCATGCAGTTCAACCAAGAGTTGGAAGTGCTGCAGAATCGGAATATGAGCGTTTGTGATGCGCTTCGGCAATTGCAACCATTTGCGAATGGAGAGTTGGATGGACTCATCGCAAACGCTGTTGAAATCCTGGATGTTGTCCTTCTTCGTGTGATATTGGAGAAGGGCCATAAAGGCCTGGAAGAAGGTGCGTCTCGGAGTTGGGGCATCGGATACAGACTTGATCAATGACTCAAGCTGCTCACGGTTGCCCTCGCTCTGCCAGTTCTCAATATTCCTCCATGCGGCTTCAAGCAACAAGTCGTTCAGGTTCTCATGCTTGGCAAAGTCACTGAGAATTTCCCACTGCTGAAGCTTTTGGGCACAAATCAACCAGTGATCTTCCCACACAAAGTATTCACCTTGCGAGAAAGGCATAGCACCGGAACGAGCCTTGATTTGAGCATTCTCATAGAGCTGCTGAGACTTGTCCCACATGCCTTGTTGCTCGTACGAAAGAGCCGCATTGGTTTCCACAAACTTGCAACGACGGCGCCAAGTTCCGTAGAAGAAGTCGTCCTCTTGGAGTCCTGCGTAGACCTCGACAAGCGCGTCCAAGTTGCTCTCGCGGACGGTAGGTGTGTCGATGATAGGATTGATGGCGCTTTGTTCGAGGTAGGTCGCAGCAGTGTACCATGCGTCGTAGGTGCGACTGAGATATTTGATGACGTGGGGAGGGATTTTGAACCGAGGGCTAGCACGCACAGCACCCTCCAGAAGAGCCTGGACGACATTGGGTCGCTTGTCGAGTTGTCTGTGGTGGTACTCACGAGTGAGCAGTGTAACCATGTCCTTCTCCAAGTCAATGCAATCTTTATTGGACAGTGTGGACCAGAAAAGAGGGAACAGAGTGGTCCACAGTTTGTAAGCAACGTTCGAATCGGTGTGTTGAAGCTGGCACAAAGGCTCGATCAGATCGCGAACTCTGACATCGCCAATATCCGACATGAAACGCCTCCGCTCGGCGACAAAGGTCTCCAACTGGTCGTCCACCATGATATCGGCCTTCCTTGGGTCTTTCTCACCACTGCTGAAGAGGAACGACACGGGGAACACGGTAAAGTCTTCCTGGTGCAAGCGAGCAGTGGTGGTCATGTCGACACACCCAAGCACTAGATGAGATGCTTGGGCCAACCAGAAGGAGTCGGCGAGAGTGTCCCAGTTCTGGCAAGTGAGGACATAGCTGAGGCGGGAACTAGCGAGACGGGTCAAACTCCGATCAAAGATTTGCATGAAGCGATTCCTCATGTCGACGTCTTGGGCTCTTGTGCCGATCAAAAAGGCGTGCTCCAGTCGCACTGTGAGTTCAGTCCGAGTAATCTTCGAATCTTCATAGATTCGGATGACAAGATCTAGGAACTTCTTCAACATTGTCTGGTCGGGCCGAGCTTCGAAAAGCAGCATTTTGTGTAGAACAGCCGTTTTCTCCTTCAAAGTTGGCCACGACTCGGTAGAATGGAAGATCCAAGACTCGGCCATGCCGAGTATCTTGCTGCACAGGTCGACGTTCTGTGATCGCTCCACGATTTGCGCTAGAACACTGAGGAATGGACGGCGTTGATCGCCTAGGTGAGACATTCTGACAGAAATGAGTTCGATGGTCTTGAGAATAAGATCAACACCAAGCTCAAACTCTTGTTGGTCCGTAACTGGAACGCCATCGGGAGGCTTCGCGCCATTCTGCAGCTGAGCGCCATTTTGGGTCGAAGCGTTGACATGCTCCTTGGCGAGTTTCCCAGAGAACGCTTTCATAACCGCAGGGATGTGGGCGTCGATCTCAGCCGGCTTGATTTTGGAGAGGGTCCATAGGATGTTCAGACTTGAGACATAATTGCTCGCCGAAAGTGTTTCCGTGGCAATGGCGGACAGGTACGAACCGAACTCCGAAGGCGTCCCCTCCGTATCCATGGCGTCTTCATCATCCGGTTGCTCGTCTGGAATAGCCTCAAGAACATGACGAACAGGAGGCGGCAGCTTGTGTACAACATCCATCTCGTCCTCGAGCCCATGTAGACAATCCTGGATCTCTGGGTTATCTGACCTCAAAGGTTTCTCAAGAAGCTTCTGGATAGCAGGCAGACGCGCAGCTATCCACTCATTGGGCTTGGCCGCGATAAGTACCCTCAGGACCTGCAGGGTGTTGACCGTGTAGGTTATTTTATCCTCGACTTTGTCGCCCTTTTCGCCAACCAGGATTGGCTCGGTAACCTTTTGGTAGAGATCAATGTCTAGATCACCCCAGTACTCAGGCGAGAGAAGGCTGCGCAGCAGGTTCATAGCCTTATTGATCATTTCACCAGTGGGTACAGGAGCTTGTTGCTTCGTGGTGGGCATTTGGCGAATCTGAGCTGCTGGCACCAGGAAGCGCTCGGGAATTGTGGTGATGAAGCTAATGAGATACTTTACCAACGTAGCGCGCAAATCATTGGGCACAGTGTAGTCAGACCGTTCACGGCTACTAGGAGGTCCAAGAGCGGGGGATGGAGAAGGCTCTTGAGCCTCGTCCAATTTGCGCTTCCTTGCAACTGGAGACTCGGATGTGCCATTGGCCAAATTGTTGGCCTCAGCATTCTGTGCCCGCTTCTCCTCCCAGTGCCAAATCAAGCTGACCAAATTGAGCGCAAGCTTCTTGCTATCATTGGAGGTGTTGGGTGGACCAGTGATCTTGACCAAAGAGGGGACGATGAGGGGTACAAAGTGTTCCCTTGACTCGTAGAAAAGATCAGGCTGGCGAACGAGGAATTGGAAGATGCTCATGACCTGCTGCAAGTTGGCGGTTTCTTCGGCGAGGATGCGACGGGGCCATTTAGCCCATAGCGGATATCGTGCCTCCGCTCCCGAGCTGCTAGCGGTTCGTGTGGGGAGCACAGGAGCAAGGACATCGAGAGCCTGGGTGACAAGAGCTCGGCCTTCGTTTTGGTGAGCCCTCAGCAATGCCACATAGACCTGGATAACAATCTTGAATGGAGTTTCGTAGTGTGCGATAAAGTAACTGATCAGCACGTAGGCACCGTATTTGTTGATATGGTCCTCAAGCCGAATGTAGTTCCAGGCAAACTTGATGATATCCTTTCGGGAATCCTGCACTGTTTGTGAATGATACTTGATCAACAAAGCAGATAGTTGAAGTAATTCCATGCGGGAGTGGTCAACACCTGCTTGGTTGGACTCTTCGCTCAGATCGGCCAGCTGAGGTTTCCACAAGCGACTCTGGATGGACTCGGTCATGCTCTTATCCATCAGCTTGGGGGTGTTCGGAGGGCTGTTCCAAGTGATCTGGACATCCATCGCAAGGATGGGGTTCACCAGATGGCGGAAGGCATATGTCTTGGTCTTCTGAGGGCAGCTCTTCTGGCCGTAGAGATCGAGACAGCGCATGATGACAGAGCGCCGGTAATCGATGGACTCATTGGTGATGATGCTTTTGTAAATGAACTTGGGAAGAGCGAGTGTGCGTTTCAGCTCATCAGCAGAAAGTCCGTCGATGACTTCAAAGAGGAAATCCAGATCATGGGTTGCCTCAGTCAGGTACATGGTGAAGATATCCATCAATTGGTCTTCAGCCTGCTCTACACGGAGCCGCTCATCAGCAGGTAAACTGTCAGCGCGGAGCTTCCTTTCCAAATCCCTGCCGGAAGCGAGAAGTTTTGTTCGCATCTCTGCATGAGAGACCAACCAGCGCTTGGTTGAGCTATAGGAACACAGGGAATGCGCGACATAAACTCCGTTGATGGCAGCGGTGTTCTTTCCGTCACCAAGGTCTTGACCAAAGGCGGCAGCAGAGAAGCTCTCCGTGTCAGCAACAATGGCATTTCGCAGTGCCTCACTCTCGGGATCAGCCAGAATCTGACCAAAGAATCGACCGAATCGCTCATCCTTGAAGCGTGCAAAGAAGAAGGTCAGACTCTCTTTTGGGTAGCGATTAAGATACTTCACAAGGGGCTTGCGGAATGGACTGTGTGAAGTGCGTCGAAGTTTCACTTCGAGATCCAAGACCTTATTGACCAGAAGCTCCATGAATGAAGTAGCGGCCGATGGAAGGAGGTGGAAGATATTGAAAATCGCGGCGACGATTTTCATGGCCGGGTTTTGCTCAACGAGGCTGAACGACACCTTCTGTAGCACAGCATCATCTGCAATGACTTTCATGTGTTCTAGTAAACGAGCACCAATCTCGACTTTGAAATAGTTCGTGAGCAGCGTCAACAGACGAGCGAGACCATCCAAGCCAGCAACACTCAACCGCTTGGGGTCCTGGAGGTTCATAAGAATGGGACGCAGGCCATTTTGCAAAAGATCCTTGGGAAGTTTGTTGGTTTGGGTAAGAACATCCCTGAGCCCAGCATTTGCCGCTTCGATTACCTCCTGTGACCTGGAGTAAAGTGACTTGAAGAAGACAGATATTATACGAGCCCTGCTCGTGTTCTGCGGCGTGTTTGCAAACTCGGGGAAACTCATCGCCATAGACAAGAGACGAAGACATGCTACACGAAGGTTCACAATCATATCAGCGTTCTTAAACTCGTTCGGCTTAGACGCGAGAGATTCATCATCAGCGTCAGCTAGGGCAAGCGACTCCAGCATCAAGCGATTCAGCGGCTCGTTGAAGGTGACGATGTCATTGTGAAGGCTGAGGCAGTACGTGATGGCATCGATGAACCCAATCTGAGTTGGGAAAGGCAGAGCACGCAAAGGCTTGTTGAAAATTGACTGCAACAACCGATCTCTGACGGGGAAGATGAGCTCATGCACTTCGCAGCCAATCACTTCCTTCAACGTCGTGAAGCAATGACGAGCGGTCTCTCGAACGTGCTTATTCATGTGTCCGAGCTCATAGACGAAGAAGCCACACAGCGCATACAAACGGCTCTTTTCATTCTTCAAATCATCTTTAGGGATGAGCTTGCCGCATCGTCGTAGAATCAAGGTCATTGTCTCTTGTGACTGAATCCGGGTAGCAGCGGGAAGGTCTGCAGGCGTGTCCTTGATAACGTACATCAAGGCCCTACAGAATTCGACATGTCGCTCATAGAGCCATGTGTCTCCCAATTCCAGCTTAGATGCGAGCAGGCTGATTCCCAGGCTACCACCGGCTTTAGTGAACCACTCTTCGCTGTAACAGCTATGGCAGAAGACACGGCCCAGATGCACGAAGAATGGGAGCTTGGCTGCCTTCTCGGAAGAGCCAAAGATGACGCCTGCGGCATCCTTGACAGTCACCATTGCCCGTTCTGCTGCTTCGCGAACGTGAACCTCGTCGGATGACAGGCATTCAACCAAGGCGTCTGCAAGGATCCTGGAGTCCAGGTACACGGGACCTTCCCCACTTGCGACATCAAAGGCTTTGCGGCCGTGTCTAGCTTGAGCAAGAGCACGACCAACCTCTACAAGAGCGAAGTGCTTGCCAACATCAGCGACAAATGCCGTAGCATTTGGCTCAAGTTCGGGAATGGTAGTGGCAAAGATACACGCCTTGATCAGCTTCTTCACCGTTGCTTCCTGAGCAATTTTCTTCGGGATGGAAGACGATCTTTCTGACTTGTCGAGAATATCTGCCATCGCACCCGGCTTATTCTCAAACAGATCATTCGCATGAAGTCTGATCAGGGTCGCCAAATCATCAGGGATACTGTCATAGCCAATCTGAAGCTTCAGGTGGGAGCTCAACATCCGATAGGCTTGCTGCTTGTAGTAAATGTCCGAAGCTTTTCCAGCGTCTGTTTTTGGAATTTCCATAAGCTTGCCAGCGGCGAGATCGATCCCAATGTCTACCGGGAAATGTCGCTTCTCATTCGGGCCAATGAGTCTGATATCAAAGCTGGGATTATCATCAGAAAATTGCTGGAATGACAGCTCTGGAGGGTGGTTGAGGAATTTTCGGTTTCTTCCTCCCAGTTTTCCCAAAATTCGCATAGTGGTGTGTGCATGGAAGTGGTTGTAAGGGGCTGGGCGTAGGTGATCCCAAAGTGCCGTCATCAGTTCGTCCATAATCGGGCCCATGATGGGGTCGAGGTAGTCAGCTGTGAGATTGTCCACACAAAGCTCCAGCGTCCGTAGACCCTGGCCGACAAGATCAGAGTCGGCACGTAACGCAACCACAATTGGGCGCATCAAGTAGCTTAGATGGGGGAGAAGATGGCTCAGTCGGGCAGGAACTGTAAGAGTGAGTTCCACATAGAGGTCCCGTTCCTGCGGCTTGCGCGCAGCAAGCAACAAGTTGTTGAACGTCTCGAGGAGCATCTCCAGAAGCGGGAGAATCTCTTTATAGAGCAACTCGAAGCGTCCTCCGCCAATGCTTCGGAAGAGAGACCTCAGGAGAAGGAAGTAGTTCATGGGCTCCTCGGCAGTGACTGAAAGCTCAATGCACTTGGTCACGATCTTCGTTACATGAGGATGAAGGACCTGCTCATTTTGCACAGAGAACAAAGTGACAGCCATGAATGAAAGCTTGAACATCCTTAGCAGGATTTTAGCCTTCGTCATGTCTGAAGTTCCAACCTCATCGATGCGTTCCATGAGGTACTGCAACACCATGCCGGAGAATGCAGGAGATGTGGCCTCGCTAGCCAGGAAGAATTGAGGCAGGTGAAGCAAAGCGCCATGTTCAAACATGAGCTCGTGGAGATAGGGTATTTCGGAATGGAAGACTTCATGGAAAGTTGCAGTATCGATGCAGTGGAATACTGTGCCAAAGCTTTCCAGCAACTCCTTTTCTTCGCGCGACATAGGTGCGGCGTACTGGCTGGCAAGGAAGTCGAACGGAGACGCGTAGTTCATCTCAGGAGGAGGCTGATCTACCCCATAGTAGCGGAACACACGAGCACCCTCGTGGAAGAGCTTCTTGATCACACCAACTTCCTCTGCGTTGTAGCCATATGACACTTCAGACCAGTTGATTGGGACACTGCTGGGGTCGATTTGAACGTCATCAGGGTTGCAATTCTTCAATTGCCGGAAGATGTTCTTTAGCCCATTGATCAAGTTCCGGAAGAGGAAGATGTTGTCCGAAACAGGGTCACCACCACGGTCGCGTGGACTAGACGTCTTGATGGGAGAAGCAGAAAAGATGTCAATCTCGTCCCAGTCAGGCGGGTTCTCCTTCTCAGCAAGATAGTTCTCAGCGCAAGGCTCGGTATCTTTTCTGAGAACCTTGTATGCCCTGGAAACCTTCACGGCGTTCTTGTACTGGTGGTTCATTGACGCGAACTTGTCACCGATCGCATCTAGGATCATGATCAAGAAATAGCGCGCCTCACGCTTGTCCTCCAGTCTGGAGATATTCTCTGCCATGTTCAAGAGAAGCTTTGCACTCATAGTTTGGAAGCTTGTGCCGGGAAAGTCGTCATGGAGGTTCTTGGTGTAAACCTCAACCGTGCGCCGGATCTGATCACGACTGAGGTGCTCACGCACATGGTGTATCAGATCTGCCAGCATGCTGTAAGCCAGTGGTCTCATGGTCTCATAAACAGTGAGACCGTCTCCAATGAGAGTACGCTCATCTAGAAGCTCATCAATCTTCTCCAGGAAGATTTTCCGATAGTTGAAATTGATGATGTGACGGATGGCGACCAACAACTCCTTCCTTGCACCTGACTTCTCTCGGGGACAATCTTGAAGAAGGCGCACGACGACAGAAGGGAGCGTGGGAAGGAAATCCTGCAGTTGATGGGCATACAGGCGCAACAGATATGCCAAGAAACTCATCGTCTTCACCTGAGCTGTGATGAATTCTCCAAATGCAGCTCGGTTTTTGATCTCCTTACAGACACCCGTGAAGATTGTACCCTGGGCAGCGGCGTCTGCGTGTGCCTTTTCCTGCGGCTTCGCCTGAAGCAGCAAGATTGTCTTGATGAGAGGCACAAAGAGCTTCACGTTGGCAGAAACCGACGCACGGTGGGTCTGGAAGATCGAAACGACGATAATCGGACACTCTGCGAGAACCTTAAATGACTGCATGCCTTTGAGTAGAACATTGCTCATCTGCTGATCGGGTCCTAAATCTGATACTGAGGTGGCAGGCGAGCTCGGCCGAGGAGACTGGAAAGTTTGTGCAGTTGCATTGGGGGTCGACGGCATGCCTGAGGATGTACCCTGGTTGGGGGTGTCGAAGGTATCGCGGACCACCTGCTCCATGGTCTGAAACATTTCCTGGATAAGATCCAAAAAGGCCTGCACCCGGTGTGCGGTGGCCTTGGCCTGGTTCCTCTCCAAATCCATGATTGTCTTCATGCAGAGCACCGCATTGTCTTCGTTCTCAATTCGCGCAAGTTCCATTAATATATCCACCATATCAACGGCGTACGGCTCGACATCGGGAGATCCCATCGGTAATCGGTGCAGTGTCTCGAGGATGCAGTGACGTAGTTTCTAAATAGATACAAGCAGAGGTCAGCTCAATTTTGCGCAACATTCACTAGGGCTAGGTCAGCCTTCGATGGTCCCAGGAAGTCTCACCTGGTCGTAGGACATGCTGAAGAAGACTGGGTCGCCCTTCAAAATGTTTTTGAACACCGGCCATAGCTTCGCTAGGAAGATTGGGTAGTTTGCGCCCGAGCATAGAGGTTCAATACTGTCTCGCAGTTCCGTCGCGACATTGGCTCGAACTTTCACTTCTATATAGAGCAAGACGATTAGTCCGCTGACAACCTCATCAGTTTCATGGCGCCGGAATTGGCAGACATACCCAGCTTCTCATCGCCAAGCTTGCTGGCGTAAATATCTATGTTTCGCTCCATCTTTGCGATCGGCCTCTGTCGTGGGCTAGCCAATTAACAAAAAAGGTCAGGAATAACGGCCTGGCCAAGAGGCCGGCTAAGAAGGGCGGAGTGTGCGCAGTCTTCCCAGAGGAAATGGCTTCTCATGCGTTGTGTTGGGATAGCAGAGAAGCTGTGTCAATTCGATCGATATTGGAAAAGATCGGGGACGGTAGCAGTCGAAGGAAGGAAATCATCAAGTCATTGAGCCAGGTTCCAGTGAGCAAAAATGCTTAGTACAGTTAACAGGAGAAAATCTGGATGGCAAAAGAGTGTATCGAATTACCGCGCGGGGAAAATGAGGGAGGGATATGGGGGGAGAGGTTGGAGGTTATTGTATGCGGCGCGATACTCATAAAGAGCAGAACAGAAGACGCGGGCTATCGCAGAGACCCCGAAAGAAACACTAGTCCGCTTTGAGTAATTCTTTCGGGTGTGGTTGATCCGTTCCGAGCCCTTTCATGGAACCTCAGGCACCGAACCACTTTATCAGAGTACGTGGATGTATTTTCCGCTGTCTTTTTATTTGTCTACCTCTTTTACTTTGTTCTTCTTGCAACTGATATTCTATGGACATACACAACCTGTTTGATATTGAGCGCCATCAAGGGCATTTCGTGGCGATTACACTCTGTTTGTTGTCCATATATATTCTTGCATCTTGGAATTCGAATCCATGGAATCCAATGAATGGAGACGAGATCATCTACCTATGGATGGAAGGCTCTCATATGTAGTTCGTCCAAGACGTACCTCCTACCTAGGTCATAGGTAGGTGAACTTAATTGTAGGTACCATCCATAGGTTTTGCCGACGACCTACCTACTTTACCATGTACGAAGTACAGACAGCCTATGAAAGACCAAGTCCGTGGTACGGGCTCAAGAATTGCCAAGCACAAGCCTACGAACGGTGCTGCATCAGTTTCCAAGGGCAATATAATATCCTAGAACTGATCTAAAATGATAGAGAAGACAACAACACATGAACAGTCACCGACAAGCGTAGTCGATGGATGAAACGCCAACCGCACCCGTTTTCCATACCCGAACACGGTTCTAAGACTGGTTCCAACTCGGGCAATCCGCTCGAATTTGAGGGAAGCCCGTCGCGGAAGAGGAAAATATCCAAAAAATCCATGTACACAAAAGAAAGGGGAGAAGGCAAAAGAAAAGGGGGAAAAAGGAAAAGGAAATAAGAGGCACAGATTGAGGGCAACACCGAAAATCAAAAGACACAAATATCGTTGCCTCATAGTCGCTATGCCATCGCAGAAAGAAACGGAAAAGTCACATGTCCATCAGCAGTCCATCTCCGTCACGAAACCATTATTTGGTGGAATTGCTTCGATGCAAGATCTGTACATTGGTCGCGCTAGTCCCACCGACTGATCGTCGTCGAGGGCGAATCTCACTGCCGCTTCCGCTCCGTCGCCTGCGGCCAGTGCTGCGAAGAGAGCCTCGGCGTCTTGTCTGGAAGGAACGGACGTTTGCACGTTAGAATCACGCTTCTGGCTATACGGGGCGGACGTGGTCTCTTAGCAAAGACGAAATGAAGAAAGATGGTAACGAGGCCAGGCATTAAAGGAAAAAATAGTGTTCGCATGGGGATGCAAGTATCTGGGCAGCAGAGCAGCGGATCAGAATTGCACTGGACGTACCGAATTAGGAGTCCCTTCCCTGCTGGGTCGTTCCTTGGTGACCTCAGAGTCATCAGCCAGTTTCAGGGTGTTCAGCTTCTTTTGACTCTCGTGGGTCATGGCCTCTACTTCATCGATCGGCTCCGGCACGTCGACGGCGGGGGGCGGGGGAGGAGGAATGCCATTCTTCCGATCTTTGGCTTGTTGTTCAATCATGTCCCAACGGTCCGTGCGGGTCTTCTCGCGCTGGTCTGCGTTGTTCTGATGCTCGGTGTAATCGTGGGAGCACTCATCGAAGAGTTGTGGGTTGATCTCCATGAACATCTTCATGGCATTGTACACCATGCTGTGGATAGTCCTAGAAGGAGGGTCAGCTACGTGGTATGCGAGTCAGAAGCATGCGCAAACTCACCTGTTCCAGTGGCCCTTGGAGTTCTCGTAGAGGGGCGCGAACATGATCGGAAGAATAGTCTCCACGTTGTCGCTCACAAGATTGCAGAAGTACTCGTTATTCCAGAAGTACAAAGCACGCTCAGCGACCTGCATGTCGATAATGGATTAGTGACAAGACATCAAGTTGGGAGTCATTGCGGAACACATACCTGGAAATGAGGGCTAGCAACAGACTTGGCCAACTGATTGAACAGAGGCTCCTGCACTTTGGCAAACTCGCCAGGATCCATTACCTCGAAGATGTCTTCCACCTCGTTAAGGTACATGACCTCCTTGGTGCTGTTGGTCTTGGGCCAGAACCGCAGTAAGCCGAGGACAACCTAGAGAAAGCCATTAGTACTCGAGAATGAACGAAGGAGACGGTTCAAGGACATACATCTTCAGTCAGTGTAGAATCCTTCTCCAAGAATTGCACAATACAGTAGGCCAATTGCGGGTGGTACATGCTGAGGCTCTTCACTTTGTGCATAGGGAGGAGCACTCGGGTCAGGAAGAGCTTGTGCTCCTCCTTGAGCGGCAAGGCGAAGCCGTTGATAATGGAGCCCAAAATCTCCAGCAACTCAGCGATACCGTTGTGACGCTCTGTCTCATACATGAACTGGAAGAAGACATTGTTGATAGATCGGCGAATGTATGACCGCAAGTTCAAGAATTTACCATAGATGCGATGTAAAGTTGTCTTGAGGAAATCACGTTCACGAGGATCTTCGGAATCAAAGAGGTCCAACAACTAGAGGAGAGATTAGCCTGCATGAAGAAGTAGTCCCGTGGACCAGGGAACATACCGATAGGACAAACTGATGATCAATGAAGCCCTTCGCGATGTTCGTGTTGAAATCCTGGCTTTCAATAAATCTCAGGAAGAACTCATATACAACCTGAATATGAGGCCATGCGACCTCCAAAACTGGCTCGTCCTCCTCTGGGTCGAATGCTTCCCCTTGAGGCGTCATGGGAGGGGGGATGGGTCGAAACAGGTTCTTGGCAAACATCTCTACCACGCGGGGATACATGGGTTCCGTGATAACCGACCGGTTATTGGCAACGTAATCTAATAGTTCATGCAGCGCCAGTCTCTTGATCTCCTTGGACTTCATATCGGCCGTCGGGTCGTTGAAATCGAAGATGATGTTGCACTGGTCGATCTTTTGCATGAACAAGTCCTGGCGCCGGTTGGGGGGCACTTCGTGGAATCCTGGCAGCTTCTCCAACTCTCTCTGGCGCTGATCGGAGATGTCGAACCGCGACGAATGCTGGCGTTTCGGGGTCCGGATCCCTTCCGACAAGTCCTTGGGGGTTGTCTGTAAGCGGTCGAACACGTGGGACTTCCTGGGAGGTGCGAGATCTCCAGGCATAGTTTCGGCAGCGCCAGGGGGCGGAACATGCTATAGCATCCAACGACGATTAGCAAATGCAGACGGCCAACGAGTTATGTCGAGTGATCTTACCGGTGCGCTAGGGCTGATGATAACGCTGGGGGCCGACGGTTGGCCTTGTCTGGTCGGGGTTCCTGGTCCATTGCTTACAGGCTGTCCTGCAACACCTGGTTGTGGGATATAGTGTTGGACCGGAGTGCCAGGGTGGGGTGCGCCCGCAGACGGGGTTCCGGCCGGGGAAGCATTGTCCGGGGACTTGTTTCGCGGGTCATTGAGAGATGTTGTGGAGGATGTGGGTGTGCCTTGGTTTGGCGAAGTAGACTGCTGTGTATTTGAGATGCCGAGGGACTGGTTTTGCGAAGTGTTGGATTCTTTCTTTTTCGAGGACTTGTTGTCTTTCGCCCGCGACAACTGGTCGTGCTAGATGTGAGGAAGGGGTTGTTAGATTATTTGTGAATTAAGTGGGTGATTACCACTTGCATAAAGGGGAATGGGATGGATATGCGGAAGTGATAGTGCGGTGAGGTGCACTCGAGCAATGATGGCGGGTAACTCACCACTCTCTGTCTGAAACCCTTCATTTTGACGACTGTGTAGATAGCCACATGTACTCGGCTAGCTTCCTTGGTGCCAGTGCAGCCAGGCGCCGCACTCTAGCCGGAGTGAATGGGGGAGATGCAACGGCGACAAGTCGGTCAGGATAGCCACGAGGGAGGGGGAAGCGGGAGTGTTTGGATCGACCTAATAGGAGAAAGTCATGAGCGGCCCGAGTCACACAGCATGTAAAGTTGTTATTGTCGAGGCAAATGGTCCTGCCCTGTGTAAAGCCAGCCTTTGTGATGCTTGAAAGCGAGGCTGAGGTTCAATGGCAACAGCGTCGAGCGTTTTCGATCAAGGTACAATCGCAGCACGCGTACGGGGCAGGGCGTTTCGATACTGGGAAGAGAGAGCCAATACAGGCACTAGGAGTTGGGTGGGCGAACGTACCTCCGAGGCTGTGGTATGAACAATTGACAATTTGTAGAGAAGACTGTCGGGAGAGAGCAGGTGTTAATCGGGGACGTACTTGGCCGCGCTGAGCGATCTCCGTGTCGCTTAGTGGCAGGCTGGGAGCGGGGGGGTTGGGAGTACCAGAGGGACAGGCACACAGGTCGCAGCCCACTGCGAAAGCACAAAAGTCACAATCTGTATTGCAGGAAACAATATGGACGATGTACAAGAGACAGAATGAAGAAGATGGTGTTGACTTGTGGGGAGAAGGGAGAGAAGTGGATTGTTGTTGAGGTGTTAGGGAAAGGCGGGCTGGTTCTCCTGGCTGCGATGGTGATGGGAGGCGGACTACGCCCAACTTCCAAGTTTTATGTGAGAGATTGTATGTATTTTAGGCAACTAGAACTCTGTATTCTTCAATTAAGCTTAAATCTACTCGATCGCTGCTGTAGCCTATATTCTACCTTTGCTTTCTACACTGTACTGAATCGACCTATGCAATTTCCCGCCTCCAAGTTTCGAATTGTGATTATGTCATTCTCCACGTGACTTCCAGGGGAATTTGGATTCCTGGCACAACCGACGTCACCCAGTTGGGGTTGGTTTGGAGAAGGGGTTCTCTTTTGATTTCGCCGTCTCTCTGGCTTGAAATCTGAAGTGTTGGTGGGTGCAGTATTGTTATTTCTTCTTACACTGTGAACGACAAGTCAAAGTCACGGGAATGTTAGGTAAGGGGGCCCGTGCTCTTGACCCACCTGTATGACACTAACCGCTTGTGGAATGTAGACTCAATCCTTCTCTTAAATGGAGAAGATAGTGTACGAGCCTTTTGATACGGCAAATGTAAAGCAAACGACCTGACGTCCATGCAAAGAGTGTTCACACTGTTCTGAGGGCAGAAAAACCGAGAAAACTCCAGCGTTGGCGCTGATCGCACTTGCACGATCTCTCACTTGAGCATCCGACAGCCAACCAACAGCAACGGCAACAGAGCCATTGAGCCTCAAGGCCTGACGCAACCAAGGTTGCCGCCCTCAACCACCGTCCACAAGTTAAATACGAAAATAAAAAGACCATGGATAATCAACGGGCATCCAGAACAGCCCCCTTCTACGCGGTGCCATGCCGCCGCCTTATCAGCGTGGAGCACCCAGCCGTGATCCGCAATGTCGACAAGGCGATCGCTACATTGAAAGGCGACGCAGGACTAAAAACAGTGAGAAGAATGATAGTACCCGCTCAACTTTGAACATAGACTGATCTCTTGCAGCTCCTGGATCCAGCCAAGAAAGACACACTAGCTAATCTGGTGTTGCGGCCGGAAGATGTCATGGCTCGCGCAGTCCAGTCAACAGTCGTTCCGTCAAATAATGTCCTGCTCAAGGTCACTGTTCCCAAGCGAACGGGACGGAAGCGCAAGATAGGCTCGAATGAGCCGTTCACAGACGCATCACCGGCAGAAGAGATGCAGCCGCCTCGACGGACTGCGAAAGATCTTCTGCGCAGTCTGAGTGATAACCCGTCAAACTATCAGATTGAGCCTGTGGGGAGAGTCGAGAATACACATGTTTTCCGAGGTATGTCTATTGTTCCGTTGATTCCACGGCATTTGTCTAACACTTGCCATTAGGAATCCCCGACTTTGTGTACTCGACCACAGCGAGTTCTTTCACGAACCGGTTCCGGGAACAGATCGTTCCATACGATTGTGAGTCTACATATGATGAACTACAGTAATCCACCTACTAACAAAACCGCAGTTGAAAAAATGAAACAATTTGACATTGATATGGACAAAGGCGTCACCCAAAATGCAGATCTCATCCCACCGCCATCCTTCAGCCACGGCGACGTCCCATTCCACTACATGTACGAGCCACCATTACATCCCCTCAAACAGAAACCTTCCCAGACTGACCGAACCCCAGCTACCGCCAAAACCCCACAGTCAAAAAGGCCATCGGCCGAACCGGGGAACTAGAAACAGTGAACACTCAAACCGCAAACAAAATCCTAACATACCTAGTCCCATACGACATCGAGGAAGTCCCCAGCGAACCACGCCCCGACCTCGTCCCACTCAGCTCCCTAGACACAGGCCTGCAAAAAACAATAGCAACTCTGAAAGCCTTATACGAAAAACAACCCGCCTGGACCCGCCGCGGCCTCCGCAACAACCTAACAAACGACGACGACCGCCTAAACCTCCGCCGCGCAGTCCCCTACGTAGGCTACATATTCCGCTCAGGACCATGGCGCGACGCAATCATCAAACTAGGCGTCGACCCCCGCACCTCCCCAGACTACCGACACTACCAAACCTTCATGTTCCGCCTCCTAGCCCGTGAAGCCGAGGTCGCACGCGACGGCGGCGGCGGACGTCGTCACAACGTGCCCCGCCCAACAGACGCCCGCACAGCGGACGACGAGGGTGCCAGCACGCCGACGACAGGCCACATCTTCACGGGCAAGCAGCCGTTTGCGCATGACGGGCGGATCTGGATGGTTGGTGATATCAAGGATCCGCAGCTTCAAGCGGACTTGTATCCCGCCGAACCGGAGGAGGGGTTCTTGCGGAGTGAGTGCGAGATTGTTGCGGATGGGTGGTTTGGGAATGGGACTATTGCGAAGGCGAAAACCGTCATGAGACATAAGATCCAGGCGCTGATGGAAGGGCGGGAACCGCGCGATGAGGATTATGAGCGTGTAATGCGGTTGCCGGCCCATGCGCGGTCGGAGGCGGAGTTTCCCCTCTTCACGCTTGATCCGGAGACTGCCACGCAGAGGGAGATTTCGTTGGCGACGGAGGTCAGGGCTGTTATTCGGAGTTCGCCCATTTGGAAGCAGTTGCCCGGGAATGAGGGGATAGTTAAGAGGGAGGTTGGGGAGGGGAGGGGCAGGCAAAAGGGGAAGCAGGCTGCTAAGGGGAAGAATGTTGAATTTGAAGACCCTGGGCTGGAGGCGGAGAGTGGGAAGGTTGAGGAGGAGAGTGAGGGTGAGGAGGAGGAGATTGAGCGGAGGGAGATGTTGGCTGCTCAAGTTGCCGCGGCTGTGGAGGCTAGGGATGCTGATGAGGAGGGCGAGGAGAGTGATAATTTGGAGGAGAACGAGGAGAATGAAGATGAGGATGACGAGGATGAGGATGAGTGAGCGTCTTAGATTGTACCAGACTACTTGACTACTCCGCACAATCCGAGTGATGATATGGGTGTAGATAGTGATTGAAATAGAATCATTTTAATTGCTAAAGCCAGAAGGCAGACCAGCCGCGTAACTCGTATAGCATAAGACATGAAACAAACAAGATTCATGAATTAGACGGGGAGATAGAAAGAGGGTTCAAGTGGTCACAATAGTGAAGCCAATACATAAAGTCGTAGTAAACGTTATACCAAAACACCAAATCCAGCGCGCCAAAGAATAAAAATCCAAGCAAATAGGTATTAAGCCCAACCAGAGAGAAACACGACACCAACCCCGATGCAGATGCAAAGTACTCGAAAACCAAATCACAGCGCAGGCTTTGCATTTTCATCCGTGCTCTCACGTTGCCGATCGGTCTCAGTCTTGGTCGCAACAGCCTCCAGCACCGAAGCGATAGAGGAAGAGATATCATCCTGTGTCTGCGCCAGAGGCGAAGAAGTCTTCTTGAACTCAGACGAGTGCTCCTCATCGTCATAAACAGCCACACACGAGAAGGCATTGCAGTCCTCAGCATAGTAATCTGCAGCCCTAAGCTCACCCAGCGGAGAACGGGACTCCTCCATCACATCTGCCTTGCGAGGGGCAGGAACAGCAGTAGCTGACGAGCTGGAGTGGGGGATCTCGATTCCCAGTTCGTGAGGGGGGATATTCTCCTTTCCACGGGAGGAGACATCCGTCTTTCCCTCGTCATCGCTGATATCCAGGACGGTAGTGGAGTGCTGCATCAGATTTGTCATTTCTTCCTGCTCGGTGTCGACGTGGATGTCGAAGCACCAAGAGGCAGGTGTCTTGGGCGTGGGTTTGGGGGTCTTCGATTGAGATAGGACGGAAGCAAGAGAGAAGGGACGAGCGATGCCGCGCTTGTGTTGGTCTGCGCGCGGCTTGGCGATGAGGCTACGGCGAGTAGCGGACTTGCTGGACTTGGGAGGTGGAGAGCGACCGGCAGGTTTGAGGATTGGAGCGGATTTGGGAGTTGCGGTTGAGGTCTTCAAGGGGGTTGAGAGACGGGGGGAGTTGTTGATGCTGCGGGTGGAAAGAGCCATGCCCATGCGGGATGTTTTGACAGGTTTGCTCTTGTCGTCATCTTCGAGGGAGCGCTTGCGCTTTGTTGACACTGCTGGATTTACGTTCTCGGAATTGTCGATGAAGATGGAGCTCTTCATGCAGCTTTTGATAGACATGACTTGGGAATATGAGCTAGGGATCTTGGTCGGGGCTTCGCATCATGACATACCATGTTGGTTTTGGCGGTTCAAGTTCGAACTCGGCATATGCGAGTTCAAACAGCCCAAAGGCTGACGTGTGGGAGTCATGGTGAGAGTGGCCATAGTGAAGGTTGAGAGACGGAGGGATGTTTTGTTTTGGTCAGCGCCAAGTGGGGAAGAGTGGCGGTCTAAAATAGGCACTCGACAGGGTCGATCACACAGAGTACTGCGTAAATGTACGAAGATAAAAGAGACGGAAATAGATAAAAATGATTCAAAAGAGAGGAAATTGGTCGGATAGTTGAATGAATGATAGGATGGGTAACAAAGTACACCGTAATGAGAGATGAGAGAAGAAGGATGCTGGGAGGAGATGCGATAGAGGTAGATATAACTTCGTAAGTCGTAATATCGTAGAGCTTTGAGTTGGAGAGGGTTCAAGGCAAGGAGTAATAGAAAAGAGGAGTCACAAATGGAGGGCGAAGGGAACTATTTCAAGGCCCGCATAGTGACCAAAGTAAAGGCGCGTCGCGTTCACGATGCCATTCCGAAAGTGGCGTTTTATGCAGTTCCAGTCTCCAGCAATTCAATTGGTTTCATTCTTCGAGACTCACTGTCTCGTGTCGAATGTAATGCAGATCATTACGCGCTTTTACCTTATGATGTACATGAGACTATGATCTATCAATACTTCTATACCAACCTCCATAGTAGGGAATAGTGCCTGGCAGCCTGCTAACTATTGTACTCCTTCACAATGGAATTGTTCCTATATCCCGTAGAATGATTGAAATCCACATCCTCCTAGCAGCATTTGAAAGTCCAATTTCCACTGCACACTGCATAGTCGCGCTATCCCTTGAACGCGTCCGTCAGCAGCCAAGTACCGGGTACTTCCACGTCCCCCCTCCCTGCTCTAAAACACGTAAGTACCGAATACCTTCACGTCCTCCATTGCGCGCGAGATCGCGTTCACGTCTCCTCCTTACGCAGTGTGCGCTCATTCGTGGCGAGCAGCGTCTACAATTGCGCTAAAGCCTAAATAGCATGCTGCATGAAGTATCTAACGAAAAACAAGATTATTGCCAACGCATCAGTCTCCAGTGGCTTTGCCCCCGGGACTTGGTGTTGAAACAATGTATGCACAAGATGGACGATCGCAACCTGCTGGGGGTTTGAGGCGGAAGTGGAACATCCTTCAATCCCAGGGTGAGGTTGGCAGGTGATGGGATGTCGCGCCTCAGGGCTGGGGAATGTACTTGGGGATGGCTGTCATGTTTCAGAGTAGGGGAGACCTCTCCCAAGGCTGCTCTTGGACAGAGAATGGCAATAGGGTTATTAATAGGGATACGGATTGGACTTTCCAAGATTTCGATGGCACCTGCGCCCCCCTCCTCCTCGTGGGCCCGGATTATTCCCCCTCGGCCCATGAATCCTTGTTGCATTCTTCGCGATGAACGAGAGCCTATCCTTTGCGCCGGCCTTGTGCAACCCCGTCGGCATTTGAATCCATCCAACGTAGGCGCAAAAAGGCCGATCGGCGTAATTTGTATGATGTCTAGTGGATTGTGATCTAATAATGTACATAAATGCCTGTGTTCATCACCTTAGATCTCATCCTCGAAAGGGATGCTATCCATGGCACCCTGACGTTCAACGGCCCGAGCAGAGGCCCGCGCAGCCAGACTCATTGCCTCGTCCATGACACTCTTGTACCGATATGGCTTATCAGCTTCCGCAAGATCTTGTCCAGCTTTGCCCTCCGCGCGACGCTGTTCACGCCACCGGGCCACCTTAACAGCGTAAGCCCCCACGAAAGTGTCACCCGCTGCAGTGGTATCAAGGACTCGAGATACAGGAGCAGCGGGGAGTTCATTGGTGAAGCGCTTAACCCCATCGCTCGGTCCAGAAGAGCCGGCATCTGCAGCACTGTACCAAACCCCCTTGGCTCCAAGTGTAATAAGAATATAGGTAACACCCAACTTGTGGAAGTATCGGGCAACCTTCTCATGACCGTCCAGACCCTCTGCATCCGGCACTGTACGAAGCAATTGCTCCGCAGGCGGGGTCATAAGCTCTGCCTCTGTCTCATTGAGAATCAAATGGTCAACAGCAGCGTATACATCCTCGGGCAAACCGCCGGGTGGCGCAGGCGCCGGGTTAAGCATAACGTCTGGCCCACATTCGATACCGCATTTCCCAGCAGCACGGTTCTTAGCCTTGTAAGCTGCAATTTCCCGCAGTGTTCCGATAACAGTATCGACCGGAATCTCGCCTTGCATAACAATGACGTCCGGCACAGGCGCCACCACTGCCATGCCCAACACCTCCGGAGTAGGCTGCATGCCCTCGTAGTTTGCACCAGGTGAGAAGAAGATTCGGTTCTCGCCACCAGCCGATGAATCGACAACGATCACCGCTACACCCGTGTATGCATTCTCGACGATCTTCACTCGGGATGGGTCGACTCCGGACCTCTCGAGGGTCGGCTTCAGTAGAGAGGAGAAGTGGGCATCCAAGCCCCCTACTGCGCCCACCATTTCGACATTGACGTCGCCTGTGGGGTTGGCTGTGCCCGTCGGCTTAGCCCTAGACATGCGCCCGCATGCTACTGCTTGGTTTGCGCCCTTGCCGCCCGCGCTGGTGAAATAGGATGAGGAGGTGATTGTCTCACCGGGTTCTGGGAATCGCAGTGTAACTGATACCATGTCCGCATTGAGGGAGCCAACTATGCGGATGAGGGGCGCCATGGTGAAGAATGTTTCGAATTGGTTTCGTGGCGTGTAGGTCGGGAGGCTGGTAACTGGTTGTGTCTTTGGGGCGGGCTGGGACAATGGGTGTAGGGTCAGACTGTGACACACAAGAGGTTAGTAAATATTACAGGCTCCAGAGTCACGGACACTCACGCGGCAGAACAGCAGACAGCAGAATCTGTTGTTGGGTGTAATTGGTAGTGGAAAATCAGTCGAAGACTCGAATGACGTCTGGGCGGGGCATATCGGTTGTGGGGCCAACTGCCACAGTAGTGCCACAGTTCCGTGGATCCGATCTACAACACACCTTAAGCACATAAGGTCGCAGCAATTTGAAGCTCTTGGTCTTGGGTGAGTATATCAGAGACAATGCTTTGCTGGATCAATACTTGTTACTTCTTGTTCAGTCAAGACGATAACTTATCTTCCCATCTTATGCGGGTGTGTGGACTTCAGGCGGAAATAGAATCAGGAGCCTTGTGCCCTTTTCTAGAGGAGGCACATAGCTCGTAGAGTGTTTTAGGCCATTTGCCAGGCGCACGGAATTCCGATACATCCGTCATGGGAAAATGTAAAAAGGAAGGTAAGAGGTAGAAGCACACCATCTAGACCTATGTAAACAGAGCAGCTGCGGATTTGGTAGATATTGATCGAGTAAATTATGGAAGGAACTATGGACGCCTTTGCGACGTGCTGTTGTTTTCTACCCTTCCTTATGTTCTCCCACAAGTGTGATCCTAGTTCACCATTATTTATCGTCTGCGTTCATCTATTATCTCTCCTCCAACCTTGCAAGCCGGACCAAAGATAGGAGATTGAAGGAGAGAGATGTCGGAGGAATGGCGAGAGCGCTCCGCTGCGCCCTCTCCGGATCCTCATCTCGGGCCTCTCAAATGCAAGAGAACAAGCTCCCCTGCGCTCTCTCCGGATCCTGATCTCGGAACTCTCAAACGCAAGAGATCAAGTTCCCCGTCACCACCCCGGTCAAGACCCCAAAAGCGAAGAAAGAAGAACAAAGGGTTCGCAAGCGACCATGGGCATACTTTTGCAGGGTTCATATTCAATCACAACAGACAAGAAGCCGAAGGCATAGCTCGGAAGATCTATACGCTGCCAATCCAGGAACAAGTGGAGAGCCGACTCGTATTGTATGGCGATGCTAGCATTCGTGGCGCTGCGCCGCCGTGGGAATTGTTTGGAGATCCAAGCAAAATCCCCTCGAATGGGACGGTATGGGCATCAGCTATCCCAGCCAAACCGATAACACCAACATGGTAGAGCTCTACGCAATCAGACTGGTGGAGAGATCGGCGGGGGAGGTGGTTCATCTGGTTGCTCCGTGGTGTGGCTTATCTGCATTCCCTCCGCTATTGCTTCTGCATCGGACTCATAGCCCTCTTCTGATTCAGCAAACTCCGCATTTCGCACTCGAACTATTCCCGCCCCACATTCTTACTCGCTCATGGGGCTGACACAGGTTGTCTCGCCTCCCTAGGAAGGCGACAGAAGGGCTTGGACTCAGCGCGCAGCAGGAAGATCGTGCGAGCACCGATGTGGTGAAGCAGAAGATGTATCGCCGCGCCAGGCCGCATTCGACTCGAGTGATCCAGGGTCACCTCGAGCGGGACCCCCGCACCTCAAGCGGAATCCCCCGAGTCCGACCAACAGCCTCATCATCAGTTCCAGCCTGATTGAACACCTTCATCACGTACGACGTCAACATCTATCAGAGCGCCCATGGAGGCAGGCTCGTTGATCGTGACGGTGTGCCGAAAGTGGTCCCCGACAGCGAAGTCCGACAGCGAAGTCCGACAGCGAAGTCCGACAGCGAAGTCCGACCCGACAAAGGATGCTTGTCAGAGGTGTTGATCATAACTCTTCACCATTGCTTTTGACATTCGGGTTCTGGTAGACTGAGTGTTGGAAAAAGAAAAGCCCAAGGCTTTGCTTCTGGAACTTGGCAGCCCAATGGCTGCTGAACTGTAAGTAATTTCTCTTGTCATTGGAAGTTGGTCGACACGTGTGACGTGATTGCTAACTGATTCAGGAACCTCCGCTGTGCAAACCACGTCGTCTTCTTGTCGCCGTTGATTGCCTCAACCCGGAACGAATACGATTCCGGGATGGCCCAGGCAATTGGTCGTGCGCGCTGGCGTTGAAGTTCGCAGTGGAGAATATCGACAATCCCGAATTCCTTGTCACCCAGGATCGATCCGCCGGCACGACTTTCCTTAGGCCCAGGTTCGGCCACGTGCAGCCACACGCGATGAGAAGAGAAGTTTTCATCTTCACCGACGACATGATAGCTCTGCTTCGGCTTAACGGCAGTGTTGCGTATGCTGCTGGAGACGAATACGCCGTCCAGATCGGAGATATCTGTCGCCTGTCCGACCTTTTAGCTCAGCTTCGGCTTAACGGCAGTGTTGCGTATGCTGCTGGAGACGAATACGCCGTCCAGATCGGAGAGACCTGTCGCCTGTCCGACCTTTTAGCTCAGCATGATGTTCATGTTGAACTGCATCTAAGCCCGGGTCATAAGGGCATTCCTGGAAACGAGGCAGCCGACGACTTGTCCCGGATAGCTCAGAAGCAGATATATTCCGTCCCATGGACACGAGCAGATATCGATATCAGTGGGGGAGAAATCCTAAGGGCAACCGTCATGCTCGAAGCATCCCTGGCTGCGAAGTCCAGCCCAACGACTCCAGCCACCGAGCAGGCACTTCCGATCAAGCTTCCTCTCCGGCCCTGGACGGGCGAAGAGCCCCTTCCAGACAGGCGTTCACAGTAATAAGGTACTGGCCAACTCGATCAGATGCTTTACTTTGATGTTCAAGGCCTGCTGACATTGTAATCTATGTACGATTACTTCCATGAGATCCATACATCAGCGGCGGGAGCGGGATGAGTGGTTAAAGACCAAGACTTATGGCCACATCAATCAGATCCTATGACAATCACGTGGAAGGAATTTGTGGATTAGCCGGACAAAGCGTCCATTGCGTCCGTTCAGTCAATGTACGCTCACCCATTAGGAGCAATTGAAAGACAACATAAGAATTTGAGAGGTGGCCAAAGTGTATCAAGTTATTCCCAACACGTAATGGAGGTACGGCCTAAACAGGATAGAATAATGGCATAGCTCCATACCTAGAATTGAGTAAGATAGACAATGCGGTGGGAGGGTAATATATGACAGGAAGAGGAAAGGAAAATGAAACTGAAAATGAAAATGAAGATAAAGATGAGATAAGAAAAAAAGTAGAAATCCCCCTTAAGTTCACCACACGCCCTGGGATCGAACCAGGTACCTGACAAACCCAACCGACCCGTTATACGGCGTTCGGCAGCCTCGTGCACTGTGGTTAAACCACTACACCACGAGCGGAAGTCTTTGTAGAATCTGCCATTCTCTTCAATATATGGGAACATCCCCACACAATAGTGGATTCAATCCGCCCCCCGGCCAGAGACCCACCCGAGCCTCATTTTGATATACTATATGACTACGGAGTATATGTAGATAAAATACTTCATAGTGTGACTAAAATCTAAATATGGAAAGGAAAAAAAAGTAGAAATCCCCCTTAAGTTCGCCACGCCCTGGGATCGAACCAAGAACCTGACGAACCCAACCGACGCCGTACGGCGTCAGCAGCCCGTGCACTGTGGTTAGACCACTACACCACGAGGGGAAATCTTTGCTAGTATGACAATTCTCTTTAATATATAGGAACACCCCCACACAATACATAGTGGATTCTGATAGCCCCACATATATCCACCCTGCATGATCCAGTCGAGACCCACTATATACCTTATTTTAATGTAGTTAGCACGTGCACTGTGGAAAACCACTATGCCACCAGAGGAAATCTTGCTCAAAACGCGACTTTTTTCAACATATGCCAGCCTACCCCAGGTAACCTGAACCATGGTCCATGGAAGTGTACCGGGCATTTGGACAACCTATGTCCGACAACTTACAAGACTTGGCTCGTCAGATGTCAGTCCCGTGACACCCGTCATCTTCTGCCACTCCAGACCGCCGCCTACTTGGCATTAGCGTATACTACTGTGTATGACACCGACTTCTGCTCTTCCAGAATGACACTGCTTTGTCATGTGACCTCTGCTCCATCGCATATAGGCTGCTTCTCACGTACTGTGTACAGAGTTCTTCTCTCCTTTTTCCATCTTCATATCTGCCTTTCCATCATCTTGACATCGTCTTCATATATCGGAGTCTCGTAGCTCCCTTCAAACACAAACTTGTCCTTCAGCTGCATCTTTCACAATCACCCTTGATATTTGACTACGATGACCTCAGCAAGGCTGCAACACCTGCTGCGTTTTCAGCACACCAGGCCAGAAAAGTGCCTGAATAAAATTTCCGCCGACTTAGAAGCATCAATCAACCATGCGATAAAAGTCCGCCACTATCGAAAGACAGCAGTGATCTCCTTTCACTGAACGATGATATGGGAGTCCAACCCATCGAGAGAGAACTTCTAGGCATCCTTCGCTCTGTTGATGGATTCGAGACCGAGAGTTTTCCGATTCTGCTTTCAGGAGTGCCAGTGGAAACTTCTAGAGTACCGGTCACAGCGAACATCTGGGGAAGATACACTCCCGCCGACTCTTTGTCTACACAGGGCATGCAAGTTCTGCCAGAATATTCGCCAGTCCCTGGGACTTGGGGTAAGCTATGGACTGTCTACTTTGATTCGACTAGTCTATCTGGACTAACATACAACAGCGGCCAGTGTAATCCAAATTTCCTTGACCCAAATCCTCATAGACGAACTCCGTCAGCTGAACGGCCAGTCCGAGACCCTGGCTAGTATCTATTGTCGAATTTTCCGCTACGCGCAGCAGAATCAGGTTGGAGCTGCACCAGTTCATGTACCTAAAACAAATTCGCCCAGCGTGACCGTTGGCCACAATCGCTCATGGCCGCCGGCCCCAAGAAGTAGCGTCCAAGACGCTTCCTACCTGCTACTAAGCGTTCAAGTCCAGGAAGAGATTCCTGCCACGAGCTAGTGACATAGGGTTGCAACTCAGATGAGAAGAGTCCACAGGGCGGATCTCCCCTAGATCTCACTGAATGGAAAGAGTGGCTGACTCGCCACATTCCTGCAAACGTCCTGGCTGCCAAGGTCGCGTTCGAAGGAGTTTTTCGAGGCTCTAGGCTCCTCCCTTTCACTGTTCCTGTGGAGGTCTGGCCCATGATGCCGGCTGATGATCTGTCCCCACGTTAGGTCTCACAATATCTTATCCCAACCACTAGCCCAAGCAACCATGCTACCAATGCGCTTCGCCTCTTTATCAGGAAGAGAAAATCAACAACCGCGAACCCCAGACAGAAAATCTTTCGGTAGCCCTGGGTGTTCGCCGTCTCGTTCAATAGGCTTACAATCTGATTTATCATCATCCCCCTTTGCTTTCTGGAGGTTGCTTTGTCTAGGCTCCCGCTGACTCTTGAGAAAATATTATATCCCTCCCGTAGAAGGGCAGGATAGCGTAGGAGTTATGTTGTTGAGTGTGAGCGGGAGGAATACTCGCTGTATTTTACTTTGCTGTACGCGCATTACCACGCAAACTCCGTCCAGGTCAATATCGCTAGTCCGTATTGCCCCTTTGAAGAACAAAACCTAGCGGTTTGGATTGAACCTGTATCCAATGACTATGCTAAGACACATAAAGGTAAGCGTCAGGTGCCTATCTAGATGTAGACCTTGCCAACTCCCGTGTGGAGCGGGATGAGTAGTCAGAGTTATGCCCTAATCGAAGTAGACCCTATCACAATGACATGAAAGCACCTTGTCAATCAGTCGGACACAGCGCCGGTTGCGTCCAATCAATGTAAGCTCACCCTTGAGGTGCAATCGAGTGGCCAAAGTGCATGAAGGTATTCCAGCGCGTCATCGAGGTATGACCTCAACAAGGTCAAATAGTATTTTGTAGATACGATGGCATAGCTCCATAAGATTGAGGAAGGAACCTAGGCAATCCGGTGGGAGGGTGCCAATACATACACAGTAACTGGAAGAGGAAAAGGAAAAAAAGTAGAAATCCCCCTTAAGTTCGCCACGCCCTTGGTTCGAACCAAGAACCTGACGAACCCAACCGACGCTGTTATGGCGTCAGCAGCCCGTGCACTGTGGTCAAACCACTACACCACAAGGGGAAATCTATGCTAATATGACCATTTTCTTCAATATAGGAACCAAGCCACACCCGCATAGTGGATACCTACCCGCACATTCCCCACTCCCCGCCAAATCAGCTAACCCTTTATGGATGTCCTATGTAGATCTCCCGTTGGGATCCAGGTTTTCCATAGTTCATTTTGCGATATCCAGTTTGGGTCTCTTCCTCGGTCTCCTACATATTAACCTTTACGGCATGTCCCCTACCCCCTTCCAACAGTTTATCTGTGTGACCCTGTCCATGTTGACCGTGTCTTCAATGGGAGCTGCTAGTGTAGAACCCAATATATATACTTTTTGAAGGTTCCATGTCGCAAACTTCGCTTCCGGACATGTGGGTGACTCGGTCCGAGGGTAGGTAGATGCCAGTTCCATATAATATAGGTAGGTATGCTTCTCATCGTAGGCCCATGGAAGTGGGCTCGGGCAAGGACCGCCATCATGGAAGGTTCCATGCTTTCAACATGGCACTCGAATATTAGGGACACGTGGACTTCTTAGCCAAATTCTTGAAGTCCTCTGTTGATTGTAGATAGGTGTGTTACATTCTTGGATATCGATGACCAAGAGGTGAACTAAAGAACATTTTACGAGGACACGGTCACCGAACCTTAATCCAACGACCTTATATACGAGTTGCTGGAAGCATTTGGGAGACCATTATTGATGAGTATCTGCCTCGACAGTCAAGAAAGTCAAGCACTGGTAACGAGATAGCGATGTATCATGTAGCTTAATGCTGGATCCGTCCACTAGTTGAAGACCAAGTTCCCGTTGTCATTTCCAATGCGCTCCGATAGATTGATATCCGCCGGGTGTCCCTCTCCATCGACGTCATGGAGCATAGCTCGTAGAACAGGGATGCCGTCCTCCCCTTCACGATCGAAGGTGATGTCCTCAGCGCTGGCTTGGAAATTCCCGCCTTCCCAGTGGAAGTGACCTAAAAGAGATAAGTTAGAAGATACAATCACTGAAGCTTGACCTCCATAGCGAGATAGAACACATGAAGAGAGACTGCGGTAACATACCATTGTCGTTGCCAATGTGATCATTGAGGTCCAGGGTAGACTCCTGCTCGTCACCATCTTCATTGCGAAGAACAGCCTTGAGGATATGACCATCCTCAAGCTCAATGTGAACAGCAGATGCGTGGAAGCTCATGATGTTTGTTTGGGTGAGAAGAATGTAAAATAGATCGTATAGGCTCTGAAACATAGACTTGTCGGATCGGAAGAGGAGCCTGGGTAGTTGAGCTCCCTTTATACCCCATCCGCAGAGCGCAATATGCTCCGGCTCACAAAATTGACTGGCACTAGCATTCATGCAGCAGTCCCCAACTCTTGTGTGACATTTGTCCTGAGCTCATTTGTCGGACTGCAGAGATGATGCCATTGAAGTTGGCACAAGCGGGGCAATGGGGCAGTTGCTCGGAGGACAGGAATTGGCAAAGCGGGGACACTGTATAGAGGATAGCAGGCGTCGGAGACAAATAACCCTAGCGTGTTAGTCTGTACACGTTGTACAAAGATGAAGATGGGAATATGGAACCCCCAGCAACAAAGAGAGTGGGTCTGGTCCCAATGCCAACATACAGACCTGAGACCTCGGAGTCTGCCTAGACTCCTAGCTCACGAAAGTCCAGAGGGTCTCATCATAATGTCCAGTTATCGGGGCGCATAGCAACACGTCCTGCAGTATCAGCCACAGAATTACGATGACATCTCCTCATGTTGCACTTTGTATGCATGCCAAGCATGCGAGTGTCCACAGCCCTATGGAACAGCCACGAAACAAAGGCAGGATGTGATCGATGAGCTGGGCAACAATCCGACTGGAGAGAAACGCTGGTGCCTACAACCAAGACGCTGCACTTGACTGGGGCTGATCCAGTGCCAAGCCCAGTCGGGGTGCAGCCGCATGTTGTCACTTCTTGGCAGCAGTCACATAACAAGGATGGGGCTCTTCACAGCCAGTGGCGTCGAGGGGAGATGTGGCTAAATAGGGCTGGCCTTGTGACCCAGGGTGGTGGGGGTTGACGCAGGCAGAGAGAATAGGTGGTGAAGCAAAATCCTCTAAACATCAAAGCATGGATCCGTCGAAATCAAAGATTTGCATACCAAAACTATGCTGCATGTTTACTATTATATTACTTTACACAGAAAAAAACAAACAGGTACTGCATCTTCTTTTTTCAGCGCCTGACATACGAGTGGTTCGTACCTAGCTGAGATATAATTCACGACGCTGGTGATTCACGACTACTAGTAATTCCTCCTTGATGGTTGGCATTCAGCACATTGTCCTGAATTGAGAGAATAGCAGTTGCCACGACCTGCCATTTGTATGCGCTGAATGCCAACCCCCGTCCCCAACACCCAGAACGCGATGTCTTTTACACTGCAGAGAACACCCACATCCAAGTCTGCCGTATGACTTGTCATCGGACATCAATTTGACGGCTTCAGTCAAGAACTCGCTTTTCCCCTTAACACAATGCGAGTTACCGAAGACGTACTTGCTTTTCTCACTCGGTACCGCACTTGTAGAAGCCATACTTGGCCCGAGATAGGCCGCCTTGTAGTATTGAGCAAGGTACCAAAGTCTGGGATCAGTGGGAACACGGTCCCGCCAAAATGTATGAATTGCCCGGACTCAGCCTCCGGGGTCCAGCCTGGATCACTAGCTGGTCCAATGAGTCGAGTGATGTCGGGGGACCGAGGTAGACGGGCTCGGACTGGAGCACACTACCCGCCAAGGGCATCTCATGTGTCCAGATAGCGATTCTCTCCGACTCTGAGTCCATCAGTGTCTGGGTCGAATATCCTGGCTACTGTCAGACTAACCCCCAGAAATCCGATTTCGACACTTGCTTCAAGGCACATCTTCACTGCTTGAATACGCATTCACGTGTTGGCAGCGGCCCAGACAGGTACTCGATCACATCGTACCTGTTTTGCGTGTTACTCTGTTCTGTCGCGAAACAGGATAAATCTCTCTTGCCTTGTCCTTTGACAAGCAGTGCTGGAATTCTTGGTGTTCCGACCCAGAGCAGGGATTCCTGTTTCCCATCCCTGGCATATGTGTATTCCTGCCTTTGTTTCGTGGCTGTTCCATAGGGCTGTGGGATCAAACCCGGAAACATGAGTGGGCCTTGCCTTGCAAACGTTCAAAATGTTCTGGTCGCCCGCATACGTGAGGATCCGCTGGCGTTGGAACGGTATGAAAAAGGTCTACGGCCTTAATGCGCAGAGAGGGCGAGCCTTGGGCTGCTGAGGAGCTCCTATGCGAAGGCACAGGATGTAGTGGGGGTGAGGCTTGCATCAATGACTCCCCCTGCGAAGGCACAGGATGAGCCTTGGGTCGAGGAGACCCCGTCCACGTGAAGGCGCAGGATACTGTTGAGGCATGACGTCTCTCCAGACAAGATCACAGGCATCCATGCCGTCAGAGAATGAATGGCGGTTTGGGACATCCAGAATGGTGACAAGGTCATTCCCAGACCTTTCTCATACCGGGCAACGCGCACCATAGCGAATCTTCCTCATGCTAATACTGATAAGGGTGTGGTGTTCAAAGTCAATCTCACGCGCCTCGTGGTTTACCAAGGCAAATGGGGTCTTGACTCGGATACAGTCGAGTGGCCGTGGATTCCCCACCTTGCTGGAGCGCTTTTTGCACACTATTCAACGATGGAGCCGTCCATCGTTGAAAGCCAAGGACACTCGGGTCTGGTTGTTCCCAGACCCGCTCTGTGATGAACTGGGGTGACAGCAGCCAGGCCTGTCAGGCGTCATTGCCTGTGGGTCGGCTATGGGAAAGGCAATTTCCCGTATCATGACGCGCAGTTCAGGAGGAAGGCGGCAGAGGGGCTTGAACTCAGCGGAGCTGGAAGATCATATATCCGGGGTTCGTCTGGATACGTCAGTCTTAACTCCCAAGTGAAGAGGCGTGCCGCGTGGAGATGGGGAAGAGTGGGTTCCATGTAATTCACTGTCTTACATTTCACACTGGAGGCAGCTATGTTGAATGAATGCGGTGAGTTTGGTTGAGTGACGCGTGCTTCCCACCTTCTGGTAAAGGGAAGCACAAGATGGATGGTGTCAAGAAAGATGAAAGAAACGACAAAACGCGAGAAAGAATGGCGAAAGAGATGAACAATGATGGATGGAAAGGTCAAGAATGAAAGGAGAAATTAGAAGAGGCACCAGGACAGATATTTAAGTAGCTTCGAAAGAGATGGAACAACGGTCACGGGCCTTCGTCACGGGTCTTCGGTCACGGCCTCACGGGCCTTCCATAGCAATGGAAAACGAGGCTATTCCCACGTCCATTTTGGGGAAGGCTTGGTTTATTTGTACACGAGCTAATCCCCTTTGGGCCATCCCACGATTTTCCAATGTACTCTGTTTTTTAAATGGTATTTTACACCAACGTTTCATTACCAATTTCCTACCACTACCAATTTCCTGGATGTTGAAGGTATGGCATGGCACTCGACGCTGTGACTTACCATGCACAGCCAACAACGCTGTCGTCATCGATACTGGCGCAGTGCATGCAGCAACTAGCAAGCATGGAATTCTGATGGGCGACACGAGAGATGAAGAGATGGAAAGGGAGATGAGAAAATAGATGAAGAGAGAAGAACTATCTAGGTGAGAAGCAGCCTACATAGATGCGAGGGAGCAGACGCCACATGTAGTTCGAATACTCCCCTTTGTCACTTGTGAGCAACACGAGTATGAAGTCACCAACACCATCGCAATTCTTCCAGTAAACGCCGAGCCCAACCTGCGAGATCCACCGCATAAACATTGCCTTCGCCAGTGGCTTCGTCAGTCCATTTGCAGTCAGAGTTGGAACCCCCTTCAATCTGGGGAGGACGAACAAGGTTTTGACGGTTGACGTGAGCGAACGGCCCATAAGAGGACGGTCCTTTTGACGGTCGACGAATGAAGAGCCCAAAGGAGGACGGTCCTAGTCGAGTGGTCTGATGCAGCGAACGGCCCAAAAAGGACGGTATAGTGGAAAGGTACGAAGGTGCATAGCGGCCAACAGTCGAGTGCCTGATTTTAGTGTGTTAATGCCTAAATTGGCCTGAATTGGCCTGAATTTAGACTGGCAGAAAATTAAAATACCTGAATTACTATGACAGATCTCCTAGTAAGCAAAGTCCCAAAGTTCAACAACCTTGGAACTGCAAAAGCCCATATTTGAAGCTATTCACACCCCCCATATCCTGTTTTTCATCGATTTTAGGAGTTGAAGAAGCTATTCCGATAGTAAAATCCAGTGTATTCCCCTATTCTAAGGCATTTCTGACCGTACAAAGTCCCTATTTCCCTAAACTCTTCGTCTCCTTTGGCTCCAATGTGTCACCACCCCCCTAAGCTCTCCGTCTCCTTTGGCTCCGGCGTGGTGAAGTGCCCTCAGCCTGCGGCCGAGCCCGCTTCTGGCCCCTTGCTGCGTTTCCCCTTCGAGTGTTTGGACGGATTGCGCTTTCGGTGGCTGCGGCAGGCGATGACAACTCGATGATTGTAGCAGGAGGCGGTGTTGCAAAAGTAGGAGGCGATACCCATACTGGAGACGGCGATCTGGGTGTAGGCGTTGCGGGAATAGCTTCACTAGCGGCAACCGTAGGAATTGGTTCACTAGCTACAGCTGCGGGAATAGCTTCACCAGATGTACGTATCACGATACTGGAATCCGGCCAATTATCAATTGCGCCTTCATACCGTGCGACAACCACATGTAGCTTCGTTGTTGGAAACTTTGAAATGAATTCCTTCACTGTACCCAAAAATTCCCAGTTGGTGGCTTTCAACTTACAGGACTAGTTACAAAACATGGTATTAAGCGGTGTCGAAGGCGGTCTAAAATCACTATACACTAGTACTAAATAGGCCATAAAACCATTTAAAACAGGCACTCGACTGTTGGCCGCTATGCACCTTCGTAGGAAAGGTCTTTGGGCGGTCAGATTTCGATGCAGACGTGATGCAAATAGATGCTGTTGATGCAATCTAATTGACGGTCGATGGTGAGCTCTGGCTCGCTGAATCAGAAAGGCTCAGTGGGGTTGAGATGCGTGATCTCGATTGGTCTCAATAAAGTGTATGTACTGCTACTTTTCTTCTTGATCCCTAAATGGCCATCCCTTCTCCAGAAGCTTGATCTCTTCCTGATCTCCCTCACCCAATGCAATCAGAGACTCTTTGAGCTCAGCAACCTTTCGTACGGCCTCTTCGTACTGTTCATTACTGACCCAACCGTCTTCATTAACTCCACCAATTTGCTCTCTCCAGAGATTCACAACTGCATTCAGTTCAAACCACTGCTGCTCTTGCCCAAGAAATTCTTTCGTTTCATCATCAGTGAAATGAACAGGACAAGACAATCCTTTTGTTTCTAAATAGGGCCAATATTGAGCCATGCGGATCAGTGCCCCCTTCAATGTTACAAGATTTCCACTCCACTGTCTTCCAGCCCATTCTATAAGGTGTTGTCGAGGACGGAGGAGGGGATCTCTCAGGGCATTAAGATGGGCCTTGTTTAAGCCTCCATTGAAGATACGGTAGTAGTAGAAGAGAAGACGCCGTCGAAAAAGCTCATCAGCTTCCGCCTTCGCTTCCGTAGAGAGTGTGTCATAATCCAGAGGAAGGGATGGTTCTTTCAAACCAGGTGATTCTTCAGGATCTGGGTTCTCAAATGCCCGAGGGTAGCCTGCAACCAACAGACGTGGCTCCACTGTTGTATGTTGCCAATCGATGATGCAAGAAATAGTGCCCGTCTCAGGTAAAATGAATATATTGCTTGGGTTCAGGTCTGGGTGACGAAGAGTAGGCTTATGCAATGCAGGATCTTTTGGCAGAAGGTATGGGGTCATTGCAAGATATTTGCACAAAAGATCAATGTGTTCTTCGGGATTCTTTTCTCCCGGAAAAATGCCATTGTGTGGAAAGTCAAGCTCAACTGGCTTGCCATATCGTCGTGCCCAGTACTCTTCTTTTTGGGCAATTGATTGAAAATATTCAATAGGATCGTTCCCTATATCTGTCAGTGAATGGACTGAATAGAACAGGGGAGATAACTTAATAACTTACATGGTCCACGATGAAGATTGAAATCTGCCAGTTTCCCATACCAAAACATGTAATCCGCAGTGGGACCAATGCAAAATGTCTCTGAATCGTGGCTCGGTTCAGTGTATAACGGCCCCTGGAGTTCAGGAGGAATATCTGTTTTAAAGTAGATACTCCCAATAGACCCAAAAGGAATGTTGAAGAATTTCTTCTCGATGTCAACAAAGCTTGTTGCAAGCTTATGCAGTTGGCGTTTAGTCAAATCCCGCCATCTTGACTGCAAGCCCACGCCTTGGGCCTTTTCCATGAGAAGATATTCGACCCCAGCAGAATTGTTTGCGCAGGAAGAATAGCCATAAACTTGAGGCACGGGTATGCCCTTAGAATGGAGATGTTGTAAAGTGGCAGCTTCACTTGCAGTGGCAAATTGTTTGGGCCCAGCAATGTGAAAGGGGATTTTAAGAATTGCCTCAAACCCGTCATCCATAGTTAGAAGGAAAACGCGATTGAAACCCCCCTTCAGCCAGTTTGACAATAGACGCGACTTGCCCATGAGCAGGACCCAAGATCTTCTCAGTCTCCTGCAAAAGGGCAGTGGCGTTAAACTCCACAAAGCGCTCGCGGAGGCGAAGATCCTCATTGAAAAGGAACCTCCCAGAGGTATAGGAATAAAGCTTTTGCGTGGCTAATACACCTAAAGAGTGAAGATATATTAGTGACTATTGATCATGGCTACCCAACTAGAACCTAGAACTTATGACAAACCTACCCATGTTGACACGCTGAGAGTATGCGGCCATGTTCCGTGTCAGTGGATCGAAAATACGATTCAGGACTGATTTGAACATTGGGATAGCAGGCGGTCGTGGTCCTCGTGGATAAGAAGGCTTGCAATAGGGAGTATGCTGGTAACATTCATGTAAATAGCTTCAAAAAACAGAGATCTGTACTCCGTACAACAGGACAACCCATTGCTATCCTAAGAATCATGTGATGGCCTAATACGGGATAGCGTGGACAGCAAAATACATCAACCTTCAAATTTTGCCTCTCCAGGATGGATTTTGGGACTTGCAGGAGTATATCATGATTGAGGGCCGATGTTCTGTTCAGTTCGTGATGCAAATGAGAGGAGGTTTCTAAGGTGGACCCGGCACTGATAGGGACTTGGAAGAAAGCTAGAGTTGAAAACAAAGTCCAGGGTCACATAAATAGGGACAGCAGGGCTGTTCTCCCTTGGCACTGCCGCACTGCGATGCTGGGAAGAAGCGTCGCTTGGCCTTTCTAGTCATGTTTCATTACGTGTGGGACAATTCAAGTGCTGGTGTTTAGAACCTAGAATGAGAAAAATATGCAATTGGTCTTATAACCACTCAAAATCCAGTATGAAGCACGCCCAACACCACTTGCCATTTCCCAAGCCTTGCAAGGCCAATAGATGCACAGAATCGATCAATCATCCCATAACGCACATACCGGTGTATCAAACACATTAGAATCATAATAAGTGACAGATCAAACTCCACAACGGTAGATTTGGGATCCACCAGAGCGGATCTGAATGGTATCACGTCGCTGCAAGACTCCCAATGCCCGATTGAGGGCTTGCTCAGACTTCCCCTTGGCTTCGACGAAGTCACGGCGCAGGGTCGCCAGGCTTGTGCTCCAGCCAATGGGTAGGCGACGCTTCAACTCATCCTCGATCTCGCTGGCTGCATCCATGAGTTCCTTGCTGCCTTGACCTTCGCCCTGAGTAATCGCGTCCATTGTGGATGCTAGGAACAGACGGATGGCCTCGTCCACGTGGGCTTCGGTGGCAATCGGGGAGAGAGAAAGCTTGGCGAGGGATTCAGAGATACGGACAATGGCCTCGAGTTGACGCACGGTGATAGGGATGGATGAACGGGTATTGGACTCCATCTCGGCACGGTGGACTTGCTTTCGGATAGAGACGAAGTGCGAAGAAAGTTTCTCTGCAGCTTCGGGGGAGAGACGAGGCGCACAGCGACTGGGAAGAAAACGTTAATATAAATGCAATGACCTGGTAAATGGTGTCAACATACCTGCGACAGTAGCTGATGTAGCGCTTCATCTGCTCGACTGGAATTTCGGCCTCCACTTGCTCCTCCACTCCACGACCACCCATGTGGACGCCCATGACGTGACGGGCGATCCTCTCGTCTCGGCCCCGCTCATGTTCATCGCGGACAATGAAGATCATATCGAAACGAGACAGGATAGTGGTCTGGAAATCGATGTTTTCGCCAGGGGTCTTGAGATCATCGTACCGACCGAAAACGGGGTTGGCTGCAGCCAGGACAGAAGTTCTCGAATTGAGAATAGTGGTGATACCAGCCTTTGCGATGGAGATGGTCTGCTGTTCCATGGCTTCGTGAATGGCCACACGGTCCTCGTCACGCATCTTATCGAACTCATCAATACATACAACGCCACCATCAGCCAGGACCATGGCACCGCCTTCGAGATAGAACTCGCGAGTGTTGTGGTCTCGCTGCACAGAAGCTGTCAAACCAGCGGCAGAGGAACCCTTTCCGGAAGTGTAGATGGCGATGGGTGCAGCCTTCTCGACGAACTTCAGAAGTTGAGACTTGGCTGTACCGGGGTCACCCAGCATAAGCACGTTAATATCTCCACGGAGCTTCATTCCATCGGGAAGAATCTTCTTGGAACCACCCATAAGCAAGCAGACAATAGCTTTCTTCATATCCAGGTTTCCATAGATAGACGGGGCAATGCTCCGCGCCAGGGCGTCGTACAAATCAGGTCTCCGGCTAAGCTCCAGGAATTCTTGTTCTTCTTCCTCGGAGAAGACCGAGGCGCCCTTTGCTGTCTGGTCGAGGTCGGAGGTGATGCCCACTGCACGGAGATAGGGGTTGCGGATAGCCACTGCGGCCTCCTTTTTGACCCCCTTGGCTTGATAAATCGAGAAAATGCCCATGACTGTGCAACGAGAGCCAGGAACAACTCGATTGGCAAGGTAGCGGTCTGCAGAAATAAGCACGTGTCGTGGTAGCTCACCCACTGGGACCTGGTCGGGGGCTTCCTGAAGCTTGAGGACTTGCTGATCCACGAATTGACATTTCTCGTGGTGAACAACATAGGGATCCAAGGGGCACTGCTCATTGTCTTGGTCATTCTCTTGCCTAGGCCGACCACAGCGACGTGGCAGTGATAGGCCAGCGAAGCCACCATCGACCGTAATGTTCTCATTGTAATCGCAGTTCTTGCAGCGAATGTGAACAAGTGTTGACTTAGAAGATATAGTGGAAGCTCCGATCACAATTCCAGGAATGCGAACGAGGTGGGAAATATTGGTGGCATTGAGGTCACGGATTGAGATGTGTGATGCGGAGGAGTGAAGGAGGAGTTGATGGGAGGGAAGTACGATATCGCGCTGTCCTGGGTAGACAATTCGAGCAGTGCACTGCTTGAGTGCTGCCTCAAACTGTTTGATGTTAGCATCGGCCATATAAATAATGTCATGAGAAACGTACGAGAGGAATCAGTTCACCAGGTTCGGTGGTGAGTCTGTGGGCCAACTCCTCATTGTAAGAAATAAGATGGGCAATGTCAATATCGCAGTAGTACTGTTTCACCACGGCATTCTGCCGTAATTGATCACTGTTACCTCACAGAATTAGCGTCAATTTTACCTAACCTTCATGAATGCGCGACGCGTACCGGTAGACAAATGCATTATCCAGCTGGAATTCCAGCACGAAATCACGCAGGCGGTTCTGTATAGTTGTGCGGTCTTCATCAGCGCCATTTGTACTTGGCGCAAGTACACTCAAAGTATAGGGGGTGCGTCTATCCATGGTGTAGGGCGCAGATATGGCAGGTTGGGGGGGTGGGTGAGTTAGCGGAAGGGAGGCTTCAAGAACTTTTGGTTAGTGTGGCACTAACGCGACGCGTCGAGCATCCGCGTGTGGACGCGTTAAGTGGTTTCTGACTAAGTTACTGCCTGAGGCACCCAACTGTCCCGCCCTGGCAGATTACTGGCCTGAGGCAGGAAATTGCTGAGTCAGGATGGGGAACCGCCACGGTTTAGCTAGCGCAATGGGCGATTGGAGATGACCAGTGATGGAAACAAAGCTACACCACCGGCTATTTCCTTCCAAGAGCCGATCGCAGCCGGACCAAAGTCGCCAATTGCAGAAGCTGATTTAATCAGTGTTGAAAGCTATAGCAGAGCCTGTCAAAGCTCTAGGGCCAGGTGTTCATCCACTGTCATGATCAGATAACACGGAACATCTCAACGATCGACCCTCCCCCGGTGGCTGTCCGATTCGGCTCGTGGCAGCCATGTCGTCAAACAGCCCACGGAAGTCAATTGACAGCTTGGCATCTGGGGTCTCGTCACCTTCAATCTCTTATTCAGCAAGCCAGCTGGGATCTCCGCGCGTGCCCCCTCAGCGGTTTCCCCTGAGGAGGGGATCAACCGCAAGCTCGATTGTGAGCATTGGAGGTGTCCTGGACTCTTCCCACCATCATGGCTCAATTGCAGAGTCTGGACAGAATGGTTCGTGATTTCAGATTACAAATCGCTTCATGATTGACTTGCTGACACCTATTTAGCCATTTCGACTCTCCTCCAGCCCCCAATAATCCGCACCGGTCTGACGGCCCAGAGTGCCGCCTCCTCTACCGGGTTCAAACCTCCATCGACTCGCGACATACCGCCAGTGACCTTGACGAATATAAAACATGTGGATGCGAAAGTCTTCCAGCCGTATCTTGCGCAAGTGGGAGGTTTGTACGATGTATTCCAACAACCTAAAGAAGGCGCAATGGAGGACGTCCAGCCGCTGCAGGCAGCAAAATCTCCGAAACCAGATTCCGATCGCGATTCATTAATGCCATGGTCCCTCGAGAGAAGGTCTTCGGCCATTTCAACAGGTTCAAGGTCATCCTCACCATATGATACTCGCGGCCGGCGCCCCTCCAGCGGCCGTGGCCGCGCCCCGGCAGTGACACCTCTGTCTACCATCCCTCCCGTATACTTTGACGAAGACTTCCACTTGGAGAACCCTCGTACATTCGACGTGGTCTCTGAAAAATCGGACGTGGTACGGCCCCCAAGGCCGCCAACCAAGGACGACAAACACACCAATGGATTAGCTGTGGAGCCAACCCAAACTGGAAGAAAGGCGCTGGCAACGAATGCTATTCTACAAGAGAAGCTTTCCTGGTACATGGATACTGTGGAGATCCACCTTATCTCGTCTATTTCAACGGCATCAAAATCCTTCTTTACTGCACTCGGTTCGCTCCGAGAATTGCACGCGGAAGCGGCTGATTCGGTCAATCGTATACAAGTACTGAGGAGGGATTTACAGAAGATCGATAAAGAAATGGCTCTTGGCGGTCTGAAGATTGTCAATCTAAGACGACGAAGAGAGAATGTACGAATGTTGGCAGCTGCCGTCGCTCAGCTGCGTGATGTGGTCGAATCAGTGTCTCGGTGTGAAGGACTAGTGGAACAGGGCGAGATTGAGGAGGCTGCCGATGGGCTTGAGGAAGTCGAGAAGTTGATGGCGGGGGAGAAGACCTCCGATCGTGCTGCCTCGAAGGATGAAGAGGGGCTTCCCAGACGACTTATCGACCTGCGAGGCATCAAAGCCCTGGAGGGAGCGTCCGACGATCTAGCACAACTCCGGCAACGCATTGGTATGGGCTATGAAACCCGCTTCCTGAACGATCTTTTAGGCGATTTACGGAGGCATGTCCAAAACGTGCCCTCGAACGTGACACTGCAGCGATGGGGCAATACATTCCAGCGGCAGCGGGGCAGTAACCGACCTGTATCGGTCTCTCCTGCCTACATGAACTTCGATAACGAGTTGCGATCGCAGTTGAACACCCAACTCAATGGACTCGCGCGTGCGCACTATACAATGTCAGCGGCGACCTCTTTCAAAAGCGCCGTTTTACGAGAAATGAAGGGCCTTATTCGCAAACACCTCCCCAGCTCTAGTGATGACGATAATGAATCCATGGTGTCGCTGTCCACACATGGCGGTCATCAGCTAAGCCAGCAAGAGAAGTCATCAATTCTTGCTCGCAATCTGCGCGCACTCGATCCAGATGATGCTTATGAGATGTTGCTGAATGTCTACACCGGGGTTAGTGAATCGCTCAGGCGGCTCAGCGTCCAAGTCAAAGTTCTTCTGGATATTGCTAGCGGCCTGGATTCGCCGGCGTCCGGAGTCAAGTCACCACCACGGAGCCCCAACCCGCAGAGTATTGACCAAGCTGTGAAATCTCCGCCGATCGGGCCAACGGCCTCTGACATGGCCCAAGATGAAATTCTCCAGGTTTTGGATATGTCCAGTCTGCTTGGTCAGGCAGTTGATATTGCCCAGTCGCAGATAACGAAGGTGCTGAAGGTGCGATCCGAACAGACTGCCCAGCTTTCGAAAGAGGAGTTCCTCAAGTATTTCACTCTCAACCGCCTGTTCGCCGACGAGTGTGAGGCGATCTCGGGACGCGGTGGTACTGCACTGAAGACCATCGTCGGAAATCAAATCCGTGACTTCATCACCCAATTCGGTGATGGTCAGCGCCATCAAATTGTGAATGTCATGGATGCTGATCGATGGGATGCACGCGACTTTGGCGACGAGGAGAACATCATCCTGACCCGTATCCTAGATGCAAGCACCAAAGATGTCGAGGCCTGGGTGGAAGTCTCCAAGATCTGGATTCAGCCAGCTGACAATGAGCAAAAGGAGCCTGCAGATCCTGCAAACGGGACCGACAAGACTAAAAACCGCACAGCTATCGTTGATGAACAGAAATACATCCTGCCTGACTCTGCTGTTGCGATATTGCGTAGCATCCAAGAGTTTGAGTTCCTCATGTCGAATATTCCCAGCATGATCCAGGACATCGCACCACATTTACTGGATATCCTGAAGCTATTCAACTCGCGATCGTCGCAACTGATTCTTGGAGCTGGTGCTACCCGTAGTGCAGGCCTGAAGAACATCACCACCAAGCACCTCGCCCTGTCGTCGCAGGCCTTGAGCTTTGTCATTGCTTTGGTCCCTTATGTGCGGGAATTCGTCCGTCGTCACGGACAGGCCAACCCCCTGATGGCCGAGTTCGACAAAGTCAAGCGTCTGTGCCAAGAACACCAGAGTGGTATTCACGAGAAGCTGGTGGATATCATGAGCTCGCGCTCTTCCGTGCGCGTGAACGCGATGAAGAAAATAGACTGGGATGCCAAGGGTGCGGCGGTCAATCCTTACATGGAGACGTTGGCCAAAGAGACTGGCACTTTACATCGTGTCTTGAGCAAGCATCTTCCCGACATGACAGTCAGCATGATCATGGTACCAGTGTTCCACAGCTACCGGGATCAATGGATGAAGGCCTTCGACGAGGCTGATGTGAAGACGGAGGCTGGGAAAAAGAGGTTAGTTCGATCTCCAGAATGCCAAGCTGGCCAATATACTGACTAGATTCCAGAATGCAAGCCGACATCGAGCACTTCCGAAGCAAGCTGAGCAAGATCGAAGGCGCCAGCGAGGTCGGCGACAAGCTCCTTGACCTCGTGGGTGGTAAAACCATCCCCAGCGAGGTTGAGGAGAAAGAAGAGCAGGACGATGGCTCTGACTCGACCAAGTCTTGAATAGTTGCTTGTCCTCGTCCATTGGACCATACATATAATTTCCTTTCCGCATGTTCCTTTCTTCTCTACACTTGTCAGCTTACTGTCACCACATACACTGTTCCGCGTCGCATCATAGAGCTAGCCCGGCGTTGTGGACACATGTTCCAATTGATTCTGTGATTCTTGATTCTCACTGTTGTTCATATTTCATTCTGACCTTCCTACCCTCCGCATTAGACAATCAGTCCCATTACTGAATTTATCTCGAACCATTTCCCATCTACGCAGTACTCCAGCGAACCAAAATCTCACAGAGAAAATGTTTATCATTCATACTTATGCATCATAACTCCCTCATAATCATACATAAAAAAATCAGGTATCATAACAGCAAAAGGCACAGCCTATTTGCCTCCAGTATTCTTCTCATCAAGTGACACGACAGGCTTAGCTCCACCGTGGGGATGATCTGGCCCAGAAGTAGGCAGACCGGGGTAGACATCACGGCCGGAGCCAGTCTCTTCAGGCATGGGGGCAGCCTTGTGGGAGCGGGTCAGATCGGCAGGCTATGCATATGAGTTAGTTATTTGTGCCAATTGAATGGGGGATTGAACGGAGCTGAAAACGTACCTCGTTGCCGGTACCGTGGGCCTTGTTGGGACCGTTATCGATTGGGTTGTCGCTCTGGGGGACACCGTTGTCGTATTCTGCGCCGCGGACCATTTTGATGTTTTTGGTGGGAGTTGGAGGGTTTGGAGGAGAGTGGTTATTGTTGTTGTATTATTCAATTGGAGATTTTGGTGATGAGAGAAAGGAAGTGATGGATTTGTTTGTACTTATAGTTGGAGTGTTCTAATGACAGCATCATGAAATCATAGTGGGGCGCATGACTTCATGGCCGTTGAGCTCTGCGATGTTCGATTTTGCCTTGGAAATGGGGTCTGGGAGGTTCAAGTGGAATGGAATGGAAAGTGAAGTGGAATAGATTGTTTAATTTATCTGATATCACACAATTAGACACAGTTTTTTGGAGTGCGAGGACATTTGAAGTTCATCAGAGCGATTAGGGTTATGGTGACCGAACCGGCCATTTCCCGCCCAGCTTTGCGATATGCCTTGAGCTTAAACATAAGCAAATGTCATTGGTGTATTTTTTTCCCTTCAGAAAAGGTATTCCAAAGCGCTGATGGGACAAGTTATGCAGTCCACAGTACTCCGTAGATGTTTCGACACTCGGAATGCAATTGTTTCTCAATATTCATATTCTCTGCGGCGGCGGGTCTTAGCCGCGGCACCAGCACCAAAGCACAACACTACATCTACCAGGGGTTCAATGGGAGCATCGTAGCCGCCAATTGAGGTGGCAAGCAGGTTCTCTAGAGACCCAGCGGACCACAGCGAGTCTCCCACGGGTGTAGGCGGGTGGTCGACAAACGGACTCGATACCAAGTTAGGTAGCTCAGACACTGTGTCTTGCTGCCACTGAGACCATTGCGGTCCAGCTCTAAGAGAGGCTGGCAGGTCCTCGATAGCATGGTCGTGCTGGGTGTCATCTTCCGTGGACAGTTGATGAGAGAGTGAGGAAGACGTTGATTGTACATTGTTTTCGGATTGAGAGTTTTCCCAGCTTAGGCTGAGCGAGGAGGCGAGGCCGCTCGATGTCCGCTCTCGTGATGGTAGGTCGCTCGGTGTGCCAGACTCATGTACAGTGCCTACTTCAGAATAACAGGAGGGGCTTGACATGAGATGGGACAGTTCGGTGAAGTGGGAATCAGGGCGTGGGAGAGGAGGCAGTGAGCCATGTTTGACTTTGTAGCGGAGGCTGTATGGCCGTACGGTTGGCGATGTCGCATCTGCATCGTGGTGTTGGTCGACGCTCACAGGGAGAGGTGGCAGAGGGCCATTTCGGAGTTTATCACGAAGGCAGTCCTGACTTTTGCTGATTTTCAGCGGCTGAGGCCATGATTCATCTCGCGTTGTGTGCTTTCGAGAGCTGTCTTCAGTGACAGAATCAGGCAGTTCGTGATTGTTGGTGAAGGTAGATAAGAGCTGACAGAGATCAGAAGTATCTAGCTGTACAGATGTTGAACAAGAGCAAACTCCTTGCTCAAAGTGAATGGACGACTTGGAGTATCGGAGAGCCTGGGTAATGGAACAGCATAAAGGCATGGTAGGACGATCAATAAAGTCCAAATCGGGTAGACGAGGGGCAGCATCAAGTTCTGCAATGACTGGACGACTGGATAGATCAACTCCAGAAGATGAGATGGTTTCTGGCTGCTCAAACTGGCTGTCGTTGCTGAAGTGTTGCTGTGGTGAATCCGGTGTTGTCAAAACAATTACAGGAAGCTCGACTGGAAAGCTTTCAGTCTCTGACGTGGAGCTGAGAGATGAGTGTTCGACCTCTTCGCTGCTTGAAGGCGGCAAGTCCGGGTTCAAAACTCTCAACTTGGAAGGCTCGTTCAACTCGCCCCTCCAGCTGCTACGGCGGTCACGTTGATGTGGCTGCACAGTTGCCACAGCAAGCGTGACTGCCTTGACTTGTTTAGCTCTGTGGCAGGTTCCCTTTTCCCATCTAAACGACCGGTCTGGGAAACGGGCTTTCCTTTCCCGGGACATAAGCCCTAATTCCAGTACAGAGAGGTTATATTCATCATTGATCATGGAGGTTCTACCAGAGCTCAACGTACCAACACGACTGTGGTCTCGAAAGTGCCGAGTTGGATAGCGATCAATGAGCGCATCCAGTACCATCCGCTTCAGTTCAGTATCAGGGACACTACGATACCGCTTCCGCTCGATCTTGTTGATCAGCTTGATCTTCACGCTGCCCAGAGGCGTGAAGACCCAGCTTCTCAGCCAACGCTTGGCCACAGAACGCCTGCGCAAGACCACCCTGATTTCAGACATGCTTCATGCGACAGGTGGAAGTAGGAAGGATTAGAGACAGAAAATGATGAAGAGCGGAAGGCTGCAGAGAGGATCTTTTTCTTCCTGATTTTAGGGCTCGATGCGCTCAATTTATTATCACTTGATGGAGATGTCATCTTGGAATCTCCGATATCGACATCAATGGGGTCTTTGTTTTGAAGCCCGAAGGTGGTACACGACTTTTCGGGCTTCCAATATTTGGGGGGAAAACATACACAGTATGAGATGTTTCAATGACAATGAGGATGGGCACAAACAGAAAAAGGGATCATTACAGTTCTTTATTGGTGACAGTATAAACATTGAGCGATCCTTTGTTGACCGGGCGCCTTCCATTGTCTATGAGTCAACGTTTTCTAGGACACCTGGACAACGTCGTACAACACCCATGTAGAGTCATCGCAGCGCATGGTAAAGGGAAGTCAACTTGTCCTAGACTCCTAGATGCCTCTGGCGTCGTTCCCAACTAGGGTATATTGATGTAGTTCCAGAATAGGGCTAATTGTACCAGATACTTTCATATGAGCTTGACACGGAGTCACGGACCGAGGTAAGCCCTAACTTCCAAGCACCATCAGTCAAGTAGCTATGTGTAGTTTGCTGATAGGATGCACACCAATGTATGCATAGAGCACACTGCAGATGTATGAACCAATGGGATCAAATGAGGTCATCCAAGACAATGATCATGTTGAAGATCGCAACTCTCGACGCCCAGTGGAGCCCGTTGACTGATAGTGACGTCACGGGATCAGCTTTCCCCGGATCCGACTGCGAATTGGAGCAGAGTAAAGCTCAAGAGGAGGTCAATGAAGACGAGATACGTAGAGATTAGCTTCAACGATCGTACGGTAAAATTGTAGTACTCCGTACTGTGTACATGTATAGAGTATCACTTGAATCGAATCGAAGTACTGTGTACTGTGTAATAGTCAACCGATTCCCTTTTTACTAAGTACAGTTACATGCCACTGCAGTAGCCAGGTACCAATGTAAAGATCCAAGGGTCATACCCTATTATATAATTAAATAGAATGGTGAAATCTCTGCTAGCGTATGATTCCTATTTTTGTATATCGGGTGGAATTTCCCTGGCGTCTGTTTCTATCTTAGCCTACAGGCAAAGTGACACCCGGTAAAACCAGTCCGGAGAAAAACTCGCACACACCGGAACAAGGAATGGGACACTTGCATTCTCTTCTATTTTCCTTAACTTGAGCTTCATCTTCAATTTCTCCCCCTCTCTCTCCTCTCAATCTCAGAGTCCCAGCCACTCGAAAAGTCCAGGTCCAGATCCAGGTCCCAGGCCCAACCCACTCCACTTCTCCCCGCACAGACCCGACTCGGACAGCTCTTCCTTGTTGCGGTTGCCCCCCCCCCCCCCCAATTCCTCTTCCTCCTTTCTATTTCAATCTTCTTCTTGTTTCGAGTCGAAGAAAGATATCTACAATTGGATATCATGTCGGAAACGGAAGAACCCATTAAGCGCGATGTGCGCAACCATATGCTCTTCGAGGTGGCCACGGAAGTGGCCAACCGCGTGGGCGGGATCTACTCGGTCCTCAAATCCAAAGCTCCAGTCACCACCGCGGAGTATGGTGAGCGGTACACGTTGATCGGCCCGCTCAACAAGGCTTCTGCCGCAGTAGAGGTCGAGGAGCTGACGCCGTCTAACCCGGCTTTGCGGGAAACAATCCAATCCATGAAGGAACGGGGTATTGAGATGATCTACGGTCGCTGGCTGATTGAGGGAGCTCCCCGAGTGCTTCTCATTGACACCGGTACTGGCTACAAGTGGTTGGATGAGTGGAAGGGCGATCTTTGGACTTCCTCGGCCATTCCATCCCCCGCCGGCGATCATGAGACCAATGAGGCTATTGTTTTTGGATATTTGGTAGCTTGGTTTTTGGGAGAGGTACGTTCAAGATATGGTGATAGCTAAACACGCCAGGAAAGACCTAAACTGACCAGGCTCGCTATAGTATATTGCCCACGACCGTCGCCGGGCGGTCATTGCCCATTTCCATGAATGGTTGGCTGGTGTAGCTCTGCCTCTCACCAAGAAGCGCCACATGGATCTCACCACTGTCTTTACTACTCATGCAACGTTGCTGGGTCGCTATCTCTGTGCTGGCTCGGTTGATTTCTACAATAACCTCCAGTACTTCGATGTGGATGCGGAGGCCGGAAAGCGAGGCATCTACCACCGTTACTGCATCGAGCGGGCTGCTACTCATTCCTGTGACGTCTTTACCACGGTCTCGCACATCACCGCTTTCGAGAGCGAGCATCTGCTGAAGCGGAAACCCGACGGCGTGCTGCCCAACGGTCTGAATGTGAAGAAGTTCTCTGCCATGCACGAGTTCCAGAACCTGCACTCCCAGGCCAAGGAGAAGATCCACGACTTTGTTCGGGGTCATTTCTACGGTCACAATGATTTTGATTTGGATAATACTCTCTATCTCTTCACTGCGGGTCGTTATGAATTCCGCAATAAGGGTGTCGATATGTTCATTGAGGGGCTGGCCCGTCTCAACCATCGCCTAAAGTCCGCTGGGTCAACCATGACCGTCGTTGCCTTTATTATTATGCCGGCGCAGACCTCGTCGCTGACAGTGGAATCACTGAAGGGACAGGCCGTGGTCAAATCCCTGCGCGATACCGTGGAGAATATTGAGAAGGGCATTGGCAAGCGCATGTATGAGCGCTGCCTTGCCTGGAAGGAGGGTGACAACATGCCCGACGAGAAGGATCTCATTACCAGTCAAGACCGCGTTATGCTTCGTCGTCGCTTGTTCGGCATGAAGCGTCTCGGTCTTCCTCCCATTGTGACTCACAATATGCACAATGACCACGAGGATCCCATCCTGAACCAGATTCGCCGGGTCCAGTTGTTCAACCACTCGTCCGACCGTGTCAAGGTTGTCTTCCACCCCGAATTCCTCAACTCCGCCAACCCCGTCTTGCCGCTTGACTACGACGACTTTGTTCGCGGTACCCACTTGGGTGTCTTCCCCTCCTACTATGAGCCGTGGGGATACACGCCTGCCGAATGTACCGTGATGGGTGTGCCCAGCATCACCACCAACCTGTCCGGATTTGGTTGCTATATGGAGGAATTGATTGAGAATTCCTCGGATTACGGAATTTATATCGTGGACCGTCGCGCCAAGGGCGTCGACGATTCGGTGAACCAATTGTCCGACTTTATGTTCAATTTCACTCAGAAGAGTCGCCGCCAGCGTATCAACCAGCGTAACCGCACGGAGCGTCTGAGTGACTTGCTCGACTGGAAGAGAATGGGCTTAGAGTATGTCAAGGCACGCCAACTGGCGTTGAGAAGAGGTATGTTGTATCCCCCAGTGCTTCAATGATCGTGACTAATTTCCTGTCCAGCCTACCCGTCCTCCTTCGAGGGTGAAGAGGAGTACTTCGATATCATTGGAGGAACAGACCACAAGGTCTCTCGCCCGCTTTCTATTCCTGGATCCCCCCGGGATCGCTCCGGAATGATGACCCCCGGCGACTTTGCCTCTCTGCAGGAAGGTCATGAGGGGCTCAGCACCGAAGATTATATTGCTTGGAAGCTGCCGTACGTCCTCTATTCTGTTATCCCCAGCATCTTGGCAATACTAATACATTATACAGTGAAGAAGAAGAGCCCGAAGAGCACTTCCCCCTCACACTGCGAACCCGCAAGATGGCAGACCGGGCTGCATCACCGTTGGACAGTATATCGGTCAATGGATCGGTCAATGGTCAACAAAGTCCGCAGTAGGAGCTCAGTGCTCCGGACTTCTAAGCCGAGGGTATTGGACCCTTCCGCCTTTATTTCACCTTTCATCTTCTCAATTGGTCCCTTATCCTCGTTGGAGTGGACACGCCCCTCATCGTCTACTTGACGTCATGTGTACTTGTTTAATCACCGACTGTTTTTCTATTTCCTTTTCTTTGTCTTTTTCTTTTGTTTCCTTTGCAGTGCATTTGAAGCCCTATGTTTATGTGTAATTAAACATGAATGAACTCAGGTTGTTACGAGCGAGAGACCATATTTCACATGCAATATACAAGCGGAGGGATGATCCCCGACTGTTTACTTCACTCCACCAGACCCATTCGGATAGCATCGGAGTTGTATCGGACGAAATAGAGTTGAAGCCGTTCCAAGGTTGCAAAACATTAAACTTACTGTTAAAAATACCTCACCAGGGATTCTCGTCCCGGTGAACTTTCGTAGCAACGTGCATGAATCATCTGATCGTACTTTCGCTATTTCTACCCCTCCAGATCTCCTTCTTCCTCCCAACATCTTACTTGCACTTCCATACTCAACCGACTCACGTCTTACCACTCACGTCTACCACCGGTACGACTCTCCATGGAGCCGCACAGGTCCAGTGCCCTGCGGGGTTGCAGGACAAAGTCCTCGCTACGATGAAGAGATGGATCAAGGTATTTGTTCTTAGTATAACAGTCGTTGCCACCGCATGACAGGTGTTCAGTCCAGCCAGTCGAATGGAAGAAAGTCTACCGGGGTCGTTCCTGGTAGCTTCCTTTTCACGTCGACTGGCTGGCTGTTCTGAGATTATACTGTCAAAACTTGATCTAGACAATACTAGCGAAAGGACATGCGTGACTCTGATTGTTCCCCTGTTTTGTGATTTGCGTCTGGCTCTGCTGATACCTTGTTCAATTGACCAAACTGATGAGAAAGGGATGCAAGCAGGGCTGGATGCTTTCTCCCAGACATGCTGACCCAATCCAGTATTCACTAGCTTGATCTCGTTGTCATCATGGCTACCGACAAGATCACCTTCCTGACCAACTGGTATGCTGACATCTCCCAGACTCCCTCAATTTCTACAGTCCCTCCTCGTGGAACTGATCTGTAGTTCGACTTGGCTAAGTTCTTTCAAGGCACGCTACTCCGTACCACGCCCCCCTCTACCTCGCCCAGGCTAGAGGCTACTTCAAGGATGAAGGTCTCAAGGTGGCTCTCCTCGAGCCCAACGACCCTTCCGATGTGACCGAGATCATCGGTAGCGGCAAGGTTGACATGGGTTTCAAAGCTATGATCCATACCCTGGCTGTGCGTACCATTCCAGGCATCCCACGGCACCAGTATTCTATGTATCCCATACTAATACCAACCAGGCCAAAGCCCGCAACTTCCCGGTGACCTCCATTGGCTCCCTCCTAGACGAGCCCTTCACTGGAGTCGTTTACCTGAAGTCCAGCGGCATAACCGAAGATTTCCGCTCGCTGAAGGGCAAGCGCATTGGCTACGTCGGCGAGTTCGGCAAGGTATTACCTCAAACCCGCCAAACACCAGCATGGACACCCCACTAAAACCCTACCAGATCCAAATCGACGAACTGACAAAGTATTACGGCATGACCGCCTCGGACTACACCGCTGTCCGCTGCGGCATGAACATAACCAAGGCCATCACGACCGGCACCATCGACGCCGGCATCGGCCTCGAGAACGTCCAAATGGTCGAGCTGGAAGAATGGCTCCACGCCCAAGGCCGCGACCGCAGCGAAGTCCAAATGCTCCGCATCGACCAGCTGGCTGAACTCGGCTGCTGCTGCTTCTGCTCCATCCTGTACATCGCGAACGATGCCTTCATCGCCGCGAACCGGGAGAAGGTTGCTGCGTTCATGCGCGCTGTCAAGCGGGCTACGGATGCCGTGCTGGCGGATCCTGCAGGTGCGTACGAGGAGTACGTTGACGTGAAGCCCGTTATGGCTGGCGCAGTCAACCGGAAGATCTTTGAGAGGTCTTTTGCTTATTTCTCGCGGGATTTGAAGAATGTGCCGCGGGACTGGATGAAGGTTACCAACTACGGCAAGAGATTGGGTATTTTGGACGAGGGATTCGAGGCGAACTGGACCAATGAGTTCCTTTCTTGGGAACTTGAGGGTGATTCGGCTGATCCCGTTGGAGACCAGAAGAGGATGGCGGCTTTGCAGAAGGAGGTTGCTAAGGATGGAGGTTATAAGCGGCTGGAGGTTCAGGCTACTGCTTGATTTTCGTATCCAACGCTGATGTCGGCGGTTATCTTCTAGGCTTCACTCCTTAGCCTCAAGTAACTCGGTCTAAATTGAAAAAACCCCATTTTGGTGACAGTCGCAGAGAACAGGAGGATTGTAGGGTTTTAGGATCCTTCGCTCACTTTGCACGTATCGCTTGTTGGCCTCCACGCTCCACCGTAGTTGGAGCATTTGATTCCAGTGACCTCACCGCGCTTCGAAGAACGCTCCCAAATCGTGTGCTCCTTCGCGCAGTGGCCACAATAGCCACACTGATAGTTATTCCGGCACTGTTGGCGAATGTGCCGCGGTATGTGGCATTTTATGCATAGTTTGGACCCCCCCCCCCCCCCCGGCGGATGCGAGTTGATTAGTGCACTCGCGGAGCCCACCCGGTAAGACGCTCATACAGGGGACGCTGTGGCACCACCACGTGCGCCAAACGAGTCAACGACGCAATTCTGCCGGGAGGGCAGAACGAAACTTTGCATAAAATGCCAAAAACCAGGGCACATTCACTCGCACTGTCGCAACAACATTAGTGTGGCCATTGCGCGAATACGCTTCCCTGTGGTGATAACTCTCGATATCTCATCTTTTGCCATTCGAACTGTCGAAGAGAACCTAGGGAGTGGAACGGCACAGGGGACAAGGCATGTGGGAAATGGGTAAATGGGCCCGTTGGAATCGGAGGGGAGTGTATGACCGGCGCAGTGCGCAGTTCCTTAGCGGCTCGTTAGGGTTCAAAACCCCCAACTAACCTCTAAGCGGACAATCAGGCCAATTCAGGCAGGCATCATCATGTATGCCCAGACGGGAAAGCGAGCTAAATGGGGGCTAATGAGAAGTCGAGAACATCATCATCATAGAGCTTTAGGATCTTGTAAACATGAGATTGCATGTCAAGGACATATAATTAGAGAGCTATCCCTTACTGGGCCTTACTCCAGTCATCAAACATCAGTCGTTATCATATATCGTAAGAGGAACCATACACAGGTTCCAATAGTAATCAACTTGCCGTCGAAGCGACACCCCGATTCCCCGCACGATCCAACATCGCTCTGAGCTTATCCTCAGCTGACTGCAAAGCAGGACTCGAGCGAGTACCAACAATATCCGAACTCCATTTCAGCCACCCAAGCAGAGAATGAATAATCTCCGTACTTGAGCGTCCCATTCCAGCCCCATCACTACTCGCAGTCTGAGCCAGACCAGAATCACCAGAAACCCGATCATCCGCACTGGCCGCCAAATACACCTCCGACACAACAGCCGGCGTAGCCATATTGACAGACCTCCCCTCCCCACAGACAGTGCCCGCCAAAAGGTCCCGTCCACTCCCCCTGGGTCTCGAGACGAACTCCCGCGCAAGCGGCACCTCACGAACCGCCAAAACAGTCTCCGCCTGTGAATTCATCCCCGGAGAGCGCGGACGCTCCATCTCCCTCTGCGGCAAGCGATCCGCACCATCCCCCATGGAAGCGGTATGTCGCAAAGTCTCCAAATACCGATGAAATGAGAAAGGATGCATATCCCGAGCAGCATCAGGCAAATCCATATTCAAATGCAGATTCAAATTCCCCTCTTCACCCACAACGATACTATCATCGAGCCGTTCCTGTTCAGGTCGCACCTCCTCGACTGGGTTCAGGGCACTTGGTGTAGCACATATCTCACCTAGCGGGGCGATGTGACTGCCATATTCATTGGCAAGGCTTAGCTTGCTCCGGCCGCAGATTTCGGCGATGGAGTCTAGCGTGCCTCGGATATCGGGCTCGATGGCTTGTAGTATACTTTCGATACTGAAGTCCTTGTCCGAGGGGAAGATGATCTCCTGGGATGGACGGGGAGTAGAGTTTCCGGGGAAAGGAAAGAAGCGGCGGGACATGGTGGATTGTTGCGTTGGTTTATTGTGCTCGCCTGAATACGCTCTAACGAGGACGGGGCGGGTAGGTGTTGACGGTCTTTGTTCAGAGGGGTCTGCTCGAGACTGGGATCTCGGGGGACCAGTCCGCTGGCGGAGAGCTGGGGCACGATATGCGGTAGTGGAGTCGTGCCGTGAGTTGGCGGTTGCAGGGCCGGGCACTTGGGGTGTGTTGGAGGATAGTTGAGACCATCTTTGACGAGGGATGGAGGAAGAGGATGCTCGCGTACTGGGGAGGGTTTGTGGTTCCATCATTGTACAGTTTCTGGTACACAGGCTACGTTGACAGCGCAGACGGGCGACCCCGCTCTGGAAGGTACAGGACTCAGAGGGTTAGTTCGGGCTCACGGGGATTCGTATCCACGTTGCATGCGCAATGCATGTTCTCCGGCATGCGTTGGGCAGGTCTGTGAATAACCTGTTGCGTTGATGGGGAAGAGGGGAACTTCTCTTGAGTTTGTATGTCAACAATGCGCCGGGCTGTCGATGCAAATGAGTGATTACTCGTATTCTCGAGATTGAGTCTCTTTGGAACGTAGAAGCAAAGTGATTAGTGATAATTGCAATTAGTATGGAAGTAGTTCGTTAGAGGATGATCTCCCTAGTCCAGGCATTTACAAAGCCGTGTCGGTGCCCGAGATCCAAGTCGAGGAGTTGATATGCCAAGACCAGCACCACGTTTCCCCGATCTTCACTCGACCCTCCACAAGTCCACCTTTTACCTCGCATCATGGATGGGTTACAGGTACGCAATGATCTAATTTTCCTAGAGATTCTGTCTAACTCCCTCTAGTTCGGCGACTCCGACTCCTCCTCCTCCGACTTCGACGAGGACCCCTCCGGCCTCCCCTTCCCAGAGCCGCTCTCCCGTACCTCGTTCCTGGCCCCTGACTTCGACCCAGCCACCTTCCTCGCTTCATTAACAAACCGCCACCAGAGTCTCGAGGACCTGCGACAAGAACTGCGCGGGCTCGAACAATCTCTAAACAAAGAGCTGTTAGATCTGGTCAATGAGAACTACCAGGACTTCCTCTCACTAGGCACCGCGCTGCGCGGCGGCGAAGAAAAAGTCGAAGGCGTAAAAGTTGGCGTACTGTCTTTCCAGCGTGATGTCACGGCCATTCGAGATAAGGTGGAGGCGCGACGCAAGGAAGTGGAAGAGCTATTGAATGAGAAACGGCGGCTACGGACGAATGCCGACATTGGCAAGGAGCTGCTGGACTATGCGGACCGTGTCGAGGAATTGGAGCACCGGTTGATGATAGCGGACAAGTCATCGCCGCAGGAAGGGGTCACACCATATGATTCGGACACGGAGTCTGATTTGTATAGCGGCGAGAGCGACGATAGCGATGACGATGAGTTGGCGGATGGGTCGTCTGGGATTTCGCTGAAAAGGATGAAACGACATGCGCAGAAGTTTGTCTATTTGACCTCGATAGCTGCCCGGGTCGGCGAGAAGCATCCCTTTCTGGTTGCGCAGCAGCCGCGAGTCGCGAAGATCAAGTCGACCGTGCTGCTGGATCTCAAGAATGCCTTGGAGCAGGCTACTGCGGCAGGTGCTAAGCAGGGAAACCGCGATGGGAGGACCATGGCAATTCTGCGCCTCTACGATCTGATGGGTGAGGATGTCAGTGCTGTCGCTGCGCTGAAGAACCTCAAGCTGTAGGCATTACATGCTTTGTCTGGCGAATTGGGAATCGCCACTGGCTTGCATACATAGCGTTGGCGTTTGGTCTTATAAAGTCTCTAATTCAACAATGATACCATGATACACCAAGTCCTTTCCTAATAAAACAATAAATTTGTACACGCCAAAAGGATATAAGAGAGATTGAGTATGTTACAGGCCGGTCAAGGCGGAGGTTTCGGGGGAGGATTCGCTGCGGAACTCGCCGTTTAGTGAGAATCCAGGGCCGTTGGTGGAGCTCAGAACCTGGGCATTACGTTAGAGGGTGATTTGCAGGATAGGACCAACTTGAAGTACTCACCACCTCGTAGATCTCCTTGTTGACACGGTCAGTCAACGCAGAAGCATCCTTCTTAATCTGGTCCAGTGTGACGCGCAAGTTGTCGCGCAATTGCTCCGGGGAAAAGCCCAATTGTCCGACAGGCAGACGGATAACGGCATCACGCTCACGGTACACGGTACCACCACGGAGCATCTCCACACGGGCAGCGACATCTTCCACGACCGTACCAGTCTTCGCACTAGGCATCAAACCGCGAGGACCGAGAATACGACCGAGCGCGGCCTTGTTGAGTGCCGGCAAACTGTCCGGGTGGGCAAGACAGCGGTCGAACTCAATCTTGCCAGCCTTGACAGCCTCGAAGACTTCATCCTCGCCGACGAGGACGGCACCGGCGGCTAGGGCCTCCTTGGCTTGTTTCGAACCGGGAGGACAGATGACACAGATGCGGGATTCGGTCTGGACGGCGTGCGGGAATCGGAGCATGTTACGAATGACGGGCCCGTCGCGCTTTGTTCGCAGTCGAATGTGCAGTTCGTATTTTTGGACGGTGGGCTCGCGGCCGACTTCGATGGCCCGGATATATCTGGTAAAGTAAGATGTCAACTGATGAACTAGTGGTTCGTTACCCGCCTCCGATCAGGCATTGAGTACATACCGCATGGCATCGCACAAAGCCCATTGCGGCATATCTTTCAAGTTCTTCTGTCTGAACTCCTGGGGACCTTTGCTTTTCTTGACAGGCTGCTCTTTCCCCTTGCCCTTCGGCTTGCTCTTAAGGCCTCGGACCTGCTGGAAGGTCGAGATAACGGGAGTGATGGTCTCCCGTAGCGGAGCCCGGCATAATGAAAGGATTCCGCGTGCCGCAGTGGGCAGTACCGAGCCGTAGGGCGACATATTGTCAGGCGTTGATTTGAGCTGATCGGCCTGGTTGAAGCAATTGTTTTCTGCCGGAAAGCTGTCGGAGTCGGAGAAACCCTGTTCCGGTTGGGTTGTAGATAATGACTCTGCCCCGCCAGAACTTGAAACTCTTCCCTTCCATACCGTTGCGCCATGTCTCAATACGAGTTGAAAGTGGCTACTCGTGCCAATCACGCGGCGCTTCTGCCCGTCGTGCTCATCGTCACCTCCGTCAATGAGGCCCGCCCTAGCCCGGTGATCAACATCACCTATGAGGACACTGCTCTTCTGCAGGATGGCGACAAGGCCATTGTCCAGCTTACCAGTGGCTCCAACTCCGTCTTTGGTACTGCCAACATTATTCAGGAGCTTACTGTGCACTTCCCTTACCTGACTGGCAAGGACGCCAAGGTGGTGAGTTACCAATTACACCCAGACCTTCCACCCCGCCGCGGAGTCATGTTTTGTGACTGGATGGCTAACAGATATCTTGCAATAGGAAGCCGAATGGATCTCTCAGTTGGATTCCCTGACCACTCTTGACTTCAAGGCCCTCGACCCCGTCCTCCAGCGCCTTGACACCCATCTCCTCATGCGCTCCTTCGTCGTCGGATACTCGCTTTCTACTCCCGACATTGCTCTTTGGGGTGCTCTCCGCGGCAACCGTGTTGCTGTTGCGGCTCTGAAGAAGGGATCCCTTGTGAACCTGACCCGTTGGTACCGGTTCTTGGAGGAGCTTTGCCCCTGGACCGCCGGCGTTGTTGAGTCTATGAACGCGGTCGCTAAGGAGAAGAAGGTTGCCAAGTCCAAGGAGGGTGCTAGCTACGACATTGCGCTCAAGAACACTGAGAACGGCGTCGTCACTCGTTTCCCCCTGAGCCTTCGTAAGTTGTGCCGTCTGCTTTACTCTTCGCTCAAGGCTAACATTGTTCGGTTCAGTGGATACTTGCACATTGGTCACGCCAAGGCTGCTCTTCTCAACGACTACTTTGCTCACGAGAAGTACAACGGTACTATGCTTCTGAGGTGAGTAAAAACATCAACATCACCCCTTCAAAGAGCCGAACTGACTTTACTAGATTCGACGACACCAACCCTTCGAACGAGAAGCAGGAGTTCCAGGATGCCATCGTCGAGGATCTTGCCCTCATGGGTATCAAGCCCAACAAGATGACCTACACCAGTGACTACTTCGACGAGTTGTACGATTACTGTGTCAAGATCATCAAGCAGGGTGATGCCTACGCCGATGATACCGATAAGGAGACTATGGCCGCCCAGCGTTGGGACGGTCTGCCCAGCAAACGTCGCGACCTCTCCCCAGAGGAGAGCTTGGCTAAACTCGAGGAGATGAAGAACGGCACCACCGAGGGTCTCCGCTGGTGCATCCGTGCCAAAATCTCCTTCGACTGCCCTAACAAGGCTATGCGTGACCCCGTCATCTACCGCTGCAACCCGGCACCCCACCACCGCACCGGCACTAAGTGGAAGATCTACCCAACCTACGACTTTGCCTGCCCTATTGTTGACTCGCTAGAGGGTGTCACCCACGCTCTGCGTACTATCGAGTACCGCGACCGTAACCCCCAGTACCAGTGGATGTTGGATACCATGAAGATGCGCAACGTCCAGGTGTGGGATTTCGCCCGCATGAACTTCGTCCGCACTCTTCTCTCTAAGCGTAAGCTGACCAAGCTGGTTGAAACCGGTCTCGTCTGGGGCTGGGACGATCCCCGCTTCCCCACCATCCGTGGTATCCGTCGCCGTGGTATGACCATCCCCGCTCTGCGCGAGTTCATCCTCAAGCAGGGTCCCTCCAAGGCCGTCACCAACTTCGACTGGGGTCTCATTTGGGCCACTAACAAGAAGTACATCGACCCTATTGCCCCGCGCCACACCACCATCTTCAACAAGAACGTCGTCAAGACCACCGTCACCGGCGGGCCCACTACCCCTTACAGCGAGGAGAAGCCCCGCCACGTCAAGAACGCCGCCGTCGGCATGAAGAAGGTTGTCTACAGCAGCTCGATCATCCTCGAGCAGGAGGATGTCAAGCTCTTCAAGCCGGACGAGGAGATCACCCTGATGAACTGGGGTAACGCCATCGTCCGCAAGATCAGCACCAACGCCGAGACCGGCATCATCACCAACCTCGAGCTCGAGCTGCACATGGCCGGCGACGTCAAGAAGACCGAGAAGAAGGTCACCTGGCTCGCAACCGAGGGTCAGGACCTTGTCCCCGTTGAGCTAGTTGACTTTGACCACCTCCTGACCAAGGATTCCCTTGGTGAGGACGATGTCTTGGAGGACTACCTCAACAAGCACACCGAGTTCCGTGAGGAGGGTCTGGCTGACTGCAATGTCGCGGACCTCAAGGAGAGCGATATCATCCAGTTCGATCGCAAGGGCTACTACCGTCTTGATCGCCCTTACTCTCCCGGCTCGCCTGCTGTCTTCTTCAACATTCCTTCCGGAAAGAGCAAATAGATGTTCTGCAGATTATGATGTGAAGCATGTTTTATGAGTGTCTATGAAAAGGAGTGAAGATATGAGTCAATGAAAGGTTGTTTATATCCTTCTAACCAGTCCGGTATATAGGACAAGGAAGTTGGTACATGGATCCGCACATCTGCAGGTATCTCCTACAAATAACTGCATGGAGCGAATACAGCCACGCTGAACATGTGGTCCTAGTATCTCCTATCTCTGGAAAGGGTAGCTGGGGCTGGAGCTTTGGGTCTAACCAGGCATGTAGCCTGTAGGGCTGCGGATGGTCACGTGTAGGGAAATTGACAGCGGTTTTTCATAGCTTTTGTCTAAGCCGGTCATTATGAAGCTTCTTATAATCTTTATCTCTCAAGCACTCCGGCTGGATTCCGGCCCTCTGGTTCCTCCCGACGAATCATGCAAATGAGCTGGACAGGGATGTAAATTCCGCTGCCCGGCTGTCAGCGGAATCGAACGCGGATGACGTCGATGACTACCTGCGTGCTATTTGTGGACTTTCGGATACCTGCGCATCCGCTACAGCTGGAATTGGTTTGGATCATTTATTTGTATTCCCCCAGCTGACTTCTGATGGATGTAGAGCTCATGGCTCCCACTCCCATGGCATTGGAGTACTAGACAAGCCTCCCTGATTGACCACTGCTGGTCTCGATAGCCGACTGTCGTGGAAGTACAAATTGGCCAGGACTTACATACTTCGGCATGTATCATGGTCCTATTGCAGTACAGCATCAGAATCCGTGGTCTGATCTAGGCCTTGTTCTAGCTGCCTTGGTCCACAATGCTTGCCGAGGGAACCTGGCCGATGACCCATGGATGAGAGCTTGCAACTCAAAGTCAATGCCGGTACCTGTTTACATACTTTCATCGCCAGCTCAGGGTCAATATCTGCAATCGTGATCTAGATAGGTCGAGCCAATATTTCAGGCAGTCAAATCCAACGGTCGTTCTTGAACTTGTCCGCGGCTCGTCACATCAAGAGGTGACAGTTTCCCGGCTTGACCCTCCTTCAGGGACCGGGCAGGAACACCAAAATAATGAGAACACTCGCTTCGGTATGAGGCTTCAAGTCTCCGAGAGCTTCCTAGCTCGACGTCAGCATGATGGATCATGTCGGGAGTGGTAAAACTCGTTGCAGTAGCAGCTCCTTCCTTCCGTGCTCAAGACAGTGGAAGCAAGATACTGAGGCCTCGGTTAATTCGTTGATTGCCTTCTCTTTTTATCCATTGGGGTGCTCAGTGGCACACGATTAATTGAAAGACTCACTATATCTGGTATCATTTTACCTTCATTCTGGGATCCTTTGTGCCGTGTTCGTTGCTCCTGTCTTCGAGCATACTGCTGTCAAGAAGGTAATCTCGACCTTCCTTTTCCATTCCAAATAGTTATTTATGCAATTGAGACAGCCCATCATGACCAGCCATGCCCAAGCCGGGCGTGCCGACGTTGGCCGCCGCAGCTCACGGATCTCTCGGGCGTCTCTGAGCGGAGACTGGAACAACCTGGACGAATATGGCAAGCTCGTCAAGTATGTGTCGACCTTCCACGATCCGAATGCACTCGATCAGGAGCTCGGTGAAGTAGCAGAGAAACGAGTCTGGTACGCCCCCTGGATGAAGCGTAAAGTGCGCGTCAAGAGGGTCAAAGATGAAATCGGCAAATTCCCTGACGACTGGACCATGACCGATGTCCGAGAGGGCCTCTCTAGCAGTGAAGTTCCAGTGCGCCGTCGTCGTGCTGGGTGGAATGAGTTGACTTCCGAGAAGGAAAATCCCATTGCTAAGATCCTTTCCTACTTCCAGGGTCCAATTCTCTATGGTGAGTCTTTCTAGCTCGTCGTTTATCTGCCTTTCTGACCCATATACAGTCATGGAACTGGCTGTTTTGCTTGCCGCAGGTCTAGAGGACTGGGTTGACTTCGGTGTCATTATTGGTATCCTTTGCCTGAACGCCGCAGTGGGTTGGTACCAAGAGAAGCAGGCTGCCGATGTGGTTGCCAGTCTCAAAGGTGACATTGCCCTGCGCGCTCAGGTTATCCGGGACGGCACTCAACAGGAATGCCTTGCTCGGGAGTTGGTACCAGGGGATGTAGTATGTTTACCTGGAAATATTTATAGCCTTGTGTATATTTGCTGACCAAACGTCTAGGTTATCGTTGGCGAAGGTCAAGTTGTGCCCGCCGATTGCAGAGTTATCTGTGACGTCAAGGATGAACACGGCTGGGAAGAGTTCAACGAGCTCCAAGAGCAGGGCATGCTTGGCGCAGGGTCGGAGTCAGATGAGGAGGAAGATCCATCCAAGAACAAGGGCGAAGGCGAAGGCGACGGCAAGGCTAAGGCGGAGGACGAACATCAGGCGCAGAAAGCTCGTAGACGTGGCTACCCCATCTTGGCGTGTGACCACTCTGCCATCACGGGCGAGTCGCTTGCCGTGGATCGTTATATGGGTGATATGATTTTCTATACCACTGGCTGCAAGCGTGGCAAGGCTTTTGCTGTTGTTCAAACGGGTGCAAGGACTTCTTTTGTCGGCCGCACGGCCACCATGGTTCAGTCTGCCAAAGGCGCCGGGCACTTCGAACTCGTCATGGATAACATCGGAACATCTCTCTTGATTCTGGTCATGGCCTGGATTCTTGCTGCATGGATCGGTGGATTCTTCCGTCATATCCCTATTGCCTCGCCTCATCAGCAGACTTTGCTTCACTACACTCTGTCTTTGTTAATCATCGGCGTACCTGTCGGTCTTCCTGTTGTGACCACCACCACTATGGCTGTTGGTGCTGCCTATCTGGCGAAAAAGAAAGCAATAGTGCAAAAGCTGACGGCGATTGAATCCCTGGCGGTAAGTCTGCGTGGCTGCGTTGGCATGAATTGATTCTAAGTACTGACACCAACAAAGGGCGTCGACATCTTATGTTCCGATAAAACTGGTACACTGACCGCGAACAAATTGAGCATCCGCGACCCTTACGTTGCGGAAGGCGTCGATGTCGACTGGATGTTTGCTGTTGCTGCACTCGCGTCCTCACACAATATTGAATCTCTGGATCCAATTGATAAGGTCACAATCTTGACGCTCAGGCAATATCCACGAGCAAGGGAGATTTTGCGTCGAGGATGGGTAACTGAAAAGTTCACACCCTTTGACCCAGTGTCTAAACGCATTGTTACTGTCGCAACTTGTGATGGCATTCGATACACATGCACGAAGGGAGCCCCGAAAGCCGTACTTCAGTTGACAAACTGTTCCAAGGAAACTGCTGATTTGTACAAGGCCAAAGCACAAGAATTTGCGCATCGCGGGTTCCGCTCCCTCGGTGTGGCCGTTCAAAAGGAAGGCGAAGAGTGGGCTTTACTCGGAATGCTGCCTATGTTTGATCCTCCCCGAGAGGACACCGCTCAAACAATTAGCGAAGCACAGGCCCTCGGTATTAGCGTGAAAATGCTGACCGGCGATGCGATTGCGATCGCAAAGGAAACCTGTAAGATGCTGGCTCTAGGCACTAAGGTGTATAACTCGGATAAGTTGATTCATGGTGGTTTAAGTGGCGCCATGGCTAGCGATCTTGTCGAAAAGGCCGACGGCTTTGCCGAGGTCTTTCCTGAACACAAATACCAAGTGGTGCAGATGCTGCAAGAACGGGGCCACTTAACTGCGATGACTGGAGACGGCGTGAATGACGCGCCATCGCTTAAGAAGGCGGATTGCGGTATTGCCGTCGAGGGGGCTTCTGAAGCTGCACAGTCTGCATCAGACATTGTGTTCCTGGAGCCCGGACTTTCGACGATTATTGACTCGATAAAAGTCGCACGCCAAATCTTCCACCGCATGAAGTCTTACATCCAATACCGCATCGCACTCTGCTTGCACCTTGAGATTTACCTAGTGACCTCGATGATCATTCTGAATGAGAGCATCCGTGTCGAGCTGATCGTCTTCTTGGCATTGTTTGCTGATCTGGCCACAGTTGCGGTGGCTTATGATAATGCATCATTTGAGCTGAGGCCTGTCGAATGGCAGCTTCCAAAGATTTGGTTCATCTCCTGCCTGTTGGGCGTGCTACTCGCACTGGGCACGTGGATCGTCCGCGGTACAATGTTCTTGAAATCTGGCGGTATCATTCAAAATTGGGGATCTATCCAAGAAGTCCTCTTTTTGGAAGTGGCGCTCACCGAAAATTGGCTTATCTTCGTCACTCGCGGCATTGACACTTGGCCATCCATCCACCTAGTGACAGCCATTCTCGGCGTGGATATTCTGGCTACCATTTTCTGTTTGTTTGGTTGGTTCACCAACGAAAACATGAGGACCAGACCGCAAAGCCACTTTGTTGAGACTAGGAACGGCTGGACTGACATTGTCACTGTTGTGCGCATCTGGGGCTATTCGATTGGTGTGGAGATTGTCATCGCTTTAGTGTACTTCATCTTGAACAAAATCAAGTGGCTTGATAATCTGGGTCGTGCCCAGCGGGATAGGGGTGAGGTTCGGATTGAGAATCTCCTTGCTCACTTGTCACGTGTTACGGTTGAGTATGAAGAAGCAGGTATGCAAAAGGGCCGGTTCAGCTTGGCTGCAACCAAAGAAGAAGAGGAGGCTGAGTGAGGAAGAGAAGAAAGGATGGAGGTGAGGTGCAGATGGCGGTGGTGGAGATGGTGGAATTCCATAAGTTGGCAGGTGCCAGGTGTGAGATTCGAAGGAAAGAACGATGGGTGTTCTGCTCCTTCCTAATTAGTGTTGATCGTTATGATTATCACGTGTTCCACAGTACGATAGGATGTCTATGCTACTCCTTAGTCTGTTCTTCTTGCAAAGACCCTAATGTCACTCAAATACTCCAAACAATCTCCTTCGGATCTAAACATTCCATACATCCTAGCAATATGGACCGGTCACACAACATCTTCCATGACAACTTCGTGGAAAGTAATAAGATTAAATTGGGTATAATACTAACGAATGGATAGAAGGAAATGGTCAGGGCTGAACGAGCGACTGACAAACGACAGGCAATGAGCTGGATAGAGACACGGCTGATATGACAAATTCACCTGGAAGATTCGTATATGCATCTAACCAATCCAATGATCAGCATTCGGCTTCGGAGAAGGAGTACTCGATATCAAATTGAAGTATGACACGCATTTGACACATTCAATCTTGAAAGAAAGGCGCAAATACTCAGATGCGGTTTCGCTTTCCATGTCTGAGGCCTTTGGCTAGACCGTTGGCGACACCGCCAGCAAGGTTGTTAGCCTGGCGGAGACCACCCAGCAGACTCATGAGGTCATTTCCAAGCACCGAGCTCAGAGTATTATTCTCTTCATCGTCGGAATCCTCGCTGTCGTTCTCGTTATCACCCTTTGACGGAGCAGCAGTCTTCGTAGGAGACGCAGTGGTCTTCGAAGACTTTGTCGCTGAAGCTTCGGGCTTAACAGTGGTCGCAATCTTAGTCGGCTTGACCTCGGTAGTCGCAGGCTTAGGGGTAGCGGTAGTAGTCGGTTTCGGCTTGGCCTCTGTAGTCGCAGGCTTAGGAGGAGCGGTAGTAGTCGGTTTCGGCTTGGCCTCGGTAGTCGCAGGCTTAGGAGTAGCGGTAGTAGTCGGTTCCGGCTTGGCCTCGGTAGTCGCAGGCTTAGGGGTAGCGGTAGTAGTCGGTTTCGGCTTGTTATCGGTAGGGTTGTTCTCGGCGCTGGTAGGCTCATCCGTTTGCGAAGCAGAAGCAGATGAAGAGGAGGAAGAGGAGAGTGAGGAAGCGGGTGCATTGGAAGATGACGATACTGTGCTCGTCGTCTTCGTGTCGGTGCTCGTGGTCGTCTTCGTTGAGTCAGTGGACGTAGAAGCAGGCGCCGAAGTTGACGCCGGGTCGGGCGACGACGAACCGGAATCATCATCAGCAGGGCCCAGACTCTTTCGCACGTCCTTAATAAACCCATCGTTGCCGTATGCTTGTGTAGCATCCCACATCATAACACCACCAAAGCTCTTGAATTTCTTCGAGTATTCGATAACCTTGGCCAACTCGGAGGCAGGGATGTATCCTGTGCTAGCGGCTGTGGTGAAGGCCGGCACGCCGACGATGACCTTGACGTCCTTGTTTTTCGATACCGTGTGGGCCCAGTTGTCCCACTCATCGAAATTGTATTTGTTGCTTGAGCTGTCGGAGCTGAAGGCATTGACGCCGCAGAAGTTGTTGTAGAATTGCACCCAGACGGCATCGATGTAGACGGGACCGTTGAGGATATCCTTGTCTGCCTGATCCGGATATGGACATTGCGGTGCCGCAGTCAAGTAGAACTTTTGTTTGCTCTTATCCGCATCCATCAGCGCGCGCAGCTCATTGGCGAAGGGAGCCATGTGTTGGACATTGGCCTCAAAATCGAAGTCGAAGCCATCCAGGACGGCATCGCCGAAGGGACGAAGAGCCTTAGAGCCCTCTTTCTTTGGGCCGAATGTTTCCCACATCAACTTTGCGCCGTCCTTGGCATCAGCTTCAGACTTGAAGCCGCCTTCGCTATAAGTGGCTCCGCCGATGGATAGCAGGATGGTTTTGTGTTTCTTTTGGCATGTCTGGATGTCCTTGCTGGAAGTTATTAGCTCTCTGGCATGGGAGCCAGGAGATACTTGCAATGCTTACCCAATTTTAGGACAGTTCTTCAATTGCGTGCCCTCGAAGACCTCACAATCTTTGCTGGTGACAGAGAAATCAACCTCTGGCGCGCCTCCTGGGCCGTTGACCATCATGTTGAAGGCCATTGGGATAACCTGCCGTCATTCGTTAGCTCATTGACTGAGATTGTTCTGTGTTCTTCCAATCCTCGTCTCACATCGATGTCTTCATCTAGATGCTCATGTTAGTCTCGTCACCCGCATGCATAGCTCCTGGTTCTACTTACTGTCGCAGTAGTGTGCCAAAGGCTGCTGTGCCTTATCACCCTTTCCATTAAAAGAATTCTGACCTGCAAAACGTAACCATGTCAGTGTCAACTGGCTTCAACAGCGAAAACCCACATACCCCAGTAAACAACTATATTACTAGTTGAATTCAGGTCGAGCTTGGCCTGCGCGCCTCCAATTGAAGCCAACAGAACCGACCACGAAAGGATACCCTGGTAGCGACGCATAATGACAAGAGCAGTGCACTTTCTGCTCTAACCTGTCCGATTAGATATTAAGAAAAACAAATTATATACGCGGTTAAAGGACGTATAATGACCGGAACGACAACGACAAGTCGGAACACCATCTGCTCACATGGATCGAGTATCACACGACATTAAGTAGCATCCTGCGAGTTATTTTACTTGTTTTGGCCGAAAGAATGGCCGCGTTCCAGCCCTCAAGTGCCTGACCCGGCGCTCAAAGCGCATGGTATGATCCACAATGTCCACGCCAGCAGCCGTTAGGGAAGAGATCAAGGTCATTCCTCGCCCCTGGACAACTTTAATGTATAGATGACATTTACATATGACGCATTTGATTGGGTCGGAACTTCCCACTGCGCCCTGGTCTGCATTCCAGCCGTTGTCATGGGGAGGAGATCGGGCATGGCCCAGTATTCGGGGCCAGGAATGCACCGAGGGATGAGCATGTGGGCCGAGTGATAATATCAAGTTTTAGACCACGCATACTGGATCATTGGCTTCGAGGGAAGACTCACCTGTCAATGTCAGGAGTGTTGCTCTTTTTCATATGGCGTCCCATCGTGCATGCCCCATCGGTCTATGCATCGTCCACGTTGTACCCTGCAACTCCACCAGATTATCATATCCTCTTAGTCTGTGCACGGATTCGATCTTTCTCTAGTAGCTCATAGTTCTCGGTTGGAAAGTCTCCAAAATGCGGGTTGACTTGGTTGTAGGACGGGGCGAATCCTGGATCAATGAAGCATAGGTACCATCAACATGGCCAACCTAATATATACCGAACCCGGGCACCCAACCTCATGACATAGGTTTCACATCAGATGTCTTCTGCATGCCCGTTGACATGAAAGATACCCCTTTATGTGACACTGTTTGTATAATTTGAACTTGAATCGGCATCACTTGATGACCGTTCTGGAGTATCAGGTTCACCTGGATGGGCGACGAATGATCCATATGAAAACGACTTGTCATGTGTACGCAGTAAGCTGGCGAAGAAGTTGACGTACTTTGACATTCAAGTACTTCGTTACCCAAATCCAATCAAAAATTGGATCGATCGTAAGCCTCCCGATCTCCCTCGAAATGTGCCAGAGTGAAGAATGTGACATGGAGTCCTCTGTTAATGCTAACTCATACTCTGGAAGTATGGCAACTGGCCAGTCTGGGCTGCCAAGCCAACCTCTACCCCAAGTCAGGTTAGCGTTGAATAGTCCCCGATGGAAGCCATGGGCCTCATACACTATTTGAAGTCCTGGGCCTGCGCTGTTAGATCGTACGTATAGATATAAGGCTAGGGAACTTTAATGCAGTGACTCATTGACAATGACATGGATTTTGGCTTTTGCAATGCCTAAACGAGTGAGTGCTATGCCGGGCCCCGAAAGTATCGAGTATCCACTGCAATGATTCACTCGAAGGCATAGACGCGTTCAGGTACATAATCTCAAGCAGGAAATATCTACCTCTTAATCCCAATAACCCGTCCCACAGCCTCATCATTACTTAAACCCTCATCAATAACACCGGCAACCTTAAGCACATCAACAACGCCCCCAATAATGCCCTCATCGACTCCACGGGTAGCATCCGTAAACTTAACATCCTTGAGCCACTCCGTCGCATCCTCCTCAATATAATTGCAGCCGAGTTCACCAGTGCCAAGAAGCCCAACCACACGCTTAGTATCGGCATTGAAGTCCTTGATACCCTGATCGAAAGCCCGGAAGAGACTATCCAGACGCGAGTCATGCTCAGGGTCTGGGAACATCGCCGTCGAAGCAACAATCAGCCACGAAGGCCAGGGCGTGAAGATCTCACCGATTTTCTTAAGCGGCGGACTTGGCTTCTCAGCCGTGGGGTGGAAATACGGCTTCGTAGTAAACTCCTCCCACATGAAGAACTCAGCTGATGGGTTAGCAGCCTGCTCGGGCTTTGCGGCATCGAGCCCGGAGACGCCGTCTCGTAGGGGCCCAAAGGGTCCCAGGGGAACGGTGGTTAGGGAGTCTGCGTTCCAGCCTTGTTGCTGGGCAAGGACGAAGGACATGATGTGCGAGCCGCTGACAATATATTAGCCCTCGTTTTGTGTGTGACGGCTTAATGCTAGCGACTTACCTGCCCAGCCGGCTGACTCCAACTCTTTGGCCTTTTAGATCAGATACGCCGTTGATTTCATCGCGATTGCGGCCGGTGACGATGGCCCAACGGAGTGGGTTGTCCACCCAGTGGCCGACGACCTTGTATCCTCCGTCCGTGGAGTTCTGGCTTGTCTGCTGTTTCCCTGCTAGGCCTGCGACCCATCCTTCGGTTAGACCGATTGCGATATCGATCTCGTTGCCGCGTAGCGATGTGATCATGTGCCCTGTTCCGGATGGAAATGGAGTTAGGGCAATCTTGAATGGGAAGGAGGAAACGGCCGGGGAGCGGAGGGCGAGGTGGAGAGGGGTCAGGTAATGCTCTAATAGTGAATGAGGGTGATTGTTAGCTTTGATCGATTGAGTGAGTATCCCATCGGGAGAAGCAAATGACTTGAGGGCAGTGCTGCGCCGCCGCCAACGTGGAAGCTCTGGGGGTGGTTGACGCACCGGGCACATAGCCAATGCGAATTGTAGGCAAGTCAGCCATTGTAAATTCTTAGATGGGTGGCTACTTCAACTTGATATTAGGAAAAACCATAGATCTGGGCTGCGCGGACTGTGTAGAATATGGTGTACGGAGCATTACCCGGTGACGCGCGTACGCAGGGTGGGGTAGCTACGGCAAGTCCCCGGGCAGTGCTCAAAGCCTCAACCCCTCAAACCTAATTCTGCCCATAGTTAGTTAAGCCTTTTTTACCACGAGTTCTTGCTTCATCTGGAAAGAAGCGCCTGCATAGCGATCACGATAGTCCCTCGCTTATGGATGTATGCCTTACTCATGCACAATTGCAAAATAGGCAAACTACCTGTAGCGTGGTACCTGTCTCATAATGCAGGCCTGGGATCAAAGGTAAAGGTATTGACATTGTCTCGTTCAAATTACAAATCTATCTATAATGTTGTTCGCCCATAGTTATCTACAGAAATTCCGAGTCCAAGTTCAAAATGCGACATTTTCAAGTCATGCGGATATCCTTCTCATGATGACCCCAGCGACCATTTGGCTCCGCAGACTCGCCAGCGGTCTGTGAGTGGGAGCGGGAATGGGAGTGTGAGATGGGATGCGAAAGGGAGTGGGCGTGGGAATTGGAATGCGAATGGGTCGGAGTGTGCGTGGGAGTGTTTCGCGTGAAGATATAGAACTGGAATCCGAGATAGAAGTCGCACACGCACTGGAAGATACCGCAGAGCTTGAATGCCCATGGAATTGTCTCCGTGCTGTTGAAGAAGTAGCTCATTTTCATGGTATCACCGAGAATCCAGGCCGCGATGACAGAGACCCGGAAGCCCTTGCATGAACCCGATCGGTGGTTGGCGATGATTTGAGGAATAGGGAGGGTTGCTTCGACGGCGAGTCCGACGTAGCCCAAAAAGCTGATATAGTATTCGGATTGAGCGATTGGGGTCAGGTGGATGATAGCTAAGGCTCCGACGAAGTAAGCCAGGAACATCCAGTACCTGTTAAAAATCGGCCAATTAGCTTGGATCTTGAGCTCATCGGAGCGCCAGGAACTCACGGCTTGGTGTTCTGCCACTGCCAGAATTCGTACGGTCGTGCAGATTTGGACTCAGAGACCGCACCACTGAAGGGCGCATGCTCAATTCCATTTCTGCCACTGGGAGAAGGCCGATTATCCAACGCGACCTTGAGCATCGCGATCTGGACCGCGATCATGACAATTGCTTGTGTCAACAAAGTAGCGGAGTAATACTCTCCAAACCAGAAGAAGACCCTGGAATTCGTCAATACCAAATTGCAATCCTATTGTGAGCGCACCATTGGACGCGCCGTTGGGTAGGATCTTACTTCAAAATCGACGCAATAAGCATAATCAGAGGAATATCCAAGGAGAAACCCGCGGAGCTTCTTGTGCGATGGATGCTTACAATCTGGTCGGCATAGGACGTTATGGGAGAGGATATAAGGCTATATGAATGTTTATTAGCACTGAAAATTTGAGAATCAATTGGGGCCAATTCAGTTTCACGTACAAGACGGGCGCGGCATAGTCAAAGGCCACCTGGAAGAGAGACATGACGCCGGTGATGGGACCTCCACGGTCGCTATAAAATAACAATTGAAATTGCCAAGCCGACAAGACCCCAGTCGCGTGTAGTTAATAGTCTCGAAGCAAAATGCGAGGGGATTGACCAAGCACAAGCGTAAAATGAGGGAGAAAAGGGCCAAAAAGGTACACCTCCACACCTTGGACACGACGCAAGCGGCTTTTTTCGCCCTGATTAGTCAGCCATGTCGATCTCCAAGGCTGTTGACTTGGCGATTGAGCTTGATTGGTGCCAAGAAATCGACCTGATCGCTAGGGCTGTTATCTCTTGTTTGTGTGTACGAGTAGCTGAGAGAGCGAGGTAGAGCGAGAGAGTGACAGTGAGGGCGTGATCTTAATGGTCCATGGATAGCGCCTTCCTATTTTGGGAGGTCTGTTTGTACCTACCAAATCTACTCAATTGACATCACGATGAATCGTTGACACCACAATTCCATAAATGTGATGACTCGACTGCCCTTTGACAAAGTCATACTTCATCTTCATCTCGCTAATCTTCATTCTCACCCCCAGCACTGCCAGGATGACCCACATGAACGAGGACACCAAAAAGGCGTCAATCGACGCTCTTGAAGACCGGCTTCGAAAACGCAAGATGGATATGGACATCGAAGCCCTCAGGCTCAAAGTCGAACTCCGTGAAGTCGAGTTGGAAAAACGCGAATTAAATCTACAGGACAAGATTGAAAATTTCAAAAAGCGCGAGCTTATATTCAACACGCAGTGCTTCGAGACTGAGAATGACCTAATGGTGTGGACGGCATTCAAGAGAGGCCTTTTGGGAGAGCCCAGCTTGAGGGAAACCGAACTCGAAAAGAATGGGGACATCAATGCTTTGCAGCGATATCGACGGGATCGGTATATCTACGAATTAGATCTCCACGGCGGCAGTGATTGCTTGGAGGATTTCCTTGAAACGGAGAGACAGCTGCGAGAGACAATTCAGAGGATGACGCGCTTGGGAGAGCAGAACAAACAAGAGTTTGAGGATTTGCAGAACAGATATCGGTACCTTGAGCGCCAATGGGGGAAGTATCGCAGCGCATTCTCCAACGGCCCTTTGTCAAGAGCGTTTGACTTGTGGCGGTCCCACCCGAGATGGTACATGCATCCTGTGCTTCGGGAGGACTGTGCTGCGAGAGGGGGGTGCTGTAGTCGTGAGTGTGGATGTTGTCTGAATCGTAGCCTCAACTTAGCTCGCACACATGCTGCTGGGCACTGTACTGCCGAGTGTGGCTGTTGCCGTAAAGCTGAGGTACCTGGTCTTTCCGAGGCCAAGGAGCTGGCACTACGAGATGGACACCCTGGTGTTGAAACAGACCTACCAATGGAATTTTCAGTCCCTCAAGAAGGAGGGAAGGGCAATGAACCGCAACATCTGCACTCCGAAGAAGAAATGAGGAGGATAATCGGGGAGCATCATATTCATATTGAGGACCTTGACAATGATTACGAGTCATCTGACTCTGAGGGCGACTACGCCGAGTTCACTGATGGCGAAGAGTCTTTTGAAGAAGAACACTACTATAGTCGGATTACCCAGGCTTCAATCTGGGGACTGATGATCGGCAGCAGTGAGAACCCATTTGATCTGATTGACGAGACATCGGGATCTGAACAGACTAGTGCTCAAACCGGAGATGCTGATGACGGGGACACAGACTCGTTCGGCTTGGTTGGCCATGATGGGGATTCAATGGTGACGGACACGGACTAGGGACAGAAAGACCACGGTTGCTATGCTTTGCTGCTCTCAGAGACGATCTCTTTTGCTAAAGAATACCTGAATAATGTTAGATGACAGACTTGCTATGTCTCACAGAACAATCAAATGGCTTTATTGCTGGATTTGCTGCTCAATTGGAAGTACCTGGAAGCACACTGCCCGGGACCGCCCCATCCATGTAAACTAACCAATGGTTTTATATTAGATATCATTGTTTCTTCGACATGGACTACATCATTTTCCTCTAAACAATATAGGGGCTAGGTATGGCACTTCTCTACCGTTGGGAATGAACTGGTCGGAGACACTAGGCGACTTCTTAGGTAGTTTATATACCTGGCGGTGGATAGCCCCATTTTGAGAATAGATATTCTGTCCTTCCATTTTGCCAACGGGGATACTTTGAAGACCGCCCCTGGTGTGAATAAGTGGATGACGGATAGATCCATGGACAGAAGTGGACATTGGAAGCTCGAGCTTGATATGTTAAACATCGTGAGATCGATTTCCATTCGTCACTCCTAAAGAGCGGATGAACACTGACGAGCTTGGGACAGGAATAAAGCCAAAATAACTAAATGGCGCAGCTTAGCAGTCTCCACTGCCGGTTCTCCAGTTAAACAATTTCATCAACCTCATAATGAACGACAGTTCCGGGTGATTTATGTCATAGATCGGATTGCGTGACGCGGACACGATGCGGACCCGACGGGTTCCCATCTTTTCTAATCAATACTATGGTGATCCATAATCAAGAGCTCAGGACAGTGCTCATAAGATGTCGTGGACAGAGCCATCGCGGTCCGCCATAGTTTCCCATGCAGGCAGATTACTCAGTTCGTGTATCGGGCCTGGCACTCTTTGCCCGACAGCAGGGATCGAAAGGTCGAAAGGCCATCAGGTCATCATACCTTTGGCACTACCGTACTACGGACAAAGTCAACGGGGCTGTACTCCATGACTCTGTTCAGACATGGAGGGTTCTCTTTGATCGCCCGGGACGCGGGTGATGGTACAAACTATCGGATATCTGTTCATCCTCAAAGGTCTACACTGTTAAAGAAGAGGAGCGCAAGTGAAAACTGGAAACTAAGAGTGGAATTGTTGATACACTTGGTTCTCATTGGAGGTGTGCCGATTCAGATCTTGAACGGCGAGTGAGGCTGGGCCCCCAGTATCTCCAAGGGCGTGGCAGTAGGGCCCTTGTTGCTACTATTGTGAGGCCGGGGAACTCATCAACGTTCACCTGTGCATAGACATCAATATACCGCCAGTCAATTGTGCGTGAGTGTTCTTACCAGATGGACCTCCTGGATATGTTGCTGAACCTCCGATACCCGAGGAGTAGTGTCTTCGAGATCATCAAATTCTGGGCAGTAGGGACACTTGTATGTGCAAGGGCGAAGAGCCTAAGCAGAAACAAAAGGTAAGCATTGCATCCAAAAGACAAGCCAGGGTTGGATACTTACGATGACTGCGTGATCCATTGGCCACTGAAATGGCGTATGCAATTCACAGCTGCAAAGCTTCTTGCCCTCGCTGATGAACTATGTTAGCCAATTCCAACAGCATACAACAGGCAATGCACACTTACGCCCATCTGATCGGTTGCTGGGGCCCGGTATTCCTCCAATTCTGTCCTGAGCCCCAAGATCGGCCCAATTGGAACAGAACCCTTCGTGGGATTGGTAAACCTGACTTTCCGGCATGATCGCGGTGAGAAGTCAGGCCGTTTGACTTGCCTACCAACCTAGGTTATGGCAGGCACTCCGACTTCTATATCCATCATAGAGATAACTATGTGATCAACACTATGTCCCACGAGGATTAGAAGCATTGCCGCTGGCCCGAGAGTGTTATCTCAGCGCTCTGGAAAATGTGTATATCAAAATGCTGTGAATTACATGCAGTCTAATTCGATCTCAAAGTGTAAGATAGCGCATACATGTATATTGTAAAAAGAGTAAATGGGAGACAACGCTCAGAACTCTATCCGCCATGTCTTTCCAATGCCAACACTGGGCTTCTTCACCACAACATAAGAGGCCTTCCCGGCTTCCTGTTCATAGTACTCCAGCGAAGCTGTGGAAGCCACCTTGGCTCCATCTTCGATGACAGTGACAGTTTTCTTGGCCTTCCATTCGGCGGGAGGGTCAACGAGCACTACCCGCTCGACCGTCACGCCAGCCATAGTTTTCAGGTACTCGGCAGTCTTGGGTCCCTTAACCCCAATGTCCTCCGACGATAACACCGAGCCACGGTAGTTGAAGCGCCGGTGAATATAGGCGCCACGCTCGTAGTCAAAGGTTTCACCATCATCCACGTACAAGGTGCCTTCAGCCTCGCTGTTTTTGTTCAATGTGATGACCAATGTGTACGGATCCCAACGCATGAGACCAGAGCTGCGACGAGGACGATCCTTGCGGGGGATGATGTGGCCTCCCTGGATCAAGATGGGCACCTTCTCTTCCGGGGCGGGGACGGTGTGTCTCTTGCCCGCGCCCTGGTAGACGGTGAAATCGAAGTAGTCATAGTATTTCTCGTCGTCAGAGATATAGACATCAGCGCTATATGTGTTCTCCTGTACAACAGGCTTCACGAGAAGGCCGGTGGAAGCAAGGTACAGTTGATCATCAATAGCAAAGCCTTGCTCATCCTCTGGGAACATATAGTACTGAGGACGCACGATGGGCGTGCCATTGACCGAGGCCTCGTGGAAGGCGGTATACCAAGCAGGTAGAAGTTGATACCTCAAACGGATTGCCTGGGCAATATAGGAGCGATGCGGTTCGCTGATCAGATATGGCTCACGACGGCGAGTGTCGATGTGAGCGTGCGCACGGAAGAAAGGATACCAGATACCTGTTTGGTACCACCGTGACAGAAGCTCTTTGTCGGGGTTATGGAAGAATCCTCCCACATCTGCGCCGGCAAATGGGAAGCCAGCAATACCGTTAGTCAAAACCATAGGGAGGGTAGCACCCAAGTGGTCCCAGGTGGCCTGATTATCTCCGGTCCACATGGCAGACACGCGCTGGGCCCCGGCGTAGTACGAGCGCGTCAGGATGAATGGACGGCGCACCTCGCCCTTCTTGCGCTCCAGCATCGCTTTGTAGGTGGCGTTCAAAAGGGTGAGGCCGTTAACATTGTGAACATCACGGTGCTCCCAGTTACCGTAGTGCAGATTGTCTTTCGGCATGGTCATATCAGGTCCGTTGAAAACAGAGGGCTCGTTCATATCGTTCCAGATGAAAAGGTTCTGAAGGGAACCCTTGAATTTGTCAAACTTGTGAAGTGTGGCCCACCAAGCGTGGGCAGCAGGGTTGAAGCAATCAACCCAGTTTGAAGAGCCGGGCCAGCACCATCCATCATAAATCTCACCATCTTTGTTCAGCACAGCAAGGTTTTTGCTTCTGAGTTCCTCAGAAACGAAGTACTTGTCTGCGTTTTTGATGTGGGGATCAATCAAAACAACAAGCTTCCGCTCAGTCTCATCCAGCTTTTGCTGCATCCCCTTGGGATCAGGGAAGGTGAGCGGGTCCCAGGTGAAATATTTCCGATCATCAGTGTATTCAAGGTCGAGCCAAATCACGTCGTATGGGATTTGATACTTGTCAAACTTGGCATTGACTTCTTTGACATCCTCGTCCGTAACATAGTTCCAGCGGCATTGGTGATATCCAATGGCAAACTGCTGGGGCAGTTGTGTATATCCTGTGAGCTCGCCATACGTTTTACTAATGTCGTTTGGCGAAGGGCCAAGGAACACGAACAGATCAATCCGACCCGACTCGGAGATCCAATGGGTCTTCGTGTCTGTCTTGGAGTGGGCACCCAGGGAAAGAGGGTTGGGGGAGACTGTCGACTTCACAATGTCGATCCAAGTCTCCGCTGCATTAAGCCAGAAGATACCAACGGTTGAGTTCTTGCGGTGGGCTTGCATGAGCGGAATAGCTCCGTACAAAGTCATCGGGCTTTGGAGTTCATATTCGAAGACATCTGAGTTGTACAGGCGGTAAGGATCCTCATGGTTGCCAGATCCACCCCTGGTCTCCTTGAGCGAGAGCGAGTCTGCGTGTTCTGGAATACCGAACACATGGCTGTATCCGGGGAAAGTGACATCAAGAGCAACACTCTCGGGCCCACGCGGCTTCGAGTCAGTGTTTCCTCCGAAAGTCTCCTCCCACCAGGTGCTCTCATCCTCGGCGGATTCGTCGTCTTTGCGATCCACCTTCGGTCGCCAGTGCTCCACGTTCAACAGGCCTTGGTGGTTCAATTGAACATGGGTCTGTCCATCCCTTTGAAACTCGATACCGAATGGAGCATGACGAACAATTGCTCGGAATTTGCCATCGGGTCCGTAGAGGATGTTGGTGAACCCAGTTTCGCTCTGAGCATCTAATGTGGCCGACTTGCTGACTTCCAAACCTCCGACAATCACCCATTTTTCAGTTTCATCATAACGCTTCTTGTTTGCTGAGCTGCCATGGCGCATTTCAATGTCGCCTCTCAATCGCTTTTCTTCATCCACCACAATGCGCGCGGCTCCCGACTCCAAGAATGACACTGTGAGAGGTAACTGGACCTTCTCATTGGTGGCGGTTGTTTTGACAATGTCGCCAGCGAGGATGCCATCCTTGAAATGGATACTAGCGGGATCAAGTTCGTAAGGAGAGCTCCATAGAGAGCCTTGGGTGGAGGCGTTGTCGGCGAAGGCGCGGTTTCGTTTGCAGAATCCGGACTGTTCACATGTCTTGAAGTCCTTATGTTTGACCGCCACTGTTGAAACCATGATGATTAGCTGGGTTTCATCTCCCAATCCGGGACAAGGTGAGCATACAGCTGGGGGCGACCATGCATCCGATGAGGAGTACCAAGGAGAGCAACATTGCCCAACGGGGCGCAGGCAAACTCCTGGCCATGATGAAATGGTCAGTATAATCAATCAGCAGAGACCCTCGATCTCCGACACAAGGGCGTTGTGTATCAATGGGGGGTCCTGCATTTAAAGGTGGAGATGCCGTCAACAGAAGCTAATTACAAGCTGGCCTGAGCTGGGGTAAGCTACCTGAGGCAGCGAGGCAACAACCTTCAGATCCACTTGATGGCTGCCTTAGCATTCCGGCAGAAACACCCCTCCGTAGAGCAGCCAATCATCGACTCAACTCACAGTGCCCAAATTTTTTAACGGCCTTTATTTAATCTTCCCCTCTTCCCGCCTCTCTTTTCCTGCTTCATACCTTTGCTTATTATTTGGTCTCATATATTCAAAATGTCCGCCAACGAGGAACAGACGTATGTGCCCTGAACCAATCTTGCATAATGATCCTTCTCCTTTTATCGCCATTACCCCCACCATTCCGGTCAAGCTAACCAATTGCTTTAGTTTCATTGCCATCAAGCCCGATGGTGTCCAGGTATGGATACAGCGCCCCGCGAACCGGATTCATGATGGACCATGAAGAGCTCGCGCAATTGAATAGCAGTTACTGACAGACTCCATCAGCGTGGACTCATTGGCCCCATCATCTCTCGCTTCGAGAACCGTGGCTTCAAGCTCGTTGCCATGAAGCTCACCTCCCCAGCCAGGAGCACCTCGAGAAGCACTACGCTGATCTCGCCACCAAGCCCTTCTTCAAGGGTCTCGTTGCCTGTTAGTTGCCTCGCTTGAACCAATTCGCCTATAGCAATCCACTAACACAACCGAAGACATGCTGAGCGGCCCCATCTGCGCCATGGTCTGGGAGGGTAAGGACGCCGTCAAGACCGGCCGTGTCCTCCTCGGTGCCACCAACCCCTTGGCCTCCGCCCCCGGTACCATCCGTGGCGACTACGCCATCGTAAGGAGCTCCCCCACATTCCGCTTCCATGTGCCGTATACTTACAGTTCTACTAGGATGTCGGCCGCAACGTCTGCCACGGTTCCGACTCCGTCGAGAACGCCAAGAAGGAGATCGCTCTCTGGTTCGGTGCCTCCGAGGTCCTTAAGTACACCTCCGCCCAGGCCGCTTGGGTTTACGAGTAAATTTCTCGTCCCAAACGTGAATCTGTCTGAACGGACTTCTTCACTCGACCACTTCTACTATAGAATAAGCAGCGGTTCTGAGGAAGGAGCCCCGAAGGCTTGGCAAAAATAAACAATATACAATTCGTATGATCCTCGAATATAATAATCATGCCTGGTATCACAGTAATGCTTAATTGGCTCAACCTCTTTTGAAGAGCCGTTTAGCGATGTTCGCTGTCGGTGTAAACACAGTCCTTGCAAACCACGGCGTCGCCCAAACACTTGCCGCCAACCGAGCTGGCAGCAAAGCCTTCGTGATCGCATAGGCCGTAGCAAATTCCAGCACCAGTCGCACCCCAGCAGTTTCTGTTTTTTTTACACCTGTGGCCTCATGCTCCGCAACGGTATTTGCGTCATCCTCATCCACCCAACCTTTCTTTTTCAGCCAGCGGCCAAAGCGAGCAGCTCCCTCGTCAAAGGCGTTAGTCTCGTCCGTTTCCGACGCCAGATTCGGCATCCAAGCACCATAGTGAAATGCGCCAACTAGGCCAAACAAAGGAAGGATGGCAGTGACCTCGTGAAGTATTAGGAATGAGGTGATGTGGGTGACCGGTGCTCCGAGTAACGGTGTGGTATATGTGCGGAGAAAACGAGGGAGACGGTCATTGAATCGACGCAGGCGAGAGCGAGAGTCTTTAGGGCTTGTTTGTGATGTCTTCGGGGGCTGTGAAGGAGTGGGTGTGGAAATAGACCGCGACGGATGCACCCGTGGGGTTCGAGCTGCTTGAAGACGGAAGTAGCGGAGAAAGTTTGGTGGACGGGCGGCCATGCTGGGGAGAAATTGGCTGGTTTGGCCAGCTCTGAATATACAAAAAAGACACCCAATGTACGGAGTACACAGTACAGAATGGCAGCTTCAGATTAAAACCGTTCGATTAGCCGCCGTTATCTCGCTGAGTCATCTGTCAAGCTGGGCAATTTTTTTTTTTGCAGCTTCAAAGGATCAGCACAGAGAGCTCCTTGTATAGGAGAGTATTTTAGACTTTGTATGCATGTTAATGTGAGTATTTGGCGTAGATAATATAAATGCGACATGGCCACCCCGGCAGCTGTCGACATCATAGTTCCCGATGCGACTGGAGCAGATGGTGACATGGTCCACTTTTGCCCCGAGTCCTCTCCTTCTTCCATCCAACCCCTCCCATTGTCGAGCGATACAGTCGAAAGGCCGCAATGGAGAAGAAGATCACTGAGAAGATTGCGGCTCTGCCGCCAGATGCAAACTACTTTTCTTTGGAGTTCTTCCCTCCGAAGACTCGGATGGTGGGGTTACCCCGCGAGTTGAGCGCATTGTGAATATTTGCTAAGAAAGTACAATAGGGTTTTGCAAACCTGTCCGCACGTCTGGAGCGAATGGCTCAGGCCCTCCGCCCTCTGTTCGTTACGGTCACTTGGGGCGCCGGTGGAAGCACTGCGGCGCGATCCCTCGAGCTGGCAGAAGTATGCCAGCGCCAACTACAGCTGACGACCGTGTTGCACCTGACATGTACGAACATGAGCCGCAAGCTGGTAGATATGGCCTTGGATGAGGCCAAGGCGCTTGGAATCCGCAACATTTTGGCGCTGCGAGGAGACCCGCCCCGCAGCGAGGAATACAACATGCATGGAGAGGATGATAGCAACAAGGACTTCACCTTTGCTGTTGATCTGGTGCGGTATATCCGCCAGACCCATGGTGACTACTTCTGTGTTGGTGTTGCAGCGTATCCAGAGGGCCATCCTGCGGACTCGTTCCAGGATGTTCAGGATCCGGCTAAGGATGTTCCTTACCTGGTCGAGAAGACGTTGGCTGGAGCGGATTTCATCATGACCCAGCTGACCTACGACATTGATGCTTACCAGAAGTTTGAGGATATGCTCCGCAACCATGAATCGGGTGCCTTCAAGACCATTCCCATCATTCCAGGCTTGATGCCCATCCACAGCTACAAGATTCTGACCCGAGTGACAAAGCTCAGCCATGTCACTATTCCGCCCCCCATTGCGAAGCGCATGGAAGAACTGAAGAATGACGACGACGCAGTCAAGCGCGCAGGTGTGGATATCGTCAGCGAGATCGTCGGTGGTATCAAAGACCTTCCTTGCCCAGGGCCGCGGGGATTCCACTTCTACACCTTGAACTTGGAGAAGACAGTATCTTTCATTCTGGAACAGTCCGACTTGATCCCAGCCCATTCCGAAGCCGGAGATTTTGCTATCGATGACGGTCCCGCGGCTATTCCGCATGATCTCGCTGGACGTGCATCACGAAGACGTCGTGCATCCTCTATCAACTCGCAACCCCACAACCGTGTCATTGTCGACCAGCTCTCTGGCCACGAGTCATCACAGAACTCTGTTCATGAGGCCCGCGCAGATAGTGCAGGCATGCCCGCACAACCGCCGGACCGCAGCACTACTCTCCTCATCTCAGAGGGTCTTGGTGCGCTTGGCAGAGAAGCCACATGGGATGACTTCCCCAACGGACGATGGGGTGATGCCCGCTCTCCTGCCTTCGGTGAGATTGACGGTTATGGACCCTCACTTCATGTGACTGCCAACTCTGCCCGTCGACTCTGGGGCCACCCCGTCGACAATAAGGATATGAGCACACTTTTCCGACGCCACGTCTCTGGAGAGCTACACATGGTTCCATGGTCAGAGGGCGGCGCCGAGGAAGATGGCCAGGGCTTGAACGCTGAGACCGAGCTCATTCGACCAGAGCTGCTGAAACTCATCGATGGCCGCGGCTGGTGGACTCTGGCCTCGCAACCCGCAGTGAACGGCGTACACAACGATCACCCGATCTTCGGCTGGGGTCCGCAACGAGAGGGCTTTGTGTTCCAAAAGCCGTTTGTTGAGTTCTTCTGTTCGAGCAACGATTACACCAACATCCTCAAGCCGATGTTCGCAAAGCACGGTCACGACAAGCTGACCTGGTTCGCGACGAACATCAAGGGCGACTTCGAATCCTCGCTTCCCATCCAACCCGCTGACGTGGGACTTGATGACCTCGGCTCTAACCCCGAGAGCGTCAATGCCGTTACATGGGGTGTCTTCCGTGGCAAGGAAATCGTCACTCCGACCATTATCGAGGAGGTCAGTTTCCGCGCTTGGGGCGAAGAGGCTTTCCGAATCTGGGATGAATGGCGTCGCATCTACCCCCGCGGATCGCCTACTGAAACCTACCTCGACACCACCAAGAACGACTCGTGGCTTGTCTGTGTCGTCGGTCAGCAGTTTGGCGCCGGCACTAAGCAGGGCTCTAAGGAAGAAGAGGACGAGGTCAAGTGGATGTGGCGAGTCTTGGCTGGTGAGGAGGAATAAGGGCATTGGCCAGAGGATAAACTGGACCGAGGGTTCTGCTGATGGACGACGGCTTAATAAGGGAATGCTTGGATGTGAGATTTGAATGGCACAATCTTGGAAGCTGTGGATTTCATTCTGTGTATACTAGTGACCCGATTCCATTGAGATGATTATTACGAATATGCGTGCATTTCTACGCTTCTTATAAAATGTTTTCGAATCTTGAATGATAGATCTTGTATACGCCAATTGCTAAGTAAATGCTTTCCATTAACAAGTACCATTTCTCATGCAAGTGCTGTCAAAGACGACCATCCGGTGGGTGTGATCAGGCCTTCTCAGCAAATCCTTGTTCTTCGAGTTCGTCGGCGCCGGCATCTGGGGTAGCGACTTCCGACTGGGAGGCGGCGAATTTCTGGGCAGCGCCATCCAGCAGTCCGTACGCCTTTGGCATGCGACGGGGCTGATTAGGGCCATTGGCCGGGAGTTGATATCCTCGTAATCTAAAAAGATTTGTTAATTCAGCTTCATGTTTCCAACAGACGGTAAAGGAGGTATCGTCGACATACCTAGGACCCTCCCCGGTGCTCTCGGGCATAGCAGAGGTATAAACACAGTTGAACATCCGAACGTCTTGCTCGAAGGTACCACGCTGAATACTCTCCCGCACTCCCGCGAAGAACGCATCCATGACATGGAAATTATGAATTTGAAGAATCGCCCAAGCGGTCATCTCCTTGGCGACTAGCAAATGGTGGACATAAGCCCGATGGTAATTCTTGCAAGCATAGCATGTACATCCCTCGCCCAGCGAGGATGTATCTACAGCATGGTCAGATTTCCACATATCAGTTCCTAAAGGCCGAGGTTTGGCGCTGCCATCCTGCAAGACATCAGGAACCGGGAAGACAAAGTCCATGGCGATACCAGCATCTGACGACACGCCCAGCAGAGGCGTAGTCAAAAGATCTGCGCCCAGCGATATGTCCCGGAGAATAGTGTGCGGAGTCTCCGGTTCACTGAATAGTAACCGAGGCAGGTCCGCCAGCGATTCAGGGACGAATCCCAACGAGGCAGATTGATAAAGTGCGAGACCGGAGATATCCCACCGGAACTCGCTTTCTAGATCATCCAAATAGAGAGACTGCTGTGCATTATCAAGCGGCAAGATGGGCGCAAAATATGCGCTCTTTGCCTTCTTTTCCTCCGCCACAGAGGGCCCGTATAGTTGCTCCAATGCATCGCGGTTCCACGCGTGCGTTCTGTCAACCATTCTTGCCCGCCGCTTCGATCCCGGCTGCTTGTTAGCCAGGTCTACCATTCCGACGGCAATATCAGGTCTCAGCTTTTGCACTGCCTGCACGTAATCGTGGGCGTCTAGCTGGGTGAATCCAGTTGAGGTAAGCAGTGCGATGGAACTCGAGGTGTTCGCCGGTGGACATGGGATGGGAGGGAATCGTCGCGGGCCAAGAATCAATGGCATGTCCTCGGGGACGCAGATGAACTTTTTCAACGGCGACTCATGATCCGCCGCGGGGGTATTGTATACAGGTGGTTGTTTTCTCGCGATGACTGATTATATGCCCCCGTGGGGACACATGCGTTAGTTACGTCGAGGACAGATAGTACAGGTTGGATTCGTTCGCAAACAGGACTTACAATCTTCCAATCCAGCATATAAACTATTAATCTCAGTATGTTGGCGCATCACATCGTGCGCAACATGCGGGACTGTGCCCCGCGAAGTGAGCGGCACATGGTGGGGGGTCGCGATGGTCTTGCGGCCTGCAATCGCCAATTTACCTACTCGCGGGGCGAGAACCGGAGCAGTAGATGCCAGCACGGTAAAGCTCATCGCTGGGGACGAGGACGACTGGTCCATGGCGCTGGTGGTCATTGAAGGGCGGTGCTGGATCGGCGCGGAATTCTTGTCCTTATCGGCCAGGAGAAATTGGACTCCCCGATAAACATCGCTACACATCGCCCTGGCCATCTCCTTGGAAACACATTTTGGGCTATTTCGAGGTCTCCCGCAGGAACCAAGCTTCTTCGTTCAAACAATTGAGATTCTGGCATCAGTCCATACGACATTAGCTCACCATGACTGGTCTTTCAACGCGGCCGACGCGACGCGGAGCTCTCATTGTCGTTGAGGGTCTCGACCGCGCTGGGAAATCAAGTCAGTGTGAGATGCTACGGGATTTCATTTCAAAGCGAGGAGATGAGGTGAAATACATCCGATTCCCAGGTAATTCAATGCGCGCTCAACTCCTGTAGCATTTGTCTAATAATATGTTCTAGACAGGACAACGGCCATCGGCAAGTTGATTGACAGCTATCTGCGCGGCTCATCGCACCAAGACGACCATTCTATACACCTCCTCTTCTCAGCAAACCGCTGGGAGGTCGCCAAGAGCATTGAGGAAGATATCGCTAGCGGAACTACGGTCATTGTAGACCGGTACTCGTATTCCGGCGTCGTCTACTCTGCCGCGAAAGCGAACCCCACACTATCGTTGGAGTGGGCATGGCAACCTGAAATCGGTCTACCGCGCCCGGATATCTGCCTGTTCCTCAGCATTTCCCCCGAAGAAGCAGCAAAGCGTGGTGGATTTGGCGCCGAGCGATATGAAAATGAGACGATGCAAAGCCGAGTGCGGGAGCTTTTCCGGACGATCTTCGAGAAGCAGCAGGATGTCTCTATTATCGATGCGGGGAAAAGCATCGAGGAGGTGGCACAGGGGATACAGGGTGCCGTGTCTGATTGCATTGCGCGGCTGGACGCAACGACCCCATTGAGAAAATTGGAACCACTTGCGAATTAGACATTATGCTTGGGGGTGCTTGGCTCTCATTCCACAAGTTCTGCGTCGTCCCAGTCGCTGTCTTCAATCACAATTTCGAGCTTTGATGGAGGCCGACTCGAGCGGTGCTTTTTCTGGCTCTCGAAGTCGGAGTCGGATTCCAGATCGACTCCCTCATACCAGTCCGGTCCTAGGTCGTCTTCTGGTAACGTGGTCGGTTCAATTGAAGACGGGCGAAGTCCTGAAGATGCGTTGGTCGCGGCAGACTCTTTGCGGATACGTTTCTCTTTCCTTTTCAGAATCGCGCGCGCTTCTTTTTCTGCCCGATTGCGGAGACTCAGCTCGCGCATCATTGCCGGCCACTGCACGATATTCTCACACGATGGGCAAGTCCCTTGGGCTGGCACCAGGAGGTCTGGTTCATTGACCGCATCAAGGAAATTGGTAGATAGACATAATAGATGACTTGTGCCACGACAGTCGGATAGTGGACACACTGCTATCTGTTCTGTTTCCGGAGAGATCGACTGTTTACAGACCCCGCACTGTAGGTCCTCTAGATCCTCCAGCATGAACATTGACTTTTCAAGATAATCTTCGATTCTTGTGTAATCGACCGATAGATTGTTGATACTTCCGACCACTGTGAGTCCATCGTCTTGCTTGGCGGGCGCCTTGGCAACGTTGTCTCCATCTAATATGATTTTGATATTGTCAGGAAGCCGACCAGGCACACGATCACTCCAGAGTCGCCATACTCCGTAGACATCCGCACGAAAGAAGCGGAGTCGCAATGGCCAAGAGGAAAAATAGGTCGAGCGAAGCAGAGAATGTAAATCCTCCAAATGCGCTTTCAAAGATCTTCTGATCCGTGCTTTGGGTTTCGGCTTAAGTTTGCCGGTCTTCGCATTGGCACTGGGCTTAGGTCCTGTTTGAGAGCCTAACTCGTCATCGGAATCAAGATGGCGGGACCTTTCAGGGTGTTGCCAAGCCCATCTAGGCGAGATGAGCATTTGCGACGTCGTGTATATAATAAGACAGGAGTCTTCATGTGACCTACTCGAATTGTAGAGCGCCGACCCTGGTCATGAAACCTTCGACGACAAGGGACATCTCCCAGGGCCGTAATTTATCTCTGGCGGTTCGCTTGGCCCCACCTTTGGCGACGCCGTTGTGCTGAAAGAGGCGTCTAATTGGGTTTGGCGTCGAACCGATATACAGCGAGGCGTGTCGGACTGTTGACCGTAGGAGATAACAGCAGTAATAAGCCGGAATCGGTTTTGGATTGTCCGTTCCTTCCATGACGTTGATGTCAAAGGGTTGCCCTTTTCACCTTGAGATGTAGAACAAATGACTTGTCAGGTCATTCAATTTAGCTCTGCATGTAACAGATGTTGAATCCGTGCGGTTCCTGAACGGTCCACGGGTGTATCGGGCTACTGTGTAGATAAATGCCAGATCACATGACAATTCCTGTCTTCTGCTTCCAACCTAGAGGAACCAGATGGGAAGGATATCTCAACTTCGATGGACGTCATACATGGTGACATCTAGTGTAATTATGCTGAATGATATGAGTCCTCAAAAAATGCATGAAGCAATAGTCCACGAGGGAAGAAACAAACATCTGAAATTCTGGACCTCGGAATTCTATGGATGATCCATGGGTTATAAAATGTACATCGGGACTCGGAACTCATCATCATCATCATATACGTCGGGTATGCACAAACATACACTTTGCTCACCTCGACTTTCATACACTTGAACAACTTTTTATCACAGTCACGGTCAGTGTAATAACCTTGCATCATCTATGGTAAACGGGGTAGCTAATACATCCTGCATTTAGATATTCAGCCGCCATTCGTTGTGTCGTTCCTTCTCCATCACTATGCTGTTGCCGCAAGTGACGGCCCCGTCGAGAGGGTGCTCTCCCCCTCTGACTGAACGCGATCTCTCTCCAAATACCCCCACTGACGGTGAAGATATGCCAGGAAGACCTATCGGCGATAACCCAGACACTGTCAAGTACCAAGGAGTTCAGGATTTTCTCGACGTCGCACGTCGACAATACGACTCACTGCAACAACTCAAGACCGACCGACAGATCCTAAAGTTTCGATCGGCTACAGAGAACGAGTTCGATATCCTCTCAGCCGACGACACGCGGCCTTCAAAATATGTCAAGCTTCAGTACCATCGGCCGACCGAACTTCTAGTCGTCAAGGTCATGCCAGGCTGGGATCATGAGAACCTCACTTTCCTCCTTCGAAAATTGATTGATAAGCAACTCATTGCCATGAATGTTGACCTCGAGTGTCTTACACTGAATTCCCCGCGTATCGAACTTGGGGATTGGGTCAAAGAGCCCGACGTCTGTTGGGCTCCAGCATTTTCGCCGAGCAAACCAACTTGTGTGGTCGAGGTCGGAACCTCTGAATCTGCAACTCACCTGTCCGTCGATGCCCATGGATGGCTAGAAGCTCCCCAATCGCCAGTCCAAGCCGTCATCACTGTTTCATTCAAGTACGTCTCCGCGGAAACAGACGAGAACCCCCTTACCATATCCGTCTGGAAAAAAGGATGTGGATTGTCTAGTGTTGATACGCGCAACAACCTCTCGCCTGCTGTCCGCACAGCCCATTTCGACGTTTGGAACCTGGCCGGCTCTCTCTCGGTGTCCGGATTCTACCACGATCTCGACATGCAAATACCTGTCTGTGCTAATGAAATTGACCTCCCCTTGGAGCTTTTCATCGGCCGATCAGCTTCTCGGCCAGGAGAACATGACATTGTAATAACTCGAGATGACTTACTTTGGGTTGTACGCCAGTTACGGGAATACCGTCGGCTTCGGGGGATATCACAGTAGGCTCGGATTGTCATGGGGTCTTCTGGGCAGATGATTTGCTATTGGATTTTCCGCGTGGGTGACGACAAAAGGCTGTTATATATATTTATTGCTTGCCTTGAAGATTCGCTATAGCGGCTACCTGTTGCGACCTAATAATGTATTGTTATAGCTGTTTAATAGGTATTCAAGGGGCTCATCGCAACGTGGTTTCGCACTACATATAATTTCCAAGGCTCATAGCTCCCACCCCTTCCCGCAAAGTCAGGCCCCATGGACGTGAATAGGTGGAATATAAGCTGCAAAGGACTCAGTACCTACCCCCTACATCGAAGCTCCCAGCTGACCTCGTGGACGGCTTTCCGACATCACCAACGACAGCGGGTGACGCATAAGCTAGTATATATAGTTATAGTTAACTACCTACCTGAAACTGTGATGACCAATATTTTGGTAAAGGGACCTCGGGAGCTTAGGGAAGAACTCGGGACACCCCCCAAAGTTCATATTCCACCACCCCCACGCCCGAGCTAGTCCTAATGTGGTAAGCGCATTTTTGTCTACATGATATTAATTACTTTGTGTTCTGTATGGTATCATGCGAGGCCATTGACCCACGTGATCGCGCCTAATTGCCTACTGGCGCGTGCAACGCAGACATTCTATTGGTCAATTCCGGAGTGACTTAGTTTTTCTAGCAGTTTACATAGTAAGTGTAGGTACCGCGGAAGGACTTGTGAAATCTCAGAAGTTTGACCAGAAGGCGGCGAAGAAGTGGTCAGTAGATGCCCTATGGTTCGGGCAGACGACTGATATTACTAACTAGTTTAACTGGATCAGGGATCGTGCGGTTTCGTGAATTGAGAGTGATGCAGTGCAATCAAATGGGGGCATATGAGATGGAGATGATGACTGATGAGTATGCAGCAGGCAGAAGAGGTTGGAGATTGTCCAGTGGTAACTAAGTACGGAGTAGATACATGACAAGTCAAAGGCCACACCTTTCTCCCTTGCCAATCATTCATCTTCTTCTGAGGAGGTGTCACCGAGCAGAACCTCACTATCGTGCAGCCGTCTTCGCCGTGGTGATGGTAGATGGCGGTTTGAGATGAATGATCACCACCATAACCACGATCCTACCCCTCTACCTACGCATGTACTCCGCCACCATCCCGAAGTAGAAAGCCTATTCCGGCGAAATATTTCAAACCGGAAGATTGAATTGCGGCTTCGTCTAGAAGCAGCATACCGTCTAGCTGCAGAAGAACGTCTAGCTGCAGAAGAACGTCTAGCTGCAGAAGAACGTCTATCTGCACAAGAAGGACAGTGGTCCTGTCTAAGCACATCGCCACTTTCAAGCAAAGGCTTCAGAAAGAGTCCTTGTGTGGCCATACCCGTAACCCCGGTACATGAGGAAGCACATTATCGGCGGTCGCCGCGGGGCAGGGCCCAGGGCAAGGCGACTAGACAGTAGTGAGGTTCTGCTCGGTGACACCTCCTCAGAAGAAGATGAATGATTGGCAAGGGAGAAAGGTGTGGCCTTTGACTTGTCATGTATCTACTCCGTACTTAGTTACCACTGGACAATCTCCAACCTCTTCTGCCTGCTGCATACTCATCAGTCATCATCTCCATCTCATATGCCCCCATTTGATTGCACTGCATCACTCTCAATTCATGAAACCGCACGATCCCTGATCCAGTTAGACTAGTTAGTAATATCAGTCGTCTGCCCTAAATATACGGCATCTACTGACCACTTCTTCGCCGCCTTCTGGTCATACTTCTGAGATTTCACAAGTCCTCCCGTGGTACCTACACTTACCTACTATGTAAAGTGCTAGAAAAACCATGCCACTCCGGAATTGACCAATAGAATGTCTGCATTGTACGCCAGTAAACAATTAGGCGCGATCACGTGGGTCAATGGCCTCGCATGATACCATACAGAACACAAAGTAATTAATATCATGTAGACAAAAGTGCGCTTACCACATTAGGACTAGCTCGGATGGGGGGGGGGGGGGGGGGTGGAATATGAACTTTGGGGGGTGTCCCGAGTCCCTCCCGGCCTAAAATCTGGTGTGTATGGGCGACGAATCGTACCACTACGACATAACGCCTAATGGGGCTCACCGCTCTAATCCCCGCCTTGATGATTATCGTTTCGGGTCCAGGGGTCCTGTTTGTAAACCCCCAAACCGCCGCCCGAGTCCGGACGGCGATAAACTTTATTCGCAGACCGTCACTGGGGGCAAAGATGGCACGTTCCAAGAGCTTGGTATGTATATCTCATAATCACTTCCTTCTGGACATATATATTAATTTGCGAAACTAGCCTATGTGGAGCATTGGTTGGATGGAAGTCAATTACGACTAGGCTTCCGAGAATTCATCATGGATGATCTTCTTCCTGCGCTGCCTCCGGCAGGGTGGCAGGCGCAGGAAGATGATCAGCTGATACTAGCCTGCGAGATTAAGATGAACAAACGTGCTGCGCAGACCAAGGAATACAACATATTCCTCATTATTCGCAGGCAGGGACCTTCGGACCCGGTCAAGAAGACCCCGAAGAAGGTGGCAAAGAGGACAACACGGAAGTCCAAGCCAGAGGGCATCAAGGAGGAGGAGGTTGATACCGTGGCTGGGTTCATCAAACAGGAGGGTGATGCCTCGAGCAGCAAGTTGATGCCTTTGCTGAGAGAGTGTCTGGAGCGGTGTCTGAACCGGTGTCTGAACCGTTTTCTGATCTCATGCCGCCTGAACAGGGGGTCTGAACCCGCCGTATGGTCTTCCACGAACCCTCCCATTCCTGTTGTTCTGTCAGCGGCCTAAATAGGAGTTCAGGCGGCATGAGATCAGAAAACGGTTCAGACACCGGTTCAGACACTCTCTCAGCAAAGGCATCAACTTGCTGCTCGAGGGCATCAACCTCCTGCTTGATATCAGCGAGGGCGTCACCCTCCTGTTTGATCAACTCAGCCACGGTATCAACCTCCTCCTCCTTGATGCCCTCTGGCTTGGACTTCCGTGTTGTCCTCTTTGCCACCTTCTTCGGGGTCTTCTTGACCGGGTCCGAAGGTCCCTGCCTGCGAATAATGAGGAATATGTTGTATTCCTTGGTCTGCGCAGCACGTTTGTTCATCTTAATCTCGCAGGCTAGTATCAGCTGATCATCTTCCTGCACCTGCCACCTTGCCGGAGGAAGCGCAGGAAGAAGATCATCCATGATGAATTCTCGGAAGCCTAGTCGTACTTTACTTCCATCCAACCAATGCTCCACATAGGCTAGTTTCGCAAATTAATATATATGTCCGGAAGGAAGTGATTATGAGATATACATATTAATCTCTTGGAACGTGCCATCTTTGCCCCCAGTGACGGTCTGCGAATAAAAGTTTATCGCCGTCCGGACTCGGGCGGCGGTTTGGGGGTCATTGGTAGGTTGTGCCTTTCGGCGCGGACCACTTGAGCGAGCAGCGATACCCGAAGGTACCGCTGCTCTTTGCCGTTGGGACGTTGGCGGTCGATGCCCAAGATCCCGAGTGATCCGGTCCCCCCTTCGCGCCAGCGTCGTTCCAGAAAGCTGGAACGAGGGCTGTGCATCGTCGTCGTCGTCGTCGTCGTCGTTCAACGGGGTATACCTACGAGGTATATATATCCCCTGTGATGGTGGGGGTGAGGGTGTATCCTCAATCAGGTTGATAATCTCAATCGGAGTTGGTTGGACAGACATGTTGGATCCTTGTTGAGGACTGTATATGATTGATATGATTGATTGATGAAGCTGAATTGTAACGAGACTGAATCCTGGAGAGTCCTGTAGAAGTATTTAACATGAAAGGAAACAATGCAACTCAATGCCGATGTGATGTATATCGGCACTGGGGACAACTTCCTTGCCCCAATCACATACATGACAATCCTTCACCAACTGCTCGGTGACCATCCGGGGACTCCAGTCCCCGACAAAGATAACGATATATACCTAGATGTATCAACTTTCATATGAGGGGAAAGGCGGGAAAAATTCTCTCTCATGCACGATACGTCGATGATCATTCGGGGACCGGGTTATCTCTCAGGCAAAAGCGGCAAGGGGCTGAACACGAAACGGAAAGGGGACGCCAAGACCCGACATGGAAAGTCCCGTCTGTTACGGAGGAACATACGCTGAAATATCTACTAAGATCATAGAAGGTCTAACCCCAGTAATATGCCGCGTATCCGAGGCTCATCCTCTATCAGTTCGTGCCACAAGACACTACCCACAATGTGTAGGCCCTGGTAATATTGGGCTCCAAAATACCTGTCACTTATGGTACGGAGTACATGTAGGGAAGACCGCCATATGATGTTCCCGTTTGCGGCATGACTGTATTTACCGAACCTTCGGAAGAATCTCAGGGCTTAAGCGGTACCTGAGCTTCGATTAGCTCATTCTTACCGTAACTTCTGTACCGTTCTGATCGGTACCATCGCGACTGGGTGAGAGGTATCTCCCGAGTCACTCATTGGTTGTTTTTCTACTGGCCGCCCACACAAAAGGGACCTGGGAGTACTTCGGGAGTACCACCCCCAGTCGATCTGTACTGCACATAATCTCGTTCCTCCACTCTTAAGGTTCCTATTCCATCTATCCTTCTTTCCTCTCGGCGATTTGGGCTCTTATTTTTCATGACTTGTCGCCTTTCGCCTGTGCAACATCCAACGTTCCTTGTCCCTCTCTTTCCGTCATTGGTACCCTCTAGTACGTCTCCGATTCGTCCTAACCCTGCGGTTAAATCGCAGGACGGCCGGCAGCCGGCTTTCGTGATATCTATCACAACACCCTGCCTTCGTCGCATAACAGTTTATATTAACTGAATCCCTTCAAATAGACGCGCCCACCTCAAGATATTCCCCATCAGCCTGCTCCATATCGCACAATGGGAGCTCCGGCCTCTGCCGGGGCGACCTCGACGGCCGCGGCAAGCCAGCCGACTCGGTCCTCGAGCACCCATCCGTCGCACTCCCACAATGTACCCCTGAGCGCCCGCAGGTCAGCGCCTCTCGATCTCTCCACGGTGGAACGACGTGGACAACCCAATAACCCCAGAGAGCCATCCAAGCGCGTTCGTCCACATGGCATCCCGGAAGCCCCGACCTTCCGTCCGACAGAGGAAGAATTCAAGGATCCAGTGGCCTATATTCAGAAGATCGCACCGGAGGGGAAGAAATATGGAATCTGCCGAGTAATCCCACCTGAGGGCTGGCAACCGACATTCGCAATCGACACTGAGGTAGGAATCCTTCTTTCGCAAAATACTTCGAGGCTTGGTCTCTGCGTATGATCACACCTGACAATGGATACAGCGGTTTCACTTCAAGACTCGCCGACAAGAGCTCAACTCGGTTGAAGGAGGTAAGGCCTCGTGTTCCCCGAATCGGCCGCTTCAGCGTGTAAAATGCTCCTGTGAATGGTTCTGACTTTCTTCAAAACAGGAAACCGCGCGAACATGAACTATGTCGATGGTCTTGCCATGTTTCACAAGCAGCATGGCACTAATTACAGCAGGCTACCGAGTGTCGACAAGCGACCACTGGATCTCTACAAACTCAAGAAGGCGGTGGAGTCTCGTGGTGGTTTTGAGACCGTTTGCAAGACCAAGAAATGGGCCGAAATTGGTCGCGATCTTGGATATAGCGGCAAAATCATGTCCTCACTGTCCACTTCGCTCAAGAACTCTTATCAGCGCTACCTGCAACCATACGAGGAATACTTGGCCCGAGCTAAGCCCGGTGTCCAACAACAGCTTGAACTTGAGCACGGTGGTCCATATACCCCTTCGCCGCTACATTCGCCAATGAACCACAAAGTCATGGACGAGAACGGAACGCCCTCTAAAATTCGCGATGACACGCCTAGTCTACCTCGGATGGCTGCTTCGCATACACCGCTGGCGCATACCCCTCTGGCACATACTCCTATGGAAAAGTCACCAGAGAAGCCGACACCGCCCATCGAACCTACACCGCCCCCTGCTTCACGCCCAGCCACGGGCTTTACTCCTGTCAACTCCGGCCTCGGCGGATTCACCGCTGTCAACCGCTCCCCGTTCACCCCCGTGAACAATGGCCCGACTATCAAGCGCGAGGGAGAAAACGGGGCGTCTACACCCAAAGTCATCTCCGAGCATACCTCTGTCTCGACGCCTAATGGGCAAGATGGAGACAGCCTGAAACGTGCTATCAGCCGCGAGGCTAGCTCTCAGACTGAGAATGGGGATGACGATGGTGGTAGTGGACGACGCAGCAAGCGTCTCAAGAAAGGTGAACAGTATTTCGAGGACTTGCAGCAGGGCCTGTCTAATCAACCTTCAGATTCCTTCCCAACAGTTGCTGGTTCTCATATGTCGCTACTTCGTCCGGCTCCGCCTAGAGCACGCAAGGATGGTTCTCAGCCAGCCGGAGAGGTAGGAGGAAATTTATGTCAGAATTCGAGTCATGTGCTGATCGATCAACAGAAATGCGAGACATGTGGCAAGTCGGATGATCAGGAGTCAATCCTTGTATGCGACGGTTGCGAGCTTGGGTATCACAAAGCATGTCTCGATCCGTCTACTACCACGCCATCTGAACATGATTGGCACTGCCCTAAATGCTTAGTTGGTACGGGAGAATTCGGATTCGAAGACGGCGGCGTGTACTCGCTCAAGCAGTTCCAAGAGAAGGCCAACGACTTCAAGAAGAGGTACTTTGCTTCCAAAATGCCATTTGACCCGGTCTTGAACACGCATCGACGCGAGACCGAGGACGACGTGGAAGCGGAATTTTGGAAACTTGTTGTCGATCTGCATGAGACCGTGGAAGTTGAGTACGGAGCGGATATCCATTCAACGACTCATGGAAGTGGCTTCCCCACCATCGAGCGTAATCCGCTTGATCCACATTCGACTGATCCTTGGAACCTAAACGTCCTGCCGTTTTATGGAGATTCTCTGTTCCGCTACATTAAGTCAGATATCTCTGGCATGACTGTTCCCTGGGTTTATGTCGGAATGTGTTTCTCGACATTCTGCTGGCATAACGAGGACCACTACGCGTATTCGGCTAACTACCAACATTTCGGCGCTACCAAAACCTGGTATGGAATACCAGGTGCTGACGCAGAGGCGTTCGAGGCGGCCATGCGGGATGCTGTACCGGAGCTTTTCGAAGGCCAGCCCGATCTCCTCTTCCAGCTTGTCACTTTGATGCCACCGGACAAGCTCCGCAAGGCCGGTGTTAATGTCTATGCTGTAGATCAGCGAGCTGGTCAATTCGTTCTCACATTCCCACAAGCGTATCATGCTGGCTTCAATCATGGATTCAACTTCAACGAAGCCGTTAACTTCGCACCCGCCGACTGGGAGCCATACGGTGCAGCGGGCGTTGAGCGTCTTCAGAACTTCCGCAGACACCCATGTTTTTCCCACGACGAATTGCTTCTCACGGCTGCTACACGTGATACATCGATTGCCACTGCCAAGTGGCTTGCGCCGGCGTTGCAAAGAACCTGCCGTCGAGAGCTGAATGAACGTGCTTCCTTCCTATACCGACAGAAGGAGGTGGCTGCTCTCACTCCTGGCTTTGGTCCTGATTCCATGGCTGACGATGCCCAGCCCAGATTTGTAGTTGAGAATGAAGATCTCCCCGAGGATGATTACCAATGCCAGTATTGCAAGGCCTACGCTTACCTCACTCAGTTCCGTTGTCACAAATCAGGCAAAACTGTCTGTTTGATGCACGTGGACACTTATGATTGCTGTGGTGAAAGTCTCGCGCAAAAGTTGTGCGGCCCTGGCCATACTTTGCGGTTCCGCATGAGTGACGATGAATTGCAAGCCCTAGTGCAGAAAGTCCAAGAACGAGCGAGGATCCCGGAAGCGTGGTCCGAAAAGCTCGACAAGACTTTGGAGGATGAACCGAAGCCCCAGCTGAAGGCCCTTCATAACTTGCTCAATGAAGGTGAGAAAATCCCATATCACTTGCCTGGCCTCCAAGATCTTGCGACCTTCGTCCAGCGTTGCGATAAATGGGTTGAGGAAGCCAACAACTACATTACCCGGAAACAGCAGAACCGGAGAAAAAACGAGAAAGCTTGGCGCAGAGGCAGCACCAAGGCGGCGCAGCTGGACGATCGCGATCGCGAAGTCCCCCGCAAAATTGAACACATCTACGCCCTTCAGGCAGAGGCTGATAAACTTTCGTTCGACTGTCCACAGATGGCGGCGTTGGAAGAGAAAACCCGCGAGATCGAGAAGTTCCAACAGGATATTAAGACGGCCCTGATGAACCCACATACCCGGCCACTCCACGAGATCGAAGAACTTATCGAACTTGGCAAGAATATTAATGTGGAAATTCCGGAACTCGAACACTTGGAGCAAGTTTCCCACCAGATCAAGTGGATCGAGCAAGCCGCTCGCAAACGAGATCAGTTCATGACCCTTAACGATTGCCGGGAACTTGTGGCCGGCGCGGAGAAGCTAGGTCTTTCGGATACCAACGAACACTTGGTCCATTTCAAGGAACTCGCTCGCCATGGCGAGGCATGGGAAATGAAGGCCCAGGAACTGATGTCGGTTGAAGCCGTTCACTATCAGCAACTAGAAGCTTTGTCTGCGCAGGCGTCCCGTTTTCCAGTCTCCCCTGCTACCCTTGCTGCCGTGGATGCCATCCTGACCAAACAGCGTGAGGCGCAGAAGCGGATCCAGACTCTGTACGAGAAGAGCAAAGACCCCGAGATGAAGAATCGCCCCAAGTACAAGGATGTCCGAGACCTTGTGGAGTCTCTCGAGCATCTGACTAGTCGCCCCATTGGGGCAATAGACCTGGAACGCGAACAGAAGCGCCACGAAGACTGGATGCGAAAGGGCAAGAAGTTATTTGGCAAGGCGAACGCTCCTCTTCATATCCTCAAGTCTCATATGGAGTACGTGGCGAAGCGGAACTCATACTGCTTCGATTTAGAGGACAGTTACCGGCCGCCTGTGGAACCTTCATCTCGGGACACTACACCCGAGGGATTACTTGAGAACTCCAGCAATCCCAACATGTGGGGTCCCAAATCACGAAAGCGAGATGTGTTTTGTATCTGCAGGCATTCTGAAGCAGGAATGATGATTGAATGCGAAGTCTGCCACGAATGGTAAGCAAAGATCAAATTCGACTTCGGGGTGGATTTTTCTAACGAAAGCCAGGTACCATGGCAAATGCTTGAAGATTGCTAGGGGTAAGGTGAAGGAATTTGACAAATACACCTGCCCCATTTGTGATTGGCGTCAGAAAATCCCTCGTGATGCTGCTCGTCCCAAGCTCGAGGATCTCCAGGATTGGCATGCGGAAATCGCAACTTTGCCCTTCCAGCCCGAGGAGGAAGAGGTTCTCGAGACCATTATCAACCAAGCGACGGCCTTCCGTGATTTCCTACATGGCTTCACCAATGCTGCTTGCACAACGACCGAGGAAGTGCCCACTTTGATATTCTACCTTCGTAAAATCGAGGGCGCTGAGGTTCTTCTCACCTTCGAGACAAATTTCTTCCGACAGGAGATACACAAATGGGCCCCCGTTGCACCGGAGCCCCCTCCAATTCTCGAGCAATCTCTATCCACACGAAAGCCGCGACCGACCAAGCAGCAGAAAATGATGGCCCAGCTTGGGGTGAATCGTCCAGAGGATTTGCCTGAGCATCTTCGACCCAAGCACATCAACGCACCCAAACGGAAATCAGTTGATGCGCAATCGCACTTCGGCCCTAGCCAGCCTCCATCATTGCAGCCCGCACCACCAGTTTCTAGCAGCGCACAATCTCCCAGCATAGGCCCGACATTGGCTCATACGTCAGATCCACCCGCCAATCCATATCCTTTCTCTGCAAACTATTCTTTGCCTGCCAGCGATTCCACCCCCGCGTTTGCGCCTAATTCCTCATCCGCCTTCCTCCCTCATGCAGCTGCCTCTCAGTCTCCATCCTTCCTGTCGCGGTCACCCCCTCCGCAGCAAGATATGGAGACCTCACTCTTCAGTCCTCCGCGCTTTGGTCATGAACCTCAGTTCGCGAGTAGCAGTCCTCGTCAGAATCTTGATGACGTCTTTGCAGATTTGACCAACCAAGAGATTGATCCTGATGCTGAGCCGCAGCCGATGGAGAATACTCACGCCAATGAGGCATTGGAGGCGCTCGTCGTCAGCAATGGCAGCAGCCGTGCCGCTTCTGTGCAAGATGAAACCGGTCAAAATGGGGATGGCGCACAAGACGAGCCGAAGATCGATGGCGCAAATGGTGACCTTTTGGATGAGAAATTATGATTCTTATTCTTATCTTGCCTCGTCCTCGCAGTGAATCTTTCAAATTCAACCCCCGATTCCCAATATCACGGCTTTATCTGGGTATCTAACTATTTGCTATACTTACTTGGTTTTTTTCGGTCTGTTGTTTTACTCGCCTCTCTGTTTTTTACTGTTTTCTCGGAGCAAAGGCTTTCAAAAGGGTGTTCTTACAGACAGGACTGGCGAGTCCGGGGGTGTTCTTTCCAGCGATTCTACACATTTCTGCTTTTTCATACCTCAAGACCATGTCTGTCATGACCGCTTTTTTTTCTTACTTCGCTGCTGCCGACATCATGTAATACTAGTTGAATTCAACCATGTTTAATCATGATCTCTATTGTACTCTTATCGAGAAGGTCTATATGACATCGGCATAAGCTCCCAAGGCAGCTTGTCCACCCGTATGAATGAATAACACATTAACCACATCCGATGGCCGAGCAGAGTCCACAACTTCACCCTCATTCACCCAATGCATCATACCTCTCGCAACCTTAGCCGTATAAACAGGATCCAGCACCATACCTTCCATCCGCACCATATCCACAATTGCCTCTCTACTCTCCTCATCAACAACGCCATACGCACTCCCAACAAACCGATCGTCAAGCCTTACATCCTCAACCCCAATCTCGCCCACATCCAACCCAATCAACTCCCCCGCCCTCCTCGCAAAAGCAAGCACCCTCTTCTCATGATACGCCCGCGGCTTAGTAGGCGAATTAAGAATCCCAATAACCTTCCTAGACCCTCTATCTCCCTCCAATTTCTCCAGCAGCTTAAACCCAGCTACCAACCCACCAACCGTACTCCCACTCCCACAAGCAACAAACACATAATCGAACCTGCCGGACCCAGCAAGTCCCATCTCCGCTTCCTGTGCAACAATCTCAAACGCAGCCCGCGCATACCCCAGTCCACCGAGAGGATGCAAGCTCGCCCCACCGGGGATCCAATAAGGGTTCTTTCCCGCTTTTCTCAATTCGTCGAGCAGGGGCGTCGCATCCAGCGCTAGCGGATCCCCTGCCTCGCAGACGCGTACTTCAGCCCCGAGCAGCCGGTTGATCTGTACATTCCCGCTGTGCTGGAAGGCAGTTGCATCTGATGACGCGGCGAGACCGCCGCCCGTGCCGCGGTGTAGAAGGACTACAGCATTGAGACCGAGTTTTCGTGCGAGTGCGGCGACTTGAACGGTGTGGTTGCTTTGGAGGGCGCCCTCTGTTACGAGGGTTGTTGCGGGGGGTGCGGAGGGGTTGGGGGTTGGATGGGTTGTTTTCGTGGGCGTGGTGGAGGGGTGTTTGGGAGAGAATGTCGGGGACTATATATTCTAGTTTGCGGTACTTGTTGCCTGCGCAGGCTAGCGGGGAGGAGTGGTCTTCGCGTTTGGCGTGGATGGTGATGAGGGGGTGCGGGGAGAGTCGGGGGGTGATTGAGGGTAAGGGGTGGATTGGGGAAGGCGTTGGGTAGAGGATCGCGTAGCGTGGAATTTGCGCGAATGTTTCGGGGAGTTGAATCGGTATAGACATTGTTCTGTACATGACCTTGCTTGTGGGAGTGACATGGTAACTAGTCTTGCGATGCTTCGCTTTTGTATGTTGTGGCCTGGTTCTTCAGGCATTCAAGGATATTCCCATGTGTCAGCAACTATATGACGTCGAGGGTGTTGTTCACTTGTTGAACGTGGCGCTCTGTTGATTCCTTCGTTAATCATGACTTTACTCCAATTTTTACGACAGGCGCGTCAAGTGCATCTCCAATTCCTCTCAGGTACTCTCCCTGAGTCCCCAATCTATGTAATCGGCAATCCTTCGGCGGATCTTGACTCGATCGTCTCGGCAATCGTTTACTCCTACTGCGCGAACAACCGGCTCCCGAGGAAGTCCCCGCGACCACATATTCCACTTCTGAACCTGCCCAATATCCCTGCTGGCACGGAGCTGTATCGGCTCAGGCCAGAATTTGCAGCTTCACTATGGTCGTCAACGAATTTCCCTCCTCTGGCGGACGATGAGAAATTTGACAACACCCTGCAGTCTGCGGGGAACGTCTTGGGCGAGCATGTCATGACCGTTGCGGACTTTGCGCAGTCGCTTGAACGCCTCAGGGTTTTGAAACAGATCATTGCCGAAGCGACGCTAGTTGACTGGAACGCGTGGTCATCCCCTTCAAGAAGCGACAAGACCTTTGGGTCTTTGACCGGATTATCGGGCGCCTCTTTCCGAGCTGTCGGATGCATCGATCACCATGTCGACGAGAAGGCCATGCCCAGCTCTGATATATTGCCAGAAGGGCAGCCGATGATCATTCAACCAGGACCTGGGTCCTGTGCATCGCTTGTCACGAAACAGCTGCAAGAACAGAACCTCTGGGATGCGGCTCCGGCAGAGATAGCCCAGGTCGCAAAGCTTGCTCTCTCCGCAATATTGATTGATACTTCCAATCTTACTGCGGAAGGGAAGGTGACAGATGTCGATCGAATGGCTGTCGAATTCCTGCAATCCCGAATCAAAGAGGCGGGTGGCCAAGACAGGTGGGAGGTAGAGGAATTCTACACCAGCATTCTTCACGCTAAGCAGCACAGCCTCGATCTTCTGACGCTGGATGAAATTCTTGATCGTGATTACAAAGACTGGACGGAGACGTCACAATCGTCGGGCAAGACAGTGAAGCTGGGTTTCTGCTCTGCTGTGAAGCCTATCCGATGGATTGTCCAAAAGGCAGGTGGTCCGGAAAAATGCCTCCATGCAGTGCGTTCGTTTGCGGCCTCCGCCGAGAAAGACCTAGATGTGCTCGTTATTATGACGGCCTTCACTGGCAAGAACGATAAATTCTGTCGCGAGCTGTTCGTCAATGTGATACGGGACAACGAAGCAGCTATTAATGGTGTCAAGCGGTTTGTTGAGCAGGCTTCGGACCAACTTGGACTGGTGAAATGGTCTCCACTGGATGGGGAGGATATCCCTACGCTGACTGCCGATTCTCTCTCTCAATTGAACATGGAACCACCACTCTGGGGGCAGCTCTGGGTACAGACCAACGTGGCTGGGAGTAGAAAGCAGGTTGCGCCGTTGTTGCGGGCAGCAGTTGCTAAGTTGTAAAGGTTGTGTGAGTATTCTTTAGAAATCATGGAGGGTTGCCCGTGTTTCTAGGTACTGCTCATCATGCTTGATTTTCTCCTATTCGTCTAGAACCTCTAGCACCGAAACCCAGAGCCCTGGAATAGGAACAAAAGAGACTCGAATGCTACCGAGTATATGCAATGCTCCAAGCACACCTCATGTAAATGCCAGTATTCAATGAGCACAATATGACAAGAATTGAAGAGAAAAGAAAATGGGAAAGCAGAACGAGACAGGAAAATAAAATGGAAGTGTAAATCAAATGGCTTGAAGATAAAACGCCCACACTATGTAACAGACAAAAATATGAAAATCAAACACACTCCCACTCGCAGAATACACACCACCGCGCAGCCCGGTCTGCTAGCACCAGACCACGCCACATACCACGTTCGCCGATCTTGATAACAGTCTCCCAAACACCGCCCTCAGCAACAGCATCGGTAACCGATTGCGCCCCAGAATCACCGCTGATCATGTGCTCCGCCTTACGGGTGAGGCGCAGAATCTTGCCGGAGGGCGACTGAATCGCCAGTTTCGCCGCCTTGTCACGCCCAGAACCAGATTTGGTTGATGAGATAGCCGAGGTAGAGGCCGAGAACTCGTTCGAAGCACCCGACACAGTCGACCCGCCCGCTGTGCTGGATACCATGCTCAACGCGCTGGACGGACGGGTAAAAACAGACGATGGCGAGCCGCGGCCATTCGAGGTAGTGTCTTCTTTGCCTGGTGCGGCGGAGTGTTGTCGGACGGCGAAGACGAAGGTATTATTCACTGCGAGGCGGGAGCACTGCGGCTGCATGATGTACAAGTCGTGTCGCTGGGCGTGTGGCGTAGGATGACGGAGGACGAAATCGTAAGGCGGGTTCTCTCCTGTGTGGAGTATTGGCAAGGCCAAGGCGAGTGGGTGTGGGATGTCTCGGCTTGAGTGCATCAGACCCTTTTTGCCTGCGTAGATCTTTAGAACGCCCTGGCCTTCGTCGCCCGGGAGTACAGCCTTGATGGTAATGCGCTTTTGGCCCCTGACCCAATCTGGCTGGACTAGTGCACGTTTGCGCACGATATCTCCGCTTTCGAAGACGTCGCCGTCTGCGTCACGCGCAAACGCTGGGGCTTCGACTTCGGCCGCGCATTCGACATCTGCGGGGACTAGCATGCGTAGCTGCATTACCTGTAGCCCGTCGAGACGGAGCAGACTGGTGTCGTAGTCTGGGATCTGGACATTGAGCTTGAAGAAGGGCGGGCACACAGGCGGCAGGGCGAGCAGGACATCTGGTGAGATTGGGGGGCAGATGTGCTGTTCCTCGGGATAGAGCGGAATGTGAGTGTAGCAGATCTCGAGTGGGCGCGCGAGGAAGTACCAGCTCTCTGCGACGGACGAATTGTTGGTCACGAACCTACTGCGTTGGGGGTTTGTGGGGTTTGCAAGGGCGCAGTCCATGAAGCGCCATTCGCCATCGACCAGAACCGAGTTCCACCAGTGGTTTGGACGGGAGAGGCTGTCGAGATCGAGGACGTCTCCGGGGCTCTTGAGGTATCCTCGGATGACCTCTGTGTGTAGTCCGACTGCTGCGCACATCTCGTGCACCAGTAGTGCGATTTCCTCTGGGGTACCTCGTTTGGCCTGCAAAAGTCTCTTCATGTCGACTTCGAGCCCGTCAACAGGTTCCTCCCATGCGATCTTCTCGCTGACCCACGTGAAGATGGCGCGAAGACGTTGAACATCACTCTTGTAGGGCCGACAAATATAGGCTTGAGCGAGACTCGTGGGATTTGTCAATGGAGGAAGGCTGCTGATGAAGCGCGCACTTTTATCAACAAGGTTGAGATTCGCTGCGTGGAAGTTCGTGGGCTCGGTGAGTGGTTGTCCATCAATGCTCTCGTCACCTTCTGCAGTATCGTACAGCTCTTCAACGGAGTAAATGACAGGGTGGTCCATCATCTGGCACCGTTCGGCGCTTTCGATCCTCTCATTCCGGCTAGGAGATGACGCTCGATTTACATCACGTCGCACCTGAACCCAGTCAATGGTGCTAGGTGTGTGGCCCGCATCGCGAGCATCACGATTTGAGTGGAAGTTGAGAGCCGGCGACACTACGTCTAGACCTCTGTTGCTCTTGGCTGGAGAATGGGCTCTTTCGCCGTGACCAACCGAGATACTGCTCCTTGCACTCGCTGCGCCAGTCTTGGCCGTTTCGAATATCTTTTTGAAAAAGCCAGGCTTCTTGCTCTTCGGCGTAGAAAGACCTCCAAAAACTCCACTATGATCCGTCTGGTCAAGGCCGGCGGATGACCATGGGATTGCTGATGATGCACCCTGGCGAGAAGAGTTATGACTGGAATGGTACGAAACACCAGTAAAGGGTGTCTCTGGGCGCACATCGCTGAATCCGCGAGAACGGACAGTGTCCATGGCAGTGTTCGGTCGCTCGTGCCCACCTCGACGGGCAAAGCTACCCGCACTCGTCGCGCTGAACCCTCCCGCGGAGAAGCCACTCATAACACTTTGATGGGTTTGGTCTGTGCTCGTCGTCATGGCCGTTCCATTGCTTTGCATACCGCTTGAAGAATTCGTGGCACTGGATTTGTTGGTGAAGGATCGGTTGAGAATATCTCCTCGCAGGTCCTGACCAGAGCGTCTTGACCTGAGGGGCGCGTGCTGCCCCGGTATAGAGTTGTTGCGCGGGTGGTATGTGGCATGTTTGGGAGGAGGCGGAGGAGGCGCATCATCGTCGTCCTGGCCAGCTCGTCGATCATCCGCTGACCGGTTCTGATCCTCCAATTGACGCAAGCGGCTTTCCATTCTCTGTACATAATTATTGAGCTGAGGTGGACCATCCATATGGTCATGGCTATAGACGCTATTGCGGTGGACCAGTCCACCTTGCGGCTGCTCTTTATCGCCATCAAAGCCCATTGACGTCAAAGGGCGACGCCTGTTGCCCTGTGGAGTCTTTTCGTGTGAAGTATCAAATGCTTCTGGGGCCCATGGGTTGTTAAACATTGGGGACGGAGACGGCGACTGGGCTTCGCGAGGGAGACCCATGTCCTCCAATGAGGTCATGACATCTTCCATGGCATCTCGAAGCGGCGACGGTGTGTTGCCTTGAAGATCCGACTGGGCTGAGGTTGCAGACACACCAGAGCGTGTTGAGGCTGCAGATGGCGATGGGGTACGATCAAATATCACATAGCGGTCATTCATAACAAGAGGCGTGGGAGATCGTGATGGGCGAGGGGAGTGCGATGGTGGTTGAGGGGATTGGGCACGATGCTGTGATGACTGCATGGGTGGCTGGGGAGAAAGACTTCGTTGCTGAGGGTGCATTGGTGGTTGCGGAGAGCGGGTGTCTGCACGACTGATGGCAACCCTGTGTGGAGGTGGTGGTGGAGGCGGTGGGGAGTCTTCTCGCTCGTCTTGCATGGGTGCTGGAGAAGGCTCACGAGATGGACCTCGGTAAGGGAAACTACTCCCGTGTGGAACTGGTGCAGATGAGTGCTCTTGCATAGGTAATGGCGATGGAGCCCTGTATGATGACATGCTGCCATGCGGCATAGGTGCAGGTGGGTGATCTTGCATGTATAGCTGAGACGGCCCTGGCGAGGGGCCCCGGTACATACTGCCATGTGGAACCACCGCCGACGAATGCTCCTGCATTGGCAACGGAGATGGGCTACGCGATGGAACCCGGTAAGACGAATTGTGCCCACGTGGAACCATCGCAAACGAATGATCCTGCATTTGTAGTGGTGACGGAGCCCGGTAAGATGGGATACTTCCATGTGGCATAGGGGCTGGTGGATGATCCTGCATGTACAACGGAGACGGCTCACGCGATGGTGTATGATATGAGACACTCCCGTGGGGCATGGTCGGGGGCGGGTATTCTTGCATGTTCAAAGGGGACGGCTCACGAGACGATCCCCGGTAAGATGAAAAACTGCCATGTGCTGTAGTCGGCGGGGGATACTCCTGCATTTGCAGTGGAGAGGGCTCCCGAGACGAATGCTGATAAGATGACACACTTCCCCGTGGGACCAGCGCAGACGAGTGCTCATGCATTGGCAAGGGCGATGGGTCGCGAGATACAGGCCGATTAGATGAGACGCTACCCCTCGGCACAATTGCAGATGCACGTTCCTGCGTTTGGAATGGAGACGGCTCGCGCGACGAATGTCGAGAGGATGAGATGCTTCCTCTGGGCAGCATCGACGGCGATCGCTCCGGCTCCACTGACGTGCGAGGAGAGACACCGCGCGACGAAGGTCGGGATGCTGATGATGTGGGTCGAGATAAAGATCCTTGGTTCTTGACCGCCGACGCGTGCGTGCGCAGTGGCTTCGTACTGCGTGGAGCGCTGCCATCTCGGGGTGGTGTTTGGGGAATGGCGGGTGCTGGGCTAGACTCGGTTGCGCGCCGAGCGACCGAAGCTGGCGACACGGCTTCCTTATGCGCCTGAAAGGGTTTCCGCCAAACTGTCTTCTGTTTCTTGGGCGCCGATGTGGGATTGTTGATCGGGTTAGTGCCCGCTAGCACCATTGGACTCGTATCACGGCTAACAGGCACGAAGTCTTCGCCGAGCAGTTCGACGAAGTTGGATGGGAACAGCCCAACAGCACGCCTATCACGGCGCAACCGACCCATCCACCATTGTCCGTCGCCTGCATTCAAGCATTCAATCAGATCTCCCTCTACGAATCCAAGATCCCGTGTTGTCTCTCCACCCCAAGAATATACTGCTCGACACCAGCATGGAAACCGCATTGGCAGCTGAGCCATGGTGCCCACGTAAACACGAGCGCAACCCACGAGATCGAGACAATGAGCTGTTTTGGTATTGGGCGCGGCTCTGGAAAGTTCTTGTTCTGGCGAAGGTAGGAAAGTGATGTATCAGTCGGCGAGGTTGTATTGTTGATTTGGACACCGAATAGCTTGGTCAGATGGGTGACGATATCCGCACGGCCGCAGGGATAGCACTGATCGCTTAATAAATCAGCATTTCCATAATAATAATGAGAATTCAACTGGGCATTTGGAAGGAATTGGCGTATGGAAATTGAGACGCCTGAGATGGGGCCAGCGAAAGGGTTGCTAGGGGCGTGGGGGGTTGAGCAGTTCAGATCGGTGAGGCCTAAGACGACACTTGGGGCGTAAACTCCAGTGGGACTGGGGTTGTTTGTTTGTGACCCCATTGGGACTAGCGGTGGAGGCTTCTCTTATCGATAAGCTTAATCCATATTTCCGGGTTTTGGACCATCACGACTGAATAGTTTCCGAGGCACTTCGAACCTTTGGATACATTTCCTTTACTGCAGACATGTGGTAATTTACCCCCGTCAGTTAGTTCTCCTAACCGAGGTGACAGTAAGTGTCCCATAATTACTGGGAATATGCACCATCATCATGAGATTCTCTGCTTTTCCTGAAGGGTACCCCCGCATACCGCCTTGCGTGTAAACTTGAAGATATCCTCTTGATTGCCCGCTATAAACGAATAGGAACGATGATTGGTGAAACATTGGGAACAATGCCATTTGAATGAAGTGTGATTGGGTGCGAAAAGCGTAGACCTGTTCGCTCATCATTTTTTTTCTGTTCCCCGACCTCGGGATGACTGTTGCAGCTTGCGGAGAGGCGCAGCCGACCCATGGTTCAGCGACGAACAACCCTGGTACCTAGGATAGGTTAAGTATACTTGAGAACAACATCTATATTTTGACCTACGCGATTGACATGTTGAAGTCATGGGTTTACAGTCACGCCTTGCAAGCTTGTCTCAGGCTTGTTATCTCAAAGCTTGGCAACACGCACATCAAATCAAGGAAGGGTGATCGAACGGATTGCTTGCGAGATCATAGATGAGAGGGCACGGCACGGGAATCAATCACCAACAACTTACAACAGATACCTATTCGATGAACTGTTGTCCGAAGTTTACAAATTACGACGCTGTCTGAGTCTCCGATACCTCCGACCTGCCAGGAGTTCCGAGTCAGGACTCAGACTGTCACGTCATGCGATCACATCCATCGCAGACGGCCTCACGGTCTCACCAAAGGGGTTTAGGAAAGAGAGAACATGAGATAGATAGAATAAGACAATCAATGCGCTGGATCAGCTGGTTGCGCCTTGGAAATATTTATAGCGACTCCACTATGAGATTTGAGACGATTAGCTATTCCGTGGCCCCATTTTCGCCAGTTGTCAAAGAATGTCCAGTGACACATAAACAGTTTATGTACATAGTATTACTCCCATATAGTCCGGCGATGTCCCTTAGGGGCCGGGAATACTTTTTAGGTATGTACAACACCCTGGCAGGTACTGACTGCTCAGCATGCCATGATCCTGCATGCTCGCCGTCGTCTACGAAAGTGTACAACGTATGACTAGCGATCACGTTAAGACCCCGTGATGGGTACGAGATCTGTTTTTATTTGCCTTTCCTGACTAAGTTGCCAACCATACCGAATAGGCGAATGAAGATTGCGCGCACTTATTGAGCCAGGTGGAAAGCGCAGACATAACATATTTTCGGCAGAGCGGGAGACATTTCCTCGGTTTACCAGAAGCAGAGAGATAAGGCTAAACAAATTTCATGATCAAGATTTTGCAACAATGCAAACCGTTCGTATCCCCCGAAGCCCCCGTAGGCTACTCCTATTACGTACCGGGAGCTAATATGCTGTTCATTATCTACTAGGACCCGACACTGGACTAAGAGCTGAAATTGATCTCCTCTCCTGCTCTAAGGCATCACCCATTATACTGCGCCCCTATCGCAAAAAGGGTCATGAAGATGGCTCCTTTGAAAGCACTGATGACCTTAGCGGCCAGTGGACTCGCAAAGCTAGCTTGGGCGAAACATGTCAACTTCGACTTGAACCTGACATGGCAAATCGGGGTCCCAGATGGGAACATGTGACAAATGATCTTCATGAACGAGAAATTCCCGGGTCCTAAACTACGATTAAACCAGAATGATGATGTTGAAGTAGGCTTGTTATGCCAACCAACCTACCAACTGCGAAGGACGGATCAGTTGCTTGCTGACTGTGTCTAGTTTGTTGTTCACAGCAGCATGCCGTATAACACTACCGTCCACTTCCACGGAATCGAGCAGCTGAATACACCATGGTCAGACGGAGTTCCCGGTCTCACTCAAAAGCCCATTCAGCCGGGACACAGTTGGACATACCGTTGGACTGCGAGTAGAGACTCAGGGCAATTTTTCCTCCCACTAATGAGAGCAAAATTACAGCTGGGTTGAACTCCGGGTGCATTGCTACCGCTGGTCTACATGAGATTATTGAAGTTGACCCCAATGCCGGCTGGGCCAGCCTGAAGCTCATCAGCGCAGCGTCTCTCAAATCTCTCATGTTTTTGATCGACGAGCACCCGATGTATATTTATGAAGTCGACGGTAGCTCCATGGATTGAGCCTCAGCTTGCTTATATACGCCGTTACCTACAATTTACACCGGCAAACGCTATGCCGCTATGATCAAGCTCGGCAAGCCTTGGAAGGACTACACGATTCGAGATCCAGACACGCAAGGTGATCAAATTATTTCTGGGTTCGCCACGTTGAGATACCAGGACTCTCAGGACACTACGCCATCCCAGCCCTATGTGAACTATGGCGGAAGAAACACGCCCGCTGTATTTACTCCATTGGACGACAAGGGGATCATGCCGCCTTACCTGCGGTGACAATCTCGCAGACTGCTGATCAGCTTGTTAATCTTATGATCGGCCGCATGGGCGCGGGCGCGGCTTACACATGGACTGAAGCCTATGCTGAGCGACCTGAGCTGTTCCACATTAATAGCCCTCCAATGAGAGATATCTTTGTCACCAATGGCCCTAAAGGGTCAATATGGATGATTTGTGCGGTACCAAATTGTTAATCCGGGACCATTTATTTTTCACTGCCACATTGAAACCCACATGGTCAACGGGGATGGCCGTTGCTCTATTCGATGGCATTGACGCATGGCCCCAGGTGCCCGCAGGAGAGGACCAGAGGCCTGGTACGAATATATAAGGTAGCAATAGCAATGGCCAGAGCCAGCCTAGTGTGGTTCTGCGGATGAATCCGTTGGTGGAGAGGACATGTGGCCTTCGGCTCAGAAAGGTGCTCGCTATCTCGTTTCCTTTTTAGGAACAATAGAGCCATGACAATGAGATAGACACTACAGGGGAATTTCCTTGACCAGTGCATTTGGCTTATGGCCACAAATCCCAGTTTGTCATTGGTAGATGCTTGTAGTTTGATATTCTGAGGTCTATGAATGTGCCTGTCCATACATTGTAACTATGATACTGCTGTCTCTCTTCATTCCTTTTATTTTCTTCTCTTCCATGGCTAATATTTTCTATGGTATGCTAGTGGGTCGCGGTTGTTTGCGGCAGATACTCTGCCCATAGTTGGTGTTGACCCACCAGATCGAACCATCGAGAATGGTGTCGATTGTCATAGGCAGATCGCCCGATGGGCCATGAGCCATGTGAGCTGTAGCCGATTTGTCCTATTCATGCGGTGCTGCCCAAGGTACGCCGAAGGCATCGATCGACCGCCGTCTTGGTTAACATTGTTGACTGAGGTACTGTATCTTCCATAGTTACACAGTTGCACAGAAAAGCAAAAGCATGTGCTATCTTCTTCAAGTTATTCCAGGAAGCATCTATTTCCCGAAAATCAAGCTTTACATGCACGTACTAGTATGTTCAGGTGACTTTTGAACTGACTTCGCCTCCGGAGGACTATTGTATTGATCTCCTCTCCCTGTAATCCAACCACTCTTTCAGTAGTGTAACCCCATTTTCAGCTATTCGACTCCACATCTGCCTGGATTCTGTATGTTTACCTCACTGCCTCTTGCACCGCCATTAAGAATCACCAAATCTGGGGTTTCCTGCATAAACAATGCCATCTTATTGGGGCTCAAGCAATCAGATCGCTCCATTTTTAATTTGGGGAGGGACCCCAAAGTTCTGCAGCGAAGATGTCCCCCAAAGGTTTATGGCATGATTAACAAGGCAGACGGGCCTAGATCACTGAGAGCGGGTTAGACCGTTAGTGTTACATTACTCAAATGGGATTGGAGTACAGGGAGGGATGGTCAGTAGGTATAGAGACCGCTATGTATATCGCCAAGATGTCACCTCAAAATCGACCGTAAACCCTATCGGGTTGCGACTGTACCTGAGATGGTGGAATGAGTACTATCCATGCAATGTCTCAGATAACAAGTCTCGACTCTCGAACCCAGTCATGACGTATTGAAAACATTTACGATGATGTCTTCAGATTGCTCAACAGCTCATTACTCAATGTGTAATAGATCTGCATATGCGTCTTCCCGATTGGATTGCTGTTACATTCAGATTAAGCATTCCACATCTTGATAATTCACCACAGAAGGCGATGGCTGAAGATCGTTTTTCACATTTACGCAGTAGAGCGTCTCGTAGACTTTTAAAACTTAAGACAAAGACATATGGCTAAATGATATATGCTTTGCCATGTCTCCAGAATGTTCCTGCAGGCCGCGGGAGTTTGTTCTGTCAGTTTTAGTTTCCGCAAGGGGCCATTCTAGGGCTCCGCCAGACCCACGTGACTGATGGAAGCAGCGGCTGTAACCTTCTGAAAGCAGCCTCAATTTTCGACTTCAATTGCAACTTCGTCTTATGTTTTTACTTTCCTGGATCTTGATTTCTCATTATTACACTGCAACTTCAGAATTATCCGCGGAATTCTGCTCAATACGCCCAACACAACTTCCCAAATTTCGAGTCATTGTTAGTCTAAACCGCAAACAGCACTCGGCACCTGTGAACTACACTCGGGTTGCCGGTCCGTTTACTAGTAGTCTATACGTACGCTTTATGGCCTAATGTTATTCACGCAGCAGTGTTATTTCGTTCTGTCCAATACCTTCAGGCAGACAACCTTGAGCATTATAGGCATCTGTGCTTCACTACCGTAACCGTACCATTGGGCGATTTGAGGTCTTAATATAGTCCATGATACGAGTATGATAAATACTGTACGGTCTTACGATATACCGGAGGATCAGACGCAGATCCTACATTTCCCCATGGTTTCAGCTTAGTGAGTTTCTCGCCACGCGGAGAAAACAGGGAAGAATATTATTCGACTTCCAAAATCGATCCAGTCGAGACGATTCCAGTTAAACCTATTCCCTGTTGCAGTGGCTTTAGACCCACCCGCTGGGGATCATTTTAGCGTACCCTTGTATAAAGTATCGATTTCCGTCGATCAGTGCTAGACTGAGTTCTTCTTTCCCCATATATTTCTGCATCAGCTAATTGGCATCGCGGGTGACTATGGAAGCTCCCGGTCGTTTGTATCTCTTCGGAGATCAGACTGCGGATGTCGACTCGGGCCTCCGCCGTCTATTGCATGCCAAGAATGACTCGCTGCTGGTAGCCTTTTTCCAAAAGTGTTACTATGCTTTGCGCAAGGAAATCACTTCGTTCTCTCCATCGGAGCGGGAGACATTTCCTCGGTTTACCAGCATTGTTGATCTGCTCGCGAGACACCGAGAGTCAGGACCGAACCCTTCCCTGGAGAGTGCATTGACAACAATGTACCAGCTTGGATGTTTCATCCAGTAAGTGAACTCGGAATATTGTATTGTGCAGATGAAGATTCGGGCATGATTTGCTGACCTTGACAGTTATTATGGCGATTTGGGTCATACCTATCCGACGGGTGATGGAAACTGCATCATCGGTCTTTGCACCGGACAACTTGCATCTGCAGCTGTCAGTTCTTCGAAAACTGTCGGGGAGCTCATTTCGGTTGGAGTTCACACGGTGGTTCTTGCTCTCAGGCTTGGAATGTGCGTCTTGAAGGTACAAGAACTTATAGAGCCAAGCAAATCGGCAGCATCAAGCTGGTCTGTGCTAGTTTCAGGCATGCGCGAGACCGAGGCTCAGGAATTGATCGAACAGTATGCAAAGAAAAACGTGAGTGTCTTCCTCGTAAACGAAACAAGATTCAAACTAACGGCCTGCAGGCATTGCCGCGAGCTTCTCGGCCTTATGTCAGCGCTGTCAGTCCCAATGGAATTACTATCAGCGGTCCGCCGACTTCCTTAGATCGTTTTGTGGAGGCAAGTCTCTCAAAGGAGCATAAGCCCATGAAAGTCCCGATTCATGGCCCTTATCATGCCCCGCATCTGTATGACGACAAGGACGTCAGCCGTATTATGGAGTCTTGGCCCGCGGAACAACTTGCGACCTACGTGCCCCAGATCGCCGTGCTTTCATGTGAGACTGGTCAGAGATTTGAGGCTGAGAGCCTTGAGCAACTTCTGAGAGTTTCTCTTGGGGAGATTCTGCAGCGACAGCTTTGCTGGGACAAGGTCATCGAATCGTCTCAGTCGATGTTGGAGCCTGCCACATCATGCACGCTATTCCCAGTTTCCAGCACCGCAACACAGAGTCTCTTTGGCTCATTGAAGAAAGCTGGAGTTGCCAACATTGAAATTAACAGCGCAATCGGCCATGTCGACACAGAGTCTGATGCAGATAACCGAACCGGTCGTGCCGAACGGTCGAAGATCGCAATCATCGGTCTTTCCGGAAGATTCCCGGAGGCTCCTGACACCGAAGCTTTCTGGGATCTCTTGAAGAAGGGTCTGGATGTTCATCGGGAGGTTCCACCAGAGCGATGGGATGTCAAGGCTCACGTCGATATGGAGGGGAAGACCAGAAACACCAGCCAAGTGCAATACGGATGTTGGTACAATGATGCTGGAATGTTTGATCCCCGTTTCTTCAACATGTCTCCCCGGGAGGCACTTCAAGCAGATCCCGCTCAGCGTCTGGCACTCTTGACTGCTTACGAGGCTTTGGAGATGGCAGGCTTCATTCCTAATAGCACACCCTCAACGCAGAAGAACCGAGTTGGCGTTTTCTATGGAATGACCAGTGACGACTACCGTGAAGTCAACAGCGGTCAGGATATCGACACCTACTTCATTCCGGGAGGTAACCGTGCTTTCACTCCCGGCCGCATCAACTATTACTTCAAATTCAGTGGCCCCAGTGTCAGTGTGGATACAGCTTGTTCCTCCAGTCTTGCGGCCATTCATGTTGCTTGCAATTCCCTATGGAGAAATGACTGTGACTCTGCTGTGGCTGGTGGTGTGAACATCCTGACAAACCCCGACAATCATGCTGGTCTTGACCGTGGACACTTCCTCTCAAGGACTGGAAACTGCACCACCTTTGACGATGGAGCTGATGGTTACTGCAGATCGGATGGAATCGGCTCCATTGTTCTGAAGAGACTTGAAGACGCCCAGGCGGATAATGACCCCATCTATGGTATCATCGGAGGAGCTTACACCAACCATTCAGCAGAGGCCGTTTCGATCACCCGGCCCCATGTTGGCGCGCAGTCATTCATCTTTGATAAGCTTCTCAACGAGTCAAACACCGATCCCAAGGAGATTAGCTATATTGAGATGCATGGAACAGGTACCCAGGCAGGCGATGCAGTTGAAATGCAGTCGGTTCTCGAGGTCTTCGCTCCTGACTACCGTCGCGGGCCGAACCAGTCACTTCACCTCGGCTCAGCAAAGGCAAACGTCGGTCACGGAGAGTCTGCCTCTGGTGTTACAGCCTTGATCAAAGTCTTGATGATGATGCGGAAGAACATGATCCCTCCTCATTGCGGTATCAAGACTAAGATCAACCACAACTTCCCGACCGACTTCCCCCAGCGCAACGTCCACATCGCGTCCGAGCCTACCCCCTGGAATAGGCCTAGTGGCGGCAAGAGAAAGACCTTCGTCAACAACTTCTCGGCTGCTGGTGGCAACACTGCGCTGCTGGTCGAGGATGGTCCACTCGATGAGGAGAATTTGGAAGATCCCCGGTCTACACACCCTGTGCTTGTTTCTGCTAGATCTCAATCTGCACTCAAAAACAACATCTCCGCTCTTGTGCAGTACATTGACACAAACAAGAACCTGTTCAATGTGAACGACGCCAGCCTTCTTGCAAATCTGTCTTATACCACCACGGCGAGGCGCCTTCATCACCCCTTTAGGGTCGCTGTCACTGGTTCCACCCTGGATGATGTGAGAAGCGCATTGGCCCCAATCGTCAACCGCGAAAGCATCAGCCCAGCTCCCGCCAACGCACCCGGTATTGGCTTTGCGTTCACCGGGCAGGGTGCCCAGTACGCTGGCATGGGGCGCCAATTGTTTGAGAGCTGCTCGCAGTTCCGCAGCCACATCGAGCACTTTGACTGTCTCGGTCAGAGTCACGGCTTCCCATCCATCGTGCCTCTGATTGATGGTAGCGTTCCGATTGAAGAGCTTAGCCCGGTTGTCACCCAGCTCGGAACCACCTGTGTGCAGATGGCCTTGACCAAGTATTGGACTTCTCTGGGAGTTGTTCCCACTTTTGTTCTCGGTCATAGCCTCGGCGAGTATGCGGCGCTCAATGCTGCTGGTATCTTGTCCACAGGTGATACCATCTATCTTACCGGACGACGGGCTCAACTTCTGACCGAGCAATGCAAGGTTGGAACACATGCTATGCTTGCTGTCAAGTCGTCGGTAGCTCAGGTGAAGCAGTTCCTCGATGATTCTACCGAGGTGGCTTGTATCAACGCTCCCAGCGAGACTGTCATCAGTGGTGCGAGTGAGAAAATCGACGAGCTCGCTCAAACTCTTGCCAACGAAGGCTTCAAAGCCACCAAGCTGAAGGTACCTTTTGCTTTCCACTCTGCGCAAGTTGAGCCTATTCTTGAAGGTCTTGCCGAGATTTCAAAGGGCGTTACTTTCAACAAACCCTCTATTCCCTTCGTGTCTGCCCTTCTTGGGGATGTCATCAAGGAGGATAACTCTGAGGTGCTTGGTCCCGTTTACCTGACTCGCCACTGCCGGGAGACTGTCAACTTCCTGGGTGCTCTGGAAGCCACCCGCCACTCCCACTTGATGAATGACAAGACCCTCTGGGTTGAGGTTGGCTCTCATACCGTCTGCTCTGGGATGGTTAAGTCAACTTTCGGTCCCCAGGCGACGACTGTTGCATCTCTTCGTCGCCAGGAAGACACTTGGAAGGTTCTGTCACTCAGCCTTTCTGCTCTTTACTTGGCTGGAGTTGAGATCCACTGGAAAGAGTACCACCAGGACTTTACTGCTGGACACAAAGTTCTCCCGCTTCCTTCCTACAAGTGGGACCTTAAGAACTATTGGATCCCCTATACCAATAACTTCTGTCTGCTCAAAGGTGCACCTGCGGTACCAGCTGTTGAGGCTGAGCCAGTCTCTGTTTTCTTGTCAACAGCTGCACAGAAAATTTTGGAGACAAGTGGCGACGTCTTGTCGGCAACTGTTATTATCGAGAATGACATTGCTGATCCCGAACTGAACCGTGTCATTGCAGGCCACAAGGTCAATGGTGCCTGTCTTACTCCATCGGTATGTATAACCCTGAGTCTTTTGCATGAGAAACCAATTTGCTAACAATAATTTAGTCTTTGTATGCCGATATTGCCCAGACACTCGGTGAATACCTGGTTCAGAACTACAAGCCCGAGTGGAAAGACCGCGGCTTTGACGTCTGCAATATGGTAGTCCCCAAGCCCCTTATTGCAAAGGGCGGCAAGCAGCTCTTCCGAGTCTCAGCTACTGCGCACTGGTCGGAGGAGAGCGCCCAAGTTCAAGTGTGGTCGGTCACCCCTGAAGGCAAAAAGATCCTTGACCACGCCAACTGCACAATCAAGTTCTTTGACCCCAGCGTTTATGACCTCGAGTGGAAGCGCAGCTCCTATCTCATCAAGCGAAGCATTGAGCATCTCCAAGAGAGCACAATCTCGGGCCAGGCTCACCGCATGAAGCGAGGAATGGTCTACAAGCTCTTTGCCTCTCTGGTGGACTATGACGAGAACTACAAGTCCATTCGCGAAGTCATTCTCGACAGTGATGAGCACGAAGCTACCGCTTTAGTCAAGTTCGAGGCTCCCCCTGGCAACTTCCATCGCAACCCATTCTGGATCGACAGCATCGGCCACTTGTCCGGCTTCATCATGAATGCCAGTGATAACACTGATTCGAAGAACCAAGTGTTTGTCAACCACGGATGGGATTCGATGCGCTGCTTGAAGAAGTTCGATCCCAGCGTCACTTACCGGACCTACGTGAAGATGCAGCCCTGGAAAGACTCCATCTTCGCCGGTGATGTATATATGTTTGATGGCGATGACATTGTGGCCGTGTACGGTGGTGTTAAGGTATGTCGAATGCATTCCAGAATATTTTACCATGATACTAACAATCGCAACACAGTTCCAAGGATTGGCACGCAAGATCCTCGACATGGCTCTTCCTCCCGCTGGAGCTCCCGCTCCCAAGCCGGCTGCCAAACGTACCCCTGCCCCCATTGATGTCCAAAAGGCGAAGACTGGACCTGTCAAGAAGGCCTCCGTTTCGACGAAGTCTCCTAGTTTGGTCTCGCGCGCTCTTGCAATCCTGGCTGAAGAAGTCGGGCTCTCAGCATCTGAGATGACTGATGATCTCAACTTCGCCGATTACGGAGTTGACTCCCTGCTCTCATTGACTGTCACTGGCCGCTACCGTGAAGAAACGGGACTTGACTTCGAGTCCTCTGTCTTTGTTAACCACCCAACCGTCAAAGACTTCAAGCGTCTTTTGGCTCAAATGAGCCCTGCCGATAGCAGCAATGATGAGACTAGCAGTGAGGGCAGCATGTCTTCGGCTGCATCCACGACCGACGTCTCGACTCCAAATTCCAGCGGTCTGCCTACACCTGCGAATGAGAAAGCGATGACACATGGCTCGACAGTGCAAAATGACAGCATGAAGCGGATTGTCTCAATCCTAGCCGAGGAGATCGGCGTTGAGCAACATGAACTCGACGGAAATGCGAACCTTGGTGAGATGGGCCTGGACTCATTGATGTCGCTTACAGTCCTTGGCAAGATCCGCGAGGACTTGGATCTCGATCTCCCAGGAGAATTCTTCATCGAGAATCAAACCCTGGATGATATTGAAGTCACCCTGGATCTGAAGCCCAAGCCCGCCCCCGCGGAGCCCATCAGACTCCCCCAGCAAATCCCAATCCCATCCCCATCCCCGGTGATTGCCCCGAGGACTGCCATTCAGCACCCACCGGCGACCTCAATCCTCCTGCAAGGAAACCCCAAGACAGCAACTCAGAAGCTGTTCTTATTCCCCGATGGTTCCGGATCCGCCACCTCATACGCCACCATCCCCGGTGTCTCTCCCGATGTGTGTGTCTACGGACTAAACTGTCCCTACATGCGCACTCCCGAGAACCTCAAGTTCAGCCTGGACGAGCTCACAGCCCCCTACGTTGCAGAGATCCGACGCCGCCAGCCCACTGGGCCCTACAACTTCGGTGGCTGGTCCGCCGGTGGTATCTGCGCCTACGACGCCGCGCGCCATCTAATCTTCGAGGAGGGCGAACGTGTCGAACGCCTGCTTCTCCTCGACTCACCCTTCCCCATCGGTCTGGAGAAGCTTCCCCCGCGTCTGTATAGCTTCTTCGACACAATCGGTCTATTCGGCGAGGGCAAGGCACCCCCACCAAAATGGCTCCTCCCTCACTTCCTGGCTTTCATCGACTCCTTGGATGCTTACAAGGCGGTTCCTTTCCCCTACATGGATCCCAAGCAAGCTGGAAAGCTCCCCAAGACCTTCTTAGTCTGGGCCAAGGATGGTGTCTGCTCCAAGCCTGGAGATCCTCGTCCTGCACCTGCTGCGGATGGCAGCCCGGACCCCCGTGAGATGCTCTGGTTATTGAACAACCGCACTGATCTCGGCCCCAATGGTTGGGATACTCTTGTTGGACCGAAGCATGTTGGTGGTATTACTGTCATGGAGGGTGCTAATCACTTCACTATGACTCGTGGCGAGAAGGCCAAGGAGTTGGCTGCGTTCATTGCTAATGCTATGGCTTCAGCGTAAATGCACTGCATTTTGGGAGTCCAACTGCGTGGTTGGCTATTTTCAGTTGGTTTTTGTGCTTTTTTGTCATATACCTTCTGTCCTTTGTTTATGTTGCCAACAATATTCTCTCTTTCCCCCTGTATTACTACTTCGGTGCATACGATAGTTCTAATTTTGCGAGTCCATCGGTTGGGCTGTACTCTAATCGCCGAAGGGCTTCAATTAAATTGACATTTTACATATGGAAACGATAATTTTCAGGCTACATTGCATAGAGTACTAAGAGCGCAGCAGCCCGGAGTACTCGGGAGGCATTCTATCTACAACTGAGTAACATGGAAATATAATGACTGTCATTGAATTTGACAAAGAAACCTAGACAAAAGTTCAAATGAAGGGTTGGTTGAAGGGGGAAAACGTTGCATCAGACGCGCGCTCTACTCTGAGACGGACTTCGCTCATGAGTCAATGTGAAATTTGCAATGGAAGAAACGCCAGGGAGATGCAATGTCGTAACGAGTGCATGCATGGAAGAATGAACCCCGTAAGTCGATTGTGAAATGGCTCGCAGAATAAGAGATGTCCCATCGACGTGTATGTGTAAACGTCATACACTCGACGGGCTGGAACGTTTGTGCCGAGAGGATGGCTTATGTGGCGGGTGCTCAGAAAGGCATCTCCGAGCTGTATCGTAGCGCACTGCCCCTGCCCCCAATGGCACCATTGCCGTTGCCATTGTGCACAACTCCAGGACTGGTCGGACGGCTGCTGGCAGCCCACTTGGGGCTGCGTGGCTGGGTGCTAGTCGAGCGAGTAGAAGGACGGTTCTTCCGAATTTCACGAAGTTCGTCCTCTCTTCTGCGGAGGAACTCGTCACGCGTAGCAAGGATTGTCTCCAACTCTTCAATGCGAGCAATATTACGCACAGATTCTTCGCTCACGTGCATTTCACGAAGTTTGGTAATGTTGGTGTCGGCCTTGCGCTTCAGGGCTTCGTTATCAGCGACCAACTGGCGATTTTCTGTGCCAGATTGAGCGGCCGCCGATGATGCGTTTTGATACTGCTCCCGAGTGTACTCCGACTGATGCCTCTCATAGTCAGCCTTGCGCACAAGGTCCAAGTTCTCTTTTTGAAGACGACGGATTTCTTCGCGGGCTGCCTCCAATTCAGCGGGACTGCCGCCGCCGTCTTTCAGTGCTTGTCTCGCCTCATCGAGCTCGCGTTTCAGATCCGAGCGCTCTTCTTTCAAAGTGGATATAGTCTCTTTCTGCTTCTCAAACCGCTGCTCAAGGGATTTCGACTTTTCGGCTACGCTATCACTCTTCTGGCGAGTGACATGAAGTTCCTTGGTCCGATCCTCGTAGCGATATTGTAGCCGGCTTAGTGCATGCTCTAGTTCGTGACACCGTGCATTGACCCGGGCAAGCTCAGCCTCCAGCTGACCTTTTTCGGCTGCATGAACGCTTTTCATTTGGAGAAGATGTTTTTCCAGTGATTTCAAATCAAGGTCCAATGTCTGGCCAGGGGCACTGGTGGATGCAGTCGGTTGGGTGTCTGTCTGAGTATCCACTCGGGCACGCTTCGAAGACTGGTTTCCTGGTTCCTCATCCTGCGCCAAAGAGTTAGTCAAATACAAATGAGATCGCGGTGACCTTACCAGTGCGCGCTTCTGAGCCGCTACCATTGCCTCACCAGGGCTGTAGCATTCCAAATCCTCCAAGGAGACGAATCGTAGAGGCTCGATTGGGGGAAGTGGCCATCCAGCAACACTATCCAACAAGTATCCAAGGATTTCTTCTGCATCTTCATGCACGCCGAGAGCATCATCCTGGAGATCCCCAACCTCATCATGGAAACGGGCGACGTAATGAGCAAGCAAACGCAATCGATCTGGCTCAGGCCCATCGGGCAGACAGCGCTCGATATGCTCAGTTGTCTTAGCGACAAGGAACCAGATAACGGGAAGCAAGCTTCCATTCCGGGCATAAGTGGTTCGAATGTGCTGCACGGATGGACTTTTTGGGCTAAAGTATGAATCCAAAGCGAATATGGCACACGGCGGTTTGTAGAGCTCACGGGGGCTTTCACTCGGATGAATTCCGAAGCTGATCGACCCTTTTACGAGGGAGACCTCCAAATCGCTCCCCATATTTTCGCGGGGTCGGGTGTATAAAAAGCCCTTGCCTTTCAGATAACGCTCAAGTATTGCCTGTTTCTTCTGGTTTTGGACAGCCAGAATAATATGAAGCTCGTGGGCACCTGCTATCTCTATGAGATGACCAAGGAAGAGGAATTTTGCGCTAGAGTACTCGGCCCAGGACGCCTGTTTCTCAAGGTTACGGTCAGGATCCTTTAGATGATCTGAAATATTCAAATCGGGATGAGTCGAAACGTTGCTCAAACGGTCGATAACCTGCCGCATTTCTGTGTGTATAGCCGCTCGCTGTGGGAAAACAAAGTCAGCCGTCTGAAGGTAATTCCAAGTAAAAGTCAACTCACCTCAAGTTCAGAGATCTGTGAGCTTGGTTGAAAACTATCAAAGAATTGCCGAATGCATGTTGCGGCGTCAGTAATAACACGTTCGTAGTCATCTTTCACTCGAGAATCCATTGGGAGAGTAATAGCAAATTCAGATGGCCCAAGGTTCACTGCACCAGGTGTTACTTCCTCCGTGCCAGTGACGGTCAACGCGCCAGGATGGATGGTTTGGAAAGATGGTTGACCCCCTTGATCCGCGTGAGCTAGCTCCGAGGGTGGCAGGAGTGGCTCGGAATGGCCATGATGAACCGCGATATGAGGATGCGCAAAGAGATCTGGATCTGCTCTGACACTGAGAGGGGCAGTCGTTTCGGGGACAGGCGGAGGAACAGAGGCCTCGATGTCATCCATAGAAGATGGGGTCTCCACGGCATGAGCCTCTACACTGAGCTGGCCCCAGGTATTGTGCATTTTTTCTTTCGAAGCTGGTGTCGACAAATCGCCGTATTGCTCCCGTGAACCATCAGCAACAGGGTGGCCAGGCGGATCGACTTCTTTGTCCTCCATGATCTGGTCTGACGAGATTGCAATCGGGGAGCCTGGAATTGGATGTATTGACTGGATAGATCCTTCCAAAACCAGGTCGCCTGAGTTTTGTGACAAGGTCGGGAGGATAGTTTCTGGGATGGAGTCACCACAAGTCCAGTGGACGAGACCGGAATCTGGCAAGTTATGAGAAAAGTGTGAGATTCCATATGACAAACGTAAAGTACCTCCAATAATGGGACCAAGCAGGTCGACAGGTTGTGAAGCCGGATCGCGGTTGAGTCGACGATTGCTGGCAGCGGTAATCTCGGACACGCCGGAGCACAGTCCGAGACCAGGCGATGCAGGGTATGAAGATCCAAGGCTCACTTCGTGATTTCCTGCAAAATATTGTTCAGGCAATGAGCATGGACTAACGGGATGAGGCTGCGAACTACCAGCTGGCCCACGCCCCGACGCATCAGACGCAGTGGCTTCGTCCAACTCACCTGGTCGCAGATATGCAGGTGGGCTAGGGGTCTCAGGAACGTATTCAAATGCTGCAGCGTCGTTGTCCTGCGAGCGATACCTCGTCGAGGACTCTGAGTATGATGAGATGGATGCAAGAGAACAGCCCGAGGCTTCAACGTATTCGGTCTTGAGCGATGATACTATATCTGGGAGGTTGTCTTGATGCACGAATAGCGCCGATGAAGCGATTGATTCAGTGTCACTCTGGTCAGTGTCACTCTGGTCGATCTCGGATTTAATGTTGGTGTGCTGGCTGTCCGTTGGGTCGCTGGGCGTTTCCGAGAGGGAAGATACGGATGAACCGGTTTCGCATGTTCCTTCCGAAGCAAGACGGCTCAGAGATGTCCTCTCGCGTGTAGTTTTCCGTTTTCTATTCCAAGCCTCTACAGCAGCGGCACTGGCGTTCTCTTTGGGTTCCTATTCAAGCAAGGCAGGCGCATTGATTAGCTCCGGTTCGGTCTACAACTTTCGGAAGCTCTCAAGATTTGCCATGTCACAATAACTCACCCAAGTTGGCTCGTAAGGTCCCTCCCAATCTATAAGGTACTCGGTTGATGTTTCACGCAGGATGCCCTTTATAGGCCACTCCTGGTCGTCCGATTCGCTACCGTCACTGCTTTCACTGCTATCGCTAGCGACCTCGGTTATAGCTGGAGGATTGTCAGTACGATTCTTGCGGTGATCACCAAGTTTCAGGTGAAGCTGCTCGCGGAGCATCATGTGCGGGCAATTGTCGGGAAGATCGTGGATAACATGACGGGGTGAGGTGAGAGTGCGGGTTCAACTCTTGTGTAGAAGCCAGAGTGAGCTGCACTGACCCAAGGCACATACAATCTTTGCTTTTGAAAACACGCAGCACTTCCCAGGGACACTGTGACGGTATATGAGAGAGAGTACATTCGCGGCGCGCGCAACGGGTGGACGGATAGCGCGCCCGCGATCACGTGATGACACTTATCTGCGGTCGATCTCTCCTATCGATAGCAGGAGGAAATTGGGAATAGTGTCAAGGTCGAGGCCCCGAGGGATGGACGTCAGTAGAGATCATGTTGATTAAAGCGGCTCTCTGTATGGACTTGGATAATGCTGTACTGAGTAGGAGAAGCTCCAGGATTGTGCTCTCAAATTGGGATCAACTCATATATAGACATCAGATCTAGTAGTTTGTGGGCTGCCGCCTACCTAACGCCTTTTGTCATTGTTTGATCCCTACAAAGATGTATAGTTAGGGCCAGTAGTGTTACCTGATTGCCCAAATTTGGCCTGGCAGGCCTGCCACCGAGGCAGGACTCAATGGAAGCTCAATGGGTTACAAGGTTTCTATCACAGGGCTCCCATTATAAGCAAAGTAGATCCCTTTATCCAACTGCTCGCCTCAGGCAGTAAATGAACCATGAAGCTTTTCAACCCAAATGTATGGATATACCCTCTTGGAGGCGATTTCACTATGTTACCCCATTTCTCCTGAATCCTAGCTACAAATTGAAGCTTCTCCCCCGCCAGCTATGTACATGGGTCGCAAGTTTTATGACAACGCACTATGTGCATCAGTGCTCGCCTTGCTGTCTCTTCACTCTTCAAAAACGAAGCCGAGCTCTGCTACGTTCTTGATACGACTGCGCTCGTCACCTCGCTGTACGAAAGCGCGCCTGATATCCGGGAAAATAGACCGCATCCACCTTTCCCGCTCGCCCCATCGAGTGCCAAGTTTGCCTTGTCCATTGTTCAACAATCCAGGGCGGGGATCGGAACTTTTCGCCCAATCATGAAGAAAGTTGAGGTAGTCGGCATCCATGGGAAATGGAAGCAAATGAAACGCCTTGCCATCTCCTTTGGCATCGACCTCAGCACGCTCCCATGCCTTCATTTCATCCGTGGACGGAAGTACGAGTCGTCCTGACCAAACCCGAGAGAAAACAGCAGCGTGATTCTCTGCCATAGGGAATGGAATAACTCGCTGCGAAAGCACAGGGAACACAAGAGTGGGATGGTCTATGTAGAATAGTTGCTGGTAGACGTTCCTGGTGCGCCACCCGTCAGTCACGGCGGGCGGGTTCAGTGAAGACAAGAAAGGATATGAATAAAAATAGCCAGTGCAGAAGACGACAGAATCAACATGTTCCTCGATGCGGCCGTCCGCAAATTTGACGCCTCTGTCATGGGAGGCCGAAGGAAGAAATTCGACTATCTCCGGGCAGATGATTTTATCCTCATTTGAGGGTCCAGCCATATAGGATTCAGATCGTTGGGAAACCAGAAGTTTGCCTTGGCTTACTTCGTTGATCTGGGCACCAATATCAAGCCCGGAAGCCGAACTTCCCACCACAACCACTTTCTTTCTTCGGAATGGTTCTGGGGTGTCGTAAAACTTGGCATGAGATATTGACCCAGGATATGATTCATCCCAGGCTTGTATTCCTGGGATGCTGGGAATATAAGGGACCGTAAAATGACCACTGGCCACGACCACAGCATCGTAAGTGTCGGTTGTGTCAGTGCCAGTACGGAAATTCTTTGTTGTTACACTCCATGTGCTCAGATTGTCATCCTGTAATGTCACTTCTGAGACTTGGGTCTCAAATTGAATAAAGGATTTGATATCCTCGGCATATTCCTCGAGATATTGTTTCACTGTCCGATGCTTCGGGAAGAGCTGCGACTCCGGAGAAAATGGCTTATCAGAGTAACGCATCAGATCCTTGGGAATATTAGTCTCCAATCGATCGTAAACAGGAGACACGAAAGTTGTCTCTCGAGATCCCTCGCTGTTCTCGATCCAGATTGGCTTCTCAACGGGCTCATGAGGGTTTAGATGCGGGACAGTCGTTGACATCTCTCGTTTGGGAAAACTATCATTATAGTTCCAGGCTCCTCCAACGGAGTTTCTTTGCTCGAAGACATGAATATGCTCAAAATGATTCTCGGCGAGCAAGTATCTAATCGGTCAGCATGCCACTTGAGGTTCGGGAACCGACAACCCCGCTTACTTGACTGCAGCGAGGCCAGAGGGCCCCGCGCCGATGACAGCTACTCGCCGAACAGGATTTGTGAGTGTCATACTCTCAAACCGCCCGGAGATCAAAATGTCCTAGTTGCATAAAAGCGTTGTTGAGAGACAAGAGATGTTCACGGAAGACGCCAAGGCTATCGCCATAGTGGAGCTACTTGCACAGATGGAGATGAGCGAAAGGCATTAAGCTCTACTCCGTGTACATGAACAATAGAAACAGTATAGCCAATGCAAGTCGCCAATGTAAAAGATATGCCATGAGTAATACATAGCATTGAAGCATACTCAGAGCTAAGGAGCTTCACAGAAGGAGGCTCCTTTGAGCTTGAACAATAGAATCAGGAGTGGTAATTTTCGTTTGCCCAATACGTTGGTTTTCCGCTACATATTTCACTGGTTACCGTATTATTACCTATCTTTACATACCGGGCATTTGCGACTCATCACCTGGTCACTGCTTTGTTGCATTGAATATTCCTCTTGGGTACTATTGAACTCCTTTCAACTGTTCGCACTCATTTACTTATATTTCTTACTTGCTTATTTTATCCCTTTCGTTTTGATATGTGCACAGCTTAACAGAACAGCGGCGTGGGAAGATCGCCGCCATGGACGCGACTGAGTCTCCCGCGACGAATGCGTTCGCGCATTTGACCAAAGTGCCGATAGCTCAGCTTTCGCCTGATCTTGAGAACTCGGCCCAGAAATTTTTCCTTGCAGCTGTGGCACTTGTATGGCCCTACTCCTCCTCAGCCAAATGCGTGAGCCTTTTGCTGGTGGAGTCTGACGTCCGCCTGAGGCGCGACAAAGGACAAATCAAAGTCACATTTCATGGGCATATTGCGGAAAAGATCGCGGAATCGCATATTGGGATTGGGGATACCGTTCGTCTGGCTTTGAAAGGCTCTAAGTTCGTCAACAGCGAAGGCATCCCGCAAACTCCGGGAAGGTCTGTCGCATGGGATGCGCACTTCGAAGATGGGGTGTCTCTAGAGGTACCTGCTCCCCACTCCTATGTGTGTCGTTCATACACTAACGATGGCCTTTCTAGATCCACCCTCGATCATCCGATACAACATTGACAATATCAGTTGCACCACAAGCGACAGCGCCGCATGAAACCCAAATCGCGCCGCCCACCACACCTGCTAGGAATCCGATCAATCCCGGTCTTGACCTAGCTTCTAGTGCAGGCTCTTGGAGCTCACCGGCATTCCTCAAGCCTACAAGAACCTCATTTGGAGCAACGACTCATTCCGCTTTCGACCCTTTCGCCGAAGAGGATGGGTTTGTGCCGGGAAAGGGAAGAAAGAGGCCAAGATACAGCTTGCAAAGAGACGACTGGCAAGTTCTGACTGGACCTGAAATCCCGGAAGAGCAAGAAACCCCTGTTGATTGGGAGAAGGCCTTGGATCAAGCCATTGATCGAGAGCTCGCTGAGGCGGAGGCGACGAGTGAACCTTCGGACGAGCTTATGGCCGAGCCCGAGGAACCTCCGACCTACATGGAGGATGCCTCAGAGGAGCCAGCCACAGAATTCGCGAAACCTTCTCTCGAGCTAACGGACAGCATCCTCGAGAGACGTGCCGGCGGGTCACACGACGTCTCATCTCATGAACAAGTTGATATTCACGGAATATCTTCTCAACTACCGACCGACACCCCCCAGCTCCGACCCGTCCCTTCTCCGGGGCTCCCAGTTCCCTCGCCACTCATATCTAGCCACACCGGCTCAGCCGATTATTTCCCGCCATGGGCAGCGTCCTACCAAGCGCAAGATACCCAGTCTGTTCCCACCGAGGTAGACAACATAGCCAGCCCTCCAGAATCTACCTTTGAGGCTCAAGATACCGAAGTGGTTCATTATACTTCAACGGAGGTGGCGCAATCAGCCGACCCTGATGTTGGTCCCATCGAGCAGGAACATGTTCTTGATGCCGGCTTTCTACTTCGGACCGATGCAGCATCACCTTCGAGCTCGACCGGCTCGCTTGTTGGCCATGAGATTGAATCAATAGACGATACGGAGGCTGTTGATGAGTCGGGGATCGCTCAAGCTGACGTTGCCGTCGAGATTACTGTTGACGAAGCTCAAGTACCGGACGAAGAATGGCAGGAACGTACGTCCGACGATGTTGTTCTGCCTCATGGCCGTTTAGATGCAGGCTCGGTCGCGGCGGATAGTTTAGACGATCAAGTTGAAGTGCTTGAGGGGTCCGCTACCGCTCAAACTGATATCGGTACTGAAAGTGGTACTGAACGTGCCGATCACCAAGCTCAAATATCCAATGAAAGGCCTCATGAAGATTTGGTCAACGAGATAACCTCAAATCGCGACCAGTCTGAGCCCGCTCTGGGCTCAGGAGATGAACCGACCGTTTCCCCGGAAGTCATCGCGGAGCCGGCTGCAGCTCAGGTTGCTGATATTGGCATGGAAGATGCCGGCAACACATATCCGGTCTCGGAAGAGCTGCAGCAAGCCAATGTCCTCCTATCCCGCGAACGTTCAATCTTATCCACCCACTCCGACGACGAGTCTGCAGAAGTTTCCGATGGTATTGAGGAAATAAACGTGGCCCAATCCAGTGTCAGCATCGGAGCTGCCAGCGACAATGCGAGATCTTCTCGGGGTCCAAGCGAAATTGGTGACAATGAAAATCGTGCGCCAGTACTTCAGTCGGGGGACTTGCCCCCTCCGCCCGCCGCCTTTGACCAGGATGCCATAGATGCTCTCGAAATGATGATAGCCACGCGCGATGAAGAACTTGAGAAGAAAAGAAACATGGGAGCATCAACCACGAATGAAGGTGATATAGAAGGTTCGCTTCTGGCCGAAGGGACTATTGATCCTGCGCCGACCCAGGGATACAGCGAGGAAGAAGATGAAGTGCTCGAGGATGAAGAAGAGTACGAAGAGTCCCCGGGTGATTACGAGTCTCGGTACGACTATGATGAGGATAGACAAGACGATGTCAGCGTCGACGAATCCGGCGACGACGAATCCGAGCCGCAACGAAACCTAGATTCACGCACAGGAGCTCACGACGTCATTGTGCTCGACAGTGACAGTGATGATGAGCCTGTCTCCAATCATCCAGCAGCCCCTACTTCGCAGTCTCCAGATAGCGAGCTTCGCTCATACCACTTCGAACCCGCATATCCAGCCGACGTTGAAATGAGTAGACAGGAGAGCCCAGGTCCATGGTATGTCGATGGAGTGTCAGACAATCACAGAGCTGCGGAAGAAGAGTCCGACTCCGATGAGTCCCACGAGAGCGAAGAAAGTGAGGAGCCGGATTACAATGAGCAAGATGGCCGGGTCTACGAAAGTGACATTGAGAGTGATGTGTACAGTGATGCGGAGGGTGAATCAGCAGGAGAATTATATGAAACAGGTCCTGTGTCCAGAACGCCACCTCTTGGCCCTGATCGTCAAGATGAAGAGGAAGTAGTGGCCGACGCAGAGCTCATTGAAGAAACAGAGCACGTGGAATCTGCTTCTGCGACCAGTCCTGACTCGCAGGTACAAGTGTCGGTCGATCGGGAGTCTGGTGGGGAGCCACCAAGCAATATTGATCCAAGTCTATTCGATACGGTTGAAGGACAACATGAGATTCAACCAGCTTCCGTCGAGGTCCCTGGCCGGCAGGTATCACCGTCTGGTTCCGAAGGAGCCAGTACGTCTCCAGATAGTGGCAGACAATTTGAACCCCATATATCTCCATCGGTTGCGAATGATGTCGCGGATTCACCGAGCACGGAACCGACAATCGAAGGGCCAGCCCCCCTTGGCGGTTTACCCTCATGGTCATCTATCATGCCTCAGTCTGAGGGCCAACTCCTGACTCCGGATCCCACCCAGGAGAATGCGTTCCCTCGAGAACAACGCGATGATTCTGAGCCGAATATTACGTTCGTCGCCGAAGAGAATGAACCCTCTCCTGGTCTGGGCGTAGTCCTGCCGTCTACTGGTTCGTTGGAGATTGAGGGAGACAACTCTCTTGAGGCGGAAACTGTAGAAATTGCAGAGCAAATGCCCCGTCACGAACATGACGAGGCGTCAACTCTTTCCGACGTCGTTCAGCCCGCAATGTTGCCAACGACACCCAGGCGTAGCTCCTCCGCGGACGTACTGGTCAGCACTGAAACACCCAAAACACCGGCATTAGTCATTACACAGGCTCCAGGTCCTGACCGTCACGCCGCTGGACTACGTAGCAAGCTTTCTTATTTCGCTCCGCTTGCTACCCTTTTCGACCATTACAATGCTTTGGTCGATACCGTCTCAATTGTGCACGAGGCTTCACCAATAAACCGTGCGAAATCAGGTTCAAAAGACTGGTTTGTGACCATTGATCTCACCGACCCCTCCTTGGCTGGCACAACCATTCGTGCCCAGATCTTCCGGCGCTACAAATCCGCGATTCCATCACTAACTCAAGGCGTCGCTATCTTGCTGCGCGACTTCAAGGTCCGTAGCCTCAATCATACCGCGATGCTTGTCAGTGTTGAATCCAGCGCCTGGGCCGTGTTCGACGGATCGAGTCTGGATGTTGAAGTGAACGGACCTCCTGTCGAATTTGACTCGCAGGAGCGTGCCTTCGCGTCTGGCTTGCGTCGATGGTACAGCGAGGCTGGCTCCGGTTGGATCGCAGACCATATGCTCCAGGCCTCTATCGAGAGGGACAGTTTGGAGCCTGACCTTGACCTTACGCCCAGCAGTCGAGCAGCAAGCGAGTCGAGCACCCCGGATTCCAAGCGCGGCTCTCATCGTAAACGCAGGGCTCATCAGAGGGTCGCTATTCATGAGCTGCGGGATGGCACTCGATATACCGATGCCGGGTCCCCGAATAGTCGGAACAGCAGTGTGCACGAGTTGCGGGACGGCACGTTGTATGCCAATCTTTGAGATTATACATTGGGATCTCTTGAGATTGACGACTCTTCCACGGTTCATTTGTACATAGAAAAATGTCCAAGTCGAAAACAAATCAAATAATTTCCAAAGGGATCACAAAGTGCCTCGAGACTGAATCGTCGTGGTGGCTTCAAAAACATGCCCTGGCCTAAGGTAACTTCTCGTATCTCTTATTTTCAAATATGCACATCTTTATTCTCTATCAACAAGACCAGTGTGTCATTATAAAATGCGACTATTTACATCTTGGACTTCTCTGGCGAGAAATACTCTGCGGTCACAGCAGCCTTGATTAACTGATTGGCAATGGCCGTAGGAGGAGGCAAGCGCAACCCGCCCTTATAATCCGGACCAGCAGGACCACTCAAGTCACTTGTGCCAATGCGCAGCGCCTCCTCTACTTCCTCGATCTCAAACCAGCGTGCATCCTCCAACTCAGGGTCGTGCTCCAAAGAAATCTTCTCGTGGGCCGGGTCACTGACTTGAGCGATAGCACCAATCATCAAATTGGCGGGATACGGCCAAGGTTGCGAGGAGTGGATAACAACACGGGATAAAGTAACACCCGCCTCCTCCCAGACTTCTCTCCGCACAGCATCCTCAATCGACTCGGCTGGCTCAATGAACCCAGCCAGGGTGGAGTACCAGCCAGGCGGGAACCGCTTGGAACGTCCAAGCAGCACCCGCTTGCCGTCGGCGGAGACCACCGCCACGATGATGGTGGGATCGGTACGGGGGAAGGAAAGGTTTGACAATGTGGTACGGGTGTTGCACTCCGGTCGTTCTTCAGTCTTCCCCTCGGCTGTTCGTGCCATATCCGTCGGCGGGCAGGCACGCTTGGTGCCTGCATTCACGCCCAAAGTACGCTGGCCGCACGTGCCGCAGAAGGTGTTGCGAGTATTCCAATCCATCAGAGCACGCGCCTGTGCATAAATAGCGGCTAAACAAAAGCTGTTAGCTTCTTCTTCTTCTTGGCTGATTGGTATGATTGCGTTTTATACCTTCATCTGCAGAGAAAGTCATGACAACCCGTGTCTGGAAGAATGAAAGTCCCTTCGCCTCCATGGCACTGATCACATCATTCGCTGCAGTCTGCTGCTCTTCAGATCCCTTAGGGGTCACATCGACTGCGAAATACGGTGTTCCTGAGTAGATCTTCCATGCCATACCGCCTTCCTTGCGACTCTCATCCAATCCGAGGAATATAAGGGTAGCCTGTGTCTTCCGCGAATCGAATTTCTTGATCAACTCTTCTTCGGGCGTATCGAAGGCATCCAACGGCACAAGCTTTTGTACTTCCTCATACTTGGCATAGTGCAATTGCGCCGGCGATGGAGTCAGAGGTGCTAGGTTCTTCAGCAATACGAACCGAGCTGAGGGGTGCTTCAGGGCCGCAGACAGGAACGGGTGATCTGAGCGCAAGAACGATAACCGGTTGATCGGCGAGCCTGTATACGCTTTAGTATGTTGCGCGCTAGTTATATAAACCCTTTGATAGCCTTACTGGAGAAATAGTTCACCGTCTCTTTGCCAAAGTGACGAGACAACATGGAATCGGCGAGCGTGTGGGCCGGGTTGGGGATTTGAGGTGTCGTGGTCATTCTGTAGGGGCTGGGTTGCCAATAATGAGTGTCTAGTTTGTTTCAACACTATTGAGCACACGCTTGAGAAGTCTAGATTCAAAATAACAGGCAAGCAAAGTCGAATCCTGTCAACAGCGATCAATTATTCAGCGAGCGACCTCGGGACATGTACTCCGTATACGCACGGATTACATGTTTACTGTCGGAGTTAAGCCGACAAGCGCAACAGATTCATATTTTACCGTAATTGATTGTCATGACAATACCAGCGAAGCGGGGAACCTAAGCTCCCCACACACGTGATCACATTTCTTTGACTCTTATCGCCGACGAGCATTCTACGCAGCCTATATGAATGCACAAGACACCATTGGAAGGATATCTCACCCATATCAGGCATCATGGGGCACTTGGTCACTCTAGCAACCTGGTAAGGCTGATATTTCCGCTGCTGTGACTCAAGAGACCCCGCACTAACTCTTTCCAGCTCTCTGAACCAGTGGGCTCTGGATTTCGAGGGTAACGCGGAGCGTATCATTGAGAGTATTCGGCAGGCTAAGGCTGCCGGCGCTACTCTGCGCGTTGGTCCAGAGCTTGAGATCACCGGTTATGGGGTGCTTGATGGCTTCCTTGAAGGCGATACCTTCCTGCACTCATGGGAAATGCTGGCCCGCATTATCGACCACCCTGATTGCCAGGACATCGTGGTCGACGTGGGACTGCCGGTCCGTCATCGCAACGTGCGCTACAACTGTCGGTGGGTGTTGCAATAAGCAAGTGATGGTGCATTAGCTGATGAATACTTCCAAGCGTGATTTTCTATAACCGAAAGATCATCCTGATCAGGCCTAAGATGTGGCTTGCCAATGGTTGGTACAAAATTACTTTACGGGTCGCACGATTACCTTGCTAATATTAACTCCTTTCTAGATGGTAACTATCGCGAACACCGACACTTTACGCCATGGCAGCGTCCGCAGGAAGTCGAGGACTACTACTTAGAATCAATTGTTGGAAAGGTCACTGGACAGTACAAGGTTCCGTTTGGTGATGCCGTTATCAGCACCAGAGATACATGTCTGGGGCTTGAGACGTGTGAGGAGCTGTTCACCCCCAACGGGTAGGTGTTCAAGTCCATTCTTCTGGTTCAAGTGCTGACCAGCGTCATAGTCCTCATATCCCCTACGGCCTAGCTGGTGAGACTTAATATCCCACTATAATTATCCGTTGTCTAATTACAATCAGGTGTTGAGATCATCTCCAATTCTTCCGGCAGTCACCACGAGCTGAAGAAGCTTGACACTCGCGTCAATCTAATTACCCAGGCTACCAAGCTGGTGAGTGGATATCTGCACTCCAACATCATAACCCTTTCCTGACACAACGCAGAGCGGTGGAATCTATCTCTACGCCAACCAGCAAGGTTGTGATGGTGATCGTCTGTACTATGACGGATGCGCTATGATTGTCGTTAACGGCGATATCGTTGCCCAAGGCTCACAGTTCTCCCTTAACGATGTGGAAGTCGTCACTGCAACAGTTGACATCGAAGAAGTTCGTACTTACCGTTGCAGTGCAAGCCGTGGAATGCAAGCAAGCAAGCAGTCACCGTATGTCCGTCTCGATCTGGATATCCGACTTTCTCGCCGGGATGAGGATGCCGAGCCTAGCCTCGCAACCTCCCAGCCTATCAAGCCGCGCTACCATCCCCCGGAGGAGGAGATCGCTCTAGGACCTGCCTGCTGGCTGTGGGATTACCTTCGTCGATGCGGGGCTGCTGGATTTTTCCTCCCTCTGAGCGGTGGTATCGACAGCTGTGCCACGGCGGTCATTGTGCACTCTATGTGTCGTGAGGTGCTGAAGGCAGTGCGAGAAGGCAATGAGCAGGTCATCAAGGATGTTCGCCGACTGTGCGCTAAGCCAGCAGACTCGGACTGGCTTCCTAGCACCACGCAAGAGATTTGCAAGTAAGTACAAACGCAAAATGCTTATCTTATGATTACCCTAAGCTCGTACGAGATCATTCTTCGGGCTCCACTGACCCCTTTCCCCAGGTGTATCTTCCACACCAGCTACATGGGCACGCAAAACTCTGGCCAGGATACACGAGACAGAGCGACTCGACTGGCCAATGATATTGGATCTTACCACATTGATTTCAATTTTGATACTGTCATCACTGCTATCATGAACCTCTTCACTACTATCACTAACTTCCAGCCTCGCTTCAAGATGCACGGTGGTTCTCCCGCAGAAAATGCTGCTCTTCAGAATGTCCAGGCCCGAATGAGAATGGTCCTCTCCTATCTGTTTGCATCTCTACTGCCGACTGTGCGCCAACGCCCCGGCGGTGGCGGATTGCTCGTCCTTGCATCCTCCAATGTTGATGGTAAGTCTACCACCGCGCACAAACCTATACAAAGATTTCCACTAACCCCTTTCAAACAGAATGGTACGCCCCAACTCCCACCGACCAGCTTCCAACGACCTAACCAAGTATACCTAGTTTGCGCGGCTATCTAACCAAGTACGATGCCAGCTCCGCCGACGTAAGCCTCACCCCCCCTCCAAGTTCCTCCCACAAAAGCGCCCAACTAACCCAAACCACCCCAGCTCAACCCCATCGGCTCAATCAGCAAAGTCGACCTGAAGAAATTCATCTCCTGGTCCGGCCAAAGCTTCGATCTCCCCATCCTCGAAGAATTCATCCACGCAACACCAACCGCCGAGCTCGAGCCCATCACCGCCGACTACGTGCAATCCGACGAAGCTGACATGGGTGTGACATACGCCCAACTAGGCGTCTTCGGCTATCTGAGGAAGGTATCCAAGCTAGGCCCGTACTCTATGTACGAGAAGCTGCTACACATGTGGGGCAATGAGTACAGCCCGCGGGAGATTTACGAGAAGACACGACACTTCTTCTACTACTACTCTATTAACAGGCACAAGATGACTGTTCTTACGCCGAGTTATCATGCTGAGCAGTATTCTCCTGAGGATAATCGACATGATTTGCGGCAGTTCCTTTGTAAGATTCTTTTTGGTTCTGTGATTGTGTGTTATGTGGTTGATGCTAATCGTGGTTGTTAGACCCGCCTTTCACTTGGGCGTACAAGAAGATGGAGGAGAATGTCAAGTTCTGGGAGGCTAAGGGGTGGACTACTGGCAAGGGGCAGAAGAAGAGTGTTAAGGCTGACTAGATCAAATTGTGCGTGTTTGTGTATTTGGTAAATTTGGGCTTTAATGAAATTTTCATGCCAATCAACATGAATTAGATTTGTGATTGTGAACTAGCTATCTTCTCGTAGGCCTCCTAGCTAGAAACGAACGAATCGGTGGCGTGAAGGAAGTGCAAAGCAGAATAGACGCCATCCAAGATCCGTGGAAGAATGCACCATATTGAACAAGTGAAAGCACGCTAAAGAGTCAAAAGGCAAAGGAAATGGTGGTGTTCATGATACATGATAATTCGGAACAGACTTAGTCTTTCCAGAACCAGCCGTTCTTAGATTTCTCGGAGTCGGACCTGGAGTCTTCCTGAGGATGAGACACCTCAACGGACTCGTCGGATTCCTCTCGTCCATCAGCGTATCGTTTCGTATTGATGATCTTGGTCCGAACCAAGCCATCGGCCAGCCGTACGCGTTCCGTTCGATTTATAGTGGAGACAACACGAGGGAGCACTGTTTCCGAGGCAGCTGGCTTGGTCTCCATCTCCGTCAACGAATCCTTGGGCATCTCGGAGACTGAAGTTTCGATCTCACCAGGCGCAAGATCAGTCGAAACCCCGTTCCCGTCGGTACTATGGTCATCCGCGATCTTCGGGACACTACTTCTGTATTCCTCCAATTCATCCTGTTGCTGCTTTCGCTCATCGAGAAGCAGACGCAGAAGAGGGCTTTCGGATGCACCGCTGAAAAACTCTCGCTCGCGTTTTTCAATATCTTGCAAGAAACGCTCATATAGATCCAGTTCGGTGTCAGCAGATGCTTCCTCTTTCTCTGGTAAAGCCCGAGACTGATCCTGTTTTGAGTCTGCAGGACCGGAAAATGTGATGCCAGACCAAGGCTGGCCCTCTGAGCGAGGCACAAACTTCCATCTGTCACCCAAGCTGCCTCGTTTCACGAGTGATTGTAACCAATCCGATCCAGTCTCCGTTTTCGTAGGAGTATCGCGATTCAGCATCGGCTTTCCATTCTCAAGCCGGAGTAAATCCTCAAATGCCTCTCTCCACTGCGGTTCGGAAGGGTCACGCTCAGAGTTGGTATGTAAGGACGGTAAGATGGACGAGAAAATGCCCTTCTCGCGGTGCGAGCGGTGTTTACCTTGACGTTCCAGATGAAGAGGCGAGTAAGGACTGAACATGATATAGGCGATGGGCCATGTGGGCGAATTAGCATCTTCGAACAGATCCGAGAGGAAGAGATTGTGTCCAGGGTGCAGGAGGTGCATCGCGAAAGGAGAGAAGCGGTCCTCAAGCCAGAATCGGTCGAAGATAGAATCCAAGCCAAAGAAGCTGGATGGGCCATTACGCCAGTTCCTCCATGATCGAGAGTGCCAGGGTTCATCATTATCGAGCCAGTGTGCCTTTCCGTGATTCCGCGCATCATCTCCGTCTCTGTCGGCCGGGTATCCACTTGCGTTATCTCGATCTGTTGGATAACTCCTTCCCCAGTCCGACTCGTCGCCAGTTCGCGGGTGTGACATGGTGCTCTTGTATCCGTGGTCATTCACAATTATATCCCAGTGGCTGTTGTGGTGCGGCGACGTCGCCATTGAAGGAAGGCCGATGATAGATTGAAGCATGGTGGATACCTGCTCATCGGCATAGCGCCGGAAAGCAACGAACGGGTTGCTCTCATGAGCAGACCAGTCCCGATCTTGGGGTGAGCTGTCTTTGCGGTTGGTGTCTTCATCGTTTCCCATTGTTTCAGAGTACTTGGAAGGATAATCGATACAGGTTTGGACTGACGAAGAAAAAGTGAGAAGTTGCAGAGTTGAATAGATGTTGGGGAGCCCCACTCGTTGCCACGTGATCCCCAATGCATTTCTATTTTCTCCTTCCTTTTAATTTGCATGTGCTTCCCTCGATTTCTCCGTGTTTCTTCACAATCTCTGATTACATGCTTTTCCTGTTCTGTTCCTCCACAGACTACACCAGATTCTTCGGTCAATATATACCTCTAGTCGCAGATCAACCCCGTGATTCGGCCTCAAGCGTGCATAATAGCATTGAGCCGCTGGCGTCATCAGAGCCCCACTGCAGCTCGATCCAGAACCATAGTTCAACCTCCGATTAACGCGGGTTTAGACTTTTATATGCCCTTTTATATGGGGTTGAAGATCAGCATACACGAAATTTCCCATACTCTGATGAGTATCTGAGTGAAAAGTAGCGGAGATGATTGAACTAAATAATCAGACGTACTAAAGACAGAGACTGACGAGTTGCACTTTGATTATCGTTGACCGTACCAGCCGAGCATACCAACCTTACATATGTGCCTGTGCTTGAGGCTCCCACGCTTCATCAAACCCAGTAGAACGAATCCACATTGACCCCGTTTCCTCCTTATCAGTGCAATCAATAGCTGTAGAGAAGTCAGCAAGGAAATACATAAATGTATCAGGTCGAATCCGCTTACCCATATTTCCAATCCGAAGCCACATATCCCCTTTGATTGGCATCTCGGAATTCTGATCCTCGAATGGCTTACAAACTTTCTCGCCATTTGCCAAAGCTCGTGCCAGCTTGGCGAGATGTCCATCATCGTCTGGATGAGTGATACTGCGTGTGAATATCTGCGACCAGTCCTCCTTTATTGGATAACTGGCTATCTCATCCAGCAGAAGGTTTGGCGATCCGCGAGAAGTGTACATCAACAGATCCATCCGCCCCTTCCATTCTAGCAGGCGTAGCTTGGCCCTTTGGTCCAAGAATGGGAGGTTGACAATTTTAGAGAAGAAGATAGACGAATTGACACAATGGATGTAGAAGAAATCCAGTCTCATCTTCTTGGTCGGACGCTGGGCTGCAGCGGTGTAGTACACTAGCACATAGTCAGCAATCTCATTGGCTCGCACTCAAACACCAGCGAGTAGACTTACCAACTGTGTTGATCATATCCGCCAACCGTTCTGGCACCTGGTCCTCAGAAACCGTGAATTGAGCAGCATACTTCATCATCTGCTCGGGTGCTCTATGCAGCACACCATCTCTGATCTTATTGGCATCACCCCACTGAACACTCTCAACAAGAGCTTTGTCTGTGCGGATCTCATTCAAAAGCTGAAGCAGGGACTTCTGGCCAGATTTCCCAATGCCACCAGCCATCTTCTCAGTTGGCAAGAAGAATTCTCGACCAATCCATTCTTCATGCACAGCCGCCTGTGCAAGAGCCTGGGCGACAATGGCAGGCTGATTAAACTCTAGTCCGAAGCCGAGATGAATGAGCGGGTGAATGAGGCCTGGATAATTAGCATGAAGAGAACCAAATGTGAACCCTTTGAGGAAGGAGTACTTACCACCAAACAGCCGACACAGCATGCTCTCAGCCCGTTGGTCGCCGGCAAAGACATACTCTGTCAAAACCGAACCGACGCCCTTTGCATCAAGCTCCTGCTGAAAGAAAGCCAAATAATTAGGATAATGCTGTTCCTTCCCAAAGTACTCCTGGAACTTGGTCACATCATGCATAGATTTGACGACCTCTTGGTCGGTTGGCATCACAGGTCTCTGGTAGATTGCATTACGATCATAGCAAGCCTTGATATCCGCTGGTGCTGCGCCGAGAGCAAAGATAGTCAGAACCTGGTGCGGGATGTGGTCTGTGTCTTGGCGTTAGTCATGGCTCTGGATATGAGGGCATGTATCTGAGACCACAGGATACGTACTATGAAACCCATGTTCATTGAAGAAGACATGGTGCTTTGCCATATCCTCTTGCAAGATCTCGCTCGCTGTTCGCGCTGCATCTTCTCTCACGCCGGAGCTAAAGACACCGGAGTCTGTCACCAGCGATAGATTGATCGTGGTTGCGGTAGCCATTTTTGATGGAGTAACACGGGGACCGTGACTGTTGTTGAGACTATACGAGCTGTACGGCGCAACTAGTTGCGGGAATGGCAGCCGAGGTGAAAATGTCGAAGGTTGAGTGGCAGTCTGCAGCAGCGAGGGTAGAGCAGAATAATAGCGAGTGTCGTTTGTCAAGAATATTCTTAGCCTGTTTCTGGCTGTAGAGTTGAATGCGAATAAATGACGTTTGTGATGTTGGAGTAGGCGGGGAAGCATGTCCTTTATATAGCTCGAGTCATCCCTAGGTTTACTTGATGTGCGACCTGAAACTTCCAGGCAAGCTAGACAGGTCTGCAAGGAAATGTATCTCCAAATCGAGCCTATCAGAGTCCGACAGTTACTCAAAGCTGGTCACAATGCAGCTCAAATACGAAAAAGCGGAGACATCGGGCCTTCGGGCTTCGGGCTCTTACCACCGTCGTGACCCACCCGTGAACGTCATGCATCAGTCAGCATGGGCCAGGCGTCTTTAGTTACTGCGTACTAGACCGGCCTTGCTGACTTATTCATGTACATGTGGCCCTAGATGAGGAGCTGTGAAAGAAACGCTACGGTTGATAATAGGAAGGTGTGAGATGCAGGCTGAGACATTTTGAAAAGGTGGCTATCAAACCACGAGAGTATTGGTAACGAAGTGAAATGCTATCGGAAAGGCAACAGCGAGATGACAAGCGTACAAACCATCCATTGGTACGAAAAGACATGACACATACTGTAAGGTAGTACTGAATCTAGTCCTAGAGGTTGGGGTGAGGTTCAAGTCTTCATTTTTTGGTCTATTTTCCGTATGTGAGAATCTGGGGTATATGTCAATCTGGGGTGCAGGGGGGATCTCGGATTTGCTCGAACCGTCCCAGAAAAAGAATCAGATATAGAACAAAACAACAAGGGAAGAAAGGAGGCCAATAAAATCCAGTAACGCAATTTCCGCTTTTCACGGGCCGAGCTCTCTCTCCTTCTTGCGACGCTGCCTGTCTCGTTCCATCTTTTTGAACAGCGGGTGGTGACCAGCCTTATCCTTGAGCTGCTTGTTCCTGCTCTTGTTGTACTCAATGTAGGCCATGTCATCGCCACCAGCAAGACCGCTGAGAGTGGCAGCGCTGCGCTTAGCACCCGTTTTCTTAGCTGGCACACGCTTGCCACCGGAGCGCATCGAGAACAGATCATCATTGACCTGTTCAACATCGGCGGATGACTCATTCTGCAACATGACTTCTTGCAGAAGCTCGCGGCGCTCCGTTGCCGTGGAGTACGATAAGCCTTCATAGTTGTCTATGCCTTGCAGATGGGTGATGACCTTGAAGGCATACCCCTGGTCAATAAGGAAGGCCTGGCGTTTGGCCGAGTAGACCATCTCATTGGTGTCCTTAGAGACGAGAGAATAGAAGAAAGCATTGAAGCCTTCATCGTTTCTGCGCTTGGCTCGCAAAATTCGTCCCAGCCGCTGGGCTTCCTGACGTCGCGAACCGTAGTGGGATGAGATTTGGATCAAGCAAGTGGCCTCGGGTAGATCAAGCGAGGTGTCGCCAATCTTGGACAAGAAAATAGTATTGACCTGCTCGTTGTGTTGGAAGTTCTCCAGGATACGCATCCGCTCATTTTGTGGAGTACCACCATAAATGTAAGCTTTGTTCAGTTTGAGAGCATAGCGCTCCAAAGCGTAGACATTGTCGGAGAAGACGATAATTTTGTCGCCACGCTTCTCGTGGAAATCGATCAAAAACTGGCATGCTTGGAATTTACGAGGGTTCATAATGTAAAGCAGAGCTTGCTTTCTCGAGCTTTCCCGCAAATACTCGGAGTAGAACTCGGTCGTCATCGGGCACCATACCTCAGCACATTGGACCTTGGCGATGTGGCCCTGTGCAGCAAGCTCCATCCAATTGGCTTCGTAGAGTTTGGGGCCGATCAGGAAGTTCAGATCTTTGATCTTATCGTCCTCACGTAGCAAGGTTGCCGTGAGACCGAGTTTGCTCTGTGCGGCGATTGCAGATGTGACCTTTCGGAACATCGAAGCAGGTACGACGTGAACCTCGTCGAGAATCATCATACCCCATTCTCGTGACTGAAGCCAGTCCATCATTTTCTGTGCATCATACGAACGGGCACGGGTCTGGGAAACCATTGAGTATGTGGACACGATGATCCCAGTTGACCGCTTGAATTTCTCCTTGTGGTCAGATGTGAAAATGGCGATATCACCTGGGTCGATTGTCGTCCACCGCAGGAACTCATTTCGCCACTGAACCACAGACATCGAACTTGTGCAGAGCACAATGGTGCCCTTCTTGATGGTCGCCGCAGCGGTGATACCCACAAGGGTCTTTCCAGCACCACACGGAAGCACAATGATACCGCTCTTGGCTCGTCCGTTACCGAACATTTTACTCAGGCTCTTTTCCTGGTAGGACCGAATCCGTGCTGCTGGCTTCAGATCCATGTCTAGATTCGGGTTCACCGTGTCTCCCTGGAAATCGTACTCCTCCAGGGCAGGGCACCCGATTGACTGGCATCGGGCTTTGACCACTTCGACACCAGCGGCGGGAATCTCGAAACTGTACGTCGTCGCTTCTTCGGTATCATCTTCGCCAATGTCGTCGATGCCGTAATTTACGACTCCATCTTCTTCGGCCCCATCCCTGACAGTGGCAGCGGCGGCGTCTTGTTGGGTCGTCTCCCGCACACCGGCTGCATCTTTGGTTCCGGGGATGACAAGGCCACCCATTTTCGGAGCGGCCCGTTCGATAATTCCCTCAGTATTGTCTATTCTTTGTGGGCCAATCACCTCATCTTTGAGCAGGCGCTGAAGCATCTCGGGATCCGTCGTTTCGACATAGTAGTGGTTATGCCTCAACACCATCTTGATCTTTCCGTACGACTTTGTGAACTCGATGATGAATGTGCGGATGCTCTCAGGTAGCGGTGTTTTCGATAGACGGTCCAAAAACTCAACGATGTCCTGCGGTTTGAGACCGACCGAAACCGCCGCATAGAGACTGTGTCCGGTCAAGCGGTATTCGTGAAGATGGGTCGGACGGGAGAGCGGCTCAGCGATAGTGGTCAAAAAATCTTGGGCTTGGGGAGCCAGCGGCGAAAAACTCTCGAGTGTGATTGTGCCTTTCAGAGGCTCGATCCATAACGGCCGGTTGTAGTGATCGCGCTTCAGCGGGAGCGAGGAGAGATCTTTGTAACCGAATCTAGGATCCGTCTTCTCCCCTTGGGTCCTCTTGCTGAACGACTCGAGGGAAAACTTGTTCACGACCGCTTTATCCTCTGGTTTAGCCTCTGATTCACATCAAGTGAGCAGACTGCTAAACTATACCTTTCAAGTTGGATTCCTCCGGTAACTCATCGCGATCCGAGTATTCATCGCTGCTGGAGATCTCCGTAATATCAGGAACCGGTGTAGCTCGCTTCGATGCACTGCTAGACCGACCAGCTGGTAAGATCAGTGACTGTCACCTGGGTAGACCCATGCACCAAAGACTTACCGTCAGCCGCCTTGCGTTTGGGAGGCATGCTCGGACCGTTCAGTCGATATCAATGAAAAAATGAGGTCGCTGTGACCGTCCAGGAAGATGGAGCGAGCCACTCCCAGGTACCTTACACCAGCATGAAACCAACGAAGCTGCGCCGAGTGGATATGCGGCGCCTGACTGAGTTACGTGTTTGAAAAAAGATCGCTGGGTTGTTCCGGAGTAGTGGCTTGAGCGGGTGTGAGAGGAAACGAGGATTATGGTTGGAGGATGATATCAACTAAAGCGACAGGTATGGGAAGAAAGGAAGTGTGGGAGTAAAAGTCAGCCTGGATTGCTCAGAGGAAGATGGTTGATAATCCATCGCCTGAGGCATCCATCGATACCCGTGGTCCGTGCGCTGGTGCGGCGACTGACGTAAAGCTTGAGGTCCCGGCCCATTGCTGCGGTCTATCCCGGGGTCGTTTTCTTTTGCTTCACACATCGAGCAATCGCCAGATTTCAACATGAATACTGTAAGTCGCTCTGTTTTTTGTGTTTGGAATCTGCTAATTGGGTTCAATTTTAGATTCGATCTACCTGGTGAGCAGCCATATCCCCGTTGGAAAGCAAAATGCAGCCGGCCGGGAATTCCCGTTTACTGATGCAGCTTTCGCCCATAGGATGGGATGGGGCTCCCTTTGCCTCGGTACGTGATTCAACAATTGCACCCTGGTCAGCGAGCAATGACAAGTCCATTGATCTGCACATTGTACGAATCGACTAACCACAAGATTCCAGCCGGCGGCGGAGCCTACTACTTCGCGAAGCAATCGATCAACGCAGATCGACAAGCCCGATTCGAAGCTGAAGTCAAGCACAAGGCTCAAATGAAGTTGATGGAGGAAGAGCACGCTCGTAAAGCGCTGTCTGTGAACAAACCATCTCTGGAAGGAGACACTTTGAAGCGAGCGAATATGATACGACACCAGAATGCTACCGATGATGGCGCCTCGCCGAGTATCGAGGCCTCTCATGACCCGGCGGCTACCCGACACGAACCCTTGACCGAGGCCGACCGTGTCGTGGAAAAGAGCAAGTACGAGACGGCGCAGCCGTATCGGCCTCCGAGTGGGAACCGATTTAGCTGAGTGGCCGCATCGTATTTAAGCAAGCTTCAAAAATAGAGAATCATGGAACACAGCATATTTTGGGTCACAGCATATTTTGGGTGGGAATCTTACCTTACGGATCCTATCTACTTTGTGTTACAAGTAGTCCGTTGGGTGATGACAGTCACCAACAGTGGATGCATTTGAGCACAAGGTGAACTGCTGTGTATTTACTCGCTCGCGGCGAAGATGCAGATTCCATTATACTGTAACTCTCCTTCCCAGGTTCCGAGTCCCTATGCAGTAATCATGATGGATAATAACAGTCATAATAGCGCCAGTAAAGAAAAGAAAACGCCAACACCCAGAACTCCTTGGGCATAATCCATAATATTGTAAACCGGGTATCAGGGCCTGCACGACAATGTCTGTCCAAAGCATGTTCGACTATCGCGCATGGAAGCAAAGTGGGGGGTTCCTGTATGACATGTTAGCTTCTCCACATCCGCAGCCAGCATTAACTCTGGAACTCAGCATGATCCGGGACTTACTTTGCGCTAGTAGGTCTGCCAGACCTCCGTTGTCGCGAACTCTCCAGAGCAGGTGGGATAAATGGAAGCACCACGCCCGAGACGATGCAGCCCATGGCTACGGCGCGTACAGCGCGCGAGTCTGGGCGAGGACGATGGGCCGAAAAGTGCCGAGCTAAAGGACGCGCAAACTGAGAGGCCATAATGTATGCCATCACGTAGTTGAAAGTAGTTGAAAGTATGAGAGAAGGTGCTGTGTTTCTGTTTGTTGGGCTTTGTTCTGGTTTGGAAGAACTGAGAGGTAGAAGAAAGTTTAAGAAGTACACAACTCAACAATACAGTCGAAGGACAAAGGCTTTATTTAACAAACGAAATGGATAGCACGGCAGTCAGGCCATGCAAACGCGCAAGTGATCCGGGGGCGGGGCAAGCATGGCCTGATCCTCAGTAGGAACATCATCCGTGATCAGACCTAGAGTAGGCTAGTAGCCAACTAGGAATTGTGGGATTCACTATCGGCGCGCTCCTCGAATAATATGACTCTAACCCCTATTGTAAATGTACAAATGTCTCATAATGGACTTGTCGAAATGAGAGAGAGCCCTTACGCCATTGCGGGGTTTCATGTCCAAAGTGGGGATCATTTGGAGTTGGGAAAGATCGATCAAGACTGCGTCTGCGCATGAGTACCTTCAGGACTAGGTATGACCGTATGAGAATGTCTGGATGCCAAACATGACTTCCGACTAGATCTGATTGTGTCAGACAGTAGACAGACTGATGTACATGTAGACTTGTATAGTTACGGAGTAGTTATACGTCGCATTTACCTACTCCCTCAATCAGACTATGTATATAGATCACGTGAATATTGACAACCACCGCCTCGGGTGAAGATTAATCCGAATAATCACCCCTCACGTGTGATAAGAAGCTTCGATAACGGGAGCTGGAACCTTTGAATTGGAGACGATTATTGCTTCCAGCTTCCTCCGTGGACTCTCTCATAATAGCGCAATCATGGAGAATCATCAGCTTGTCGTCTCCAAGGCTGCTTTTGCAGCTCGTCTATTGAGGCCTGATCCTACGACGGTCCCTCGAGACGAAATAAGCGCCTTTCATACCTCCCTCGAGCGCGTGCTGTCGCATTGTTCTCCAACAAACGTCCAGGTCTGAGCCGATTTCAACTCCGTTACTTCCACTTTCGGCTTACTAAACACCCACTCTGCCAACAGATCTGTAAAGCTTGGCTTCTTCGCTTTGTTGTTCTCTCATCTAGCCGGGTAGGAGGCTTGGCTACCTACCTGGAAGCCCTCGCCGGCTCCGGGTCATCGCAGCCCACGGGATCTGGCGTCTCACTAAAGCGCCGAAAACTCCACATCCTCTATCTCCTCAGTGATATCCTCCACCATTGCAAGTACCACCTAGACACTACCGCCGCCTTCTCCACGGTCACCGGGTCTCTGCAGCCGCATATCGTCAACTTGGTCGGTCACGCAGCAGCCTACGATCGTCAAAAGAACCCTCGCCTTCACCGTCGCCTAGACACATTGCTAGACGTCTGGTCTGAGCACAAATACTTTCATCCCGACCTCGTCGGCAAACTTCGGGAAGTCGTCATCAACTCGGCTACCATTGGGTTCACGCCGTCTACCAATGATACAACCGACGCGGAAGATCCAACCAAGAAGTCCGGGAAGGAGGAATCATGGATCATGCCTGCTATACACGGGGATCCGTCCACTCCCTGGTATGACCTTCCTGCGGGCTGCTGGTTGCCTCACATCATCCCCCACAATCCAATTCCCATCCGACCTGCCGACATCAAACCAGTCCGCGTACAACCAGGTCCAGCCTCGCCAAGACTGATTCATGCTGTCAAAGAAAGCATTGAGTACGCGAACAGGCTCTATGATTCGGAGAATCCCCTGGACGATGCCACTGAAGACCTCGACGCGCTCGGCCAGGTAGTCAATGGCGAACGGTATTATGGATGGTCCGTCGAGTTCTGTGAGAAAATGAAGAAAGATCCGGACGACTCCTCGACCGGAAGCCGGAGCCGGAGCGGATCACCATATCCCAAGCGCCGACGCTACAGCGACAGCTCTATTGACCGCTCCGAGTCGCAGTCTCCACCACGTTGCCGTCCCAACCAACCTGAGATCCATCGTCACCATGATTCACATGCTAGAGCCCCGCACAGCGAGAACCCATACCGCCAGGAACCATCCACTTCACACTTCCCGCCCCCTCATGATCCATCTCATCATCCACCTGCACCCGCCAACTCATTCCCTCCCCCTCACAACCCGAATGCACAGTACTCGCGATCTCAAATGCCTCCTCATGCTGGATATGCCCAACAGCCTGTCGGTAATTATGGCTCCTGGCCTGCTCCCCAGCATATGTCGACGATGCCCTTCCCCAATCCTGGACCTGGGTACTCCCCTTCCGCTTTCCCTCCCCAATACCAGCACCCCTCTTCTATGCCCTTCCCGACTACACAGGGACAAGGACAGGGACATGCCATGCCACCTGGACAGTACCACTTCCCTCCTCCCTATTATGGGGGCCAGCAAGGTCAACCGGGCGGCCCGTGGGGACCACCACCGGGTGGCCGTGGATGATAATAGTGCCCATAAAATAGTGTATGATTAATGCTGGGGAGGGAGTTATTTCCAGTTTGAGCTACTACCACACCATTGAAAGGCCTTGGCGTGGCTCGCGCCGTCCAATGGATGGTGTGCTTTGTATGATTTATGAGGGGAACCTTGGATTTCCATGAAATGAAAGAATAATTTGTTGGAGGTAGGGGTCTACTCTACTTTTCAATCATCTTCATCGAGCACATGTACGTGGACTCTTACACTGGCAATTAGTTGCGACAATAGCACCATATGTATGACAAAGAAGACCGTAGTAATTAACCACCTATTGAAAGCATATGTTGTACCAATACACATCGCAGTCAAGTAATATCGAGTAGAAAGAAAAGAAACCCAAACCCCCATCATTCCCTCTATATGATCCCCAGAGTATAACCAAATCCCATTCAGCACATTAAAGCCCAGACCTGCCAGGAACTGCAATCAGGTGAGAATGTCCATGATCATATCAGCCTGAGTCTCGGGGAGATTCATCTGGTGCGTGTAGTAGTTCTTCTTAACCTGCTCAAAAGGCTTGCAAGAGTTGAGTGCGCCCTAAAAACACGCATCGTCAGCTTTTTAGCCCATTCTCTAGGGAAAATGTACCATAGGAAACAGAAAGACAGGAAAAACATACACCCTGGTCACTACAGCACATGGGCGAATACCCGTGTGCATTACAGGTATCCGGCGGATCCTGTTCATTCATCTTCTTGCCTGTGATGTTGGGACAAATTAGAACTGGACTCTCCAAGAGGAAGAAGTAGATAGAAAGAGAAAGGGAAAAACTTACACTGGAACGAGATAGCCGAGCTAAGCTCCAGCCCACTGACGATAGGAACCAACTTTCCAAGCGGCTTGATGACATCCTCGCCCGTCTGCTGAACGGACATGCAGCAGGACTTGAATTTACCCGTTGGGCATGTGTATGCCTCGTAGGGGTTTGGCGTCGGCGTCGGTGAAGGGGAGACGGAAGCCGAGCTCGAATGCGGGATGAGAGACTTTGACGCGGAGGGTGTGGGAGATGCCTTTTGGCTTGCCATTGGAACGGCGGTGACAGCTAGAATGGAGGCGAGACCCGCGAGGAGGGTTTTGATTTGCATGATTGTGGTGGATTATTGTTGGTTCAAGAGTGTAGTGAGTCGTGGATGTTGTAGGGCGACGCGACCTGCCACGCCGCGAATTGGTATGAGACTTGGGATATGTGAATCGAAATAGACGCGATAGACAGTTGGATAATCAAAGAGCGTATGTTGGTGTTCCGACGCAGCTGAGACTGAAATGAGTGACTAGAGGTGGGCGGGTTGGTTTGTCGTGCGAGGTTGTCGGTGTCGATGAGAGGAAAGGAACTGGACGGGCCTTTGATGCTTGCTAGGTTGGCCTTCAGAGCAGCATTGCAACAGGGACATCCTATTTTCTTTCCGTCCCCCTTCCTTGGGGATCTTTGAGTGGCTGGTGGGTGAATCCCGAGATTCCAGGGGGTTTGATCCCCCTGTTTGGACACAGGCACGTTGTGGCTTTGAAGCGTTGCTGATTGGATCATCTGGAATGTGCGCGGACAATTTAGCACTGATCTTGCTGGATTTGTGCCCTGGTATGTGGGTTCTATATCGCATCATAACATGGACCTCGAGCCTTAACTCAAGAGTGTTGAACAACAATACAAGACCACATCAGGGACATCACGATAGCTGTATCCAGGAGCTGCTTTTAGAACATCTTGCCGTTCTTATTTTCATCATTCAATATGACCATAGGAATAAGGAGGTCGAGTGTGTTGCGGGTAGATTGAATTCCCCTTTGAGGTATGCAAGGGGCATTTTCAGGCACGCACCTAGGCAGTTCTTCACACTTAACAACGCTTATAAAGTACAACTTAAGTTGCTTCAGTCTGCCTCTTGGAGCTGGAATCTGAGCTCACTTAATCGAAACGGACTCATCTTTTTGTACTGCGTATGGCAGTAATGTGACATCCGCTTCGCACCCACCAGATATATGAAAAAGTCTCGTCAAACCCCGAGAAGAAAACCTCGAGATAAGGCTTGTATATGTGAAGGTACTTACTTCCAAGGTTACTGGAATGGACGCAAACTTGGTGAACATGCATTCCGCCATAAGGCTGTCCATTGTAGGTAGACGTGAACTATTACGGCGTAGGTCTGTACCAGCAAGCATCTACTCCATGGCGGACTACAATCACACACAGTCTCTATCGAGCGAAGAAAAGAAAAACCAATACCCGTTTTTGCTGCGTAGTACTGCGTATACTAGTACAGGTCGTCAATGGCTAACATGGCTAGGTCATATCGTAACAAGGGTAACTGTATCGAGGACAAGCCAGTGTCCTCGACTCAGGGAAAATGTTGGTTCATCAATGAAAATGAAAAAAGCCAAAATGCTCGCTCGCTGGTAAGAAACACAGGAACATAGTTGTACAGGCTGATATACCTTCGCAGAAGGATACCAAGCAGAGTGGGAGGTGATCCGGCTCTGAGTGTCAACGATGAAGTCGGATAGCAAGGAAAGGAGACTGAAGATCAACTGGTCTCCTGAAAACGCTGAACGAGAAGTAGGGGAAAAGGGGAAGGACCATCTCCCAGTGACCCCGACGAGTCGAGGCCACAAAACAAATGCAAGTCAAAATTCGCTATGTCGCTTCAAAGCAGCTCACTAGGATCACTGTGGTGCCTTTCGTTAGTTTTCTGATACACCGGGAAAGCCACGACGAAGGCAAATGCTTACCTAGACAGTGTAGTGACCTAGTAGTCTGCAAACTTAAGCTTCAGCCATGTCGCGACCGCTAACAGCGCTGCCGCTGGCAGGGGAAGGTCCATTGGCTTGGCTGGCCATGTCAGTGCCACTGGAGGCACTGCTACGACCACTCTGGCCGCTGCTTTGGCTGCTGCGGCCGCTAGAGCCGCGACCAGGATGTGAGTCGTCGACATCGACGAAAGAAGACATTTGACGCTGAGTGTATTGCAACATTGAGCGGTTGTAGTCCTCTAGGGAGTCCTGGGCGGGATCGAGCGCCTGGTATGAGCCGACATGGCTTTCGCTGGACATGTTGTTGAGGTTTCCATTGTCCGAGGGGAACATAGAGTGCATGCTTTGGGCGGGCTGTTGCATTTGAGCGGCTTGAGTCATGGTGGAAGATTTCTAGCGCGAAGTAGGGTTAGCTTGAGTTGGGGGGCTTGATGTATTGGATCTCCGCAAGCGTTCTCGATGAAGGGAGGGAAGGTTGATGGCATGGGTGTCGGAGATAGTTCTGACGGTGCTGATATCTTAAGACAATTCAAGCTTGCTCACATTTGATATCGAAGGGATCAATAATTGATGATGGCTGAGGCAAGATAATGTGTCGTCTGAACGTAAGCTGTGGAAGTCGCTTAGGTGCTAAGAATGATAGAAAGTCGTGTAAGTTCAGAAAGATGGAGTGTATGCAAAAAGGTAATTGAATTCAAGCGAGCAAGGGTATATATACGGAAAAGACACCATATATCCACTACGAACTATGAACGCACATCGACGGTTGATCGCAGATGGCAAAAGCACCCGACTGTGCACTCTGTGATAGGTCAAAGGCAGTGCCTGATGTCTCCTGAGAGCGCTCAGGTCAACACGTACCCCGTATAAGATGCCCCACAGATTACATCGAGCGAAGTACGGTGACATCATTGGCTCAAAGGGGGGACACAACAATTCTCCCCCGGCCGATATCACACAAGCATCATAACCCCCCGGCTCCGAACATCTGTCGATGACCACAGAACATGGGTGGGGTCGAACCATCATCAATGGACATTAAGAGGACGTTTCAGGATTGCGGATATCCACAAGCTCTGGAGACTGGTGAATTTGGCAACGATCAAAGTACTACTCCGATGAGGTCACTGGGGAATGTGAGCGGACCACCGAGAGCCGAAGGCTTTCTGAGATCGGCGTTGATCACAGTCAATCCCCTGCAGATCTTCGCCTGACGTCTACTGTACGAAACGGATCGTAATTGGGATTATCGTGGGCTTTTGCATGGTGATGTCCATTTTTCATTCTGCATCTCCTCGGAGTTGGACATGCAGAAAGGAGAAATGTGGACATCCGCAGTGGAGTCACTGCGCTAAGAGTGGTATAGTAGTAAACATACTGTTCGTCCGCATATTAGCCTTTAGGGAGACGGTCTGCCATTAGTCCAACTCGAATCCGATAGCTCGATGCATGTTGTAATTCGTGCGACTTTGAAGCAGTAACTGCGTCTGCGGCGCAGTCAACAAAAGCAAAGAAGAGCGACGTCGCTGAGGCTCAGATCAAATGGAGCCATGTCGTCATACCCCCCAGCCATCGGAGCGATCCGAATCGTTGATTTGGCGCTCCAGCCAGCGACCACTTTCTGCAGGAACCAACCTGAGAATCGCCACTGGACAATTGCCCCACGAACCTTAGAGTTGCTCGCGGCTCATTTGACGGCTGTCAGAAGTGGTTCTTTTGTGGATAGTGACCACGAGCCCAGCAATATATGGAAGCCACAGGGGGGTTTACAGACATAACGGGAACGCATATTATAGCGGAATAGAGGTTAAATTTCCCACAGATCTTTCTGTGGAAACGCTTAACATGAACAAGGTGAGTCTTGGAGAAAACAATGTGGAGAGCGCTAGTCGGTTACTCCGTAGTCCCCGTAGTGACCCGGATCCGAATGTACTGTGTAGTGTGTACTCCAGTTTGCCGCTTGGTTGCCTGAGGCAACACAGCACCTGACGTCAGTGAGCCCTCATCTTTGATGTACAGTGACTCTGGAATTTTGCATCTTGAAATTGGCTCTATTACAGATGGATGAAATCATGTCTGAACTTGAAATGTGCATCTAGACACATTTTACGGTTATCCAGGGACTAAATCCTGGTATTATCGTGTCGACAGGGGCTTGGTGTTCGTCGACGCCCTCAACTGAACTACGTCCCGATATGGGAATTGAGATGGCTCCACTACTATGCTTGATACTTCTAAGTGACAGCGACCCAAGGGAACGGGTTTCCTGGCTAGAATGATCGGTAGGACTGAAGGGAGCCACCGACAGGGGTGTTTGCATAGAAAACCGGGCTGGAACATCGGTTATTTGCCATCCGCTGAACCCTGGACGGATCCCGAACAGTTGTATGATCGGTATGACACCGGAGAGCATCAGAGCTGTTACTCTGATCTTGCTCGATGGAGATACAGTATCAAGAATGTTATCGACGAAATCCGGAGTTTGTTCAGCATCGCGACTCTGCTTTGCCACCGGGGATGTCTCATTTGAGAGCAACACAGCGACGTCAGACTGGATCTCTTGGTACAACACACAATGCATCCATGTACGCAGTACGGTGTGCATTAATCTCGAACTTTCTCCTCTTTGTCCTGAAAGTCTGCGACGAAAGCAAGAAAGATGGTAGCTATGATGCCGCGTGAGATCAGAATTGACGCAACCTTGGCAAGACTGTACTGTACAATGTCGTAAGCATAAAGAAAGTTGTGGAGCAACACCCTGACTAGACTGAATGTAGTTTAAGAGCGAATCATCCTCCAGCCGACGGTGCTCCTTGGGTCCGCTCTCATTGATATGACAGCATGCCATAGCAGATCAACCATGTCGTATGCAGCATGTCAGAAGGTCCACAGTTCAAGAGATACCATGTGCACAAACTTTATCGTCCTTAGGTAGACATCGTGATTCCAGGTATGTTTCGTATGTACCTGTACGTACAGAGTCTGCAAAGCCTTCCCGATCGGGGTGTTGCCGCTCCATCAAGGTCTCCAGGGCTTTGCTTATTGGTTATTTTGCAACAAGAGTGATACTTGCTTACACAGTACATGTATGCCAGAATACAGCTTAGAATGATGCCCCTGAACATTGTTCCTACTGGCTACATGTGAGCCCGGTGAACGGAAGGGCCCTGGGTGTGGATCACAACAAACAGGAAGAATGGACATTTGGTCCATGTATTGTCCATACTGTAGGTCCTCAATGCCACAACATACATCTAGAAGCCTTATTCTGACGTCTCTTCCCGGGTGTTTTGTATTGATACATCTGAGTAAAGTTGAGAAGCAATGTGCTTTGGGATGGACGTTGTGTGTACCAATGTCTGTTACAGAAGTTGGGGAGAACAATCAATAACTAGAAATCCAAGAAAACACGATTAGCGAGAACTAGAGCCGTGAGATCCATGGTGCTCGTAATTAGTAACTACAGTATCAATTGAAAATTATCTCAAACACTGATAATTCCGCGGCCAACTGGTGAAGTCACCTCGGAGCCCATGCAATGAAGACCTTACTATATCTAACTACTTTTCCCAACTGACAGAAATCAGGGTGTGTTACGAGCGTACTGGTAAATTCACGGAAAATTCTCCTAACTAACTAACTAGAAACAACAATGGTCTGGTTTTGACAATTTGGTCAGACACAATTATGCTACACACTTATCCCGCTTGCCAGATACTCTTTGCTGAATGGATAATCCGAATACCCGACAGCTGACTCGGGGACATAGAAGCTGTCTCTTTTGTACGCACTGAGCTCCAGACCCTTCATGATCCTGAAGATAAGATCCGGATTGGAAATGAAGTGCCGGCCAAACACGACCATAATGTCCTTGTCCGGATACTTCTCATCCACCAACTTGCGGGCCTCATCCGATGTGTACCCGCCAGCAATAAGAAAAGGTCCATCCCACAGATTGTACGCAAAATCCAGCGTCTCATGGCCATCATGATCCTGAGCACCGGAAATTCGCGACTCCACGAGGTGAAGATATGCAATGTGCGCCCGTCTGGCTTTGGTGATCACGTCCGTAAACTGCGGGATCGGATCCTGCATTCTCATTCCCTGGAATGTACTCCACGGGCTCAGTCGAAGCCCGACACGTTCAGGACCGATGGCATGGACAACAGCTTTGATCACGTCGTCAACAAGGCGAGATCGATTTTCCACGTTCCCGCCATACTCATCGTCGCGCTTGTTGCTAACGTCTTGGATAAATTGGTCGAGCAAATATCCATTGGCGCCATGGATCTCGACTCCGTCAAAGCCAGCCCGAATAGCGTTATTCGCAGCGTTGACAAAATCCCGAATTGTCTGTTTGATCTTGTCGGTCGTCATGGCCTTGGGGATCGGGGCGCCTTCTTCCATGGGAATAGCACTGGGCCCTATAATATCGACCCCTTCTTTTTGGGCGATATCGATAGGCGCGACACGTCCCATAGCGAATAGTTGACAGAATATGAAAGATCCCTTGCGATGAACTTCATCTGTGACAGTTCTCCAGGCAGCGACTTGGTCCTCGCGCCAAATCCCCGGTGCGTGGGGAAATCCGCCGCAGTTTTCTGATATGAAGGTTCCCTCGGCGATGATCAAGGTACCTGGCACTGCGGCGCGTTGGCTGTAGTATTCTTTCATGAGGAGTGTTGGCACTCGATCCTCGGTCGCTCGGAGGCGAGTGAGTGGTGCCATTCCGATGCGATGTTTCACTTCTATGTCGCCGATTTTGATGGGCTCAAAAAGACGTGATGGAGACATTGTCAAGAATCCGCGAATGTGTTCTTCAATCTTCAGTGGGAGAGGAGAGTTGAGAAGACTATGATATTGAATTGAACCCCGAGGAAGACCAGCTATTTGTACTCTATTTTCAAGCAAAAGATGTGCTCTATTTCAAAGCAGTTTCAAAACATGCTATAATCGTCGGATGAATGTTGTTGAAGCTATTCACAAGTAGGTATAGAGATACTTCCCAAAAGGGAAAATAGATACTTCCTATTAGGGAAGGCGGAAGGAGCTAGACTATTTGTGGCTAAAGTCGTCAACATTGGACCAATCATCTATCCTGAGGATGAGGCTAGTGGGGCACAATACCCGGAGAGTTTCCAACTTTAATCGAAGTAATCGGTGCCACCTGCTCGGGTACGCATAATTAGCCAATGAGAAATAGAAGATGTTTGTCATCAGTTCAGTCAAGACATGATTTGCAATCAAGCCTTCAACATTCGACTGCTCTAATCGGGGAGTTCAGTTAAAGCCTCAAAGAGAGGTTGTCTTCGTAGTTGTCAGCAGTCCAGTTAAGTAGACATGATTCGAAATCAACACTTCAACACTCCGCTGCTCTAATCAGGGAGTTGAGTAATAGAAGGATAAAGAACCAAAGAAGTGATCCATAGAGCTAGTCTAGAGGGAATTTTCTTCCCAGAAGGCCTTAACCTGGGACAAAAATGCGCTGTCAGACCATATAAACTGCTTAAGAACCGTAAGAAGTTCTGGCCATGATGTATATAGCCGTCTCAATCTGTTGTGGTTCAAATGCAACAATCGCACGTAGCCTTGTCGTATAGGGCCTGCGGGGGCGAAAGCACCCCCGATGTGCAAGAGCCAAGCCAACAGATCAGGCGAATCATCCCATACTAGACTATCACTCGCTGCTTGTAATTCGCAGAGTAATTGTAAGGAAAGGTGGGACTGGGGGTATGTACAGTTAGCACCGTACGATGAGAGAATGAGAGACAAACGCAATCGATGTGATAACTTACAGGAATGGTAGAAGTCCGCCAGATTTTGCAGCGCAGCATAGTCGAGCATAGATATGCCGCTTGGTGGCAACATTGTGAGATGGGTGAGCGAACTGGCAAGCTCACTAACCTCGACTGGATAGATGCTTGGTGGTTATCGATTTGTGCCATCGACATTACATCCTCTTTGCCAATGATGGCTGAATCTCGGATACATTGCAATGCAAATACGTCCTTGAGGATTTCAACGAAAGCTTGACCTAGCTCATTGGAGTGTTTTTGAAATCCAGGTGGAAGGATAAATATGTCCGGATGGGAAAGGTCTCTCTTCCACTGGAGCTCAGAAAAGGTTGTGTGGTCAACAACTCGGGTTGAGCCTGTCATGACCGAACCATTCAAATCTGACCTGTCGACCGGTGTAAGTCTTAGCTGTCAAAAAAAGTTCTAACTTACTTACCAGAAGATCGCACGTTTGATATCATCGCTCAGATAGACGCCTTTTCTTTGGCATACGTCAAGAATGTGTTGTATTGCCCCCATATGAAGCTGTACTTGGCGTGGCATTCCAAGCCGGACCTTGATGATAAAACGTTATACTTTGATCCCAACAACTGTTCCGAATACGGCAAAATATCAGGAATCTTTGCACGAACCTCTATACCGGCTAGTAGCAGAATAGTCCCTATTGTAGACTCTGTAGCAGCCCTATCCGGAGAACTCAGTCTTTGACGGATAGAACTTAGAGCCTGGTTTTGGTATTCGAGGTACTTTCTGCTGGTCACGCTTTCTGTGGCTTTAAATGAGAACGTGAGCATAACGGCGCTCAGAAGAGCGTTATCATCTAGTCCTTTTCGAAGGACAGAGCGGAAATTTTGAAGCACGAGTTCGTCAGCAACACTGAACACCGGCTCCGTCAATTGTTGAACCCTTTCTACATTCAATGAGCAGTTGTTGGATATCAGGTATCTTCCAGAATCTTACCTCTGCTTAGCAATGCCCGTAATGTCGGCGACTCTGCAGCGAGCATTTGGAATGGATCGGAGCCTGCAGTGAGGGACGCTGGTTGTGTGATAAGAGCCTCGGAATGCTTCTCTTCTCGCACACGTCGGCTCTGACCGTTCTCAAGGCATACAACACGGAAATTATGACCTGAAGTTTGCTGAAGTCTTCTTTTACTCCGAAGACCGCGCGTTACAGCATGCGATCGGGCAAGGCGCTTCGCTGTGCGGTCATTCGGGGCCTTCATGGAAATAAAAACAAACATGCTATCACCTTAAAATACAAGTTAGTCATAATATATGGAGTCATGATTGCTCTCTTGGGGCTCTGCCCTACCTGAATTGGACTCACTGCGTCTAGTCATCGCAATGGAACCGTGCAAATGAATTAAACTGTCGTTCTCTTGGATCGATATCTGGGCATGCCCTTAATACAGAAATAATCTTGTGCTGCTGTGCAATATGTGTATCCCTTTTGTAAGCGTACGAGGAAGTGTTTAAATAAAATAAGTACGTTGTCCAGGGTCGACGGTGTCCTCTAGGCTTCGGCCCCGAAGGGCGGGCGGCGGGTACTTTACAAATCAGAGCGGCCCCGATTACCCCGATACGAAGGAGTGGCGAGCCGCACAGCGACCTCGCGAAAAGGTGCTGTCAACCGAAACCTCCATCATATGGCCCCACTTGACGATATCCCAATGATGGTACGTACGTAGTAGTCAAGAAAACACTAAAAAAATAATGGGACGAGCCGGGATCGAACCAGCGACCTTGCGAACTTCAGTCGCACGCTCTCCCAACTGAGCTATCGTCCCATCTGGGATGAAGAATGAAGCCCATGTAGACATCATGAATCTAATGCTGATCCGATGGAGAGCTACTGTGTAATTTTCACACAGCCTGAGCCAACCCATTTCTTGAACCCACCATTTCCAACCACCATGCTTTGAAATTGTTGAGGATCATTGCTGAGCGTTTCCCCCAAATTCTACATGTCAATCAGTGACCATATTTCTACAATACGGAGTCAAGCTTGTTTGTATCAGTGCGAGGTTTCGGCTTTTGGTACGAACATTTAGTTACTCGTCCGTGTCCACTGTCACCTGTCCACCTTACACTAGGAGCTTCAATCAATTGAAGTTATTGCCCATTGCTATAGGACGGTATAACTGGGTCTAGCTAGGTAGGTCTTGGTGTCAGATTCATCGGAGAGGTTTATCGCCACTATCGTTGCTATTGTACTCCGTACCTATACGATTCAGCTTAGCCCGTGGATCTATCTATTATATTTCTCAAATTCCAGGAACCAACCATTCATTTTATTCAAGCATAAAAGTAAGAACCCGCTCCGCTAGCCTTGTCTAGTCGCAAAGGCAAAAAGTGCAAAAAGTAATGGGACGAGCCGGGATTGAACCAGCGACCTTGCGAACTTCAGTCGCACGCTCTCCCAACTGAGCTATCGTCCCACTTAGGATGATAATTTAGCTCCATATGTGCATTATCAATCTCAAGCGCCCAATTCCTGATTTTAACATTCAGCGCTTCCAGCGATCTTCGAATACAACCTCGAATAACCAAACCATTAAGATATAGAACCGCATGGGTGTCTATGATAAGTCTAGCCTCAATAAAGGTTAACTATTCAAATTGATAGCCTAACATGTCCATCTGGCCAACATCTTTTCGGATAACGTTAAAATTCTTCTTGACCGGCTCCATATCGTAGCCACGAGCCAATGCGGCGAGATTCCATGTGCTTATGCCCTACTACCCTTTATACTGGACCTTGGAAATAAAATAGCAGGAAAGGTATAATATTGATGTCCACATTGTCCAGTAAAAAAAAGTTAAAAGCATCAAAGAACGCAAGTTTTTCCCAGGTAGGATAAGTGGCTGTGACCTTGTATGGTTTTAGTAGCTACGTATTCTCACCACTTCTGGCTCTAGTATCTCGCGGTTTGTAGTCGGTGCATGCCATTTCTATTGTACACCGTGCGGACAGTGCTATTCGGCTCAATGGTTAATGGTTGGTGTACTTTACAGGTACTATACAAGTTCCATAGGTTGGATTGCATGTGGAGTCGCATGGAATGCCGAAAATATATCTTAGCCCTAATTGTGAACGAAGACAACTACCCAACCTGGCGACCATCCAGATACTATCCACTAGCCGATTTAGAACATCAACGTAGGCAAATTAACATGTTCGCCATGGCACGAATGTACAGCAGGGATCCAAAGAGGCCTCGGGTGTGTTGAACGCGATGACTTCAAGTTGCATCCAGCAAGCTTGAAAACCCAGTCGAAAGCGTGACAGAACTCTCTAGATGCTTAAGAGGACTCAGAAAATTACCTATATAAGAAACCCCTAGTCTTCTTTATATGAATCATGACTTTCTTCAGACTCGAAGCTTAGCTTCGCACTTCACGCTTCACTTCTCAAGTAGGTAGATTCCAAGTCTACCTTCAACCACGAACAGAGACCAGACGCTAGGGTGATGGATCTTTACAACAAACATGACATCATCACAAGTGGGACGATAGCTCAGTTGGGAGAGCGTGCGACTGAAGTTCGCAAGGTCGCTGGTTCGATCCCGGCTCGTCCCATTTTTTTTTGCACTTTTCGATTGTAAACCACAGAGACCAGTGAAATGTGACCGACCTACATCAAGAAGTGACGGTAACCAGGGTCTCAACCCAGAGGGGGAGAGCCTGCCCTGACTCCAGGTCAGACCAGAAAAGAGGCGCAGCGGTCCAGATTATATGGTGACATACACTACGTTGCACGTTGAACTACAAGGGGAGTACCAGTGTGTAGATAAGGACTCCGAGATAAACTGCGAGAGCCTTCCCGATCACATAGCCCCAATAGTGGGGAAAAGAAAGAGAATGTGACTCGATAGGCCATGAAATAGATCTGGGATTGGATTCCAGAGCTTGAATAGGAACTACCCGAAAATTTGCGGATCGCATCGTATCACGCGACTTTGATTTAGGCTAAGTAGAACAATATTTAGTTGCAAATGGGAACATCCCGTGTCAAATCTTCCTCGAAATACAGTAAACTGGGAGTGCTACAATCATCATCACGCTATTGAAGGTGAAGGGGGTCTTATTTCCGACGCTGACTCTGCGGCAAACTAGATACAAAAATCTGGATGCAGGTGGCCCGAGTCCTCCGTAGAGGATTGAATTGTGAAGATGGTCGGTTGGTGACATCTTTCATATCATTAGTATGCACGACAGGAACAAGAGACAGTAGGACGATTGAGGAACGTACATTTGACTCACGTCGTTTAGTGGGCGTGGCCACTATGCACCCCCGACGATTGTCCTGGAGCCGAAGCCCGGCACGGTTAGACAGGGTATTCTTGGATAGGGTGGATGTGGTCGACTAGATGTGGCGAAGTGGAGGCAGTTGCGGTTGGGTGGGTATGAGTGTTATGTCTGATCTCCCGATTGTCCTGAGGCCGAAGCCCGCCACGGTGAGACTAGGTACTGTCGAATCGTCGAGCGAAGGAGATTGAGCGAGCGTAGTGGGTGGGTGTGAGTGGTATCCAGTCTGCCGATTGTCCTGAAGCCGGAGTCCGCCACAGTCAGACTGGATATCACTGGATAAATGAGTGGACTCTGTTGCGGTTGCGGTTTGATGGGTGTGGTTGCTGTCTCCAGCCTTCTGATTGGGCGGGACGGAAGCTCGCCACGGCAAGTCTGGATATCCTTGTGTGGGCGGCATGGTGCAGGAGATCTTCCTGATGGCTGAGATGGATGATTGAATCTGGGTGATTGATGTGGATGTTCCAAGCAGGATGAACGAATGTGTATGCTTGGTGTGCTTGGGTATAGATGCTTGGATCACTCGAGTCTTCTTTTGTACCTCTCTCTTTCTCTTTCTCTTTCTCTCTCTCTCTGTTTTTGTTTTTGTTATTTCGTCTTTGCTTCGTCTTGTTCTTCTTTTTTCGTTTTTCGTTTTTCTTTTTCTTTTCCTTTTCTTTCTTGTCTTGTCGTTTTTTTCTTTTGCTTTCGTCAGAAGCCTGCCGATTGTTCTGGGGCCAAAGCCTGCCACGGCATGTCTGGCAATGGCTGCGTGGGCATAGTGGGCGGACGTGAGGTGGATGATGGAAGTGGATGATGGAAGTGGATGATGGAGGTGGATGATGGAGGTGGACGATTGAAGTGGTTAACAATGAAAAATTACCACCACAACAAACGGTATAGGATGAATGGAATGAAAAGCCTGCTAAGTTGGAAGGCAGACCACATGTTGTTATGCAGTACGACACGGTGAACTAGTATGATGAAGTCAGACGGGTGAACAGACAAGGATGGATGGATGGAGGAGGAATGGTCAAAGGTGAAAGGTGAAGGAAGGAATGATAGAAGTAAGGCAATGTACATGTGGGTACATGTAAGTACTTGTCGGGTCAGGATCACTTACATGTTTGTAGTAGAAGCACAACACCGGAACGTTGGAAGGTAGGTAGACTCATCCATGGATTAATTCCATATGATTAAGCCATGTGGTGCCATGTGGGCAGTGGAAAGGATAGACTTCCCAGTGGTGGTAGACACCAAAGGGTATGTGATGACAGGAAGGTTGCATGTTGAGGAGGTGGATGCATGGTGTTGTTGTGGGACCCAAGTAGATGATGGATGGGTCTACATGACGATGTAAGACTTGATGGTTGATGGATGGTTCATGGAGCGAGGGATGGAAGATATGAAGGATGGGGGGTTGAAGAAGAAAGAAAAGAACAAGAAGAAGAAATGAGGGAGGGGGTTATATAGGTTTGGTGGTTTCCTATTCAGGAAGGCACCGTTTCCCAAAGTAGGAAGGAACCACCCATCCAGTGTGTGGTTCCGTTTGTCATGTGACGTACCAAACTTGTAGTGAGGAAGCACACGAACAATTCCAAAATTTGAAGTGACCAGTAGCTTACACAGAATCCTCTGACCGTGGAGACCTCATCACTCCCCTCGGGCTGCTTCCTATCCATTATAAAGATGAGCCACACGTGACGAGAATGGCACCTAGCTGGGCTGTCTAGTCCCATGCATAGAAACAGTCTCAATGATACAATCGAGCTGCACTGGCTTTTGTCAATCCACCAGAATCTCCTATCCCGGTGCTTTCTTGTACCATGTGACTTGTCGATTAGTTGGAGCAACTTCTGAATACATCGTCAGGTATTGGAAGACGAGCTCGGGACAAGGGCGGAGTGCACTCTAGCGATGCTTGAGCTGACCGCTCTGAACGTCTTGACACTGGCCTGCATTGGCTGTTGGACTGCTGGTACTGCTACTGTGAAGCTCTCTGAAACAGGATCGCTACTAGAAAAGTCTGAAGCACTTACAAGATGAAACAGATGGGATCCGGTTCGAAATTAGAGGGTATAGCCATATATGATACTGGCACTCCAGGAATTGCAATAGCAACGGCAACCTGGACTTCTTGACACTGCTTCATGAGATTCGGCCATTCATCTAGTTTGTGACCCGAGTATTGTATCGAGGGCGTGCGATAACTGTACGAACTGTTACTGGAGCTACAATAGATGCACACGCCATCCAATAAGTTGAATTTTAGGTGGAGCTGTTAGTCAAACGATCCAGTGGACGAGGAGTGGTCAGACAAAACATGTTGAACATCAGAATGACTTAGCTGAAGAAAGCTCCAGGAGTACAGCATAATATCGTGAAGCCGCAAAAGGTTCGCCTGGTCGGTGTGATTGAGCCCTGGCGCCTTCTCCGAACCATGATTCTTGTCTTATAGGCCGTTGCTCAGTACGATTCCCATGATTTCCAGGAGGTGCCAGGGCAACCCCTGTTACTATCTCCTAATCTGCAGTCCTCCCATCATCCTGTGACTACTGTCTGCGACGCCAGACCCCCTTGGCGCTCTTCCCACTTCACCTAGTATTCTGTCACCTAAATTCTCAGAATGAACCGATCAGGGCGGTAACCGTCTACATATACAGTAATTACCGTACTCCTTCTCCTGCCAGAGGATGATATTAGGCTTGATGATGCCTACTGGGGCCTCACACTACATCCCAAGTGGGACGATAGCTCAGTTGGGAGAGCGTGCGACTGAAGTTCGCAAGGTCGCTGGTTCGATCCCGGCTCGTCCCATTACTTTTTGCACTTTTTTGGGGTCTTATTTGCGGCATCGGCCGTTTCGAATGCAAAAATAAGCAACCTTCCATGATGTGTGTGTGCGTCGACAATGTGGATGGCTTTCTTTTCCTGAGTGGCAGCTCCCCCTTGCTTGCATGGATCAATTGGTACCTACCGAATACCGATCCGGACCTGCACCTTCTTTGCAGGCAAGCAGGGACTACTTGAATTGGCTACTTGATTATGTCTGACTCGATTATGCTTGGATCACTGATTTTTGTATATGGAACGATCGACTAGGTCCCCTGCTGCGATATATACACATGTGTGCATTTTGATTCCATCAATAGGTACACTCTTACTTGAATTCTCCGTTTCGTATTTGTTGACATTCCGGCATATAGAATAGAGGCTACATAGTAAACGACGAGGAAAAGCAAAAGAAAAGATGTATAAGAATCTTAGAATTGGAAGAGCTAATCCATTGCATTCAATTTCCGATTGGAAGTGATAGGATAATAGGATAATAGATAGGCAGGGAGATATACAAAAAGTGCAAAAAAGAATGGGACGAGCCGGGATCGAACCAGCGACCTTGCGAACTTCAGTCGCACGCTCTCCCAACTGAGCTATCGTCCCACTTGGGATGTAGTGTGAGGTCCATCTAGACATTATGAGGTCTCCCTCAATTATTGCAGGAAATATGGTAGTCAGTCTACAGTGCGCCAGTAGAAATATTACCAGCCTTCCAATGAGTCTCGATATAATAAACTCATAGAGTTGTAATGTGCATTGTGAATCTTTCGATAAGCTGCAGTTAGTTCACTTAGTTCATTGTGGGACAAGAGATAAGCGAGAAAAGTGAAGTGCCAGCCAGGTTAACCAGTTGGCGGACTGTTCGCCAGTTGGTGGATACGTTGCCGACTGGTGTATCCGTTGCCAGTTGGTTGCCAGTTGGCGGTGTTTTCACCAGTTGATGGTAAGCTGTGTTCAGGAACCCACACAGCATGACTACAACAATGATCACCAATTGATGCTAAGTTAAGGGGAGACAACCTAATAGCCCAGTACAGACTACCATCGACTGATTCAATGACCAAGATTGAATACAGTTATTATGATTGAACCCATACAGTAATGTTCTGAATCACTAGAAGTGTGCATTAATCAACTGGTTACACCTAGATCTAGACCCTGATAGCCCCTCAAAAAAAGGAAAAGAGTCTAGGCTGTTCCGTCCCTTTGAGCATCGAGCCCCTTCGCGTGGTCGTATATTGTGATTGGTATGATGGATATCGGTAAGGTGGAGGGAGATGTTGATCGGTCTCGAAAAAGAGTATGTCCGCGCGGGGCGTTAATGGACACTTGCCCTCGAACATAAACCTGTTATCCCTCTTGTGGATGTGCAGCCACAAGCATTCTCATCTCCCTGGATGCAAGGTCATCTGGTATGACAGGTATACCCATCCGAGACATGGGCCGATCTAGTTATTCGGTGGTTAGTCTCGACTCAGCGACGAAGCATCTAGCTTCCTTCCTTGCTCGCTTCGAACAAAAACCGGTTATGTTCAAGATGTCGATTGACTGCAGAAATGGTCCGACGGCCATCAAACCTGCTGTTCTTCGGAGGATATTCAGGTTGCTGATCAAGGTATTTCGTTCACATAAACCGGTTTCATGCCTGCAAGCATAGAATATGGAGCGCAAAACCTGGCACACTCTTGCTGTCCCTCGCTGTGTCGAGATACCAACGCATCTGCACTGTAAGTCTTCCTTCCATGTCAATGACTCTGCCAGTTGCCATCCTTTTTGCTTGGCATACGTGAATGCACCATGGCTTGACGCCAATTACCATAAGTACCGAGGCTAGTCCTTAACCAAACATCATATATTATGCAGCAGAATATCTAGGCCAACACGCGAAACCTCGAAGGTAGCAAAATGCATCATATTATTCTTCATGCTCATGCTCACATCAAACGTAACCTGTTCAATAATAACGTTACTATAATTCCTCCCAATAGCGCAGACAACAAGACCAACGTAGCCCAAAGACATCCATGCATTGCATAAACATCCAAACCGCATACGAGAGTAGGAAGAAAACATACCTTTCCTGGCGCCCTGGAAGAAGAAGCGCACAATAAAGACTTGCAACGCAGCCATAGAAACCATCATCAAAGACTCAATCACGCTGAAGTTGAAGATCCGACGCTCGGTACTGCGCACGGTACTGAAGTTTCGGTTCTCACGGGTACGGAAGTACTTCTGGTTACGGGAGACAGTCGAGAGTTGTGCGGACAGCTTGTAGATAGACTCCTCCAAGCTGGAAGTTTGTTCGGGGCTGGCGCCCTGGCGAGAGGGCAATTGGGCGCGCTGCTCGTTCTCGACCTGTGCATTCGATCAATCGTTAGTATGTGCTGGCTATGTTTTCGTGGCGATAGGGACATGGAACGTACGGCGATCTCGAAGTCGACCATCTTCTCGGCGAAGGTGGACATCTCATTGTTGAAACAGAAGGAGTATTCGCCGAGACTCTGCGCGGTGAAGACAAAGTCTCCCTGTCGCTCCTTTGTGCCGTCTAGGACGACTTTGCCGCCCGGTGCGGTGACGGAGTAGTCTACATCGAAGGAACCGCCGGATTGGACCTGCGTCGCACGTTGTCAGCATTAGCATCACTAAAGGCTTTTCCACCTCCATGATGAGGATAACTTGGTCCAGATTCAATGGGCTAGAGTTGAAATGTCAATTAAACCTACCGCGAAGTAGAAGGCCACTTTAGCGTTGCTCTGCTCGACGTTTGTAAAGAAGCATGCTTTCTCGTTCGCCTCGAGTCTGTAGGTCAGGGCGGTTGCGGTGACGGATGAGACAAGGGAAGCCAGGCCGGCGAAAAGAGCGAACCGCATTTTGGAGAAATATCGAGACGGTGACCGGTGGATTTGATGGTTATCTTCGCGTCAGGAGTGTTGTGGCCAGCTTTCCAGGATGCGTTCCGCTGTTTGACTTGTTTGCAACCAGGCAAACAGATGAGGAGGGCTGATGCCTCGGCGCCTTGGGTGTCAACATAAACAACTGCAGCATAACCATTAACCAATTATCGAAATTCGAAATGAAAAAGAAAAAGACCAGATCTCTCAGCATTACGATATACAACCTCCTGGCTGAACCGTCCTGGCCAGGCCGAATCAGGGGCAACATCAATCAAATACGGCGAGGGTTTAGGAAGATGCACTACAACATACACAGAGACAGATCTGCACCCTATCATATAGACTCGACTGACTGACTGTCTTCTACTTCGGCTGGTACAGGAAGGAAAACCAGAAAATAAAGGAAAGGAAAAGAAAGGCATGATCATCGCATCAGGCTGTCGCTGCTCATGTACCGGATCGCAGCATACAAGCCCTTCTTCAACTCATAAAACCCCCAGCGCCATGACAATAACTGATTTAGCGAATGGAGAATCCATCACTCTTGCCCCAGAAGCTCCGGCTCTTGTTTGGATGGTCAAGTCCCAGGAAGTCGTCTGCGCTAGCTGCTACATCGGACAAGATATCACCTAAGAACAGTAAAGTCAGTACAAGAGTAATCAAGGAGAGGGGATTGCACCAGAGCTACTCACCATCTTCAAGATATTTTGCAGCTGAGAAGGACGTCCGAGGGACCACAGCGAACTTGATCTTCTCAAAGTTCTTGCCTTTGATCTGTGTGCGAGCGGAAAGACGTTTCTTGGTCTCCGCAAAGAGTTCCCCTGGCTTCACAACAAACTTGAATGGAATCCCGTGCGTGCGGCTGGGCTCGCGATCGAAGCTGAACACACTAATAACCCGCTCTTCGGCATCCATATTTGACTCTTCGGCAGGGATCTTTTCAGCGTAGAGGGTGGCATATTCGTTGATGACGGCCACGTTTTGATCTGGCCGAAGCTCCTTGTACACCTTTCCGCTGTGGGTTTCAGCAACGCGAATCGGCTCGTCGCCCAATTCTAACTTCTGCTGCAATGCAGACAGAAGATCTGCTACAGTGCCGCTGCGGGAAACCAAAAGCTCAACGCTCTCCTACTTGATTGTCAGCCAAATCCCAGCGTCATAGATGGGAATGAACGGCAACGTATCAGACTAACCTCTTTGCTAATACCCTCCGGGAGCCAAGTTAGTTTGAATAACTTCTTGCTCTCAAAGTCACTCAAACTCATGTCCAAGACCTCGTAGTACAAAGCATCTGACCGGTGCATGGTGTATCCGTAGGTACCATACTGACCATTCAGGATTTGGGAAAGTGTCTGATTGACGTTCCGCTTTAGGAAAGGCTTCGCCTTGCCAGTGCTAGCCATCACGGGTGCGAATCGGAGATGAGTCTCTTCCACCTTAAGATGGTCACCAACCTTCTTAGCAATTTGGTCGTAGGTCATTTTGCGGCTAAGAGCCAAGGTGAATGTGTCCCCTTCATTGGCCTTGATTGGGGCAAATTGGATCTCCATGCGGTTCAACAGGTAATCGTAGAACTGTCGAGCATCTGTATAAAGTGCAGAGGGTGGTAATTCCGATTCCTTGACTGTGCGCTGGAAGGTGATGATGTCGCCGTCCTGGATTTCGGATTGTTGGAAAGTCTGCTTCGGCTTCATCACGTCGATCATGTTATGCTTGATCTCTTCGAAGAGCATAAATTCTGTACCGGCAGGCCAATCCATTCTGGAAAGGATCGTCGAGGCCAGCTCGCTCACTTTTTGGCTTTTTTGGACGTAAACAGAGCCAACGCCGGTCAATGTCTGAGTCGGGATGTCATAGTTTTTCAGGAAAATGAGGATTGAATCATTGTTAGGCCATGAGGTAGGTTGCCCGTCAGCGCCCGTGGGAGCCACCTCCATCCACAAGCGGAAGACCTGGCCCTTGGTGCCGAATTTGGTGTAGGCCTCTTCCACGGTCATGTCTTGGTCACGAATCACCTGATCAGGTCGAGTTGTCTTGTTTTGGCGATTGACCATAACCCAGAATCGAATAGCTTCCGCATTGATACCACGCTCTTCAGCGATCTCCTGTGCAAAGTCGCGAACCTTCTTGGCCCGCAGGATCTTGTACTGCTTGGCAAGTGCTGGATCATCCGCAGGCAAATCGTTGCTAGTCAGATCAAAGCCGTGGTGGCTCTTGAATGCATCTTCGTCAAGGAGGCCGACATTCATGTAAAGGTGGGCTTCTTCTCTTTCCTTCTTGCGACGCAACATCTCCGCGCGGTCTTCGATCAGACGTTTCTCTGTCTCCAAGTTAGCACATCATAGTCACGTGGCGGAGAGGAACCTCTGGACATACCAATGTGAGAGGGCACATCATCCTTGGTGACTGGGAAGAACACATCATCCTGTTTTGTCTTACGGACGTAAACCAACATGTAGGCGTTGTTTGTGCGGATAGCAGCTCGGCCTCCGGCCCCGTTCGTGCGCTGCTGACTGTCTCCGTAGTTCTCATCCAGGACTTCTTTGTCGGTGGCTCGGTTGACTCGGTCATCGTCGAAGCGGTACCACTGTCCATCCTTGGTGGGTTTGAGGAAGGCATAGTAATGTCCAGCATCAAGGTTGCCGCTATGGACGAGGACGCCATGCAATTGGTAAACCCAAGACTCCGACTTATCGGCGCTCTCGGAAAGATAAGGAGCCGCATCGAACTCCATGGGGAATGTGTGATAATCATTGACCTTGGCCATCATGTCGAGATTGAGGTCATATTCGAAGCGTTTGAGGTGAAGATGCAGAACGGGAGGGAAGCTCTCGAAGATGACACCCTTCTTGGCGTCTTGCAGACCGTAGGGTTGCCCGGCGTCATACTTGTTCTCACCCTCGAGCGTCTCAACCTGGATGTAATCCCTGAAACTGTCATCCAGGGACTTGTTGCCCCGGACATTAAGCTGAATATCCCAGAAGTCTTCCACGCGAGAAGACTCGTAATCGACATTGATGCAAGAGATGTATGTTTTTGTTTTTCCAACGAACAGCTCGGGCAGAACTTTTTCAGCAATGGTACCTTTCATTTTGTCTTCCAGTCGTTCCATAAGCTTTCGTGAAAGCTCCTGTACATCTTGCTGTTCAAAAATTTGGCTCGATTGCCAGCCAAAAGATGCCGTGAGCTCGGTGGTGGAAACCGCCGTCTCGTTTGTCTGCAAGTTATAAAACAATCTCTGGAGAGCCCACGCGCTGTTCTCACGCGAGGCCTCCTGCTCAGTTGGTATTTGGTATACGGCCTGGGAATTTCATTAGTATCAATGGTTGGGCTGGGGATAATTTTCTCCCGCACCTTGCGGAAAGCATTTGTGAAGTACAGCGACTGTAAAAGCGAATTCAAGTAGCATGTGGCGCCCTGATTCCTCAATCCCACCATGCCAGTTTCTTTCTTTGAGTCATAACTAGAAGAGTGTTAGCCACGCTCGGTCAAACTTTCCGGTGAGAACACACTTTTGGAAACTGTGCCACAAAACACCAGTAGGATCTTTCACTACACGGACGTAGGCGGTAACAACTGCCTCGTCGTCCTGCACCAAGGGGACAGATTTACCCTCCCACGCAATGCTGAACAGACTTTTCAGGTCAGCGAATCGAGTGAAACCCCAATCGCCTTCCTCCGCTGTGAAACGATGGGTCGCAACTAAATGCAACTTAGCATTCTGGCGCAATTTTCTAGAGCTCGGGGACTCTTACCATGATGTGTGTAAATGGTAGAATCATTCGCATTCGACAGCACCAACGCGAACTGTACACACGCATACCAATTCTCCGGTGGTTCGCCCTCCCACGCGTGTTCGAGGTAAAATGAAGCAAATTCTGTCTGATTGCCGTAGGGGAAGAAGAGGATGCGCCTGTTCTAGGGTCAGATCCAACGTCCGCACAGAGCTGATCCAAGCTAAGAGATTTCATGCACCCACCATGGGGAGCCACCACACTGAAAGATGGGACCATGGGACTTGCGCTCCATCTTTCGCCAATCGTTCAGGTGCCATGAGTTATAGCATTCGTCTAGGGTTTCAAGGTCCGGGATCAACGGGAGGACCTTTGCCATCATAGCCGCACCTGCATCCATCATGACTCTTTGTTAGCTACCGCTCGGTATAACCAAATGCAACAGGTGTATAATTCTCTCATGCTGTTGTCCGATGCTCCGAGATTCCAGCAAACATGTAAAGATTTACTTTCTCGCGTATGATTCAGGGAAGGAGAATGCAACACAGGACGTACCGTCATCTGCCCTCGGTGCAGCGTCGGGCTCGTCGGAGCCCGACCGGGAAACGACGACGACATCGGTCTTCTCGGCAGGATATTGATCGTAGTCATCGACAAGCATGTCGTTCTCCGCGGGCTGGTTGAAGCAGGGTTAGTCCAATGACGACACACTAGCGAGGGGCACGGTCGGGGAATCTCTCACGTTTTCCATCGCGGAAAGCGCCTTCCTGTCCCGGAAGGCGACAAATGTTGTATTTTAGAGGAATTTGTGAGGGAAAGGAAAGAATGCAGGGGAAGGGATATACTGTAGGGCTGGTGGTGGAGGAATTCTTCTGAACCCGCAGAATAATAAGGACCGGAGCTAGCGGTGGCGGAGCCTCGAGGGCTCGGCAGCGATTGTTGGTTGGATCTGGCAGTTGGTATGTTACTATGTTTGTGAGATTTGCTTTGGTTAAATGATTATTTTCGAAGTAGAAAAGCTTTCAAAGAGCTCTGGGTTTTGTCTTAGATTTCTTGTAAGACAGTAAGAGTCAAGCCTTGAAAACTGCTGAGATGACAGTGTGCATTAATATGATATCTAAGCGTGGACGCTCTCAAGCCCTATGGATCTGGACTCTTAGACTTCACATAAGGTAAATACCTAACTAGTCATACAGTGTTCAAGCTGAGATAGCTATATTGGCTGCTTTTTCCATTCTTCATTTCTATCAAATCTCAATCGAATATGCCCAGCCTTACTGTGTAGGTAGATGAACCCCTCCACTGCACGAGCTGATTCACTAGCTCCAAGTCCGTGCGGATGTACTTGTACATCAGATCCGAGGCAATGTCGGGCAGAATCTAATATAAATCGTATGATACCGACATTCCCTAGGGTAGATAGACATCTAATACATAGAGGTAAGAGTAGGAGACCCATATCAGATCCGAACAGCTCAAAATTGCAGCCAAAACGGTCTAACGCATATTGTGTGTCGGTGTCACATGCTTGACTCACCGCCCGTGACCCCAAGCTTTTGAGTTCTCGAGCACGCGCATACATGCTATATCGAGCATTCTCATGGTCTCTGTACTTAACAAGGAAGTGCGTGGAGCACAATGAGGTTGCAATATCCAGCTAGAAGCTGGAAGCTCCTCCAGACTCCCTCAAAACGTGGCTACTCTGGAGCTCACAGCCCGCCGCCATGGCGGCCGGTCTCTGCGATAGATGAGTACGAATGACTCATGTTCCTTGAAGGGCGAATATTGATGCTGACTTGGTTACTATGACAGATGGGCAGAGCGAGCGATTCGCCCTATTAGTCTTCGCCAGTTGACCTTCTTCGGTCGGACCCTGACTGAACCTCGACTCATCAGTTCCGCGAACTATGTGCGGACCGAGCTACCCACTCGGTGAGTCGAGGATATGTCTGCGAAAGAGAATGAACGATGACTGACTATGATGGCTCACAGACTTGCGCATCGTCTGCGAGACATCCAGCAGGTGCCCTATGTGGTAGTCGCCAACCCCCACCTCACTCTCGTATACGAGCTCTACTACAAGGCGTTCGAAAAGGTCCGAAAGGTTCCTGAAATCCGAACCCTTGAGGATAACGATCGGTTCTGTGAGATTCTAAAGGAAATGCTGAAAGAGCATCTGGTTGCAATCCCCAACTTGGCGATGGGGGTGCTGGAGTGTCGGAATCTTGCACCGGCAGATGAGATGGACCGGCTGATGAACACCCTTCTGCGAGCGGTATGTCATCAGGTCAATGTTTGTGCCTGCCTCCCAGCTAACAACTGTTCCTCCGACAGAGGATCTCTCGCCGAGTCATCGCAGAGCAGCATCTCGCACTGACAGAGACCTTCAACTCCCCATGGCACTTCCCTGACTCCCACGACCGGACCGACATGAATGCGGACTTTGTCGGGGAAGTATTCCTCAAGTGCAAGGCGAAGGAGGTAGTCGAGCGATGTGGCAAGGTCGCACAAGATCTCATGCGGAAAACATCCGGCTCGACCCAGATACCCGCCATCACCGTCCTGGGCCATGTGGATGCGACATTCCCTTATATCTTGAGCCATTTGGAATATATCATCGGAGAGCTCCTCCGCAACTCAGTGCAAGCAGTCATGGAGAAATACCAGGACTCGACCGAAGCCCCACCACCTATCGAGGTGCTTGTGTGCGAGACCCCACAACATGTCATCATGCGCATCTCTGATCAAGGAGGCGGTATTCCCCGAGAGATTCTCCCATATCTGTGGTCCTTCAGCAAAGGCCCCCGCACGCAGTCCCGGCTGGAGAATCTCGGACGGGTCCCTGCCATGGCGGCGACGATGCAAGAGTTGCAAGTGTCACACGAGCGCAAACACACTGACCGGGATTCATACCACGAAGGATCCCTGGACACATTGACGTCACGACCGCCCAACCTCCGCCTAGGAATGGGTCTCCCAATGAGTCGTGTGTATGCTGAATATTGGGCAGGTAGCTTAGAACTGCACAGTCTGGAAGGATATGGAGTGGATGCATTCCTGCAGATCTCAAAGCTTGGCAACAAGAATGAGCAGGTTACCACTCGGGCAGCGATTGATGCCGTGTAGAGAGTTCTGCGGGGAAATATTACAGGAAAAATATTCCCAGTACCCTCTTTGCAATGTACCTGCCGTCACAGATGTACTTGCCATTATACGCAGCACCTCAGTACACAAAGCACAGCCACATCTGTGGCATGTGGCAGTTGCGACCCACGGGATGATGTCATCGTGAGCTCTTTCCGCAAATCAGCTTTGTTGCTGCCTTTCAGCCCTACGGGATTTAATTGAAGTCGACCTGACGTCGTGGGCAAACATCAACACAATGAACTCAGTGGCGGAGGAAAACAACCCCATTTATATCTTCCTTGTCCTCTTCGGCATTTTCATCCTCAGCTTCTTGGCCACTACAGACCTCAAACAATATCGTCGTAGAGCCGACTCTCAATAACACCTCTACCTCATACCAACCACCGCAATCATGGCCGGCACTTGCTCGATGTTGTGCCTCATTATCGTCACCATATTCAGTAAGTATTCTATACCTGAACGTTGATCCCCACTTTTCAGATCGTCACGGATCCACTCCAGAACTATAGACTAACAACAACAGTCCCTCCTCTCGGTGTCTTTCTGCTCTCAGGCTGCGGAGTAGACTTCTGGATCAATGTCTTGCTCACAATTCTCGGGTGAGTAGCTCATTTACTATATATAGACTTGTCTCAGAATCCAAAACTAACAACAGCGTTTCCCAGGTACTTCCCCGGACATATCCACGCCTTCTATCTGGAATACATCTACTACGATCGACGTGACACCGATCCACTGACTCGTGCCTCTCAACGACCTGCACCGGGCGTCTACTCCAACCGGATCCAGACTGGAGGTCATCCTCACACACAAGCGGACCGTCATTACGGTACCTGAGCCTCCTCGATGACTATTGATTAGTGGACCACCGACTATCGGTGTACTCCGTGGCCTCAGCGAGCGTTTACATTTGCTGTATCAATACCGTCACTCCTTGTTCCTTCAGGTTATCTTCATATCTTTAAAACCAGACACGAAGAAAAGGATAATACCATCTCCCTGGGCCAAATGCTCTCATATATCATTTAAATGTAAGAGCCGGGGGTAATTTCAACAATAGCCCTAGAGTAAACCCAAAATAAACAAAATCCCAAATCCCAAACTCGATTGAATAGACTATGCACTCGCCTTCGTCTCCTTCCTCTCCTCAGCAGCAGCCTTCTTATTCCCCTTCAACTCGGGAAAATCAAAAGCCACACTCGTACCAATCTCCCCCATAGTCCTCGGCACCGCCCCAGTCCCAGGCGCCCAAAGCAGCGCTCCAACCCACGGCTGCACATTCCACCCAACACTCAACGTAACATTCCCGCGTTCCGCAAGCCGCCCAGTAATATCACTAATCTGATACTTCCCCTTCTGACCCCTCAGCCTCAACACACCAGGCACAGCCTCCGCCTTCTTACTCTTGCCGGCCTTCACAGTCTTAGCGGTCCGCTTCGCATTCCGTCTCGCAGCAGCCGCAGCCGAAGGCAAAACCGACGAAGGCACAAGCGCATGGACACGGTCCCGCAGGACCTCCCAGGAATACGGCGACGGTGTGGCCGGGATGATGGTGTCCCAGATAATGGCCTCTGAGGCGCGCACTTGGGAATCGGGCTTATCGGATGAGGAGTATGTTGCGTAGACGTAGACGAAGAGCTGTTTTGTGTTCCAGTTGAAGAGCGGGCTTAGGTCTGCGTCTAGGTCGAAGCGGAATTGGGCGTATTCTTCGCGTTTGGTCGAGTAGTAGTGTGGTCGGCCTTTTACGCTGTATTGGAAAATAAAAGACGCGGTTAGTGGATTTTTGTTTTCTTCGAGTGGTTTTGCTTGGGTGGTTTTCGAGTTCGTGGAAATTGGAATGAACTTACACCTGTACGTTCTTCAGCTGTACAGAGGCATTGGTCTCGTCTGTTGGGAAGAGGAGGACGGAAAGGGCAGCTAGTGAACTGACTACTAGTGCGACAGTCGTGAAGAAGCCGAAGACGGCCTGGATGCGGGTTAGGGAGGAATGCATTTTGGGGTTTGGGGGTGGTGAAGATGAAGCCAGCTGGGCCTGTTTGGATGTTTGGGGGCCTTATCGATAAGCGGCATCTATGAGATCCCGGGGTTCTCATCCATTCCCCTTCGACTTGAGAGAGCTCTGTGGTCTGATTTGTTCAGTTTTCACTCTTGATACTGCTTATACAGAGCTCGTACAGCTATATGCTATACCCTAATTACTCAATTTCTTCCTGCCGATCATTCCTCACCCGCCGACTCGACATACACCAGTGACCACCCACAAGTTACAACCCCACATACATAGCACAATGGGCGATCACGTCCTCTTCTTTTACGGTACCTCCCTCATCCAAGTACACATAGCTACATCCATACCCGACCTAACAATCTCAAGGAACCCTAATGTCCCCCCAAATCCTCCACCGAGTAATCCACGGCCGCGCCGATCCAGAACCCTGGCAAAAAGCAACCCTCCACATCCAACCCGCCATATTACACGGGTACCGACGACACCGCGTGCGGAACGCAGACTATCCCGGCATAACACCCATCGCAGAGACGACAAGCGGGACCGAGAATAGCCTGGCGACATCAGTTGTAGGGACCCTCGTCTCGGGACTGACAGATGGCGATGTTCACCGACTTGATATGTTCGAGGGTGATCAGTATGAGAGGATGGCGGTGGTTGTGCGTACGCTGCATAGATCACAGGGGAAAGATGACAGTCATACTGCTTCAGAGAGCGGGCTGCGAGATGTGCTGGATGCGGTAGGGGAGGCGGCGGGTGAAGGGGAAGAGGTTGAGGCTGTGACTTATGTTTGGACTGCTGAGGAGGATTTGCTTGAGGATGCGGAATGGGATCTTGAGTCGTTTAAGAGGGATAAGATGGCGTGGTGGGTTGAGGCGGATGAGAGTCAGTGGTAGTAGGGTTCTGGTTAGTATTGGGCTTGTAGTAACTATAGGTTGCCATTAGAGTAGACATGTAAACCTATGAATTATGTTACAATGGAAGACTGTCTGGGAAATAAGTGCAATTGCAGTGCGATGTGGATGATGATGTCTTATGCTATGAGTGTAATCGCGAAGGTAATGGAAGAAATAGAGCCATCCTTGTCTCAAAACGCCAGCACTCATGTCTACGCTGGACATGTGCCACACGGTCTAAACGCTAAAAACAGACGAACATATCGAGTTCCATGACATAAATAAGCAGCAATGGCCCCGGTCCAGCCAGGACTATATTCGTATGTCAGATGTATTCTTGAAGAGACGAAAGCAAAAACACCCAGGTCCATCACTCGATGGAACAGATTCAGGGAGATGCGTCGGGAGGTTGGGTGAGGTGAATATGAAGGCGGAATGAAGTCAATGTGAGGTGGGTGTGAAAGAAAGCTGTCGCTTTCATTTCCTGACGGGTGAGGTGCGTCTGCTACTTGACTTAGCCTTCTTCGTAGGCTTCTTCGAAGCATCCGGCTCAGGCTCAGACTCAGGCACCACATCCGTGTCGGCAGGCTTCTTCTGGGAAGGGAGCGGGGGACCAAGCAGGAATGAGATAGGCTGCTTATTTACCAAAGCCGGACCGTCCGCCTGCTCCTGTTCCTCGTAAAGCTGATCGAGGAACTTGCCGAAGCGGGAACGCAGTAGACCAGAGCCAAGTGGAGGCCAGTCGTCAGTGGCATTCATGGTCCGCTGTAGCACCTTCGCGATGAAGTAATCGGGGCTTTGGACGAACCTCTCCACGTAAGTCAGCAGATAGAGCCCGCAGTCACAATAGTTCGGTTGGAGGGGGATGTCGCGAGCTCGCATGCCCTTGATTTCGGATGGGTCGAGTTCCACACCGCGTTTAGACGCTGCTTCGCGGCAGATGTAGTCGCGCAGCAACTTGATGGTGGGGGATCGGGGTGCGTCGAGGGAGTCAAATGTGACAATCGTGGTTTGGTTGGGATCCAACCTCAGTCCTGCCCTTTTCTTGAAGTATGTGTGCTTCTGTAGCTCAGCTGCCCCTTCTTGGACGAGCTTCTGAGCTGCAGCTTTGGGGATGTTGGTTGGGAGGAATGGGTATTCGCTCTCTTCTGATGTCTGGACAGGGGGAGACTGCTCTTTGGAGGGTTTCGTATCTTTGGCCGCATGTCCAGTCTCCGTGGTCGACCCGGAAGCAATGTTCTCGCTCTCAGCCTCCTTGCTAGCTTGATCGGCGCTCTTTTGCGGCTTTGTGTCAGATGAACTTGCAGACTCTGATTCGGGCTCAGGGGTCTCCTGGATTTGATGGACTTCATTTTCTGATACGTTTTCAGATAAATTGGATGTGCTTTTCTGCGGAGTGGGTGGTTGAACGTGCTCCTTGCGATCGGCAGAGTCAAGAGACAAAGTCGGCAAGTTGCAAATGATGGCAACATACCAATGGGCATTCTCATTGATTGGAACAACGATGTAGTCGTAGCTGAAGAGATCAACATTGCGAGTCCACTTCTCAACACCGGTGTAGTTGATACCGCGATCACCCTTGGGGGTGTTTGTAAGGGTTGCGAAGAAGTAAGAGTTGAAAAAGTAGACACGTTTCGCGGCCTCCGGGTTGGTGCGTTCAAGATGATCCTGGAGGAATCGCATGTAGAACGCAATGAGGTTATCATTCAAGAAATCATCTGTACGTAACCGATCACGATCCTCAAGGTTGACCTCGGCCTTCTTCTTGCCAGTCCGAGGATATACCAAGGGCTTCTTCCAGATTTCCCTGAAAGAATCATCACCAAAGAGTGGCCTTTCTTCCGGTCCGGAATCTTTATTGGAACTGTCGGCTTGCTTTGTGACACGACGGGTAGAAGACCGGGTCTCACGGTCAGACAGCATGCTGGAATACCCCAAGGGCTTGACCGGAATATCGGGCACAGTGTCTGTTTCATTACGGATTGGGCCATTTACTCGCTCCTTGGCAGGCTTTCGAGATGTGACGTCGCCACCCACAAGCTTTCCCTTGTCTTTGGCAATGCGCTTGGTCTGAAGGGAGCCATTTCCGAGTCCACCATGGTCGTCTCTTAGCGAGTCGGAGAGTTTAGGCCGTCGTGCCGGGGGAGAATCCTGTAAACCGGGGTCCTCCGCGTCTTCATCAAGGTGCCGTTTCTTGGGCATCGTTGTCACCCGGCAGAACTGAGTTGCGTATTTCACGAAGGCCCTATCCATCCATTTCCTGTAACATGTTAGTAAATATGGGACTGAATCTCAGGCACACTTCGGATGCATACCTGTCTTTGCTGATGATTTCAGGGTTGGCTTCTTCGCTCAACATTTTCCCAAACTTCCGCTTTTCCTCGGACCTCCAAAACTCAAGATCGAGTTGATCGCCCGCTTCGACAGAGCCTGGTACCAGTTCAATCCTAACTTTCCGACTTGGTGACTGTCCCATAATAACCTTGCTGAACTTCTCAAAAGGTATCGATAACTGATCGTTATGGTCAAGCACATCCCCACGAAGTTCAAGACCATCGTTGTTGGAATAGATGGGAACTGTCTCTTTAATCACACAAGTCTTGTGGAGTGAACCAATTTGGAAAGAATACAAGGAGAACCTCTTCTCGAAGCTCCTGTGAGAGGTCTTGGCTTTCTTGGTCCCTTGAGATGGCGAAGAGAAGTCTGTGGGTCGAATATCGCTTGGTGATCGTTTGCGAGTGGATACCTCAATATGAACTTCAGGTATGCTTTGGCGGGTGGTTCGGGGGCCCTTTCCAGCCAAGGATTTTGGTACTGGGTGAGTAGTGGTGTCGCCTTGGAGTTCATCGGGGCTTTCTCTCCCAGCGGTAGGACGGCGAATTGTGTCTGAAGGAGCTGCAATGGGCTTCTTAACAGACTTCTTTACTCCGATCTCAATATTGCCTGGGGGTTCGGCACGTTGAGTTGGCTTGCTATTGGCATGAGACAGCCGACTATCCGCGGCTTTGGCCATTCTGCGCCGCTGTTGCGCTGCGTTCTCGGTGAACCTTTCGTCGCGGAGATCGCCGGAGAAAAATAGGTCGTGTTGAGAAAGCGGATATCGCGCGATGTGTACGTCATTTACCACTTCCTTGGGCTCGGGATGGTGGGTACGACGGGATCCCTTCTGATGAACACGGCCCAGGGCTGGATCTGTCGGGGCAGTAAGATCAATGGTCTCACTGGTCTCACTCTGGCGCCGTCTCTTGCTAGGCCGGCTAGACTCTTCAAAAGAGTCCTCTAACTCAAGAGGGTTCCGCCTTATCGATGTAGGTGATATTTTTGGTTCTCCGTGGGCACGGACCGGACCACTACTTCGGGAGTTTTGCGAGAGCTTGTCTCTCGGGGAAAAAGCGAAGGAAGACTGAGGCTGAGTATTAGAAAGAAGACCACAGTCATGAATATAAAGGCTCAGGCTCACCCCAGGCTTCTTGTTTCTGGATTGGAACGTCGCCCCAGGCTTTATCTTGACAGCCTGGGAGTCACTATCAGACAATCAAGCAAACACAGATCAGCACAAATGTCTCTAACCACACAGCAGTTGGATGAGAAAACATACTGATATCTAGCTCCTAACAAACGAGCTTCATCTCGGCGATCCCGAGAGCCGTTTCGCTGGTCCTTGTCCAACATCTGCGACGAATCGCCCAGCCTGGAAGTGGAGGGGTACATCAGTGCGTGTCCACGGGTATGAAAAGGCCGAGGGGGAATGCCTGACTGGGCGAATGGTCCTAAAATAGGGTTCGGGAAACGCGGGTGCAGTCGTGAACCTGCAGTCGTGGGTCCAGTTGGCGATGGAAATGTATCGACATAACTACCAGGAAGCTAATACGAATCAGTCTCAAGAAAAGTAGCTGCAGACAGTGTGTGATAAAAAAAGCAAGGAGTTCAGACAATATGTCTAAATTGTAGATACAGTGCCAGTTCGCGCGTGGAAGGACGTATAGAACAGCCAAAGCTACCATGAGCGTGACGCGGGAGATACGGGCAGATGCATACCTTGGGATGAGTAGTGGGATCAGCTCGCTGGGGGCTGATGGGTTCGAGTGGGTAGTTTGCGACAGTGTCCGATCCCAGGTTCAAGTGGTTGCGACTAGATCTGCGTGATCGGAGGGGAGGGGTTGAACGCGGAGGTTGTGCAGGTTGAACAGCAGAAGGTCGATCTTCGGACTGTTGGGAGCGTAGCGGCGAGAGGTTGACCAGGAATTCGGCTAGACTTTTGAACACGGGCATGGAGGCAGCCAAGAGGTGTTATTGATATGCATTGCTGGATTGTTCTTCAATTGAGAAAATCACCTATTGTCTATCTTTTTTTTTCCTTTCTCTCTCATCCTCGGGACCCAGCAAACTACGCCGCATCGTCATCTGGGCCCTAAGGCGGTCAGCATTGATTATCGCCTTAGGATCTAGGCATCTGTCTTTCAGTAACTAACAATGAATCCCATTCAGCGACATCTCAATCTCTCTATTTAATAAGTTGACTATGTCCCAAGGCCCCCTTAACGAATAAGTATTGTGCATGCCATTTGCATTCAGGCAGCCCGCAGCAATAGGTAGCCTCACAGCTCCATAGGACGAACGAGCCCTGTGACAGCCCTGTTTATCTAGGTCTTTGGCTTCGCATGATTCCCAGAGAGATGTTGTGTAGCATTTGCTGATCCCGTGTATGGTCCTCCTTGGAAGGAGGGCCTACATGCAGATGCCCATGTGGTGGAACCATCATATAAGAAGGGTATTGCAGGACGCGGGGCTCTACTTCAGTGAACTAAGCCACACAGACCTGACAATAACAGACAATACTCTCGAGCGAGAAACCATTAACAGCTGATGCTGCATTCATGTTGCATATATGAAGGAAAACATCACGCATGAGCCCGGTAGACACAAAAAGAAGACATAGCACAGATGAGTTCACTCAAGACATAAACCAAATCAAACCGCTGAGTTCGCCTCGATGCCCCACCCCCCTAAGACCAAAACGCGTCCCAATGATTCGTGAATGAAGTTTTTTTTTCGGGTTTACTATACAGGGCCCAAAGCCAGGCTGACATGTTAGATCCGTTTATAGGGCCACGTTCACTTTGGCTTTGTCCGAGTCGTCTTGGTTTGTACGCCGCCGATCTTGGTGATTTGTACCGGGTACGGCTTTCTCATGGCGAGCCTGGTCAATAGCAGAGCGCTGTGCGATACTGTCGTCGTGGCTCTTCCAAATGATGTTGGTGTCTGCCGGGAATGCTAGAAGACGCTTGATCGTTTCTCTGCAGCCAAGTTAGAGAGATTGCATTTGTGGTAAGGCCGTGGAATTGAAGACATACCTGATCTTGATGTTACGCCCCCCGTCGATCCTCGTCCAGACACTCAGAACATCCTCGCCACCTCGGACGCTCAGCACAGCACCGCAGACCTCGTCTCCAGCCTCTGCAAACTGATCCCCAACCATAGCCAGGAGGAGGTCCTCCCAGTATCGATCGGACACGCCCTTCTTGAAACGTACGATCCACTTACCACCCCGCTTGTTCGCTTCATCTTCCCAGACAGGGCGAATGCCCTTCTTGAAGATGTGGTAGTCGGAAACTGTAGGAAGAAGGGAAGGGCGCTTCAGGTGAGAGTACACCGCCCAGAAGCTCTCTACGGAGTTTATCGAAGCGAGCGGCACGGTGGACTTCTCGTAGTCGGAGTATTTGGGTGTCGGAGGGCGGTACCAGACAATCCACGTAGACTTCAACGGGTGCTCACCGGGAGCAGAGACGGTAGGGCTATCAAAAGCCTTCCGTGTGGCCTCGTCATGGTCCACGGGTACCTCCCGTCCGGGTGTTTTCAACTCGGTGCCACCGGGTGTCTTTGGCGCCCCGAACGAGGCGAATGCGCCAGACCCCAGACCGAAAGCAGAGGAGGCATTGGTGGATGGAGAGGCTACACCGCCGGATAATGGTGATATTGCGTTAAATGGATTCGAGCGGCCATGCGAGCTGTCAGGTCCGAACCGCTTCGATGGGCGGGGCAGTTCAACACGGGCGCCACCTTCTTTGGCATCCCCAGACGTTGACAGGGACAACTTGGAAGAGCTATTACGCAAAGATTGTAAGTTGCAATGGTCTGGGGGTTGGAGGAGGGGTACATGACGAACTTTGTCCGGCGGGTCCACAAGTTTGCATTATCCATCGCGGCGGGTGAGAAGACTGCCCGAGACACTCCCGGTCATCAGGGGGAAAGTAAAGGAACCGAAAGAAGCGTTACACAAAGGGAAGAGTCGCCAGCGTTGTTTATCTTAGTGACGTAGTGATAGTGACAAAGAGATGGGAAATTCTGGCAAAGGCGAAGAGGGTTGACGGGGAGATTCTGGTGAACAAATAATAGAAGTAGGTCGTGAGTATAGTCGGGGAATATGAGGAGGACAAGTCTAGTAGATTGAAAAGGAATATAGTGAGAGCAAAAGTAATCGATAGAGGGGGGGGGGGGGAATCTGAGAGTGAGGGAAAAGTGGTCGATGAATCGGAGACTCGACCTTGACTGCCAGTTGAAGGAGCAGCTTCCTAACCAATCAGCGAGGCTTTCGCCTGCAGCTCGCACCGACTTTTTTCCATTTTTCCCTTTTTCTTTCGATTCGTTTTTTTCTTCTTTTTCTTTTTCTTTTCTTTCTTTACAGCAAGACCACCTACTCAAATCAATGCTGGCGTCTCATCCTTTTACAGCACTAGCATTTCCGAAGCGTGTGTCGAGATTGAATTTATCGCATCTAAAACCATCATCACGAGGGCTTACGAGCAACCCATGAAACGTTGATGACCTGATTGACGACACATCCCATTGTTTATTTCTCCATATTTGTTTTATTTTCTTAGTCTAGGGTACGTTATAGCAATCCAATCTCTACACTTTCATGTCAATGAAGAAACTCTTTTGAGCTCTCTGGTAAACCTAGGTCTCAACCGCCCGTACTACTTTGGGCCTTTGGGCTTACGGGCTGGTTGAGCATGCGGTCAACAGGCAAAGTCTGAGCCTTTGAATGTGCTAGAATTGTGCTATCTCTTTTGATTACAAGTGACTAATAACTTATTGTGCAGGTCAGTTATAGATTATCATCGGTTGTTTTCCTGTTCTATGCGCACTTCATAGTCCTGCAAGGTGGCTTTATCTAGGGCATTGAAAGATGATTTTGATTTTGGAAATTTCCCTGATCAATAACTAGGTAGGCAATATATGACAAGAAATAAGCCCGGAATAGTTTGAATGCCTAGCTAGGGTAGTGGTTCGTAAGAGTAAATGCAAGCCATTCCACCGACCATGTAGTATGCCATAACGCAGCGATCAAGAAAAGAAATAGCCAACCATCTAACGCGCAGAGGTAAGATCACCGGAATCTGGCTTGACCCGCTTAGAATCCTGGTCACTGCTAGGCACCGAGGAATCAGCCTTACGCTTGTCTCGGTCCTTTTGGTTCTGGTACTCAGCGCGCCGAGATTTGCGAAGTGCCTTAGATTCAAACTCATGCCAGTCCCCTTCGACGTGCTCCAATCTGGCGGAAAAGGTTAGCAGCTATAATCAGTTGCCGTGCAAGAAATTGGGATACGTACTCAATCGGTGGTTGAGGAGCTGGTTCCTCCGATACGAAGTAGGGATGCTTGAGAACGTCCTCAGCACTCGGGCGCTGAGAGGGATCATAACGGAAGATGGACGAAATAAGATCCATCGCGCCAGCTGTCAGCACATCACGATACATGTCCTCAAAGACACGCTTCTTTCTTTCCGTCGGTCGCATGAGGTGGAACCAAGGCATCTCCACAAGGTCGGGCCACTCGGTCTTAGTGGGAGTACCCAGAGCGTTGTATAATTTGTCCATCTGGCTCAACTCGCCGCCTTCGCCAGGGAAGACAGCCTTCTTGGTGAACATCTCCATGCAAACGCATGCGGCGCTCCACACATCGACAGCAGGGCCATAGCGAGTCTCACCCAGGAGAAGTTCCGGAGGTCGATACCATATAGTGATGACTCGATTGGTATAGTCAAGCTGTCGGCTCTTGGAGAAGAATCGGGCCAAGCCGAAGTCTGCAAATTTCAGCAATCCTCGGTTGCTGATCAATATGTTGGCTGCTTTGATATCGCGGTGAAGGACACCCCGATGGTGAAGGTAATTAAGACCTTCGAACATCTGCTTCGCCAGATCTTTCATGTGGGAGAGAGTGAGAGAGAAGGTGGGATGATTGATCAGGCCGGTCAGATCATGGGAGAGATACTCGAAGACCATGAAACATTCGTTCTTTTCGACCATGACCTCGAGGAGGCTAACGACGTTATGGTTCCGAAGATGCTGAAGCAGCTTTATCTCCCGCACCGCCGTGACAGGGAAACCATCCTTCTCCCCTTCCATTCGGATCTTCTTGAGAGCAACCTTGCGCTGGGTATAGACATGAATTCCTTTGAAAACTTTGCCATAGGTCCCAGCGCCGATCACAGACTCATTGCCCGGCTTTCGGAAGTACACAGATTCAGCATTAGCAAACTCCTCTGGAAGCGTGGGCCGAGGTTTGGGACGAGTGAGGATCCGTTTCTGCGTAGGAGGAGGACTTTCTCTTGGCGGTTCTGGCGTTGGATCATGGCGGCGATCCTGCCAGTCTTGGGCCCTGTCTGAGGGTCGTTCGCCTTGTCTACGGTCACGCCGTTGATCGAACCGGCGATCATCCCTTCGGTCCCGTGGGAACTCCCGTGGCCCCCGAAATTCTTGAGACTCCCGGAAATCTCTACGGTCTCGATCCCGGTTCCGTCCCCGGTCCCGGTCACGGCGATCAGCTCGTGATTCTGGTTTGAATGTCGGCAAGGGTTCATTGGTGAAGCGGTTGCGGGGATTAGGGCTTGACCCGGGAGCGCGAGGAGCTGGCTCGCGGACCTGCATCCGCTGGGCAAGATCGGGTACCGGCTTCGGAGCTGGAGATGGCGCGGCCTTTGACTTGAAAGCAAAGCTGAATTTCCCACCTTTGTTTGCAGGCGTGGTTTCATTTCTTTCGCGGGTCGGGGCGGGCATGGACTGATCTTCGTTATTCGATTGGGGTTGTGCGTGGTGCTCATTTCCCTGGAAATCCCTGCTAGGCGGCCTTGAATATTCCTTATCGTCGCCGGTTCGAGGTGAATGTGGGTCATTGTGAGACTGTGGGCGATTGGGAGTTTGAGACTGTTGATTATGTGCCGAGCGAGGGCTATTTTGCCCACCACGACCTCTTGACCCTGATGCAGTCCATTGCAAATTGTTGAAATGTCCTCTCGCATTGCGTTGTGAGGGCCCGTTGTGATATGGCTGAGAGGCCGAACCGGAAAATCGCTGATCGGGACCCTGGTTCGAAAAGTTTCCTCGATGACCGCCACCAGAGTGACCACCCCGGTGAGGAGGCCCGGAATGTGGAGGAGGATTGCCTGGATCGTTGAAATGGCTTTGATTGTGATGATAGTTTCCGTTGTGTGATTGGTAATTATCCTGCCGGTAAGGAGAATGTTGGCTTTAACGAACGTTAGCGCGATTTCAAAAGTAAAATGTAGATGAGAGCATATGAACTTACCCAGGTCCAGAATGTGAAGGGGCAGCGGGCCAACCATCTCGCTCAGCGGAGTAAGGTGAGGACGGCTGCGGCGAACCGTGGTATGAGCCGGCTGTCATTTCGTGGTGAGGGGAGGTTTCATGGGATCCGGTATCAAGTTGTGGCCGAGAAGGCCGACGGCGTCGCTGATTGTTCACGTCAGAGCGTATTCCATGCATAGGGATGGCATCCCGCACGTTATCTGAGCGATTCCCCGGGGCACCAAGGATATCAGAGCCAAAGCTCGGGATAGGGCGCGGTGGGGTTGGAGACCGAGCATTAGCATCAACGACTGATTGGATTGGTCGAGACATATTCATCTCCGAATCACGCCTCGACCTGCGAGGAGATGTCGAATATCTCGAGTTTGCAGACCGCACAGAGTGCCTCGAATTTGACCGATAGTGAGATCCACGGTCGCTGTAATTGTCACCACTGCGGCTACGAGACCGCCGATCGGGCGAGGGATGAAATCCTCTCTCTTGACCCGGTGATATAGATCTTCCTGTGCGCGGGATGTCTGGACGGCGACGGTCCTTACCGCGTCGGTCTCGGCCGCGGCGAGGTGATCGTCGTCTCGGAGCGCCACGACCCTGCGTGCGGCCACCTCGCTTCTTGAATGAAGGGCTTCGATCCCGTCCTTCGACGTATTTGGGATAATTCGAACGCGGGGGAGGAGGGGGCCCCGGCGGCCATACGTGGAGGGACTTCGGGTCCTTTGTCGTTTCGATGGGGGACCACTTGGTGACTCGTCTCTTCGAGGCCCGGGAACTTCTCTATCAAAAGGTCCGGCACGGGCATTCCAGTCGCCGGCTGCAGACACCGGTATATTTGAGTCTCGCCGACGGCCATTATGAAGGCCAGGGGGTCCAGGAGAGCCTCGAGGAGGAGACCGACTAGGAGCCAAATCACCTAAGTCATGAGAGAAGTCAGGGCCAAAGCGGGACGCGCGTGGTGGCGACCGGCCGGGGCGATCATAATTGCGATTATTGGGCCTGTAGGGACGGCCACGATCACGACCTCTGCTTCTTCCTCCTCTATCACGGCCTGGTCCTCGACCCCTGCGTCTCTCCCTCTCCCGGGGATCACGGTCTGGGTCAGCACTCCACTGATCTCTCAAGATCGGACTCCGACGCGATCCAGCCATGTGAACTTCGCCAACGGCATCTGAGTCAATGGGGAAATCAGAGAACGTCGACCGGGTCACTTCTTGGAAGGAGACCTGACTTGGTGATGATGGTTGATGGGCGCAGTCAGTAATGGCGCCCAAGCGTGTCCGCGATCGCAGGCGGAAGTCTTTCGGGTTTGGGGTGACTCGGAACCTAAGTTTTTCCGGATCTGAAGCACACCCGCTATCAGTCACTGGTGAACAAGGACGGATGTTGTAAACAAGGGGAAGGATGAATGGGGCATACGCACCGATTAAAATTTAGTTAATACATCGTCTCACTCTTCCAGGCAAACAAGGAGACTACTTGGTTGTGAAAGATGAGCTTGTTCGCAGTGGGCCCATTTATAACACCTCGGGGTTGCTCACTGGTCCACGAGCGGCTCTACAACTTGATTCGATGCTGGAAGGTTGGAATGCAGCTATCGAAGACAAGTGCACCCGTCTATACTTCAGCTTCTCTCAACCTGACCTTTTTGACAACTGCGCCGAATCTTGGGTGATCAGCAGGTGATCATCTCGTGATCATCTCATCGGATGATGCCCAGATGTTGCAGAAGCAATATGCTAGCCTGGCTGCTGGCATACACATCCAATTGCCTCCCTGTGCTCGCCTGTCCTGCACTTTGGCACCTTTTGGCAGATATTGACAAAGTCGCTCTGAGAGTGTGTTGACTTGTCCAGCGAATAGAACTATCTACGTATTGCACAAGACCAGATGGGCCTACGCCCATGAAGCATCATGGTGAACAGGGTAAATCCACGGCGGATCATCAGGCCAGGCCATCGTATCAATGTTGCGTTTTCTTCCCACTCCATCCCGGACATCATGTAGCTGTTGGTCATTTCGAATATTGTGCTGGTTCAGGCCGCCATAATTCTCTGTTGACAACAGCTTCGAGGTCCAATGTCACATCCGGCCGATGGGGTTTTCCGAGGATTCGTAGTTTGCAGATCGGCCAACAGCCAGATTCCCAGTCGTCACACACCAACCAAATGGGTACGTGCTGGTGTGACCGTCGTCGTGATTTACAACAGATAGACTGGTGATTGACTATCTGGGGGCAAATACCGCCATGATGTGAAAGAAACACGGGCAAAAACCCTGCACTCAAGATCGCTCTAAGCCGACTCCATCGAGAACTGTGTCTTCAGAGTCCGGCAAACAGAAGGTTCGAGTTCATGTTGGCAGTGTCCAGGGTTTCCAGGCCGGTTAGCCAAACAGAGAAGGCAGGCAACAATGTACCAAATGAGAAATCAAAGTACGATATGGCCAAGGCATCAAGGAACGCAAAAGCAGTGCTAGTTCCACCCCATGTCAAGTAGAGTGCGCAAACTCCCAAAGCCTCAATGCGACTTGTCGGCGAAGTGCTAGAGACTAGGCCCTGCCCTCAGGGAATCCAATCACTCATAATATTTATCGCAATTCCAGGATCAGAATCTGATACCTTGTAGTCTAATAGCAAGCAACTCCTCGTGCTGTGCTGTGGGTCTGGATGTGGGTGGAGGGGAACCATGGCCTTGGTCTGAAAGTTAGGCCGAGATCAAGCGGGATGGGCTGGAACGCGATCATCCGGTCATTCTGACCCGGAACATTTCATATGAGAATCAAGAAGTTTTGATTTACCAGAACCGGCATCTCTTAGTCGTCGTCCACAGGAGCGTGCGCACCGCGTAGAATAGGCGGGGAATTAAGATGTAGGGGAGTAGGTTGATGTCATGGGCAGGTCGAACCGTCGAAGTTCCAAGTTACCGGAAGTTCGGAACTGAGCGTGGGGTCACATGCGGTCATGTGATGTTGTAGTAGTTAGTAGTTACAACTTACACTGACAGGCCACATCCATTCGACACCTCCTACATTTTGTAGAGTCAAGACAGAAAGAAGGGTGGTAATCACACATATTCATTCGATACACTATGTACTACAGTACTCTAACAACTTCACCAATAAAGGTCGATAAAGCTCTCACCTTGCAAGTTGCAATCCCGGGACGCCCACGAAGTAAGCGTCGTTGCAAGTGAATACTCATACCCATACTCATACATCAATGGTTGCAAGTGAGTACTCATACATAAATATCCCCGGATCTTTAGATAAGCCCATCGTCCGTTCCATCAATGACGAAACGCTGTCTGGGCTGATCTTCATCGTCCTGTGCCCAAACGAATGTAACAGGCAATCCGCCGCTGGTCTCCGAAGTCTCGCCAGGAGAGGCGTTAGCGCTCGCACCTCCCTCTGCTGATGCAAGCGAGGGGCTGGGAGCCAGAGCCCCATCTGGTATGGGAGAGGGAATCGGATTCGGAATATCTTCTGAACCCTGTGATTCGATGGAGGACGTCTCCACCCCGAGATCGTCCTGAGAACTGGCTTCCCGAGAACTGGCTTCCCGAGAACTGGCTTCCTGCGAACCGGCTTCCTGCGAACCGGCTTCCTGTGAACTGATCGAGTCAGCATCAGTGCGATTGAGCACGATGAACGATGCGTTTCGTTCTCGCGACTGAAGGTGAAGTCTAGCAGTCTCCCTGTTTTCATGCGCACCGCTTTCTGGTGGTGAGTCCTGCATAGCAGGCGAATCTGGTTCTCCGGTGGCATGCAGCCTAAGAGGTTGCAAGAGGGCTATCAGACGAGGATCAGGGGCGTAGTCTGCCGAAAGACTCTGCGCAACATGCTGGCTCGGATTCTCTGATCCTACTATCGGCACAGAAGGCGAAGCCAGAGTAACTTCATCTGATCTTGAAGCTGGATCCAGAGCAGCCGGCAAGTCAGAAGTAACAACAGAGCCTGGAGCATTATCCGAACCTGAAGTCGACACATTGGAGGCACCCTGTGACTCTCGGGCAGGAGCATAGTCTGAAGCAGCCGGTTGGCTGGAAGTGCTACTGGGACCCGGTCCATGGTCCGAACCAGCAGTCGGCAGATTAGAAGCATCCTGCGGGCCTTCAGCAGGAGCAAAATCTCTAGCAGTATCCAAGCCTGTAATCGTCAGGTCGGGATCATCAAGCGGGTTTTCGGTAGGAGAGCCTGGGACAGCCAGGTGATCAGAATCAGGGGAGCTTGGAGCAACCAGAGAGTCATCTGAATCCGACCCCGAGAAATCTGACTCCGAGATAGGAGCAGATATAAGTCCGGATGACGTGGGGGATGAACCAGGATCCGGAGAGTCTGGATCGGACTCTTGACCGAAAGCATGGGGACCTGGAGTGACCAGAAGGTTGGATCGAACTGCCTCCGAGACAGAAGCAGAGCCGATACTAGGCGGCACAGGGTCACCAGTCGCGCCAGGAGCGGGCGGCGCGGGGCCTAAGTTCTGCGAAGACGCAGAAGGCTGAGTGGATGCGTGAGAGGAGTCCCGAGTGATGGGCCTTATCCAAGGGAAACCAGGTAGAGGAGGCATGGTACCCCGGAATTGGGCCGTCCTCATTTGGATGATGTGGCCCCCCCTCAGCGTCGAAAATGGACCGAGGAGGTCTACGGTGGCTGGCGGGGGGCCTGTGGGCAGTTCCCATGGGCCGAAGCATTGTTTCAGGAATGCCAGCTAGCCGCTGCTGTCGGATGAGCCATGCTTGAAGCATGCCCCGTGGACTGTAGGGAATTCCACGCCCAGGGAATGGATCAGGCGCGGAAGGCCTCGGAGGATCACTGAATGGGTTTGAGGCCTCCGTGGGTGTGGCTGAGGAGCTTTGTGCGCCTGAGACTGCAGACGCTGCCGGTCCTGGAACAACGGAAGGATCCTGCGGGCCTGGGAAAGGCCTGAGCGGGTTCAGACCTAAGGTCGTTCGCATAGTGGGATTAAGCAGAGTGCCGGGGGAAGACCTGTGCGGGTTGATGCGAAGGTAACTTTCGGGTGGACGGGCGTAATAAGACAGTGGGAAAGGTTCAACAGCTCCTGTCTCATAGTCCACATGTGGTCTCGCAGAGGATCTAGCTACTGTATCTTGAGTGCGACTTGACGATTGTTCGCCCGTCGAGGCTGGCTGTGGCCCCTGTTCGGGCTGAGCCAACGGGCTGTTAGGTCGCTCACCCGCAGAGGGGGAGTCACTGATCCTTTGTGCAGTATCTTGCCGGGCCTCGGTCCTTCGCCAAGCGCCCCCTAGCATGAACCCGTGTATCTGAGGCTCAGATGTTCCTTCTGGGCGCCTAGGCTCTTGGGCACCGGTGTTGCCGACTTGGGTAGGGGAGTCAGCAACCTCGTCTTGGGCAGAAGCATCTGACACCTCATGAGAGGGAAGGGCCTCGGCGTGGTCCTTCATTCTGTTCGGTAGCGATTGGCCTTTACTGGTTCAAAAGCTTTTGATGCCATACCAGGTCAGCCAGTCTCGCTTTTGACATGAGCAAACACATTCGACATACCTTGAATGTAGTCTGGCTAGAGTCTCAATCCAGGATATTGGATCGAAAGGACACAGGCTAGAATGCTGGTTGCTCTTTTTTTGGTTCTTTTGCTTTGATTTGCTTTATCCTTTTTTTTAAATGTTTTTGTTCTGCCAACCGAACGAGTTAGTGACACCTTCATTAGGACGAGAACAAACACACAAGTCAGATCATAGATGAAAAGGTCATGGGCTCAAACAATGAAGAGGCAATGCACGTAGCCGCAGCAACAGTATCGACCTCTTAACGTGATGTATCCTGTAGTTCGATAGGGCTGTCAGTTTGGACTTACAGAAGTTCAATAGAGAAGAGAAGGTGTCGTTGATGTGACACGCAAAGCGTCCACACAGAGTCCCTAGGCACGTCACTTTACGGTTCAGATTCGCAATGAACCGCGAGCAGAGACGACTGATAGACCGCAGAGTGAGCGTAGATGTATCGGAGAAAAGCCAGCAGGCAAGAGATAGGAATGGCAGAGGCAGAAGAAGCAGATGAATGTAATGGGTAGACGGGAGAATGGAAGGCGAATGGAGAGGGAAGAGGAAGAGAGAGAGAGAAAAGGTTCCGAGGGAGAGATTTATTTATGGTAAATACGGACGTGTATGTGTCTGCCGTCGCCGTCGCCGTCGCCGTCGACAATACGTGTGTTGCGCTATCGCCTCAGTAACCTGTGTCGGGCATGTTGAGATAGGCCGTGATTGGCCGGCCGAGACCCGGATGACATCGTTGCCAATGCCATCGGACTTGAGGGCATCGCCGTGGGCAACACGAGTCATTGCATCGTGCAATAGGTGATGGGCCGGCTGAGGCGTCAACGCTGTCGTCGCCGACATAAGCGACCTCGACTCCCGTCTGGCAGGTGCTTCGATCAGGATGACCTCCCTAGCTTCTCTGGGGATCCATCAATACCAGATTTTTGCATTAAGTGAACTGTAGGTTAATACCGCAATGACAGAGCTTTGGACTTCGACTTGGGCGAGAACACGAGTATCAGGAAAGAAAGTGTACATTGGTTCTAATACGTAAATCGAACACGACAATTCCCATGTAATCCAATTGATATGTTCGTTAGCGGCATGGGATCAAGTGTTGAAACAGCCTTGCCGTTGCCATAGAGAGATTCATAGGCTGTACAGCGAAGGCCTCTTGAGAGGGTGTGTTAGTATTTTAGGGCGTAGGGGAAAGGGGACGATGGACGTTACTTCCTCTGGCCCGTCACGAGCCGAGGAAGCAGGCATCTGCATATCCGATAAAACAATCTTCCCAAGAAGGGAATTGCAACGACAAAGGAATGTGGCCAAATACTGAGACGAGTATTTGCCCAAGTATATGCAGAAGAATCGAAACAAGAGAAGAGAACAAGGGGAACACCGATCCACGCTGAACATGTAAAGTTAAAAGTCAAACCCATCCAAAACCTGTTGAAAGGTCGCCGCCAAAACTCCGAGAATCCGTAAATCAACACCCTTTCTTGGGTTTGGGCAGTTGAATATAATGTGTCACTATCGCCGGTTCAACAGAGTCAAGAACTCTTCACGAGTCTTGGCACTGGACCGCATGCATCCCAGCATACAACTGGTGGTCGTCGTGCTGTTAACCTTTTGCACACCGCGCATGACCATGCAGAGGTGGGAAGATTCCATGACGACAGCGACGCCGCGAGGCTTGAGAACCTCGGAAATCGCTAGCGCAACTTGCTTGGTTAAACGCTCCTGGACCTGGAGTCTGCGGGAGAACATCTCTGCGAGGCGAGCCAATTTTGACAGGCCGAGAACACGACGGTCAGGGATATATCCGATGTGCATCTATAGGTGGTTAGATTAAATGTCGTCATACCAAATGAACATGTGTGACAAATCTTACCTTTCCAGTGAATGGTACCATGTGGTGTTCGCAAAGTGAAAAGACGTCAATGTCCTTGACGATGACCAACTCATCATGATCCTCGTGGAAGACAGCGCCGTTGACCAAGTCCCGAACGTTCTCCTCGTAACCCTTAGTGAAGTAAAGCATGGCCTTGGCATATCGCTCGGGTGTTTCACGAAGCCCTTCCCTCTCGGGATCCTCACCGATGCATTCGAGAATTGTGCGGATAGCTCCGGACAGCTTCTCAAGTCGTTGTTCGGTCTCCTCCGGTGTCGCCTCCTTCCGCTCTCTGGTTCCGGGGCCTGTTTAAATTGATTAGACACATGTGATTGATAGGGTGGCTTTGTATAATGCAAGAGCCATTACTTACAAGGCCAGCTGAGACCGTCGAAATCGATCGGTGGGTTCAATGTGTAGGGACTAGCCGGACGGCTGACGGTGGCCGGAGGGGTCAATGGGCCGCCCTCATCCCGCGGATCGCGGGGAGGATCATTCAAAGTAGGGCTTCAGGGTAAAATTAGCAAACAGTGGAGTAGAAAGCTCGCTGGAACATTGAGATCACTGTAAACATACCGCACCGGCACCACATTGCGAATGGGCACGGAAGCGCTGGAAGTGGACTGAGCGGTGGCTCCGACCTCGGTTACGCCCCCAGTTGCCGTGTTGGTCTCGAGAGCTTCGAATTGAAGAGGAATTCGAGGTTCAAATGAAGAACGAATGGACGAGTTCAGACTCTCGCGCTCACGAGCATCACGGGTGCCTGTTGTACGCTGAAGCGGGGAGCTACCGTTCAGCATGTGGGACGGAATAGCTGAGGGCTTAGAGCTCGGAGGTGAACCGGAACCCATAATGAAGAGGCGTCAACAAGACTGATTGAGTATAAGATATTACTTAGATGCCACAGAAAAAGTGAATGAAAATAATATGAACATTCACAGTATGAATCACTTTTTTTTTCTGCAAATAACGCTAACTCTTTCTTTTCCCCTCCTCCTCATCCGCCCCCACCAGTCACATCCAATCAGCGTCAGCTGACGATGACATGATCAGCCCCCGCGGCGACTGGAGATAACGGGATAACGGGGCCGATGCAGGAGCTTTGGATGTCGTACGACATGCAGAGATCACATCTGTCTACGGAGTACTACTTGGCTTGGTCTATTTTAATGGTATACATCACATTACTTGATTCGTAACTAGTTGGTGTATTAATATTTAGTGGGCTGGCCACACGTGCAGTACCGTCTACTGTGTAATACCAACATAAGGACAATGACCATATGGATATCAGCCGAATTGATGCTTTGAGTGACCTAATCCACCCATCCTGAAGACTAAAGGAACACCCACTAGGCCGATGGCTGGTTCGACACCTGAAAGCCCAACAAAATTGATTATGCCTCGATGTCATCTGTGGGAACATCTTCCAGATCCTTGCCCACGATTGCATCTGCCACCTTCCATACCTGCAGCAGGTTGTCCTCAGCAGCCGAGCAGAGGACCCAGGGGTCGCTAAGGTTCCAGCTGAAGTCCGAGATACGGTTAGTGTGCCCACCGTGCATGAACAGCCTAGAGAGCAATGTCAGCTAATGATCTAACACCATTGTTTACAGAAACCGGGGATAACTTACAGTTCTGGTGGTCCATCTTGAGCATCCTCGGGGGTTTGCTCCTCGCCCGCTCGGCTGAGGTCCCAGAACATGATCTTGCGGTCGTAGCTGGAACTTGCCAGAACCGACTCCTCGAACGGATGCCATGCGATGGATTGCACCGAATCGGTGTGGCCCTCCAATGAGTGGAGCTTCGACTTGAGATTACGTAGATCCCAGATACCGATAGTCTTATCGGCGGAACCGGTGGCAAGAATCGTCTCTGAGGCGGGATTGAAGGAAATAGAGTTGATGGCATCGCGGTGCTGGCCCTCGGCCGAAGCAGCCGCACGAGTGGAATCCTCCTGGCGGGTATCAAGGATTTGGAGCGTGATATCATCGGAGACAGTTCCAATGAGAGAGGAGTGCAGGGGATGATGCTGAACATCATTGACGATCGAGGTATGGTGAGTGAAAGTGCGACTCGGTCGGACTGCCTTGTTGCCCTTGGTGTATGTAGTGATGTCCCTGTGGTGCGATTGATGAGCTGCTATTCCAGTCAAATCCAAATGTTGTTGTGTCTGCTTACCAGAGTCGGACAGTCTTATCCTCACTTCCCGTTGCAAGGTGGCCAGCAACGTGGGGGTTCCAGCTAAGCCCGAAGCCTTCGGCTTCATGGCCCAGGAGTTCCATCTGAGGGTTCACTGTGCCAGTCGGCAAGCTAGGATGCTTTGAGCGATCCCAGATCATCACTCGACCATCTGTGCACATGGTGGCAATGATATTAGGATTCTGTGGCTGATACCGGGCTTTGTTAACTTCGCCCTTGTGATCAATCTTCTGAACAATGTTGAACTTGATTTCCACCTGGGCCTTCTTTGAGCCCGCGCCATACCCACCAATCTCTCCCCTATCTTCGTCGTAGTCTTCCGGATTTGGGGTATTAGGATTCGGAAGTTGCACCTGGGCAATCTGGAGATAGTTTTGCGCGTCGCCGGTGGTATGTGTGCCAATGAGAAGACGGTGGGTTGAGTAGTTCTTATCGGGGACTCTGATGAGTGGCCATGTTAGGGTGATGAATGAGCCAGGTGGGATTTTGGAGCGTACTCTTGCTTATCTGGAAGCCACTGAGTAGTAAGAGTTGGCCATTCTAATGCCGTACTCAGGATCATATCATAGAGGAATGGCGCATTCTTCTTCCAGGTTTTGTACTCTGCCCGCGGTAGTTAGCATTAATAATGACAAAACTTGACAGAATTAGAGACATATGGAGGCTTACCTTCATTGATAGCCTTTTCATCGGCATGATCCTGCTCCTGGTCCTGATCTTTCTCGTGGTCATCGCCAGCACCTACACCTTGGTTAGATCGAGATTTCCAGCGGCGCGCAAGTTTGTGAATAGTCACCAGCATCATCGTCATAGGGATCCATTGTGATTTGCGATCGTGTAATCGAAGGAAGTCTTGAATTGACGGGTACAAGGTAACTTGAACCACTTAGAGGGTGAGTGCGAAACAGTAGGCGGAGAGAAGCTACCGACGCGCATTCATCGCGTTAATGAGGGCCGGGAGAGGCGCTAACCCTAATTAAGTGGGCGGTGAATAGCTTGGATTGACTCTTCAACGTTCAATCGTGGGGACACCTCGTCTTGCCTCTTAGACATCTGCCTTGAGCGTTTACATTATTGTCCTTTGTTTGACCCTCTTACCCCGGATCTTTCATCATTTGCCTTGAATAACAACCACATTCTTCGGCACAATATATCTTCCAAGGCTATTCACTGGACGATCTTGCCTTTCCTCACAATTCTCTCTCATTTCGATCCGTTACGAGTGCCCCTCTACACACCCAAACAACTCTTACGATAAATACCCTCCCACTTTTCCCCTCCGAGCCCATTAGTTTGGAATAAACCCGCTTTTCATCATGGGTGTCCCGAAATTCTTCCGATGGCTGAGCGAGCGATATCCATCAATCTCGATGCTGATCGCAGAGAGCCGGATACCCGAGTTCGACAGTCTATATCTTGACATGAACGGCATCATTCACAATTGTACGCATAGTGACAGCGATTCTCCGACGTTTCGTATGACAGAGGATCAAATGTTCATCGCAATCTTCAATTATATCGAACATCTGTTTGGCAAGATCAAACCCAAGAAGCTGTTCTACATGGCGGTTGATGGTGTAGCACCTCGCGCCAAGATGAATCAACAACGTGCCCGTCGGTTCCGAACTGCCTTGGATGCAGAGACTGCAAAGGAGAAGGCGATTCAGCAGGGTTTGGAGATGCCAAAGGAAGATGCCTTTGACAGCAACTGTATCACACCGGGTACCGAGTTCATGCAGAAATTGACGAAACAACTCAAATATTTCATCAACAAGAAGATCTCCGAGGACACAGACTGGCAAGGCGTGGAAATCGTTTTGTCTGGCCACGAGGTTCCCGGAGAAGGCGAGCACAAGATTATGGAATACATTCGCTGCTCGAAAGCGCAGCCTGACTATGAATCAAACGTTCGCCATTGTCTTTATGGATTGGATGCTGACCTAATTATGCTGGGTCTTCTCAGCCACGACCCTCACTTCTGCCTTCTCAGAGAGGAAGTGACCTTTGGTCGCCAAGTTTCGAAGAAACCCAAAGAACTCGAACATCAAAACTTTTATTTGTTGCATCTGAGCGTGGTCCGGGAGTATTTGGAATTAGAGTTCCAAGAGCTTAAACAGGAAGGCGTTCTGGATTTCCCATTCGATATGGAGCGTGTCATTGACGACTTCATTCTCATGGCATTCTTCGTCGGAAACGATTTCTTGCCAAATTTGCCCAATTTACATATCAATGAGGGCGCTCTTGCCCTTATGTTCAAACTCTACAAGGAGGTGCTGCCGAAGATGGGCGGCTATATCAACGAGCAGGGCGTTATTAATGTGCAACGGTTGGGCATGCTCGTGACGGCACTAAGTTCGGTGGAATACCGATTCTTTGAGGCTGAAAATTCTGATGCCCAATGGCTGAAATCGAAGAAGAACGCGGACACTGATTCAGTGTCGCAGCAGAAGCCGAAGGAGCTTACCCTCACTGCGTCTCAGAAAGAGCTCCTGAAGACGATCAAGAAGTACGTTCTGAACCGGTCTGACAAGGCCGCGGAGCCTCTTGACCTTCCTCCTACTTTACCAGCTCGTGACCGTACTTTTGTCGAACATCTCGCGGATGACCTCCGGCTGTCCTGGTCTTCGATTGATAATGAGAATGGTGATCGCTTCATGAGGCTTTCGTTGCCTCCGACCCAGGGTGACAGCGAAGACGACGAGGAGGATGAGGAAGCGTCGGTTGCTGTTCAGCGTATAATCCGAAAGTATGAGAAGGCCAAAGTCCAGGAGATGACGGCCGAGGAAGCTGAGAAAGCTGCTCGCGAGAAGTATGACGCCAAGTTCCTGGCGTGGAAAGATAAATATTACCGAACCAAGTTTGGCTGGGGCCTCGAAAACAAGGAGGAGATGCGGAAACTGGCACGAAATTACGTGCAAGGGCTTCAATGGGTGTTGTTCTATTACTACCGTGGCATTGCATCATGGCCCTGGTTCTTTGAGTACCACTATGCCCCTATGATCTCAGGTTAGTAGTTTTCCACTTCTCTTTTTAGGGTGAGTTTTAGTTGCTGACCGTGGAACAGATGTGAATGATGGTCTCGACGCAGACATGAATTTCAAGTTGGGTCAGCCTTTCCGGCCGTTCGACCAGCTTATGGGTGTCCTTCCAGATCGCAGCAAGAAGATCGTGCCTACTGCTTACTGGGACTTGATGACCTCGCCCGAATCCCCAATCTACGATTTCTACCCTCGTGATTTCGATCTTGACATGAACGGAAAGAAGATGGAATGGGAGGCTGTTGTGAAGATCCCATTCATTGACGAAAAGAGACTGTTGGCTGCGCTGAAAACGAAAGAGAACCAACTCACTGCAGATGAAAAAGAAAGAAACACCTTTGGGGCCTGCCTCAAATTCACCTATTCTTCAGATGTAAATTTCGTCTACCCATCTTCAATGCCTGGTGTGTTCCCCGACCTCCCGAATTGCCATTGCATTGAGAATCTCTTTGATCTCCCCGTCATGGATGGATTGGTTCCTTATGCTGGCCTGATGGACGGCGTCCACTTGGGCGAAGCAGCGCTCGCTGGCTTCCCTAGCATCAAGACGCTCCCCCACCATGGGCAATTGGGCTTCCATGGAGTCTGTGTTTTCCAGCAAGACAGCCGCAACGAGAGCCAGGTTATCACACTCCTTGACCCGGGCAGCCGGTCAAGCATTGAGCTGGCTAAGTCAAAGCTTGGGAAGCGTGTTCACGTTGGCTACCCATTCTTGCAAGAGGCTCTTGTGGTTCGCGTCTCGGACGAGCTATTTGATTATATCCTGCCCCCAGGAGAGCAACACCCCGTGTCTATTCCCCACACTCCTCAACAAATCGAGCAATGGAAGAGAAAGGCGAACAAGATTGAGAGCGCCTATAGCAAACGCTTGGCAATTATCATTGGAGACGTCGAATCCATGGTTCATATTCAACTCCTGAAGGGAATGGCCAAGACAGATGATGGCGCCACTATCAAAGAGTTTGCCGAGATTCCCGGTCAAGAGACGGACTATGCTCTCCAGGTGGTGGTTGATGATGTGATCAACCCAGACGAGCGTTTCATTGAACGGGCAGCACTCCCCATTGAAGAGGAATTCCCCGAGGGTTCCCGTGCCTTCTTCCTGGGTGACTTCAATTATGGAAGACCCGTGTATGTTAGCGGACACGAAGGCGGAAAGGTGAATGGATTGATCGCGGCTCTGAAAGGCCGAGAGCCAGATTTCGGTCGAGAGCGCGTCAGGGCTGCAGAGCAGCTTTGTCCTTACATGCCTTCGTACGCTGTTGCACGCAGTCTTCGCCTCAACCCTCTGGTACTCGCTAAGATCACCTCCTCTTTCACTGTCGATATTGAAAATCAGCGCGCAAACCTCGGTCTCAACTTGAAATTCCAGGCAAGACAACAGAAAGTGCTTGGGTACTCCCGTCGAGGAGAATCTGGCTGGGAATTTAGCCAGAAGGCAGTGGAACTGATTCAACAATACATGATCAACTTCCCCGAGTTCATTGCTGGCATCCAGCGCAACCCTCAGAACGACCGTTATTCTCCGACCGACTTTTACCCTGAGGAGATTGCTTCCCTCAAAATGAAGGAGATCAAGGATTGGCTCAGTTCTGTACAAGCTAAGAACTTCGAGCGAGTCCCTCTGGACGCTGAGCAACTTGACTCGGAAATCGTGATGTTGATTGAGCAGGACGCTGATCGTCTCAATCTCGCCCAGCCGGAGATGCACCCGAAGAAGGTTCAGCGCGTGCCACGTAGCGCCCTCCTTCGGCCTGCCGATGTCGAGCACCGTCTCGGAAACCAAACCTTCAAGCTTGGCGACCGCGTTGTGTATGCTCAGGATTCTGGGAAAGTGCCAATTGCTACCCGTGGCACTGTTGTCGGCCTCACTAGAACCCCGAGAACCCTTCTGCTCGATGTTGTCTTTGATGTATGCTTCTTGAGTGGCACGGATTTGAATCATCGTTGCTCGCCGTTCCGTGGCCAGACCGTCTTGGCATCTTCCGTTCTGAACCTCACCAACCGACAACTTATCACCAGTTCCCGTGCTGCCGCTACCCAGCAAACCCAGCAGGCGCAGACTCCCTGACCGTTGCCGGATACGGTGCCCCCATGGGTCCCCACGGAGAGGGACAACTGAGGAACGCACCTGTTCCTCCGCCCCTTAGAGGCTCCTTCAGGGGAGTCGTCGCCGGACAACTTGATGGAGCCGGACGTGGAGGCCGTGGGGCATTCAACAACGGGCAACCAACGACTCTCCCTTTCCGTCCCCACAATAACGGCAGCGGCGCTCCCCGTGGTCCCCGTGGTGGTCGTGGAGGTCGTGGGGGCGGCCGAGGCGGATATATCCCGATGGAAAACGGTGACCCCAATGAAGGTGTTGTCCAAAACAACCCTGATTTCCGTCCGCAGAACTACAGTCGGGTTCCACCGCCGCAAGGGATCGATCGAGGCCGTGGCCGTGGCCGCGGTCGTGGCAGGGGCGGTCGTGGGCGGGGTTCGCCGCAGGTCAATGCCTAGTGAAGGAAATGGATTTCGAGGGAGCATATGATGAGACGAATTGATTGGATCCGCCTTGTTTGTAAATGAAAGCTTTAGATATTTGCTCAGTCTGGACAATTATGCCGAGGCCGCGTTTATATCTGCAGGAGATGAATGAATACCTGATGGTATAGAAATCAAAGCTTTGGAACTCGGATTCGTGGCTCGGGTGTCTTTTTCGGATATAAACGAACACTCACAAGATCCTAATGTCCTACTCCATCGTGGAAGATATGTTGTAGGTAGGTAAGGGCCCGCGGCGATAAGATGGCTAGAGGCATAACAAGAAGCAAAAGCAAAGTAGGGTTAGAAAAGACAGAAAAGCTGGACCGTAGACGTTTTCACAGCTGGTAGGTACGAACACCTCAACTACAACAGTGTAGGTAGACAAAGGAAAGTTCAAAAAAGCGAGAGCCAAAGACATTCCAATGGAATCAGGCAAGTCCCAGAGTCGAGGACCCCCAATCCAAGCATGGCAATCCCACATCAACCTCCATCTCAACAACTATCCCAAAGCAGGCTCAAAACCCTCTAATCACTCAAAGTCCAGTGGATCTCTTCCGAAACAGCATCTCAGCACTCATACTCGGAATAATATGTTCCCCAATCACAAGATTAGCAGGTCTCTCGCCCTCGAGACCGTCAACAAACTTGAACTCATAGTCAAGGATGATACGGCTTAGGATCGCCTTCAGAGTATTCACCGCAAAGAATCGACCAGGACACGCCTGACGTCCAAATCCGAAATGCATATGAGTTAGAGCGATAGAGACGAAGCTGGAAGCAAGCGAGGCGGACTTTTTATCCTGCTCGTTTTCATTGCTATTGATTAGCTCAGGAGTTAGGGCAAAGCGGTCACGAGGGGCATGGCACCAGCGGAAACCATCGAAGACCGTCGGGTTCGTGATAAATGCTTCATCTCTGCTGATCGGACCCGCGGGGAAGCAGATGTGTGTGTCAACTGGCAGGACTAGACCGTCCTTGAGCGTAAGGGGCTGCTTCACTATGCGGTGGAAGGTCACTATATACACACAACTTATTAGGACATGATCTTCTCTCTGAGATTGACTTTATTTCTTGCAAAACTCAGGAACTTACATTCACCTGGCGGACCGAAGCGCTGAGACTCGAGCAAGAAACTGTCTAGACGAACCTGTCCCAGCAGCGAAGCCTGAGTCGCCTTATACCACCCATCAGGCAACGTGCGGAGCATTTCCTCGCGCAGCGGCTCAAGGTATTCAGGTCTCATAGCCAAATCAAAGAGACCGTGGCACAAGGCCATGGTACTGGTGTGCGTAACAGCCAGTGTGACCAAAAGGAGCATGTGATGGGCCAGGGCATCTGCGTCGAGATCCTCGCCCTGGGCCTTATTGAGATCCATAATCCACTGCAAGAAGTCATCTGGCTTCGTCCAGGCCGAGCCACCATCCTCTTCAGCCAGTTTGCGTTCCTCGATCAACGGAACGAAGAGGGCTTTAGCGAACTTTAGCTGTTTCTTCATCTGCTGAACGCTGGGCAGGAAGCGGGCGACGATGGGACGGAGGTACTTGGGGACCGGACGCAGGATAACGATGGTGACACCCACGTTGTGAGCGTAACTGCTTGCCACGTTGAGCCATTCCTCGTTTCGGCGCAGCATGTCACCGGCCATCACGCGGGATGTGGCGAGGACAATCAGCCGGCTGGACATCTCGGTTGGGTTGATCTTGACCCAGTCGTCTGTGAGGCATGGTGGCAAGTCTCTTGTCAGTATAGGTGGTTTCACTTTTGGGGTCTGTCACACAGGTAGTGGCTTGCAGATCTTACCTTCGCATCCTGCCAGCACGGTGTCGAATGCTACTGTCAACTCATCGATGATCCGGGGAACGACTCTGCCTGTTCGATCACATATGGCACGTTAGTTCCCTGGTCTCTCGCGTAACATCGGAGTTTTTGAAGTATCGAGCGAGTGATTACTTAGACTGGGCGTCAAACACTTGCGCACTGTCAGGCCAGGCAAGGCAGTATCGACTCTGATGTTGGTGTACTCCCCCAGGGCATTCTGAGAAGTCTGTCAGCTCCCGGGGCTTCTCGACGTAACGTAGCACAATGAGGATTACCTTGTATTGGGCATGTAGAGAACTGATCTTGGAAGAATCGAGTGATCTTAGTTGGTCTTGGTATTTCACTGGTAGAACGATCACTTCTCCGTCGCCAGTGAGAATGCGAAAGGGACTATCTTTGTACTGGTTTACAGAAATAGGTCAATAAGGCTGGACAAATGGTTCGAAGTGAACCGGCGCACCTTCTCATATCCTCGATAGATCATCGATCCAGCCTTGGAATAGTAGAGAATTCGATTTATGAAATCTGGCATATACGGGTAGTACTTGACAGTTGGGATATGGCTCAGGCTTGAAGCTGGTGCTCGTCGCAGTAGGTATAACAGGGCTATCAACGCCCCAACAAGGGGCCAAAAAGCGGTTCCAGCCATCTAGGTATCGACTGGTGATGAGAGCAAGATTCTTAGGACAGAGGGGACAAGTTATTTAGTTGAATGATGCTCTGGCGGATTGTCCGGGGCGTTTAGGGCAGGAAACTAAGGAAGATGGACGGGTGGTTAGAGAAGGAGGAGAGTAAGGGATATAGAGAGGGTGGCACAGCAGACAATCCGGAGAGTATTACAGAGTGGCTTTTATTTCAAATTGGAAGGGCCGTTTGCTACAGACGAAGGTGGACAAATGGGCCCGTTTCCCGTTTGAGGTCTCAGAGGAGCAAATGCTTTTGGAGTGTTATTTCACGCACGAGGCCGTAACGGCCGCGGTCTATTTCCCTTATTGGTCTTTGCAGCTATATACAAAACGCCTGGCTCAGATGCAAGTAGACATACACAGTAAGAAACCCTTATCAATCATTCAAGCCCGGCCCATTCACCGTCGTCATCGTCAGCATCGACCATCTGATCATCAGCAACCTCGGCGTCCTCGGTTTCCATAGCCAGCAAAGCATTGCTGGTCTTCTTGTCTGCGAGGACAGGCTTTGAGAGCAGGTAGTTGAGATCGTAGAGGTTCTTTTCGGTCAACCGCTTCAGGTTCTCGCGGATGTCGTCGACGGCCCGCTGAACGGCACGAAGCTCGGTTGCGAAGGTTCCAGAGTTATCCTTGAAGTATCGGCCATGACTGCCGAATAGGGACTCAATCCACATCAAGTTGAACTCAAGATGGGGTGTCTCTTCGGCAGCATGTGCGACAAATCGGAGAAGACGAGGTAGATAGACTGTGGGGACAGACCGAACCACATGAGGAATATCTGAAGGAGGGATAGCCTCGTATACGACACGTAGTAGCTTTTGCTCGTTCAACCGGAAAGCCATGATAAGTGCTTTGAGGAAAGTATTCTCTTCATCCACGGCGTCAGATGCGGCGGCTGCCTTGGCGGCATCTAGCGTGGCAAGGATGCTCGACGGAGTGATTGTGATGTCCAGGTCATAGGGATCGAAGATGAACTCAGTATCCAAACTGTAGACAAGCAGACCTTCAGTGGAGGCGGCACAGAATGATCGTCCAGTCGGTGCGAAGTCCACAGACGTCACCCGCACTTCAGGGCGTGTGGTGCGCGCACCGGCATCACCGCGCTTCGCACCAGGTAGAGTGCGATCAACACGGTCTTCGTGATCAGAAGCTTCACCGGTCTCGTCGATAAGAGCACGGGGACCAGCTTCGGTCATATCGCGACTGCTCAGGAACTCTTGGGTGCCATCGACGGAGGTGTTGACGGAGACAGTGAACTTCTTGATCAATGATCCCGTTCCTACATCGTACAGGCAGATATACTTGCTGTTGCCACCCGCCAGGATGCAGCTACCGTCTGCGCTGTAGGTAATTCTGTTGAAAGATTTGGTGCCCGCAGCATTGGCAGCAGTACGGCGGTCGGACACTCGCCGTCCTCCGGAGACGTCACGACGACCGTCAACAGCTCCCTGCTGCACAGCATCCTCAACCGACCAGAATGAAAGCTGACCATCTAGCGTAGAGGCGGCGACTTGTTGCCCGTCTGGACGGAAAGCCACACTGAGAATATCTGACATGAGCTGGAGAGGTTCACTGGTCTGTGCCCGGCCGAAGATACTCCAGATGCGGACGGTGTGATCCCAACTACCACTGACAAGGTGGTTACCATCAGCAGCGAAAGCAAGACTGGATACTGGGCCCTCGTGGCCAGAGAGCTGGTCAAGCAACTGACCGGTCTGCACGGACCATACGTGGATGTCGAAGGAGTCCGGCGAACCAGCACAGATCACTTCTCCACTGGGATCCACAGCCAATGAGGAGAACGACAGACGGGATGGTGCTGTGAAGGTTCGGAAATTACGGTAGCGGATAAGATCCCATGCGCGAATGGAGCCATCCAAAGATGCTGTGAACAACACATTGCCCTTCTTCGCAAACTGGCATGCGGTCACGCCGCTGGTGTGCTCGGTAAATGTAACGATGCAGAAGCCTGATCTGACATCCCAGACCTTGATTTTGCCATCATCGGCGGCTGTCACAATCCTTTGGCCGTCCGGTGAATATGCGAGCGCGTTCATAGAATCAAGGTGGCCTTGTTGTTTGAGAATATATGACTCGGATTGCCATTCCCACACCAGCAGCTGGCCGTGCTTGGACGATCCGAACGCTAGCCACTCACCCGATTTGTTGATTGTCACAACATCGATGTTGCTCTGCGAGACACTAGAGAGGAGCTGTTAGCTATGAACAGAAGTGTGAGGTTGTAGATTGACATACCTCAACAGATGGATCATGTTGAACTCGGGTAGATCGTAGAGACCAAACAGGCCGTTGGAGAACCCTACAACCAGAAGATTTGATGGCGCATGGAATGCAGCACAGTTGACCTTAGCGTCATTCTGCATGAAGAAGTCTTTCTTCACAATCCTCCACCGAGGCTCAGAGATATCCTCCATTGTTTCCTCATCCTTCTTCGCAACATACTCCCAGCGGAAGAGTGCGCCATCTTGACTGACAGTGTAAATCTATCCCCCGGTTAGTATGGTATTTCCAGCCGGAACGAGTTCGGGTACCACATACCACTTCTTGTGCCGCATTGAAATAAGCAGCCACCACACCCTGTCTGTGTCCCGCCAAAGTAGTCGGCTCGAAACCCTCCTCCGGATCCATACTCCATACTCGCGCAGTCAAATCTTTGGCAGCAGTGAGCAAGAAGCGCGAATCACTGGACCACTCGACATTTTCAATGTTGTCAAAGTGGGCGGCAAGATCCCGGTGTAGCACGAATGGAGCGAATTCAATCTCGCCATTGGTCTCCGTCCCGGGTGTAGAAGGTGTCTGCCAGATCTGCAGGCGCCTTCCCACGCCAACGGCGAAGTGTCGACCAGACGGTGAGAACTTAAGTGCAGACACTCGTCCCTTGAAGGAGAAGTGGTGAATGGCGATGCGCCGGTGGAAGTTGGTCAGAATCGCGCGGCCATTCTCATCCACCGTCAATAGAAGATTTCCCTTCGGCGAAAGATCGAGGCGATCGATATTGGTACGGTGCGAAAAAGGCAGTGTGTAGGAAGTATTTCTGTAGGGCCATTATTAGCGAACTTTAGTTCGGAATCGCAGGAAAAAGTGTTAGGCAATACGTACTGTACCAAATCAAAGACCGAAACTCGATTGCCTACAGGTGAAAGCAAGCATGTTCCATCGGGAGTAAAAAGAAGATTGCCTTTGCGATAGACCGTCCCCAAAAGGTTGGAGAACTAGGGTTAAGCGTGTTAGTAGAGAAATTCCATGAACGGTGGCTTCACTACGAATTGCATGCCGATCAACAATTCCAGCGCAGCACTCACCTTAAAGTCTGTCTTCATTTTGGCTGTTGGCGATCCCAATGATCAAAAAATTAGAGATAATTCAAAGCTACCGTGATAAGAACCTGCGGATCATCTATATCCCGGTCCCGGGCCATATCAGGACTAGCGCATCACGCTAAGCCAAGATAGGCAAGGCGAGGTATACTCCAGGAAACGAAAGGAGATTCAGGGGGAAGCAGCGACGGGCAGTTCAAGAGACCCGATTTCACGACCTGCAGCTCTCCTTTTCCGTTCTCTCTCAGGTGTCCGCCTTATTTCCTCTTCGCACTCGTGGTCTTACTCTCTACAGGGGTTTATTCTTCGTCTTCGTGTCGTTCTGTTGATTCCCAACTGTTTTTAATCCCCCCTAATCCCACCATGTCGACCACAGAGACCGCAACGCACATTGGCATTGCCAACGTAAGCTATTTCGATGCTGGAATTTCTCTAATGACTATTGAAAGCTAATCACTCATTGTTTAATATAGCTCCCCAACCAGCGGTGTGTACCTTTTGAGTTATGGTGAACGCGAGGAAATATTCTAATGAAGCTATGTAGCCACAAGATTGTCGCGAAGCGGGGAGCAGCCTTCACTATTATGGTGTGTCTTACAGCCTGGAATAACAATCGATGTGTCTTGATGCTAATGGTCCTGTGATCAGGTTGCTGGAGAGTCGGGATTGGGAAAGACCACATTCATCAACACCCTCTTCTCTACCACCATTAAGAACTATGCCGACCACAAACGCCGCCACCAGAAGCAGACCGATCGCACTGTCGAAATTGAGATTACCAAGGCTGAGCTCGAGGAGAAGTTTTTCAAAGGTGCGGCCGGAATACCCTCGTCGGAGTGAACTCCAATTCCCCAGCCATGTGTCGGTAGCTGATTACGGTCGAATATTCTAGTCCGCCTCACTGTTATCGATACCCCTGGATTTGGAGATTACGTGAACAACCGTGATTCGTGGCAACCCATTATCGAATTCCTGGATGACCAGCACGAGTCGTACATGCTCCAGGAGCAGCAGCCCCGCCGAAAGGACAAGATCGACATGCGTGTGCACGCCTGCTTGTACTTCATCCGCCCCACCGGACACACCCTGAAGCCTCTCGATATCGAGGTGATGAAGCGCCTGAGCTCCCGTGTCAACCTGATCCCCGTGGTCGCCAAGGCTGATACCTTGAGCCACGCGGATCTCGTCCGCTACAAGGAGAGAGTAAGTGGGAGGGAACATACGAAACTCCAGGCTTTTGGGATGCGAGCTAACAATTTAAAAAGATCCGTGCAGTGATTGAGGCACAGGGCATCAAGATCTACTCCCCACCCATCGAAGAGGACGATGAGAACGCTGCTTCCCACGCCCGCAGCCTCATGGCCGCTATGCCTTTCGCCGTCATCGGTTCCGAGAAGGATGTCAAGTCGAACGACGGGCGTGTTGTCAAGGGCCGTCAGTACGCCTGGGGTGTCGCCGAGGTGGAGAACGAGGAGCACTGTGACTTCAAGAAGCTCCGCTCGATCCTGATCCGCACCCACATGCTCGACCTCATTCACACCACAGAAGAATCGCACTACGAGGCCTACCGTGCGCAGCAGATGGAGACCCGCAAGTTTGGCGAGGCTCGGCCGCGCAAACTCGACAACCCCAAGTTCAAGGAGGAGGAAGAGACTCTGCGCAAGCGCTTCACCGAGCAGGTCAAGGTCGAGGAGCAGCGTTTCCGCCAGTGGGAGCAGAAGCTCATCTCGGAGCGCGATCGTCTCAACAAGGATCTCGAGGCTACTCATGCGGCGTATGTATTGGATTTCTCCATGGATGATGTCCTCAATGCTAACTTCTTGCAGTATCAAAGCTCTCGAGCAGGAGATCGAGGGTATCCAGGGTTCCAGCACTCGCAGCCACGGACGTCGTTAAGATGTTGCATTTTTGCCGGGAATCGACCCGGATCGTTCAAAAGGGGAGACGAACCATGCTCTTGTATTTTCTCTTTTGAGTACCCCATCTGTTGCCGTTCGCGCTTGGTAGCACCTTTGTCTGAGGGGCTGGTTTTTGTTTGTTATATCCATTTGACGCTGGTAGCTAGCGATGGTGTGTCTACAACCTTGATAATAACTTCTTTCTTACTTCGTAGCGGAAAATTCAGAGTTGATTCTTTTCCTTTGTCGGATTCAAGTAAGAAGTGAAGTTATGTAGTGTTCTGGTCTATATATTCCCATACTATGTTTTTACCACTTATGCGTAAGCTCCAACTTCCATCCCGCATTCTCCAAGCTCCCGCCAATTCCTTCTTTCTACCCCAATCCGACGGCCATGCCCCGGACAGCGTTCCCAACTAGGCCTCTTCACGTTCTCAAAACACACAATGGTGAGTTCTAAATACATGTGCATGGTCTTAAGTCGTTATTTTCCAACAAAAGCCGCTAACACCCTCCAGGCTCCGTCAACGCCGTAGCCTACTCAAGCTCCGGGGGCACCTACATCCTCACAGGCTCCACAGACCGAGCAGTCCACCTGTCGCGCGCAGTCCCAGCGAAGTCCGACGGCCAGACAGTCATTGAGACAACCTCCCCGATCCAAAAATATGAAGCACATGGCTACACCGTCCTCGACGTCGCCGTCGCAGCCGACAACGCCCGCTTCGCCAGCGTAGGCGGCGACCGCCAAGCTTTCCTCTGGGACGTAGAGCAGGGCATCACAATTCGACGATGGTCAGGCCATAACAGCCGAATCGAAGCAGTGCAGTTCGCCGGCGACGGCGACTCAGTAGTGGTAACGGGTAAGCTCTACCCACCCTCAATCCAAAACACCCCCCTAACCCCCTTCTCAGGCAGCGCAGACACAAGCATCAACATCTGGGACACCCGCTCCTCAAGCTACAAACCCATTCAAACCCTCACCGACGCCACCGACACCGTCTCAAGTCTACACGTACACATGGGCACTTACTCAATCGCCAGCGGCAGCTACGACGGCCACGCGCGGATCTACGACGTGCGGACCGGAAAAACAACCATCGACGTCCTCGCGCATCCGGTTACGAGTGTGCGCTGCTCGGCGGACGGGAATGCGTTGCTGGTTTCCACGTTGGACGGGTATATTCGCATGCTGGATCGCATGGATGGGAAGCTGTTGAATGCGTATGGGGGTGAGAAACAAGCTGGGCTGGCGCGGACAAAACAGAAACATGTGTATCGCAATAAGGAGTTGCGGGTGAGGTCTGTTTTTGCCATGGGGGATGCGGTTGTGTTGAGTGGGAGTGAGGGTGGTGATGGTGGGGCGGCGGCTTTTGCGTGGGATGTGCTTGATGGAGATGTTGTTGCTTCTGTGCCGGTTGGAGAGGCGGTTCGGGCTGTTAGTTGTGTTGCGTGGAATGAGGGGGGGCAATTGGGCTGCTGGGGGATCGGATGGTAGGTCTCTTTTGATTGGGTATAGAGAGGTTGTGATTGTGCTAACGGCTTTACTAGGTGTTGTTAGGGTTTACGGGTGAAAGTAATGAGCTGGTCGATTCTGACTAGGCTTTTTATTCCCCGGTGGTTTGACAACTGTCATGTCCACGCAGTTCTTCAATTGCCACACGCTACATCGTGCGGCGTGCCACGACTACAGGAACAAGGGCGAGATCCTGCATGGCCCGTCAAGCTGTGGCAGACTCGCTATCTGATAGTCTCCCTCGCTTAATGTGAGGCTTCAGTCGACTTGACAAAGGGCATATGTACCTTGGATGCAATATTTCCAATTGGTATAACAGAAAGTATCAAGGCGCTTTATAGTCCTGCTTCCATGGTGACATGACAACACAATTTACCGCCCTTGGCCCATGCCGAGACTCATCTGTACTATATCCATACTAGAACTACATAATTTATGGTTTATGAGATCGATTACATGAATATCCAGGTGTGTGTCGCGTTCTCCGCGGTAATCGGTCGAGGATGAGTGGTTTGATAGTCCGGAGTGAAGGGGCAAAGGTTATCCGGTTGCAAGATGAGGCCTGTACACTGTCGTTTCTGCTCAGGGCCACCATGTGCCCTTTTGGAGAATTACACATGATGATTCTTTCTGTCGAAACGAGGTCGCTCCTTGCCAAGACAGGCCATGTGATCAGGCTCCCTGCTGCGGAACGGCACTAGGATCGGAGACTCGGAGTAAAGGCATGCCGCATGGATGGGTCTTCCGGGCAAGGGTCAAACCCCCCTCGCTGCTAGGACTTTCCGTACCCTGATCTCCATTATTACAAACTTTGACCTGGAAACGCTCCAGATGAATGCTGTCAACACGTTCCTCAATAGCGTGCGCGAATTTGAGCTCTACTGCCAATACCCACCACTGGGCCACCAGGACTTGGGTCAACCGGCAAGATCCTCCGACTGAAGCGAGCACTTTACGGACTCTGTATCGCTGGGAAGCGATGGGAAACGGGCATCAGATCCATGCTTCTTTCCTCAGGGTTGGACCCCTGTCTGGAAGACTCAAGTCCTGGTGGGTACTGGCAGTAGACCTCAGATTCGAGCACGCTATTGAGAAACGCGTTGACGGCATCCACGTTTCCAGGTCAAAGTTTGTAATAATGGAAATCAGGGTACGGAAAGTCCTAGCAGCGAGGGGGGTTTGACCCATGTCTGGAAGACCCATGCCTTTACTCCGATGGCAGGATGATCATCATGATATTCGTGGATGACTTTCTAGCTGCTTTCCACGCGTCTGAGTCCCAACACGCCTTCCACATGAGGAGCCAATTTGAACAGCGATTTGAGATGAAGCATAGCGGTGACTAATTGTTCGGCAGGTAGATATCACAATCATATCCAATGGAACCCTCATATTTGCACCGAATCCATTGATGACCTATGGATGAGCATATCAACGAAGCAGCCGCTGCAGCATCAAGAACCCAACAACCACAATCCATGACCCGCCAGATAATACTATTTATACATATATCGAAACAAAACATACAAACCAGGAATCAACTTTTGAGTACATGAACACATCAACCATAAGCATAAATCATCACCCATCAACAATGACAACCCAGAGCCGACTCATCCGTGTTGCGGACTATCGGGCGGAGTCTGCGACTCCAACTCTAACCCCAACCCCAACCCCTCAAGGGGAGACTGCACCTTTTCCTTCTCCAGCGCCTCAACAGCCCGAACCAACTCATCCTCGCCAACAATAATCGTGCCCGCGCGCGCCGTACTCAAAAAGCTAATCTCCACTGCATCAACCACAGCCCCAATATCAGGTCTGAGACCATGTGTCGGCTGCAAGGCATGTGAAATGGTCCCGGGTGGCGGTACACCCTTCTCGTTGACATCAAGGGCAGCGAGCCGCGCATCAAAGGAGTCATACGTTCTCGATCCGGATCCCGTGGACGGTAACGGTACAGTCGCTGCATCGGCTAACCTCCCCGCAACGCCACAGACAATACCAGATGCCTCGAGGGGCAGATCGCGGAGATCGAGGGTGATTGGAATGAGATAGTGTTCCTTTGAGCCTAGGAGGGCAGAGCCGCCGTCGTGGGAGGCGGAGGGTCGTGCGAAGCGGGGGAGGAGACGCTTTTCTAAGAGCAGAGAGGCCGCTGGGTCCATAGCAGCGAGGGTCAAGGAGAGGAAACGGGGGTTGTCGACTAAGAGGACAGTTGTCAGGGCGTCCCGGAGGATGGACATTGAGCTTTCATGGGTGTGATATTCGTGGTGGGCGGCGCATTGGACGAGACGGAGGGTGTTGTCTACGGAGGGGGTGATTTGGTGTCTGCGGAGAGAAGCGAAGGTGCGGGCTTGGAGTTCAGCTAGTGTTGAGGGTGGGGGTGTGCCTGGGGGGATGAGGTCGGAGAGACTTCTTTCGAGGCGTGGGCTTAGTGGGTTTGTGATGAAGGTTGAGGTTTCGGTGTCGAATTGGAAGCCTCTGTTTTCTAGCGCGCGAATTACGCTTGTTTTGCTTTGCATGGGGACTATGATGTAGTCTGAGAAGTAGGTGGAGATGAAGAAGATGGAACTGGGTATTTGTTAGCTGGGTTCGTCTTATGAGGTATTGGATGTACATACATGCCGGCGAGGGCTAGGGGACTGGTTAGTTCTAGGACCCGCTTGCCGGCCTCGAGGCCTTCGCCGAGGACTTGCATGGCGATGTAGTCTTTCTCGCTCACGACTAGACGGGATCGGAGAGAGGGATCTACTTGGTCGAGTTCATGCATGACTGGACTGAAATATTTCTCCACCAGGCGTCTGGGACACATGACGGAGACTTCCACCGGCGTGATGGAGACGTTCATGAATGCCGGAGCCTTGTAGGCAGAGTCTTCCGAGGCATCATCGTTGATTTCATCATTGATTTCATTGTCTTCCAATGGCGGGGTCTCATCGAAGATGAGTCCTAGAACTGATTTTAGGAAGTAGGGGTACAGTTCCAAGGGGATGTGCACCAGCACCACTGGCTCTTCCTGGGATAGGGTTAGTTGGTTGGCGTTGAGGTTGGGGGCTGCGTGACTCACTAGGAAGTGAACTTGTGCATCGATGAGAGCCATTGATTGATCCATGATGGCGGGTGGTATGACGGATGAAGTCGACACAGGTACCAATATATAGACTTGGATGTCGTGAGATTACGCCATTGAAGTTGGATGATGCTATCTGCAGCTTGAGAAGCACCATCAACTGGAGAGTGGAAAGAAGAAAAGAACATAAAAGGATGAGTCACCCCTCTCTTGCACAAATGCACTATCACTATCACTTCTATCGTTGTTCTTTTTTACCCAATCTCTTCATGCAACCCTTTTTTTTCTTCAACTCCACATCTTATCATCTCGAGTCCCCGTTACCCATGGATGGGCCTTGGCGCACGGACAACCTTGTTCCTCTCGTGTGGGGGCCAACTTCATGATTTTCGTTCCTCTTACACTTGACACTTGACAGGCGGATTCTTTTCTTACTCTTATCAAATGACCTATAAGGATACGAAGCACTCCCCAAGACTGGGGAAACTCCTCGTGCAAGTTCTTGAGTAAAACGCCTCCCTGCAAATCCCCCGCTTTTCGAAGTCAATCCCGTGAGACTGGCCAGAGATAACGGGACTCAATGACCTCTAGGAGTACATATATCCTAAGGCTGGTGGATGCTATGGCCTTTACCCCATCTTATTTTTTTCTCTTTGCCGCTCTAAGAGTCATGAACTCGGAGAGATTTCCCAGTGCAACGTCACACGCCTGATTTGGAACATTGGTGGCTGAATGGTCTAGGCTTATCTGTGGGGGATGTACGACTTCATACTCTTGTTTTCGACCTCGGGGATATCTCAAAAACACTTCACCAATTGCTGTGATGCCGATCGGGTGCGAAATAGTTCTGATGGTGGAATATCATGGGCTCTACGCCGATCTCTGGACTCAAGCCGAGGATGTATCGAGCTCGACCAAGAAACCTACCACATGCAGTCTCCAAAGCTATAGTATACAATATATTCAGTCAATTGAAGTTACAAGCCATCTGGGTTACTTCCAACGACATCGATGTGAACCTATCGACCCGGGTATGTCCCCCTTGCGTGGCATCTCAGGAACCACTACCTCGATACACCCAACCGGGTGAAGTACCTGCATTCCTTTCCTCGTAAGTACACACAGCACATTCTTCACTGGAAAACAATGGCAACCCGCGCCTGGAGATGATACTGCCCTGTTATGCGTTCCTCCAATCCATGAATGAAGGAACCGCCAATGGCATCCTGGCGAACATGGAATTAGGGTCCGACCGAGCCAACATACTCAGGCCCCTGGTGCAGATCAACAGCAGCTTCTTTGTTTTCTTTCCTTCTTGATCATGGTTAAAAGGCTTGGTATCCGGTCGATTCCTGTGGGTAACCAACACAGCGGCCGACCTGCGCCGATATCGACAACCGCGTTCTTTATATTCGTTCTTTCTTTGGCTTCCTGTTCGACCTCGAGCGCATTCTTTTGGAGGATTTAGTATCCTTCTGACTCGGGTCACTAATTATTATTCACTCGTTCAACACCGCCAACATGGTTAGGTTTGGCGTGCTGGCGCTGGCCACTTGGGCCGGCCTCGCCGCAGCCAAGGACGTCTACCTGAATTGGAATGTCACTTGGGTAAATGCTGCTCCTGATGGATTCATGCGTCCGGTCATCGGTATCAATCACAAATGGCCCTGCCCGCAGATTGATGTGAATGTCGGCGACCGTCTGATCATCGATGTTTACAACGGTCTTGGAAATGAATCCACCGGTATTCACTGGCACGGTTTCCGCCAGTCTTCCACTGGTGTCATGGATGGCGCTGTCGGAGTCACTCAGTGCCCACTTGCTCCTGGCTCACACATGCAATATCACTTCGATGTAAGCAATCCACAGGACGAGAAAACCAACCCCGTTCTAACCTTGTATAGGTCGAACAAGCTGGAACGTACTGGTATCATTCGCACAACATGGGCCAATACCCAGATGGCTTCCGAGGTGCATTGATCGTGCATGACCCCAATGCCCCTTTCCAATATGATGAAGAACTTACGATCACCCTGAGCGACTGGTACCACCAGGAAATGCCCGGGCTTTTGAACACGTTCCAGTCCAAGGTTACCCCGAACGGGCCCCGTGGGGAGCCCCTTCCTGACTCGGCATTGATCAATGACGCGACCAACACTAAGATCAAGGTCCTTCCCAATAAGACGTACCTGGTGCATATTATCTGTACTGGAAATTGGCCTGGGCACACCTGGGTGTTCGATGGCCACGAGATGACCGTTGTGGAGGTAGATGGAGTCTACGTTGAGCCCTATCCTGCCGGCGAGAGATTCTTGCGCATTGCGACTGGTCAGCGCATGAGTGTCTTGATTAAGACCAAGCCCGACGCTAGCAAGAACTTCGCCATCTGGGATACCATGGATGTTAACATGATGTTCTTCTATGAAAACCGCACCATCCCCGCAGGATACAACCCTAATGCTACCGCCTGGCTGGTATACGACGAGTCCAAGCCCCTCCCTGCGCCTCCTGTCTTCGGAACCGACTTTGACTTTGTGGATGATCTCGACTTTGTGCCAATCGACCGCGAGCCTTTGCTGCAGCCAGTGAACCACCAGATCGTCTTGGACACCGGTAACGCGTTGATCAACGGCGTGCCACGCTTCACCGTGAACAACCAGACCTACATCGCTCCAAAGGTCCCAAGCTTGTACACTGCAAACACCGTCGGTCCCGAGTTCGCATCCAACCCCGCCGTATACGGACAGGTCAACCCCTTCGTCGTCAAGCACGGCGATATCGTCGAAATCGTGATCAACAACCACCACAACAACCTGCACCCCTGGCACTTACACGGCCACCAGTTCCAGGTCCTGCAGCGCACGGATGTCGACGGTGGCTACTACACCGGCTTGGGTAGCAAGGTGTCCACGACCCCCGTCAGGCGCGACACCATCATGGTCCAGAACCACGGACACGCAGTCCTCCGCTTCCGTGCCGACAACCCCGGAGTCTGGATGCTGCACTGCCACGTCGAATGGCACGTCGAAGCAGGCCTGATGGCGACCATCATTGAGGCCCCCGAGACCTTCGCCGATACCCTCAAGGCGCCGCCCAAGAGCCACTACGATGCCTGTGCCTCCTTCCCGCAGCCTGTCAGCGGCAACGCCGCTGGTAAACAGGGCCTCGACTTGACTGGACTCGACACCCAGGTTACCCCGGGTAGCCATGGTGCTCTGTACTATGGCAACAAGCACAGCCCCGCCAACACCCCCTTGGCCCAAGCCCCACCGGCACCGAAGCCCAGCAGCAAGGCCCCGGCCCCGGCCCCCAAGCCCACCACGAAGGCCCCCGCGCCTAAGCCTGTACACACCCAAAAGCCAGCCTCCCACGCTCCCGTCCCTCAGCCCGAGCAGTCCCACGCTCCAGTTCCGGCTTCGGCTCCAGGAGCTCCAGCTCTCCCATCGGAGCCGGAGTACAATCCGAAACCAGACTACCACTACTCGCACCCGAAACATGAGCACCACGAATCTACTTACATCAACAAAGTAAACACGGGGGGCTCGTGGCCCCCCGTCCATATCGATGGGTCTAATATCCGCATCGACAACCCGAACAAGCCGCATGACCACCACCTCACCATCCACGAGGAGCTCATCCATGGCCCGTCGCCGAGTGAAGATGCCGATAACGGCTATGTTCTTGATGAGCACCATGGGTAAGTACAGTTCCTATGCAAATCAAATTTCTTTTTCAAATGTGCGCATCGGCTAACCTATCCCAGACCTAATCGTCTCCCCGCTGGCTTCGAGGAATTCGAATCCTTCGACAATCTGCGACGGGAATAGTGTGTTACCGGCTTACAAAAGCTTGTATAATAATTTTCTTTTCTTTTCTCATACCTTATATACGGACAATCATAATCCCAATTTGGTCAATGAGAGCATCGTTTCATCACTTCTTTTCTGTGTCAGTGTAGATGTCCTGTCGGAAGCTTCACGGCGTCTCCAACTCAACAAACTCTGCCTCACCCATGGACACATAAACCTTTGACAACTAGTCCAAACCCAATCTCGACATCAGGCCACACTCTATCTTCTTCCCGATGATAACCGTAGCCTTATCCCTTATTCTCCGTACCCTGCTATAGAATCACCCCCGACACCTATTTGGGTAGGAATTATCACATCCTGACAGCATGAACTAAACCAGCCTCCGAAGTCCATATCACACATTATAGAATAATAGAACTCTCACTTACTCTTAAAACCACAGTGTGAACACAGTTAGCAGAATCCCGACTACTATCCAGCAAACAACAAAATGCCCCAATTATTCTGCTGCACAGCCCTCCACCAACTGGCGATAACCTCACCCCAAAACCCAACCCTAAAAGAATTCACAAAATGGGCCACAACACCAACACCAACATATCCTCCCACTATTTCATTCACCGCAGAACCAAACTCCTACACCCAGTTCACCAGTCAGCTGAACGGATCCACAGAATACATCCGCTGCTTCACAGCGACGGATTCCACCAACTTCGAAGAGACATCCGAAGCAAGACCAGCGCGATCAAAGCGTGTTGCGTGAGTCTTTCTTCCCTTTTCCAACCTCATACACATCAATCATTCATTCATGGGATTGGATTTAATTGTATACAGACACGAGAGACTGCGGTGTAAGCGTCATGAACGAGTTTTCGAGATTAGCGTTTACGAGTTCGGCTCCGAGACAGGATCGAAGTTGCGGAAGAATATCGCGAAGGTAGTTGGGAGGATTGAAAATGCGGTTAGACGGAGGGGCAGATCTGTGTCTCGGTCTGGATCTAGTTCGGCTTACCGATCTAGTTCCGCGTACGGGTACCGGAATGGGATGCCATATGGGTCTGAATCTGGGCTTGGGCATGGAGGTGGCTGCAGATGTCAGACGTTGAGTCGTCCTGTTGAGAGGACTACTATGATAGTTGCTGAGCCGGAGGATTGTGGGTCTGATAGTAGTTATTCTGACCAGGAGTGTGAGGTGATGGGTGAAGTGGGTGAGGATGGTGGTGATGGAGACTCTGGAGATCAGGCCGCGTCGTCTATGTCGAGTCTTGATGTTGACTCAGAACAAGATTATACCGGAGAGGAAGAGATGGTGTCGCCTTTACCTCCATCTGGGGAAGAGATTGCTGTGCGGGATGATAGTATAGATCAGAGCTATTTGGATGTGGAGGACTTTGGCTGCTATTATTCTGGACTTCCTTCTGATGACTACCCCAGCTATGATTGCGATATATAGGATGAAGGAATGGCTTTTGAACAGAATTAGGAGGGTGGGATGATAGATGGGTGATCTTGACCTACTGATGTTTTGCTAGTTCTGATTCTTTGCTTTATCGCCAACTGGTCAGTCTGGACTACTTCAACTTAATTTAGAACACTCGATCCAATCTAAAGCATGTGCCCACTGCTGTACGAGGTTACCATGATACAAAACCAATGGGTAAAGCTCGACATGTTCCAGCTTGCTACCGATGCACTTTCGTCAGACATACGAAGCTATGCTTGACATGTGGCCATCTTTGAGCGACCTCAGAGGTACCTACTGATGTCCTCATATGAATGCAGGCTGAGACGAATATTAGACTGGAAAAATAATGGTCAAATGACATTGTTATGGACGAACGTCCGAAGAATAGATTGAATTCCACTATCGGCCAAAACAGCAGAAAACAGCAAAAGAAAAAATCAAAAATAGCAGAAACAGCAGAAACAAGAGTCAATCAAGGCAGTCTTTTCCAGCCTTGTTGGGCAAATCGAGCCAGGATAAGTCGCCCAGCTGGGCGCCGGACTCGTCGTCGAACGGAACCTCGAGCTCGTGTTCGAGGCCATTCTAGCGGAACAGCCCGTCTCGTAAGGGTTTTACGGGGAATGTGGCTGCCAATAGAACTCGGGCTTGGCGCCAGTCTGGCAAACCTGACCCTCTAGTTGGGATGAGATACCCGGCCCTTCAGTGCCTCTATCTCGGCACGCATTCCACGATCTGTCTGTCGTGGTGGACAAGAGTCTCTCGAAGGACATCGCCCACAAAGCTCGTCGGAAAAGCGGGGACATCGATGCCCTCAGCGGGGTTCACGATGTTGTAGCGGGGGCCGTGGCGCTAATTGCGGCTGGAGTTGGAGCTCGCGCCTGTGCAGTTCGCGAGGAACGCGATTATCCCAGCTCTCGTGGTTTGAAATCATCCAACTCTCGCTCCGACGATGAACTTTCCTCCGACGTGGAATAGCGACGACGGTTGGCTTTCTTCTTCTCCTACGGCGTGCGTCATCAGGAGCGATCGAACTGCAGGTGTCGCGCTAGAGAGAGTGAAAGTCAGCTTCTGGAACTAACGAGACATGTCCGAGACTCGGGAAGGACATACTATGATACTGCTTTGGTTCATCGCGGGACGACCATCACGAGAACGCCGTGAGGCTCAGATAAGAGGGGGACAAGTCGAGGCTCATAGATTGATGGTTGCTGATAGTGTTTGGTTCCGCTCTATCACCAGGGCTCCTTCTCCCCGTCGATAGCATGCGCAGCTACGGGGCCAGCTGCCACATGGACCCTAATTCGGCCGAATGCAAGGCCAAGCGTGCGCAATACCGAAGAAAGAAAGAGCAATGAAAGAGGGAATAGGCTGGAGAACAGAGCGTATGTACTTGCAAAATATGCCCATGGTTGCCTTTCATGATGACCGAAGAGACAATTAAAAGTCAGGGGGCAAGGTGGTCATGCCCCAGGTATATGGGAGGATGGGCATAGGATGAGCAAGACGTTCCTTGCTGGTGGTTTCAGTGTTGGAGGAATGAAAAGAGACGAGGAGATTGGAAATTTGAAGGGAGATGAGGAAGAGGAAAGGAGAAGGAAAGTAAACAGTCGTACGCGACATATATAAGCAGATTTTAGGTCGCGTGACTGCGACGTGAGATGGTCCGATGGATTTTCCTTTCCGTTTCAGTCATATGACAGCGGCCTTGAGTGCGAGATTGGTCTCTCATGTCTCCGTACGGAGTAGGTGATTCTGCTAGTATATAGAACCATGACATTATATCAATAGTTGTAGATAAATCCATCGTTTGAGGGAGACCTGGATCCCTCATGTATCTGTATCTGCTCAACAGGTAGTCCGCGTTGCCAGAATTGACGCTGCGTTCCCAGCGTGGTTTTTCAGCATAGGATTCCACTGCCTCCAGATCGACAATGACGATACGATCATGGCAAACTAGAAAATTGCACGGATTCTCATCATTATACTCGGTTTGCGATGCATCCTCAAGATGAGTTTCAATTCCTTTTCTCATCAATGTCAGCTTCAGCAGCTTCGTACAGAGTCATCCTGTCCATATCAGAGAGAAAAAGCGCGCGGCGGTCACAGAAAGATCCTTGCCAAGAACAGTTGGAATCACGGCTCCTTGAAGTGACTGCAGATTGTTGTCGGCGTCAATCTCTTGTTGAAATGCCCTAGAATCTTCGTGTTTCTCTAGTTTGACATCACCGAGTTTGGGAGCACAGAGTTTGTATTGTGTTCAAGCTCTAGAGACTAGAGAGGTGTGAAATATTGGTGGTCTCTTCTGACGAACAGGCCAGAACAGCCGGTAATTTGAGTCAGATTTGGATGCCCTATGCTAGGCAAACTTTCCCCATTACGGGGACAGAGTGATTCCAGGTTCATTTCTGTCGGGATATATCCCCCTGATCCCTTTGCACAAAGGAAAAGCTGCCAGTGTCGGGATATATCCGCTTGTGACTTGGCGGCCTGCAGTCGTATGTGCCGCTCGGCGTTGTGACCGCCGAGGGCCGGTGTGTCACGTGCGGGATCCAGGGCATATCCCCCTAGGTCCCCTTAGACACACAGAAGACATCAATCAATCAATACAGAATACAAGACCATTGCGTTAAGCACATCTGTCCACTTAGCTGTGTACACAGGACCTAGCTGGTGATACCAACAATTTCGAAGAGAGCTGGAGGATCAAAGAAAGCAAGGGACTATGTCAGGTGACAACAACATCACGGGATATTTGACACGTGTTTATGAGTGTTGCATCATGCATGACCGGTTTGCGGCATTTGCCTACCAAATTGGCAAATACGTACAAAGTACAAACACTCGTGATTGTGCAATTCCGGGCACGCGATGAGGAGCATATCACAAGTAGGACTGTAGGAGGGCTTTAGGTACAGCCCGGGCGATGAAAGTGACATGATCTTGAATGATATGAAAGGTTGTTTTATTTGATGAAAAGACTGAAAATCAGCATAGTTATGCAGTTACTAACTAGTTAGTCGGAAGTCAGAATTTCGTGATCTAAAGCCAATACACTGTAATAGCAATTAAGTAGGTAGAATTTATTGAGCACTAAAGTTTGTTATGTAGGCACAGATCTCCTGAGGGTAGAGGCAGCGAAAGAAAGGGACGTGAAAAGTAAGAAGACATCCGCAGACAAAAACATCTCGGCTATTCTGGAATAGAGCATCCGTATGAAGACCCAAAGATCGTGACTCGATGAAAGACACTTTCATTGCCGGTTTGACTGTTGCACGGAGGAGTAGATTTGCAATTTGAGAACACGATTCATCCGTGAGAGCTGCAGCGTGGTGGTAATCTAGTTGGTGGCTGCCATGATGCACGGAGGCAGAGCGGATGATAGAAAGCCAACGGGGCATGTCCCCAAGATGATGATCGACGCGTGGGTAAGCATCGAGGGATGGTTCGTCTGGGTGGCGTTGAGCAAGCCCGCAAACGCGAATATGAAAAGGCCAATATCCATACTGATAGACAGGTTGACTGCTGTATGGTCAATGGTGATTGGTGGCCAAATAATGTAAGACCCAATGAGGCAAGAGCTATTGCGGGGTGCTGGGCGTTATAGAGAACAGGTAGTTATGATGATGTTCCAAGTACCGGAGGCCCATGAGCGCGGATGATCGATGTTTTGACTGGTTATCAGGATGTAGAGATTCTTTCGTGGTAGCACAACCAATGTTGACTGGCGGCTAGACTGCAGAGGACGATTATGCTTCTTGGTGGTTCGTCGCAGGTAGTCAGGATGGTAGGTCCGAAGATTGAATCTGCTTGTTTGATGGTGCGAATTACTCGCCGTCAATGCGGATACAAGAAGGCTTATTGGTCAATGACGTTGGCAGTGAGTGGCCAGAAAGGACAAGTCCAAAGGGTTTGTAGGAGGATAAGGCGTGGTCTGTCAATGGCGGGTGGTGAATGGCAAGGAGATGGTGAGAAGCCCGTTGGTGAACAGGCCAAGAAGGAATTCCAATCCTGAGAACAGGGTGAAGATTTGAAGGCCGGAGGGAACAGGCCCGTTGGTTGTGATGGTGAGTTGAGGTCTTAGGTAGATGACGGTTAAGAATGCCATAAACGGATGTGTTGGTTGTAATATCAAGTTGCTGATGGGTGACTGATGAGTAACAGTTGATGGATAATGGTTGATGGATATAAAGGTAGATGGAGGGTTGGTTTATTTCAGTAGTGGACGGTCATAGAGAATATTTGAGATATCAAAGGCCGGCTGGTAGAAGTTGGTCAATGGCGTTTGGTTGGAGATGAAGAAAGATGGCAAGAAGGCTATGATGGGAGGCACGGCAGACAGCATGTTGAAAGAGTCGACATGATGGCGGGCGTAAGAGTCAAGACGGGAAGGTTAATCGATGGATAGGTAGGCTGTTTAAGTAGAAGGTGGCCGAGGATAAGACATTGACGTGCAGGCCAAATTGAAGGGCCTGAAGAGTAAGATGGCAAGAAGGGTTGACCGGATGCATGGCAGACAATGGAATAGTTGTTGGTTATTGGCGAGGAGGTGAACACAGTCTTTGATGGGTTTGGAAAGGCTAAGAAGTCCTGAAGGTCCTGTGGAGGTCTCTCTTGATGGAGGGTGGAGGCAGTGAATTGAGTGGAGCAGGGTTCCATACCCAGCCTTCCGATTGCCCTGAAGCCAAATAGGCCCGCCACGGCAAGGCTGGATAGAGGTGAGTGACATGGAATAGTGGATGTGGCAGAGCGGACGTGGAAGAGCGAGGGCTATTAAGCGGTACCATATCCAGTCTCCCGATTGTCCTGAAGCCGTGAGGCCCGCCACGGTGAGACTGAACATAGATGAGTCGAGGTGGATGCGGTTGTGATGGGGTGTTTGCGGTGGGGTGGTTGCGGTTCCTATATCACTCTCCCGATTGTCCTGAAGCCGTGAGGCCCGCCACGGTGAGACTGAATATAGGTGACTGGAGGTTGTGGACTGGAGATGGTCAAATTGTGGTCACGGTTGCTATATCCAGTTCCCCGATTGTCCTGAAGCCGTGAGGCCCGCCACGGTGAAACTGAAGATAGGTGAGTCGAGGTGGATGCGGCTGCGGTTGCGGTGGGGTGGTTGCGGTCCCTATATCCAGTCTCCCGATTGTCCTGAAGCCGCGAGGCCCGCCACGGTGAAACCGAAGATAGGTGAGGGGAGGTGGATGCGGCTGCGGTTGCGGTGGGGTGGTTGCGGTTCCTATATCCAGTCTCCCGATTGTCCTGAAGCCGCGAGGCCCGCCACGGTGAAACCGAAGATAGGTGAGGGGAGGTGGATGCGGCTGCGGTTGCGGTGGGGTGGTTGCGGTTCCTATATCCAGTCTCCCGATTGTCCTGAAGCCGCGAGGCCCGCCACGGTGAGACTGAAGATAGGTGCCCGAGTCGAGGTGGTTCAACGGAAGCTTCCAGTTGGCGTGGGTGAGGGGTATTTATCACATCTAGCCTCCCGATTGTCCGGAAGCCGAAGCCCGCCACAGCGAGGCTAAATGTGATTGAGTAAAGGAGACTTGAAAGTCTGAGGAGGGTCGAGGCAGCATGGCATGGAGCGGAGGGAGGATAGGAGTCGCAGTCAAGGTAGAGACAAACGAGCAAACAGAAACATTTCATCACGTGTAACATGCCATGGCATCCTTTCATGGTGCACCATGACTGAAAGCCATGACACCCAGGTCCCTAAGGTAGGTGGCCCAAAGTTGGAAAGTTCTTATGCATGGTGGATGTCTTAGGGGTGGATGATGCCTTAGGTGGGACAGCGCCTGAGGTAGGGTAGGAATGGTAAAAAGGAGAGGAAGAGATGTGTAGAAGGAAAAAAAAAAAGAGAGGATGAGGAGGAGGGGGTATTTATACCTTTGGCTGAGAGCTCGAATCAAGTGACGGGTCCTTCCTGAACGAGGAAGGAGCGTGGGTTGTGCCTTCCTCATTTGGAAAGGAGTTCTTGTTGGATGAGAAGGAGCGTGGATGGTTCTTTCCCTTTTCAGTGCGGACCCAAAACACGTATATGGAACATGGGGATCACCAGTATTGATCAGGTAGTGCTAAGGCCTAAATATGCACCACGAGGCAGATAGCAGGCCCATTCCAAGCTTTACTTGGTGAACTTGTTGGATCTATGTGATATAGGTATTGGGACAGAAGTTTATAGAATTCTCGCAGGGCAAGTTATTTGGAACTGATATACTACCCCATGGGCCATGTACCAACCATAGGAAGTAGAGGCTGCCTCCAGACACGTCATCGTGGAATTTCCAAGGTAGAGTATCAATAACGAAAAGACTATCATCGCCGATGGTGTATCACGTAGCCCATGACTCATGAGCGAATAATGACTCGCTCAATAGACAAGCTGCTGAGACGCGTATTTCAGCAGCCGAAGAGCTTTTCCCAGTTACCCAGATCCAACCACTTAATTATACCCTGCAGCACTACGTCCTACGATGACAGCCAAGCTCGAAGTATTTTGTTGCGATAAGATCAGGCTCGGCATCTTCAAGCCCGAAGACTACCGACTCGGAATCTTCATCTACTGGGCGAAAGCAAATAACCTAAAGGTGACACAGGGAGTCGAGAAGCCAGGACTCGATGTCCCATTTTGCGTTGGGGTGCATCGAAGACCCCACAAACCTCGACACTATGTTCCCTCTGGCTGGGGAGAATTTTCCGAGATCGACCAGAGATTGCTCATACAGCAGTGGATAACAGACGTGTATGGCTCCATGACTGCTCATTGAGAACATAGCTGACCAAATTGGAAGAGACATGGTTTATAAGTGTAAGCACCACTTTACAACTTTCCAGGTCACTGTCTATAGACGAGCTTCTGTCCAGTTACCAGCACCGGGGACGACAATCCAACCGAGGAGCAGAAGCCCTACCGTGGGTTTGGGACCAGGGATTGCGAGGGTGTGTTCATTAGTCCCGCCGAGCTTCACTGGTGAAGTCCACGAGCAGCGTGGATCTGGAGAAGCGTCCTCAAGTTCGACCAAAGGCAATACCCAGGCCACCGAGGAAGATGATGCCTCGACGGATCTATTATCCGAAGCAGATTCCCCAGCAGCCACAGTCTGTACGGACAACAGCTATGATGCTAAGAACCTATTCTCGATGATTCAAACGCCAACTGGCCAATACATTATCAGCTTGTTGGAGACCGCATATAAAAGACGGCCATCCGCAGAGGTATCCGACATCCGGAACGATATGCTAAGAATGCACGTGTCTCAAGAACTACGCAGGTTGTCCGTCTCTGTCAATGAGAATTTCTTCTTTTGGACGAGACTGTTCGCAACAGATCAGGTAGCCAAGTGTCTTAGCCGGCGCAGATCTTTTGATACCCATACCATAGAAGGAAAAGCGAAACTTCAGGAGATTGCTGATGACCTCCGAGGAGTTTCTTCCCAAACCCCAGATGATGCCTGGATCCAAGCTATGGTGGAATGTGCTATCGCCAGAATGATGGAGAGGGTCCGTGCGGAAGAAGACCCCCAGGGGAAGACTGAGCAACCTGGGGAGGAAGAACCTGCAGCAGTTGACGATGATGATGAATATGACCGCTGTAGCTTACTTACACCGGTCAATAATACATCGGATTCGGAAGTCGGGTTTTAGCTTGCTGTCATTGCTGCCAATGAGAATCTTGCAGTAGACATATCTATAATCTCGCCGGAGCCTATTGCTTCGCTAAGTCGCACGGCTACCTACTAGGTTTGGAAAGGTAGGTACCTAGGCAATGAAAATGGATGAGATTTCATTAGTCAATGACTATCTCGAATTATACCAAGTCTCCCCGTTGAAAGCTTAGCCTCCAATGTACATCTAGTCAAGACCCTTGAAGACCTCCTCAAAGCGCAACTCGTTCCATCGAACATCGGGCTTGAGCCCAGCAAACTTCCAAATCCCATTAACCTTGCGGTAGTAGTGCTCATTTGTAGCGTGGGAGTGACCGCGTAGCTTGACAGTCTCCAGCTCCTCAGTCTCGTAGACCTGGTGCGCAGCACGCAACTGATGGTGACCGATGACCTCAGTGTCAGAGATCTTCTCCCACCAAGTCTGGCCAAGCAGATGCTGTGTCTTGATGGTCCTGTCACCGAGGAAGCCAGGGTGGGTAACCATGGCCATGTAGTCATCAGCAGCCATGTTGTCCCATCTTTTCAGACCGATCTTGGTGTAGTCGACCGTCAAGGTCGGGGCGATGATGCTGCGCAGTCGATCCCAGTCCTGGAGATAGTTAGTGCTGATCTCGTATGGGTGATGACAAGATGCGTACCTTGGCATCGTAACTATCAGCCCAGTCGAATACAAGCTTCGAGAGGATGAGATAGTCTGTGGGATGTTAGTATTTGTCTAGTCGCATGCACGTGTAGACCAACCTTGGAAGCTGATGTCCAAGTTGGGCTCAGCGATTATGTTCTTTATGGCAGGAGACATGATTATCGATTAGGTAGTGACTTGTGTAGATTCTGAGGTTCTGGCGATAGTCACGAGCCACGGAGGGCGAGTATATCCAAATTTCATTTCTGTCTCATTTCCCTGAAACCAGCATTCCCCGAATTTGGCCAGAACATCCCTCGGCCCCGGAAGCATAACAATGCCCCCGATGGCCTGGGATGTGACAGATGGTGGAGACAACCTCATGGCTTTCCGCATCCGGGGCTTGGTATTGCCAAGGATTCCGCATTCACCTTCGCAAGCAGACATAGAGCGTTCAGACGTGATCGATAATGGCCACTGAGATGTTACAAAGGAGTGAAACTTGGCAATTATCATTCCAGTATCTCGATGACTGATCCGGACACAGACTCCACCAGCTGCAACAGGCAGTGGTGAATGAAGGAACTAGGCCAGCAAGCTGATTGCAGCCTCGAACAATCTTATGCGACTTCAAATTAACAGACTGAATATTAGGCTACGGTCCCCTCCTACCAGCGCGTTTTCCCACTCAGTCCTATACACCCCTTCCCACTTTTCCCTTCTAATCAACCGTCTACAAAAATGGTCGTCCCCAACCCCAATGCCACCCAGCCCGAGCTCGCCGGCAAAGTCGCCCTAGTGACCGGCGGCGGCCGTGGCATCGGCGCCGGCATCGCGCTGGAGCTCGCAAAGAAGGGCGCCAACGTCGCCATCAACTACGCCAGCAGCTCGAAGACTGCCGACGCGGTGGTCCAACAAATCCAAGCCGAGGGTGTGCACGGCGCAGCCTTCCAAGCCAACCTGACTCAAGTCGAGTCAATCGAGGCCCTTTTCGAGCAGGTAGTCAGCCACTTCGGACGACTGGACATCGTGGTGTCCAACGCCGGAACCGAGAAGTTCGTGCCCCTGTCCGAGACCACTCTGGACGACTTCAACGCGGTGTTCGACCTGAACACACGAGCGCAGTTCTTCGTCGCCAAGAACGCCTACAACCACATCCAGCCTGGCGGTCGTGTCGTGCTGATGTCGTCTATTGCTGCGGGTCTTGGTGTTCCTGGACATTCACTTTACGCGGGCAGCAAGAGCGCTGTCGAAGGCTTTACTCGCTGCTTCGCTGCTGATTTCGGCAAGAAGAAGGCTACTGTTAATGCGATTGCGCCTGCTGGTGTCAAGAGTGACATGTGGATGAGCAATGCGTGGCGTTATGCGCCTGGCTGCGATCAGAATTCTTCTATTGAGGAGATTGAGCAGGCTTTGGCTAATGGTAGCCCCCTTGGGCGCTGTGGTGTGCCTGCGGATATCGGCCGCATTGTGGCATTCCTGGCCAGTCCCGCTGGAGAATGGATCAACGGTGAGTACTGGAATGCTGGCTTGACCCCCTACGAGAAAATGACTAATTATGTCCGGTTTACAGGTCAAATTCTGCCATGCAACGGTGGTGCCAATATCTAATTGAACTTGATATTGGTGTTGAGGTGTTTTGGATTTTGGATTCTGAGGTCTTGGGACAATACTTAGAGCTATACATAGAATCAGAATTTCTTGCTATATTTAATGATCTATTCGTCCATTTCAATGTCTCATCTTGTATTGCTTTGCATAGGGTGAAAGTGAAGAGAATTGTTCTAGTGCCAGACTGCCAGTTCACTCTCCGACCTCCGTACAAGGTGATGGCTCCCCGAGTAAAACGTGCAATGTACCGAAAGCACAACTAGACCAACACCGGCGCTTTTGCATTTTGCGAGACAACAAGACCAATCAGTTTACTCTCGTACAAAAAACAACGGAAGCCGAGAGCGCTCCTAAGGTCTAACGTCAGCGTCGCCGCATTCGGAAGCCCGAAGCATCCATGCCCTGCCAAGATCACCAAGTCGATGGATCACCCCTGTTTTCAAGCACATGGCATTGACGACCCTACTGTTTGCATCCGCCACCGTTCTGCCTTGGCTCCGCTCTGTAGCAGCTGTTTCTACCGAGTGCAGATGGCAAAGCACTCAGAATGGGACGTTACGCGTACATTTAGGGCATTAAACGGAGCAATTCCTCTCTGAAGCTCTCTATATAGCCAATTGGCCATTTTCCACATCATTTGTATCATCTGTATCAAAGTCAAAATGGTGAACTGGATTCTCGGAGACAAGTTCGACACTGTCTACCCACACAAGGGGTCTATCAAGGCCCTGTGGGAGACGAAGTGGAAATTCTGCGTATGTCTCGCAACCCAGAAGAAAAGGAAGAGAGATTAACAGAAGTCATTGTCAGTGCACCAAATCCATCTACCCATTCCACGATGGCTCCATCGAGGACTTTGAGCCGATTTTCCAGAAGCTCATCGCCGTAAGCGCAATCCCCAAACACACAAAGCCCAGCCCTAACACATCCAAGGAAAACATCAACGACGCCTCCACAGACGCCTATACCGAAGCCTTTCTCCAAACAGCAGCAAAACTGGAAGCCGAAGCCAACGAAGCCCTCTCAAAAGGCCAAACCTCCACAGCCGCCGACCTCTACCGCCGCGCAGCTGTGGTCCTCCGCATCTCCCGCTTCCCCTACGTAAGCCCGTCAACCAAGCCAGAAACCTCCATCAAGCGCCGCGCCTTCAACCTCCAGAAGAAAGTCTACCTCCAAGGTGCCTCCCTCTGGGACCCCATCATCAAAGAAGAGGTGATCCCGCACACGCACCGCGCGGGCCGCGACGGCCCCACAATCCCGATCTACATCCGTCTTCCCAAAGAAGCGAGCAACGGCCCTGTTCCGACTGTGCTGCTCATGACGGGACTGGACGGGTACAGACCTGACAACAGCCAGCGCACCCACGAGATCATCAACCGCGGCTGGGCGACTGTTATCGCGGAGATTCCGGGGACGGCGGATTGTCCTGCTGATCCTGCGGATCCGGAGTCGGCGGATAGGCTTTGGTCTAGTGTGCTTGACTACATGGCTGGACGGAGGGAATTTGATATGGAGCGGGTTGCGGCTTGGGGGCTTAGTGCAGGTGGCTACTATGCCATTCGGGCGGCTTGTACGCATCGTGACAGGCTTGCGGGTTCTGTTGCTCATGGACCCGGGTCGCATCATGTGTTTGATCCGGAGTGGTTGGCTAAGGCCAATGACCATGAGTATCCGTTTGAGTGAGTTATGCTGAGTTTGCTTTTTCCTGGTTGTGACTGACTGACCATATTCTAGGCTTACACCTGCTTTGGCCGAGAAGTATGGCTATGACAGTCTTGAGGACTTCGTGCAGAATTCTAAGAAGAAGTTCTCGCTTGTCGAGACTGGTATTATTGACCAGGACAACTGTCGTCTGCTTTTGCTCAACGTATGTATTCCGGTTCGATTATACATGGGAAAGAAACAAACTGACGAATTCCAGGGCATTGATGACGGTTGTGTCCCCATTGAGGACTCGATGGTGCTCCTCAACCACGGAGGTCCCAAGGAAGGACGGTTCTTCGAGAACCGAGTGCACATGGGATACCCTGACAGTCTGCCGGTGGCCTACAAGTGGTTGGAGAGTGTACTCTCTCCCAACATGAAGCAGGTGAAGAACTAAGTGATTTTCACGGTGTCAAAGAGTCAATGTTATTCTGTATTGTAATAAACGAGTGGTTAATTGGATTGTACCTGCATGCGTTATTGTTCCCAGACCGGCATAAATGAGCTTGAAAGTTATCTGCGTCATTGATTGACCTGCACATATTTATGCGTAGAGACGTGGAAATGCTACTGATTGAGATGCACGGTGATTAACCACTTTGTCATTGTTGATATGTAGTTGAAGATGAGAAGCATCTCCCGTTTGACCCGACGCAAGCCTGATCGACTCGCTTAAATTCCGATTTGGCTTTGAGAAACCACATGGTGGTAGAGATTGCACTGCCCAAAACGCCCGCAATGCATAAGAATATTTTCGATGCGCAAGAAGAGATCACAGAGGGATAGATGTCAAATATGAATTCAATCGTCGTCCACCCTTGGGCGTTTTGACTTGCGGTCGTCGTTCTCAGCCTCCTGAATCCCGTAGCGCTTCTGGCCGGAAGTCACATCGGCAATCATGTTATCGATGCCGAATGGATCAGCAGTATCCTTCTCGAATTGGACAGGACCTTCGCGCTCCTATAAAAAGAAGAAACTTATTAGCGATGAAAAAAAGGTAATTGGTTTAGGAAGAAAGCTCACCTCGGCTTCAGCAGCGCCTCGGAAGCCCTCCTTGGCGCGTCCCAAGACCTCAAATCGCTTGGTCTTTTCGAGCCGACTCATCTCGCCTTCGCCTGCATCTTCATCGTCGGCGTCAGCTTGGGCACGAGGACGATAAATGCTGTTTATGGCGTCCTGCGCAGCGAACAGCGGCTTGTCGTAAGGGTTGTCTTCGTTGAAACCAGTTTGCATGCCACTGGTCTGGTTGAACAAACGTGAATCCCACATGGTTTCAGAGCTCTGTGTCGGCTTGGCCAGACCAAGCGCCACCTTCTCGGAGATATCACGGTTCTGTTCTCGGGCCATGGCTTGAATGCGGCGCTCCGTACCCATGCGAGACTGGCGCAGCTTGCGCTCGTCTTCACGTCGTCGCTCACGACGAGCCTCTGCGCGGTCTCGAGCGGCTTCATCCTCTTCACTGGGCGTAGCAGACCTGGACGAGGAGACCGACACACTGCGGCTCACACTTCGGGAGCGAGAACGAACCCGACGACTGGGACCAGCGCGATCCTCGCGAGCCTTCTGTGCCAGCATCCGGAGATGCTCCTCCTTCTGCGCTTTCTCCTTCTCGGCCAACTTCTGCTGCATTTGAGCTCGGAGCTGCACCTCTTCACGAGCATGTCGATCGGCGGTGAACAAAGCCTCTGCGAACTGGGCGAATTTGTCGTTGATGGTGACATCTTGAAGTCCACGTCCATCAGCAGCCAAACGCTTGTCCAGAGGCACAGTGTAACCCTTGGGATTCTTCCAGTTCGAGACCGGCGGGGGGATCTTCCAGGCCTCTTGGTCCTCCGCCGTGAGCTTCCTCGGCGGCGAATGCATAACAGGAGGTGGAGGGGAGGGCGGGCCACGGGGAATCTTTTTGTGCTTGAACTTGGGCGGCTCCATAGGATCCAGTTGTCGCTCAACGATCTTCATGATGCGGTCATTTTGGCGGCCATTGTTTCCCATCTGGTTCGCGGGGGTATAGCGAACGAAGGTCGGCTCGGCTCTTCGCCCGCCCTTCACGTTCTTCGGTTTCTGTGCGGACGCAGCTCCTTCGACCAATGTTGAAAGGGCGGCCTTTGTCTTCTCCATCTGAGCCTGGATCTCTTCTTCGGACGGCTTCTCCAGTGAAATCTCTCCCATATCCACCCGCTGTCGGAGCGGGATCAGATCTTTGAACGAGGCATGTACGGTGCGGTTGTCGGCGTGTCCACGGCGGGCGATCGCATCGTACTTGACTTTTCCTTCGGCGTCGACCTGAACAGCAAGCGCATTTGAGGTTGAGGATGTTCCCTTTCGGCCCATGTCGAGAGGGTATTGGGCCACTAGAATCTCTGGGAACGCGCCGCCATCTCCAAAATCTTCGGCGGCGCGAGGTCGCCATCCTGTGCGGTTTCCATAGGGCGGGGGGCCGGTTCTCTAAGGATGGAGTTAGTTTAGTCCTATTTTCATAGAAGAAAATCCAGATAGAACTCACCCGCAAGACAACCTGTGTTTCATCTAGCTGGTCGGCGCCGACCACGCGCGGACCACGGGGTTGCGCATGTTGTGGCAACTCCTCATCCTCACCAGTGTATTTTGGTTTTGGAAGGGACTTAAAAAGCCCAGAAGCGATAGATGTAGACATTGTGGGAGTGAGCAACTCAAGAGCTGTGCACTCGTGAATGATGAGGATACATCATGGAGTGACGCTCCATTTGGCTTTTCGGAATAAACTGCGCACGTGGTCGGTGTGCGGTAACGTATTTGAATGCCAAGACCTTTCGATCCAACTGCATAGTTGGCTCGTTTGAACTGCCGTATGACCTGTGTTCATCAGAAAGTCCGTTCACGTGTACCGGTCGGATCGGCCTGTTTTCCATAGGAAGGTCGATTCGCAACTTTGCCGAAAGCCTAGACTTTGTCCCTAATCTACTCGAGTAGGCAGCTTTCCTACTTTATGTATCTACGAGCCCGACTTTCTTTGCTTCCCCATTTCTACCATTCAATCTACATACTCCCGTCGTTGTAAGACTAATTGGGCCGGCGATGGACCCTTACGCACGCGGCACATGTTTGAATCAGTAACTATTCATTGGGGTCATAATTTTCCTTAGCAAATTAATAGCAATATTCACCAGACAACAGTTAAGAATCGGTCGTGTGGAAGTTCAAAACCGGGGTCCAATGTATTCCTCAGCACACCAACTCCAAGTTGGATTTCCCAGGGACGATGCTCCCTAAAGGGATTTTCCCCTTCACCGTAGATGAAATCCTCTACCTCCTTCTCAATCCATACACCGTATCCATATGTACAAGGGCTCATGTCCACGAGTGGGTGTTCTGCCACGCCGATGGTAATTTTGGGTCTTGATCCAGCGTCCCGGTCTCCCCATAGCGTGCCCTCCGATACCATTCCCTTGATTTCTTCCAGCATGCTAAACCAGTCTTCATCGTCAAAACGGAAGTGCAGCATACTAAGTTCAATGGAGCGAACGGATTTTGGTAGCGTCTTGAGGAAAGAGACACAATCCTCCTGTGAGATAACAAAGCCGGAGAGTTCGAAATGGCGCAGTTTCGACCATTGTTCCACGGGACCTATGTCCCGTAATGGGAGCAGAGGATATCCGTTGTTATCGTTGAGAAATTCATCAAATGGGGTATGCAGCCTGAACTCTTCCATGTCTTTTGCTTCACCAAGTGCCCGGCGCAGACGCCCACCAAGCAGGGATCGCCAGCATGCTTCGAGGTCTTCATCATGGAGACCACCGGCAAGCAAGGCAATATCCAGACGGCGGAAGCCCGGCTTCTTAAGCACGGTAGCGAGATGGTCGTACTCTTCGCAGGGCTCGTCGAAGATTCTGCAGTTGATCCCCGTGAGGATACCGTTAGAAGTCATCACCAGCTCAGAAACAGAGTTGGGTTCATTGGCGAGGACACGCATTGCTGTGCGGAACCCGCGGTACCGATCTCTAAGCTCTGGATATTGATTCCACGAATATGCTGCAGCGGGCCACCTCACGGTTCTAGCGTACAGCCAACCACGAGGAATGGGGTAATTGAAACCTTTCGGGAAAGCCCGAATCATAGGGGTCTGGTAAAGGGGGCTGATGAGGTGACCGTGGGCTGAAGGTGTGATGGTAACTCTCTTGAGGGCAGGAAACTGTTTAACGCCGAACGCGAACGCTTCCAAATCACTCTGACTGGCAAGAACATCCTTCTGTTGACGCAGCAACTGCTGATAATATTGCCAGCGCACCCCCAGCCAAGGCTGAGCCAGAACCTGTTCTCTGCGAGCGATATGGTCAGGCCTGTCCACATCGTTATCTTCCCGCCATTCCATAACGAAAAGGTTTTCCTCACAAGCGTTTCTGAACCATTTAGGACACGAATGTTCCTCTTCATACCCACCGCGCTCTGTCATCTCCTTTGTGTATCGACTGGGGTGTTTATGGTATATCCCACTCCATTCATGGGGATTATCGTCTCTCTCCTCGTCCGAGAGCAATTCATGTGCATGTGGCTCATCAAATTGATTTCGTCGTGGGGGACCCCGACGCAACCGCGCCTCATCCCAGATAATCTCGTTGACCTGATAACGGTACTTGTCGTGTGATGCAATGTTGCGGAAGACCTCTATGTTGAGAGGGTTGGCGGATAAAAAAACACGATTGAACCGAAGAAACACTATATTGCTGAGTTGCTTGCATGTCAGGCGCAAAGATTTGATGTCGGCATTGGATAGATGTGACTCAATGAAGCCCCAGAGCTCCAAGGGGAGCGCGGGGGGTATAAGCCATGATTTCGGGCCAACCAAATGCCGGTGTACAGGTTGGGCACCCTGAGGCGATCCTTCGGCAGCCCCTTTGCAGGTGTTGTTTTATTCAGTTCCCAAAGGGGCGTCTGGTTTTGCTTCTGTTGATAGGAAACTATGTAGTGGCATGGGGAAATAGGAAGAGGAAACTGATCCATGAAAATATGGAGAGTAGGCTGTATTTAAGCCTGCATAAACAGAGAGGACAAACAATGGATGAGAGCCTCAGGCTGCAAACTCAAAGGCACAAAGACATCCAAAGACATCCTCTGTATGTCAACAGCTTCTATCTTTCCATCTCCGCCGCTTCATAGACTATCTCTTGATAGTGCTTATTCGAAGGAAAGATAACTCATAACCGGATGAGGCCTTACACCCTGAAGCTCTCCTTCTGCATCCAAGTCCCAGACATCAGAGCACCTATCTGCAGCCTTGTCACCTAAGACTTTCCGGACCGTCGTGCGCATGCTACCGTATCCAGTAGCCAAGACAACGACATCCGCCGGCAGAGAGTCGCCGTTCGCCAAGAGCAGCTCACGATCAGTGAAGCCATTGATGCCGCCAGGGTTATGGATGACCTTTATTTTCCCGTCGATGATGAGCTTGCTGCATCCAACGTCGATGTAGTAACCGCCGCCTCGGGTGAAGTATGCACGCGCAATACCGCCCCCATCGGGGCCGAAGTCAAGTTCGAACCCAGCCCGACGTAGTCCATCTAGTGTTCCGTTATTAGTATTGAGCCAACTGTCCAACGGACTTCAACATTGAACAGTTGGCTCAATCAATAGTAAAGCTATACAGAATCCATTACCAAGTTAGGTTCACCTACATGTGAGGTTCTCCGCGTTAATAAAGCTGCTCAACAGTATACTCAGTCTTGCCTACAGCGACAAACGAGATGTGAAGAAGGGAGCTTTAAATTGGTTGTTGACGCTAATAAACCATCAAATGCTATAATTACATGGAAACAGGAAATCTCCAACATACCAACGAGTCTTACACCTCTTCACGTAGACATAAGATGTGTACGCAGGGGGCAGACGATATCTTCCTTCTCGTCTGTCTCGACAAAATGATCACGTCCCTGGAATTTGTACCAGATCTTCAACCGTTTGGGCAGCAATGGTGCTGGGTCATGGAATCCCAGAATTTGGAACTAGACGCATACAAGTTAGTTTTTCAAGTCCAACAAATCAGGATTTGCATGGCTTACCTTTCTGGATTTGCCAGAGATCACCAACTGACCCCGGTTGACTAGCGCAGCAACAGGAACAGTGACATCAATCAAACACGGCTCCGTGAACCCATTCTTGGCTTTCTTCTTTGTAGGTGGTACATAGCCATACTCAGCTTTGAGGATGACAAGACCATCTTGTTCTTCCTCTCGTGCTTGACGCCTTTGGACTTGATCGCTCATGAGCTCAATGGCCTGAAGACTTTCCTCGCGTTTCTTCGGGATCAGCTTCTTCAGTTCGCGGTGGCGGCGAGCAGCGGCCTGTCGACGCTTCTTCTTATCGCGTGGGCGGATATAGCCGAATTCAATCGCGCAGTAGGCCAGCCAAGGGAAAATAGCCGTCAGCGCTGCAGCGCCGGACGTGGCTTCGCTAGCCGGGCAAATGTTGATCGGAAGCTCAACTCTTTGTCCCAGGCGGCTCCATGAAACTGTCATCATGATACCCTTTTCCGCGATGCCGATGCCGAGGCCAACGCGAGTGTACTCGCCTACCCGACGGACGCCCTTGATTGTCCAGCTTAGAGACAAGTCCGTTTGAACCATGCTTGCAATCTCGAGCCGGACAGCGCGTGCCTGGTCCATTGCCGGCATCGGGAAGTAGCCCTCAGAGCTCCATTCGGTCCTCACTGGATCATCAGCGGGTGTTCCGGAGAAGAGATTACGAGAATAATTGAAGACAAGTGCGCCACCTGCGGGGGAAACCTGCAGAAGGGTCTGCCATTGCTCCGCAGACTGGTCGATGTTGCGTTTCTTCTTGAGAAGCTGCTGAACGTCCTCATCCATTTCTTCATCCTCCTCCTCGTCGAAATCTACTGTAGCTTGCGCCTTCTCGGGGAGCGAGATGAACCCAAGTTGCAGGTTGCTAAACTCGTTGGCAGACGAGAAAGCGCTCTGAAGTCCCATACCGAGTGATGGGAACAAGTTAGAAAGGAAATTGGGCCAGTCAATCTGTCCACTGGACCAATTCAGAACTCCAAGCTTCCTTTTAGCAATCTCTTTTGAGATATGGACCTCGAACGAGGGTGGCGTTTCCCCCAGAGAACGCGTGTGTATACTGGTCACACTGACCTGAACCGGCTTGGTACCAGGGATTGGTTGGAAGGCCCGAGCAATGCTTGCTTTCAAAGCCGGGGCAGGCAGAAGAAGAGCTTCGAAGGTCACCGCAGAGTCTCCCAGAAGCGAGAAGGGATGTTTAGCCCAGATTCCCTTGGTGCCCACCAGATTCTTGAAATTGGGGGTAACAGATGCCCCAAGTTGGATGCTGCGGGCCGCCAAGAGCGGTGGCATTGTATACTGGTGACCATGGTTAGCTAAGTTCGGGGATCAAGGGTTCCAGTGCAACATACTGGTCCTTCCTCTACATGCCCGTCCTCGTACTCGATTTGGACTGTTTTGACTTGGCGGACCAAGCCTCCATTTATACCCGCATTAAACGTGACCATCATGTCCTCCGGCTCCTCCTCTTCAGCGTCTTCTCCCGATCGGATTTCCGTGTCCGATTGTTCTGTTTCATCCTCTGCTGTGCTCCAAACACGTGGCAACAACACCGGCGTGCTGAAGTTGTACGAAACTCCGTATGCATTCACTCTCGGTGAGGGTATATGAAACTGCACATCTTCATCTTCATCAACTGAGACCATGGTCGAGGCATCAATTCCCAATGTGAGGCCGCCCTAATTTCAACAAAGTCAAGATCAGCAACGGCCCAACATTCGAGCCACTCCCCATAGATGCATACCCTGGTGACAACCAAGCTCTCCACCGCCTTCCGCTCCCTTTTCTTCATTTTATTCAAGAACCAGCGACGGAACTGCTCTGGCGACATCGTTTTGACACCAACATCTCGTCTTTCCGCCTCTCCACCAAGACCCATAATCCCAGACTTGCCCCATTCCCGCCTTACACCCGCTGCGCCAGCTATATCATACACGGCACGCTTTTTTGGATCAATGAGGGTCTCATATGCCTCCTGGATATGCATGAAATGACTCTCCGCGGCATGGCGGAGATGCGGCGGCTGTTTGTCCGGATGAAAGCTGAGGGTCAGGTTGCGGTGGGCTGATCGGATCTCGGAGTCTTTGGGAGGCGGGTCCCGCGAAAGTCCTAGTAGGACGTAATAGTCTGTTTCCTCTGGATATTCGTCCATGCTGGAATCGGCGTCGAGCCCATCATCGTCCACCGTGGCGCGGAACTCTTGCGCCCCGGAGGGGAACTGATCGAAGGAGGACATGGGGGATTGTGCGCACTATTTTGTTAAACACATATGGTTATGATATTTGCTCCATTTTGGGGTGTTCCTGGGATTGAAGGGCAATGAAGCAACGTAGAGGTTGGGAATTCCGCCGGAGAAACTCTCCGCTCCGTTGTAATTTCCCCGCAGACTGGGCAAGAACAGTGGAGTGATCAGCGGACAGCTGTGAAATTTCCACTCCTCTTGTTATGTTGTATGTAGTATTTGGATTCCTTCTGGAGTCGAACACAATGGACTGTTCATCTGTCGAAGACAATACCATTGGTATCGGGCGCTATGGAGGATCAAGACTCGCGACATGCAACCTTCCTATTCACCTGTGTTGCAGATACGTGGTCACTGCCGCTCCTCAATTTCTACCACTTTCCACCAACAATCACCCGTCCAGCGGCAGCTACACAGTAAAGCTACTGCCCATCTGCTCAGTTCTTCTAAATCCTTCACCTGATCACATTCATACGATCAAGAGCGTTATTGCCTATCTCTGTCACACGAGGATGAGATCTCTCTGCTTCCTGAAGCAATCAATCTCTCCGTCACTGTCGGTTCAACTTTTCCAGCGATGAGTCCTTTGGTGAATCGTGATCGAAGATCCTCTGCCGGATACATCTGCTTGATCTTCGGAGGATCTGTTGATCGGAAAGCCCCAAAGCAGAAAACGGTCACTACCGTCTACTAGTACTACTGATGCTGAGTTGTTGGCTTTGTCTGAGGCTGGTCAATGTCTTTTCATGTGGAAGCGACTTTTCTAGGCCTTTATGACCTCTACCATGCTACCATGAACTGCATATTGATCATCACATTGATAAACAAACCGATGCCAAGAGCTCAATGGGGCTGAGCAAAGTATAGATGGAAGCAAGGCCACTGAGAGGCGTTGCCGCGATGATCATCCGGCAAAATCTTGAACCCACCCAGTTGAATTGGGTTCATGCAGCTCTCAGGAAGCTGGGCTAAATTTTGAGATTGTCGCCCAACCGCAGTAAACTCATGGAGCTGCCGATCGGTGCGAAGCTCAAGCCGGGAAGCAGAGTCGGTGGGACTGTTAGAGCCCATATATGGCAAGAGAACTAGATATCGAACGAGCAACTGATGACGGATATTGAGTGTACCAGGTCAGATACCCAATTTAAAACTGGAGATGCTGTCGTGTTGGGTACCTGAAGCGGGAGGCGCAGGAAGATCTACGAAGCAAAAGTCTTGGCAAAACGAGCCACGTCGAGCCCTAGACCTCCTTTCAGTTAGAAGAAGCTCATTATACGTCAGCCTAGATGGAGTCATGGCTTTGGGAGGGATGGTTTATTGTGTCAAAGGTGAATTTTATGTGATGATCTATACAAAGCTCCGGCGATCTATGCAGGGCTCCAGGCAACAATTCATGCGATGAACCTCGTGTGATTGGAGAGTATAAGTAGATCTCGTTGGTACGCACCTCTATCATCGTCAACAATGACTGCCGCTCGCCTGAGAGAATTGAAGGCCACACAGCCCCCAGTCTTCCGAATAAACCTCTCCCTCCCACCAGAAGAGCGCTACAAAACCCTCGCACGACTCTACAAAGACAAACTGCACGTCGTGACGGACATCTTCGACGAAGTGATCCACAACCTAGCACCCAAACTTCCAACGAAACCAATCCACTGGATGGCACGAATGTGCCTACGCAAGTTGTACACGAAAGAAGAAACGGCTGAAATCCGCGGTATCAGTCACGTCACCGGAATCGACCTCTACTTCCTGATAAGCTTCAATGTCGTCCTCGATCTGCTGATGGGATGCACAAGCGGCGGTGTCCGAATGCACGACGGGCTCTGGACAAGAATGGTTCATTTCCGAACCTTGGACTGGGGCATGGACGCTTTACGCGATCTAATCGTGCAACTGGAGTATATTCGCGATGATGAGCCCGACAACGTGCTCGCATCCTGCATCACGTACGTCGGGTTTGTGGGCGTCCTGACTGGCGTCCGGAAGGGTTTGAGTGTCTCGCTCAATTTCAGAGCTGTACATGACTCGCGTCGAGATCGGGGCTTCTATTGGAATCATTTGCTGGTCTTTCTCGGCTTCCGTCAGTCGGTCACCTCGCTGTTACGACAAATTATCATACCCGGATCAGTTGTGCCCGACAACTCGCTCTCGAATACATCGACCATATGGGATGTCATTGTCGAAGTCCCGGGGATGCGTACCACGGCCGCGTATTTGATCTTCTGCGATGGATCTAGAACAATGTTTATGGAAAAAGACTACGAGTCAGCAGTTTGGCGGACCTCGACTTCATTTCTTATCAAGACTAATCACGATGAAGATGTGAACACAGCTACGGCTGAAGCCATAGCTAGAGACAAGGGATACACAGGCCTGCGATCTAAAAATTGTGCGCAAAGCATGGCTGAGGTTTTTGAGCAGAGCAGGAAGCGGCAGGAATCCATGCAACTCAAATGGGAGTCCAGGGTGCAGGATCATAAAGCTTTCCAGCGGCAAAAGAGGATACGCAGAGCGACGGAGGCTGCTCTCTCATCCACCCAACCATTACATCTTAGGTGGAAGCGGAATACGGAGGGCGAATACCCGCCGGAATCTGAGACTGAGGTGTCTGCTACGCTTGGAACCGTGCTTGGATGGCTTTGCGCAGACCCGATCGTCAATAGAGATACGCATTACGCGGTTCTGATGGATCCTGTCGAGGGACGGTTCATCTATGCAGGGCAGTTTCCAGCTCAGACTTCACGACTTGTCTTTTTGGAGAAATAGTTGAGTGCATGTCTCATGTTGATGTTATTTTTGTCTACATTACGTTTTCAGCGTTGCATCTATTCATTTCTAGCGCTTTTGTCGGCTCTTGGAGTTTCTGATGTTCAACTACCATGTTATCCCACTCCGTATATAGGCTCTCAATCTGGATTTATTGATATACCTAGACTGGCAATATAGCAGAGCGCTGGGGAAAGAAGCGAGGATCATAATATACACTTTCGGAAGCATCCGAATGCTCGAATGAAGGTAAATAACCAACAGACCGGACATAACCCTTTCTATACATAGCAGAACATCCAAATCAACCAAGTAAGCAAACTTAGACCAAAATCTAAGGATCCCTAATCCAAACAATTCCACTCTCCGAAAGAAGCGTCTCATCAACGCGTAGCGCATTCAAAAGCACCACCCTAGGCATCGACCCGGTGAAAAGATCCTCCTCAAGCCCCGCATACGAATGCGAACGCGAATGCGAATTCACCGCACCAGCATGGACCTTCGTCTCTAGCGGCGGTCCGTCAAGCGCGAACCCCTGTTTCTCCGCAAAGAGACCACGCTCATTAAGACAAGTGATCATCAGTCCCAGCCGTCTATGAAGGGCTGCAACGAGCTGCAACGAGCTGTCCCAATACCGACCCAATTCGGCGACGGTATCTAGCGCTCCGCGGATGTAGGCGATGTACTCTTGTAATTGCGAGGCCAGACCGGCTGAGCAGAGGACGTCGACGGCTGATAGGATGATGTAGCCGAGGAAGGGATTTAGGGGGGTCGGTTGGGATGGTTGTTCTGCGGTGTGTCGGGGTGGAACGAGGTCCTTGATGTATTGGGTGAAGGTTAGGGATATGCGCAGGATTTCGACGGCGTGGTAGCGGGCTCGGTGGATGAATTGGGATAGGAGGTCTTGGCGGAGGGTTTGGTAGCGGGCGTGCCTGTATAGTTTCATCAAGCTGGCGTGGTAGATGAGATGGGTGGAGATGAAAGTGTCTGCTTTTCTTTGGCGGATGCTTTGTTCTAGGGTTTCCGATGAGAACGATAGGTAATCAGGGAGTTGGGTGCTCCATTGGGTAGTTTTTTGAACGATGGTTGTTTGGAATTCTTCGGTGAGGCGGTTGTATGCTTCTGACGGGATGTGTGGTAGACGGGTTATGTGCAGGGAGATATCTCCATAGATTGCCAGAATCTCGATTAGAAAGGCCATCGAGCTTAGACTGGACCGGTCGTGGTCTGTGGAGGATGGGGTGTGATTGAGGAAGGCTTGAAAATAGGGGACCGTCGTATATTGTTGAGATTCGTAGATTTCTTCACGGCATGGAAGCCTGAGTAGAGCCGTGTCTGACGACATGAAGGTCGATGAAGCGGAATAGAGGCTTGAGAAGCGCTGTACATTTGTCAGTTGCCATTTTAGTAATGTTTGGACTTGAGTCGCAGGGTGAGTATCAGCCTACATCAAGCACAAAGGTAATCCAAAAAGTTCTTCGCCGGCACTCGATTAAGGCCTGTGGATGTAACCCGTATTCGCACATCTGACTCTGATCGACAACGACACCCCCGGACTCCACATTGTAACGGAGCCCAAGAACTGCTCTTCCCGCTGCGCCTATCGAATCCCAACACCCGACCTGCGACCCTGTAGCATAATACCAAAGACCCAAGATGATATGGCTTTGCGCAAGTTGCAAAGAGAGAGTATACTGGCTTTTGTTGATAGCGAAGCGTGCTATGCGCGAGTAATGCCTCATAGCTGCCAGTTTATCCGGCCTGTCCGAGAAAACAGACCCAAGGGCCATCATCGAGTACAGTAGCATCTTGTCCTCTGCCGATTTGGTGGGGTACGTCTTCAGCCACAAGGTGAACCGACGATGCGGGAACATGTGGTACAGGCCATCATTCACGTGCAAGAAGTAACACTCAAGGTAATGCATCGCCGTCTCAGGGTCGCTTTCGTACGGGTCCAGATACCAGGAGGCCATGAGTGGATCGTCCGAGTGGCTGTTCTGCAATTCCCCCAGAATCTCACTGTATTCGGGCGAACGAATACTGTCGATATGTTGCGACGGTCGGCCGAAGGTGTCATCTGCGCCGAAGGGCGGCGGAATTCTGTAGGATCTGGATCGTATACGTCTGTCTGCTTCAGCCATGGTTTCATGTGTGGCATCTTGGCCTGATGGCGTGAGCATCGAGGGCTCTGACATTGGTGACTGGCCTCGAGTTCCTGGTAGGGAGGTCGCACTGCCGGAGGCTCGAGCGATGCTGTAAAACGAGGAAGAAGCCTCCGAAGCACTGTGGCTAGTCGGGGTATATGGGTCGGTTCTGCTAGAGGGTCCTGCTGACCCTTTCATCGAAGCACGGTTCCCCCGCGGGCTTTATGCTTATTAGCAATGGCTCAATAAGGTAATTTTGGTTCCATCTTCTTCCAAGGTCACGATCACACTTACGCACTTTCGAACCTGCATTCCCGTCCAGATTTCCGACATTGATCACATATCCCCTCGGCGGTGGGATTGGGACTACACTTGATCTTCTTCTCGCGACATGTCAAACATGCAAGCCCAAGTCGTTTTCTCGGCCGGCCGGCCTTTGTGACTCCCCAGTTGGCGTTCACAGGTGTACCGTCAATGAATTTCGGACAAAACGACCCGTCAGCGTATACAAAGCATAGTTCTCCGTCGATAACTCGCTCATCTACCACGTGAGGCCGAATTGGCTGGTTGTGTGACCGGGTTGAACTCTCCGGTGAGGATAGTTCCCCGCCGCGCCCTTGGTCATGTGAGGATGTAGGATGAAAAGGTAGCTGGCCGTGTGAGAAAGAAGTAACCGGGGGATCACTTCTTGTGGGTGTGTGGTTCCTTATACTCCCGTGGCCATGTAATCCCACTTGTGATAATGGGGGTAGGCCTATGACATGCGGTTGCGGAAGAGATTCAGAGCGGCCTCTATCATGTATCGGGTTTGGCGAATGCTGAAACGCCGGGTCGTGATGGCGGGATGGGTATGCAGCTTCCCGGCGCCCATCGCTGGGTGTGGCGCTTGCAAATGGTTGATGGTATTGTGGTGATATGGGGCCCGGGTTTGGAATTAGGATTTGGCTCACGGAGGGAAGTTGCTCCGGCTTCTGAAGATGTGATCCATTGTCTCTGCCTTGGGGATTGTCCTGTTGCCGCGGGAAAGGATCGGATCCAAATTGTGAAGCGGCCGGTAACCGCGGGGGTGGAAGCTGGTATGGGGCATCCCCGGGTTCTTGTCAATTAGCTGAAGGTTCGGGGTACAGCTCCATGGACGGACCAAAGTGATGGGTAACATACGACCGAAGTATCCCGCATAGTAGCGCGGTGTGGAGCCGAAGGGGGAGTCAGACGCAGAGCCAGATGCTGATCCTGATCCTGGACCTGTATTTGCTGACATGGCCCTTTGCCTATTTCTCGAATGTGCGTGGGATTGAGGTCCCAGAAAGATAGTCTATGGAGAGAAGACAGACAACTTAGCAATGAGAGATGTTCCTGACATTCTGGGCCAGAAAGTAAACGTTTGGCTCATACCAATTGGATTGTTTAGTTTGTGACTTGTGAGGACCAATGTTGGGATGCAACAAGAGGAGTGCACAGAATCAGATCACGCGGGGCCAGAATGGCACGAATCGTCTGCGCAGTTTAAGCTCAGAGTCGAACGGCGCCAAGTATCGCGTGGGAACGGAAGTTGTACAAAAACCGCTAGTGACTTTCAGAAGGGAGTGTTGACGCTCAAGACAGTAAAGTCACGTCAATTTGCATGCCCCGGTGAAATGACAGGGAATGGAAAATAGTCTGCCCTAGAAGCCCACCATACCGTAGTAGTCCTGAGCAGTCACGGCCTTAGGTGCATAGCTTTCCCCTGCCGTGGTATCTGCAGTATCCCAATAGCCTGTAACAAGGTTTCTGGGATTGAGAGATTGAAGACGAGGGTCAGGGAAGTTGCAGATGTCCGCCAGCCTAAGCAGTCACGGAGAACCGGGCCGAAGATTGGCAACAAAGACAAACCTGGCTCTTTAAGGCCAATAGATCGGCACTGGGGGTGAGGAGCTCCAGTAGCCAAGTGGGGAGATCAATTGCAGCAAGATAGTATCGGTTCCAGATTATCGCGAAGTTAGACAGTAGTGGCGGCAACGTGTGGGCCGGGTGTCAACAAGGATTTATGGGGGATATTACGCCTTCGATGCCTGAATTTCGAGTGAATTGCATGAGAAAGCCAAGAGACCTCGAAGTGACCCCGCTAAGGCTGATAATGATCACTGGAACGAAGGTGGTAGAAGCCGATGATGTCCGCACAAGCTTGATTCGGACGAAATCTTCTCGAAGCGCTACCTGTCTCTGGTCTAAGATATCCTAGAAAGCTTCGCGGTAGTTTTCGGAAACTAAGAATGGACGTCGAGATCCCCTAGCGGTTTCGAGCCTCAGGTCCCCTCCCCTGCAGGGTAGTTCAAAGTTCTTCAATGAGACGAGAGAAAGCTAGCCAAGAGAAGAAAAAGGAAGAAAAGAAGAGGGTCTAAACGGGACCGAGCTCAGGAACCGAACTAGACGAATCGGAAAGATCTTGGAAGTATGAAAGAAGATGAGAAGGAGCGGAGTGGTCGATGCTTCAAGGGCAAAAGCAAACAAACAGTAGGTAATTTAAGAGTACATCAAATTACCGTTACTATATCTTTTGAAGTTTTATGGTTTATGGTTTATTATTTTGAGGGTTTGATCTGGAATCCAGTGGATTCGACGGAGTACTTCGTATAGTTTCGTTCACCACATGCCAAAGGTCTAAAGAAATGGAAAATCCGACATGAGACAGTTTGGGGAAGGCGGCTCCAAGCCACTTTCGGACTGGGTGCCCGATTGAAGGTACTTTTGTAAAAGAAATTCAATAAAATCGAATAAAATTTAAGAAAATAAGACAAAAAATGAAGAACCCAATTAGGAAGTGGGGACGATATGATATCGGCATTCGCCATTCGGCGTTCTCAGACTTGGCATTCCTCAGGTTCATAACAGAAGACAAAGGATAGCATTGCATTAGGGCTATGGTTTTTCATATAAGAGTTGGAAATGGTCTTAGTATGTGGTCAGCATCTCCATTTAGACAGTGCAATTCCTACCAGTCTACCTTCTTACAGACAAGGATCAGGGATGTATACATTGGCCCTCCACTTGGCCGTTTTTTGGGATGTTTGGGCGCAACCTTGACGTACCCACTCTGCAATACTCGATGTGCTTTATGCAGCATGATCCATCTCATGCCCGAGATTTACGTGACAGATGCGCACCAATAGAGAAATACACGGGAGTTGCTCTCGGCGTTCTCGAACATGTGCAATATCGACAGGACAGGCAGACACGAATACGATCACTGTCCATCGCTACCCCATAAACAGGGACAAACTACGCGTAAGAAGGTATACCTAACTACACCATCTAGTGACCTGTAGTTATAGATGGGTTATCGACAGGTTTGCCAAGTACGCAGAGCGAACAAATACTGCTAAAAGCCCCATGAGCTTGTTATGCAGCAAAAAAATGTCACGAATAGAACACGACGGGTCCTGCAGCTGCGTCGGCCGGTGGCGCAGACAATTCGATCCCTAGACGGATGGCGGGCCAGAGGTCGCAGCCTCGGGACCGGCAGGGCTTATCTTAGTTCTGGAGAGACATTCTTGCGAAGATTAACCTTATGCTCCGTAAGTGGGGTGAGCAACGTCTTGCAGAGGCTGAAGCGGTCGGAGGACCTTTCAGACTTTCAGTCTCCATATTTACCTAATTTTACCTCATTCCGGACCGCTATTCCAGAGAGAGTAAATACCGAGACCGTCTGGACTCTACCGTTATTATTTTTACGACGTCCAGATTGTTGTTATTCTTGGGACTTTGCCCTGGTATTCCACAACTTTCACAGGCAAGGAACCCTGGCTGTCTACTCCGTACCAACATCCAGGCGTCCAATAACCGAGACTACCCGCTCCCCACTCGACTGCCTAAGCCAACGGCGATGCGGTCGAGACGAGAATTGACCACGTAGTATTGTGTCTCAAATTCAAATGTTGGCGATCAGATCTGCAAGCCATCATTCGGGATCGTCGTCCCATTCGGCCTCAGCCCCTTGAGAAGGGTGCACCTGCTGGTCCGGGAAAGGTTTGAGATGTGACCCGCGAAGCTTCATTCCATTTTACTTCTGAACATATTCTTTTCCATTAAACGGACTTCGGTACTTCACCGTGAAACGCCAATTCGGCAGTTTGGAGAAGTTAAATCTTAGGAGGAATCCACTCGGACCTCAATTCGACTCGTTCAAGGGGATGTCTATTCCTCCGATTGCCGAACAGGAGGAATAATCCGCAGACCTGTCCAAGATCGACATCGCAAAATCCACATCCATGGATCTTCGAGTAATTGACTTTCTTCAATATGATATACTTTCGACCTGCAGGGCGGGCAGTTCGGCCGCACAGGTCGTGTTCCGTGAGTATTTGCACCCCAGTACGCAGTAGTTTGGCCCGTGGCCCGTGGCCTACTATTTTCTGCTGGCACTACTACGCGTAGCGCACGCGGGTGTACACTATGTCGTAGTAATAGGTAGGCGGTACGGAGCATAGTCAGGGCGGTCAATGGCGGAGGTCTCCGTACTGGGTGTGCATAACTGCGTTCTTAGGCCACCGTGTTCTTTGCATTCTTAGACCTTTCTAGCCCATAAGACTACTGTATGTATTGCAACTCTACTACTGCAGCATATATTTGCATCCACAGTAGTGTCGGATTAAAATAGCTTGAGTGCAACTTGGTTCCATACCCCTGAAAGTCGTGTGAGACACGCCTATGGCAAGAGTGGGTGAGCTGTGAATGCTGAGCCTACATAGAGAGAGGACCCATCCAGTATACTTTATACGTGCTCCTACGGAGATACTTACGTCGGGTAGAAGATGGGGTTTTCGCTTTCACTTTTGCAGCAATGCATGCTGGGTTTGCGCTATTGACCCGACTGGTTGGGGTGGGGAGGGGAGTTGTTAGTAGGTGCTTTTACTGCTCTCAGTTAGGATGGAGTGGGATGTGGGTTTGTTGTGGAGGTTCATTTCTAGGACAATGACGTCGGGCCGGGAGGGTTCCGGTCCATTGTACGAGGGATAATTCTGAATATATTGGTGGATTTTACATAAAAAGAATTAGGGGGTACCTGGTACTAGGGTCCAGTGACTCCAGTCTCGGTATTTGTCTACGACGGGAGCATATCGCTAAAGGGAAGATCCACTAGGTAAGAGTTAATTTGTGATGCAACATCGATCAGGAACCTTGGAACATGTTAGCCGAAGCCTGGAGATAGCCGTGCGATCGGAGGAGGGAAATCTCCGATCCGAACATTGTGCAGAATGCAGGTGGACTCCGTTCCTCTAGGAGCGGACGCAAAACGTGCAAAAAGCAGTCTCGGTAAGCTCAACCGAAGAGACAAGCTGCACAAGGGTTATTGCGTGGATGCATTGGCATTTGGCACCTTTCAAACAAGGTAGCTACATCGATCCCCCTCGTTTTCCATGCATACAGTAGTTGGACAATCTGAACCCCACCGGACTTGTCGGTGCCTCCGACTATCAGCCGCGGACCCTGACGGTGCGCTTGGCAGTCCAGCTCGCACATCCATGATCTCTGTACTCCGTAACCGACCTCCATCTACCTCGCTTAGAGGTTCATCGGCTCTTCGGAAGGTCCGAGTTGCTTGTTCTTCCTAACACTGAGGCTTAGATCGTAGATGTACGGCATAAAACTCTAAACACAAGAGCCATCGCATACTTTGTCGAATTTGCCGAGCCGTCGCTATGCGCAAACTCCGATTTCTACTCCATTCAGCTTCTCCGAATCTCTGTCTTGGCCATCTCACTATACCTGGAAAATATAGTACAATCCTGGGGTCAGGGACAAAGGAACAGACTGCAAGCGAGGTTGCAATAACCACAAAAAGCACTAAATATCCAAACTAGGAAGTCAGCACGTGAGAGCATCTGCCAACAAAAATGCTTCTTTGTCTACAGACTACGCTATACCTACCTTGTTCGAAAACCTCCGCGGCGTTTCAGCTTTAGTTCAATTTCCAAGGTTTCCCGTGTCCAATTGCCTTTGCCACTGCCACTGGCATACTGTCATGCATTTCCAGAACTGCCGGATCCACCAAACAAAGAATAAAAATCTTATGATCGCTGCAGCCGCGCCGTGCTCGTGCAGCAGTCTAGCAGTAACTAATATATCTACTCCCACTAGTCCAGGGACTTCCGAGCAAGCGATGCTGTATGTTTCACTTGGAGATTACATGTCCATGTGCTACCCTCATTAGCAATTGTGTGCACAATGAGCACATAGGTCTTTGGTTTAATCATATTGAGTGCAGGTGTGGGTTCCAGTAACATGTGATTAAGTCAAGTCCTGTTCCTTGTGATTATTTCCAATGTTGGCCTGTATTTGATGGGAATGCCTATTGGGGAAACTTCGGGGTTTTAATGTGCCTAGCAGGACTAGGTATGTTGATAGGTTTGCAGCTTTGCTAGCCCATGCCGGCCATATGCAAAACCAAAATATCGTTTTTAACACGGCACTCATGAAGAATATTATACTAAGTACTGTGCCATTGCAATGAATCCGTGTGAACCATAATATTTTCATTTTCCTAGTATTCTATCAAAATACGGTATTCGATCAAAGACAGTATTCTACATGAATACTTCCAAGAACTGAATCATTCACGCGCGGCAGTTAGGGCTCACTGATAGAATTGTACCTAGGAGGCACCTAGTCTACTCAGATATAAGCCTAAAGCTAGCTAACCTACCTCTCCCGTCGAGATACCAGCTCTGGAGAAACCTCTTGTTTTGCTCCCGTCGGCTGCCCGGTGAATGGAGGTCTTCCATTCTTTTGTTGATGGCTCCCGGATATATATCAGGTACCTACCTAGGTTTTCCAGTCGAGACCCGCTCAGTTTCCCATACTACTTGATTTGACCTTGGAACCTAATAGCAAAGGACATAGCAACCTATATCGTTGAGGTATAGTAGCGACGTAGTGTGGTTGTGGTCTACGGCTAGACCAGATCGCGCGGGAGTGTCTCCGGACAAAGACGCAAAGTACGGAGTACACGGACCGAGAGCTGGTACCACATCTGGGCAAATAAAAGACTCTAGGACCACCTATACGAAGTACGCGTGGTTGCTTTGGCGCGAAGTTGTAAAACATGTGGTCATACGGGATGGCATGACGTTGCTTGATCGACCTAAATCAACAATAGAGAACATTATCCGTAGACTGACCATAGACCAACAAAGAGGACGAAAACACCAGCGACACTACAGTCTACAACTGTACCTATATGAATTACAGGTGGTTGCTTCGGTTGGAAGTTGTCAAACCTTGTGGTCATACGCATGGCATGCCGCATAACGTTGCTTGATCGACCTCAATCAACGACGTGCGAAATCACATATACTGGCCAGAGCCAAGAGTGACAACGAAAAACACCAGCAACGCTACAACTGACCATCTACGCGACAGACACTTTCGGGGCCATTGAAAAACATAGAACCGATCACATTACTACTCCAAATAGACCCATGGGTATTGCAAAAAAGGCATTGAATTCATTTTTGCTGACTACCATCTTGCCAACCAAATAACCGTTAACAAAGAGTTAGCAGAGTGCGAGAAAGAACGTTCTGACACCACTTAGTTCTCGTAGAGAGTGGAGTAGAAAGACTCAGCAGCGGCAGTAGGCTTGCCACCCTCGACGGACTGCTGTCCAAGCTTCTGCTTGGAGTAGGCAGCGGCGTAGGGGTTGAGGCGGAGCATGACCTGCTTGTTGCGGAGAGGGTTCTTCTTCTGGACGTTGACGCGCTTGGTGCGGGCCTCACCCTTAGGAGCCTGCAGAACGGACTGGATTTCGGAAGAGTTGATGAGGCGGGTGATGTCGGCGTTGGAGACAACGTTGGAGGGCAGAAGGTAATCGCGCTTGAGGGCGGAGGCCTCGGTGGTGGTGCCGTAGACCTGGTCGAGGGCCTGGAAAGCGGAGGAGGTCCAGACGATGAAGCGGCCGAGGTGACCACCGGGGGCGAGCTGGAGGAGGTTGAGGGAGAAGACGGGGGAGGTCTCCACACCGGGGATGTTGCGGAAGGCCTTGACGAGGTCCTTGCCGTCGGTCTCGGGGTTGTAGACAACCAGAGGTCCGCGGCGCTGGCGGAAACGGCGGTTACGGAGCTTACCCTTACCGGCGCGCATCTTGCGGGACTTCTGGACCTTGACGAGATCGGGACCGGCACCAACGGCCTGGAGGAGGGCGATGGCGGCCTTGGTCTTGGTCAGAGCAGCACCCTCGAAGACCTTGGAGTCAACGACGAGGGGAACCTCGGGGACGTTGGCAACACGGTGACCGCGAGCGAAGAGCAGAGCGGGGGAAGAAGAAGCAGCCAGAGCGGAGGCGGTAGCGAAACGACTAGAGACATATTAGTTACTCCGTTTTGTCTTCCTTGGGCGCTCAATCCCTCGTAAATTGGATTCCACATACCGCTGGCCAACGTTGACCTTCTGGTGCCACTTGCGCCAGACCTTGGTAGGGGCGAACATACGACCGGAACGGCACTGGTTACCGAAGGCAGCCTGACCGGCACGGTGAGTACCACCACCGGAGACACGGGGGATACGGGCAACAGCACGACCTAATCAATTGGAAGCAATCCAGTCAGTCCATGTTCTCATAGAGAAAGAAGACCCAACGATCGCGAAATTTCGCAAGTCCAGATCCGATTCTCTCCAATCGCGAAAAATGTGCCAAATCACGTACCGGTACCCCAGGACTCAGCAGAGGTCTGTTCACCAGCCTTCTCGCTCACAGCGTAGGGCTGGCGCTTGTTCTTGGCCATACCGGTGTGAACCTGCCTGTAGAGCGACCGTCAGCACTTCCCCTCCATCGATTTTGTGAATCCTTCAATTTTCGGCGGGCCATACTGGACAATATCCGGGCGGATAGGAGCAGAGAACACAGAGGGCAGGGGGTGGGTAGCCCCAGAGGGCTTGCCCTCAGCCGTGGCGATCGAGACAGTCGGGCGGGAGGCCATTGTTGCTGGTCGGTGTCGGTGGTGAGGTTGAAGATCCAATCTCTTTGAGTCGGGGGGCTTCAAGCTCGGTGTGGACTTTTTCGCTTAGTGAGAAAACGCAGTGGGGCGGCGAACCCTAAGCCCTTCTTACCAGATTAGGATTAGTCAAGTTCTGTATTATCTAACATTTAATATCACGTGAGACCCACTTAGCGGGACTTAAGTACACTGCAATAATTCCGGCAGGTGCGACAGACTTGAAGTTCGCGTGAATCGGCATCATTATTGATGAGCCTCCTGGCAACAAGAATAATGACACCGCCTGCTCTTTCGATGAATCCGTTCTGCTCTGGTGTGCCTGGGTCAGTTTCTTGGAAGATGGTGCGTTTGGTAGCGTAGTAAGTCCTGATTGCGTTCATCTCTCAAGAGACAGTCCCAGGCACACCGGAGCAAAATGGCTTCATCGAAAGAGCCTGGTCCCGTGTCGGGGTCCTTAACTTTCTTTACGCCTCTAAGCTCTTCCTACGATTTTCATGGACTGATTTGATTTGTTCCTTTGGGCGGTTTGTCCATTAATTCCTCGCATGAGTGTGCATCTGTCTCCTGAGTGCATACCGGGGCGTTATCCTCGCCAGCTCCGTCCGAACCACCCTCAATGCTACCAAGTCTTCACCTGATTTGACAAACATCTTGCTTCTACTTGCTACATGTATCCTTATTGGTCTGGCTGTTATTTTCACTGCAGCCGATCTTGCGACTTGCGACTGGACGTCAGACAGAGACACTCTTGTCCACGCAGCACTAACATCCCAACACTATTGGCTACAGAATGCATCATGCATAGACTACACAAGTGTCATTGACTTTGATCGAGATGTCCTATTTTCCTAGCCTCATCTCCTAAATATACAGGATAAAAAGTGACATATATTGCACCGAAATGTAAGAAGGCTCGGCCCAGTCCGCATAGCCAGACACGAGAAAGAAAGGTGAAAAGAAAAGGCGCAAGACGGCCAGAAAAAGAATTGAGAAAATGGGGAAAAAAAAAGAACCATCAAGTGGTGAAGAAATGGGACAACATCCGATGCCAGCGGATCTTGTCAGGTATGTACTCAAGCGAAGTGAGAGCCGTGGACAGCGCCATGAATGGAGCGTCTGCGGAAGCGCATGTTCGAGACATGACGGGCCTTCTTCGAGGCACTGATGAGGAGCTCTGCACTCAAGCCAGTATTGCACTCAGTGCCGGTCGCCATCTGCTGCGCCGCAGACCAGGTACCGGAAGCGCAGCGCTGGAAGGTATTGCCTCCAACGCAGTTCCACTGGCCATTGGTGCTGCAAGGACCCGTCAGAACACCGGCGCTGGAACCAGAGCCGGAGTCGGAGCCAGCTGAATCAGTGGAGTCGGGAGTCGGGGCAGGTGCCGTGGTAGCGACGGGCTGGGCAGTAGGCACCGAGACGGGGACGGTCGGCGCGGGGGCTTCGGTGGGGGCGCTCTCTGCGGAGGGGGAAGAAGAGCCAGAGGAAGCAGAGCCGGATGAGGCGGCTCCCGAGTCCGAGCCAGTGGAGGCAGTACCGCTGGAGCCAGAGCCAGAGCCAGAGGAGGCAGTACCGCTGGAGCCAGAGCCTGAGCCAGAGGCGGGAGTATTGCCGTCGCCGCCGAAGGTAGGGGTGCCAGTGCATGCCGGGGCGCCTTCCTTGGCAAGGTTGGCGGGATTACCCAAGTACTCGACGTATTCACCTGGGTTGGGGAAGCGGATATCGATCATCTCCGTGGTCATGCAGCCGTTGACGTTTGCGACGAACATGGGCGGGAAGTCGGGAGCGCGCTTCTCGAGTTCCTGGGTGGAGCGCTTGGAGGAGCCGCCGGTGACAGTGATGGGTGCGCAATTCATGTACATCTCACGGTTGCCGATGCGGTTGAACCAGGTCCAGGCGAGAGTGTACTTGCCAGGGGCGATGCCTTCGGGAATAGCGAACTTGAAAGTGTCGGGCTCCTCGCCGCCGGACAAGTTGCCATCGACGTTGGCAGGGCAGCCACCCTCGAAAGACTTGATCACCTGCCATTTGGACGATTTGGTGGGCTCCAGATCGGTGGTCAGACTGATCTGGCAGGAACCACCGCCGTGGGTGGCGCTTCCGATGAAGGTCAGAGGAGTGTCCTCGCCGATGCCGAGGATGGTCTCAGCGGTTGGGGCATCGTAGACGCCGTCGCGAAGCTTGCAAGGGAAGTCACTACCGTCTGCGGCCAGAGGCGAGTTGTTCAGGGTGTCCTTGCCGTACGGGACGGGCGAGCTCATGATCATGTGGGCGTTGGCCATGGAGGCGCCCATCAGGACGGCCATCACGGTGGAGCTGAACATCATGGTGGAAGATTGAACTTTTGATAGTTTCTTCAGATCTGGATCGACAGATAAATTGAAGTGGATTCGATTCGTGCCAGACGAATGGAATCAAGGGAATGTAAAAGGAGTGGACCTTGGGCGTGGAAGGAGCGAAGAGCTACAGCGGGAGATTAGCGGGATGGTAGACATGAGAAATATGCAAGCATCAAGAAGCTGGGGAAGGGTTAGGTAGTAAATATAATGGGGGCTCATTGACGTCGCTCTATTGTCAAGCAAGACACAAGCGTAATAGATGTTCACCAACCACCCCCAATAGTACATTTCGTCCAATAGATCAGATAAAACAAACAGATCGGAGGAAACGACGAAACAGACAAACAATACCTTTGTAACAGAGTGAGCTGACACAATGTGCTTCAAAGACGAGCTTAATTCCAACCTCTTTGTTTATTGAAACAACTTCAGCCTCTTTTTGTTTGACGTTGGTCCTATCACAGGCGAGGGGGAGACTTCAAGAAAAATGAATGTTAAGATCCTGCCACAGGCAAAAATCAATGAAGGAGAGAAATGAACACAGGACTAGCCTGGCTGTCGAACCGTCTGAAGAGAACGAAAAATATAAGAAACGTGGATGCGAAGAAAAAGAAGACCTAGGTAGTACCGGCGTCAAGGGTTATATATCCATCAGGACAGCCTCTCGGGCCTTCTAAACGAGATCTGGAGAAACCCGAACCTCAGATGCTGAATGGACCAATGCTGTGTGCATGGCAATCAACCAGAGACGCCTAATGACCAGGATGATCTCCGAGTCGTCGACGGAGACATCTGCTTGGTCAAGCGGTTTGGAGTTTAGTGTGGGGACGATGGGGAGCCGGGATGTTTCAGAGCCATCCTTTTTTTCTCCTGTTACCTGACCATCCACATTTCTCTCCACCTGAACTCAAGTTGATTGATCAGACGGTCAAAAGTGAAGAAACATGCAGAGAAGACCAGTAGGACGATCGGAAGAACTTGGCGGCTGGAGACGAACCAACCACCGCACGGACTGGCGCAAGGTACAACATCCACTGGCCCCTGGATTTGTCGCACCATCTCTTCACCAGGCCACTCGTCTGCTGGATTGGCTGGCGGTGTACTTAGCCGCCCTGGTTTCTTGTCAGCGGGGCGCCAATTAGTTAGGTGGACTTACTCCGTACATGCTGTCGGTATTTACATCCCGTCAGATCTCTCCCCTTGCCGCCTGTTATAGCCCACGATACTTATGACGCAGTTCTGCATCAATCTCACCCAAGCAACAGAAGCCTCAGTTCTTCATCCACCCCGCGTCGTTGGCATTGTAGATCGTTGGATTTAACGCCGTTAAATGTGGGGTGCAGTCTAAATCCTTCCTCCGATCTGACGGAGAAAATAGGACTAGCAAGTCCGTTGCCAAGTCTATTTTCATTCTACAGCGTCCCACTGCTACTACGTAATTGCAAAATCACGCCCTAAAGGAACGACCCTAGAAGGACGCCAGTGGGGATACCACCTGGGCTACGCCGCACCATCTGCCGTGGTGGGATCATTGCCGGGGTTGTGTCAAACTCCCATGGCGTTTCAGGGGAGATCGTCAGATCGGACTTCGCTACGGAGTCTTCTGTCCAGACATGTCAAATAATCTGTAAAACGTGGTCCAGGGTCATGAGCTTGACAGATCCACCTCCTGCTTAGCACTACACAGTTCCTACCTACACAGTACCTACGGAGTTCCGAGTATATACTACTCCGCACAGTTTTATGGTCCACTTCCCCCTAAAGCGTTTCATATAGACAACAGCTCGAACTCTCCCTTCCGAATAGAGGAAGTGGCAAGCACTAGCTCAGTACCTGCAATTTCGCAAGATGTAATAGGTCACAAGCTCAAAGCATGATCTCGAGATGAAATCCGAGAAATTCAGTTTGGATAGGGGTAGTATCTCATGTCGCTGTGACCCATCCCCTGCTCCTTCGTGACTTCGTCTACCACGGTATCCTCGAGTTTGGTTCGCATAGGTTGCATGACCATTGTCGTCCGACGGAAGCCGGTTTTCATTTGTCTTCTATACATCGATAGCTACTTGAAACAACGGAGCCTCAAAGAATCCAGAGAAGATGTATGAGGCTTGAGGGAGTCCCGATTGAGCCGCTAACCGAACGGCCCGCTTGAACAGATGTCCGCGATCTCCGATAGCCGAGAGTACCAGGCTTGCTCATTCATGTCATTCATTGGAAGAAATATTGCGGTGGCTTGCCCCATGGTGTTTTAAGAAACCGCCTAGTACTTCGGTCAAGGATGCGCATGGCCATACGCCTGTCGAGTCTTTGGAGAGCATAGAGCATCGAAGCGAATCTGGTGCGCCTACACGTGAGCCGTAAGCCTGCCCAATGATATCGCTCTGACTTCCAGCGCCGCAGCGCGGAAACTGGATGCAATCGAAAATGTCTTCGACATGGCCCCCGTGTATAGCCGCCAACAGCGTCGTAGTCGAGTGCGACCTCATCATTCTCTCACCGTGGGTGGTCAAATCCAGCCATGTGACGGACGTGTAGTTTCGGCCGTCCGGGAGGGAAGTTGCGTCCGCCATGCTAGTGCCATTGATGCCTGCTTGAGGTTTCATCAAGCACCCCGGTTCATGCAGCCACAGATGTTGCATCTTTCAGGGCACACGGGAGCCGGAAGACCAGTGGCAACGACATCCAGAAGCCATCAGAAATACCCAAACCCGTCTCATTTCTTTCCCTTCTTCTTCCCCTTCTCTGCCGTAGTCTCCTCCTTCTCCTTCGTAAATCCACCCTTAACCAAAGCATCCCTCCCAACATCATTAATGACCTTGAACCGCGCCGGACCAAGATGCACCCCGCCATACCACCGCGTAACAACAACGACAACATCCCACACATCCATCAACTGCATAACATGCAACAACCTTCCCCCAGCAGCCGTCTCCCCATCATCATCATAATCCTGAACCAGCGTCTCCTCCCCACCCCCAGATCCCTTCTTCTGCCGAATGCGCCAAGCACTAATATTATGCGTCGCAGCAGCAACCTTCCGATCCGTAGCCAAAAGATGATCCAAGAAAGCCTGCGCCTGCGCCAAAGACGTAACACGCGCAACGCGACCCAGAAAGACAGACTTCTTCTCCGTAACAACGTCCGACAGGATCCAATCCGGCGGGGCGTCGAGCCCAAATGCGTCGCGCAGTGATAGCGCTTCGAACGCTTCTGTCGACACAGTGGATTCGTCTGCAGGTGGTGGTGCCGACGAGTCGGCGGATTCTTCTTGGCCTATGTCCAATTCCCGAAAAGCGTCGACCGCGTCGCTTATTACGTCAAATAGACACACGGCGCCGGCCTGCCATGTCTGCTGGATGATATTTTCCAGTACATCGATGGCGATCTTGCCCTCGCCGCGTGCGGCGGTCGTTGCGGTTCCCAGTACTGCGGGACGGGTGTCTGGGTATGAGGGTTCGAAGCCGAGGATGAAAGATAGATGCTGGTGTTCGGGGATTTGGAGAGTTATAACTGTGGAGTAGGCATTGTCGTTGGGGTTTGCGGCAGTTCCTAGGTCGAGGGTGTTGTGGTTTGTGGTGTTGGCGGGAGATGCGCGGGTTACAGTCACTGTGTTGGGTTCGTAGATGGCGTTGACCGCTTCGATTTCTTCGGCGAGGTCTTGGTTCTCGGGAATTGGGGACATTGTGTTGTTTGGAGAGCTTGAACGCTCGTGCGGGGGGAGAATTATTTTGTTCGGGGACTTGACCCCACAGTTGATCCAGGCACCAAGGCATCCAGGGATTCAGGCACTCAGGCATTAAGGCAGTATAAATTATCAACTGCGTAGCTTCCATTCTACCGTGTACACAAGTACAAGTACAATTCCTAATTTGTGAAGTAAGCAATCAACTGGGAAGAACCGACAATAGCCAATTAGCCAGTACTCGCGGCAAGACTCGCCAGTTGTCGCCAGCAGTCGAACCAATGTCATCACGAGTCACGACCACCCGGGATTAAACTGCGACAAATCCTCCTCCAAAAGGCCCATCATATACTGATTACCCCAAAACCAATTCCCTAGCTGCGCCGCAGCTTGACCCTGACCCTGAGCAGAACCAGGCTGACCCGCGAACCCACTCGCAAGCTGTGGCAACTCCGCCGAACTAACATCTACAGCCGGAACATCCGTCTGGAGATATCCCTGTGCATTGCTCATCTGCGCATTTCCATTCATCGGAATCAAGCTCGTAGGCGCCAGCCCTAGCGCACTCAGATACACATCGAATTCCTGACCGACCTGGATAAGATTCTGGTCTTCGTCGGCTGCCTGGGTGTTAGCTTCGAAATAAAGGCGGGCGACGGTGCCGAGGATGGAGCATAGATTGTGGAGTCGCTCGATGGATTGGGAGAACGTTATGAGGGGGTGGAGGGACGCGATGAATTCTTCTAGTCGGGCTAGGTCGGCGCCGTTGAAGGTTGTTATTACGTTGCAGAATATCACGATGAAGGGGACGAAAGGGGAGAGGAGGACGGCCCTGGGTTTGCTTTTGTCAGAAATCGTGGCGTTTGGGATTATCGTTGTTGTATCTTTTAGTAGGACTTACCAGTGCATGTAGGAGATCTTCACGAAGTCGTCTGTCTCATTGAGAGTCGTGACGCAATGTCGGTGGGCTTCTAGGGCTTCTCGGGCTGTCTGGATACATTCCGGTATGAAGGTGGCTGGACCCGATTCTGGCGATGCGGGAATTGCGCGGTAGATCAAGGTCAGAATAGCCAGCCGGGAGACTTTGTCAGTCACGAGGTATATGTTGTCCATCTCGGTCAATTTAAGATCGGACGACATGAATTTCTGCACGTTTTGCGTTAGTGATTTCACGAGTCGGTCAAATTGAAGAAAACTGACGAAGAGACATACCTCGAAGGGCTCCATGACATCCGACTGCATCCTGGCAGCTAGTCTATGCGCATGTGCAACTCGCTCACTTTGGGGCTGCTGCAGTGCCTCCGGGCTATATAGGTGTTGATAGACCTCGCTCTGGATCCTCGCTGATCGTGTCCACCACATACACACGCTCCCCCATGGGCTAGGGACGTCGTAATTTCCATCAGGAGCTGGTAGGCTGATATCGTAATCCTGGACAGGAGAGGCACGTCCTAGACGCAGCGATATCATATTCAGAATTGCGTATATAGCCCAGAATAAAAGCTGCTTTTGGCGTTGTACTGGTACGGGCTCGTGCTCCATGGAGCTGAACCGATGGTATCCTAAAGTCTGGCACAGGTTCATGGCTGTTGATGCTAGCGTCCAACAAACCGATGGCTTCGAGATATCAAGTGCGTGCATGGCCTGAATAGGTAAGTAAGAAGGAAATGCAAGTCAAAACATCGAAAAGTAAGGATAGAGGACTGACCCCAACAGCTAACGCCGTGATTGAATCCTGATTCACCGGCATCAGAATGTTCAGATTGGCAAGTGCCGTCTCTAAGTTGTCGCGACACATTAAGATGTAGTGTTGGTATTCCTCCCGCAGAACGTCACCCTTATCCAAAGCACCGAGCTCGTAGAAGATCATATACAGGCAGAAATTGGTGATCACGAAAGCTGCATCAGAGTAGTCGTCTATACAGAAGTACACGTCACGACACTTCTCGACGAAAAAGTCCACACTCAGGAACGGAACGTAGCCACCAAAGAAAGACGGAGCCGTTTCTAGTGAGCGTTAGCAAAGTACGCAAGGTATCACTTTGACATAAGGCATACCTTGACACTTTCTTAGGACACCCAGAACCAATTCCAACGGGGGCATCTCGAGATCACGCAGATCACCCTTCACACCTAATCTCACCTGCTTGGTAGGTTGCTGACTCGCCCGTAAATCCTTTTCTCGTCGCTGATTTTGCATCCCAACAAGCTGCTTCAGCGACGAAAGAGCCGCGTTGATTTTCGGGCTGGACAAGACCTGCGGCGAGCTCTTCGAAACAGCTGACTCGAGCAATGCACTTGCGTAAGCTCCATGGGCAGATAGTGAAGAACTACCCTCAAACCCAGAGCTGGAGTCATGCTGCTCGATAGTAGGGTTCGCAGTATACCACGAGCCCTTGGGTTTCGGGGGTTCCCCGTAGCACAAGACGGCTGCAATGGGGTAGATTTTTGTGGTGTAGAGGCGATGTAGGATTCACGCGGCTTTTGCGCTGTAGAGTCTCGTGAATGAGATGTGTTCCTTACTAGCTCTTGAAGAGTGTTTTCGATGTTTGTGAGGCGTTGCGCAATTACATCGATCTTTTTCTCACTGCGCTCAAGTCAATTGTTTGTCCTGTTACTGAATGGATCGAATGTCCGTACTATTCGTTCGAAATTAGAACCCGCCGCCGGGGCTCAGATGGCTTCTGGCCTTCCCCGGTTGATCGACATGCAATGCTGGAACTGCGACAGTTCGAGCAAGGTGTGCGCTTATCGCATCGGATCTGGAGTCGTTAAATCGAGTCATGGATGTCATGCCGAGGATTGGAGTGTATGTACCTTTCGGAGTCGACATTGATCACACTGTATGCGTGATTAATACTTGATCGTCTCTTGCTGCGCTTCGGTCTCTGGATTCTTTTCTATACCAGGTTGGTCGAGTGGCCAATTGTGGAGCACCTACCGCACGTCGGACCAGCGCGCTCAGCACTTTACCTCCCTCATGATTTGGTTCTTCCTCCATAGATGAGACGAAATGACAAATGTACCTAGTGTGACAGATATTGCTTAAAATAGAAGCGACAAACGAGGAATATCCGAGCTCGGACTCTGTTGGCTGCCTTGGAGCCTGGCGATACGATCACGTGGTGAAATCGCCATATCAATATGCAGAAGGTCCGGATTCGGGATATGTTGAATCTTATTCTTGTAGATAAATACTCTGGTGTCAGGCCCAGAACGCTGGAAGTAACACTACACATTGTAACCTCGCTGGCTTGGTAACTATTAACACCGTCCCTGGCGGACCCTGTGAATGTGCGGTAAAGCGGATTTTGCGATCTTTTGCGTGTTCGCTGTCAGGGACGGCGTTAATAGTCACCAAGCCAGCGAAGTTAGAATGCGTAGTGTTAGTAGGGGTGGGAATATGTCAACAATTGTTATATATGGTATCTTCATTCAGCGTAACCTATGAGCGAGAGTAATCGAGCAAACGCCGCGCTTGTTCTAAAATTTCAAAAGGCACAGCGCGTCCAGCACACATGTGCCGGAAGTGTATATCTATCTTGCCAAGAGGGCTGCGAGGTATAAATGCGAAAGGAAAGCCTGCATCCACTGGACCACTGCACCACTGCACCAAAGTAGCATGTTCATGCCTTGGGACGCGCAGGGGGATACCACGCACCGTCACTCAGCCAGACTCCTGCCGGGCCGTACCTGCCAGCCTCAGAGCCTCTCAAAAAAGCGAACCGGAAGAATACATCTTCGGGCTCATCGTCAGGATCACTATCGGCCAACAGAACCCCTTGTGTCTCGATGCTTGTGTCTGCACCAGTGACCAGGCGAGGGTTTTTCTGTAGCTCCAGCCCGTTATGCCCATGGCGATGCCAGGTAAATTCTCCGCGTTTGTCCTCATCGAGATAACCACGCCAACGTTCAACATCGTTGAGAAGGACCGATATGCCATCAACGGCGAGAGCTGACATACGCTCATGCTCCCACAGTGCAAATGTGATGTTACCATTGCCGTGGTGGGTGTAGTTCGAACCTGGCTCTGGCAAGGAAATCTGTACAGATGTATCCGTAACATTGGGATAGGTAGCACCCCACCAGCCGTGAATACCATCTCCGCTCGGCGCTTGCTCTCCCAGGGCCGCTGGGGTCTCAATAATGGAGGCGAAGCCCCAACGGGCAACACCGTTGATAAAGAGACCCAGCAGCAAGCCCTGATAAATAAGCGAGGGACGAGTAGGAAAGGCCGTGCCTGGCATGAGCAGAATGGCAAGGATATAGTGATGGATCCTCAGCCGAAGACCAGGGAGAGGCAGCAAGATTAAAATGATGACCCCCATCGTGCAGTAGATCTTCAGATACCGTGGGAGTAGACCACCCTGGCGAATTTGCCACGCCTGGCTCAGAATGACTGTGATCACAACCGGGATGACAAAAGCCAACGCCAGCTTTGCCCCAGGTTGTTTCTGGATGTCCATCGGGGTCAGACGCTGCAGTGGAATCAAACGTGCAAAGGTATAGTTGTTCAAAGCTCCAATGAAAAGCGGTGGTAAGTAGAGGAACATCTTGGAAAACTGGTAAATGGGGGAGGAGATTGGTTGCAGAAGTGGCGCGGCACAAAATTTGTGAAGTACGTAGACGACAAATGACGCTGGCAACAGCCGAGATAGCAGAGCGGAGACAAGGTCGGTCAAGAAAGGATATGAGGGCGGATCTCCAACGAGTCCTGTGTGGCAGAATACCATGAAAAATGTACTGAAGAACAACACGGGAGACGATGTACAGAAAAGCCATAGAGTGCCGACGGCAGCGGCGGTGATTCCAAGTAGTGTCCAACGTGGATCAGACGGGCAGCTGGTCTGCGCCGAGGATAACTGGACGAAGCTGAAAGCTTTGGGGAAGGTCGACGAAAATCCGACAGAAAGGATGCCGTGTTGCTTCACTGACGGGAAAGAATGTGCTGCGCCCTCAAGCTTAACAACACCGCATCCGCCATCGTTCGAGATCGCACCGACATGGATTGCAGCCTGGCAGACAAAGCTATCTGCGCGGTAGAGGGCAGGTTCAGATGAACCCGGCTGTGGCCCTCCAACTACCAATCCTTGGTAGTTGTATGTCTGGTTACCCACGACATGCGGCTCCAACAATTTAGTGTCGCGGCAATTCGCAGGACATCGGAAAGGAATAGTCGAGGAGGAGAACGGACGACACTCGTTTCCATTAATTCCACACCCATTATCGAACTCCCTGAAGAGACCGCGATGTTTAGTAATTTTCGAAGATCGGTGAGCTTCAGTTGTGAGGGGGCATACCAAAAATTCGTCGAGCATGACAGTGTCTGGGGCTGACCATACCCTTCAATATAACCAGAAGAACGCGAATGCAGCAAAATCAAAAACCAAGGCAAGAACCACGCTACATATAGCAGCAGTAATAATAAAGTCTTGTATTTGCGCTTGGGCAGCAGACGGTCGAGGTATTGGACGGGAAGTTCCTGGACTCGGGGAAACAGTGGTTTCAACAGAAGCATGTGAGGCGGGTCGGGGCCTTTGACCCAATTGGCGGTCGCGCGACCGACTTTTCGCAGCGGTAATGGTACCCATCCCCAGCGGAAAGTCTTTGACGACTCCCGTAACCAGACGGGTAGTGCGCTGCCTGCCTCGACATCGGGCGGAGGTAGATCTTCGGAAGCCTCGGAAGCGAATCGTTCTTCATCTTCGAGAAGCGGAGGGACGTATAGCCTGGTGGCTTCCTCTCGACCCTCTCCAAACATGACGAAAGGTCTCGCTTGCAGACAGAGAGAGTGTTGTAGTTGTGAAATCTAAAACGAACGGACGAACGACGGGGGTACGTATGATGTCGGCGGTCGGTGGCTTATGGGCCGCTAGCGTTGCGATAAGCAGTGGAGATCTCCAGCCGTCGATCGGTATGTGAGGCGGAGAAACACCCCGAACGCAGCCCTGAATCGAACAAAGCGGAAAACCCCTGGGCTCGATCTAGAATGAAAGAGGTGATAGGAATAGATACAACAGGAAAAGGTATGGGAAGAAACACTGAAGAGACAAGATGTGAGATCTGGGGAAGAGACGGGAAAAGTGGGCATCCGCGTCAGGCAGCCAGGCACCCAATCAGAATGATTCGCGTGACGTCGTGGCAACATGATCATCTGCGCTGACAGTCTGGTTCGGAGATCTTAGGCTTCACAATGTTGATTTCGAGATTTTATACGAATTTGCGCTAATGCAGGGAAAATGTTAAATGTCCCGGTATCAGCTTTGGCCTTTGCGAACTTTATCGTCGTTCCATCCGCGCTGTTCGTCGCACACTGTGAGACGACGAGACCAGGGATCAGAGCCATCTTACTGAATGACGATGGAAAAGACTTTATCGGTGGCGTTCCTTGGGAATAGTATCCGAGAGGCAAAGACTGGTCCCATCTAAGGCTACGTGCAACCGTCTGAGTAGTTTACGACTGACCCCTGAGGCCCTGACCCTAAATCTCGAGGCTCTGTCGTACTGTGTTATGACAGTCGTTCCCAGAGTCGCCCCGGTTCGTTTGCCGTCAAATTGACTATTGTAGGCAGAAGCCTCCAAGGAGTGAAGAACGCCACCTGATCGGCATGGGGGCACAGACCATTCGGATGTTGCAGCCATGAGCCAACCTAGGCCCGGGCATGGGCCATGCCCAATCCAATGGATTGGGGTTCTTGATTGGAATTTCCCAAAGATAGGTCAGAAAAGGGATAAAAGCAATTCCGACGTTTCTTCCTCTCTCATTAAATGCACCAACCCTCAATATGCCAGTAACGCGAAGTCAGTCTAAGAATCTGACCAACCAAAGATCGATCCCAGCAGAGGGCAACACAGAAGACAGCGGGATCTCAACCAGAAGTGTGGAACAAGAACAAGCGGCGAGAGGAGCTTTTATTGAATGGCTTAATCTTGACTATTCCAGCAATTCAATATCAAAACAAACCAATTGGAAGTCCATTCTTAAGGACGTTCACCGAATTGATGGCTGTCGCCAAATTGCATTTGCATGTCCCGTGGAGAATCCCCAGAGACTATGGATTATAATACGTAAGACTCGACGCAGACTTCCTCGAAGACAAGGCTAACTAAATGGTTAAAGACTGGCGCAGCAGAACCCTTCGGAACGAGTTTCGTCAGTCAGATACGATGACAGAGACCATGAAAAAAGTCATCTTCTTGCCAGATTCCGATGCCCTCAGCAATGAAGGAAGCCACAACAATGAGGCCCTTTCGATTTACCAAGTTAACAACACTGTTGGAACATTTATTATTGATTGCTTTTCATGCTCCAGTCTTTCCAGCATGGTGTATGAGATCTGGATGGTTTATTTCCCGATTAAAGATGTCGTTGCTATGTCGGATTCAAAACCTCTTTATGATTATCCAAAGCTGGTGAACATTTTCCTTCAACCCGATGAAGAACCAAACCCTATGGCTGCTATTTTGAATCAGACTGTTGCCTGAATTTCAGGCGAAGTTGTATATAAGGGACGACGCTGTAAACGAATGGCGTGGTTCAGGACTTGGAAGTCTAGAGAGGCGGAAGACATCTACAAAACAACAGTATCATGGGGTAGGAAGGATAATGGCGAATGGAAGCTAGCATCGAATTCGTTTGTTGAGGAGCTGAACGGTCTCGGGATGGTGGGATACGAGGCTTGGCATGCTAAGTTTGAGGAAATCCAAACATGGATGTAGATTGTGAGCGCTAGTGGCGGATTGTGAGCCTTCACTGTATACTATAGACAGACCAGGCGATCATGATGAAATTCAAACAGTATCCTTGCAACAAACCGAAGCTAATATGCATCAAGGTGTAAGCTATAGACATGACTCATGAGCACTCCAGAAGCTAACACATGCTGTCTCGCAACAAGGGTAAACCCAGCATGTGCCACAGCGAGGTATGCAAATGTATCATAAAAGCTAGCCATCATCACCCATCTCCAGATCGGTTGTATAGTGCCGGCGTTTCTGCGAATGGTGGGTATGTTTCCGGCCATGGGCTTCAGCTGGGCTTAAGTTTGAACGCAAAGAATACACAAAATAGAGCCTCAATTCACGGGCACTATTGGTGCCTTCCACAGGAAGATCTCATGCATTGGCCAGTCAATGGACATGACATATGTCCCCGCTGTCGCGTACCAACGCCCTCCGACTCTTATTCGGCATGTCGCTATAGGTACAAGCATCATACCCTACAACATCGATCCAGTCAACAACACCGAGAATCTCTTGTCGCGTCAGCACCGGCCAGGTCACGTACCTCTCCGATGCCACACGAGCTCTGTGCACCTCGCACGGCGTGAGGCTAGCGGACATCCGTCGAAAGACAGACCATCATCGCATCTCGCAGCGCCCTATGAGCCTCAAAGCTTCTGTTCCCATTGGAGACTTTCATCGACCTGTGCCTAAGGCCCTCCTAGATGTCAGTTCGGCGGAGTTGCCCACAGCTTGCGAGTGGGTTCACGGGTCAGCCTGGTTCGGCTCAGGGTCAGGGTCAGGGTCAAGCTGCGGCGCAGCTAGGGAATTGGACATTGGTTTTGGGGGAACCAGTATATGGCTATATGCCGGGGTTTTTGGAGGAGGATTTGTCGCATTTTAATCCCGGGTGGTCGTGACTCGTGACATTGGTTCGACTGCTGGCGACAACTGGCGAGTACCGGCTATTGTCGGACCTTCCGAGTTGATTGATTAGGGAATGTACTTGTACTTGCATAGAACGGAAGCTACGCTGCTTTTCCAGTGTCGCGACTTCCCTCTCCTCAGCATCCGATTCTGACATAGGCTGCTTTAGGCTCTCGCCGCTCTCCACAGTAAAGAAGATCAGATCAGCTCCAACTCGGAAAAGTCTTAAGTTGGCGTGGACCAATGAGAATGGCTGTACGTAATACGATCGGAGTAAATTGGAGACTTCCGCATCTTCGGCGCCAAGAGTCAATCAACGATCTACAAAGTGCAACGGTTGAGATATTAAAGTCTCATATTCCTTGACTTTTACTTAACATCATCTCCCGACAAACCTACATCATTTTGGTGGATCAGCTGAACCCCGTGAACGAGTTGACGAATCAAATGCCTTGGTAGATACCCATCCATTCTATTGAATTCATTGAAATCACAACTACTGTGATATACCTACCTTTCACGAGCCACGAGATCAAAAAAGTTACTATATCACCATGATCTCCTCCGCTCTACATCCCCATCTCAACCCACAACCCAAAATGGATCCCTCAATCCCAGAACAGTCCGAACCAAACTCCGAAGAAGCAATCCCAGAATCCCGAGTCCTAATAATCATGACCGGCGGGACAATCTGCATGCAGCCCTCCCCAGCAGGCTTCGTACCAGCCCGCGGCTTTCAAGAGAATTGCATGGCCCGCGTCCCCTGCTTCAATGACAACTCCGACAACACCTCCATGGACGTAGTCACCAGCAGCCAAGCAAGAAAACCGCATCCAAGCCTGCGCACACCCGTAACAGCCTACGGCCGGCGGGTGCGGTACACTGTCTTCGAGTTCGAAGAACTCCTCGACAGCAGCTCGATTGATGCGCATGGCTGGGCGCAAATTGCGAAAACCATCGAGCGCAATTACACGCTCTTCGACGGGTTCGTCATCCTGCATGGAACGGACAGTCTGGCGTACACGTGCTCGGCGCTCAGTTTCATGCTGCAGAATCTGGGCAAGCCGGTTGTGTTGACGGGGTCACAGGCGCCGATGCTGGAGTTGCAAAATGACGCTACGGATAACCTGCTGGGGTCGCTGGTTGTTGCGGGCCATTTTATGATTCCGGAGGTGTGTTTGTATTTTAATAATCGGTTGTTCCGCGGGAATCGGACGACGAAGGTGGCGGCGAGTGATTTTGCGGCGTTTGATGCGCCGAATTGTGTGCCGTTGGCGGTTACGACTTCTATGCGCACGAATGTTAATTGGGATATGGTGCATCGGCCTACGAGTTTGGAGCCGTTTAGTATCCAGGCTATGTTGGACACCACCCACGTGGCTTGTTTGCGGATTTTCCCTGGTATCAAGCCGGAGATGGTGGATGCGGTGTTGAAGTTGGATGGGTTGCGCGGGTTGATTTTGGAGACTTTTGGTGCGGGCAATGCCCCGTCTGGCCAGGATAATGCCATGATCAATGTCTTGGCCAGTGCTATCAAGCGGGGAATTGTTATTGTGAATATCACGCAGTGTGAGATTCCAACCTCCTTGTCGCATTGAAACAACCATAACTGACCTCTCTCAGGCCTCACCGGCAGCGTTAGTCCAGTCTATGCGACAGGCATGAGTCTCTCTCGCGCTGGCGTCGTCGCCGGCCTCGACATGACAACTGAGGGCGCATTGACGAAGCTTGCTTACCTCCTTGCTCTGCCAGACTCAACCCCCGAGTCCATCGCCAAGCTCATGTCCGTATCCCTCCGAGGGGAGCTCACCGAATCATCCCTCCCCAGCTTTCGACACCCGGACGGCGCACTCCCCGACCGCATCCAGACCCTAACATCGCTGGGCTATGCCATCGCCCATGGCGACCTCGAGAAGGTCCAAGCAATCACCAAGACCGAACACCACTGGTTGCTGAACGACGCCGATTATTCCGGCAACACCCCCATCGTAAGCGCCTCCTTCCCCGCCTTCCCTCCAATTGACCAATTCTTTCCCCTCACCACCCAATCCGCCTATGTATATCCCTATCTTTCAAACTAACCGTCCCAGCACGTCGCCGCAACCTCCCCCTCACCTCAAGTCCTCCACTTCCTGCTCTCGCAAGGCGGCTCCGTGCACCTCCGCAATCGCGCCGGCCGCACCCCGCTCTTTTTGGCGGCCAACGCAGGCCTCTCAGAACACACGACGCTTCTCCGCAAATCCGGCGCCCACCTACACTCAGATGAGCGACCAGCCGCCGAGCTGCTGGCACGTCAGCGACCCTTTGTCTGGGGTCTGGCGGGTGTTGGGCCGAAAGAGATTAGCCAGCGGGAAATAGAGGACGAGTTGGAACTGCCGGGTCAGGATCGGGTGATTCCCGCGTCGGCACCATCTTAAATGTTCAGTTTCGTCGTGGCAGATTCCAATTTGGGTCGGCTTAGGCTCTACCGGGCCGGACTGGTTGGGTGTTGTGTCGTGTGCTTCCTTGTTTTATACATCTTTCATGCCCAAGTGTCACTTACCCAGGTAGAACCAGGTATATTGGAACCTATAGTAAATGCATGATATAGATGTCTGTCTTTCTTTTTTCTTGGTCGTGTCTCGGGCTTTGGCCTTTGGGGTGAGACTGCCGGTGTCTGCTTTGGGTGTTTGCCTCTTTAATAGTTCTTGATTTTTGGTTGGGTTCATTTCCCTGTGTCGGTAAAGGCGACATTCGATTACTAGTATGTATGTACTCCGTGGAGAAAGGCATAGAAATGACTAGTAGCTATTCTCCCACCATTTGTTTAGTGTCCCCCGGACTCAGCCCGGAGTCATTTTCCATATTTCCCGAGGGTGGATATTGCAGATCTCCTTCAATTAGTACATAGTTACTACTACATAGTCAAGCTAAATCTATCTCCCCTGCACCGAATAGCCTCAAAACCTCATACCGAGGAATCTCCGTTGCACAGTTCTCCAGAGTCAGCAGACAGTACGGGATTTATCCCGCGGAGATCGGCCCCTGCCGTAGCCGGGATTAAAGCCACTAAGTGGGGAAGATAAGGTCATTCTTTTTATTTCGGCTTAGTTCTTTTTTTTATTTTTATTTTTATTTTATTCCACGGAGTACTCTCTAGTCTCTCTTTGACTTTTTTGTGATCTTTTTCCGGGGTCGATTGGTGTTAGTGTCGCATTGAACGTTTACTTTCGGCTGTATAACGGGGCCATGGGGTCATGGTACCTGTTGTGATGGTTCTAGATCGTATAAGAGGTGAAGGGGAGATTCACTCCAATTCCTCTCCAACTGGGTGGGGTATCTGCAGGATTTTCTTTTCTTTTTTCCTTCTTTGCTTTTTCTCAAACTACGTAGAATATCAACTCACTGTAGAACGTATGGTGTATGTCGTCCACAATAAGACCACATTAAGACGACATATGATCAAGAAATATAGAGAGACTATTGCGAGATCCCGAACGTAAGCTCATTTGGGGCTAATGCAGTCAAAATGATGAGCTGTTGGCATCGGATCATTTTGGCTTTGCGGGGTTCAGGTACCTTCATCATCTTCCTCAAGGTTCGTCAATTCCCTAGGTTATGTACGGAGTAGAAACCAGTCCGACTCTCCCAACCATCCCTGGCCCTCGATGACCTAGTAAATAGGCTCAAAATCTCTGTGAACACGTCGGGTGTAATAGTAACTGGTAGCACGTCAACTTACCCCCATCAACGCGATTGGACAAGCACCCCACATCCTGGAGATCTAGAGACCACGTGAGGCTGCCCCTGGTAGCCCGTTGGGTAGACTACTTGTCGCTATGAAGTCACCTGCGCGATTTAAGGTGCTGTTCGATTATGACCTATTTTAGTCTTGTCTTCGGTCATAGCCTCATAGGTAAATGTAGACATAACTATACACTGTAGGTAGATCGGGAGGTGACCAAGCAACAGTGTTGAAGGGATTGAACCAATTCTTAATCTTTTAGTCTCATATCTTTAATCTTATATGCTGCAATTATAGTTGTCCAAGTAAATCCAAATCCCCAGAGAATCCAGCCCGAGAGGCCGATTTACGTAAAAGAACGAGACCGCAATTTTTTTCTCAATTTTTCTTTTTTTTTCTCTTTTTTTTTTTTGTGGATTTCTTGTCATCTGAGCAAAATATCACGGGGAAGAAAACGGTGCTTTTTAGGATTAGTGTAGGAAAAGATATTGTATGTCTAGACTACGGAGATACCTTCCATCTTCTATGTTGTAGAGGGAACTAAGAAATGCGCTGGAGTATAAAAATCTTATCTTAGCCCTTTACCCTCCACGGTTCCGAATTACTGTGTTAAGAAAATTCCTCTTTACCCTTTCTCCCCTGATCGAACTGCAGATCAGAAAACAATTCGGCTTATGACTGTTCCAATCGCATAATCCCAGGTCTGATCGCGATTTCTTGTTACATACAACTTTTCCTACCTCTCGGGTACCCCACCATCGCAAAGCCCTTCTCGCCAAGGATTACTCCGGATTTGACTTCTTTTATCTCTCCTCCTCCCTCATCATCTGATACCTTTCGTTTCCCCTCTATCGATTTATACCTTCACTTTCTTCCTACCCCAACCCTCCCCCTCCACCCCTCCGATCACCCCGAATGACACAACCGCAGAAGACCATTGCCGTGGTCAACGGGACAGGCCGGCAAGCAGCCTCACTGATCCGCGTCGCGTCCGCCGTGGGGTACTCAGTGCGCGCGCAAATACACTCTTTAAAAGGCGTCATCGCACCAGAACTACAACAACTTCCCAATGTGACCCTCCTACAAGGACCGCTCCTCGGTAACATCGCGCTGATGGACGAGCTCTTCAAAGGCGCCCAGCTCGCCTTCATCAACACAACCTCTCAATCGGGCGACGAGGTAGCCATTGGCCGCGATCTCGCCGACGCCGCCAAACGCGCCGGCACAATTCAGCACTACATCTACAGCAGCATGCCGGATCATTCCGTCCACGGGCCCTGGCCTGCCGTCCCGCAGTGGGCGCCCAAATTCACTGTCGAGAACTACGTGCGCCAGCTTGGAATGCCGGCGACATTCGTCTACGCGGGTATCTACAACAACAATTTCACCAGCTTACCATATCCGTTGTTCCAGATGGAGCTGCTGGAGGATGGGAGCTTCGAATGGCGTGCGCCGTTTGATCCAGAAATTCCGTTACCTTGGCTGGATGCTGAGCATGATGTTGGACCGACGCTGCTGCAGATTTTCAAGGATGGGCCGAAGAAGTGGAATGGACATCGGTGAGTTGAGATCTGAAAATCTGCCCCGGATATCTTCCGATCCCCGCTACGGGACCCCGACGGGGATCCTAGGCGGGGAAGGAAAGAAACCCATAGCGGTTTCGGAAGATTACAAGACAACGCAAACAAAGTTCCTAGCTAACTCACACCGCTTCTCCAGCATCGCCCTCACCTTCGAAACCCTCTCTCCAATACAAGTGTGCGCGGCGTTCTCTCGCGCCCTGAACCGACCATGCCACTACATCCGCGTCCCGAAGATCGAAATCAAAGTCAACATCCCGCCGGGGTACCGGGAACAGCTCGAAGCGCTGGAAGAGCTCTTCGCCCGCTGCGATGCCCCCTACTTCCCGCAGCCGGAGTTCTCACAGCCAGCCGCGGGCTCACCGAAGGGTCTTGGGCCGGCGGGTGGAAAGGGCGCCGGCGCGGGCATGATGCAAGGGCCTGGCGGTGTTATCTCACAGCGAGTGACAGACGAGGCGCGACATCTGTGGCAGGGCTGGCGTGATATGGAAGAGTATGCACGCGAGGTGTTCCCTGTGGAAGAGGAGGCCAATGGGCTGGACTGGATGGTTTGAGATTTAATTTTGTTTGAATTTCGGTGGGTCTAGCCTATGGCCTACCCTCTTGATGACACTGTCTGTTTCTTTTTCTCTCTTATCGCGACAGTTCGACGTGCATGGTGATGTGTTCTGTGCATGTGCGACTGCCCCTTGCTGTTTTGTGTTTTCTTATCTTTGGTTCGTTTTAATCATTGCATTCTTGGCGAACGGGCATGGGATATATGGACTTTCACGACTTGACCTCGGTCCTTAATCGGAAGATGCTTGGGGTAGCATTGAACGAGGATGTTTCAGTTTGCTTTCAAAAAAGTTTTTGGTTCTTGTTTCTTTCGATATCGACGGATTGCTGTCTTCTTTCCTTTGGTTCATATGAACTTCATCCTCAACCCCAAGCTTCGAAGAGGAGATCACGATATCCCGACTCTGGGTACTTGCCAAGAGATTTATCTGCTCAATTCTATGATCACGATTGTTCTGTCTATTTTTTTTTATGTTTGTAGGATTCGCTACCTCAAGGTCAAGTACTCTTGGACTCCAACTTACCGACCCTGCACTCGTGCATCCCATTTCAAAGGATTCATAGCAGACCGCTCCCTAAGCCCTTATCAGACCGGGCCATGTCGAACAACGAATCAGAAGGAAGACCCCAGACTCGGACTCGGACTCCGATGAACTAATATTAGAAGATATGGCACAAGGGACATGCCCTTATCAGCGGACTGTGCTGAATATGACAGGACAGCGACTTGATGTCAAGTCCGTCGTGATGTTGAAATAAGTATCCTGTCTCCATACTTGCTTTTCTAGGGCTTCGTTTGCTGCCCACGTACTCGAGGAAGATGCTGGTGTCTGAAAAGTAATGACATTGTACCTACGATAGGGACATGGTAATTTCTATGCGAATAGCTGCTATCCCGCGGGAGCTCTTCAAGCAATTGCTCCCGAGGTCCTTCTTGAATCCTCCGGGCTTTATTTGAGGACGGGATGAGCCAAGAGAAATGATACAACTTCACAGTTATACGGTGAGGCCTTAATTGTCCATCGTATTCATGACAGTAGCTCCATTCGACAAGAACATCGAATTCACATTGGAATAGTTATACCGAGGTGCTAACTACTACCACAGCTATGGATTAAGCCCACTGTCTACCACTACGCCGTTTCAACTACCACAACATGAAATCGTATCTACTACACAGTAAAGGACCTAAGGCTACGTACTGTGTACTATCCTAATGAAAGATCACCATACTAATTGGACAACAAACTCCACAAGATCAGCGTCAGAGTTTTCCGTTGCCCATGATGTAGCACTCGACACCTAAGGCCTCTCTAAAATTTAACCCCACCATTGTCGCCCAGTGCAACACCGGGGTACACAGAGATACTTTGGTTTTCCGCACTTGTACCATGGAACCACAAGTACCAGCAAGTATCCTCTTGTAGCTTCCCCCTCTAGCTTGCTTGATGCGCGCATAGCTTTTTTTTTTTACTTTTTTTTACAAATTTTCAATTTCCCCAATCCCTTAATTGTGTTGTCTCCCGTCTTCTCTTCATACTTTCTCTTTCTTCATATTCTTCTCTCAGGATTTGCATTTACTTTCACGACCTTTTCACGAAGTATACATTATGTCTAACGATCAGTCGCTGCTTGAGCGCGTTGAGATGCCTAGCATCCCTGAGTCTGCTATGAAGCAGATTGCTATCTTGGAGGAGGAGTTCTCCCGTGCGGAGGTTGAGCAATGTATGTGTTTCTGTGGTTCCTGTTCCGGTTCCTAGGTGGGGGAGTTCTGAGCTGAAGCAGCTGGCTCTACTCTACCATTGAAGGAGAATAGTGGTTACAGATGATCAATTGCTAACAGAATCTAAAAGTGCGCCACAGCGCCATGCTCATGGCCCCGCTCATCCAGAAGCGCAGCCAAATCATCACACTCCCCGAGGTGCAGCCCGAGTTCTGGATGCGCGTCTTCGCTAGCGCACCCCCCGAGATTGACGAGTACATCCTGGCCAGCGATGCCCGCCTGCTCGGCGAGTGCCTGAAGAACCTGACCGTCGAGCGCTTCGAGCTGGATGCCCAAGGCAATGGCGAGCCCCGTAGCTTGCGCTTCACTTTCGAGTTCAAGACCGGCGAGGAGAACCCCTACTTCACCAACGACAAGCTCGTCAAGGAGTTCTACTGGCGCCAGGAGGTGACCAAGAGCTCCAGTGGCCGCACCCGCACCTGGGAGGGTCTGGTTTCCGAGCCTGTCCGCATCAACTGGAAGAAGGATATGGATCTGACCAAGGGTCTGTTGGATGCTGCCTGCGACCTCGCTGACGCCGAGAAGAAAGGCGGTGACCGCAGACAACTGCCCGAGTACGCTGCTCTTGTGCAGAAGGTTGAGGAGGCTGATGCCGAGACTGAGGCTGCCCAGGCCGCAGAGGACGAGGATGAGGAGGATATGCCCAGCCCCGTTGGTATGAGCTTCTTTGGATTCTTCGGATACCGTGGCCGTGATATCTCTGCCGCCAAGTCCCAGGAGGCTGCCAAGGAGATCGAGGCCCGCTGGGCCAAGGTTCAGCGTGGTGAGGATATTACGGACGCTGCCGACTCCGACGACGAGGACGAGGACGAGGACGCCGATGGACTCGAGGAAATCGAGATCTTCCCCGATGGTGATGACCTTGCCGTTGCCATCGCCGAGGACCTCTGGCCCGATGCGCTCAACTACTACGGTATGTAGACCCTGACGAAGTGAGAAATGTACTCTCCGCTGACTTTGACCTCAGTTCAATCCTTCCAGATGGGCGACGAGCTCGAAGATATGGACCTCGAGATGGATGACGGAGATTCTGATGAAGAAAGTGAGTCGCGCCCGCGCAAGAAGGCTCGCAATTAAACCATGCACCTGAAACGCCACAATTCCCTTTCATCCGTTTTTTGACTGCGTTCCTGACCCCTTAATTTTGTAATATCACAGTGCAATGAGGAGGATTAATAATAAGACGAGAACGAAAATGAGCGTCGCGATACAGAAGGAGGACCATGTATCTAGTTGGAAAAAGTTAGCTTCGAACGAGTGATTCCCATATACCAGAGCATCCTGATAGATCCAGCATAGACAGAGTCAACAGCAAAAGGAAAAGGAAAAGCAAATATCTTACCCTCATTCTTGCGCACGATATGCTTAATCCTCGACATCCCATTCGCCAACTTCCCCCCAACCCGATCCGCAAGCGTATCAACCTCATTAATCATAACAGCCTGATCCTCCAATTCCCTCCCCATATCATCCGCCTGCTGTCTTAAATTGCCAACAGTACGGAAAACCCCATCAAGCTGCTCATCCTGTTCATGCATAAGCTCCGACTGCCGCTGCTGCTCCATAGAAGCGTAATAATCCTCGCCACCACGCCCACGCTCCTCCTCTTCCAGCGCCGCATCAAACTCCGTCGAATTCGGCAGCGCATCGTCCGCCTTCGACACAGCCTGCTGCAGCTCCTGGTGCATCTTCTCTACCTCGTCGCCGACATCGTCGACTAGCTTGCGCCGCCGCTGCACCTCTTCTAGTTCCAGGCCATAGCGGTAGGGATCTTGTTCGATTGCGCGCACACTCTCGACGAGGTCGTTTACGTCGGCGGTTAGCTCTGTTAGGGTTGCTTCGAGCTCGGCCCGGGCTTGTTTGAGCTCTGGGTTTGAGGGGCTTTTGGCGAGGGAGCGGATGCGGAGGTATGAGGAGAAGAGTGGGCGGCTGGTTTGGAGGGTTGAGACGACGTCACTGGTGGTAGATGGTTTAGTTGTCTGAATACACTCCGGGGGCCTGGTATGTGTAGCTTACGCTTGGACTTGTAGGAATGGGTCTGCGTGCTCCATGGTGTGGGATGTCGGGGAGTATTCAATGTTGTTGGTATGGAGACTCGGACCCTGCCCAGGTGGTCGGTCCACGGGTCAGTCTGGAGCTGTCCCCCGGCGGTGAGCTGACTCGATTACGGTGGACCTTGAGACAACTCGCGCATATCAGGCAGGAGAGTTGTTGCCTTAGATGCCTTAGATGTGGCTGTAGAGTCGTAGACATAACCAAAAAGGCGGTATTTACCGCTTTCCAAAGGGACGGCAGTACTTCAGGTACTCCAGGCGGGGCGATAAAAAATTGCGATAACATTCCCCACAGTAGATCAAGAGTCCCTCCATGACTTGATGACTTGTTTGTGCTTGTGTTTTTATACTTTTTGCATTTAATTGAGCATGACTACCCCCAGACCGCTCCCACTCTCCGATGAGTGGAATGACCCCGACGAATATGTACAGGCCCTCCTCTCCTTCGCGACCGAGTCGGTCATGTTCATGAACGTCTGCGGTGGAGTGCATATCCTCGATTTTCTGACGCGCGATCCCGATCTGTACAGCTCGCTTTTGCCAGAAGACTGGCGTGAATTCTTCGATCATCACGATATCCACAGCATCTTGCAATTGCTACTTCGAGAAGACATCGGTCCGCTCTGCGAGCCCGCAGAGACTGATAGGACCGAGACTGATAGGACCTGGAACGGAGGCGCATTCCCACCCGCATCCCTTCTCGAATACATTCGCAATATTCGTCGTTTGAGCCTCCGCCGTGACTTTGCTCCACCGGAGAAGAGCGAGCGTCTTCCGAAACATATCGCTGTCGGCATGAACAAGAAAAAGACCCACGAGGTTGAGCAATTCTCGCGTTATGTCGCTTCTCTCTCTGAGACAGTTAAGGAGAGTCGTGGGGAGCCATTGTCTCACATCGTGGACTTTGGATCTGGGCAAAACTACCTAGGGCGCATGCTGGCAAGCGCGCCCTACCATAAGCATATCATTGCTATTGAGCGCAAGCACCAATACATTAGCGGAGCTAATCGTATGGATGTTCATGCTCGGCTGGCCGAGAGGGAAAAGAAAACCAGAATTCACAATGCAAAGCTCAACAAAGTCAAGAGGCAATGCAAAGACTGTACGGACATGCCAGAGCTGGCCCCGGAACAAGGCACACCGCAAACCCAGGAGCAGGGTGATGCTGTTACAAAAGAAGTTGCTCCAGAGAACGAAGATATAGTCATCTCTGATATTCTGGGTGATATGACTTTGGGAGCCGATGATGTGCTAGGCACAGACTATAAAAAGCCACACGTCCTACACGTGCCAAAAGCACAACCAGAGATTGACACAAGAGGCACTGTCAGCTACATCGAACATGAAATCAAGGATGGGTACCTAGAACCGATTATCGAGCACGTTGTGGACCCAAAGACGACCGTGGAGACCCGCACTAGCACAGAGGAAGTCGTCGTCCAGCCGCAAGGAAAGAAGCCAAGCGATGCCCGAGTGATGGTCGTCTCCCTGCATTCATGCGGCAACCTCGTCCACCACGGAGTCCGCTCACTGGTGCTCAACCCATCCGTTGTAGCAATCGCCATGATCGGCTGCTGCTACAACCTCCTCACGGAGCGATTAGGTCCAGCAACGTACAAAATCCCCATCCTCCGCTCCGCCCACCCCCGCCTCAAACAAACCGGATCATCTTGGGATCCGCACGGATTCCCAATGTCCAAACTATACGAAAACTACGAAGCCAAGACAACAAAGTCCTTCAAGCTCAACATCACAGCCCGCTCAATGGCCGTCCAGGCACCCTACAACTGGGGCCACGCCGACAGCGAAGGCTTCTTCACCCGCCATTTCTACCGCGCTCTGCTCCAGCGCGTTCTCCTAGACCGCAACATCATCCCCAAGCCCGATGTCCCAGACGATCTGTACAAGGATACCTCCGACAACCCCGATGCTGGCGGTATAGTGCTGATTGTGGGCTCGCTGCGGAAATCCGCCTTCGAATCCTTCCCTGCGTATGTGCGCGCTGCAACGGTCAAGTTGAGCCAGGATCCTACTCGTGGCGAGATGGTCAAGGAGCGCGTTTGCACCATGACCGATGAGGAGTTGCGGCGCTATGAGGCGGATTACATGCATACGCGCAAGAATCTCAGTGTTGTGTGGAGTCTTATGGCGTTTAGCTCGCAGGTTGTTGAGGCGGCTATTGTTGTTGATCGTTGGCAGTTCCTGCGCGAGCATGACGACGTCAAGGAGTGTTGGGTGGAGCCGGTGTTTGAGTATGGGCAGAGTCCGCGGAATTTGGCTGTTATTGGGATTAAGAAGTGATTCATGTCATTGCATTAGATATGGCTGGAGTTTTGTTTTTGCTTGTGGCATTTTATAGATTGGGCTGAGTACATGAAGTACATAGCGGTAGTTTACTGGACATAGATGCATAGAACATAGACCTAGAAGGCCCTTTCGCCTTGGAATGGACCAATTCCGTGACACTACATGGTCCGCCTGATGCAACCCTGTAGCTGACTTAGATGGCATACATCTCGAACATTGATCATCCCTTGTCTCCACGGAGTACAGTATTTGCATGTGCAATGTATCCACCTGGGATGTATCATGCCATGATTCGAAATGCAACTAATGCGAGCGAAAAGACTTCATACACAACCAAACATTACCCCATCTATTCCCCAAAGACACTATCCACCCCCTCAGATCTCCCTATATCGTATAAAAGCTTGGAAAATCAGAACGCAGTCCACCGCGTCCCACAAGCAGCCGCAACCTCCATTGCAGGCTTCCCAATCATCCCTTTCCAGAACTCCGAAGTCTCAGACGAAACCAGCTCGTCAACCTCCAAGGACAGCAAAGCATCAAAAACCCAATCCTGACAGCGCCCAATCGAATCTCTAGGCGCAGGCTCCTTCTCGATAACCTTGATAGCATCATGCCTCTGCTGCGAAGTCAGCTCTGCAATCTTGCTCATCCCCACGGCGCCCTTGTCGATGATTTTCGTCGCGTAGCGCGGCGCAAAGCCATACCACATCCTCTCGGCATTGATGACCTCGACTTGGAGGAGATCTCCGAACTTGAGGTTCCCGGGCTTGTTGATCATGAAGCCCCAATGGGATCGGTGGGGGGGCACGTCGCCGGGGCCGAAGACTTCTATTGAGGGGGTGTAGGCCATGCTGTGTTTACGTTAACTGGGGTGTTTATCTAGTGATTGTGGTGTTTTCCAGGTCTAGTATGTGTACCTTTTTTCGGTCAATTGGGTTGATTTTGGGGGTATTTGGTTCTCAGTGGGAGAACTAGCCCGTGATTTTGTGATTTGGTGTGGAAATGGTGTTCTTGCACCTTTTGATTTCTGGTCTATTTCGACCCTATACTACGAGCTATTAAGATCAGATGACTTTCAGGGATGTGATCTAAAATTGGCGAATGCATGCACCCACCAATTGTGCGTTGGTGATAGGCGCCAGAACCCTTCTTTGGGAGCTCGAATATGCCAGCTGGACTACAAAGAGAAGGGATTCTTGCTGGAACTCGAATCTGTAATTGAATCTCAATTTTGGTGCTTTCAACTTTGACATCTCAAATATGGATACATCCAAGACATCTGATTGCTGGCAATGTCTAAAAACCCCTCTCCTCTACCGACATCTCGTATCTCACTAACATGCACATTGACGTACCCCAGATACCATCAACATCGAGTATACATACACACACCAATGGAAACCAGATATGGTATTTTATAAACACCACTAACTAATCTCAATACTCCCCTCGGGCACACCCTGCCTACTCCGCAACCTGCGCGCAAAGAACTGCATAACAGGCAACATCTCCTCGCGACTACTCGGCATCCCATCCCCCTTCCTCGCATACCGACTAACCTCCACAAACTCAAAAACCTGCTTCGTCCTGCGCACCGCCTCATCCGAAACAACCGTCGAATCCCTCCCCGAAACCAGCAGCACAGGCGAGCGACTCTTCTCCCCAGCCCTTGACCCAGACAACGCATACGGCGCCCCAATGGAAATAACCCCGGACAAAGCACCGACCTCCTCGCCACTATCCTTCAACCCGAGCTCACGCGCCAGCGCCAGCGCAGCCATCCCGCCCTGTCCGAAACCCAGCGCCATGATCTCGCGCAGTGCGTAGCCGCATTTTCGGACTAGCGTGCTGCGGACTAGCTCGGTGAGGATCTTTGTGCTGCGCGTTAGGCCGGCGTCCATGTCTAATGTGCCGGTCGCGGAGTCGAAGGAGACGTCGTCGCCCCAGTGGTAGCCGCCTAGGTCGAAGGGGAGGGGGGAGGGGCCTTGGATGGTTATGATGGTTGTTTCGGGGAGGTGGAGGGCTTGGCCGAATTTTGTGAAGGCTGTGGCTGTGTCGCCGAGGCCGTGGAGGAGGAGGAGGATGTTTGGGGAGGGGGTTGTGGAGGGGGAGGAGGATGGTGGTGCGGGTGTTATTGTGACGGTGAGTTCGGAGGGGAAGTCGGATGGCGTGGGGGTTTTGGTGTGCATTTTGTGTGAGGTGAGCGATGGCGAGAAGGAGACGGGAGGGGCCAAGGCGTATGTGGTACACTTGGTGTCTTGTACGTAGTTGAGTTGTTGATCTTGTCAGAGCTCGTTGCGGAGATTGGAGCTCAGCTCTGCGAGTCGTGCGGGGCGGGACCGTGGGGCTTTGTTCGACGGCTGCAGTGGCAGTGTGGCTTAGAGCTTAGGGATGTGCTCGCGCTCCTTGTACACCGTAGTATAGAAATAATGTAGATAGTAGTGCGAATGTTGGATTGTGACTCGTGAGGACCGAGGCTGATCTGGGGAGACTGAATTGACTTTCCCCGGGCGGTGTGATCTACGGGGTTGCCTGGTTGAGACATTCGATGGAAACATTGACACGCATGGCCTGATCTTCACTTCGTTATGACTCTATAATATTAAATATTAATATATTCCAATCTTTGAACTTGAAGCAACGTCCTGTGGGATATTTGGTCCTGCACAGTAATAATGACCACATTAAGACCAAAATAGCATATGGATATTTCACAGCCACCGCCACTGAACGTGGCTGGTGTCGCGCCTCGTAAGGCGAGGACAAGCCTCTTAGCAAAAGCTTGGCTCGGCTCGCCGGCCTGATGGGCTTGCCAAGGCCCCTGAGACATTACCTCAAACCGCTTTTTGAGCAGTGTCGTACCCGCTAAAGTTGACCTCCAATGATCAATCCAGCTCATATTACCTGTGCCCACCTTGTATCCGTCTTTTCGCAGCGGAGTAGCGCCGAATTGACCCATTTGGATCCATCAGATCGGCGCTTCATTGGATCTCACCCTTGTGGGACACGTAATCATCACGAAAGTTCCGGCGTGCAACGAAGCGACTGTCTCACATTTGGCTATTGTGGTACTGTACCTATTGTATGGTATACGATGTGCAACGTGCACTACAAGCCACGTCTCACGGTGTAGGCGACGAGCTGTTGCATCGATGTCACATGTGTATGGATGTCTCTCCGCGGGCCAGACAGTCGGTACTCCGGACTCGGATCACAGCTGGTACCTGAGAAAGTTTATTCCGATTGCTGGAGCCTAAGATCATGCTTGTAAATTGTCACTGGAAGTTCCCTCTGCATGATTCTCCGATGAATTCTCAGTCTCACATCGCGCTGGTCCTTATGGTTGTGCTTCGCAGTGAGCTTTCTCTCTTTTCATCGGCCGATGATTCAGACAAATAACAGACCAGGTTCGATTGAATCTTCCCCCGGATGATTGGACAGCCACGTTTCATCCATGGTCCCATCGGAGAGTGGACTCTCGAGGATCCTTGCTGTATCATGCGACCCCGCTTACAATGTACACGGCATGGAATACATCTTTAGCCACCACTTTCCGATAGTCCATGGTGGGGCAAGCATGATTTGTGACAGAGGGTACTAGGTACGGAGTAGACGGAGTATACTTTTCCGAAATGCGTACAACTTACAATACGTACTGTTAAGGGAGGAAAAGGGGTCCATCGATTTACTGCCCACGATTCCACGAATCCTTGACAGTTGTCCCTCGCACTCAGTACCTACCCTTCGGTGTGCTCTGTTATGCATGTCAGACAAGAATATGCCATATGGCCTCCGGGGCCATAAACAGGAACCTTCATTCTTGTTGTGGTCTAGTGGTACAATAATCGAAGCGCACCAACACACCTCACGGAGGTGTGTTGGTGCCTGGCGCTAAGTTGGTACGATTAGCCTGTAATTTTTCCCACAATAGGCTGATGTTGCAAGGCTATAAGTTCCAATCTCTCGCCCAGGCCCTCTTGTTCTTCTTCCATCAACAACTACACAAACGTCTCTGACTCAACTCCTTATCTACATATATAACCAAAATGGCTTGGGGCTGGGGTGAGTCTTAGTTTCCTCAACGCATCCACGCCTTGCTGCATACATGCATCAGGGCCCGACCCGACCTGCATAGCCTGCAATCCCCTCATTGGCCATGAAGTGGAAATCATGCTGACTCCTAGCAGAAGAATCCGAGCAGGCACACCGAGAGGTCTACAGCGGTGAGGAGCACCACGAGGGCAAATTCTCCCACGAGTTTGCTGCAGGCGCTGCATCCTTCGCTGCCATGAAGGCCTATGAGGATCATGAGCGCAACGAGGGTACGTCTGCCATGCATTCCATGCACCATGCCGGCATAATACCCCGACTTACATATGAATGAGCAGGCAAGCCCGCCAATCACTCCTTCGCCAAGGAGCTCATCGCCGGCTTCGTGGGCGGCGAAATCGACAAATTGGCTGAGACTAAGGGTATGGACTGGATGGATCGTGAGAAAGCCAAGGACCATGCCACGAGAAACGCCGAGAACATGTATGAAGAACGATACGAGCGTGGCAACTACTAGGTTCTTGGGTATGGCAGACGATGATTGAAGGAAACTTGCTTCATGGACAGCTCGGGTCGCAGGTACCAAGGAAATATGATTGATCAAAGATATGTTTGATTCTGGTGTCCAGACTCCCGTACATAAAAGAGCGGTGAGGTGAGCCGCTGAATAGGTATCTCTCGGAGGTTGACATGTCAACGCCGCATCCGAGTTGCAGACATGGCATAGTTCCGACAGACGTACGTAGCCTTACGATGCACTGCTCCCCGTCGGAAAATATGCACTGAGTTTGGAATGGGATACCGGGTGTTTTTCTTGACCAGTCATCACCATGAGAACCCGCCGGTCACATTCCGGGCTGCATACCAACGCCGTCGTAGTTTAGATAGGGGACTGGGGATCCGAGCCAAATGCCTATGATTGCGTATTTGATATGTGAGAATCGCTTTTCCTAACCGCCTCATAAGAAGAGACATCTCTAGGAGAAGCTGTTGCATGCATCTGACAAGGAAGAAAGCGAAGATATTCCCAGTTCGGATTCCCGACGTTTAGGAATCTGGCCTGGTGGGCCGGATCCAAATGACCCACCTGCAGGCTGTCCACCAATCACAGCTCAGGGCGCACCAATTGCAGATTGTCGCCTCGCAAACCAGGCGCCCACCGGTGATGAGCTCATACACGTGCTAAAAGTATAGGTTCAGCTACGAAGCCTCGACATTTTCAAGCTTTTGAGCGCTGCCGTCACTTTCGGGGGAGATTTTCAGGCCTTAGTAATTTGCCAACGACATACCATTTCTTTTCCATTCCTTCATTCGAAGTCTTTCCTAATACCGTCTACCACTCTCGTCTCATCTCATCTCAGGAGTGGCGGGTCGGCTGTAGCACTTTGCTTTCGCTCGAGGTGTCGACCCCTCGCAGTTGAGACTTGATGCTCCTATCACAGCAGACACTTCAGGTTTGAGACCATAGGCAATGACGGTGGTTCGCTGTTCAGGATGAAATTTGCCAAGTTTGTGTTCCCCGTCACAGGGTGTGCGACATTCCAGTGGCTGACTCAAAGACTTAATCCACAGACAGCTGGAACAAGAACTTGTTCCCGAATGGCGGGCAAAGTATCTTGACTATAAGGTTGGTACTTAGCACCAGTCTTGATATCGCAATCGTACTGACCTCGTCGATGTATTCAGATCGGAAAAAAGAAGGTTAAGGCGATCACTCGAGCTCTGCAGAAGGCGCACCGCAGTCCCAATTTTCCGTCCCAGCGAAATCCCACCCCGCAGATTCGCGGCGCGATCCACTCGTCTTCCAATATCGATAAGCAACTGGATGCGACAGAACAAGATGCGCCTTTATCACCGCATCTGAGAAGTCCTGAGCGGCCATCGACCACGCGCTCCACACCCGGGCTCAAGACCGAGCGGCAGCCGCTTCGCACTCCGGGATCGCGGTTTTCGGAAGATATTGGCAGCTATGGAAGTATACTGGCAACGCCGCCACATCGACGCCATGCAGAGTCAGATGCAGCCTCGCTTGAGCTTCCGGACCCGGCACTCGACCCAGAGGACGACTATTTCCAGCAGCACAATGGGGCCAACGTAGATCACCCCAGCGCCGTCCGGACACCATCGCCGGTGATGAACCGACATACCACGGGGCATTTGAATCCTTCACCGTCTCCGGCCATAGCGGACCCCTCACCTGATCAAAGGCCCCGATCAGACCCACGGGGAAGCTACACGAGTCACTTGGGTGGAACTTTAACGAAGGTGCCGTCGAGCAAACGGACATCGCAGCTACTGCGGCGCGTATTTACTGCGGAGGGGGAGCCTGGCATGAGGCGACGGTTAGAATCTAGCGCTGGCGCCGAGCTTGACAAACGTCAAGACGAATTCTTCGAGTTTTTAGATAGCGAGTTGGACAAGATCGATGCCTTCTATGTGATGAAAGAGCAAGAGGCTACCGAGAAGCTCCGGGTCCTTCGCCAGCAGTTGCATATCATGCGCGATCAGCGTATCCAGGAGGTTTTGGCTGCCAAGAGAGCCGCCAATCCCGACAACGCGGAGGCCCAGCGACGGGCAAATGCATTTGCGAAACTCAATGGTTCCCGTTTAAAAGGTACATTCGCGGGCAAGAACCGTTTTGGCAAGAACTCGGAAGCACTGGCGGAAATGGCGACTCCCGGCATGCACCCCCAAGATCAGGATCGCGAATTCATTGTCAACCGGAGGGACTTTATGCGACGGCAGGAACCACCGAACCAAGAAGTCTCTTATCGGTCTGCTAAACACAAGCTCAAGCATGCGTTGCAGGAGTTCTACCGCGGAGTTGAACTTCTCAAAGGATACGCTTACTTGAACCGGACAGCTTTCCGAAAAATAAACAAGAAATACGACAAAGCAGTCAACGCCCGCCCCCCGCTGCGGTTCATGTCAGAGAAGGTCAACAAAGCTTCCTTTGTGCAGAGTGAAGTGACTGAGAACTTGATGGCAGCGGTTGAAGACTTGTACTCCCGTTACTTTGAGCGCGGTAATCGCAAGATTGCTGTCTCCAAACTCCGTCACACGATGAAAAGATCTGGCGACTATTCGCCGAATACTTTCCGCTCTGGACTCTTGTTGATGGGTGGGGCTCTGTTCTCTATCAAAGGACTGGTTGATGCTACGTCAAATCTTCGTTCAGACGATGTAGCTGAGCAAATTCGAACCAGTTATCTGCTTCAGGTGGGCTCCCTCTCTTCTGCTTAGAGTGTAACCATGTTGACCAATCGATTAGCTCTATGGCGGGTATTTCCTGATCGTGTTTCACGTCTTGCTCTTTTGCTTGGATTGTATGATCTGGACGAAATCGAAGATCAACCATGCATTTGTTTTCGAATACGATACCAGACACACCTTGGAGTGGCGTCAGTTGCTGGAGGTAAGTTCCTTGCTGTCATAATTTGATGTCCGTGTCTGACAGGTGCAGATACCTTCGTTGTTCTTCTTCCTGTTGGGCCTGTTCATGTGGCTCAACTTCTCATGGTACAATCACATGTACATCTACTGGCCCGTTGTCCTCATTGGTCTATCGGTCATTATAGTCTTCCTGCCAGCCCGTATCCTCTACCACAGGAGCCGCAAATGGTTTGCCTTTTCAAATGTGAGTTATCGTACAATCTTATCCGTGTTTGTCTAATTCTGACTCCTGTAGTGGCGCCTACTACTCGCTGGAATCTACCCTGTCGAGTTCCGTGATTTCTTCCTGGGCGACATGTACTGTTCTCAGACATACGCCATGGGGAATATTGAACTCTTCTTCTGTCTATACGCCTCGTATTGGGGTTACCCGCCTAAGTGCAACTCCTCCCACTCTCGACTTTTAGGCTTCTTCCAATGCCTTCCCTCTGTCTGGCGTGCTTTCCAATGTATCCGCCGTTACCTGGACACGAAAAACGCATTCCCCCATCTGCTCAACTTGGGCAAGTACATATTCGGTGTTCTCTTCTATGCCACTCTAAGCATGTACCGCATCGACCTACACACACGCTTTCAAGCCTCATTCATCACCTTCGCCCTCCTAAACGCTGTCTACACCTCAGTCTGGGATCTCATCATGGACTGGAGTCTGGGCAACCCCTACGCCAAAAACCCAATGCTTCGTGAAGTTCTTGCCTTCCGTCGAGTCTGGGTGTACTACGCCGCAATGATCCTCGACGTAATAGTGCGCTTCAACTGGATCTTCTACGCCATCTTCATCACAAACATCCAACAATCCGCTCTCCTAAGCTTCATGATCTCCCTCTCCGAAGTCTGCCGCCGCGGCATCTGGTCCATCTTCCGTGTCGAAAACGAGCACTGCACAAACGTCCTCCTCTTCCGCGCCTCCCGTGATGTCCCACTTCCCTACGACGTTCCCTCTCCCTCGCAGGCCCTCGACGGCGCACCGGACGGCGTCCAGCTCCAAGAACAGCACGCTGCCACTCCCTTCATGGCACCCGGCGACGTCGAGCACGGCGCCCCGTCCACGTCCAGTATGCGGGCACGCCAGCGCCGTCCTTCAGTCGGTATCGTCCGCGTCGGCGAAATCGTCGCCTCGGCCCACGCGCAGGACTTCGAGCGCAGACGTCTGCCAACCTTCCTGTCCAGCGCGAGTGTAGGGCAGGATATGGGACGCCATGACGACGACAGCACGGACGAAGATGATGAGGCGGATATGAGCACGGATGATGAGTCGGGGTCGCACGAGGGTCAGCGGTCGAGGCCGGCTTCAGAGCGTCGAGAGACGATGGGTCCTATTGTTGAGTAGGTTGTGCTGATTGCATTGGGGTAGCCGGTGGCTAGGGTGATGTCGCCTTTGATGTGACTTATAGATATCCTGAGCATCTTGCTTGTACATTTTAGCTTGCTATGCATAAATATCAATAATCTGGTTAGACTGTATGCTTTGCTTTCCACCAATGGTTGCCGTTAGCGAGAGACATTGACGGGTCTCAGCTCAGTATGAAATCTGGGAATTTCTTTGCTTGGAAAGGTATCCGGCTAGTTTGTGCATGCTATGGCCCGGCTACCCGTAGTCGAAGCGGAGATGGCAAGGCGAGTCTTTGGAAGTCTTCCCAACAGGTCCGAGGAAACCGGATCCTTCAAGCAACAGACCGGGCCGGTCAAGATATGAGCGTGACCGGCCAAGAGTACAGCCACTGCAAGGATTCTGCTCCTTCTTGGCCTCTTCTAGAAGGGGGCGTTCGAGGGAAAAATAGAGTTCGGTGCAAGCCACTCACGCAACGGAAGGACGGAAGTCTCCCGTAAGGGTGAGACGACTGCATCGCACATTGGGGTAGACAACAAGACAACGTGTTGAAAGGCAGCGTGGAGTAGTACTCACCGTGGACTTGTTACACCGTGTTCCATTTGTTTACAAGATCCTTCGTAGGTACTCTGGGCATGGTGGCAACAATTGGTCCGGACTCGGTATCGTCGCCGGTAAGGGTATTCAACTCAAGGAAAGTTTGGCGGACTTCTTCATTCCCGCCGGTAGCCGGACTCTCCCGGTGCATGTAGCATGTAGGTGGCGCTTTCTCGGCGTGGTATGATAGAGGTTCCTGTTCTGGAGCCTCTGGCCCCTGACGATCATATTTTGGTTTGAACAAACTCCCCTACAGTAGAGATAGCGATATTAACTATTTCTTCCCGTATTGCAGGAATGTTCCCGAGAGAGATATCTTGTAGATGAACTACATACTATTTCAAACAGACATCTGCAATAAACATATCATGAAGTTAGACATCGCCGTGTAGGGAAGGTTGCGGCCCTGCGGGTGAAATGCCCTTGCCGACGAGTAACCGGTAGCCAAGGTTGAGCCAAGAGAATTGGCACTTGGGAAGTTTTTGCCCCTTTTATCTAGGGAAAACCTAAGAATAGACCGCTGAGTCGCTGACCGTCGGGTTTGGTCAAGTTTCGGAGATAAACAGTTCGACTTATCTATTGCACCTCGTTGGAGATAAGGCATGTGATAACTAGTGAGAGATAAGATGGAATCATCATGGAAAATAAACAGTATAAACTACTGTGTAAAAGCTTCAAATACTGTGATATCACAAACTCCAAAGTCTACGGAGTGCCCGTAAACACGGCGTTTCGTCCCAATCTCCTCAGGCGCCACATACGTTCGGTTAAGGTTACCCGAGAATGAGATTAAACACATCTCCGCCTCCCCGTGGGGTAAACTGGGGTTGGTATGTCAGTCTCCACAACAACTCCACGTACAGAACCGACAAACTGTCGTCATAGTACAGCAGAATGGGGGGTAGATTCTCATCTGGCCGGGAAAAAAAGGAAATGGAAAGACAAAAGAGACGATTTCCCCACAATCTGCCCAGTCCTCAGTGGGGTTGCATCTTGTCCCAATGCAGGCCGATCTTCTGAAACCGGGGGTTAGAGCGAGTAATGAGCCCAATTGCAGTTGATCCTATCCACAATTGAGTAGTCACCTTCTCTTTTTCTATCCTGTCATGGCTAGTATTACTACGCTAGCCTTTCATCTGTCTCCGGTCCCCCGTCTTCCGGCCCCCCCCCTGTTGGTCTGCCTACCGTGTAACAGTTTCGTGGTTTAAGAACAGCTCCATACCCCGCGGGTTAGCCCGGGGATTTTAGATGTACCTGTTTAGATCTGTCCAGACGCTGCTATCATGACCGATATGAAAAAAGAGAAAGACCTTGAGGGTCTGGGTACTTCACCCTTGCGAAATGAGCTTGATCATAGTTCTGATATCGCGCATGATGATGTCTTTGGAGAGATTACTGAACACGGACCCAATTACCGCAATGTACGTTCACCTACATACCTATTCCTTTGTGTTTCTCGAAAGAAACCATTGAGCCCAGTTAACACCATTCAGGTAGGATGGATGGGAACAGTGGTCCTCATGATGAAGAGCCAAATCGGCCTCGGTGTCCTTTCCATCCCAGGCGCATTCGACACGTTAGGTCTTATCCCAGGCGTCATATGTCTAGTCATCATTGCGGTTATCACAACATGGTCCGACTACATGGTGGGTATCTTCAAGCTGAAACATCGCTCCGTCTACGGAATCGACGATGCAGGCTACTTGATGTTCGGTACATTCGGCCGTGAGCTCTTCGGGTTTGTCTTCTGTCTCTGTACGCTCTATACACTTTTCCAGGGTCCAAATCTGTATTAATCCACATAGACTGGACTTTCGTCGCCGGCTCAGGAATGCTCGGTCTCTCCATCGCCCTCAACGCCGTCTCAACCCACGCAACATGCACAGCCGTCTACGTGGCCGTCGCCGCCGTTGCTGGCATCATATTCGCTAGTATCCGCACTCTCGGTCGAATCAGTTGGCTCGCGTGGATTGGTTTGATCTGTATCCTGATTGCAAGTATGTGTCTTATAGTCCTTACCGACTTCCCCTATCCCCGGTGTGAAATAGCCCTAATATGGTCGCAACAGTCTTCATCGTTACCGTTGCCGTGGGCGTTCAAGTCCGCCCATCCTCCGCTCCACAAGATGGAACTTGGGTACCAGACTACAAGCTCGTGAACAACCCCTCATTCAGTGAAGCCATTACGGCGGTGTCGGCAATGGTCTTCGCCTACGCTGGTACACCAGCCTTCTTCTCCATCGTCTCAGAAATGCGCGATCCTAAGTATTACACCCGCTCCCTGGTCATCTGCCAGTCCATCGTAACCGCCGTCTATATCTCCATCGGCGTGGTGGTATACTACTTCTGCGGCTCATACGTTGCCTCGCCTGCGCTTGGCTCCGCCGGCCCAGTTATGAAGAAAGTCAGCTATGGCTTTGCCATCCCCGGTTTGCTGGTTACCGTGATGCTCTTCGTGCATGTAAGCAATTCCTTCTGCCAGCTCTGACAATTCATTGTGGAACCGTGAGAGACTATACTAACAAACCCCACCCAGCTCCCAGCAAAATTCATCTTCATTCGCCTCCTCCGCGGCTCGAGACACTTAACCTCAAATGGCATCGTTCACTGGACCTCCTGGATCGGCTGCACTGTCAGTGTCGGCCTAATCTCCTACATCATCGCCAGCGCCATCCCCGTTTTTGACAATCTGGTTTCATTAATTGGCGCCCTTCTCGGCACATTCATGTGTTTCCAGCCGATGGGCTGCATGTGGCTGTACGATAATTGGGGCAGGGGGAGGTACGAGCGGAGTCGGCGGTGGATTGCCATGGTTTGCTGGAGTATTTTCGTTATTGTGAGCGGTACGTTTATGATGGTTGGCGGCACTTATGGGTGTATCGTCACTATTATTGAGAGTTACCATGCAAATGGGGGGACGAGTGCATGGTCTTGTGCGGATAATTCCAATTCGTCATGAGTGAGAGGTTAGAGATGGAAGGGCATTGCCGGTACTGGTCACTGGTTTGCATAAATAGATACCTATCAGTAAATTGGAGTGTGTGTTGGAATTGATTCAGTCTCCAAAGTCTTCTCTTCCAGAAACCGTTAGAACTTAGACCCACGTGCCCGCATAAACATCGCCCCCGGAAAATCAGCTTATCACACGTGACACATCACATCACTCTGAGCTCCACTTCCAGGCATCTCTCTCATCTCTCTTTGTCCGTTAACCGGTGTTACATTTCAAGGTTCTCAACACCAGCATTTGAGTGACCGACTGCATCGCACCTCGACGCCATGTCCTCCAATATCAGATATGAGGCCGCTCCCCAGCGGGACTCCCTAGACGAACCGTCTTACAACCAAGCCCCTCCCTCCTACCAGGCGACCGCAGAGCCAGCGCCACGCGACGAAGGCGACAACCTACCCGATGACTTTAAGGTATGCACACACATAACATAACGGGGCGATAGCTCCGCACAGCACAACAGCAACTAACACAACATGACAGTTCGGAGGCACAGTCGCCGAAGGCACAATCGACATCCGAATGCAATTCGTCCGCAAGGTGTACTCGATCCTGTAAGTCCCCAACGCAAGCCAACCCGCCCGCGCAAAACCTCAAAGACTAACAAACGACACTAGAACTGCCCAACTCCTCCTCACAACGATCCTGAGCTCAATCTCCTTCTTCAACACGACCTACCGCTTCTGGATCCAACACAACTTCTGGCTAATGATAATCTCCATCTTCGGCGCCTTAGGCTTCATGCTCGCAACCTTCTGGAAACGCAAGTCCTACCCGGCAAACCTCCTCTTCCTTTCCGGCTTCACGATTCTGGAAGCCTACTCCATCAGCGTCGCGACCTCCTACTTCGATGGCCGGGTGGTGGTTCAAGCGCTTGCGCTAACGCTTGGCATCTTCGTGGCGCTCACGCTGTTCGCATGCCAGACGAAGTACGATTTCACGGACTGGATGCCTTATTTGTTTGGTGCGCTGTGGTTTATGATTTTGTTCGGGTTCGTTGCTATGTTTATCCCGTTCAATAGCACCATCGAGATTGTCTATGGTGTGCTTGGAGCGCTGGTTTTCTCCGGGTATATCCTTGTTGATACGCAGTTGGTTATGAGGCATTATCATGTTGAGGAGGAGATTGCGGCTTCCATTTCGCTCTATTTGGATGTGCTCAATTTGTTCATGTCCATTTTGCGGATTTTGAATGGGGCGAATAATAATAATTAGGGTTGGCAGCTTGGTTGACTCGGCTGGTCATTACACTGCGTGGTCGAGGGAGCTCGGCTTGTCGAGGATGATTCTGCTTTTCGCCAGGTCTTGAATCACTTTCTGTTGTTCACTCTTCACTCCTGTCTTGAGTTTCTACAAGTCTGTTTATTGCTTTACTGACATTATGTTCATACTATGCTCGCAGTCGAGTCAAGTTAATTCCTCCAGTCATGAGCAGTGAATCAATGTAATTCAGAAACCATGGAAAGGAAAATAGATACATTTCTCCCAACGCCTAACCCAAATCAAATGTAGTTCAAACTATGCAAGAGCGATATCCGTGACGCAGGGTACATCTTAGAAACGGTCTAGAGCGACATGCAAATAGCAAAAAGCAACCATCTGAACGAAGCGTAAACCCGATCAGGCAAAAACTCGAAAGAATAACTTCCACAATATTATAGGTAAGCCCAAAATCATATCAACATGAGGCCCGGCCAAGAGGAAGAAATGGAATAACCATGTAAGAGGGGAATGGTTAATGCGAGGCTATAAAGAAAGTGTTCGTAATCAGACACACGATCATAACAAGGAAGCCATAAATGGCCAGTCCCAGACTGAGGCGGCGAAGCAGGGCCTTGCGCCAGTGGCGTTTCCCACGGAGCAAAAGGCCGCTCTCAGTCAAAGAGCGCGCGAGGGAGCCCTCGCCTTCATCCCCGTCGTCTTCCGAGAGATCATCGTCCACCTCGTCGTCCTCTTTCAGTAACCCACGGTGGGTGGGTGAGTCAGGCGAGGAAATCTTGTAGTAGAACAAGCCTGGGAGGATGAAGCTGATGCTTGTGCTGCCGGTGCTACCGACGTACGCTAGCACGGCTTCCAGCGAAGACACCGTCATGGCGACTATGTAGCTCAGAATCAAGATGGTGGTTGTGATGATGGAGAAGCGGAGATCGCTCATTGGCTCGGGCAGGCGGTTTCTGCGTGGGCCCAGGAGCGGGTGTCGGTGGGGAGAGCCCTCGGTGCGGTGGACTTGTTGTGGTCTGGGACGCCATTTGAGCACTGCGTCGACTGATGCCCGACACGGGTGGCATTGGAGTGGGTATGAGAAGACTACGAGCATGACGATTGCGGCACGTCCGATTGTTGCGTAGACGCCGGGTGGGTACATGCCGACGATGTTTCCGCCCACGCTGTTTCCGAAGGATAAGTAGCCGGTGATGGCGACGAGAATGTAGGTTGCGGCTGCACTGCCGGCGCTGGCGAAGACAACGGCGGTCGTGCGGAAATGGCTGTTGTTGGCGATTTCATTGAGGATGGAGAACATCTGTATTGCGGTTAGAAAGGGACCTGAAGGGCTTAGCTCTCCGAACATACGTTTTGATGGCAAGTAAACGCAAAGACGATGACTGGCAGGCTGCTGAGAGTTGGAATTGCGCCAGCCCAATGGCCCACGCGAATCGGGCCACGATCCTCCTTTGTGTCTCCTAGGACAAAGTGATACACGACCAAGATGACCAGATAGGCCATGGACACCAAGGCCGCGATACTTGTGTACTTCAGAGAGTCCAGTCGGCGCAAGTAGGAAAGGGGAATCACGATCAACCTGTAGTTAAGCAGTCAGTATTTCATTCCAATTCGACTAAATAGACAAATGACTCACATGAAAGCTGTAACCCAAAAGTGACGCTCGACCAGAAAAGCATACCCTGGCTCACTGCCGACAAAGCCCTGCACCACACCTGGCATAAGATCTCCAATGATGATGAGATAGCTGACGCCGACGCCGAAACATTTGATCGCAATCGCGGCGTCAAAGACCACGGCTGCGTTGGGGTACGTTAATTGCGACAGGGCAAAGAAGGAGGCGCTTCCTCGATCGAGATATTGTGCGCATAATGATTGCAGGTAGAGACCGAATCCTGCGGTGACTGCAGACCAAAGTATCACGCAGACGCCAAGGACAATGCCCATGTGGGAGATGGCTAGAGGCATGGCAAGCACTCCGGCACCGATGACTATAATGAGATTGCATCAGAATATGGCGATCTTTATGCATCGTGCATCCTCGCACTTACTGGTGTTGACGAGGTTGATCACACTGCTGGCCCAGCTGGCCTCACCCACGATATCCCCAGGTCTTCCACGGCCTGCACGCCTAATAGATTGTCCGATAAGCGATCTTGTCTTGAATAAAGAATCTAATAATCCAGCCTACCTCCGCGGCGCATTCTGGGATCCGCCAGACAGGCCAGACCCAAGCGCGGCCTCCTCCATGACTCGAATATGGGTTATCTGCTGAGTTGCGGAATTGCGATTATCGGTCGATGGGCGCACAACGCATAATTAACGGCCGTTACCAGCGGGGCCAGGGATCAAGGGATCGAAAGAGTGAATAAAAATCACCGGGACAGTGAAAGAGACATGTACGTAGTACTTAGAATGGAGAGATTAGGAAGGAAAGGGCAGAGTCAAAGCCTTATCGATAGCACATGACCTTGCCCGCGGGATCCTTTTAAGCGCTCATTTTGAGACATAAAAGTTGTCATATTTGCACATTCTGGGCACATTCTCCAATTCAACTTGGCAATAGCAAACCATTAGCTAATCTAGCTAACTACGACCTTGGCAATCCCCATCCCTCCTGCGAAAGGAGTTGATAAGTCTCTTGCTCAGCCAAATCATGACCCGACGCCGTATTTCCAGGCCGATTACCAGGCCCCGGATCATTGAACTGACTAACCGCCCGCACAGTTTTTGAGACCTCCAAAATCGTCCCACCTTTCACCTCAAACTGCGTCCCACGACCCGATCTGTCCCCAATCGTCTCGCTCACCTGTTCTTGCTGCACAAGTGCCAACATCACCTCTGCAACTTCATCAGGCGTCACCCACGCATCGTTACCATCCACAATCATCTTCAGCTTCTCCGGGTGCTCAGTCCACAGAGGAGTCTTGATAATACCCGGTGCCACGGCCGTGACGCGAATGCCAAGGTTTTTGTCCAAATTGGCAAGCGACCGCACGAAGCCATTAATTGCGTGTTTCGTGGCGCAATAAATCGGCGTCGTGCTAGTCGCCGTCTGGCCCGCAATGCTGGAAATATGCAATATATGCTTCGGGCGGCTGCTATCACGGCTTTTCTGGAAATGCGCGATCGCAAGCTGTGTCGTGCGGATCGGGTGGGTGATGTTGATATCGATCAGCGCGTAGCGGCCGCCGGATGGTGCGTCTTTGCTTTCGGCTGAGTAGGGTGGACGCCAGAAGTTGCTCCAGTGCTGCGGCTATAGTTAACCTCTGTACCTGGGCCGGGTTGCCAGAATCCGTAGTGTTCTTACCTCCTCGTAGACTCCCGCGCCCGGACAGACGATATCAACCTCTCCAAATTCCTTCTCTGCAACCTCGAACATCCGCTCCAGTTGTAGCCACTCGATCACGTTGGTCTGTTGGAAGATCACTCGAGTGGCACCGGTCTGGTACTCATCGACTAGCGCCTTTGCCTCGGGACGCAGAGCTAGGTCTGCGATGAGGATATTGCATCCATTCTCTGCCAGCAGTTTGGCGAAACTGAAGTTGATACCTGGCTGGACGGTAAGCACGTCATCTGTCACTGCGCGTCCTGATACATACCAGAGCCAGCTCCAGTTACGATGGCGGATTTGCCTTTCACTGAGAAAGCCATGTTAAGATTTATAGTATCAATAGGTGATGGGTTAGGTTTCAGGAACGTCGTCTACGAGGGTGAGGGGTATGGAATCTATGGTCTTCTTATGCTGACGGGGAGAACCTCTCGGGGTCCTTTATTGCGTCTGCCGTGTCTAGTTGGAGATCTCGCGGGGTAGAGGGCGTTTAACCGTCGGGACGGGAGGAAGGTGGACCGAGGCGCGATGGCTCTCTACACAGTACTGTGTATGGGAACGCTGCTGCAGTAGGTACATAGTTTTGATGATTAGTAGATTGTCTGACGGCCCCCCCTCCTTATGGCTCAGATTGGCTTTCGCTTGCTGGTGCAGTACTATGCACGGATCGCCCATATATACAACTGTTCAGTGAAACACACATGGACGTGGGACGTGTTTCGATCAGCAAGTGGGACACTGGAGTAGGTTCGGTATGCTTTCCCTTTCTCTTGACTACTGTGGATTAGACAATGGAACAAGGATGCGTCGCCCTCGATGCTTCTGTGGGATACTCTACATAACATATTTCCTCTGCTGGGTGGGACTTTCTTATAACTATTAGCTGCCGCCGCTTTCGTGAAGCCTGAAGGCGCTCAGAGCCAGGCTCATTGTAAATTTTAGCCCGGGCTAGGCTCTTGCCAGCCTGCACCCCTATCACATGACTTTTCTTTTTAGCGCCTACACCCAATGGTCCATTGGTCTCACCGCTAAAGCGTACAATACCTTACACCATTTCCCTCTGGACATTCTCAAGTTTAGATGGCCTGTTCATTTGGCGGTAATGTCATCCATCCAGTGTCCACCTCTGGAATAGGATCAACCTTGTATTAAAACCGAAATATATTGATTCTGAAATCTCCAACTCTCCTTGTGACAGTGACACTTCCATCGCCCGTACATGTAGAATGCTCTAATACATCGGAAATATGAACAAGGTCATCGCATCTAAGCCAAGAGCGTTCCCATAATCAATACACCAGCAGCCCACCATTTCAGCGAAGAAGCCATATCGGTGATAGCAGCCCCGCCGTTCTTAGGTGGGCAGCTCACAACAGGGTCAATGCCCTCGCACTGAGCTGCGGTAATGGCAGCTGCTATGCTCGAGGCAGCCGAAGGAACGATGCTGACCTTGCAAGGAGAAGGAGTAGGCGCCGGAGTCTCGAGCACGGCGCATTTATCGCCTTGATAATAGCCCGATTGAGCTATGAGAATTTTCGTGACGTTGAATGCCGTAGCGGAGATGTCATCGCACTTGTCATCGGCAGTAAGAGCGGTCAAATTGGGCTGACCGGCCCCTTTTTTCGTAGTGAAGCGAATGGAATGGGCATCGGAGGGGCCGTTCAAGTTGACCATGGGATTATCGCCGGAAGTGATTCCCTTTGCCGGTGTAGGGCAGTGACAAATTCCCATTCATTTTCTGTGTTTAGATCCTCGGGATGCAGAGTGCTTGGTATGCTACTCGTAAGGTATAACACCGCGTCCGTCGTATTGAGGTGAAACTCACCATCATCAATATAGGCGGCCATTGATTGATTCCCCTTTGGGAGATCTGCCGGCCAAACACCCCACCTGAGGTATGGATAGAGTCCATCAATCACTCTAGGGTTCTGGAATGCAAAGATGACGGGCATGAGCACCATCGGCTCAAAGGTGCCATTTCGTGGGAAGATCAGATCGATCTCTCCGAAGCCCAGGTCATGCGTATTGGCCTCTCCTAGGGACGCCATAAGGCCGAGGGCGAGAAGTTGCGCCTTGATGTTGAACATCATGCGAGTTCGGCAATAATGGAATGGAAAGGTGTGGTGTCGTAAAACAGTGGTGACTAGGGCAGTCCAAATAAAAAAAGCTGATGTCTCCAGGCCAGGAGAAGAGATCGAAAGACGGGGAAGTTTTGATGCGGTAGGGCGAAGTACCCCAAATTGTTACGTGCGCTAGGGAGACTACATAGTAGAAGGTCTCGAAGTTTGGGGTCGCAGAAGATGGTCCTTTTAAAGTGGACCACCTCAAGACGCAATTATATACAGATACACAAATACTCCATAGATCATATTATGTACCTGCATTTGATAAGGTACCTAGATCACTCCGTGCAGTGGGTCGAGCCAGTGCTTGAGCCTTTGGGGCATAGCTCATCTTCCCTGGCAGAAAATCCTACTTCTAAAAGTGGCTTAGCGGCTGTATACAATAGCTGTCTCATGCATACTATTAGCAAACCAGCCCCTAAGCCCTGTTTGGGAGCACACCGCTCTTCTTCTCGTCAAATCTTGTCCTTTGTTAAGTTGGTTTCATCCCCCGAACGGCTCTTGTACTAGGTAAATCTGCTCTCTCTTCAAACATTCCGAAGAGAACCCATTAGGTACCAGCAATATGAATTACGACGTTGAACGAGAAATTGTCGCATTCTTCGAGAAGACTACGACCACTCGCTCAGCCTGTGACAACTATGCGAGTGAGCATATTGGTGGCAATGTGACTCCAGTCAAAGTGCAAGGCGTGTGTAGCTACACCGTCTATGCTGGCCCTAACGCCGAGTTCGTCGTGCAGTATCGTCTGAAATCGCAAGCGCTGAACATGGACATTATGAACCTTGCAAATGCCATTTACGGTACATTAACACCCCAGGTCTCCTTCAAGGGACAGATTGGTGAAGATCATGAGAGCAAAGAACCGCTTTACATATACGTGATGAACCGAATGGCAGGCATCTCTCAGCTCGATTTCCTCCTAGCCCATAGCAGTGATGTACCTGAAAACTCGCTCGAGTTTTCCCGCTGGCGTCAAAATCTTGTGGCCGACAACGCAAAGTGTGTGATTCATTTCTACGTGATGTATACAAAATTGCTGATTCTATGTCTTACTATGTAGGTTCTTTGCTCTATCTTGGAAAGGTTCTCAGGATGTTGATCAAATGTACCGCGAGAGCCTAAGCCATCAGTACGAACGAGACCTGAATTTGTTACTTGCTTCTCTCCCAGTTCGGTTCCATCCACTGATCAAGAAGTCTCTGGACTCATTGCCGGCCATCTTCTCACTTCCTATGGTGCTACTGCACAATGATTTTGGTTCCTTCAACATGCTAGTGGACGAAAAGTCTTGCAATCTGCTCGGCGTGATTGATTGGGCCGAAGCGGAGATTGCTCCATTCGGCATGAATCTCTTCGCTCATGATCGTTTGATAAGTAAGATTCACTTGAAACATGGCTGGTCCAGGTATGATGATTATCTGCTTTTGGATGAGATATTCTGGAGCACGTTCAGTCAAGAAACCGGAGTGGACAATGAAACGACCAAAACCATCAAAGCCGCAAGGATTGCTGGAGTACTGCTGGGGCGTGGTTTCACAAGTCGTCTTCCAAATGAGCCGAAGCCAGTACCGATTTCTGATGAGGATGAAAGCGGAGCATATAGCATGCGTGATTTAGACGGGCTTTTGATCAACCCAGCTACCAGATTCACGGACTCGGTATGATTAGATGAACTGGAGAGAAAAGAGAACACGTGGGTTGCCATAGGAAGCGGCACAGTGGTTTTCAGAGAGAAAGTTAATCCACCATGACAGTTCCTTATCTAGAATAAGCTCCTGCAAAGAGGCTGGAGCCATCCCCGCGGCCAATGATATGGAGGCTAATGAGGCTGGTGCTTCAAGCCCTTCACACCGTTACTGTGTATTGCCACCATCAGTCTTGACTCTTCACCTACACGAGGTGGGACGGAGAATTGATGTCATCAACCGTCGGAAAGCTCTCCCAATTAGGCAACTTTCTGGCACATTTCTCCTTTCGGCAGCGGCCCGACTACGCTTTATGGCAAGTTTCCGCCTCGACAAATGTATGTTGTGTACCCCACGAGACGCATATAAAGGACCCGTGCGGAGTCCAGAAAATCGGAATATATGCCTCAAGTCACATCTCAAATTCTCAATAATGTCGTTGTCGAAATTCCTTTCAAGATCAGCCGCACGAGCGGCCTCTACCTCAGCCCAAACAACCAAGGCCGCTGGTGATATCTCATCAGTCTTTCCTAGTTTGAGGCCCGACTACAAGCCGGAGCCTCTCCCCGCACGGTTCCAGGAGCTGAAACAGAAGATCTTTGAGAAGAATAAAGATGCTCTTACAAAGAGCTGGGAGAGATTACTTCCTAGTTTGGATCAGGAAGTGCAGAAGATCAAGGCAAAGGGCAGCGACGTAGGTGCAAAGTCAATATGTGTCAACGACCAAAGTGCTGACTCGTATTCAGATCATCCCCTCAATTGACTACTCCGATATACTCTCTGGAAATGTGCCTGACGCGGCACTGAAAGAGGTCCGTCATCGAGGCAGCGTGGTCGTCCGCAATGTGATACCGCGGGAGCAAGCCCTGGAGTACAAGCAACGCATCCGCGACTACGTAGCGGCCAACAAGGACCGTGTCAAGGCCTTCCCAGCCGACTCCCCAGCTGTTTATGAGCTGTATTGGACTCCATCGCAGGCCGAAGCCCGCGGCCATGACAACATGCTCAACGCCCAGCGCTTCGTGCAGCAACTGTGGCATTCGTCCGACCCCAACAGCAAGATCTCTACAACAAACCCAATCACATACGCAGACCGTCTGCGCATCCGTGACCCAGGGGACTCAAAGTTCACTCTCGGTCCGCACATTGACGGCGGATCTCTTGAGCGCTGGGAAGACCCCGAGTACTCCCGAGTGTACGGCAAGATCCTAGAGGGTAAATGGGAGCAGTACGACGCATGGGATGCACGACACCGCCTGAACGCTAATATGGACCTCTACAACGGCGCTGGAGCCTGCTCAATGCTGCGATTCTTCCAGGCTTGGCTTTCCATGTCTGACACAAAACCCGGCGAGGGCTCGCTGCACGTCTGTCCCATGATCAACCACAGCACGGCGTATACCATTCTCCGTCCGTTCTTCGACCTCGAGACCTCAAAGCCGGCCATGGACGCAACCTTCCCGGGTTCCGTGCCTGGTGCTTGTCAGGAATATAACCCGATCACGCATCCCCATCTTGAGCTGGAATCGACGATGGTTTCGGTGCCGGAAGTTGCGCCTGGTGATTTTGTCGCGTGGCACTGCGATTCGCTTCATTCTGTTGATAAGGAACACCGTGGAACGCAAGACTCCAGCGTTATGTACATTCCTGCGACCCCGCTGTGTGATATGAATGTTGAGTACTTGCTTAAGCAGCGGCAGGCTGCCCAGAGCTATTCGCCCCCGTGGGATTTCCCCGGCGCTGGTGGGCCTGGCGAGTCGGGTTTCAAAGGTGCCATGGATTGGTCGTCGCTGAGTCCCCAGGGCCAGCGTGCTATGGGAATGGGCAATACTCTATGGGAGATCACAGATGCCATGAGCGAGGGCGAAAAGGAGGCTGTCCGGTCTGCCAATAAGGCCTGTTTTGGGGTGTAGATCTAGTTTCGGGACTTTAGTTGAATCCCTATTTCCTCTTCGTCGAGCTTGTACATATCCACATGCATCTAGATCATTCAAATCCTGAATGTAAGTTCCATAAACTCATGCGAAAACAAAATTGGACCGATCATTCATTTCGGAGCACCCGGTGGCTCCGAACAGAGCTCCTGCCTGACTAGTGCGGCCCACAGGGCACGCGCCACAGGGAACCGATCCAGGCAAGCTTGGCAGAAGAGGGGCAACTTATCTCTTAGACTACCAATCTTCGAGCAATTTCATTTCTCCTCTTCTTTCTCCCTTGCTTTCCCTCTCAATATACGTTTTGAAGAACGCATCACAAATCGACAACTACAATCACCATGGATTTCATCAAGAATGCTGTTTCCAGCGCCACCGGCGACAAGGAGCACAAGACTACCGAGAACAACACTAACCAGCAGAAAGACGACTACGGTGACAAAGGTGAGTCGCTTTCCTTCCACGTTCTATGGTGAATCTTAAACTAAACGTTTACCCTCAGTCTTCGCTGCCGGTGTCAAGAAGTCTGGCTACAACATCGACCGTAGCACCCAGGAGAAGATCACCGACGGTGCCCGTGAAGCCTTCGAGAAGGTCACTGGGTAAGTGTCGATCAGCCCCGCCTTCGGTTCTTCTTGATCGATCTATCTAAGATCCGATGCTAATTATTTGGCAATCCAGCAAGCAAGTCAGCGACAAGTTCTCTAACTAGAACACTTTCATAATTCATTGGACAGTAATGTTATACGGAGATCGCGAAAGAGTGAATACCCAAGCAGACTCTTTGCAAATAGGTCCTTAGACATATGAATCATTTTACACAGCAACTATCCAAAGTCCAGACCCTCTGGCCCTCCGGGCACTCCGTACTCCGTACTCCGTAGTTACGTCGTACTCCGCCAGGTTAGGCTTCACCCGCTTCAGCCACAGCTCATGTTTGTGATTAAACCTATTTACCCGAGCTGAACTCTCGAGCGCCTTAGCACAGCCTCAGTACGGAGTAATAGAGTGGGTATTGTACTGGGGGATCGTCCATCGAACGTGCCAGAAACACAACAAAAATCTCCTGAGAGCAGATCACATGTGCAAGATTAAGTGGCCCCAAATTTCAATAGCGCGATCTGAGATGGGTCCGGAAAAGCAAGATCCAGAGTTATGATTGGTCAATCTAGACTCATCCCAAAATAAGTTTTGGCATTTCCTTTGACGTCCACGGTTGACTTCATGGATTCCGTCGATCTGTTCCATAATATCGAGCCACTTCAGCCCCAACATTGCGAAATACCTCCCAGCAAACTTCAGAGGATTTCATTTTCGAATTCATATTTCATACAGGAACACGCCTTTCCACGCCTGAGTTGCGGGAGAAAGCTGGAAAGAGCGGTGGGGTGGGCCCTGGGGAGAGGGGAAACAAAGTACAGAGTTTATGCCACCAACTACACACCCGGCTAAGTCGGCTCCAAATAGAAGTAATTTCGACCGGCAAATGACAGTCCCGCATGCTCTTCGTGGCGTGTTATTCCATTGCCAGATTAGGCAATATCATACATTTCTGGGATCGCTATGGGGTTACCTAGGCGAAATGGAGCTAAAGGCACCAGCTGAACAGTGGCTCCTAAGTTCTCAGCCACTACCAAGCACGCAACTAGTGAGCTAGATGAGGTCCTCGTAGCCCCGTGTTGCCATTATTGGCTGCTCGCCTCGCTTGCCCAGGGAATGTTGTCATTGAGGGGTGTCGAGAGTGGCGGTGCTCTTCTATTGCTTTCTGGTGCCGTTCTCGCTGGGAGATAAATAAAGTGCTCGTCGTCGTCTTTTCCGTGTTAGATTTCTCATCTTCTCAGTTCATAACAAAATTACACACAAAATGTCTTACCGCAACGAATCCGATAGCTACGGCAGTGGCAACCAGAGCTCCGGATACGGAGGTAACTCTGGCTCTGGTCGTGACCAGGACAGCTACGGCAGCTCCAACACATCTTCGGGCTACGGCAATTCTAGCTCCGGCCGCGATCAGGACAGCTATGGCAGCTCCAACAACAAGAACTCCAGCTACGGTAACGACAACGACTCTTACGGCAACAAGTCCAGCTCTGGTCGTGACCAAGACAGCTATGGCAGCTCCAACAAGTCCAGCTCTGGTCGTGACCAGGATAGCTACGGCAGCTCCAACACTTCCTCCGGCTACGGCAACTCCAGCTCTGCTCGTGACCAGGATAGCTACGGTAGCTCCAACAACAAGAACTCCAGCTACGGTAACGACAACGACACCTACGGCAGCAAGTCCAGCTCCGGCCGCGATCAGGACAGCTACGGCAGCTCCAAGAACCAGAACTCCAGCTACGGTAACGACAACGACTCTTACGGCAACAAGTCCAGCTCTGGTCGTGACCAAGACAGCTACGGAAGCTCTAACAGGTCCAGCTCGGGCCGCGACCAGGACAGCTATGGCAGCTCCAGCAACAAAACCTCCAGTTACGGTAACGACAACGACTCTTATGGCAACAAGTCCAGTTCTGGCCGTGATGAGCACAGCTACGGCAGCTCCAACAAATCCAGTTCCGGATCCAAGCAGGACAGCTACGGCAGCTCCAACACATCTTCGGGCTACGGCAACTCCAGCTCCGGCCGCGATCAGGACAGCTATGGCAGCTCCAACAAGTCCAGCTCTGGTCGTGACCAGGATGGCTACGGCAGCTCTAACACTTCCTCCGGCTACGGCAACTCCAGCTCTGGTCGTGACCAGGATAGCTACGGTAGCTCCAACAAGACATCCAGCTACGGTAATGACAACGACTCTTACGGCAGCAAGTCCACCTCCGGTCGCAACGAGGATAGTCTTGGTAGCAAGATCCTGAACAAGGCTGAAGGTTTGTGATCCCCGTTCTCGCCATGATTGGAAGATGGCGTGCTAACATGTGTATCGTCTAGACTTGCTCAACAAGAACAATCGTGATTACTAAATATCTCTTATAATTAGCACTGCGCGCTCAGGGGGCAAGGACCTGTCCCATCCTGGCTGCCGTATTGGTGTGACTATTTTATAGTGAATATGAGCCATTGTGTATACTGAGACTGGAAGACTTGTCGTGATATGAATGACCCAAGTAACACGTGAAGCGTGTACCTGTAGGTATTAACTATATACAAAAAGCAACAGGACATGTGTACAGTACCTTCGTAAATAAAGACTGAACAAAAATATTCTGTTCAGTTGTCCGGGCAGTATCCACTTGTAGTTGGGGGAGTTAGCGACCATCCGTCAACTGGCAAACCCCAGCCAACTGGCAAGTCTATTCCTACCCGACGAAATGCCCAATAATCCCATAGCGACAGCATGTATGTAAAACGAGCTAAATCAGGTTAATGAGAACTTCATCATTATTATCCCAAACTCCAAAGCGACACGTGCTGCGTCTGATGATCTGATCTCGCTCTTGATGGTGGCTGCCACAGACTTGGCAGCTACTCGAAGCTACCTAACGAAGGACTGACCGTCACCGCCGAAGCCGCTGCCGCCGGGGCCGTGGTCGCCTGACAGTCCACAGCCGACCCAGCCGCGACCAAAGGACATGCATGGAGTGCGGCAGTTCATTGGAATCAATGGAATGGCTACAGACCATTACCATCACCGGTTCATCCGCAATTTCTCCAAGATCTGCGTGCTTCTGCACGACCTGCTCAATGAAAGCGACAGCACGGTTCAGCACCCTACGAAAGAAGAAGTTCCGTCCAGGTGATCTGCAGAGGCACGCAGATATTGGAGAAATCGCGGATGTCGAACGGCGAACCATAACTCATAGTCATGAGGAAGACTGGTTCTTCCTCGCAGATGCCCTCGACTTCTGTAGGTATCAAGTGACTGGCAATCTCTTCACTATATAGGAACGAAGATTCTAGGGCATTTGAACAAGGAAGTGACCCATATGACACTCTGCAGTCGCTTCAAGAAACCGTGACTCCAACTGTTCTTGGCCAAGGATCTTTCTGTGGCCGCCGTGCGCTGTTTCTCTCTATTGTGGACGGGATGACTCTGTGCGAAGCTGCTGAAGCTGACATTGATGAGAAGAGAATTGAACTTCTTCTTGGGGAAGCACTGTATGCTCTGTGGGAATGCAAAGCCGAGTATAAGGATGAGAATCCGTGCAACTTTCTAGTTTGCCATGATCGTATCGTCATTACCGATCTTGAAGCAGTGGAATTCTATGCTGAAAACCCATGCTGGGAACGCAGCGTCAATTCTGGCAACGGATTACCTGTTGAGCAAATACTGATACATGTCGCCCTCGAACACTAAGGGATTCTTCAAACAAAGTTTTGAACGGGGGTCGGGGAGTTATTCATAGAGGATGACACTTGCTCGATGTGAGTGACTATCAGAAGAGGGAGCATTATCTACAACTATTGATATAATGTCATGGTTCTATATACGTTAGCAGAATCACCTACTCCGTACGGAGACATGGGAGACCAATCTCGCACTCAAGGCCGCTGTCATATGACTAAAACGGCAAGGAAAATCCATCGGACCATCTCACGTCGCAGTCACGAGACCTAAAATCCAGATATATAGGTCGCATACGACTGTTTACTTTCCTTCTCCTTTCCTCTTCCTCATCTCCCTTCAAAGTTTCATCTCCTCAGGTCGTCTCTTTTCATTCCTCCGACACTGAAACCACCAGCAAGGAACATCTTGCTCATCCTATGCCCACCTTCCCATATACCTGGGGCATGACCACCTTGCCCCCTGATTTTGATTGTCTTTTCAGCCATGATAAAAGGGATGAGGCCTTGAATTGCCTCGAATTATCTCTCATGGATGGGCCTCGGGCTTGTGGGGTTCTCTTGCCTGAGCCTCACGGCGTTCTCGTGATGGTCGTCCTGCGGCAAGTTTTGACACAGCCTACATAAACTGGCTGAGGAGTAAGCGTGCCGTGCGTCTACCATGGAAAAGCTTTCTGTGCATGACCCGATTTGGGCCATGGCCAACGCGGTATGTCCTTTCCGGGTCTCAAACATGTCTCGTTGGTTCCAGAAGCTGACTTTCGCCCTCTCCAGCGCGACATCCGCAGTTGGAACGCTCTCACGATAGTCTCGTGAGTTTCTCGGAGTCTGCACAGGGTCCGTCCATTGCAGAAAAATAACGGCCCAAAGCGACTCCAAGGTGCGGACCCGGGAGCTGTCCCGTCTCTCTGGGACTGTCGATCCTGGAAATGTGTGAGCGAGCTACAGCCAAGGACAGCCTGCTTTTGTCGCGCAGGGTCCACTCCGCCGTACTGCTGAGGCGACGAGACGCACATAGGCAGCTGAAGAAGCATATGGGCGATGACTTTGGGAGGCTCCCTGTGCTGGTCCGACAGCGGCCGAGGGATCTTCACCATGGTGTCTGTGCCATTCCTGCGGAGTGGGATCTGGCTGCAGCCCAACCGCGTGCCTCGCGAGCTTCGGTCGCTCGCCGCCCACCGAAGCTAAGACTCGGTGGTTGATCGACCCTTTCATCCTCCACGTATACGCGGCTGTCACTTCTGATCTCACCAATGCGCAACCTTTGAATGTTCAATGCGAGAGGGGCTATTCTTTCGGCCCGGTCAAAGTCAATGGTAAGCGGGTTATTTTCTCCGGAAGAATGGATTACAGTATTTGGTATGGTGAGACCGAGCTCCTGTGCCTGAACGTCCTCGTTGTTGAGGCTAAGGATGGACCCAAGTCCGGTCATGCACTCCCCCAACTCCTGGGATATATGGGTATGTATCTCGCTATATGTGTCTTTTGGGAAAGCTATTAGCTAATTGGTACCAAAGGGTGTATCCACCGGGAACGCAAGAATTCCGGGAGGCGCAACTGCGGCGTATACGGGATGGTGTACAATGAGGATGTTTGGCATTTTTTGAAGATTAGCCACGACTCGAAGGTGAGCTAGCTTATATCAGAATAATCAGCCAAGAACACAACGTCAAGAACTAGGAAGTTTAACATCTACTAGTGGTCGGAATTAGCTGTTGGTGGTCGTGCTCTGGAGCGGTCCTTTGTATTGCTGGTGTGGATGCTCCGGATGGCAGCTGCCATCTCCCCAGCCCACTCAACCGTGATATCGGCGGAAATTTCCAGGGCAATGGGCCACGAAGAGATGAATATTGATTCCTTCCTGTGAGATAGATCTCTCGTCCAGTTGAGCATCAATACCGACAGTCATGCACCTGCTAGGACTCCATTTTTTCCATGTATCGTCACTTTTCGTGCACTTCCCTGAGTCCATGACATCTTCTCAATAATCAAGCCCCGTTGTATGTTTTTATCGGTTGCGCGAGTAGTCGACGGACCGTCTTTGGGTTGTAAACTTGTAACTTGTATGCCCTCCTTCGGTAGGTTGGAAGGCGCCAGTCTTCTACATTTCCCGGCTCAGTACCTAACCAAGGAGACTTCAGTTCTCTTCAACCATTGTTCCGGAACACGTTTTATCTGTAATATTGGTGACGGTAAGGCTACGGCCTCGGGAAGCGATCGGCCCCCTGAGTCCTGCGCAGGCGCGAGCTCCAAAGCCAGCAGCTCCAACCGCGATTAGCGCCATGAATCCCGCCACAGATATCGTGAACCCAGCTGAGGCATCGAGGTCCCCGGTGCAGGCATTCAGGGCGCCGCTTTCTCGGCGAGCTTTGTAGGCGACGTTCTTCGAGAGACCCTCGTCCACCACGAAAGACAGATGGAGGACACGGAAGTTCATGTGGTCGAGAACCTCAGCTGCGACCTACTACTCGGGGTAAACTTCCTGAAACCAAATGGCGCAGTAATCGACCTGAAGAATGATCTGATACATGCGTGCCGAGATAGAGGGGCTGAAGGACCGGGTGTCCCAAACCAGGTCCGCCAGACTGGCGCCGAGCCGTACCCCCATTGGCAGCCCCGTGCCGGGGAGAACCCCTACGAGACGCCCGGATGGCGGTAAGGGCCGTCTGGGGATTGATGTTTTGTCCTATTTCTGCTGTTTTTGCTGTATTGTCCTGTTTTGTGCTATTTTGCCAGATCGTGGATCTCAATATTTTCTTCAGACGTTCGTCCATAACAATGTCATTCGACCATTATTTTCCAGTCTGTAATATTGGAGTGATCGACTTAGCCTGCATTCATATGAGGACATCAGTAGACACCTTTGAGGTCGCTCAAAGATGGGGGTTTGATTACCTGCTAGTACACAGAATGGACATAATATCTTTCATATACGATCCAGTCTTGGCGCATAATGCTGGTTCTTCTATGCCATCCTGCTCAGTGACCATAGATTAGGCTCCAAAGGACAATCTCTAGAAATTGCACAGTAATGCGTTATGGAATATGTGTTCTATCATGGTATCGCATTAATCGTAGAGTGGAGTTATGGGGGAGCTATCACCGCCCGCCAAGTTTGTGACAACATCCATTCTACGCCATCACTCTCCCAACCCCCCCCCCCTCTTCAATGCCCCAATAAGAGCCATTCGTCAAAATGCGGCTCCAGGCGGCCCTTTTTCTCGCATGCCTATCGCCCGCGGCAGCCATCTACCCCGATGAAATCAACCACGTCGACTTCCACCACGCCCTCCTCGGTGCCCCCTCCGCCGACTCGACCTTTTTCCTCAAGCCATCACCCTCCTCAAATGCCTCCCTCCTCTATACCTTATCGGACAAGCTGATTGTGGGCGCTGTGAACCCCCGCGACGGTGCGCTGGTATGGCGCCAGAACGTCTCGCGGTCGGCGAACTCCCCTGCGAATGCCGGACTCTTGCGCGGACTGGATGGCAACGATGCCCTTGTTGGTGCTGCAGGTAGCTATATTTCATCCTGGAGCGCCCAGGACGGCAAGTTGGGCTGGGAAAACTGGGTCTCTGGGGGTGTGGTCGCCGATCTGGAGCTGTTGGAGCTTGAGGATGCTACCGCGTCCTCTGGACTACGCGATACAGTTGCTGTGATCAACAGCGAGGGAACTGGAATCGTGAAGCGCCTGAATGGTAACAATGGAAGGACTGTGTGGGAATACAAGGACGCCAGGTTTGTTTCAGGATTACCAAGTGGAAGTCTCAAAGCTGACGGATTGGTCTCTTAGTGGTGACGTTCCGTTCCAAGTCTCGTCCTCGTCCACGGAGATCTTCTATGTTTCACTTCAATCGGCTTTGCTGAAAGGGTTCAAGATCAAGGTCACTGCCTTGGATCCATTGAGCGGCCAAGTGACTCGCCAACAGATTCTGAACTCCGAGGCCGATGTGGGTACTCCGGAGTCCGTCATCTACGTGGGCGCCAATTCGGCCTCCCCCATCATCGTCTGGACCGACAAAGCCCAAAAAACGCTGAAGGTCAATGTTATTGGCACCAAGGAGGTCACCTCTATCGCCATCGACAATACGTCCGGATCCGATATTCGGCAGATCACGGTTCACGCTCCCCACAAGCTTAACGCTCTGCCCCATTTCTTGGTCCACTATGCGACTGAGACTGGAGCCTGGGCTGAGGTCTGCCACGTGGATTTGATGTCCGGCAAGGTGACCAAGGTTTACCAGCTGCCTTACCTTCCCGGGCAATCGGCAGTCGCGGCCAGTGTTATTGATGCGAATGTCTATTTCACTCGAATCACCGATTCGGAAGCTCTTGTTGTCTCCTCCGCCTCTCATGGGATTTTGGGACGATGGGATCTGCAGAAGCCTTCTTCTGATAGCGCCCTTCACTCGGTTTCCGAGGTGGTCGCCAAAGGAAAGTCCGTGGCTGTTAGGTCAGCACTTTTCCGGAAGCACGGAGATTGGCAATTAATCCGAAACGGCCAGGTCGAGTGGACTCGTCATGAGGGTCTGATTGATGCTGTCGCAGCTACCTGGGCGGAGTCTGCTGTCCAAGAGGATCTGGCTCACGAGCTGGAGGTTGAGGGCCATGAGACCGTGATTGGCGCATACCTTCATCGGGTTAAGCGTCATGCTCGGGACTTGCAATACCTGCCTGACTGGCTGAAGGACCTTCCTAAGCGCATCCTGAGCAGTATTTTGACCGATGAAGTGTCTAACCTGGACAGCTTTGGAGTGGCCAAACCAGTTCTTGTCGCCACTAAGAACGGTCGTGTGTACGCCTTGGATACCGGCAACCACGGTGCCGTTTCATGGGGCATTCAGGCAGTAGAGACGTCAAACTGGGCAGTAAAGGCTATCTTGGCTTCGCCAGGCGCCGCCACTATCTACTCCGACGACGGAAGCTCCGTGACCGTGGATGTCTCGACAGGAGAAATCATCGCCCGTGTTGAACCCTCGAGCAGCAAACTCCTCGCAATTGCTGTCCTTGGGGCCCAGGATGGAAGTAAGCTGGCTACGGTTGGTGTCAACGCAGATGGTTCCCCGGCCACTTCATTTGCCGATGAAGATGGATTTTTGGTAACCACGAGCGCCGATGGACGAGTCCTCGGCTGGATTGCAAAGGACAACAAGATCCCTGTCTGGGAGTTTGTTCCTCCCTCCGGAGAGAAGCTCGTCAAGGCGACCGCTCGCCCTGCCCATGATCCCGTTGCCTCTATCGGCAAAGTGCTCGGAAACCGCTCGGTCCTGTATAAGTACTTGAACCCTAACATGGCCCTGGTGACCGCAGTGAACGAGGAGACCCACACCGCCAGCTTCTACCTGTTGGATGGAGTTTCAGGCAAGGTCCTGCACGCAACCACTCAAGCCGGCGTGGATTCCACGCAGCCCATCGCTTCCGCGATGTCCGAGAACTGGTTCGCCTACTCATTCTTTGGCGATGTCAGCGGCCGCGAGTCCTCCGCCAAGGGATACCAGCTGGTCATCTCCGAGCTCTACGAATCCCCCTCCCCAACGACCGTGGTCCTCTCGACTCCGCCAGTAACTACACCAGCACTGCTGCCCTCCCGCTGCCCCACGTTGTCTCCCAGGCCTTCATGATCCCCGAGCCCATCTCCCACATGGCCGTCACCCAAACTCGCCAGGGCATCACTACCCGCCTGCTCCTCTGCACTCTTCCCTCCTCCAACTCCATAGTCGGCATCCCCCGTCCCGTCCTGGACCCCCGTCGACCTGTCGACCGTGACCCCACCGCCGCGGAGGCTGAAGAAGGCCTGTTCCGCTATGCGCCTTACCTCGACTTTGACGGCAAATGGTACCTCTCGCACACCCGCGATGTTGCGGGCATCAAGGATGTGCTTTCAAGTCCTACTTTGTTGGAAAGTACTAGTCTTATTTTCGCCTATGGAAGCGATATTTTCGGCACCCGCGCTACGCCCAGCCAGGCATTTGATATCCTCGGCAAGAACTTCTCGAAGCTCCAGCTTGTTCTCACTGTAGTAGCACTGGGAGCAGGTGTCGCTGTTTTGGCTCCAATGGTAATACTCCCTACTTCATATTTGATCTGTCGTGAATTTGCTAACATCTTTTTTACCTCTAGACCCGGAGGAAGCAGGTTAATGCTTTGTGGAAGATTTGAGACTTGCCCACGTGGCTCATATACCATATGTCATAGGAATCTGCTTTAGACTGTAATACATATTCAGGTGTTCACTGGTTCCTTCCTCGTGTAGCATCCATGGTTTCCTCACTTTCGCCTGCAAAAGTCGGGGAGCCCTTGCCTCAAATGCATGTCAGGGGCAAATTCACGTGACCATCAGGGTCTATATAAACCCCCTCTGTCCCCCCAAACTTCCTCTTCTTTTCTTTTCTTCTTCAGCTCTCTTTGCCTATTGGCTTAGATCAAGTGTAGTATCTGTTCTTTTCAGTTTAATCTCTGAAAGTTTCCGTCTTGGAAACACTTTGATTATTCCTATTTTTGGTCCCCGCGACTTGGCCTCTGCGCTTGCGCATGCCTCGTTGCACTGTGTCATCGGGCTTACACTGCCCCCGATTGACGCGACTTTTTCATCAACTGTTCGGCTTGTCCGGGCACTTGGAGAAGAAGCATTCTTTACCTCTCGCACAACTCTTCCCTTTGCTTCGAAAGCGTTGTACCTATATTGGAAACGCGTTCTGCTGATGTCTTGATATTGCGTCCAGTCAAAGTACGCCTGCATGACGACTAGTAGAGATTAGGTATGGGTCATAACATTCCATTCAGTTATAGACATGTCCAAAGCATTTAACGTGGTATCAACGATATAAACAAGAAAAAGAACGACGCAATAACACACCATATATCCAACACTTTTCCAAATCACCACCACAAAGGGAACGGCACCTGATTCTCATAATCAATATTGTTCTCGGTACTCTCATACCTCTCAGCACAAGTGCCAAAAACCCGATCCCAAAGCCTGGTCTGCTTCCCATAATTATGACTCTTCTTCCACCCTTTCCGATGATGCAAATCATGATCCTCAACCACCAACTCCGCCTTAAACAACCTCAACGCCCAACTCAACGTCGAAGGCGGCGTCGCATGAACCCTAAGCCCACTATGACCCGCCAGCTCCGCAAACATAACATACTGGTGACAAATCCACCACTCATAGAACCCCATCGGCAAGCCCATAAACCGCATCGAGTAATACGTCATCAGCGGCACGCCCAGGATATCAAAGAACTCCTGCTCGGAGTCCGCATACAGCGTCAAGAGCGGATTCGGATGTTTAGTGAGGTGGTGGGTACGATGGTACTTCCACAAGACGCCGACATCGTGCATGGCGCGATGGTACCAGTAGAACCAGAAGTCGAGGATGATGCCATAAAGCCCGATTTCCAGCGGCAGCCAGGCGAAGGACATGGTGGCCGGTGTTTGGGATGCGCGGTAGGCGATGAAGACTGTGAACATGGGCCGGAAGGTGGAGGTCGAGATTAGGGAGCGGGCGACTTTTCCAACGCCGACGTCTGGCACACCGTCGCGTGCGTGCTTGTCGCCGTCCAGGAAGCCGTAGACGTGGCCTAGACGGCGGAGAGCGTAGAGCTCGTGGATGGCGATGCCCTTGAAGGCGAATGCGTATAGGATGAAGGCTGCGAATGCGCTGAGGTTGCGCCCCGTCAGCTGCACGTAGGCTTGGTGGATGATGAGCGGGATGACGGCGTGCGCGATGACCCAGCGGTGCATGGACCAGTCTGGAACGTGGGGGACGGCGTCTTCTTTTGCGTGTACGGGGATGTCGGTGTTCAGGTGTTCCGGGTAGATGTTGAGGACTTCGAAGAGCCAGTGGAAGGGTCCCCACTCTGTGCGGGCTTGGGTCCGCCAGGTGGACTTCATTGAGTCCTTTGGGTTGCGGTCCATTGTTGCTTCATGTATGGGTTTTTTGCTGCCAATCTCCGTGGAGGGGTGTAGTAGATTTTGCATGGTCTCCATGACTGGGGGGGTCGATGGGGTGGGTTTATATTATTGGGGCTTGTCGATCACTACCCCCAATCGTTCGGCGATTGGTGGTGGCTAGAGCATGTGAAGAATACCCACTTCTTCTACCGGCACCGCACTCCGCAAAAACGCGAGCCTCGGGCTTTTTTTATTCGGGGATGACGTTAAGCCTAGCCTATCCTTGTCTCTTTTCCCCAACATGGTTGTTTTAGCGCGGTCGTTAGCGCTTGGCCTGATTCTGTTGTCCTGGCGGGGGATCTGTCATGTTTGTGTCGGACTCATTCGGGGGATGATGGCAATCATGGCATCATAATACGGCCATAGTTCATGGCCTTGAACAACTTTTGAATCCAGACTTGATTCGGTTGATCTGCAGCGTATCCGTATACTGTTTATACGTTGGCCACATGGTCGAGTCATGTGAATTCCTTGCCCTCATCTCCAATTGGTCAACTTACTTCCGAACAATGTTCTCGATGTTTCGTAGGAACTATTTCGTACTTGATGTACATCGTCGACTCATACATATGATTCATTATCAGATCTTCAAAGATGATCTATTCTATCTTAGGAACGAGGATTCGGTCAAGTCATGGAAGGTCTAGACGTTGGGATTATTTATCAAATGTCCAAATCGGGTAACCAGTACGTCTTTCGGATTTTCATAGCCAACCAGGCACCTGCCAAAACGAAGAGATAGAAGAAATGCAAAAGCCTCGGTATTGAAATCTGCACTATCTTTCGCTAAATCGCATGTGGCTAATATGTATGTTCACCAAATATCCTGCTGCCTTCTATCAAATACACTCTAATATCTATGCAGCAACAGTATTCGTCGCCTCGTCAACAGCAAGCTGGTGAACCTTGTCAGCCACATTGTCAACAAGCGTCTCGCTGTCCTCCTTCTCTGCATCACCAGCAGACCCATTTAAAGCCTGCGTCTTAGGCACAGCAATAGTCTCCCTGCGCTCCTTCCCATCCACAGTGCCCAGCACACTGAGATGATCACCCTCGAACAACACAGGACCCTTGAGCAATTCCTTGCGCGTCTGGCCGTCAGCAAGCGGCTGCTCCAGACCACTGAGTAGTTCACGACTGGGCTCATCGAGGTTCGGCATATCGCCCCACTGCCACTCGAGCTGGCCGCCGTACTGCTTGGGAATGCTAGTAGGCTCCATGAAGGAGGTGAGAGTTGGGCCGACCTCAGCAGCGGAGAGGATAAAGATCTTGGATGTAGTGCCTGGGTCGAACCAGCGCTTGATCCAACCCCAGACTGTAGGGAAGAACGAAGGGGCTCCGATAATCTGGTCTCGAGGTTAGTTCTGGCAGGATTCTTTCGGGGGTCAACTTACGAAGATCCGATCCAGTGTCTCCGGGTAATGAGCCGTAGCCAACACACTGGCATCCTGCATGTGGGTCTTCAAATTCCAGAATTGTTTCAGTCCCACACCGCTGACATCGACGATATTCGTCGAGGTCACAATGGGGGTTTCTGGGTTCGGACGCTGCAGCGCCGAGCAGAGTGGCATCACGAACCGGAGGAGGTTCTCGTACAGGGCGAAGAGGTTCAGCAGGCGCGCGGGGACGGTGGATGACTTGTGGGTTTCGGGGATGCCGGTGGTCATGGTGGCATTGTAAGCGGCGATGGCCTTGTTATCCAGGTGGCGGATCTCGAAGACATAGACGGGGATTCCGCGGCGATCACGACGGCCTGTCCATTGAGGGTACTGTAGAGTTCCAGGATCTGGTTAGCCCCAGATCTGTATAAACCACCATTCCAATCACCCGGATGGATAATGTAGACGCACCATCCGTCGAGCAGCCTCGTATGAGTCCACACTGATATTCTCGTATAGCGCCTCAATGGCATTATCTTTCCTCCAGTCTTCCGTATCCTTGAATTGAGCCCAAGCAGGCTCCGTCTCAAACCTGCGAGCTCGTAGGAATCGCCTGACGAAAGCAATGAATCAGCAAATGGTTCGGTCGAGAATCTGGTACCACGCGGAGCGGCGCGGAGACGTTACATACAATAAAGTCGCGTCATCATGGCTGGCGGGCTTTGCCTCCACACCATCCGCTTGTTGCACGGCAGGAGTGTAGTATCCTCGCTCGGCGCACAGCGCCTTGAATTCCTGCAGCTTCTCCTCCTGCTCCGGGGTTAGGTGGTGCAGATGTCCGGCGAGCCATGCGGTGCCGGCGGCTTGTGAGGCGGAGACGGTGGGATCGTTTCGGGGAGTGGAATCGGCTTGCGCCTCTTGGGGCTCCTGTGGTGTTTTGCTACCCCAGAACATGGTGAGCTCTTATGTACTTATATTTTGTGTAGAGGAGAGATCGGCGTTAGGATAATCTTGGTGGTGGCGGAGAGGAAGAGGCGGTGAATTAAGTCTGACAGTTTACTTTCGTCGAAGTCCCGGGATCGGCGTCCTGGGCTCGATTTGTGATGGATGAACTTTATTTTGGTAGACAGAATGAGAGGCGTATTTAGGGCTTCTTGTTCCTGTGAGTAGAGACTTTGACCTGATCATCTATCAAAGTACTGCCGAGACGCAGATCCACCAAAGCTAATCGGCGGGGATCAACCAGTTGCCACAAATGACGAGCATTGGAGGTGACAGATCTCAGGGGTTGAGGTCGAATTAACCCTGCTACTACACGCTCGACAATGTGGAAAACCACAATATGCAATACACAGTTTATGATGGTATCACTGGATGATAAACCCCAGGGTCAAACTCAACAATATCTGTACAGATAGCCCTCCTAAAGCCTAAGAATTCAAATAAATACAGGAAATTAGTCCTCGGTAAGATCACCGTACTCCCAGATACCCCGGCGCTCGGCCTTAGCCTCGTCCTCGAGTGTCCGCAAGGTGGCCAGGGTATCGACGGAGGCACGCTCCCAAGCCTTCAGCTTGCGGGGCACCATAGCCAGACCCTCTTGGATGATGTCGGCATTGATGCTGTTGTCCAGGTTTTTGGAAACAGTGGGGTCGAGAAGAGTGACGTGAAGGGTACCGTCCTGGTCAACGTGGTCAACGTTTGCGACGAGCTGGCGGTCGAAGGTCTGATCGCCGATGAACCCAACGGCATCCTCGAGGTAGTCCTCGGAGGTTGGGAACTGTAGGAGAGAGAGGACTGCATCAACGGCCTGGGGGCGGAGGGTCTGGCCGGAGAACTGAGGCTGGGTGAGAGGGCGAAGTGCCTTCCATGGCTGGGTCTCGGAGTTGCCGTAGTCGACGTAGACAACCTCGGCCTGTTCCTTCTCGCGGTCGTTCCGGCGGATCTTGGCGCGGTACCAGGCGCCGTCTTCAGTGAATTTGGCGGCAACCCAGTCGCCGGCCTTGGGTGGGCCGGGCAGCGGGGTATCGTTTGCCTTGTTCAAGTGGAATGAGCGGAAAGCGCTCATCAATTCGGTGAGTGCGTTGGTACCAGTGCCAATCTGTTGCAGCTTGAGTTTGGCAGAAGCAGGGTCGATGTAGGTGACCATCACGTCGCGGTAATCCTTGCGACGCTGTGCGGGAGCGGCATCGCTCTCAGCGCCGGTGGTGTTTGCGGCCTCGGCCTCTTCAGCCTCTGCAGCCTCCTTAGTAGGGTCCCAATCGTGCCACAGCCCCTTGCGGCTTTCCTTGGCGCGCTGTTCAGCAGCGAAGTACTCCGTGGCGTGACCAGACTGCTCAGCCGAGTATGCGTGGACGGTGGCCAGACCCTCCTCCAGAAGGACCTTGGTGAAGTTCTCCTTGTTGACGTAGAGGCTGCCGATGAAACCACCAACCTTGTCAATGGTCTCGACGTCAATCTCAACATCACGCTGCATGCAGCGGCGGTTGGCGAGATCGTGAGCCTCCTGACCGAAAGGCTCACCAGCGTCGCTGGGTCCGCGGGCAGAGCGAGGGCAACGGATACCGGAAAGAACGAGAGTTAATTTGGCGTTCTCGCGGGGGATAAGGACAGTGAAGCGAGAGCCAGACTTGACAAAGTCTACAACGGCCGGGACACGCTTTTGGCGCTGCAGGACACCAAGCTCCAGCTTGGCCTTTTGGACACTCTCCGAGTAATCGACAATTTGCTTCGCCTTGGGAGGCTTAGCAGACCACATTCCACGGCCTTCCTTCTGGGCGTCGGCCTCAGCAGCGAGCAGCGCATCGTAATCGGGGGATCGGTCGGTGTCATCCATACGGTGGCGAATCACAGAGGAGTAACCGGCTTGCACAAGGGCCACGGCAATGTTGGTACCGTTTTGGACAACAGTAGCGACCTCGCGCTCTTCGTATCCCTCGGTGGCGGGCTTCTTGCCGTTCACGGTGACCATAACATGCTTGGCGATCACGCGCTTGCGCAGGTACTCCTTAGCGTCAGCGGCAAACGGAGCCTGCTTGGGGTCAGAGGGCTTAGGTTGACGAATGCTAGCAAGGCTGATCTTCTTCTCCTGGCCGGCCTTGTTCCGGATGAAAAGGGTATCAGCGTTCAAAACACGGGTGACAAGGTAGTCCACAGCGGCGGCACCGGCAGTGGTGGAACCAGTGTGGCTAACCCACAGTCCCTTGCGATCATTCTTGGCTGTGAGTTCTGCCTGGCGGAGAAGGGCCATGTCGGGACCCAAAAGGGTGGAGTGGTGGTCCTGGCAGCGGGCCAGACCAGCCTCAAGGAGGAATCGTGCAATGTTGCCATTGGGGTGGAGGACAGTGGCAACAATCTGGCCCTGCGGTGTAACACCGAGCAGGGAAACCTTAACCTTGCGCTGCAAGAGCCGTGACTCGACGAACTCCTGTGCTTCATCACCGAATGGCTCAGCTGCCGTCTCTTTGCCATCAGCGGTTGTGCGCTTGGCAGACGGAGCCCGGACACCAGCAATGGCAACAACAGTCTGAAGGTGTTCCTGCGGCTTGAGTAACAAACGCAGGATAATACGGTCGCCGTTGAGGACCTTCTCGATGATGCCCTCCAGTTGCTGGCCCAAGTTGCGCTTGACCAGATCCCGGGCACCAGTCAATTCGTAGGTAGTCTCGATCTCGCCTTTGTTGCCACCAGCCCAGGTTCCCTTGCCTTCCTCCCGAGCGAGGGACTCCAATGCCCGCAGGCGTTCCAAGAGCGCAATGGTCTCTTCAGACTCATCTGACCGCTTGCCGGCTTCTTCACGAACCCGTGTCCAACCCTCCTGCACACTGATATCGGGCAATGATGCGTCGAATCCGGGCAGCTTGATGATACCGTAGTCACGCTTGGCACCGGTGGGGATAGTGTATACAACGTGGAACTGGACGACTTTGCCGACAAGGAGCTCACGGAGGAATTCGCGGGATTGGAAGGCGTAGGCCTATAATTGGATATTTAGATCAGCCCTTGTACTTCCTTTGTCTGGTGATTTGTTTGATCATCGGTATTTCCTCCAATGCAACATGTAGTTCATGTGATCCAAACTGCGGATTGGGAAATAGAAGTCCACATGGGAGTGACGCCGAGATATTTGTTTGTGGAGCTCGCACATGCGAATAACCCTGCCAATGCACATACCTCATCACCATCTCTCCTTAATCTCGGAGCAGAGACATAAGCCAAGCTTAAGACGCGTTCTTGTGACGGATTGGTGACATGCGACAGCACCACGGTGTCGCCGGACAGGACGGACTTAACCCGTGCTTCGAAAGGCATGCTGAATGGAAGCACTAGTTACCACACACTCAATAAAGATGAGATTGGTAACACCAAGAACAAAAAGTAACACAATTAAGAAAGAAAAGAGGTTGAGGAGAATAAGGAGAATGTCCTGAGGGGAAACGTGGCCGGTGTCTAGTTAGTTAGGTGTTTACTTGTGGGGGAAAGCGGTCAGTGCCAAGTGGTCGAGCCGAGCTTCTACTCCGTACACCGGGAAAGTCTACGAAGCGAATATCGAAGCCATACGCAGGTATCCGCTGATCATGGCACATATCAGAAACATGTCGGTCTGTTGGTCAAAAAATGGCATTCATTCATGTATCCTATTTAGGAGTTACCCTATACTTTTGCTCCACCGATTACGGTTGAGATCCAAGTTCCAAAAGGGGTAGAGGGACGCATTTATGCGGCAATACCAATGACACCTGATATCTTCGATTAGCATTCGTCTCCGCTACAGCACATCACATGGACTTACCGCAAGCAGGGCGGGCACCGGCGTTACCGGTCTTCTTGGACTCCTCGGTGTTTCCGCGGCCAAGATCATCAGTACCGGCGTGGACGACAAGAGTGCGCTAAACATGTATGTTAGCAACTTATGTCGGCAAAGCTAAGCATCTGATATCAAGATAAACTTACGCCGAGAACGGACTCAGCACCGATCAGCTTGACAAGGTTGTCCTGCTTGGAGCCAGTGGCGTTGCCCTCAGAATCGGTCTTGAAGTTACCAAGGTCACCGACGTGACGCTCGGAGTCAGTGGGAGCACCGTGGGTCTTGCCGAAGGGGTTGACTATGAAGGATCAGTCTTCTAAGCTCCTTCCTATGATATCCGACATATCAATATAACATACAGTGAGGGCCAGCGGAGGTGCAGCCGTTGGTGTTGTCACCGAACTGGTGGACGTGGAAACCACGCTCAGCGTTGGCATCGTTGCCGGTGATGTTCCAGGAGATGGTGGTAGGGGCGTTCTCGTCAGCCTGCTCGAAGGTGACGGTGCCGGCGACCTTAGCGTCACCACGGAGAACAGCAACTGCACAGCAAGAAAAAGTGGTCAATGAAGAGTTCTAGAAGACATATCGAAGCTTTCTCCCAAAATAGCACGCCCTGAATCCCCAAGCTCCCGGATACCGATCTCAGCCGCAGTCATGGCCGGTGCCACACTGGCCCGAGATCAGAATCCCACTGGAGCTTCCAGCAAGTGGACAGCTTCCCCCTTGTCCCAGGGGCATTGACAAATGTCAAGGGAAGCAGTGGAGAGCTGGCAGGAGGATGCAAGCCGATAGGCTGGGAATTGAGTCCAGAATCACAAGGTGCTCAAATGTGCTCACACCCAAGGTCCCCTTGCCACGGGAGATCGTGGGGAAGCTGGAGCTGGATCTGAAGCTTATGGGTGGCCCTACAGAGGAACCAACGATGGAGATTTACTTACCAGCCTTAACCATTTTGATTATAGATGTTATAGATTGGAAATTGAAGAAAGGGAGTATTGTTAGAGAAGAGGAGAGGAAGAGGGCGGACGAAGATAATAAGCGGGATGATGTCGACGTGACTCTATGTTACAAGCTAAGTACTAGGTACATGTATTACAGTATAAAATTAGCAATTCGTGCGAGTACCCAGTACCTGATACGAGAATAAAACATCCCCCACCTTCCGAAGTGGGCATACATTCGGAACGAGGGGACAAATGACATAACAGAACACCGCAATTTTCATTTTGATACCTCTTCGGGTCGTGCTATATTTTACTAGCGCCGTTCCTACCGCTGATACTCCTGGTGAAGTGTTTGTATGCTCTTCCATATACTTCTACCCCTCACGAGGATTGATCCACTCACAGTTCACTTTCTACTGTACCACAAGAGACGTCTGGTGTGAGGTGCAACTCATATATGTAGTTGCACATTGTGTTGCCTCAAGCATCGGAGTCTATTTTACCTGTCAACCTCGGGTAACAATGTGTGTCCCATGGCATTTATGTTCGGCTCCTCGTGAAGTGACACCATACTGGCAAATCCTTCTAGCTTAGTAGGTGCGGGGTCATGTGAATAAGCCGACCCGGCCAGATTCCGCGGTTTGCATAGCCCCATCAGATAATCTATTCCCTACGAAAATACCGAAACAAAAGAAAACACAACATTGATATCAGAATAAGTTCATCAATTCATATCTGCCGTCCAAATTTTGGTGACGACGCATTTACAAAGAAAATAAAAATTTTGAACAATTAACAAGACCAAGACCTCGCTTAAGCCTGAATCTTTTGGGCAAGAAGCTGCTTGAGGGTGATGGCATCAGCAGCGAACTTGGAGATACCCTCACGGAGCTTCTCAACGGCCATAGCCTCCTCGTTGAAGTCGAAGCGGAAGTCAGCCTCGTTGTTGAGGTACTCGCGCTTCTGGATCTCGAGGTTGGAGGCACCGGCGGGGTTAAGCTTCTGGGGAACGGGCTCGGTGGAGTTGTAGAGGTCCTCAAGGAGGTTGGGGGAGATGGTCAGGTAGTCACAGCCAGCGAGCTCGGTGATCTCGCCGACGTTACGGAAAGAAGCACCCATGACGATAGTCTGGTAGCCGAACTTCTTGTAGTAGTTGTAGATGTCCTGGACGGACTTGACACCGGGGTCCTCCTGGGCGGTGTAGTCGCGCTTGTGGGCGGCCTTGAACCAGTCAAGAATGCGGCCAACGAAGGGAGAGATGAGGTAGGCACCGGCCTCGGCAGCAGCAATAGCCTGAACCAGGGAGAACATGAGGGTCAGGTTGCAGTTGATGCCGTGCTGGGACTGGAGGATGTGAGCGGCCTTGATGCCCTCGTAGGTGGAGGCAATCTTGATCAGGACGCGGTCCTTGGAGATACCGTTGTCGGCGTACAGCTAAGTGGCAATTGTCAGCTCGTGGCTTCGAGGAGTCGTTCCGGGACATTCTAAACATACCTTGATGATCTGCAGAGCCTTGTCGACGGAAGCCTGGGTATCGAAGGACAGCTTGGCGTCAACCTCGGTGGAGACCTTGCCGGGAATGATGTTGAGGATCTCCTTTCCGAACTGGACGAGGAGACGGTCGAGAGTGGCCTCAACCTGCTCATCGAGGGTCTTGCCGTTCTGCTTGCCGTAGGCAACGGCAGTGTCGATGAGAGCGGCGTACTCAGGCTTCTTGGAAGCGGCCAAAATCAAGGAGGGGTTGGTGGTGGCATCTTGGGGCTTGTACTTGCCAATAGCTGCGTGCTAGGTTAGCGACGAATTCAATGTTGCGACTAATGCTGTGTGAAGCTGGAATACATACTGGCAAAGTCACCTAGAATTATCGCGTTAGCATATTTCCGTAAGTTGGGGAGCTTGATGATAGCTTACCAGAGTCGCAAACGACAACGGTGCCGGTGGCCTTGAGCTGTTCGAGAGAAGAAGACATTTTTTTGAATTTAGACAATAAGATTGGAATGTCAATAGAGAATGGATGAAGAAGAGGAAGAAGAGTGGCGGGCGGCGCGGTATTTAGAAGGAGGGGTGGTGTCATAGACCAGTTTACGAGATCATTTGCCAGGTACATGTGTTTACTATGACAGTGCCATAGTTAAGGTAAGTACCTGGCCTGTGCCCCATTTTCCTGGAATTGGTGGGGCAAATGACGCTGCGCGCTGGAATTTAAAAGTTGGTTTGTCGCAGGTACGTGTCTTTTTCTTCTATGTCATTCGATCTTTTGCTTCTTTCTTTACTGTTCTTTTCTCAATTGCGCCTCATTAGAGACATTTCAACATGAATAATCCAATTCATTGACTTCTATTCTACCCTTTCAAATTGGGTATGCTATGTAGTAGAATCTCAAATCCGGCGCAGTGTGCTCCGAATTTCCCCCAACCGGAGTATGGTAGACCGGACAACACGGCCCACTACTGTAGCGGTTAATGCAATGCTCACCGGGGGTCCCGGTTAAATATCGACTGAGGGAACACGTGCTCTCTCATTATTTTCGCTAACTATGGACGCTAATACTCGATGCGATAGCCTGAATTGCACTCACAAATGCCACTGCAGATCTATCACAGGCTTCAATGCATGGCTTTTGAATCTGAATTTTGAAAATGAAGGTAGTAGGGTGAAAGGGGAGGTGAAAATGGTGGTGAGAAGTTCAGCGGCGCTGGATGCAGTTCCATTCATACTATGACCATGTTAGCCTCGTCGATTGCACATAACATGAGACCCGGACTTACCACTCGACCGGCCTCATCCCCAGTATAGACCACATGGGGGAGAGCCAAGATGCAGCTGATGCCGGCACTGATGTTGGCACCATTGTCACGACTACTGTCGGTATGATGTAGTTGTCGGATCAATTCCAACTCGAAACGGCCGCCGCGAAGGCACTTGCTCCAGATGTTGACCATGCCACGAGAATGACCTGTAAGCACCAGTTCGCGTTCGAGCCATTCGTTCTGTACACCCTCGTAAAAGACACAGGATAAGACGTGGTCGTCACTCGAGTCGCAAACCTGTTGGTCCACCAACACGGCTCCGTTGAGGGTGTACAATGTCAAGCGACTACCGCGGCAGACCATAATGTCCCCGGAAACATCGTTGATTCGAGCACACTAGTTAATACATTAGTCAAAAAATGAAAGCATCCAAGATAAGCAAGGGAAACATACATCGACCGCACCGTCGGCGGGAAGGGCGCGCACGAAGGATCGCCGATTGAGATCCCATAACATGATCTGTCCGTCATTGGAGGCGGATAATAAAGTACTGAAGGAACGTGACACGGCCAGCACAGTGACTGGCGCTCGATGGCCAAATAGCGACCCAATGGGTTGCAGATCAACCGATTTGGATGTTGCAGTGACTGTCCATACCGAGATAGTGCAGTCCGTGCCACAGGTAACCAGCGTACGGGAATCTGCAAAGCTAGCATGAGACAATTGGCCGACGTGTAGGTGCTCAAAGTGGCCCAGGAGTTTGCGCGTGTCGACGGAGTAGAATCGAACACTGCCATCAAAGAATCCCCATTCCATGTAGTGGTCATAAGTCGGTGGCACATTGAGCCTCAGAGCTGCCGTACACAATAGACGGTCGTTTTTCATCGATAGTGTTGCCACCCGCTCTTCAATATCAAGCAGAGACAACGGCATTTGCGTCAAGGATTCTGCAAGAGTATCAAGACGTGGTATGCGATGACGTTGATCCTCTCTCTGGACATGCGCTCTTTGGAAGATCTGGTGAGGTGTTTGCCCAAAATTGTGAATGATACCGATGGTGGCCAGCCGTTCCATCGGGTCATCGATGGCATCCAAGTCTTTGGCACCTTTGTATGAGAGGTGGTGGAAGACATTGACAGATTCTACAGCTGCTTCACCCTTTTGCTTGTTGCCGAAGACCAGATCAATCCAGTGATGCAGGTTCTCCGACACGTAGGGACTCTCGAGAGCCTCCCGATGTTTCGCGATGAATATTTTGGGGTCTCCCTTGGCCCAAGGTGGTAACTCAACAGAGTCAATAGCTGTGGTCATGTTTTGAAGAAGACCAAAGTCGTAATGGTTGGAATTCACAAGGAACTCCGGAAGATAGAAGAACTCGGGGATAAGTTCCCGAACATCAGTCATGTTGCCCCGAGATGCTGACTCCCAGGCCTTCCGTATGGAATAGAAGAGACGATCGGCATGATCGAAGGAGCCACCCTGCAGTAGAAGATAGGATTTGACGAATGGTTGCAGACGAATGAGGTAGGAGCTAACAATCATGGCGGAGGAGTAGTGCGTTCCATAATGGAAAGGAGGTGAATTATCATCGCCCATCTCGGCGAAAGCATTGTAGCGCTCACGGAAGCCAATCTCTCGATCAATCGTTTGGCAACCCATCGGTTTGGACAGGTCTCGGAATGTAGCAGGGTTGTTAAGATCTAGTTCCTCGCTTGTGTAGTCTGCCAAAACCCACGGAAAGACTGGATACTGAGTCAAGTCGTTGAACGTACGTCCGGCAAAGGTGTTGATCAACATCAAGTAATGGAAGTTGGAGATTTCGCCCTTCACCCATTTCCGCGTTGCTGGGTTTGCAGGAAGATGGCCGAACACACTAGCAAACTTGGACCCGAGGGACTGTGGTGCATCATCTTGACTGCGAAGGGTTTCAAATCGCCAGACGTCTTCTGGTCGAGAATGCCCAGTACTTCCAGTGACTTGTGGTGCTCTGGTAGCTAGTTGGTTGCACAAGTCGTCTCGAGCTCGGGCGGACAGTAAAGTCAACAAGTAGCTTGTACCATCCGTGAAGAATATTTCCAGAGCGACGTCGCGGAACAAAAAGCGGCGCTTGGAAACACTAACCAAGTCAGACCATTTCCAACTCCTTGTCTCATGCTCCTGCGAGCGGTGATCATTGGATTCACGGCCAGAGATCATGCGCACGTAAGGATCTCGCTCCTCGTTGGGAGCTTGCCAGACGTTTACAATTTCGCCGTCTGCTCTTTGGAAGAAATTGTCCAGGATGTAAACGCAGTCCTTGCCGAGAATCAAGATGCCCTCCACTGCTTCGAGGCCAATTATTCGAGACAGGTTGCATACATTTTGAACCTGATCGCCACGTTGCAGAGATCGCATCACCTTTCGATTCCTATCTTCATAGTCCTCAAGCTCGACCTTAGGATCGTCAATCATCTCAAAGTTGTCTTCTAGAATGCTCCGACTGCCGGCATCGCCACTTGGCGATTCGCCGCCGGTATTTTCGGGGTCTGCAGCGAGAGAACGGGGTGCAGTCAAACTCTCGGCTTCGGAAAGGGCTCGTATCCGAGTGTCGAATTTGACTGCTGGAGGCTCTGAGGCTTTACGCTTAGGCTGATAGTCTTGTCGATCTCCCGACTCATCGGGAACCAGACGTAGTCGCATGCGGCTACGACCTTCTGTTTGGTCCAGCCACCACCTCCTCTCCTTTCCATCTGAGAGAAGACCACCCGGACGACGCAAGTCTAGTAATAGATTGGAGAAGGCCGACCACATGAATGTAGCGCTATCCTGATGATCTTGTATGAATCTTTGGGACTTCAAGAACTCGGAAGCTGCGATGTTAGAAATCCAATGTGGCAGCGTAGCATGGTGCTTCCGCGTCACGTCTTCATCGAATTTCTCGATCTGTGCCCACTGTCTCAATTTGTCTTTCCGTTTCGAGACACGAGATCTTACTGAGTCCTCGATGTTTGCGTTTTCTTCATGAACGAAGGCGTCCCACAACCGAGAGAAAACCCCGAAAAACAATGCGTCTAGATCGTCCCGTTGATCATCGATCCACTCAAGGAAAGCTTCGTCATCCATTCCCGAAAGGGCATCGAAGCCGTCAGCTAATCGACGCTGGAGAGAGACAGAGCCATGACTGAGAAGTGTTGTAATCCCATCTGGCGCCTGTACCAGAATGATTCTCCACAACCGGGTGGCAGCCGAGCGGACATCCTCATTCGTGCTGATTAGCTTGGTATACAGCAGGTAGAATAGAAGATGTAGGTGTCTGGTTTGGGTTTCGGCAGCCGACAGAAGAACCACCTGCCAATAATTCAGACGAATAAGCAACGACACTGTCTCCGTGTCGTCTGCTTCTGACAAATGAAACAATACGACTTTGTACAAAGTTGACCGAATAGTTGCGGTAGACTGGCTACACAACCGAATGCTTTTGAGCCGAGATATGTCCGGGCGCTGGAGATACTCCAAGATCGTGCCAATAAACTCGAGGGTGGATGATGCGCCATTTATAAACCAGCCTTCATAAACTGCCTCCGTCAAGTGTGTCGCAAAGCGCCCAAGATTCGTAAGTATTCGGGGCTCATGAAGTAGACCGGATCGGACTAAAGGCAAATCTTGCAATGCTGAAAGCACACAGCCAAACACCCAAGAGTTAAAATAGGCTTGATGTTCTGAGAAGCCGGGTGGAGTCTTTAAGTAAAGACCAAGGCCTGTAAAGTCTTTGCGGCCCAATAATTGGTCCTCGAAAACAGCCAATACCAGCCTGAAGATCGCTTTGACAAGGGGATGATCTGAGGCAGATTTATGTCCAACAAATGTTGGGTTCATGAAACGACGAATCCGTGCCGAGGAGGGCTGATTCTTGGACTTATCGGAAGAAACTAGAACAAACGATGAACCTCGTCTTAAAGTACCTGTGCTCTCTTCAGCACCGCCAGATGAGTTGACCGTAGTGGTCCGCAAAACTGTCGAGGCATTGGCAGTACTTGAGCGGGGCCGTATCACGAGGTTGCTATCATCGAAGCTGATCCCGCTGTGCCGGAAGCCTACTTCAGTATTGGGATCAACTGGATCAGCACCGACAACGATGGGGTAAAGCACAGAAAGTAGCTCTTGCACGTAGGTAGAGTGTGTAGTGAATTCTTGGAAGCTTGGGGATCTGGCACGCGCTTCTCCTAAGAATTGGACAACCGAGTATATGAGCGCAGAGCCATTTATACTCTGGTCTGGTGGAGCGCCGTCTATCAGAACAAAAAAGTGTTAGCTAAAAACCAGGATGGTAACTGCTGCAAACCTACCAGCGAGCTTGAGAGAGTTCATTCGGGGCTTGTAGGATTTGAATGCAAGCTCCTCCAAAGAGCCTAGTGGGGTTTCCTGACCTTCAGTTGCCACTACTGAATTCCGCATCCCGCTCTTCAGCATGTTGAGAATCACCGGCAGCATATCAGGGAAGACGACCTTTACATCGCCGTCGGCCAAGAATATGCTGAGCAGCCCGGGCAGGTCAAGAGCTTTGTTGAGGTCCAAGGAAGCATGGTCAACACCGAACAACATGCAAAAGCAGATAGGCCACAAGGCAGGGATATTCCACCATCTTTTCAGGCGATATTCCAAGATGATGTAACCGCCGCTCTTCTCTGCGAATTTCTTACTGTACCCGGCTCCATGGACCACTACCAAACGGGCCAATATCTTGGTTGCAAGGACCACAATCTCGGGCTCATCCTCGCACATGAGATAGAGGAGCCACTGCATAGATGGTTAAACAAATAACAGGATGAACAAGAATGATGGACATACCTTATTCGTGACAGCTTTGGCAAATTTCTTCAATGGCGTAGGGTCGCCGGGATCGCACAACACAGAGGCATACAACCGCAACAATTCACCACCCAAAGTAGCGCCGGTGACATACTTGCTTTCCGAGTTTGAAGATGCAGGTCGAGCTGATGCGGCCAAGTACCGTAAGCTCTTCTTTTTTTGGAGGTTGGCGGGAACTTTCGGCTTATGGAGTGTATACGTGATGGACAAAGCTAAAGAGCGAAGAAGGTCGGCCGACGGACTGCTCTCCATCAACGAGCGGAATGCCAACAGGCAAGGCCGGAGAGATTCTTCGATCAATTCACCACCCTTGAGAGTTTCCAGTAACCTTTTGCTGACACCTGGTATGGTTAGCTCGACTACTAAGTATGGGTGTGTTATGGAAGAAGGAAATATACTCACGCATACGGCCAAGTCGTCTAGCGTTGAATCGACGGTAGTTGCTGTCGGTGGCAAAGGTGCGGAATTGAGAGTAGTATAGCTCGAGCACCTGCAATTCTCCGAGTCGCCAGACGTCCATGTCAACAAGCAGAACACGATAGGCGAGCGGGTTTGTGATGATAGAATTATTGGGCTTCTCAAAGTCGTATCCAACAAATGCGAGAGTCAAACGTAGCAAATCAAGCATCAAGGATGCCAACTCCAGGGGATCTGAGCTAACCACGGGAATTTTGATACCAGTTGGAGAATTGCCCATATAGAACCCAAGCTTCTCTCGCAACAAGGCGGCAAGGATACCATAGCCGTTCTCTCTTTCCATGGCTTCGCTGTTCCTCCAGTTATCCTTGACTGCTTCATAGAGAGCCTCCACGGCCATGCGAGTGCTGTCAGCGGTGCTTGCTGCTTTGATCAAGCTGAGATGGACCGCGGCGCAGCCACCAATGCACCAACTGGCATCATCCATGGCTCTGGGTACAGCAACGACAGGATCACCCGTCAGAATACCGACTCCTTGGGGTTGTGTCAAGCCGTCATTAATGGCCGGCGTAGCGCCATTGACAGCGATAGCGTTACCGCCCGCTTTCGTCAGCTGTTGCAAGCTTTTTGCTGCTTGCCGTGAGAGACATTTGACCAATTGCGATTCATCGACATTGTTGCTATCATCGTCGTCAAGCACAGCGACAGAAGAAACATTGATCAGAATCGAGCTCTCACGAATCAATGTACTCGCTCGTCTCCGGATGGCAGTTACAATGTCCGAGGCTTCCTCCTTGCCGGGGTGAAGATGTTCATTTCGCAGGTTGAGAGTCGCAGAGGCTTTGTATGTCTGGAAAGAACCCAAGCAGTCCTGGAAGTTCCCATAATATCGCGGCCCAAGGTTGTAGAACACGGCTACCATGTCGTCGCTGTAAGCCTCGTCAAAGAGTATTCCATTTGCAAGAGACCACCTAGAAGTGGATACGCCTTTTCCGAGTCGCATTGCTAAGTCCTGAGGGGTGCCAAAGAAGGCCTGAATGCGAGGCGGCTTGTTTGGATGATGAGTTGTAGGAACAGACGGGTATTCAATCTTCAGCTGTTCAACGAATTCGCCGTCTATAAACAGAGATGCGCGAGAAGAAGACATCGGCTTTGGTCTCTTTTGCACGACACAAATATGATACCAGCGCTTCGACTGGAATTTCGCCGCCTTGAACCGAACACTGGGCCGAGCACCTCGGATTGAAGTTTGGAGAATGAAATTTCGGGTGTCTTTTTCGAGGTAGGCAAGAATGAAACACGTCTGACTTGCATCGAAGGCTCCAAAGATAGTGGTGTGCGTTCTAGAATCGAACTCGTCGAAGCGGGCCCAGACAGCCAGAGTGTATCCAGAAGAATTGATAGGAGGAAAGGGCCTAGCAAGTGTTGAAAACTCGACAGAACAATACCCATGCCGGGACATATCGAATTGTATTGACGGGGGCTCTTTAGAGGACTTAAGAGCAGATAACAGGACCTTTAAGACTTGTGGGTTTTCATGCGCTCCGCGGTATAATGCAACGGCATCCTCCAAGTTACTCATACCCTGAACGCTGAGAGACTGAGCCAGGTTTTGATAGATTGCGTTTTCACTGTCAGTCCGTACGCCATCGAACAAGAGGGGTAGAATTGATGTGAGCATATCGGTGGCATGCAAGGCTACGACGTTCCTCCGAGACTGCGAGGCCAATTGGCAGAGGCATGCGGGCAAGGCCAGGCGTAAGATGTCATACCCTGACGAGAAAGAGGAGTGGATCAACCACACGCGAATGAATGGCCCGAGTAGTTCTGGCACTTCCACCGTCTCGGCGGATCCAATGCAATGGTCCACGGCATCTTCGACCTCTCGCGTGGACAGTGAGTCCTTATTCTGGGCAAATTTTGTGTTGAGGGTTACAAAAATACCCGAGACTGTCTCTTGACATAGAGCTGCGGCCAAAATGGCGCCGTAAAGATGATGTGCGTCACCCTCGTTCGTGTCTATCTTCTTGACCAGCGCGGTCAAAATCCGCTCCAGTGCAGAAATGCCCCCTCCGACTATCTTGCGGGCAAAATACCGCTTGTTTCCAAATTGTTCTTTCAGAGCCTCTGCCAACACACCGAGCACATCTTTGAAGATATCCAGCAGGCCTTTCCGTTCCTCCTTGGATGTATGCGAAGGATCGTAGAGCTCGGCTATTCGTTCCGCGAGTGTCAGCAGGGTTTGAAAGCCCTGAAGATATCGAAATGCGTCTTTGGCAGTATGCGGGCGTGCATCATCTATGAAGGTGTGGCGGAGGCGGAGAAGAGATTCGGTCGTCGACTGGGCTTGTGACAGAGTGATCGCGGTGCCTGCACTAACGCTCTTCAGCTGGTCAATTGCTGGGGCTAGCTCCTCAGCCAATCGGTCGGTCGATCCGGAGGGGGAGGGAGGGTGGAGGGCAGCTGGCGGAGCCATAGCCAAATCTTATCCACGTCCACTCCGACGGCGATTGACCATCAGAGACCGTGAATGTTCAGAATCGGGTAATACGGCCTGCATTGGTATGTGACAGTGCCAGTGCCAAGGTTAGTGGGATGAGGAGCTCAAAATTGGCGACAGTCGTCATCAACAACAAGCCTCATGCCAGAGACTCAGCCACCGCTGTAATTCGCTATCGAAGGAGGGGAAAGATAGATATCAGGTGACTGAACGATTTGGGGGGCTGGACACAGCCTCGTCAAGCCTCTGTATTAGTTACAGCCTTAAAACGGTAATTTACGAGCGATCAATCGATTCAATTGATAGGGGATGATAAGCGCGATAAGACGCAGCTTTGAGCAATAATGTGGAGAACCTTGGAACAGGCATCAGATACAGGTGATCCAATGATATGACATGCTGCTCTGCCGATTAGGTGATAGAGTGTAGTACCCAATAATGGCACGCTCATGCAGACAAGGGGGAAACCTAACAAATAAGTGAGTCACCCGACATAACCCTGGAAGCACGCGACGTCCGAGGATGAGTTGCCTTGGAGGATTTGGGCCGTGCGAGAGTGATGCCATAGGTGAGACTGCCAGGTACCCGGAAGGATGACCTTCTGCACCACCTGGAAGTACTTTCTGCACATCTTGTTTGTGGCCGGGAGATATTCAAACAACTTAAAATTCACTTCATATGATAATTATGCCTAATATAACATGTGCTCTATGACCAGTCTTGGAAAGTCCCCAAGATTGGAGGAGTCTTACACAGGAACGTCCTCTGACTTTCAAGGTTCCCGAGACATGAAATTACCATACCATACGGTATCAGTTACCCCATTCTCAGTCAGTTCTCCACTCGATCGACATCGACAGGTCATCCGCCCGCGTAACCGTATGTAATCGCCCGCTTGCATCATCAATCCCCGTTCTCCTCCCTAGATAAGCCTCAGCTGCTGCCCTTCTCCTCATCTTCCCCCTTCTTCCTCCTCCATCAACCCAACCTTCATCCTTCCTTTTTTCACCTAAGATTATTGTTTACTTATCTAGTGTCTGTCTTGCCGTGTTGACATTCCCATATTGCCCAGCATGAAAGGCTTCCTTAGCCTAACACTGCTCCCGTTGTTGGCAGCTGCCTCGCCCGTAGCGGTTGGCTCTATCCACAATGATGCCGCTCCTATTCTCTCCTCTGTGAACGCCAAGGACATCCCCGATTCCTATATTGTAGTTTTCAAGAAGCATGTCGACCCAAACTCTGCTCTCGCTCACCAGAGCTGGGTGCAGGACATTCACACCGCTCAGCACGGTCGAATGGAGTTGAAGAAGCGTTCGCTCTTGGACTTCGACTTTGAGGCTTTCATGGGCCTGAAGCACACTTTCCACATTGCTGGATCGCTCATGGGATATGCTGGTCACTTCCATGAGGATGTCATCGAGCAAGTCCGCCGTCACCCCGATGTGAGTAACCGCCTTCCCCTCTTTTGAGTTTCCCGAGGTCGGCGGCTAATAAGACCCAAAACAGGTCGAATATATCGAGAAGGACTCCGAAGTCCATCACATGGAGAGTCCCAGCGTGGAGAAGAACGCCCCTTGGGGTCTGGCTCGTATCTCTCACCGTGAGAGCCTCTCCTTCGGCAACTTCAACAAGTACCTCTATGCCGAGGAGGGTGGCGAGGGTGTCGATGCCTATGTCATTGACACTGGTACCAACGTAGACCACGTTGACTTCGAGGGCCGTGCGACCTGGGGAAAGACCATCCCTCAGGGCGATGCCGATGAGGATGGAAATGGACACGGAACTCACTGCTCTGGCACTATTGCTGGCAAGAAGCACGGTGTCGCCAAGAAGGCCAATGTCTACGCTGTCAAGGTTCTCCGCTCCAATGGCTCGGGCACTATGTCCGATGTCGTCAAGGGTGTTGAGTGGGCAGCTGAAGCACACATTAAGAAGTCCAAGAAGGGTGACAAGAAGTTCAAGGGTAGCGTTGCCAACATGTCTCTTGGCGGTGGTACCTCCCGCACTCTGGACCTCGCTGTCAATGCCGCTGTTGATGCTGGCATTCACTTCGCCGTCGCTGCTGGTAACGACAACGCTGATGCCTGCAACTACTCCCCGGCTGCCGCCGAGAAGGCTGTCACCGTTGGCGCTTCCACTCTGGCCGATGAGCGTGCTTACTTCTCCAACTTCGGCAAGTGCACTGACATCTTTGCCCCTGGCCTGAACATTCTCTCCACCTGGATTGGCAGCAAGTATGCCACCAACACTATCTCTGGTACTTCCATGGCCTCTCCTCACATTGCTGGTCTGCTGGCCTACTACGTCTCCCTGGCACCCGCCAAGGACTCTGCCTTTGCCGTCGCCGATGTCACTCCTAAGCAGCTGAAGGCTGCTCTCATCAGCGTTGCCACCCAAGGCACACTTACTGACATTCCTGCTGACACCCCCAACGTAAGTCTTTCTTCCCTGTCTGGACGAGATCGGCTTATATTAACATGTTCATAGCTTCTGGCCTGGAACGGTGGTGGTTCATCCAATTACACTCAGATCCTCGCTGGTGGTGGCTACAAGGCCCACGGTGCCGAGCCCACTGTCGAGGAGCGCATTGGCGACATCCTGAAGAAGGGTGAGGAGGCTGTCCACAGAGAGATTGGCGCTATCTACAGCGAGATCAAGGGAGCTGTCTCTGCATAGATTAGAACGTCGTTAGGGTTGTGTCAGTGACAAACCCAACAACTCGGGCATATGGATGACTGGATCAACACAGGCGCAACATCATTTTCTTTGGTTTTATCTCGTTTTCTTTTTCTCCTGGATTCTCCAACACGAATCCGCGGGTTAATCCCGCCACCACGCTCCATACACAGATTGCTTTTCTGCTAGTTTGACATGTCGTTGCTTCACGTAGTATACTTATCTATAACCACGGGGTTTACATCGATCTAGAATGTCTTTTGATTCATCCCATGGTTTAATTTTATTACGCAATGACACTTTAGGAAGGATCCATGACTACTAGAGCACTAGAGCCCGGTAAAGCAGGTTCAATCCATGGATGTCGGTATATGTAGGTTGAAGACCTGATCTATGCCCGGGCACCTCCTACCTATGAACTCCCTTACTTACTAGGTGGCCTATAACTAACTAGTTAGTTAGTTATTAGCATCTGGTGTTACTGCTACTCGCGATATAGATGGGACTTTGAACGCAGTGTATGAACTGGGGTGTAGACATCTCACATCATCATGACAATGGAAGGAGTCGGAACTCCAATTCAATCGACGGGAGCGTGCGGGGTCAGTGGGGGGACAGCCCACATGCCCACTTTAGCTCGGCGATGGGCATTACAGTTCGATTTCAATACAAAGGGTTCAAGATAGGACTGGTATGGCTGGTGGGTGATTACTAGATAGTAGAACCTAAGATAACGTTCATTGATTGGATGCTGTTAGAAAAATGCCCTAGTAAATATTGATTGCATTATCGTAAACCATTAGTCCCATGCTAAAAATGCTGTTAAACGCCCATTGTGTACTGTGTGAAGATTAAAAATGAAACCGCGTAATACGCCAAAAATGCTGGATATGCGCGTAGTAGAAAGCAAGTCGTTGTCCGCCCAGATAAAGCCTTCAGACAAGAGTTTGCGAAAGCGCTCTTTGGGCCTTCATCTCGGCAGTATCATCATTCGATAATATCATCATCCGAGTCATCGCCGTCCACCTCCATTTCGCTATTGCTAGACTGAAGCTCGTCGTCAGAGTCACTGCCGCCAAACACATCGCTGTCGGCATCACTATCCGCCCAGAAGTCGTGGTCTTCCTTCTCCACGGGTTCATGGATCGGAGTGTCGTGAGTAGGCATCTCGAAGCCGGTGGGGATATCAGCCTTGGACCTCTCGACGTCCTCCTTGACCAACTGACGGTATCTTTCTGGATTTCTGCGGAGTAGAACGGCGGCGTCGACATTTGCGGGGGATGATGGCTCGGCATCGTCGAGGAGGGAGAGAATGGAGATCAGGACGGACTCAACACGCTGGGCCGGGGACCAGCGTTCTGAGGCAAGCTCACCGGACATTTCATCTTCCCCGGGTGGGTGGAGAATGGAGATGCATAGCTTGCCGTCGGAATAAATGTTCGGGTGGTGGAGGGGTCGTAGGAAGCGGAACTCTGATGGCGGGTAAGGGGATTTTGTCAGTCATGTCTGGGAAAGGAGATAGGAAGTGACGGAGAAGGAACTGTGAGGTGCATACTTGGCGGAGCGTAAGGGTAGTTTGATGGGAAACTCATAGAGGCCTTGAAGTAACCGCCATAGTACAGCGAGTCCGGGTTGATCACGATCAGTGCGACATCCCACTTGAAGATGTCGTCATTGTGTAACTGTGCGAAGAATGTTAGCCACGTTGGGATGTGACAGCCCATCTATCAAGTATGCTCACCTGGACATTAACCCATTTCTCTTTGAGGAGAGCCTTGAACTCATTCATGAGGATGCGCTCCGCCATAACGACGGTCTAGGACAGGCCGGAAGTTGGAGACGATGCTTTGGGAGAGAGGGAGTTGGTGGCTATGGGCGACAATCAAGCGTTATTATATAGGTGTAGGATGCGCTAGGCAGCATGCGACGGGTCGCTAGGAATTTCAGGCTTTAATCGGGGTTCAGGCGTGATGGTCGGGATCACGGGAATTGTTCGGGAGGCAAAGAGGGTAGATGTCTGGAGCGGCCGATGAAGATGCCTGATAATTCCGGTGGCAACTCTGACTAAGATGGCGAAGGCAAACCACGGGTTTGCACATGCAGACAAGGCTTTTCTCATGCAAAGGTATTCTCTCTCATTTCCATAGAATGTGCTGCTTGACACCTATTCTGCATAGTCAAGAAAAGTTCAATGAATAACACAACTCCAAATACCAAGACTTCCCGATAAGCATAGACTTCCACTTTTTTCACAGTGGGGAACTACGATAAGCAAGATCATCGCTGCATTGACTCTCTGTCGAGTCATCGTCGGGCCATATGTAAGGACCCTTCCGATTTGTACGGGAGTAAAGAACCTGAAGATGAAGAAGAAGCAGATCTGAGTCGGGGTCTCAAAGTAGTTTAACCCCATAATAGCATTGTTTTCTCAAACCCACCGGAAAACTACATGTGTTTGTCTTCGGTACCTAGCTCCACCACCAAAAACCGGTGGTGGCTAATGTCACCCTACCCGGAGTCCGTCCACCGCCGGGTTTGGAATCATCGCATTTGCCATTTTTTCTCCTCTCTCGAGATCTCCCCGCTGTAGGACCCCCATCTTGCACACTCTCACGTCCTGTCTTTTGTGCATTGCGTTTGGAACTTGTTGAAATCAGAGGAGCTCCCAGCCTGCTTTTCTGAATAAACGGCCCTCCGCCCAGGAAACCTCATCCCGGTGTCACAGATAACGTTGAGCTTGCGATGCCAGCCTCGTTCAGCAACCAAGTGATATATTGCTGCTAAGGGGTGGAAAAATACTAATACCGGTCGCATTTCTCATTCATTGCGAATTTTGCTAGCTGAAAAGCTGCTTGATCGAGTCGTGCGAGGTCCGTGAGCTACAGTTTCTGCGAGCTTTGCGGCCCGCCAACTATGCTGCCGCAATGTCAGGGCCCAGTCTGGGCCATTGACGACCTATCTCGTTGCTTCCAACGAAAGTGAGTCTACATGGATAGCCACTACAGTTGAGATTTTGCAATGCTGACTATGTGATAACAGCGTCCTTCAAGTCATACTTCCCCTCACGGTTTGTGGCGCCTCGGTGCTGCTTGTCCTAATCCGTCTTGCTCATCGTTATGTCCTTGCCCAAAAAGGCGTCGCTTACAAGGTCCTCCCGAACAATGACTCCGAAGATGACGTCCCAAATGCGACGCAGGAAAATGAGTCCGACGCGCTGCTGTTTCGAGCTGCACAAAACGAACAACCCCAGGTTGAGGTCGATCGCCCCCGTGGAGAGGTCACCGTTGTGTTACTCGAAATTACAGCTCTGATTGGACAGGTCGCAGTATATATTCTGATTTTGTCGACTCAGGCCTGGGGTCGGCATGGAACACTTCCCGCCGTGGCTGGGCTCGTATCGTGGGGTTATATTCTTTTCTTGGTGCTGGTCCGATTTCTGCTGTCAACCCTGGATCTGTCCTCCGCGCCCAGATTATGGACTCATACGGCCTTCTTGTACGGCTTCCAGTGGCTCTTCAACGTCATGGTCTTCCGTTCCGCCGTCATACACCCATTGTCACAGCGCGCCCTCATTCTCAGCAGCGTGCAGTTTACTCTTAGCACAGGGCTGCTGCTTATTGCAGTCACCACTCGCCGCGGCAATAAGCCAGTCTTGATTGAGCGAGAAGATGGATTGGAACCCCCGAGGCATCCCACGGCTAGTCTATTTTCTCTTGCGACATTTTCTTGGCTTGATCCTCTGGTTCTGAAGGGCTACCGCAACCCATTGGAGCTTGAAGATGTTTGGAACTTGACACCGTCTCAAAAGGCTGCAACAGTTCTCAAAGACTTCCGCAAGAGACAGATGAAAGGGTCTCTAGCATGGAAGCTGGTTCGATACTTCCTTGGCATGATTCTAAAGCAGGGTGCCTGGACGATTTTCGCCAATCTATTCGTTTTCATGCCTAGTCTACTTCTCAAGGCCATCCTCGAATATGTCGAAGACCCTCGGTCGACCACACCCAATGCGGCTTGGTTGTACGCCATTCTGCTGTTTTGTTGCGCCACAGTGCAGGGTGTGGCCGATGGACAGGCCTTGTTCATTGGTCGTCAGATGGGTGTAAAAATCCGTGCGATCATCATTGGTGAAATCTATGCTAAAGCTTTGCGCCGCAAGGCGGGCGCTTCAGTCGAGCCCACCAAAAAGGCAGAAGATCCAATCTTGCCAAAGGGCCAGAAAAAGGGAATTTTCTCCTTCGGTCGTAAGAAGAAGAAGGCTACAAGTGAGAACGATGCCGAGGACGGAAACAAGCCAGACACTAAAGAAGAGGAGCCCACACAAGCCAATGTCGGCACAATCATCAACTTGATGGCGATCGATTCGTTCAAGGTAAGCGAAGTTGGCGCCTATCTCCACTTCCTGTGGGCTAGTGTGCCAGTGCAGATCATTATGGCTATTATCCTGCTCTACCATATCATGGGTTTCAGCTCATTTGCCGGTATTGCCCTGATGGCCCTCATGTTGCCTGTCAATCTTTTCATCGCCCGCCAGTTCAATAAGGTGCAGAACCAGATCTTGAAGGGCACCGATGCTCGTATCCACGCCACCAACGAAGTCCTACAAAACATCCGCATCATCAAGTATTTCGCTTGGGAGCAGCGATTCCAAGAAATTGTCGGCGAGAAGCGGAAGGCCGAACTGAAAGCCCTGCGTAACCGATACATCCTCTGGTCCTCTGCTGCAACCATCTGGTACGGCACACCTATTCTGATTACGTTCATGTCCTTCTTTTTATACACCGTGGTCGAAAAGAAGCAATTGACTCCTTCGGTCGCTTTCCCTGCGTTGTCCATGTTCTCCTTGCTGCGTGTGCCTTTGGATCAACTTGCGGATATGGTGGCCCACGTTCAAGAATGCAAGGTTTCGTTGGACCGGGTGGACAACTACCTCAACGAGGAGGAGACAGGCAAGTATGACCAAGTCCGTGATAGCACAACTGCCGGAACGCCTACCAGGATTGGCCTTGAGAAGGCAACACTTTCTTGGAGCAATGTAAAGGCCGATCCCCAAGACCCTGGAGCCGACACCGACTTGGACTCTTTCCGTTTGATCAACGTCGATGTCGAGTTCCTTGTTGGCAAGCTTAACATCATTGCCGGCCCGACTGGCTCTGGAAAGACATCTTTACTCATGGCATTGCTTGGAGAAATGAGACTCCTTGAGGGTCGCGTTCATCTCCCCGGCGGATTGTCTAATAGGGCAGATCTCCCGGTGGATCTTGAAACCGGTCTGGTTGATAGCGTTGCTTACTGTGCCCAGGAAGCGTGGTTGGTCAATGCCACCGTCAAGGAAAACATCATATTCGCCTCTCCTTATGACGAACGTCGCTACCGCGCAGTGCTTAAGGCATGTGCTCTGGAACGTGATCTTGCCATCCTTGATGCCGGTGACCAAACTCTGGTTGGAGAAAAGGGCATCAGTTTGTCTGGTGGTCAGAAGCAGAGAATCTCTCTTGCCCGCGCGATCTATAGCAGCGGCCGCCACTTGCTACTAGATGACTGTCTTTCTGCTGTTGACTCCCACACTGCCAAGCATATCTTCCGTCAAGCTCTTACTGGCCCTCTGATGTTGAACCGCACTTGCATCTTGGTAACCCACAACATCGCTTTGACTGTTCCTCAATCGGACCATGTTGTGGTGCTTGAGAACGGTAGGATTTCCGCACAAGGCCGCCCCGAGGATGTCGCCGCTACTGGTGCATTGGGTGATGAGTTCATTAAGTCTCGGCCTGCTTCCCGGGATAGCTCCCATGGAGTATCCCGCGCTCCCTCAGAACACGAAGGAGATGATGAAGCTCTGAACGAAGCGAATGGGAAACCCCAGGAGGATAAAGCAAAGCTCTCCGAGTCCAAGGCTACTGGTAGCATCAAGTGGTCGACTGTCACCATGTATCTCCGTGCTATGGGCCCTTGGTACTACTGGATCGGTGCTGTTCTGGTGTTCTGCTTGCAACAACTGGGCTCTGTTTCCACCAACATTTGGATTCGCCAATGGGCAAATTCTTACCACACTTCCAAGGTTGGCACTGAGGATGTCGGGCAGTACGCTGCTGTGGTCCACCTCAAACAACCTACCTTCAATGTTGGAAGCGTCGGGCCTGTGGGTGGCTGGAGTCTTTCCCCACTTGGCGCAAACTCCGCCTCCGGTGAGACTGATGGTGAAGTGAATGTGGCCTATTACTTGGGTGTCTATGCACTCCTCGGATTCTTGTACATTATCATCTCCTTGTCTCGTGAAGGTGTCCTGTTCTGGGGTTCCCTCCATGCATCATGGAAGATTCATGATCGCCTCCTCAATGCTGTCATGCATGCTAAATTCCGCTTCTTCGACTCCACGCCTCTGGGGCAATTGATGAACCGGTTCTCCAAAGATGTTGAATCTGTCGATCAGGAAGTCGCTCCCGTTGCCATCGGCATGCTTCACAGTCTGGCATCCGTGATCATGATTGTCATCCTGATCTCCTGGATCACACCCGGCTTCCTGATCGCCGGTGTGTTCATCACTTTGGTTTACACTGCTTTGGGAGCTGTCTACTTGAACTCTTCGCGAGACCTGAAGCGTCTGGAATCCGTTCAACGCAGTCCACTGTACCAGCAGTTCGGTGAGACTTTGAACGGAATTGTCACTATTCGTGCCTATGGCGATGCACCCCGCTTCATGGTAGACAATCACCGCCGCATCAACGCCTACAACCGGCCACACATCTACCTCTGGGCTAGTAACCGCTGGCTCGCACTCCGTGTCGACTGGACCGGTGCTCTAGTCTCCTTCTTCTCGGCTACATTTGTGCTGCTGAACGTTGGAACAATCGATGCAGGCGCCGCTGGTCTTTCGCTGACCTACGCCGTAACATTCACGGAGAATGTGCTTTGGCTCGTGCGTCTGTACTCCGAGGTTCAACAGAACATGAACTCCGTTGAGCGAGTAAGGGAGTATCTCGAGGTTGACCAAGAAGCAGCTTCTGTTATTGAAGAATCGCGGCCTGCGGCCGATTGGCCCAGCCAGGGTGCGGTTGAGTTCAAAGGCTACAGCACACGCTACCGACCTGATCTAGACTCGGTCCTCAAGGAGGTTTCATTCTCCGTGAAGGCCGGCGAGAAGGTCGGCATTGTTGGTCGCACAGGTGCTGGTAAGAGTTCTCTTGCACTCGCTCTCTTCCGTGGTCTCGAGGCCGAAAAGGGCCAGATCATCATTGATGGCGTTGACATCGGATCAATCGGACTACGGGATCTGCGCGAGTCAATCACCATCGTCCCCCAGGACCCGACCTTGTTCACAGGTACCCTCCGCAGCAACCTCGATCCCTTCGGCCTCTTCAGCGACGAGCAGATCTTCACAGCTCTCCGTCGCGTGCACCTCATCGGTTCAAGCACCTCCGGCACCGCGACCCCCACAACCGCAAGCACCGTCACCGCGACAGAAGCCAACGCCAACGGTACTGCGGATGGAGCGAACGGCAGCGCCGTCACTGTAGTCGACAACAAGAATATCTTCCACAACCTGGACAGCCTAGTCTCCGAGTCCGGCTCCAATCTCTCCCAAGGCCAGCGCCAACTCCTTTGTCTCGCCCGCGCTCTGCTGAAAAACCCCCGCGTCTTAATGATGGACGAAGCAACCGCATCTATCGACTACGCCACGGACGCCAAGATTCAAGAGACTCTCCGCGAACTGCGCAACAGCACAATCATCACCATCGCACACCGTTTGCAGACCATCATCGACTACGACAAGGTCCTCGTCCTCGATCACGGCCGCGTCATCGAATACGATCACCCCTGGACCCTCATTAACAAGGAAGACGGCCTGTTCCGCGGCATGTGCGAGAACAGCGGGAATATGGACGTCCTCCTGGACGGAGCTCAGCGCGCTTGGACGCAGAAGCGTCTGGTTGATGACTCGTAGAGCTAATGGCGCCTGTTGTTACCCTTTTCCTTTTGAACTACTGCGTATAGATGTCTGTCTCGTGTACATAATCATTGACTATCACACTTTTGTCTATTACCCGTTTTTGACTTTCCCTCGCTCGGGATATAAAAAGACAGGAGAGCGAGAGGGCATCAATGTAATCATTATTTTCCAAATTTATTACCATTATCATTAGATTTTCATCTTGCTGGTGGTTTTGTTTGGCTTAGATAGTTACTTGGAAGTATGCAGCACGTTCTTTTCTGCGACAGTTGTGTCATGCCCGTGTAGGTAAACATGCCGTCGGAAGCGTGTCTCCATGTTTGCCAATCGCCCAAGTTCAGCTTCGCGTGCTTTGTAAATTCCGAATACGGCATCCCAAGCGAGTCATCCTGCATAATCAACCGTCAATGGACATGGTTCTCTCCTGAATTCTCATCCTGAGAGACACCCCGGTTTCATCTCCAGCGCCAGGGCTCCCCAAGCGGTGGACGAAATGCAGATAAGCCATCAAGCAGGATCAGCAAGTGTCGATGGGTCTCCACATGATTGCTTCGCCTCGAGTCTGGCGCTGCCAAGTCGAGGCCAAAACAACGAATGTTGCCATTAGTTTGCGAACAGCCGGCCTTTGATGATGGGGTTGGTTCAATGGACAGCACGGTCTCAAATCAGATAAGCCTCCGACCACGTGGGAGAAAGGAGGAAGCTTGCATTCCAGACAGCCTCAGCATTCTAAGCGATGATGTCAAGTCGCAAATGGAATGGCCCCTAACGCTTCTCTGTTGACGTTCATGCAAAAGGGAAAAATATCGATTATGTGAATCGTCACTGTGACAGTGACTGGATTTGGACCTGGTCTCTCAGCTTCTCAAATCCCGGTGCGTGCGCACATCCGGTTCAGCCGATGTCCCTGCACTGTCGATCTCGGTACCAGGATCCTGTTGAGATTTTTGTTTTTGCAAATTCAACTGCGAATCCAGGTCTGGCAATATAGATCTGGGCCCTGGCTCTGAAGAAGCCGCAAAGCCCGCTTGGCGCATGGTTTCTCTCAGCATCTCCTCAAGCTCAGCTTTGTCCGGCAAGGTTTCCGGGAAGAAGTAACGCTTATCGTGCAGCTGAGGGAACTGACTGGTCCATGCATGGGAGGCAGGGGGTGATGCGACTGAGCTTCCGGTTTCTGAACTGGAGAGAGGAGTTGGCAGGGCGAGTGTGAGTGTTTGGAGCTGAAGTAACATGAAGATCAGGCCCAGCTTGCGGGCCATCGTGTGATCGATAAGGGTGGGGAATTTGATAAGATCGGCGCGCTCGTATTTTCGGAGGTTAGGGTCAGGAACGGATGATGCGTCTGAGTTGGATAAACATGTAGTTAGGAGGTAATATAAGGGAAGAAGAATCGAAGTCAAGGAGGATAGTTATTGGTAATAAGGAAGAGAAAGCCAGACAGGTGGGGAGTCGCACTCGGGTTCGCTATCGGAGAGTGCATTTGCGCGCATAAGCGAAGTCATAATTCAAGTTATGCTCCAGCTGAGGCGTAGTTTTAACATCTAATGCAGTCTACGACAGTCAAGACAGTCCAAACAGGGTCTAGCTTGTAAGAATCAAATTGCTCCAGTCCATAAAAGTGGCTTATCTTTGGTGATCGGCTTCCGACCCTTCCGCCCGGATATAAACACAGCCGTAACTCCGTGCTTCACGAGCCACTGTTATCAGCACAAGAGAATGCAGAAGAAATCTCTCCATCAGCATAAGCCTGGTTGATCTGCACGATAACTCCATATGTCCCACCGACTGCCATAAACAGTCCCAACAGAATCAGGAACACGTGGAACCCATACAGCACCACTCGGGTTATATTTCCCCTCCAATAATCCCGGTGGCTATGCAGCCACAACCACCCCGGCAAGCTAAGCGCCAGAGGTGCAAAGCACAGACTTCCTACCAGCGCCAGTACATAATTGAAGATAGGGATGGCACACGCCAAGACGAACGAAATTGCCGCCATCCCAATCGTGCACGATAACCACGTCCCCCAGTGCACGGCGGTATTAGCCTGCAGATGTCGTGAATTCCGCAGTATCCGCACGAAGAGATACTTCGCTGCGACATGCACGTACAGACATCCGCTGATGATGAGACCCGGCAATGCTATCCCGTATGCAACTCGCTTGACGGTCTCGCCGGCGCTTCCGAGTGATGGCGACGCGATCCATTTCCCGCACCAGGCGTAGATTACCAGGCTGAAGGTAAGGTAGGATGCTGTCACCAGACTCATGCTGAGATACACGGCCTTGGGGTAGTCCTTTGGCTTGCGCATCTCTGAGATCACGGGGAGGAAGGCGGAGGTTGCAGCGCTGGAAACGAAGATCGTTGCTGCCGCCGTGATCCCTGTTGTGAAGCTGGGATCGCCGATGACTCGGTATCCAAGGTCGAAGTCACCGGTTTGTGGTGCTGCAGCCGGTCGATCACGCGTTGTTACACCGATTCTAGGTGCAGATTAGCCTTTCGTCTCTTTTTTTCTCCATTTCCTCAATTGACCATCAACCCTGCTCAGACGGAAGACATACACAATGATGAAAACAGCCACATAGACACTCCCAAAACCAATCCACGTGAGCCACCCAATGTGTGAGAACTTGCGCACACTCGCACACATGGCAATGATGACCGTTGCAACGAACGAGAACCAGGCGGTACAGACAGAATGCAGCGAAAGGGCATTAAATGCCGTCGACACACCAATGATACCCGATGCCGCGACAATGACATAACTTACTGTAAACAGGACACCGACAAGTTCTTTCACGACCGGTCCACCGACGACCTGCGCCATGTCTGCGATCGAATGGCAGCCTGGGTAGGCATTGCGGAAGTTGCCTTGCACCAGTGCACAGTATGTGTTCAGCAGACTCCAGCCTACGACTGTCACGGCGCCTGGGAAAGCACCGAGCTCGTACATCAAGGATGGAATGGACAGGACTCCCGTGGCAAAGATGACTGTGTAGAGTTTTGTCAATAAGTGCTCGAAAAGGAGGTTGGATTGTTTTGAATGTACTCCGTACATGTACCGACTTACTCTTCAGGAAGATCACCGAAGCTCGTATCCAGCTCACGGTCCGGAAATCCACTTGCCCATCGCCGCGTTTGAAGACTTCGAATTTGTCCTCGACCTCGGCGTGTTGTTTATCAGCGAAATCGACGTCATCTGTGTAGCGAGGAGCAGCTTTGATCTCATCTGAGCTTGGCGCCATTGTGTGGCGGAATGGCCAGCTATAAGACTCTTTCTGCAATTGGCGAGTTTAGAATTGCAGATTCAGTTGGGCTTTTATCAACACCCTGGTCAAGCCACTTGTTGCGCCGTTGGAAGCTACACACTAAGAATGTGCTCCATTGAGTGGGGCCGAGATATGAGATTTCCGGGGTTTTGCGGGACTTTTGGTCCACATAATGACTGTACGGGCGCGATAAGACGGCTGGAATAGAGCTCTATGGTCTATGTAGCCTTCACATGAGCCTAGGGCTGATGATCTTCGACTGTTCTAGGAATGAGGAAAGTTGCATGGTCGGCTGGAATCGGTGTTGGGGTACGGGGTACATTGGGGTAGGTGCTTATCTGTGTTGGGGTACTCCTAGATGCAGCCCTGGTGGCTATCTCTCCATGGAGAAATGACCTTTTTGGTACTGTGTACTCCGTATACATTATGGCATTATCTTGACGTCGATGAGCTCTATTTACAGTTGAGTGCCATGATGTGTTTGGAGTAGGTCTCATGTTGGGGTAAACGATGATCAGAAGGGTGGACGTAAATGATCACCGAGGATCAATGCCATCTGTAGAGGCTGCCTAGTGTTCAGTACAGGGAAATCAGATACCATGGAAGAAGATCAGCATCGTTAACATCTAATAACTCTCTAGTATCGGATTCACATGTTCACTCCATTCTTCAACATAGCACCAGCCTTCGCAGGCATCATAGCCCCAGGTGGAGGAGCATTCTTACTCTTGAAGTCATCGCAGACCTGCTCCATTGTCACGAACTCGACACCTTCGTGTTTTTTGAAGTGTTCAATGAGCCTGTCGATCGTCAGTCACCGCTCCAAAAAGCCTATCATAAACACATACCTTTCATGCATGAGCAGCACATGAGGCCTCCCGGAAACATCCGGGTGAATAGTAATCGGGAAGATAAACTCATCGTACTCGCGGTAGAAATAGTCAAAATGGTCGCGCCAGATATCCTCAACATCCCGTGGGTTAACGAAGCCATGGCTGTTCGGTGCGCTCTTGATGAACATCATCGGCGGTAGATCATCAATGTACCAGTTTGACGGGATCTCGACAAGTCCCGTTTGAGGTCCATGCTCAAGAGGCTTCATCCACTCCTCCGCCTTCTTCTTGTAGTCGATATTAGTCCAGGTGTCGCCCGTTCGGAGATAGTAAGCTTGACAATCCTCGTGGCTCATACTATGGTCGTACTCAATTCCGTAGTCAAGGAGGAGTTGGGCGCCTTCTTTGCTGGTTTCCCACCTATTTGCTTTTCATTAGAGCTGTTGCTTGGTTCCAATTGGAGGGAGTCGTACCATGGCGCCACGCTACCTCGAGGAGGCTTTCCAGCAAACTCAGTCAACAGTCGGTATGTCTTGTCGAGCACGTCGCGCTGCTGCTCTAGAGACATATCCGTTGGGTTCTCGTGGGAATATCCGTGCAGGCCAATCTCATGACCCGCATCGCGGACGGCGGCCATGTCCTCTGGGAATGTCTCAAGGGAGTGACCGGGAATGAACCATGTTGTCTTGATATCGTATTTCTTGAACAGTTTCAGCAGACGCTGAGTTCCAATCGTCCCTGCCCAATATCCTAGATGCCAATTAGAAGGGGTATTTGAGATAACATGGCCAGGAGCCTACCTCTGCTAATATCATTTGTGGAATCTTCGCCACCATATGAGCCTAGCCAGCCCGCGACAGCATCGACGTCCACGCCGTATGTAATCAGAACTCGTTTAGGCGCCATAGTTACTGTTCAATTGATGTTGTCAAGAGAAATCGCGATGTTGGCTTTATTATATTGCGCAAGCGAGATGCGGGGGTACTAGGGGCCCGTCTAGGGGGAGATAAGCCCCTCATCCGGGGTCGGAGTTAGGGAGTTGTCCACTCTGCTTCGATTGAACATCTAGGCGGTACAGTCTATTAGGGAGTGATCGCCATCTTTCAACTTCCAATCATCCCGACATCGTTATCTCTGTCCCCTCCCCCCTGTGAGCCCGCTATGAGCCCTCTCCACGATGCCAAGCTGTCTCCAAGGCAATTGGAGTCAGCGTGGGGGCCACTGACGCTTTCTCCAGTGCGCCAGGAGCGACCGGGGGCAATCAGACCCATTCTCTGCACTGACTCCACGATGGGAAAATCGGAGACCCCGACGATATATGGCAAATTTCTACGCGGGGCTCATAACTTGCAATTTTCCCGCAGCGAGGAGGACACCGAGGACTTAACGGTGCCGTATAGATATCATGTCCGTTCTTTTCACAAGTATCTCAGAGTGAGTATCTTCTGATTCCACTGACGTTATAAGGTCGCAAGATCACTGACAGTCAGTATAGGAACAACCCCGTCAAGCCGGGCGATGCACAAGCCCTCCTCGACCCGCTCGGCCTGACCATTGACCCAGCAGAGGCGAAGGATTTTCACACACTTCTCGCAGCAGTACACGATTGCGCCGAAGATATAGCTGCATTGCCGGACTATCAGCCATTCTCCGATCAGGTCAAATATCCACGAGAGAATGTGCGCCGCCCAAGTGAGGAAGAGCAAGTCTTCGGGCAAGCCTGGGCACACAAATTCCTCATCCGCGGTAATGCACAAGGCGGCCCTCTGGCAGGCAAATCCGTCAGTTTGAAAGATGTAATTGCGGTCGCAGGCGTACCACAGCTTCTGGGCTCCGATATCATTCCGTCTTGGACACCTACCACAGATGCGACGGTTGTCACACGTTTGCTCGACGCTGGCGCTGACATCCACGGGACATCGACGTGCGAGAACTTGTGCCACTCTACATCTTCATATACCAGTGCGCAAGGTACGGTGGAAAACCCGCATGCCAAGGGATATTCGGCGGGTGGCAGTACATCTGGAGGAGCAGCATTGGTGGCAGCTGGTATAGTGGACATCACTATTGGTGGTGACCAGGGCGGGAGTATAAGAGTTCCTGCTTCTTTCTGCGGATGTAAGTCGTCTTCTTTGGCTATGGGTGTATTCTGAGCTAACTTGCTTCTAGGCGTCGGACTCAAACCCACTCACGGGCGCGTTCCTTTCACCGGAATCGCCAGCGGTGACTCGATAAATGACCATGCCGGTCCGCTAGCCCGGACAACTCTGGAGGCTGCAATGTGCCTAGATACTATCAGTGGATACGACGGTATTGATGATAAAGCTCTTGGTAGCTCGAAGCCAGGGTCTACCAAGTTCGCATTAGCACTTCAAGAGAACTCGAACACGCTCGAGGGCTTCAGGATTGGCGTGCTGCGTGAGGGCTTTGAACACAGTGCAGTAGACCCGCTTGTCAAGAGCTCAGTATTGACTGCAGCTCAAAAGTTCAAAGATCTGGGGGCAACAGTCGAGGAAATCTCTCTCCCGGAACACCTGCAAGGGCCTGCACTCTGGACTATTCAACAGCGAATTTCTGGTGCGCAAACCCTGTTAGGCCAAAACGCAGGTAGAAGAGCGCTCTACATGACTGAGATGGAGCATGCACGGCTTCCATGGACGGACGATGGCTTCCAGCGGGCATTTCCCTCCACGAAGAACGTCATCATCAATGGGCTCTATCTGGCACAAAAGTTTCCTGGTCTCTACGGCAAAAGCGTCAATATTGCGCGACATGTCAGTGACAAGTATGAGGCCCTGTTTGAGAAATATGATGTCCTGGTGATGCCCACCACGCCGGTTGTCGCTCCTCGACATGGGAAGCGGGAGCTTCCGATTGATTCGCTCAAGCCTAGCATGGGTCTTACGATCAACACTGCCATATTCAATGTGACAGGCCATCCTGCTATAACGATACCGGTTGGCTTGGCCTCGGCGAAAGATGATAACCAGGTCATGCTGCCAGTTGGATTGCAGATTGTTGGTGGATTGTGGCAGGAGGAAAAGATTCTGCGGGCTGCCCATGTATGGGAGACTCATTTTGACTGGAGGAAGATGCATTGCGCCGCCGATATGAACTAGATCATAGTTTGCTCATTTGAGTGGTGTATCTATGTCCGAATCTTGCCATTTGATATTCTCATCGACAAATAGGTAGACTGCTATTCAACTAAAGCGTGATATATCCACCATCAACCACCATGGCATGACCCTGTACAAACGAAGCCTGCGTTGAGCACAAGAAAAGAATTGCATCAGCCACTTCGGCCGGTTGACCCATCCTTTTCATTGGTGCAGTCTCCACTGCTGGCATAATGGCTTCACGAACCTCAGCCTTCTCCATCACCAGTGGCGTTTCGATCACACCGGGACAGACACAGTTGACTCTAATCCCGTCTTTGGAGTAGTCAATTGCATCTGCGCGTGTCATTCCAACCACAGCAGATTTCGATGCACAGTATGCCGCTGTGGCAAGATTAGCATTATACCTATGTTGCGGACAGAAAGACACGACTTACGAGCTCCTGGACGGCTAACAATGCCAAGCTGACTGGCAACATTTACCACAGCCCCACGCTGAGGCGGACGATTGGGATCATGGCTAGGGAGCGCTTCTTGCGTTACCATCTGCTTAAGTTCTGCGCGAGACGACAGCCAGCAACCTCGGTAGTTGATGTTATTCACACGGTCGAATTCCTCGAGGGAGGTCTCTGATGAACGCAGTGACTTGCCAATGACACCTGCACAATTCACGGCATAGTCTAATCGTCCGAATCTCCACACAACTGTATCGATGAAGGAGTCTGCGAATTGGTCGTCGGCCACATTCCCGGCCTTTACTAGGACCTCTGTTTCGGGATGTGTTGATGTTATGGACTCTGCAGTCTGCTGCAAAGTCTTCTCATTAAGATCCGTGATTGCTATCATTTTACATCCAGCTGCCGCAAAGGCTTTTGCAGTTGCTGCGCCGATTCCTATTGGTTGTTAGTGATATGCATTGATAGTGGGCAGTTGACCTACCCGTTCCACCTGCGCCGGTGATGACTGCAACTCCAGGGAACATATACATATTCAAATATTGTAGAAAAGCAGTCTGCTCAATATGAAAAAAAAAATCCGATATAGTCAAGCAAATTATACGGAGTACTGCGTACAGTTCTACTCGGTCCAATATCAACTCCAAGCACTGACCCCACTTTATCGCTTATCGCGGGCCGAACGGTCCCGGGACCTCCGAAGTTGGAGCAGTTGGAGTCGAGTCTCCCCGTACTCCCACCTTGACATCCACTTGTCCAACCCCCAGACCACCACTTCTCCAAACCAGTTCTCCATCCCCAATGATTCAATGTCCCCATCACCCCAGCCGCACAGGGGTGCTCGTGGAGCAAGGGCTCGTATCTGTATACACTGTGGTAGGGATTTCCGACGAACGGAACATTTGGAGCGTCACATTCGCACTCGTAAGCCAATTGCACACCCCGCAGCGAGCGTTGCTAATTCGGTACATCAGACACCAAGGAGAAACCATTCATATGCTTCTGTGGGGCAGCATTTACTAGAAGAGATCTATTGAAACGTCACACGCGCATCTCACATCAGGATGGCCTAACCTCACCAACTGCGCCCGAACCAACGGCGAAGGCGGAGTTGCAGCCGACTCATCATGCCGCCATCCCGCCGCAATATGATGCACCAGATACTAGGCCCGTTCCCGTGGGATCCCTTGCAGGATCTTCGGCCGTGCACCAATGGACTGGGGCACAGACTACGCCTTATTTAGATCACAACCATAATGCAGGCATACTTCCTGCGGCTACTGCGGCCCCGGGCTCGGTCGTAGATCCTCATACGGGTATGGTGCACGATGCGGATATGCTGCAAGCTGCGCAGCTTCTTCTTCCTGGTGATTATCGAGCCACAGGTGCGTATCTTACAGTTTTTCGAGTGTATTCTCCTAATCCCACGTGCAATGTGCGGGATATGTCCTTCAATTATTTGACGTTTGAGCTTTGTGCCCTCGCTTTGGCAGATTCAGGCTGCTAACATTGAACTAGCACAACCGATGCCTTACTTGTCCGAAGACCTAAATCATTTCCAGGAATTCACTCATTTCTTGGATTCGATTGGTTTGCCTGGCGAATGGCTTCCCAGCGAGGGGGAAACCTCTCAGACCCAAGAGATGAATCTGGAAGATGCCCGGGAAACAGGCCGCCCGACTGAATACCATGAGCGAACACGACGGGGCGGAGATGGCTCTCGTGGAGACTCACCATTCAGATCCTGGCTTCCATCCGTGCCAAAGGGCGACCAAAGCCTAGGGACTCTGTCTGATTCTGGTACATAGTGTCCTATATCACTATCTTTTCTTCACTGACAACGGGTTAGAGCCACCTCAAAATGCGAAGAGGACATCACGATTCAATGTCAGCGAAGACCAGCGGTTCCGGCTTGCGGCATCTCTAGAAGAATTTCGCAACGTGATTCCCAATTTTGTACTGCCATCTCGGCACACATTGACTCGATACCTGACTTCCTATTTTGAAGGATTTCACCCGCACCTTCCTTTTATGCACATTCCTACTTTCCATATCAATGAACACACCCCCGAGGTCGTTCTTGCCATCATGACAATCGGTGCTCAGTACAGATTCGAGCATCGTAACGCGGAAAGACTGTTCCATGTTTCTAAGGCGGTTCTCTTTGAACGCATGTCCAAAGAGCCCCGATACCCAACGAAACCCAGCTACAATCCAGCCTCCCAAGTCCCACTGGGAATATCTCCCTACTCCAATTTTGGCGATCAATCTCTCGCGCAACCACCGGCAGCAACGGAAAGAACCGCGATCTGGAAACAGATTGAAATCACTCGCTGTCTCCTTATCTTGATGGGTTACGCCACCTGGGAAAATGCTAGACTTGTACAAGAAGCATTCCATCTGCAAGGCTTGTTGGTTCGACATCTCCGCGAAGCTGGCCTAACGGAAGATACAACCCGTTCTGATCCACGCGCACCTCTGGATTGGTACGAATGGGCGGACCAAGAGTCTGCGCGACGCACAAGGTTGATTGCATTTTGCTTCATCCACGTTCACAGCATCGCATACAATGCCTATCCATCCTTACGCAGCAGTGAGATACACTTGCGCCTCCCATGTTCCACCGCCGAATGGACCGCTGCCACAGCCACAGAATGGGAAGCGGCCCAACGAGAGAGGGGACCCCAGCAGTTATTCTTCCAGGACGCATTGGCCCTTCTGTTGCAGAAGTCTCGATCAGCTGTGCCATTAGATCCGATCCCAGCTCCATTGGGTAATTATATTCTTCTGCATGGACTTCTGCAACGAATACACCTTGTGAGCGAGCTATCCCTGCCGAACGGAAACCAATCGGCCCTTCCAACAGAGGAACTCAATAAACTAGAGTACGTGCATTTCTCACAGATTGTGTGCTTATCCCCATCACTAACCATCCAACCCACAGACGGGCTCTTCGCTCCTGGACCTCCGTGTGGCAACAAGCCCCCGAATCCAGCTTAGACCCACACAACGCAAACGGTCCGATCCCATTTACCTCTAGTGCATTCCTCGGTCTAGCATACGTCCGATTATCCCTGAATCTCGGTCCTCATCGCCGTCTCGAAACCCGCGATCCCACAATCATAGCCACAGCACTTCGTCGCTCTCCACGCCCTGAACGAAGCTACCGCCTTATTCCAGCGCTCATCTACGCGGCTCATGCCCTCAGCATCCCCGTCCGTCTGGGTATCGACCACATAGCTCGCAGCCAAGCCTTCTTCTGGAGCGTGCGACATTCGCTTGCCAGTATTGAGTCTGCCGTCTTACTAAGCAAATGGCTGTTCACTATTGCCGAGGCGGGGCCGGATCAATCGTTGAGTGGTATGTTATACCTTCTTTCTGGATGTGTGTGCGACATTGGCTAATGTTTTTCAAATTAGAGAACGAAAGTCGGATTCTACGCTGGACTCGTTGCATAGTCGAGGAGGCATACTCGTCTATTGACATAGACGAAAGTGAGACGCCGCCAGACCTGGAACCGGCTTCTCTTGGATTGGCAGTTCTCAAATTGTGGGCTAGACTGTTCGGCACGAACACTCAATGGCCATTTATTAACGTTCTTGGACAAAGTTTGGAACAGTACATGACTATGATTTGATGTTGATATTATCTTCTACCTTCCATCCAGCGTTTGTATATATCGAGAGGTGTTTTAATAACGTGTTTATGATTTACTCTTGTGACGTTCCCTGTACCTAATTGTCTCCAGACTGTTCACCAAATCTACAGTTTCAAACCACGATCTCCGACCCATCTACAATTCAATGAGATTAAGGGGCAAAAATTGATTCGGGACTATGCTAGACCACTAATAACGATGTCCGTTAAGAAATACAATCATCTGTGGATACTCCGCATTCGGCGTCCATCCGGTCGCCTTGCCCGTTGATATCTGATGCCCGTTAACCAGTGCCTGTGTCTTCCTTGATCTAGTCAAGGTCAATCAAGGTCCCCATATTCGGAACCACACCTGTCCTGGCAGCAGGAGAAGGCAGTCGCCTATTGCCTGTATTATTGAGCACAGCAGCTTGTATGTCGGCAGGGAATGAAGAAAAAGGAACGTTGTCGATTTCCCTGGCTTTTGGCCCGAGGTTTTTCTTGGACACAGAGGGTTTCTCCTTGTCACTGACAGAAGCAAAAGAAACGTGCTTTTCCTTGGCTGCTGGCGAGAGATTCTTCTCAGTCACAGAGGGTTTCTCTTTCTCGCCCACAGAAGAAACCTGCTTTTCCTTGGTTTCCTTGGCTTTTGGCGAGAGATTCTCCTTAGCCACAGAGACTTTCTCTTTGCCGCCCACAGAAGCAGAAGAAACTTGCTTGTCCTTCGCTGGCGAAACGGTATCAACCGCAGCAGTAACCTGGAGTGGCTTTGTAAGACCCTCCACCTGCAGCCCACCATCGTCGAAATCAATCAGATTCTGCTGGATGCCACCGATGACTTTGGGGATGGCCGGAGCAGTGATAAGACGCTGATTCTTTTGCTCGATCGGTTTCTGAGGATGATCTTCCTCGCCGAGATCAATTAGGGTCTCAACTTTGGCCGGAGTTACAATTTTCACTCCTTTCCTTTCCATCGGGGGAGTAGCTGAGATAGTAGTTCTCTCAAAGTGTCCATCCCGAAGCACCCATCCAGCTCGACGGTAATCGTCCACCAGAGCGCCGCCCGACGCAAAGTCCTTCCAGCGCTGCAAACCCTTGGCACGTTCCTCTTTAATTCGCTCGGCATCAGGGCCGGTCAGAGGCTTTTTGGCAGTCGGGGTAGTAGTGATAGCACGGGTGGCAACGGGGCCAGTAATAGCCTTGGTGGCAGCAGCGGCAGGGTTGATGTTTTCGATGGCCTTCTGGCCATAAACCTGGACTTTCTGCTCCTTGCCATTGGGGCAGTTACAATCGTGTTCGTGCGGTGGGGAGCACGCGCAAATGCAGGTCGCTCCGCAGCAGGGACGCTTGGCGGTGCAGCGCTTCTTGCAGGAACGCCAGTCGTGTGCGTCACTGGAGAAATTCATCAGTATCTGTGTGTATTAGTCTCACTTTGAATGGCTATGACTTACCCGTGACATTGGCGGAGACACTTATGTCCGCAAACCAGAGTCCCGCCACAGGGTTTCTCGCATCCGTCGGTGATGTTGTCCCAGTCTTTCAGGTCTGTAGGATAAGTTAGCTCGGGTTCTTTTTTAATGGGCTATGGGGTGACTGGCTCTTGATGGTGGTTGTCCTGTCGTGTCTTTTACAACACAGAGGGAGCCCACCTCCAACTCTGCGGTACGGAATGTCCTCAGACATCATCTTGACAACCTTGTCCATGAACTCGCTTCCCCCCTGAACACAACGTGAATTGCCAAAGATGTAGAGGCCATATTTCGCCCGGGATAGGGCGACGCAGACTCTGTTATCCTGGGCAAGAAAGCCGATACCTCGATGCTCATTGGATCGGACAAGCGAGAGAATGATAATATCATTCTCTTCGCCCTGGTAAGAATCCACTGTAAGAACGTTGATGTGAGGTAGAGAGATTCTGGAGTTCAGTGCTCTCTTCCCCAGAAGCAACTTCTTTTGGCCGTTGTAGAAAGTCAAGACAGTGATTTTCTCAGGCGCGACCCCGTTCATCACAAGGTAGATTAGGAACTTGATCACCATCGACGCCTCGAAATCATTGACTTTGGATGCCAAACTATCACTGCTTTCAGGTGTGGTGTGACTGAAAAAGAAGGACCTAATGCCTCCCATGCCAGGAACATAGGGATGATTCTCGACTGATGGATGGTCATGGAGTAGGTTGCCGTAGACGGGGGTCAAGAGGCTTCTAATCTCTGGAATCATTCGGCGTTGCACTTGGAGTACGATGTAAGGCATCTGGTTCCTGATGAGACGCTCAAACATAGACATGTCAAGATAGAAAGGTTCGCCAGCTAGCGTGTGATTTGCACATTGACCCTTGAGCTGCTGGTGGTCTCCGACGAGAATCAAATGCTCGAGTGAGGGAAGACAGGCGACGGCAACTGGCGCTTCAATAACTTCGGCTGCCTCTTCGATCAGAATGATTCGGGGTTTCAGAGCCGAGATCAATCCCCGGTATTTGCTGAGACCAGTGGTGGTCATACCGATGACCCTGGCTTCTTCGAGGATGCAGTAGTCTCGCTCAAATCTACCGATTTTGTATCTGCGAGTGGCATCTTCGTAGTCCTTAGCAAGGCGACACACCTCTTTCCTCAACTTAAGAAGCAGTTGCTGGCGCATGTAGTCGTAAACAGCACCACGGTATCTTCTCTGGATATTCCAGAGGTCTCGCTGTTCAAGTTGCTTTTTCACCAAGCTATCAGAGACCCTTGACGACTCGGCGCTGCAGAGTCCAGGTCCGAATGGAATGAACTGACTCATGAAAGTGGACAAGTCCTCGTCAAGGCTTCCATGTTCGACCTCAATTTCTTTCAGCTGTTCGTACTCCCGGTCAATATCATCTTCGGCGAACCCAAAATCACCGACGTAACGATATGAAAATTCCTTTAGGGAGTCCACAAGCCAAGCAGTGATGGGATCTGTTTTCGCAATGGTGCCAGATCGCTGCCAATTCCCCGAAGTTTTCCGCAATGAATCAGCCTGAACTTGGCTCAAAATCTTGTACCGTAGGAACGTCTGTATCCCAATGGGTTTTTCGCTGTTTGTTGGCGAGAGTATCTTCAGCATCCCCTTAATCTCAGCCGTGATCTTGTCCTGTTTCTTTTTCGCGGGGTCGAGTAAAGTTCCCTCGATCGTAAAGTTAGGCCCCTGTTCCTGTCTCAGGGCATACGTGCCGTGCTTGCGGATTTCGGGATCCGTAATTCGTCCTCCCAGTCGGATGTACTTGGGCTCGAATGCGGCAACTTGTCGAAGCAGCTGGTCCAGAGCATGGTTTGTCTGGGCTGCGATGATAATTGGCGGATCGTGTGGGCGCCTGTTTGCGAGGAGCATTCGGAGAGCTACCAGGGAGGTAAAGGTTTTGCCCGTTCCAGGAGGTCCCTGGATAATGGCCAGTCGTTTGACGAACATTTCTTTCAGGGCTGACCATTGGGAGGCATCGAGTCTTCCAATTGGCTCAGACGGCCATTGCTCAAGAACATTGTACTTGCCGACGTCGAGCTTCGGGTCCTGAGACAGGTGCTTGAAGTTCATTTCTGGCTTGGCTTTGAGGTACTCAGGTGGGCCGATGTCTTTCTTCACTTCGCAAATATGCTCACTCAAAGGGAAGCTAGAAAGAGTTAAGATAGATATTCAGACACAAGAGGGATGTGGGGTCTAACCTCTCCTTTGACAGCTTCTGCAGTGCTGTCATTGTATGCCGAGTTGCCTCATAGTATCCCATTCGATGCTCGACCATGATCCATTCCTGCCTAATAAAATAAGATAATTAGTATTACTCTCTCGAGTAAGCCGGGTACATTAGTGTCACTCACTGAGGATCGATCTCCATGTCTTCGGGTTCGACCAAGAAGATATCTACCTCGGGGGGATCTTTCTCAATATTCTCTGTCATCCGACAAGCCACCACGGCTGGAACACACTTCTTCGAAAAGGCATCTTCTCTGGGAGTAAGAGCAACGATTGCTCCGGGAGTAAGACGATTCGAGTATGTCCATGCAATGTTTTTGCCTGCGCGGCGGGTTGAGAACTGGATGTGCAGAGCCAACCCGGCCCGGGCTGCAGTAATACCGGTAATGAAGACCTTGATAGAGGAAAGGGCATCAGAATGCTCATCTTTATTGAAAGCAAACGTTAGGAATGAAAGCACTCACCTTCTCATACACAGCGATATCATTCGTATCCATCATCCAAGGATCAGCACGTAACATGTTCACAGCAGTCCGGAGAGGTGAAATTGAATCCTCTCGGAGCAATTCATAATGGGTCTTTAGATACTCATCCTTAGAATCCCAAGGTCCATCGATGCGGTTTCCGATGGGGCCGGCTGCGTCTTCGCTTTCAGTAGTCCCCATGAGTTCCTGACTCGAGGGAAGTTCCGGCTTTGTTTTCCAAACTTCCGAAGTGTCATGAGCTTGTGGAATGGGATCAAAATAATGACGGATGTCATTGTTGACGGGCTTGGCTTGCTTGGGCCCACGTTGGCCGTAATAGCGGATGCGTGGCGGCATGGCCGGTTTGTAGCTGGATGTTGCAAATAGAGTCGGTAAAGTGAGTAGATGGGAAAGTGAGGAGATTGAACAGCTTTGATAGATCGGAGCACAGGATGATGTTTGTTTTGGTAGGAGATGAAAGGGTGTGTCTGAGTGTCAGTCTAGAAGGCTGTGCTGCTTAGTCGCCCGCTTAGTCGCCGGACGCCTGGCTCTTGTCACTGGGGATCTGGAGGATTGCAAACCTAGCTATTGAGCTTAGAGACAATAGGCGCCTTCCTTATGTCGTATTCAGTTTACCATAGACCGAGTCTATGATCGAATGGCAAGTGACACGAAGGATGGTTGTATTGACTCGGTGGGAGAGAGAGTAGAAGTACTTGGGGCTCGATTGCTCACGTTCTCAGATCCTGAGTGATCTGATGTCCTTCCGGTGTTCCTTCTCTTTGTGGTTTGCAATCCCCATCCAATTGAAACCTGTAGATGCCTAGCAGGCTAGCCTCATTGATAGCTCTGACCTTGTAGTACTAGGCCTCGTATCTTGCCGTTATTTTCGGCGCGTACGCCTAACATAATGACATGTTTCTAGGAATTCCATAGGAACGTAGCGATTGAGATAGACAATTTCCTACATGTATCATCTCCAGGCCGGTTACTGAGCCGGAGGGTGTAGATGCCTCTTGCAATCTGCTTGGTTTCCAGTAGAAGCACCATCGTAACGACCCGCCTAACAGCATAATCCATTCTCTTGGTATGCAGTCTTCATTATCTTCCGCATATTGTGCGGACAAGTCAATTGAACTGCAGTTGTAGATGCACGATGATGCTGATTGGCCGCCCCGGCGGATCCACCCAAGCGGACCGTCGCATTCAAGCCGCGACATTCTCTAAGAATCCTAGCTTCTGTTCAGAGCAAGAGAATCCCTCAGGTCTCGTGGGCTTTTATCATCACCCTTCCGACTGCGACTGGCCAGCGTTTGCGCCTTAACTTTTCGTTTGTGGAAGCTTCCAATCCCTGTCCCGACATTTGCTCACGACCGCTGCCGCTACCCCACAACCGAGACAACGACAGGAGCTCCAATCGCCAACCATGGCCTCACTCGAGGAAGAGGAGGACCGGGATATGGGAGGTATGGCGATTTCCTGAATCAATCGCTGGGAAACAGCCATCTGGACCGTGCTAACCGTGCTTCATCTCTCAGGCTCCCAGGACGGAAGCTCCGATAACGAGAACGACAACGATATGGACGATACAATGCGCGATGTCGATGATGGGGAGGGCGACAATGACCAAGACCAAGACCAAGACGCCGAGGGAGATCAAGATGCGGATAGTCCTTCGAACGCGAGTCAGGCATCGGAGAGCGCGGGCATGCAACAAGGCGTAGATGGCAGTGCTGACAGCTCCGTGCCAGAAGCATTCTCGATTTATCACCCCAGTGTGCGCTCAGAATGCCTGACAGCCAGAACCTACGACATCGTTCCGACCACCGCGGCGCCGCATGCCACTTCGATCAATGCGATCACGGCGACAGCCGACATGCGCTGGGTGTTCACCGGTGGATCCGATGGATTCGTGCGGAAGTTCAACTGGGCGGAATCAATAAACAGCAAGCTCATGTTGACTGTAGCGCAAAGACATCCCTTCGTGGATAGTGTGGTCAAGGCTGGCGTGTTGATGACATATTGGGAGAATATGGATGGCAGTCATCTATCGCCGGTGTATTCTTTGACCTGTCAAAGCGAAGGCTTGTGGCTTCTTACTGGCTTAGAGTCTGGCGCGATTCGGTTGCAGACTCTGCGCCACGACGAGGGCAAAGAGGTTGCTCTTCTGCAGCAACATACTTCGGCTGTGTCGTCGTTGAATCTCACGTCCGACGAGGCATCATTGCTCTCCGGTAGTTGGGATAAACGGGTGTTCGACTGGGATCTCCATACGGGACAGGCCAGACGTGCTTTCGGTGGCAGCGCTGGACAAATATCGGCGGTGCAATTCCGGCCAGAGTCCAGCCTTCCGGTCCCCAAGGAGACAATTGAGCCGCAGCAGATGAGTGGCACGTACGCATCAAACTATTCTGGCCCACCCGACAACTTCAAGTTTATGGATACCTCTCAAGGCAACGAAGACTCCGGCTTGGCGGAGAACCCGCAGGCGGGTTCACCAGCAGACTCACTTTTCGGTGGGGCGGACTCATTATTCGGCGACGCAGATGGCGGAGCTGCAGACGGTGGTGAGCCATCCGGTGGCGTTTTTGGGGTAGATGAAGACGATGAATTCGGTCGCGCTGTAGCGAGTGGTGCTATGCCTGATGCAGATGCGCCGGGTGAAGTGGACAATGAAATGCTAGAACAAACACAAAGAACACAAAATGCGTCGTCGAGTCAGCAATTACCAAGTTATGCGTCGGAGCAAAATACGCAAGTGGGCCAGATGGAAAACCCGGAATCATCGCAAACGACTGCCACTGGGCTGCCCAAAGCAGAAGGTCTCGAGACACCCCCGTCAATGGCAGATTTCTCACAAACTACGCAAGCGGAGCAGGGCGTCTCGGCAGACAACACGTTCTTAGCTGCTTCTATGGATGGTACAATACGTGTATGGGACAGACGACAGCCTGATCCAATTGCACGTATCACTCCCCACAATGTGCCACCGTGGTGTATGAACGCGTGCTGGTCCCCCGACGGAAATTACATATACGCCGGGCGACGAAACGGTACCGTTGAGGAATACAGTTTACACAAAGGCCTTAGGCATGCCGAACGGACATTCAAGTTCCCTCAGGGCAGTGGACCGGTCACAGCACTTAAGGCCATGCCTAACGGCCGTCATCTTGTCTGGTACGTTACGCAGTAAGGACCTCAGGCAATGGAAACGCTTATCTAACCTTCTGATTTACATATAGTGCCTCTCACGATATTCTTCGGCTCTATGATCTGCAACACGAGGTCGACCCATATTCTCGTCATTCAGCAACTCCGTTCTTAATTATACCTGGTCATCGCACCGGAACTATATCCCAGTTGTACATTGATAATGCATGTCGTTACATGATTTCGACCAGTGGTAACCGGGGTTGGGAGGGCAATACCACTGAGGTTCTACTGGGTTACGAGATTGGGGTGCCGCAATAGCCATCGGGATATAGCATAGCATAATGGACAGTCCTGAGATATTGTTTACGAATACCACGAGATGACAGCTTAAGGGCAAAAATTTGCGGTATTGCAGCGGAGTAGAAGGTAGATACTCGTAGCTGAGAGCCGAGAGTCCTAACCTGTCAAGGACTCAAGATTGCCACGCGGAGACATCTCCCACAGATGCAAATAGAACAAAACACCAACGCCAATTGCCCTTTGTATCTACAGAATGCACAGGGTCATATCACATCAAAGAAAGGGAAAATCATCGCTCGTCATCTACATACAAGATCTCGTCCAAGTCCAACCCTTGACAAACTTCAGCTTGCTGCGAGCGCCAGGTCCCAAAGTAAGGACTGTCAGACCATTTTACACGACCATCACGATCGTTATCAAACCACACGTAGCCAGGTCGACTTGCATCTTCTGATTCATACAATTTGGCAGCTCTCAGAGGTCCGGCCACGATATCCCCAAACCCAGGCAACGCAAGATTGGGAATATGAGTCCTTGCCTCCACCTTAGCATTCTCCATGTTATTGACCGTAATCAAATAGACAGGCGGGAGATCCGAGTCGCGGTCTGGACGAAGCGGCATGGGGATCCACGCCTCATTGTTATACGACTCCAGCCGGTTCTTGTCATAGCGGAGTGGCAGAGGTCGCCCCAAGAGCATGTCATCCAGCTTTCCAGTGTCTAATAGCAGCCCGGGGGTTTGCACATAGAGAACACTGTCATATTGCATAAATTGCATCCGGCCGAGATGGAGGAGCTTGGTATTTGTCGTTGAGTAGCCAGCAGCCGTAGCTGTTGCCATGTCGATAGGGAGAAGCCAGATATTGTACTTGAAGCTGGCTGCGCGTAGTATTGACAATGCTTTAGAGGCTGATGTGCCCAGGTCCTCGGCTGACATGCGGTCCCATTTTTCTGGGTACATGAACAGGCGGTCTTCGACGGCTGTCCCATTTTCGGAGAGTTTCTTGAAGAAAAGGATTACAGAGCAGATGTCTGATGGGTCTGGTTCAGACAGCATTTGGAGATAGGCATAGTTCCCTAGTGAGCCATAATGAGGGTCAGTCCCAATCGGTGTTTCGTCCTCCTCATAGTCGATACCCGAGAGACCCCGGTCTACTGGATTGAGGAATGCGGGGCCGGGCTTGTGTTTGGCGTTTTCCGAAGTATCTCGAGGTTTCAGGGCATGTTGGATGTTTTTGACCGATTGCTGCTGTAGGACGTATCCGGAGATAAACAATGCAGCGGAGAATATGCAGATCACTCCCATCGACACAATGGTCGAGACCGTGGAGGAGGTGAGGAGAACCATGGCCACAAGGGAGGCTGCATGGGTTGATGAGAATGATAGACAGATATCAAATTAAAATGTTAGACATGGATTCTCTTCAGGGCTCAGTCAAACACAGCCTCGGAGCCTATTCAGCGACATGTCTCAATTGTCATCAGCCAGCTTGTTTCATGACATCAGGTTGTTTACGTTGTCCTCGCGATTATCGATAAGCCAGGGCGGTGTCACAACTCACAAGTCGCGTCCAGAAGGACGGCGGCCGTGTCCTACTGGCAGGGAGCAGAGGCTCTATAGCAGAAGATATGTAAGTCAATAATTCCTATACTAGACGTCTAGAATCTAAGAATGCTCCACAAAAGCGCGAGATCAAGTAATTGACAGCAGGACAGACCCTGCATCCAGAAGAGTAAACCGATATGCACAAAAATAGAATGTCGGGCAGAGCCCAGGCGGTGTCTAAGGCGGTCTATCACATTGCATCTGGCGATGGCCTCAAAAACTGACGACGCCATTGTCCAATACGTTAGCATCTCCACCTCCGCTCTCACCTCCAAAATGGCAGCCCATCGTGCCGATGCCAGCACATTTCTCGACAATCGCGGCTACAAGGGACCCCTGGTCCGCGGCGTCAATCCTGCTACCCTCTTCGAGAAAGCCGTGCGCGACCGCATCACAGACTCATATTACTGGAAGGAGCAGTGCTTCGGCTTGAACGCAGCGACTCTATGCGACCGTGCTGTCGAGCTGACCTGCATTGGCGGTACATACGGCGTCTCCGAGAAACCGACTCCCTTCCTCTGCCTCGCCTTCAAGCTTCTTCAGCTTGGTCCTGACCGCGACGTCATCCTTGAATTGCTCAACTTCACCGACCCCGGCAGCGGCGGTGAAGACGAAGAACCAGAGTCGGGTGTTGTCAAGGACCGGGGCGATTTCAAGTACCTGCGCGCTCTGGCAGCGTTCTACGTGCGACTCACTTTCGACGCGGTCGATGTCTACAAGACTCTGGAACCGCTGCTTCTCGACTACCGAAAACTGAAGCGACGAGTGCGTGACACCTTCACTCTCACATACATGGATCAGTTCGTGGATGATCTTCTCACAAAGGACCGTGTGTGCGGTACCAGTTTGTGGAAGCTGCCGCCGCGATCACAGCTGGAGGACTTGGATTTGTTGGATGAGCGCATCAGTCCATGTGACCCAGATGCCATGGAATCAGATGCCTCGGACCCAGAAGCCTCATGATTTCAGTCAGGATGGTTGTTAGCATACAAAAACCCGACATCGGATCAGGGGCCGAGGTCACCAGAAATGACGGCGCCGAGACCCCGGGGCTCTACATGCATGTAGTCTGTGAGGGTTTTCCTCTGGCTGCTACTTGCGCTGCGCACTGTCCATGGTGCTTCCCAGGGTTCCCCAGAACACCCGCCCCAGATCGACCTGCCGCCAAGCCTCGGGACATTTTTACCCTTTTTGGTAATGCCGGGGCTTCCCCTTCGGTATACTTCTTCCCATGCATTATCTATTCTTGTTCGTCTGCATAGTCAGTTCATTCAATCGCCTCGAGATATTTGAATTGAATAGCATAGGGAATGATTTTACTGCTACCTCCAATCGTTACCTCGCCCGACATAGGCAAGCAAAGGACCGCTATTGCTGATAGACTCTTTCCTTGACTCGTGTAGGGACATGTAAATGCGTGTAGCCACGAGCTACCTGTGGTATACGCTGATAAGGATTGTCATGATAAGCATATCAGCGTCCACTCTCAATAAGCGTCTGTGACGTCGACACAAAAGAGAGCATCAACGCGCAGCATTTCCCCTCCCAACTCGGCAAAATCACTCGACGCCTATCTCGTTTTATGGATGTTCTGAATGGAACAATTGTCACCCCCGCTTTGGATCTACATCATACAGGAGCAACTATCTCCAATCATGTACTCCTTCCCACTACCGCGGAGAGTACTTAATATTTACTTGGCCCCTGTCTGTCCACGCCTCAATATTCAGTCTTGTAAAGACTATAATCATCAATGACACTGATAAAAGCGCTCTATATCTAACCGCCACCTACCTTCACTTTGCCCTAAGCCGCATGGAACAAACCACCATGGACTTCCTATCAATCTCAGACAACCTATGGATGGTCGGGCTGTTCCTCATAGCTACTACTGCCATCTACACTCTAGTCAATCGGGCATTTAGCAAGTCATCTTTGGCTAGAGCCAGGCTGCACGATCGGAAAGACTCAGCAACCCGAACACCTCCGCGGTCTTTCTCTCCAGAGAAGAAATCTCCGAGTAGCCCGACCTCATCTGACTACAACAAAGCCCTCCCACCCCAACGTAGGCATACCCTTGCCGATATCAAGCGTGAAGATGCACCTGCGTCCGACATCAACGAAGACGAAGTCTGCCGGAACCCCCTGCCCATGAGTGCCAATTATAGGACCAGTCCGGGCAACAAGTACACGCCGACGGGATTCTCCGTGGATGAAATCAAAGCCCTCGGCGACTTCCCAGACTACGCAACCCTGAGTGGCGTTCCACTTCCAATCCCATATCCCCAATTCGACATCGAGAAAGCGCTACCTCGGCCATACCGTCCATTCCGATGGGCATATCACCAAACCATGTGTATGTCATACAAAAGCAGAACAAACAATGGAACACAGCTAATAAACCCTATCCTCCAAATAGCCCTAAACAAACTCGAAACAGACTGGTGGATCGAGCTCGAGAAGACTTACAAAAGCCGCATCGCCCAGCGCAAAGAACTTTACGCCAAAAACGGCAAGCAAGTACTAGGCTTCCTGCCTGGCAGCGAGCTAGCATGCAAAGAACTCATGGAAATGGTCTTGCAGTTTATCTGCGCTCGATACCCGCAGTACTTTACACTCATCGATGAACGCATCTTGCAAAACAAGATCCTCGGTACCGAGCAGGATGTCACGGCCAAGCCTCCTCTCGAAATCCTTTTGGATAATGTGCCCGAAGACTTCGCGATTATGCTCCGTGATGAAAAGACGGGTTTCTATTTTCTACGTGCGGCGGTTATCTGCTCATCGCTGGGGTGGAATGCCGGGACCAAGATGGGGAAGCAGTTGCATGAGATTCATGAGCCGATCCCGGATTATAAGGAGAAGATGCAGTTTTCAATGGATCGGTAAGTTGGATATGTGCCATTATCAGCTGAATATTGGAGTACTGACTATGTGGATTTAGCTATTTTACTAAGATGCCTACGGACAAACCAATCCAGCGTGGCTCATGGGGTCTCGAGATTGGGCAGCCGCTATACATGCCCCCGGGTGATCCTCACGAACTGCTCCGGCTGTCTCAGCGGCCTGATCTAACGCTCGACGAATGTCATCTTCGCGTAGACTGGCAGACACTGAGACGACTGCCCTTGTCTGGTGCGGTTGTTTTCAACTTCAAGGGGCTTTTCACGCCTGTCAGTGAATTCCGGGATGAGCCTGGTGTACCGGAGTTGGTGATGAAGGTTTTGAATGAGGGAAAGAAGAACCTTATGGATTATAAGGGTGTTTGGCATGTTCAGCATGTTGTACTTCCCAAGTTGAAGGAATGGGCGGAGGAGCAGAGGGCGAATGGGCTAGTTGCTAAAGATTGGGAGGTTGCTACTTTGGATGATACCCCGTGGTTCAAGGGATGGAAAGAGAAGTGGCATCGACAGCAGGGATTCTGAGTTTAGATTTCATTCTCGGTGGTTTTGGTCTGATAGGCCAGTTCTTTGATTCACAATATCCCCAGAATATATGTCAGTGTCGCACAATATAGTCGAATTGAGCATTATTTATTTTCCAAGAGTGGAAAACCATGGCTGACGGGTCTTCCCATGAGCATGTACTGTGTAACAATCCACGAGATCAAATAGGGTTTCGTGGACTGATATCTATAGTTCCATGGAACATCCATATTGGTCGCTGCTCATCGCACTGAGCGAGTCAGTAGATACATACCGCGGTGGTGATTAACTGACGAGCCTTCATGCGGTGATGCTTGTATTCAATGGAGCCATTCGAAACTTTTCATGTGTCTTCGGGGCATTTTGCCACGCGGTGATGTGGGAAAACGGCGCATCGAAGGTCTCGGGGTCGACAAGCTAGTGGTATGTCTGTTTGAATTTTCCCTTTGGCATGGCCAAGATCTGTGCAACCTGGATAGTTAATAGTTTGCGACAGTTTCGGTGGCTCAGCTCAAGCAGCTAGCTCAAAAGGGAAGACCCTCAAATGTCGTTAGGAAGACGTGAGGAAGAATGTGTGTGCACGGACCTCTTAGCTCCACCTTATTTATTTTAAGGTTGGTCTTGGCAGCCCTGGATTGGTGGAATAGTATTGGGTTTGTTTACTGTATCAGTCTGTAATAGTATTCAGCTGGAACAAGGAAAGAGCATTACTGAGAGTAAACAGACGTTAGAAATAGAACAGGCAGCTACTGCTACGTTGCTGAGAGTAATGAGAGTTTAGAAGGACCAAGGCATAGCCATGGGCCCATGGCAGGCACCGTAAGTGAATGAAACAACATGTTTACCCTTCCATCACAGAACAAAGAGGCTGTTCCATCCCAGAAATCGAACTAAATGCATCACAAAGACATTCTGCTCTTTCTCAATACCCAGTCTATCTTTGTCTTCTAACGAAGGAAACAAAGGCTTCAGCAAGGTCCTTTATGCTATATCCCTCGACTCGAACTCTACCCTCAATGAAAACAAAGGACCCTTTCCCTCGAAGTCTCTATACAACAATTCCATTACCATAGCCTCGAGAACCATCATATAAAACCCTCCCATCTCTACCGCTAGATCTCCTCCAAAAACAACACTATAAACCACTCACAACACCATCAACAAGGTACCTATAACACCCCCAACCAAAACATCAAGATGTCCTCAAACTACACCTGGAACGCACCGCACCCAATCTACGGCATCCCCCTAGCAGTAACCCAATCCGACATCCAACCAACCCTAACCTGTACCATCCGCCTCTCTCCATCCCTCTCCCCACCCCCCACCACCCCTACCACCACTACCACTACAACCACAGTAAAAACCTGGCTAAACACAAACTACTTCCTCTGGACCCTCTCCGCCGCCCACGCCACAACCCTCTCAGCCACTAACCCCAGCAACCCTTGGAGCCAAACCTTCAACTTCGCAGTCTGGACCGAGATCCAGAACCGTGTAGCCGAGATCGAGAATCCATACCGTTTCGGCATTCCCATTCCCGAGCCGCCAGTTACCCGTGCTGTCGTTACGCATTTTCCGGATACCGATGCGGAGGAGCTGGTGAGGTTTGTTATTCGGAAGGAGGAGGGGAGAATGGGCGTTGTGTCTGGTTTGGCGCCCGGTTCGGTTTGGGGGTTGCTTAGGTTTGTTTCGAACAGGGTTTGTGGGAGGTTTGAGGTTGTTTTGTTTGGGGAGGAGCAGGAAGATGAGGAAGATGAGGGAGAGGGGGAGGAGGAGGGGTTTGTATTTGTTGGGGATGAGGATGTGGGTGAGGAGGTGGGTTCTGTGGAGGGGGATGTTTGGAAGGCTGAGATTTGGGAGTATTTGGATCAGCATGATGAGTTTGAGGATTTGTATGATGAGGTGTATGCTGATGCGGTTGAGTTTCAGTTTTGATCGCTGGTCTTGGGATTATTCTGTATGCAGGCACTATAGCTATAGTAAGAATGTTGTTGGGTTGATATACGTTCCTCGTCTGTGTTGTCAGTAAGTCTGCTTCGAATACTATAAATTCGAACACAAGTTAGATCTAGAATGTACGGATCCCTACAGTCCCAGCGAGTTGTCTCGAACGTAAGGCGATTCATTCGAGCAATCGGTCTAAACGCAGTACGAGGACGTATCCCCATAGTTCGAGGCCATATGAAATGCGCGAACAGTCAAGACAAGCACCGCTGAAAGGCTGAGATAGTACATGAGGGTAATGATGATATGAATCAAGCAAAGCTAATAAGCATATTCGGGGCAGATAAGAGGAAAGAAGTCAAGACACAAGGCGGATGAGCTCAGTCGACGAGACCAGGCTCACATCGTCTTGATGTCATGTACTGTTATGTATGCAGGATAATGTATGTGTTGCTCGTAAAGGCGTGTAATGGTTGCCAGCCATAGAATTCAATTCAATGCTCGCGCTCTCGTTTCTGTATCCTTCTATTCTGTTCCGGGCCAACGCCGATGCATGCGCCCTTGAATCTGTGTCCAGCGACATGTGCTGCTGGTCCGCTTATCCTCCACGGCCGCACCCATGAGAGCAGAGGGAAAGAAAGAAATGAAGCTGAGCGACAAGTGGGTATCATAAGGAGGCTGTATTGTAATGGCGCATATTAAGAATATTGCAAGGCGGACGATAGTAGAGAGGAAGAGGGTCGGATGATGTCCTTAATCGGGGTTGGTGAGCTGGAACAGCAGTTAGCAAGGCGTTATACAGTGAGGTCAATTCAACTCACCCGAAGAACAGGACGTGAGTAGTCTTCGTTGTCTTGCAAAGACACACTACTATCACGGGCACCGTTCGGGTAGAGAACCGTGTTGGTCTTCATCCGCCGATCAGTGAAGGTTGTGCCCGAGCGTGCGGGACTAGTACCAGCGGCGCCTTCCCCGTTGCCTCGCGGAAAGAAACCTCCCATAAAGCTCGATCCGGCACTGGCTCTGTTGTCGGCCATGTCCTGGCTTGGGACAGGACTGGCCGCGCGGGCGCGTTTCCGGTAGAAGAGGATCAAGAAAATCAGAGCTGCAATCAGAGCCAGTCCTCCGAGAACACCAATTACAATGCCAGCGATGCTACCTCCACTCAATTTTGAGCTGTCAGCGCTGGCATTGGCCGACGAGGAATCCGAATCACCAGTCGACACTGAACCTGGAACGGTGATCGTCTTAACCTGGCCGCCAGAGTCGGTCTGCGTTGAGGTGGTAGCTGGGGTGGTGGTTGTACCATCTGACGAAGTTGACTAGGATCAGAGTTAGCCAATGCGCCACACAATAATATTGATCAAGCCACATGTACAGTTTGTGAAGCCGAGGTAGAAGATTCCGAGGTGGAAGACTCCGAGGCAGTCACAGTGACGGTGGTAGGCGGATCTCTAGTACTAATACTCTTCTATCCCATTAGAGCCACAAGCCAGGAAAGAGTAGGCCACCCAATCAAGTCATATAGGCTGACAGGAGTTTGCCGGTCCAATAAACCAACGAACACCCATCTCCACAAAGAAAAATCACGACCAAATAGGAAAGGAAATGCTTACCGAGCTCGAGCTTGAAGACGACGTGCCGCTTGAAGACGCACCAGCTGTGCTAGTCGGAGCATTGCCGATGATCTCCACGTACGCAAACACCCCTTTGGCTGCACTTCCACAGCGATCGTCTGGATAACCGGGACACTTTGTGTCACAGTCGGAGATCTTCTTCTGTGACTTCTGCGAGGGAACAACATTCGTGCACCAGCACTTCTTGCCTTGCAACACACCATAGGCGTAATCAGAACAAGTAACTATACATGCTCCATTTGATTGAAAAGTGTCCGTGACTGTGACAAGTCAGCGATACAGTTATATCCAGGTATCCAAACTCTGCGGTCGCTTACCCTCTTTGAAGGAAGACCCTGTGTTGTCGCTAGCACAGAACGCCAGGTTCGCCAGGCCGGTGACAGCCAATGCGAATGGCTCAGCCAAGGCAAGAAGTGTGACCACCACTGCGACCTTCATGATGGGTGTGCACAGTCGAGAGAGATTGTAGTTTTTTTCCCCTTATTCTTCCACCCAAATCCCGACCGGCGCGAGTGTAGAGACGATGAGAGGTCGGCAGTGGAGGAAGAAAACTGGGTGTGGGCCGACCGTAGTGAGATAATGTCGATCACCTTTAAAGCTGAGGTGTCGGAACGGATGACCTGATTTGATGAATGTTCGCTCGGTCGGATGTTCCCAATTGTTTGTTGATCCCCCGCTAGACAGTGGTAAGATTGTCAAAGAGACATTTCGAGGGAGGCAGAGGAAGAAAAAGGGAGGTCAGGACGAAGTCGGAGAGTAAGAAAGAGAGAAAGATAGAAAGAGGAGAAGGGGGATGGTGCACAGTCCCGTGTTACTATCCTCGCCGGAGTATGTTGAGAATCCCGATATACCCGCTTTGGTGGGTACCGAATCTACTGATTTTCCTTTTGACGGCAGGATCTAGAATGATCTTCGTGTCAACAGCTGTCATGAAAGTATGAGCGTACACAGTAGTAGAGCAGATCAGCTAGTTCAGGATCTGATTATCTTCATTTCATACCATTTCATACTCAGTACAAGCTCAGTAGTTAGTACATTTTTAATGTACAACCAGCTTAGAGCAGCTTTATTGACTTTTTACCCAACTCGATTTTCTCCACAGCAAATCGACTGGAGGACCAAAGATCGAAGGACCAGGGAAACGCCATTCCACCCTTCATACCTCGCTTATTTTTCTTTTTATCCGGATAGATCTTGTCGATAATGTTTATCTATCTATTAATTCTACGTATTATTCTGATTCGAAACTGCCCTGCATCACCAGGATCATACAGACTAACAGTCCACATACGTAATGTAGGGAATAAAAAAAGTAAAAAGCCGGACTTGCGCCCTCAACGGACTTGCGTCTCAGATAGAACGTCCGATTTCCACTTTGATCTGGCTATGTGTGATCTAGAACCTTGGAACTTCGAATGATTCGTACAACCTACAACCTCTGTAGATTCATGGTACATACTCTGTACTAACTTCGCAGCAACTTTCATTCGATTCTATGGCACATGAAAAGAACCCAGTAACTACCCCCGGGATTTCCCTAACCAACTAACTAATGCACACACCAGACAAGACCATGGCACCGACGATCACCTGGAGAGATCGCTGTGATTGGGCCGATCGAAGCGATTGCCGATAAGACGACGCTTCAAAGGTTGCATTAGTTAACTGTTCTCTTATGGGCTATTGATTCCTTGTTGTGATTGCCGATCGTCTGTCTGGTCTTTGTACTGTGCATGTGCAACGGTTTCAGACCGAGGACTTGGACATGGTTCAGTCTTGTCGTACTCGACTCTTGCTACATCTACATCCATATACTACTGTACTCCGTATGACTACGGAACGAAGTTGCAGAGAAGGTTAATCTTCCCCTTTCCCACTGAAGGTTATTGAATTTGGTAACCTGACCCATCCAATAACAGACATTCCCGCTCATCGCCTCAGCCACTCTGAGCTCACTCGCCCAGTGGAGTCCGCTCCACTCGGTAGATTAGGGAAACGTACGGAGTACGGAGTACAGTCCAACGATCGATACAATAATGCCACACCCCGATCGATCTTGAATCGCTAGCTGCTACTTTTACTGCGTATATCCCGATGAAATCAAGAGTTCTGTCCAGAATACCCCAAGTCTACCAAATGCAGTTAAAGATAAACAGAGATAACAATTGAGTTCCTAAGCGGAAAGGTACCAAAACCACGGAATACGTGGCTGAAGTCCCTCCGCAGCACCACCTATCGATTATTACTGCATCAATAACTCCATTCCACATTTCAATAGAGACATCAGCTGAAATTTGATACCCACTCCGCTCCTCAAAGACGACGCCAAGACAAAGTCATGATGTCGTCGCCGTTAATCTGGCTGAGACAAATCCACTCCAATCAGCGGGTGGCGAACTGGCGACAAGATAGGTACGCTGCCCAGGCGTAATCTTCCGCGCCAACGCCGCCAAGTCTATGGCTTTCTGTGTGCTCCGTATGTAGGGCCACTAGCTGCCAGGTTTCTTTCTCTCGGGGATGCGGTCGGAGCCGACTCGGAGGAGCGGAGTGGACTTGAGGTGAGGCCAAGTGCCTTGCAGATAGCGTTGTGGCTCTGAAACAAAGCCACATCGATGATTGTTGTTGCGACGCGAAGCATCGCCTTACGGATACTTACAGTTACGGTCAAAACGACCCCGGAGAAAACGGGCAGAATTATTTTCCCTCTGATTGGTTGTTCGTAGTTTCGTTTGCCCTTTTTCGGAGTTGCAATCTTTCCGCCTGCTTGTTACGAATAGTTTGCCCGCTCCCACCCTTCCCCTACCGCTTTCCCCCTATGGAAGTAAGCAGTTCGAGTTTACGCCTGCCTTTTACGGGATAGGCGAAGCTGAGCGTCGCAGTTAAATCCCAAGAGTCAAGACCTTTGGGCGCTGGGAGAGTGAGACCTCGTCACTCACTTGTCACTCACTTGAAACTGGCTTGTGATGGTGGGAGAAGGAGACCAAAGACGGCCCATCGAATCGGGTTACCGATTCAAGATGGCGACCCATAACCCCGAGACCCACCCGCTTCCGAGCTGGGACCTTCTTGATATGCGATGGCATCTGACTCGCCGAACTCGAATTAACACTGCGTGGCTGATCGCTCTCGGACCCTGGCAACGGACCGGTTGAATCTCTGCCTAAATCGAGATCCTCGACATATTCTTCCTCTTCCTCCACAGGAGAAAGGGGCCTTCCAAACACATACGAAGACGTGCGCGGGAGGGAAGGGGACGCACTTCCGCGAGGCGATCTATATACGGGGCGGTGCATTTGCGCGAGGTGAGGCATTTCCGCGACGCGACGCGACAGCTATTTCGGGGTCGCTGTCGTCCGAGTCATCAGAGTCACACTCGTTATTGTTGTAACGGGCCGCAGAGCACATGGCAACGATGCGAGTCAGATGCCATTGCATATCAAGAAGCTCCCAGCTCGGAAGCGGGTGAGTCTCGGGGTTATGGGTCGCCATCTTGAATCGGTAACCCGATTCGATGGGCCGTCTTTGGTCCCCCTCTCCCACCATCACAACCATCCCGTTCATGCCAATGAGACGTTCGGACGGCAGAGCTCGTGTGATAGTCGGAATGTTCTCAAACGATTTGTGTGCGTACTGGGGCTGCCAATAAAATTCGATGATCATCTCGGTCTTGTCGGTGGAAAGGGAAACCGGGCGCAGTGCGAACAGCGCATCCAACCAAGCCGCACGAAGGTCCTTTCGAAGACAGATCATGTTTGTGCAATCATTGACAGGAGCGTCAGGATCATTTGGGTTTTTAAAGGCCGCCTTTTCCCATCGTTCGGCGGTGTCATGTCCCCAAAATACATCGACGTATTTCCAAAAATCGGCGATCGACTGATCATACGAAAGGCGCGACTTTCCAGTAAAACTGGGGAAAATTGGAACCGCGTCATAGCTCTTGTTATTGCCTGTCAGGACGCACTGCGAACCATCTCTTTGTTTGGCATCCCAGATTGCCCTCCGGGAATAGCCTGCGCGCCAGCTGCTGAGAGCATCTGCCGGCGGCGGAATCTCTGAAAACGTTGTCTTGTCGAGAGGTGGCAGGAAAGTCCAATTGAAGGGAAACCCAGTTGAAATGCTACGGAATGCCTCCGAAAAGATCGCTGAAAGGTTCGCAAGTTGGACAATCCATTCGAGCTTCCGGATGTCACAAAGGTGAAGCACCGCCCATAGCTGGGTAGGCAGTCCCTGTCGCCCAATAATTGACGCGAGCGTGATGAAAAAGCTCTGTCGCTCGACTGATGGAACATTGAACCGTTCTTCGTTTGTGAGGTCAACAGTGCTGATCCGGTCTGGGAGGGCAGGCAGCGCCCTTCCGGTGAGAGGCAGGCCAGTCGGGTTTGACATTTTATCACGTGTGGTGCAGGAGCGAAAGAGATGAGCACCAGGGAAACAGAATTTATAACTTTCGCATTGTTTTTGATCACATTGTCAAGATCGTATGCGTTTTGTCGCATCCTCAAGATCGTGAACCGTTGCATACAGTCAAGATCGTCTCGTTTTGTCGCATCCTCAAGACCGTGAACCGTTGCATACAGTCAAGATCGTCTCGTTTTGTCGCATCCTCAAGACCGTGAACCGTTTCATACAGTCAAGATTGTCTCGTTTTGTCGCATTAAAAAACCTCCTCGAGGAAGGCGCACGTCTTCAGTATCCGCATTTCACCCCCGCCTGAGGAAAGCACACTATCTTGATTCCACTGTCTAGGGAAGGAGCCGGCGCCAAATGCGCGCCAGCCAAATACATTGAGATCTCGAGTATGCAGAAAAATCCGACCGTCGTTCGTCTTTAAATGGATCATACATAACAAATGCATTGAGCTTCCTTATAGTCGTTTCGACAACAACCGATCCCGGACTCCCTGCATACGCCTCTCGGCCATACGTGCTCGCGGGGGCATTCCCACCGGAGGAGATCTGATATGAGATGTGGAGGGTAGAGAGATAGAGGCACGCTCACGCTGGATAGCCTGAATGCGTCTGCGCCGGGCACTCCTAATCTCATCCGATAACTCCACAAGATCATCTATATCATCCTATTTCCGAACAGTCAGAATCCGAAATAGCGGTTAGTTTGGGGGAAGGCATCATACAGGGCTGAGATATGAGAAGATATAATAGAATCCCTTTGTCTCCTCGTACTCGTAATCCATCTGTTCAATCGCTTCTCGTACCACCAATTTCTTTGCAATTTCAGTCCATCGATCGTTTCGAGTCTCCTTCGTTTCTGTGACTTGCTGCGCAATTCGTCCCAAGTTGACTTCCTCCACCGAAGCACGTCGAGGCTTGACCTCGATCACATCCAGGTCACCCAGGGCTCCACTCATTTCAATGGCTTCTTCTTTGGATGGGGCATGTACTACAGACCAATCGTCCGCGCTTCTGGGTGCGTTGTCCGCTGCTCGGGCGCTTTCAAGAAGAATTTCCTTCTCTATCTCAGCCATAGAAGGTAGATCTTTCTCTTTGTCCAGTAAGTTAGAACAACTGCGGGATGCGGATGTTGCTTCGCGTTCCCATGGATCGGTAAAGATGGCTTGGCTCGTTGGTGAGATCGAATCTTCCGGGGCGAGAGTGTCTATGCTGTCACGGTGTCTGAGTGCTATCTTTTCCTCTGAGATTCGTCCTCCTCGCATTTTCCTACGACTGTTAGCATACGACATGATGAAGACTGAAGGCTCGATGTGCTTACCGATGCTTAATATCAATCTCATCAAAGCTACCAACTGGAGACGGCAGTTCCGGGCTGGGGGCACGAGGCGGCGGGCCCTCTTCGAAACCTGGCTACAGTTAGTTCATGATTCCCGTCAGGCTACCAATATGACTTACCATGATCAATGTGCCTATGGTGGGTAAACACATCCTGATGGATCGCGGGTACATGTATAGACGCCATAGAAGGTGAAGGTGGACGAGACGGGAGCTTCTCCTTTGATTTCCGGATACTGAATCCCTCTCCGACATCATCAAGGTCTCGAGCGGATGATTTCGCGTCAAACTGCGAGCGAGTGCTGACGTCCGCATCTAGCGGGCTCTCTTCCCTAACTCCTCGACGACTACCTCGCAATTCACGCTCGAGGTCTTCCGAGGGTATACTCCGTCGCTTTTCCCGCCGTTCGCGTATTACAAGCCCATCCTCCTCTGCAAGATCGACGGGTCGCAGTCCTTTGTCTTTCAGCCGAATGATCATCTCCTCGTCCTGGATATCTCGTTTGGGACGACCAATTGGTCCCCGGTGGCGTTCTGGGACTACATCATCGAGGACCTCTTCCACTTCGACTCTCCGAGGAGGCGGACCCCGCGGCCGTGGACGGTGGTATATCTCTTCTTCCTCAAACTCCAATCTCCTGTCACGAGATCGCATGTCGAGTTCGCTGTCCCATCCCCGTCGTAAAGGGCGGTCTTCTTTCTCTTTTCGTCTGAATGCCAATTCCTCATCGACTTCGCCTTCTACAGGATGTCTGTGTCGGTGTTTTCCCGCTCCTTCAATCCAAAGGTCTTCTTCGATTTCCCGTTCTGGACGCCGTCTGTGCTGACGTCTTTCTCTTTTCTCGAATAGAATATCGTCTTCAGACCTTCGTTCTGGGTGGCGCTTGCTTGAACGGTGCCGGCTTGGACTGCGCGGCTCGTTGCCTTCAAAGATTATATCATCGTCATCAACTTCCCGACGATGGCGTCTACCGCTCCGATGCCGCTCCTCCATGATAAAAGGATCATCGTCGAACTGCGGCTCTGAATGACGCCTCCTCTCACTACCTCTATCCCTCTCTCTTTCCACGAGAAGATCTTCATCGACTACCCGTCGCGAGCGATGTCTTCTCTCCGGGCGCCTTTCCCTCTCATCAACAATAAAGTCCTCCTCAATCTTCCGGTCCCGCTCAGGACGACGTCTTCGCACTCGGTAGTCCTCCCTGTCATCCATAATATCGTCCTCTTCAACGTCCAGCGGATGCCGTCGAGCACCCCTCGAACTCTCCCGCTCCTCAACAACAGTCTTCTCCACTTCACGAGGATGACGTCTACTCCGACTCACAGGCTGCCGCTCAAACGCCCGATGATCCCTCGACATACGTCCCAGCGAGTCCGACTCCGACTCCGAGTCCGATTCCAACTCTCTCGACCGCCTAAGCACCAGCTCATCCCGCTCCCGCGGCGCAAAGCCCGTTTCCATGAAATCTCGCCGAGGACGTTCGCGGATGTGCATGCGCTCCATATCGTCAACTAAAGGCTCGGACCTCCTGCGGAAATATTCCTCGTCTACTTCGCTGTAACGGGGTCGTCGAGGCGGCCGATCATATCGCTCATGCTCCCGGTCCATCTCGTATAGCTCGTCTTCCTCGTAGTATTCGCGGCGTGGTACTCGGCGGGACATGTTGTTCTAAGTGCGGGGAATGACCGTCCGCATCGGATATTTGTAGTCGATTGCCCAAGGGAGATCGGACTGAGTTCGCTCACGTCCAGATGTATCTCAGGTTTGCAGTGTTTACCAAGGAAAATGAAGTTATTCGTAGTGCTCGTGTTAAGGCAACAGTCAACTTTGTCGCAGGCGACTGTTGGTTGGTGGGGCTTTTGCGGAGGGATAGTGGGCTGTGCGAGAGGTCAAGCACCCAGCTAGTAGGCAGCGCCGCAGCGGTTGGTAGTACGATGAGCGGCTTAAATTAGAACGGCGGTAATCGACAACCTAGTATTGTGGCTCTATTGCGTACGGAGTACATAAGGAAGTGGAAACTTGAGCCGGGTGTGTTAAGGCGCTGAGGAACAGCAAAGAAATGATCGACCCCGCGGCCCGCTGATGTCACTGAATCAGGAAGTACGGCGACTGGAGATGGATGTTATGTTTTTTTGCGATCTGAGCCACGATCTCTCGGTCAGAACACGTTTATTTACTTCGAGCTTTATATCGGGTTCCATGGCTCTTTCCCGAACCCTAACCGAATTGGATATTTCGAACCTTGGATCAGGTATTGCCGTTTTAGGCTACGAACCGGACGGGGGCTCAAATGCTTGGCGTCCTCGTACTTTGACTGGCTAGGGCAACCCAGAAGCCCGTTGATGCCCGATCTTAGACTAACCCAGGTATCGCTGAAGAGCATAAACGTCCCCGGACTATGCTTTTCGGGCTTCGGAGGTGGTCATCTCGTTGATCAAGTCTGGTTGTAATCGTGGTGTGTTGATAAATACTTTAGGACTGTAAATTGGTTTCCAAGAATCTGCCATTTATCAGCTCGCCGTGATGTAAACTGAGGCCTCCGCTACGATTCGTTACCCATCTTCTATGGCTCCGACTCCAGAAAGAGACCCAGAGAAGCTAAAAGATAAAGATTGACTCTCCCTGGTCGGAGTTACTAGTAATTACTATGTTCGTCCTAACCGCGACTAGTCGCGCTGAAGCACAGTTTGAACCTTGGGATCATACTAGCCGCCAAAACGTACGGAACGCCTGGAGAAACCCGGTGAGGCACTCAATGGGCAAGATGTCTATTGAAACTTGGCTGGCTACATGGTCAAATCTGTATGAAGAAGGCAGGGCAATGAACATCCCTCGTATTGCTTATAAGGAGAAGGGAAATCCTGAAGATCGCGACGCGATTTGCGTATAACAGGAAAGACTGAAAGCAAAAGCCTAGAGGTACACGGTGAGTGGTTGACGGCGAGCTCACACAACTTTCACTGGAAAGCCAGTCGCATTTGTCCTTTCTCGGTCTTGCTGCGACCACCACCGCCACGGCCACCTCTTCCACGAGCAGTCGCACCCCGAGTACTGCTCTTCGTGGGTGGTGTCGGTTGCGAAACCTTCGCCTCCTCTCTGTCCTGGATTGCGAGATCCTTGGCAAAATGCCAATCATCATGTTCCTCCTTTTCATATTCGGGCATAGACTTGGAGCATCGCAGACATGTGAAACGAGGGATTCCATTCGGTTCAGCGTCCATTTCAGGTTGTTGCGAAGTGCCTTGCTCGCCAGTTTCAGTATCTTCGGAGTGAACTGGGTTTGCAAAGAATTGATCGATTCTAGCCCCGTCGGAATCAAGCTTCCGCCTTTTATCATTCGGGAGGTGTCCACCTTGTGCAGTATCGGTATCCCTGGGTCTCGAGGAACGAGTCAAAGCCTTTGCCTGATCTCCTCGAACCAAGAAGCCCTCAATAGCTTTGTTATTGCTCACGCCATCTTCGAAGCTTGAAACGCTCAATGACAAGTTGGAACAGGGCCATGTCTGTCCGTCGGCCACAACTTGACGAAGCAGAGTATTGGCCAGATCATAGAGTAAATCCTCGTTAATGACGTTAGAGCCTGGTATTGGAATTTGGCGAGAACGAGATTGGGATCCTCGATGATGCAGGGTGATCACCCTCGGACGACGTCTATTTTCAAGCACGCCTTCTTCCACAAGCCGGCCATAGATATCAGCTGCGAAAATACGAAGCCACTTCTCAGCTTGATCAATCGAGCTGATGCTAGGTCTGAAGGACTTTGCAGATAACATAGATTTGATCTGAGTTCGAGGATTGACTTCGCTGCGATCATCACCACGGATGATCCCGTAAAGCCAGGATGCCGTGTGCTCATCAAGCCTGGTGCGCAATTGCTCGAGCGAGACATTCAAAAGTTCACTGACTTTCTCTGTTCCGAAGGCGGCAGTGATGTGATCGCCGAGTTTACCGCCCAGCATTCTGATCTGAGTGAACTTATAGCCTCCTAGAAAATCCTGCACTGCCCGATTGCGCACAACTGTCTGTAGATTGGGCTTGTTGCAGGCACTTCCTAGTTTCGCAATCATTTTATTGCGGGCAAGTCCAGCGGAGCAGGTGTAGCTCAGCTTCTCCCAGACTGCTTTCCGAACCCATCGTACAATCTCGGACCCTATCAGCATGCCCACGTCGTCCCAGTCTGGATCATCTTCTTCCGTTTCAATTTTATCCAGATCAATCAAGCAATCTCTGTCCCATTGCAGGGCTGTGGTCGGTGGTATAGGCAGCTCTGCATCGCGGTTCTCGTCTTGTGTTCCCGCCCGAAGCTCTGGGTATCTTTGAAGAAGTGCCTTGTATACCAACGGAGACAGATCGATGAATACTTCATCGATACTTGCTTTCTCCAGCCCAACCGTAACTTCCTGCTTCGGAGTCTGGGTGTTGTCTCCATTGTCATCGTCATTCCATGTGGCCAGAGCCTCCTTGATTGTCTGGAGGATTTTTCGCGATTGTGCTCGGTACGGATCAAGGCAGACTTTGTCCGTATTGATCTTCTTGTAAGAATCATCTCGATAAGCCCACCGACCTCCCTCCCCTTCTCGAAAAGTTGCAACGTGCTGTAAGACGAGGTCTGGACAGAGTCTCCTGGCCTCTGCAATATTGATGAATCGGGTGATTCCAAAGGGTCGCGCAGCGTAATTGACGGCGATCAACGAGTCCCATTGCCGCACTGCTAAAGGTGTCTCCCGCGGAGTCCCCAAACGGACCATCTCACATTGCGCATAGAAAGCATCGAGATCGATATGCGCAATCACTCTCAAGGGTGTTGCTGTGGACCCGTGTCGCAACCCTTGCAGTTGCCGGTAGGTGAAGCGGGAGAGCTTCACGGGGTCGGTCGATTCGGTTGGTTCGGACATGCTCGCGAGTGCATCATGGCGGTGAACGCCAGATCATTTGGAGTGACGTTGACAGCGGACAGAGCTCCCAAGGTTCAAAATATTCGATGCCGCGGACCTTGGAACGCGGTTCCGAAAATGGACTAGTGTGGGCACGTGCCATCAGCCTCAGGTTGGTGTTTGTTTTGCTTTGTCTTCAATTGCTGGTCATTTTACTGTGTACAGGCCCACAGGGCCATGCGCCCACGGGGGATTACAGCTGACTAGATGGGTCCAGAAACAGTCACATTTCTACATTTCTATATCTCCATGATTATAGAGCCGGGATCAAATGAACCACCCCTTAGCGACTGCTTAGATATCTCTTCAACTACCCCTGTACCGTCAGAGTCGAGTCTCGTGCAGGATTCTCCTAAATCACCCATCGTAGAGGTCTGGAACATGGAAAAAGCAACAAGGCAGGGTGATCTCCGATCTGTGCGATCCAGCTGCCACAGGCGGGCTGTGAGTGGACGAGAGGCTCGGAGCCTTCGCGCGGGTGCCCAAAGCCACGCATTCCTGCCCAACGCATCTCTTGTGTGGTTATCGGCTGCCACCTTTCAGAGTGGCGAGCTTACAGATTGCCACTGGTCCTTTCCTTCAGCAGATTGGTTCTTGGCTAACACCGTCCGACGCAGAGATGGTGGGTGAAGGATCAATCATAAGAAAGTCCTATGATGTGGCCTCTCTCGGCACTGCCTTCCTTCCACCATATGGACGAGCATCTGACGGTTTTCGATGATCTTACATCTTTCTGTCGACAGCTCTACTTGACCGCTGTTAAAGATCCACTGGTGGGGTCATGTCGAAGTTTGAATGTTAACTTGGTCCAGGGGCACAGACTGAGGAGTAATCCAAGCTGGTTGAATATGGGGGATCGGCCCTTATTTTTTTCGCTCTTCTAGCTAAAACCGCTAAAACCTAGTGGGTAGAAGAGCTGGTTGACCTTTGAGGTCTAGTTTAGGGTACATTCGTCTCCAGTGCTTTGGGGATGGTCTCTACTCTAGATCATGTCGGAGTAAAAGATACTCGATACCCTGATACTCCGTACATATGAGTGATATTGCCCACGAATGACGATAGATACCAATAAAATGCATCTGTGAAAATTCTTTGGGCATAAGGCGGCTATCGACATGAACAGGGTTGCACATCAAAATTGCCTCTAATCCACATTCGACCGTGCATGCTTTTTCGCCTTGATCTCAGTGGGGAGTCGTGGCACCAGCCCAAGACGGCCCAACCGCCTTTGCCTTAGCCCACTTTACCTCTTCCCCCCCCCCCTCCTCCCTCTTCCTTCCTTCTCTTTCTCTTGTCTTTTCTCATCTTCTGGCTTTCACTTGCCAGCTCCTCATCTCTCCATCTCTTCTACTCTCCCAAGGCCAAAAATATCTAGTTCATCCGAACAGACCTCAGACCCCAGACCTCAGGAGCATCAGCCGTGCCGTGTTTCTCTTTCTCCCTATTGAACCCGCCACTCATCCCCTCTCTTTTGACACCTTTCAGCTTCTTCCTTGTCGCTGTTCAGTCACCATCTTTGAGGCCTTTTTCGAATTCCCCAGGATATATACCCAGTGGACCACCAGGACTTCTTCCCAGGATAAACCGGACTTTTCTTCCACAAGGAATTGCTAGGACCAATCTTTTCTGGCCATTTCCAAGGACCGTATCTCATTTCTCTTTACCCTGGACCCGAGAAAGGAGAAACCATTCAAGTCGTGATTGTCGGCTTTGGAACCTGCTCGTCGCCCTGATAGAATCTGTACTTCCTACAATAAAACGGACTCACCTTTCATCAACTTCCAAGGACTTTCGGACCATCTTCCACACTCCGGATTTCCTCTTTTCTGGCCATTTCGGATCCGAGAAATTTAAATATAAACCGGATATCTTCCTGCCTCGGAATACGTTATGACTGGCCGTTATGAGGGACGCGTTGAGCGTCAGAATGAATATTTCATCCCGGGCGAAGGAATCAGCCGAGAAGTCATTCAAGCAGATATCTGTCGCTACCTTGGAAACGATGCACTCGTGAGGCCCGGCACCCACAATGTTTGTTTTCCGTTCTTCATCCAATGACTCATATGACCGTGATTGCTGACCGGAAGCAGAATCGCCCAGGATTCTTCATCCGTGCCTATCGAAATCTCACCTCTGTAAGTGAATCCGGACATGCGAGAATGAGCGGGATACATGAAGCTGGGATACTAACCACACATCGGTTAAAGGAGATGATTACTGATCTGAAGGCTGACTCCGCCCGCTGGGAGGCGGACGTCTCACGCCGGGCTGCCCTAGGCCAATCGCGAGGGAATTACATTCAGGATGTGAACGTATCCCATCCACCTAACACTGCTCCACCCAGCTATGCTCCTTCGGCCGTCCATGAGTCTCGGCAATCCCAGGGTGCATCTCCTACGCCATTTACTGCAGCACCCGCCCAGCAATACATGGATCCTTACTCTCAGAGCCCCTACAGTGGATCCCAGAATCCCCCCTACACCACTCCTTCATCATACACAGGCCCCTCTCACTCGCCATATGCATCAGGTACAACTCCGTACCCTCCTCCTCAGGTCTCCTACTCTGGCTCCAATCAACCCGTTGTGACGGCTGCGGACATGCACGGCCAAACCTACACATATTCCCCGGGCTATTATGACAATGGCCGAGGCAATCCTCGGTATCCAGGACCTGCATATGATGCCGAACAGGATTACTCTCCCGTAACTTCCGGGATGGCCTATCCTACCACTACTGCCCCGGATCCACGGATAGGAATGGAGCCCAGATACACTCCAGAATATGAGCGCAGGCCACAAGCATCCAGAGACAACCCGCACCGTCGGCGGTAGACAATAATGACCGCCTCAAAGGGTTTTTTCTGCGTCCATGGTTTTCTTCTCCATCTCCGTCCACGTTGTGGTCCATTTTGATGCTTTTGTTCCTGGAATATTTCCAAAATGCCATTCGGAATGATGATGTCTTACAATCTCCTGGACAAATCTTTACGCCCTTTTCACCTGCGGCCCACTTCTCCAATCCTCAATTTGTCAGTCCAGGAATTCCAGACTAAGTCAAAGATGTTGAACACCCCATTCAAACGGCCCAGTCAAGGAAAATTTCCACTTCTCCACGGGCATGAATTCCACTTCTTCTGTAACCCATGGACTTCCACTGGACATGGCCCAAAATGCTCTGTGGCAAGAGCTTGGACATCCCGTGGATCTTGTCTTTATTTTGCTTTCTGCTTCATGCAACTGGCCATGACAAGGAGTGAGCGTCTTGAGTTTGCGAAAAAGGTGGCCCGGACTTGAGCGTTTTGTTTGTTTTTCCTCTCTGGTCTCGTGAATTTCGGGAATACTCACTCCCACAATAACGAATGCGGTTTTGTGTTGGTTTTTAACGGTGTACAGGATTTGTGTGTCTTTTTAGCAAGTTCTCTTTTTGCTTGGTCTTTCCCTTTGAAGAACAGGGGGGGCCGTGTTCGACTTTCACTTTCCTTTGGTCTGCGAGAGCGTTGTGCTTCGATAAACTGAAGGCTGGCGAGCCACATGTAGATATGAGCATTTACGGCGTTGGTCCGTTTTCTGTGATTGATGTTCTGATGTGGGAGTTCGTGGATTGAATCCATGACCTTAATGAACCTGATTCTCTGCATCACTTTCTTCAGTGAATCGAATATCGTCAATACCAAATTACTGGTGTATCCGTCAAACTTAACGCCTGTAGTTCAAGGCACTGTAAATAGTGTGACTGATGAATCCAGTAGCATGCAGAAAGACCGCGGTTGGCTAAGATACATGTAAAATCTATTTCTACAAGACTCTCCCGATCCAGTCATTCACTGTAACTTTCACTTAGAGATATACAGTCCACAAGGGAATGCTTCTCGCCCAGGCGAGTCCTCAAGTACATGTCCGAGATATCTGGAACATAGAAAAGTGACTTGATGTCGACTATACGATTGCACAGAACAAAGTACATACACAGCGCCGGCTCGACATTCGGCGTATGCGCAAAAATATTGGTATCAAAGCATTCTGACGGCCAGGAGATGCAGCCTGTGAACGAGACAATTTCGCTTGCCCACACAAGCATGCGATAGGACTTGCTCATCAAATCACTGGTGGCACTAACACAGTCAACACATCTCCTGCCATCCGCTGAATTTCATCCTCCCAAGCACGGATAATGAACGAAAATCCCCCTAACCTCCGACGATTTGATATTCTCGTAGTCGTAGTTTGGGAATCATTTATTCGTCATCGTAGCCCTTGGGAATCACACGCGGACCCTGCGGAACTATAGACATTGAGAATTTCGGTTAGTTTCATATTACTCGAAAGATATTCGAATGCCGATGCACCCGACTGTACAGATATAATGGGTTTCGTACTGGGATATGTCATAGGAACTGGCTCGGGGTCGACGTCACCGAGAGCGTGGCGGATGGGGGGAATAGTGACCAGGGAAACGGGGCCCATGAAGCCGATGCACAGGGCAGCGAGGATAGCTGGCTTCTCGTGTGCAGCCCAGCGGATGTAGCGCAGAGGGGTCGACCAGAACTGAGGGGTAGACATGGCTGCAGAAGTCGGTCGTTGGCGACCGGTCGGTGATATTTTTGCGATAGAGGCGTGGGGTCAATTGGTGATTGACTTGGTGCTACTATTCAAACGCGTACGAATGAATAGATGTAGAGGTCCACCGAGTGGTTGTTGAGTGGTAGGGCGGAGAACGAGGAGCAAAATTGAAGGCGTGGGGACGAAGTGAAGTTGAAGTTCGGAGATGCGGACTCAGCGTCGGGTCTTGGCGCTCGCCCCAGTAACACGTCGCCCTTTCGATCTATACACGTATCTGCGCAACCCACCTTTCTTTTCTTGTTCACTCCTTATTGCATCCTGGATTCAGCTCCGCTGTGCGGGATTTATTCAAGATGAGGTGGTGTCTTACGTTATTTATCTGCTGCTTCTTGGCTGCGGTAAATGCACTGAGCAGCTCTGGCAGTCGTCTACTTGCCGTTTTGGAAGATACAGAACAGAAGGACCTATACTCTACGTTGTGGGCAGATTTAGAAGGTAACTTACCCTGTGCTCGTTTGCGGGTATCTGGCTGACTCTGCGATCTAGCACGGGGATATGATGTCTCCTTTGAATCCCCCAAAAGTGACCAGCTTGCGCTATTCAAGCACGGCGAAAGAGCTTACGACCACCTCCTGATCCTCCCTCCCAAGTCCAAAGGTAGGGAACTCGGTGCCCATATCTCAAGTTTTAGTCAATTGACCCCGAGAATTGCAGGTCTCGGTCCCTCATTGACCCCTAAGCACATCCTCGACTTCATGAACAAGGATGGCAACATCCTCCTCGCCCTCTCCGGCAAGTCTGCCACCTCCAGCTCCATCAGCTCCCTTCTCCTCGAACTCGATATCCACCTCTCTACCGACCGTTCTCACGTTGTCGTTGACCATTTCAACTACGATACCCTCTCGGCCGCTGAGAAGCACGATGTCCTCGTCGTCCAGCGCCCTGGACCCCTCCGCCCTGACGTCAAGGCCTTCTTCGACGGCGAAGGTGTCTTGGCCCTTCCCCGAGTCGCTCCCCATACACTCGGATACGACAGTGTCCTCCTCTCGCCGATTCTCAAATCCCCGGCTACCGCCTACAGCTACAACCCGAAGGAGGGCACGCCCGCGCCGGAGGATATCCTAGCTACGGGCTCGCAGCTGAACCTCGTGTCCGCTATGCAGGCACGCAACTCCGCCCGCTTCACCGTTCTTGGATCTGTCGAGGCTTTGGAGGACCAGTGGTTCTCCGCTGAGGTTAAGACACCCAACGGCAAGAAGACTCCCACTGTAAACCGCGAGTTCGCTAAGCAGTTGACTGCTTGGGCTTTTAAGGAGACTGGTGTGTTGAAGGTCGACAAGGTCGAGCATCGCCTGGCCACGGAGGGCGCGGAGCTGAACCCGTCGATCTACCGTATCAAGAACGAGACAGTACGTAAACCAACTCTCTATTGCCTATCCATCCCAAGCTAATCATGAACTCTATTACGCCCTACAGGTCTACAACATCGAAATCTCCGAGTATGTCTACGACAAGTGGGTTCCCTTCGAGGTTCCTGGCGACGACGAGCTCCAGCTCGAGTTCACCATGCTCTCGCCCTTCCACCGCCTCAACCTGCAGCCCATCCACCGCACCGATACCAGCACTGTGTTCAGCGCTCAATTTGTGACTCCCGATCAACACGGTATCTTCTCTTTCCGCGTCAACTACAAGCGTCCCTTCTTCACCGCCATCGAGGAGAACCACGAGGTCACTGTCCGCCACTTCGCTCATGACGAGTACCCGCGCAGCTGGGCTATTACTGGTGGTTGGGTATGGATTGCCGGTCTGTGGTCGGTTATCGGTGGTTTCTTGGCTTTTGTGGTTGTCTGGCTCTACTCTGCCCCTGTGGTTGATAAGCTTAAGAAGAGTCAGTAGATCTAGATCTAGGGTAGCTCTTATACATTGTTCTGTCCATTCATGTCTTGGACTTTCCACGCTGTATTGATTCCCGAAATATGCATTTACTTTCATACTTTGTTTGCCGTGGATTGGTTAAATCGCTTTCGGCCTACCCTTTTAGGGTCGAGCCAACCTAATATACTGCGTTATCCCAGCAGGCTCAGACCAAACATGATTGGCTGACCTTCTAAAGATGCGCCTCGCCCCAAGAAAGATGGATGTGTTGTTTGTGGAAAGCAGGCGCAGCCTGATGGCTCGGAGCTGATGAATTGCTCGCGCTGCCATAAGGTGAAATACTGTTCAAAGGACTGCCAGCGGAATGACTGGAGGAAGCACAAAGGTGTCTGCAAGGCGTGAAGAATGAGGGGGTGTTATGACAACTCAAGAAAGTCTCAAGCTCATCAAATGTTAGAATATTCATGTACCGCTCGATTGACGAATGAAATGATGAGAATGTGTTGAATTTCCAAACCAGACGAAAGGCTTAACGGGTCTATGTCTAGTGATCCTGAATTATTGTCTATAGAATCTGCATTGAGCTATGGTATCTTGTATAGAGATGTATAGCAGTTGACCCGAAAGACATGAACCTGTCAAAGTGGTAACAGAAAGCGCCACGCGTTTAGAAAGCGCCACGCGTTTGATTTTAACCACACGGCCTCGAGATTCCAGATCCAGAAAACATTGGAAGCAATTGCATGTTCTTTAAAGCTTCACTCAAGAAACTGGCGTGTCCTCCCACTCGCAAATATTCGTCCAGCACTTCCATAGATAAGAGAAAACGATCTTCTCTGGTCTATTACTCGGGTAAAGGGTGATTGGATCCTGATCATTGTCCATAGTGCATGTGAAGATCGCCCCGGTGTCACTCTTACCTTTCAGAAGATCACCGTTACCTGTAGGACTGAATGTAGTAGTCTGACCACAAAACTTGGCTTGGGACCCTTCCTCAACCTTCGATTTCATCAGACTGCCGGAGATCTGGAACATCTCGTCGAAATCGCTGTGTGTTTGAACGGACAAGTAAGTCCACAGAGCGTTTTCGGTTTCATGTTGTTCATTCATAATGACGAATCCAAGTGGAGTTGAATCAGAATCTGCTGGTTGCGTGTATGTAACCTTTGCGGTCTTGGTTGTCGTTGTTGGTTCAATCGTGGTTATGGTCAGAGGAGGGTCGACTGCGCAAATGAGGAAGGTTGACTTTGCTGCATTGGTCTTTGTCGATAAAGAAGCCCCAAAGCCACCTTCGCACGAACAAATGGTGGAGATATCCGCGCTGGCTGATCCAGTGACGCTGCAATTGATCATCGTCAATTGTAAATTCTTAGAAGGGGGACAGATACTATAGTATACCTTGACAAGTCGCACGATGTGGCGGCTATCCCAGTAGCGGCGGAAGAAGACTTGGATGGTGCAGCCGTTAATGACATGGACCCAGAGAATGTTGTGCCGCTGATCATGATTGGATCTGCGGAGCTGAGCTTGGGGTTAATGAAAGATGCAAAGCTCATAGCTTGAGCATTCTGCTCATCCTCACTATCATTGATCCAATCCCAGGATTCCCCAATGAGTGCATCGATTTGTACAGCCGCTGTTGCAGTTGGCGTGCAACCGCCAACTGTCACGGCATCACAGATAGTAGCGCATGCTGTATCCGCTGCGTCGGCGCAGGCTGTATCACAAGCAGTGGTGGTACTCATACTTGCAGTTTCGGTGCAGGATGTCGATGATGTCGATTGTTGGTCGTCTTCCGGCCCTTCACCTCCACCCCCAGTTCCTCCTCCGCCTCCTTTAATCATGCAGTTTCCTAAGAAGTCATTTAGTATATTTCTCACTGCAGGGTAAACGCCTGGTATTGATCTTACCACCACCACAGCCTGGACCGCAACCGAACAATCCACATCCACCACCGCAAAATCCAATGCCACAGCCGCCATCACAACCGAAAATTCCGCATTTGCCTGAGCAACCAAAGAGATTGCAGTTATGTGTTCCACATCCGGATAAAGCCTTGCCAGCACTGCAGCCGCCGCTGGAAGGTGGGTCACCCTTGTGGTACTTTATGTGGGGTATGGGCGTGTTTTTGGGACGAATTGATGTCACAGTTGGTTGAGGCATGATGGTGATTGGGTGAGAGCTGGAGTAAGTGATTGGGATCACTGTATCGTTGGAGGTTGTTGAAGAACTGGCTGTAGCTGTCGAAGCAACACCGACACCTGAAATTTGTCAATTATTGTTTGTTAGGGTCTTGGTTGAGATAAGCTGAGTCTCACAGTAGTACTCGTCTTTCCAAAGACCAGAGCAGTCTGACCCAACAGCTGGGTTCCATTCCTGAAAGATATCAATTAGCAGCTCGTTCATCATCTTATCGGAATGGTCGATAAAACTCACAACAAATTGATCGCTTGTTATGCCATGAGTGGAGGCAATATCGTAGCACCCGTCGCCATCTGCAGCTTTATAAAAGTTCACACAGTTGTCTGCCACTCCGCTTTGAATCGCAGCAGGTGTTGAAACTGCCGAGGGGCTCGATGTAACCATCGAATTCGATTGAGTAGGAGTCATTCTTGCAGTGTAATCAACTGTATTCAATGGGAATGTTGCTTCATTTGACGGCAGGTTGAAGGTGAGAGCCGGTGGCGCAATGCTCTGCACGGGACTGAAATGAACAGTGACTTGGGCTGTATTGGCTATCGTCTCCGGCCAAAAAGGCACCTCAGTGATGGTGAATTTAGGTACCTCAAACTTGGTGCTCCTTGTGTGGATTGTTCCGTCTGAAGTAGACAGAACTGAAGTTTGATAATCCGGCCAAGTTATCGTGACGGGAGTTTCGAGTGGATAAGGAGGGAGTACCAGTGTACAAGGTGCGTTGCAAGCTACCTCAGCGGTATCATTGGTCCACAAATCAGGTCCAATGTAGACATCGCCTTCTCCCCCTTGGGAGCCATTATCACCAGGGAAGAGGTCAGTTGCCCCAGTCAGTCCATCTAGGCTCTGTCAGCTGCAAGGCCTTCTATATTGAACATTGGTGGCTTACTCGTGGCGGCTCCATCCGCATCTAAGCTGACCGCCCATACCATTGTTCTGTTGAGAATCACTCCAGGTTAGCAACGAAGCAAAGCGGTTCCAGTTGGATGAAACATACCCTCCGATGCAATGAGAGTTGGCATATTCAACCTTGGCTCCAAATGATTTCCAATCGTCATAACTAACCCACTGGTTTTCACCAAAAGTCACGATCTGAACAGCCGCCTCGGTATCATATGTTTTTACAGCCTTTTTGTTGTCATCATCAAGAATAGAACGAATCTCGCTGAAGGACAGTGTTCCTGCATTTTTCGTACACGGTCCTGGATTTCCTGCACGAGAAAACTCGGGGGTTAGCTAGCGCTTATGGCTCTCTTTTCAATAGATACTTACCACCACTCAAGAATGGACAGCCTGAAGTTGTGCACGATGAATCCGAAAGTGTGAAGCATGTAGTTAATCTGTCAGCTACCTAGGTAGTCACATCTAGTACTGCGAATGGGATGCTCACTTCTGCCATAGAATCCTAAGCCCATAACAACCTTCTCGGGATCAATGTCATTTCTCCAAAGGAGGTCCATAGCAAGTTTTATGTCGGTAAGATTGGTGTGAGAATTGACAACCGAGCCGATCCAGGAATTGTCCGCATCCCAGGTTCCGTCTGTAGAGGTTAGCCTTCTGGGATTTGCTAGGCTCCAGCTCAAAATACGCACGGAGGTCATAAGTCATCATGTTGAACTGTGATAGGATGTCAGTCGCTGGGCTCTTTTTTTTTGAGGATTTGGTCAGATCCTACCCAATCGACATTTTTGCTGAGATCAACGATGTCAAAGTGTTGCAGATACCAATAGCTGCTTGGAAGAGTAATGGAAAGGCCGTAATCTTTCTTGGCTCCATCGAGTGCTTGCCTCATGTTCGCCAAGAATGTGCCAAAATTGTTGAAGTCTGCCTCTCGACCTCCGCGCTCAGATGCCACCGGGTACTCCCTTATTTCGATTAGTATTAACGCTAATACAATGTTTCTATATGCCGGATTCTTACCAGTCTAAATCGACGCCATCAAACCCATAGCTGTCCATGAAGGAAAGTAGTGATTTGTAAAATGTCGCCTGCTTCGCAGCATCTGCCGCTAGCTCTGAAAATGTATTGAGCGTGGACCCTGGATCGTTGAAATCCCATCCACCGATCGATATCCAAACCTTCAGATCTTTCTTTCGCTTTTTCAAGTCAACAACTTGAGAGTAAAGTTTCTGTTGGTCTGCTTTCATGGGTGTGATGGTATACAGTTTTGGGTCGATGTAAAGAAACGCAAAGTTGATATGGGTGTAGCCACCAACAGGAATAGACTCCGGCTTCATAGTCTGACAAGATCTCTCTAGATTCCAGCCCTCGTAGTAACCAATGGTACGCTTGGTAGTAGAGCTTCCGCCACATACTGGCTCAGCAACGGTGGTGTTTCCACAGAACTCAGAAGTGGTGCCACAGAAGCCAAACTCGCTGCAGCAGACGTTCAGCGGACAATACTCGGACTCCGCGTATGTGGAACCTGTTTGGAGGTATAAGCTGCCATTTGATGACCAGGTATGGGCGATATATGGCAGAGAGTAACAAAGAGAGCAAGAAGTGAAAAGCGAAGAAAGTTACGTACCCCAATTAGTATCGCCCCATCCTGGAAAGCCAGCAGGATTGCACTCCGACTTCTGTTCACAAGTTCCATTTGCGCTGCCTGCTGGAAGACACTTGTCGTCGGCGCAATATGAAGGCCCATAACCACAGATCTTATTACTTTTAGAACAACAACCTTGAGCACACTGGTTATCTGCACTGCAAGCTTTATCCTCGCAGGAAACGTAGGGAATGTTCAAAATTAAGAGAAAAACCAAGACACAACGGAAAGTATACATCTTGGTGCTTGGAACACTGCTGCGTCAATCTTCTTTCCACGGTCACAGGAATTATTTCAATGTGCCACCGGGACCTACTTAACCGGATATTATCAGTGTTCTTCCATCAAAGGCCGGCCCACTTCATTTCTCTCGCTGTCTCACAGTATATTTGTGGTTCTAGTTAAGAGCTTGCTCCACCTCTTGCTGAGGCTACTTTAGCACGTTTCATGTCTATCGCGAGTCCATCTGGTCAATAAGAATGCTTGAAAAAGTGGGGCCTTTGTGGGTGAAAATTTGGGACATAGAGCTGTAGCCTGTGCCATATATATATCCTCAACATGGTTGACCGATATCTAGTTTTACCGATACTTTTGGCCTTCTCGGGTTGTATCGGTATATCCAGGTTTTACAGTAGATCATTAGGTTATCAAGCGATACCAAGGTAGTTACAGAGAACTACAATATCGACCTGCATACTCAGAAGAAGCCTCCACTTTTGCTAATTTCTATCTACGGGATGCTTGAAATTAAGGGTGACTGCGGAATAGGCACAAGGGGATCCGCAGGCGAGCGTATATACTATTACCAGCGATTTAGCGCGGTATTGTATAATCAAAGGAGGTGAGAGTTTTGTAGCTTACCGAGCTACTAGCTAGTCTATAAATCTGTGAAACAAGCGCATCTAATTTGGTGACTCGGTTGTCACTCTGGTATCGACTTTTCCGAACATGCCCCACGGCCCCCCTGGCCCACCGGGCGGCCTCGGCCCGGCCCCGCGAGAATCACTGAAGCCGGTTGCTCATTCGATGGCATGTTCGAAAAAATCGATACCAGAGTGACAACCGAGCACCATATTAGATGCGCTTGTTTCGCAGATTTATAGACTAGCTCGGTAAGCTACACAGTACAAAACTCTCAGGAAATGACTCTCTGGGTCATATTAAATAGCGGTGCATCCGCTTTTAGACGCAGAGAGGTACCACTTCATGATAACAGGTCAGCGGTCTCACTATGAAGATCGTACTGATTCTCCTGGAAATCATTGGGCTTCTCTCAAACCAGGCTTGGTCACAAGATGTTTACAAACGCTTTCACGTGGAGCAAGGGTCTGGTCCTATCACACGGACTGGAAACCTTGGCGGATCCTGTGATGGTGTCGATGTGGAAAAGGGATTTGACATAGCGAAGGTGTATAGAGAAGCCATTGACATGGCATCTGTTGCCCTCAAGGCCCTCGACAATTACGATTCCGATGCAACAGTCAGATCAAACCTATTTACGTGGTTTGGAATCGAGGAGAATGTTGCAACTCATACAGTTGCAGCGTCAAGTGTTGATCGTTTCAACACAGTGCAAGGCACGTTGATATCTTACTTCAAATAAATTTGAAATATGAAGGCTGACGGGATCCAATAGAAAACTACGCTGAGCTTGTCGAACAGTCTGAACAAGAGGATGACGGAGCGGAGGCACGGATATTCTGCTCAGAGAAGTGGCGTTGGAAAACCCGATGGGTATACAACGAAGAGACAGGGGAAAAAACAGGGCAACTGTTGAAAGTCAATCCAAACTGTAAGAACTGGATCACCATCACTCCAGCTCCTGCCACTAATTCAAACACCCCCATCAGTCGACTCCGAATGGGATTACTGGTCCCCCAGGTTCAAAAGCTATAGTGGCGATCGAGTCATGTGCGGACCTACCACTTTTGGGTTTACATCATTCGAGGAAAGGTCTTCGATCACATTCTGCCCTCTATCATTCCAATGGGCCTCTCGAAAGCACTCATTGAGTGAGTGGAGGAGTGGCGAACGAACGATCCCGCAGGGAAAGAACATGCAATTCATGGTGTCGACACCAGGTATACTTTTACACGAGCTCATGCATATGTGGAGTGGTGCTGGTAAGTTGGAAATTCTGTGGTCAGGGTGAAGGCGCACTAGCTAATATCATACGTTGAATAGAAGATCAAAGCTTCATTGATCCTCATGATCAAAAATCCAAGAAGGCATATGGTGCTGTATTGACGGGTGAACTGGCATCGGTGGATCCAGACAAGGCAGCCGACAATGCAGATAACTTTATGTGGTTTGCCATAGCTAGTTATCTTTCCCAGTACGACTGGTCGCGTGTTGTTAGCGCCTCACGAACTCGAGTTGCCGGCACTACTAGTCGTTCTGTCTTCCGGAAACGGACACATCGGAGGCACAATTCCCATCACTCCCATCACTTCGCTAATATCGAGGCATGGGGGGATGATATGTGATGAGTATTCTTGCTTCAGACAATTATGCGTGGCAAGAAAGCCCTTGAACTCTATGTGATTTACTACAGCCGTGAACTAGAACTTATTCAATGGCCGTTGCAATTTGCAAGAGAATTATGCTCTCCTAACTCCAATGTTTAATTTCCTGAAACTTAGCATGACAGGATTCATATCCCACCATCCCAAGACCATGTAGCTTCTCAATGAAAGATTCCATCACCGTCGACCCTTGTCCATTCTCTTTCCTGTCATACTCTGTCCCTTTGTATGTCTTCTCCTCTCCGGTTGATTTCCAGTTCATGAACCACGCAATCCGTTTACAGCGTCTCCCTTTGTATTCGACTTCACCTGCCACAAAGGCAGTGACCTGTGCCAAAACCGCGCCGATAGGATCTTCTGATGCGTAAGGATGAGAGCGGTAGTTGACCATCCTCGGAAATTTGTAAAGGGGATCGGAATCTAACAAAGCAACAATAACCTCAACTGGAAAATACACCGTCCAGACCTCATAGACCATGTCAGGACGATTGGGTTTGGAGAAGCAATCCAGGATGAATTTTGCAGAGGCATAAATATACCGATAAATTGAAAGAGCTTTGCTGTGGGAATCTGGATTTGGTGAAAAGATGATTTCTTTCATGGTTTGTGTCATTGCATCCGACTGGCGAAACACGTCTCGCTGAGCCCTTCGCCGCCAATCTTTGACCATCGCGTTAGATTTGTCTGGAAGGAGTCTGATTTTAATCTTACGTATGATAATCCACAGTCTCTGGCCATTTTCCACGGGGTTTGTCCATGTGATTTGGCGACAGCCGTCGACTTTCCGCACTTCCTTGAGGATGAGCTTCCAGTCGGTCTGCTTTAGGATTGAATTGTCGGAATAGTCGAGATCAAACCATTCAATGAACGAGCCTTTCGTCGCTTGTTCCTGTTCGAGGCTCTTTCTGGTGATTTCACTATCCTCTTGCGCTGAGCTTGGATCGTGGTTGACTTGACTCACTTGAGTCCCCGATTGACTTCTTGTGACTGGCATTTTGAAGGGAGAAAAAAGTCTGACTGAACGATAAGAGTTTCCGAGCTTCCAACCTTGAGAGATTTCAAGGTTCCAAATTCTAAATTGTGCCTAATGAAACCCGCGCAGATTTGAGGCTGGTAGTGTGATGTTCCACAGGTCATGGCGATCAGTCACCTCAGACTATATATCACATGATCCAAAAGTTCTGCCAGATTTTTGGCGCGCTAAACCTAATCTGTAGCTTCTTCGGGTCCCCGCCGCCCCAAAAAGGCTGATGTAATCATCCTGAAGTAGCAGGCGGTGGATAGCCAATTTCACCGCCTTTTGTTATCTCAGCATGCTCAGACCAAACATGATTGGCTGAGATCCTGAGTCATGTGGGATCACATGACATACCTAACCAAGTTAGGTTGAACCCAGCTCGGTTAGGTGTGTCATGTAAGCATGACCAACCAATCATGTTATCCGACGTCTGAGAATGCTGAGGTAACGCCTTTTGTAACTAACTAGGGGGCGGCTGAGTAACTGAGGTAAATCGAGGGGCCGGCGAAACCGGCGGCGCCGGCACAAATGGTGTACAACAGAACATGCCTGGTAGAATAAGTAAGTAACTAACTAACTAACTATTGTAACAATGTAACTTATAACTAAATAGTTTGGTACGCATAAAAGGGAAGAATTCAAACCTACCCTCACCTCCCTCTGTCCATCATAATATGAGTGATACCCATTATGTATCCTAAAAGTGAAGCACAATCACAGCATTAGTCAGTATGGCGGAGTGGTCTAACGCGCTAGACTTGAACTGGATTTCTCTATCAGAGACTTCCCGAGATCTAGTTCCTTCGGGAACCTGGGTTCGAACCCCAGTGCTGACTTCTTTTTTTCATCTTTTCATTTACGTACTGTGTGTGTACTTTACCTATTAGGCTATTTTTGCCTACAATTGTAAATGATAGTTGCTCCCCAGAAGTTACATTCGTGCACCCATGACAGGGCCCCGTGAGGGATGCAAGTTCGCAGCAGGTCCTGTCTTCGGACTCGTGGACTGTGTAGATAGTAGGCGAATACATTTACGCGGTAGATATTTCTTTGATGGACGGACGGACACCCTTCCACAACATAATCACTTGCACGAAATACGTCCTTCTACAGTCGCTCATTTCCGCAGTTCCTCTTTACACAGTACTGTGTACATAGCCCCTCCTTCGACAACATCTTCTCTTATGATAACAACCCACGACCTACTTACGTGCTGCGTCTACAGGCGTCGCGGCGCATGCCATCTCAGGTTCCACGCTGCACCGCCTCTTTCGTTTGCCTGTCCCACTGACGGACGAGTACAAGGACCTATCGCCCACAAAACCGAGAGAGCTACAAAAACTCATTTCTGGTGTTCGCTCATCCCGACAGCCTCAACGAGAAGCAGTGCCATGTGTACAATTTCGTCGTAATATCGGACACATGGCACTGCTTCTCGTTGAGGCTGTCGGGATGAGCGAACACCAGAAATGAGCTCCTGTAAATCCCCCAGTTCCGTGGGCGGCAAGTCATTGCACGTAAGGGTCCGTCAGTGGAACAGGCAACAAGAAAGGCGGTGCAGCGTGAAAACCGAGATGGCATGCGCCGGGAGCGTGCTCAAGCGCCTTCCCAACCATTGGCAGCCACCGATTGTCTATGACTCGCCTTCTCCAACATCACCTGGGTCACCAGATCGATAGGCAGTAGGCACGAATGCCACCGTACGCAGTTCCCCATCAATCTTGCCTACGGTCTACAATTCTACCGTCCGCACCTTATTACTCGAAAGACAGCAACATATCGTAAACCTGTAGTGAATTCCTTGTCGCTGTTTTTCGAGTAAAAGGGTGTAGACCGTAGAATTGTAGACCGTGGGCAAGATTGATAGGGAACTGCGCGCGCTGGCATTCGTGCCCATCGATCTGGTGACCCAGGTGGTGTTGGAGAAGGCGAAAGTTTGAATTTCCAGGGGCTGGACGAACTGTTTGGGGGTACGCGTGGGTGCGGACACAAGCTATCCTGTGAGAGGCAGGCGAAGAGGCAGGCGGAAAAGATCATGTGAGTTGCAACTGGGGCTTCATCACGAGCAACCAATCAGAGAGAGAGAGGATTTCGCCCATACTGTGTAGAAGGCGACGCAATGAAGCAGGACCAGAAACACTACACGTAACACATTGATGGAGAGCTCATAAAGAGGTCGAACTTGAGATCTGAATATTCTGAATTCTGAAACAATTAAAGAGAATACGAGGGCTTGGATCTCTCAATTGGACTGTTGTCTCTTGTTCGAGACGAATATCACAGCGAGCCATTTAGTCCATTCCTTAGAACAACCATGGAGACTAGCAACTCAAACTCACTCCAAGCGGTAAGAAGCTGGGTCCGATGAGATGATTTCTACATTCGACTAGGGCTTGAATGCTAGGGGGAGTTCATTTGCCTTGGATCAAGGTCGAGGTTGGTATTTCCAATATCATATGTGATGGGTATATGTCAAGGTCGTCGCCGGTCAATCTGACGAGGCAAAAGGGCGGCTACATCCACGCTGACGGAACTGGCGACGCTGACTGGCAGGACATGAGCCCAGAGGAAACGAGGAAGATGTAATGGTACATTGGACCAGGTTCTCAGGTGAAACCACCTACAAGCCGTGGTGCGGTGTGCCCTGCTCCTATCGCCGCCGAGTCGGCGCCGACTATCCAGGAGATCCTTGCGGCGAATACGCGGGAATACCATCGGCTGCCCAGCTCGCGTTCGCCGTTCCTGAGCATGCCTGATCGTCTGGTAGGTTTTCCGGGAGAGACAGTGAACATGTAATATGGATTATGAAGACCGGGTATGAAGAATTCCAAATGGGCGAATAAAGAAGAAAATGTATGTTATAAAGCGTAACCGAACTCCGGGCCATGCCAGCATGTAATCAGCGAATCCAAGAAACCTCTTCACAGGCCTCTTGTCTTCTCCGGGTCCATCTGGACTTCATCGCCACTGATTTCCTTGACCGTCTGGTATGCAGGCTGTCCAGCATAAAGCTGTCCACCCGACGCATTCCCGGACTGTCCGCCTTCCATTTCCTTGGAGACCGAGATGGGCTGGTTACCACGGAAGCGTTTGCGCATATCGATCAAACCGCGTCTGTGTCCGGGGAATACCCCAATAATTAGTCCCATTGTCCTTCTATCCAGAGTTGTCGGCTCGATCTCGAGACCCGGTTCCTGACTCACTTGCACTCGCCGAATCCTTTTCGCAGCTGTTGACATTTCGTGGGTAACTCCTCGGCGAGAGGAGAGCTTAGACATTCGCGGGGCGAATGGCGCTGGACCATGATGCAGTCCGACTCCTGGAGACATTGGGCCAGAGCCCGCCCTATGAACATTCGACTGTGATCAGCTTGCGTCGGACCAATGGAGGGTTGCGGGAGAGGGTCCAGGTGAGTCAGGAGCGTGACGCTCCATCAGACCTCTGTGCGACTTGGAGTGCACTTACGGATATCGTTGCATGAGCTGGGCATTTTGACACGATCTCGTGGACGAATGCGCAACCACAAGCAGCAAGAGGGCAGAATGACTGGAACACCGCAAATTTAGGCTATCAGATGCCTCGACGCTGATTGGCTGATGCGTTCGATCCCCTGATGAGATAAGCCGCTATCACATGTTCGCAATGACGTCGACCAACTTGCATCGCCGCTCTCGATTGAATCTCAGCTTTGTTTTTCTGTTTATCTCTTGTGAAAGTGTACTGAACTTATGTATATCCATCATTGTTCATTATGGCGCGAGTTCCTTTTATCGGGAGACTGTTATGGTAAGAAGACCAGACTCCGAATAGGGAGGCGGCAACTAATTATCATACCTTAGGTTCGAGTATCTGGCCCTCTTTGGGTCATTGATCCTTGTTCTACTTGAGACAATTATTCATTTGATAACCTGGTGTCTACGTGAGTAAAGTCCACTGGTCCATGAAGCCTCCCAATACTAACCCCTAGGCAGCAAGCCCGATCATCAGATTTTGTTATGCTCAATCCAAATCAGTCTTCAACTACTTGATTCCGAATGAATCCCGCCAGAAGCGGACGAAAGAAGAGCAATTTGCCAGCTCTATTGCAAATGCATCCGACTTCACGGAGATCTGCGCTCTCTTCGGATATCAAGCCGAAGAGCACATTGTACAAACGAACGATGGTTATCTCCTTGGACTACATCGGCTGGCATACCGGAAAGGAGAAGAGGACATGCGCGTCAACCAGGGTCCCAATGGGCTCAGGAAGAAAATTGTCTACCTTCACCACGGACTGCTTATGTCAAGTGAGGTGTGGGTAGCTTTGACAGACGAGCAGCGTTGTCTGCCCTTCCAGTTGGTGGAAAAGGGATACGATGTATGGCTGGGGAACAACCGCGGCAATAAATACTCCAAGAAGTCGATTCGATTTTCGCCAGGTTCCAATGAGTTCTGGGACTTCTCGATTGACCAGTTCGCCTTCTCTGATATCCCCAACAGCATCGAGTACATCCTCGAGGTTACAGACCAGCCCTCCTTGTCATACATCGGGTTCTCCCAGGGCACAGCGCAGGCATTCGCTACACTCGCTATTCATCCATTGCTGAATCAGAAGGTCGATGTCTTCGTGGCTCTTGCACCGGCAATGGCCCCCTCGGGTCTGCGCAACCGCATCGTTGATTCACTGATGAAGGCCTCTCCAGACTTCTTATTCTTACTCTTTGGCCGACGCAGCATCCTATCGTCGACAACGATGTGGCAGACGATACTGTACCCGCCAATCTTTGTGCGCATCATCGACACAGCTCTCCGGGCACTGTTCAACTGGAAGTGTCGCAACATTGAGCAGACCCAGAAGCTAGCTGCGTACTTGCATCTCTACTCCTTCACGAGCACGAAGTCTGTCGTGCATTGGTTCCAAATCATCCGGAACAAAAACTTCCAATTCTACGATGATGAGGTGTATGCCCCATTCAATGTGACTGCCACTGAGCGTTTCTACAAGCCGGTCAAGTACCCTACTCGCAACATCAAGACTCCCATTGTCCTTCTATATGGCGATAGCGACAGCCTCGTCGACATTGGCGTTATGCTGAAAGGGCTGCCACACGGCACTACGGCGCAACCGATCCCAACTTACGAGCATCTGGACTTTTTGTGGGCCTCCGACGTTGACCGCCAAGTGTTCGGCTATGTGTTCGATGCGCTCGAGACTCACAGCCGGGGTGGCCCTGTCGTTGACCGCACTAGCCAGGGTGGGACTGGCAAACACGGTTCGTCAAATGATGAACGTGTTTCCAACACATCGGCAGCCCGAAAAAACCACGTCTCGCCCAATTAAATCGATCAGACCATTATTTGGGCATTCTGTGCCACCACCTGTACAATTTAAGGGTTTTTTTTCTGGGCGGGGTGATGGCTTGGCGGGCCACTTGCCACACTCATCTTTGAAGGGATTTATTGTATAGCGTCCATGGTATACACGTACAGAAGCGAGATAGATCCATCAAAGATGTGACCGCAGACTGTGCAAAGGCTTGGCGGATAATTTCCGGCAGAGTTTTCGGGAGTCTGTTAAAACGTTGCCTAAATCTGAAGTGGCGTGTCTCACACCAATGCGAGCCACTTCCGAAGGGCCCCGGTACCTAAGGCCCTGAGGGTGCCTGGCTAGAAAAGTGTAAAAGTATTGTGAAATGTGAGATGGCCTACCACGTATCCACAACAGCCTAGACACATTGGCACCCGACGTGATTTTCTTTTCTCCTTCCCAACCCGTTTAGGCCGAGATAAGCTTTGTCTCAAGTCGGTTTAGCCTTGCGATTCAGAGAGGAGATCATTTTAGTTCGAATGTATGAATGTATGAATCGATTAGGTTGACATGAACAATATGATACATATGATCCATGGATTGTTTACAGCGCCCACGGGTTTATACAGGTGTCAGAGCAGAATCCACTAAGATGAATCAAACTCGGAAGTCGCAGACGAATCTTGCCCGAGATCTTGTGGATTCTGATTCGATCTAGGCCAACGCCTTATCCCCACAGTAAGAACCTAGCGCTGGCGGACAAGTCACGGCCCGGGCGAACAGCGAACAGAAAAGAATAGTCTGGGTCAGGTACTGTGTGACCCATGGGACAAAGTAAGCGAGTCCATTCGGGTTGGTCGGACCGAAACGCATCCCCCTGGTTTGGACAATGGTCACCAATGGCATCAATGGAAATGGACATTGTCTAGTCAGGTACCGACCGCATGGAACAACATGGCAAACTCAAAATTTTCCATTTTCTTTGCGCCGTCAATGGTCAATAGGCTGCTCTGCCTATCAAACAGTCCCATCTACCACCCCCGATGTGACACACCGTGAGCCCTATGGCGACTCCACCTCAAAGAATAAAATGGCGCTGTACCCCCGCTCCATCTCCTCTTTCTCTTACTTTCCTTTGACCATCACGATCTTTCGAATCACACTCCTTTAGATTCATTCCCTCGAGGCTGAGCCTCTTACAACTACTCTCTTTACCACAGTCTGTAGATCAGACTTCCACTCCCTCAGTTCAAAGACACTACCGTCTAAACATCAAACACCTTCCTTCAAATCCCACGGATTCAATCTAAACCGCCCAACATGCGTTTCAACGTTGCCGGCGTCTCCGCCCTCCTGGCCCTGACCGCCAGCGCCATGCCCGTCGCCAAGCGCGATGTCGAAATCCAAACCGTCTGGCAAACCGTCTATGAAACGGTCTATCAGACCGTCCACCCCGCGCCTACCGCCAACGCCAACCCGGTCCAGGCCATGGCCATTCCTTCCACCACCGAGGCTGTTGCCGTGCCCACCACCACCAGCATCCCAACCCTCAGCGTGCCCGCTCCCACAGTTCCCGCCGTCAGCAGCACTCTGAGCCCCAGCACCACCAGCTCTGCCCCCGTCGCCACCGGCAGCGGTGTCTCAATCGTCAACAACCTCGACCACACCGTCTACCTCTGGGTCGTCACCGACACCCCCGGCGAGATGACTACCCTCGCCTCCGGCGAGACCTTCAACGACCAGTGGCTGACCAACTCCAACGGCGGCGGTATCTCGATCAAGATCTCCACCACCGAGGTCTGCGACGACGTCCTGCAGTTCGAATACACCCAGTCCGGTGACGTCCTCTTCTGGGATCTCTCGTCCATCAATATGCAGAAGACCTCTGCTTTCGTTAAGGCTGGCTTCGGTGTTACTATCTCTGATGAGTCTTGTCCTACTGCCACCTGTGCTCCTGGTGATGCGTACTGCGTGCAGTCCTACCAGTTGCCGGATGATGTTAACACCCTTGCTTGCGGTGTTGACGCTGCCTACACTCTTACCTTGGGTTAGAGTTGATTTTTTGTGATTTCTGGGTGTTGGGTTGGATATACCCCTCTTGGGTTGAGAGGAGTTGACATTCTTTCTTACGGAAGAAATGCAAATGCTGAATACCGAACTGATTTTTTATTTATACGCCTTTTTGTTCATAGATGGAAATTTAGAGATCAGTATCGGATGATGAATATCATGTGAAATGAGTTTATATGATTCTGCTACCTGCGTAACCAACGTGTTGCTGATAAAAGTACCTTCGTATGTCTATGCAATCGAGTAGTGAGTAGATATACTGCGTTGATTGATCCTACGGATGAGACTTCTGAAGTTCTGAGGTGGACGTAGGGCTGGGGATTCATCTGGCCATCGCCCTACTACCGGCCCCAACACCATCGACCACGGGGTAATCCTTTCATAGCAATAAACAATAAAGAGCTCAGTCACTTCTCGAATTGAGGCCCTAAAGAACCAAATAAATAACAAATACCCATAAAACACGAAACGCAAAGAGTCAAAAGAATCCCATAGTCCTAGCCCTAACAACCCGCGATCTGCATTTCAGTCCAAAAATAACACAGGCTGAAACACTCTAAGAAACACTCCAAACCCAGCGTCTCGCCACAAAGCCCCAATCAGACAAACTGAAAGAAAACTCGTAAGTGGAAGTATCAGAGGCCAACACAGTTCAAAGTAACACTACTCTCCTCCCCAACCCTCTAGCGAATCTGCCGAGTAGGAAAGGTCGATCGTAGATCTCAGAGTATGGAAGGAATAGACCACCAGGAGGGGAGGTAAAAGTATACTGTATACTCAGAGAATAGCAAGATAACAAGCCAGTGAAAAATCAACAATCCTCGTGATCAAGCACCCCAACATCTGTCCAATCCAATAGTAAGAACCAATCTATACCATATAAGCACCCCCAGAAACCTGCCAAGTCTGCCCAGTCAACCACTGACTCTCCTTACTAGCAATCAACCCCACAACGCCCGCAACATCCTCAACCTCCCCCGGCCTCCCAAGCGGCGACCACTTCCCCAGCGCCTGATCAATCTGCTCGGGACTCATCTCCTTCCCGCCGGGGATATACTCCTTCGCAACCTCAGCATACATATCGGTCTTGACACCGCCAGCAGCAATGCAATTGACAGTGATATTCCGCGGACCAAAGTCCACAGCCAGACACTTGGTCATGCCCTGCACGGCTGCCTTGGATGCAGCGTAGACAGCGTGATTGGGGACGCCCTGCACATAGTTAATAAAAAGTAGAGCTTAGCTAACTTGCACTTTCCAAAGACATTGAAGAAAATACCTTAACAGCCGAAATCGACGAAGTCAAAATAACCCTCCCAAACGCCTCCATAAACCGATAAGCCTGCTGTGCGACGAAATACTGTCCCTTGACATTAACCGCGAAGACTTTGTCAATATCGGCTTCTGTAACCTCGGATAGAGATCCAAAGTGCTCGATGCCCGAGTTGCTGACTACTATATCGATCCGACCGAATACGCTCATGACGGCTTCGAACATGGTCTTGACCTCTTCTTCCTTCGAGACGTCTGCTTGGAAGGCGGTGGCGTGGACGCCTAGCGCTAGGATTTGATCGACGATTGAGTCGGCGGCTGAGTCGTTGGTGTGGTAGTTTATTGCTATGTTGGCGCCTTGTTGGGCCAGTTTGAGGGCTATTGCGGCGCCGATGCCACGGCTGGAGCCTGTTACTGTTCTTTCGTGTTAATATGTCTTTAATGGGTTAGAGGGGGGAGGTGGTGGGAGGATTACTTATGGCGACTTTGCCGGCTAGGTTCTGGCTTGTGGACATGGTTGGGAGTGGATGAGGTGGAGGTTTGAGTGAATGTTACTATGAGCAGGAGTAACGGGAGAATCGATTCGTATATGGCTTCGTGTTCAAAGATCGGTGAGCAGCTGCATGCATTTGGGCCTATTCGGATCGTCACGGATCGTCCAAGTTGGGCTCGAAAACAGTGGAATTGTGAAATTACCAATGAATCTGTCTAAGAAATGGAATGCTCCTCAATTGCAGGTACATACTTATCAAATACACGGCCTTGTCCAAATGTTATCCATTCAGTCAAGACGAGAAAACAATCGCTGGGAACAATACAGCGCCAACCTCCTCACTTCCATCCCCAGTCTCAAAACAAACATCCATGGAAAAAACGCCGTTCCTAGATGGCACAGAACTATAAAAGAGTATTGTCGGATTACACATGAGAAGAAAAAGGGCACATGCGGCATGAAAAAGGGAAGGCACAGCCGAATGAAGCGCGAGGAACTTGAATTAGGTAGTCAAGGCCCACGATGTTCAGCAAATCACTCTCCAAGACCGTACTCAGCTCCGTTGGAAGGGCTGTCCCGATTGGGGTTGTTAAATGTGAGCTTCAGCTTGGGCTGGCCGGGGGTGCCAGCAGTGAGTGGAGTGTCAACACCGGAAGTAAACCCGGTCGAACCATCTCCGGCCGGCGGGGTTTCGAAGTTAGCGAGTTCAGGGTGGTCTTCGGTCAATCGGCGCAGTTCAGACAAGCACTTGGCCTATCATGCTGTTAGTATAAAGGTTGAATAACTAAGGTATTTGGAAGTCACCTCAATGTCGTTGGCATCCTGGAACAACACACTACCATCCTCGTTGTAAGTACGAGCATTCTGGCAAAGCAAGTGGATGTCGTCGCGGAACTCCTTCAGACTCTGGTAATCGGACCGCTTGATCTTCTTTTGAATCCCCTCCATAGCAATGGGATTCTGAATGATGACGTAGTAGTCGGGATAGGCAGAGCGTGACGGCGGCTTCACGAATGGCTCAATAACAGAACGGAAGATGGGGCCCCCCTCGTCGCTATCAGAACCCTCTGGCGCCACCTCAACCTCCATGTCCATCAGCGTCTGGGTGACGCTTTCGACAATGCGATTCAAATTGGCCCGGTCGGTCGGGTTAAGAGTATCCGGAATCTTAGGCTGCCGGCCTCTCTTGCGCTTAGGCTGTGGCGTTTCCTCTGCAACCTCCTCGGCCTTGCGTTTGGGGGGAGGCCCACGACGGCGTTTTTGTTTTTGTGGCGTCTCGTCTTCGTCCAAATCAGGCTCAGGTGAAGATTCATCCATATCGCGCCCAAGCTTGTTAGACCTGCGGCGCTCAACGCGAGCTTCCTTGCGTCGGATAGCGTCCTCAATAGTGTCATCCTCGGCGTCCACTGCCATCAACCACTGCTCTTCGGTGAGACCATCATCGTACTTGGTCACCTTGCGCTCACGAGCACCACGGCCAGTGACTTCGATTTCAACTTCCTCGGTGACAGGGTTGTCCTCTTGCATGTAAATATCAGGCAATTCTTCTTCACACATAAGTCGAGGATAGCGGTGGCCAGGCCCATACTGATCGGTGGCAATTCGCTGTCTATCGATCTCCTGGAAGATAGGAATTTCTTCCTCGGAACGGGCCATGATTTCATTGAGTTCGTCGTCGTCCATTTCGTCGTGATCGCCAATCTGTTCCGCGGCCTCCGCGGAATCCAAAAGAGTTCGCAGAAGTGCATCTCGCTCCTCGTTGGTGGACTTGTTGTCGAACTTTCCGGCCTGGATAACCTTTCCATCCATGTCCAGCTTGAACTGTGCACGCTCAAGAATCTTCTCTTCAACCGAGTTGGAGCTGATAAGTCGCAGAATCCTGACCTCGTTCTTCTGACCAATACGATGGGCACGATCCTGGGCTTGCAAATCCTGGTGAGGGTTCCAATCTGAGTCGTAAATAATGACAGTATCTGCCGTCTGCAGGTTAAGACCAAGACCACCTGCACGGGTAGAAAGCAAGAAGCAGAAGTATTCAGATCCAGGGGCATTGAACTGTTTCAAGAGATCCGACCGGTCATCAGACTTGGTTGATCCGTCCAGACGGAGATACTTCAGCCCTCGAAGGCGAAGGAAATCCTCCATAATGTTCATAATTTGGGTCATCTGGAAGAACATCAGGACTCTGTGGCCAGTGGCACGGAACTTCGGCAAGATACGATCAAGCAGCTCGAACTTTCCTGCCGTACGCCAGAGAAGGTCGTTAGACATGCGGCTGGGATTCATTTGGTCCTCAACAGGTTCGAAGACGAAAGGATGGTTGCAGAGTTTTCGCAGCTGCATAAGCATGTTGCTCAGACCACGCATTCCGGTCTTACCACCCTTGCCATCGGTAACAGCCATTTTGTTGTGAGTGACAAGTTGCTTGTACAATTTAGCCTGCAAAGCAGAGAATCGGCACTTGATGACCCGCTCCTGCTTGTCAGGCAGATCCTTCTCGACGTCCTTCTTCAGACGTCTCAGCAAGAATGGCCGGAGAACCTTGTGAAGACGACGAATGACAAGAAGCTGCTCTTCTTCGCTCAGGTCCATGCGATCTTGACCACCAGTATTCGCGAAAGGAGTGTTGAACCATTCGTCAAAGGACTTGACAGACTTGAAAATGTTTGGCAGCACGAAGTTGAGAAGAGCCCACAATTCGGGCAAGTTATTTTGCAAGGGAGTACCAGTCAAAATCAGACGGTAGCGACTGGTGTAATAGGTGGAGAGAGTGCTGCTGAGTTTAGACTGAGTGTTCTTCATGCGATGACCTTCGTCAACGATCATGTGGGTCCACTTGATTTTGCTCAAAATCGGACGATCCTTGATGATGTACTCATAGGTGGTAAGAAGAACCTGGAAGTTGCCCCACCGAATCTGTTGTTGCTGCTGCTTTCGGGCGTTGGGTGGGCCCTTGTAGACCACTTTGTTCACTCCAGGGGCCCACTTGTCAAACTCGTTGTTCCAATTGGTAAGTGTGGAGAGTGGAACAATGACCAAGAACGGCCCATTGTTTTTCTTCTTTTCGATGATATGCGTGATCAAACTGATTGTTTGGATAGTCTTTCCCAGACCCATCTCGTCGGCCAAGATACCGTTCAGGTTGTTGTTGTACAGAGAGATCATCCATTGCAAACCCTTGATCTGATACTCTTTAAGGGTACCTCCCTGGAGCATAGCAGGCTGCGAGGTAACTTCTTCGTTGATCCGATGTGCGACAGCATAGTAATCAACCTTCTTCTTTCCAGTGGCGGTGCTGCTGTCTCCCTCATTCTCGCTGTCGGCGATCTCTTCGTCAGACTCGTCGTCGAGGTCATGCGCCTCACCATACCGATTCGCCAAGTTACGCTGCTGTTCCTTGACTGATGCGGCAAGTTGTTTGAGGAAATTATCGGTCTGCTTGAGAAGATGAGAGATACGAGAATCCTTGGCCTGTCCGAGAAGTTTCAAATATGTCTCCTCGTCGTTCGCCTTCAGAGCCTGCAGACGTTGCTTGGCGGTTCGCTCCACGCGTCTTTGCTCTTCGCGCTCCATGTGCTGGTGGTGTGATATCATCATGCGACCCAGCTTCTGCGAGCGGGCGCGTTGCTGGGTAGTGGCATTGGCAAGCTCAACGCTGTGGTTGATGATAGCCTGCAGCTGATCGTACTGCTTCTTCTTCTCTCGAGATTCGCGGGCGTCACGCTGCTGCTTCTCAAGTTTCTCCGTGATGCGAGCTTCGCGCAGAGACTGCTTCTTCATGCGACGGTGACTAGAGCGATTGGCTGTCATGCCAAGGTTGCTGTAGTGGAACATCTCGCCTTGGAGTTGCTTGCGGTACTGTCGTTGTTTGGCCAAAAGATTAAGCGATTTATACTCGATCAGGGCTTTCAGCTTGAGGGAGTCATCGTATGTCGGCGCGTCACTCTTGCTGGTATCCCAGACACCAAGGTTGGCGGGAAGTCGAGCAAGCTCTGCTTTACGGGCGGTGATTTTGTTGTACAATATCATCTCACGATCGGCACGCATCTGCTCCAAGTCGATACCAGGGGGCAAAAGAGCGGGGATGCGCACACGGTTTGCACGATTGGCGTGGTCAGTGTAGCTGATGGTCTTGGACAGCGAGTCGTATGGGGATTGGAGATTGTCATACCACTCCCGAGTCAAGACTTCAGCTTCTGAGCTCTCCGGAGCCTGGCTACCAGAGCTGTCATTCGCAGCCTCAACGATCTTTTCGGCTGCGGCAACAGTGTCCGTGGGTGTAGGTGGCAGGGACTTCTTTGAGTTTTGGAAAAGCTGTTCTTGGACACGCGGGGGAATGGGGAGATTCTTGGATAGCATCTTGAAAGCCAAGATTTGGTTGCGGAGGGTTGCTAGCTGCTCTGGTTCGAAACCACTGGCGACAGTGGCATTTTTCTGGTTCTGGGCTGCTGCAGAGGCAGCAGCGGGAGCGCTAGGGGTGGCAGCTGAGGAAGCTGAAGGGGTGCGGCCTGTTGGGGAGTCACATTAGCCCTGTAAGCGGACTTGGGGCTTGGGGTTTCGCTCATGGAATGGGGCAATATAGGACTTACCATGAGAACCATTGGCAGCCTCGGGCGTAGCTCCATTCGCCTGCTGCTGTTGTTGCTGCTGTTGAGCAAAGCGCTGCTTCTTTTGGAAAGCTTGCTGTCTTTGGATAGCGATGAGTACGCTCTGGGCTTTGAGAAACTCCGGGTCATCAGAGCGGACGCCTTGCTCTTGCATCTGCCGATATTTCTGCGACAAGGTTAGAGTCAAGAATCGGATGGCAGTGATGCGGACAGAGCGATAGAGGGAATTGAACAATTGATGGGTGGCTGTGTATATTGTTGTGATGCGACAAACTCACCGTGAGGATTTCCTGGACATTTTGCGGCGTGAGATTCGGCAGATTGCCAGGCGCCATATTGGGCGCTTGGTGTAAGGAAGCCATTACGACGCGTATATTCTTTTAATTCATGAGCCAGCTAAGTAAGTCGAGGCGGACAATGGCGTTGAGAATGGACGCGGGTTTTAGGTCAGAAGCCGCAATCTCCACCTGGTCTCAATTCGCCAGTCGCGCAAGCAAGAGGAGAGACAGCCGTGGTCAAAATGGAGGGGCAGCAATAGTAGTATGGGCCCAGTTGGCGTGTATGCGACCAAAGTGCGACTGTATAGGATGCTTGGCGATGGGAGGCGTGGTGTTTGGGGGGGCGTGGTCGGAGCTTCCGATGTGATGGGGCGCGGTTACTTTCAGGGATAAGGGAGTCAAAGAAAGCGAGTAAAAAAGGCAAGTTTTTAGGGTTAAGGCAGGGTGGGGAGGGAACCCAAGGTGAAGACGCGTTGAGATGGCGCGTTCAAAAAGTGGATGGATGGAAATGGAGATGGGGAGGGGACGGAGTTGCGCGACAGGCTCGGGGAAATCTGGGTGCTCAGAGCAAAGGACTGGCAACAGCCTGGCAAGGAGTTTTTCGCACGGGACGACAGTCAGCAAGTCACGTGATCTGTCCGTGCTCAAATATGGCCTGGGCCTCGCAGCTCTGGTACCGTACCAATTTGGGAAGGAGTACACTGTGGGAGAGGTGAGGGATGGTTATATCCTTGGCCGAGTAATTGCCAGTGTTTATTCTCATTGCTAAATTACTTTACAAGTAAAATATGAGGACCTGTGGGTTTGACGCCGAAAATGACCGCTTTTGAGGCCAGAAACGGCTGCCTTTCCACCCGTAACTTTGGACGTCCAGCCGCCTTTTGACCGCCTACTACCAAGACCAACCACCAGATCACGGAACGGAAGATCATTTATCTCCGAGATAACTACGCGATAGACAACTATCGGAACGCAGGCTGACAACCTGGTTTCAATTTCCAAGTCTACTCTTAATTCTGCAACTTCTTACTTGTCTTGGCACTTGCGGAAAGCGTCGCATACGCTCGAAAGAGACCAGACAAAATCGGGCTTCCCACTACAGCTATGTTTAGGCGCCCGAGACAGACCGAGCCTGACAGGCTCTCTATGAGTCTTGTCAACACACTTCAACCTCTAGCTGTGATTCCTTGGGGAGCGCTCGCCATGTGGTATCTTGGGGTCCCCATTGCCTTTGGGGTAAACTGTACCTCGAGTAGCAAATCTGAATCGTCTTTTTTCCCTGCTAACGACATACCCATCACTGTAGGCTCCCATGATTGTGGTGCAAGACGATGACTACGCAGACGCTATTGAAAAGCTTGAGAGCGCAGGATTCGGCCGAAGCGTTCCAAAACGCGACCCTCCTCCCGAAATTATGGAAGACCATCCAAACCCACAGCAGCTTTTGGAAGAAATAAATGCTGGCTACAAACGCTTGGACCGGTCTTGTGCACTATTTGATTATCCACAGGGTGATCCAGCAGAAAATCCTTGCAGGTGTACGTGATTCCGAACTCCTTTGCGCATGTTTTCGAACAAGATATACCTCGCTCTTCGACCAGAATAGGAGATACAAACAACGCGGTTTCAAAGTTACGGCAGTCTGTGCTATCCACTGGAACAGGCACTAGTGGAAAGCTTTGTTAAGGCTGCAATCGACGAAGAAACAGACGCTGGTTTTCCTGGCTTTTCTGCGTGGGACGAATCACTGAGGTCTTGGCTATCTCTGATGGCAGGGTACCTAGAAGTTGACAACGATGTCCTCGACCTGTGTCCAGATAAACATGCAGTGGACTGGTACAGTCATAACTTCGGTCGAATTCGTGAGGCTAATTTCGGTCCCCTTGACCGACGCATTTCAAGACGTCTAGGCTCAGGAAAGAGATGCCAATAGATATGAGGGGTAATCCTCTTTGATAATGGCCCACATTCAGCTAACTAACTACAACTACGGATACGTAAACCAGAATCCAAATTAGTCTGGCAGAAAAGATAATGCCAGCAAGGCACGCCCTGTGATATCTAGGTACCAAACCTGAAAATTCAGGCATGGGAGGTGAGATTAGCCAAATGGGAGGTGCGATTAACAATCCCCTAACTAACACTAGAAACAGAATGAATTCCTAGTTAATGCACCAGGAGACAAGCGTATCCACGTCCCCGTCCTCCTACTTTGCGAGAGACCTCCCATGATAGACCAGAGCACAAACCCAAGGAAAAGACCGGACAGTCTCAGTCAGACTCGGGATATTAGTGACAGAATGATAAGAAAGATACCACCACCCCGACTGATCGTAAACATCGCAAACTCCGAAACGCCATGCTCAAAGATTAAGAACAGACGCACAATGCACTCTCAGAGATCCGTCAAACAGTTGGTGCAGTAAGAAGGGATCGCTTCATGGGCGGTGGCGGTGGAGGGGGCTTCTTTGCACGGGAAGGCGGAGGTGGAGGAGGAGCCTTCTTTGACCCGATGCTGTTCAAGTTGGTTGCGCTGGGTCTCCTGGACGCTACACTGTCGTGGGATGTTGCTGGGGATATAGATCTGCCGCTGAACATCCGCTCGGGACTAGAGCGCCCATAAGAGCTGACTTCTTCTGAATCGGCGTAGGGGTCAGCAGAGATGCGACCACTGCCAACTTGTGTGCTGCTTCGACGTCCAAACCCAGCCAGATTCTCGCTGGTAGTTCGCTGCTGAATCCACTGAGATGCAGCAGGCAATTGCTCTTGTCGCAATTGAGCAGGACCCTCAAACGTGGGAACTCTGTTGAGAACTGGCCGTGAGGCTCCATTGACATTCGCATAGCTGTCTCGCGAGGATGTATCCGCGTGCGGCATCACGGTTTTCGCAGATCGAATGGGAGGTCGAGCTTCCGTGGCGTGGATCAACTCTTCCTGCAGTGGGTCATACCGGTCCTGATATGAGTGGGCGGTGTTGGAACGCGCACGGATTGGACGACGGGGAGGAGCGTGTCCTTGGCTGGACCTAATTTGTATTAGCTTCACACCTGTGGTATAGCTAGTCAAGTCAATGCTTACCCAACCCATTCGCTCTTGAGCTGCAAAAGCGCCTCGCGAGATCGTTCATGGTATTCAAGCTGGGCATCCAAGAACGTCTCCATATCCATGACATTCTCGCTTTCGGCTTCTTTGATGTCCTGCATGCGGCGCAACACATCGTCACTGGCTTCCTCATACTTCACCTTCTGGGAGCGTAGTTCTTCCTCCACGCGGAAGTCCTCCTTCTTAGCCTTCTCCATTTTCGAAAGAGAAGTATCGTATGCCAGCCGTCGGCTATCAAGCTTCTTGCGAGCATGCTGTAATACAAGTTAGTATACAGCCACCGGTCTCCAATGATCGCAAGGCCAAAGCATACCTGAAGGTCCTTCAACTGAGTCAGGGATCGTTCAAGGGACTCAAGCCAGCTTGAGGTCGCCTGTGCTATGTAACTCTCTTGGATGCGCGCGATGCGCTCCTCGGTGCGCCCAAACACTGCTCGCAGAGTTAGCGACATGACACCTCCCCCCACATGTGTCGTTAAGACTCACTGATCAGGCACTGCCCGTATTCCGAGTTTGCGTCGAAGTCTTCACCGTGGCTAACCATGCTGCTTCCCAAATGAGCAATCGGGAGGGTTTTCTCTTTGTCGTCTCCCTCATTGCGTTTCGAGATGGCCTTCACATAAGAGGTCATGGATTTATGAATGCGATCAACGCCTAGAATAAGAGGGCTTGAATCAGCATGGTTGAACAGCAACCGCGAATCACTGTAACTTCCTACCTTCATGTCGCACAGCCATCTCTGTCTCCATTGCCTTGAAATCATCGGAGAGACAGGTTTTGGCCTCGCCGCCCATGCGCTCTCCAGCCCATTGTTTGAATCGGCCGATCCTCTTGTTGACATTCATGTTGGATGCGACTGAGTCGGGATGATAGGGGTGGAAGAATAATCGAAGCCAGCGACAGTGTGAAGTTACGGTAATGAGCGAGGCAAAATAGACGATTGAATTCAAGCGACTGGAATGTCCGACTAGAGAGGTCTAGGACAAGGTAAAGACTGGAAGAGACGGGAGGGGAGGAGGGGAAGAGGTTGGGGAGGATAAATTAAATCATCCCTGGCACGCAATTATGATTGAATGGGTAAGGCACGTTTACATCTCGACCATCCGCCACAAAGTTTCTGGAATTTACCCCAAATGCGCTTTTATTTCATATGCATGCAGTTTTGTCGATCTTGTCAATCAGTGGAGAAGGAGGGGTGTGATGTTCCAATCGTTTCTTTGTGTCTCAATGGCATTAATCTAGATCGATGTCATTTTCAATACAATTTCCATCCAAGACACAGTCTCAGTAGTGTCATTTTCAATGTTCGTACAGAGGTAAATAAACCGAGACCAGGGGGATACTGTAAATGCGACAGGCGTTAACCTTGGAAAGATACAGCCCGGATTAGTGGGTCAGTGGAGCAACCCGTCACTACCCATTGGAGGACCCAAAACATTCGAATTCTAAATTACTATAATTATCTTACTTGCCACTCTTGAGGAACAAGGTCCAGGTGTATTTATCCAGTTCAATATTACTTGAAAATATCAATTGAGAGCGAATTAATCCAGAAAATGAATGATTTTCGTAATCTGTATATCGTATATTGTAATAAAATAGGCCGTGGCTCAGGCTGCTCTTGTGCACGGAGCGCTTATGGCTTGAAATGTGGTTTCAACGCCGTTTCAGTTGCTTCATTCCAGTGGATACGATAGCGTGGCCAAGTGGGTTGCATCGCCGCAATGCCAACCAACGTTTATTGCTTCTAGAATGGTAATCCTATCCGGATTCAAATGCCACTATCCGTACATTGCCATTGTTCTGCTATTAAACTATATGATTGGCGGACACACTAAAAGACTGTATACAGTACACAGTACTGTATTCATCCATTCATCCATTCAGGACCGATCATGTCAGACTCACAGAGTCCCATCGAAACATCACCACTGGACCTCACCAGCAACTGAGGCTCAACAAATAACCCCCCAGGCTCCAACATTTGTCCCTGCTCTGACGCCAGCAGCGCATCGAACTCATTCCAGGCACCTTCCATCCACCCCGGGGAAGCAGCCCCAGCCACCGGCGGCCAAGCCGCCTCCTCACTTGTTTTACCATGATCTAGAATCTCCTTCCCTTCCTCAGAGCACAGGCATACTGTTTCACCTCCAAAACAAGCATCAGAGGCCAACGAAACCGGCGAACACGATTTGTCCTGCACAAGTCGATCGATATATTGACCGGGCGTAACGCCCACATGTTTCTTAAACACACGGTGGAAATGACTGGACGTCAAGCCCGCCTGCGCTGCCAGATCTCTTGGCTTCGGTTTCAGCCCTGCTGATAGGATGTTTCTGACTGACTCGCATGCTTTCTCAACCACGGCTGTTTGAGGATTATTTTGAGCCGCCGTCTGACCCGAATGCGGCCGACAGCGCTTGCAAGGCCGGAAGCCTGCTTCCTCGGCTTGCGACGGGGTGTCGTAGAAGAGGACGTTCGCGCGGCGGGCTAGTCGTGCTGGACACGAGGGGCGGCAGTATATCTTTGTGGTGAGTACGGCATAGACGAAGGCGTTGGCTGTGATGTCGCGGGTAGTGATTGCTTGCCACCGTTCTGTGTCCGTTGCGGTGTTTGCGCTGAGTCGCGAGATCCTTTGGGGCTTAGACATCCCTGGCATATTCGAGAGGTCTTGCACCCATTGGTGTCTTCAGTTTTAGAACGGCCATGGAGGTTCTTCGAATGCAGAGTCGGTGTAAAGGCCCGCGCGGGAAGTTGGGGATCTTGATGAATGATCTCAAACTGGCCAATCAGCGTCTTCGCCATCCACGGACCACTTTGGTGGGGGTCAGAGAGATGGACCTTTTACACAGTACAACATTGTTCACCCGAGATAACTCGCCTTATGCAGTAGTGATCGAGGATCTAATGGTTGCAGATCATACATGATACATATTGAAGTGTTCATGTTGGTGTTACCCCATGGGCATGGGCAGACGGATGCCAATGTCCCAATGAAAATATATTATGCAGCTATGCTCGGGCAGGTCAACATTGAGCTTCCCGCGTCAACTGGCTCCGTCCAATGCCCGTAGCCATCAACATACACACCGTGTAGTAGTTGCTCGTAGGTATCGACCAGAAACACTACGTCGTAGGTATACTTTCGAGATAGCGAACTGATTGCACACCATACATGGACGGAGTAAAGACCTAACATTTCTACGTGATACCACCTGAAGCTGACGAGGGATCGAGTCATAATCCCACATATTCGTGCGTTTGGCCGTATTGCATTGCTGGGAGACATGCGAGGCTGTAATGGGTGCCGTAGAGTGAATGTTGGTGTCAAGGGAGTGCCAACAAGATACACCGTACTCGCCTGCGGCTGGCTGCGATGAGGAATAATCCACTAAGATACCATACGCCTGCAGAATACCAGACCATAGCTAAGATCTACGAGGGTGATGGACGAACATGTGAAGATTTGAAAGGTGTATCATTCCACAGTCCCGAAGGACTTTTTGATTTCGTTCTGCCCTCTCGAGGCCAACCCCAGACCCCATTCCATCACCCTTTGGTTCGTTCGATAAAGAAAAGGATGGTGACCACAACCTCAATTCGCTAAGGGCGCATGAGACGCTTATCCGCAGTCGCCTAGGTACATTTGTCTCATAGCAGAATTCCATTTTCGACCCGTCACAAGAAAAACTCCAAGAAAAAGCACACTTAATCCTTGGTCTTCTGGGTACCGCGGAGCAGACCAGTTCTGCGGGCGGCAATGAGACCGGCCTTTTGACCCTGGGTAGCGTAGCGGGAGATGGTCGAGGCCTTACCGATGTGCTGGTGGTTACCACCACCGTGAGGCTGTAGAGAAGATTGTCAGAGATTGCGTTCCTGGATGCCATCTGGCCTGTGTGTGGACGAAAACTTACGTGATCGACGGGGTTCATGGCAACACCACGAGTCTTGGGCCAAGAGTTGCGCTTGACAGCGAACTTGTGCTTGGCGCGACCGGCCTTGAGCAAAGGCTTGTCGGTACGGCCACCACCGGCAACGATACCAACCATACCGCGGGCAGTGTTCTTGATGACCTTCTTGGCACCGGAGGGCAGCTTGACACGGGTCTTGCCGTCCTCGGGGTTGTGGCCAATGACGGTAACGTAGTTACCGGAGGTACGGCCGAGCGCACCACGGTCACCAGCCTTCTCCTCGACGTTGGTAACGACGGTACCCTCGGGCATGGAGCCGAGGGGCAGAATGTTGCCGACGGTCAGACCGGCGTTCTTTCCGGCGTAGATGAACTGGCCGGTGTACATGCCCTCGTTGGCGATGAAGGTCTCGGTGATCATCTTGAACTTGTAGGGGTGACGGAACTGGACCTTGGCGAGGGGAGCACCACGGCCGGCATCGTGGATGATCTCCTTGACGACACCACGGGTGTAACCGTGAGCCTCAGCGTAGTCGAGGGTCCGGAACTGGGCAGGGGCCTTGTTCAGGCGGGTGTTGGCCGCTGTAAAGTAGAGAAAAATTCCATATCAGCATTCCGAATCTCCTTCCGAATTTTGTGTGTTCTCCCAATTGATTTCCTCCTCGCTGCTCGTGGTCCGCAGTTTCAAAATTTCGTGTTGGGATGATTTGCGATCGCACTCACTGAAAATGGAGCCACGGCCCTTCCTCTGGTTGCGGATGACACGACCCATGGCGACTGGCTAGACAATAAATCTATGTTAGTATTGAAGCCGGACGAAGTTGTCGTGGGAAGTGGTAAGTCGTACCTCGAATTGAAGATTGGCTTGTCGTTGACGAGTTGAGAAATCATCGGACACGGGGACTTGTGTGGGCTTTAGGGTGCGGTCGCTAACCTAACCCAATCGGGTATAGCGCATAGTCGCTTACGTTGAACTTGAATTTGGGGAACAACGACACAGGTGATTTTCAGGTCTTTACAAAGTTGATTCGGATAAATTTGTGGGAATAAACTGCTTTAAACAATGAGAGTAATTACACTGAAATACTTTATCACCCCAAAGTGCCATATATTACGTGTTGCAGGCCGAAGAGCGTATTCAAGTGCAAGCCCTGGAAATTTCCATTTTAGGATGGCAATTATGTCATCCATCATGTGACCGACAAGAGCCCGACTTTGAGCGTTGTTATCTTTCTTGGCCTTGAACCTGCAGTCAAATCCCTCTGCGCATTTCATGTCCTTTCAGAGCCTTGAGCCGGCAAAACCGTCGTTATGTAACGTTACAGAAACAACGGGCTTGACGCATTCTTCCAATGCTCCCCTCCCTTATCAAAGCATTGCAGACATGGATCGATCACTGTCCCAGGTGGCAAAGCTTATCCCGTACGCTGCGTACATCGGACACGAGGACAACGACATCAGTCATTCTAGCCAATCGCACCCCACCTGCGAAGGTATCCCTAGGCTATATATGGCCTTCCTATGCAATTGCTCTTGTGCACACGTCTGATAGTGCTCCATCAATACCATTCCAGCTTTCTCCAGCGAGGCTTGCTATATAGAAATATACCCATTTTCATCTATCCTATTGCTCTGATCTATGATGCCTTAGAAAACTGCAAGAACCCCTGTAAAAGAGAGTACGAACAAACGTAGCAGTTGTGTCAGGACCGTGGGATAGTCGCCCTTCGGGCGCAACCTACCTCGGAGCAGATGTGACGCTCGATCGCGCGCAACTTCTTCCTTCAACACCTATCCCATCACCTCCACCATACCATGCCGTCAGATTCAGAACTTTCCTCATTGTCGTCGGCACCGCCGACGGATGATGAAGCTTCTAAGACGATTGATCAGCCGACTGGTATCGCAAAGTATTTCAAGAAGGAGTCCGAGACGCCGCCGCCGAAGCGGGAGCCTTCACCACCACACGAAGAGACTCTGGCCGACAACCCGGACATTGCAGTGAGTCTGTCCTAGATTTGAATTCTGCGCGCTGTTTGTTCGACGGACTGTCTATGACGCGTTCGACGCACAAGAAAACATGCTTACTGACTTGTCGCGATCCTTAGTTCATCGTCGCGTTCCGCGCGCGTTTTCACGAAGTGTTCCCCCGAAGCGTGCCACACTACGGTCCACAAGATATCGAGAAGGGAGTCGAGGAAACTCCCCCCGGAGAATGCGTTGAAAGAGTCCTATGCGCATTGCTTGGGCTTCTACTGAATCGCAAGAAAGAGGTTGAGTATGTTCGCCACCCGATGCCCGATGCCGTGCGGAGTGCTTGAAGATGTGCACTTTTGACTCGTCATCAATTGTTAACTGGTTGCTGACACAATATGTTACAATAAACAGACGAAACCACTATACGCGTCCTCTCGAAGAAGCAATCCATACACATCAGTCGCAGTGGCCGAAAGAATGGGAGGGCAAGAACCCCCTGCACGGGGGTCGGAGCTTTGCGACCATGACTCCTGTGGAACGGGTAAGCTTCTGACACTCGTCAACGCAGCCAGTTCTACATCCTGACTAATTGAGTTATAGATCCGTTTACTGAGAATCTTGATAATATGGTCACTTTCATCGTCTGAAGCTGTTCAGGCGAAGATCAAAGAATCTTACAAGCAGGCACGCCACGATGACGACCTTAACCAGCCATTATCTGTCCAGCCTTGGGGTCGTGATAGCCTAAAACGTCGGTTTTGGCTTATTGAAGGGCACGATGATACACATTTCCGGCTCTACCGCGAAAGCAATCCAGCGCTCAAGCACAACACCTGGCGGAGCGTCGCAGGCAGTATTCCCGAACTCGAAGCAGTCGCCGAGAAACTTGAGACTGAGAAAGGAACAAACGCCAAAAGGCTCAGTGAAAAGATTCGCGCAGCTATTCCTCGATTTGAGGCATCAGAAGAGGTAATGTGCTATTCAGAGAGTCATCTGGATCTTACTAAACTTTCATTAGAAACGGAGACGCCGTGACTATCGCCTAGCAAGAAAGGCCGCATTCAGTCGTCCGGATCCTGGATTCTCCATGTATGAAGGCCGAACACGCGGCAAGAAACTGAAGTACACATACTCGGAGGATGAGGACTCGGACGAGGAGCCCGCTACTCGTCGCTCGACCAGGAATGCGGCTTCGACCGAAGGTGCCACCGAGTCTAGACGGCCTCGATTCACGGCAAGTGGGAGGCAGATCCGATCTCGTGCCGGGGGCCTTTACGGCGAGGCTCTGCTGACCGGACAACGTGATGTTGAAGTCTTCGATGACGAGGAAGAAGAAGAAGTAACCAGGCCGCAGAGAGCTCGTACTTCGATTTATCCAAATGGATACTCCGGTTATAATCCCGATGATTTGGACGATTCATCTGAAGTACATTCAGTCGGGGATGAGAGCGGCAACGAATGGCAAGGAGTTGACGACGATCTGGAAAATGACTTCGAGGGTGACAATGAAGAGAAAGAAGCAAGCCCAGATGAGTCAACCGGCAACGAGGAACCAGAAAGCCTAGTTGTACAGCTTCGATATGGGAAAGGAGATGCACCTACCAACTCCGGAGATCAGGTTGACAAAGCACCTCCGCAAACACCTCCTGCGGAGGCCGACGTTGAAATGAAGGATGCAGGAGAAACCGCCGCAGCCTCATCTGCCCAAGTGCCACCAACAACTTTCCCTCAGTCAAACTCCGACGTGCAACAGGCTCCGACTGTGACTTCATCTTTGGTACCCCCGGTGCCAACTCAGGCCACTCCTGCTGTGTCTGTGTGGTCTGATTCTCTACCAAAGCCCCAAGTGGTCATCCCACAGGCGTCGCTGGCTGCAGGCCAAGCACTGAGTGGTGATATTTTCCCCAAGCCCCAAGTTGTCATCCCACAGGCGTCACTGGCTACAGTCCAAGCACCTGTGAATGGGAACACTGAGGCGCTGCAGGCCAGTCAGCATGTTAATCCCAATGGCGGGAGCCGGTCGTGAAGCAGCTGACGCTGACTGTGATTTCCATTGCTCTTAGTTTGCTCAGGTTAGAAAGGGACCAGGAATGTACATTTACAAACCGTCGCTAGAAAGTTTTCCTCGGTTGAAATTGTTCTTCGATCAAGCCGTAGGTGTTATTGGCACACGATATCGAGCCGGCATGTGAGAGAATGGGATAGAGTTACCATCACACAGTTCATTTTGTAGTAATCGGGGACCTGCGATGAATCTTATACAAGATCTCTTACTATACTCAAGGGATATAGAAAATTCAAATGGGAATCAATAACAGCAGACGCCTCCAGCAGCGCAAACGCCAGAAATGCAAGCAATAAAGTGTACAGCAGCAGTCAATTGACACCTGAATCAAAGTACCGACGAATCACATCCAGCGCAGATATGACCTCAGCTAGAGCCTGCGTTGGCGAATTGAGTCGCATAAGACTTCAAGAACTCCTCTAATCGTCAGCGTTTCCACTTCTGGTCGAGATCAGACAAGTACTCAATAGCGATTACGGAGGGGCACTCACATCTTCCATCTGCGATGCTAGTCCAGGAGACCTGGTCGTACCCAATTGTGGGAGATGCCAATTGTTCACTTCATACCACCATCTGCGTATACGACTGCCGAGGGTGTGGCCGCTGAGCGAAGCACTGCGGTTCCAGAAGCGCCAGCCTGAGAGCGCGAGAGTCCAGACGGTTCCTTGGATCAAAGGTAGAAGCACCTAACAGCAGAAAAAGAGGTGTGTTAGCGAGGAATTGTACACCATTTTACGACTGAGAATCTAAGACAGCAGCTCCGCATACCTGGTCCCTGGTAGTGATCCACGCCACTCGACCCCATGTCTGAGCATCCTTAATGCTCGCCAAGTAGCTCTGTTCAAAGCGCAAATCTGGAAGAGGAGGAAGATTCTGACGTCGATGAACAGGCCGAATGAATCGACTTTCGTCGACAAGGTCGGAGGCAATGCTGTTTGTATCGGAGTCTGGGCTTGCCACGACGGGTTGTTTCTCTGAAGCTGCCGTGGCTGGGTTGATGTCATGAGCAGGGTCAGGGTTGTGATTGATGCTGGCAGTCTGAATGAGCTCCGGTATTTCCATAGCGTAGCCGGCCATTTTGGTGGATGTGCAGCTTTAATGCATTCACGTAGCTTGAACAGAAGCAATGGCCTCCTACGTTCGGCCGTAACCGATGGCCCGTGGGGATACGCCGCCTTTTTCTGCCTGCCCCTCCATATTCTCACCTTCTCCCACCTTTCTACTTCGATTCATTACCAAATTCATCAATTATATCACAATGGCTGCTGCTCAAGGTTACCCTCTTTTGTGTCTGGAGAACCCTCTCCTCGGTATGTGAATCACCATCCGGGCAAACTTGTTATAAAACAATGCTAACATGCTTACAACAGACATCCAGGCTCGTGGGTATGATTGAACTTGAATTGTAAAGAGTAATTTGGATACTAACACCATCTGTAGCGATGCTGCTCTCCTGGACAAGTATGGCCTGAAGCCCAATGATGCTATCCTCGCTGAGGACAAGCACATGGGTATCTACGAGGATCTGCTTGCCCGCGATGCCAAGCTGATCCCCGGTGGTGCCGCTCAGAACACCGCTCGTGGTGCCCAGGTGTGTCTTTAGAACCTCATTTGTGGGCTCCAGCATTGATATTGACGATGTTTCCAGTACATGCTCCCCGAGCAGTCCGTTGTCTACATCGGTTGTATCGGTAAGGACAAGTTCGGTGATATCCTCAAGAAGACCTGCGAGGAGGCCGGTGTCCACACTGAGTACCGTGTCGACGAGGCCCAGCCCACTGGTAAGTGTGGTGTTGTCATCACCGGCCACGACCGCAGCATGTGCACCCACCTTGCTGCCGCCAACGAGTACAAGCTTGACCACCTCAAGCAGCCCGAGGTCTGGTCTCTGGTCGAGAAGGCTCAGGTCTACTACGTCGGTGGCTACCACCTGACTGTGTGTGTGCCCGCCATCCTTGCCCTCGGTGAGGAGGCTGCCGCCAAGAACAAGGTATGTGATCTGGATTTTGGCGCATCAGGCCCGTGTCTGTGCTAACATCATCGTCTATCACAGATCTTCATGTTGTCTCTCTCTGCTCCTTTCATTCCCCAGTTCTTCAAGGACCAGCTTGACAGCGTCCTGCCCTACACCGACTACACCTTCTGCAATGAGACTGAGGCTATTGCCTACGCCGAGTCCCACCAGTGGAACACCGAGGACATCACTGAGATCGCCAAGAAGCTCGCTCAGCTGCCCAAGAAGAACACTCAGCGTCCCCGTGTGGCCATTGTCACCCAGGGTACCCTCCCCACCATCGTCGCCACCGGCTCTGCTTCCGGTGAGGTCGAGGTGAAGAAGTACCAGGTCCACGAGATCTCCAAGGACGCCATCAATGACACCAACGGTGCCGGGTAAGTGAAATCCTCGAGCAACCTCATGATAGTTACGCTGACATTTGTCTCATCTAGTGATGCCTTTGCCGGTGGTTTCTGCGCCGGTGTTGTCGCGGGCAAGTCCCTCGATGACAGCGTCGATATGGGCCAGTGGCTCGCCAGCAAGAGCATCCAGGAGCTTGGACCTTCGTAAGTTCCCCAAAGCAATCCAACCCAGGAATAATAATTAACCTCCAACTGCAGCTACCCTTCCCCCAAGCAGACCTACTCTCGCTCTTAAGCAATTCTAATTTAGGCTACGAACAAAAGCATAGACTACCAACCTTCAACACATCTTCCAACTTATGGAAATCTCTGTGCAGCAGTCCAGTTCTAACAACCGGATGAGCACCACTTGACTTTGGATGATTCAACCCTCTATACCCAATTTTTCTTTTTATCGAAACTCATGACTTCAACGTACTGTCTGAAAGATCAAATGAAACATACTATGTCGAGATTCCTATCATGTTCGTCTTGACATTTAGACGTGACAAATGAACATACTAGGGCACTCTACTTCTACATTATTCATCTGTACACTACTAGAGAATATCTGTACACAACTAGTTAGAAGATTGATATTTCACTGCCTAACCACACAATAGTGCCAAGGGAACAACAGAACCCAAGCTTGCAGTCTCCATATCCATCCTCTTCAATATCACCGTAGCCATGTGGCGCATACTTGATGCCCACGAACGAAAAACACAAGGCCAGGACAGATCAGAAAGAACAGGGTCCCAGGCCATGTAGCATGAAACGTAGAAAAGGCAGAAAAACAGAAACGAAACAAGCGTCTTCCCAGAGAGAAATTGCCGTCCCATCTCCTCGTATTCATGCACGTGTTGAACGCGCCCAGACAAACTGTCACGAGGAGAGCAAGGATTCCCTTAGGAAAAGGCATCGAAAGTACCCACCAAATCTCACCAGTGCAGGCTGGATTCTGCACTGGCTAGCGTAGTACAATCTTATCTGGTTGCAAGTGTGCAATGCGTGTCAGAGTAGGTCCGATGTGTCTAGAGCTCAACGCATTTCACAGTACACAGTGGCGGCCATGCTCAGACAAAAGAAAACACAGTACATGTCAGGGTGTAGCTGGACATCCCAGTTGAGCGGGAGTTTGAGACAGCTTGCGCCCGGCTAGTAGTGTGGTGTTGTTATGCATATGCACAGGTTAGAAGAACTAAAAAAAATCGAGAGCTTGGATTCGAATCAGCCTCCTTGTCCGCAGGGTGGGGTTTGGCCGATTGTTCCGAGCTGGGTGGGCTTGCGTCCTGGCATCCCGGAGCTGTAGGGAGTTGCGCCGGCGTAGCTGCTGGCGATGAAGGCGTCGTTGGCCCACGAAGTTGACAGGCTGCTGGACATTGGCTGAGGTGGGAGTTCGAATGCACCGAAAGGTCGATTCTGATCCCAGGTGTTTGGGACGGGAGGATTGGATGATGTCCATGGGGTGGGCATTGACCCCACGTCCATTGAGTTTGAATACTGGGGATCAGCATACATCGGGACTTGTTGACTAGGTTGCGGACCGAATCCCGGGGGTGTGCGTGGGGAGGCGGTATCTGCCGTTGGGTTCCAAATGCTAGGAAGGCTTGGGATAGAGGGCCGTGGAGTGTATGATTGAGCCAATCCCGCTCTGAGTGCGTCCGCCGCGGTAATGACTGGCGCGCCGAGCCCGGGCGGGGGGGCCATTGGAGTGCCGGCTGGCGGAGAGGTTCTCTCCTCGCGGAATGGATAAGCATTGACATTGGGAGAGACGTGGGTGGGTGTTTGCATCTCCCCGACTTGGTTCATGTATGGGAATTGGTCGTTAGGTGGATTGTCATAGGTGTCCGAGTCAACAAGTCGCTCAACCCCTTCGACGATCTGATGCATGTTGGCGGACATGGAGGCTGATGCCGACTGGGAACCGTCGAACAGACTTTGAGCTTCTGTGGCAGGGTAGGGTTGAGCGGGCTGTGGAATATCCTCGCGCTCAATGCTTGTAGTCGAGAGTGCATGCTGCCGACCATGAGGACTGGAATAGAACTGCGGGGGGAAGTCCTCTTCCTGATAGATGAATGTCTTCTTGTCCTCATTGTCCACGAGAGCGACCGGGATTTTCTGTAGAAAGTCAGCTATTTGCTCTGTTTGTGGGGTCTCAAGTGCTTATCACATACTCCTCTCACGACCAAGTCAAGCCCATCAATCACAAATTCACGGATTCGATAGAGCATTTCCATGTTGGGGTGACTTCTCTCCACCCCAAGGTCATGCATTCGGGGCTTTGGCTGATCACCGCCTCCGACGTATCGACGACAAGTGGCTTCCTGATCGAGAGGTGCAAAACCAAGGCTTTCTTCATCTTCTTCCAAGAGGTAATCGACCTCTGGAAGGCTTACAACGTCGAAGGAGGATGCGAGCAAGCTCAGCGTACCAGCATAAATCTTCCAGAACTCTTTGATTTGGATCGAGAGAGACGAATCTTTCTCCTCTTTCTGGTCAACGAGAGACTGACTGTTTGTAAGTAGCCACGAGCTGTAGTGACGAAGTGCGGGCAAGATGCGGCGAGCAACCACGGAGATTTTGTCGGGGACGGGCACGTCTTTGCTATTCGAATCTTCGAAAGAAGCAGTCCGTTCTAATTCGACCAGGAGTATTTGCAGCAAGGTGAAAAACGTCTTTACATTGATTCGTTGGAAAAACACGCATGCCTCCGACACAGATTCTTCTGAGTGATGGGTGAGTAGATGCATGGACGAGGATTCTGGCGAACACTTACCAATGGATCGAGCTTTAGCACACTCCTCAGCCGCAATATTGATGAGACAAAACTTTTGAAGGGTACCTTCTAGTGACCGTTCTCTGATCTCAATTGCCAACTGACTTAGGACTTCACTTTCCAGGTCATCGTGCTCTGGGAAGTCCGTTCCTTTGTAACACTTGGCATGCAGGTAGAGAAACCATGGAGTTAACGCTTTCCCGGGGATACCAGCATCTTCAGGGCGGATCAGCTCTCGTTTGGCCCAGGCGCTCATAATCTTTCGGAGTTCTATCTCCAGATTTCTTTTCGCCGTAGGATGAGGTTCCTGAGCCGAAAGAGCTCGGTACAGGTGGTAGGTAGCGCGAAGATGATTTCCATCTGCGAGGGCAATGATCGCCAACTGATTCTGAGATGCACCCGAAGCCGGGTTGATGACCGAGGCCAAGTCATAATAGCCAATGGCAGGCCCCCAGTTACGATCTTTGCTGACGAGTTCTGATTCACGGTAGCGGGAAAGGTCTCCTAGCCGAATGAGCGTTGCGTGACACGACTGAAGGATAAGCTTGCGCAGGTCACCGGAGGGCTTGATCGGAGGTTGGCCGGACAAATCTAGAAAGGATCGCGGGTCAGCGTGTCAAATTGACCACGCGCATATAGCTTGCTGCCTTACTCTCGAAATTGAATTTGCGCGCAACGCTCTCCAACTCAGCAATTCCTCCAAAGCGCGACGACAAATGCTGGATGAATCCGCGGTAGAATCGCTGGCTTGACTTGATGAAATCGAGGTAATGGCGTTCTAGCTTCCGTCGCTCAACTGGTTTCTTCTTACCGTGCTCTTCGCGAAACTATTCAACATAAGAATAAAGTCAGCTAAGCCACCCTAACAAAGAGTTTCGGTGGGGTTACTCACGGGAAGCAGCTGCTTGCGAAACCGATTGTTCACTTTCAAATGCGCATCCCAAAGGCGACCCTCGACATCAGCTGCGCGGGCAGCATGGAAGTCAAGGAGGATTGCATTTTGAGAAGGAGAGCGAAACCTGTGTGCCAAAAGGTCAGCCGGAGCGGCATGCGCGCGGGGCTAGGGCGCCACTGACTTGGAGAGAAAATGTTCGAATTCGTCGAATGTGCGCCGCTCCTGCGAGAAGCATTGCAGAAGCTCGTTCTCGGCTTCGATCGCAGTCCTATATCACACGCGGCTGGTTAGATGCAATTCAATCGGAACCAAGGGAAAGAGGCACTGACTTCCAGGCATCGGCGAACGAGGGCGCCATCAGGGAGTTGGCTCGGGGATACCGAGCGTCAACCTCGCCGGTCAAATGGCTATGGCTTGAAATGTGAGCGATAAGAGAGCCATCAGTAGAGAGACATCACAAGCGCACGCTGATGGGGATGAGAGTCGAGTTGAGTATGAAAATGCATAAATGCGGTCCGGGGTTACGATGATTGGTGCCGCCAAGGCGGAAGGTATTGTTTCACGTATGCCGATTACGTCTCCTTGAGGACCGTCGACGTTGGCGATATAGAAGCAAACTGGCGGAATTAGAGAGAAGTAACGGACTTTGGAATAATGGGATTTGTTGAAAGAGGAAGGCTCGGCATCATTACACATGTGACATCGTGAAACGTACTTGGGTACACCGTACATCTGTGTATACATCTTTTAGCAGCTCCGCTACACGGCGAGGACCAGCTTCATCAGGTGATTTTAGTTGGATATAGTCATGTTAGTATCGTTTACATCGTATCCCTGGAGAAGACTGATTGTGCTTGGGTGCACTACGGAAATGTACATCAATGCAATCTACACAGTACATGTAGGAGTACGTAGACCTAACTACATCTTGTGCTGTAGGTATCAGCTGTGATATATGAGGTAAGATGAAAAGGCATCGATGCTAAGCTTCTTTAGAGAGATGTAAGCATGTAAATAGTAGGTAAAATTGTATACGTTGACGATACTTTCATAATGGTCGGTACAATTCTCGCCTGTTTCTCACCAGAACCCTGTAGGCTGTATACACTCCCCACCACTATTCACACTGCCAGAGGAAAAACAGGCCAGTGGTGCTGCACTTTCCTGAGCAGCAGTTCGCATTCTTGGAACAGGCCAGTCCCTGCTCAGTACACTGCGGCGGCTGAGAGCACTCTCCATTTTTGCACTGTAGCTTCCCCACACACTTCTTCTCAGCCGAGCAAGGAGAGTAAAGAGTTCCATCCGTAGCCTGGCACGTCTTTGTATCATGCCACTGGGTCTTGCGGCAGACATTGGGTGCTGAACAGTCGGCATTACTCGAACATTCTGAAAACTCCGCGCCAGGTTTGTGATCACAGAGGCCGCTGCTCTTAGAGCAATAGCCAGTCACGCACTGCTCATTTTCGACACACGGGAGGCCCTTGTAACGCTCAGACAGAAGACAAGTCTTTGTGATGGGCGAGCACAGATAACCTCGACCAGTGGGGCCACAGTCAGTCGCAGCTTCGCAGGATTCGCCGACGAAATCTTGCTTGCAGAAACCTGATACACAAACACCCTTGCAGGCGTCATGGGTGGTGCACTGCTCCCCGTTGTCGAGTCGTGGCTCACACTGATGGGTCACAGTATTGCAATATTTTTGCGAAGCTCGATCGAAGTTAAAGGGGTCTCTGCATTGTCTTGTGTTGGCACATGTATTGGTATCCTGTCTGGGGAGAAGACCCTCGGGCAGTGCCAGAGTCACTGCGGCAGCAGATAGTAGCAGTGTGCTGGTAAAGAAACCCATGGTATATTCTATCAGATGTAAGAGCTTTGCACAAAATCAAGAGGAAAGCATGGTATAAGTACCTTGAATTGGTTTGTTGTCCCAGACTTAAGCCATCGGAGTTGCAATGGTCAATTCTGGTGAATCGTAGGGTATGATATAGTACATGTTCGTGAACGATCTGCAGGATTGGATTCCTCAATGGATGAGTTCGCAAAGAGTTGATCTAAAGAGATCGTCAACATCTGAGTCCGAGATCCACCCGCTATTACTCAATAGTTTAGACCCCACGGATGGATTGGGGATCTTGCAGAACCCAAATTTGGGCTCCCTTTGGGTACATATGACAGCTGGCTATGTATGGGGCTAGTATTGGCATAGCTGAACCTCGACGATCATGTTCACGACGATCAACAGGTTCTCATAAATCAGCCACCCGGGGGGGCTAGCGGGATCACCAATCATACAGTTGGAGATGGTAGATAGATTGCCTAATGCCTTCATGCCGGCGAGCTTCATCCTTTGAGTGAATTGGTGTGTCTGTGTGTATACGTCAGTCGAAATAAGCCCACTCCTTTCCATGCATCCCAACGACGGGGGGGGGGCAACGTTATGAGAGGATGAATGGTGGCATATGTTGTACCTGCGATGTGAGTATGTTGTACTCATTCGCAGAATCGCAGGCGGCAGACGCCTACAGCACCTGTGATACTTGAACAGAGACGGAGCGGCAAGCAGTAATGATTGAGTCTAGTTGTACTAAACTGGAAGTTGAACAGTAAATTATGGCAGAAAAGGGGCGGTGTGCTTGTTAGGACTTCATGCCTGAGAACTCAGGATGGGAATGAACATTTTTGGAAGGAGCTAAGCCAAAGGTGGATTAGCGTCAAATTACGGAGGTGAAACTCGGGCCTGGGAAAGAACATAACGACCATTGGGGATGTATGAGCCAAGTGGTGAAACTGACTCCGACCCGTAATGGAGTTTCTATACTCGAGGGCAGCACGAAAAGGAAATTGAATCTTTGATTCTTGAAGAAAAGGCCACTATATGTATAAAGCAGAGGCAAATACAAAGCAGTAAAGCGCAATTGTTAGTGAAGTCTAGGTCACAGCTTCTCACCGTACCTTCGCCAAGTCGACCTATCAACTAACCCATATGCAAGGCAAAACAGACCACCATGTCTAAACGAACGAGAAGCCGTTCGAGATCAACGACTCCCGGGCAAATCTCAGATTCAGTATCCTCAACGATAGTGAATATTGCAACTCCTCCTCCCGAGCGGGCCAAGTTCCTCGACAGCGACATCAACCTCCTCCCCGAGGTGATGCATTGCTCCTTACCGCCTCACCGCGAGACGCTCTCGTTCACTTCCTATGAAGATTACGAGGTCCATTACCTTCAATCTCATGTGAATCGCTGCTCCGAATGCAGCAAGAATTTCCCGACCAGTCACTTGCTCAATCTGCACATCGAGGAAAACCATGACCCGCTCGCTGCTGCGCGGCGAGCACGCGGGGACAAGACCGTAAGCTAGACCCTCACCGCGGCCTCGTTGCCATCCGCTGTTGCTAACTCGGATATGAAGTACGGATGCTTTGTTGAGAACTGCGAGAGGAAATGCTCAACTCCGCAGAAACGGCGGTTACATTTGATCGATAAACACATGTTTCCCAAGGTAGGTGTCCCCGTTCAAGATGTGTTTCATCGCTAATTTGTTCCGTAGAGTTATAACTTTTATATTGTAAATGATGGGATCGATACACAGACTTCTATGCTGCGACCTATGAATAGCAGTAGAAGACGTATCTCAACCTCATCTGCTCTGGAGGGCAGACTGCGACGCCGAAGCTCGGCATCTCAGTCGAACCCCCCAGCAGCGACAATCGATAAAATCAATTCATCGAATGATATGGACATTGACGAATTAGAAAAGTCCATGTCCGCCCTGAAGTTTGTGCCTGTCAGTGTCACGAGGAACCGTTCGAAAGTGCTGGGGAAGTAGTTCGTTTTCGGGGAGATCAGATCTATGAGATAACGACCGTTTTGATGAATACAAGCAGAAATTTGACTCCTAGAGGAAAAGCGAGAGGAGAGTTCTTGCTCCCGAAAGATAGAGTATGTCCCCACGTATTCAGAATCATCAAGATATGGAAGTTTCTTGGAGAATCCAAGAATGAAAACATGGTATACTTTTGAGACCTCATTGTATCCAAGTTCTAGTTGAGACAAAAGGACCAATACCCAAAGGAAACAAGATCAGAAGTTGCAATTGCGCACATCAAACTCCGGCAGGGTATAGACAACACTAAACAGGTGACAGAGGTCATAATAGATACATGCAGATTCAAACTTCAAACATTGAACGCGAAGAACCTTGGAAGATACCCTGACATCCCAGCCCCATTACAAAACTCCCAAAGGCATCATACGTAAGAGAAAACATAGGATCATTAGCATGGCCGCTTCGGAGGGGCCATAACGCTTCTTTTTCTTGTTTGGCAAGACGCTAGATGCATCTTTGCACCAGAGTTGGAGGGAACAAGTCCAATTCTGTGCGTCGACAATTGACTTTCCCGCTGACATTCATCGCACCCGGGAGTTTCTTTGCTCAATAGAACAAAGACAGTCCGAGAAACAGACATCGATCAATATTCCAGAAGATCCGCATAGGCATCCAGACTTGAGCCGACCAAATCGACAATCGCCCAGCTAGTATTTCCTTTGAAAGTTCGCGCCCATACGCGGACAATCGAAACACTCAGCTGTCGCACCTTGTACGGATTCGCCATGAAATCCATATCCGGTGCGCCAGGCGGATCAACCGCCATTTCAGTTTCATCCATCATGCTCTTGATCCAGAATAGTAACTTCCGCTCATGCTCAGAAAGTCTCTGCTCCGACTGCGTTGCGGGGATAGCAAGCAGCCAGCGGCTGAGAAGGAATGCACATTCCAGACTGCAGAGCGAATGCTGGATGCTCCAGAAGAAGGAATGTGTCCTGGCCACGAAGTCAATGCCCAGTCGTACTGGGATTGAGAGGGCATGGGCTGAGTGGAGCAAGGCCATGATCAGTCGTGGACTGCGCGCAATCGCAGGTGACTCGTTTAAGGCCACTGCTATTTGGGCTGGATCTTGCGTGATGAGGTGGCGGCAGGGACCTAAGTCCACATGTAGACGGATATACGCGAGTCCTAGCAGAGCTGTGGAAGTAAATGCAATTGGCCCCGCGGGATTTTGGGGATCGATGCTGGATTCCGGTGTGCGTTTCCACAGAGCCTTCCAGGCACTCAGTGAACCGTCTAGCACGTTCAAATCCTCTTGTCTCAGACTGGTACCTTGCATGTGTGGTGCCGAAAGACAGAGCTGACGAGCAAAGAAGATTTGTTGTATGATGGCGTGAATGAGAATGTAGTTTCCAAGAGGGGATATCGGGGCTGATGGATATGACACAGATGATTTCATGAAGAGTCTGGCAAAGGCTTCTTGGAAAGACACTTCTGATCCTTGTCGGCTCCGGTGAACGCGGCGCCATTGCGAGGGGTTGCTTGCTTTCCATAAATCATGAGCACACGGCATGTTCAACTTTAACTCCCCGTTCAAAATGAGAGGAGGGATGTTATACATGATCGAGTGGAGGTTGAAGAAACAGTATACAATGAGCTTTGTACGTCTGTTGCCTTCTCTGCGTACCCACTCTTCCCAGCCGATAGGTTCTGGGGTGGGTGGCGGCTCAGACAAGCCATGTTCACGAACGAGTCTGGCCAAAGTGCTTTGTAACGAGAGAATCTCCCGCAAGAGCTCTGGATGTCGCTCCCAGGACGCAAACACAGTCAGAAGCAAAAACGTTCGAATCACTTCCATGTGAGCATCCGAGTCATCCGGCGTATAAATTGATGCATTAATTGGAGCATTTGGCATCTGTTGATGATGTTGGAACGGGCTGCCCGCCGAGTTAGACATCATCGATGAATCGCGAGAGTTGTGGAAGCCCGATGGTGGGGATATATAGTTCCATGAAGGCCGAGGCACTTGCTTGCTGTCTCGCCGACGAAGACGCTCCAACAAGATTGCTTTGGCTGCATGGAAAAGGTCGATGCCCCGGCTATTCTCAAACCGATAGTGCGAACCAGCAGCTGCCAGCGCTAGCGTGAGTTCAGGTGAAGACTTAGCAACCGAAAGAGTGGGGACATGTATGAAAGGAAGATGTTCGTTCAGACCGTTGATGTACCCGGCGAAGAACCGAGATAGGGCGTGCCGCGATGGCGGAACGAATCCCTTCGGAAGAACATATGAAAACTCTTCTAGTTTCGTGATGAAGGCTTGGCGATCTGAATTGGAGATGTCCCATGCTGGTCGTGTACTGTCATCGGCCAGACCAATACGATCGTCCATTTCGTGGGACTCCGGTTGCAGTGATGGCAGCCGGGATCCAAAATTCGAGAATGACGGATGATCCTCCGCGGGGCCCCGCGCATCGTTCATCATATCCCCACCAAGCCGTGATTGTATTGTCTCACGGGTCGATTTTGAATCAATTGTCATACTTGGTGGTAGCATTGATTCCTCAACGGACGAGAACACGCCCGAGTCCCAATCCGACGATAGGCCCACACTTTCGAGGAAAACCGTAAAATCCTGGACGGGGTCTCCGAGATCAGTGAGATCGAGTATCGAAGGCTCTACGCCATAATTGTCGCTTATTGCTTTCTCTTGGGTTTGAGGAATGTGTTGTGACGCAGGAGCGGCGGTGTGTGGAGGTTTTCTCATGGACTCCAAGCTCTCTTGTTGGCCCTCCAGAGCCACATGACTTGCGGCATGAGATAAGAGATTCAAATCGTAGCCCCAGGAAGGGTTGAAATGAGGTGTATCTATGATTGATGGAGTCTGAGATTGAACTTCGGGTGGAGGAGGTGGCACTTGAGTGTGAACTGGAATGGCGTCTGCAAGTTCTAACATACGCGACTCGTGGTGGGCGGGCTGAATGAGATTGGACTGAATTGGTATTTCATGATTGGCTTCATGACCATTCTGAACTCGGTGTTCTCGACTGGCCGCACTTTCAGCAGGGTGGACTAAACGCTCATGTCGCACTAGTAGATCGCTGCAAATTGATATCAGCGATTGGCATTTTATTCCGGGCATTGAGCGCAAAGGGAGCCTACCTCCGAGCGAAGGATTTGGAACAAATGTCACATGAGAAAGGTTTTTCCTTTGTATCTGTTGTCCTACATTAGACGAGTCCCAGGGACCTGGGGACACGAGGGGGTTACTCAACGGGTGCGGAGATGGCGTTGGAGATGCTCTAAGCGAGCGAAGGATCGACTGCAATATTCACAAGACAGGGATTTTCGGTGGGCAGCGCCTTTCTTTTTCGTTTTGGCTGACTTTTCGTCCTCCATCGTTCTATTTGGGGTTATTAGGGCTGGGAATGAGGAGCACAGTGGAGAGGGGAAGAATTTGAGGCTGCCCGGGCTGTTTGAGCGGGGAAATTGGACTAAAATCCCCCACAGTGAGGGGAGGGTCACGTGGACAGAAGCTATGGCTTCAGTATACAAGCACATGGAAATTCTTCTAGGGTTTAGCTACAGCTACAAAAGAAACCATATCTCTTCCTATATGGCCTGAAGCATATTGGAGAAGGCCTGGTGCTTGATGATGACGCCCAGCCCGGATATGCATGCGGTCAGATCTCCACTGGTGCGGAGAGCGTTATGCGATTGGAAACTGTCCGGTATAGATTGAAGTGGCCGAGAGCCTCACCGGGCAGATATCGTGATTCGTGACTTGTAGTTGCGTAGCATTGCTAGCAGTCTAGCATACTCTAAGGCTCTATACAAGGGCCGCAGGGCACCGGTCTAGACACCGAGGAGTGGGTTATAATGACACACCCACGGTCCACGGGTGACATGTCGGGGGTATTTCCATTTTGGCTACCTTATATGTAGCATTCCAAGGGTTGATACTAGATAAATCAAGCCAGTAGACATAGATGACATTCATGGACCAAGGTAGGCATCCAGATGGGGTCCATAGTCCCTGGTATAGGTCCTCAGTAAGTGAGCAGCGAGCGGAACCTTCAACCGGTATACCGACTAGTACACATTGTACTAGTATTTGCTGTTTAAAGACAACATCCTGGGTCTCAATTTGGTCTCAATTCCAAACACACTATGGTCCTATCGCGTATAAATAAATGGATCTGCTGTGGACATCGAGCCTACTTCAGTCTCGCTCCGTAGAGCTACTGTTTCATCAGTGGAACCTGTTTGTGCTCAACTTACCGCAGCATCATTATGGGATTAGAATAGGTTAGAGAAGAACCGTATGAATGGGCTGAGCTGATCTGAAAGGCTGAATCTGAAGGAGATTCAGATGTCTGTCTTTGTGATGGCTACCATCTGGCCTTGCACTGCGCAAGAACTTCGAGAGAACCAACAGGCAACCAGACTAGATGATCCGGCATGTACACTGTCACACCCTAGAGTCGTGGACCAGAGGCAAGGCTGTTAAGAAATTACGGACCATAAGCCTCCAGGAGTCCAGGGCCAGATACTCCAAAACCCGTGTAATGTGGGGGCATCTGCTATGTTGCCCCGATGCCTTCCTCGTACACCTTGAATAAACAAAGGCTAAAGAAAGGAACCTCCCGAGGGAAAGCCCTGGAGACCACTCATGACTCCAGCTGGCTCTAGCGCCCTGGAGGTACACAGTAGACACGCAATCACTTCAAGTGCTTGCTATATACTTGCAGTGATGAATGTGCTTCAGGGCTACGGTGCCATCAACGCGGTTAGCAAGTGATGAACCTGGGCCACTAGTAGTATCTTTAGAATCAGTGTTGGGAAAATTTGACAGATGAAACAAATAATTGAAAGGGATGAGACATATCAGACTGTTGGAAACGCGTGGGGGGAAAGCATTGGGGCTCACCCCTTGATACGTCGCATGCACCTGATGTGACACCTTAGTCAGAGACTCCCGATGTTCCTGCCTTCGTTTCAGATCTCAAACTTCAACTTCAGATCCTGGAAACCTTGGTGCCTTGCTCTTTCTCGTCTTCTCGCCATTTTCCATCTTTCTTTCCGAGTGGGGAGTTGTTATCGAGATCAGCCCGATCGAAACCACACTAAGTGGCCCCGATCTCGACCCAAAAAAAAGCTCAGACGGTAAGCTGCATCGCTGAGGTCCCTCATTGCGATTTCGCCCGCTCTGCTGGAACATCATTGTTTTATCCTGGTCAGTGTCTCTCGATATTCTTTGTGGTTGTCTCTGCCTGTCGTTCTTCCGACCCCTCAGCAACTCCCCCGCCGGGGGCCGAGCGAGAGTCACAACCAGACTTCAAAACCAGAACCTGCGACTGACTGAATAGCAGAGAACCGAGATAATGTGTTGACCGACGCGCCGCATCTTCCTTCGGATCTCCAGTTCAACTCGACGCGAAAGACCCCGAGAGTGCGGAGCAAAGGACACTGCGCCGATCGATCGCGTCCACCACGTGAACTTACGACTCATTCACTTGATCTGATCTAGCCATGTTGGCTCCTAAGCAGTATTCTGCGCCTACGAGTGCAGCTGCGTCCCAGACACCGACCGCTTACCACGCCAATTCATCACAAAGACCCGCGACGGCCACAAGAGCTCAGGATGGGATGGGGTTCGGAAGCCCAACAAAGTCGGAGCTTTCGGAGGGGCAAGAGGATCTTGCATCAGTTCGGTATGGCTCCCTTGGATGAGGTTATTGCTTTGAAATTGTTCTGACTATGAACAGAGCGTGGGACGAAAAACGAGTGGTCGCCTGGCTTCACAGTATCAAATGCGGACAATATGAATCAATATTCAGAGGTATGCGCGGTCATTCCAATCTTTCACCTTGGACAGCACTGACAATCGCCAGCGAACAATTTCAATGGGGATAATCTACTCGAATGCGACCAAAAGATCCTACAAGAAATGGGCATCAAGAAGGTGGGCGACCGAGTACGCATCTTCGTCGCCATCAAGCAACTCAGAAACAAGTCCGGAACGACATCACGGCAGAAAAATATGGTGGGTTTGCAAGACTTGTTTTATGTGTTGCCTTTGCTGATTTGTGAAATAGGACACTTTAGCTGCACTCGAAGCCACGGCGCTTTCAAGTTCCTCCCGCATTTCCCATTCTCATAATCGCCTCCCTTACCGACGCACATCTCAGCTGGCTGATGATGGATATCTGAACAGCAAACCGCTGTCTCAGCCTGCGTCGCCTCCCGGAGACTCTGAACGAGGAACATGGCGCAAAGACTACCTTAATCATGGATCTTCAGGCTTCAATCCTGGCCGAAATTCCGGTACTCCGAATGAAGGCCGAATAAGCTCCCATCCTCGCAACCCTAGTCTTGACGCCCTCACAATGGGTCCACTCCCGTCAAACTCTCCTGTCATCCGTGTCATCTACACTGGTGGACAAACCAAGGTCTTGGACATTCGGAACTGTAGAACTCCGGATGAAGTTATTTTGTGTGTGTTGAGGAAACTACAACTTCCGGAGCATCAGTTCAGAAATTATTGTTTCTACGTATTAGATGGGCTGGATCCCGAGCTGTCAAACTGCCGGAGGCTCACCGAGCAAGAGCTCATGGAGATCTGTGATGGATTCAACAAGTCCGAGCGAGGTCGATTGATTCTACGGAAGATCCATGCTGGAGAGCCCGACCAAGACGAGCTCCGTCGTGCCTCTCAGCTTGCATATGAAGAAAGCCAGGCGACACATCAGCAGGCCTTGAATAATTCCAACCAGCGCCAGAAGCATAAAATCCAGCAACTTACGGGTGAATCCTGGCATAATATTAAGCAGCCACTTTCTCCGCTTGGCCCTCGACATCGCCCATCCACCAGTGTTGACGAGTCGCAATCACCGAGCAATGAACGCAATCCAGTGGCTAAACTCCGCTCGTTCTTCGGACAGAGACCACCAAGTGAGATGATTATCCATGAACTCCAGTCATTCTTCCCAAGTCACGACCGAGAAAATATCGAGAAGACAATGCGCAGATCTCAACGTTTGAGCCGCGCGGCAAGTCGCATGAGTGTTGTGAGCAACTATAGCGTTGCATCAAGTATGAAAGACGCGCCTCCGCTGCCGCCGTTGCCGCAGCTACCTCCAATCCCCAGTATTGCCGATGCTTGGTTCCATGGCCCGGGAGTCGCGCAGGCAGTACGAGCCCCACGGCCTGTCTCCGTTTCCAAGTTCAACCTGCCTCAAGCATCATATCGCGATTCCATCGCATCTAGTTCCCTCCAGCCACTTCAGGAAGAATCGCCCACTGAGCCGAACAGGAAGTCATATGTCTCCTTCGAGAGTGGCTCTGATGAACCAAATCTCTCGCGCGAGTCGCGGCAGAGCTTTGAGAGTCTCAGCGTCGCCGCCACAGATGGTGGTTCCTTCAATGATCGGATGAGCATGATCGTGGCCGAGGATGGCGACGAAGATGATGATGGTCTCCAGGATTTCCTGGCCGGTAATAACTTTGCCCCGAAGAACTGGATGAAGGGATCTCTCATCGGTGAAGGTTCTTTCGGAAGCGTATTCCTGGCTCTGCACGCCATTACTGGAGAGCTTATGGCTGTTAAGCAAGTTGAAATCCCATCTGCCACTAAGGGCACAGAGTTTGACCAGCGGAAGAACCTAATGGTCAATGCTCTCAAGCACGAGATTGAGCTGTTGCAAGGCATGTCCCACCCGAACATTGTGCAATACCTTGGCACAGTCGCCGATGACCAGTATCTGAACATTTTCCTCGAGTACGTTCCTGGTGGATCTATTGCTACAATGCTGAAGCAGTACAACACCTTCCAAGAACCCCTTGTTAAGAACTTTGTTCGACAAATTTTGTCCGGTCTGTCATACCTACACAGCCGGGACATCATTCACCGCGATATCAAGGGAGCCAATATCCTAGTTGACAACAAAGGCGGCGTTAAGATTTCCGATTTCGGTATCTCCAAGCGCGTCGAAGCATCCCACCTTCTCGGCTCCCGTGCCAGTGGCAGCGGTGGTTCCCATATCCACCGCACATCCCTACAGGGAAGTGTGTACTGGATGGCGCCGGAAGTCGTGCGGCAGACCGCCCATACCAAGAAAGCTGATATCTGGAGTTTGGGTTGTCTTGTCGTCGAGATGTTCATTGGTGCCCATCCCTTCCCGGACTGCAGCCAGCTGCAAGCGATATTCGCTATTGGCAGCAACAAGGCTCGTCCCCCTGCTCCAGACCATGTGAGCCAGGAGGCTGTGGATTTCCTCGATATGACCTTCCATTTGGACTATGAGAAGCGGCCCAGTGCGGATGAACTGCTCACATGCGAGTTTTTGTCTGCTCCTATATCCTAATGAGCAGTTGGTCTCTAATGTTCCTCCTTCTTTCCCTCCTGTGTCTGCTCAATACACGCCTGTAACATGATTCTACGTATGACGGTCCCGTCTTTTCAATGATTGCATTCTCGGTCATGGAGTCTTTCTCGGTAGTATTTGTGCAACTAAGCAAAGGCTCGTGTTTTCACTTTCACCAATCCTTTTGTGTACATGTAGTTTCGCTGGCTGTAAATGTCGAATGAATTGGAAACAAAGATAGTACACGATTGAAATAATCACAATGACCGTTAAGCAGGTCTTCTCTAAAGTTACATGCTGGATATCACGAGAGTACCCAAAAAGGTGATAATAAAGACCGAAAGATGTTACCAGGAGAGTCCACCTAGTTCACGATCTTTCCGTAGAAAGGAATACCCATAGCGCTCAAGAGCAAACGGGCGTCCTTGTCAGTTTTGGCGGTAGTGTGAAGAGTGATGTGGCAACCAGGGATCATCTTGGGGGGATACCTATGGAGCAGATTAGCACTGACACACAGACAGAACGCGGAATGAACTCACATGTCGTAGTTGACCTCAAGCTCAGGGAACAAAGCAACATTCTCCGGCACCAAACCGAAGGTAATGTTACCACTGCTATCACCACTCGAGCCCTTGACACCCTCCCAATCCTTGATACGGGGCAAGACAACATCAACCAGCTTACTAAGGAAGTGGTACATGTTCTCGCCCTTCAGTTCAGCCTTAACAGCGACGGAGTCACGACCAGACGCAATACCCCAAGTAGCAACGTTAGACTTAGATTTGAAAGTCTCAACGCGAACATTGGAAATAGCCTGGATAGCGATACCCGCGACATGCAGCCAAGACGAGTTCCTCTCAGCTGCGGCGTTCTTGACGTAGCTGTGAATTGTGATGCGCTCGACTTCCGGAATATTGTTGAACTTGATCGGCTTGCGGAGAAGGCGCAGGACATCGCCACCACGGGGTCCGCGGAGAACACGGTTAATGTGGTATGGTGAGCTGTCGTCCCATTCGCGGAGACGGGGGGCTTTAGGGGGAGGCTTAAAGCCCGGCGGTGTGTGCACGTAGCACAGGGTCATGATGTCGGAGGCGACGGTTGACTCGAAGGTCTGCTCTGCTCGGGGAGCGGAGAAGGGGCCAGGGACGAACAGTCGGGAGGAGGGGGTGGGATGGCGGCGGAGGTTGGTGAGGGTGGAGGGGACCACGGTTGTACTTGGGAGAACGGAATTGGTATCTGCGTTGAAGGGATCGGGGTTAGTGGTTGTTCATTGGTGTTCGATGTTGCGTCCATGTCTGCAAATGCGCATGATTTACGATGCGTGTCGGAGTAATCTTACCGGCCTCGGGGAAGTTGACCCTTGCGAGCAGCTGCGCGGGCGAGGGGATCGAATGATTTTGCTACGCTCTCTGGCACAGCTGTTGACAGTGACGACGCCGATTCCAGATCGGTGAAGTGGTCGGACAGACGCCTAGCCGGGGCTTCGTCGGAGACATTGCGGCGCGCTAAAAAGCCTTGAGGGCGAATTGAGGGCGCTGAGGCCCGGGGCAATGCCCTCGTAAGATATCTGGATGGCTCCCTGGCAGCCATTTTGCGGAATATGTGGTATGGTGAATTGGTGGTCATTCCGGACCCTGGCCAAAAATTGTTCGCGCAGATGATCTCGTCACGTGAGGTGTCAGTTACTGGTGCCTTACGAACAAGGCAGGAACCCTGCCTTAGGGCTACATGATTACATCTGAACATCTGTATTGCTCGGTCAATCTCTCCCCATGTCAGTATTAAATAGACCAATTGCTACTGTTTGTATATTGTATTTGTATAACCCTTATTAACCCTTAAACCCTTCATCAACTACGCATAGTATCACTATCCACTGCCGATATTGGTCATGGACTCTATGGACAATGACGGAACCAAACCGTTTCTGTATGTGATTAGTAGATTACCTGCGTCCGCTCATCATAAGTGATGCATCCGCTGAGTCCAGGTCCGTTCTCAGATAACATCTTAGCCTCTTAGGTTGACATGACTAGCCCATCCTTCTTCCGAAGGACAGTACACAACACACATCTCTCGTCCTTGAACCGTCGGCGGCGGTTCGATATGCCCCTCATGATTTCATTTCCATGTGCTATCGCGAAGCCTACTACTATCTCCGATCTGTGATCCTCCCATCGTCCTGTTTGCGACGTCAGACCGCCATCACGCCCTTCTCACTTCAGTCTAAGCCCTAACTAACATCTATTCAGTGAGTCTGACCCTGTCCCTAGGTGCTTTCATAAAAGCAGCGGCAGCTTAATTAAGAAAGGCTGAAAGCCCTCAGTCCGCAGTCGTCGGTCGACAAGGTTAACTCTGGTTAAGTGGGAATCAGTACGTATAGCCATTTACTGACTAGGTACAACATACTGTGTTTCTCTGTGTTTGTACACAGCAAGGTTGTACCGTAACTTCTACCTAGGCCCTACTCACCGCCCTAGCAAGCCTTAGGCGGTGAACCTTGAGCTTCGATATTGCTGAACCTAGAAGAAGGCGGTGTCCTTCTGGAACACGCTAGGTCAATTTGGGAACGGATCTCCTGCCTCAGGCGTCTGCTCCCGCTGTGCCCCGCAGATCGTCTCGAGATTCGCATGACCTCGAAGCTCACGTTAGCTGGCAGTCACGTTGACTCACGCGGTTCTCGTTCCAGCACTTCAATCTATCGCGTTCTCTTCATCACCCACTTACTATGCCTCATACATAAACTTTCTAGGAATCCTGCAGCCTGGTTTAAAGCCCGAGGTACAGGTCTCCTGAACCCCCCGCATGTCCCTGAAACCTTCGGGGCTTTCTCTTTCGATCTAGAAGCCCTGGTCCTGGCGTCTTGTCTTTCTTTTCTTACCTGCCAACATGAGTGGCATCCATCGATTTCTGACGCGTCGCGATCGGAATCACAAGTTAAACAAGCAAAGCAAAGAAGAGGTATGCGCCCACAGCACGCGTTTTACAGTTACGCTCAACTAATTTTGAATACTCTTTAGGCATTGAACATCCTTTCTCGACCTTTGTTCAACGGAATATTCAAGACAGATGCAGTGCCTGAACCTAGTCAGGATCATAAAGAGAAGGTATGGTCAGACTACCGGAAAGCCAGCCTACATTCTAACCTTTCAAACCTACATAGACCAAAGCCCTTACCCACCGACTCAAGAAGACTGGGATTACTACTCTGGGTGAACAACATATTAGCTATGCATTGCAGGCCGCACGAGGTGATGTGGAAAGGGCTTTCGACCTGCTACTTCTGCTAGAGGACTCCATCGAGGGTGTCATCCGGACCTACACGCCCGACACCAAACTAGTGGGTGCAGAGAATCGGCAAGGCGTCACCTGCTATCTGGACGCGCTGTTATTTGCTATGTTTGCTCGTCTTGATTGCTTTGAGGCCATTCTTTATAAATCATTCAATGATGAGCCTCGTCGAAAGCTTGCAATCCTTCTGAGGCTATGGGTGAATATGTTGCGGTCAGGGATCCTCATCACTACGGACATGGTAAGTCACCATACTTTGTGGTTGCTTTCCCCCAGTATTAACTGTTTGACTCTAGACTAAACACCTGCAAGATGCCCTCGCGGATTGTGGTTGGCAAGATGCAGCCAGACTGCGCCAGCAGGATACTTCAGAGGCGTTCACCTTCATCACAGAGAAGTTAGAGCTGCCACTTCTGACCCTGAAGATGGACATCTACCATACCGGAAAGGAAGACGAGAGTGGTGACCACAAATTTGTTAATGAGAGGCTCCTAGAGGTTGCCATACCTCCCGAGCCAGCTGACGGTCATTCACTCACACTGGAAGATTGTCTAGAAGCTTACTTCAATAACATGATTGAAGTTAAACGCCAAATGGGACGACGCAACACTACTAGCTCGGTCAGATCAGTGGATGCTGATTCACTCTCCATGAATAAGGGTTCCTGTGCGCATATTGAGGAAATTGTGACCACACCCACAGCCACTGTGTCTCCAGAACCATTGAATACGCCGCGTGTTGAGAATGCCGGCCCGTGGTCATCATTCGACGAGTTCGCTGAATTTCTGGAAACTTCGCGAAGTACTGGTCGGCGTGGTAGTATCGTTCGCGAACGTTTCTTTCCGGATCCAAGTGGCGATGTCAATAACGACAAACCGCATACGGATAATGACGCCAGTTCAGTCCAAGGTGTCGGTGCAGATACGCAGTCACGACGGGGAACATACAAGAAAGAGGTGATGATGCCTGCTTGGCAATTCTTCAGTCTGATACGTATGTTGTCTTCTATTTCGCTTTTGAGTTGATTTGCACTCAACTAACCCGATCTCCCTTAGCCTGGTACACCGATAATACACCGACCAACGACGCGCAAGTTGCGGCCCACTTCTCCTCGAAACGGCCGATCCTTGGGATGTGTCTGAAACGCTATTCTTTCTTGCCAGACGGAAAAGCAGTCCGACTTAATACTCACATTGACATACCAACCGAAATCAGTTTGCCTCACTTCATCCAAGATGACAACATGGATGCGGATGCACCGATCTATGGCAATTTCAAACTGTCTTTGCAGGCCTTTGTCTGTCACAGAGGTGATTCAGTTGACTCGGGCCACTACATCTCCATTGTCCGGGGTACCAGCGGCATGTCTGTCACTGGCCAGGAGCCCTACGAGTCAGCAAGGCATTGGATGCGCTTTGATGACCTTGCAGCGGAACGAGTGACTCTTGTCGACATTGAAGATGCCCTGAAAACTGAGTCTCCATATCTACTCTTCTACCAAATCCTCCCAATTGGTGAAGATCCAGCAGCACTCAACTTCTCAGATGCGGCGCCGTCGTCGCGAACGTCAGACGTCAGCACACTGGCCGACCAAACAGAAGCCATCTTGGATGACAGTGCCATTGGTCGACCAAGTGTCGAAGTGACTGGTCCAGAGGACGTTATTGGGCAACCGTCGGTCAATCCCCCAAGACGGCCCAGCGTAACGTTCCCGGATACCAGCAACCCTGTCGGTCTTCAGCCACGCTCTGTCCCATCCTCATCACCCAGAATGCCATATCTGGAGGAGCACAGCACAAAGGGATCGTCTTACTCGCGCCGGGGATCACGGTCCGCCAGGAGTACTCCCGGGAGTCGTGCTGGCAGCCAAACGGGTGAAAGTAGGATCAGTGCTACTTTCTCACGCTTTGCCGAAAGGCTAAGCCGGGATAGGTTCCAGAGTGATGGGTTTCATGAAGCAGGTGTGCCCGATGGATCTGCATTGGAGAGTGAGGATGGTGCGGACGATCTGAAACTCGGGCCAGCCGCATTGGAAGTCAGAGAGAAGCGAGGTAGGGAGCGGGTCAAGGAGCGTGGAAGAGCCAAGGACAAGGCGAAGGAGAAGTCGAAGGAAAGGAGCCGTGAATGCGTTGTCATGTGAGGCCAATAGTGCCACACTTGCTGATTTGCTTGCTTCATTTGAGATACCCAGGCAGGCGTAGCGCTTGCTCTTCCTTTTTTATGCACGATGATACCCATGATGTATGAGCGGAGCGACTTATTGCTTGCAAATGTGCAGAAATCAATGAATGCCTAGCTTCCTATGATGACCTGTGCTATTTGGTTGGTTGTAAATCTGAATGTTGTAGGTTCCGTATGTAACTTAGTGATCTACGGTTTTGGCCTTAGGTGTCCAGACATCGGGCCTCCGCATTCCTAGGATGCCGAGAGCTCATTTCCGTCCTGCATCAACTCCCAGAACCCTCAACTTGCCTCAACTCCTTAGTGATCGGCATGACATAGCGCCCCTACAGCTAGCGCATCATGGCGCTGGATGGATCCAGCAGTTATGTTCCTCCGAGCAACCTAATGGAGTCACCGAGCTCTTCCCTCCCCATGTTCGACGTCGAACAGGTGCAGTTGGCTTTCTCCGTCGCTGCGGACTTTGTTGCAGCACAAGTCGCGAACAATGTACTTGTGTTAGCTTTATCTACTAATCGCATTCTTCGAATCGATCTGGACTCCCCTGAAGATGTTGAAGGTACGCTTCCGAGCCTTCCCCGCAGCAAATGCCAGGCACAACAAGTTGATCTAATCATGCTCGTGGACAACAGATATTGATCTCCCCAAGAAATCCTCCGACGTTGGAGTGATTCGGCGCATGTTTCTTGACCCTTCGGCGTCTCACTTGATTATCACTACAACCCTGGGCGAGAACTACTACCTCCATGCCCAATCGCCGTCGCGACAACCGAAACCTTTGACACGTTTAAAAGGCGTGTCAATTGAAAGCATCGCTTGGAACCCCTCTTTGCCCACCGCATCTACTCGCGAGATTCTCATTGGCGCCACCGATGGCAACGTCTATGAAACCTATATTGAACCGTCCAGTTACCGACAGGAGAAGTACACCACCCCGGTCTACCAGGTGCCAGGCGCCTCTCCTGTAACTGGACTATCAGCAGAGCCGGTGCCATCTAAGCCCGATCAAAGAAGGGTGCTTGTGGCGACCTTTGGGAAGCTTCTGCATTTCGTTGGCCGAGCGGGAGTGTCAAAACATGGAAGAGAAAATGGCGTATATTCGGAGCTGTTCCAGCGCGAAACACCTTTAACCCATGACATACAAAGGGCATCTAGCTCGGCTCCATCTGCTCTTGTGATCTCGCCCACAATTTCAGACACCCATCAGCCCGAAGGACACACCGAAAAGCAGTTTGCATGGCTCAGCTCCGAAGGAATATTCCATGGCCCGCTCGCGTCAGAGTCACCATTCAAGACAGCAAATATGCTGGCCCGCTCGATGTTTCCGGCCTCGGAGTCGCCGCGAGGAGGCCGCAAATTGATACAGGATCCAATTTCCGCTATGACTTTGTCCCAGTGGCATGTCTTAGCGCTTGTTGGAGGCCGGGTTGTTGCGGTCAACCGTCTCAGCCAGGAAATTGTTCACAATCAACCCGTGTTGGAACCTGGCCAGAGCGCGCTGGGCCTCCTGACTGACCTGACCAAGAACACATACTGGCTTTTCACCAGCCAGGCCATCTTTGAGGTTGTAGCAGATGATGAGGACAGAGATATCTGGAAGATCTTCTTGAAAGAGCAAAAATTTGACGAGGCACTGCAGTATGCCCGCGGTGCTTCCCAGCGAGATGCTGTCATGACTGCTTCGGGTGATTTCCTCGCAGGCAAGGGTAACTTCCTGGAGGCAGCCAAAGTATGGGGCAAGAGTAGCAAAGGGTTTGAGGAGGTGTGCCTGACCATGATCGACCATAAGGAGCATGATGCTTTACGGAACTATCTCCTCTCCCAACTTGCAACATACAAGAAGGCCTCACTCATGCAAAGAATAATGGTCGCCAGCTGGCTTGTGGAGTTATTCATGTCCAAGTTGAATTCCCTCGACGACAACATCGCCACAAAAGCCGAGTTGGCAGAGGGCACAAGCGCCGGAGAGATCAAGGATCAGCTTGGCAACATTCGAGCTGATTTCCAAAATTTTGTGAACAATCACAAAGCAGACTTGGACAAGAAAACGGTATACGATATTATCAGCAGTCACGGGAGGGAGGAAGAGCTTTTGTTCTTTGCAACCGCGACAAATGATCACAATTATGTTCTCTCGTACTGGATTCAGCGCGAGAAATGGCTAGAAGCTCTCAAAGTTTTGCAGCGGCAGAGTGATGCGGATGTATTCTACAAATACAGCAGTGTATTGATGACACACAAGCCGACAGATCTGGTTGATATTTTGATGCGCCAGACGAATCTTGATCCGGAGAGACTGATCCCAGCATTGCTGAATTACAACAAGTCTGCCAGTGTTTCTTCCCTCAATCAGAACCAAGCCGTCCGGTACCTGAACTTCATCATTGCCAACCACCCAAATCCATCCGCGGCTGTCCACAATACCCTCATCTCAATACATGCCTCCAGTCCCTCGTCTTCCGAGTCTGGACTGCTCACATATCTTCAATCGCAGCCATCATCGCCACCTCCCTACGATGCAGATTTTGCCCTTCGCTTGTGCATTCAACATCAACGAATCCAGTCCTGCATTCACATCTACAGTACAATGGGACAGTACCTACAAGCTGTTGAGCTTGCCCTGGAACACAACGACATCGAACTCGCCGCGATCGTCGCAGACCGCCCGGAGGGCAACGACAAACTTCGCAAGAAGCTATGGCTTCTCGTCGCCGAGAAAAAGATCCGCCAACCAGGCACCGGCATCAAAGACGCAATCGAATTCCTGCGCCGTTGCGAGCTCCTCCGCATCGAAGATCTAATCCCCTTCTTCCCTGATTTCGTCGTAATCGACGACTTCAAGGATGAAATCTGTACCGCCCTGGAAGACTACTCGCGCCACATCGACGCGCTCCGCCAGGAAATGGATAACTCGGCTCTCACAGCGCGCCAAATCCGGGGCGAGATCGCTGGTCTGGACACTCGCTACGCCATCGTCGAGCCGGGTGAGAGATGCTGGATCTGCTCGCTACCCCTTCTTAGCCGACAATTCTTCGTCTTCCCCTGTCAGCATGCTTTCCACAGTGACTGTTTGGGTCGGGAAGTCCTGGACGGCGCCGGTGGCAAGAAGAAGTATATTCGCGATTTGCAGGCGCAGCTTAGCAATGGAGATATGTCTTCCTCGCGGCGTGAGGAGATTGTCAAGGAGTTGGATGGGTTGGTCGCTGAAGCTTGGTATGTATTGGTATCTGTATGTGATGTTTCTTCGCTTTATACTAATCATGTTTCGCTTGCAGTATTCTATGTGGTGACCATGCCATTAAGCAAATTGATAAGCCTTTCATCACGAGCTCGGAGAAGGCTGAGGACTGGGCTCTTTGATGTCATCACCAACCTATCTCGGGCTTCACTGTTTGCTTACGATGAGACCTTCAAGACACCTTTCTGCTTTCGTTTTGTCCTTTTTTCGCAATACCCTTTCTTTTCCTAAGTTGGTGCTGCATGACACATCGTGGCGAGCCCTCCCGAGGTCGTATATAGACATAACTGTTGAATGTCTTCCAGATCTAAGCATTGATTTATACCCACTGAGGGACACAAGGTAGAAAACAAGTAGATACCATACAGCAAGTAGACTCTAAAACTGTCGTCTGTTGAGGGAGCCTCGGTGTTCAGGCACTCACCACCCAAACCAAGCACAATAAACCTAATGCTCAGGCCATAGATACCGCAGCAATTCCAAATCCTGCGTGATAGCCGGGCTATGCGGCGCACAATCCTCCATAAATCCTAACATTTCCTCATTCCAGCGCTCCCAGCCATCCGGCAGCGTCTCGCGAACCCGAATACTCGGCGAGTGCGCTATACAGTAAAAAAGAAGAATCTGACCGAAGAACCTAGAACACAACCAAGGTCAGCTTTTCACATCTGCATTACCCCCGAAGGAAAAAAAAAGCAACAACGAAACTCACTGTGAACAAAAGGCGAACTTAATCGGAATACAACTCTTCATCTTCCGGAAGATACCCTGCGTAATCGGCCAGTCCATTGCATTCTGCAGACCACTTCGCACCTGCACGAAGTCTTCATCTGTTAAGAGATGCGGGATCCGCAGGGCTTTGTATATGTATGGACGGCCAATGTGGAATCGGGCGATCATGTGTCGGCCTCTTAGCATGGCGTCTGCTACCGCTATTGCCGGGGAGAGGGGGCGGGTTGGATCCGTTCTGGGTCTGGGCGAGGAGAGGTTGGCGGGTGATGCTATTGAGGCTGATGGGGAGGGATCTGCTGGTGTTGGGTGGGAGGAGTAGGGGGCATTGTTGAATTGGATTGTTGTTGGGAGGTTTGTACGCCATTGTTCTAGTTGGTGGTGGAGTTCGGTGTTTATTGCTGGGAGGGGGAAGGTTCCTGAGTCGGCTGGATTGGGGAGTTGTGTGTTAGAAGTATATGTTTTTAAAGGGGTGAGGAGGTGATGGGTCGGATGACTTACAGTAGAAGTAGAGGGAATGACGGATGCGTGTTAGGATGATGCGGTGTGCGACCTGTGCGAGGAAATGATATTGGAAATAGGAGTCGTCGACTAGGGTTGAGGAGTTGAAGCGGCTTGCGCCGTAGCCGATTGTTTCGAAGCCGATGAATTTGGGGATTGGGACTTTTTCTTCGAGGCGGGAGAGGCCGCTTGATGGGAGGTGGAGCTCTTGGACGAGGATTGTCTCGTTCATGAGACAGTTCCAATATACGCGGGATTTCATGTCGCCTTCCCATTCGTCGAAGTTCACGTTGTGACTGTGTGGAGTTAGTGGGGTGGGCATTGGCATTTTGGGATGGATAGGGTAGGGCTCACTTGGTCAACATCGATAGACAGCAAGTAGCGGCGCGATGTATCATCGCCCAAGAGTCCATTGGACGAGGGATCTGGTGGTAATATACACTGTGAAGGATGAGTATCAATCCGGACATGAGATCGAAAGGGGGATACACACGAGGAAAGAAGGTAGAATTGACAACTTTGGATGTCATTGTCGCACATCAGGAAACCGATGCGTCGTCGAGCCTCGTTGAAGAATCGCAATCCAGGCTGCTCTTCATATACCACGTTCATCCACTCTGGCGGTTCGAATCGGAGGCCCTGAGTACCTGGCAACGGGTAGTCCCCTTCTTGGTAGGCGAGAACAGCGAGGCAGCCGAGCGCAAGCACATTGAGCACCAGACAACTCTCCATGTTATACCCAAAGCCGCTCTCAATGGCTGAGCCAAGGGTGAAGGCAAAGAAGAACCCTTTGTCCATAATCGGCGTGGAAGGGTTGAAAACACTGAAGAAGGCATCCGCAAGACCCCTGATCAACGCCAACGGAAGTACCTCTAGCCAATGCTGTCCCGCTTGTAACGGGTATGGACTGATGAACATTGACAGCGGAGCCCGTGCCGATTCTAGTTCAATGACATAGTTCTTCCCTAGCGTTTCGTAGGCGGCTAATAACTGCTTCGGGAGGATCTGTCGCGCTCCCGGCCACACAATGACACCATGTTGACTGAAAGAGATGGATATGCGGCCTGCAGAGTCTGGCTTTGTTTCATTTTCTTCGAATTCAAAGTCCTCTGCATTTCCTGCTGCCGCAGGTGTGAAATTTTCCCCGATGTTGGGCAGCCCTGGTGTGTGCTGGTTGCTATCATCGCCGAACGCAAGCGATGACTGCCTCTGCGGTTCATTAGCAGGGGTATGCATCTGGTTCCGAAGCGACTGCAAGTCACTCCGAATAGATGTTGGTAGGTTTTCCAACTTTGTCTCCAGCCGGTGGAGAGTACTCATGATCATCGTGAGAGATTGATCGCGTCTGCGATTAGGTGAGCAGTTCGCACATGTTAGTGAATCGAAAACTACCTAGGACGACTCACTTCGATGATTTACGCTCATTGTACACACATTCTAGGCCAAGCGACTTGCACAGTCCACATCTCGGCCGCGATTCGTCGCATCTTGTCTTTTTCAATCGACACGTCTCACACGCCTGTCGCCGGGGGTTAGCGGTCTCCGGACGGATTGATCGCGTCAGAGATTCGATCGTACAAGACGATATAAGCACTTACGACAGTAGCAATGAAGTTCCTGGGCTTTTTGGACGGTCCGGATGACTGAGGGTGCTCTTCTTCGCCGGGAGAAAGCAGGTCCTGCAGTGGCAGCAGGCCATTGCTACCAGGCTCGGGCGAGCGATGCGTACCTACCCTTGACTCCTCGAGCGAGCGCTTGCTCATTTTGCATCATCGAAAATGGAGTATATACGCTGCATTCTGGGTGTTTGATATTGAGTCGTTCTTTTTTTTAATTGCGGATCCTTGGGTGGTCTGGACCAATCAGAGGCCAGCTTGCTATGAATCATCGTGCTTCAAGAACAATAGATGGAGTTTGTATATTAATATGGTAAAGTAGATATATCTTTGTTGAACGTTGAGGAATATAGATCATCTTGATCGTTTGGATAAGTTGGTTGTTCATCGATGTAGCCATTGAAATCAGGTACAAGTAGGTATATATCCACAGGGTCTATCCACCTTCACGGAATCCAAACATGCTCATCGAGTGTCTACTTGTTCGCGTAGGTAGTATTTACACACTGTGGATGTTAGGTGGTAGGTAGGTACCTATGAGTCAAAGACAACGTTCAGTCTACAACGTGGTCTGCCTACGTGTCCAGTATCTCAAGCAGATCTACCTGCCTCGCAGACCAAGCCAATACGGAGTACAACAGTAATGCCGGTTTCTATGTAGACGGACTCTCGGTCTACAAGGACCACAACACATGCACTCCGTACTGTACATTGTATCCCCGACTCCAAGGTCAGATTACGAATCCGTTTGCCGATTGCCAACCAGGCCATGAATGCGTTGCGACTTACGACATGTTCCACTCGCCACAGACTCGAAGTCGGCGCATTTCTTCAGACAAACAGAGTCTAGATGCAAGCGGAGCTCATCCAGTGCCAAATGATATAAGTGAATACTGTAAATAGAAGCAAGAGATGACTGAGGTCCAATCGGTCCCAGTTGGTCTCCACCTGATTACTCATTGGCTGTTTCGGATGGGTCTTTCAACGTCACTCAATCGGAGGTATTATTTATTACGAGTTATACGCAATGAGTGAATGATTAATATAATGCGTAACTTATGTTGTAAGAATCCACCGGGAATGGGATGTCAGTTGTGGAATGTGGCAGGTGGGATTTCCGGCTAAAGGGTGGCCCGAAGCGTTGATATTGGCTACCTCGTACACAGTAGAGCTATCGTGTCGGACAAAGGTGGGGGGATAATGTCGGTAGTCAAATGCTTGGATTTCATATTGGTTAGTCCGATTGACAAAAGGCCAAAGAGCACAAAAGGGGGAAATTGCATAACCCCCAGCTGAGACTAAAATCCGGGGAAGTGGCTTGGGATTATTTGACTCGGCTATGATAGCCAGGGCTTGACACCCCGACACCCCCTCTTTTTCCCTCTTGGCAGGAAAAAGCAATGAGACTCCTTTCTGGCGATAAGCCCCCATGATCTCATCTTTATCTCAAACGGACGATGCATGTACGGAGTACTGCATGAACTGGTACTTGGTTCGTGCCACTACCCATTATGTCTCCGACTTCCATAGCATCGGGACTATCACGACTATCATGACCCCTTTGATGGAATGCTGTCTGACATTCAGACTTCTCCGGATTGACTCTGGAATGACGATCGTGCGGGGTATGGCATGATAACGGATTATCATGATGATCAAGATTGAAGAAAGCGCTGGAGATTTCCACGGACGAGAAGGTTGACTAACTTGACTATCTCCAGATGTTTATTTCTCCGGCTATCTGTAATCATTATCTCTTATCAAGATCATGACGGAGGAGACTTCCAGTACTCCAATAATGGCCCTCTACCACGAAACGGGATCCGGGATTAGTCTCCGACCCGATAAGGCAAATCGTCCAGCTTATTTGGGCACATCGATCTCATATCATACAGCATCATCTCATATCATCTCGTATCATAGACGCCGCACTCCCGCGGAGGGTATCTCCACTTTGTCTCAACTACATATTACAAAGTCATGTACGTAGTAAGGGAAAACAAGGCAAATCAGACCCCAACCACAGAAGAAGAGCCCAAAGAGACACGTTTCAACCCATGTCTAAGGCGTTTCCAATAGGACGAATGGCTATAAGATTTGAACCGGTTGGGGGATCGACTCTTTCATGCTGATCGATTGTCTCGCTGGTGCATGAGCAAGGCTAGATGACGAATGCTTCTACACAAAGGAGGGTAGCTAACAGTAGAGCAACAACTCTAGAGTGTAGACTGCGTTACGCATATCATATCCTGACGTTGTACGTTGCACTCCGGGAGGAAGCTGCATGAAGGAAACGGGCCATGTATGATAATCAGAGAGAGGGCTATTCAGGACAGCTGATGGAGGGGGAGATCATGACCAGACGCCGAGCCGTGCACGTCGCCGTGCTGCAGATCTCGCTGCATTCATAGCATAATGGATGCACGATGTGTGCAATGTTGATGTGTGGTAGCCTGTAGGTACGATGGACCCAGGGTACTCCGTACACTGTACCCAAAAAGGGGATACATGGAAAAGCCCAAGAATTGGATTGGAAGGGACCGTTCCGACAGGAATGGAGAATATACTACTTTTTATGGTAGAGAGTCCTAAATCGGGGCGTCGTGTGATGTATTCCATACAGCAGTTGCCGAACGCCGAAGTCGTGCCACATATCCACATCAACTCTATTGCAGTCTCAAGAGTCCGGGTACTTCTGAGACTGCCCTCGAAATGGAAAGAATCGTACCTATCAATCTTGAGACCTGCAAGGTCAAACCTTGCAGACTGCAGGAAGCGGTCAAACCATGGCCTAAGGCTAGACCACCTGGTGGCAGGCTGGGCAGCGAGGGTGTGCCCTTCACCGCTTCACAGGGCTGCGTGGGTGTCTGAAGGGTGGTTGGGGACTCATGACAGGTGCGAGCACGATCCACTTGAAGAATATTGTACGTGTCTGATGTTTCTTGGTCTGAGTTGTTTCTCCAACGTTCCTCAAATTTGTATTCAGTAACTGGGTCTGATCCATACAACATACTCCTGAATATTGATGATCGTCGAGATTCCCCCTGATCAGCCGAAATACACGGAAACCCCGCAAACCTGGATTGGGGTCGATACTACGGAGTATGGGTCAGACGAATCTCGTCTCAGGTCCCGCGCGGCAAAGAATAACGTTAAAGAGAAGATAGATTGGTGTAACTTGTACGTAGATGTAAAGGGCTAAATAGAGATGTTAAAAGATAAACATGGGGGCTAATCCAGGCTAGTCCACACCATCCGAAACGAGTTCCACCCTGTTGAGTACTGTACCTGCGGACGGGTACCTTCCCATAGGCACAGCACAGCACAGCACACAAGGTACACAGTACAACATACTCATGTACACCTACGGAGTACATTTAGACAGCATGATTAAACCGGCGAGACCTGCAGTAGCTATCCGGGGTGAACCAATTAAAAGAGATCACGCCATCCCACTCCATCGCGTCATGCAACCTGTAAATAGTGGACATATAGTCTTTTGTGATTGGCTGACCCACCCAGGAATTGCTGCGCAATCTTACGCTTCAGGAATAGCGCGCCACCTTGATCCGCCCTCGACCGAAACTCAGGAAACCCAAGGGAAGAGAGGGAAATCGTCTGCCCCTGCTGATGTCGCCCGTCATTGTGACTGGCTTGTCTTTGAACCAGATTCTCGAAAGTTCGGGTCATTGAGGTCTGAAATTCGGAAAGATAGGGTTAGTCCGGAGTAGATCATGGATATGAATGGTGTCAATAGGCAACCGACAATGGAATTTGACCTTAACGCGTTATCGTCGACATTTATTCCTACATCCATCATTGGAGATCGTGATCACGTAGCCGTTGACGCCTTTCCCAAGGGTAAGGAATGCCTGGAAGGTTCATGAAACTTGGAGAGTTTGAATGATTGGATCGTGTTAATACGGGTATTCATTCCATACAATACCAGTATCCCCGGGAGACGGAAACGGGCTGAGTACCTCGGGTGCCAGTCAAAGCCAGCCAAATTAAGGCGGAGAGTGCAGATCACACGGTTGAACCGCCCACGAGGGAAAACCCGTATCTGACCGTACCAGACCGTAAGGCTCCAATCAATCGGTCTCTCCAATTCCCCTCACGCCATAACCACACCTCTCTCCTGGATCCCTTCTCTTTTCTCTCCCTTATACCATCAACATCATCTTCCCTCATTCTCTTCTTTTCGTTTCCCTATCTCCTATTCTTCCGTCCGCCTTCGACCTTCTCCTCCCATCCTCCTCCCTTTCTCGTCACTGATCCTTCAGCGATACGTCACTTTCAACGGTTCAGCGTTATCAAGATAGCCGTGTCTTCTCGCCATCAACCCTCAAGACACTGCCAACCGTTGTCGGATTATACTCTTCCCTCGATAACTACAAGTTCGAAGATCTAGTCTGGATCGACGTACTGTGAAAGAGTATCCATCTCGCCTCTCCGTCACGACCCCTTTTCCTTGGTATCGCGGGTCCACTCTGAGCTCGGGTGACTCACTACCATCGACTTGTTAAAAGGGTCTCAATCCCGCTTCACTGGATTGCCCTTTTGCGATATATACAACCAGCCTTCGTCTCTTCAATCTACACGAAGCTACCCCCTGGCGTTGCAGGTGACCATACGTTTCTTCCGTCAAGCCTCGTTCTCACCGCGCTTCGGGAGTCTCATACTTTAGGGGCAACCTGGCATCGAGTACCTCTACTTTTCCATCTTGGATTAGAAGGGTGCTCTACCGGATCCCTCAATTCGTCTCGCCAATTTGCTCAACAATTCTTTCTGGCCTCTCATGACTCATTAATCCCAATTTACTTTTCAACTTGAGTCACGGCCCTTGACCTTGAACCCGGTGTTCAAAGGGTACTTTACCGTTTCTTCCATACATCTTTGGCCTTTTCAATCACGATATCACGCAGCGCTTTCTCTCAACTCCCTTCGATTCATCCGGTATCCGACCGGTTTTCAACTACTTGTTCATCTCGACTATTTCATTTTACTTTCTTTTTGATACATTCGTGTCGTCCACCTGGGACCCCTTCCCGTTAACCAACGAAAACGACATACAAATGAGCACATAACGGTCTTTACACACTCCCTAGCGTCAAGAAACTCTTCTTGGGTTCATCCATCTGCGCCGCCGCGCCATCATCTCTTTTCATCTGTCTATCAGCTTTTCACCAGTACATTTTTATATGACATTTCGAACCACGAGCCGGAACTATTTCTCTCTTCATCTCCTGACTTCCGCCTCACTTCCGACTCCTTCTTTTCGTCCGATCCCGTCTCCATTCGGCAACATCTCTCTTCATTGTCTCTAATATTCATTGGCCTGGTTGCTGTTTGATTCTCACACTCCCGACGTGTTCTTTACACACTCTGAGCGGTTCATAGATTTGTTTTCACTTGATCTCTTTGTTGGAGCATTACATCATTCCGTTCCCCCTACCTCATTTCATCTCTTTGCATTTGTCCTCTACGGGATTATCAGGCCAACATGTCGACCATGGAATGCTTGAAGAACGACTTCGTTGAGGGCCAACTTTTGGATGGTCGTTTTCGAACTGTGGCCCCTCTCAACCATGGGTCCTTCGGAATGGTCTTCCTGGCATCAGATATCCAGACTGGCCAAGATGTCGCCATCAAGTGCCTACTCAAGAACTCCTCAACGGAATCCTCGAATGATCGCTTTGAGGAACTTGAGTGCCACCGACGCTTTGGCTACCACCCGAACCTGGTCAACCTCATTCATACATTCGACACTGAGAACCATACATATCTCGTTCTGGAGTACTGTGCTAATGGTGATCTATACGAGGCAATCCGCCTGAACCGTGGTCCGTTGGAGACAGAGCATGTTCGAGACTTCATGTTGCAGCTGATTAGTGCCGTCGAGTTCATGCATGCCAATGGCTTGTATCACCGTGACATCAAGCCGGAGAATATCTTCCTGACTCATGATGGCTCTATGAAGCTGGGAGACTTTGGTCTCGCTACGCGGGAGTCCGTGTGCCACGAAGCGTGTGTCGGTAGTGACCGCTACATGGCCCCCGAGCAATACGAACCGCCCGCGACAGGTTATTCCCCCGCTAAGGCCGACATCTGGTCCGTGGGTATCTGCTTGTTGAACATCTTGTTTGCTCGGAATCCGTTCGTTACTCCCACCGAGTCCGACCTACTCTTCGCGGACTATGTACGGGATCGCCAGTCGCTGTTCGATATCTTCCCCAACATGTCCCAGGATACCTATGAGATTCTGACCCATGCTTTGACCATCGACCCCTCGAAGCGATCCTTGTTGGATGTGCGCGATTCCATTCTCCGCGCTGTTTCGTTCACCACCGATGATGAGTCACTCGATGAGTTCTGCACCGAGGACCGCGAGGTTGTCACTGCCAGTGCCAATCGCGAACCCCTCCGGACTCCTTCTCTCCAGAGCCCCCATGTCAACCAGGGAGATTCCTTCCCTTGGGCCAAGGCTCTCCAGTCGAGCCCTCCCCAGGCCATCCGGCAACTTTCCGTCATCCCGGACAACGAGAGCTATACCGAAGATTTGTTCCCCGCTTCCGAAGCTGCGGGAGGCTCCTGGTTCTCTTCTCACATGCCGACTCCATCCATGGCCTCCGTTATGGACTCTCAACTCAGCGAATCCTTTGCCTCGCTCAATCTTCGCAAGCGCTTTGTGCCAACTCTCCCTCGCTCAGATCCAGTTCCGATCACTGGATCCCTGCCGTCCAATGTCACGAAGCCATTGCCTTCTCTGTCCATGGTGTTTGGCAAAAACCAAAGCGCCGACAATATCTCTAAGAGTTGGTGTGACATGTGGGACGAAGATGAGTCTGAGAATGAGGATCTCGCTGTGATGCAACGGCGGGAGCAGAACTCTCGCAGTTGGAGCCAAGAGAGCCAGGGAGCCGCCCTCCCAAGATTGCGCGAGCCGGACTCCGCTTCTCCTACTCAGGGCTCTTCAGCCTCAAGCGTGGATACCAAGATGCAGCGCCTTGATCTGGGCGATCTCTCCCTCGATGATGACAGCGACTCCAGCACACCTCGTCCCTTGCAGAACTCTCCGCCTGAGTCTTCTAATGCAGACAAGTGGTCGATGCTTGGTGAAGTCCGACGACAGTACAAGCCTGAGGAAGAACCTCGCAAGTACATGTCTCGCAAATCCCGTGAGGTCTTTGGTCCCAAGGGCATTGTCGCTAACACCCGGCGACACGATTGGGGCCGAGGTACCTCTGGGTACCATCAGGCCAAATCCAAGCTCGCATCGCCAGTCGACACTCGCCGCCGCCACCTACTCGAACAGCAGGATTGGCGCAGTCATGTCCCCAAACGCGCCACTCCTACTTACGACGGGGACATTGACGATGATCTGGATCTCGTCGGCGGATGGCATGAGACTCATTTCTAGGCAGACTTGAGTGTTCGCTTTTCACTCCACCTCTACTCCCCTCTCCCTTATCTTCATGTCCTCTTTCGTGTTTCGTATCAGTTGGGAAAAAAAAAGTTCAAAACTACCCACTATAAACTAATGTTCCGCTTTCTTGTCTTGTGTCTCTTTGTTCCTGATTTGCGTGTTTTGTCTGTTTCAGTCTGCTCTCAAATGGTGCATTGCTTTGTGCGATGCATGCCCTCACCTCGGTCACCAACTTGTGTTTTTCTTTTCCTTCCTGTATACTATCAGACCGAGGGTTGCGGATACTGACGGAGACGATGAACGCGAAAATCACAAAAAGGTTAGAAGGCTGGTTCGGAATGCGTTGGTGGATGTTTGATTTTGGAGGCTATTCTCGCCCTGGACTCTAATGGGCGAGGATTCATTGGGAAAAAGGTGGAAAGAGTTGCGAAGTCTTGCGACGTTGGTTGCTGAAACAACCGCGGTCTGAACCCTGTTGTGTCTACTGTATCTAGTTATGTCTGACAGCCAAGGGGGAAAATGACACCATCCGCGAAGATATGCTTCTACTGTAATTGTAGCCGATTGTACCTAGTCTCAAATATTAGTTTGAAGTCTGTAGTTGTAACTGTACAGTAGTCCCCAGCATGCATGAAGCATGCATGCTATTCCATAGTGGAAGGCGGTAAAGGAAACCGTTGAGGGTCGAGATGCCACCGGTCCACTTTCGCTCTCCACTCGATCCAGTCCCTCTTTGGAGACCGCTATTTCTCGCCAAGCTTGCGTTGGCTTCTTATCTCTCGCACTTAAGCCCATCAGCCATCTGATTCCAATACCATAACCCCGCCGGAGCTAGCCATCCGCTCTCGCTCCCAGCCACAATGCACATAGCATGCGCGATTTCATAGCTTGAGAATTCACCAACGCGAGGAAGCTTTCACAAGGGCAACCGCATACCCACTGCAGAGTCTCTACTCAAACCGACAGAATGTTGGCCGCGGGCCGGTCATTAGACTTCTGGATATACCATGCTTCGATCCTTCTGGCTCTCTCTCACAACGCGCTCTCAGATGCGATTTCCCAGCCATCCTCGAACAGCACGCAGGCTACACCGGTGACAACATGTCCAATAAAGAGTCCGTGGCAGACGGAAGCCGAGCTCTTCCTGTTGCCGCCGTGTCTGGAGACGCGCTGGGGCGTGGGATACGACATGCGCCTTGATTTGGGAGTATCTAATGCAAATGGAATAGTCAACGACTCAATCGTTGATCCGTCCGTCGTATCAAGCGCCATCGCAGAAGAGACCGCAAGAGCCGACTCGGTGCCGAGCACAGAACAAGACCAGGACACAGACTCCCTTTTGGACAGTGCGAGCTTTCTCTCATTCGAGGACTGGAAGAAACAGAACTTGGCGAAGGTCGGACAATCCGCTGAAAATATTGGAGGGAGCAGACGAGTTGCGGCAGCTGGAAAGGAAGACCGTCGGCAGCCAACGGGAATTAATAACGCCTTGGACTCCTTGGGCGACGACGCCGAGATCGAGTTGGACTTTGGTGGTTTCGGCGCTGAGACGCCCGAGGCCAGTCCCACTGCCTGGGGCTCTCATCTTCCGCCGCGTGAAACCGACCAGGCTGGCGACGCGGATACAAGAAGCAGCAAGGGCGCGCTTCAGAGAGATGCGTCGCGCCGGAAGGATGCTGGCACTACTTGCAAGGAGCGGTTCAACTATGCCTCCTTCGACTGTGCGGCTACGGTGTTGAAGACGAACCCTGAGTGCAAGGGTTCGTCTTCTGTGTTGATTGAGAACAAGGATAGCTATATGCTCAATGAGTGTCGCGCCCAGAATAAGTTTCTCATTCTGGAGTTGTGCGATGACATCCTTGTAGACACGGTTGTCCTTGCGAATTATGAGTTCTTCAGCTCGATCTTCCATACGTTCCGGGTCAGTGTCTCAGACCGCTACCCTGCGAAACCAGATCAATGGAAAGAACTCGGGGTTTATGAGGCACGTAACACTCGTGAGGTGCAGGCTTTTGCGGTGGAGAACTCGCTCATTTGGGCTCGATACCTTCGAATCGAGTTCCTCACACACTATGGACACGAGTTCTTCTGCCCTGTCAGCTTGATTCGTGTGCATGGTACCACCATGATGGAAGAGTACAAGCATGGCGAGAGCTCTGATCGCGCCGAGTTGGAGGAGCTGGCCGCCAGTGAAGCCAATGGGCTTCCTGAAGAGGAGTTGGAAGCCAGACCCGTCGATGTGCATGTAGAAGAGCCCACTCCTGCAGTGGAGCCGACCATTGCGGACGGTGAGATTTGTCCGAATCCTGTCATAGAGGCTGTTTCGCCTTTTGATAGACTATTTGACGGAGCGATGTGCGGCATCAACGATGGACCGCCTATTGCCGCACCCTCGACATCAGCCACAATGTCTCAAACCAACCAACCACTGAGAGATAACTCCACAGCTACGGATAAAGGTACTGCTTCCGCTCCCAATACCGGTCCACCTGCTTCCCCAGAGGTCGCAGGAGACGCCAGAAAGCAGGGTGAATCTGCCAAAGGAGCCGTGACCACCCCGGACGCCTCCAGCGTATCGGCGGAGCCTGCTCAGCAGAACACAACCTCTGAGACAACAGGGAAAGCGACCAACAATGCTAAAGAGGAGCAGATCAACCAGCCTCCAGAGTCGAGATCTACTCACACCCAACCCCCATCTCCCAACCCGACCACCCAAGAGTCCTTCTTCAAATCCGTCCACAAGCGGCTCCAGATGCTCGAATCCAACTCGACCCTGTCGCTGCTCTACATCGAAGAGCAATCTCGCATCTTACGTGACGCATTCAACAAAGTCGAGAAACGGCAGCTAGCCAAGACATCGACCTTCCTTGAAAACCTCAATGTCACTGTCCTCGGGGAACTGAAAGAATTCCGCGAGCAGTATGACCATGTTTGGAAGTCCGTTGCCCTCGAATTCGAGCACCAGCGCATGCAGTCCTATCAAGAACTTCACTCCCTTAGCGCCCAGCTCGGCGTTCTGGCAGATGAACTGGTTTTCCAGAAAAGAGTCACTGTCATCCAGAGCATTATGGTACTCTGTTGCTTCGCCCTGATTCTGTTCTCACGAGGGTCGGGTAACAACTATATGGAGTTTCCAGGCGTTCAAAGAATGGTCGCTCGGTCCTACAGTCTACGGTCTTCGTCTCCGATCTTTGCCTCTCCCTCGGCCAGTCCAAGCCCGGGGTCCACGCGGCTGACCTCATCCCCCTACGGAGAGAGTGGAGGCCATCGTCGAAACCTCTCTGACTCGTCTGAACAAGACAGCCCTGTCAGTCCTACGGCGGCTTATGCCCCACCAACTCCCAGGTCTCCTTCTCCTGAAGAAAGAGATATTGAGGAAGCTGACAAGATGGAAGAGTCTGGCTCTCCTGCATCTGTGTCTGTGCCTCTACTTGATACACCGCAGCCTCGTTCTCATAGCACGCCGCCCGTTATGAATGGGCGTATGGACCTGGATATGACACCGGCTGGTGTCGATCCGGGTACTGTTGACGACAGTCCGCGGTCGCATGACCTGTAAAACCTCTTACGGCGATTATGATTCCAGGCATTCTTTTTACGACTCTTGCATCCTGTTGTTTTATTCGCTTGGCATCATACTGTGTACACTGTGTTTACTATTGTGTTTACTGTATCCATGAACATTGCATTCTGCACCTAAATTCTACACCAAACTCTGTTCATAAACAATAAGCCTGTAATTGTCTAGCCTGATAGAATAAATCCAGATCTCCCTTAGTGTCCGTACACAGTACTGGGAATGTCCCTGTCCCCGGGTGGCGTCAGTGTCCACGTTGCCTAGCCAACAATCAAACTTGCCCATTTTTCTCGGACACGCCAACAACACGTTTTTCCTGTTATCCGATCGACGTTCAAGACTCTTCTTTCTCCCTCCTACATAAAGCCACAGTTGAACACTCCTCCATACGCATCCACACACACACACACACACACACACACACACACAAAATGGACGCTACCACACAATCTCAGCCTCTGGCCGACCGCCCAACCAACACCCACCTGGCCAACACCGAGAAGACAGACCTGAAAGGCTCAGACATCTCCTCAATGGAGTATCACCGCCAGGTTCTGCAGGGCAAAGTAGCAGGCGAGGAGTAAGTCAACCAATTCCCCTGGACTCCTATCATCCTATGCAGAAACAGAATTAACCAGTATCCCACAACAGACAGCCAACATCCTACGTCTCACCCTCCGATGATATAATGAGCCCCTGCACAAAGAAGTTGAGCGATATCAAGGGCAAGCGCTTTAAGAAGTATGTTTTGATTGCCACTGGTTTCGGGTCTGGGCTGTTCCCCTCAGCTGAGTGCCTCGGCGTTAATACCCGCCTAAAAGACCTCCCAAACTAATTACTCTCTACAGTGCCGGCAAGCCCCAGTCATTGTTCGCTAAGCTCGGTAAGAAGAGCTATGAGCAATCTTCAGCCGAGCAGGGTCGGACTGAAAACTAGTTGATCGTTTACTTCTCTTCTCATTCGATATCCTACTCCTCTCCGACGGTTTGTCCTGGTCTTCCCTCAATTCGTCTTCACTCCGCGCCGGTCGCTGTGTCGGCATTGAGGAGCCGATTTGAGATCTTGGATTGGTTCGAGACCTGAGTTGGAGGCTACAGATGTTGCTTTTTGTTTTTCTTATTTGTGATGACCTGCAATGCCTTTGTTTCTTGTTGGGTTTTTGGGGGAATATTTGGGATTGGATTCTCATGGAGCTCGGGGTGAATCAATGGACTTTCTCTTCTTGGTCTGTCGTACCTAGTACCTACACAATACGTGTACACAGTAGTTATGTTGTAGATGTAGGTTGTACAGTAGTCTGGACCTAGGCAACTCTCGGTGATCTGGCCGAAGTAGCGGACTGTACTAGTATGTCAACACCAGACACAATTAGGGTACAATTAGGGTATTACTCCTACAATTCTACACAGTAGAGACCTGAGAGAGTAAATGTACATACAATCCAGCTGTAATCAAGAAAAACAATCCTTTACTTCACTAGTAGTATACACCGGTTAGCTCTGGGCCGAGGCAAAATCCGCATCTCTCGGCTTCTCCACACCTGAGACCTTCTCCGCAATTGCAATGGCCTGACCTTTCCTCCTTATATTCAGCTGCCATCTCCCCCGAATACTCCTCAAACACACACAATGCCTGCCTCTGCCCGTATCCCACCTATTGCCCTGCCGTTCGTCAGCGAACAGGCCAAGCGAACCCTCGACCTGGTATGTTCTCTCCTTAACCATCCAGCCCCTCATCATACTAACACCAATTCAGGTCGAGGAATTCGTCGAGAAGGAGTGTATCCCCGCCGACTCCGTCTTCCAGGCCCAGCTCGGCGAAGGCGAGAAGCGATGGACCACTACCCCTGACGTCCTGGAGGGTCTGAAGGCCAAGGCCAAGAAGCTCGGTCTATGGAACATGTTCCTGCCTAAGAATCACTTCACCCAGGGTGCCGGGTTCTCTAACTTGGAGTATGGATTGATGGCTGAGTTGCTCGGTAAGAGCAAGGTTGCTTCCGAGGTATGACTTTCTCCCTTTTCTTATTCCCGCATCGTTTACCATGATATGAACGGTCGCTAACTATTACTTCCACCAGGCGACCAACAACGCCGCCCCTGACACTGGCAACATGGAAGTGTTCGCCAAGTACGGTAACGAGGCACAAAAGAAGCAGTGGCTCGAGCCCCTGCTGGAGGGCAAGATCCGCTCCGCCTTCCTGATGACCGAACCCGATGTCGCCTCCAGCGATGCCACAAACATCTCTCTGGAGATCCGCCGCGACGGCAACGAATACGTCCTCAACGGCTCGGTACGTACCTTCCCACCTCTCAATATACCCCCACATCCAAAACTAACAAAAACAGAAATGGTGGTCCTCCGGTGCCGGTGACCCCCGCTGCAAGATCTACCTAGTAATGGGCAAGACCGATCCCACCAACCCAGACACCTACAAGCAGCAATCCGTCATCCTCGTTCCCGCCGGCACACCCGGTGTAACCATCCACCGCATGCTAACCGTCTACGGCTACGACGACGCACCCCACGGCCACGGGCACATCACCTTCAAGAACGTGCGCGTCCCCGCCTCCAACATGGTGCTCGGCGAAGGCCGCGGATTCGAAATCATCCAAGGCCGTCTCGGCCCCGGCCGCATCCACCACGCCATGCGCGCCATCGGCGCCGCCGAGCGAGCCCTGGAATGGCTGATCGCCCGCGTCAACGACGAGCGCAAGAAGACCTTCGGCCAGCCGCTCGTTTCGCACGGCGTTATTCTAGAGTGGATTGCCAAGTCGCGGATTGAAGTCGATGCTGCCCGGTTCGTTGTTTTGAATGCTGCTATCAAGATCGATCAGGGGAATGCCAAGAGTGCGCTCAAGGAGATTGCCCAGGCGAAGGTTCTCGTCCCGCAGACTGCTTTGACGATTATTGATCGTGCTATTCAGGCGTATGGTGCGGCGGGTGTTTGTCAGGATACCCCGTTGGCGTATCTGTGGGCTGGTATTCGTACGCTGAGAATTGCTGATGGGCCCGATGAGGTGCATTTGCAGCAGCTGGGCAAGAGGGAGAATAAGTCGCGGAAGGATGAGATTATTGCTAAGTTGAATTGGCAGCAGGGTGAGGCGGATCGGTTGCTTGCTGCTTCTGGGTTTAAGCCTAAGAGTCACCTTTGAAGGGACTGTGTCTGTACTTTGAGATGATTGTCTAGCTGCTTGTGTTTTGGTATAGCAGTATAGGACAGGAATACATCGTATTCATTTATTCCCGGGTTCGTAGGTTCATATCTGGATGTAATTGATCCGGGATGGTTTACTCTCGATGAATAGAGAAAAATGTACTGTGTGGTAATCAAGTGAAATGACTGGTATACTCGTAAAACCCTAACGCCAAAAGATGATTCACTCAACAACATGACATGGACATAACTTCAATCCCAACATGCAACATTAGGGAGACCGTTGATCAATTCATCCACCCCATGAGCCCAAGAATGATACGTAGAGTAAAAGGGAGAGCACATCCCCCTCGACTCGCCTGCGAGCGCAAAGCAAGCAAAAACAATGCAACAGAAAGAAAAATAAAGTCAACTTTTAGTAGTCATCATAATCAGGGTTGTTGCGCTTGCCTTTAGCCTGACGCTTATTGGACTTGAAATGCTTCTTGGGATTTCCGCCCCGAACCTCAGAAACGTCCACGCCACGCTCAAGCGCAACCATCATACGCTCCTTGCGGCCCGTAGGCGCCTTGCGCATCTCCTGTCCCTGCTGTGTATAGCGGGACTGGAAGGGGAGGGTCAGACGACCAGCAGAGGGGCCGGTTTCTGACCCGAAGAAGCCGGTGTCGAGGTTACGGGATGTGCGGCCGAGCTCGGGCTCAGTAGCAGGCGCAGATGGGCCGGGGATATCTGCGTTAAGGTCACCAGCGAGCTCGTCGGGTCCGACGGGCTTGCCGATGCGGGCTTGTGTGAGCTGGGCACGGCGTCGCTCGGGGAGATGGCTGACGTCGTAGAGCTCGTCGTTGAACTCGGTGGGATCGATTGGGGTTTCGCCCTCGGCGACTGGGGGTGGGTTGACCCAGAGGAGCTTGCCGTTGACGTAGTCCTTGAGGACGTATCGGGCGGCGCGCGACTCGTCGGGCTGGCCCATACCCTGGGTGGAGAAACCACGGGCTCGCGCGTAGGCGCGGAGAATCTCGCTGGCGGTGGGGATTCCGGTGCCGCCCTCTTCGATGGGGCGCATCCTGAGTTTCACGCCGTAGACTTGCTCGATGAAGTGCTTGGGGATTCGCTTGGCGACGATGCCGGCGGGGCCGGTGAACTCGCGCTGCTGGTCGATGGGCAACACGCCGTTGACGACTAGCTCGGCTTTGGTGGTGGCGAAGTTGGGGAATACGAGACCGGGACAATCGCACAGCATGATCTCCGGGGAGAGATAGAGGGTTTGGAAGTGCTTTGTCTTTCCGGGTGTGGCGGAGACGGAGACCTTCTTTGCGCCGAGAAGGGCGTTGATGGTACTGGACTTACCCACGTTGGGATATCCGACCAGGCCGATGGTAGTCTTCCTTTTGGGCTCCTCGCCATCCTCGGCGGTTTGCGGTAGTGTCTCCGGGGAGTTGGCCAAAAGAGAGCAGTTCCAGTTCTTCCGTGTCTAGAATGTGTGGCCCAAGCGAGCGTTCGGGATCAGCAAGCTTGGCCTTTTCTTCCTCGACTGTGTCCTCCTTCTGGTATCCGTCATCTTCCTCGGGGTGTCCGTTGACGTTCATCTTCTGCGTTGACTGAGCAAGTTCATCATCGGATTCAACATCAGAGTCATCAGAGTCATTTTCTTGCTCCTGCAAAGCAAGAAGGGCCTCGTTCTTTTCCTTGGCGAGGTGAGCAGAGAAGAAACGGAAGTTGATCTTGTTGGTCTCGAAATAGTGGGCCCATGCTTCTCTCTGCTTCAGAGTCAACATATCTGCCTTGTTGACCAGCAGCAAGTTCTTCTTCCGAGGGTCAATCTCCTTGACGTAGTTCTCCAAATCCTCTGAACGGAACTGCAGCGGGTTTCGTGCATCGACAATCTGCACAATAAGATCGGACCGCTCAATGACACGCCACAACTGGCGCCAGACCTCCAAATTGCGCTCGAAGGGAGTCATCAGCAAATCGTGACTCTCCACCAACTCTGCCAATCCTCGTCGCCATTCCAGCAGACTTTGTTTCTCCATCGTCTCAAGTTGATTTCGAGTGGTGTTCTGGTCCCACTGTGGTCGTCGAGGCACAGTGAGGCGGTCCTTATTCTTCTGCTGCTTCAAATAGGCATTTCTTTCTTCGGTGGGTGTGAGAAGGAAGGGGTTCTTCTGGTCGGAGTGGATGATCTTGACGTTATTGATTTTTTCAGCCGTAAAGTCGGTTCCGGCCAACTCGGCAGTGCTCAAGAACTCGTCGAGCGCAGCCTGCTCAGTGATACTACGCATCTTGACCCAAGAGGCCTCCTTGGCCTCGTTGGTGACGTAGGTTTCGCCATTGACGCCTGTGCGCTGGATGGCATTGTTGTGAGAGGCCTTCTTCTGAGCCGATGCTTTGCCCTTTCCGAACCGATCGTTCATGAGACTGGCGCCCAGTCCCACGGACTTCTTGGATTTAGCCAAAACCATGGTGATGACTGTTTAACAAAATTAAGAAAAGTTGGAGTCAAATGAAAAATTGAAGTCGAGCAGAAACCCCCACCTGAAAAAGGGAATTTTGGATTATTCAGACGGATAAGATAACGCTGACTCAGCCCCCTCTATCGATAGCGAAGTACTCCGTACTATGGTCATGTTTGTTCTTTCTTGAGGGTTTAATGCCATGGTTAGTAGTATGTGAATATAGCCCTGTCTGATATACACTGTATGAGTTTGACTATGCTTGAGAGACTTGACTTTTATGGTTCCAAGCTGGGATTTATGGTCCTGTCTGGCACAAAGTGCAAATGCACCGTTACCCAAGCGAATGGATACCCAAGTCTCTAAGCGAGAGCACAATGAGATTATGAGCAATATCATACTACATAAATGCAATAATACTCGTCACGAATACAAAGACCAAAGCAAGTCGTATCATCTCTTAAATCGAAGTTAAAGCAACATCCTGAGGACCCCGGAGAAGAGGCGATAAGAAACACGTGACCCTATCAATCCCACTTTTTCCTTTTTTTCCTGCGATACCTAAACCTCGACCAACGCAAAGATGCCGCCCAAACAGTGGATGTACGTATTCATAAAGATCAAAGACTGCTGCGCGTAAATTGACCAGTTCACAGTGACAAGAAGAACGCGACCAAGTTCCAGCTTTTCCACCGATCCCAAAATGACCCGTTGATCCACGATGACGATGCGGACGACCGTTTCCTTTACCAAGTCGCAGGCCCCGCGCTTGTCGAGGCACCATCTTCTGCATCGACAACCTCGAAAAAGAAGTTGCCCAATCTTTCCGACCTCCAATCAGAGTATGGTGACAGCGCTCGCAAGAATGAGGGCGAGGCCGCCAACCACGGAATCTACTATGACGACTCTAGCTACGATTACATGCAGCATCTCCGCGATCTAGGCAGCGGCACTGGAGATGCCTACTTCATTGAGGCTAAGACGGAGAAGGGCAAGGGCAGGGCTGGTCGAGGCATGAAGCTGGAAGATGCGCTGCGACAGGTCTCGCTCGTGGATAAAGATACTTATGCCCCGAGCGCTTCCGGTGGTGCCAGCGTTTATGGCTCGCAGTATGGCGATATGCGTTCAAATGCTTCGTCCTATGTCCGCCAGCCAACCTACCAAGATCAGCAGGATATTCCAGATGCCATCTCAGGATTCAAGCCTGATATGGACCCGCGTCTACGAGAGGCCCTGGAGGCATTGGAGGACGAGGCCTACGTGGAAGAGGGCGATGCAGACGATATCTTCGGCGCGTTGACAGCGAATGCTGAGGAAATCGACCAGGGTGACTGGGAGGATACCTTGTTTGATGATGACTACGAGGATGATGGATGGGAGTCGGATGCGACGGAGAAAGCGCCTGTGCAGCCGGACAGCACCGATATTCATGATGATTCCCATCAGTCAGTGGACGAGGAAGCCTCAGATGCCCCCGCAATGCCACCAGTTCCGACCGGCGAGTTGCCTGACCATGACAAGCCGGCTCCCGATATGCCCGCTGACCAGAGCTGGATGAACGAGTTTGCTAAGTTCAAGAAAGACGCCAAGGCCGTCAATGCTCCCAAACCGGCTGCACCCACAATTGCCGCCTCGCAGACGATGGCGTCGACCGTCTTCACTGCTGGTGGTACCCCGATCCGCCGCAAGAAGCGCAAGGGTGCTCTTACCAACCCGTCTGCGTACTCGATGACATCCTCCGCCTTGGCTCGTACTGAGGGCCATCGTCTTCTCGACGACCGTTTCGACAAGGTTGAGCAACTCTATGCTCTCGACGAAGAAGATGAGTACGATGATAGCATGTCGATGGTTAGCGGCATGACAGGTATGACGGGTATGACTGGTATGACTGGCATGTCCACCGCATCATCAGTTGCCCCCAGTCTGGTTGACGGCAATGGTCAAGCAGTGCACAGCAGCCACAATTTCAACAATGTCATGGATGATTTCCTTTCGAGCTGGGATCCCAACACCAGTAAGCAAGCGAAGCGTCACGGCGCCAAAAACAAGCGTGGCAAGAACGGCAACGAGGTAATCGGTATCAGGATGCTCGACGAGGTACGATCCGGTCTTGGTCCTGCTCGGATTAGGAGCAAGCTTCCTGGAAACGCTTGAATGAGGATTTGCACTGCATGTGAGAGGACTCTGAATGGGGAATCTCCGTTACGACTGGCGTTCGGCCTTTTTATTTACTTTTTTTACGACATTTCTGTGAATCTCATGGTAGACCAAAAGTCTCTTTTTTTGATGCTCTGTGTATCTCTTCTTACTCTCCACGGATGAGTATCTCTTCAATAGCAGCCCACGAAATCATTTCTCTTACGACACTACAACATTGTGAAACTGTTACCTACTTAGTCCATTTAGCATACAGTGGGAGTACCTAGCTCATGTAGAATGATGCATTGTATGACTTTGATCGAAATGTCCTGGTTGGCATGGATCAGACTCAACTGATACCTACACCTGATGTCCCAATATATTACAAATTCGCTACTAATCCCAAAAGATATTTGTACAAAAGGCCAAGAAAAAGAACTAGAAGGCACCGCCAACCTTCTCGACAATCCACATGGAGAGTCTCACATTCCACCCGACTCTCCTCTCCGTGCGCATCAGATCCTCCCTCGAGACAGGGCTAGCATTTTCCTGAAGACGCTCCGTCTCCTCACCCAGCTTACGCTTCAGCTCGGGGTCATTCGTCACGACAACCGCACCGGACTCAAGGTCCAGGCTGTAGCTGCGCTTCGTGTAGTTGCTGCTGCCCACAAAGGTGAGACTGGGGTGTTCCTCGCGCGGCAGCGTGACCCACAGACCTTTGGCATGGTAGGTCCACCCGCCCGGTGTACCAACAGTACCCTTGCGCCATTCCTTCAGCTGAATGGCGTCGGTGGCTCCTGCTGCGCCGACGCGGTCCAGGAAGCGGCCGGCAAGGTGGGTGTATGCGGCTGGCAGCATACCGGAGATACCGGAGGAGCCGAAGAATCCGTTTGCCCACGGGGAGGCTGTTAAGACGGTCCCTTGTGTGGAGGTGGGAGTCTTCGAGGGTGTGGTTGTGCTTGCAATGAGGAGGGAGGAAAGGACGGGGTGGATGTTGAAGTATCCTGCTGTGAAGAGCCAGCGAGCACCGGCAAATACTGATGAAGTGGATAGGAGGCCTAGGATTGTCGTCACGGCTGGATATTCTGTAGAGGTATCTTGCGGTTGCAGGATAGAGGTGAACTGCGATACAGGGTAGACGTATGTTTGACTTGATCCGGATGAAATTGCGGGCTTGTTGTCGGAAGCCTGAATGAGCGGGGTCAAGAATGCCGAAGAAGATGCAATGAAGTCCAGAGGGTCATCTAGAGGTGAAGGGGCTTTGTTTGTGGAAGGCCACTCCATGATATAGCTGGATGGGGTTTCAGGGTCTGGCAGGATGCGGAAGCTCAAGCTACAGATTGCATGGTGGATTCGGGCGTAATATTCGGTGAGTACCTCGGAGTCGAAGACATGGTACCGATCTAGGCGGCTGGTGAAGTATTCCTCTGATAGGTTTGCTCTGCGAATGTGTGAGTATCACATATCTTGCACAAGGACTGCAGACAAACATACCCTGATAGAATGATCTCGTCGTCGATACCGTACAACTTCATATGCTGCAAGCCCCAGCCCTCATTGATGCGGGCTGGGATGTATTTCTTTCTCAGACCCGTCAAATTGGGAGTATGAAACATCCGAATCTCGACTCGTTCGGGTCCATGCTCTTCGACCAACGAGCAAAGAAGCGAGGCGCATGAAGGGTTCGGGGTCTCTCGTGTGCCGCGCAAAGCGTCCGTGAGAATAGAGACCTTGAGATCCGGGTTATCGCGAAGAGCTTGGCTCAAGGTATCGACAAGATCGTGTTCTGTCTTTCCGATATACAAGGTAGAGAGATAAATGCGCCGCTTAGCATTGCGGATTTTGTTCTGCGAGGGTTTGAGTTAGTTCCAATTTCATGTTGGGCGGACGGTTATAAGTAGACATACCTTCAATGTCGAGTAGAAATTGGCCGGAGAGTCAACAATATGAATCTGAGACGCAGGCACCTCAAATCGGGGCGCGATTCGGTCTAACTCCGCAGTGATTCCTGCTAACGGCGAAGGAGCGGGTGCAGCAGTTGCAGCCCCCGGACCCGACTGCGCAGAGAACTTGCGGGCGCATAGTTTCTGACGAGCAACTGGGTGACGCCAAGCTGAACGAAGCGTTTGCCCTCCAATGCGACCGAACATTTCTGAATATTCTCAATGTCGAAGATTTTCTGAGGGAAATCCATGTAGAGTGAGTGCAAACGGTGCAAACACACCGCCCTGGCAACCTCAAATCGCCAATCTCTCTCCCATTCGCCCTAGCACAGTACACCAGCAAAGATGTCGACTATTGTGAGGACGCTGCGCAACCTTCGCCGGGTTGGCTTCAAGGTTTGTATTCATGTGATATGTTCTCCTTGTAAAATTTGGTTGCTGACACTGCTATACAGGATGCCGCCCACCAGATGCAGGTACGATTACCGCCGACTCCCCCGGAACAGCAGGTCAATTGGATGAGCTCAAGACTAACCTAAGCCCCTGTTTGCTGTGATTTAGAATATCGGTATGTTGCCATTGAACCCTAGCTGTGACAGTTGACTAACGATTCATGTTTCTTGCAGGTGATACCAAGGCCGGAACACTGATCGGAGTCGATCGCTGGGGAAACAAGTTCTTCGAGAACATGAGCGAGGAACTGCCTCGTAAGCAGCATATCTGAACCCAGAGTACTGTCTGAGAAAATGGAATTGCTAATGGAGAGCTTCTCCGGTTAGTCCGAACACGATGGGTTGACTACAAGGATGCCGAATACGACGCATCCCACATTGAGCCCGGCTGGTAAGCGCTTCTCTCGAAAGATGGGACCCAATATGTTCCCCCGTGGAATACGAAACTGATAATTCTCAGGCACGCTTGGATTTCCTACATGGTCGATGCGCCCCCCGCAGCCGACAAGATCTTGGAGGGCGGTATCCGTCACTGGGAGCTGCCCGAGCACCGTCCCAACCCGACGCTGAGCCGCTCTGCTTACAAGACTTACTCGACGTACGTGTGACATTTATATGTGCTATCTATTGATATAGCTCGAGCATTACTGACTTTCCTATTCAGCACCCGGCCTAAGATCAATGCCTGGAACCCTGTCGCTGCTCCGCGGTAAATCCATTTGCAGTAGCGGTTAGTGTCGTTCAATTGATCTCGTTCTCCTTTCAGCCTGTTGGCATATCGTTTGCCGATTTGGGAAATGTACATAAAGACGTCTTGCCAGTAGTGCCTTTTTTTTACGAAGAAAGTCAGTTTTCGAAGTTGGGCTTCAATGAAAGTTGTAGTAAAAGTAAATTCACATGCTATTAACTCAAGGTATCTCAATTATTGAAAATCCAAAGACATGCATTACGGGTAGAGGGGAAACAAAATAGATACATGAAGATATGAAACAAGTCATTCGACCTTTAGAGGACGTAGAGGCCAGATCCAATATTAGACCAGTGACGAATTGGCCGTCGATCCTCGAGTTCAATGCACCACCACAGTACCTCTTTCAGCTTGTCGATCTGCTCACCCGCCTCGTATGCTCTGGACAACGCAAACCATGCCTCGGAGTTGTCCCAGGAGCTTCCAAGCTTGGTCAATGCCGAAAGAAGACCATAGGCGCGATCGCGGGCTGCAAGGCGATGTAGTTGCTTAGGCTCAACATTTTGGGCGGATGAAGAAGTCTCTGCTGTTCCTGTGCTTTCGGCCCCATTTGGTGTCTTGCCATCTTCGGTCGAGATAGCCTTCGCAGACTTGGGGTTGGGTGTCTCCGACAGCAACGACAGGCGTGCCACGTCGAGATCCACATCTGCATTTGGCGCTTCGGGGGCCAATTTCTGCTCCCAAATATCCAGAAGAAGATTCGCAAGACCAATGGTAGCCGTAGGGTGGTCCTGGTAGCGCAGCAGTGCTTCCTCGAAGTGCTTGATGGCTTGATGAGGCTTGGACCGAGCTTGTGCTAAGAGACCCTGTTCCGCGTATACATCAGCCCAAAGCTCTTCGGAGCTTTTGGAAGCTCCCCAGCCGCGCTTTCTGAATACTCGAGCGGAAGACTCTTGAGATGCAACAAGTGCTTCCACTCGAGCGGCCTGCTTGGAAGCTTCTTCACAGGCTTCACGGGCATCGTCAAACAGAGATGCTCGGCGGTAAAGACCGGCGATAACAAGCCAGATCTTGATGAGAATACCCAGTGCATGCTTCTGAGACTGAAGTACGGAGAACTTGGTTATGGCACTGGTGGGAGAGTCGAAACGGTGGCAGACCGGCAGCCGGATATCCTGGTGAGGGGGTTGGTGCTCATGACCGCCTGGGAAAGGCTCTTCTCTGTGGTTCATGTTGTGGGCCATTGCCGGCAGTGATTGTTTGCCTTTGGTAGGATGGATCGCGGATTCTGGCGATGCGTTGCCAGAAACCGCAATGCCAACAGCGTCTGCCGGTGTCTCGCCCCCGTTAGGAAGTGGAGGCTGTTCAACAGGCGGCTTCTCACTTCTGCTGAAGCTCATACTCCGCTTTTTCAATTTCTTTGAGTCTGACCGCCCAATGGTTGGCGGTCTCCCCTGACGGCTGTTAAAATCTTCATCGGTGACCTGGATTAACGGAGCATCCGTCGTATGACCATTAGGGATGGCAGGGGTTGGCGGAACGACGCCAGAACCATTACTTGGATCGGCACGGCGATCCGGTAACTGAGATGTCCTGTGCCGACCGAAAATGCTACCCCGGAAGCTTCTGGTGGTTCCTGAAGAGCTTTTCGGGGGTACTAGGTCGGCTTTGGCGCTGGTCTCCCCAATCTCGAGCTTCAGATCATGGAACAAAGTGCTGAATAGGCTCAGTAATTGTGTGCTGTGGTTGACAGCGGCCTCAGGGCCCTCCAGGAGCTCGATGAAAGCAAGCTGTGTGATGCGAGTTTGAATGATGCGCTCTTTCTCTCTGCCTTGCAATCGGTTGATAATCGTCCGTTGATTGGAATTTGGTGCATTTCTCGACGATCGCCGGTCACGATGACCTTTCGAGAACAATTCCCGGGGAAACTGCTCAAATGCAGCTTCGCATGACCGACCAGCAATCTCGAATTCTTGCTTCGCACTCAGCAGCAGCGCAAGCAGATGCCACAAAGGTACCAAATCACGCTCTTTGGAAAGATCATCAGACACGGCATTAGATGTGCCATTGGGCGTCAGAGCCGACTTAACATAGTCAATCGCAGTGTCCAAATCTCGGTTCTCGGCCAAGAGAAGACCCAGGGTGTATAAAGAGGAATAGTTTGTGCTATTTCCCAACTCTGGAGCAAGACTCTTCTCGAGGTATTCGATTGCATCAGCTCTAATTTCATCGCGTGATTCATTCACCGGTGTCCAGCTTGCCCAAGAGGCAAGGCCAATACCGACGGCTCGGTAGGACGACGCCAGCACGGAGGAAGGGATGCCTGTTGAGTGCGTAGAGCTGCCATTGACCTGGCCATTTGTAATCTGGCCATTTGCAATCTGGCCGTTTGTGATTTGGCCGTTTGTGATTTGGCCATTTGTGACCTGGTCGTTTGTGACATGGCCATTTGTGTGAGGCAAAGTATGCTTGTCGATATACTTCTTTATAATTTCAGTCAGATCCCGGGCCTTCTCTGCCTCTTCGAACGAGCCTAGAGAGGCCAATAATGTGACTCCCTCGGAGAGAGTCTGCAGCAACACTTCATCCTTCTCCAGCTCTCCATATTCCGCAGACTTCTCTGCACGCTCCTTAGCGGCAGTGACAATCTCGATGTATGAATCGAGCGCCTTCAAGGCGAGGTCAAAGTCCGCCAAGGCGGAGTGCACATGGAAGAGACGGCGGAGTACCAAATGAGAATGATAGGTCTTTGCCGCTGCACGATACAGAATCTAGGACAATATTGTTAGTTCCGGGATCTGATTGGGCATGTGGTTAGACCCACCTCTAGCACGTTACGACCAACGGCATCCTGACCTCCTTCGCCGAGGTCCGAATCCTGCCACACGGGACCGCACAGGACTTCCCAGTTACCGACCACCCGCTCAACCCATTCCTCGACCTGTGAGTTTGCCGAGCTGGCCGTAGGAAATTTGACTTCATTGAGCAGATTACGCTCGCAGATAGTCTCCACGCGGCGCAGTTCACTGGCAAGTTGGGGGCGGTCCGGTCCATCATTGGGACCAGTGTATGGGAGCCCATCCTGTAGAACCGTTGTGAGGAGCCCGTAATAGCCAGCCCATACTGATGATCGTTGGGCTGGGATGGGGACATCCACACTGGATGACTTGCTGTTGGAGGCCCCTTGTTTCACGGCAGGATGAGCTGCCCATAGCCTGAGCAAGCGCAGGGCAATATCGACATGCCTGGGTTCCGAGTAGGGTGTGCATTTGCTCGCTTCATCAATTGCCAGGAGAGAACCCTTGCCCAGAAGTGATTCGGACCAACCCAGCAATTGCGGGGTAGAAATCAATGCTAACCTGCCGCTGTTGAGCCACGGAATTAGGGATGCAAATGTCTCGAGCGTGTCGCCAATGTCCGCGACACTAGATTGCGCGGTTGCTAGGTTGGTGTTAGATGTAGCTCTGGGTACGCCAAGCAGCAAACCAAGTAAACATACCCTTGATGTAGCATCCTTTCACTATGCAAACCTCTGTCCACGAGGTAAGAGGTTCTCCCCCACTGGTCAAGCTATCGATTGTCGCTGTGAAGTCTTTAGGTAGACGCGCTGCCGATAGGCTAGGTTCATTCAGAACCCAATGTATCCATCCTAGGCAGACCTGCGCTTGGAATAATTCTTGTGGCGAGCCGTCATTGTTCTCAATTGTCATCAAAAGGGCTGGAATCAACTCGACAAGGTTCGGGGATGCGGTCGAAGAGTCACCGGAAGACTTTTGTTGGATATATGCAATCACACGCGACTCCCCCGTTGCAGTCTGTATCAGACCTATATCGAGACGAGTCGGTTAGCCTGAAGTCAACAAGCGACGGACGGGGAACGCACAAGTCTTTCGCGGCGCATGTTTGGTGACTTTTCGAATTAATTCAGGCACCTCGTCCCATTTGCCCTGGCTCCGCGCTAGGTCCAAAGCTGCGACGTAGCGCTGTCCCTTCTCGGCATTACCTCCCTGGTTTGCATATGTCAACATAAATACTGGGTGGTATCAAGGAGTTGGAAGGATATAAACAAGCACATGTCGTAGGAAGCATAAGACAGACACTTACAGGCATGATTCAGAGGGTTGTGAATGGTTTAGAACGGAGAGGAACAGTTCAAGCTCCGTCAACATCGTCAGTCCTGCAGCCCGATGATCGTCCAGGGGTGGAGAGGGATTACGTACGTGACAGTAATTTAACGCCGAGGCTTCACGCCCGCTTGAAAGTGGCCCGAGCTTCAGGAAAAAAAAGTTATCGATAAGCGCTTCATTTTTGCACACGTTCTCTGTCAATAAGGTTGCTCCATTCTTGAGTCTAGACCTGCTAGATCGGTCTGTTCTGATCGCAATGACTTCTACAACTTTGCGTGCCATCACACACCGCCTGACCACTACTCCGGTCGAGCAATTGCCCTCGATAGCCTCGTTCCTTGCGACTTCGTTGAGCGATTGCGCCGAGCTGCTTTCAGCACCCCAAAATCAAAAGTCTGGAAAGTCGGACTCCGATAATGCAGTACAGATCCATAAATTGAAGACTAGACTGGCAAGTCTGTTGCAGGACCGCAGTGTGGAGGGAAGATGGACCGCTGTCGTCCTGGTGAAAGCCACGGTCGAGGCTGGTCAATGGGAAATTCTGCGCGGTTACGAACCGATCGTCCGCAGCCTGATCAGTATCCTGTCGGTATGTATTGTATCTCAAGCTGATCTTCAACTTTGGTTGCATTGACTAATGCATTCCTAGAAACCTGATCCAATCTCCACAAGGAAAATGTGTATCATCACACTTACTCGGATATTCCACCTCACATACCAATACCCAACACTCGTCCGGGAGATCACAACCCCACAACTTCCGGCATTTGTCACCGCTGCTTTGAACTTGGTTTCTAGCATCACAAAAACCCCTTTGGGCTCAGTCCGAAAGCCGAGACCTAACACCCCGTTCATGGAAATTGTCTTGCATGCCTTGCTGGAATTGGTCCCAAGACATGTTACCATTTTCCGTCCGTTCAATGGCCAGCTCCGGACTCTTCTCACCGAAGTCATTGGCTCATCTTCGCCTGCGTATTTCCCGGAGCACGTGGTCGATGCAGCTGAAGAACTGCTTGTCTCCCTCCACAAGTGCGCTCCCAAGGATCAGGCTAGCGCTGGATGGAAGGATGATTGCAAATCGACAATCTTGTCTATCCACCGAACGATAGACCATGTTTTCCGGGCCGTCGTAGAGCAGTGGGAGTCTGTTGATGCGGGTCTGGCGCACATACGACCAAACTATAGCGCGGAAATCGGCGACCATGCCGAGGATGGCCTTGGACTTCCAGGCTGGAACGGACTTCACTCGGGTGTTGATAGATTGATCGCACTTTTGAGGATCCTCTCTGGATTCATCTCGATGCCGACTGCAGTTGCAGTTGCTCTTCCGATGGGCTCTATCCTTGATGTGACGTCCCGGTTGACTTCTGTGACCGTCCCGCCGAACGGCGCCGTGTCATCTCAGTCTGGTATCCAGTTCAACCAGGAAATCAGCCGCGATGAGCGAGAGGCACTTTGGATGGAGCTACCTCGGATCCACATCGCCTGCATGGATCTGCTTTCCAGCGTTGTCGATGTGCTGGGGACTAGCGCAACCGCGGTAACACAGACTATCCTAGAGCAGGCTGTCTGGACCTTCAAGGGCGAAAAGTTCAACAGAGACCTGCGTTCCTCCGTCTATAGCTTGCTCCGTTCTTTGGTGCCGGTGAGCGGACCTGCCATGACCAAACAGAGCGTGGTGTCTCTGACCAACGTGCTACGCACTTGCTGCCAAGATCTGCTACCGGAGACTGAGGAATCTACGTCGACGGGCTCTGACCCTAAAGCAAAGTCGAAAGGTGGACAAGGGACATCCAATGCGGACGCCTTTTTCAACCCCAATCTGCAGAAGTCTGGTCAAGCACAAATGGGCTCCCCGGTTTTAGACCTTCAGAAAAATGCCTCCGGACTCTTGCAGGTCGTGTTTACTTCTATCCCTGCCGAGCTTGTCCCACCCTCCATCAGAGCCGAATTGGACCGCACTATCATTTTGACATCCGACAAAGATGCAATGCTTGCTAGCGTGCTCAACCCTGTCCCAGCAATCAAGGGCCGGGGAGCAGGCTCGAGCATCATCCCGTTCCTGGCTAGGCCTTACGCTGATCAGATGGAGGTGGAAGCCCTGATCCGTCCCAGAATGCCAGTTCTGATGACCGCACCCGAACTTGATGCCTACGTCGATGAAGACGAAGAAGCAGAGGACGAGGAGATGGGTGATGATTCATACAATGCGGCCCCAAAGCCTGTCGAGTTCCTGAAGCAACCTGTGTCGGCACCGTTGCAAGCGCCAGAGGAAGCTCAGACGAAGATCGCTGCACCGGTGCCTACCTTCCAAAAGCGAACCTACACCGAGGAAACTACGTCTCAGGACCCAACACCCCCGAAGCAAGAGACCAAGAAGGCGCGCTTTGACGATCTCGTCTCGAGCGCTTCCAGCCAGCAGCCTTTCATTCAGCCGGCAGCTACAATCACTCAGGCTGAGGCACCCAAAGTTACCACACAGCTGTCCACCACCTCTACAACCGTGATCTCGCAGGCTACGGAGCAAGTTGATGATGATAGCGGGGACGAATTGCCCACTTTGAACATCGACTCCGACACTGATGAAGAGGATGATGATGATGTGGCGATGGAAGGATAGATTTCCTGATCAAGGGAGATTATAAATGTATTCAACTGTGTATATCTCAATCCTGCACCCATACCTAATGCATGACTATCCGAATACTGAAAGTGACACGGTCCTTCCAGATGCAAAAAAACCCAGAATAATACTCCACCCAACCTATCTATAAATCTATAACACTCGTATGCCGCTCCCCCAATATGTACCATCACTCCAGTATTTGAACCAGGGTTCCTTCCAGCACACCCACCTTTGGCCCTGCAACCCCAATCCCAACCCACGAAGTGGGCTGAATGGAACGGGCTCCATGAGCCACAGTCCTCCCTTCGAAAAGTCATCCGCAATAAGGCCACCCGAGGCCATCAGCCAAGAGAACACAAATACGAAGATGGCCGTTCGTCGTAGCCATCTCGGCGTACCCGCGAGCGGTAATTTGGGGAAGATCGACGTCTTGAACACCTGCTCCGCCATGATTGCCACACCCTGTACAGCAAAGAAAAGGAATGTGCCAGACACAGGGCGTGTCTCAGCAATCTGTGTCAGGCTTCCACATGCATGCACGAATCCGCTGAGACAGAAAGCGACCATCAGGTACGTGATGCGACGGACTTGCCGATTGGAAGCCAAGCCGACGGGGAGTAAGGATAAGATCCAGCGTGCGGAGACCATGAACCCATGTCTGAATACCTGGTGCCACCAACGCCCCCAGCAGCCCGCTAATCCATGGTCGAGGATTGGTATAAGGAATGGCCCGAATGTACTGGAGTACAGCCATGGAGCACCGAGCGGAGCCGCGGTTAGCTTCTTGGCTCCATTCGGGAATGCGAGAGACAGTCCAAGGAAGAAGATTGGATTGAGTGATGTCACACACTCGAAGGCGACGTACACACCCAGGGCAGAGTAAATGTTGTGACACAATTGAGCCAAGACTGGGTGGACGCTGATATCTGCCAGGAAGAATGGGAATGGTGACGATGAATCAGCTGAGGCTAGGCCTCGAAAGAAGGGGTCTGGCATAAGGACTATGACTTTGAGGATATCCAGCCCAAGATAACAAATGAAAAATGTCCGAAAGGCTGCCCGCAGTCGGTCCCTGCCACTGGGATAGGATGAAGGCTCCTGTGCTTCGATTTTCTCGGTGAATCCTGAATGCAATTGAGCATGGATTGGCTTTGGAAGAGGGCCCAAATGAGGAGCCCTCCAGTTCCATTCCGGTCCTCTCATATTGAAGAATAGACCGGCGCACCAATCAAGACGATGCGAGAATTCTGCGGGATATGGCTGCCAAACAAGCTTGTCGCTGCTGCCTTGGCATGTTGGATTACTCGATTGGAGTGACTTTTCGACAGCATTGTTTTTCATCTTGGCGCCACCTTGAGGTCGTACATCAAGAGGTTTGCGCTCAATGCGCCTGAAGTCATGCTCAATATCTGTAAACACAAACAACGTGGCATTCCATACTAGCCACCAGGCAGTCATCAGGCCAACCATGTAGCCATTTCCTCCAGTGGTAGCCCGACGGTTCATCCAAATCTCCATTGCAGTGGCAAGAAAGACGACGAAGAGGCCTTTCCGAACATATTGTCCGCCCTTGCTGCGAGGAATCACTAGCCCTATCAGAGGCAAAATGGTGAGCATCACAACCTGATATAGGAACAACGGCTTAAAGACACCCTGCTCAATCAGGTCGTCCAATTCCCTCTCACGGCTTTTGCTCAGATACTCGGAACTATAGTGCATATCGGCCATGTGGGCTGTAGCCCGTGGGAAGCCGGTCGCGTCGTGTCCCTGGACTGTCGATTCCGTTCTCGATCCTTAATTCTCCGGCGTGTGCAAAGGGGTAGGATGCTAGGACAAAGCCTAGACCAAGTAGTAGTACTATTGAACGAGGTAGTATAATACTGTTTTCTGTGAATGGTAGGGGTGAATGAGGAAGTGTCAATGGACACGTCCCAATGGATGACGTGTGAGTGCCTGAGTGGGTGACGACGGGAGGTCAAAGGGAGCAATGCATAAGCATGTTTGTGTGATGAGGTCTCCTATCCCGATCTCGATCATTATTCATTGGTACGATCTATTCTATTGTGTACGCAGTAGTTCTAGCCCTACCATGGTCTCGAAATCTCTACCGATTCGACGTTGTAGTAAGTACTAGTCAGTGAGTTCCCTTGAGCGATTGTACTGTGTAAAGACATGATGCCACAGCCCACCCACACCCTAGTGACTTAGCCATGCGCTACCACCTAGATGTTTCATTGTTTCGACGAGTTATGTTACTCCTGGTAAAAGTACTTAATTCTACGCACATGTATGGACAGTATGATAGCGATCAGCCCGCGATTCTGCGCGAACCATCCAAGAAGTAGATCATGTGATCAACGCTTCACACGTCGGCGCTATACCCAATCGATATCCACCGTATGATAGATAACAACTCATGGAATCTCCAAATCTCAGTGCCACTGAGACGTTTATCTTCATTTTAAACTGTCGATCGGGGAGTCTCACGCGGCACCAGAATCGGACACGGGAATTCCCCTTTCTTTTCCACCTGAATTTTTCAGGTCTCATCTATCAAATTCAACTAGTTGCATGAACAAGAGAAACCATGCCACCAAAACGCAAGTCTGATGTTGGCCCAGCCAATGATGCTTCGGCTAGTAAGCCTGAGCGTGCGCCGAAAACCAGCCGTACAGCTTCTACTGCGAGCCCTCATGAAACTATCTCAGGCCAGAGATTTGGCGAGTCTGCCGACTACATTCCATTGACCCAGGTAGCTGGCGCGGACGAAGATGACGAAGACGCGTTTGAGGTTCTCCAAAGTTCCCAGGCAGTGGATGATTCCTCTCTGGCCGACTCCATTCTCTATGGTATGCACTCGTATATGTGCTTTTCTTTTGAAGTTCCTACTCTAAGTTCAGTACTAAATGGCGCCCATAGGTATTCTCATGACCAAGATTGTTGGTGTTCGCTATTACAGTGGCCATGCCAACCCGGGTGAACGTGTCATTGTCATCCGGGATGCCAATAATAAATATGACAGCAATGCCATCAGGATCACCAATGTAATGGGCGCCCAAATTGGGCACATTCCGAGGGAGGTGGCGGCCAGGTTAGCTCCTTACATGGTGAGTCTATGTGGTCTGAATGCTTTGGTACATTGACGATATTCATAATCATAGGATGCTCGTGATCTTCTCCTCGAAGGGACGTTGACTGGACCTATCGGTAACTTCACATGCCCGATGAACTTGAAATTGTTTGGCCCCCGCGATCCAATCAAACGATCCCAGTTGAAGCAAAGAATGCAAAATGACAGAATTCCTGTTCGCCAATTGTATGACTTAGAGCGCGAAGAACTCAGGCTTCAAAGGGAAGCTGAGAAGCGTCGGATGGAGGCTGCACAGAGAGCCCGCGCCATAGCGCTTGCACAAGCGTCAGCACAATGGCAAGCCAACAGAAACGCGCAATTTTCGAACCTCACAACGGCGGGGACTGGACTTGGTGTCCAGCGGAATGAAAGCCTGGAAGCACTTCTCAATCAGAGCTCCACCTTCAATCCTCGCGATATTGGCCGGGTAGTCGAAAACTTCGGACAAAAGGAGTCTGATCTGGTTAATATGCCAATGGTCGATACTCCAGCCGGACTTACTACTCAATTACTTCCGTATCAGCGCCAAGGACTCGCTTGGATGATCAAGCAGGAATCGCCGAAACTCCCTGCGAGGGGCTCGGACGATATCGTGCAATTGTGGAAACGACGTAACAATGCGTTCCTCAATGTTGCAACTAATTATTCGACGGACAAAGAGCCAACGCTCGCCAGCGGTGGCATCCTTGCCGATGATATGGGCCTAGGCAAGACAATCCAGATCATATCCTTGATTCTTGCAAACCCAAAGCCTCTCACTGCAAACTCGTCTAAGACGACCTTGATCATAGCTCCCGTTGGTGTCATGACCAACTGGAGGAATCAGATCACGGAACATGCCAACAAGGAGACAGCCCCCAGTGTTTTGATTTATCATGGTTCGGGGAAGAAGGAAGCCGCAAATCTGGCAAATTATGATGTGGTCGTTACCAGCTACGGGGCCCTGAGCAGTGACTTCAATCCTGACGCTACTAGGCCGCCTGCTAAGGGCATATTCTCTGTTCATTGGCGTCGTGTTGTGCTTGATGAGGGCCATACCATTCGCAATCCTAGTTCCAAGGCTTCTCTAGCGGCATGCGGTTTGCGAGCCGACTCCCGGTGGACGTTGACCGGTACGCCCATCATCAACACTCTCAAGGACTTGTACTCGCAGATCCGTTTCTTGAAGTTTTCGGGCGGCTTGGAAGACATGGGAATTTTCAACAGTGTCTTGATTCGACCAGTTAATGCAGGAGAACCCGAGGCTCGACTGCTTCTTGAGGCTCTCATGGCTACCATCTGCTTGCGGCGCAGAAAGGACATGGAATTCATCAACCTGAAGTTACCGGAGATGACATCTCGTGTCATCAGAATCAAGTGGCACCCCCATGAAGTAGAGAAGTACACTGCTTTCCAGTAAGGATTGGCCCTCGCCCCTCAGATTCGCGAGACAACTTACTAATAACAATCATAGAACCGAAGCAAAGGGTGCTCTTCTGGATTTCAAGGACAAGGAAGGAAAAACCAAGTACTCACACTTGCTCGAGGTCATTCTTCGTCTTCGCCAAGTCTGCAATCACTGGGTGCTCTGCAAGAACCGCCTAGACAAGCTCATGAGCATGCTGGAAAACCACAAAGTCGTGCCTCTGACACCTGAAAACATCCGAGCCCTGCAAGAGATGTTGAATCTCATGATTGAAAGCCAAGAACAGTGCGCCATCTGCCTCGACACGCTCGATAAACCGGTCATCACTGCCTGCGCCCACGCCTACTGCCGAGGCTGTATCGAACAGGTTATCGAACGCCAGCACAAGTGCCCCCTCTGTCGCGCAGAGATCAAGGATAACAACACTCTGGTCTCCCCCAATGCCGACTTAGGTGATGACACAACCGCCGCTGAAGCTGATCCCGAGAACCCAAGCAGCAAGATCGAAACCTTAGTCAAGATTCTCACCGCGCAGGGTCAGGCACCAGGCACGAAGACTGTAGTCTTCAGTCAATGGACCTCATTCCTGAACCTCGTCGAGCCACACCTCGCTCGATGCGGGGTTAAGTTCGTCCGCATCGATGGCAAAATGTCGTCCGTGGCACGTGACAACTCTATCAACGCCTTCTCGAACGACCCTGAGTGCACCGTGCTCCTGGCAAGTCTGAGTGTGTGCAGCGTTGGCCTCAACCTCGTTGCCGCGAACCAGGTTATTCTGTGTGACAGTTGGTGGGCGCCGGCAATTGAGGACCAGGCTGTCGACCGGGTGTATCGGCTTGGACAGAAGCGGGAGACCACAGTCTGGAGACTGGTTATGCAGGGCAGTATTGAGGAGCGTGTGTTGGACATTCAGGAGCGGAAGAGGAGTCTTATGCTTGCTGCTTTCCGCGAGACGGCGAAGAAGAAGGCTGAGGATGCTGGCACTCGTGTTGCAGATCTTGAGGCTCTTTTGCAGTGAAGTGATGCATCTGTTAAAGTTGTATCGTTCCTATGCATGATTTTACTTCGTGTACATAGTGGTGGTCAGACATGTCAATCGACTGAGGGGTCATCCTTAGGGTTCATTTCGGCCTCACCCAATCGAACGTGTTATCCAAACGCTACATGACATATACCTAAGCCTCAGGTTCATTTTGGCATTCTCCCATTGTAGCACAAGTAGTGGAGCAATCAATATTCAATTTTATCTGAAAGTAGAAGGCAGAAGAAACAAATCCAAGCACCAGCGAACTATTTACCTACGCATTTGAGTCTGACCAGGTAATTTTCATGCACCTCGGCGTGCATCGGAGCGACCCCATGCGCTCCTTGTCCGTCTATCTCCACCGTCTCCAGCAAATCCACATCGAGACCTTATAGTTCAACACCCTTAAGAAGCTTCGCAACGTTTTCATGACGAGGCTTCAATCCAATACGGAAGGGAACCGGAGAACGTCCCGAAAGACCATCGTACTCCTTCAGATCGATAGGCTCACCAGGGATCTCGTACATATCGAAAGCCCAGAGCATACGGGAGATAGTCAACCAGATCTCGCGCTCAGCAACGATCATTCCAGGGCAAATACGGCGACTAAACTCAGTTAGTCCTGCACTCTGTAACAAAGCTGGTAGAGAGAACTTACCCGGCACCGAACATCCAGTGGTCTCGCTCCATAGGGTCGGCGGAATTGGCACTATCGGCAGATGTCAAGGGATCGTTGATGTAACGGTCAGGCTGTTCTTGAAGTCAGTATTGGGAATTGAGAAAAGTGATGTGGGAATAACATACATTGAACTTGTCCGGGTTGGAGTGACGGTGGGAGTCGTGGTGCATCGTCCAGGTGTTGAGAACAACCACCGTATCCTTTGGAATGTATTGACCCTCGTAGACAAAGTCCTCACTGGCTACGTGAGGTGTCCCCAGCCAGAAGGGGTTGTGAACTCTCTCCACCTCTTTGATGATGGCGTGGCAGTAAGGCAGATTCTTCTCATCTTCGATGTTGGGGAGACGATCACGGCCGACGACTCGATCGAGTTCTTCCTGGGCCTTTTTCTGGATCTCGGGGTAGGCGGGGATGAGCGCAGAGAACCATTGCATGATAGCGGCGGTCTAGATGGATTGCATTAGCGATAAGTTGGTTAGGGAAGCGATGGTTGTTCAACGTACTGTCTCTACACCACCGATCATGAAGGCGGATGCGAGGATTGCCATGTCGAGGTCATCCAGTTGTTCCTTGTGACGCAATTCGATCATGGTCTTTGCCAGGCAGTCGTTGACCTTCTCTCCGGCCTTCATTTTCCGCTCAGTGTCTTTGATAATCCCGCCATAGGTCTCGACCAAGCCCCTGTGGAGCTTCTTGCCGCGTCGGTGCATTGGTGTTGGGAGGTACTGCAAGAGAGGAACGAAATCTACCAGGTTTGACATGGGACCGGTGCAGTTCCTGCCACTTCAGTCAGTACCTCTGCAGTCGATTCTGTAGAAGAGGATTGCACGTACATGAATTCACGGCTAAGCTTCAGGGCTTGCCCGACAAGAGGGTGTTTGATGCTATCAGTTCGGAAGCCGAAGGTGATGGTCGTCATGTTGTTCAGAGAGCAACGACCGGCATGGGGCTAGCTGGATTAGCATCAGTCACTGTGAGATAGGGACATCGAACATACTTGAGGGTTAACGGGGACCAATCCGCCTTTGCTTTCATCATACAGTGCCTTGACTAACGACAAAGATTCACGGTCTAAGACAGGGGAGTAGGTGTCCACGGCGCGCTGGCTCAGCCACGTGGTAGCAATACGGCGATGCTTGCGCCTGTCAATGATAACATGACTTGTAAGTAACAAATTGACCAGTTGACTTGAGATCGGCTTACCATCGGTCATTGTACGGGGTAGCGGTGATACCCCGGCCAGCAAACACAGTCTGACTCTTGATGAACATCTCCTTTCGAGACGAAAAGACATTGCCGTTGGTGACCATGAGGTCTTTTGCGATGCGGGGATCAGAGACAATGACAAACAGCTGGTTACCCAGCCAGACGGAATACAGATTGCCGAACTTTTTGGCCCAGAAGTCTAGAGTAAGCTCGGGGTATCTGGTGAGAGAGTAGAAAGAACCAAAGATAGGAATGCCCTTAGGGCCCTTGGGAATCTTGTGGCCCTCCTGGTCACTCCAAGGCTTTCTCAACCAGGCAAGAAGTGATACTCCAGCAAGTACGGTGATAGCCCAAACAGAAGGCGAGCTGGATTCGAACACAGCGCTTGAACCGACTGCCCAAAGACCCGTAGCCAACGGCGACGAGCTCGGCAAGGCCGCGGTGCCATTGTAAAGGAAAGACATTCTGTCACAAGGAAGGCGGCTTGGAACTGAGAAGACAATACAGAGGCGAGACTGAATTTATATACCCAGCACCGCCTAGTCTCTCTCTACACGTCTCCGGATAGAACAGGCTGGCACCGGCCGACAGAAACATAGAAAGAGACAGACCTCGTCTGCCGGAGGACCCAGCATTGCTGACTTCTGCCTATTGACTGGGCCATGACGAATCCTCCGAGTGTTTGGCCCCAATCGGGGAAATGACAAAACGTCAACCTACGAGTTCTAGCCGAGACATTGCCATGAGGTGGTCTCCACGAATCAATAGCAAGAGATCGTCAGCACACTACTGCAGATGCATTCCTGTCAAAAACGTCGGCGAAGACGATCTAAGATTATCCCGGTGTACATGTGCGATACCCGACTCGAACAGCCGAGATCCTTCATTGGGAACCTGCTCAGCACAATCTGTAACGAGACGATGTGACTCTACAGACCGTTTGAATTGCATCAGGAAGGCCATAACAGACACGGAAGGGCGTCAGCAGAAAATTTCTGAAGCTGATGCCGCCACAGAACGGGGATTGTGGAGCACAACATCTCGTATAGACAGATGGGTTGCATACATGGACTTGGCTGGAGTCTCTGGGCATTTTCTGGGCACTTTTAACATACTAGTCTTGCTCGCCAAGTTGGCGTTGATTCAATGATATCTGATGTATTGAATAGTATGTCCGGGGCCAAGATACCCCGGAGAATTGATTCCCAACGTAGCACGATCTGGGTCATATACTTTCAGCCGCAATTTATCTCAGGGCCACATGGAAACCGGCACTCATTGCATGAACTTTTGTGTCGGTAGTCTGCACACTACAACTACCAGTTATTGTGGCTAGTACTGACTCGCATCTGGCTTAGCTGGAAGTCACATCTTTCTGCAAATCATCCTGCAGATTGGCACATGTCAAGCGATCCGCTATATCCAGCTAGGTAGTCAAACAATTAACTACCGCCCTAGCTAGCCGTGAATAAACATTTCGACTAGGCACTATAACCACTGCCCCTAATTGGACAGTCTGCAAGCCCTAATTTCTAAGCCTCAAGCCTCGGGGTGAAGAAACGTCAGCCAGATACGTACAGATGTCACGGATACGACTCGGGCCCTGGATTGGCTGAGCGGAGTCCGACCATGTGGGTCCCAAGCCTGTGGGCCGGGCCGCCCGTTAAAGTCTAAGTGAGAATGCCCGTGAGCCACAGAAGTTCAGAACCAGCAGGTGAACCGAGCATCACGACATTCATTAAGACATTATTCAAGGAAGAATAAGCGAACGTTGGATTTAGCCGGCCGAAACCTGCATGCTTCTGGTGAAGGAATGGAATCCTTGACGTCCTGCAGGGTAGCCGCAGATACCTCTGTCTCAACCCCTGAGCATGTCAGCGCCCTTCGTTATAACGGACCCGATGTGGATCCCGTTGCTCGTATGTACCTGCGCCGAGAATTAAACAGAGCAGCAGATTATACAATAGAGGCTCTAGCCGCCGACCCCATGTGCCTTTGATCTCAGTACTTAGCCTCATGTTAGCTGCGCCAAGCCCGTTGCGTGCCTACATTCCTGTGCTTACAGACTCCCAAGGATCTGCGACCCACTTACGGATAACGCCGTTGTAGGTGTGTGTATGCCACTACATCCCTGGCGGATTGTTGGCGCTTTTCCGCGGATCATCGCGAGACGTTGATCTTGTCAGCTTCTAATATTGAATTTTGATCTTGATTGTCGCATCATCTCGCTAGTGCAAGAAGGGTAGGTGAAGTGTCAGAGCCGTAAAGGGAAATTTGGTTGTGGAAGATCCCTGCAGGCATTTTATGCCTCGTTACAATACAGTTACGACAGGGATCTTTTATGCTCGACGGAAGACGGAGAATAAGTCTCCGAGATCGGAAAGGGTTACCGCGCTTTCCTTCGGATTCGACCAAGAATGGTACGGAATGAATGTGTAGAGTTGGATCGATTGGTCCATGTATTACTATATAGCCGTAGAGATCTTGGGTCATATCACAAATGTATAGACATGCCTTCCTTCAACATTTTCCCCGCGTTTCTTAACTGCGAAACTTCCAGTATTTATAACTTTTTGCAAGCGGCAAGTCACCTCCGCACAACCACGCTTCATTTCGCACCGTTGGGCTGAGGAAGGGCGGGCTTTGGCTTAGCCGGGCTGATCCAGAACACGGGATAACGACGCTGGATATTGTTGACAACCAGGGCCACAGCCAGAATCATGGCCGAAGAGAGTAGAACCACGGGTAAATAGTACCACGACATAGCCCAGACAGCTTCGTCGACCGCAGGAAGAAGAGCCGTCGCGCCAGCAGGGGGGTGAGTTGTTTCCGTAATCTGCATGACGACAATGGCAATTGCAGATGAGAGCGAAGCCGCCAGCCAGCGAAGCGAATTGAATTTCTCCTCATCGGGCATCAAGCTAAACAGTTTCGTGACGCAGATACCAGTCAGCGCGCTGAAGAAATGACCGAAGATCAAGGCGCGGGGCTGCGCCAACGGGCTCTCAATGGCCCCGTACACGAGTACAGCAGATGCTCCCTGGACAAGACATAAGCAATTGAAGGCAGGGGTGAAAAGAAGGGGGGAAACTCACATATGAGGCGATTAAACCAGGGACGCCACGGGAAATGAAGTAGTGGGAGTAGTTGAAGATGGCCTGCACTACGCAGAGACCACAGAACGCGCCGATGAATGACCAGAAATGTACGAGATACTTGGGAGGAGGCTTTGGGGCAGTTGCTCTGTAGCCAAGGAAGTGGCTAATGGGCATAGGGAGGCGAGACAGGAATTCTGTTTCGGACAACATGGTAGAGGGATGAGAGCGATGAGATGAGAATGAGAAAAAACAGAGCCAAGGGAAAAGAAGAAAATGGATACGAGTCGCCTGGGCAGGATCGCCTTAAGCCTAAGTAAGCTCGCCCTAATCGCGTTAAGGGGGCCCACTCGGGGCGAGGTATTTTATAGGAGCCCCCATGCTAGTCAAGGCATACTAATTAAAATGAGTCCATGCAAGTACTAAACTAGTGATTTTCCACTTTTGTCGATCACCGGTGGATTGACCATCCATTAGTCCGTATACGTTGTAGTTGATCTACTCTATAAAAATGATCTACTGAAGGGCTTGCATTGTTGTAGACTTAGGGTACAATGTGGTGGTCTTTAACCTCGTGGATAAGAATCATTTCTAAAATCTTAAATGACCAGAAGCCAGTAAATATCCCTGGGTAAGTTGCAGTTATTGACCAATAAAAATGAAGGGGGAAAAAGCAACCGTTTGACCAGTTAGGGCTCTCATACGGAGCATGAGAGGGTTGATATTTCCAGTTCCGACCTCAAATCGGCCCCCAAAATGAGTCGGGTGTCGGACTTTCTTTGTTCTTCAGCCACCTGTGCACGTTAACGGTTAGATCATTACTCGGGGCTCGGAGGAATTTCTCTCGGCACTTTTCTCGGGATTTATTCTCGATGTTTGCTAAATGAAGCATTCAACGGGCTAAGCTAAGCTCAAAATTGCACGGATTCCTTCACTATTCCCGTCACGTCATTCACCATCTTGGTATGTTCGGTATGCGGCAACGATCTAACGTACTTTTGATGCCTCAATCTGACATGCAGCCCGCTGCAATGTAACATCTCGCTTGTGTTAGTCGTATATCCCGAGAGATCCTTCAACGTTTCAAGGTTGCCTGGTATGAATCACAGTTGCTTCATTCAGCTGTCCGGTCTATCTGGTTCCACCGTGGGGACCGTCAGCCATAGCCCCTGATGATATCCAGAGGCCGCGTTGGCGATAGATGTCCGCTGGCGTATATCTTTTCGAGGGCCTGTCCCGTTCTCAGGCGCTTTCGAATCTAAAATCTACAAGGTCTTTCGAGATAGATCTCCTCTTAAGACAAAATGTCTTCTCCGACACGTCGAATGCAAGAAGATACACGAAGTAAGTTCAACCCTTGAACCCATTCATTGTGGTGAACGGCATTGACACGGTCAATAGTCGATGGGTTTGAGCCATTGCTCTCCCCGGAATACATCCAACGCCAAATTCCTGCCGTGAGTCAGTCATGACCCGTTGCAAATGAGACAGGAAGCTCACCGACAGCCTCTAGTCAGCCACCTCACTCGCAACCGTATCATCTGGTCGGCAACAGGTCATTGACATCCTCAACCGACGAGATGACCGGCTCCTCGTAGTCGTGGGACCATGCTCAATTCACTGCCCCCAAGAAGCACTGGAATTCGCATCTCGACTGCACGCCCTGTCAAAAAGGCTTTCAGCAGAGCTCTGCATTGTCATGCGGGCCTACCTTGAGAAGCCCCGCACCACAGTAGGCTGGAAGGGACTAGTCAATGACCCGGATCTTGATGAATCATACAACATCAACAAAGGACTCTGCGTCTCCCGCCAACTATACTCTGACTTGACAAAAATGGGAGTCCCTATCGCAAGCGAGATGCTAGACACAATCTCGCCACAGTATCTCGCGGACTTCATCTCTTTCGGTGCAATTGGCGCGCGCACCACTGAATCCCAGCTCCACCGTGAGCTAGCCTCAGGGCTAAGCTTCCCAATAGGCTACAAAAACGGCACAACCGGCAGCATCGGCATTGCCATTGATGCCATCCAAGCCGCTTCCAGTCCGCACACCTTCTTGGGCGTTACCAAGCAAGGCATGGCGGCCGTGACCCGGACAGCCGGGAACGAGCATGGCCTCGTGATCCTGCGAGGAAGTGTCCATGGCCCCAACTATGATAAGGAGCATATTCGCTCGGCTAAGCAGGCGCTGAAGCAAAAAGGCCAGCGGGAGAACATCATGGTCGACTGTTCGCATGCGAATGCCGCTAAGAACTTCCATAACCAGCCGCTGGTGGCGATGAACGTCGCGGGTCAGATCGCTCAAGGCGAGACAGCCATTGTTGGTGTGATGATCGAGAGCAATCTCAATGAGGGTAACCAGAAGATTCCACCGGAGGGACCGAGTGGGCTTAAGCCTGGTGTTAGCATCACCGATGCTTGTATTAGCTGGGAAACGACTGTAGATGTATTACAGAATTTGTCGAACGCGGTGAAGTCGAGACGTGTGCAAGTGCAGGCCGTCACTCATTACACTAAAGATGGTCTCACCTCTTTGGAGAAGCACACCGCGGGGATCATGGCTGTATAGCTCTTATGTTGGGATGAATGGGGTTGCTTGGAATGGGTTCTTCTTCTGTCCTTAATTTTAGCTATGTGACGACGTCAAAATCAGGTACTCAATTGAATCACGATTTGTGCGAATGGACTTGACGGTCTATGCATCCTGTATGCCACTTTAATTCCAGTCTTAGTACCCCTTACCGGCCCATGTGCCTGCCCATGATCTGATCGCAGACAGGACGATGGGAGGACTGCAGCCCAGGAGACAGTAGGGGGAACGTCCTGAGACTCAGACCTACTGAGAACTGACGAAAATCATACTGAAACTGATAGTGAGGCAAGAGATGTGCGTTCTGTGTTGTCTCTGCGCGCCTCTTAAGGAGGATGAGTGGTGAATGTAACGCACGACGCCTGACTCTAAGGCATCATTCTGGAGGTGGCGCAGTTCTCCCACTACACTAGTTAGGACTTGGGGGCCTATGCTCTCACATGCCTATAATTCGATGGATTCGTTGACTACAACCTTGGAAAGAAAGCTACAACGCCTCGTACATGCCATATCATTAACCAACGCTACAGGAACTCATACATACATGCCGTTACATGTCAGGTAACTGCAGATAGGGTATCATCTGAAAAGAAAACCTTGGAACTCAAACAAAACAACAGAGGCACGATTTAGCTGGGCGGAGGGAGCCCCATCCTTTCGCACCACTCCCTCTCAACGACCTGATTATCCTCCGCAGTGAGCAGATCGTCCGGGTCAATCTCGTCCCACGAGAGCCGGACTTTGAGAATGTAATCGGCGCACTCAGATCCCATGAGCGCCTTCATCATCTCAGGATCACAGGCATGAGCCTGGGGTTCGATACCCCCTCGTCGTTGGCTTGGCTGCCAGGGAACGAGATATTGCAAGCCACTCGCGGTGCCCTCGCGAGCGACATTCTTCCTATCAACGACGCGGCATGCGAGTTGCTTCTTGAAGATGGATGTACCGTATATTTTCTCTTCGACGGTACCCCCGGAAACCAGCCGGTAAACATACACCTTTTTGTTCTGACCGATGCGGTAGGCACGCCCGACTGCTTGCTCCTCCCAAGTGGGATTGAAGGAGAAATCAAAGATCACAACCCGGTTTGCACCCACGATGTTCAACCCAATCCCAGCAGCATGGGTGGAGAGAAGGAAGACATGGGATGTAGTATCTTTGTTGAAGCTCTCTATCATCCCACTACGTTGAACCGCAGGCACTTTTCCGTCCACGCGGAATGATTTCCAACCCATTTGGCCCATGAACCTTTCCAGATAATCCAGTGTAGGAATACTGGACGAGAAAACGAGAACTTTATCCCCGAGCGCGATTGCCTGTCGGACAATTTCTCCGAGTATGATGACCCGACTAGATAGGTTCGGCGAAAGCAAGTCAGGAACCGTACCGAGCCATGCTTGCATTTCAAATGAGCTCGATAGTGGAAGAACGTTCTGCGCAGTGGGCATGTCCAAGTCGGGTCTGTTTTGCGGAGCTAAGCCGGGGCTCTGTATGTGATCATCGCCAGTACCCTGGGTTTCTCGCCTGTCCAGCTGTGCCCTGAACACGGCCGGATGCACACAACAAAGCTCCAGGAGGTTCAACCAGGACCAAAGCCTGGTGCGCACACTCACTGAGGCTTCTGATTGAACGACTTTAACAAAGAGATCATATAAGTCTTTTTGGGTTTTTGTCAGTTCAAAATAAAACGAGAACTCGTATTTTGGTGGCAAATCTGTCGCCAGTACGGACATGTCCGCCCGATCTACCTTTGGACTGATGATCCGAAGCAACAGCTCCTGGCGCCGAAGCGCTAGTCTTCGCTCGGACTTGGTGCTGTCGATGTATGAGCCATTCTCAATTGGCTCGATGAATCTATCGCCAAAGTGCGAGCGTGTTCCCAGGTACCCGGGCGCCACCCAGTCAAGCATGGCATAATAATCTTTCAACCCGTTCGACAATGGCGTGCCAGTGAGGGCGATCCGTCTGTGGGTACGGATTCGAGAGGCTGCTCCAGCAATGAGGCTGCTGCTGTTGCGGAGAGTTTGAGCCTCGTCCGCAATCACCAAAGTTGGGCCATTTAGCAACCAATTCTGGACATTTTGCATTGCCAATTCTCGTCCGCTATTCTTGATAATTTCAGGGGTGGTGCCAACAATCTTGCGGAATATGTCGTAACTGATTATCAGTACACCGCCCTCATTATTACACGCGTTGATATCTTCAGTTCGGTCAAGTGTTGCCCAGGCCGATGTTTTCGGTAAGATGGGGCGGATTTTGCCAAGATTGTGATGCGGAGGGGCCCAAATCTCGAATTCATTGCACCAATTTACAATGAGGGATGCCGGGCACAGTACCAAAGCTTTGCATTGCCGCATTTCTTCGGGGATTTGGTCACGTATGGCGGGGTTTGGGGAGGCACCGGCAGCAGAAATTGTAACTAGAAGTGAGATCCTACGCATACGTTAGCTGATACCCGACGAGTCAAACAACGATCATGATGAATGAAGCTTAGATTGCATAGTCTTGCCCAGTCCCATGGTGTGAGCCAGCAAACACCCTTCCGGTCTTTCGTTCTGAACAATCTCTCGAAACAAGAATTGAATACCATGGAGCTGATGAGGTTTGACACGATCGCCAATATGAGGGTCAAGATAGATGACTGGATCTTCGAAAGTGACAGGATGCCGGGTGGATTCCGAGTTGACATCTCTGTGAGAAAGTTGCAATCCCTGCAAGGCCTTTTTGGCCTCTTCTTGCAATTCCTGTCGTTGCTGTGCCTCCCTCTGAACCAGAGTGAAGTTTCGGTTGGTGGCCCTCTTTCGCTTGCTTGATGGGTGCCACGAGGTGGCTTCTTTGTTGGGCTGATGCACGGCCTCCCCTTCGTCGGGCTGAACCGCGGTTTCCTCGTCCTGCTGCACGTCACCTTCCTCTTCAATGGGCTGAACCGCGGCTTCCTCTTCGAGGAGTTGAGCCTGAGACGACGAAGAGGCCCATAGCCTGTAGCCCTGAGCGAGACCTTTTAGGCATTGGAAGAATGGAGTGAACTCGTCGTGCTCGTCTTCGAGCAAGGCAAGGGCGGTGTTCACTCTCTCCCTCGGCATGGCCGTATCAGGGGCCGGGTCATATTGGCCCATGAGATAAATAAATTTACCATCAGTATCACTGAACGGGCGTCGTCGGCCTCCCACCCATCGAGAGCCTGCCTATCTCCAGACATGGCCTGTAAGACTTCTCGTGTGAATTCTTCAAACAGGAGATCGATAAACTTCTCGAGGAAGTCGAAAAGCCGAAGAGCTTCCTGCTTCCGTTCACATGACAAGGCTTTCGCTACCAAATAGGCCAGGTTTCCACTCCTCTCGACATCCTCCCACGTCAGGGAATTGGCAGCTGTAAGCGCAGTGAGAGCATATTCAGTTTCACTGTCCCTCACGCCTGTCAAGGTCAACCTGCTTTCGGGCTCTTTCGTGGTAGCTGGGTCGGCAGCGGGGGTCTCTGCCTCCAGGCGGCGCCTCTTGGCGGCTGGGGGGCTGTGATTGTGAACCTCATCTTCAAAATATAGATGGCTGACGTCCTCAGCCGGAGAAGACGTTTCACGAAATGGCCCGTGTAGAAGATCGGGGCGTAAGTTCGATTCCTCTTCAGGGACCCCATCTTTGGGGATTTCATGCATACCCTCAAGACGGTTGCCGTCTGATTGCTCGGACTCGCTATCCATCGCCATGGTTTCATACATACCTTCAAGATGGTTGCCGTCTGATTGCTCGGACTCGCTATCCATCGCCATGACTACATCTTCTTCGTCTTCGTCTTCCAAGCCGTCCTCACTTGGATCGATGAAATCCGAATCACGGTCAGAGTCGAAGTCGGAACTTAGAGTCTCCTCGCCGTCTGAGGTTTCTTTGACTTTTGCTACCCGCGGAATGCGGGGCGGGCGAGCGATCTTGGGCGGAGGGTCGACTTTCTTGAGAATGGAGACTTGCCATCTATTCAAGCACATCTCTGATAGAGTCTGATCGAGACAGGCACATGCTTTTTGTAAAGACGAGCGGCATGAATGTTCAGCCACGCAGAGGGCTTTACGAAGTTCAAGAAGACGTTTTTCAAGGTGAGCATACCGCTTCAGAAAGACATCGGTTGTTTCGGGTCTCTTTTGTCCCAAGGTCCAGAGGGCAAATGCCATGTACTCTTCTCTTGGCAACCGAGTCGTTGTAAAGTACGTTTCATGCTCAGCAATGTATGCGTCAATGACAGCATTGACATCATTGATTGTGAGCTTCTCGGGAGATTCGGGATGTCCAGAAGTACTGGGGTCGTGGGTCTCAGGAGGTCCTCGCACTTCGTCCTCCTCGAGCTCTGAGTCATAATAGTCCTCGGAGTCGGATTCTCCGAGCACTGGAACGAGGTTGTCATCCTCCGGAGGGTAACTCCTCAAAAGCCTATCAAAGAAGTCTTCTTGTCCAAAGGCAGGCTTCGAACCAAGTTGTTCCTCAAGTGGGCGGGCCTCGGGAAGAGAAGGCTCCAGAGGTTGCGTGACTAGCGTAGTTTCCACTCGGCGAGTTGTTTCCTTAGGCACCAGATCCCATGAGAGCTCATCAAGTAAGGCAGTCGGATTGGCAGAAGCAGCAGGGGTCTCAAGACGACGCTGCTGCTGAGCCAAGCGAAGTTCCAGTGATCGACGTTGGAGCGATTCACTGGCAGCCAAGACATACTGACAGTATGCAATGATAGAGATCCCTAGGTCTTTCACCATCGGATAAGTGAGCTTGAGAAAAGCTGAACCCGAGATAAGGTTCTCTCGCAGAGCGATCTCTAGGGCCTGAAGATCCGGGCGCGCCAGGTTACGGGACCATTCATCTGCCGGCTCATGACAAACAAATCGAACAACCTCATCGACTGTCCAGTCGACGGGGTCTTTCATTGAGGTCATGTGTCTGAGTAGGGGGCCTATATGAGATTGAGGTTAGCGGGTGATTCAGATGGGCAGCGCGCGTGTTTAGGGCGCGTTTTAGGGCTGGTTTATCTCGAAGACGCGGCTCTAGGAACGCGTCGTGAAGACTTTCAACTTGCCTGTAAAGCCTCCCAATGCAGCTAGATGATAATCGAATGCAGTTGGATGTGCAATTGCGATGTTTCCGATAACAGGTAGGTAAAAGTGACAGTAAGGCGAGCAGTGTTGAGAAAGTGAGGTTTGCAAGCAGACACCACCTTGTGAGGGATATTAACGAGCCCATCGGTATAAGCCTATATAAGGAAACTACGATCCCATCGTAGCTTCCTTAACTGCATGTTCATTGTTTTCCCGGATAGGCCTGAAGCGATGGTCTTTTTTTGTGCCGGCGAGATAAAAAAGCGGTCAGATGGTGCTCCCGATACTGCAGGCGGTAGGTATCTCATCGTGATGACTTAGATTACTGCCTCAGGCGTCAATATGGTCTGCCCCGCCAATTACAAATCCCCAGAATTTATCCATGCCTTTAGTGAGTGGCATTCTTTATCGAGTTTTCTAATAAATCAACCGGTCTGTTTAGTAGCAAGATGGCAGAATCAGTCTATTCAAACTACCCGCCCGAGTTGTCCCCAGCTCAACAGAAGTTTCTTGTCACATATGTGAAAGATTGGGCCATCCAGAATGGTCTTGCTGTTCGTCCTTCCTCGGCGATCATCCCAAATGGAGCAGATACCAATGGAGTGTTGGCAACGAATGCGCCGGTGACATTGTTCCCCAGTCCATTCCCCAGAAGTTGCTTTGAGGAAGCGACTGCTCTGCAAGAGATCTACAACGAACTCTATGCTAATATCACGTGTGATGAAAAATGGCTGGGGCAGGTTGTGGAAGAGTAAGGATATATCTGCTCTGGTACCGCTCATTGCTAATCAACAGCCATTCTTAGGCTTATTGAAGTCGATGACTTTGTGTCGAACTTGTGGAAAGTTCACCTGGACGTTCAAAAGGAGGGATATGTTCAGAACTTGTCACTGGGTCTCTTCCGGTCCGATTACATGGCCCATGTTCTTCCTACAGGAGCCACAGCTCTAAAGCAAGTTGAGTTCAACACGATTTCGTCATCGTTTGGAGGTCTTTCAGCTCGTGTGCGACAATTGCACACTGAGCTTCTTTCCTCGCCGCCAGGTCCATCAGTCAACTATCCACCCCATCCGTTGCTGCAATCAGAGGTTCCACCGGAGAATCCTGCAGTGGAAACCCTCTCAGCAGGCTTGGCAGCTGCCCATACGGCTTATGGAGTATCCAAGTCCAGGCCGGCCCTTCCTCTTTGTGTTCTCTTTGTAGTCCAGGAAGCAGAACGGAACGTCTTTGATCAACATGCGCTCTCGAGACAGCTCCAGACAGTCCACAACATCCCAGTGTTCCGTGTCTCCAGCGTGGACATACTGGATCAGACGTCCATTCCCAGCTCGAACTCTGCACGGCCATTGCTTTACCAGCCCCCTCACTCTCCCGACTCAACTTTCGAGGTAACAACTGTCTATCTTCGGGCTTACTATTCACCAGACGAATACAAATCCAATCGCGACTGGGAGGCAAGGACTCACTTGGAGCGTTCGGCCGCGATCAAGTGTCCCACGGTACTCAATCAGTTGTCTGGGTGCAAGAAAGTTCAACAGGTGCTGGCAGAGCCGGCAGGTCCTGACCATCTCTCAAACTTCTTGAAGGGCGTTGATAAGGCGCTTGTTGAACGGGTTCGGGACACTTTTGCCCCGCAATATGACCTGTCGAGTGGAAGTCAAGGCCGCACTCTGGCCCTCAATCCAGAGACGGCTCAAAACCACGTGCTTAAGCCCCAACGTGAGGGGGGTGGCAATAACATCTACAAATCTGATATTCCAGACTTTCTGCGCTCCATGCCAGAATCTGATTGGAGGGGTTGGGTGCTTATGGAACTCATCAATCCTGCACCCAATGCCCAAAATGTCGCCTTACGCAATGATGGCGAGGTTCTTCGTGGGAATGTTATCTCAGAGCTTGGTGTCTATGGTACCATCCTTTGGGATAGCACTGGGAAGGTTTTCCACAATGAACAAGGTGGATATCTGCTGAGGACCAAGGGGAAAGAAGTGAATGAAGGTGGCGTAGCCGCAGGTTTCTCCAGCTTGGACAGTGCTCTTTTGTTCTAATAGTACTTTTGCCTGGTACAATACCCTGATAGATACGATCAGCTACACAGTTACAATACAAGGCGCCATTATATAAGATCATTACACAGTGCATGAGCACCGCCAATCTGCTCTTCGCTTTTGCTATCAGATTCGCGCCATAGGTGTTCAGCGCCCTGATGATAGGGTTTAGTTTGCACGAGCTCCCTAGCAAAACGAAATCCGGGGAATGCCTCCTATCAAATCAAACGATGACTTCTAGAGTCTCGACCGGAATTTCGCCCGGCAGGCTTCAAGACCAGACGGTCCATCGTAGATTTGTTTCTCAACCAGTCGAGTATTGATCTGAAATGCCATATCAGTTAGTTCCGGACATAAGAAGAAACATGTGCAAAACGTACATGTTGCATGCCGAGTTCATCGACATTTTTCACTCCAAGAAGACGCATGCAGGTTTTCGTCTCGTCAGTCAGAACTAAGGAGATTGTCAGCAAACTAGATGCACAAATTGACAGGTCTGCATTTCCATACTCTGTAATGTCCTCTTTACGCCGGCCACGCCCCCAGCTCCCAATCCCCAGAGCGCAGCTCTACCGATTCCGACGCCTCTTGCACCTAGACAAAAAGCCTTAACCACGTCCGTCCCCCTCTTGATCCCACCGTCAACCCAAACTTCAATCTTGTCGAACACCTCAGGGCAGTACTTGCGGATTTCAAGCAGGGTGTGAACAGCAGGAGGAGCCGTGTCAAGAGACCGGCCACCATGATTTGAGAGAATGATACCTTTGACTTGAGGAGTGTATAGGGTTGCAATATACGCGTCTTCGTGCGTTTGGACACCCTTGAGAACAACCGGAAGATCGGTGTGCTTTGCCAACCACCCAAGAGTCTCTGTCCAAGTGAGAGAAGGGTCAAACCCTTTAAACACCAGGTCTGCGGCCTTGGTCGCTGGTCTCTTGTCATGGTTATCAATCTCCCGTAACAGAGACTCATCCGACTTAGATTCCGGCATGATATTAATGATGTTTCCACCGCGTTCGTCGTCCTCTCTTTTCCCAGTCACGGGAGAATCAAGCGTCAAAGCAATAAACTTGATTGCCTTCAATTTGTTGATTCGAGCCAGCATCCGCTCGCTAGTGGTTCGATTGGCGTGCACATATAGTTGCCAGCCAAATGCTTGGTCTGGGGCTGCGTTTGCAACAATCTGCTCTGGCGTCATAGATGCCATGTTTGAGATGACGTGCAAAGCACCGAAGCTACGACATGCCTCTGCGATTCCAGCCTCGCCAGCTGGGTGCCCTAGTCGGGCCATAGCTGCTGGGGAAACATAAATAGGGAGAGACACGGGATTGTCTAACAATGTCGTTTCTAGATCGCACTCAGTGCAGTCAACGAACACTTTTGGTCTCAATTGAATGGAGCGGAAGGCCTCTGTATTGGCGTGCTTGGTGATCTTGTCGTCGGCCGCCGAGTAGTAATACGCCCATGCCTTCTTGCTCACTGTTCTGGTGGCGAGATCTTCAATCTCGTCCAGATTGAGCAGACATTCAACTGGATTTTCTTCGCCTATCTTGGTCGTCATATTTCGTACGATTGAAAGGAAACAGGTTCGGAGGCTACAGTAGAGAGCGAAACGCAGCGGGGAACACGATGAGCCGGATCCTTTTTCCTTTCAGGGGTTAGTGTTTTCCGAGGCTATTCCGTCTAAGCCTCGATTATCCACTTCCACCACTTGCTACGTGGAGTCTGGAGAATTTGAGGCTATTCCTAATTTGTACGAAGACGGTGAAGCTAACTGACCAATAACACTGCTACAAGTTACTCCAAAAGACAACAACGCTAAACATGACTAGCGCTGCCAGGCAAGGGGATACTGCGTACGGGTGCCTATGATACAATCTATCCGGAGTCTTGTCACTTGACTCACTTCGAATTCTTCCACCTTGTCTAGGACTTTCAAATGAGGGAAGTCACTTCCCCACGCCACGGCCTGATGAAATTGTTCTATCCATTTGTTTCAGGTGGGGCTTACAACAGAACAAGCCTTACCTCAGGTACCCTCAGAGTCCAGACCTTATCACATGATCCAATCGTTCTGCCAGATTTGGCACGCTAAACCTAATCAGATTAAGGTTCATGATCTGGTGAGTCAGCGTCGCTAGAAATAGCAGGCGGTGGCCAAATCCACTGCCTTTTGCAGGGCGGGCCGACGGCTGAGGGAACTGAGGTAAATAGAGCCGGTAGAGCCGGTGAACCCTAACTACTACCACTTTGTTTCTCAGGTATTGTCCCTGAGGCTTTGGCTCTCTCGACCGTCAACATGGAGGGCTCACTAATCCACAGACCAACCGCTTTAACTGTGCCCTTTTTAACTCCATTGCTAGCGGGATCTCTGTTCAAGTGAACTCAAGACGAACTCGCTAGGGGCTCTAGCGTTAGGATCTGTTCCAGACTCAATGGCCATACGGGCCCTGGGGCAATCCCCGAGCCAATCCTTCGCAAAAGTGTAACTACGCAGCTTACTGATCAATAAAAATTCCAAGAGATTTCCCCTGACGGGCTAAATTTAAACATGCGGACGTGTCCGTCGACTCCACTTTCGTCGTGTGGTCTAGTCCCCGATGAAACGCCTCTGTCGAACGCCCGCGTTTCACCTGCCCTTTATATTTTCTTACAGTTCTCTTCTAGTTCCTTCCTTTCAGTGTCAGATTCTACCTTCGTTTGATTTTTCTTTTCTTGTCATACTTGTTGTCACTTTCATTCATAATATAGAGGCCGGCTTCTATTACCCTCTTTTTACTATATCTTTCTTTGTATTAGGCCATTTTTTGGTAGATCGCCATGACCGACGGCCACAGTGCCCCTCCAGCCGATGCACCGGCACCTGCAGCGGCAGCAGACAGTGCAGCAGCGCCTGTTCCTGCTGATGTACGCTCGCACGCTGTTCATCATGACACGGCACCAATCCACGAGAAGGAGCAGGCCTCCTCCGTTGGACGCATAACCCCTCGACCGACATTCTTGGAGCATTTAGCTACATCGCGAGACTCACAGTTCCAGCTTGATCGACAGGATTCGAGCGAGCTTGACCGATACTTTGTAGGTTGAGGATTCCCAAAATGGCCTCTGTGAGAGAGCAGGGAGAACAGCTGGGCTTAGGACGACGCTGACATGTTCTGAATCTAGCATGGACCGCGTAACATGGACAAACACTCAAAGTGGCCGATCATGATGCGAATGCACGGTAGTGTCATGCCAAAAATGATCATGCCAATCTTGACCGTCGCTATTTGGTCGACTGCCGTTACTGTTTTCTCTAAGAAGGTTCATGACCGTAAGTCTCTCCTGAATTTCATGAAACTAGAATTTGATTCTGACTCCTACAAGTCGGAATCAACAATATCCTACTTACCGTGCTGGGTTTCGTGGTGGGTTTGGCTTTGTCTTTCCGCAGCTCGACAGCATATGAGAGGTACTATTCCCTCCCTCCTGACTACGAGTTTGCATTCACTAATTCAGCGCGTATATAGATGGGCCGATGGACGTAAATACTGGGCCCAGCTCATTCAGACATCACGCAACCTGTCACGCACAATTTGGATCAACACAAACGAGAGAGAAGGCGAAGCAGGAAAGGAGGATGTCCTAAGGAAGCTGTACGTGCCAATGCCATATCCGGGTACTCCCAATTCTAACACACTATTACTAGCTCCGCGTTGAACCTCGTCTTAGCCTTCGCCGTCTCCCTTAAACACAAGCTCCGCTTCGAACCCGACATTGCATATGATGACTTGGCTGGCTTGGCTGGTCACCTCGACACTTTTGCCCGTGACGCACATGACCGAAGGGTCGTCAATCCTCCTCCTAAGTCTATCTGGAAGTCTACAGGAGAGTACCTGGGCATATCCTTCGCCGAGTCAAACCCCCGGAAGTACATCAAGCGGTCCAAGAAGCCTCTTGGTCATCTACCCCTGGAGATCCTCAACCATCTGTCCGCGTATATTGATTCTTGTGTCGCCAATGGTACTCTTGTTTCAACTTTGCACCAGGGACAAGCCAGTGAGTATACAAATCCCTTCATCTTGACGCTCCATGTCTAACCAATGACAGTCACAATGCTATCCACCTTGAACGAGGTCTTGACCGGTACAGAACGTGTCCTAGACACCCCTCTGCCCACTGCATACAGCATTGCCATTGCCCAGATTTCCTGGATCTACATTCTAGTGCTTCCATTCCAGCTCTACAGCGCCCTGTCATGGATCACCATCCCAGCATCAATCGGTAAGCATTCATCTTCGTCAAATTATTGTATGAGAATACTTAACAAAAAGAACAATGCTAACGAACTCTGAAGTGGCTGCCTACATCATCCTTGGCTTGGCTACCATCGGCAGCGAAATTGAAAACCCCTTCGGCATGGATGTGAACGATCTTCCATTGGACACTTACTGCCGACAGATTGCTTTGGAAATGGATATCATGACTGCCAACCCCCGACCGAATGTTGACGACTTCATGTCGCGAGCTGACAACCTCGTTCTGTTCCCCCTTAGTCAGTTGGGATATCCTGACTGGCAAGAGCGGAGCGTCGCGGATATCCGTGGCGCACTGAGGACCAAGGTCGTTGTGAGCCCGTCAAGTGCTGAGTCGGATACATCTACAATTAGGGAGAAGGTTTGCCCTAAGACTGCCGGGTCTGTCTGATGTTCCTTGCATCGCTGTTATCAGCAACTAGCATGAGACCGCCGGTGACGTCAATTCTTGTTTTCGAGAGACGAAGATTTGTGCATGTGAATAAGCGGTATTAAATTGTTTGAGATAGATTGAAGAGCGTGTGAGTTATGGCGTTTTATCTCGGTCAAAACCGAAACCAAAAGGTCCGAGTCTGGCTAGCATTTGCGTGTATATAGCCCTCGCTCCAAATTTATTCATTGTTTTATTCACATGAACTGCTCCACAGTATTGTGCTCTCGGCTTCAAGGTGGCGGTGGGTTTCATTTCTGTCCCGCGAAGCCTTCAGTCATGCAAAATCAATCTCCCGGTCTTCATGAGAGCCGGACAAGGGTCGTCAGACAAGACCAATCCCACTGCACGGTGACTCGTGTCATCGCCGCACATTGGCGCGCGAAGCTTGTCTGCAGCTCCAGCAGCTAGAACGGCTCGACCTCAGTGGTCACACGTAGGATGCACAACAGCACCCGCGAACTGCGACCGAAACCGGAATAGGCCTCGACGGGACTCAAGCTTCAGCCAATTGCTGATTAACCACATAGTCCAGAATCGAGCCAATATTCAGAATATTCCCAATGATACTCGTTTCGAAAGAGCACCAACTGCATACTCAAGGAACGAAAAGATCAGCCCCAGATCCAGAAACTAGAGCACCCAGGAAATTCCCCTTGGCGCAGACCCTCCAAGCGACATCCGTAGAGCCCATTGAATTATTCCCGCCGCCAATCCACGAGCTCACTGCGCCTACGACGGCCGAGGCATCCTCGCGAGGAACCCGAATCCAGACAACATCGTGCTTTGTAATAGATGGCGATCCCTCCTCAATCTTGAGTATATCTATCGGAATGGCTGTTCCGGTCAGGCCGAGGAATTGTGACAGCGCGGAGGAGAGATACGTTCGTGCGGAGAGATGGTCGAGAGGTTGTGGTGAACTTCCTGGTTGGTAGACACTGGATTTCTTCGTTAGCTACCTGTTGGTTACTCATAAATTTTCCCTGCTGTCTGGAATGGATGTTGCAAAGTCGAGGATAGCTTACAGCTTGAGCTTGAGGTAAGTCCAGGGTGGATTGCGGGACGTGAAATGAATAGTTTTTGGCTTTGCCTCGGGCGCTTTTCGCTTGACGGACTCTCCTGACTGCACTTTGAATTCATTGTCGATGTCCATGTTGCGCGTAGGATCTGACATCTTGTGCGGTTTGGCCAGCTGTTGTGGTGTTGAAGATTGAGGTTCGGCGGAAGCTTCAAGCTCTGACCCAAAAAAAAGCGACCGCATTTCGCGTCACGGGATCCCTGGCATGAATGAGTCCGAATTTTGTGAGAGCCAGCCAGATTGGTATAGTGGCCTTCTGATTCTACAATCGCTAGCTTTTTCGCATTTTGATGGCGGCCTGTAGTAGCTGTGTCGCACGCTGCAAATATGTTTCTTCGTCGTCTCCAATCTCGAGATCGGCGATACACAATGTTTTCTCTCGGGACTTCGCGCCTCGAATGACCTCCACACTCGATTTTGGGACATTGAAGATCTAATGAGGGGCCAGAGAGGGTGAGTGCTCAACTTCAATTGTTTTTAATCCAATTGAAAGGTCGGGGGAACACGGCTGGAGCCAGCTCTCAACTCACCTCTGCGAGAACATGCGACACTGCGGTATTAGCTGCCCCATCGCGTGGGACTGCAGCCACCGAAACCTCGACCCTATCAGTTCCCACAGCTGTAATACCTGTTCGGCGAGCGGAGGCGTTTGGCTTCACGTAACAAGGAACGTGGAGATTGAATCTGCGAGGACACTGGGCGTTGCTTGCGACTAGGCGCAAGAAAGGATATGGAGGCGACATTCGAAATTGCGGCGAAACCTGTACTAGATACGATTGTGGATCTTCAATGGGGATAATTGAGTAATACTGATTTGATTTTGTTTGATGGAAGAAATATCAAGTAGTAGAGAACGAGTCATAGTTCAGCCGCCAACTGGCGGAACCTTTCCTTTGTCTGGTAGTATTCGCTAAAGATAAAACCTCATCTCAATGAAGGAAAAGCTAGATCAAACCCCAGAAAAATACAAAAAGAAGCAACAGCAGCGCAGCACCTTGTGAGTTCATCTCTCGGCTCATGTCTCACGTCATTGACTGCAGTTCGACATTCTTCGCATGGCTGCAGCTGAACCTGGACCTAAAGAAAGTCCTGTGACTCCTGTCGGCGGATTGATCCTGGGTGACAAGGAATTCAGGATTGTCGATCTTCTCTAATACGAACTCCGACGCCAGTCTAATCGCGTAGAGCTCTACCACGTTGCTGTTGCCGGTTTGGCCGGGTAAGTAAAGGGAACAGGTCCTTCTCTGACTCCGGGAGAATAGACCGCATCAAAAAGGTAGATGAAGAATGCGGTTAATCCATCGTGTGCATTGCTACTTGTCGGAATCCAGAAGCAGAAGCTAGCAGCTAGCAGCGTCCAGCACATCTGGGGGAAGGTGAAGAGCAGAAAACCACGTCGACCGAATGTATCAATTGTCCATACAGCGGGCCAGGCAAACGCCAAGTTGATGAGTCCGAATCCAAAGGATGCAGGAAGCGCCCCGATGTTGGAGGCACCGGCCATTTGGAAGATGGTGGAGAAGTAGAACGAGGGGAACCGATGGCTGAGTCGGGGCGCATTGTTCAGGTTCTTCGTCCGGGTCCCATGGAGACAGTCGAACAGGGAGCGGAATGGAAGGCGAACCGGGGCTCTTGTCTTCCTTTTTCGCGTCTGGGAGTAATGTTTCTTTTTTTGGCCTTTCGGTTTTTCTTAGAAGGCATGATCGTTTTCGCACAAAGAATTGAGATTTTATGATAATTGGAGACCAGTCAAGCACCTCACGATGGTCCTCGCCTTGACGGATCAACTGAAGGTCCAGTTGGCAATCAGTATCTGGTGGCTGTTGTGTGATGATGGTGGGATAGTACCTAGGTGTTACGCCCAGTTACGAATGATGAAGAAGGTCGACCAATGTAGTGGCATTAAACAAAGCAACTAAGCATGAGGAGAGAAGGAAGGAAGGAAAACATCTCCGCCAGGACGTGCTGATATCCTGTCCGATAAGCAGCACGTGCCCCTCCCTTATTGTTAGATTTGTTACGTGTCCGTCTCCCTCAAGTCACATGCCTCATAGCCCCAAGTCCTCCACGACCTGTAACACTAGGTGAGGTGAGGAAGGTGAAGACAATGTTGACTAATGAGGAGGACAAGGTTAGCTTGATCTTGGAACTCTTCGCCGGTTTTTCACCTGCTTCCATACATCTGTTGCGCGAGTTTCCTGGGGTCTTCTGGCTTGAAGTTTCCCACGGTAATCCGTCGCTATGCGGTTGCTTCCATTTCGTGCTGTTCGGCTCTGCTTGCCGGTCGGGTTGATCTGATAGCGCAGATGCTCGGGACTCCTCGCCTGAGGGCGGTTTAGGCAGGGAGGAGAGGGTGTCAGTTGCCCTGCTTGTGTGGGGTTATCAAGCGAAGGCTAACGTTCCAGGTCTGGTATGTCCACCTCCGATTCGGGGGTTGGTCTTGGGCTTTGTCGGTCCGCGTTCTCGGTGGTCCCGGATATCCTTGCTGACTTCCTACTGCTGGGTTCCCCCGGCTGGCCCCCTGGCTGGACGTCTAACCAGTATGATCCCAGCCTTGGGTAGCCACCGCCACATCTCGAAGTTCATCCGGGAGATCAAAGAACTCCACCTCTTCACACGGGGAAGTATGAACGGTGAATACATTGAGAATGCTCCTGAATCGGCCAGGTACCGCAACATATCAGTCCAAGGGCGAAGCACCCAACTCCGACTTCCCAGCCTGGACCTGCCCCAATATCCCAATGCTTCTCTTCTGCATAGGCTTCCGCAAATGCCGATCAATATCAAGCAGCTCCCCGGCAAGCGGATGTCTCTCCAACGCATATGTTACAAGCCAGAAGGGAAAAGGAGCAGCAGAACTGGGGAAGGAAAGAGCAAAGAAGAAGAGCTGCACAGAAGAACTCCATTTTATGTTCTTTTGCCATGCTTGCTCCTTCTCTTAGCTGTCGCTTGGTCGTCACATGATGGTCACGTAGTATGCTGCATGCACTATGCAAGCACTGACCGGGCAGACAAAATTTCCCGCGATTCTGAAATTTATCATATGGTCCGCTTATCGCGTGGCTTCTGAGCTTGAAGGGGATACTCCCAGGTCTCTCGAGAAACTTTGCACGATCTTACTTACTAGAACCACGGTGCAGTATTTAGTCATTTGTGTTTGAGAAAGCAACTCGAATTGAGACCTCAGAAGACCAACAGACTCGGCCAAGGAGATCTGACGAAGCCCCCAGTCTGGTGATTGAAAGTATGGCGATGGCCGATGATACCACAGAACGAGCTGATACAGGATCAGGCGGTTGTGAGGGGCCCCAGATATCATCCACTCGGCAATGCTCTTCAAGTTCCAAGGGTTATTTGATCAGCCCGTATCCCTGGTTCGATTTGCCGTTGCGGTCTCAAAATTGAGGTGTTGCCACTTTGAACCCCGGATGCTGAGGTCCTTTGGTCTCTACAATCACTATTGTGGAATTATGCGCAGACATATGAACCCCGCACCTTGAAGACATCATCAGACTGTGAAACTTGCACGGGATAGAGTATAGACCTCAGACCCGGCCCGGCAAATTTGAACATGTGTCCGTCGACCACCCCAAGCCATCAACGAACTGATTCAAAATCGAGCTTCACGAAGTCCGAATAAGCAGTGTCTACCAAGTGGGCCAAACGATCGGTGATCATCTCCGAGAAAACTCTCATTCATACAGTGAGAAGTGTTGATCATTTTATCATTTTTGAGCCTCGGCTAGGACGATTAAGTGGATAAAGGCCGAACAAATGATGTCAAATATCAACCTTGTAGACCAGAGTGGATATTTTTGATTAACATTTGATGAATTAAAGGCAAGGCTGAGTACAACAGTGGTCGTCAGTGGATTTCAATTCCTACGTGTACCAAGGAGGCACCATTGCCACATCAGAGGATAGTCCAAGTCAAGAAGTGCTTGGATTTTAGGTATTCAGTAGGTTTGGTGCCAGACCTGCCAGTAAATAGTAATTGGCTAGACGGAAAATTAGCGGGCGAAAGGCGAATTCCGATTGCGGCGCCGCTTCGGGCTTTATGCTTGCCTCAGCCCATTGCTTGACATGTGCCGAACGTGATGGATAATAGCGCATCAGACTCAAGGGGGCCAATCACAGTCTTCAATCGCAGAAAATTGCATCTTGATTCTTGGTGCTAGAGTAAAGTGGAGAACGGGCCGAGATCGTTTCTAAAACCCACAGCCTCCAACCCCGCATGCTCGCGAAGTCTTTGAATTCACTGAATACTATTCTTTCGTTTCTGTGGAAGAATATCATAACTCGACTACAGTCCTACGGAACATGGGCCATTGAATGTCTCATATGCGTAAGCCCCAGCTTACTACCAAGAGCCGCGATCCATGGATGTCGCGTGTATTAATCTACAGAGGTTACATCTATACGAGGTCCATGCATTTTAAGTTTCCCATCGAGTCTTTTCCGAGCGGCTCTGATTTGATGGTAGTCTGTGCCTGAGAAGCGAGCCAGGGGTATTCCTCTCATTGGCTCCCATACTTAACCTGTCATAAGCATCAGATCGCAGATGTAAAGGCACACCGCAGTGGAGTCGAACAGGGAACTACCGGGTCTTGGGTCTGCCTATCGCTGTCCGTGGTTTCTCGGTTAGCACCGATTTTTCGGTATTAGTCCCATTTTTGATATGGCGTCGAACTTAAGGACGTCTCTTGATTGATTACAGGGCTCGTCTTCGGGATTAGAGAGGCACTTTCTATGCCGATGGATTGGACAATGCTGGAAGTCTATTCTCGCTAATCCTGGGTAGTTTCGGCTAGACTCTTCTGCGATCTACGATCTACTTGTGGTTCCGGCTTGTGGAAGAATGGGACTAAAGTCTCGCCTTGACACCCCTGTACTGTAGGTATAACTTGTGGAGGTATCCCCCAGTCTCCAGCCACTGGTACATTCCTATTCCCTCTTTTCCATGATTTACGTGATATGCCCTGTGAGTTGAGTGTCTTGACTCTCCTCGCCTTTCTATCTTCTACTTTCTCATTGCAAGCCTTAATAATGGTCCTGGCACTTGTCTAGACACATTCCTTTCCTTGACCAAGTCTTTAAGACCACGAATTTTCCTTCGTTCATTCTTTTATATACAAACACGCTCATAACTTCGGATAACATCATGAAACTCCCTCCGGAAGCCATTACTGCCACATGGCCAATGCCTAACTATATCGACCCTCCCACCCGTGGGCACGGCGTTCTCATTGTGAACGTCATCTGTATGTCCTTGGCGTTTCTAGTGGTCTCCCTCCGTCTCTACACCCGGCTTCGTATCACATGCAGTGCCGGTATCGATGATGTGCTCATCACTATCGGTCTAATCTTCGCTATCGCAATGGCCGTCGTCACCTCCATTGCAACCGAAGATTGGGGCATGAACCGCCATGTCTGGGACATCGAACTATCACGACTGGTCACAGTTCAGAAGCTGAACCTCTCCTTCCAAATTATGTTCTCGATGGCTTCCTGTTTCACCAAGATCTCTCTGCTGTGGTTCTGTCGCCGACTCATCGGCAAGGGTAACTTTGCGATGTATAATTTGACTTTCATCCTATGCATGGTTTTCGTTGGTCTTTCCAGCGGACTGTTCACGGTTATCAGCATCTTCCAGTGCACGTGAGTATCTTGCCCTATGGGACGGCATTCTCGGCACATTTCTAATGCCTCATAGACCTATCCGCGCATACTGGGAAATCAGTCCCACGGGTCCTTACCACTGTATGAATGACGGTGCGATAGTCTTCTCGGCCAGTGTGATCAACATCTTCACCGACTTCCTGGTCACAGCGCTACCGATGCCATTGATCTGGAGTTTGAAACTCCCCGCCCGCCAGCGACTCGCAGTAATCTCCATTTTCGCCCTCGGCGTCGTGGTCAACGTCGCCGGTTCTGTTCGAACCGTGTACGTATGGAAGAGTATGGTCGTTGGCTACGATCCAACCTGGATTGGATGGCCGGTACTCATTGCTGCTGTCGTGGAGATCAGCCTGGGACTGGTAAGAGACTCACAGGTCACGCCATTCGAATTGTTTGATACTGACAGTTAGAATAAAGATCTGCTCTTCGGCCCCGGCCCTCCGCCCTCTCATCGCGGCCTTCCTACCACGTCTTCTCAACTCAACCCGCAATTTCAGCTCCTATAATCAACGAACCCACTCCCATAAGCTCTGGTCGTCAACCGGACGCTCTCGAAATTCCCGATTCGTCACGGACGATGTGTCCCCGCCCCTCTACGAGAATGACCGGTTTGAGATTATGCGCACCGTCGAGATGAAGAGTTGGACTGAGTCACGAGTTGCAAGTCCAGACCGTATGGGCCACGCTTATGATATTACGTCTGAGCGAAGCAGCCGCGCTCTCAGTCCCGTGCATGCCATTGAGGTCAAGAATGGCATGGTGCACGCCTCTTCGGCGAGCGATGATTCCTCTGTGTCTGGACTGTGAGCCGAGCAATAACCATTCGCCTTGAGCGCACTTCTTATAACACGCCATCCTTCTATGTAAATGAACATTTTAATTTATACCATACCGTTCTTCTTTTTCTTTTCTTTGGCTTTTGTCTGCGAGGGTTTGGTCAGCCGGAAGGAAGAGTTCATTGGGTGTAGGTAGAAAATGTACCATTTGTGGGCGTAGCTGAGCAGACGGCTGATCACCTTTGCACCTTTGGGATAGAGCATAAGTTCCCTGACCATTCCGTCGGCTCTGACTTGTGACAGACGAGGCCTCGTAGCACCAAAAAAAAATCCCAATCAGCCTTACAATTGGAAAGAGCAAAAAGATCTGGACTCGCGGGGAATCGAACCCCGGACCACTCCCATGCTAAGGGAGTATTATACCACTAAACCACAAGCCCAGTTGATTGGTTGAGAGTTGGGTATTGTGTTACACAAGCCGGAATAAAGATTGGAGTAGCCCCGGTCCACGTGGGGTTATGATCAAGTCTACTCCGTACATGTAATCTAGAACCAACCTAGCCAGGTGGATTATAGAAGATATGAAACGCCAATGTTGAATGATATCGCACTCGTTCAATTACTTAGGTAGTCTCCAGGCCATCCGTTTTTGTTGTAGGTCCAATCCACATGCGAAAATGTACCTTGGGGGTGCAGCGCCTACGAATAATATATAACGTTAACCATTCGGATCTACAATGACTGAAAGACAACCCGAACCAGAAGAGGATAAGAATTAGTTGATAGACACATGCAGCATCAACCCAGTACATATGAATTGCGGTGAAAGTTTCTAGACACTGCATTTCAATCTCACAATAGTTGGAGTCTCACCAGCCTCTCCAAACATCCCCAGATAAGGACGTTGCCAAGACCCAGATTAGCTTATCAGAGATGACAAGTGATCGACGGCAGGGGTGAGGCAGCACGAAGACTTTCAAAGTCGACTCTAGTTCTTTGGCCGCATGACCTGACTCCAATCCGGATCAATTGAACGCCGCTCGGATGGAAAGTGTTACCATATCGATTTGACCAAGAATCCACCAGCGTAGACTTTCTTAATTCGTCCAGACACCTCATCGGCCCGGGGTGCTCGGCGGTTCAAAATGAGGGACAGCCTCTGATTGGTCAATCTCACCGACGAAGAGGCAATCTACGCGGGGAGAATATCTTGAGCTCCAATATAAGGCCGATAACGTTCTCTTGGTGTACTTGGTATAAAGCCAGCGCGCGCCTGCTCAGGTTCTCATTCTTCTCAACTATCTTCCATCTGTTATCCTCTTTGACTTGACTACAGAGACTACCGGGGTATTATTCTTTATTATATAGGATAGCTCATTAGACCGCTATTCTCACCCCGCACCACTTCCGCTCTCCTCCCATCCCTTCCATCACATCACAGTCACAATGTCTTCGGTCTTCCGTGCCAGCACCCGGCTGCGCTCCGTGGCTCGCCTCCCGGCAGCTCGTGCTCTCTCCACCACTGCCAGCCTGCGTGCATCGGAGAAGCCCTACTTCCCCGATGAGCCCACCGCTCCCTCCATGTCTGGGGCCTTCCCCGGACCCAAGAACAAGGCCGCTGCCGCCAAGCTCGACGAGGTCTTCGATGTCCGCAGCTTGAACATGCTGACTGACTACTACTCGTCCGTTGGTAACTAGTATGATGGACCCCAATCCGCCACCAAAGCTTGACTAACCCAATTCTAGCATCGCTGATCTCGATGGCAACAAGCTCCTTGACGTGTAAGTCACCAATCGCAACTCAACTGGAACCAAAGAAGCTGACCCCGTTAGGTATGCTCAAATTGCTTCCATCCCTGTCGGATACAACAACCCCCACCTCAAGGAGGTTGCCGCCTCACCTGAGATGACCTCCGCCCTCATCAACCGTCCTGCCCTGGGCAACTTCCCCTCCTCCGACTGGGCTGATATCCTCAAGACTGGCCTACTCCGTGCTGCCCCCAAGGGTCTGAACCAGGTCTTCACAGCCATGGCCGGCTCTGATGCCAACGAGACCGCCTACAAGGCGGCCTTCATGTACTACCGCCAGCTGCAGCGTGGTGGTCCCGAGGTTGAGTTCACCGAGGAGGAGCTTCTCTCCACCATGAACAACCAGGGTCCCGGATCCCCCCAGTTGTCCATCCTCTCCTTCAAGTCTGCCTTCCACGGCCGTCTCTTCGGCTCCCTGTCCACCACTCGCAGCAAGGCCATCCACAAGCTGGACATCCCTGCCTTTGACTGGCCCCAGGCCCCATTCCCCCAGCTCAAGTACCCCCTTGAGGAGCACGTCCAGGAGAACGCCGCCGAGGAGCAGCGTTGCCTGGCTGAGGTTGAGCGTCTCATCAAGGAGTGGCACAACCCCGTGGCTGCCGTCATGGTCGAGCCCATCCAGTCCGAGGGTGGTGACAACCACGCCTCCCCCGCCTTCTTCCAGGGTCTCCGTGATATCACCAAGCGCACCAAGGTCCTCTTCATCGTCGACGAGGTGCAGACTGGTGTCGGTGCCACTGGTAAGTTCTGGGCTCACGACCACTGGAACCTGTCCTCTCCCCCCGACATGGTCACCTTCTCCAAGAAGGCCCAGGCTGCCGGTTACTACTTCGGCAACCCTGCCCTGCGCCCCAACAAGCCCTACCGTCAGTTCAACACCTGGATGGGTGACCCAGCCCGCGCTCTGATCTTCCGCGGTATCATCGATGAGATCGACCGCCTCAACCTCGTTGAGAACACCCGCAACACCGGTGACTACCTCTACGGCGGTCTCTCCACCTTGGCTGAGAAGTACCCCCAGCACTTCCAGAACCTTCGTGGTAAGAATCAGGGTACCTTCATCGCCTGGGACACCCCCAAGCGTGATGAGCTCATCGCCAAGGCCAAGTCCTTCGGCGTCAACATCGGTGGCAGTGGCCCCTCTGCTGTCCGCCTCCGTCCCATGCTGGTCTTCCAGAAGCACCACGGTATGTTGTCATTGCCCTGCCCTCGTCCACCAGAAATACTTACTAATGTCTTCCTACAGCCGATATCCTCCTCGAGAAGATCGAGCAGATCATCCAGGCCCTCTAAATGAAGTCCCGACATGTCACTTCCGAACTACTACCTTCGGAGATGCACGGGCATTTTAAATTGGTTTAATTAGCGTTCTTGTTTATTCACCCCCAATTTCTTCCTTGTTTGTCTACTACGACATTCCTATGCACGAAAAGATCATGTACTCTTAGACAGTTGGCTCATGAATTGAAATATGAATCAAACTGAACAATTGGCGCTGGAGTAGAAGCAGTTATCTGCAAGTACTCCGTAACTGTCCATCTTTTAGATTCCCTGGTGGAAAAATTGAAATGTAAACTCCTAGTAAGCCACCGGAATCTGCTGTGTACGCCCTCGCAATCCAATGACTGATATAAAAATGGGCAATGCTTCCCATCCGAAACTCCGAACGACCAGCAAAAGTATCGAAACCACCCTCACTTTGCAATCTCGATTGGCTCAATGATATGTGCGTTTTAGGGGTATCCGGAACCAAGGTTGTATGGGCAAGGGTGGGTTCGGGTTGCGCTAAAGACTCAAGAGGGTAGACACATCATGCATCTTCCTCGCCAGTGCTCCCGTCTCGCCTAAAACAAACAGATGTTAGTATTTCATCTTGACAGCGGCGTGTTGACTGCTTGGGCAGCACATACGGGACATATTTAATGCCAGAGTCCTCCAGACTGTTGATAATATATTCCGGAAGCTGTACATGTGCCAGCAATTAGCCATTCTGTGTCTGCAGTTTCATTCCCTAGACCGAAGATGGGCACCTACCGTCCCTGTGACCTTGGTCGCGTATGTGCCCGGCACGTAGTTATCCAAGCGCTGCCAACGAGCGACCCAGCTTGCAGCCGGATCCCGAACAGCGATCAGGCCCTCAAAGACCTGTGATGTACATTCCTGGATAGCATCGTTGTTCCCGCGGAGCTGAAGGGTGCTTTCACAGTTTGGGCAGCCTTCACGCATGAATTTCTGGAGTAATCGGGATCGTCAGAGTCGTCCGAGGAACGGAGAGGAGGTGGGCTCTTACATTGTGAATCTGCACGACGGAGCAGACCATGCAGGCGCGCAGAGTGCGCTGTTGATTTGGAGGGGCGTAGAAAGACATGAGGAGAGTTGAGGATGTGTCGTAAGGAAGAGAAAGCTATGGGAGTTAGCCGTCGAGTCTGAATGCCAAGGCCCGTTGGGATCGGGGAAAAAGAACATGGGAGAACCAGGAACAAGACTCCCTTTTCTTTCTTTTGCCACGCCTTTCTCTTATTCTTTTAGGCTCCTTTCTCCCTCAATAGCTCAAGCATTTAGAGGGTCTTCTTCTTTTTAGATTGTTCCTATTGTCCGATTGAATCATAGTTCTTTCCTCCGCACCCTTGTCTCGCACTACCCCTCGCATTTTCTCTCCGCCCCAAATGCCTACCGACCAAGAAGAGGCCGTTGCGCTCAAGCTGCAGGGCAACAAGGCCTTTGCTCAGCACGACTGGCCTGTTGCAGTGGACTTCTATAACCAGGCTATTGCCAAATATGACCAGGATCCGTCCTTCTTCTCAAACCGGGCCCAGGTGCGTTTCCGACGATCATGGTGGCACATTCTCAAGAGTCGCGTGCACACCAAGATCGACATGGGCTAACGGTTTTTCTTGGTATTACAGGCTCAGATCAAGCTCGAAGCTTTTGGTTTTGCTATTGCAGATGCCACGAGGGCAATTGAGTTGGATCCGAAATATGTGAAGGTCAGTCGGTGTTTTGCGCCGGCGGGATTGACTCATGCTAATCCTTCATTCATCGCAGGCCTATTGGAGACGTGCCCTCGCCAATACTGCCATTCTGAGTTATAAGGATGCACTGAAGGATTTCAGAGTTGTGGTCAGACTTGAACCGGGCAACCAGAACGCGAAATTGAAGGCTGCCGAGTGCGAGAAACTTGTGCGTCGTCGGGATTTCGAGCGCGCTATTGAGGTTGCGGACCCGCCCTCTGCATTCGCGGATTTGGACATTGAGGCTATCAAGGTTGAAGACGACTATGATGGCGTGCGCCTCGGCCAGGAGATGTCACAAGAGTTCATTGATGACATGATCCAGCGCTTTAAGGATGGAAAGAAGATCCATCGCAAGTATGTCTTCCAGATTATCAAGGCCGTGAAGGACCTTGTCTACAATGAGCCTACGATGGTGGAAGTCGGCGTGGAATCGGGCAAGAAATTGACAGTCTGTGGTGATACACACGGTATGTATTGTCTAGGCTCGGTGAGTGTGGCAGTTACTGATCAAACCAGGACAATACTTCGATTTGCTCGAGATCTTCCGACGAAACGGTGCCCCCTCCGATACCCACGCTTATCTCTTCAACGGTGATTTCGTGGACCGCGGCTCCTGGTCTTGCGAAATTGCACTGCTTCTCTACGCCTACAAGTGGTTGCGCCCCAACGGCCTCTTCATCAATCGCGGAAACCACGAGACGGATGATATGAATAAGGTGTACGGTTTCGAAGGCGAATGCAAGGCTAAGTATAACGAGCGTGTGTTCAAGGTGTTCTCCGAGTCCTTCTCGGCCCTGCCGCTGGCCACTTTGATTGGCGAGAAATACCTCGTTCTGCACGGTGGTCTGTTCTCTGATGACAAGATTAAGTTGGATGATATTCGCAAGCTCAACCGCCACAACCAGCGTCAGCCTGGCCAGTCCGGTCTGATGATGGAGATGCTTTGGACGGATCCCCAGACCGCAGCTGGTCGTGGCCCCAGCAAGCGTGGCGTTGGTCTCCAGTTCGGTCCTGATGTGACCAAGCGCTTCTGCGAGAACAACGGATTAGAGGCTATCATTCGCTCCCACGAAGTGCGCATGGACGGTTACGAGGTTGAACATGATGGCCGTTGTATCACCGTCTTCTCTGCTCCTCGCTACTGCGACTCCACCGAGAACAAGGGTGCCTATATTAACATTGGACCTGAGCTCAAACTCGAGTACGAAGTCTTCGAGGCAGTGCCTCACCCTGATATCAAACCAATGGTGAGTTATGACCCAAAGTATCTACATCTGTCAAGTTTCGCCAGCTAACTGTCGCAGGCGTACGCCAACAACTCCATTCTCTCAGGAATGTAATGGCACATCTGATTTTCAAGCGCGGCGTTGCTTCAGGAGATATAGAATCGCTCCAAATGTATTTATGTGCATGAATGATGCCCTAATGCCCCCCCCTCCACCCCCGGGACTCCCACGTACACAGTAGCTCGGACGTCGCCACGTACACTTCACACCGCCTTTGCCCCGCGCTTTCCCCTCGATTCTGCCACCTTGACTTTTTGCCCGCGCCGGAGATATCCATACTCGTTTTAGACTACATAGCAACCATGGAGTTCGATCCCAAGACCCGTACGTGCCCTTAACTGATTGTGTAGCTACTAGACTAATTGGCGCAGCTCAATATCTCACATCCGATAAGTCGAGCTTCGCCTCGGTCTCGGCCAACGAGCGCTGGCCTGTCATCCTCGTGAGCTTGTACCGGATCATCAATCACTGTGGTCCAATTGCTGACTCGTTGGACAACCTAGACTGGCGCCATAGATGATCTACACCGCACTGTTGTCGGTGTCGATAACGATGAGAAGGCCAATGAGGGCAAGAGCATTATTGCCAACTTGGCCAAGTTGAAGTATGAGCTCCAGCACGACCGACAATTAACGTGAGTATCCTTTCTTCCCGTACACCTGACTGGAATTGAGACACGAAGCTAAGTTCTATATTACCGCTAGTCCCTTGGATGACGACGGACACCCAGATATCGCCTCGTATAACAAGGAGCTGGAGGAGCGTGGAAACCCGCACTGGCACGATGTGCCCTGGCTTTACGCAGAATGTTACCTCTGTATGCGCAAGGCCCCGATCCACGCAGAACGAATGAATGACAACAATCGCTGACCAGACGCCCACGGTAGACCGTCGCATGGAAACCCTCTTCGCGCTTTCCAAGCACTGGAAGGGCTACGACGTGTTCGCCCGCCAGAAGATGGATACATTCAAATCTTCTCGTCCCGCTGTGCTAGAGCTAGCTGCAAGATACCGTGAACTGGCTCTTGAGGCCGAGTCGGGCAAAGGAAGGGACGGCAAGTCAACAGAGGAGATTGAGCAGGCAGAGAAGCTTCTCTTCTCAGAAATGTGCGAGATCTGCTTGTGGGGCAATGCCACTGACCTTTCACTTCTGACGTCTCTCACATACGAGGATATCCAAAAGCTGCAGGGATCTGAGGCGCGCAAAGCGTCACAGAAGAATATCCTCGTCAACGACCTCGACGCCGCGTTCGAGGCAATGCAGAAGGCGCGCAAGGAGAAGAAGGACGGCGAGCGCCGCGTAGACATTGTTCTAGACAATTCTGGGTTCGAGTTATTTGTCGATCTCATCCTCGGTGGTTACTTGCTGTCCTCCGGATTGGCGACCAGCGTCGTGCTCCACCCCAAGCGTCTGCCTTGGTTTGTGTCAGACGTTACACCGAAGGACTTCTCCGACCTGCTCAATTGCATGGTCGATCCGCAGGCATTCTATACAGCGGCCGATGATACCGGCAAGACATTCCCTCCTCTTTCCGAGAAGGAGGTTTCCGACGTGCAATTCCTCTTCGAGCAGTGGAGCCAGTTCCACCAGGATGGTAAGCTGATTCTGCGCCCGCACGCATTCTGGACTACCCAAGGCGGCTACTGGCGGATGCCACACGTTGCGCCGGAGCTGTTTGAGGATCTGAAGGAGAGCGAGCTTGTATTGTTCAAGGGTGACTTGAACTACCGGAAGTTGGTCAACGATGTAAGTCATCATTTTCTGTGCTTCTCGCCATTTGGGCTTTGAGAGTATCATGCGCTAACAACACCCAGGCCGAGTGGGATCCCACCACTCCTTTCACCGAAGCCATTGGCCCCCTCGGCCCGAAGTCCGGTATTCGTGTTCTAGCCTTCCGTACTTGCAAGGCTGATACCGTCGTCGGTCTCCCGGCTGGCGAGGATGAGAAACTTCGTGCACTGCCTGGAGGTGGTGGCTCTGAGTCTCGCAAGTGGGCCTGGAGTGGAAAGTGGGCTGTTGTATCACTTTCTGACGGCAAGGCCTGAGAGCAGCCGAGACATAAGCGGTCGTTTCTATGGCAGACTTTCAGATCTGTCGCGAGGATGGATATGCCAATCTGGAAATGCAGATGAACCGTGGAGGCAAAAGGGATACATTTGGAAGTAGACGCGTCGTTACCTAATTTAGAAGGAGACATACATCAACATGTACGCAAAGGTTGAGCGCAGTTATGTGGCCAGCGAACAATGTTGAAAAATGCTATGATTCATGCAATAACTCAGATATCCGCTCAAATTGTAGACAGCGACAAGGGACAAAGGAACAGAACCGCTAATGAACCTGAACACCAATCAATTACATATAGAATATGAGGACCTGTGAAAATGACGCCGAAAATGACCACTTTTGAGGCCAGAAACGGCTTCCTTTCCACCCGTAACTTTGGATGTCCAGTGGCCCGGACGGCCGTGAGGCCCGGTCGGCCGTGAACTACGTTACCTCGTTTGGGATGAGTCATAGGTTTCTCAATGAGTCACGCTGGAAATCGCCTTGGTATTCATACCTCAAGGGACTTCCACCCTCGGCGGTGCCACCTTTGTTCCGCTTCAACACCCGAACATAAGTGCTTTCAAATTCTGCCTCTAAGGCGTCCAAGAAGACCACCATGGCAATGCCACAGCAACGTGACTACTTAGTCGTCGGTGACAACGTGGATGCCATCCCGACTTTGTCCAGCCTCAACGTACCACCCACCACCGGCAGGATAGTCGTCCTGAATGGCTTCCCGGGCACAGGCAAGCTCACTATTCTAAAGCAAGCCAAAAAGCTCTTGCCCGCCGACACGACCATCCTCTTGGACAACCACCTGCTCATTGACCCCGTAATGGCAGTCATACCTGACCGAAGCGATGAACACCACGAGCTGCGCCGCAAGTTACGGGCGCCCATCTTTAAGAAGCTAGGAGAATGCGCACAAGAGGGCTACGTCATCTTCATGACAGCATGCCTGGCCGAAGATGACGTGAGGGATACCGCCGTCCTCAAGGAGCACCTCGACATGGTGCGCGGGACCGACGTACCCATCATTTGGGTGAATGTACACTGTGACCAGACAGCCCTGGAGCGTCGCCTTAGGAGCCCCGAGCGCTGCCAAGGGGCCAAGACGAAGCTGACGGAGGTGCGCGTACTCCAGGACCTGCTGCGTGAGCACCGCCTCATTGAGCCGAGTAAGAGCGCCGACGGATCGACGAAGCTAGTAGTAGAAACCTTGGATGTGAGCGGGCCGGTGGAACTCTCTGTCAGCCGTTTGATGAGCGCGATCGGTTTTCCACCCAGTATGGTGTCAGCATAAAGCTGTGTATATCAGCCAACCAGAGCGTCTAAATGTTTTTTTTTATTTTTCCTTTTTAGGGTAAGGAGGGAAGGCAGATTCGACTCACCATTCCCGACCACGGAAAACTTGAGAGCAAGACCTCTGGGAGGACACGAACAGAAAATACAGACGGAGTCGAGCTTCGGGGGAAACTGGAGGTATGCAGACGGGCAGACGGCTACATGCGTGATCAAGGCCTCTTCATACCCACCTACCCCACGGTCATTGGCTTCGACATCTCGGGGCTAGTCCTCAAGGTCGGCGACAACATCCCCGTCGGTGCTACCGATGAAGGTCCGGGCCCTTTTTCCCGACCGGGGATTACCCGCGTCGCCGCCTACGCCACCTCCGTCTGGAAGTCCTGCGACCCTGACTACGGCGCCTGTTAGGAGCGGTGCCTCGTCCCTGGCAGCACGCCCTGCCTCTTCCGGATGAGGGTATTTCTTGGAACCAAGCGGCAACCTTGTTCGTCGCCGTTGAGATACCCCTTAACGCGTGGGATGTTACGGGGATTTCACGGGTGGGAGAGGCCACTGCTTCTTCCTCCGTCTCCGCTGCCCCAGTCGGCGCCGATACCAGCGGAGGAACTCAGGAATATAAGAAACAAAAGAGAGACGCCCTATTAATCTGGGGCGCTTCCTCTAGCGTGGGCACGATAGGCGTGCAAAGCGCCCGGCTGCTGCGGGAAGATCGCGACTCTTCTTTTGCTGCCATGTACGCCACGGCCGGTGCGGCGAATTAGAAGTATGTAGGCTCCCTAGGCGCGGATCGCGTCTTCGATTACAAAGAGCAGTACGCTGTGAATGCGATGATGATGATGATGATGATGATGATGATGATGATGATGATGATGATGATGATGATGATGATGATGATGATGATGATGATGATGATTCTATTTCTAGTAAATGGGGCGAATGAAGCGGAGCATGCAGCAACGAGGAGACTCGGCAACAAGGGGGGTCCAGCGGAATAACAGACACTCAACGGAAAGGCCTCACCAGCAGAAAGCAAGCGATCTAGATAGGATTGTAGACTTCTTTGGAAAATGGAGTATTGACACAATCATGCGATGCAGTGGATGGCTTGATCACCCCAGTGTTTCTGCTCCTGAGCGACTGGATAGCATTGCAGCCTACGCAGGTCAGAACGACCAGGGAGTCGGATCGAGCGGCATCTCTGGTAAAAATGAAAGGGGCAGTGCGTCGTGCTGAAAGCAAATGTGCAGTAGTCGGTGGGGGCCAGAGTAAAAGAAAGGGGGCGGCGATGAGTGCAAGATAGAGAGGCAGAATAATGGAAAAGTGAGAGAAAGGGAGGAGGAGCAGCGAAGACGGGTCTTTTATGTCGGCGGCATTGAAGGTAGGTTACGTGACGGCGTATTGGGGCGCTAAACCAGAAAAGGCAAAACTAACCGCATACAGTAATTCACAGGTCCACCGTTTACACCCGAAAAGCAACCTGCAACAATATCTCCAAGAGAGAATCACAAGAATCGCCAATGGATTGACCTAATCCCAGATCATACATTTTCCTTTCCAGAAGCTTTCATCCTGCGATTCCCCTTCTGCCTGAGCCGTGATTTGGCAGCGGCAATTCGTTCAGGACTGAGAGCCTCACGCTTCATATCAGCCAATTCATAGCGCTTACCCACGCGCTCGCCTGCTGAAACGGTATTCCCCGAATACCGGCTGCGATATGGAAGGCTCGAGATTGAATCAAGGGTAGATTTGATGTGCGTTCGTTCGCGCTGTGCTTGTCGGTTGCTGAGGCGAGTGTCATCGTCCGGAAGATTGAGATTCCGATAACTTCGCTGGCCATCGCCGAGTCGGCGTCTTGAGAATGTGCGATTCAGTGACCTCAGGGTTGGGATATCAGGAGGCGAGGATGGAGGTACTTCGTCTGAGGCAGCAGCATTGTTTGACTCGTGCCGTGGTTTCGTTAGGATCTCATTCAGATAATGCGTGACCTCGTCATCTTCTGCGCCCATATCGAGCGTATTAAACCTCGTGCCCAATGTGGCGCTGCGCAAGGCAGGTCGCGAGTTGCGTACTTTCGAGCGAGGACTTGGACTTGGCGGTGACTCGATGTCTTCAGTCGGTTCCTCTGGGTCCTCGAGATCTTGGCCTGTATGATCATCGGCGAAGTCGAAGACTTGCACGCCGGTGTAGCCTTTACGAGGACTCAAGAATTCCCGCTCGGTAGAAGGTAGAGCTGGAAATCGTTCAGTGGAACCAAGTCGTAGTTTCAGCAGGTCGATCTGTTTTTGCAGGTGGCGACGCTCTGTCTCGGAGGTATTTCTTAGATTTTCCATCGAGGCCCGATGCTCTTGAGAGACCGTCTTAAGCCTTTCTCTGTATTCCTGGATCCGCTGCTCCAGTCTGGCTTCTCTCTGCTTCAGCCGTGTTTCCTTATCCTTCCGTCGTCCTTCGTATCGGGACATCTCCTGCTTCACTCGGGCGAGCGTTTGTTTTAGGGAGTTGTTCTCTTGCTCAAGGGTTTCGGCCTTCTTCTCTGAGCTCTGCGCGAGATTTCGGAGTGTGCTCAGTTGGCTCTGCTGGCGTTGCATTTCCTCGATCTTAGCATTGGCTTGCTTCAGTTCCTGTTGTGTTCTGAGAAGTTCGTCCGTCGGGGCTTCTGAAGGCGAGTCTTTCTTCGTTTGCGCGCTAGTTGCCGCGTCGCTCACGATGTCATGTCGTTCCAATGCTTTACGCAGCGAGGTAGCCTGCTGCTTGTACTGTAACGCAAGAGCAGTCTGTTTGGTCAGATCCTGGACCAAATGTTCTTTATCGTCGATTGACCCCTCCCCGACCATGGAAGAAGCAAGGCGTGATACCTGCCTTTCCATCTCAGCAACTTTCTCCTCTTCTTCCTTTAGCTTGTCGGCCAGCCGCATAGCTTCTGAATCCTTCTTGCGAGCATAGGATTTGGCAATGCTCCGGTAATGGATCAGTTTCTTGATTTCTCGGTTCGTCCTCACACGGTAATTGTCGAATTCCGTTTTCCAGTACTTGCCGGACTCGGAGTGCGGATCCTCAAGATTGATGGTGAGGTCCTCGTTATCCATGATATCCTTCGACCCTGAAGCAATGTCGGACTTTGCTTCTCCCGTGCTGTCATTGGACTTGGTGGATGTGGAGTTTTTGGACGCGTTATCGCGTGCATTCATGAGTGTTTGAGTGAGTTTGCTCCTCGGTTTACCGCTCCCATCGGAGGATCCAGACATCCATTGCGTACTGAGAGTCCCGGAAGGATTTGGCGGGGTTTTAGCTGGCTTACTGGCCGAGCCAGGGCGCTTACCCTCATTGTCGATAACGCTTTCGCCAAAGGACACCGTCTTGCGGCGCAACGCGGTCCCAGGTGTGACCAGTATGCTTTTTGTAGGGGACCCCGGGTTGCAAGTCGCGTCCTCACTAGCTGAATTCGTGTCTATCTTGATGTCCGTTGGCGCTAATTTTATCGTGTCGCTTTTGCTTCTTTGGTGATCGTGTTGTTTTTTAGACGCGTGTTTTTGGTCATCCTCTGCCCCCGGCGTTCCAAATAGGGCGCTCTTGAAGGCGCGGATCGCAAAGACATGGCCTGGGGTCTCAGGAGGTTCTAACAGCTTAGAGTCATCTGTACGCAGCATTGTGTCAGTGTGACAGCAAGGACCAAGTAAAAGGTACAGAACAAACCTGTAGCATGAGTGCCTTGCTCATTTCCCTTCATCCAGTCCAGCATTTTGAGGGTGGAAAGCGACAAAAACAAAGAAGTCGGGTGAGATTCAATGTTTACGGTCCGCGCGGTCGGGAAAAGGACAAGCGCCGATCAGCTTTATCGATAAGCTCGTGTTTGGCGTCAACTGGCTTTCTTTGCTTACGCTTGGCAGTCTTTTGGCTTTTTCTCTGAAACACGAGAGATTGAGGAGTTACAAGTGGTGTTTGTTTCATTGAGACTCAGTATTGATTACTACCAGAAGGGCGAGGTCACCATACATCGGTCCTGTCACATCGGATGCACGTGTCCTCCTTACATCGTACTATATTCGAAGACTTACCTACATCGTACATCGTACACCGCAAACCTCCCTTGCAGCGCTTAAACCCCTGAAACCTCAAGTCACTACCCCTCTGTATACTACACAAACATCAAACATACAACCAGCTTGACACGACACGATGCCTCTTTCTCATTCGAATGTTCTACGCCTCGTTGCCAGCGTCATTGCGACCATATGGGTCGCGTTCGGCGTGAATGCCATCCTGCGTCCAGACCATGCTCTCACTTTCTTCGAGTTCCAGCCACCTGCCTTGACGGCGGACAAACAGATGGTTGATAGCCTGATGGCAGTCTACGGAGTTCGGAATGTCTTCATGGGAGCTGCAATCTATGTGACTTCGTATCTCGGATCACGTTCAAACCTAGGCTGGATCTTGATTGCTGCGGGCGGCGTTGCATTTGCAGATGGGATTATTTGTTGGACACATGGCCAGGGACAGTGGAATCACTGGGGATACGCACCAATGATTACTGCAGTTGGCAGCTTGTTGCTTGGCGTCTTTGACCGTTCGTAAGAGCGCCTGGAACACGGACAACACGAGTCAACATCGAGCGATGATCGACTATTTCGATGACAATAATCGCCACTGGTGTCCTCTGGGACCTTGCCAGCTCATCAATCCACCGACTCATGGAATTTGGGTCCACAATCAGGCAGGGAACGCCAGGGACAAAGGTCCTTCGGCTTGACATGATACTCTTCTCCAAGTTCACTGAAGACATAAACCAGACCCTAAAGGGCTTCAAAGTCGATACAGTATTCAGTCATCCTACTCAACAATCAAGAATAAGGTATTACTAGCTGTAATCCACAGTTTTAACGGGACGTCAACATAGTTAGTAGACTAAATTAGGCATCTCCACTATCAATGACAGGGCGTGATAGCTGACCGCCTGTTTATTCTAGCCTCGACTTAAAAAAAAACGAATGCCCAATTTCACCGTCACCATAACCCCTTCACCTTTGATAACCACCCCCTATGTCGTACGACGCTCAGGGTCGCATGTAGGGCGAGTTCTCGCCACGCCCCGCGATGTCTCCCAACAAGAGGAAGAAGCCCCCTCGCCAGAAAAAGCAAACCTCTGATTCCTCCGTGACGTCCCCAATACTTCCAACAAATTACCGAGAAATTCACCAGACTGAGGTCGAGGCACTTCGCTCAATATATGGCGATGACTTTGAAGAAGTAGAAAACAGGCGGTCGGCCTGGCAGGTGGGTGCAATCGTCGCGTGGACTGTTCGATAGCTACTGACATACATTCTAGCAATCCTCCGATGTGACATTCAAGCTCCATTTACGATCCTCCTCGAACCCAGATGTATTGCTCATTCTATTGGTCGAATTGCCAGCTACATATCCCAAAACGATACCCAATCTTTCGGCGGGAAACCTCGATGGTTTTCGCGATGGAGCACGTTCCAAAATACAAGACATCCTTCGGAATAAGCCGAAGTCTATGCTCGGAAGTGAGATGATCTATGAGCTGGCAGTGTCAATCCAAGACGTGTTGGAAGATGTTGCCCAAGCATTGGCACAAGATAAAGATCTACCCAGTCTGGAAGAGGAGCGTATGGAGCAAGAGGCGGCAGCCCAGCAACGTGCAGATCTGGAAAAACAAGAGATGCTACGCAAACAACAGGCTGCAGCTGTCGAGGAAGACCGCGCATTGCAAGAAATGCTCCAAGACAAGGCGCGACAGCGGAATAAGGCTCGCATCTTGAGACGAAAGAGTCGGACTGGTGGCGCGGAATTGGGCAATGTCGATGATCTTATGGAAAAGACCCCAGGCGCCATCTCCTTTGACCTTCCATTGGTCATCAGTGACACTGATGAGCAACCATTGGTCTTCCGCGCCGTCCATGGAAAGACGCTTCTGCAACGCAAACAGTGCAAAAAGACATTCACCGTCAGGCCTGTTGTTCCTGAGAACCGATGCCATGTCCCTTTGCTTGTTCTAAAGGAGATTTGCCTCAGCGAGCAGAATTCCGAAGGGCTGACATTCCGAGAGCAGATGCGTACCAGTGAGGACAAGTTAGAGGGCATCAAGCGATTGCGACACCCCAATTTGGTTGAATTCATTGGGTTCAAAATAAATCGCCCACTTTCCTCATCTGATTCGTCCAGTAATCCCTGGACCGTCTTTGTGCTTTCGGAGCATGCGAACAAAGGTTCCCTTTCCGAACTTCTTGACATAGTGGGCACTGTGTCCGTTGACATGCTCCGTGGCTGGATGATCCAATTGCTTGAGGCTTTGGAGTTCTACCACCGCAGTGGGTTTGTGCATGGGAACATTCACTGTGGCCAAGTATATCTGTTCCGGAAATACTCTGGAGAAACTACCGTAAAACTGCAATCTAGCGTCGAAGAGGCTTTGCCGGACGCTCCTTATGGGAAGCCCTCTTTGGCGGCCTCAAAATCACCGCTTTGGATACCCCCAGAACTGACCCAGGACAGCCCACCCACCATGAAGACCGATGTCTGGGATCTTGGAATCGTACTGCTCCAGATGGGATTTGGAAAAGATGTTCTTCTTCGGTACACCTCTGCCAATCAATTGATGGTCTCCATGGGACTCTCACCACCCCTTCAGGATCTGTTGTGCGAATTCTTTCGTCCAGATCCCAGGAAGCGCCCAACTGCTTTCCAGCTCCAACCCTCGGAGTTTTTCCGCGTTGATGCGCCGTTGAAGATGCGCGAGAGGGCATCGGAATCCGTCTCCCTGCAAAGGCGGCCGCGGCTAGACTCCTTTGGAGCCATGCCGGCGTTTTCGCGATACCACCAAGATTTCGATGAGGCGGGTCAGCTTGGCCGTGGTGGTTTCGGGCAGGTAGTGAAGGCCCGGAACAAGCTCGATGGTCGATTGTATGCAATTAAGAAGATCTCTCAAACATCAGCTGCGGCATTGAAAGACACGCTTTCCGAAACCATGTTGCTATCCCGATTGAATCATTCGTATGTTGTCCGGTATTACACTGCCTGGATAGAAGAGGACTTCAATCATATCGAGGAAGAGGCAATGTCTTCCACAGAAGGTGACCCGTTCGCCAGCCAAGATCACCATGGTTTCAGTACAGGAGGACTGGATTTCATCAGCTCGAGCGGATATCCAAAGATCGAGTTTGCCGCATCAGACAGCGACGACGACAATGAAGGAACCTTGTCCGACCCTGCGCACTCAGGAATGCCAGAAAGGAACAGAGTCTATGACACTAGCACTAACTCAGAGGGTGTAGAGGACAATGAGCTCAGCCGGGCAAGATCCGGCTCTTATTCCCGGCCCATCCTAACGACACTATACATCCAGATGGAGTACTGTGAGAAGCATGTAAGTGATGCACGGTCTGTTCGCTCGGTGTATCTGGACTAATGAAGCTCAAGACCTTGCGCGATGTCATAAAAGCCGATTTGTACGATGATAATGAGCGTTCCTGGCGTCTTTTCCGGCAAATCCTTGATGGCTTGAGCCACATTCATAGCCATGGAATAATACACCGTGACTTGAAGCCTGACAACATTTTCATCGATGTTGCAAACAATCCTCGCATCGGTGACTTTGGTCTTGCTACAAGTGGCCAATTCACCACAGCAGTCCGTTCGTCCGCTGCAGCCGATTTTGAAGGGGACTTTACTCGCAGTTTGGGCACAACCTACTACGTGGCACCGGAGATGAAGTCGGTTGTTTCAGGCCGCTACAACGAAAAGGTCGATGTGAGTAGTAAGCGTCCAATTGACACCCCAAGACATGCTCACGCTCTATAGATGTACTCGCTTGGTGTTATCTTCTTTGAGATGTGCCATCCGCTACCAACCGGAATGGAGCGAGATCAAACTCTCCGACAAATCCGGGAGAAGAATCACGTCCTTCCATCCACCTTCCAGCAATCTGATAAAATACTCCAAGGCCAAATCATTGAGTCTCTGCTCAGCCATAACCCGAGCGAACGTCCCACAGCCTCCGATCTTCTGACTAGTGGAAAGATCCCCCTTCAAGTCGAGGAAGAGACGTTCCGACGGGCTATTGTGCATCTGCTTTCGGATCCGAATTCACCGGATTACAAGAAGATTCTATCAGCCATCTTTTCTCAGTCGCCGAAGAAATTCGAAGATATTGCTTGGGATATAGACTCGCATGCTGTACCAGCAGCCAATGAGTTACTCGTCCAGGGTCTAGTCAAAAAGAAACTGACATCAATTTTCCAAAGACATGGTGCGGTCGAGTCAACGAGGCAAATGCTGTTTCCTCGATCCCAGCATTACACCAACGGTGCAGTACGCGTCCTGGACGCTTCGGGCAATCTTTTGCAGCTGCCATATGATCTCACCCTTCCGAACGCTCGAGCAATTCCAAGACAAGATCACTCACTGGAGAAGACCTTTGCATTCGGCACAGTTTACAGAGAATCAACTCATGGCGGTGAACCACGAACGCATCGTGAAGTCGACTTTGATATAGTATCTCACAACACCCTCGACCTAGCCTTGAAAGAGGCAGAGGTCATCAAGGTTTTAGATGAGATCATTGAGGAATTCCCACCTTTGCGGTCTACTCCGATGTGCTTCCTTGTCAACCATTCCGATTTGCTCCAGCTCATCATGGAATTCTGTCGCATCACGGCTACTCAAATTCCAAAGGCGAAGGAGGTTATCAGTAAGCTGAACGTTGGGAAATACACAATGCAGAAGATTCGAAGTGAGCTCCGGGCTCCTGCAATTGGTGTTGCTTCAACCTCATTGGATGACCTTGCTCGGTTTGACTTCAGAGGTATTTTAGCTGCTCCCCGGGCTATAATCAACGCGCTAATGAATATGATATAGATTCTCTGAAAGAGACCCAGCGCAAGTTACAAAACATCATGGAAGGAACCGAATACGCAGAGCGGCTTTCACCGATCTTCGCTCGCTTGAACGTGCTTATGACTTACCTGCAGACTTTCGGCGTGAAACGGAAGGTCTATATCAACCCACTCAGCAGTGTGCATGACAAGTTCTACCGCGGTAGCATTCTGTTCCAGTGTATCTTTGACAGCAAAAGACGCGATGTGTTTGCTGCAGGTGGTAGATACGACCGCTTGATCCAAGAGTTCTCACCCAACGTTTTGTCAAATCGACCCCAAGCCCATGCTGTTGGCTTCAACCTCGGCTCCGATCGACTTCGCTCCTCCATGATTGACTACCTGAAAGCCAAGGCCCCATCAAAAGATTCCGAGACCAATGCCGACTTGTACTGGGCTGCTCGTCGAGTAAGTTATCTCCTACCCCCGGCCAGTCTGATGCATGTTTGCTAACATCTACACCAAGTGTGACGTCCTAGTTGCAAGCTTTGACCCAACCGTCCTTCGCACGACAGGAGTCAAACTGATCGAAGAGCTCTGGTCAAACGACATAAGCGCAGAGCTCGCAGTCGATGCCTCATCCCTGGAAGAGCTCTTGACAAAATACAAAGACTCCAACCATCGTTGGATCGTGATCGCCAAGCAAGACAGCAAAGAGCGAGGCTTCAAAGTCCGGAATCTGATGCGCAAGGAAGAGTTCGATATCCGCCTTGCCGAGCTTGCACCATGGCTCCGATCCGAGGTGCAAGCACGTCACCATCGCGAGGGAACCGCCGACCCCCGACAATCCCGCCAATTGGGCCAACAGGAGGCTCTGGCGTTCCAAGAACGGGCGAACGATGTGCGCATTCTCGTTCCGCAGCATCGAAGCAAGAAGACGAACCGAAGGAATATTGTCGAATCAGCTCTCCTGTCCGCTCGGGAAGTCGCTGATAACGCCCGTAATGGTCCCGTTGCCGCCATTGATACTCGCGACGAAGTCCTCGAAGCCATTCGCAACACGCGTCTCTCTGATGCAGAGAGCTGGCGCGGCGTTATCCAGAATGCACCGTTGACGGAGCGGAAGTATCTTAGTCAAGTGCACGAGCTGCTTACTGACTTGGCCGGAGAGATTCGCGCGAGCGATAACACGGAAGGCTATACGAACGCTTTCATTTACAATTACCGTACAGGCTCCTGCGTGTACTACGACCTGGGACCCTAGGGGGAAAACGAATTTACGAGAATAGTGTCAGAGTGGCGTTCAGTAAGCATTTGTGGGGAAGGTAATGGGAAAAGCATGTGGTTTGCATTTGTTCTATCGGTGGAGGTATCCATGTTGTTTTGTTTTATACTCTCCTCTCTCTCAATATGTTGATTTAGCGAGTGCTTGGGACGATACCCTAGTGATGAATGACGTCCAGAAAGAAGATTACGAATACTTTGGAAGAAAGATGCATAGTGAGAAAATAAACATTTTGTCAGAGGTATCGCTGTTGTTGTACATGAAAAGTATCAAAATCATCGAGAATAACCACGGCCGCGCCAAATGACCATAGATCAGTCACTCTCATCGTCGCTACCGTAGGCAACTAATGGACCACCAGTGGCCTTGGGTGCCTGCGTCTTCACCGTCCCATTAAGACTCCGTAGAGCCGCTACAGCAGAACCGGAGAAAATGCCATTCCTCTGCGGCTGCTGCTCTTGTACCGGAGCCGGAGCAGACTCAATCATCTTCGGTTGTGCAGGCGCCTCCAGCTGAGCAGCTTGGCTTGAATCCTCCAACTGACGTGTCCTGGCGTGCCACACGTCATCCGGAACATCATAACCTTGAAGCCCAAAGCTTCCCTCAATCTTCTTTCGCTTTTTCGCCTCCGGGTCCCGGCCCTCAATCTCTGCTACAAAGGCCGCGGGAAGAGCCCGGCGCACGGCCTCGGCAGCCTGCTCTTCTATCCGTCGTGCTTCGCGTTTCTGTGCCATGGGGTTCGGGTCAACGGTCGCCCAGCGTACGTTGAGAATTTCCTGCTCCTCGTTAGTATGATATATCTCGTGTATCGCGTCTCGCGAGTGGAACTGTCAAGACTTACTTCATGGTCCAAGGCTTGATTGCTCATAGCGACTAAAGCAAATTGCGCATTGCTCTCGTTTGAATAGGTCACGAAAGCGACACCTCGGCCGGTCAGTACGCGAATTCTCTCAATCTGGCCCCATTCTGCGAAATGCCTTGAAACCACTTCTTCGATGTCATCCCTAGATATTTAGTTAGAGAGAAGAACGAAGAATGCTTCGCGCTGGAGACACTCACGAGACTGTGATTCTGCCAACGTAGATAGTCACGTTTTGGCGCATGAACGACCCAACTCCTGACATGTCCTATTTTGAATAGTATTAGCATTCAGAATATTCCGAGTACCATTTCGATGTTGAATAGACATGTAACGTACTTCCTTGTAATCGTTGTGCTTGTCTCTGCCTATAGTCCCAAGTCAGTCGTCCGTTTCCATCACTCGAATCGCAGATATCCACAGTATCACTAACCAAAGCAATCAATGTTCGGATTGAATCTATGGATTTGGTTAGCATTTCTATTCTGATCCCGATGACTCCAGCAGCGCAAGCGCCCTCAAAACCGCGTCGAGTAGGAATAACTTACATATCATGAATCGTCGGAAGACGATGTAGGTATTCACAATCCTGACCTTTCACGCAAACGCCTCGGGCAAAATGTATGCTGAATCAAAATCAACGATTAGCCGATGCCAACCACAATGCGCAGGCGCGCAAGACCATCGGGTTGTATGTATCCTTACCAAAAGTAAGAACCAGGAACACGATCCGCACGAGTATATCCGGAGTCGCGCGCGATATTGCAGCGACCCGGCGCCGGATGGCTCAATCCATATTTGTCCTCGTTATCGCCGCTTTTGTTGTACCAGATATTATAGTCCATTCCGGGTTGCTGCGCGGGCTCAGGCTTGATGATGGACGGGTCAATCTGGATCCTAGCTGGTCGTTTCTTCCTGCGAATGATCTTGGTCTTCTTGGTCGTCTGGAGCTGCTGATCTCCTTGCGGAGTGTCGTCCGCGGCGCCGTTTGTTGCCACGGTCATCTCTTCGGGATTCGGGTTGGGATTTTGGGGCGCATCGGGGGATACGGGAGCCTGTGGCTCGGTAGTTGATGGGTCTGCCATGACTCTTATTTATCGGTGGGTATTTGGGGATGTTCGAGCTTCGAGCTCCAAAAAATGGTCGGGTTGACCTCCACGAGCACGTGATGATATAAGGCTTGGCGGTAGCCCACTCTGGGCAGGCGGGATTTCGTTTTTGATTGACAAAGTCTCAGAGAAAAACATTAGTGAATTCACAGTCGACACGAAGAGACCGACAAGATGGTGAACATTACGGAGAAGATCAAGGAGTATGTTTCGCAGGTCGCTGCCAGCTTGAAAGGGACAATATGCTTATATCGCATTCCACAGGATCGAGGATGAGATGCGTCGGACGCAGAGTAAGTGTCTTACCCTATCTAATTATTGATCACCCCGCTAATGCCCCGCAGAGAATAAGGCTACAGGTATGGATATCTGATTCTGGAATAAGAGTTTGATCCTAATATTCAAAATCTCGATATCAGAATATCATCTGGGTCTATTGAAAGGGTAAAAGTCTCAACCCATGGCCTCTACTTCGAATACCGACTAACAACCTTCCCAGAAAACTCGCCCGACTAAGAGCCCAACTTCTGGAGCCAGTGGGTGGTGCCGGCTCTGGCGGTGGCGTGGGATTCGATGTTAGCAAGAGCGGCGATGCTCGTGTGGCTCTTGTTGGCTTTCCCTCCGTCGGAAAATCGACTTTCTTGTCTAAGATCACCAAGACCAAGAGTGAGGCCGCAGCTTACTCTTTCACCACGTTGACGGCCATCCCCGGTGTGCTGGAGTATGGTGGTGCTGAGATCCAAATCTTGGATTTGCCCGGTATTATCGAAGGCGCCTCCGAGGGCAAAGGACGTGGTCGTCAAGTTATCTCGGCCGCAAAGGTGAGCAGGCAATTTCGTGTTAGATCTGACGACCCAAATACTGACATGTACTTCCAGACAAGTGATTTGATCTTGATGATTCTGGATGCCACAAAGCGTGCCGAACAACGTGCCTTGCTCGAGGCCGAACTGGATGCTGTTGGCATCAGGCTGAACAAGGAGCCACCGTATGTCGCGTTCTCTCTGACGCATTACAGCGCCCAATACTGATCAAGTTTAGTAATATCTACCTGAAGATCAAGAAGGCCGGTGGCATGAAGATCTCCTTCGCAACACCTCCAAAGAACTTAGATGAGAAGATGGTCTACAACGTGCTTCGGGATTACAAGATTCTGAACTGCGAAGTGCTAGTGCGGGATGAGAATGGTATGTGGATTCCGACACAGGCGAAATGCCAGTATACTAATCGTGACTGCGTCTAGCTACTATTGACGACTTTATTGATGTGATCATGAAAGATCACCGAAAGTACATCCGCTGGTAAGATTGATAACGACAGGAAGTGACAGTCAAGTCGAAGAAGGCTAATCCTTCTCCTTTATAGCCTTTACGTTTACAATAAGGTCGACAGCATCGGCCTCGAATTCCTCGACGCACTCGCTCGCGAGCCCTACACAGCTGTCATGAGTTGCGAACTCGATCTCGGCGTGCAAGATGTGGTCGAACGCATATGGAAGGAATTGAGACTGATGCGTCTGTACACGAAACGGTATGTTCAGTTTATGTTCAAAAGGTTTTCATTGACGTGTCTGACTGATTTCGTACCTATAGAAAGGGAGAGGAACCTAAGTTCGATGAGGCACTCATCGTACGCAAGGATTCCACCATTGAGGATGTTTGCGATCAGATTCATCGCACAATCAAGGAGACGTTCAAGTACGCGCTGGTTTGGGGGGCGAGCGCAAGACATGTTCCACAGCGTGTGGGACTGTCACACCTGGTTGCTGATGAGGATGTGGTATCCATAGTGGCCAAGTGAAATTAGTTCGAGAGCTATGATGAAAATGTTGATACGACTACAACTTTACAAGGCGAGGCACAAAAGTATGGTTTAATACTATTGATTTGATATACCAATGACCTATGAACAAATGCAAACATAAATTTGACCCATAACAACCGATAAAATCCTCCAAAACGCTAACTCCACCCTGAATACGTTGACATGATTTAAGCCGCGGCAATCTCGGCGGCGGCAGCAGCAGCGGCCAACACGTTCTGCTGGCCAACGGTGGGCTGCACACCCACACGCTCCTTGCCGAGCAGGTCGACCAGCAGAGGGCTGGGGAGACTGTCACGCTGGGGGAAGAGGCCAATCTGGTTGTTCTTGTACTTCAGCACAGAGTCAAGGTAGATATCGAAGAGGTAAGAGGAGTCGAGAGGACCGCCCTTAGCCTCGGGGTGGAACTGGGTGCTGAAAATGGGACGAGACTTGTGGATCATGCCTTCGTTGCTCTGGTCGTTCAGATTGACGAAGTATGGCTTCCAGTCCGAGGGCAGAGTGGAAGCATCAACGGCATAACCGTGGTTCTGGCTGGTGATGTGGCAGCGACCAGTGCTGAGATCAAGAGCGGGAATGTTGTGAGCCCTGTTTCCGTACTTCAGCTTGATGGTGCTGGCACCTGCAGCCAAAGCCAGGAGCTGGTGGCCCAGACAGATACCGAAGATGGGAACCTGGGAGGTCTCCATCAGACGCTTCAGGTGGTAGACAGTGTCTTGGCAGTGAGTTGGGTCACCAGGACCGTTGGAAATGAAGACACCGTCGAAGTGGTGAGCGACCTTGTGAATGGGGTAGTCGAAGGGAAGGACAGTGACACTGGAGCCACGGTTGACCAAGCTGCGCAGAATGTTCTCCTTGACACCGCAATCAATGACAGCAACGTGGGAGTGAGGGTTAGCAGCAGCGATGTGGAAAGGCTGCTTGGTGCTGACCTGGCGCACAAGGTGGATCTGCTCAGGGTCGGTGAAAGCCTCGTCCTCGTTGGCATCGTACTCTTCGCCCACGGTGATACGGGCCAGAGAAGAACCCTGCTCACGCAGGTAAGTGACAATAGCACGAGTGTCAACACCGGAGATGGCAGGGACACCCTCACGAGCACACCACTCGCCAAGACTCTCGACGGCAGTCCAGTGACTGTATTGCTCGGCGACATCGGCAACAACAACACCAGCGGCCTGGAGGTTGGGCGACTCGAAGTACTTCAAAAGTCCGTTGGGGTCCTTCTCAGCTGACGGAACACCGTAGTTGCCAATCAGAGGCTGGGTGAAAACCAAAATTTGGCCACGGTAGGAAGGATCGGTCAGGGACTCGGGGTATCCGACCAAAGAGGTGGTGAAGACAGCCTCGCCGGAGATGTTGGAGCGAGCACCAAAGGACTTGCCAGAGAACATCGGACCATCACGGATAGTGAAGGTGGCAGGCTCCATAGCAGCACGCTGGCGCACAGTCGCCATGAAGCGGGCCTGGGCAGGTCGCTGCATGGAGGCAAAGGCTGAAGCCCGGGCAGGCATCGCCTTGAAGATGTTGGAGATCATATTTTTCGTATAAGTAACAATTGTAATGTATCGAAGAGCGTTGTGCTATTCAGTTGATGTTGGCTTTCCAAAGGTGGTCCGAGATATAGTCCTGGGAGGTGAAGATCGAGGGTGCCAAACACATAAGCGCGACTGAGCAGGTGGCAGTCAGGGTTATGATAAAGATAGGGGGGAAAGGTCGCTATTTAGCGAAACATGGAGAAGTTGTAATGTTGTTATGTTGTGATGTTGAGGAAAAGAAACGGGGAAAGAACGGGAAAGAAAGAGGTTTTTCACCGACAACCTGGTGGGCACGTGTTCTCACCGACTTTAGCGTGATTGACCAATAGGAGCGCTTCAATTTCTTCAATCGGGCCCCCGGTTTAGGGGACCTGACTCATCCAATAGTGCCGGAACCCGGCCGACCTCGGGAGGTGGCGATGATATCACTTATCAAGTTACAACTTATCAGGCGCAGAGATTGGATGGAGTTGTTATCATATTCAGTGGAGTCATTTGGATTACATATTGTTATTTTTTCTTCCAGCAGGTTGACCGAAGGAAGATTTTAGGTGATGTGAAATACCAAACCATGCCCGGTTGATGGGGCTGGACTCTTGACTTGAACACCGCAGTTTATTGCCGTCTGTGGCACATTGCAGTAGCTCTGCACATGGGTCCTGCGATGCACATTTCCACTAGGAGGTACTCAATTGGCCATACTTCGCGTAAGAAAAACTCGTCAGTTCACGTTATTCGCAGACTCGGTACATTCGCTTGTCGTACAGACCGGGATCTTCTCGCTCCAGGGTAGCAACGTAGTGCTCGTGGGAAGCAACGTTGGTGGCCGAGGCAACACCCACGGCACATTATTGAGATAGAGGTAACACCATAGAAATACGGGTATATGAACCAGGATGAGCCAGCAGCGTGCTCCATGTGTATACCCAAAGAAAAGTACAATGATTCTATCTCAGTATACATCGTATGCCCTGGTGGCAATCCTCCTCCCTCCGGCGACTTTGGGTCGCTCTGTTTTTTCATTCTTTGGAGACAATACCCAAAAGGCTCTTATGAGGTTAGACTGTGATGATGGCACTGGCATTGCAGACCCAGATGGCAAGTGCAATGGCACTGGAGTTGTGGATGACCCGATAGGCCGTGACCACCACCGAGAAGGGTTCAAGTTCGAAAACCCATCCAAAGACTGCAAATATGTGACCCAAATGTACATTTGGGATTCATTCAAACATCTCGAGAAAGACATGAGCAAGCTGTTCACGCTGATTCATAAGGATGTCAGTTTCACTGTCGTCGGTAATCACCCGATCGCTGGCCACTACAATGACCTCATGCATTTCTATGTCAACGCACTGCGTCGCGTTAGCATGCTGTTCATTGACCATGCCAACTTGTTCGAGGTCCACCCCCAGGGGATCTTTGGTGGATGCAATGCTGAATGGTCGGTGCAGGAAGTTCAATTCAAAGGCGTGATGAATTCCGGTGAGTTGAAGATGCAGACGTCTTTCTGTCTTGATCCCACCATCACTGACCTACCACAGGTGACCCATTTGATATTATAAATGTCTGGTTCACGCGCTGGGATCATGATCAAATGGTCGAGATTCGCACATACGTTGACGCACCAAAGATCATGGAAGCATTGCACAAGAATGAGATATGGTGGAACGGCACGACGCATAGAAACAACGTGCAGTATATGCCAGGGCCATCGGGAATGCCGGATCTGGAGGAACTTGAAGGGTTAATGGGATATCCAAATGGAAGCAAATACAAGGACTAAATCGAATTGTTAGCAATGACAATGAGAGAACAGGATAGGAAGATAGGCAACGAGTCCTAGTTAGTTAATTGAAGGGGAAAATGTTAAATTTGCTTGGCACCAATAGTCACCCATCACTCTCCCCGCAATGTTCCCCGAAATTCCCCAAAGATGTCCGAGTCAACGCCTCGCAAGCGCTCGCGGTTAGCCTGCACTTTATGCCAGTCCCGGAAGCGCAAATGTTCGGGTGGCCAACCCTGTAGCACTTGCGCCCAAACAGGGGCGGAATGTCACTACAGCGCGCGCAGGAAACGCCCCAGGTCCCATAGTCTGTACCGAGCGAGCCTGTCGCTCGATGAACGATCTACAGATGGCTGGTCTAACACAGTTCCAAATCCTGGTCATGCCACAGGCAGCGCCGTGATACAAGCTTCACCCCACCATGTCGGCGGTCCAGAAGAGGCTACGCAACCCCTGCAAGCCAATTCTGGCGCCGCATTTGTTCGCAAACTCGGGTTGAGGATTGACCCAGCGCATGCACCGCGATTGCAATTATTTGCATGGAATGTTGGTGAAAGGCGCTTGTCATCAGCAATCCCGCCAGTTCCTATCATGGCGCCGATCACTATCACCAAAATTATCTCGCAGGAAGAGATGCGGCGGTTGGCAGCGATTTACTTCGAGAAGGTCGATCCATGTTATGCATTTCTGGACCGTAAGCTGGTCTTCGCTCGGATAGTGAGTCGCTGGGAAAATTCGTCATCTCCCGACTCTGCAGAAAACTCCTATGATGCCGTGTTATGCGGTATCGCTGCCTTTGGGTATCTGTTTTCGAGGCGCGAGATCATAGCGTCGGAACTGCAGTTAGTTGAAACTGCGCGAACTCTCTTGGATAAGAGTGTGCTCGCAGCGGAAATACCATCGGTCGACATGGTGACGGGCTGGGTGTTGCGAGCTGCGTATTTACGCATGACAGCATCACCGCATGCTGCATGGATGGCCAGCTGCACGCTGATGCATCTAATCGAAGCCGCAGGATTGCACCTTGAAATATCCGACCCAGAATCAGCAACCCTACTCACAGCTTCACCATCCGACACACGCGATAGCCAAGCTGGGACCGATACGGGGTCCCAGACCACCAGCGACCTCGAAATCCGACGACGACTCTTCGGAATGGCGCGCCACCTCAACACGTGGATATCTTTTGATCTTGGTCGCTCCCGTGTAATACTGCACGGCGCTACGGCCCTCTCATCTTCAAACATGCCCTCATCCCGCAATCCACCCTACCAAGCACCATCTCGAGCCGCAGGCGGCGATCTCTTCCACCTCCTCCCACTCTCTGAGAGCCTTGACCCTACTGGTCCTTCACCACAGGACCTCCCCGAACTTGAAATAGCCCTCACCTCCGTCCTAGATTTACATTACTCCGAACCTTCCCTCATCCTTGTCCAATGCAACCTAATGCTGTGCATTTACCGTCGACTCCGGGCTCTAAACCAGCAGGGCCCACTATCCTCCAATCTTCTTGACCGCGTTCTGACACTAGCTAGCCGCGGGCTTCGTGCCGCAAGAGGGATGGTCGCTTCCACTTGTCCCTGGCATCAAGTCGCGAACGTCCCTTTCCAGGTCGTCTGCTCGCTTCTGGCAATTGACAACCAGGCTGCACTGGCGTTGCTCGCACAAGCCATGCGGACACTGCGTGAAGTCTACACTGCATATGATACACCCTCTATGCGTGAGGCGTATTCAACGGCATACTTGCTGATTGCATTGCATCAGCGGCGGAAGGAGGATGATACACGAACTCTTGCCGGGGTGTTGCGGGTGAATGCTGCTGCCGCGGCGCCGGCGCCTACTCCAGATTTGGAGAAAAGTGAGAATGAACGGGCTGCATCGGTCGACCAGGCTGGAGATCAGAGTCAGGTGCACGCTGGGACTGAGCCGCAGGTTTCAGATGCAGAGTTCTCGTGGTTAGGAGATTTGATGATCGATATGCCTAGCCTGCAGAACTTTGATCTGGAGACGTTTCTTATGACTGATGTCCCATGGCCTTTGCCTGAGATGGGAATCTAAGTTGGACCGACTTGATCCATTCAACATCATGTGCATCTCTACCATGGTACTGGGACCACCAGGTTCCCTTTGGCAGGAGCGACACGCGTGATCGTCCCTTCCTGTTTCAATTGTGTTTCAGTATAAACCCCCCCTCCTCATTCTCTCGCATCTTGATCGCCTTTATTATATGCATCGCACTGGGGTCAGACATATGTCGATAATCTCATTAGGTCGTAAACACCTGTTTCCCTTTGCTCCTTGCCGAGACGATTGTTCAAGTATCTGTCTTGAGACCCAGGTCGGTCTAATTCACTCGATAGCCAATTACTCCCGTATCGTCAGCTACGTTTACTACAAGTATATGTACATTGTGGAATGAACACGTCCCTTATCCCGCATCATAAATTCGTAAGTGCGCGGGCAGGTGAGGCCTCGGTGCTCCGGTGGCGGTGGAGTGGGCCTCATCGACTGACACCTCTGGTGGGGCAGCATCTCATCATGGATTGCGGGTGCTGCTTCGAGCCCGTTGATCCCGTTACTAAATATATCCGTACGCAGTATGTAGGAATGCCAGATAGTGTACAAACAACATAATTAAGATTAAAAGCAGTGGTACCTCAAAGCTTGGTGTCTGAATTCCGGGCTGTCCAGACCTGTTGATCGACTTTGATGCGTTGCGTCGATGCTTCTCGAAGCTTCGACCATCCGACGTCACGTCACAGCATTGGAGAACTCGAGACTTGATGGTGTTTCAAGTTCTCTATCAAAGGTCATTTGAGCTTTCTTTCTGTTTCACCATCCTTTCCCAGTTTTCCTAATCATATACTGTTCCATATCTCTTTACCCAGGCACTCGATTGCTTCGGCACATTCCGCTCAATCAGCCTTTCTGCTGCGGCGAACCTTCTACGTCATTCGCGAACTTCACCGCACCCTCCCTCTTACCCTCTTCCCCAGGATTCCTTTTCCTGTCAGAAACCACCCGTCGGCTCTTAAGCGAAGGCCTTCAATCTCGGGTCTCAGTTTTCTTACACAATAATCGCTTTCCTATCTTTCTTCAACCTCACTTCTACCCCGCATTATGGTTGCTGAGAGCAAGCTTTACGACGCTTTGAGCGTCAAACCTGATGCCACACAAGATGAAATCAAAAAAGCCTACCGCAAGGCGGCATTGAAGCATCATCCCGACAAGAACAAGGATAACCCTCAGGCTGCCGAGAAATTCAAAGGTGAGTTACCCCGCACAGTCTTGGTCCGGCCCGACAACTGGCGTAACTAACATGTCTATCACAACAGAGGTATCACAAGCCTACGAAGTTCTATCTGATCCCGAAAAACGCAAAGTCTATGATCAATATGGTCTTGAATATTTGTTGCGTGGCGGTCCTGCACCACCCCCACCAGGGTCGGGCGGAGGCGGCGCAGGAGGATTTGAGGGCGGCATGCCCGGAGGTTTCAACTTCGGCGGCATGCCCGGTGGCATGCCTAGCGGCGGCACTCGGACGTTCCACTTCCAGACTGGTGGCGGCGGTCCCGGTGGGTTCAGATTCAGCAGTGCGGACGACATTTTCCGTAATTTTGCCAAAGGCGGCGGCGGTATGGGCGGCATGGGCGTGGACGAAGATATTTTCTCTTCGATATTCAACAGCGAGGGCGGTGGCCCCCGCGGCAGTCGTCCAACATACGCGAAGCCCAAGCGCACGCCCACTCCCGAGCCTACTATCGTCGAAAAAGACCTACCGCTGACCTTGGAGGAAATCTTCACCGGTACCTCTAAGAAGGTCAAGACGAAGAGCAAGGCCTTTGATAGCAAGGGCAAACGCACCACTAATGAGGTGACTCTAGAAGCCAATATCAAGCCAGGGCTGCGTGCTGGCTCTAAGATCAAGTATAGGAATATTGGAGACCAAGAAGAAGGCGGGCGGCAGGATGTTCACTTGATCGTTAAAGAGGTAAGTGATTGCTTGGTTTACCCGACAATGATACTGGCGAGCGAATACTAACATGTTCTTACAGATCGATCATCCTACCTTCAAGCGTGTTGGGGATAATCTCGTCACGACCGTTGATCTTACCTTGAAGGAAGCGCTCACTGGTTGGGAGCGTATTGTCCGCACCATAGATGGAAAGTCTATTCGCGTGTCTAAGCCCGGCCCGACTCAGCCTGGCCACGAAGAGCGCTATCCTGGTCTAGGAATGGTTATCTCCAAGAACCCCAGTGAACGCGGCGACCTAGTCATTCGGGTCAACGTCAAGTTCCCTTCCAGTCTGACCTCATCTCAAAAAGACATTCTTCGAGATGTGCTGCCTTGAACCGATTGGTATAATTGCATTTAACTGGCGTCGGGGTTAGCGGGTTTTACTGGGCGGAGTATCTAATAGCTATGACCTGAACGATTCTTTATTCTTTAATAATTTTTGGAGAAGCTCTGCTTGTTAAATCGTGGGTAGAGCCAACTTCATACACAGTAGTACTGATGAGGCCGACATTCACCAATGCTAGGTGGGTCAGGCCTTTCCCACCAATGAGAGCCCTCCCAATCCTCATCGCGTACTGTGTATTTTCGTCAACAACAACTGATTAATGTACACAGTATTATTTTTGAATTCTACTTCCTCCGTCCAGGTCCCCTGACGGCCTGACTCCCTGAAACAAAATGGTGCGCTTCCTGGAGTTCCACGCAGTACGTGCGTGCTTCGCTTCTTGGGATGAGAGTTCCTGTTCAACATAGAATGCACAGGCTGTTGGGTCCTCAGACGTCCCCCAATTCCAAAAGTGATTGAAAGATGATTCAGCATCCTCGAAGAGGCGGGCGGTTTACCTCAGTGTCTCAGACCATAATCATCATCACATGATCCAAAAATTCTGCCAGACTTTTGGCGCGCTAAACCTAATCGGATTGCTTGCGGCATTATATGGTGGATAGCCATGTCCACCGCCTTTTGAAAGGGGGACGGCTGAGATACTGAGGTAACGGGCGGTGGAACACAGATGCCACCGCCTTTTTTGGGGGGGGGCGGCTGAGGGAACTGAGGTACTAATAACTAACTAACCCAATTGAGCGAATGCGGAGAAACCGTTGACACCTTGGAGAAATCACTGCGTCACTTCTGTTTACTTTCTGTTCACTCAATTCACCATAATTTAACTACCCAAATCATGAAGCGAAGAATCACCTTTGTTCAGCGCGTCGATGCCGCCTTTGACCCACAGCAAGCCGTGTTGACCGCATCGTCTCTCTCAGTCCATGACCTGGACGCCGCGCGGCAGGATCGCATCACGGTCGGGTTGAACGAGCTCCCAGAGGAGGTAAGACAGTCACGCACTGCGTAACTTCCCGAAGGATGAGCAATGCTAAATCGAATGTGTTGACTCGTTAGTTGCGCGCCGTCTTCGAGCAATCCCATGAGCTCCACTTCCGCTGGGCCTCCGAGCGACCGTATGATGCTGTCGCGCCGTTCACAAGCCGGGTTTCGCCTGGGCTACATGTGCTTTACACTCCGCTGGACTCGGACTCGTCATCGTGAGCTTATATCACCATCGTGAACTCATAGGTATCCGATTGACTGATTTGATCATCAATAGGGAAGCACTATGCACGCTGCTCCGCACGATAGTTGCACCCAGTAAAGATGCTCAATACAAGGACTGTCTAAAGCCGGAGGTATTGACGAACCATTCCTCTTTCGCAATCTATCCTCGACTGGTTTCTAGCCCGCTGTGCCTGGATTGACTCGCGATCCGTTATAGGACTCGTTCATCACACCCCCGCTTCTTTCGACGCGATTCGCTTCCTCGGCCTCCTTACAATATCACACCCACCTTCCGGACATCCAATCGCTGGTAAAATATATCGAAAACGCCATTTGCACAAACGTTGGAGCGGATAGCAATGAATGCCGCACCTGGGCCTCCGCCCTTCTCTCTGCAGACTCGGTCGATATCGACTATGACAGCATCTCACACGCCTTGACAGTGTCCGGGCTCTGGATTGACACGCCACCAGGCGGTTGGACGGATCAATTCAATAAGCCAGCGTCGCCCACTGACCAAATCGAGTTCGGTCTCCTAGGCGCCGAAGCAGGCCTTGAGCCAGAGGAGATCAAGATGGGCGGGCTGTTAGCGGTTATCGGACAAGATGAGAAACTAAGTATGCAGCCTCGGCCTCCTACAAGAGTTGCTCGCATTCAATGCGTTCCAAACAGCTTGACTAACGTCCATACAGAACCTACCATGTTCTCATTCCCCTCCCGCCACCAACCACTCACCGAACCAGCGACATATACCGCTTCCTTCGCTCCCCCAACTGGCCTCCACCCAACAATGTCCATATCCATGCCCCGATCATCCCTCAAGCGACCCCCAGCACCTAGTACCGCCACCTGTGCCCTCCACACGTACCTCACTCTCCCCTCCGCCATCTTCGGAGACCAGTACCAGCTCGCAACCACAGACCCCCTCTTCCTAGACTCACACAACCTCGTAGCCCTCCGCGCCCTTGCCGGCGAAATGGACCTAGAAGCTCCAGACTGGGTCGTGCCGCGCTGGGGCTCAAACTGGCTGCTGGAGCTAGCAACTCCCCCCAAATCCACCGACACGGACAGCACAGCAGGCTCCTCAAATTGGACCGTTACCATCCCTCTACACCTGCGGTACCTCCCACCCTCCGAAACAGGATACCGCACCGCGCACGTTCCCTGGCCGATAGTCTTCTGGGCATGTACTGCCGAAGATGGCACCAAGATGGGCGTCAACCCCTTTGACCGCACGAATCTCGGCTGGGACGGCCTGTTCGGTCCGCGGACCATGTTCTACCAGCTCCAGCCGGCAGGGGAGCGTCTTGTTGATGATATTGATGTGCCGGTTCTGAGAATTGAAGGCGGGGATAGTTACTTCCAGGGTAAATCCATTGAGCTTGGCACTTGTGTGGTTATCTCTCTTGGGTTCTTCTGGGTGCTTTGGAGACTTGCCCGTGTTGCTTGGTCGTCTGGGCTTGGGTCGAATGATGGGAAGAACCGGGCTGAAGCTGTGCATGATAAGAAGGAATGATTGGTTGGTTTTACTAGTGGCATATCACTTGTTGCAATCAGTAAGCAGCTCACTGAGCAAGCAAACTGATCGCTCGCCCCAATGCTCAGGCAGATCAGCCTATTTGATCTCCGGTTTTCTATCCAATCCCTAAGTTGCTCCGACTAGAACCGCACAGCTTGCTGCCTACTTCCGGCGTTCCTGGGATCGAAGGCCAGGATATGACAGATTCTCATATTGCTATGTTAGTAACTGTAGGCATACAGAAGTATCCCCGAGGACCACCTGACGCTAATGTGACGTATCCGGCCCTTGCGATCTTTAGCGCAATAGGCGTCTACGTCCAGTGGCATTTAATTGTTAAGGCCCCCAGGTTGCCCCAGGTGGTCGGGCGCCACAACGGCTCGGCCCGTACCCGCACGACGCGAACCTTCATGCATCTCGGCTGTACTCCGTAGTCTGGACTCTGGAAGGTATTGAGCTTACCTGTATCCCCATAAAGTTGATGCATAACTGCATCTTTGGCTCATAGCATATGAGGGGAGGGGCACCGTGGATACATCATACCTAGAAACATCCGCACTCACTTATGATATTTCTGCGTATACTAATAGCAGGGCATCGACGTAGGATGAGAGGAGAGTAAAGCGCCAATGATTAAGTATATATTGCCTGGCGTTTAGGTAGGGTATATCGGGGACTATCATTGACAATAGCCTTCCATATACATGACCTCCAACGAGGCCTACTTCGAGTCTCCTTCCACAACGATATAGTCACGGATAACTGCAGTTCCATTGACTACACTCGCAATCTGATCCTCAGTGCACGTCGACTCCAACGCAAGGATATAACAGACCGGATCTGGACTATCCGGAACCTTGTTCCTAATATGCCAAGTCGATGCCGGCCCATCCGTAGTATATGAGCGATTACGCGCGGTATCGATTTTACCTGTAGCCAGGTCACGATTGAAGAGCGCACGGTAGAAGATCTCATACGCGGTCTGTGGCTGGTAAGCCGGGACCTCATGGCCAGCATCGTAGACACGGGTGAAAGAGAAGTTGCCATGCTGCCGGACCTGACCGCCGATATACGACGAATTTGTGCGGAGAGGCGTGTACCCGGCGGAGCGGAAAGCAGCAGCTTCAGCATGGTTGACCAATAAGCTCGCATCTTCGCCTCCGATCCAGTTGCAGGCGTAGTCGCGGTCGCCGTAGACGAGGGCCACCTTGACACCGGAATCGAGGACGTACGCCAGGTCCTCGAGGTATCCGTGCACGTCAGAGCGGGGATAGTCTCCGACGGAGCTGAAGGCTTTGTAGGCTCCGTCACTTGACGAGGTGAAATTGATTGGAACGCCCAGTGCGCCTTGTATCCAGTGCTGATTCAGCCAGCCGAGGAAGTAGGACGGTGGGAAGGGGTCTGGGTTTTTGTGGGTAATGTCGTAATATCCGCGGCCGGAGTATTCCACATATGCGCCTTCGACGTTGTTTGAACAGACCCTGTCGGCGTTGTGGCATGCCTTGTTGACGGTTGCGTTGTTGCCATACATCTGTGGGTCGCCCTCCGAGGCCAGGGCACGACAGTGCATGATTAGTTCCTTGCACCCACCAGGCCGATTCCATGCTTCCATGGCGTTATCATAAACTGTTTTGTTGATTGTTTGGATGTCGTATGTATTGTTGTAGGCCATCACTGGATACGTGGGTTCCTGCACCAGGAGGTCGATGCAGCCGTTGATGATGCCCAGAGTATCGAGATGAATGTAGTGTGACTCCCCAGGGGTATCGATGCTACCATTTTTGATCTTTTCATTTTGTTCCTGGAAGAATGCAGTGAAAGCTGGGCCGTAGCGGCCACCATATGACTCCGTCCAGATGCTAACCCGCTCATCATGGGGCTTGTAATGTGGGAATTCAGTAAACCAGGTCTGAGCAAAATGCCACAGGGACCGCGCGGAATTTTGCGTGCTATTGGCCACCATTGACTGGTTTTGGCTGGCTGTCGTGCCGACATAGAAGGTGTTGTTCTGCTCGGGCACTCCCGTCCACTCCGACAGGTTCCAGGCACCATGGACTTGGTCAAAGGTACCGTTGGTCAGGACATCATAGCTAAAACCGACTTGGTTGGGTTGATCAATGTATAGCATATTCACATAATTGTTCCAGGACCAAGGATTGAGCTCCGTGGAATTGGAATCCTCATTGACCAGACAGGGCCCATTTTCCTGCATGAGGCCGATCATGGAGGAACTGCCTGGGCCACCATTCATCCAAATGGACAGGGGTGCATTCTCTGGCTTATGGCGAGACTCGAAGAACCAGAAGAAAGTGTTGATCGGGTAGTCTTGCTTGACATTCACGTCATCTAAAGAGCCAGGGGGCAAGTGGACGTAGCCTGAATAAGATCTCACCCCTGGCGTTGTCTCACAGATCTCAGGCTGTGAATTTGATCAGGATGGGCTGATTATCCAGCGAATAATTCAGGATGACAATCGCACCTCTTTGTATGAAATCTTTACTCCTTCATGATGTTTCGACTCTATCACCTTCAGCCCCTTGGGGATAGGTGGAAAGTACTGTGCCGTAGCAGTTGCTGCCAAAATTATCCAAAGTGTGATCATGGTGTTTGAAGTGGAAGAAGAGACGGAGAGTCGAGGAAGGCGGGGAGAGTGCCAAGACTCGAGTCAAATGGGCTCTTCATGAGAAAGCAGAAAGCCATACTATTCCAAGACATGTAACAACAGTAACGGGACCGATGATAACCAACACAAATACACAATTTCGTCAAATCTCTCAAGACAATGAACAAACAAGTCACAACTCATCAAATCAGTCAAACACCAAGTCAACCCGTCAGAGCTTGCCACCTTCTCTAGGCTCCATCACACCATACTGTAATCACCAAACTTCACACCTTCTCTTTCAACTCAACGTGAAACAAGTACCTGTGACGAATCTGTGCTGGGTCGTGCACGACAAACTCACTGTGGTAAAGTGACGAAGCCGCTGATGCTTTTGTGTTGAAATCTGGCACCCGGGTACCCTTAAGACCCGGGTGAATATCACCAGCGTCCCGCCAAGTCGTATAATAGCTGCCGCCCCTGTACTCAGTACTCAAGGAACTTGACTTGCCCAGCTCAACCTCACACAGCAACAGTAGAGCTTCTCCTGCTTGATCGTCGCAATATCCCGCCGATTTGGTAGACATCTCAGCGAAGTAAATTCCCCTCGTGACGGGGATGTTGTGTAGACCTACTCTCAGAATACTGCTAAAATTACGAGTTGGCGAGCCGTGCCACAGAAGTCGCCGGTCCCCGATCTTGGAACTATATTTCTTTGCCCACTTGGCAAAGGACTTTGCCTCCCCTGGACGTTCGAGACGGAACACGGCGATGACCCGCTAGTCAAAAGGGAGAGTTAGAATTCACGGTTTGTATTCAAGGGCTTGAATTCAGCTTGCCTGGAACTGATATGGGTGATTTGTTGAGGAAGACTTCTCGATATACTCGCAGAGCTTCGCAAACTCTGTCGATTCTCGATCCACTATCAAGTAGGGTCAATCTCGTGCTTCGGTACTCTAGGAAGCAGTTTGGAAGATACGGCGACAAGGATACACAGAGCACGCATACCTGGGTCCATTTCTGCCAGACTCATCACTTGAGATATGTGACTCAAAGCCAATGGAGACGATGGGGCGCTTCTCCAGATACGCCGTGCATTGTGCATCTTGCTTAGAAGATCGTGGGACTTGAGCATGCTCTCGGCTGATTCCATGGTGATCATATTATATCCCGACGGAATCACGGTATTGTAGGCCCTTAACAATCGCTCTTTGCACAAGCTGGCATTATCGGCCTTGGTGCCACCGGCCAGCGTCGTCAGTCTGCCCAAAATCGCAACCCCAATCACATATGATTTCTTCTGCACATCAAGCTGAGCTGTGCCACATATCTCGCTGGCGAGATTATTGTAGTGGTTTTCTATGATACTTGAAGTGAGGATAAGGCCCAAAACCCTGTCAACACCAGGTTTCAATGTGGTTACCTGGGTTGTGGGGATCTGATCTCCGTGATGGCGCTGATGAGTCTCCACGAAAATCCATTTATCCTCAAGGGGAAGGGCATGTCGATCCTCCCATGCGAGGCCACTGAATTTCTCGAACTTTGTCCCAAACACTTTTTTGGCTGTGGCCAAGCTTCTAGAAGTTTCAATTGGCTCTTTGGACGATAGAATGAGTCCAACCTTGTATTCGAAGGCCCTGTATTTGAAGGCCCAGGTATGGAAGCGCTGTGGCTCTTGACACATAAGTAGTTGGATGCGCAGCACATCCACATTTCCTCCGTTTGCGTCGTTATTGACCAATGTGGCATCCCATACCACTCCTTTGGCGTCCTGCCAAACGGAAAGTGCATCACCTATCATAGACAAGTTGTGAGTTAAGGTTCTCGAAAGATTACAGCCATATTACTGACGCGGCTCTGGGCATCCCTCATCAACTAAGTCGATCAAATATTGGGATGGGGGATGTTGCTCTTTCTGCTTCTTTGAAGGACCAGAGTCCTCGCCCGCAGGTGAGACTTCTCGTGCACGCTTCTTCTCAAGCTTGACCTCAGGTTTCTTCTCAAGACTGTCCTCAAGTTTCTTGCGTGATGTAATCAAATACTCCTCCACACTCACTGGTGCATGCTTCTCCTTACTTTGGAGCAGCCAATCGATGCTCACGATCTTGCAATCTTCTTGTTTACCAGCCTCTGTGACTGGAGATCGATTCTCCGGTCAGCTGATTCCTATGGGGAGACTTGGTGCAACTGACTCTTCTTCAACCTTCTCTTGAAATTGTGTGGTGTTGTCACCAGATGAGTACACTGGTCAAGATTCGTTGTGGTGAACTTCGCACCGCATTCTTCGACTATCTTCTTAATTCGATCTAGAGGAATCAAGGAAGTCATCAATCAGGCCCTTGATCCAGCATAATCCTTATTGGCTTTTCTAACGCTCAAGCAGATACATACCATGTCGGTATCCAGGGATCGTACCACTAGCACTGATGACTAGTCCCTTCATACTCTCGGTCAGCTTTTCGGTAGGGGTTTCGGTGGCCGTCGACGCCATCTTGTTCTACCACTCAACGAAGGTCGGAAGGCTCAACAAAACACTCTTCTGGGCAGATGAAGAGATGATGGTAGTGGTGGATATGGAATCGAATCAGAAACATCGTTGTGGGGGACGCTGATTGCACTTTATAAGCCATTTGTGGATGACGCTAATGCATCATAGATGGCTTTCTCCGGCAAACATCGACAAATACATTATCAAAAGCCCGCTTTCAGGCACCGCAACTTCTTCTTTGACGTGAAGCCTGATCGGAGAGCTCCTTCGTAAACACTACCCGGTGAACTTATGAAAATCCCCAATGGAGGATGGCGAGCTGATCGTCATATATCTCCCTGGAGACTACAGCAGGTTAGAAAGCAGAGGGCTGACATGGAACCTATTGATTAGAGAAGCAAAGCAGGAGCTATTGGGTCCTTGACCGAACTAACAGCAGCGAGAGACGCCACATCCCCCATATCCGAGTTTTGATCGGGCCGCGAAACTGCGATTTGGAGAAATACCACGTAGATGAAAACGAACTAATTGCAGGTGAAATAATTGAAAGCCACAAGAGGGCCAAGTTTGACCATCTCCGCCCAAGATTCGAAATCGTACCGCATGCGACTCATACGGGCCATCTTCTGGCCGTCCGCCGGAGCATGAGCAGTGAGGTCAAAGCCCGCGGGCTGTTCATAGAGGAAGAACAGGTACCGATGGGGCGCGCCTACAGGAGGCGGACCAGGGCCGATGTAGTCTGCGATAAAGGGCGCGTCATACTTCAGCACACCGTCGCTGGTGACCTTGACGTCGGACTGCATCCAGTGCAGGATAGGGCTCAGAAAGTTGAAAGCCGCGAAAGGCGCGTCGATGTCCAGACACACGACCATGTAGGTTCTGGCGGGGTCTGCGCCAGAGAAGAAGATCTTCGGGAAGTCTTGGGCCTCTGTGGATTTTTGTTGTTCTGCGTTAGTTGAGAATTCAATGGCTGCTGGATATATTGGTTTCTTACCCCCGCGAGGAATATATGTTCCCGGTTGCAGGTTTTCATGCTTGCCAATGGTCAGGCCGAGGATCTTGGACTTGTCGTTCTCGATGAGAGACTGGCCCGCGTGGAAGTGCTTGATTGGAGCCATGTTGGGAGGCTGCTGGACTGGTTGCTGGGGAGTTGTAGACGGGAATTGGGCTGTCAGACGCGGTATTCTCTTAGACGCGACGTTCTTTCCAATTGTTCCGAGGTTCAGTGCAGGAAAGAACGTTGGACCAATTTAAGGTTGCACAAGCTTTATCCCGGAGTTAGCACGGAGATAGCCATACCAGCGGCCCTAGAAAAGCAATTTCGCGTATTCTCTTTGCGATAAGGCACAGTGGTCCACTGCTCTATACGCACTGCGTATTACGCAGTCATTCACTATGTTGGGACCTATGGGGTTGTATAGCTGGACACCATATTCAATTCCTTACTCTAGGGCGTTCAACGCTGTCCAGGGGTGTCCGCAATATAGCACGTAATAGGTTCCCAGGTTACGAAAAGGTGACTCGGTCATTTCTATCCACCCTTCCAGACTCCAAATATCTGTGTCTCCCTGCACCGACTTCCCTTGGATAAGTTTACCATGTATTTTCTAATTGTTGGCCCTTTGCAGATGCGCATAGCCATCTCTCTGGATCGAAGGTGTGTGGGTTGGAGCAGATCTCAGGGTCAATGAGGACAGCAGTATACTCCCTAGCGAAATCAAGACAGTCCGTTGCTGGGAATATGCTGTGTTCTCTTGATGTAGCCCGATTGACCCGATTGTCGTTGTGCGTGCGGCGTAGCAGGGATCGTGATTAGATCCAACTCATATTTCGAGTTCCCTCGAGGCTATGTTAAAGTACAAAATCCATATCTGTCTTTCCTACAGAGGCAGCATTAAAGTGCATAGTGAATCCAGCATAACTCGGACGGATATGTGATAGTATTGACTCGCGGTCCAGAATATCCGTAGAAGCAGCCAACTGGTGAGCAGTCAACTGGCAAGAAACAGCCAGCTGGTCAGAAACAGCCAACTGGTAATTGTGCTTTTCATAAGTAGGAGATAATGCAAGTCAAGCGACAGCTCCATAGAGAGTGAAAAATCCAGAGACTCCCTAACAACCCAGCCTATTCCAGAAAAAAACCAAACCACCCCATTCACTAAAATGCATAGGCGCTAACTTCGATGATGGTAAACCAGAAAACAAACTCCTTTTTGGAGGTGGGAGATGAGGAGGGATAGATAGTGGTGGAGCTGGATAATTCCAGGACTTTGAAATGAATTAAACAGGCATGGGATAGAGATGATGACAAGGGGTATATAGGAGGAAAAGATAACGAGAAATATGAGTTTGAAGTAGCGACGGCGCGGCAAAGCAAGATTTGACCAGAAGGTATATTCACTCAGCCCGAGCTTGGGGCATGGTGGTATCGACTTTGCTGCCACGAGGACTCTCTTCGTCTTCTCCGCGGTCAGCAAGAACGTTTGCGTACGAGATGCTTGATTTCTGTGCCTCTGGTTGGTCGCCTGAATCAAGTTTTGGTTCGAGATTGTCGAGAGTCTCTTCGACCTCCGGGGTATCCTCAACATTAGCTGCAAGCTGAGGAGCATCAGCGCTCTTCTCAAGTCGGGGAGGTTGCTCGGGTTCAGTTTTGGGCTCCTTTTGCTTCTCCGTCTTACTCTCCGGTTCGGCGGCAGTTTGATCTTCAGAAGTAATGGTGTTATCCTCGACGTCTGACCCGCCATCAGCAGAGAGGAACTCGTCCTTCTCGGTCGGAGGTTCGGATTGCGTATCAAGGTATTCTTCGCCCTCGCCCTTATCGGGAATATCAGGTGTGCTCTTGGCCTTGTTTGGTGGCTGAAGCACTTTAGGCATCTCATCCATATGTTCGAGATTCTCCGCCGTCTCCGTAACGTCCGTTGGCGAGGTTGTGCGGCTGGACTGCGAGGGAGCTGTAGGCGAGGGCGACTCGTGGCTCGAGCCAGAACCCCAGACGTGATGTGGGTGTCGTGGGGGAAGAGCGGGCGGGGTGCGGGCCGGGATAGTGACCAAACGAGCCCGAGTGAAGTTCGGTGACATGCGCTTACTGTCGCGATCGTTCGTCTGGTGCTCAGCCTTGGTGGGTGAGCCTGGCACACTCTTTGGTGTGACCATGGCATTGGTAACCTCGTGGACCTCGAAGTCCTCGTCGTCGTCCTCGAGCTCGGGGTCCTCATGTGTATCCTCGCAGGCACGCGCTTTCGCTCTTCTATCCTCCGCCTCTTCGCCCTCTAATTGCCGGACCTTGACCTGGTCTTCCTCGCCGTGGATCGCAATTGTATCCCAGTGAGCAGAATCCCCAACTTCGTCCCAGGTACTCATCGATGGCCCACTTGCAGACGACTCCTTCGCGCTGCGAGAAGACGCACGACTCACTGATGTTGGCGCCGTTACCGGAGCGTCATCAGTCTGTGTGCCACGATCAACACTCGTATGACTCTTCGTACTTTGCACACTTGCACGCCAGCTATTGCGCGGCGAACTATCCATGCTGCGCCGGGAGAAAGTGCTATAGATAGGGCTGCTAATGTTGGGTCGAAATTCAAAGGCCTCAAGGCTTGGCCTCACCTTGGTACCCGCCTCGCGTATAAAGAGCCCCTCCGCCTCCAGCGCTTTCACTCCATATGGATCAGGATCGTCAACGGCCGGCACGCCGAAAGCATTCCCTTCTTCTGTGAACGCCATGTCACCGGGCGTTTCGCCAGGAGGCGGAATGAGGCTTTCGTCGGCGTCTGAGTCGCCCTGTGCAGCCTTGAGCGTTTGCATTAGGGTTTCGAGCTCGGGTGGCGGGTGCCGGACTTTGCCAGCAAGAATTTCGTCTACTGATATCCGCTCGCCGTAAAAGCGCTCATTCTCATCTGTTCTCTCGATGATGACCGTGCCGTCGATCGCCACACCCGCGTACAGCCCTCTGCTCTTCATATATGTCCAGATCGGGGCCTGGCGCTTGTGCACTTCGGACTCGAGGACGCCACCCATGCCAACAGGACCCGCGGCTGCGCTGACCTCGCCGCCGAGCGTGCAGCGGAGTTTTTTGAAAGCTTGCAGCGCCTCAAACGTGTTGATGACGACCACGCAGTCGTAGATGTCCACACCGGCGAGGAAGCCTATGCCGGCTGTATGTAGCATAATCCCAGATGGCGGGCTCCACTCACCGGTGACGGGGAGGCGACCAAGCAACACGCCACTACCACCAGAGCCACTCACCCATAGACCTGTGCGCATTGTCGTGAAGATGGCAATTCCCTTGGCGTTTTTGAGTACTTGTGCTGGGATCTTTTTGATAACGCGCTGCTTGCCCTTCGGGCGATTGATTTTGCCATTCTCGTCAGTCCCGGTGGATTCATCTGGCGCGTAGAAACCATCCTTGCAGAAGCTGCGCAGAATGCGTGCGGCTTTGTCGGCTTCCTTATCGATTGTCATGGGCCAAAACGCCTCGGAGCCCAGCTTATGCGATAGGCGGTTGACAGGGCCGCCAAGCTTATCGACGGTGTTCCATGCTTTATCGAAGCCCTTCTTCGATATGCTTTTCGTCTTCTCCCACCGGTTTGGAGACATGTTGGGTGGGTTCCAGACAGGAGGAGGCTATAATGCGATTATGTATAGGGTATAGAAGTGACAGGAATCGAGAGGCGCTCCGCGTAGCGAGAAGCCGATCAAGGCGCACGATCTATACACGGGCCACTAGGATCTGAAACACGGCAGCGCTGCGAACGGCGCGCATGGATCCTGGCAGATTCCTGATGCGATGCAGAATGTTCCCTGCATAGAAGGGATGTTGTAGGAATCCGGTGCGATGTGCATTCGCCACTGAGGAATGCGGGGAGGAATGCTTAGGCTTCCGCTTGGATCACCGATTTCAGCTATGTGTGGGTAGGGACGACCTTCTTCAGGTGGTCAATATAGAATAGAAGGATCGAACAGAGTATAACGGATGAAATAAGGGATCCAGGGAGGGCGTCAAGAATCAAGAATCAATCTTTGATTTCAAATAGAAAAGGTAGCAATTGAATCGGGGTCAGACGGAAGTGCACGAAGTATAAGTTCCCCCAGGCCGAGTGGCGGAGGGCCAGAACAAAAGGTTGGACCTAAATCGCCTTGGAAGATCCATGGTTCATCGAGCAATGTCATCATACATTGATTTTTCTTTTTTTCCTTTTTGTTTTTCCTTTGCATTGTTTGTATTCATTTCAACAGATGCAAAGATCAGCTGCTATGACCATTATTGCTTGGACTGTACGGAGCCCAATGAATTCAAGTTCGAGATCCAAAGCTCTCAGAGATGACCAGTCCAGATAATCACATTGTCATAGATCAGATCCCCACTTCGAAAAAAATTCAATTAAAAATGTCTGAGATATCGTGAGTCAGCATAAATTCCGCCTAAAGAGGCAAGTCCCGAGGTCTTGAATCTGCCTAAAAGCCCTAGGGCTAAATAATTGTATTCACAACTTGAAACGTGATTCAACTCCATCGATCTGGAGGCTTCATCTCCAAGCCTCAGTGGATATCAGTGGATACCAGTGCAGCCAAGAGCCCAAGACTGAGCTGATCGAACACACTTACCCACAATAACTACTGCAATGGAAGGTTGTGCACATTCGTCGCTCTACCTACCTTGCAATATTGTAAGATTATAATGCATACGCCATCGTCAGCTGTAATATTGCCAACGCATACATACTCTGACTAGTGGATTGCCGAAGTGTTCTCCGCTATGCAGCTGCAAATTGACTTTATAAGCGCATTCTTCCCTATGTTAATAGCCGATGGAGGAATTTGTACCTACTCGTCTACTGATTCCAAGGCTGAACTCAATCTAGCCAACCTCCAGCTTTAGGGCTAAGTGGTCCCTGCCCGTGGACAATAAACTTTCCCAGCCATTTAAGGTATGAGGCTCTCGGAGTATTTCATGATAGCCAATCGGGCAGAGTTGGGCACTCTGGCTGGCAAAGAAGGAGGTCTTGCCTCGGGCTGAAATGTATCGGGCACTGTGAAATTCCGATTGGTCAAGGCTCAGTAGAGAAATGCTGGATCAGAAGAGTGAGCTGGCCATTGATTACACACTGCCTACCATACACGTAGACGGGATATAGCCACTCGAGCGCCCCTGTGGCGGATTGGGATCCGGGCAGGATATCGCAGTAGTGTGGCCTCCCGCGAACTATTGAAAGATGCGTACTTGCACGCAGTCAAGAACTTGGATCTATAAGATGTTTTCATTTATGTGAAGATCTAGCATTCAACAACAGCACATGCCTCGCCACAGAGCATGGCCATCGGATAATCCGCGGAAAAGCGCAAGACGAATCCAAGTGTAGTGAATCAACATTTCAAAAGGCGATGGTATACAAACGCAGTGCAATCAAGAACAATCTCAGCGCATTTACAGCGCACCAAGCTCCTTAAGCTTGGAGACAAGGCCATCGACATCCTCGACCTTGCCACCACCCTTTCGTGGCGGGGGTTCTGCAACACGTTAGCTCAATTCCATGTACCAAAAGGCAAAACCACATACCAATAACCCGCACGGTCTTCAACCGCCGTACATCCTCAACACCGAGATCGGCCAGAGTCTTCTTCTCAAGGGGCTTCTTCTTGGCCTTCATGATGTTGGGCAAGCTAGCGTAGCGGGGCTCATTCAAACGCAGATCCGTAGTGATAACCATAGGCAGCTTAGCGCGAAGAGTCTCAACGCCGCCATCGACCTCGTGGGTAACCTCAACGGTACCAGCCTCGTCCTTAATCTCAACCTTGCTAGCCTGTGTAGCCTGGGGCCACCCAAGCAGACCAGCGAGCATCTGACCAGTCTGGCCCTGGTCGCCGTCAATGGCCTGCTTACCCAGAAGGACGAGGTTGATATTTTGCTCCTTGACGACGGCCTGCAGCATCTTGGCGACAGTCAGCGGCTCCGGGCCGCCGTCACCCTTGTCCGGGACGTCGATGTGGAAGGCACGGTCAGCGCCCATGGCCATGGCGGTACGTAAAACATCGGGGGCTTTCGGGCCACCGGCGGAGAGTGCGAGGATATCTTCGACCTTAATGGGGCCCTTGCGTTCGCGCAGGCGGACGGCCTCTTCGATTGAGAGCTCGTCGAATGGGTTCAGGGAGTGCTTGACACCGGCAGTTTCGACGCCGGTCTGGGCTTTGTTGATACGGGGCTTGATCTAATGAGGGCCGAGGATGAATGTCAGTTCGTTCGATCAATGCCAAAGTGAGTGGTGTGGGATTGGGTTGACTGCATTGTCTTGAGATACACAGCGCCGAGTGTCGGACACTCGGAGCTTCACCCGAACGGTGGCATAGATGGGATGGGTCAACTTACCGCGTAGTCAATCACCCGCTTGATGGGCACTAATATCCGTAGGCCGCTCATTGTGTATTAATGGTCAAGTATCTGCCAATTCCTGAGTTGGTGTCAAGAAGGTTGAAGGCACGAAGAGAGGGAAAGGCGTGCGGTGACGGAGTGCCAAGAAACTGGAAACGCCGACGCGGCCCGAGTTTAACCTCCCTCGCACTACTGGCCGGGCGTTTTGCGGCCATTCAGGCAACAAGCGCTTGAAGCCGGAACCTTCAATTTCCCTACGGTTTGTAGTACACAGTATGGTGGGTATCGCATGTCCCCAAGTATTCACAGTGGCGTTACCTTCCTAGCAGCCTCCACCGAAGCTTTTCGATAAGACGAGATGCAGGCGGCCGCTCACAGACCCAACCGAATGCGCTCATGCGCGAAGAGCTATGGAAGCAGTGAGCTGTCGGAGTAGATCAACTAATGCTAATTTCGCTGTGCTATGATCTCTTCCTCTACTCCCGTCGAGCCTTGGAACCCCCACATACTACATAGCATTGTTGACTACCTCCATACCAACACAGCATGTAATACAGTTGAACGTATACGATCTGCTATTTAGACACCTGGGTAGGCTACGGGCATACCTAGGTACCAGTCTTCCAGAGTCTCTGGGGTTTCGAGTGGACTGCGTGTTCAGACAAGACACGGGCATATTTCCATAGATCGTTGAGATCGCCAATGCGCAACATGCCTTATGGTAAAGTATATATTTTGCACATAGACAATGTTTCGATGGGGTACGACAAAATGAGAAAATGGCAATTCAGACAGTAGCATCACAGTAATAACCATGCCAACAGCAAGCAAACCTATAGAAACGAGCAAATAAAATGTGCGATGTCACGAACTCCCGTGAGTCCCGTCGAGGAGTTGATGAGATGATCCAAGTTGAGCTGCAAGATGGCCGCAAAACTCGGCCGTAGCGATACCACCGAACCTGCCGAGGTTAACCCTCCCACTTGTGACTTACATATCGTGATAGTCGACTGTTCCTTGCAAGAAGTAGAAGATAGAACCATGCATATTCTGATGGGCAGCTTGGCCGTACATTGCAATTATTGAAAAAGCAGGCTTTAGACTAACACCTTTTCCTCGTAAGTCCTTCAAGTGGGGTCCTTCGGAGTTCGGAGACGACACTGCTGAGTGCTGATGTGCTAGGGAACCTCAGAAGATAGGTGCAAGCGGAATATTTACTCGAGTCGCCAGTCGCTCCCTAGCCATTGCCAAAAAAAAGACAAAGTTCATATAGCCTTTCCTCTTGTTGCTTAGTCGAGGTAAGCCCACGAAACGAGGAGAGCAAACAAAAAGAAACGACGGCTGCATGATTCGAACATGCGCCTCCGAAGAGAATTGATTTCTAGTCAATCGCCTTAGACCACTCGGCCAAACCGCCTTGTTATTGTAAGGACAAGCAAAATTGGCTACACAAACGACCCGCTACGGACATGCGAACATGAATGCCATGACCAACGAATTGGACTTGGACTTTCGGTTTTCCTTAGAGCTCGAGAACACTTATAGACAAGTTTGAATATTGTATTGTACATAGTACTATCAACCACAAGACTACATGTTAAGAACATCATGTATCTCCATATGGTATCCATATCACCAAGTCTCTTGTTTGTAGCGCCCAATCTTCTCCATATCGACAAGGTACGCTTCAGCCTGGGAACGGGTGAAAGGCTGCCCTGGCACAGGAGCTCCTCCATGCTGGAAGGCCTCGATGAGGGCTTCACGCACAGCCTGGGGCATGCGTCCAGAGGAACCACAAATATAAACCGATCCTTGCATATCATGCAACAGACGGAAGAAGAGTGGGAAGTTCTCGCGTACAACATCTTGCACGTAGATCTTGTTCGGTTGGTCACGCGAGAAAGCAGCAAGGACCTGCATTGGAATAAGCTTGCTGAGCTCCGTCCACTCCTCTTCGAAGAAGAAATCAGATTCTCGGTTTCGACCGCCGTACAGGAGAATTGTTGGGCCAACTGGAGGGTTCACACCGGGGTTTTGTTCGCGGAAAGCCTGCACGAGTGCCGCCTTCTCCCACAGCATGGAGCGCAGTGGTGCGATTCCAGTGCCTGGTCCGATGAGCACGGTTGCTGCGGTGAGTTGCTGGATTGATGAGTTGAGGCCGCCTGGCTGGAGCTGGACTTTCAGGGTACTGCCCGGCCGTAGGATAGAGAGGTATTTAGTACAGACTCCTTCGCGGATTCTCTTGATGACCGTTTGGTACTTCACAATGGCAATGAGTAGTTCGAATTGTGTCTTTCCGTCTGCGGTTTTCTTGCGGCTTCCACCGCTGGCAATGCTGAACTGGCGGGCGCGCATGACGGGGAGAACAGAGATAGCGTGCTGCCATGGGATTTTGACAGTGTCAAATTCATGCAGGACCTCGAGTATGCTGCGTCGAGGGCGCGTTGTATAGTCCCATAGCTCATCTAGATACTCGGGATTTGTGAATTCCAGTAACCGGTCTTTATGCATCTCGTCGTTTGTGTAGTGTGCAATTGCGGAAAAAAAGGACCTGCGGGGTATCCCTTTGACATCGAGATAATCTATCAAGAGGGCGCGGAGAGTTAGGTTCGGATATGAGTCGAGGCCAGGAATAGGTGGTGGGGATGGAATATCCCCTGTCGGAACAAGAGAAATTGGTCGATCTGCTTGATCGTTCCAATTCATCAGGTCAATAAGGGTTTGGACATCAGCCGACGAGCTTTTCGGTGTGATGGCGATCATGTCTCCAGGGACGTATGAGACAGAGTCCGGGACGGTCAGGGTGATTCGGCGTACATCTTGCCAGTGATTTTGCGGAGTCACACGCCTATTTTCGGCCAATGTCGCTGAGAGTGTATGTGGAATAGGACGATAATCATGGTCCAGATGGTGCAGCCCCGGATATTCATCTGTGAGAGCTTGATGGTCATTCGCGACGGTAGCCTGCGGTATTGTGACGGGATCGTTTTCGTCCTTCAGTTGCAAAATCCACTTCGGTGGAAGCTGCACATCACTCGGAATTGGATGCTGGCCAGCAGGGAGAGGGTGCCTGTCCAGCAGTTGCTTTCGGAAATCCGTCATCCAGGGTAAAAAGCATCCCTCAAGTCTGGTTTGTTCCAAGTCATGTAAGCCGTGGACCACTGAGAGAGAAGGAAGCCACTTACCCTTCTGGGTGTTGCTGGTCTGCTTCGCCTGTGGGATAGATTTCGTTTGCGCCTAGTTGTAGTAGTCGCTTTTGGAGTTTGCGTATCGCCCAATTGAACCTGCCATTGATCAGCCATTGGAGGTCGCAATAGTATAGTAGCGTCCGTACTTGGGGTACGAGCTATCACCTAGCCCGAAGCAAGCAAAATTTATCCCCTTCAAGTATGTAGCGGGGAGCTTCTTCAGTAAGAGCGATTTCCAGAACGACCGCGCATTCGCCGTGAAATCGCCTTGTCCGGTAGTTGACGTCACGAATATTGTGAGTGTATAAGAGAAAAGGTCTTCCTACGAAGTCATGAGTGAGTAAGTAGACCCAAAGAATCAAAGGTTGGAGAGGGCAATACATACTGGTTTGCATTGGTTCAACTCGAATACATGCGTCGCGAAATGTAGTCGCTCCGTCAAGGCGCCTAATTCTTCAGCCACTTCCTGTGCATTGCCTGTCTCAGACCCATACAGAATGAGAATAGATCTCCTTGCTATGGGCTGTAGAACTTGGTTGTCGGTCATTCTGTGTTTTGACTCATCGCAATACCAAAAGCATGCTCGGACATATTTGCGCGCGACTGCCCCTCTACCGCCCGCGGGCCTAGGGCACAAATCGGGCTGACGTCATCCTCAGGTGGGGCCGAGTCTATCAGATTGCCATCTACTCCGTACTGTGTACACAGTACGCAGTACTGCGTATGTGCTAAGTGTATAGGTCAAGAATTGAGATCACTGCTTCAAATTGTGTTGCTTTGAAGAATCAGCATGTACCTTGGTTGATCTAGACGGGGAATCAAAGACATGGCGCATCCTAGCAGCGGAACATCTCTAGTAGTCGACATGTACTCCGTACGCAGATAAAGCTTTCGGGACGCATTACTGAGTGTACCTACTGGGCTAACTGCCCGGTGGTTATGTGGACGTATATGTAGAGTTCATCTGTAGGTAGGAAGAGGTATCCCCGAGCAAGGCCCAAGCATACTCTGAAGGTTTGTCTACACAGACTGTCACAGAGTACAGTGAATGATACACGATGGCCTTTCATGCATGCAACGAACTCCATTGCGATAAAATCCAGACTGCCGGAGGGCCGTTATGACGCGAATTGAAAGAATATATGGGTATCGTTATATGCCGTTTAGAAGTCATCATCGCCGCCGCCGCCAGCATCGTCGTCGCCCATATCATCTTCTCCATCATCGAAGTACTGCTCAGCATTGTAATCGCCGCCCATTTCATCATCGTCCTCGGAGAAGTCATCATCCACAAGTTCATCATCCTGCTCATCCTCCTCATCAAACAGTGGGGTTTCATCGGACTTTTCGTCACCCTCTTCTCCTTCCTCGTCATCAAGAGACGTGTCTTTCGCAGGTCTACCCTCATCTTCCTCATCTTCAAACCCGCGCTTCATCCCGGTGGCTGAGACCTGGTAGGCATTTTCATCGGGTCGGAAGTTAGGCTGAATGGTTGGCCATAGCTCGCGGGGGAAGAATTTCAGGACTAGAGACAGACATGAGAGGTTAGTCACTTTCCGGTAAATGCAGCCAACTGTTTGTCAACTCACCATACGAGCGTCCGGCGATCTTAGGGATAGTGCGCCGTTTCTTTTGATAGCGTCCAGAGTAAGTTGGCATGCCGTGGAACGGATCGAAGTTGACGCGCGCGACACTGCCTTTCTTGGCGCTGGTAGAGGAGGCATCGAGGACAGAATAATAGGGGCCCTCGTGGAAGCCCTCACGTAGATGTCGGTAGTAGTCGACCTGTGACTGCTCTGCAGGGTTCAATTTCCGAGCCAAAGGAACAGTGTATTTCTTGAAAGGCGGGTTAGCTTTGATTACAATAGCGTTCTCCATAGTGAGATTGGTGAAGTAAAAGAGGAAGATCTGAAAGAGGAAGATCCTCAGGGGCCAAGAAGCAAACATACAGGGAACATAGGCGTTGGAGCTGTGTCTGGCTCTCCGCCAGGGTCGGCGTCCCATGTGAATTCTGTGCCGGGGGGCTTCCTGCCCTTTGGTGCACCACGACGTGACATGATGATCGTAATCCTCAGACTAAATATATCAATGGGTTACCGATAGGGATATAGCATCCTTGTAGTCAATGAGTTTCCTATGTGTAGGCATGAATCATCGCTATTACACCTGCGGACAAGGTGATCTCGACTCCGAAAAATACAGTTCTCCACCGCCCACTCGAAGCAGCACTAGCGCTGGCAGAAATGCCTCCCCGTCTGTATGCTAAGTTAACGAACGCAGATCGTTACTGCTGTAGATACACTTGTTCATTGAATGATATTGAACCTGATATTTTGTAGACCCAACCGTAAGGGAGGATCTAGGTATGCAAACAATTGGCTACGTTATCCATGTTCTCATTTCATTACGACGTCATAGTCGTGACCTGTGCCCCGGCAGATCGCACAGGGCCCCAGGGACCCTCATTAACACGCTGTTGTAAAGTTTGCATGATGTCCTCGAATCCTTCCACTTCACTACCGGTTCCTTCCAGCCGAGAATGCAGTGCTACAAGAACGTCATGTTTGGCAGTCGCAACTTTCCAAACAACACTCTGAGCATCACCAGCACCACCCCCGACGAAGTCTGCGTAGGAGAGGGGCGGCTTGAAGAGATATGGGAGAAGGGTGGTCAGTGCAGGTGGAGTAAGAACTGCCCATGCTCCTGAGGTGGGGAAAGTGCCACTAGCAGCCGGGGATAGTCGACCAAGATCATCTTCAGAGGGCAGTTGGAACCGGGATGAATCAGAGTTAGCAGGGGCTGGAGGCAATGAGGTCCAGTTTGCTGTAGTGATAGCCTTCATAAAGTTGATTGCCGACAAGGCAGTATCCTTCATCACCAGGACATCTGCAGCCGCCACAACGTTGTCCCAGAATGTGGGGTGTTGGTTGAGGTAAGAGAAGTAGAGGACGCGCGCTGCGGCCGCTTCGCGGTCCCAGTCAGTTGGGGTTTGGCCAGATGTGTTCAAAACCATAGAGGCACTAGTCCGCCGAGGTCCGTGGAAGATTTTCGCCAAAACATCCAGAGCCTCGTTGTTTGGAGGGTTAGTCGGAATAGCGAGGGCAGGATTGGCACCATGCTTGCCCGCTGCCACGAGGAGCACTCGTGGAAGTGAAGCAAGAATAGCCAAATGACCCGTGGGGGCTTCTCCATGTGCCCACTGCGTGCTCTGAATAGCGAGAGATCTGTTAATGCGGGAGATAATCCCGTCGAGTAGAGTAACGGGGTTCTGTAGTAAGTGATTGGGATACATCTCGGCGTACCGAGCCACATAGGCCATGACTGGACCGGATAAGTATACGAGATCGACTGCATCGAGCGCGGACTCATCGAGATAATAGCTCAGAACTTTATGATGTAACTGGTGTGAGACGAGGAAGTCAAGGGCAAGGGACGAGAAAGTCGAAGTGGACTGCACACAACTTCGAGCAACAAGGCCCGGCCCATCAATTTCCAGTAATTCGCGCAAAAAGTTGACCAGCGTCATATGCATCAAGATGTCGCTGACTTCAACCATCTGACAAGTTGCGAAATGCAGGAGACTGCTGCTCTGGTATTTGGTCTCGATCTCCGGGATCTGTGCCGTTGAAATGATGTCCCAGCGTATCTCCCCGGCCTTGACTAGAAGTGCCATCAATCTGCCCTGTGCGAGAGTTCTTTCGCGCTTGGAAAGGTCACCAAGCGCATTGGGCTGAAGGCTACATAGCCCGAACAGCAGACCGTAGACCTTCTCGTCCGTGAATACCCTCCTCCACATAAGGCCTGGTCCCCCATGACTTGTATCACCATTCACAGATTCTCCAGCCTCCAGATGTTGGCCGGCATCAACCTTTAGAAGCGCCCATATTGTGTCAAGTGCAGCTTGCGCGACTTCGGTGGAAGAGGTTGAAAGCCATAGCTCCACCAGCGAAGCTACCAGGTCTGAGTCGCCTGCAACGATGGCAGCTTCACTAGAACGTTGTCCAGCTTTGGCAAGCAATGATAGAGCGAGGAGATTGATCGGTGGGGATGGAGCTTTGAAGCCAGCGATAAGGTTGATCGGGGGATCGACGGATTGGAGATCAATGAAGCTGAAGTATGCGGTGGCTTGTATTCCGAGGGTAGTGATAGGGGTAGGGTCTTCTCGCAAAACTGGAAGGAGGGCAGAAATTTGAGACAAAATCGTAGCAGGAACAACACGATCTGTCGATTCAACAAGCTGCAACTTCAACTTGTCGATCAACGGGATATCCAAGGCTGTGGTGGGGTCACCCAGGACCTGAGAGAGGTGTGACTTCACTGCATCAAAGGTCGAAGGGATAACCATCGTGACGGTTTCAACTATCTTCCTCGAGAATAGGTTAGAGGCAAGACGCGAAGCTGAGATGGAGCCAGGGCCTCCCCGCGGCGGGGATAACGTATCTCCGGAGTCATGCACATCAAACAGAATACACGTGCCCCAATTCACCCATCCGTTCTACTGGTCTGCCGTCTACCAGAGAGCCCTCTACATCCCAGGATACGAACCAAAGATGAACCTCTCAAAGTGCCTGGTGTCTCAAAAGTCATCCGACTCAGGTCTCCATATCCAGCTCCATCCGCTTGTTCTCCTCACTATCTCCGATCAAATCACCCGACATGTCGCCCGACAGCAGCACGGACCAATAATCGGCGGTCTCCTAGGCCAGCAGAATGGACGAGAGATAACACTGGAGCATGCATTCGAGTGCCCTGTCACTTCTAACCCGAATGATGAGATCTTATTGCCGGCAGCATGGTTTGAAGAGCGCCTCCAGCAGTGTACGTGAATCCCTTACAAGCCCAGCTAGGTATGCTTCCAGCTAGTACATACTGACCATATTACAGTCAAGGATGTGCACAAGAATCCTGCTCTCGATCTTGTTGGATGGTGGTCAACCGCCCCATCGACTGGCCCGACCGAAGATCAACTCCCCTTCCACCGACAGATCCTCCAACATTACAATGAATCAGCTGTCTATCTCGCCTTCCATACCTCACAGCTCGAAAACCCAAATCCTCAGGGTGGCAAGCTTCCTCTGACTATCTACGAGAGTGTCCACGAGGGCGAGACAGCTTCCGATGCCAGCAAAGACATGCAGGTCGACAGCGAGGAGCCGCTGCCGAACATCAGATTCCGGGAGCTAGCCTACTCCATGGAGACAGGAGAATCAGAGATGATTGGTATCAATACCATTGTCCAGGCTTCGGGCACCGCTTCTCTGAATGCGACACAAGAGCCGACCAAGCGCGCGCAGCAGACCAAGCAGACTAAGCAGACCAAGGCAAACAAAAACAAGCAGAGTGCAGAGGTTGAGCTGTCACAGGAGGAAGAAGAGCGTAAGTTCCCACGATTTCAATCTAGCCACTATCCGGTTCTCGAAACTAACGGACTTGCACAGTGATTGCGAGTCTCCACACACGTCTCAATGCCGTCCGCATCCTCGAATCGCGCCTCTCTATCATCAAATCCTATCTCTTGAGTCTGACCGAAGCCGATTCCAGCTCAGATAGCCCCAAGGACGAGACATCCCTCACCGAGCTATCACACCCAATCCTCCGCAATATCAACTCCCTACTCTCGCACCTATCCATTCTCTCTCCATCAGAGCAAAGCACCTTCGCCACCGAAGTCATCTCGCAGCACAACGACGTGCAGTTAATCTCGCTACTCGGCCAACTCGGCGAGAATGTCAAAGCTATGCGCGAAATGGGACGCAGATCTGAAATTGTTCAGGGCGGGCGTCAAGCGGCTAACGTACGCAAGGACCCGATGGGAAGCTTCAACGAGGAGCTCTGGGGGCAGACTGGGATTCCCATCAGCCTCCATGGCCAGGCTGGACGTGGGGGCCGTCGCCAACCCGGTGGCGGTGGCCAAATTTAATCATGTTCTCCATCTACGCCCATAAAATACCCCCGCGAGTGGCAGCTTGCCAGATCATGCGCATGGACTCCTATTACAAGGCCCATAAGGCCTCTGAAACGATATTACGAAATCGATGAGAATAACCATTTAACCCAATCCAGTAAATGACACTAGAGAGGAAGTTGTAGGTTCACACTAATGGTACTGTACAAGAATGTAATTCTGCAGCAACGCTGAAGAGTTGCACAAGTGGGAACATGATATGGCAAAAGAAGCAAAACAAATACTAGAAACATGCCACAATAACGTGGGGTGGGTATTCATATCCGAAACAACAGGACATAAAGAGAAAGAAAGATATCGCAAAAGAATCACAAACTGCTCGTGGGTAGCGTGAGGTCAAAAGAAGGGGGCAGTACAGTCGCAGCCCAATCACGAGAGAAACACACATAATCATAATAAGCCCTGCAAGTATGAGATGATCATACCCGACTCGTAATTGAATAGACATAGATCATGACTGACGGCTGTGTGCAGGGCGATAGAGTTCCGGCAGCGGCATGGGAGCCTGCTCACGGAGAGGCTTATCGGAGGGATATGGAGAGATCGGAGGGTCTGGATGTAGATTGACATGACTGCGGGAATCAAGGTCACCGTAGGGCGACGGGCTTCGACTGTAAAAGCGGCCCGGTGGATCGTGGATGTGATCGTCAAAGTCCGAAGCATAAGGCGAAGGGGCCATGAGCGCAACCTCGGGATTCGGTTGTGCGTGACCGAGAAGCACATCGGCCTCTTCTTGAGGCGTGTCTCCGTAGCGGGCTTTTCGGCCGTTGGAGACGGCCGCTCCGGCGCCGTGGTATGCTGTTCCGTGTTGGGTGAGCTCGCTGCCTTCTTGGGGTGGCTGAAGGCCAAGGGACTCTTGTGGCTGGTAACTGGGATCCAGTAGACGGCTTTTGCGTCCGATGAATAGCCATCGTGCACTTCTACCGATGGCTTTCAATAAATCCAATGGGTTCATGGCGTCAATTAATGCTCTGACGCCGTATCGTCCACCTTGATAGACGGACTTGCCGTTCCCATAGAAATCGGTTACTTCACTTGACATGTCGGTGAGTCTGTAAGTCTTCCACGAAAAGGCCCATAGATGGAGAATGCTGAATATAGCCATTTCAACGTTAATCATCAGCTCGGGGATTCCGACTTTGAGGTCGTTCATGGCGATTTTGTCGGTCTGCTTGAGAGCACCCTCGGAGACCAGAAGACTGATAAGTGTCTAATACGGATATGTAAGTTGTTGAATCTTTTTCTGGGATCCAATGACAATAGTTCTTACCGATTGCCAGAATGAGAGGAAAATGACGAGTTTGATAGACATGATCTTCAAGAATGGCTGGTGTTGCTTGATGTCTTGGCTGGTCTGGTGGTAGAACTGAATCAGACAGTACATGGCGATAGTAACGGAGACCGACTCGATAACAAGAACCTATCAATGAGATTAGTTAACCGACAGAGGATATCGCGTTCCACGGAGTTGGCGAAGATTTAAGACATACCCAGATGTGCGCAAATGCAGGACTGAGCGACGCTTCGCAGTATACCCCCAAACTCTGCGTGACAACCGCAGCGATAGTCATAAGGACGCGCATCACACAGTATTGGAAAACCCCAACCCAGACGATCTGAGCAAAGGTTAGCGCCCCAGAATGCCTCAACATGTTATTTCCATGCTCTTACATTGAACCATGTCAATCCGCTGCGCGGGGTCCGCCAAATGCGCTCACCACCACAGCATTTCTGAAGCCAGTTCAACGGCCAGAGCCATGGCTTCGGCTGGATTCCACGGAAGTAATCCTTCTGGCTGTGTAGGTCCTGGGCGATATAGTGGCACATGAGGGAGAAGAAGGCGGAGATACAGAACGCTTCGTAGCAGTCGCCCATGACTTCAAAGTAGACGGAGTCATGGTAGAAGTACATGCTCAACCATGCGACGATCGAATATACGGGGACCATGAATAGGATGCGAATGATACTGCGGCGGAAGACCATGTCAGCAATGCTCGATGCACTGGAATCGGAGAAGGGAAAGGAAACCCACTGTCGTTGCTCGATCGGCTTGCTGTAATGTGTGGCATGAAGTAGAATCAGAATCAACGAGACACCGCAGGCGATGATGGCGCATGCGGCGCCCACCATGAGCGCCAGGGTATGAAATGGGATGCCGCCATCCCAGAGTGGGATCTCCTGAACTGGTCATGATCAGTCACTGCGTTGATTTTGAAGGGACGGACAAACCCACTCGTCTGATCCTCTGTGGTCGAGTTGCACACTGGCCAGCCCATGATGGCTGGGTGGTGGTGAAGTTGCCAAAGGACTGCTGATCCTTCGATTGTTTATTTCCCCTTTATCTTATCCCGATCGACAGGGGAAACGCCACCAGAAGTCAACAAGGCCTGGGACCTTATGAAGAAACAGCTAAGCTCAGATTTTCAAAGGACAAGAGTTTGGCGTTCTCTTGTGAGTCTTGGCTTGGTGTAGTAAGTTCTTGAGTCTCTTTTTGCTGGATTTTCTACGGGGATCGTCGGTTGCTTAGAAGGCTTGGCTTGTCTTGGGTCTATTTTGGTCTCATTGATTTGCTTGGCTCTTTCGTACATCGTGGAGCCGCCTGTACGCGCTTAAGTGGAGCCCAACGTGATACATGGAGATTTGATTTGGCATATTTTGTGCACATTGTGCAGGGCGCTAAATTATTGTACATTGTCAATGATATTGGAAAAGTTTCGTGTTATGAAATCTCGACACGCGAGGCTCAAGAGCGCCATGAATCCCCACGTCCATGTCCACCACGTCCGCGTCCACGTCCCCCAGAACGTGGGCCAGAACGTGGTCCAGGGTTGAATCGTTCTGGGCCGATGTCCACGAATTGATCTTCATCTTCGAAAGTAATTCGCCGCATCTCATCACCACCGCGACGTGGGAATGTGCCCTTGCGGATTAGCTCATCAAATTGGTCCAGACGCTTGTCGGCAACAGCACGCGGAACAGGTAGATAGTACAGCTTGGGTTTCGCAGTGGTAGATTCGAACAATTCATCCAGAGGCTTGAAGCCCTGGCCGGGTCGCGCTGGAGGCGCAGGAGCAGCATTGGAAGGGCGACGGGCAAGCTGCTCCATATCACGGCGCGGGCCCAAAGGAGGGGTGCGATTGAATCCCGATTCGCGTCGTCCAGAGGGAGCAGAGCCCACCTCGGCGAGTGTAGCCGTGACTTCATCGTCATCACCCGTTTCGTATTTTACTTCCCAACGGACGGCAGGGCCAGCACGGTCCCGGGATTCCTCTTCTACCTGAATCCATTCCTTGATCTTCTCGTCCGGGATGAAATCCGCTCGGAGGTTCTTGCGGTTGCGTTCATTCGGCCACACTGCTCCATGGATGGCAGACCGCACCCGCGAAGCTGCAGTGAGACTGCTAAAGCTGACAAAACAGTGAGTTTTGATAGAATCAAGGTAGAAGTCCACGATGGGCTCCGGTTCTTCGGTCCCAGGGGCTGAAGCGAGGCTGGCCAAATGGTTTCGGAGCGCAGTCGGCTGGAGAGGGCGCATTAGACCGTCAATGTAAAGGGTAGCAGTTGCAGCATGCAACGCAGGCGTCACTTCGGCATCCTGCATCGTGACGTCTCGCGGAGGAGATGCGCGTTGGGGTGCAGCAGCAGGGGCAAATAAATCACGGAACCGAGCATCTTGCTTGGTGGATGTTTTGTGGGTATCTCTTGAGGTCTCAGCGGGTTTATTGTCTGTTTGAGCTTCTGCAGCTTTTTGGGCTTCAGGATCCACCGAAGTAGGCCTCTCCTCTTTCAACAACTCCTGCGGAGCAGCCTCCTTTGCGCGAGCTTTCCTATTTTCGATTTCTTCCTGTGTGGGTGCCGGGCTCTGGCTGCGCCGCTTCCGTTTGCGTGTATCCTCCAATGTCTCCTCCACTGGAAGAGGGGTCGATAACTCGGTATTGAACCCAGATGTTTGGGGAGCAGACGTTGTCAAGTTTTCTTCAGGTTTCACATGTTCCTCGTCCTTCACATCTTGGGCTGGTCCATCCACTTGGTGCTGGGACAGTGCGGCTGGTGACTCTTGATGGTCGGGGACATCTTCCTTTGCTTGCGTCGGCTCTGCAGTCTCTGTGGCGTTTTCAGCTTGCGACAGCTTTGTATCGGCGGTCGTATCCGTCTCTCCCTGAGTCGGCTCATCTGTCTGCTCTTCTCCATCCTGAGCTCGATCGGATCCCGACGCAGCGACCAGTGTTTCCTCAGTTTGCGTAGTTGATTGGCCATCTGTTGGCTCTGGCTCTCCATTCTGTGATACTTCGGGCTGTGGAACGGGTGCTTCCGCAACAGCATCTGGCGCAGATGGTTCTGGCTCGGTGGTCTCTTTCGCCGGGGCTGCAGCTTCAGTTTCATCCTGGTTTGTCTGTGAGTCAACTTCGTTCAATTTGTCAATGAACTGCTGCTTGAGGCGGAGGCCAGTCTGAGGAATGCCGCGTTTCTTGCATTCGGCCTTCAGATCGGCCACCTTCCATGATGAGTAGTCACTCATGATGACAGACTCTGCGCATCAAAGATCGATGCGCAAAGAGAGATGCGAACGGGGATGTGTGCTTGTTGTGAAGAAACAACACAATTTGTTGAAGCGCAGGGGTTCGAAGCTGGGGAGATGCGAACGGATTGTGTTTGTTGTGAAGAAACAAGACAATTGGCTGAAGCGCAGGGATTGAATCTGGGGATGCGATGGAAATGCGCGCCGATGATGTAGGGAGCTAGCCGGATCTGGACTAGTGTCACTTTTGTTCCAAAGTGTGGCTTGCCGGAGTCAATCTTGGAATCATGTGACACTTATGCAGATAGCTAAGGACCTATGGTCTAGTTGAGTACAGCAGTACTTATGGACCTATGGTGTAAGACAAAGTGGATCACTTTGGAAGACTTTATTAGATAGTCTAAGTCTGACGTCTGTCAACTAGGTAGGAGAAGTGCGAGGCTATACAAAGATCTTCAACAGTGAATCAACACTTGGAAGGTCCAAGGATGTACATGTCAAAACAGTTCTAATCTACAATACCTGCCGGCAACAGAGACACATAGTCCAATGGAGCCGGCTCATTTCCATCAGGCTTGCCAACAATCTTCAAAGTGTCACCTTTGTGGATCTTGACGTTCCGGAATGTAACGCGAGACGCCGAATGGCCATCCAAAAGGGTAGAAGGCGTGTGACTCAAGGTGTCCTCGCCATTGCCAACCCATTGACCAACTTCCCGATCGTTCAGGTAAACCTTCCACTCTGCTTTACCACCATAAACATCATAGTAGTTGACTGCGAGATCGTACTTGCCAGAGGCAAAGCCGATTCTGGTTGAGGCAATACCGGCAGTGGTGTTAGACGTTGTGACAACAGCGACGGTGCCAGAAGCCATCTCGAAAGGAGTAACGTCGTAGGCCTTGTAGCCCTGCAGCTTCATGTCCTCAGCTTCGATGCGCCATGGATGGTGGCCAACCCGCTTGGCCTCATCGGGAATTCCAGAGAGATTGTAGTAGAAGTCATTGATTGCGTCTCTCCAGACGATCGAATGGCCACCCTGGTAGTCCAAGAAGCGTCGGACGTGGTTGAATCGCTCGGTGTCAATCTTGCCATGCAGTGATTCCCATTGTGTGAGGAAGGTCTGGGCAGTCTCGGCACCGGTGTAGTGTGCATCGTAGAAGTGCTGAATGACGGTCTTTCCAGATTTCAAACGATGAGTGTAGTTGACATGGTGGAACCACAAGAGCAGATTGTCGGGCGTTGTCTCGATGTTTTCATACATGGCTGCGACCTCCTCTGGGTACTGACCGGAGTAACCAGTTCCGTTTGAGACGGTACGGTCCATTCCGATGGAAGTGTGGTCGGCTCGGGTCCATTGGCCCCAGCCATTGTTGTCTTGGGAAGCAGGATTGGGACCATAGTGAGTGTAAAGAATGTCGGTCAAAGTCTGGATGCCCAAGTTTCCGCTGTATTGTTCATAGGCGGGCCAAGACTCCATGGACATGCGGGTGATAGTGTCGACCACCTTGCGGTCCAGGCCGAAGGTCAGTCTGATCCAGTCTTTCAGAACTTCCTCGGCATCGTCGGCGGGGTTCCAAGCCAAGCGACCGTAGGCGTAAAGATTGGACATGGACAGATGGCTACCAAGCCAGGTAGTGTTCGTACCAACGTTGACGACAGCCGCGGATCCACCCAGCTTGCGGTTGAATCGCTTACCAGTCATGATATCGCGAACGAGCGATGGCTTGTGGTCGACACGGAGGTCAGTGTCGAAGATTTCCTTCCAGAGGGGGGCAACGTAGACCAAGTGTGACTGTTGTCCGAGGTATTCTTGCGTGACCTGCAGTTCAATGGCCATGCTCGTCTTGGGTAGATTGGCAAACAACGGCGAAGCTGGCTCGCGGACTTGGAAGTCAATAGGGCCATACTTGATCTGAATGACGACGTTGTCATCAAATTCGCCATCCAATTTCTTGAAAAAGTCAACAGCAGCCTTTGCACGATCATCCGTCCAGACATTCTCGTCGAGCTGATTGTAGACAAATGCACGATACATCACAATGCCACCATAGGGTTTGACTTCCTTGGCGAAAAGGTTCGCTGCATCTGCGAGGGTCCTGTTGTATGTCTGGGGTCCGGGCTGACCCTCCGAATCGGCCTTTACAAGGTATCCAGCCATGTCGGGGACCCGCTCGTAGATCTGAGCTGTAATCTTCGACCACCACTCGATGACAGATGCGTCAAGGGGATCGAAAGTGCTGAGTCCGCCGAATGTCTGAGGAGACGCGAAGTTGAGAGAGAGACCAACTTGGATACCGTATGGGCGGAAGACATCAGCGATTTGAGCCACGCCGTCGAGGTTCTCGGGGGTCAAAATGATAGGATTGGCGTTGACATTGTTGATAACTACGGCGTTGATCCTGACCGAGGCCAAAAGGCGAGCGTATTCGCGAACGCGAGTTAGGTCTTCAACGGTCCGGTTTTTCTCGAAGAAGATAGAGGGGCCGCCAAATCCGCGTTCAATGCTTCCGTCCATGTTATCCCACTGATTCACCCAGCGGATATTTGCGGCGGGATTGGATGCGTAGGAAACCTTGGTGAAATTGCCCTGTGCAAGCATTGAAAGGTATTCAAAGGTGCCGTAGAGTGCACCCTTCTCATTCTGTCCAATGATCTGAACGTTCTTACCCTTGGTGTTGAGCCAGAAGCCATCTTCTTCCAATTCAGGTACACCATGCACGGGGCCACAATGCTCGCGATATTGGTCAAGTGTACCAACGACAAGAGAGGATGATTTGCATTTGGTGTGTGACACTTTCACATGTTTCCCATAGACACCTTTCAGACCATTCTGTAACTCTGTTCCCGCAACGTATACGGGGCTTGTCTCAGTCGCATTGAGGACGGCAATGCTCGAAGGGAGGCTGGAATGGCAGTGACCTGAACAGGGTAATGGTGCATATCGTAACCAGCCGTCGAGGCCATTCTCGGCGGCCACAAAGCCTAACGAGGCGAGGAAGAGGAGCGCACGCATTGGGGGCGAAATTCAGGAGTGGTACCTAGGGCAATCCCTCACAGCAGGTCCATTTACCTTTATATCGATCTGCGCGCGACTACTGGATGTAGCACATACCAGTACATCAACTTGATTGACGGAAAAATTTCAGGCTAAATGAGCTATTTGTTCGAGCCAAGCAGGATGCATATACAGCCTGTACGTACTTTCCCCGCAAACATTGCGGATGCCTCTCTGTGGGGTTGACTTGGCATAGACGACAGGGGCCAATTCTAAAGCCAGGAGCGCTTATTAGCCTGTTGATTATTGCAGGGTTGGGTTTGGCGTAGTCTAGTTACCAACAATGGGGTGGGATCGGCGTCAGGAAGCCCGATATTGCTATATCAGGCATAGACTGAAATGTTAGTTAGCGTGGAGACGGGTAGAACGCCGACATTGCCGAGATATGTAAAGGAAATTGTGTATGAGACTTTAGCCTATTTCTAGAGATGACGGTGTCTGAAGACAAGACCAAAGGATCAATGAAGCGGCCACTAGACTTGGCATACTCTTCATGTAAGATGTGCTTACGATGAGAACAGGAGTTCACAATTACATGTGTTCGGGAAGATTTCCGTTCAAGAATGGTTCAAGATTCTATTTTTTCTAGGCTCGCAACAGGACGACACACTTAAGCCTCACGGCTCAGGATGTCGGAGTCACCGGCATCGAGGATAGCCATGGCGGAGCAGCGGAAGAGCTTACCGCAGGCGGTACCGAGCTCAATCTATATGGCGAGTTAGTTAATTCGCTCTCCGGGACGCCTTGCGGTGATCCCTTCGCAGAGCAACTTCACTCTCCGAAGTGGTAGTTTTGACCACTTCTTCTCAGAGTAGTGGAGCTGGCTCCGAGGTGCAACAGCCGATTTTTCGGCTGCCGCCAGGAAGGGAAGGGGAGTGAAACGTACGTTGTTGCCGTTGAAGTGGTGAACGGGGGTCTTGGCGAGCATGGCGTAGTACTCAAGCTCGGACTTGCGCAGAGGAGGGCAGTTTCCGGAGATGAGGACCAGCTTGGCCTTTCCGGAGCGGAGAGTCTTCATGGTGGACTTGGTACCCATGGTGACTGGAAGATCATTAGCGAAATTCAATATTGTGCGATAGGGCGACGACGAGCTTACCCTTGCCAGACTTCATCACAAGCGCCAGGCGCGAGGAGAGGGTATCACCGGACTTCTTAGTCTTGACCATTTTGAATGTTAGGGGGGTTGGCTCGTAAGAAGTGTGTTGGATGGATGGCTACGGGAAGAGAAATTTCACGCAGATGAAAATTGAATAAGTGTGGAGCCGCGAGCGAAAGCCCTAACCCCACGTGATAGTAGCACGTGACTAGTTATCACCGCCTCATTCTGCCAGCAGGACCGGAGTTTTTTTTAAGCTCTTGACTGCGGGGTTTGACTCACTCGGATTTCTAATTGCTGTGGACACACCTTGTTCTCATCTTTGGTTCTTCTTTTTTTCTTTTTTCCAGTTCGCTTCCTCTTCTGTTTTTCTTAATTTCTACACGATGGCTGAAATCAGCTGCGCAGATACTGCGAAACTCCGTCAGTCAAACCCCCTCGTTCTCACTCATGTCAAATGAACCGCTACTAAATCCCGTAGAGAGAGTCGATTCGCAACCTGAGAACCCCTATGCCAAGCTGATCGAGGAACAATCCATTTCGATCATCCCTTCCTTCAAGCTTGAATCCGGTGTCACCCTTTACAATGTCCCAGTCGCATACACCACGCGGGGCACGCTCGCTCCCAGCGGAGACAATGTGTTGGTGATCTGTCACGCCCTCAGTGGCAGCGCCGATGTCGCCGACTGGTGGGGTCCTCTTCTCGGTGGACCCGGTCAAGCATTTGATGTCTCACGATTCTTCGTCGTTTGCCTGAACAGTTTGGGTAGCCCGTACGGAAGTGCAAGTGCCGTGACCTATAAGGATGGTAAGCCTGAGAATGGCTACTATGGGCCTGAATTCCCCTTGACGACCGTCCGTGATGATGTCAACATCCACAAACTGGTTTTGGATGATCTTGGGGTTAAACAGATCGCCGCGGTGGTCGGAGGATCCATGGGTGGAATGTTGACCTTGGAATACGCGTTCTTTGGAAAGGACTATGTGCGAGCTATTGTGCCTATTGCCACTTCGGCGCGCCATTCCGCATGGTGCATCAGCTGGGGTGAGGCGCAGAGACAGAGCATCTACAGCGATCCTAAGTACGATGATGGCTACTATGCATTCGAAGACCCGCCATCCACCGGCCTCGGTGCGGCTCGTATGTCAGCACTCCTCACGTACCGCAGTCGCAACTCCTTTGAGTCCCGCTTTGGCCGCAATGTACCGGATCCAACGAAGCCGCGCAACATCAATGGCACCGAAAAGCTGCCTACTCCCCCGAACGAGCACTGGGCCATTCACAATGATGGACACCGCGGTGGAGTCACCTCTCGCTCGCAGAGTAGACAAGGCTCACCGGCCCCTATCAATGAAGCCGAGGTTCAGTTCATGGACCCCCAGTTCTCCGGCACGAAGACCTTTGCGCCAGAAGCCGACACGAAGCCGAAATTGACTGCCTCTGGCCGTCCTCGCCCACCAACATATTTCTCTGCGCAATCCTACCTTCGTTACCAGGGTGACAAGTTCGTGAAGCGATTCGATGCCAACTGCTATATTGCCATGACCCGCAAGCTCGATACGCACGACGTGTCCCGCCGTCGGGGTAATGCTAGCGCCGATAATGAGGATTCGGTCCATGCAGCCCTCGGACGGATTGAACAGCCAGCTCTAGTCCTTGGCATTGAGTCGGATGGTCTTTTCACCTTTGCAGAGCAGCAAGAGATTGCCGCTGGCATTCCCAACTCTCGACTCAAGCGCATTGACAGCCCGGAGGGTCACGATGCGTTCTTGCTTCAATTCGAACAAGTCAACCGCCACATCGTCGAGTTCTTCCACGAAGTTCTCCCCGATATCATGGCGAAATCCGGCGACGAAGCCGCCGCTGTTGCAAGTGTCACTAAACTGACAAAGAGCAGCACCTTCGGTGAAGCCGAGGTGGAGGACATCACCGCTTGGTAAAGCGATGATTTCAAAACAGTATTGTTAGGCGCAGGTTTGTCTGCAGCCATTCCCATGCTCTAGTCTGGGTCCAGAATCCCGTCCTGGGATCCGCGTCCTGAGCAGATGTCATGGTGTATTAGGGGAAGTGGGTTGCCGTTCTTTTTTCCGTTCCGCCAGTCAGGGAGATGAGCATCCAACTGTCTCTCCCGTCTCTCACTCGGCTTTTGTCCTTGTCCGAGAAGACTGCCAAAGAAGCATCCAACTGCTCTCCATCAGACCCGCCTCTGGGTCGACTCTCCTTGGAGATTCCCGCCAGGGGTGATGGGTCTTTTCGATATCCATAGATACAGGTTGTATTGCCATAAGCATTATAACGTCTGAACATAGATGAAAATTATATTACTGCACATATTTGCTACATAGAGGGAGGCTGATTTGGTGGATCTGCGTTCGATGGGCCGTGATTGGAGAGGCTGTGTTCTATATATAGGAAGTAAACAATGGATGACCTTGCTGGCCTGTCTGTACACGCCTTAGAGCACCATGAAAGGCATACTAGTAGCAGAGGGGTTATTGCTTAGATACTTTACAGACATCGAAGATACCTAGTAGCTATGAAATCCTGGAGGTGGACAGAAAGTACATTGACATGACCTCAAATCCATAGAACTACATTAGCCGCCAGCCCCAGAGAGATGAGACGATACATATCAAAGGACACGAATAGGCTGAAAGGAAATCCAGAAAATCTCTCATCCTCGCAAATTCAAACGCGCTTGTGGAGTCGATTGGGTGAAACGTAGACCAAAACACGAGGTATGTGAACTATACGAGCCACATACGAGCATCGCCACCCTAGGGCTTCAAATCGCCCCCAAAAGTTTCAAGAGACTGCTAGTAAAAGGGAAGAAGAGTGTCCGCACCTGAAGTTATGCAGAAAGATTATGCATACCAAGACTGGTGGGGTCAAAAATCAATACTGGCACGTCCGTCGGTTGCCTCAGCGGCTCAGCCCCGGACTAACGAATCCCAGCAGCCTCGCACAAATAGTAGAACGATAATCACCCCGGTGCCTCTGTCGTGCTCGGCTATGATGCTATCCCTTAACACGAAAGCGATATTGGTCACTGCGATCCAGAATCACAACCTTGTCCGATAGCCCCGCCGCCTCGACCACCCGCTTGAAGTCTTCCAGCGGACTCGCAAACACGTCGTAATCATCATAGTGGATTGGGATTGTAATGTCTGGCTGGATCAGCTGGATCAATTGAAGGCCCTGCTCCGCATCCATAGTGACCATCAACGCTAGCGGTTCCATGATTCTTCCCACTAGCGGAGATGGAATGGTCGTGCCGCCGAGATGGGCGAGCATCAGATCAATTTGTTGGCCTGCATATCGTTTGGGAATTTCGTGCAGGTCATCTACCATGAGGGTGTCACCTGAGATGTAGATCCGGTATCCACACGAGAATTCAGCAGTGTTATGGGTGCCGCTGCCTAACTCGAGCATCCAGCCGTTGGTTGGCGGAATCTTCCAAGTTGTTAGATGAATAGCCATCTAATTGAAACGGAAACGGCAGATAAAAATCTAGGTACTCACGGCGCTGACTAGTGCATTGAGCTTCTGTACCACTGAATTAGGAGGTATGTGCTGTCCGGGCATTCCCGTCACTCGCAATCGGGACCCTGTTGACCCTGCTATGCCTTCGATGTCGACATTCATCTGCTCGAATGGATCGAGTGCATGCACAGATGTGAAGGAATCCTCATTCTTAGAAGTAAGGTGCTCCTTTGCATGGGGTGTAGTTATGATCGGGAGATCACGTCTCAGTGAAGCCTCCACCTTTCTATCAAAATGGTCCCTGACAATATCAGTACAGGAGTCTGCCCAATGAGTTGCCCCTCAGACCTACTCATGATAATGTGAGAGAAGGACCAAATCAATTCGAGGTAATTCGTGCAGGTCGACAGCCGGTTCGGTCAGGCGCTTGCTTGATACGCCTGGGCCAAGATGAACATGGTCGCCCGCATGAAGGAAGTTGGGCTATTATAGTCAGCTTCGGAGTAGTCAATGTTCCAAGTATCAAGTGCTGACATCAGTCATAATCCGTAATCCAGCCCAGTGGGATGCTGCTTTACCACTTTGGCTCCAGGTAATTGTACCGGGATAGAAGTAGACAGTGGAAGGTCCCGAGTTGGAGGGTCATTCCTCTGCGGGTCAATTGAGATACTCTTCATGATCGAGTAATGGAGGAATAATTGGCATACATCTACACAGTAAGAGACATGAGGGAGGGGTTGAGCTAGTTCAATATGTTAGGTTGCTCGCTGCGTATGTATGGCGTCATCAGCGATAGTACAAAAAGGAAAGAAACAAACAAAGCAACAAATGTGCATTCTGGCAGACAAACATGCAGCCTGTGGCACCAAGGCCTCAACAGGTTGGGAATCTCGAAGCAAAAGAAAACATCAACTCGCGTTTGAACGCGCGATCACGTGGATAAAGGCCCTTACATACAAGGCCGGGAGACGTCAACTGACAAGGTGGGTCCAGTTGTCATCTGCAGCAGGCAGGATGCCCTGGCACTTTTCCTTGGCGAAATCTTTGGCTTGGCTATAGATTGTCAGATTTTGCGTCAAGACAAGGAAGATAATCATAGGGGACATACACGCTCCTCCCAGACCCGGCCGGGGCCATACTTCTTTCGCCACCCAGGAACCTTGTCAATAATGTCATCGAGGCCAAGTTTGCTGTTCGGTAGGGGTCCAATAACCAGGTTACCTGCAAACCACACGCTAACCTCCCCAAACACCACTTTGAGGTCGCCATGACGGTAAGCGTTCAGGATAGCATCACGGTTGACCATAGTGTCGGGATCAACAGACGCAGTATCAAGGTCAAGGATACTTTCAGGACGAACGACAGGCCTATCACGGTAACTATACTTCAGAATCTTGATCCTCCACAAGACATCAGGGTCAAGGTCAGCTGGCTCGTCAGGGTCGATCCTACGCTAGCATGTCAGCAGCTGGGCGGATGATGGTAGGGATATTATAATCCTTACGGAGGTTCGGACGGTGTACGCTCCAGAAAGTTATCGCGTGCCTTGGTGGCAATTTGGACATTGGAGCCTTTGGCAATCATATCGTTGTATATAGAGATCATTCTGTTTCTTTCACTGAATAAAATAACGATTAGCTTAGATCCCACAAGCCATGTGTCATACGTTAAGGCATAGCATACCCCACATAATCACGATTGAAGATAGCGCGCTCCACATCCTCCTTGGGATACTTCTTTAGCATCTCATCCACAGTAAGTCCCTTTGAAGGCGTTGCGGGGGTGCTGTCGCCGTTTGGTCGTTCTGCCATCTTTATTGGGAGAAATGGATCAACAGTATGGTCTCTGCCCTCTGTACGGCCTGGTGAGACAGAGAACAAGGATGAACAAGGAGAATACTGATAATATTTGACAGGTTTTTGATGAAATTCGCGAAAGCCTGACAATACACAAAGACGAGAGAGACGAGTTGGACGTAGAGATATCAAGATCGCTCTCCGAGTCTGGGTTTCTCCGACCTCCGCCCAAGTATGTACCGGTAATCGTGACGTGTCACATGAAATTTGAAGTACTGTTGGAGGCGCTGATGAAGTCGAATGCCTTGATCTCGACTGGCTGACATTCTCATAGCACTGCAGGCATTGCATCGTCACTGTATCCACGCCCCTCGAGCCAAGCTGGTCGATGGGAAGCCTTTGATTGGCACAATGGCAGTTCAAATGGGTATAGCCTTATAGGTCCTGAAAGGACATGGATTTAGATTTTCGAGGCAAAGTTGGTGGAATTAGTGCATGATCGGTTAGATCATCATAGATGAATCTCGACAATGCTGGCACTGCTAGTGCTTCGCTTCTCGCTCCTCAGTCTTCGATCAAAATCGGCTTACTGGAAGACAACCGCAAGCACTTGCACTGTGTGCAGACCTTGGAAGCCGTTATGAGCAAGGAAAGATAAAGTTGATGTGTACACTGTACACAGTAGAAGGTAAAGAAAGACTGTATACTGTAGAAATATAGATTCTCCGGATCTGATTGGTCGAGAAAGTAATTCTGCCGATTCTCACCGATAGACATCTAGAAATTTGGGGACATGCCACCATCAAGACAGTCACGTGACACGCACGCGGTACCCTCTATTACAGATAGCTTCGCTAACGCTCAGCAATCAGGATTAGCGGGAGTAGCAGCGGCCATTCCAGGGATGTCCGCAGTCATTTCCTTCATCTGGAGACTGGATGGGTTTATCCATATCCTACAGCTAGGAACCAGCACGCTGGATAGGAATAATGAATATTGGCCAAAGTGACACATGTATTGTGATAACGGTCGCATAGACTAGGTAAATAGTTCCCGTACTTTATCTTTCGACGTCTTAACTGGTTCTTGTACTAGTCGGAAGTGGCCAATGCGACGCAAAGCCAACTGGCCAAGCGAATAGGTGCCGGGCACGAGTGACTTTTGCTTCGTATCCACCAACGGTGCAAGCAGAGCCGCATTAGGACGATGTGAGACATCTACCCCACATGATGCCGGCCATTGTTCGAGTCTATCCAGATGCCGGTAGGTACTGGGGCCAAACCCGAGGAAGTGAATTGAGACAACCTTTCGGTTCTGACCGACAAGGGATTTGAATTTATTCTGAAGACAATTTAGCTAGTAGCCACGGCGTGGAGCTCATCACGTCCGCGCAGCGCTAATATGGCAAAATAGGCTATTTAGCCACGCGTCGGTTCTATTCGAAAGAGGCAATGGTTCAGATCTGATGTATCCCATCTTTTCAAGAAAAAGAAAATAAGCCGAGCTGATGAGTTCCCGAGGTTGCTGGTGGAAATTGCCTGGATAGCTACTTGTTTGTCTAATAGTATGAGTGTTCCCGAGGTCTGAATGCTTGTGTCTAGGGGGCTATTGTGGCTACTGTGGATCTGCATAGATGGAGTTATTCTTAGCGAGCTCTGAATGTTTGTTAAGAGGCTCAAGACTCGGTCCAGATCGCTCGAAAGTGGCGTAAAGTATTCACTTGAGTCAGTCGGACTCCGTAGTCCTTTGCATTTACCCCGGCGATGTTATATCTGTTCGGGAAAGGAAGATCAGACAGGTCATGGAGTCGATAACAATGGATTTAACAGTAAACTCCCCCTATGAACGTTGAAAACAAGACAAACGGAATAGAATAGGGGGGTCTAGACAGTCTAAGCGTTGGTCCTCTGTTGATCTCAGCCCCATTTGGCGTTAGTTATCTCGGATGGCTTAAGAAGTCTTGATATGCCGATGATCCAGCCCTAACCGTTTCATTTTCTTATTTGATCTTGTGATTCCGTTCCAAGGTTGGGCTAGATCCTATTAATTGTACCTGATCCCGGCAGATCGCTTATGCACTCTCTAATTAGTCGCTACGACTATCTACCAGGGCCACCCGGCCATGTCTTTTTACTCTTTAATGACTGGGCCCCCCGTCTGACACAGTGACGCTTGACAAATGAACATCTATCTCCAAGACATTTTCCCTTCTCCCTTTACCCCAGTGAGAGTTTAAGATATACAAGTCTCACATACAATGTGATTTTGGTCGACGTTGCGCGACATTCCCCCTCCACCCCGCATACCAGACGGTTGTACCGACAACGGTTGGGTTTATCTCTTCATTGCGATTGACATCACATAGCTCGGAAATTACCTGGACGTTGGTATCTGCGCATCAGAACCAGTTATCTGGGTTGCTGGGGACGTTTGGGTCTTCTAGAACCCGCATAACCGTTGGCTCCATTGTTTGTCTGCATACAGACTCCGCCCCTTTCTCTTGGATCACTCTTCGTCTCTCTTGACATCTCTCATCAATTTGGTTGAACTAAACCCATCCCTTCGATTGATACAAGACCATCGGAGAATAGATCCCACCCTGGGCGCCATGGAGCGAAAGCTATCAGCAAAGGCCAAGATGCGACGCCGTCTAACCTTCAGCCGAAGCAATTCGGAGCACACCAGAGACCGATCATTGACAGTCGTCTCACCTAGCGAAACAAGCCGACCGGACAGTCGTCCACGCTCAGCATCCAGTCCCCAGTCTCCCACGCAGGACGAGCCAACGTGGGACAGCAACCGCAACTCCAGCCGGGGTTACAGTTTCACGGACGAACCAGGCTACTTCCGCCCTGACTCACCGTTAATCGACCGCCAAGAGGTCGAAGAAGACCTCGAAGCTGATATCAAACATGCATGCGCTCTTCTATCCCACAGCATTGACCGCGGCATTCCCGCCGGATTGTCGTATCAAAGCGCCGTACCAGACTGGACAAACGGGAACAAAATCGCCGGCCAACCGACTGCCAATATAGCACCATCGTCTCTGGAGCAGGATGTTCCTCTCCTCTCGGCGCCCAAACCAACGGACCCCGGAACAGATAGCACCAAGAAACATGACTCCGGCGTCAGCATGAGCTTCAATTCTCCCGGCCAACAGAGGAGACCATACGGCAACAGCGTATCCGGCACCGATACACGCTTCTACAATAAACAATCCCAATCCCAATCCGCCTCACCACCACACAGCCTGGCAGCAACAATCGAAGAAGACTGGAAAAGATCCTACACTTCCAGTCTAGACCCATTCCCATACAGTCCACCCAACCAGCACAACAACTGGACAACAGACCCATTACTCGACAGCCCCGTCAGCCCCGTCAGCCCACCAAACGAACCCGAAAAACTCGAACCGGTCTGGTCCAACACCAGAACATCCCAAAACCACGCGAGCAACAAACCAGACCCATCCCCAATAAGCCCATTAGCCCCCAGCCTCGGCGAAGCAGGCAGAACCTGGCTACGCGCAAGCAAAAACCTCGAAGAAGAAAGGCCAAAGCCCTCAGGCCGCTTCTACAGCTCCAACAGCCGAACGATCACCGCCTCCGATTCTCGCCAATGGAAGGATTCCTGGGAAGAGCGCGTCCCAAGTCTCTATGGTGATGCCTCGATGGGTGCTGTGATGGGCAACGGGTCCAGGAATGGGAGTAGTTGGGGGGATGGAACTAAGACGCCGAAAATGGGTAGTTTGTCGACGGATGAGGACTCGTCTGGCGCATATCCGTACCGGGTGTGGGCGGGGAATGGACATGACCGTGGGATGTCGTGTGCCTCGTTGGGATTCGGCGTGGAGGATGGGTTTAAGCATCGGGAGAATGTTTATGTTGTGCCGAGTGAGAGGAGTCGGTGGAAGAAGGCTTCGGTTTTGTTTAGGAGGTTGGCTGGGTTAAGGAGGAGGAAGGGGGAGAAGAGTGGGAGTGCCAATGGGGATGGGGATGTGGTTTGTTAAGGGACTGTTTATGGGGTTGGAGTTTGGATTGGTGCATTTGGGATTGGAGCATTTCTTTTTGATTTCTCTCTGTATGGGCTGGGATAGGGCTTGTATTATTTTGTTCGGTTCTATGTAGATACCCTTTGTTTTCGTTCAACATTTACCATATCAGCAGGGGTCGAGTCTCATGTATTCACAGCTGTGTGTTAGTTTCTAATCCAAAAAGCATTCTTATCGAAACCTACAGTGTTCAAGATGGCATAGCTGACTGTATATCCACATAAGACATTTGCCTAAGCAAGGTGAACGCATTCTCAAAGTCGTAAGATAGTCCGTCCTAGACCAAGACAAAGCCCTAACCTACAAACCAAGCCAGAACCTAGTCCTCCCAACCTCAAACTCACCCCGCAACTCCTCATCCCCAGTCCCCGTGACAAGAACTTTATACAACCCCTTCTCAGAGATCCACTGCTCCCTCTCCTCATCCCACCAACTCGTCGCCAACTTCTTCTCAACAACCAACTCCACAGTCTTCCTCTCACCAGGCTGCAAGAATACCTTCTTAAAAGCCTTAAGCTCACGCACCGGACGCCCAACATCCGTCATCGGCGGCAAAACCCACATCTGCACAATCTCCGCACCAGCCACCTCTCCCGTATTAGCCACAGTCACCGAAACAGTAACCGGCTCCCCAGACTCAGCGTACTTAGCCTGTTCAGGGACAGTGTCGACATGCAGATCGGTACGCTCGAAGCTCGTATACGACAGCCCATGACCGAAAGCAAAGGCAGGCGCCACATCACTCTTCTCGTAATATCGATAACCGACGTAAATGTCCTCGCCGTAGAGGACGCGGCCGCGCTCGGAGCGGAAGTTCAGGTACGAGGGGTTATCCTGTAGGCGAACGGGGAAGGTAAGTGGCAGCTTTGCGGAAGGGTTGACGTCGCCATAGAGGACATCGGCGATACCGTTGCCGAGCTCGTTACCGCCGAACCAGGCTTGCACGAGGGACTTGGCTTTATGTACCCAGGGCATGGTGACGGGTGTGCCGGACTGGATGACGACGACTGCGTTGGGGTTTACGTCCAGGACGCGGCTGATCAGGTCGTCGCTGCCCGGGGGTAAGTGCATGTTTTGGCGGTCGTGGCCTTCTGTTTCCCATTCGAGGGTTAGGCCGGCGAAGATGACGACTTGGGAGGCGGTTTTGGCTTGCTCGACGGCCTTGGAGATGAGCTCTTCTTGGCTTACGCGGCGGCTGGCGCCGAAGCGGAAGCCGCCCGGTCCGAAGGCGACGATGCCGCGGGTGTCGAGGTCTGAGGTTGGGGCGCTGCCGAATTGGAAGAGGACTTTGTAGGTCTGGCCGGCGGTGAGCTCTTTGGTGCCTTTCTCTTCGATGGTTGCTGTGCCGAAGAAGGCGGAGCCTTGCTTTTGGTTCTTGGTGTTGTCGACGACGATTTCATCGTCGATGAGGAGGCGGCCTGTGCCGACGACTGTCACGCCGAAGTCGTAGACGCCGCTCTCCTCGGGGGTGTATGTTCCCTCCATATCAACGTAGTAGGTGTTGGACTTGATTTTGGGGTTGACGTAGTCCATCAAGAAGCCGGATGATTCGAGCAGGTGCAACTCGTCCACGACCTGTCGGTCCTCGCTGGAGTCGGGATGTTCATTGTAGACCTTGAAAATGAAGCCAGGCTTGCCGTCCGCGGTCTTCATCAGCGGACCAAGAAGCGGGAGATCCTTGTGAGAATACACGCCTTGGCTGAACTGGACCTCTCCTTCACTCTTAGCGGAGACACCATCGAACGGAGTGACGGTATAGTACGGAGCCAAGGACGCAGAGCCACCACCGGAATAGGCGGAAATCTTCGCGTTAGGTCCAATGACCAGAAGAGAGCTATCTTTCTTCAGGGGAAGGATATTGTCCTCGTTCTTCATCAGTACCACAGACTCAGCGGCGGCACGGCGCATCAGAGCCTGATCTTCTGGCCGGTTGAGAGCTTTCTCAGGTGCTCCCTCTGGGATACCCAGGGGCTCCACCCAGTTAACCAGATTGAGCACATTGCGCACGCGCTCGTCAAGCTGATATTGCGCCACCTTATTCGAAGAGACGGCGTGGGCAAGAGCCTCGCCACGCCAACGGGTCTTACCGGGCATCTCGATATCGAGACCAGCAATGACGGCATCAGAAACGCTGTAGGTACCAAACCTGAGAACCAGCGAAACATTAGTAACAATCACCTCAACCAAATCACTCAAATCAGAGGCAACTCACCAGTCACTCATAACAACACCCTCCCACCCCCACTCCTTTCGCAAGATATCATCAATAATAGCCTTATTCTCACTAACATGAATCCCATTAACCTTATTATAAGCCGTCATCACACACTTAGAGCGACAAATCCGCATAGCCAACTGAAATGGCAGCAAATAAATCTCCCTCAGCGCACGATCAGTAACAATACTATTAACCGCCAGACGCTCATGTTCCTGATCATTGCAGACAAAGTGCTTGAGCGTAGCAGCAACGCCTTTATCCTGCATCGACTTGCAGAAGTATCCAGCCAGCGTGCCGGAAAGCACACCGTCCTCGGAGAAAGACTCGAAGCCCCGACCGCCAAGCGGGGATCGTTGCGTGTTGATCGTGGGACCCAGGACGATGTGAGTGCCTTTCGCGATCGCTTCTTCGCCCATCAGTGAGCCGACCTCGGACAGCAGCTCGGTGTCCCAGGTTGCGCCGAGGGCTGTGGCGCAGGGGAAGCATGCTGCTGGGATGCCGTTGAAGAAGCGTGTGCCGCGGACGCCATTGGGGCCGTCGGACATGCGCAGGGCGGGGATGTTTAGGCGTGGAATTGAGGCTGTGTGCCAGAAGTCTTGGCCTGATGGGATGGGTGTTAGTTCTTGACCTGGTTCCATAGGTTCGTGAGGTTGTATGACTGTATTTACCTGCTGTGAGGGCCACCTTCTCGCCGAGGGTTAGCTCCTCGATGGTCTTTTCGACGTCGATGCGAGCCATGATGAATTGGAGTTTTTTTGGGTATGTATTATTTGGTTTTACCGCTTCCTCGTGTTCAGACGAGTTGCTCTAACCCCAATCGAGATTTATAGGAAACCGCTGTTGTTTCAAGCTTGATGTTAACAGAGCTATCAAGGGGGATTCGGTATGACAACCTGTCTCTAAGTACCTCACAGAACGGGAATGCTGCGAAGTAGAACGACCCCGAGACATTCTTATAATCCTGCAATGGCAAAGGAGAGTCAGATGGATCAAAGCAAGGCGTCCGATTGCGAACTTGACCCGTCTCGGCGGGGAAGCTGTCTTAGCTGTGGAGCGGTGCATATCCAATGACGTTCGCAATGTGAGCTGAGGAGTTGGACCAAACAAATGATATGCAAGATATGCAGCGAATTGTCCACGTCTCTCTCGAAACGTCACGGAGGTCGTTGCGAGCCCGAGGTTTAGCCGGTAGGGTGGTCCTATGGGGGCGGGGCAGCGGAGTCGGAAGTCGGACCGTCCAGGCCGTGATGGTCTAGTACAGAATCCTACAGATATCAGCTACGAAGAAATTAGGGCACAAGATTAAATCATTGCATTTGAATATCCTGTTACGTTCATTCAGAGTTGGGAGAAAAAGTACATGTGAAGAAGTGAAGTAGTCCCCAAACACCGGGCAGGATGCAAGACAAGAACAGAGCAAGATAGGAAAAAGTAGAGCCAGTGTAGGGAGTACAGGGTTTGTAGAGTTCGTAAACAGGAGCAATGGAAACATCAGAATAGGAGAGCAATATCCGATCATTTTTCGATCGAATAGAAAAAAAACAGATGGCGATAGGAATCACTGTCCTCGACGAGGACGCTTGTTGTCGTTGCCCATGCGCATGCCGCGGGCACCACCGTCGCCAACATTGTCATCCTGACCTTGTCGGCCGCGCTTACGGTGGCCAGAGCCCCCAGAACCGCCGCCGCCGTCACGATAATGGTCCCGATCACGTCGATCACCGCGGCGCTCGCGCTCGCGGTCCCGATTGTCGGACCGATTACCCCGGTCACCGCCAGAATTGAAACGACGCTCGTTACCCTCCGACATAGGAAGGGGTGGAGGGGGAGGAGGGGGCGGTGGGGGAGGTGCTCCCATGGAAGACGGTGGTCGCAGACGGCCTTCTGCTTCATGGCCGTCAGGTCCGCTCGGGGGTGGTCCCATCTCGGGCGGCCCATCGGGTCGATCACGTCGGTCTCGGCGCCTCAGCTCTTCACGCGAGCTCTGGACACGGCGCAAGGTCTCACGGGGTTCCCCGGTGCCCTTGTCATCGCGGCTTCCGCCCACATCACTGCGGCGACTGCGTTCACGGTCGTTTCTGCGACCATCACGTCGGCTGCGGCCATTGTTGCTGCCGTCGTGACGTTCAGGCTCCTTCTCACGAGTGAGGTCCAATTCACGGTTGCGATCACCAGCACGTCCGGAGCGCGCACTGTCAGGAACAACGTCATCAAGAAGATCACCGCCTCTGCCACCATTGGGTCGGTGGCGGGGTTGATCGTCTGGAGGTCCTGCAGGGCCCAAGGGTGGGCGGTTCGACGGCTGAGGCGATGGTGCCTCCATCGTGCTCGATGGCCGATTGGCCCCTCTTCCACGCACAGGCGGGGGTTTCCTCCGCGGTCACCGCCAGCGCCGCCAGATTGTTGAAGCATGTTGTTAAGGCCAGCAAAGCGTTTATCACCACGTCCACGCTCTCCACCGAAGCCCTGTCCGGGCGATCCAGATTGACCAGACTGCGCAGACGGTCCTCGGGGCGGTTGTTGTTGACCTGCTCCGCGAGGACCTGAGGGGGAATAGCTGGGGGCGCCGGCTCGTTGACAAGATTTCTGAGACGGTCTGGATGAATACCCGGGGCAGCAGCTGCGGTCGACGGTTGTGTTGGTGCAGCGGGTGGCTCGGGTGCGATACGGGAGCCTACTCGACCCGGGCCTGTCGGTGTCTGACGTTCCGTGGCGGGCAATGTAGCATTGCTTGAGCTAAGCATTGGGGGAGCCTGTCCAGGAGCATTACGTGCTCCGCGTCTTCCGCGAGGACCAGCAGGGATCTCAGCTGCTGGTTCCGGCTGGCGAAGCCGACCATGAGCCATATCAGGACCCTGTGCAGTATCCCTCGGATCGCCCTGCCGATCAATGCGAGGGCCCCGGGGAAGATCATCAATGCGGGAAGATGGAGGTCCGGTAGGTCTGCGATCGTCGGGGGGAGGGAAACGCTCCGGTCGCGTGGGCAAGTCAGCGGGCCTAGGTGGCGACAAAGGGCGTGGGGGATAAGGTCTTCGATCATCTTTGTCTGATCTAGAGGGATTCCCACGCCGAGGCATATCGATTCCGCGGTCCACGTGGTCAGGCATCAATTCACCTCGTGCAGGGGCATCGCGCCCATGGAAAGAATCATTGGGCCCAGGCCCACGCATACGGCTGGATCGATCCATGGGCCAGCCGTTTTCGCGACCAGAACGAGCATCATGAGGTGGTCCGCGCATGAGATCATCAGTTGGGGGTCCTCGAGCGAACTCGCGCTCGCGTTGTTCACGTTCGTTAAGATGCTCATTGAGACGTCCTCGAACGTCGTTGGCAGGAGCATCGAAAGAGCGGACATGGTCAGGGCCACCATGACGACCTCGGGGACCGAAGTCGGGATGCCTGTCTCGTCGGTCATCCAATCCCTCGGGACGAGGGGGCAGTCTCCCATCACCGTGTCGGGGCGGTGGGCGAACGGGCGGATGGACTTGTTGACGAATATCAGGTCGCTTGGGGATATCAGGCTGACGAGACGAAGTGGGAGCACGGGAATTTGGTCGAGATCGCACAGGCGCTGATTCGCCAAATGAAGCGTCTTGGTGGATATCCCCGGCAACGACGGATGGAGTTGTAGATCCAGTCTGAGAGGGTGTGCTAATTTGCTTGGAATCGCCCCTCTTGTCTGTGCCAGCATCGGTCATCTTCGCATCCTCAATTTCTCCATCTTCAACATCAGTCTTGCCAGAAATTTCCTGCTTAGCAGTACTATCGGCTCTGGAGATGGAATGGTTAGTGGTTATGAGAACAAGATACTCTGGGCTTTCACTTACTTTGACGGGTTGAATACTGGGGCCGCGGCATTCAGCGCTGCAGCAGTCTGAGGGGTCCCGGGCTTTGAAGCAGCATCGCCAGACGGTTGAGCGCCAGCCGGGGTTGCCACGAAGTAGAAAGCCTGTGGCAGCATCCATTTCTTCTCCCTCCGATTCAGGTCACCGATCAGGGAGGCAGCGGGAATCTTGACGTCGTCTCGTTCGTCATTCTTGCTCAGGTTATCAACACAGTTCCGGATATCGCGACCAATCCAGTTAACAGCAGGGAAATGCTGCACGACGGCTTTGAGCACACTGATTGCATTTCGAATATGCATGTATTCCTTGCTGTCGAGACAGGTCTTCAGCGCGTTAGAGAGCAAGCGGTGCCATTTGTATAACAAACGGCGGAAGTCTTCGAATTCTAAGAACGTGACTGGAACACCATCCTTATCGACGTTCTTCGCGAAACCAGGAAGGTCTCTTTTGGCACCGAAGGCCTCTTTCTCGTAGACTGCCTTGTCAGCATGCCATCTGCTAAGATCACGCAGGATCTCATTCAGGAAACGACCAAGATTGTCTGCTTCTTTGGAAGTGCACAAGAAGATCAGGGTGGCGAGTCTTTGCTCGCGGAAGAGCTGGTCGAGGAGACCGACCGTCCGGAAGTTGGGAGTTCCAGAACTGTGGAGGAACTTCAACATCTTGAAGGCGAAAAATGCATCAAGTGGGGACAAGGAAAGTCGAGGAATAAAGCATTGCTCCAGCAGGGCAATATTGAGCGAGTCATGCTTGAGGCGCATGCCAGCAAACCACTTATCTTTCTCCTTCTGCAACCGAGAGCGTGTCTGTCCATATGCCTTCAGGTGATTCTTGTTCTCCTCCAGGATGCGCTCTTGCAGCTGAGTAAGCTGCCTCTTCGAATGCTCCTTTCGCGTGGTGCCCGCCACGCTGAGATCGCTTCGATCATTGTTGATGGAAACGACTCGCCGTTTGAGCCGGTCGATTTCATCCTCGTAGGATTTCTGCGGGATATGGATATCATACAGGGAAAGCTGCCAGAATGTTGCGTAGAAGTGTGCGCCGATAGTTTCCCATGTCTCCACGGGAAGAGCAGATTTGACATCGTCAATCAGATCTTGCATGACTGGGTTTGCTGCCAATGGCTCGGCATTGACCACAAGAGCATCGGGTCCGTCGACTGTCACCGCAACTCCTGAGTCGTCATCGACATCCATAGCATTGTCTGTCGGGGTCTTTACAGACTTTGCAGTCAACACTCCGTCCTCGGAAGTATCCATTGCAGTGCCGTCGTTCGGCTTCGGTGCATCGGATGTGCCCGCGATAGCAGGCTTTCCCTTCTCTTGCTTAGATTCCTCGACGTCAAGAATTTTCCTAGCAATACTAGGGCGTCGAATCCAGAAAGCGATTTCAGGCTGGATGCCAAACGCCTTGATGAGGGTCAAGAAATCGGGGACGAAAGAATCGAAATCATCCACCGAGAGATTGCTGCGAAGCAAATCCAGGTATTGGGTGAGAATGCGGTGAATCTCATCAAAGATATTGCCAAGCAACTTGAGCTCAGATGAACTTTCTTTGTACACACAAGTCAATCGTTCTTGAGCAATGGCAACCAGCAACTGGCCGGCGAGTCGAGTGTTGGTTAATGACTTGAGCAACCTCTTGGAGGTGACCTTGGATTCGTGGCGCTTATCCAAGAGCTGCAAGATAGTCTGAGACTGAAGGACATCACCACCAGCCATAGCCTGAATCTGAGCGTCGTTAAAGTCATTGTCTGATATGATACCAGCCATTGAGCTAATCAACTGCTCCAGTACAATAAGATCAGTTGAGTTGTTGTGTCGCAATTGCTCAACGACATACTGCAAAACTGGAGTAGGGTCCATGAATGAGTAGCGCTTGTAGATTCGACCTGCGAAGGTGGATAGCGCATTCAACCAACGACTAGTCAAGAGACCACCTTCCTGGACGTGACTGCGTCCTTTCTGGCCAAGCGAGTTGATGAGAGCCCAAGAAAGAATGTCGTATCCAAGATAAGTGAAGTAGCGTGCGCACTCAACCACAACTTCGATGAGGTTCTCATAAGACTCAATCTGGCCGATGGCGACATTGATGACAATGCCAGGGTTGGCGTAAGCGATCTTCGCCAATGCGCGGGCCATGGGACGGATGTTGGTCTTGCTAAGTCGCTTGAGGGTGTCCTTGGTCTCCGCTCTTGCCTGATCGAAGGCCTCCTTGATGTCGGGCAGCCGGGACGTCTGTCCCGAGTACCACTCTGCGTACATGTTGTATCGCACCTCTCGAGAGAAGAAACTGATGAGATCGAAAACTTCATTGACAACGCCGGGATTCGCTTTCGTAAGACTGACAGCCGGCAGGAGAAGGCGCTTGCAAAGGTCGCGCCAACGTGCGAAGTTCTCTTCAGACCCGTCCTGAATCAAGCTTCCTTTCCCAATGCGTACAAGTTTCGCCAGAAGAGTTGCATCCTGTCCAATCCTGTGACCGGAGACATTCAGGAAGGACGAGCAGAGAGCGAATACATCATCGATAGACCGGCATACGGGAATGTTGTCAGCCCAATCGTCCCAGTAGAACCGATAGTCAGTCCCGTCATTGGTATCTTCTTTATCCAATTGAGCCCATCGCAGTGTTCGCCTCGCAGGCGGAGCCGTGAGGCCGATCTGGCCCTTGGCGTTGCCGCTTTGGTCAGAGGTCACCGCGTACTTAGCTCCAGGGAAGTCGCCGGTTGAGGCCAATGGTCGGAATTGAACGTAAACCTTGTTCAAAGAGTGATGAAGGATACGGTGAACGAATTCCGGCAGTTCAGGGTAGAGATCCATCAGCCAGGGGAACTTGCTAATGATGAAAAGAGATTCGGGGATTGCACCAATGGCGAGGAGACTCTTCAGCAGCAAGACTTTCTGGTCTGACGGATCAGGCAACTCGTTCTCGGGCTTGGATGTGCCTTTGTCAGATTCTTGATCTTTAGCTGGGGTACTAATCCGCGGCTCGTCGCGCAGACGGGAGGGGGTTGTGTGTCATCTGACAAAGCGCCAGCCATCATCAAAGCGTTCATTCCACCGCCTGGTCGAGCAGCCTTGATTCTCTCGGCTTTCTCGGCCATTTTCTCGTTCTTCAAAGTCTCCATGGTGTCATCTGATCGCCAAAGGTGGGCATAGAGATCACGTAGGGAAATGAAGCCAACCTTGATGAGCAGGGCAGCAAGGTAGATGAGGTTATCAGGAAGAACATCGGCCTTGGTTCGAGCCGAGGAAGAGTAGAATCGCAACTTGAATCCAAGTAGCTGGGCTGCAACCCGGTTGCCCTGCGGGGGTAGAGTGCCGGTCTCTTCGAGCCATGCCCGAGTGGCATCTTCTTCAAAGGACGAGTTGGTTTCCGATAGACGCCGCTGCTTTTCCTCCTCCGTAATTGGCTTGCGACCGATCTCGAAGAAGGCACGAAGCCCGACTTTCCGCACTCGATCCCAGAACTGGCTGTCGCGGTCCTCGTTCGCACGCATGATAGACGCCCGCTCCTCCTCCGTCGTAACCCACCCAGTTGATCCAGGGAGTGCCCAATTCGGAAGTCCGGAACGGCGATGGTTTTCCTCGAGGTCGTGGAAGGGGAGCTCCTCCGGCCACCAGGAACTGACCCGCAGAAGCTTCACGAAAAAGCGGTACTGCTTGACAAGGACCGCAGCGAACACGTCCAGCGTAACGTCCAGCACACGACCAACGTCCATATCGAATGCGCCTATCATCGCCTTGACCCTTTCAAAGGTGTCTCGGACCACTTCACTGGACGGCGGCTCATTATTGCTGGTGGTGAACAGCTCGGTGAGAAGCTTGGAGTATCCTTCGGATTCTTCTCGGAGAAGATTGTAATTCGACTGACGATAAAGCAAGTCGGTCTGCTTGCGAATTCCCATACGCGCAAAGGTGTCTCGGACCAATCCTAGAGTTTGCAATAACGGGGTTTCGAGCTGAAGCCGCATCAAAGACGCGTCAATGCCTGTCGCGAATACAAGAGGTTTCAAAGCTGGGTTCGAGGTATCGGAATCCGTCATGATTGAGAGCGTATCAAGGAACAAGGAGCGCGGATCGAATCGTTGGGTAGAATGGGCGCTGTCCACCTCCATAGAGTCTTGGGATCCAGTTTCTTCAATAATCTCTTTGACGGTGTTGCCCGCATTCGATGGCGACAATCGGCCGTAGATCGCAGACCGAATCAGCTCCTGGTAAACACAAGAAAGTCGGACCAGATCTTGTTGCAGACGAGCCGCAGTTCCTTCCTCGATCACCTTTTGCTTGCCGGTAGAGACCCATTTCTCAACGACATGGTCGGTCACGAACTCGTAATCATAGGGAAGGGACGGAATGGGGGGACGGCTAATGGTCTCCGAGCCAGCTCGAGACTGCGGGTTATGCGCTTGTGAGGCGGGAGTATTCGGCGCGGGAGAAGGAGTAGGGCGTGCTGGAGCCGAGTCCCCATTGTACGAAATCGGTTCGGCATTTTCTTTGGGCTGACTGATCGGAGGCGGAGACATGGCATTCGGTTCTTTATGCTGCGAGCTCGAAAGATTCTGGCCATCATGGGATCCGCGTCGGGAACCAGCCCGGTTGCGATGCGATTGTCGGCGAGATTTGTCACGCGAGTCGTTCTGCTCTCTGGGAGAAGGGGATTGGTGACCCTGGTTCGTAGAGTGATGTGCCATGTTGAGGGCACCAGGGCGATGAGGCGAAGGTCGGTTATTGTCATTGTTCCCTGCATCGCCGGAGCGCTCGTTGCGCTTTCGCTTACCACCGTGCCCGTACCCAGGCGCCATGGTGGGCAGCCAAGTTAGACACGAGGGGTTACAACAGTGAAACGAGACGCTGGAAGATTGAAACACATGCAGTTGTGCCTGTAGGAACTCGAGAGAATGTGTCAGATCTTGTAACGAGTGAGGGAGAAGATAGGAAGCAGAATGCGCGCTGCAGGCTTACCAAAGAAAGTCTTTCGTCGGAGCGAAAAAGAGATGGCGGAGACCAACGGCGTGTAAGGTGAAGATGGAAGATGCTGATGGTCAAAGCGTTCTGCTATTTAAGTAGTGCCTGAGGTGTCATTCATCTATTCAGCTATTTACTCCCAACCTCGTTTGCTCTATTGATCATTCTACCTATTCAATCTATTCATATAGCCTGTATTGTTTTTGCTATTGAGGCTCTCAGGCTATAAGTCTATAACCTTGTCACGAGATCAATAAAGCAAGAATATGACAATTAGTCTTACATTCCCATTCACCTACACGGCTACACCTATTCATGCACATGTGAATAACAGATCAAACAATACAATTTAGGTAACTACAAAGTCCACCTGAGTGCCCATAGAATCATTCAAACAGCGACTTTTACAGCAGTCCTTGTGCCTTAGCCTCAACCTCGACAATCTCAGGGATGAGGTCAATCAGCTTAGGCTTTTGGGGCGCCCAACCAAAGAGCTTGCGAGCCCGGATTGAGATACCACGGGAATTAGATCCCCAGGCATAGACTCCAGCAGAGTGGAGCTTAGTGACCTCGGCACCCTCAATAGACTCAACATCAGGGGAAGCAATAAGCTTCTTATCATAAGCAGCCTGTGCAACGGCACGCTGGATATCACCCCAAACGAAAGACCCGTTTTCAGCGAGATAGTAACCCTCGTCATTCCAAGTAGCCTTGCCACCTCCGACAGAGGCTGCCTCGCCCAGAGCCAGGAAGACATTGCTCAAGTCGTGGACATGGACCTGATGCCAGACATTCTCACCCTTTCCTACCAAGAAGCCTCGCTTGCGCTTTAACACCGCAGCACTAAGCCAGTAGGCTTGGATACTCTTGGTGTTACCAGGGCCGCGGCCAGGACCGTAGATAGTAGGCGGGCAGACGACTGCAACCTTGACACTGGCCGGGTTCTTATGCCCAGCACCGAGGATAATCTCATCAACGTTGCGATGGAGGGCATCTGAAGGAAGGTTAACGAGCTCGCTGACGCCTTCCCAGTCATTGTATTGCTTAGGGCGCTCGATGCCGTAGCTGCCAGCGCGCTGGTCCTCGACGGTCAGAATACCTGTGCCGGAGGTGTGGATTAGCCACAATGGGCGCTCGGGGGTGTGATGCTGAGCTCCCTTGGCAATGGCTTGAGCTGCGGCAACATGGTCACAATCGGCGTAGTCTGTATACAACCTGTGAGCAATGTGGTAACCCCTACACATGAGCTTCAATATACTTACTGTAGACAATGTCTGCGTTCTTGACTTCCTCTTCGATCAGGTCAGAGGAGTCTAGATCACCAATCACAGTCCGAAGCTGCGGATATTTGCTTTTCACCTGAGCAGCCTTGTCCTCGCTGCGAACCAGGGCCGTGAGCTGCCAGTCGGGATGAGCGCTGGCAATGGCAAACAGGCCGTCGCCACCGATGTATCCAGTTGCGCCAGTGCTGCGAGGCGTATCAGATTATGTTTGTGGTTTTTATGGTGTCAGAAAGACTTACAGAAGGACCCTAGGAGTCATGTTGAAGGTATCAAAGCAATGTGTTAGAAGAAGGATAAGGTCAAAGCAGGAATCGAACGCAATTTAAGAGGTTTAACATTAACTACTGAGTAGGTACTTTGCTTTGAAATCAAGACAAGGATTCAAGACAACAGAAATGCCTCGAAACGGATCCAGCGCGGGGGATTGACGCTGAAGACAATCGAAACCGGCAGAATCTGCAGCTCCCATCATCCCATGCAACGTACACCGACACCACGATCGCAGGGGCTTGTTACTGAACTTGTTCATCCGGTTTTAGCCACTTCTACAGCTTCCAAGGTGCAGACTCCATCTCGTATCCAGTACACAACGAGCTTCGCTGCCCCGCACAGGTGATGTCAGTACCCCAACTCCCCTCCACGCCTAAAATTGTCAATTGACGTGACCCCACGAGTCTCAGTAGAAGAATCTCGTCCAATTCAAACATTAGTACATGACATTCCCACCATGTCGAAGGACACTGGCAGCTGCGCTTGTCAATATATCCGTTACACGACCGCCAAACCCACAAGTTGCGTGGTCAACTGCTACTGCACCATCTGCCGCAAACAATCCGGTGCACCATTCCAGAGCTGGGCATTCTACGCCACCGATGATATCAAATGGGATGTCAAGCCTACAGAGCGACGGTCAAGCGATACTGCGACGCGCAGCTTTTGTCCACGCTGCGGCTCGACTCTGAGTATGGTCCTGGATCGTGACTTGAAGACTATCGGGATTGCAGCAGGAACATTCGATGGACGACTCCCGGCGCCAAGTCATCATATATGGACTAGTGCAGCGGTAGTTTGGCATCAATGGCCGCAAGATGGAGCACAGAGGTGGTTCGCGGGTGGGCATTACAAGAAGATATAGCATTGACGGGGCGTGGCCTGGTCCACTACTCTTCAAACCTAGGTATGATTTGTGAATGTTAATGGACAAGTCAACCATATATTGCAGCACAGTAGCCTATATAGAATATGATTAAAACAACCTACTCTGATTCACGCGGAACATTTGCCTTGGCCAGGAAAAAGAGACTCATTGTTCAAAGGCTGAGATAAAATAACAGGAGAAGATACGAAAAGGCTATCAGAGACACAGAGGGGAATCACAAACTCGTGTCCGGGCTACATGTACAGACTTGTTGCATGCTGGAATCCAATCAGAAAGTGCTGGTGGCCAGCCGGCTGGCTGCATTACGCGCATCGAGACGGTCGTCATCTTCCTCCGCAATCGACCCAACCTGGCTGGAAGCTCTGTTGCGCCCTTTCCCAGAGACCGCCTCGTCATCATCATCGGGTATCGAGGGAGTAGTGAAGCTGCCACTCATGCTGCGTCCAGCATTGTCAGTGCGGCGAGGAACGCCGCTCCATGAATCACCCTTGGGACCCTGGCTCGAAGTCATGTTCGGACGGCGTGTTGCAGGATGGGCTTCGCGACCCAGCCGGCTTAGACCACCGGAAGCATCAATGGCACGAATGTCAGGTCGGACACTCTCCAAGGTGGCAAGAGTGCGACGCTCTGCTTCAATCTGGCGGAGAGTGTATTCACGAAGGCTAAACAGAAGATCCTGGGTGGTCCGGTCAAACCAGCGGCGCTTCTCCTGGAGGAGGTTCGACGTGACTCGCTGGGTTCGTTTGGTCAAGTAGTCTTCATGGTTCTGCGCCTCTTCAAGCGCGTTGATCGCCTCATCTACCTTATCCCGGCGCACGGATGAGCTGACCTTCAAGCGTTCCGCCGCGGCATGTTTACTTCGAGCGGTTTGTTGGGCCTGGATCAGATCGCGGAGCAGAATGTGTCGGTTGGTCAGAGTCTCCTTCACAATGAAGGCATCCGAGGAGTGGTAGCTCAACGGCTCGCCGAGTGTAGTAGCTTCTGCAGTGGCCTGGACTGCATGATAATCGCCCACAGTCTGAATGACCTTGCCAAGTTTACGATAAGCCGCGCCCAAGCCGGGATGGGTCTCTTGCACGTGCATCTGCCCAAGCTTCACGCCGAAATCAGCTTCCGCCAATCCAAGGCCTAAAATGGTCAGCTCAAGTCATAAAATAATATAGACGAAAACAGCCTGAAGCTTGAATCAACGTACCACGGCGGGCCTTGACCACTCGGTCGACCTTGTGACTCGAATCCATTGAACCCAAGTAAAACATCTTGGCAGCTGGACGCGCAGCTTGTAATTCAGGTGTGTCATCAGGCGGCGGTGCAAACTGCTTCAGCATCTTTCGCCGCACACCCGTCGCTGGCTGCTTCAGTCGTAAGACGGGACTATAGCCGAAGTCGCTCTCCACAAACAACACAACTTCATCGTCTTGAATGAGGACCTCGTTACTCAGCACGACGTTAAGCCATCTCTGCATTGCCGACTTAATTCGAATCTCATCCTCCTCGGTGCCTGCACCAGCCGGTGTCACCGGGGACGGCACGGCGGGGACCAGGGCTTCTGGATTGGCGGAGACCAGGTGATCTGCAAGCTTGACAAATTCTGAATGGGTGCGGCGCACATCTCGGTATTGGGTCGTACGGAACTTGGGGATATTGGTCTGTATACAAAGCAGGAATTAGCCAAAGCGTAGGCGCAAGATACTCGACAGGGCAGACCCACGTGAACATCGAAACACAGGATTGGGTCCTTTTTCCCTGTCCTCTCCAGACCGGTGATCTTCGCTTGAATCTTATAGATGGGAGCTGGGGGTCGCGAGGTTTGTCGTGCGCCCGTCTGATGTTCTGCGGGGGTAGCAGACTGCTGTTTCTGGGTGTCTGGGGTATGGGGCGCGCCGAATGGAGGATGCTCTTCGGGATAGTCCGGGTTCCCCAATTGTGCGCTTTGCAACTGTGCAGAGAGATTTGGAGATTGGGGCTCTCCATTGCCGCCTCCACTCAAGTCCTGCGCCGATTGCGCCTGGCCTGGCAGAGGTGATGACGGGATGTCATTGTTGGAAGTGGGGAACCCTCGCTCGACACGCGGTGAGCCCCAGGGTGAGGAACCTGTGGGTAGCTCTGGGTCATTGGAAATCGCAGAGTAGTCCATCTTAATTCGAGGATGCAAGGAGTATCTTCGCTGACAAGGGGAGTGGCTGGCGATGGTAGGCGTCAGTATTAATGGCGGGAGATCAGACCCCCACAGCAGTGGCCAGCTAGCTTCAAGACATTGGTAGACCTACCTCGTGCAGCTAATAAACCAACCGACTTGGTCAAATTGACATAACACAAAAAAGCAAAGCAACAATAAGGGTATGAGCAAAAGAGATTCGAGTAGCTGATGAGAGGTTGGTATCGGAGTCGGTTACGTATGGAGGAATGCGTGCGCCAAGCCTCTCCCCAGTCCGCCTTGCCGTCCCGTTTTCTTTGCTCTGGAGCTTGCTCAGCTCTCTCACTGTACTGATAACACTAACATACACTCAATGCTAACTTCAACCTGACTTTTCCTTTTCCTTTGTGTATTTTTATCCCTTGCCGAGTTGTCGCATGGGCGCTTTTCCCTGGCATGGTCGTGGCCCCGTTGTTGCGCTTCCCCCGGGGATGCGCTGTATGAGCTCCAATTTATACAAGATACCGACTCTGGCGAAGAACAATACATGTTCATCCCTCAGAGGTGCCCGGTCAGACTATAGACAGCTCCAGCGCTTCTCTACGTCACGTACATCCCAAAATGGAGCTTTGGATCGAACCCGGAATATCGGCATCATCGCCCATATCGATGCGGGCAAAACCACTACTACCGAGCGCATGTTATTCTATAGTGGCTTCACTCGGCGCATTGGTGATGTTGACGAAGGCTCAACCGTGACCGACTTCCTTCCCGCCGAGCGCGCTCGCGGCATCACTATCCAGTCGGCTGCCATCACATTCCATTGGCCTCCCGGGGAGGTAGATGAAACGTCAGGCCCGCAGACTGGGGAGCAGAACGAGAAAGCTCCACGGTCTAGCTACCCGCACACTATTAACTTGATTGATACCCCTGGCCACGCCGACTTCACATTCGAAGTCATGCGGTCTTTGCGCATCCTCGACGGCGCTGTCTGCATATTGGATGGTGTTGCTGGCGTCGAAGCGCAGACAGAGAAAGTTTGGAATCAGGCGAGCACGTATCGAATTCCTCGGGTAATTTATGTCAACAAGCTAGACCGTGATGGCGCTGCATTTGGCCGGACGGTGCGAGAAGTCAGCACTCGCCTGGGTGTCTATCCAGCAGTCTGCCAGATTCCGTGGTTCCATGGAGGCAACGGTCCCTTCGTTGGCGTGGCGGATGCGATCAATCTCCAGGGGCTACGATGGAAGGAAGGCGAGGATGGCCGCACAGTGAAGATGTCCAACCTTGAGCAACTGGAGGCAGAAGAGCCGGCCCTGGCAGCAGAGCTGCGACGGGCTCGGATCGCCCTAGTCGAGCTGCTTAGTGAGCACGATGAAGACATCGTTGAAAAGTTCTTTGAGTGTGAAGAAGATCATCTCGCGGTCTTGCCGGCTGATATCATTGCGAGCTTGCGCCGGTGCGTATTGGATCAAAGCAGTCGGATCGTCCCTCTATTCGCAGGTGCCAGTTTCCGGAACATGGGTGTCCAACCATTGCTGGATTCTGTCGTGAACCTTCTTCCTAGTCCGCCGGAAGCACCTGACCCGGAAGTTAGCATCAGTGGTGTCAAAGGAGGTCTTCGGGACCTGCTGTCGGGCGACTTGATCGTCGAGCAGAGCAAGAAAGCATCCGTACCAGCTAAAGGGAAGCAACCGAAGAGAAAGCATGGGGCCCTGCAAAGCAGCTCAAGGGACGCGATCAGCAAACTTCAGAGCTGTGCATTGGCGTTCAAAGTCGTCAACGACGCGAAGAGAGGAGTCCTGGTCTATGTCCGGGTATACTCCGGTTCTCTAGATCGCAACAGCCTGCTCTACAACACAAACCTGCAGATATCCGAGCGAGCTCCACGACTGCTGAAGATGTACGCCAATGATGCCGTGGAAGTGGATTCAATTCCCGCCGGCCACATCGGAGTCGTAGTCGGGCTCAAACAAACCCGAACTGGCGATACCCTCGTGTCATACTCCGGAAACAAAGCTACTCCCCCGGAACCACTGATAAGCCTCCAACTCCGACCAATTGCCGTCCCACCACCAGTATTCTTCACCAGCGTTGAGCCGCACAGCCTAAGCGAAGAGAAGCGCATGCACGAATCACTCGCCCTTCTCCTCCGCGAAGACCCCAGTCTCCATGTCAGTGTAGACGAAGAATCAGGCCAGACCCTGCTAAGCGGCATGGGTGAGCTACACCTCGAAATCGCCCGTGACCGACTTATCAACGATCTCAAAGCCAAAGCCTCAATGGGTCGCATCGAGATCGGCTACCGAGAATCCACACTCGGCATCTCCAAGCCCATAACGAAACTCTTCGACAAGGAAATCGCCGGTCGAAAGGGCAAAGCATGCTGCACAGCAGTCGTAGAGCCCCTAGACGAACAATCCACTCCCCAAGAACAAGACGAAGCCACCCTCCTCGACGAAACCTACGACGGCAACCAAATCATCGTGCGCGCCCCAGGCCTCCAAATCGACCGTTCCTCCCGCACCGACGAAGAAACAAGCCCCTTCCTCCCACCAGGCATGGACACCGTCACGTTCCGCACAGCGCTACAGAACGGAGCCATGGCAGCTCTCGCCCGCGGGCCCCAATTCACCTTCCCGATGCACAACACCCGCGTGACACTGACCATAAACCCAGCCACGGATCTCTTCGGCAACGAAACAACGACTTCCGCTCTATCCTCCGCCGCACGTCAAGCCACCGCAGCCGCGCTGCAGGATGTGCAGTTTGGCGCGGGGACGACGATGATGGAGCCGGTCATGAACGTGATTATCAGCGTCGACGAGGCGAGTCTCGGCTCCGTCGTGCATGACATTTCCTCCTCCCGCGGTGGCCATATTATTTCGCTCGACGAGGAGGTGCCGTTGGCCGGTACGGACGCGGCGGGGACTTCTGAGTCTGCTCTTGAGGAAGAAGCGCCACCGCCAATCGATCCTAGTCGTGTTTATGCGCCGCCGGATCCGTTCGAGACGCCTTCTGTTGGGGAGGAGATTCCTGCTGCTGCTAGTCGTCCACGCACGATTATTGCTAAGGTGCCGCTTAAGGAGATGGTTGGGTATCTCAGGCATTTGCGAAGCTTGACTGCTGGTCGTGGCACTTTTGTTATGACTGTTGATCGGTTTGAGAATATGTCTGCTCAGAGACAGAAGGCTGTGCTTACGGAGTTGAGGGGCGGCTTTTGATTGCTCCTAGGCGCTGCAGTTGGAACTTTGGCGTCAACTCCACTGGCCCTGAAACCTTTTTGTACAATATAAAAACCTATAGTACATCAGCACTGTATCAACATGTTCCAATTTACGTTGAAGATATACCAATTCTCTTGCGTTAGTCTGAGTGTGACCTGGAATCGATCAAGCGGATATGCAATGTGTAAGTACGCAAATAACTCCCTCTATCAAATGAAGAGATTCTAACAAGGTATATGTATAGTGCAGATAGAGGGAGGAGTAGACACAATAAAACAACACGGGGACATAAAAGGTCATGGCACCAATAAAGGCAACCGCTCACAAACTACCAGTTCTCATCCCAATCATCCTTCTTGGCTGTGGCCGAAGACGTATTACCCTCCCCGGCTTCTACACCAGAGTTAGCCAGCGAAGAGGCCGTCGGACCCTTCCGCATAGCAGCAGTTCCAACGACATCCGACCGCTGCGACCGTTGTGATGCAGTACGGCGATGGCTAGAAGGCTCCTGGTCGCCCAAGGCCGAGAAGTCATCCCAGAAGTCTCGGCGTTCAGGCTCAACGCGATTCCGACGTCCATCGCCGCGTGCCTCGTCGCCCTCGACAAACCTATTGAACTGATCAGCAGCACCGCGGACTCCGGTCTGCAGATTCTGACCAAGCATCGAAGCGTGGACTCGTGCCTGGGCTGCGAAGTCCGATTCCGCCAGCTGAAAATAAAATCCCGTCAGTGCCTGCACTAAAACAAGTGGATTTCCCAATATACATACCTGCTTGGCTGTGGGCTGCAGATAGGAATCATTGACCTGCTTTGCACTCTTTCCAACCGCAGACGTAAACCAACCAAATCCTTTGGTGAGAGTAGCCACCGGATCTTTCTGCAGTTCTTCAAAAGGCTGTCCACCACCACCCCACCCCCGAACCCGCCAAACGGCGAAGAGCGCCTCTCACCCGCCGGGGAAGGAGGCAGACCCCCACCGAACCCAGTAAACTTCCCACCCTGCGAGGGAGGCAGGCCCTCGGCACGGGTAGCATTCTCATTACCCAGCTTCGCGAAGTAAGCCTCATTCTGCTCCTTCTTACTAGGAGCACCACCGCGCTGGCTATCACCAGAGCGAATAGACGATGCAGCGGGAGACCCAGCCCGCGCAGCAGACACACCACCAGCGCCAGCTAAACTCAAGGGAGTGTTGGAGCGCGAGGCAGTATTCTTCTTCTCCTGGCCGGGGACGTACTCGCGGCCTTCGACTTTGCACGTCAACCTCTCCTTCCACTCCTCGCCTGATTCGCTTTCATATCGTTCCTTGATGGTTGAGTCTTCGAATGTGCGGCCCTCGGAGACGGTTATGGGGTGTTCGTCGTAGAAGGACTTCCAGGGGTCGTTGCCTCCCAGCTCCATGCGCTGAATCTCGGCGTGTTTGAAGGCGTCCATGGTGATCGAGCGGACGAAGGAGATGTGCACGCCTAGCCCGCGGTGTGTGCCGGCGCAATTGAGGCAGATGAATGTTCCGAACTTTGGGGAGGCCTGGTTGACGTGCCCATGACGGGCGAAGGGTTAGCGATTGGGTGTGACTTTGCGGGGTGGGGGTGTGTTTGTGTTGACGACTGCATTGGTTTTTGAGGACGAGGTTTGGGCGATAGTCCCAAAGGATGCAAAAAGACATACCCATTGAGGCGATGGGGCACCGCAATCGCAGCACTTGTCGTTTCCGTTGGTCTTGGAGATCTGGAGGAGCTGTGGCACATGGCTGCGTCAATGACCGTCGCGCGTTGCGGTATTTGAGCTAGGAACACACCTTTGTCCTCGTCTCGGGGTCGACCTCCCACATTCGAGACATGGTGCAAGGCTGTAAAAAGGGGACAAGACCGGACTGAAGGGGACGCAATCTCGGATGTTACAGAGTTGTCCGATTCCGCGACGATGCGGTCTGTCTCCCCCTCTTCTCTTTTCGTTGAAAGTCGCGCAGAGGCTCAAAGGTACCAGTGATACACAGAGTTAGCGCAATTGACTCGATGACAGACTGAGATAAATATTCAATTGAAAAGAAGAGAACGCATGTGAGTTGTACTGTGTATGCTCTCCGCCTCTGATCGGCAAGGGTTGCCCCCGGCTTAGCGTCATCCCTAACTAAATCGAGCCCACTGAACTGCAGGGCCAATATACTGTACACAGTAGCGTGGTGGCATGACTCTACGCATCCCAAAGTGCCAGGCGGATCGTTATTTAGTAAAATTGTGCTAAGATACAATACAGAAGGCAAAATAAAGAAAGTCGTTAAGGACAGAGCGCACATCAGTCAAGATGGCACCCCCGCATGGGGAACCCATGTTGTCCACTCAAAAAGTCATAACCGCGCCTCCCTCCTCCATCCAGTCTCCTCCATTCTCCAGTAAGCGTGTAAGAAGCTAAGTCACGGCCTATAGGAGACCGTGATCATATCCATCCACCCTATCTTTCCTAAACCCCAGAGCCAAATAGCAAGCACCTCGTATCGCGAATTCGTTGGGCATTTAAGCCTCGGTGGTGGTGGCAGGAGCAACGTTCTCCTGGGCAGGGACAGGTGCAACGTTCTCCTGAGCGGGAACAGGTGCAGCAGCCTCCTCGGTTTCAGCAGCAGCATTGATATCATCGTCCTCCTTTCCGGGGCTGTCGATGGCAACCTTCACAGCAATGACGCGACCATCGATATCCTTGCCGTTCATCTCATTGACGGCCTTAGTCTGAAGTTCCTCCGAGGCCAGATTGACGAAACCGAAACCACGAGTCTTGCGGCGCTCGTTGCGGGCCTGCAGCTTCTTGATCATGAATCGGGGAATGGGACGCAGGGCAACCTTGGCGGAAACGGGCTCGTAGGCGGCGAAGATCTCCTTGAGCTGGAAAGGGGAAGTAGATGTCAGTTAATGTGATCTCGCATGTGAAACAGGACAAAAAAAATGACCCACTTTATCCTCGGTCAAGTCGTACGGCAAGTTAGCAACCATGACCTTGGTCTTGGAGGGAATGCCGTCCTCGGGAGGACCACGTTGCTTCTGGGGGCGAGTTTCACCGGTCTTAGGGGTGGTATCCTTGTCGTTGGTGGTCTCGGCGAGAGGCGCTTCACCAGTAGCAGCTTCGGTGGCTTCCTGGCCATCCTGGGCCTTCTCCAAAGTTAGCAACCATTCCAAAGTATCGATGCGGGCAGTTAGAAGCAAAGAAAGAGTGCGAGCACGTACAGCACGGCTCTGGCCAGTGCGACCGCCGCGACCGCGGGCGCGGCCACGGCCACGACCACGACCACCAGCACGCTTGCGACCATCGGCACCCTCACCACCGCTAGCAGTGGCTTCCTTAGACTCGGCGGGCTCGGGCTTGCGGGCAAGCTGTACGGACACCTTGCGCTGAAGGATCTCCTTGCCGGAAAGGGCCCCGATGGCAGCAGAAGCTTCAGCTGCTGTAGAAAGGTCCACAAAGGCATATCCAACGGGGCGGTTGGTGCGGGGGTTCACGGGGATCGAGGTACTCTCGCTGAAAAATCAAATAAGTCAGCAAATGGCCCGTTGAATGGTAATAAACAAGTGAGCAGATGTTTGTGGAAGGTGGGGTAATATGAGTGTCAACCAACAGCCACCGGAACTACTCACATCTTGTAGTCCTTGAAGAACTCCTTGAGCTCATTCTCAGTAGTGGCGTAGGCGAGATTTCCGATGTAAAGACGACGACCCTCATCGGCACTGGCAGCAGCGGCATCAGTAGCCTGGGTGGAGGGGGTAGCACCGTTGGTCTCGGCGCCGGTCTCGGCACCGTTGATTCCGGGCTTGTCGTTCATAGTGGTCGCAGCTACGGAGTCAGCAAGTGCATCGACGGAAGACATCTTTTAAGGTTGAAGGTTGGAGATGTTGAGTGATGAGTGAAGTCGGGAAGATTGACAGCTGAAGAGGATTGGCAAGATGTGGAGCGAGTCAAGGAGCAGGGTAGCTTCGTGCCCTAGATACCTGAAATAGGAAGATGGAAATTGAAGTTGGTGAATCACTGGATCTTGAAGAAGAGAAGAGAGGGAGGAGGATGGATGGGGAGAAGGTGATGGAAAGGGAAAGGAGAGGCGGTGTAGCACTAGTCCAGTGAGAGCTCGAAGTGTCAGTTGCTATCGAGGTGCTTTCCTCTCTGGGTGCCCCTATTGTCCCCTATTGTCCCCTATTGGGGGGGTGCCTACTGCCTAAACACTAATTCTACCCTAATCTTAGGGGCCCTTTGAGGATTACTAGTCTAGCCATTGTGGCCTCCAGGCACAGTTTCCCCCCGCCTTTACGAAACTGAGCTTTTCTGACTCAGAACAGCTGGCCTCTAGACCTGATGTCATTCTGGATACCATTTGACCAATTGTGATTTGCTGCCTTAACTTTGTTATTTTTCTCTACCTTTTCTACTGTGTAACTACTGTTACACTGTACCTCGTTACTTCTTTTCCTTCTACCTGTAAGTCCTTGCCATATTGCCCGTTCTCAGATTATATTCCTCAACTTTTACTCTGCTGCACACTGCACACTAGTCTGTGTGCACGCAGCATGACAGTGCCTGTGCGTCATGTCCTATAAATAATTGTGTGAAGATCTTAGGTCCTCACCTAGGTTTTTACAGCTCCACTCTATGCTATTGTGCTCCATGCCTCCAGGCTCAGAGCAAAGATTGCTAGGCCATGGATACATTTTTCACTGCCTACATTGCACCTAGATCAGTCGTGTACTGTGTACATCAGATCTAGGCTCCATAGGTGACACAAAGTGACAGTACTGCTGCCTTCCCCATTTCAGAGTAAGAGACGATCTACCTAATATGAGATAGTCATGGAATTTTCAGATTCGTTCTCTTGAACTTTACTGCTGGACTCTCCAGTTCAAGCCCACAGAGTCACCGAGGATGTGTGGGCGTTCTACCGAGATGACTATGCGGAGTAAGGCTTTTCTTCAGGAGCGATTCTCTCCAAGAACTTCAGCAATTGGCATAGTGAAGTATTGTATACTTGACCGATCTCACAGTCATCTGTAGCACATACAACATGCCCAGGTGTCTCCTTGCCTTAGGCGGGTTGGGTATGGGGTTTCCGTTTCCCTTGGCTCATACTCTTTTTCCTCATCAGGTCAAGAACGGCTCTAGTAGTACTCTCTACCTTCAGGTTAAGAGCAACTGCCAGACCACTACTGTGTAAGTTGTCTCTAAGCTAGATAGGCTAGATAGCATGTGAGGAGCTGCCAATTTCCTGTGTCGATCGTATCCCTTTCCACTAACCTCTGAAATCCTTGGCAGAGGAGTTGAATGACGAATTTAATTACTTTTTTGCAATCATGGCAAAAAAGTGCAGATTAAAAAGATCAAAGACAGCCACGGGCACAGAGCGTAGCGTGTACAAATATATTGGTACGATGTAGATCTACATTAGTTTTGTTGGGCTGTGACGTCTCGCGTCTATCGCTGCGGACATACACCAAGTTGGTAAATAACTCCGTAACTACGAGTAACTTTCCGATTCATTGAATCATTGGCCACCCAACGGGAGACATTAATAATATTCTGTCATTCTCTAACTAACTATCTGGCACCTATGCTACACCTAGCTATGTGCTAGGGTTTTTGATGGAAAGTCCTGCACCATTTAATTCAACAACCAAGGAGGATCCATCTGCACCATTCAGGTTGAAGATCGACGGTTTAGCGCGAGATTGACAGTCTGCGCACTCCACCCCGTCGTCACTCGTGAAATCAAGATTCAGGTTCGGCTGAGTCATCATTGAAATTTCCCCAGTGTTGCTCCCCAAAGATCCAGAACTTCCACTGTTTTCCATGTGGTCCGAAGGGGAAAGTTTCAGCTTCTGAACTTCTATTTCCCTCGGGTCTCAGGGGCTATTTGTCCTGGTTGATCTTGCCCCCAACCCCCGGAACTCATCTATCAAGCATGGATCCCATCGAGCCCGCCGACGACCAGAATGCCCCTAATGGGAATCCTCAGGGGTCCCAGCCCATAGATGCCGGCTCCGCTAGACCAGCTGGCCCTACTCCGTTGCGCACTCGAGGTGACTCACGAACCCGACGGCCGAGTATCCGACTATCGCGCTTTCCGTCTATCCCCTCACTAGATAACATCAATCAACAAGCATCTCAACCAGAGACCCAAACACCAAACTTCGAGCGACAACCTATCCGATCCCCTCCTCCCAATGAAGAAGATGAAGCGGGGCTATCAGGCCGACGGCGCAGCAGCTCAGAGCCACATCCAGGTCGATGGTCATCCCCACCCCCGAATGTCCTTACACGCGTGACGACTCCCATGGGGATGATGCCTGTGACCGAAGAGTCTTCGCACCAGAGCCCAACACCGACCTCACCAGCGCCGATATTGCCTACTCATAGCACTCAGTCGGACGTTGATCTACCTGGCTCGGGACGACTCGAGCCTCCTCCTGCAGTACTGCGTCCGGCGGGTCGGCTTCGGCGAACCAGTCAAGCAGCATTGAACCGCTTCTCGCGCAACCGGGCATCAACAATTTCAGGAGCTGCGCCGACGCTCAATTCGCAAGACGAGCAACGCGACAATGAGTATGGATCTCACGTGGTCGACGTGCTGGACGTAATCGGTAACTGTTGCGATGCTCAATCTGAATACATGGTTCTAACTCATTCAACTAGATCCCGAGGTCTCTGCACTTTCTACCCTCACCAATGTCCAGAACTCTCTCTTTATTCCCAACTTGGGTGGCTTCATCAATCGCATGCCCACCTACACGATTACACGACCACAATATTCTTCAGACGAGGAGCAAGGAACCACAACGGATGAGGGGGAACCGCCCGAAGGGGTCCAACCCAAGGACCGCCCGGAATTGGGGCAACTTCGTCAGTTCGAGACTATGTCATCCTTGTGGCGTGGGCCCAAGTATGCTGTTATCCCAGAAGGGCGTGGACTCGAGGGGTGGAGCAGAGAAGACTATGCCGAGCTCAATGATCATGTTCGACACATGCTTCACTCTCGGCGGTCAAAGTTCAAACGTTCCATGAAAGGATTCAGACAATATGTTCGGAAACGTGAGTGATTAATATCTGCCGAGATCATCCTGCGCGGTACTAACATCGTTCAGCCCTCGGTTTTCTCGTGACCCTCTACGCCACTTTGATTACTTTGTTCGGTCTGGCCTGGGTCCTTTTCTTGATCGGTAAGTTTCCTTAACTGTGTGCTCCCTGGGAATTGGACTAACAGCTATAGGTTGGATCAACGTTGGTGGAAGACAGATTTACGTCGTCAATGTCATTGATAACGTTTTGGTAGCTCTGTTCGCCATCATGGGCGATGGACTCGCCCCTTTCCGTGCCGTGGATACCTATCACATGAGTTTCATCGCTCATTACACCTTTCTGTCGTGGAAAGTTCGCCGAAAGCGTGCCCTGCCTGGTCTCAAGGACAAGAATGATCTTCCGACAAAGCCGGAGAAGGACGTCGATGTCGAATTCGGCCAAACATCCAAGGAAGACGAGCATGAATTTTCGGTACTCGATGCTCGCCAGCAGTTGCGATTGATGCACCACCAGAATAAATTCGCCAAATCGCACACTTTCTACAAGCCCCACGAAACCCTCACCCACCATGCTTTTCCTCTCCGCTTGCTCATTGCCATTGTTGTCATCCTTGATTGCCATTCCCTCCTTCAGATAGCTCTTGGTGCTTGCACCTGGAGTATGGAGGACCCTAACAAACGACCATTCGCTCTCACTACGGTAATTCTTTGCTGTTCCATCACATGCAACATTGCTGGAGGTGTGATGATCATGATCGGAGATCGGCGCACTCGAAAGAAGGATGTTGTTGAGCGCCTCTTCCGTCAGGAACTGACCGAGGAAGCCATGCGGAAGATGGAAAAGAAAAAGATTAAGGAGGAGCGCCGCAGTGCTCAAATTGAGCGCTCCAGTGCCCAAATCGAAGGGTCCAACGCACAAATCGAGCGCCACAGCGCTCAGATCGATCGCTCTGCGTCCGGCGGACCCTGATCACAATATGTCCCATACTTGCACTTACGACCGTCATGACATGAGCGCCAACAAGGTCAATTCGACCTCATTGAAGGGTTCTTTCTGCCCTGACTGTACAGATTACCATAAGATAATAATATGTTGTTTGGCGTTGTTTCTATATATGATTACTTTTGACTTGGCCTTTGGGCTAACATTTGTTATTCGTGACTTTTCTCGTTCAGCCTACATTGGCATCTTGGCTTTCAACAGATACAACGCACTGGCTATGATTTCGAGTTCCTATCTCCTCGAATGAAAGCATTCTGGGCACCTTTGCCAGGAGATATACAATGTTCTGCTAGTCCAACGTACTGCGTATATGTAGACAGCCAACAAACCCGGGGTAAAGGGCATGGTTCTCCAGAAGTAGGCAGCCAAGCTGCATCATCAACGTTAGTCTTCTTCCTCGCATCACGTTAACAAATCGTTCTTGCCTGCCCATCTCATAGGTGCCGATGCCTTCGGCCACCGGATGTTTCTATTATCCATCTCCACTTGGCGTCGGGGGCGGGTTGGTCGCCCATATCACCGATGAAGGTGGGGATGGATAATAGAAACATCTGGACCTGGTGGCCGGAGTCATCGGTATGATGGGCAGTAACTGTGATGAGGGCTACCAGAGATTAAGTGATTCCTTTTGCATAAGACAACAAGACTGAAGAGAAAGGAAAAGAGAAAAGAAAGGAGAAAAGAAAGAGGTCAAGAAGACTACAGCTGAATTCCTCCCATCACGTGACAATTCCCATCCCTTGCAGACTGTAGCCCTACAAAGTTCCATGTGCTCTCGTCACAATAACCTGTCTCGGCGACGCACAGCTTAAAGACCGAGATGGGTAGGGTGGTAGTCTGTAGATTGCCATCAAGTCAGCTCGTTATTGAACCTTCTCCTTAGCCCGTGGATCCCCTCATTCATCTACATCAGACTTAGTATGATAGCGAAGGGGGCATGCAGATTGCAGAGTATGACCGTGGCTGAAAGAGACAAAAGGCGGTACATACCGTAGTGCCCGGGGAGGTGTGACCTCCCCCTACAGGCATGCTTCCCCTGTCCACTGACCACTCCCTTGATAGTCGCGAGGTAGCCTTACTGTGTAGTTCAACATCACACTCCTACACATCTCCCATTTTGACTGCTTGTACGCAAGCGCCCAACCGTATTTAATATTATTATACAAGAAGGCCAAGTAGATAAGAATGGGCAGGATGGGCAGAGAAATAGTTAGAAGCTAGTTATGGCTAGATGCAAGTTCAGCTCGAAGCTTCCGTATGGTGATTTCATCCTGCAACTTCCTAATCTCTGCAGCCCTCTTTCGTTCCTGGAGCTCAATCTCTCTCCTCTGAAGCTCAAGTTCCCTCTGAGCTAGTTGTAATCGAAGATTCGCCATTTGTAGTTCATCAGCATAAGAGACATTATCTTTCTGTTGATCTTGCTGAAAATGATTGGTTGATGCGAGACGTTGAACTTTATTCGGTCGTGACTGGGAAATTGAAGGCGGACTATCTAGATATTAGTAATTCAATGGTTAGTTAATGGACAGTCACTAGGCACTAACCTTCTTATACTAGGTGATGGCGAAGGGGTACGTGAAGGCCGACGTGAGCGCGAAGGAGATACCGAGCGGCTCGACAATCTAGATATAGTTCCAGGTTGGGATGAAGTGCTTTCGTGAACTCGGCGTGTAAGTGTACGCAGACGCGGTTCTGCGCCTGATGAAATAGCCTCAAATAAGGTCTTATTTAATAAAGGCATGTGGCTATGTACCCCTTGAGACCAAAACAAAGCCTTATGCTGCTGGTTGAGATCCACGGGGATATATGTGATAAACCTTACACCACACGTCTCTCGCACCAGCTCCCCGTCGCCCTGGGGGTGGATATTACCTATAAAATAATTAATAAGTAGTCGGTACATGAGTTTGAAGCACTTACCGCACGCTTGTTTGCGTGTCTTGGTGGATTCTGCTACGCCGCAGCGCAAAGACGCGTAATCTTCCTCAAAACTAGCGGGATTCGCTACTAGATGCGCTAGTAAATCGATATCAAACTTCTCTTGGCGAATAAGGCTCTTGTGGAAATGATGGGTAGCTGTGTCGTCGGTTGTAAGGTTGCTTGTTCCACCTCTGCTCCGGGCGTTTATACAGCCAAGGTAATTACCCTGGACGCCTGAAACCGCCTTTTATTGTATAGTTATTCAATAGTTGATTGTGAAATAGGGAAGGACTATTCGCCTTGGTGTCATATTCTCCGAATGTCATCTGACAACTATCCAGTGGGACTTGACAGGCCTTTTTCTCGAGGAACTTCTTTTGGGTTGCACGAAAGAGACTATAAACGTATGGTTAGCTCTTTATTCTTTACAATTTGATTTATAAATTGTTCCGGCCTCTTACCCTAGGCTCTCGCGTTGGGGTTTTGTGAGAGTATCGGCCTTTTGAAGCTCCTTGCGGATCTGTGTGATGGTATAAACCAGATCACTGTCCACTGATGAGTGCTTAAGACCTCTTAGATCCTCATGGAGCCATTTGCAAATCTTGATGCCAGAACACTTGTATGTCCTTTTGATGCAACGTGTCTCCAGGTAGCTACACATAACATTGGAATCTGTGCGTGAAAGACTCCGTGAGTATTGCACCTAAAACCCGTTAATAGATAGTCCTTCAATAAGTTATAAATATTCAATACCTCTGCCATAGCTGCTTCAGCCTGCTCGCGTGCTAATCCTTCCAAGTTAACCACATATGTATACCCATATGGATGTGTTTTGGGATATGCAGGTAGGCTGGCAACATGTTCGAACTTCGCAGAAGAAATACTGTTACGTGATGTGGTCAACGGATAGGGCATACCAAAGTCCTAAGTCAAATGATTAGTTATCTTCCAATTTAAACCTACTATTTTATGGCTTAGGATGGTGGGAGAGATGGTGCAGTGTAGTCATAGGGCAGTGATATGTCTTTACCTTATCAGGGTTGGGCTGAGCTTGGTTCCGACGGTGTAAGATACGAACGTCAAGATCATTAGTGAGAGATGCCAGGAGAGGATCTTCTTCTGCTGGTGTATCTGGCGGTGGGAGTAGATCTAATATCGGTTGAGGCTGTCTAGAGCCTAGAGGGCGTGTTTCTTCATCCATTGTGCATAGATGTAGGGATTATTGACAGGGACACAGGGTCCACAGGAAAATTGTTCAATGGAGAAAAATCTACTGTCAGGAAACCAAGTGGTTGAATGTGGCCGAATGATCAAGTGAGGGTGTAAAACGCGTCTATTCCTGCTAGCTAACATATATCCTGTGACCTGGATGCTAGGTCATGTGACCTCTTGACTAAGCTAAATCCAAATTGCCCAGGTATGGGGGTGTCTCATTGGTCCGTATGACCCACTTCGCTCACGTTTCCCAAAACCAGTCTAACCAATCGCCAGTGACTCAGTGGGGCATTCTTCTGTTTACACCATTGCCTTGACCCGTTGCTTCAACCACATCCCCTCGCTGCCACAACCCCGACTGACCCCATTACTTTGTTGCTCCTTTTCAATGACCTACAGCAGAGTATATGATCTTTTGCGGTAAATGCAGAAGAAATAGTGCTGCGGTTAATTCGAAATGAGCAATCTAGATAGAACTTTTCTATACTTATATATTCCCAACCTGGAATCATGGGCGCGTGAACCTTAGGTTCTTCGGTAGATGTTGGTCTAGAGCAGAACCTATCATCCACAACCTAAATCCCGATCACAGTCCCAGCAGTGAAACCGGCTACCTAGCATGTCCGAGCGAACTCTCATGTTGTCGGAGGGCATCGGTTGATTCTTGTAAATAGATATCGCATGGACGACAATAGCAATGCATGCTTGACTTTTGATGGAGTCTCAGCGCCTTGCGCCCTCTGAAACGTTCTTTGCAACTCTCGCACTGCTGACTATGGAGGGCAAGTAGATGTTGGTACAAGGCCCCGGAAGACGCAAACTCCCGATGGCAGTGAGGGCATTCGACCATGTGTGTCCTTTCCGTGCTGTCTGAGAGCTACTCGATTCTCGAACAACCGGCCGCACTCACATTCTAACATGATTGTGGTCTGGTACGTTGAAAGTTCAATAATCATGGTCTCTCAAAGCAATGGAAGCAAAACACAGGTACGAGGTCCATATAAAAGGCTTCATCGCATGGATAGGACTTCTCCTCTTCTAAACCACCCCTGTGTTCTCCTCTCCTGTAGTCACACTACTCCCAGTGGCGGACCTGGTTCGCAGACAGGTTCGCGTTTCTCGCTCTTCACTATCTATCTCATTCCTGTCTCTGTGGGCAGCCTTCCTAGGTACTAGGTTATGTATCTACTAGCCAGAAATTTCTTTGCTTCTCAACTCCATTCAACCATTCAATTTACGGAGTTTATACTCCCGTAATTGTAAAAAGACTAAATGGGCCGACAATGGACCCTTACGCACATGTTCAAATCAGTATTCATTGGAGTCATAATCCTCCTTACAAATACTCAGTTGTATCAAAGTATCCATCGGTCATGTGGCCGTTCAAAATCGGGCCCCAATGCATCCCTCATCACACCAAGTCCAAGGTGGATTTCACTGGGAAAGTAACGTTCCTCAAAGGGATTTCCTCCTTCACCGTAGATGAAATCCTCTACCTCCTTTTCAACCCATATACCGTGTCCATATGTAGGGCTCCCCTGCACGATTGGCACGCCGATGGTAATTTTGGGTCTTGATCCCGCATCCCGGTCTCCCCACAGCGTGCTCTCCGATACCATTCGCCTGATTTCTTCCAGCATACTATACCAGCTCTCATCGAGGAAGTGCAGCAGACTAAGTTCAATGGAGCGAACGGATTTTGGTAGCGTTTTGAGGAAAGAGACACAATCTTTCTGTGAGATAACGAAGCCGGAGAGTTCGAAATGGCGCAGTTTCGACCATTGTTCCACAGGCACAATGCTCTGTAATGGGATCAGTGGATACGCGTCGTCACAGTCGAGGTTTATCAAATGGAGCATGCAGCCTGAACTCTTCCATGCCTTTTGCTTCACCAAGTGCCCGGCGCAGACGACCATTACGCAGTGATCGCGAGCATACTTCGAAGTCTTCCTCAATTTGACCACTGACAAGCAAGGCAATATCCAGATGGCGGAAGCCCGGATTCTTAAGCACGGTAGCGAAATGATTGTACTCTTCGCAGGGCTCATCGCAGATTGCACAGTTGATTCCCGTAGGGACAGAGTTGGCGGTCATCACCAGCTCAGAAACAAAGTTGGGTTCGTTGGCGAGGACACGCATTGCCGTGCGGAAGCCGCGGTACCGATCCCTAAGTTCTGGGTATTGATTCCATGCATATGCAGTAGGGGACCCCCCAAGGGCTCTAGGGTACAGCCAACCACGAGGAATGGAGTAGTTAAACCCTGCCGGGAAAGCACGAATCATAGGGGTCTCGTAAAGCGGGGTGATGAGGTTGCCGTGAGCTGCAGGTGTGATGGTAACTCTCTTGAGGGCAGGAAACTGCTTAACGTCGAACGCGAACGCTTCCAGGTCACTCTGACAGGCAAGAACATCCTTCTGTTGACGCAGCAACCGCTGATAATGTTGCCAGAGCTCCCCCATTAAAGGCTGAGCGAGAACCTGTTCTTTGCGCGCGGTATGGTCGGGCCTGTCCACACCACGGTCTTCCCGGCGTTTTAGAACGTGAAGTGTTTCTTCACAAGCGTTTTTGAACCATCTGGGACACAGATCTCCCTCTTCATAATTATGGCGCTCAATGATGTCCTCTCTGTATTCCGGGTGGTATTCCGCAGCCCATTCTCTGTTATCATCGGGTTCATCCTCGTCCGAGAGCAATTCATGTCCCTCATTAATTTCAGCTGATCGTGCTGGACCCCGATGCAAGCGCGCCTCATCCCAGATAATCGCGTTGACCTTATGGCGGAACTTGTCGTGTGAAGCAATGTTGCGGAAGACCTCTATGTTGAGGGGGTTGGCGGATAAGAAAACACGATTGAGTCGAAGAGACACTGTATTGTTGAATTGCCTGCATGTCAGAGTCCGACGCAAAGATTTTATGTCGGCATTGGGTAGATGTGACGCAATGCAGCTCCAGAGCTCCAGGGGGAGCGCGGGGGGACCTGGCATCAGCCATATTGTGATATTGTAGAGTTGAATTTGAGAGTTCCAATGTGACAAAGTGCGTTTTATTGCTAAGCGTTAGCGAAGCTCGCAGACGGCGATCAAGAAACACCCGCCGAACAATCCACTCCCCCCGAAGAAGTCGAACAGGGAACAGAAAATCCTCTGCCAGGCGTAGAGGCTGTCCCTGACGACTCCCGAGAGGAGACGCAAAACGAACCTTACAACCCACCGTCGGAGAAAGTCACTCCCCAAGAGGAACTCCGATCGAAAAGGTCCATGATCAAAGCCAAAACAATCGGGACAAGTTCTGCAACGAAACACTTGAGCTACAAGCCGAAATGAAAAGGCTTGAGCAGTTGGAGGCCCTACGACTCCAAGTCCAACGGAAGAAAGAATCCCTCGACCGAACTTCTTCGAGGGGAGTGGATTGTTCCGCGGGTGTTTCTTGATCGCCGTCTGCGAGACTCAAAGAGGTGAGGTCAGGTTCCTCCCCCTGTGGCTCTTTTGCAGCGTGCGACCTTGTAGGTTCCCACGCCCCTCGTGGTGGATGTGGATCGAGGAGATACTGAATGGATACGAGTAAGGAATATAGGAAGGATACTGCGTACAATATGTATTATACGGTTATACCCTAAGGTAGACTGAACTCTGGTCCTCTGAATGAGGCCCCGAGTTCCTAGGTATTTATGTACGTGTGTGTTATCTAAGCATCTTAAGCGATCCCCTGAAGTGACGATCTCTCGTCATCTCGTGGGTCCTTGTACCCAGTTGTCTGCCTCCGGTATTGTGATGATATCATGATACTGCCTCGTGACTCCGCCCTGGGCGTCGTGTCGTGACAGCGAAGCACCCAAATCAAATGTACTGTGTAAGTAGTTCGGGAGTTCGCTCCTTTACCAAGACAACTCTCTCCTCTCACTTGTCACAAGAACTATAGAAAAAGTGAACAGGACATATGTACACTGTACAGTACCTTTCTAAAAAGAAGTATCAAGGAAAATATTCTGTCCAGTTGTCAGTATGCACTTCTGGTCCAGACGGGTGTTAGCGAGCTTCCCGTCAACTGGCAAACCTCCAGCCAACTGGCAAACCTCCAGCCAACTGGCAAACCTTCCGCCAACTGGCAAGCCTATATCAATACCAATTGCCCCAATAACCCCACAGCGACACGTGTCACGTCTTATCTGGCCACACAGTACCAAAAGCATGCATAGTACTCATTACCGGCAACAGTATTACGCTGTAGGTCATGAACACAGAGGGAGTCACGGCCAGAGGCAGAGATCGAAGCAGCGCACGGCTTATGCACAATTGATACGTTGAGATTTTCGAATGTATCTAAAGAAACTAGAGCCACCGCACAAGACCGCTCAGACCAGATATGGTAGTAGTTCATAATACAGTGGAGCAAGGCAGGATAGATAACTTATGCTAATGAGCTTGGTCAGCAATAGGCTATGAACAGACCGAAGCTCACAAGGATCTCGCAGATTATTGTTATGGCTCAATCACTTTAGGCCCAACACCACATTCAAGAATCAAGCGCTATGAGACTTAATGTTCGCATCAATGAAGGAGCTTGTAGATCAGAGCGGTTGCCCGTCGAAACACTATGCTATGCCTGAGTTCAGGGTGGTCAATCTGATATGCTCAAGATCGACGTTGAGTCCGGCGATCTGAAATTCTTGAAAGGCGAGAGATGAGTGGGTCGGCAACTCACTAGGGATATTGAGAAACGAAGAGATTAGTCTGAGAGATATCACAAGCAATTGGGTAGTGTAATAGTCCGCTACATCGACTGTAACTGCTCTGCGACAGTTGCGTTGTATGGGATACTTCCATCAAAAGCGGCTCTTAATTCCTGCAACCGGTGCTCAGGCATGATAATCAGCGCCATATACGTACAGTGGTGACATCTTCTGCGTGCGGGTATCGTGCGCTAGTCCTCTGAAACTTTAGGGCATTCCTGGGAGGTGGTGGCAGGGCTTGTTTACGCCCCTGAGCCCCTCGGCACTTCTAGAAGGACATTGATTCCGAATTATCTGAATCATAACAAGTTTAATTAGACTCCTATCTCGAATCCCTAGGGTCGAAAATGTGGTTTAGGGAGCTGAAAGTGCCGTTAGAATTGACCAGGGTGTACGATGGCAGCACAAAGGGTAGGTCACTTTGAGAGATACCACTGACAGGGCGGAATGCAGGGCATGTGCATCTCGAGGAGCCAAGGGGCACGTTCAATCGTTTCTTAAATTCCGCGAACCTAGATAGGGCCAATGACGGTGCCAGGAGAGCAAAGATCTCAGGGGAGCTCGGGATAAACCCTTGCGTAGGGCATTCCATCACCAAAAATGGGAGAGTTGTTTTTGGACCTCACCATGAACAGGTAGATTCGCTCATGCTCAAACACCGGGGATTTCAAGATAAAAGGAGAGCTTTGGATGGCCACCTGTTTCCTTTTTTTCTTCATCAGCCTTCCACTGTTCTATCTCTCTACCTTTCTATCTCCAACCCTACAAATCTTTCTATATTTTACAAGATTTTTAATCTTTAATACTCTACCATCACAATGCAGTTCTCTCTCTCCGCCATTGCCCTGGCCTTCGCCAGCCTCGCCGTCGCCATGCCCACTGAGCACTCCGCCCTCGAGTCCCAGCACGAGGCTCCTCGCTTCAAGGTCCCCGACAGCATGACTGTCGAGCAGGCCCAGGCCAAGTGTGGTGACCAGGCTCAGCTCTCTTGCTGCAACAAGGCTGTCTACGCCGGTGACACCACCGATGTCAACTCCGGTGCCCTCGGCGGTCTCCTTTCCAACCTCATCGGCTCTGGCTCCGGCGCCGACGGTCTTGGTCTCTTCGATCAGTGCTCCAAGCTCGACGTCCAGAGTATGTTCTTCCGTCAAATATTTCAACTGGGCCACTCACTAATACACCCGCAGTCCCTATCCTCATTGCTGTTCCTGTCCAGGACATCCTCAACCAGCGCTGCAAGCAGAACATCGCCTGCTGCGCTAACTCGCCTGGCAGCGCCAACTCTGATGGTGTCGGTGCCAGCCTTCCTTGCGTTGCCCTCGGCTCCATTCTGTAAACGGATTTCTTTGCAGATACTCAGCGATGCATGGAGGAAAATTACAGGAGCCGGTGGTGTACCTTTCAGTTCCTTTTTGTTTGTTTGTCTTTCTAGACACCTTGACCTGTGATTACTATCATAGACCTTACTTCTTATATGTCACCTAATACTCAAAACTTCGTTTGATTGTCAACTATCCTTTGTAGTGTCCATCGGCTCCGGCTATAGTACTCTATGCACTCCCAGCCTGAGCCAGTACTAGCTTGCATTGCGGAGCTGTGAAGAGCCGCCTTGATGACACAATCGAAGACGGCGTCAAGGAAAATGAAACCCTCGCCGACCTTCTCAGCGCTATTGAGAAATGGGTCCGTCCGAACCCCGACGCTCAACTTGCTGAACTCGAAACTCGTAGGCGTCTACTTGACTCCTCGAAGTACGATGGGATCAACGATTATACAAAGGTTCCACTTAGAGTCCAGGCCAGTCATGAAAAGTGTTATCCACTGTGCCTCTGGGTTGTCAATCCCGAGTCGCTTGGTTTGCGAGCGGATATCGCGGAACTCCTTTATACGCGTTGATCCCATCGTACTTCGAGGAGTCAAGTTGACGCCTACGAGTTTCGAGTTAGTAAGTTGAGCGTCGGGGTTCGGACGGACCCATTTCTCAATAGCGCTGAGAAGGTCGGCGAGGGTTTCGTTTTCCTTGACCCCGTCTTCGATCGTGTTATCAAGGCGGCTCTTCACAGCTCCGCAGGCCTTCTCCTGTCTTGTGAGCCATTCATCCTTCTTCTTGGACTCAGAGGGCCGAGATTTGTTGCGAGTGAGGAGGTCTGAAAAACTGTTGATTCTACAGATGTAGGATTCAGGATATATCTTGTGTGTTGGATGGATTGGTTGACTAGAAGCCGTCAGGGGGCTAGAGAGGGTGTTTTGGCCAGTGCACGGAAGAGTGGTTCTTCCGTGCCGTTCACGTGCCGTAGCCCTTCAACTCAACATGCATATCCAGAACCAACCAAACGGACATTCTCGTCATTACTAGTCCAAATACAGTTGGCCAAGTGAAAAAGCCGAAATACAGCGAGAACATGACAAGGCAACAGGCAACATTGGATTCTTCGTAGTTCTTTCTACAACGCCAACGCAAGTTCCGCTAAACCGCATCAGGCTGAACTAGGCGGCACTCTCAGGCACCCGTAGGCCAAGAGACCAACCTCACTCGCAGGCTTCCAGCATAAAAGGCCATCATTTCCAACAGTAGGCCTGATATAATTTTCATAATTTCATAAAAGACAGCGATACTTTCAGTTTATACGCGACCACAAGTTGAAGTTCTTCAACACTATGTCCATCCGATGGGTCAACCCCGGCAACAACGAGCCCAACACCCTCCCATGGCTGATAAAGTCCTACATTGATAGAGAAGATCCTTCACCAGCAATGAATGAAATGATCCATCTCGCCGAGCTCCTCATTCTCTCCAACCATCTCACAGAAGCCCATCTGATCGTATCAGCAGTCTGCAAATTAGCAGAGAACTTCGAAACAAACGCCAAAGGCGAGCCTCTTGCGTACGAGATAGGGATCCCATATGCTCTACAGACATTCTGGCATATACACAAAGACACCTTCCCTTTACCGAAAAGACTACCCCCAGGCAGTAGTACTGCCTTCTCCGAAAAAGAGCTCGCCGAAATACAATGGAACAAATTCCGCGAATGCACCCGCACCGGCTGGATGCTGGACCGTCTCGGGGTCGTCGAGCCAAGCAACCCATCCTCTATCTGGCGCGACACCGACAGCCCAGAAATGCTAGCGATGTGTGCGCGACTACTCGCTAAAACGACAACGCCGGGCACATACCCGCCCGACAACGTAGCCCGCGAGGCGGTCGAGGTAGCGCAGAAACTGTATGCGATGCCGCAGACGCCGCTTGAAGAGTGTGGCTGGGATGCTGGCAAACCACACAGACACTGGTATTTGCTGTACAGGCGGTTGGTTGTGGAGCTTGCGATTCGCGTGGGTGAGCTACAAACTGCGGCGGACGTTCTCGGACAAGGGTTGAGAGAAGATGGGTTTACGACGGGGGATAATTTGAGTGATTTGCTTCTGATTCCTGGTATCTACGATGTCTTGCCTTTGTTAACTGCGGGTGGGAAGGTAAGTAATCCGTTTTTCATTTCTAAGGAGGAGGCCGTGGTTATGGTGAGGGAGATTGTTGCTGCGCTGGAGCTAAGGGCGGAGCATGGGAGACAGTGGGAGTTGCATCCGTCTAAGGTTGGATGGAGGGAGTTGTTGGATCGACTTGCTGAGGGGACGTGGAAAGCGCATAATAAAGAGTGTCGGGAAATGGGCTTGGGATGTGCTCAGGATGTCCTATTTGAACCTGCCACCGAGGAGGAGATTGCGGCTGCGGAGAAGAAATTTGGCGAGCTGCCTGCTGATTTCAAGGAGATGGTTCGGATTTCGAACGGGCAAGTGTTGCAAACTCCATTTCTCGCCAAAGATGCTCGTACTATGGAAGACAAATTAACTAATCCCATCCTCAGGTTCAAAGGTGGCTGGCACTTCTTTGGTGGTGGTTTAGCGGGTATTCGGTCCATGAGCATGGATGAAAGTGGCTGTGCAGATGTCGGATATATGCATTATGAAGACGAGTTGGAAGACTTTGGTCTTAGTGAGATGATTGAGCTTCGGCCTGGCACGGAAAGTGATTCATTCAGTCACTATATCGTCAGTCCGAAGTGTTGGAAAGAGGCCATGGAGAAGGCAGGGAAAGAAGTCAAAGATGGCGATTATCAGTACTGGTATTGGGCATATTGGTGGGGCAGTGGTATACGCCATTTCGACTCTGTGCGTGATTTTGTGGCTCACTGTGTTGAGGAAGTGGAAGAGATGATTGAGAAGGGCGGAGAAGAGTATGATGGCTGAATGTCAGTTAGACACTCTCATGGGAGCCGATAATCCAATCAATTTATTTTACCAAGGTAGATCTATAACTGCACAGTCTCAGATGAAAGGATACGAGAGTTGGAGTGCATGATAGTCCAATATCCCTTCGTGGACCTTCTAGGTGTCTTGCAGTTCTCAACTTTCACTCAGTGGTCATGCCTATCACGCTACTCAACTATGTCCTCGTGTTTCACAGGGCTGTCACTCGGAACTTTGGAGGATATTTGTGCAACTGCTCGGGAAATCTCCTTCATCCTAATTCACCATCGGAAGCAGCTTCCCGTATATCTCACGGATCATTCTCTTACTGATTTTCTAGATCAAAGACGCATATGATCTGAGAAGCAGGCATCCATATTCCCTATGTTACATCATACAGCTCAATCCCACCATTGTCATCCTCGATCTCAATCGTATTCCTCCCCAGATCAGCGGTGATCCGACTCCCTTACAGCATCTAGCGCGAAACCCGATTGCAATTGCAGCTGTAATCGACCGCATAGCCCCTCCAACGAGCATCTTTGCCACATCGCAGCCACTAATGCAGATTGAGTTCTGGGCTGCATATGAGGGAGGCACCGGGGACAGCAATAGCTCATCTGGCTCACTCCTGAAGTGGGAAATTCTCCCTTCCCAACACTAGAGTTCCAAACACTAGAGATCCCCATCGTTTAGAATCTCCTCAGCTCAGCGATTGAAGGTCGAATCGCTATAGACATGACTTGGTCGAAACCATTCTTGAGGCTTCGCGACCAGCGACCGTGGCTGCTACCGTTGAGGTCATCACAGTCATTCATCGTCACGGCAATCTCGCTGTCCATGTTTACGGTATCCTCTACGTCCCTGACATTGAAACCAATAAAGCTCCAGCTAATCCGGACAGGATCTTTTTCTCTATGCGATGGTACACACGATCTGATCAAGACCTTTGATCTTTACCTGACAGCTGCAGATCGTTCCCGTTATGCCACAGGCACTAGTCTCGCGAGCCGGAGTAGCATTTGAAGATAGTATGAAGAAAGACGAGGTGCAAGCCAAGATAACCAACCGCTAATACTTGTCTCTGATAGGAGGGTACTGGAACAGCGTCCTCCTCATTTCCGAAGCCATCTCAGCACTTGCATGTAGTCCAATATTCGGATACATGCTCGACGCCTCCGGCACCCGCCAAGGCCCATATCTATCCGGGCTCGTGTTGTTATTCGCTTCGATGATCGTTCTGACAGCATCGCACTCAGTGACATGGTACGTTATCGCTAGAGTGCTCCAAGGCGCGGCAACAGCCATGGTCTCGGTAGCAGGTCTTTCGATCGTGACAGATGCAGTAGATAAAGCTAGTCTCGGACAGATGATTGGGTACATTGGCACCGCGATGACGCTAGGATTCATGTCTGGACCACTGCTTGGCGGACTGGTCTATGAAGTCGGAGGGTTCCATGCTGTCTTTGGCATGGCTTTTGGAATAGTGGCTCTGGACTTCTTTCTAAGACTTGCTGTTGCTGAGAAGAGGACTGCTGAGCGTTGGTTGTGTCTCACTGATGGTGAACGACCTTCGCAGGAGAACGGTTATGTCTCGGAGCAGCCGCCTTATGGAGCTATTGCAACGATAAGTAGTAGCGCAGAAGCCGCGGAGATGTCGAAGAGTGCTTTCGCACTGTGGAAGCTTTTGAAACAGCCGCGGATGCTGGTTAGTCTGTGGGCAGTCGTTGTTGGAGCTCTCGTGGTCTCAGCATTTGATGCGGTACGGAATGGCTGTTTTTTCTCTGTTGGGGTAACACTGACGTTGATAGACGCTCCCAATTTTTGTGGAGAACACATTCCAGTGGAGTGTCCTCGGCGCAGGTCTCATCTTCTTGCCAGGTGCCGCAGCAGCCGTTTTCCAGCCATTTTTTGGTAAGCTGCAATCAAACGCTCGCATCTCTCTTCACGGACATATAATGCTGATCCGCCACACTAGGATTCCTTTCTGACCGTCTTGGACCGAGGGTCATTGCATTTGCAAGCTTTGCCCTTCAGGCTCCGAGTCTAATCTGTCTTCGCTTTGTCCAGGAAAACTCACCGTTCCACATAGCTCTTCTTTGCGTGATTCTGGTCATTGTCGGAATGTGTATCGACTTAGGCGAACCGGCCTTGCTCGTGGAGATACAGCGTGTCTTGGATGACATGGAAGCTGAAGAACCCGGAGTGTTTGGAGGAAGAGGCGCCGTGGCCCAGGCTTTCAGCCTAGAGAATATGGCGCATTTCGGTGGGCTGGCACTAGGGCCCATGGTGGGTGGGTTTGTGGAGTTTCAGTACGGCTGGGGAGTTATGACACTGGCGCTTGGAGTTCTTTCTGCTGTCACTGCGATACCTATGTTATGGCTGAGTGGTGCTATAGTTGAAGACTCCTGGACGGAGTCTGCCCAAGAGATAGAGCGTGAGCCTCTGTTGCCGGAGTAAGCGTCTGCCTGTATAGTAGTACAAGCGTTTATATTCTATCTATAACCAAAGCATGACAGGTCAGCTCACTCAGATAGACTTGCAGCAAGCCCTCGTCTTGGGTATACTGATATCGCAATAGTACGTGCCTCTGTTCGTGCTAGGCGTGGTTCGCTCTTGGCTCTCGACAGCCCAGGCCCTGATGCAATGTGAAGGAACACCGGAGATTCAGCAGCAAATGTGAGTAACATCAAAGCGGTCATAGTTACACCAGTCAATGATGTACGAGAATGCTAAGGGGTCAAGGCAGCCGAATTGCACCCTTAAGAAGGAGACGGACTCTCATCAGGATTCAGGACATGAAGATGATCTGAGGAATATCAAGATGAAGCTTTTCGAGCGATTCCGCAAGACACTGTCGTCTCTCTACACCAAGCGCGACCGACCCCCAACCTCTCACGCAGACAGCAACAGCAACGATGAAAGCGAAGTCCAACGAGGCCACTACGTCTTCCCCGCCGAGTGGGAGCGTCACGAAGCAACAATCATGGGCTTCCCATCCCGCTGTTCCCTACCGCCCGATCAATACGAAGCTGTCTGCAACGAGCTCGCCCAACTAGCAGCAGCAATCAGCGAGTTCGAGTCCGTCCGGATGTACGTGCGGCCCGAGGAAATCCAATTGGCCGAGTCCGTGGTCAAACCGTGTGTCAAAGACGCATCCCGGATCAGCTTCATCCCCTGTCCAATCAACCACTGCTGGGTGCGCGACACGGGCCCTGTCTACATACGTGACCCAACAGGCAAATTCCCTCACCGGCGCTTCGCGATCAATTTCCGCTTCAACGAATGGGGCGGCAAGAAGCCCGAGAACGACGGCGTCTGCTGGGGCCAGCAGTGGCCTCTGATGGACGAAACAGCCCTAGCCGAAAACGCAGATTTCGCCCGCTGGGTCATTGAGCACGACCGCGTCCCGGCGCCTGTGACGATGATCGAGTCACCGATTCGCGCCGAGGGCGGCGGGCTCGTGACCGACGGCGAGGGAACCCTGCTCATCTCGGAAAGTAGTATTGTCTGCGATGTGCGGAATCCAGGGATGAGCAGGGCTCAGATCGAAACGGAACTGAAGCGGCTACTCGGGATTGAGAAGGTGGTTTGGTTCCCTGGAAGGCGTAATGTTGACATTACCGACGTGCACATGGATGCTGAGGCGAGATTTGTGCGTCCCGGTGAGATCGCTTACTCGAAACCGCATGATGTTGCTATTGAGCTGTGGCAGGAGCTGTCTGCCGAGATCCGAGAGATTCTGGGCCGTGAGACCGACGCTAAGGGGCGCAGCTTGCAGATCCATACGATCCAGGAGCCGGACCCCGGGGGCTTGGTTAAGTCGGATCAGGATGAGTTGTCGGCCAGCTATGTCAATTTCTATTTTGTTAATGGTGGACTGATTATTCCTAAGTTCGGTGATGAGGAAAGGGATCAAATGGCGCTGGAAATGTTTCAGAGGTTACTCCCTGAGCGGGTGATTCGACAGGTGTATGCCAGCGCCATTCCCCTTACTGGTGGGGTGCTTCACTGCGTCACTCAACAGGTTCCTGCAATTCAGTGAGGACCAATCAGTTGAGGACATTGGAGGGGCTGGTTTTTAGTCTTTTTGGGCGAATGCATAGGTTACTTTTTGCTGTGTCAAGTGCACGTTCATGTCTAGGGCCTAGGGGCAGGTGTTTACAAACACACTCTCCAGGCATCACACGGCATATGCTTTGGATGTGTTGAATATGTACTTGGACTTGTGGATAATGAATTTGCCGGACATTCTGAGTCTAACCAGTCCGTGAAACCAATGTCGAGAGGGAGTGGAGGTCAGATATGCCTATGTTAACAGCTTGAGTCAGCCTACATAGACCATCGATTTCCAGTTATTCAGCTTACAGGACCAGAGGACCTCGGCATTCCAGAAGAGCAAAACTATGAGCATGCTACAGAGAGTTTGGTTGTATTTCAGGCTTTGTTGACATGTAGTGCGCACAACAAGTGATGTATCCGATCGCGGTGTAACAGGATACCCGACAGTCCGATAAACGAGCCCGAGAGCTAAGCACAGGATCGGGACTCTGGGGAGCTATCCTAAAGGATAGGTAGCTTAGTTACTCATCGCATAGCAGACATCGACACCGATGAGGTTGGAATCGACTCAACCCCACTAATATCGTCGGCGCATCTATCACATCAAACTCCACAGTGGTTCTTGCATCTCGAAACCTGATACCTAATGGCTATGAAGTAAGAGTATCCAGTCTAATGCGTCAAATGTCCTGCTGATTTCTCATTCCCCTCAAAGACCAATAGCCAAGTAATCCAGGGATCGAACCAGCCTCAACGCTTCAGCCGTAATAAATGCATAGAGAGTCAAGTTACGCCGTGGTAGCACTACTCTCAGATGTAGTCAGTCTAAATGACACTGACCTGTGCAACAACCTTTCTCCCTTCAATCCTTCAATGCACCCCGTATGCATTCAGCTCGCCCTCACTCATTCTCCACCAGCAGTGCAGTCATCGCCAATGACACAATGGCAGTCGCTTAAATCGCCCTCAAATCGTGCAGAATTGCGTCAAACAGCCGATCTAGCCTCTAAATAGCATCTCATCCTGTTGTTGGATGCACATCACGCAAAGCCCTAAAGCACAGTCAACCCCACTACAAACATAATTAGCTCTCTCACAGAACAAGTAAAAAAAGAGCTTTACTACATCCTGTACGACTTGCTTATGTCTTTTCCGTGAGATCCAACGTAATGCAGCATGCAGATTTACTCTTTAGTAACCTTTTCTTTTCCTCTTAGGCGTTCTCAATCCTTAAACTTCTACAGAACTTCACCCAGAGTCTCGTCTACAAAGGACAATATCAGTATACCCGACATTATACATGGTACCATACAGACTCAATGTCCTAAATGCTATTCCAGATCCAAAACTCCCCCTTCTCCCCAGTCCTGGTCGACAGACTCCTCTCAACAATCATGGCTCTCCTCCCAGCACCTCATGAAACAGCAACAACAACAACTCTCAAACACCCACACACAACACACCCATATCGAAACCGAACCCATTCCCCAGACGAGCTAGTAGACCTCGCAATCGCAAGCCACATAGCCCGCATCCTGAAACGCTCCCGCATCGGCGGCGATGAATCATTCTTCATAGCAGATCTGGGCCAAATCCTTCGACAACACCGTCGTTGGACGCTGAATATGCCCGGTATACGGCCTTACTACGGTACATCACACTTCCCACTCCATCCCTCCCACTTTCTTCCCTAACAAAATCAACAGCAGTAAAATGCAACCCAGACCCACCATTCCTCCGCGTCCTCTCAGAACTAGGAACAGGCTTCGACTGCGCCTCAATCGCAGAATTACGGCTAGTGCTAAGTCTCGGCGTCGACCCGGCCAGAATCCTCTTCGCGAATCCATGTAAAGCACCAGCAGCCGTGTCCTTCGCGCACGAGGCTGGTGTCCTACGGACAACATTCGATAATATCGATGAGCTGGATACTATCAAGACATATATGCCGGATGCACAGCTTCTGCTCCGCATCTATGCGAATGATGAAAGTGCGTTTATCTGCTTGTCGGAGAAGTTCGGGGCGCCGCTCGATACGACCGAGGAGTTACTGGAGAGGGCGTGGGAGCTTGGGTTGAATGTTATTGGAGTTAGTTTTCATGTTGGTGAGTACCTTTCATTTCCCATCATATCTGCTTTCTCATAGTATCTGCTGCCATTAGGTATGCAACATGATACATGATATTGACAGTGTAATCAGGAACGGGCGCTACGAACCCAGCATCATTCTGTAAAGCCATCAAAGACGCCCGGACTGCATTTACCCAAGCAACAAGAATAGGCTTCCACCCCCAGATCCTCGACATCGGCGGCGGATTCCAAGACGACTGTTTCGAGACCATGGCGCCAGTCCTGCGAGAAGCGATTCGATCCGAGTTCCCAGAAGGTGTAACTACCATCGCGGAACCGGGTCGGTTCTTTGCGAGGAGTGTGTATACGCTTGTTTGTCGGGTGATTTCGCGGCGACGGCAGCTGGGGAATGCGGCTGTATCGGGTGTTCCGGATATGCTGTATCAGAATGATGGGGTATATGGGAATTTCATGAATGTTATCATGGAGAAGGAGGTTATGGTTCCTTATTTGGTTAAGAAGGAGGGTAGGAACTTGTTGGTTAAGAGTAAGGGGGAGAATCCAGGGAAGGATGGGCAGGCTGGGTCTCATCGGTATTCGATTTGGGGTCCGACGTGTGATAGCACTGATTGTGTTGTTCGGGAGGTGACGTTCAATTCGGAGGTTAGGGTTGGGGATTGGCTTAAATATAAGAATATGGGTGGTGAGTACTTGTACCTTTGAGTCGTGGAGATTCCAGCATCGAACTGACGCGAGCAGCATATACGAGTACGACTGCCACTCAGTTCAATGGGTTTAGTAGTACCTATGACACGTTCTATGTCAACAGTGAATCGCTGATTGATTTTTAGTGGGATTGTCTGGAGTTTAATAAATCGATGAATAGCCTGCATTCATTCAGCTTGAGTCCGCCTCTTGCATAGATCTATCCCAAATCCAGAAAATTCATAAGATCCATGACTAGGTAGAGCAGGACCGCATATCCAGAAACAATAATCATACGCTTGAAACAAACACCATAATTCCCAGAAGTCCTAATACCCGGAGTGAAACAGAAAGGATATCAATCATAATAAAGAGCCCGAAAAGAAAGAGGAAGATAGGAAGAATCGTAGAGGAACGGACATAGAAAGACCGAGGAGAGATGCGAGGAAATTGATAAAGAGAGGCAGAGCAGGCTCTTAGAACGATATCATACCTTGTCCACACCCGACATCGGGACGTCGTCTTGGATCGAATTTTCAGGGAGGATAGGGTGCTTGATATCCACGCCATATGTTTGAGCATCAGGGGCAGCTTCACCCTGCTTCTCTGGCATAGCGGATGAAGTTCGGTGTTCAGGTCGTTTCCGGCCAAATCGATCGCACCAGTGCTCAGCGCTAACCAAAGTGTCATTGACGACGTTGCTGACCTGCGCCATCATATCCAGACCCTCTTGAGCCAGCACCAAAATACGATGAGCACTGACAGTGGCATCTGACGAGGCAGCCGGCGAGTCGGGTGGTGGCTGCGACGTGGACGCAACCTGGAAGCGGTGTGGCAGAGACGTCAAGTGTCGACGCACCAGATGGCGCGCATTTTCTGGGAGGGCACCTCCCGCGTACTTGGAAACCACATCCACGACCTGTTTCAAGGTCGAGAGCACATCGGCCTTGACGGCTTGGATGCGCTGGAGCAGCAAGGAAGCGCTCTCCTGGCCATTGCCTCCGGCCTCGACATCGGCCTGAGACTGCGCTTTGTGATTTTCCCATTCATTGACAGCACCGTGTAGCGCTACAATTGACTTGCCCAGTCGGCCATTTGCCCATCGTAGCCAGGTCAGACAGTATTGCAAGCTCCGCAGCGATTCCTCGCTCATGGCAACTCCGAGACCGGAAGTGGAAATGACGAGTCGGCTTTGCCAGGTCGCTGGCGTCCGTCTCTCTGGTTTCTCTTCGTAGTGTGGAGACCTCGTTTCGTCGTATGGCGGAAGCGACTCAGATGTAGAGAGATCGGACATACTCCGTGTGCGCGGGGAGTGCGATAATCCCTCTTGTCCCCCCTCCACGTCGGCGGTCCTCGGCGACACATCCCCATCCATCTTCCGTCTTTTCTTGGAGTGTTTGACGCCCGAAGAATCTCGCCGTTGCAGCGCCCAACGGAGACCGCTCTCGACACCAGTCTTGCGGCCTACCGTGCCGACAGTGTTCGCGACGGGTGACCCGATATTACGCTCGATGAACTCGGCACCGGACTTGAATCGCGGTGAGTAGGATTTCGAGGTTGCGTATGCAGTTACCGAGCCGTTGATTGCAGAGGAGATAAGGGGATGGGAGGAAGTGAGCAGAGACAATAGTGGCTCTGGTGGTGGTGGGTCCGGTGAAGCACCGGATTGTCGAGTTGTCTGAGGGGAGTGTCCAAAATCTGTAGCTGGGAATTAGTTGACTATTCGTTGCACAAGCAAAATCCAGGAGAGATCACCGCCGTGATACTCTTGGAGCAGATTGGGCATCGCCACGAGCCACATACCAGAACGAAGTCCCTCAAGGGCCTGCGCAGCCTCCAGATCATCCATGGATAATACACTGGCAGCTCGACGGGATCGATCTTCGGCTTTATCAACATCCATCACGGATGGATGGGCATGGTGCGGAGCGGTAAGTGATGGGGCGATACTTGTAAGCGCGGAGATCGAATTGACCGACGAGGTCAGAGCTGTGGCGTTAATGTTCTGGGCAGGTGGTCTTGACCCAGCGATTTTCGGGGGATCCATGGCGGGTCACAGATCGTCCATAGAGAGAGAATAATCATTGAGGCCGTGTCGGACTTTCCACCATCATCTTTCACGTGAAGAAGTGTCACTGGAACACTAGTCCCAATTGGGAAGGAAGATGGGAGAGGTGAGGTAATCACTTTTCTGTGGTACTTGCTTTCCCATACATTCTACTATGGTAGTCCATGTACCTCTCTATGTCACATGTCAAACAATAAAACCCTTAACTTGCCCCCAACAAACTCATATCCGTTCGCCTTCCTACTTCGAGCTTACCGAAAAAGAGGATGAAGGAATCTTTTCCCTTTGTTGGTGTTATTGAGCTCGCTATATTTGCCTACTTACAGACGGCGATATTCACTTAACAACTCCGAAACTCGGCCGGCTCCGTACTTGTACATTTGGTACACTGTGTACACTACACGATCATTCCGGTATGGAGCATACCTGCCCTACAGAGAGATCTCCATCCTTCCGGTTAAAAGGCAGACCAGCACAGTATCTCCGTACCCCCTCCTTGGTCCATCATCATTACCTTTCAAATGTAACTCAGCTAGTACCCCAACATGCGCTAGGATGTGTCGAATACGAGAACGAATTGTGATTTTCCCCCCAATCACTGGCATTGGCATCCCACGAACCGAAAGGCGCAATTCTATTCCTATTCCTGTAAGATGTTTGGTTCGTCGGTTGCAATCCTCTATTCTCACTGTTGTATTACGCGTACTATGTACATTCAGATTCACATTGACATCCCCGGAAGACCATCCTCCGTCCCATCACATGTCAGTACAAAGTAGTCGACGGCCTGCGGTTCCTATTTGCCGTTCTCTTTGCCGGAAATGTTATGTGCAAGTGTGCTTTGCCAAGGGATTTGCATTTTCAATATTGGGCATTTCCTGTCGAGTATAACCTTCTCATCTCTTCAATTCCTTTTGTTGGGCCCCTATGCCGCCTGTTCCGTCTGGCATGTGATGTGGAGTTGATTTTGTAGGAACTGGACTTTCTCAACTTGAGACTGTCGAAGGATTTGCCAATCTTGGGAACTCTTAGATTTGTCAAAATGATCGGTACATGACTCGAGTTTTACATGTTGTACATGGCAGTCAACTCTGTACATCAAGTATATGCAACAGGAGGTATCGCATGCTATGTTCAACACAAAGACAAACATCAAACATATCGCAATCAAATCAAATGCATAGGTCGTAATCGTCATTCATATCTCAATGGGCAACAGATCCCGCTGTTCGATTCATCGCAATGGCCGACCGTGCTCCTAAAAGGATAGCATGGCCGCAATCGAATCAGCATCTTCATATTCATCTTCATCATCGACCTCATCCACCGGCAATTCATTCGCCGTGAGATGTGCCACCGTTTTCTGATTCACGCGGTAGCAAGCGATCACTTCATTAGTGGCCAGACGGGATGCCGACACAGACGCCTTGATTTGGCACAATGTCTCACCGAAGGCGTGGAGGATGAATCGCGAGCGTGGGTATTGCCAATATGCATACGACGCCAACAAGCGACGCCATTCATTGCGACTGTTTTGCCAAGTGTGAATGAGCGGATGTCTCCCCGTTTTCGGGGGAGGGAGCGCAGCCGCACCCTCGGCTGCTTGGCGTGATATGGCAAGGAATTCGTCCCCGGTGGAAGTAGAGTGGCCGTGGTACCATTGTCGGCTGAGTTTGTCTATTGAAGACTTGACCTCGGCGAGCGTAGCTTTTAATTCTTCGCTATGCTCAGATAGGCTCTCTGATGCTTCCACGGCTTCTGTCCAGGGGAGGATAAGGTCAGGGTCCTTTTGATTCTGGACGTCGTGTTCCGGAAAGCTTGCGTTGAGACCGGAGAGAATCCTGTAAAGTTCTGATCTGGCGACCTTGAACTTGAGGAAGTCGATAATATTCGTCTCTTTGAACTGGCGGTCTGGGTTGCGGTACGCGGGAAGTTCGCGTTGCTTGGGACTTATGGTCTTCCGGTATTCCTTCCAGGCTTGCTCAGAGAGGTGAACACCACCTTTGCGACTGTCCACCAGATGGCTCAACAGACAAGCTAGCTCTTTGGCCTTCGGCGAATCAATAGACTCGTCATATGCCCGTTTCTCGTGTTCCACGGTACATCTCCCCAGGTGGGAGATGGTCAGATTAAAAGAGAAAGAGCTCTCCAAAAAGTCCCCCGTCGACGCCAGCGATTCCATAGGAACAGAGTGCTTTGTGAGTCCGTAATGCTCCGGAGGATACTCCTGCGGTGGCATGGGCGAGTTGCGGAACTTCTGTACAATATTTGAATCCCAGCAAATCCATGGCGTATCACCGTCGTAGTCTCCACCAGACAGCATGCCAGCCAGTGGGAAATCTCCTTTCGTCGGAAACACAATAACATCTTTGAAATGTCGTAGCTCGTTCTTCCATACTGCCCGACGCCGTTGAATATCCGAAGGCACATGTGCCGGGAGTCGGCCTACAAGAACATCGATTCCGTCAAGCAAGTTGTCTTCGAATTGGCCCTGGGGGTCGCGCCAGTTATTGGAGAAGCCGAAGTGGACTTCATCCGGCTCTAGAATCCCATAGGGATCTGCAATACAATAAGCATATGCGGAAAGCGGAACTGGAATTTTCAGTTCTTCCACATGGCGCTCAAGAAGCCATGTCAAATACTGCCGAAGTCCCTTGGGGCAAACCCAGTCTCCGAGAAACGAATGATCGACTCCGCATCGTTCATCACCCACTGCTCCAATCGTCTTGCTCGGCCAGTACCATCTTCGCCTGATGGTCTAAGCTTCTGTATCAGAGCGCGACAGACCACTGGGCTGTTGGAACGCAGGACCTCGAGGAAGTCATCGTAGAGACTCTGCACACCATCGCGAGTAAGCTTCGCAATGTAATCCTTCACGCCCGCTCCGTATTCCAGGATCGCAAGAAGCTGGATATTCAGATCCACGGGATGCAGTGGCTTAGCCCAATTGACGACTTCGAACGTCAGCTTGTCGTTATCGACCGGGCCAGTCCATTCCTGTGGATGCGGGTGGATTTTCAACTGGGAATCGGAGATTTGAATCCAGATGTCATCGTTGTTCATAGTAGTATTAGTACTAGAGTGGCTGTCGACCATCCAAAGCCCCTTGGCGCCTGCGATTCGTCCCTGGAAGCAACTAGGGGTTGCGGTGGTTATCCCCAGCTGATCACAGATTTGGTTCGCAAGTGGCCTTGACATCAAGGCACATCCGTCATTCATGACAGGTCGGCCTGGCTCATCTTTCAGACGGAACACCTGGCTCGGCTTCAAGACAGCCGTGGTGAATGTCTTCGATAGACCCAGGGAATTACGCTGGAAGAGTTTGCAGTTACTTTGATTCCCATTCTCAGACTTGGGCATATGCCACTCTAGCAAAGCTTCCACACTCATCGGAGTGTGGCTGTCGCTGTGCTGTCCATGAGGGGCTATCACAGGGGGCACCCGGTATCTATGATCGAAATCATCACCATCAACAGCAAAGAACTCGACGCGGAAACGAGGATCGGCCTTGGTTTTCTTCTTTAACTTGACTTCTTCGACGTAAAATGCCCGCCATATCCGTCCGAGACAATAGTGATCATTGTGTGCAAGCCAGGAAGAAATGCTTTCGCGAAGAACAGACGGATAAGACGGTTGTCTTTGATGGCTCGGAGGGTGATCAGGGGCTGGAACAGTAAGGGTAAGGAATCTATCGGAACAGAGAGCACCGTGGCTCTCACGTTCGCTACAGACGAAATCGATTTGATCTGATTCCCTTCAATTTGGGCCAGAATGAATTGACAGGACACGGCTGTGTTTGCTTTTCTTCGTTAGTCTCTTGAGAAGGCGCTGGTAGTGGGGCTAAACAAACAGATGCATTGGGTTTCCGTGTGTTGGGCTGGGATCGAGGGGTGGAGAGGAAATTTACGGATCGAATCTAAGATGCATGCAAGGACCTAAGTACGGAGTACTGTGAATTCCTTCCACCGAGTCGTCGACTTTGAGTCCCTGGATGTTTTCCCTCATTGAATGGTGTGGCGGGTTGCTGTGGCATGCTACCAGTTTACCCGCGCCAACTTCGGGTACTTAGCTGCACTTTAGCGGCCCCACCTGCGGGCGAGTCACTGTGACAACGCTTTAGCCTCACAGCACGAAATGACTATCGAATGGGATAGGACTAATTTTTGCGCCCGTAGGCTGCTCTGGTAGGACTCTACTAAGGAATGAGCCACGCTGGTGCCCTTTACAAGGCCGATCGGAGCTGAAAGAAGGCAGTAGATGAAATTTCAACAATTGACATACTGCTCACGGGTGTTTTCTGGCCCTCAAGGCTTGGAGTTGCTCTGTACTCCGTAGTCGTGTAATGGTTCATACAATTGACCAAAATGAGCTATCGAACATGCATCTCATTCCGATCGGCTTCTGTGGCCCATGCTCCCCGCCCGTCCGGGCCGTCCCTCACTGTCCAGCTCATCCTTATCTGTCCACAAATCAGCCTCCTTGGGATTAACATGCTTGCTATGAACAGCAAGCTTGTAGCCAACCATCAAGATTACGTAGACAGGAACGCCGATGTACGAAGCAACCAAGGACTTAACATCGAGTTTCTGAACGCCCGACTCAAAACTAAAAGAGTCGAACACAATGGTGACGGAGATGAATAGGCAGAGGATCAGAGCCAAGCAGGTCCCAGGTAGACCGAAGCGAGCTCTGAAAGCTAAAGACTTATCGGGAATACCCTGGGCCTTTCGTGCTCGAACGAAACATATGTGGGTGACGAGAATGGAGAACCATGTGAGGAGACCAAGCATGGTGACCATGTCCACGAAATATCCGAAGACGACAGTTGAGTCCTGATGGACGTTGAGATAGGCTAGGGTTGCTGCTGAGGAACAGATGGCCAAAGCGTAGATTGGGACACCTCTCTTGGTAGTGCGTGACAGAAAAGCAGGGGCACGACCCCTCACTGAAAGATCGCACATTGCCTTTGTGGCAAGGTAGAGGTCGTAGTCTGCAATAGACAAGACAAATAGCAGTATGCATGCGTTCAGTAGGTCAGGTAGTACGGAGATACCTGCTAGATACAAAGCTGCGACGAAAGCCGATGCAGCGGCTTCATCTGATGCCTCGCTATTGAAGGCCACGAGTATAGTGTCCTGGGGAACAATCATGCCGAGAAGGGTGATTGCCACAAGATGGAATACCATGATTCGGTAAAAGGTATTTCGGATGGCCCTCGACGTAGCTCTTCGGACGTCCGGGTGATAGGCCATGCCAGAGTGCTCACTTCCGATGTATGCGAATGTGGCGGATGACATTGTCGAACATGTTACATGGAACTTCTCCAGCAAAGAATGGCCTTGGAGACCATGAGAGCCGAACGCACCGGGGTATGACCAATACCGAAACCCTCTTATCTCGTGGTCCGGTCCTCCGCCCAACGCAATGACGGTGGACAAGATCATGAGTCCGAGCATAACGACGAGTTTGAATGACGAGACGTAGAACTCAATCTTGCTCGGGAGGCGGTGATTGATGAAATTGAGAGCCACGATGACCGAAAGGAAGATCGTGATCCAGGTACCAGGATTGACTCGCTCAGCATCAACCCAATAGGAGACCACCAGCGCTGCAGCAGTAAGCTGGTTCGGGGTGACAAGGGCATATTTCAGCCAGAATCTGTGAGGCAATGTCAACTACCTGCCAGGTAGACCAGATATCACCATGAAAGGAGACTTACATCCAGCCTAAGCTGAACCCAAGCGCAGGATCGCAAAATCGTACGGCTTGATCTGCCACGGTACACGGTTTTGGCAGCCATGAACCTACCTCACCCAAAGCCGAGAGTACAAGGTAAACCGCGAATCCGACAATGGTATATGAGATTATGATCGATGCCGGCTACAGCGGATTAGGATGCCGGCTGCCAACACACGTGGGAATGACTTACGCCGCTCCTGTCTTGAAGTTAATATTTTAGCACGGATGAGATTTGCCTGGCATGAGAAGTCATTCTTACATGGTTAAGGCTCTTCCAGTACCGACCATCAAGCCCGTTCCAATTGCCGATCCAATTGCTACAAATGTAGTATGTCAGAATACCGGCCGCGTCGCACGAGGTAGGAGATACAAACTGATGATGCTGATTTGACGGGGTGTTAGGGTCCCATAGATATCGGTGAAACCGAGGGCATGTTCGGTCTGATGAGCTTCTGGGTTAACCGATGGGGTAGTTGGGTGGGTGGCGGTGGGTGCGCGTTCGCATGTAGAGGATCCTGATCCCGATCCCGGTCGGCGTCGTGAGAACATTTCCTATTATACTTGTTGGTAAAATGACCTCCCTGGCCTGAATAGCCCAACAGAGAAGAATGTTTAGTGCACTAGAAGCGTCAGGAGATCAAGTAGAGAGGGAATAGACATCTCTCCCTGGAAGGCCGCTGGAGAAGGGGTCATGCAAGTGCGAGTGAAGGAAGGAACGAGGCACAATAAGCGGGATCACAGATCATTGGATATATTTTCTATATGCAGCATACCCATTGTGGGACAGTCCAAATAGAATGGCATGAACAAAAAAAAGCATTTCGAGGGTATGCCAGCTCTTAGTGATTGCCATCAGATCCGTCGAGCAGGTACCAAAAGCGGCCAGCGTCTATCAAAGGCCACAAGATCACAAACGCCCAAAAAGAAAAGTCAAGTTCCGACACCCAAGCAAAGCATCAGTCGATTGCATACTGAATCCCATGTCCCCGTGAGTTGGGGCCAGAGAGTTGAGTGGAGATATCATAAAATCTTTGTCAATGTTACCAAGCAGCAGCGGTTTTGGAGCGACTGGCGTTTGTATGGAACGGTCGCTCCCCGAGGGAGGTAACGCGAGATACGTAAGACGTGTTTCCTAATCATCAATTCATCGTGACATGAGCGAGTCGCTCGACTCTGTGCGGGGGAATATGCGCGTGTAGAGTGAGTCGCTGGACTCAGTACGCGGGAAGTGCCGTTGATGCTTCCGTGAAATCACACGATCCGTGTAGATACCCTTGGCCGAACCCCGGATAACTTGCTCGAGATACTCGCGGAAATCGGTGGGCTTAAAGTCGGGGTACAGATCCTGTGTGGTGTGGTAGCCGAGATACTTGGCGTACTCAGGGTTGTTATCCCCGCGGATTCCCCAGGAGAGTTGATATTCGGCCAGATACCGGGGAATGAACTTGATCGGATCGAAGGGATAGGTTTCACTGGCTTGACGGGCTGCGACGACTCTGCTGCAGATAGTTTCCTCGGGCACCTGTGCTCCGGAAAGGGGAAATTCATTAGCCAAATGCACGTCATTCCGAGACAGGGAGTCTGATACGACTTACGTAGTTCCGATCAATCTTCTCCTCGCTAAGTTCCTCCATCAGCTCGTAAATCTTGTTTTGCGAGGAGACCAGGTTATAGGCGAGGATCTTCTTGTTCAGCGTACGAGGGTCGGAGATGATCAGGGCCATGTAGCGACCGATGTCTCGCAAATCGGTCAAAGCTGTGGGCATGTTGCCATCACCGATAATCTCATCGTTGCCAGACGTCATGGCATAGTCGACGCGGCCGGAGGGGAGACGGGGGTAGGCCAGCTGGTACCACCAGCCGACATCGACGATGGTGTAAGGAATCCACAACTGGCGGATCTGATTATAGACGATCTCTTTCTGTACAAAGTAGAATCTGGTTAGCTCACTGATGGATGTACGATGTCAACAGTTCTCTTACCTCGTCCCGCAACCACATAACACCGCCTGGTGGGCAAACGGTGATAAAACCACAGGGAATAAATCGCTTCACGCCGGTCTTCTTGGCCGCCTTGGCAAGAGGAATTTGATCCTGTTGCTCGGCGGGACCAACGCAACTGATGACCACATCGATCTCAGCCAAAGCTTCGATGAGGTGCTCCTCCGGGGCCTTCAAGTCACATTTCCGGATCTGGCATCCCCGTTCCTGAAGGCGCGTGATGGCTGGTTTCTGGGCTGAGATAGGGCGAACGAGGGCGATGACCTCCTATTGAAAGAAAAAAAGTGAATTCATTAGTTTGGGGGATCAATTGGGGAGGGAAAGTCAGGTTTGCCTACAAAATCCCCAGTGTCCAACAATCCGTTGGCAATAGATCCTCCGGTTTCACCCGCTGCTCCAACGAGCAAGACCTTGGTCTTCGACATATTTATTCAATAAGTAATGGATGTGTGAATTTGGGGGAAAAAAATTAAAGGCGTTGAAGATGGAGGGGTTGAAGATCGAAAAGGTGAAAGAGAGAAAGAGAAGCAGGGATTGGGTAACAGGTTTAGGACCTGACGACGTTATAAATTCCCAAGCCTCAACCCACTTTCTCATCCGCAGTAGTGGGTCAGTGGATGTTCATTCCCCTCGTTTGAAGGGGGGTAGGAAGTATGATTCTCTTTCTTTCCTGTATCATTATTGCTGTCTATCTATGTATCTCATTATCTCATAGTATTATCTACGATCGTAGTCTCAATGTACTATCTACTAATTTCTTCACGGGCCGGTGGCTCGGCAGGGAGAACCCATTTATCATAGGTCGGCGATGTTACGTCATTTTACGGCTTCCCGGTCAAATCTGAAGATGGACTAATGATGATGTTTGCGGACAACCCAAAAAAAGGTAAAGAAAGGTCATTATTTGCTGTCAAATAACATGTCAATTGACTCGAAATGTATCTCTTCTGGTCACATATCAGGAGTCACTGCCTCTATTACCTCAAAACTCTGTTCGGCTGACTGAAACTACCTTGGAAAGAGACCCGGTGAACCTCTCATTCGATCCCCCCTGCCAGACATGCCTACAATACATAGTGAGGACATTCTACATAATCTATTCCCTTGGTCACTTGCCAGGATCTTGAACCCATGGACGTCACCAGTCCGGTCTGCGTAGTCCCAGCTTCAGGCAGGTTTCACACAGGAGTGACGAAATAGCAAAGATGAGTCAGCATTAAAAATGGGGCAAAGTGTCCATTAAATTGGGCCATTTGAGTAAAAGAGATCTTGGGCGCCAATCACCGATCATTCCAATGCAAGATGGATGTTGGACAGGGTCAGCAATAGACACATGGGCCCCACGGGTAACTGCTTGTGACCTCCCTCAGACCGAGGGGAGCATGTCTAGCAGATCACAGACGTGAAGAGCCAAGCAGGGGCGCCAGCCACAACCGGGAGATCGGTGCTTCGGCTTCCTCGTATTGCTTTTTCTCCCAGAAGCTGGGGATTTGAACGTGCAAATTTTGCAGTGCAACGCGTTTGCCCCTCATTTCTTGTCCTCACTTCTGCGGTTAGTGGGATAAGGTCACTCGCATCCTGACTTTGGAGCGGATCTTCTTAAAGAGGTAAGTGAGGGTGAAGATCCCCGGTTCCCGTCTGTATTCAACGCGGGGAATGCAGCAATAGTGAGGGTCTAAGCATCTGCGTAGTGATGTTCTGGACCCCGAGATCCATTTATATTTCATCATGAAGATTGATCGTCGTTCGTTATGGGCGGCTAGTCAAAATGGCAGCGAAATATGGGGAAAAAGAAACCGGGGAAAGAAACAGCAGAAGCGGCACAGGAACAAGCAACCCGCTACTAGCGACCATTACTTGAACTCCGTTTTGAGTTTCCACTGTACGCTGTGCTGCACAGAGCCCGGCCTTGGTCCCAGCTTGACATTTGCTCAATCCCCATTGACTATCCTATTTTCAGGAGGGCAAGGGTTGCCTCGCCCTCTCTGGTAGAAGATCAAGGAAAAGGGTCTGAATGCAGAAGATCACCGTGATAGTCACCTACCTTTGCATATTCGTTTAGTTTCCAAAAGCCCAGCTACATAGGAGTTACATGTACGCAGGCTGGGTTGCATAACAACGATAATACTTCCATCCTTTAGAAGCGGTGACAGCAACCTTGCTATTGTATCAAGCTATCTATTACTCCGTATTGCTGAGCTTTAGCGAAGCACCCAAACCATCAGGGGGTCGTCTGGTCGTCCGTCTTCCAGGCCGGCCCAGAGTAACCACCGACCGTCACGATAAGAGCGTCGGGGCGAGTGTGCAACCGATCCACATCCGTAGCCACCCAGATGATATCCTGTACCGTCACAAAGGCGCCATTGACGAGCCCGCGTTCGGTCAATGGCGCCTTTGCAACAGTCCGGGATATCATCTGGTCGGCAACGGATGCGACCCGCATCCACCCTAACACATCGCCCGCATACGCCATCAACGTTTAGTTTCATGTCGAACGAACGTTCACGGCACCGTTCGCAGGTCTGAAGCTCCGGCTCGAACAGATTTCCTGGAAGTCCTCCAGAAGCTGCCAGTCCTGCTCGGTCACGGCGGGATTGGAGTCGCTGCGATTTGCAGTGGAGCTGGGTGGCGAAATAGGATCCGAAATAGTGGGCGATGCAGGAGCCGGTCATCGAAGAGGGATGAATTCGGATAACGGTCGTGAGAGATCACAATTAGTGCAGCGACGGAGGGTAGGATCGTCCGCCATTGCGAAGGTGTAGTGTGTAGGAAGGGATAGACAGTAAAAGGAGGATAGGGGGGTTGGGCGTTAAGAAGGAGACAGACAGGGGGTGGACGAAGTGTTTACAGGGGCAGCACGAAAAGGGTGGAAAGCGTTAGGGACTCTCCTCGCAAAATTGGTTTGGCACGTGCTATTGTTAGTCAACAGTTCAAAACAATCGTAGCATCACGTGATCTAAATCTAGAGAGATACGTCGAGAACCATTGATCGCTGCAGCCGTAAAAGACCTCGCGCTTCTTGAGAAAACGAGAATAACCCGGGCAATTACGGCATCGTTGACGGAGCCGGATACGGTGACATTTTTTTGTCTAGGGCTGATCTGGTCGGAGCAGCATAGCTCACACCAGCTAACAGGAGCCCTAGCCACACGGAGAGGGAGAGCAAGTTCATTGAACCGACCAGGCAAGCGACCATGAATATTTGAGTCAAAATACCTAATACCTTTCATGTTTCAGCCCCGGGGCATCCTTTCTAATACTGCGCAATAATCAGGCCCAGCAGCACCTTGCCCATTTCTGTCGACCGAGCTGAGATGGAGCTGAGATGACCTCGCTTCGCTTCGCGTCGCCTGGCTTCACCTCATAGCCCTCGCCGGGACATTTCTGTGTCTATGAATCTCTCGAGCCTGCATCAAATCCAGTCAAGAGAGGGCTTTACCGGCCATAAAGTCTGCCTGGAGTTCGGTTGAAACCACTACTGCACGTGCAAAGGTCCACTTCACCGGATGATGAGCCTTTCCAATTGGGGATTGGATAATTCTATCTCGCCACTGCCCTAGACCAATTACTGGCTCAATGGGATTCCATGACTGTACAATGTTGATATCAACCCACTTGCCGCTTACGGAAGCGGGGGCTAGCGCTAGGTAGTTATCACTCGTGGGGCAAGACGCGGGCAGACCCGACACCGCGTCAAACGGAAGTTCTCCATGGCCCGGCCATGGATGATGGGGGCCAATTTGACTGTGCTCCAGTTCGCGCGATCGGCTAGCAAAATCAAATTGCTTATTGAAATATTGGCATATTGCAGCAGACTAAGGAAGTCGGAACGGATTTCTTCCGTGCTGCCCAGATCGAACCAATCCACACCGAGAGCGTGGATCAGGATCATTATCCCAGCAACTAACATGGCAGGGGTATATTTCGGCCAAATATTTCTCCCCCTGAATGCAACGTATTTGGGGCTATAACCAGACATGATTGCTTTAGCGACACCGTCAGCTGTCAACTGCTTCCTGGGCCACAACATCTTGATAGACGCTCTAAATGCTTCTACCAAGGAGACTGTTGAGACCTCGCCTTGCGTTCCTTAACTTACACTTTTGCCGTCTGTTACTGGGATTTGGCCTTCTCTATGGGCTCGCAGTCAATTGGGCCCGCGCCCGAAGTTGGCGTGATCCAACATCGGCCTTTTTCGCAGAAGACAAGGCTTACGAGCCCGCCTACTCAGTCCAGCGTGGAGAGCAAGCCAATGCTTTCCTAGAACATGCCAACAATAATACCCTTCCCCTCCATTTTCAGACCAAAGTATCTGCGCATCCCACGATATGTGTGGGGATTACTTCGGTGGCACGGAGGGGTGCAAATTATCTCCAAGGCGCGGTAGGGTCGGTGCTGGAGGGCCTTACGGCGGCAGAGAGAGGAGATTTATACCTGATCGTCCTGATCGCGCACTCGAATCCAGCAGAGCATCCGGCGTACGTGGAGCCGTGGCTTCATACCCTCGCAGACAAGGTTCTTCTCTACGACCCCGATCGGGTGGATGTAGAGCACATCCGCGAATTGGAAACCCCGGAGGCGAAGAGCTTTGCGCGCGAAAAGGGGTTGCTGGACTATATTTATCTTCTGAGGGCGTGCGAATCCGTTAATACATCCTACACTGTGATGCTTGAGGATGATGTTATTGCTCTTGATGGCTGGTACCATCGGACTAAAAACGCCCTGTCTCTTGCTGAACAACAGACCATTGAGGAGGGTGTAGACAAGTGTAAGCATGAATCATCTCCTACTTCTGACGATGGAAATTGCATGGAGAAATGATGGGACTAATGAAGCAATCTTTTCATAGGGTTATACCTTCGACTCTTCTACACTGAACAATTCCTTGGATGGAACTCGGAAGAATGGCCCGCCTACCTCTTGTTCTCTCTCCTTGCCGCACTGGGAGTGGTGGCCATAGCAACGGCTATCCGCCACTGTCGCCCAGCTACGACTGCATACCTTCCAAACGAGATAATTGCTCTCCTCGCCTTCGTTATGACTCCTCTCCTGATCATCCTGTTCTTTGCTGCCGGGAGGATCACAATGCTTTCGATACCTGCAGGAGTGCACGAGATGCCCAAGTTCGGCTGCTGTTCTCAGGGATTGGTCTTTCCACAGTCTCGCATCGGAGATTTGGTATCCTGGTACGAGTCTAAGAGAGCTGGGTACGTCGACATGCTTACAGAAATCTACGCCGATGAGAACAACGAGATACGTTGGGCGTTGACTCCTAGTGTACTGCAGCATGTTGGGAGCAAGAGTTCGAAGACGAATACGCCGGGGGATCACAAACACCGACTGACGGTTTCCGAAACGATCTGGAATTTCATGTTTGAGGAGAATGATATGGAGCAGCTACGCCGGGAGCATAAACAGCAGGCCGAAGCAGAAATATAGATAAGTATACGATATAGGTCGATGCAAGTGTGCCTAGTTGGAAATACTTCATCTACACAGTGGCTTATGTACAGCATTGCTTAACAACAACAAGAGAAAAAGGTGGGGTGAAAGAAAGGTCGTGTGATGACGCGGGATTTATTGACGCCCCGGCCTGGCGACAAAATCTGAACGCCAGACCGACCCCTCAGCCGCACATTGCTTAGCCGCGAAGCTTAGCAAAAGAGTTCGGTTAAATGACCCCGGTCACCCGGTGAGACACCGAGGCCTCCGAACCCTTGCGGGCTTCACCGGGGCAGACGGAGGAGCGAACTGTTCCTCAAAGCCTCCGAGTTAGTAGTAGGCCCTTCTCACCGGTTGATCCTCCTGATCAGGCAGTTTGCCCTGCACTAGTGAGACTACCTCCATTGGATCGGTCTCGCCCGAGGACTCGGAACTGACCAGGGGTACCTTTACTGCTGTCAATAATTTCTTGCTCGAGACACATCAATGGAGATATTGTCACATCCCATGCACTTTTCGACCACGGGGCCGGTATTGGTCAAAATCAGATGTAGAAGCGCTTACTGATTTCTCTTGTAGTATTACTATCATGCAGTCGCGTTCATTCAATATTAGGCGTATTCTTGAGGGCATATGCCATATGCCATATGGTTCATTTTGAGGAGGTCCTGTAACTATCTCAGCCCCACTGATCACCAATAAGGTTGAGTGACGTCATTGCTCTGGCTCAGTAGTTACCCTAATATTGTTATGCAACCCAAACTATCTCCAAACGCATGTGACACGGTCTTTCCACGTGCCCATACTTCTTCTATCCCTGTTTAGGCCTGGAGTTGCTCTCATTTCTTCTCCTAGGTTTTCATTATAGCGTTGACACACTCTTTATGCTCGGTTTACATCTACTATCAAACATCAAGTACAAATGTCTCTTCAAATTCATATTGCATTGAAATGGGTATCTCGCATACTAAAACAAAAAACAACAACCACTCATCGAGTAACTAAAGAGGCTTACACCCAGCCCGCCAAACGCGCCGCTGAACACACGATTTCTTCCTCCGTCAGAGGAGGCTCACAGGGGGACTCATAGCTATATTCCCTGATAGGGACCCCCTGGAACAAAAAGGTAACCTTGCGCAACCTCTGCTTCCGTCTCTCCTCCATAATTTTCGCCCACTGCTCCCTCACTTCTGCGAGATGCTCTTCCCGGAGGCGCGCACCCTTCTCCCAAGCCTCGATCTGGTGGCCGATGGAATTGCTCGGCTCGTGCACCCATCCCACACCGTATTCAGGGCTGACCCCAGAAGCCAGCTCGTCTGAAACGGCATTTTCCCAATGCCAGTAGTTCAGGTCCTTGATATCCTCTTTTGAGCGACAGAGGGTGAGGAGACTTCGGGGGCGGAGGTAATGTTGGCGAATGTGGAAGTCTACTTCGTAGTGAGCGAAGAGGACGGTTGTTTCGTCTGCTGGTTTGCCTGAATCTCTTTCAGCTTTCTTGATGAGGGTGTCGATTGCATCGTAGTATTTCTGTTGCTGGGATAGGGTGATGTCATCCCAAAATGTTGCGTTCTTGTTCGGAGGGGGAGATGTGTCGAGTGGGTCGATGTTGTCGTCCTGGACGCTTTCGCAGGAGAAGAACGGTGGGTATTCACTGACAATATAGGCTCTTGCGGTGATATCTGCTTCCATCATATGCCGGTTGATGTGCAGATTCTCACATTCGGTACATTTGAGGGCCTCCTGTAGAGCGATGTTGTGTGCTGATCTGGACAGTTCAGCACATGCACCATGTTGTGATGGATGCTTGACGTGGTGAGACTGTACTAGTCCTTGCTTAATAGCTTCAGACCAGTTCTTCCTTGGTGCAACTGCTTGTTTGGTAACCCGGTAGGTCTTTGTCTTGCGGTCAACTGCCATTGCGAATAGCTCAGTGATTGCACTTGTGGTGTGGTCAAAGTGATAATTGAGATGAGGTATGTGTGAAGTCTTGCAGTCTGATCTTGAGGGGAGAAGAATTGGAGAGAAGGAAGGTGGTGTTTGGCATGCATTTATACGATGCATTAAAGGCCTTTGTGCCGGCTTTGTAGGCAACGAGAGAAAGACAATAGCCTCCATTGATTCTATTTTGAATTAAAGGAACAAAGAGAAGAAGCTTGGTCTGTAACAATCGAGGACAATGCTGAGGGTCTGACAAACAATGCCCTTTGAGGAAAAACGCTCACAATAAGATGCTTGGATAACGACTTTCTTCGAAGCTGAGGTGAGCGCCATGGGATAAAGATAGATAATTTATGAAACGGAGTGGCTTCACTAAATATAATACTGCCTTGGCTCAAATGACGTGAGTCCGGGCAGAGATCATCTGGGGGAGGCGCAATTAAGCTCGGTGGGGGGTGACTCGATCATTGGGCCTGAGCATCGTGACTTCAAAGATCATCGGGTCGAGCGTAGGGATCTGACCTCCAATACGTATATTAGACTAATTTGCTACCTAGCTGCCTTTATTCAAGAATCAAGATCTAGCTATATAGTAGCTGGCTGGTGATTCTCATCCTGGTTAGTTGCACCATCGAGGGAGTTAGGTTTTATACTGAAATGCTAGGAGGACATCCTTGATGACCAGAGACTGTCCTTACCTGTTCTATCAGTAATTGAAGAGATAGTTGCGTTTGCAGCAGTTTGCTAGAGATTGACTGTCGAAATAAAATGACATGTTGTTTACCTATGAGTTGCGGCAATCCCAGTCAATACAACTTCTATGATCTACTCTTTCTTGACCTGCTTAAGATCTGATCACAACGTCTTCTCCAATACTTCTCTTCATACCGCTGCATTCCGTCTCTTCGCGGATTACACGACTAGACACGTTACGTGCCTCGACACGTACTCGATCCCCAAACCACTATCAGTGAACCCATCATGGGAAAAGCCTCACTTACCTTCCCGGCAATGTGCCTAGCCCTCTCATTCCTTTTCGTCATTGCCGTCTACCACGCTTCAATCATACAGCGCCTCAGCTCATTCCACCGGCGCATCATTCTTCCACTGTACCGCCGAATGACCAATATAACATGGGCAAACCACGTCCCCGCCAACCACGACGAGGCAAGGTACGAACTAATCAGCCGTGATATCAACGACGACGAAGAAGAGAGTGAAGAACCAACGCATCCAGCTCTTCCACGCACCCCACGTTCACAACCGCGATCACCACTCTCCAAACCCGCTAGACCTCGCACACCATATCCCCACCCCCCGGCGAGCCCGATCCCGGCAAACCGCCCAAGCACAGCGGACGAGAGCCCAATCGCCGTTTTCTGGACCAGAGAACCCCATCTCTCCGAGCTGCAGGCCAGTTTTACTAGGACTGAAGATTCTGATGGCGACGAGTCTCAGAACGAAGATTCTGACGGAGAATATCCTTACAGCGAATATTCTATCGATTCATCTGACGACGAGAACTATATCCATCAGTCTTGGGACCTTCGCATCTTAGACCCACATATCCCAGGCGGCGAGATCCCGGTCTGGCAAGTTGAAGCCGAGAGTCAGATTTATACTGTCGATGACCGTCAACCGCGGGGAGTGCAGCTTTTGCTGGACCAGACCGTTGAATGGACTGTCCAGATGGTTTATGGTCTCGTTGCTCCCCATACCGAGGGTTTGGAAGTACATGCCTGAGTTGAGATCTCAGTACCTCAGACCTGTTCTCACATGATTCAAAAGTTCTGCCAGATCTCCCGCAGGCGGGGCGAGCTGAGGGGACTGAGGTGAGGCCGGTGCGGCGATTGCAGGGGGTTCTATTCAGTGTCAGTATTGTTTGCTTAATGGAAGGTAGTCCGCCACTTCGAGCCTATACTTTGGTAATTCTTCATTTTGTTGCTTTGTTGTAGTTCGGCGGTAATTTGTTCAAAGCAACAGGTCATTTTATCGATCACATTGCGCTTGACGTAGGAGTCGTATGAGCCCTGTCACGGGGTTGGGGGTAGAGCGCGATCATTGGTAGGGTTACAACAAGCGCCACGCAAGGGATTGGACGATTGGACATTTACTGCGTACAAGGATGGCACGGTCTTCATGGCGTATTTAACTCGGCAATCGCGCATAATCTGAAATGCAGCTCGTTATCAATGGTGGGAAAATGGTTCCATCTTTTGGAGCTTGGAAACGGTGCAATTTAGATAACTTCATCCTTGTCACCATGCCTCACTTTACGCAAGTCTGGATTCCAGAGAACACACGCATAGCAGCGCAATCCCAAAAAGTGAATCGCCAATTTCCGTCATCTCAATCACATCAAGTCGCTGAAATAATCCCTCCAAATCAACAATCACAGGCAAACCTTCATTCCAAAGCTTATGGGGCACAGTAGCCACCGTCGACGATAAGATCAGCTCCGGTGGTATATGACGAAGCATCGGACGCCAGGTAAAGATAAGCACCCTTCAGCTCATGGGCCTCGCCCTCACGACCCATGGGAATCTTATCGCGCCAAACATTCTTAGTTTCCTCAGGCACGAAGCTAGAGATCTCGGTAGCAATGTAACCGGGTGACACAGTGTTGGCGCGAGCAAAGCGAACCCATTCAACGGAAAGGGACTTGCCTAGAAAGATGTTAGTGAAAGTGAAGAAGCTGATGAAATATTGGTGGCATTTACAAAGATGGATGACGCCAGCCTTGACGGCGTTGTAGGCAGCCTGCATCTGGGGAAAGTTGACAATGTGACCGCTCATAGATGCAGTAGCAACAAAACTACCATATGTGAAGTTGGTAAGCTTATTGCCGTTGGCATCAGTACCCTCCTCCTTCTGGCGACGCCAGTGGTCGGCGGCATATTTGGCACAGTAGAATGTGCCATCAAGATCAACCCCGGCAACATCACGGTAGTGCTCGAGAGGTCCGTCGACCATCGGGCCCTGAGTCCAAGGAATACCAGCGTTGGCGATGAATACATCTAGACGGCCATTGAATTCCTTGACCACGTCGTTGACGGCTTGCTCAACGGCCTTGGCATCGGTAACCTGGACTTGATAAGCCTTGGCTATCGATCCATCCGCGTTAGATCACTTGGCAAATCATATCTGTGGATTTTTCACGCACTTTGGACACCGAATTTCTGCGAGATCTCAGCAGCCCGCTCAATACACTTGGGGTTGCTGTTGTACCACATAGCCACATTGGCACCGGCCTCAGCTAGAGCCTCAACAACAGAAAGACCGATACCGGCACCGGCACCAGTGACAATAGCAGTCTTCCCCTTGAGGGAAAACATGCTCATGACACTCGGGTGCTCGGGAGCTGTTGTGTTATTGTGGACGAAGAGTCCATTCTTCGTAATAGGACTTGCAGACATTGCGACAAGAGCAGAGTGTGAGGAGATGTGAAGTGACACGGTTAGAGGGAAGTATGTCCAGTTATGAGGGGCAGATCAGTTAAATAGAGCCGCCTGAGGAGCAGATTCGTGACACTAGGACACGCGGTAGGACTGTGAGACGTGCGTTGGCGGGGGAGTCGGACGAGAGCGCCCCTAGACAAAGACATTGGTGGGGAGCTCTTGTATTGTTCACCAATGCTTTGGTGGGGGACACCCGTGGACTGGATCTTGTGGATCGTGGATAGTGGCGCTAGGCGCTCTGAAATACATAGCCAACAGGGTTGCTCTTTGACAGGTTAACGAGCGGACATATCATAATCTCATGCGATGATGACGAGACAGTTTGATTGGACTTTGGAGAGACATAGTCAAGAAATCGAGGCGCCAAAAACCCTCATACCTATGCTGTATGATAAGGACACAGCTTGGCTCTTAGCCTCTTCGGACGCGGGGCGGTGAAACTGTGTATGTGGAGGCCCTAGGCCAGTCCTGGTATGTGGAACTCATGACGCAGGCAAGATCTGCTTGCGCTTTGGCTTTGAGTTTGGTGCTCGTGCTGTGTAAATAATAGAACTAAGAAAGCTCCCACATGGACTGGAAGCTGCTGCGATACACAGTATGTAAGGAAAATACCTCCAAGTCCTCCAAGTCCTCCAAGTCAACCCTTCCAAGGTTGGAAGGTTGCAATGTTGACTAAATTCTCCTTCGGGAAGGAATGGCCGAGGATGCCGGCTTCCGGCTAAAGTCGATCCCGAAGGGACAGCGCTGAGACAGGGGGAAGGGAAGAGCCGAAAGTCGACATCACTCGGCTCAGCTCAATTGGAGGGCGATGAAGATTGAAGAAGCAGTTGCTGCAGTGCAGCAGCAGTTCTTCAAATAATGAGTTAATGACAAACATAGTCCTTGCTACCAAGTAGTTCAAACTCGGCTGAAGTCGCGACCAGTGCGTTCTAGGGGCAGACCCCAGACATTGAGCTGGATGACCACAAATCTCACGCCAGCCACGCGTTTGCTGCATATACCGAGACTCAACAGAAGGAAAAACCATACAGCCAATGTCAAAATGGATCAATGATCCCTGACAACAGCCGGGCTGGTGCCGAATAGGCACTGATGGTTCGGTCGGCGTCGCATTAACTGCGGCTTATGGTATTCGTCATCCACGGGGTAACTCTTCCTCGCGTCTTGTGTTATGACTTGTTTGGGACATCTAACTAGACATGGAAGAAGTTGTAAGTACAAATCCAGCACGAGAGATGCTGGTGGAGATGCCAAAACGGCACTCCAAAGTAGCCATCACTTCTTCTGAAGTATAGTCTTGAACTGGTGATGACGACTGTTGCCCATTCCAACAACGTACAGATGGGCGCTCAGACGTTCCAGTGGCCTCTTTCGACGATCCTATTTGTTCGAAATGCGAATGTCGAACCATGATGGAAGGGGGTAGGTAGTGTGGCCGCCAGCATTCCTAGCCGGGTGGTGATGAATGAACATTCCTCGGCTGGCATCAATGTACCCATAACAAATGGTGGCGCCCTTGGGGAATTGTTGGCACATCCTGCTACCTCTTGTTATTGTGAGGCTTCGTTGTTTCACGCCATCAAGATCTCGAACCCGTGAAAGCCTCTTGCCGTTTTGATAGAGCAACACTTCGAACCACCGACCGAAAGCATCTCAGTCAAACGAATGACGCGTTGAGAGGCTCATCGCCGTGAACCTCGTTCAAGCTGCCTCGAGTCTTTCTCAGTGACGCGCCAGCGAGGCGACCATGTTGGGGCTGACTGCCGTTATCGCCATAGCCGCTTCGTGCGCGGCCATCTTCATTGTCGTCTCGGTAGTGGGCATAATTGTTTGGGTCAGGTATCGCAAAGAGCGACATGCATTGGCGCTGCTAGGCTTCAGGCAAAAGCAGGGACAGCTCAATAGGGGGTTGCAGTCTTATCCGGTGGACACATTGACTGAATTGAGCCAGGCAGAAGGGAGCATATTGAGGGCACATGGACAACTGCCTTATGGGAAGCCTGGTGAATGGGGCCAATTGACTTCACGAGAAAGTTTGTATCGGCCCAAGCATGACTCTGACTCTTCTATTTCTTTAACTGGGAGAGCCCGTTCCCTCCGCAACTCGCTTTCTCGATCTCGATCCAAACGGTTATCTCGATCCTCCCACCACCGCCGCATGAGCTCCTTAGCTACATTGAGTGAATCAGTCAAGACGCCCAGTCCTCCTCCTAAATCTTCGATATCCAAGGAAGACGTCCCTCTTTCGGCAATTGAAGGGGTTCTGGAGTTACCGGCAGAGAGAACACCGAACCAAACACCAGATCCCAATGAAGACGATACTGGATTCCTTGGTATGAGGCCCGACTCAACTGGGTGGCCCCTATCAATGCAACGCACAAGTCTTTTCCCTGTTTCGGAGAATCGCGATTCAGGTCAAGCATTTGATCCAACCCCAATGGTTTTTGACGAATCCCCTCGGCGCCTGCGTGGGACAAGTATCGCTAGCCAAACTCCTGGCGTGATGCCAGACCATTCGGTTCCCCCTCCGCCGCCCACGGCCTATCCTACCGATAGATTTAGTTACGCTCGAAATGACTCTATCATGAGACTGTCTTCCATGAGTCTCGATACTACCAACAGCTCGATTCTGGAAACTGGCCCTCGATCGGCTGATACCGACCTGACCTCTCCCGCCTTCTCTTCTGGTGGCACCTTTGTTCCTTTCAGTGCCGCAGACGTTGGGGTCAAGGATGGTCGTAGGAGCTTCATTTCTACCAACACATCCATTCCACCGATGCATAGCTTCCCTGTCCGCTCTGCTTCAACCACCGAGTCTCGCCATAAATCCCCGTCTTTGGCTCCCCGACGGAGCATGACAACGGCTCGATATTCCGGTGCATCGGCTGATCGTTTCAGCGGGGCCCCGCGACGAACAGACTCTCTGTCCTCATCGGTTCCACGGCGAACAGACTCTCTGTCTTCATCGAATCCACCTTCAAGGCACGCATCTCTGCGTTCTGGGACTCCAGTGATGCATCCAGGATATCAAAATCCAAATGCTTCCGACTGGCGGTTTTCTGGATCCCAGTGGTCAAATCAGCAGTGCAACCTATCTCGCAACAGCACTGTCTATGAACACGTCGAACTGGGCAGCGATCCTTTTTACGTTGGGTCCCCTGGGTCTGGAACTGTGTTCCACCCTGTTGGGTCACCATCGAACACAGGCAATACTCACCAGTCACCTAGTCCGATGCATCGTAGGAGTCTGTCCATGAAGGGGCCTCTTCCCTCTGCGCTTAAGGGCGCCAACCCCCAGCGCAAGGGTCATCGTCGTCAGAATTGTGTCCGTATCTCTATCCACCCGCCCATCACATTCGGATCCTCGTCCTTCGCTCCTACAGTTGAAGAGGAACCAGAAGAATTTGACAGGATGGAAGAGGTTGATCTCCGGGAAAGTACAATTAACAGCCCTAAGCCATTGCCATCGTTGCCACCAAGTACAACCTCACCTCAGTCCGGCTCAAGGCGCAGCAAGTATGGCAGTCGACATGGCAAGCCAGGCCTAGGCTCTCTCGGGCCGCTGGTCGAAGAGCCGCAGCCCCCGAATCACGACGACACCCCTTGCAAGAAGAAGAGGAGGCCGACTTCCTCTGTCGCAGGCGCCCACAAGGCTTCGCTTAATCACGATCGTGCTCTTCCCGAAATCTTCACTGCTTTGCCTCCTTCAAACACCATTGCTCTCACCCACACGCCCTCTCCCGAACGAGTCCCAGCCGTATGGGAAATGTCTGACGCGCAATCCCCGACACACGAGAACACTACTCCGATGGGTAGCCCACGACGCTCAGCAGTCAAGGGGCCCCGCACTCAACCCAGCCCTATCGCAACTCGGAGTCATTCAACTCGCGTGTCGTCAACCTCCTCCAACCAAATGCCCGAAAGCCCCCTGGCCTCTCCCAACCGCATTCCTCTAGTCATGAGTATCACCGGAACAGAGGGCAGTGACTGGCGGATGTCTACAGAGTCGATGAAGCGTACCAGAGCCAAGACTATGGACCCCTTCGTCCGTCGAGAACATGACCTCACCAGCCTGGGCAATGGACTGGGTCCTATCGGCGGCTCATCTGCAGTCTACGGCAATCGTCGATCCGCCTTAATGCAAAATCGAGTTACCATCTACGAAGACGCAAGCCAAATTACCTCTCCAAGAAAGTCCTCTGTGCTGACCCCAGTTGGAACATTCCGCACGCCTGAGTCCACACCATCTCCTGTTAAGAAGGAGATTCCTCGCTCCTTGCCCGCCAATCCGCAATTCCCGCCTCACTTGTCCAGCTCCCAGGCACCGCCTACTTCTCCTTCTCCGCGGCGTGGAATGACTACACCTACTGGCAAGTCCCTCGGTCTTGGAATTGGAACTGCAACCCCTGCCAGCCTGTACGATGGCGATGGGTTTTTGCGAGAATAAAAGTCCATCAAGTTCAATGTTTCTGTGTCTCTTGGAGACGTCTCGTGGAGTCCAGCAGCGATAGACTCCTTTTTTGAATCCCTTTACTCTTTTATTATGTTTGATTGTATCTGATGCGGACGTTCAGCGCCAAACCCTCCGCGTCTTTCTCCTTTTCTTGGTTCCTATTCCTCCCCCTTTCGATCTCCATCTCAGGCGATGCTCCCCCTATCTTCTATGTGTATGTATAATATGTCTGGATATCCATGGCCTACCTATTGTAGTGGGAGAAATGAGCCACCTCCAGGAATGATGCCTTAGGCCTGCGCTACGTTCACCGCTCATTCTCCTTAAGAAGGGACACAGTCACAGACAGATCGGACACAGAATACACATCTTTTGCCTCTTTCTCGGTTTTCCAGTATGGTTCTCGTCGGCTCTCTGTAGGTCATAGGACGTCCCTGCTACAGGCTACTGTCTCCTGGGCTGCAGTCCTCCCATCGTCCTGTCTGCGATGTCAGACCGCCTTCGCGCTCTTCCCACTTCACTAGTTAGGTTAGAGTTAATTGTGCTACGACACTCTTACCGCTTCCCGGTGGAGAAACTTGATTTGGTTATTGTAACGGGCTAGAGCCCGCTCAGGACCACTGCCAAGGCCGTGGATCAGACTACCCCACTCGCGGACTTATCCCGCTCGTGGACACAAAACCCCCCCGAATCCCCCGATGTATTTACTCTTTCTTCAAGTTCGTCGTCAAATGCAATCGACATAGTCACATTGAATCAATTATACCTCGGCCGCTCCACTAATCCAAGGTTTACGACAGGTTGATGATGTATCTCATTTCGCGCAAGATGAAAATCCGATTGAGCATCTTGCGATATCGAGTGCTCCGGCTCGGGGTTACCCTGGATTCGGGTTCGCCAAAACCGTTCGTGAAGGCTACCCAGTTGCTTAGGTATATATTGAAGAGGGGAACGCTCAAGGCTGTGTGCTCTGAGGCACACGGGTCGATTCAGCGGATACCAGCTAGCATAGACACCGGACCAGAGGTAGCAAAGAGGTCCTAAGCAACTGGGTAGCCTTCACGAACGGTTTTGGCGAACCCGAATCCAGGGTAACGAGAGTACCGGAGCACGCGATATCGCTAAGATGCTCAATCGGATAATTCGGATTTTCATCTTGCGCGAGATACCCATATAACATCATCAACCTGTCGTATACCTTGGATCAGTGGAGCGGCCGAGGTATCAAGCATGGTTCCAATCAGTTGAGAACCTCGAGTTGATGTTGGCGGCACGGTCACCCCGAGCTTTCCACTAAAGCTGGCGTAACTTGTGCCGGATTCTCGATCATATCACTATCCGAGTTGTCACCATCAACTGAAATCAGATCGGTGGCCCGTGTAAGTGAAGGCGCCTCTCGAAGGTATAATTGAATATCTCTGTAGCCGCGCTGGCCGAACTCGGACGGGATGATCAGAGCAGCTACCTCGGCATTAACACTTGGTAAATTGTACTGCCGGCCACCTTCCACATTCGGTAGTAAACGTAGTTGAGGGTTCACGCGAAGGGCATCAACAGTGAGTGGTATGTTGTGAGAGATACTCATATGCTCGAAGGAAGAGCCTATGATATGGGAAATTCTCCTGAATAACCAAATCAAGTTTCTCCAGTATATCACGGCATGACATCAGATGAGGATTCGAGTCTAATCTTGCATTTGTTGCAAGCTCAGATGCTTGTTCAGGCCCGTCACCAAGGAAGTAAACCTGGGCCGCTCTGGCGAGCTGCCCAGTCATAGCCGACCCTCCACTCAAAGGACCTAAAACATGGTACAAAGCATCACGTATCTGAAATATCCAATGCCGTTCATGAGATGGTAGACGCTCATCAAAGGTACACCGAATTGTAGTGTAGGAAAGGGCAAGATTCAGAGCTTGAATGTTTCTGCGAAACCGTAGAGCATCTTCGTCAGACAACGTAAAGTAATGGACCATCTGCCTACGTAGTTGTTACGAGAAATCTAATCCTTTACTGTCCATTCCTCCTCAAACATAACCACTTGGCAAATGAACACTATCCATTCATAACGACCTACAACAACCCAAGTCTTTTAAACTCCATTACAAACATTCAGCCATCCTCACCCTCATCAAAAACCTAATCAGTCTTCCGCCACTTAGTCTCATCCTCCCCATCCTCCTCCTCCCTAGCCCTAACAGTCCCAGCCCCAGGTCCAAGTGGGAAAGAAGGCGGCTCACCCCCAGCAATCCAATTCCCATCCTTATCAAAAAACTGATCCATATTCTCCGCCGTAATCCACCCCGAGCTCCCATCAACCGGCGGCGGCAGATCTCCATTCCCACCAAGCTGGAAGACACCCTCGTGCTCCTCCGCCGTAATAAACTTAGTCCCATCCTCGTCATCGGAGTCATCCTCGACCGGATCAGGGTGTAGATATGAGCACGCAGAAACAGCACCGTAGAGCTGCTGCGTCGGCGTCTCTTCCGTCTCTGAGTCCTGTGCTGTGGCGTCGCCGGGCAGCACGACTGTGAACGCGACGCATTCCTCTTCTTCGTCGTCTTCTGTGGGCGCGCTCGGTGTCGCGACTTGCATGTACAGGCCCTGGACTTCGGCGTCGGTGCCTGGGACGCGGAGGCGTTGGAGGGCGTGCAGGGAGATTGATGGGTAGGGGATTGAGACGCCTTTTGAAGTGGATGGGGAGAAGAGGTGGAATTTTCTGTTGATTCATCGGTTTAGTTTGTTACTTGATATGGAGAATTGGAAGGATTGGTAGAACTTACTCGGATGTCACCCATGTGTCTACGTCTGCGATTGCGACTTCTTTCTCATCGTCCGGCTGGCCCTCGCTGGTGGCGCTATTGACGGCATTATCGCCACGTAGGGCGTTTAGCGCTAGGTTGGCGAGGAGTTCGCGCTCAAGAATGACGATTTTGCAGCGCTGGCTGTGGTGGTACAGAACTGGGGGGCCGGAGTAGAAGGAGCTTGGGGTGCGCGACTGGTGTTCGGCCAGTGGCACGAAGGATGAGGCTTCGGGAGAGTTGCTGAGGACCTCCATTCTGTATGGTATCTTTATGTGAGAGAAATAAGGGTTGGGTTTGATATGAGAAAAGTGTGACTTTCTGATTGGAGTTGGGGAATGGAAAAGAGCTCCCGGCGCGGCGTGGAGCTTTTCCGTGACCCCGCGATAAGCTTTGGCAGCTGCTTAACAGTTCAAGGCCACTTAAATCAATACCTGGGACTAAGCCTCTATCCTAATAGCTCTCGTATGTCTGCATGAATTTGAAGTATTTGATTAACCAAGTGACGAGTTGCTTCAAATTGCATTATACTAGCACAGGACAACCATAACTAGAAGCTAGGTATCGATCATAACGTCATCAAATGAGTAGTTAAAGTCGCCTATAGAGCCTCTACGACAAATCACCAGCATTGGGATGCATCTGTGGTCAGTTGCTCAGCGCTCACTAGTACGTCCTGCCAAGGGACTTGTGGCGGAGTCGCAGTAGCGAGGAGTCCAGTGAGACGGCTACTACTGTCAACAGTATATCCGCGACAGTCAGGAGTATTGCTGTCACAGCAGATCAAATAGCTCTGTCTATCACACCAGATCAGAATACTGCAGGCTCAGCAATATGACAAGCTTATTTCTTCTGACGCAGCGCCAGAAAGCTGGTCGTGAGGAAGCCCGCTAGAAGCATACGAGTGTTGGGCGACGTCTCGGTACTCATATGGCACAGGGACAACCCCTTTGACCACATTGGAAGTCCGATGCCAATCAATCCTGAGATGAGAGGAAGAGACCCTGGGTCATCTGCAAGACCAAGCTTGATCACTTCAAATCCAAACCACCAAATGCTCGATCCAACTCCTTCCCTTCGTCATGTGGCTCCATGGTCGGTAATTTTGCAGATTCCTGGTCCGGCGAAGCACTATCCAGAAGACTTGGTTCGACATCCCCCTGTCCGCCAAGCGACGTACCCGTCCGGCTGGGCTGAAGCAGTTTTTCGTCGCGGTCGAGCCACCCAGGAGCTACGCGTCGCTTTTCAGCTAGCTCACGTTGCCTGATTGACTCTTCCCATGCAGAAATAGCTTGTTCAGCGTCACTGCGCGTCTTGTTCAAATGCTGTTCGAGGGAGCGGCACGCGGCAAGGACGTCGTCTGGGTGAGCTGCGTGCTCACCGCTTGGCGAGACTACATAGCGGGCCTTGCCATCGGGACTGTTTGGATCGACCGTTACGGAGGGCGGTAACGATGAGGGGACGGATTTGTATGTGTAGGGTAATGTGACGGAAGTGGGGAGGTTGATGAAGGGTGAGACGGTCAGTGGGACCTGGGCGAGGAGGGGGTGTGGACCTGTGAATATGGGTCAGTCATCTAGCTATGTGGTGTATAATGAAGGTAAACTGACGATATGAGTCGTACATGGCCGAGTTGTTGAAAGTGAGGTTGTTGGCGCGATGCGGAGTAGCGGAGATGTAGCGATGGGGGGGAGAACAGCCACAATGTGAACACAGCCACTTGAGGTTCCGACAGCCCTCGGAATTTTAGCAATGCATGCAACTACTGATAGCGGCTCAACCTAGGTAATAGAAGAAATCAAGCATTAAGCATGAATTCCCTAGGTTGTGTATACCGATTACCGAGCCTCTCAGTGTTAGGCAGTACCTCCAAGGTTCCATTGAGCCCTGTACCCCCAGGGCCGAAATAGTATATATCCGCCCCGGGACCCGCTGACGGGGCGGGACTCGGGAGCCCATACCCGCCTACACAGTACATAAAGCAAATGAATGCAAATATCTCAACTAAAACGACATTGAATTAATTCAACTAATTATTATCTCTCTCTGGACATGTTTCTCTTCTATGCCCTGGCAGCCTGCATATCATTATCCCACACGCCCGTGGGGACCGCGTACGTGGCTGAATAGCCGATTCTCCCTGTGTATTCGCGCCGGGGGGAGGCGCTTCAACTGCTTCTCCCTGATTGCCGAAGGTTACCTGATCCCATGCTAAAACCTGCCTTTTTCATTTGTTTTATCTTTGTTTTCAATGAATCAATGTCTTGACATAATTTGAACTCTCATCTTCTCGAACGAGTCCCTTCCAAGTGGTATCGTTAGCGCATCAGCGGTGTTGTCCATGCTTGGAGTTTGTTGTAGGGAAACGATCCCTTGGCGAACGGCATGGCGCACGAAGTGGTATCTGGCGTCAGTCCACTTTGTTGCTTTAGCGAAGTTGTCTTTCTTCATAATTGCCACAGCATTGTCGCTGTCAGTGAATATGGTGATCGGTAGGGCTTGTTGAATTCCCATCTGCACCATAACTTTCTGTAGCCCCCCCAGAGCATGGATTCGATGATCTCGGAGCTCCACGATGCCAAGCCCGCGGAGACAGTCTCCTAAAGACAGATTGTGGACGACTCGAATCAAAATCTGCTTGGGTATTCCGACACTGGGGACAATAGCAATCAGATCAGTATATGGTCTTATTCATTGAGTTTGTCTGGAATGCAACTTACCTTTCATTACTCGCCAAACAATACTGGGGAAAATCGGTGTCGACTGTCGAGGGATCAAGTTCGTGTGTTAAGGAGTTGTCATTGAGAAAAGACGAGGAAACCTCTTTGCGATGTGGATGTATCGAGAGATGATCCAGACGTTGAACAGCTTTGCGATGTGGAAGGGAAGAGAAAGAGGCCTCTTTGCGATGTGGATGTATCGAGAGATGATCCAGACGTTGAACAGCTGTGCGATGTGGAAGGGAAGAGAAAGAGGAGAGGGAAGAGAAAGACACAGGTTCCTAGTCGTGTGCTGCTCAGTCACATGCCTAGCCCCATCCTTCCTTTCTCTCGACGTCATATGACTTTCAAGCCTCTATTGACATGAACTGAGCAAGAACCCCTTTAGGTATGTACCAGGTGGGAGTAGTTATCCGTAGGCAGCTCATACGCCTGGACCAAGCCTGCTGGACTTGAGCTGTGGCTACTGTATTAATTATTATGATAGCTCTCGTGGTAAAAAAGGTCAGCTGTCAGAGATGACAGAGAACTATTGATCTTTATGTACGGGCTCTCCAGCTTGCCTTTGTGCTATGCCATACTGATCGGTGTCTCATTTGCTTCAGCTGTGATATTTCTGTGGATGGGCTAAAGTGCCCAGACATTTCTGCACGTTTCAGGCATATTCTCGGGCCTATGCTTCAGTCTGAAAGACGCAAATCGTCTCCTGCTTGCCTGTAAAGCTTTCAACGAACCTGACACCTGTCCCAGTAGCCATGCAAACCAGCTCATCCTTATCCCACTGCCGCAACTTCATGGAAACTTTGTTCGTCTCCAGGAGTTTCTCACCCTTCTCCGTGACTTCCAGCACTTGAAGATCGAACTTCGCTTCTCTGACCTTGTCCGTCACCTCGCTGCGAAGATTGGACCCCCGATAAACGATGTTGGCAAAAGCAGTACTTTTAGTCTTGGTAACGTCCTCCGGTTGAAGTAGGGCAGCTTCCATCTTTTGGAGAGCAAAGCAATCATAGATAGAGACAAATGCCCGTCCAGTGTTTGGACGAAGCACCCTGGATAGCTGTCTCAGGAACATCCTCAGCTGGCCTTCTTGCGTCAAATAGCCTATTGAGCCGAGGGAAAAGATCAAAAGATCGACCTTGCCAAAACCACTCTGAGACATGACTTTCTCCAGGTTCAGCGCCGAACCGAGGTACCAGAAGACATGTTCCTTGAAAAATGGGTTATCGTTCTGACGAGCCCTTTCCAGCATGTGTGGCGCGTTGTCAACTCCTAGGATTCGGCAATTGTACATATCATCACCAGTGAGAGTTGCATAAGATGCAATAGCCCGAATCACACGTCCGTTACCGGTGCCCAGGTCCATGATGATAAACGGATCCCTGGGGGCTGAGACAAGAGGTGACCGCAGCTCTTGGTAGACTCGCCAATAGAAGGTGGCATCGTCGGAATCGGAAATCGGATGGAGTAAGTCGTAGTAGTCGACAAGGTAAGGAGAGCTGAACAGAGTCTTGGTATTCTCAGTGGAATCAACCATTGTGATTGATGGTCAGTGAATAAAAGTAGATATGGAGATGATGGTGAAGTAAGAGAATTCGATCTGTTGAGAGATAGTTTGGACCAGTAAGCAATAGTCTCAAGTCTCAACGCACGCTTCTGTAGATAGTACCAGTCAAGTATGTGATGATAAGCATCAGCTTTGATCTGAGCGACTGGAAGAAGGAAGGATAGATTGTTCAAGCCACTGTAACGTGATTAATGGGCTTGCACGAACCAAGTAATGACAGCGGCAGATGAAGATTAGATGGAGGTTATGGAAGGATCAAGATGTGTCGCATCAGCCACACCAGCTGCGTTTGAAACAGAGCTGGTTCAGACTGCTTCACTGTTCTGATAATCCAGTCCCTACAGGCTACGATTGGCCAACTGAGGTTTGCTCAACTGCGTTATTTCACAAGATCTCTTTTTCTCGTCAGACCCTGACAATCACTGTTATACTGCGTAAGCTGATGATGCCATGATCGAGCTTGTCTTGCCAGACATAGCCCTGGCTCTGATTGTAGCTGAATTCCATGCAAAGCTGTACGACATCGAGCGTCGATAGCCCAACCAACTGGCCGGAACCCCGGGGCTCTAGACTCCTCAAAATTTAAGCTTATATTAAGCTTCTGTACTACTTCTTTGACCTGCATCTAGAAGATTTGTCTTAGTCCTCCACGAGTCCTTCGGTAGGATAACTATGCGTCAAGACACGGGCCCTTTGATTGAATTGCTACTGACCGAGGGTCACATTCGACGACACATTTTAGTAGAGCCACATATTGCATATTGATAAATGCAAGGAAGGACGAATCTATAATGAGATCGAGGCAGAGCACCGGTAACCCAATTTGCGGATTTCTATATCGTGTTCCGCATTTCAAGATGATGATCGGTTCTCCAAGATGGATGTGAAAAGGCGAACCGCGCCGTTGACGTGTTCCAACCAAGGGTATAGCATATTCGACCAAGAAACACTAACGGATATCGTCCAATGCACCTTGTCTAGACCATTACTGTAGTCTGATCACGGTGTTTAGGATTGATCAATCCGTCACACCAAAGAAATGCAACCTCCGAACATGACTTGGCGATGGCGGTGTCATTGCACTCCCGGCAAAGTTTCTTTTGTTCGATGATGCTGCTTCAATTGACTTGGCAGCCAGAAATGGTGGTTGATCTTGTCGGGCAAGGTTCAAGGCATCCGGCGGGAGAGGGCACACTGGGTTGATAGAATCAGGAGAGCATTAATAGAATTGGTAGGAAATGTGTAGATCTAGCACAGTCTATTGAGACGGCCGGTCTGATTTGCAAGTTGGGATGCTGTTACTACCAACTCAGTGGTGCTACCCCTGCATTCCCGTTTGTGTACGGGCTTGCTCAGTCTTTTTAGTTGTTGTTCATGACCTTTGCATTGAAATGCAGATCGACTGACAAATACCCGTAAGGATCAGCTGCAGCTGGAGGAGACATGGATGTTTATGCAAAGAATATCATTCTTGCACCTCAATCTCGCGGAGGCAAATCGGAGCTAGACTCTCACAGTGAGGGTTCATCACAGCTCCAGATGAAAAGCTGGATCAGGAGCCGAGCTGGAGGTATATGTCATAATGTCCGAGTCCCAATAGCAAATACCGACAGAACTCAGAAGGTGTTGGATCGAAAATTCGACGTCAAGTGAGGCTGATAGCGTGGGGTAAACGGAACTTGGTTCAAGGGTCGATTTCGGCCTTAGGCAGCCAATCATCAGCTGTGTCAACATGAGGCTGAATTCGATCGAATCCTGTTTCTCGCAACATCCAGAGACAGATCAGTCGACTCCAAGAGCGATAAATCTCCAAAGTGCCAGATATTCTCAATAAGGTTGGTGTGAGATCCACCAAGTCGGCCGCTTATCCAATTTGTTTCTCTTTTTCCCGACTTCACACTTCCCCCAAACACACGACCCAACATATTCTCTCATCTGCGCCCTACCTGCGCCCTATTCTCCTATTCGGTTCTTATGAGAAACCCGTCCTGATAAGACTCTGTACATCTCATTCACCTGTTCTGATTCATCCTATTCATCCTGGGAGCTCTATCCCACCCACGCTGTATTCGCCCCCGCCACAGCTCCGGGTTCTTTCCCCTCCCCCCTTACACTCAACTCAGAATTCAAACATTTAATCTCAGCCAAAATGGAACGAGCTCTAGCACTCGCCGTGACCGAGAAGCAGCCGGTCCCGGAAATTGACTTCACATTGCATACCATGGAGGACAACACGCAGGTGTCGACAATGGAGAGGGTTGTCAAAGGTAATGTCGCAGTGGTTTCGCTCTCGCAAAATGCAGTCAGTGGCCTGGTCGCTAAATCTGTTTTGTTACAATAGAGGTTCAAGCACCCGCCCTGAGTTATCCTCCGGATGAGATGTTCTGGTCGCCGGAGGATCCTTCCAAGCCCAATCTCCAGTACCTCAAGCAGCACCTCTATCGCGAAGGTCGTCTTTCAGAAGAACAAGCGCTATGGATTATTCACACCGGTACACAGGTTCTAAAGGCCGAGCCCAACTTGCTCGAAATGGATGCACCAATCACGGTGTGTGGCGATGTTCACGGCCAGTACTACGATTTGATGAAACTGTTCGAGGTTGGCGGCGATCCTTCGGAGACAAGGTACCTGTTTTTGGGTGACTATGTCGACCGCGGCTACTTCAGCATTGAGGTGCGTCATTCGAATATTTTGGCGAGATCTGGAAGGATAATTCTGACTTCCCCCGCAGTGCGTTCTCTATCTTTGGGCATTGAAGATTTGGTACCCCGATTCACTATGGTTGCTGCGGGGTAATCACGAATGCCGTCACTTGACAGATTATTTCACTTTCAAGTTGGAGTGCAAGCACAAATATAGTGAACGGATCTACGAGGCATGCCTCGAATCCTTCTGTGCGCTGCCGCTGGCGGCGGTTATGAACAAACAGTTCCTCTGCATCCACGGTGGTCTCAGCCCGGAATTGCATACTCTGGAAGATATCAAAGCTGTTCGTATCTCTTTTTCAACCCCTGGTATCAGCAGGAAACTTACAAAGATCTAGATCGATCGTTTCCGCGAACCCCCAACCCACGGACTCATGTGCGATATCCTTTGGGCTGATCCTCTGGAGGAATTTGGCCAGGAAAAAACAGGCGATTTCTTCATCCATAACAGTGTCCGCGGCTGCTCTTACTTCTTCTCTTACCCCGCGGCATGCGCTTTCTTGGAGAAAAACAATCTGCTCTCCATCATCCGCGCGCACGAGGCCCAGGATGCCGGGTATCGCATGTATAGAAAGACGCGCACTACCGGATTCCCGAGTGTGATGACCATTTTCAGTGCGCCCAACTACTTGGATGTTTACAACAACAAGGCGGCTGTGCTCAAATACGAGAACAATGTGATGAACATCCGCCAATTCAACTGCACCCCGCACCCATACTGGCTGCCCAATTTCATGGATGTTTTCACCTGGTCATTGCCGTTCGTCGGAGAGAAGATCACGGATATGCTTATCGCTATTCTCAACACCTGCTCGAAGGAGGAACTGGAGGATGACACACCTACGTCTATTTCTCCCGTTGAACACAAGGAGAAGGACCCGATCTCGCCTCCGTCGATGGACCCCGAATCCACCGAGTTCAAGAGACGGGCAATCAAGAACAAAATCCTCGCAATTGGACGTCTCTCCCGAGTGTTCCAGGTTCTGCGCGAGCAATCTGAGAGCGTCACTGAGCTGAAGACGGCGGCTGGCGGTCGTCTTCCCGCAGGCACCCTCATGCTGGGTGCGGAAGGTATCAAACAGGCTATTCACAACTTCGAGGACGCCCGTAAGGTCGATATCCAGAACGAGCACGTGCCCCCCTCTCAGGAAGAGGTTATTGCGAAGAGCGAGGAGAGCCGTCGCATAGCCATGGAGCGGGCTGAGCATGAGGCTGCCAACGATGCAGGTCTCGCCACAGTCGCTCGTCGGATCAGCATGTAAGTGTTCACTCCATTTACCACTCCATTAATATACTAATTGACATACCCAGGTCTGCTGGCTCTGCACGCCCACGTCCTCGCCAGAGAGAACCTTCCAACGATGCCTGATCAAACTGTGGTGGTCTGACAGAGTTGATATTATGACACGACCTATGCATTTCTTTCCTGTCCTCAAGCGCACACGCCTTTTGCCCCGACACGATCGATACGATACCCTTATCTATCTGCTTGATCCTTCTCTCCCTGGCGATATAAACTGTGAATCCAGAGCTCTAGCGATCAATAGGACAGTTCAGTTGAATATGTGTGCTTATTTTTCCTTCCACTTTTGCCCAATGGGCCAAACCTGCAGTTGTAGTGGCAAAGGCCTTTAGAATATTCATGTGACTTTGGTATGATAAGGATACATCTGTAAATTGCTGGTGATGGCTGCTCATTTGGGGAGGAAATGTATGAAACCGAGAGTGATGAATGCCAAGCCCCGTGCCCGCGTTCACTTCCGCTCACCAATGTTCATGCACCGTTCAAGTTGCTGCGAACCGCCCTACACACCACCCTTCCCCGCGCCTCAATGGCACCAAGATTGCGCAACGCGCTCGCAAAGAGCCTGTCGCGTCCTCTCGATAATAGCGCTGTCTTTTACTGCCCATCGTGTGCAGTCTGGCTCCGATCGTTATCCACGCGCGCCGACACCCGCAGGACCGACAAACCCGATTCATATCGAAGAGCTGGCCGAGCCTCCAAGGCCATCACAGAATTCTCTCCTCGAGCATTCAGTACATCGACTGTTATAACTGCGAAATCCGTCCCCTCTCGGTTCAAAGAGCTGCACGCTGCCCTCGAAGCAGTGAAAGATGCCGGCCTCGAACAGGTGAACCTCAGTCGCCTGCAATTTGCACTACGGGGGTTGGAGTCTGAAACGCCTCTCATTAGGGTAGCTGGTAAGTACCTGTTTACACAATTGAGCCATTGCACCTTGAATCTCTGGATTCTTCATCGTCCAGGACATGGGACTAATCTCTTCTCGTTGTGGAACATAGTGCTCGGATTGAACGATGCAATCTCCGCTCGCAAACTCGTGAGACTACTGCTGGCCGACCCATTAGTACCGCGACAAAGCTGGGAAGACGTGCTCGAGTCATACGACGCCGATTCATCTCGAGGGTTGTTGATCAGGTATTAAGAAGTCTGCAGTCTGTGTCATTATATAGTACTGACTCCGAGCTCTTTCTATAGATACGGTGAAATCTCAGAATCTATCCCGAACGACCTCCTACCGACGATATCCGTGCCATCGCCCATCCTGAAGAACGGCAATTTGGAGATCCTGGTTAGCACTCTGAGCTCTGGGCCTGACCTCGACGCCGCTACGTTCCACGCCGACACCTTTCTCGTTCCCACAGTGACGATACAGACCTCGCATTCCGGTCGGCATAATGTTGTTCGGTATCCCGTGCATCGCACCATCGTGTGTGCAAATGGGGTGGATGGCCTGTTGTCGTATAGCGCCATAGTGGGCCGAGCAGACCTGAAGAATGAGGCCGTCTCGGTGCATGGAGTCGTCCAACTCGCAGTGAACGACCAAAAGCCCACAAACAAGCAGGTGTCTGTGGTAGATGTCGACCGTGCCAACGCAGCACTGGATTCATTCCGCGAATCCGTCCATAATGCCTCGGACTACGAACGTGGGTGGAATGGCAGTGGCGTGCAACCGCTTATCGATTGGCTTGCGGCTTCTTCGGAAACGTCAACTGGCGACGCGTTGAATCCGGCCTTGGTCCCTCTGGTGGAGTCTCTCGTAGACGCAGCCGACACTAGCGCAATTGCCAGGGACGCCAAGGCCCTCCAAGACCAAACTGTTGGCATAGCCACTCCGGAGATTCGGACCAACTTAGACAAAGGTGTCACTGCGTGGGCCGAGCGTGCACACTCTGAGCTCCGCAGTGCCCTCGAGGTAGGGCTAGCCAGTCCACGCTGGCGCGGCCTTGCATGGTGGAAACTGTTCTGGCGCGTCGACGATGTCGGCATGGTCACTTCTGAGATCTTAGACAAGAAGTTCCTCCGCCAGGCAGAGCAGGAGGTCATTTTCGCCGCAGGAAAGTACCAGCAAGCCGGCCTGTTGGAGGAGCCTTTGTCCCCAAGTCCCGAATCTGCCAAGGATTCCACCTTGGCTGCTACTTGGCCTACCCAGATCCCGGACTTACGCACAAAGCTTCTCACCACCACCGTGCCATCTCTTCAAGCCCTTGCCCAGGGTCTTGTGCTCTTCAGCGTGTCTACCACGACCCTGACTTCCGCTCTCTCCGCCCTAACATATGTGGCTATTCCAGCAGCTACGGTATACGAGTCGTGTACCATCGCTGCAGTCGGTTTAATCTACTCTCTGCGTCGCCAACAAAAACGATGGGATGAGGCCCGTGCTTTCTGGGAGGACGAAGTGCGCGAGGAAGGACGCACGTCCCTGATGGAAACGGAAATTGCTCTCCGTGATATCGTGCGAAATGGCGGTAAGACTGTCGAAGATCTTTCTGACCACCATGCTCGAGAGATTGTCGCACGCGCTAGAAAGGCTTTGAAGGAAGTAGAGGCATAATCTGCTGTGCAGTGTAATCCATAGAGCTACAATTTACTCTGCGTGTGTACGATATCTGTTATGGATCGCCTCTCATCTTGCCCTTTAGGTTTTAGGTCCTCGGGATCGAAACGTTCGAACTCATCCGTTCTCTTCAATATGTTTGATTTTCATGGCTTTTCCTTTGGTCCCCACAACTACCCGTTAAGCCCACTTGAGCGAAGATGAACAAGGAAGCTCGCTGGCTAGTGCACAAACAAGCACATATATGCCGATCGTAGAAGGCAAGGAATAAAGAAAGACTTGAAAGTTGAAGCAGGCTTTCTTAAGTAGATCCACGGCAGATCTTAATCTATGCCCCATTGGAGGTTGAAAATAGGGGCAATATCGGTGAGATATGGCATCGTGATGTTAAATTGCTTCATGGCTGTCGGCACGTTTCGTGTCACTGGGAGATCTGAGACATGGGGTATACGATCGGGATATTGCAGGGATACTAACAGGACATCAAACTATCTCAAACAGCCACTGTCGCTAGTTGGGTCACTTGGGTGATTCCCCAGGCTGTTGTGTACATCGTATTTGACTTATGAAAAGGCTACAATTGGCGCCACAATCTATCTGCTTCCGATAGGATGACTGATGAGCATAAATCATAATGTATTCATTTGATGTCAGGACATAGTACTCCGTACATACTAACATCTTTAATATTCCTTCATTTAATTTCCCCTCAGTGCCGTGCCACTGCCGAATAGGGAGGAGAGACTAAATTGTGGGTCGTTTCAAGCCGTGTCATTTCATCCAATCCCGTGTGCCCGTGTGGATCTTTGACCCTACGCTAGTGAGTTAGCTCAGGAACGCGCTGTTCGTTCCAGCGTCTCAGATATCGACAGCCAAACCGTTTGTACCGGAAGTCAGAGTCCCCTTGAAACGAGTTCTTTGTTTCCTTAATTTTTTTTTTCCCTAAGCCTTCATAAGTTCATATTTTTCATGAACTTGTTGTCTGTTGAATTACCCATGTCTTTATACACATCTCATTCTCATAGTAATGAACAAGGAATAACTTAGGGATTAGGGATGAGCTATTGATGTGATCTTCATAGGGTATTTCCCCCCGGGCCCAAACAAAATCCACGATACCAAGGGATTGGCCAGTTTATCAAACTCAGGCCCATCCACAAGCACTAAGGAGGGATGATTGGCACCTCATTATTGGGGAACCTAAGACCCTGGGTACTCATTTCTGCCTGAAGTACTTGATCCCCGTCATCTGCCTCTCCTCCTTTATCTCCGTTGCCGCTCCTCTGCTTCGTCTTGTGTCGCACTCTTTTTGCCCTATCTTAGGGTCTGTCGCTCTTTCTCACCGAACCAGTCACTCATTTATACAATCTTTCGTTCATTTCTGCTAAATCACTTCGGTGATACTTGTGTAAAGTGAGTCTGACTGTTTTTGCGGGATCATTAGAGTTGTGTGGCTTATCAAACGGTGCGCCGGCAGGAAATACTATATAGCCCTACTTGAAAGGCTTCAACCGATCGTCTTTATTTACTGACGTCAGGACAACGCGTTAGACTGGTAAGTTGCATAAGTTGCATACCTTGATACCACTTCTCTCGCAATTCCCATCCTCCCTCGTATGGGGGAAATGGTGGTGACGGTGCAAGCAAGGGGTCATTCCTCTCCACGGGAAGGGAGGATCCCCATCGATCTCCTACCCTTATCGAATAAGGGCGTATGAATGATGAGTGATTGGCCACTTGGAATCTTCAATCTGCGACACCATGCACCTTCGCTTGACGCCTTCGCTTTCATAAAAACAACGCAGGAAGCCCCAGTCAACTAACATATTGTTTCAGCATATCAAGATACCCGTCTCTCGCGCTCCTTTACCACGCCTGACCGGTTGATTCGGTACTCCTGGCGAGTCTGTCATTTACAATCGCTCTGAGACCTTTCATTCCTTATTTATCAAATCGCCGAGTCTGCCAGCGCAGCTCAACCACCATCGCATCATGCAGGACATTAAGTTGACCTCCCTTTTGGTCGCCTGTGCTACTCTCTTCCCGTCCTATGCGGACGCTTTCTGGCGTCTTCCTTGCCGTGGAAGTGCTGCTTTCGCCCGGCTGGACCCCATCGTTGAGCCGGGCAAGATTTCCTCCCACACCCATGCCATCCACGGAGCTGGAAGTAAGTTCGATTGATCTCAATTGAAACAATTATACAGATGAACTGATTATGGTTAGACTTTGGCATGGACTCGAACCAGGATTCTATGCGCGAGGCTCAGTGCACCTCCTGCGCCGTGACCCAGGACAAGTCTGCCTACTGGCATCCCGCTTTGTTCTTCATGCACACCAACGGCAGCGCTGAGATTGTTCCCGAGGTTGGAGGCATGCTTGCGTAAGTTTGAATTGCATTGCGTGTTGGAGCTCTACTAAACCCAACTCGACAGCTACTACCTCCTGTACGGCGAGAACATCACTGCTTTCCCCGATAACTTCCGTATGGTGGCAGGTGACCCCTTCCAGCGTAACTTCACCTTGCCCGTTCCCGACCCTCCCAAGTCCGAGTGGACTGGTGAGCAAGGTACTCAGAAGGCCTTGGCCGCCAAGGCCATTGGTTTCAACTGCCTGAACTACGAGCAAGCCGCTGAGCCCTCCCTTGGACGCCACTTCCTGCCGAACAAGACCTACCTCGACGAGCACTGTACCGACGGAGTTCGATTCGAGCTGATGTTCCCATCCTGCTGGAACGGAGTCGACCTCGACACCGAGGACCACCACTCCCACGTCGCCTATCCTTCTCTCGTGATGGACGGTACTTGCCCTGAAGGATTCGAAACCCGCCTGGTCTCGCTCTTCTTCGAGACAATCTGGAACACTTATGCGTTCAAGGACTACGATGGATTTTTCGCGCTTGCTAACGGTGACCCCACTGGATTCGGATACCACGGTGATTTCATGCAGGGCTGGGACGAGGGTGTCTTGCAGCAGGCGGTCGACACTTGCACATCTGAGTCTGGCGTGATTGATGACTGCCACATCTTCGACATCCAGACGGAAGACGAGCAGCGTGCCTGCCAGGCCACCGTCCCGTTGGCCATCAGAGACGAGAACGTTTCCCTGCACCCAGATGGATTGCCCGGCGGCATGCCCATTGAGTGGGGACCGGAACGTGCCACGATGAAATCGCACAAGCACAAGCCCGAGCCCCCCGCCCTTCCTACCATTTCCGTCGGTGACTTCTCGGTCGACCCCAACACCTGGTTCCATAAGGAACAGGCCACCAGCACCAGCCAGGCTACCAGCACGAGCCAAGCTACCAGCACCAGCCAGGCTACCAGCACCATCCAGGCCACTAGCACCAGCCAAGCCACCACGTCTACACCCACTTCGACTTCGACCCCCTCGCCCACCCCGACCCCCGTCACCTCTACGATCATCGATCCTATCACCGAAGAGGTTATCTATGTCGAACGCGATATTGCCGTCCTCTGTGATGGTCATGGCAAAATTACCGCCACTAGCACTGGCGCCGTCCGCACCGTGTCTACGGCTATCACCACCGTTACTGAGACCTCTACGACCGTCGCCTACGTCAAGAAGGACACCATCCCTGAAGTTGCGGAGCCCGAGCCCGTTGCTGCCCACCTGCGCAGACACGCTCACCACCGCCACGGCCGTTCCCACCACTAGGTTTTGAACCTAGTGGTGGTTACTTTGGAACCCAATGTGGAATGTACGCAGCGCGTCGTTCTTCTGCTCGTCGCCTTGACGTTTGGAATATACCCCATGCTTCTACAAGGATATAAACTTGCTGGATTGGTACCCCCCAGGAGCTTTTTATTGTACATTTATTTTGTTCTGATTGTTGTACATACTCCAGTCAGGGATGTGCATTGACCATACTGTCGTTCTCGTGATAACTTCATAGTCCTGGTACACAATTCCACCACATTGGTCATTGATTGAATGTAGTACAAGCCCTTCTTCTACCCTTCGATCCGATATCCCGATTTCACTTGCCGTTCAAGTGATGTCACATCTAACTCAATCTATGTCTCAGTTAACATCCAGTTCTCGCCTCATACATTCTCCGACGTTTCATCTCAGTTCTTTTCTTATCAGATGTCTCAGTATCTCCGTATAGAATCAAGATCAGCTGACCTGGAAGCAACGGTTCTGCTGTACTCCGTACATGTTCCGTACGACAATCCCGTGGGACAGGACACCCGATCACGCCATTGTTCCCAACAAAACAATAGACCGCACTGAAGACACACTTTGACCTAATTCCAGATCATTGCTACCACAATGAATCGTTCGATGCATCCATAGAGACGCAACCATGTCAGCTGTCTTGCGTCAGTGGTCAGTGTAGCACATTGAACTTGCGCAACATGCGAGAGCAACCTCTACGTCAATTGCCTCAGTACTGGCCTGTTCGAGGCCTCGTTCTACCCGTTCTACCTGCTCATCATAAAGAGGCAGTCAACAACAACCAGGATGACCGTGGGAAACCTACATCACGGCACTGCAAAACGGCTATTTGTGTGGCCGACTTCCCGAACAAGGAGCCCTTCCACAGTTATCTTGTCAACGGGGCTACTATTTTCATACGCTTATGCCTAGCACCATAGCTGTTGTCGGAGAATTGTCTCTCACTTGGGTGACTTATCTATCAAAGGGTTGCATGCAGCCCTTGGCTTGAGGTGGTATGAAGTTTGCGCAGCGCAGTTGTCGCTTCGACGTGGTAGCTTTGCTCATCCCAACGGAACAGGACTCTAGATATCGACCATAGCCTAGATTGGGCTGTGCTGGCTTCTGGATCTATAAGACAAGATTTCTCGACTCCAGACAGATTGAGCTTGTCCAAATTGCAGCAATCGGACTTCACGCTATCGCAATACCTATACATTCTTCATTTCTTGATGCTTAATAGATATTCGACACTACCATAATGGGGACCTTCTATCAAGTCTATCTTTTCTTCGCTTGTTTCTTATCGGCCACAATGGCCATCCCTCAGCAAACCGGTACAATCACCACGACCGCAGCTCCGATGGCGATCACTCAAGGCCCCGAGCTCTGGTGCCCGAAAGGACAAATCGCCATCTACACGACAGACTGTACAATGGGAACCTCGGTATCATACTGCTACAGTCCAGACCGTCCAGTCGAGTGCGAACAGGGATTCTTTCCATCAGTCTGGCATCCAGATCACTGCATGGAGCAGTCGACCTGTTTCCCGCTCAAAGAACCCTGGATTACGACCAGTTGCTCTAACGGTGCGATTCCGTTCTGGACGTCGACTATTTATGACGGTACCCTCGCAGGAGGACACTCGACTGTGATCAAGGGTAAGTTTCTCTCTCTCTTTATCTCATTTTCCGGTCTTCCACTTTATCCTCCCAAGTATAAACGAGAATGCTGATGATATGCCTGCAATCTTGTAGGAGTCTCTTGCTCCTGTGCCATAGACCAATGGTACAGCATGACCCAGCGAGACGGCTCCTCGCACTATGACACCTTCTGTATGCCGCACAGCTACTGTCCACGCGGTATGACCACTTCCGTCTCGCTCAATGAGTACTGCGCTACCCAGTTGGCGGGCGTATGTTCGGACATTCCCCTACATACCCAGTTCTGTAAATGCGCCCACGCGAAGCAGACTCCTGTCTACCCCGATTGGCCTGGTGCGTGGCCGACAGGGTGCAAGTTCTGAATTTGGAAGGTGCTATGGACGTGATTTGGGCGGTTAATTGCTGATGTTACAGTGTTGGAAAGCGGGGGATCGGAGACCTGGATTGGAACAGCTGGGCTTATTCCTGGTGAAGTTATGAACTTGAACTTGTAATGTTTAATATCCGGATATTGCATAGCAAGAGTGTCTAGCCGAGAACAAGCGATTGCAAACTCCAATGATGTTGATCTTGATACGATAGCACGAACCCATAAACCTTATGCCATTGAAGCATTAGTAAACCTGATTCCAATGATTCCATACGCTTCCAATCTCCATAGCCTGAATCAGCTCCCTGTTTTTCCCAACCTCCAAGTGGCCAAACCCCTCACTCGGCCACCCATTTAGGGCTAGTCTGGCCCGAATACGCCTAGTACGCCCGGAGGTATCTCCTAACCCCGCACCAGGACCGCTTATCTCCCCTGAGCCAAGGCTATAAAAGCAACAAGACTCCCTTGGGCCTTTGGCGCTCATTGACACTGGAAATTATTTAAATCCAATTCACAGCCACAATGACGACAAAGTCAGACGCTCTCCCAGAAATGCAGTACCGGTTCCTCGGCCGGACCGGTTTGAAGGTCTCCGTTATCTCGCTGGGCAGTTGGCTCACATACGGCGGACATGTCGGAAATGGTAATAGACAATTGACTTACCATTGACTGGCATTGAGCAAAGGCTAACAGTTTTACAGATACCGCTCTTGAATGCCTAAAGGTCGCTTATGACGCCGGCGTCAACTTCTTCGACACAGCCGAAGTATACTCCGGCGGACAATCGGAGATCGTACTTGGCGAAGCGATTAAGAAATTCGGCTGGAAGCAGAACGACATTGTCATCTCCACTAAGGTAACTCCCTCTCCCGCCTTTGCTCTATATACGCAGCATACGCAGTACAGCAGTATACTAACCCAATCCAGATCTACTGGGGCCAAGCCAACAGCGCCAACCCAAGCAAACCCCTGAACAACACCGGCCTGTCACGCAAACACATCATCGAAGGCATGAACCTCTCCCTCCAACGACTGAATCTCCCCTACGTCGACATCGTCTACGCCCACCGCCCGGACCGCGACACACCCATGGAAGAAACCGTGCGGGCCTTCAACTACCTCCTCGACCAAGGCAAGGCCTTCTACTGGGGTACGTCGGAGTGGTCGGCGTCCGAGATCGCCGAAGCCTGGCGCCACGCCGACAGACTCGGTCTCGTCGGACCGGTCGTCGAGCAGCCGCAGTACAACCTGCTTGTGCGCGAGCGCGTGGAGAAAGAGTACCGCTGGCTGTACGATGCGCACGGGCTTGGACTGACGATCTGGTCGCCGTTGAAGGGGGGTGTGTTGACGGGCAAGTATAATGATTCGGAGGAGCCGCCTGCTGGGTCCAGGATGGCGGAGTCGAAGGATAAGTTTGTCCAGGGGTGGAAGAAGACTGTTGGTGATGAGGCTTGGAAGAAGCAGTTGGAGCAGACGAGGGCTTTGAAGTCTATTGCGGAGGAATTGGGTGTTACCACGGCTCAGTTGGCGCTTGCGTGGGTTTTGAAGAATCCGAATATTTCTTCCATGATTACGGGTGCGTCTAGGCCGGAGCAGGTTAGGGAGAATCTGAAGGCTTTGGAGGTTGTTGAGTTGTTGACGGATGAGGTGATCGAGAGGATTGAGGCTGCTGTTGGGAGTAAGCCTGCTGTTGAGGTTAGACGGTTCTAAATTATGATATAAAGAGGAGACGGTTATCGTACTCCGGTCACTGCTTAGTTCATATCAACTCATCTTCTCATTCTCTCTGTCCTTGTAATGGTTCTCTCCTTCCACCAGCACAGTTTGTTTGTTTACGACCACTCTCGCGGAGTCGATATTGGAAAGTACCAGACATACCCGACACTGCAGTTTCCTGTACATCAACGCAGTAAAGACTTAAATACACTTTCCACCGTCCACTACAGTCTCAGTACCATTCATGAACCGCCCTTCATCACTGGCCAGATACAGACAAATATTCGCAATGTCCTCCACCTCGGTAAGACGGCCCAACGGCACATTCCCGATAAATTTCTCCCGGTTCTCGGGGGTATCCTCCATGCCGGTGAACATAGAGAATAGCCCCGTTCCAGAAAGAAGTGGAGCAACCGAGTTGACTCGAATATTGTGGGGACCGTACTCGGCCGCGAGACCTTTGGTGGCCTACGCATAGAATGTCAGTACAATCTATCTTGTTGCAACAGTTTAACCATATAGCCATGAGGTGTAACTCACATTAGTAACTGCTCCCTTGGAAGCATTATACCACACCAGACCAGGCCGCGGCCGACTCGCTCCGGTAGAGGAGATATTGATCATGGATCCACCCTGACCTTGCTCGATAAAGCGCGGCATGGTGGTCTTCGCAGCTAGATAGATGCTCTTGACATTGACCTGGAACACGCGTTCCCACTCATCTTCCGTAACCTCTGCAGTCGGCTGTGTGTTTTACAATCTGGTTAGTGAGGTGCCCCGCATCAAGGAAGATACAATGGACCCACCTTGTTGCGGTAAGTAGTGCCCGCATTGTTCACCAGCACATCCAGTCGGCCGAACTTGGAGAATGCCAGGTCAAGGACTTCTTTCCAGTCGCCTTCTTCGGTGACGTTTTGGCGCTTGAAGATGAGGTTGGTAGGGTTCTGTGCGGCGACTTTCTCGCCGCCTTCCACGTTGATATCGGTGACGACTACTTTGGCTCCTTCTTCACCGAAGCGTTTGGCAATGGCTGCGCCGAATCCGCTGCCGCCTCCTAATGCGGGATTAGTTCCTGTGATTGGTTCAATGGTGGGATGCTTGTGTTACCTGTAACGATGGCGACTTTGCCTTGGAGCCTGGAACCTTGGGACATTTTGGTGGTAGTTAGGGAGTTGATTGAGTGATTGAGTGATTGAGATATGGGAGGTACGGTAGATAGAGAAATCAATCCTTTGAATGCCCAAAGAGGGGTTTCGGCAGACATTTGAAGATCATCGGACCGAAGGCCGAGTTGCCTACTTGCCTTGAACCTTCCCCGCATGGGGGCCAACGTCAATTGCTACACATAGAGATCTCTATCAAATTATCGATCGAAATCTGTGGCTGCTAGTTTTCTCTAAATCAAACAGGCTGTGAGTAAGGTGACTAGGTCTAGCCTAAGGTCTCATAAGCCTCCTCCGACTCCGAATTGGAACCTCAATCCCGGCCCGACTGATACGCGATGTACTTATGCACTGCCGATCGTTGCAGTTACGGGAAGAATACAGATCACCTGATGAATACGCAGTGCGTATTGATATCTCACATCACATCAGCAAAGTCGAATAGAAACGACTATAAAAGGTCATACGTGTAACGTAGCTAAGTGGCTTGTTAGCTACACTTTACCTTACTATCATGCTCTTTCACATCGTCTTAAGTCTACTCCCTGCCGCCATCACAGCGGCAACAGCCAACAAGGGTATCAACCCGAGTGACACCTGCTACAGCCCCGCGGTGACCTCAACGCCCTCAACAGATAACCGCCAGACACCATGGGGCTCACCGAGTGTGCACTTCTCCTCATTGAACGGCACACTAACCACGTGCTGTGACTCGCTGGACGAGATCCGCACCGCACTCGACGATATCGACGATCAGCTACTCATTCTTTTAAACCAGCGGTATGCGTTACCCTACACTCTTTCCAATTTCCATTGCAGATCCTGTACGGAGCCAAACGCACGAATTCATGTTAATACCCTTTTCTCATCTCATTTAGAGCCGCGTATGTTCGTGAAGCAACCCGTTTCAAATCCACGCGCGAGGCTGTCAATGATCCCGAGCGCAATGAGGCTGTGATACAGCAGGCAGAGCAGCAGGCGGTTCATATTGGGGTGCCGGTGACGATTGCGCGGGCTGCTATGGAGGCTATATTGGACTCTAGCGTGGCTTTTGAGCAGTGTATTGTAAGTTGGATTTTGATTGTCTTGTTTAGTCTTTGCCGCTGTAGGTTTATGCTAATTATTTCTGCCGTAGTTTGATACTTTTGATCAGTAGTGGTTGTTCCTGGGTGGAAAGACAATTTTCTGGACGCGGTTTATGTTTCCCGACCCCAGAAACCTGACTAGACAGGCCTCACATGTCGTCGCTTGTATGCAAATTCAGACATCCTGAAACTACTTGTGTGCCAGTGCCTCGCGCGCCGTAACCCTTCTCGCAGGATCAAGTTCGTCATAGCACAATCAAATGTTTGAAGTCATCGTCAACTCCACTCAAGGGGAAAAGGTCCCCGCGGGAAATTCGCATTGAAGCCATCCCGGATGACTTCGAACACTCGTACCCAAGCGTTATCCCCCAGATGTTTGAGGAAGCTCCTCAGCCCATCTTCATCGGCGAAGTACGAGATTTGGCGTTCAATCACGATCGCTAATCGATCCACGCCTTTCTCCAGTTCGTCGTCTCCGACAGCGAAGACGACCCCTTTGTGCATGGCATAAATGCACTAGATGTAGAGTAAGTTGCTCTGCCATAAGGAAGGATATCCCACGACTTTCACCTACCACAAGAGCAAACGAGAAAATATCAGACGGTTTATTTGTCGGCCCTCCGGCATGAGCCTCGGGACTCCTCCACATCCAGTTTCCTGCTTGCTTCCCAACCATGGACGAACCAGGAGGGATGTGTACTGCGTCCTCAAGATCCCCGAGCCGGACGCGTTCAACAGTAGACTCAGGATGATCGTTCTTGCATCCAATGAGGATATTGTCCGCCTTGATTTCAGTAGGGCCAGCTGACCGGTATGGACTATATCCTGATCGTGAAGCTCAGCAATGCCACGTAGGGTGTCCTTAAGTATCCTCTTCCTTGTTGCCAGAGGCAGGTCCGTCTGAGCAAGGTGTAAAAGATGGTCCGTAGAGTATTCAAAGACAAACATCGACTTTTCGGGTATTGTATCTTCGGGTAGACGAACATAGCTTGCGTGACCGCGCAGTCTATCATTTATCGCCCGGAGATCGTCATAGTTGACCGCATGAATGTATTTCAGGATAAATTTGCGATGATTGGCACTAAGATGTGGATAGTTTGACCTGGAAACATGGGAGGGTGACTTACGTCGCAACGTAAACATGATGTGGAGGAAATGCCTCGTCCCGTAGCACCTTGTTGATGTTGTAGCTACGACCTGACTGACCGATAATTCCTCCGGTGTAATCGGGTAAATCGGCGATACTGGTCGTTTTCTCTCGAGCTGATACGATCCAAGGACTTTGACAAAGCCAACTGGCGACAAGACGGAGTCTGCATTCTGGGCTGAAATTTCACCACTGAAAGCGAGAGCTGATGAAGCATTGACATTGAAGTATAGCCGTAAGCAGCTAAGCATAAGGATATCGTTCAATACTGGAGCGACGGGAGAAGTTGGGTTGATGAGCCCTGACCCTGTTCTTCAAACAGGGGTCCCAAAACCATAACATTCTACTGTAGCATTATGTAACCCTGCTCCTCTACCAATCAGATCCCGAGGATCTATAGGTAAGACTGCCCAGATGAATAGAAGCTTCCAATCTGTGTAACAGAAGCAAATGCAAATGTACGGAGTAGATAAACCGACTTCTCTGCCGTAGCTATCCCAAGCCCTAAATATGCTCACCGATCTAATCGGCTCCAGACCACGGAGTACGGACAAGCCTCCAGTGGGTCTCGAACCGGTTTCGGCAACGGTCAACTGGTTAAAGAACTTGACGAACTGCCGATTTGCCGATTACACAGTATGGCCTTCATATTGAGTTATGGCATTATGGGCAGGTCTTAACTGGGCTACTGTCAATAAGTAACTAGAAAGGTAGTAGGTACAGAATGGCCCATATACGCAGAAATCGTATCTTCATCCCATTGCTCAAAGTAAGCTTTCCACTAAGCGGGTAATGGAACCGAAGATTTCACGGACTGGAAACCTCCGGACATCTTCGAACTAGTCCTTGAATATACCTGGATCTGCATGATAATTACATTTGATTTGATTCCCGCTTTTGATTCGGTAGTTTATTTCATTTTATCTTTTTTTTCTTGCTTTTTTTCTTATTCTGCCAACTCTCTTGCACATGGGTTCAACGTGATGCTTACACGCACGATTTGATAAATCCTCGAAGGAGTCCCTCAGAAGAAGTCGAGACCTATAATTGTCTTATATCTTCTTTTGATGTTCTGCTATTTCTGATATCCTGATATTCCCCCAATCAACCAAACCCTCAAATCACCTCTCCTAATCCGCCCGGTGGGTCTTGACCGGGGTCGCAAAACGGCGCGGCCGAAGTCTGTCCAAATTTTTCAAGCACCTCATTTGGACCTCGACCTCGCTACGGAGTATATAAACCATTCCTGTAGTCTGGAAACACAGGTACCTCCGCGTCTCTTCAATATCCCCTCGTTAGCTCTTCCGTCAGATACGGATATGGCCCACCACGACGCTGTTGGCGGCCCCGCCGACCTTATCGACAACGGGGAGGGCGAGGTTAATCGCGCTGATCAGAAGGACCAAGATGACGCCGCTTTGCTGGTAAGTAATGCCTTCAGTGACTCGGACACATCCCACAGATCATTGAACTGACATTGTATTCTAGCGCACCATGGGCTACAAGCCGGTAGGTGAAATTCATGTATAGTTTGGCAAGAATAAGCAACTTATCAGCCAACGAAATAGGTGCTCCACCGGACATACAACTTGTTCGAGAACTTTGCGACCACATTTGGTGCGTCTTTCGCTGTTCGTCGTTGTATAGACGCATACTGACTATGCCCCAGCTGCTCTTTACTTTGTCGGCGGTGTTCGCGTGACTTTCAGCACCGGTATTGCTGCCGGTGGAAACCTGGCGTATTGGACCAGTTATGTAGTAACTATGGTGTTCACATTTATTACTGCTGCTGTCATTGCTGAGGTCTGTTCGGCTTCTCCGTCCGCCGGCTCGATCTACTTGTGGGCCGCCGAAGCGGGTGGGCCCCGATTTGGTCGACTTCTCGGCTTTATCGTTGCTTGGTGGAGCACGACGGCTTGGACGACTTTCTGTGCAAGTATGTTGTGTGATGCGCGTCTGGGACTTACATTTGTGCTGACTCGGTTCGATTGTAGGCAACACCCAAGCTGCGGTTAACTATATGCTTTCGGTATGCTTCTTTTCTTCCTTGTTGCATATGGGGTTTGTGCTAACAGACCGTGTCTAGGAAATCACGGTTTTCGAACTCGATTTTCCGTCGGACGTGAGCGATGTCAAATTCCGCGCTGTCCAGTGGATCTGCACTGAGGTCCTGCTTGCTCTGGCGGCTCTGTTGAACTTTTTGCCTCGTATGTACAATTGTTCACAGCTTGTCTATCATATCTAACTCGAGACTTCAGCCCGATACTTCAAATATGTGTTCTGGTTCTCCGCTGCAGTCGTGATGCTGGACTTCTTCTTGAACCTGATTTGGCTGCCCATTGGCACCGCTCAGACATGGGGCTTCCGTTCTACTCATGAGGCGTTCATGACCACCTACAATGGTACCGGAGCTCCAGCTGGCTGGAACTGGTGTCTTTCTTACCTTGCTACTGCCGGTATCCTGATTGGCTTCGATGCATCTGGTCACGTTGCGGAGGAGACCAAGAATGCTTCCATCACTGCCGCTCGTGGTATCTTCTGGAGTACTGTAGCAAGTGGATTTGGTGGTCTGTTTACGATCATTCTCTTCTTGTTTTGCGCGGTTGGTGCCCTTTCTTTGCACGATTCCAGATCGGAATACTAACATCGTCTTTAGCCTGACGCCGACACACTTTTCAGCTTCGGCTCACCTCAGCCTTTCGTACCTCTTTACGCCGTCGTCTTGGGCAAGGGCGGCCATATCTTCATGAACTTCGTTTGCATCTTCGCTTTGTGGCTGGTGAGCTATGGTATCCACCTAGTCTTGAGATTTTGATAGCTAACTTCCTTTTCCAGAACACCGCAATTGCCATCATCGCCGCGTCTCGTCTCGTTTTCGCCGTGGCCCGTGATGGCGTACTCCCCTTCTCCGGCTGGGTCTCTCGCGTCAATAACGGCCAGCCTCGCAACGCAGTGATCGTTGTCTGGGCCGTTGCCGCCTTGGTCACCTGCACCATCCTTCCGTCCAGTGTCGCTTTCACTTCTCTTGTCTCGGCAGCCGGTGTTCCCAGCGCTGCTGCATACGGTCTGATCTGCCTAGCCCGACTCATCTGCACTCCAAAACGGTTCCCAAAGCCACAGTGGAGTCTCGGCCGCTGGAGTAAGCCGTTCCAGTTCATCGGTGTCTTCTGGAATGGCTGGGTAGTTGCCATTCTGTTCTCGCCCTATGCGTTCCCGGTCACTGGAGAAAACTTAAACTGTACGTTTTTCTTTTCTTTTGCGAATGTTTGGTTTATTTCCAGATTGCTAACCTGCTTGAATAGATGCGCCGATCATCATGGCGGGTGTCACGGTCTTGGCTTTGATCTCCTACTTCCTCATGCCTGAGAGTGCATGGCTTCCTCGAGACCGCATCAGTCACTTCATTGATAGCAAGGGTGCTGTTGAGACTGTGGAGGAAGTACAGTCCACTGACGGTGAACCGAGCACTCGGTGATGTGGAGAAACGTGGAGGACATAGTCCCTCGACTCCAAGATGTAGATTAAATAGTGTTATAGGTACATACGGCCTAACTTGGCTTTCGCTTCCCGTTTCAGTGCTCAGACCTTTGTGTATCCCGGAAAAGATCTATCATCTGCGCTTTTCCACTGTCTCCAGGAAAGTCTCGATACCAAATATCACAGCTTCCCATCGTTCTTGGAGAGCGCTGTTGACCTTACTAACCTACCACGTGATCTGTACTGAGCGCGTCTGAAGTTTCAGTGTACTCCGTGCTGGATTTTACTCAGTCTGAGCGCTATCAGAAAAGAGGAGGAATTGTGGTCATAGTGACTCAAGTACCTCTGTAACATGTAAATGGAACCCCCTCACCCCGTCGGTGTCCCGTGTGGAGTCTCACCGTCTCCACGTCGATCTTCCCCAGTTATCCCCGCCTGGGGCGTGGGGATATGTAGATAAAAGAGCCGTAGCCTCGTAAGTACAGAATATAGAAGAGAAATATAGACAATCATAAATCGAATTATCGAATCGATCAACTGCTTTATCCGTACCTCTCATCGACGCGTGGGAAGAACTTAGCCGGGGCCCCTCTTTGCCCTGGATATTCGGCGAGAATCGGTCAAATCCAAGCTCCTTTCCCCACCTTACTCTTCTTCCTTTCTCTCTTACGGTGCTTTTCGTGGCTTTTTGAGTCAGTTTGCTCTTTCACAAGCTCTCCAGTACGTCTGTTTCTCGCGTCTTTCGCGTCTTTCGCGTCTTTCGGTTCGGCCTGGAAACCGTTACCCCGGTCTGTTTTCCCTCTCAGGTCCAATAGACACTCTATAGATGAGATCAAGACCCGGCACAACGTCCAACGTGCAGGATCACTCGCAATGAGTGCTCCAGCATCCCTGCGGGCCCTGCGGCCGTGTCTCGGGTCCATTGCTCGCCCGGGAAAATCATTCGCTCCGGCCACATTGAGTAAGTTTCTCCAAATCGACCTTGTTAGCCGAGGCCAAGCTCTAACAACCAGCCCTTGTCCAGATTCCCAAATCCGTCAAGCCACCTTCTTCGCGTCGCAGAATAAGCGCCTGTCCGTTTGTCAGCCGCGATGGCCCTCTATTTCCAAGCGAACCGCTACAACTTCGCCCGAGTCACCTCCATCCGAGCCCGTGCCCACCACTCCTTACTCCGCATTGACCGTCGGAGTCCCTCTTGAGATCGTCCCTGGTGAACGCCGTGTGGCAATCACCCCGCAAAATGTCGCGTTGCTCCTGAAGAAAGGTGTTTCTCGTGTTCTCGTTGAACGCGGTGCCGGCGAGGAAGCCCAACTCTTGGACCATGCCTACGAACAAGCCGGCGCGACGATGGTCGACCGCGACGCGATCTGGTCTCAGAGCGATATTGTGTTGAAAGTCCGCAGTCCCCAGGCAGAGGGGCCATTCAACGAAATCCAGGCCCTACGCAAAGGCTCCACGGTTATCTCTTTCATGTATCCCCTCCAGAACAAGCCCCTCGTTGAGGCCCTCGCGGCGCGCGGCGTGACCTCCTTTGCGATGGACCGTATTCCGCGAATCTCCCGTGCACAGGTCTTCGATGCGCTTAGCTCCATGGCTAACATTGCGGGTTACAAGGCGGTGCTGGAGGCTTCGAATCATTTTGGTCGCTTTTTGACCGGTCAGGTCACTGCTGCTGGAAAGATTCCCCCGAGTAAGGTTCTTGTCATTGGTGCCGGTGTAGCTGGTTTGAGCGCAATTGCGTCCGCCCGTCGGATGGGTGCTATTGTCCGTGGCTTTGATACCCGTCCTGCTGTTCGCGAGCAAGTCCAGTCTTTAGGCGCTGAGTTTATCGAGGTGGATTTCCAAGAAGATGGTTCTGGTCAAGGTGGATACGCTAAGGAGATGTCCAAGGAGTTCATCGAGGCGGAAATGAAATTGTTCATGGAGCAGGCTAAGGAGGTTGATATCATCATCACCACGGCTCTGATTCCTGGCAAGCCTGCACCCAAGCTCATCACCAAGGAAATGGTTGCTGCCATGAAGCCCGGCTCTGTCATCGTTGATCTTGCCGCCGAGGCAGGTGGTAATTGCGAGGCTACTGTTCCTAACAAACTGAGCCGGTACAAGGACGTTACTATCATTGGCTACACGGATCTTCCCTCGCGTCTTCCTACTCAATCTTCAACTCTATATTCGAACAACATCACTAAGTACCTCTTGTCCATGGCTCCTGCGGAGAAGAGCTTTGGAATCGACTTCAAGGATGAAGTTGTTCGTGGCTCCATCGTGACTCTCAATGGTGAAATCATTCCCCCTGCTGCTCCTCCTGCGCCTCCCCCAGCTCCGAAGCCAGAGGCACAGGCAATCGCGGCAAAGGAAGAAGTGGCTTTGACGCCCTGGCAAAAGGCCACACGCGATGTGGTCGCAGTCACCGGTGCTATGGGCACCACCCTAGCTCTAGGCAAAGCGACCGGTCCGATCTTTATGGGCAACATGATGACCTTTGGCCTCGCTGGTCTGGTCGGTTATCGCGCTGTGTGGGGTGTAGCTCCTGCGCTCCACTCGCCACTGATGAGTGTGACCAACGCGATCTCCGGTATGGTCGGCATTGGTGGGTTGTTCGTCATGGGAGGAGGCTATGTGCCGACTACTATCCCCGAGTATCTGGGTGCTGCGTCTGTACTTTTGGCATTCGTGAATGTGTCCGGTGGCTTTGTGGTCACGAAGCGAATGCTGGACATGTTCAAGCGTCCGACTGATCCTCCCGAGTACCCCTGGCTGTACGCTGTGCCCGCTGTTGTGTTTGGAGGTGGGTTCGTCGCGGCCGCCAGCACTGGCATGGCCGGTCTGGTCCAAGCCGGGTACCTTGTCAGCACGCTTCTGTGCATGGGCTCTATCTCCGGTCTCGCCTCGCAGCAAACCGCCCGTCGAGGTAATATCTTCGGTATCCTCGGAGTTGTTTCTGGTATCTTGGCTTCATTGGCTGCAGTCGGCTTCTCTCCCGAGACGCTGACGCAGTTCACGGCTGTTGCGGGAACTGGAGCCTTGATCGGAGGCTTGATCGGCCGTCGCATCACACCCACAGGTCTTCCCCAGACCGTTGCTGCTCTCCACTCGGTTGTCGGATTGGCCGCTGTTCTCACCAGCGCCGGAAGTGTCCTCGCAGACATTGGCGATATCACAACTCTGCACCTCACAACCGCCTACTTGGGTGTTCTTATCGGCGGCATTACGTTCACTGGCTCGATCGTTGCTTTCCTCAAGCTGGCAGGGCGCATGTCCTCCCGGCCAACCATTCTGCCCGGCCGACACGTTGTCAATTCCACTCTATTGGGCGGTAACATTGCTACCATGGGCGCATTCCTCACCATGGCACCAGGAAGCCCTGCTATTGCAGCCACCTGTCTGGGAGCAAGCACAATCCTCAGTTTCCTGAAAGGATGGACCACAACCGCCGCCATCGGTGGCGCCGACATGCCCGTCGTCATTACCGTGTTGAACGCCTATTCCGGCTTCGCCCTCGTAGCCGAAGGCCTCATGCTCGACAACCCCCTGCTGACTAGCGTCGGCTCCCTAATCGGCGTCAGCGGTTCCATCCTCTCCTACATAATGTGCGTCAACATGAACCGCTCCCTGACAAACGTCCTCTTTGGCGGCCTCTCCAGCCCAGCAGCGCAAACGCAGAAGAAAATGGAAGGCGAAATCACGCAAAGCAGCATCGAGGAGACAGTCGAAGCCCTCTCCGGCGCTGAAAACGTCATCATCGTCGTCGGCTACGGCATGGCCGTCGCAAAGGCCCAGTACGCCCTTGCCGAGATCGTGCGTATCCTCCGTGCCCGTGGTGTTAACGTCCGCTTTGCTATCCACCCCGTCGCTGGCCGAATGCCCGGTCAATGCAATGTCCTACTTGCCGAAGCTTCCGTTCCATATGATAGTAAGTCATTCATAACCATGTCGCCAGCACTAGCTACTAACCAGTAAACCAGTCGTGCTGGAAATGGAAGAAATTAACGAAGACTTCGCCGACACGGACGTCACTCTCGTCATCGGCGCAAACGATACCGTTAACCCCATCGCCATGGAGCCTGACTCTGCCATCTCTGGCATGCCAGTTCTGCATGCATGGAAGAGTAAGGAGGTCATCGTGATGAAGCGCGGCATGTCTAGCGGATACGGTATGTTTCATCTACCCCGATCCACCCATTGCAGAGGAAGTTTTATCTGACTGATTTAATTCACAGCCGACGTCCCCAACCCTATGTTCTTCATGCCTGGTACACGCATGCTATTCGGCGATGCAAAAACTTCTTGCGATGGTAAGTTTATATGCCCGATTTAGATTCCTTGTCGAGGGAAAGTGTGCTAACTGGTCAATAGCCATCAAAGCTGCTCTAGAGGCGCGGAAGTAGACATAATCTCGTCTGAACTTGGTTTATATTCGCTCATTCTAACTACATTGCTTTTTACCTATTCACTGCGATATCCTGTTGTTCGATTGGTTCCCGACCTTAGGCGATGAATTGCCATCTTATCATTCTACTTGGTTTGCTTCTACCTGGTTTAACCAGACTGCGTCTTGCCGTCATAAGAAGGAATATTTGAGGTTTTACATTGACATTGTGGTCTTCTCGTAATGGGGGTGCTGGGTACTACGGACGAACCCCCCTACGTCAGTATACGTGGACAAGACTGATCGACGGTTCGACTTGCACATGAGCAATCACTTCCAACCCAAGTACCTGAGCAAGTAATACAATGTGGTATGGATGTAGTTCCACGTCAATAGAAAAAGACAAACCAGCCACCCACCCACCAAATCAAAGCATGCGTCAAACATTAATATCGGTCGGAGACGAAGCGTAATACCACTGATGCTAGAAGCGCTCTGCAATCACTTGCTCGAAAAGCCTAGCCTTTTACCTTGACGAGATGGCTATATTTCTATGGGATGAATTCCAGATGCTAGCAACAACCTCTAGTATTAGGAGAGCCCTTCTGTGCAAAGGCTGGTCTAGAAAAAATTCCGGCACATCAATTTGAGCCTTCATCAAGTATATATCCATATTCGACGCTGTGACTAGACGGACTAGACGTTTCCCCTGCACGGGATTGCGCTGTTATTTTCCTTGAAGGAAGCTTCCAAGTCCATCTTTGCCTTTTCTGCGTCCACGTTCCTCGGATCGATGACGCATTTTGCCAGGATCCTATGGCTACCTTCTGGGCCTCTTTCTTCCCCTCTGCATTTTCGGCATCTTTGTTTGCTTGAAGAATGATCTCCTGTTGATTGTCGCTGATACAGTCGATGATGAAAACAGATTACCCCTCGGATGCACTGATTCTGTTTCTCGGCCCGGCCCGCACCCCAGTATGCGCTAATCCGTATTAAGCATTGAAGTGTAATGGATTTCGGGCTTTCCGTAAAACACTTTACACCCGTGGGCCGTGGGGAACATTATGTGTAGGATGTAGATAGCCCGGAACGGGGAGGCGCAAATGAAGCCTTTGCATTCGCATAACAGTATAGGAAAACCTAAATCAGGGAAAACCTATACCAAGGCTGAAAGAACAGAGAAAACAAGTCGAAAGTAGAGTCCGCACTGGACACAATCAGTGGTTTAATCAAAGATAGCGCAAATACTGTGAAAACCTTCTCAATACTTACAGAAGCAGAGTATTCTAGAAGGGAGAACACTTTGATTCAAATTTCCAACTGCCTTACTAAAGGCCGCTTCTTGTCAGCACGGTGTACTTGCCAGGGTTAGGTACTAACTCACAATTTTGATATCCGCAACAAGCTCCTGCCCTTGATCAGTGACGACTTGAGCCCGAACCTTTCCTTCACTCGTTTCGAACGCTTTATTCAATCGATTCCAAAGATTCGATCTATTCATAACGGGTATGCCTTGCTTAACATTTCCTTCATCATCCATACCAGTGACATGGCCATCAGAAAAATCCAAGACTTGGTAGGACCTAAAGACAACACCTGGCATGTTCAGATCCGGCGTTGAGGGAGTATCACCGTGAGTCTCGTGAGTGAAAAGGTCGACACCGAGGTATCTAAGCTGCTCGCGTGTAGTGGAGGTGGAGGTTGGGATTGCGGTAACTTCGCAGGGCCTGCCCTCCAGCATAATAAAATCACCGATGCGGATGGATGAACAAGGTATTTCCGGCATTTTTTATAATATGGCTTTTTGGCCGATATTTCTTTTCAAACTTTGTTTGTCGAGGCGATGAGAGCTGCTAATACGAAGCTTTCAACATAAGCGTTGGGATACAAGTGATAGTACAGAGTTCGTGAAGGTTTCTGTTCACCGAAGCCTATCAAAGCTTGAATTTGTGATCACAGTTAGGCGAGGCTTTGTGAGCCCTAGGGCAGCCTTGCATGGGACTTGAATCGAACGAGTCTTGTCACTCTTGTGATCGTCAAAAATTCATACCGCCCTTTTAGGGCCAAACTCTTGCTCTTGCCCGATCCCCAGTCTCTCAACGCGGCCTTCGCTGACTTAGCCAGCACTTTCATAGCAGCCGAACCCATTGATCTAGTTGTCTGGGCTGCGTCACTCAAGACTCAGGTTGGCAAGGCCTCCATTGCTGTAATAACCGCCTACTCCGGCTAGAGCTATTGGCTCTTCTATATCATCGGATAGTCGCCGTTGACGGCATATAGCGACAAGATATCCCGTTGGCTTCAAGAGTGAAGGGAATTGGGTATAAAAAGTGAAAGGGTTCAAACTGAAAAGCAGTTATCCTACCGCTAACAACCGATCTAACTCTGTCTGTGTGAGCACAATACCATCCTAAGAGTACGCAGGCATAATTTAATACCTCCCGTTGCGGTGGAACTGTGCCACTTGTTTTGGCGCTACACCGAGTGGTGAAAGCTTGCCAGTGAATACAGCTAGGTGGATTTTTGCTAAGCCGAGGAATTTTTCAAAATCAGTTCGTCAAAGCATTTTGAAGTCGATTGTGGACCTTGAGAGCCGGACTTTTGAAAAGGACATTTGGCTCACCGATCTCGAACCGCGGAATGTCATCATAAGTTCTCCAGATAGCGACAGACCCGATGTCGTGTTCATTGATTTCGCCCATGCTCTTTTCAACCGCAGGCGAGATGATCCCCTTTTGTCCCAGTTGGATTATTTTCTGGGAGAATACGTTTCGCCGGTCCTTCGGTGGAAGGAAATCAGAGGCAAAGGAGATTCATTTTCAGGATGGATTGGGAGGCGTGTGAACGAGCGACCCCATGGTGAGTGGGGTGGTAACTAGCTACGTAAGAACTACTAAGAAGGGAAAAAGCAGGCCAGCGATCATGGCGATCGCGGATCGGTAGATCTGCCGATCGATTCTGCAAGATTGAAGCCTATGAGGCTATGAGTATGTATGAGGTGTTAGTATCAAATTATCGCAACCTATCACACTGGTAAGACCTCGACATGACATCACTTTATTCACACCGACTTTACTGAATAAAGCTTATACGACCCAAGGGTGACAGCTACGTACAGATGCTGCTCTCGCTCTACAGATCCAGTCACTTTGTCTCACTGATTAATTCTCTAAGTTTACAAATTACAGCAATTAATTTATTAAAACAAATAGTTGTGCATTTAGATAAAAAGTAGCTATAGGTAATACTATGGCCCTTCTTGCATAATATTGCCATACATAGTTGGCGGGTCCCCAATACTGGCTTTTATACAGTACTTAGGGCTTTCGGATAATTGTTCAAGACTTCAAGTCCACGTTTCGCGCTAGTGTAAGATCGTACTTTATACAACCATAAAACGCGTCAAATATCGCCAAAATCAAATGCTCACCACCAAAGGGTTGGTTTTAATACTCATCGTTACCAAACAGCTAGACCTATCGTGGTTAGTGAGGAATGTGGAGTTGAACAATTATCTGGAAGGGTACTGTAAAACAAGTGGTACCAGAAAGGTAAGGGGGTGCTTAGGTATGGGGAATGATGCATTATCGTCAAATAGTCATGTAGATCCTAATTCCCTCTTTGAGAACGTTGCAGTGAGAGCAACATTCATGCCACTATAAACTGCCATGGACAACCCGAATAGATACGAATTTTATCACTTAAATCGTTTTACTCTTTTACAACAAGTCAAACACGTCTATCTTCTTACAACTGTGTCAACATGAAGGTGCTATCCCTTGCCATGGCCTTTGTCTTTGCCGCACTTGCGGCAGCAGGACCTGTGGATCAATCATCTGGCAATAAAGTAGCCGAAAGACAGGTATGAATATTTCCATTCAGGGAACACTCAAAATCATCGTCATGCACTGACCGGGATTGGGATAAACAGATCGTAAGTGATGACCCTTGGCTGAAGAGCGATGACTTTGAGCACAGCACTGACTGGGATGGACGTGAATAGAATGTAAGTGATGACCCTTCACCAAAGAGCGATGACTTTGAGCATGCAATGACTAATGGACGTGTATAGGGTGTAAGTGATGACCTTTGACCTTTGACCGATGACTTTGAGCACACAGAGCTGACTGGGAGGGATGTGTATAGGGTGTAAGTGATGACCCTTGACCGATGACCGATGACTTTGAGGACACAGCACTGACCAGGATGGACGTGAATAGGCTGTAAGTGATGACCCTTGATCGAAGATCGAAGATCGAAGACTTTGAGCACACAGCGCTAACCGGGTTGGACGCGGATAGTATGTGAGTGATGACTCTTGATCGAAGACCGGTGACTTTGAGCATAGCGCTGACTAGGTTGGACATAAATAGGGCGTAAGTGAAGACCCTTGACCGAAGACCGATGACTTTGAGCACACAGCACTGACTGGGATGGACGTGAATAGCCCGTAAGTGACGATCCTTGGCCCAAGAGCGATAACTTTGAGCACACAGCACTGACTAGGATGGACATGAATAGAGTGTAAGTGATGACCCTTGATCGAAGATCGAAGACTTTGAGCACACAGCGCTAACCGGGTTGGATGTGAATAGTATGTAAGTGATGACCTTTGACCTTTGACCGATGACATTTGAGGACACAGCACTGACCAGGATGGACGTGAATAGGGTGTAAGTGACCCTTGACCGAAGAGCAACGACTTTGAATATATAGCGCTAAGCGGATGGGACGCGAATAGGAAGTAAGTGATGACCGCCCACCGAAGACTGATGAATTTGAGCATAGTACTGACTGAGATGGACGTGAATAGGCTGTAAGTGATGACCCTTGATCGAAGACCGATGACTTTGAGCACACAGCGCTAACCGGGATGGACGTGAATAGTCTGTAAGTGATGACCCTTGATCGAAGAGCGACGACTTTGAGCATATAGCGCTAAGTGGGTTGAACGTGAAAAGTTTGTAAGTGATGACCCTTGACCGAAGAGCGGTGACTTTGAGCATAAGCAATGACTAATGGACGTGTATAGGGTGTAAGTGATGACCCTTGACCGAAGACCGATGACTTTGAGCATAGCAATGACTAATGGGCGTGTATAGGATGTAAGTGATGACCTTTGACCTTTGACCGATGACATTTGAGGACACAGCACTGACCAGGATGGACGCGAATAGGCTGTAAGTGATGACCCTTGATCGAAGATCGAAGACTTTGAGCACACAGCGCTAACCGGGTTGGACGTGGATAGTATGTGAGTGATAACTCTTGATCGAAGACCGGTGACTTTGAGCATATAGCGCTGACTAGGTTGGACATAAATAGGGAGTAAGTGAAGACCCTTGGCCGAAGACTGGTGATTTTGAGCATGTAGCACTGACTAGGTTGGACATAAATAGGATGTAAGTGATGACCGTTGACCGATGACCGATGACTCTGAACACAGCACTGACTGGGATGGACGTGAATAGCAAGTAAGTGGCGATCCTTGACCCAAGAGCGATGACTTTGAGCACACAGCACTGACTAGGATCGACGTGAATAGAATGTAAGTGATGACCGCCCACCGAAGACCGATGAATTTGAGCATAATACTGACTGAGATGGACGTGAATAGGCCGTAAGTGTTGACCCTTGATCGAAGATCGAAGACTTTGAGCACACAGCGCTAACCGGGTTGGACGTGGATAGTATGTGAGTGATGATTCTTGATCGATGACCGATGACTTTGAGCATATAGCACTGACTAGTATGGGCGTGAATAGGATGTAAGTAATGACCGTTGACCGATGACTGAAGACTTTGAGCACACAGCACTGACTTGGATGGACGTGAATAGCATGTAAGTGACGATCCTTGGCCCAAGAGCGATAACTTTGAGCACACAGCACTGACTAGGATGGACGTGAATAGAATGTAAGTGATGACCGTTGACCGGAGAATGATGACTTTGATTACACAGTGCTAATTGGGATAAATATAAACAGCTCGCGGGTGAGTGATGACCCTTGGCTGAAGAGCGATGACTTTGAGCACACAGCACTGACTGGGATGGACGTGAATAGCCCAGCCCGTAAGTGACGATCCTTGGCCCAAGACCGATGACTTTGAGCACACAGCGCTAACCGGGTTGGACGTGGATAGTATGTGAGTGATGACACTTGACCGAAGACCGATGACTTTGAGCACACAGAACTGACTGAGATGGACGTGAATAGCAGGTAAGTGATGACCGCTGACCGAAGACCGAAGACTTTGAGCACACAGCGCTGACTCGAAGGTGCGTTTAGTAAGGCTGCCGTCAGCAATGCTGACAAAGGTGTACTCCCTTCGGAGTGTCCAGCTGCTGTAAGTTGGTCAGGATCTCATAATCATCGTCCTATCAATCTCTGATACAAAACAGGATTCCTTCTGTGGCGTGGACTCTACCTCTGATCTATCTCTTTCCGCCTTGGTAAAGGTTTTCCCTTATTTAGGTTTTCCTTTACTGTTATGCGAATGCAAAGGCTTTGATTTATAACTCTTCAACTACATTTCCCTTCCTATCCACGGAGTATTATCAATCATGTCATACCTTGGATACGAAGAAGTTTAGAGCACCTGTATACCTCGAGGAGTTAACGGTTAAGTTTCTCGTTCACCGATATGGCATGAGTTGGAGGGCTGGTCTCGGTAGGCGAAGGTCGATGACTTGACGCCTACTACATCCAGCGGCGTATGCAGCTTGAAGTACCTATATGGATCGGGTTGCTTCAACTTGCTTACTGAGTCTGGTTATGAATGAGATTAACCTAGATCCGACACATAGGTAATAAGACCCGACGGCCACAAAAGTACCTTATAAATAACTGGATAGTTGCTGTTCGAGATTCCAAGGTATTCTTATCTACTGCTACGGACATAATAGACGCGGGATTTGAGGTTGTGACTTGTGACCCAGAGTACATTCCAGGCACCAATGTGACTACGTACGCGTCCCCAGGTTCGCTAAGGCTCAGCAACTCTGTAATAGGCCGCTCCCGCGTCACTGTTCTATATGTAATGCTGTATGAATACTAGTGTGGATATCAAGACAAATAAGACATGAACCAATTCAATATCAAACCGTGCAATTATTACTCAAAGAAGCCACCATCACTCTCATGTCTTCTCTTCCATACACTTCTCAACGATAGCCCACATCAGGGGCTTGGGTTCATTGGCATTGATGTCTTTCGCATCGGGCTTTCCATTCGTCTTCGGGTACAGTGAAATGTATTCCTCGGTGAGGGGGTAGTAGATAGTGTAGTTGAGGTTGACCTGGCAAATGTCAATCTTCTCCGCAAGGCGAGACTTCTCTTTCGAATCAAGATACTTTTCCTTTTCGCGACGAGTGAAGCAATTGGATTGTTTGTTTGCAGTCTTGCGATCTATTCGATAAACAATAAAGGTTAGTATTATCTCACGGATCATTCGAGCTGCTCAGCCAATTACCAAGGAAGCGACGGGAACAAATTGATATTTCGTAATCAAGTGCGAACCCTCTCTGCGAGCGATTTCGTCTGCCAGATCTTGCTCATGTCCAGTGCTTGGAATAAATAGATACGGTATACCTAAGTCAGAGATTACCGAACGGCATAGACTAAGGCTGCGAGTAGGCTGTTACAACGATGCTCAGGGCGCTTTAAGCAAGACGAGTTTGACATTCAAACTATATAACCAAAGATGGAAGGGAAGAACAAGAAGGAAAGAGACCAAGTGAGAGATGGGGACTGATATAGATCCCTCACGTCATGTGATCCAACAACATCCCTGAGATCCACCTTGAAGGAAATGTTCCTATCTGATTTGAGCAATGATGATACCCAGTGACGATGTCACGATGAGGAAGCAAGGTGCAAACCCTGTCACTCGTGAGACCAAGATTCTACTCCACCAGCTTCACAGTATGGAAGTTGTTGTGTGCCGCGGTGGTACAGGTAGACCACGGTGTACTTGCGTCAGAGACCCAGCAGTCTTTGGCAGACACCTTCCAGCTTACGAACTTGCAGGTCGATCGGTCTGCACAAGCCTCGATACACTGTTGAAGGTTATCCCGTGTTCCAATATTTTGGGCAGCTTTCAAGCACTCAGCCTCTAAACGATACGGTAATTAGCATATGTTAAGAACTCAAGGGGAACTGTATGCCGAGACGAACCTTTGGAGCACTGTATCTCCCAAGACTTTCCACGGGTACGAGTAATTTTGCCATTATCCCGAGTGCCTATAATTGAGCTGGTTAGTTATAAGCTGACTTGATGGTAAAATTGGAGGTACTAGTACTGACATCGAGCTGAAGCCTCAGTCGCAGTGAGTTGGGAGGTGCAGGTTTCCAACTGGGAGTTAAGTGCCTGCTCTCTTTCCTTGCAATCTTCGAGTTCATCCTCGCATTCCGAGGGGAACGGGTCAACAACTTCATCCTCAGCAAAAGGATCTGTCGCCCTGCGGTAGGTCATGTAGACCACTCGATCCATGTTCCGCAAACTCGGCTCGCCGGAATGCTGCACGAGATAGCATGATGCACCGCTTCGGCCACTCCACATGCTTCCAGCGCATCCGCTGCTCTGCTCACAGGCAAGAAGACAAGCATCCGGGTCTGCCGCGGTATTGGCGGTGACAGGAATGGTGCTGGCTACGGCCTTACGGCAGTGGTAAGTCGCAAAAAGGCCAGGCTGGATCTCGACCTCTTGGCCGTCATTGGTGGGACACAGTTGATTGAAGTGCTGTTGAGGGGTGATAGCCTGAGCCTGAGCCAGGCTAACCACCAAGGGGAGCACAGAAAGCAAGGCCTGTAAATTCATGGCTGTTGAGTGCTTGGTCGTAGCTTTTGCGATTGCGGTTGAAAGATGACTAGAATGAGTTGAGAGCGATGAATACCTATGCTGTGGTGGTGGTCAAGAGGGTATTTATAACTTGCAGAGAATATAGACACTCGCGCGTCTTCTGAGCTTTAGAATTGAGTGTCGTCATACTACATAAAACTAGTAGTTATTTGCTAAGAAGTACTCCGTAACTAGTAAGACATCTAAGCCCCTACGTGTGGTACTAGCAACAATCTCGCACTTCAACACTTCGTAGCCTGCTGCCGATCATAAGCATCCACCGTCTACAGCGTTACATCCCATCCGTTCTAGACGATGCATAAAGGCCACTGGTAGATCACTCTAGATCTGCATGTTGTACTTGCTTGGCCTTTCTGTAGCTGTAGCTGAACGAGACCTATACTCTGACGCTAGAGGGTATTTGTCAGTTAAAGGCTGGACCTGGGGTCAGTTCTTGATGAATTTCCTGTTATGGATAACTTGGGAGGTCCCGCCTAGACCAGTACCTACCCAGCTGTTCACTACCTTAAGTAACTAGTACCTTGCTCCTCCCTTGGTATTGGGTAGGGATAATGTAGTGTCTGAAAATCAACACGTTTAATGAATCAAGCATATCTCTAACTTTCCAATTCAGTCAAGATCAGAACTCTCTCCGACGATCGCACTGGTAACCTATTATCTAGTTACGTCGGGTCATACAAGCAACTCAGCGAGTTCGCGAACTATTTTACCTATGCATTGCAGCCTGCGTCTAGACAATTGCCTATTTAGGACAATTGGAAGATGCTCATTGTATCATCTCGCATGTCTTTTCAGCTGCGCCAAAGTCGATCAAGATTCGAAATGTCGCACACTGCATCATCTCGCAGTCGCACTCGCATGTCTTTTCCACTGTGCCAAAGTCGATCATGATCCCAAAATCTCGCACACTACACCATCTCGCATCTCTTTTCAGCCGCGCCTAGGTCGATCAAGATCCACAATCTCGCACCCTAGCCATTTTTTGGGTCTTTTCTTATTACCGGTGGGGTTGAGACCGACTTTTGGATGAGTCGCTCAATCCATCAGGTAGCCACTGGATTTCCATTGACCCACATTGGCAGCTGGCTGACTTAGGCCAAGAAACCTTGCTCACGAGTAGTGCTGCTAGAGATATCGTTTCTCTTTTCTGGGCTGATCTCTAGAGTGGGTCGGTCAGCTTTGAGTGATGGAGCACTCTCTAATATGTAGACCATCGTGCAGAAATGCAAGGGACCCATAGACTTCCCGTCAAGTTAAGTTTCGCGCCGATCCGCCTGGGTCTTATAATCTTATCTGAGTAACGCAGTTATGGGAGCTGTCCCAAAACACCATAGTGAATTCGATAGGTAAATTACAGCTTTATCTCAACGACCATGGGCTATAAGTATTTTCCAATTTCCAGCCATCAAAAAGATTCTAGGTCATGTCTAGCCTCCTTAGAAAGCCTGGAGAGTCTCTGTATCTTCATGGCCGTTTTATATATTCTATATAACATTGTGGTTGTGGAGCCCGATAAAGTGGTAAAATATCGCATTTACTAGGAGTCACAGCCCTTTCTAGCACCTGCATGAATGAATCATGTCTGCTGATAGGTTGTAAGGAGCTCCTTCACCGAGGCGCATATTTCGAGCACATGATGGATATGTCGTCTGCAGGCCCCAAGTTATAGGTGACGTACCTAGGTTGGAGTACATGAAAGTCTGAGGCTGTATCTGAGGATTTGTTTGTTTACTCAAGGTAAATACCTGCAGTGACCATACCCTGAACGATGTCCTACCTCTGAGTGGAGATAAAAGTGAGGCATATAAAGTGGCATTCAACCCGCCCACTTGGATCTCAAACAGTTCATATCCTACCTACGTTGCGCTTCAATTTCTATCTACTTGACATTATCACGACCCATCAACAATGCATGTTCTTGGTCTGATATTCCTGACTTTTTTGGCGAGATCTCGAGCTCAAACATCGCCAAGTGAATATTACAGCACTATATGCCCAGCGCAGGATGGCCAGATTGAGGAAATTAGCCCAGGGCATCATGTAAGATTCCAATGTGATTTCCTTGGCAGCTATGATGCTACTGTTCACAAAAATATCCACACCCCAGCGCAGTGCGCTGTCCTGTGTAGGGACATACCTACATGCACTGGAAGCACTTGGGCGCATGGAAGAAAGCAGTGTCGTCTCAGTGGCACGGCAGGTCCTGCTCAAGCATACCCCGGTGCCCTTTACATGGAAAAGGTCGAGGTAGAACTACCCGCCGGAGAACCAACAGAAGACACTCACGTCCGAACCTGCCCCCCGATTTCCTCTCGCTTGACCCTTCCGAAGCCTGATGCTCAGGTACTTGCAAATCCAAGATGCCCGAATGGTAGGGATATCGATCACACGTCTCAAATCCAGGATATTTACTAATGTTCATGCTCAGACAATGGAGACTTATTTGTGGCTGATGACGGTGCTTATTACACCCTTCTCTGCTGCACTCACCACCCCAACGCCACAAGCGAAATACCCAACACGAGGTCAACTGCCTCAAGCTTCCAGGAGTGCGCGAATCGGTGTAGCTCCACAGCTGGATGTCAGAGGTAATATCCATTACCACCTACCGACCAAGGATATCGTGCTCACATAACCTACAGTTACGTATTCTCTGCTCTTGCCAATAACCAGGACGAAATCGGAACTTGCAAGCTGTATAACAAGGGCTCTTTCCAGACTGCACGATGTGGAGATGATACCCACGACTACGCATATATCACAGCTCCCCCAGCAATAGAATCGGCCGATCGTGCAGCTGTCGTGTGTGCTACAGAGTGTCCCGGCTCCGACGGCCAGCAGTACGAGAGTAAAGGCGGCGAGGTAAGATCTCTGTCAAAATGACCAGCATCGCTCTCGAAACCATATACTAATATAGCTTCTAGCTCTTCCATATTGACTGTGCCAAGCGACATGGAACCCAGGTCATTCTTGAAGACACGCAGGAAACCTTCAAGGACTGCATAGATGCCTGCTCTAGATTTATTCCCTGCCACAGCGTCGATTACCACACCAGTAGCAAAACTTGCTACTATAGCAATCATCATGGAGAGCCTGAGATTGTCGCATCGGGTTTCCAAAGTGCTCATTCGCAGGGCTGTTCTGGAGCATGTAAAAATCAGCATATGGGGACCTGCTGTGATGACCAGGTGAACAGTGGTCAAGAAGCTGGCATAGCTTAGTATAGAGGAGAGCCGTGTGAAAAAGTGCGAACCTATGAATCCCACAAGGGCTAGGTATTTGAATTATCTGTACTTTTACATCCTGTATCACGCAGCAGTATGCGACAAAGTCACTGTCCAGCCTAGTCTTTTCTGAATTCAGCATTACCCGTGTCCTCGTGCTTCCCAGGCTCCCAGCAAAGAGCGGCCAAAGTCGAATACTCGTTGTCTGTCCCAATTGCGAAATCATAGCCTCATAGGTTACAGCGAGGTCATATGGGCATTCTAACACCATGAATGTAGGGCTCGGCACAAATGACGAATATATTCGTATTCGTCGATATTTCGCCTGACGATGCGAATGCGAATGATTTCTGGTACACGACGAATATTCGTCGATTTCTGGTCACGTGGGACGGTGGGATCACGTGGGAGGAATACTAGTGACTGAGCACAGACCAGCCAGTCGTAGCCCGGGAGCGGGGAGCCCCAGTGACTGGAAGACTTCACTTAACACTTGATCCATGTTCCGTGCCTTGCGAACCAAGGCTTATACTACAAATTACAATGCTAAATATCCTTCGAAAGCGAATGATCAATGATAAAACAAAGCAGCGGGCCAGCAGTTTATTGGGAGGTCTCCATGGAAGGTAGGTATTAAAGTAAACAAGACATTATTCGCTAGAATATGGAAGTTGGAACCGATGCTGGCTATACGCAAGTCTGGCACCTGGCTGGATGATCATAAACAAAAATTGCAAACACACCTCCGCCCATACAATAGCAAAATGCAAACCCAACCATTAAACACCATAGCAAAGCAGATACCCATAAACCTGTCCAAAATCCCACCCATAACAACCAAAGAAAGTCCCATCCAATACACGATACACCCACACCAAACCAGAAACCAACACCAAATCACTGCCAAAACCCCATTCAACCCTTAGCCTGCAACCTCTTCCCCAACTTCCCCATAAACCCCCTGGGCGCAATACTATCACCCCTCAAATGCCTCCTCTTACTATTCTTCCTTGCAGGTTGATTCTGGCTCTGCACCTCCGTAGAAGGAGCCGGACCAGGCTGCGTAGCAACAGAAAGCTGCGACGAAGAAGCCCCCAACCCATCAGAGCGCAGACTCGTCAGCGAATGCACGCTCGACCAGGAGTGTTTCCTGGCTGTGCGACGCATTGCTAGTGGGGAGCGTGTGCCGAGCATGTTTGTTACACTGTAGCTGCTGCTTGGGGTTTCGGATCGGATGTGTGGGTTGTGTGAGGGGGTTTTGGTTAGGGGGACTGTAGTAGTATCTGTGAAGTATGAGGGGGAGGGGGGAGGGGGAGAAGGGGGTTGTTGTGCTGCGTTTTGTGAGGCGTTGGCGGGGGGTTGGACCTTGAGCTTGACCTTGGGCTTGGGACTGGGACTGGGCTGGTGCTTGGGCATAAGCACGTGGATGGTATGCTTGCGTTGGAATTGTTCGTGGGGAGGCGGGGATGTAGAGGACTTGAGGGATTTCGGAGACGCGATTGATTGTTGCGCTTAGTGCTGGGTGGGTATCTTTATTTTCCTCTGCGGTTTGGGTTTGGGTTTGGGTGTGGGTTGAGGATGGTGCTGCTGTGGGTTGCTTCGTGGTTTGTTTAGGGCGCGGTGACTTGCTGATCGTCTCAGCTGAACGTAGGCCGAGTCGGCTGTCAGCTCTAGTGGGAGGAGGACGGTGTCGGCTGCTTTCGCGGGAGCGAGAATGGGGAGGGCGTGATCTTGAGGATGATCTTGAGGGTTTGCCTCGTGGGCCTAGAGCGTTGATGAAGACCACCGTGGGACGAGTATGCGGTTCGAGGATGGTGATCTTCTTTGCAACCTGTATATCTGCCTCCTCTAACGAGAAGACGGACGAGGGTGACACCGAGCGAGATCTAACGCTGGTCGACAGCGGAGGCTTTGGCCAGATGCATAGAGGCGGCTGTAAGAAGGTGCTTGTTGCCAGTTCTGGTGGAGAGTCTGGCAGTTCGAGGACCATTTGTTCCTCTGGATCGAAGACATAGGTATCTTCGTCGAAAGTGGCGGTACTATTTCTCTTGAGGGTTGCCGATGAGACGGGTCTGGTCCGTTTGACTGTTGGCGGGGCCAGGATCGTATGTTCGTCCCGGTCAGAGATATCGTCGGCACTGAGATCTGAATCGAAGATTCCGGCTCGATGCGAGCCTATCGGTGAGGAGAGGAGATCATGGGCGCCCGCCTCGGATTCGGACACAGCCTCCTCGTCTGACTCGTATCGGTCTTGGAGACTATGCCGGCTTAACCGGTGTAGACTCAATGTGGTGGGAGGCTCGTACATCCTTCCTATGGCTCGGTGGCTTGGGTGGTAGAGTGTAGACTGTTCCTGAACTATCGACGGTTCGCAAAGCGAAGGAAAGGAACAGGCAACAGAAAAGAAAAGAACATCTACTAATAGCTGCGACAGGTAGAAAGAAAGGAGACCAGCCCACAGATAACCCAATATCCCACGGGTTACAAAGCTGCAGAGGAGATCCGAACCCACCAGGGTGATAAAAGGCTTTTAAGGAAGTGGGACAGAGTGGGACCAAGGAGCTATGGGCAGGGGATGCATATTTTCAATATGAGGAAGTATAGGAAAATGGTAAATGGTAAATGGTAAAAGAAGCAGATTGCAGGGAGTATTTCCATGTTAATCCCTGTGCACGTGCTGGAAAAGGCCAAAAAATAGCACACGCCCCGAAAGACACATCATGCAGGAGTGGAAAGAATCAAATGTGATTGGGAGGATTGCCCTTGCATCAAACCAGAATAGGGTCAGGTAGGGTTTGGGGGGTGCAGTTTCAGGATCGAGTTGCAGGCGTATCGTGGCAGGGCTGGTTTGAAACCTTGAGAAAATCAATATTCGGATATTGAAATACTAAAATAGCCAAAAGAAAACAAATCTGACGTATCATCAAGAGCTAGTGGTCAAGGCACCTACGCAGTAATCCCGCAACCGTCCTCGGATGATTGGACACGTATGAGAGTGTACAACGTAGCAAGGCCAAACGCCCAATAAGGGAGAACATCTCCTAGAAGCATTCCGTCTATACTTTAGGCAGTTTGAATTAGAACCTGTGGGCCATAGAGGAGTGGGAACAAGGCAAAACAACATGTATGTCACTTGATGTGGTCGAATCACATTTGTCAAGTGCGATGCCAAGTGAGATGCCAAGTAAACTAGAGCACAGGATCTGTAACTCAAACGCGCTACGAACTACCTAGCTTAGCTTCAAACTATGGCGTCTGGATATTCGGCTAGGATCTGAAGTACAGAGTGCCAGAGTGTCGAAAGGTAAAAATGCCAGCAAACCTGTGGTCCTTGCTGGGGTGGTGAGGATGCCAGGGGCATAACCGAAGGTCCTAGAAGGGAGGTTGGTTAGAGGTTAGAGGGGGGTTGGTTTGGGGTTGGCTTGGAGGGGTTGGAGGGAGGAGGGAGGAGGGAGGAGGGTTAGAGGGGAAGGTTAAGGAAGGTCTCCCTCTTCTCCTGAAGGACCAAGAATGTTGACGATAAAGACGATAAAGACGATAACCTCCTGATCAAAATAACCTTACGAACTTACTTCTCAACCATGGAACGGCTCCCTCCTTACATCCTCATCCATGGTTCACGTCATTAATTCCATCTCATCTGACATCCCATCTATCACATCTATCGCATCTATCGCAATCTTTTCTCTCCATATACTATCCTCATACGGGATAAATCATTCCATGATGCAGCTGTCAAGGCAAGGGCTCACAATCTCCATAGTTCCAACCTTACAACCTCCCGGTCTCTGCAGGTACCCATATGACTCCATTCAGATTTCTGCATAACCAACCTTCCACTTCCACAGCTCTTGACCTCGGGAGATTTGCCATTAAGGAAACTCAAAATAACTACTCAATCCATACTACCACTAAGCCATTTCATCCACTGGCTCATGACATGCATGTACGAGAATACCGCCTTTGAAACCCGCCCAAAGCCATACCTAGTCCCAGAACCCGCCGATCACCATCAACGTTGGCAACTACTGCACCATTTGCTTTTTCCACTTCTCTTCCTCAATTGGCCTCTATCCTCCGGCAGCAACCTCCGAGACCCACATGTCCACTCTCCGAACTAAACCGCATGGCACAAGCAAGGCGCTTGTCAGTTCGAATCAAGCCGCTTCCATCCTACCTTAAAACTTTCCATTATTGAAATCCAAATCCCACCCAGCCCCTATGACGCTATCGCAATGGCTGGTATTGCCTAGCAAGTCGGGGGAAAACAATATCGATAACAGCTACACTGCACTATCCTCTTTATCTGGGAGGCTGGATATAACCCAGCCTCGTCCACCATATATCCGCCCAGCAAGCCATTTAATTTTCGATTTTTTATTATATCTGACTGGGCTGAGGATCTGCCCGTTTTTTTCTTGACTAACGCCCTCGGAACCTTCCAAAGCAATGATCGCCTCGCCAACGGGGCCGCTAGTATTCGTGGCGGATGAGATACATCAACTTTCTGCTGTTTGTCACTCGTCGCACAGGCTGTGGTGTGCGAACTTGTTTAAACTTCACTTGATGGGTTCCTGCGTCTTGTCTTCGAGTGGAGGCTCTGGTGGTGTGATACTGCACATTGTGTTACCCGCTAACTGGGACAAGCTTTTTTGTTGCCATATCAACAGTTGGGGTATTTGTTGTGCTCATTTGTGGGGGAAACACTCTGGATGGTCTCAAGATATAGGCTATGTCTGCATGAGATGCAGTTAGACAGTAGCTGCAGATTCTTGAAGGTGCTGATGACATGCTCCGGTCTTCGTGTCGGCAGTCAAACTGCATTCATTGATGTCTTCGCTACCACCTGCAGACCATATAGCTAGCATGTTCGTTCTATCGGATTGATGAAATGGACATTATTACATTTTGTTTTGATATGGAACTCTATCAATCAATACTTTACTGAAAATAAGGCGGAAGGGTACAATCGAATGGCCTGCCACCAACAGACGGAGGGTGATAACGACAAACATCAACAGAAGAAGAAAAACGACATTATAGAATACAAGGATGACGAGATTGCCGGCCAATCTAACAGCAATCCTGCATCGAAATGAAATGCCTCAGGCTGTGCCCGACAAACATCCCGGCACACGCATTCCGACAATTCCAGGGCACATAACCCATGCCCCGGGTAATGGACTTGGCATCATGAGACGGTCATTGATTAAACAAATATAAAGACGCATCACCCAGAGGCAGCCACTCCGCCCTTCCGCTGGGTTGGGCCAACAAGCGTCGAATGCGATTCTGTTCTCTAGCTCATCCCGGCATGATCTAACCGTCGACCTCGTGGACAACATGACTGGTTTCAAATCACGCAATGAAAGCGCTCAGCAACTGTAATTCAGCTGGTCATTTAAGCCTTGCGGGAGCGAGTCACGGGGCCGTTGGAGCGGCCAGTGGACTTGGCGGCACCGTTCTGGGTACCGACGGGAGAAGGGATCTCGAAGTTCTTCATGTCGATCAACGACTTCTGGCCGGTGTTGCGGCGGGGGCGTCCGGTCTTGGCGGTCTTGTTGTAGGTGGCAATGTAGAAGGAGATGAACAGGACCAGGTAGGAGCTGATGATGCCGATACCAGCCAGGGCAGCGAATTCCTCACCGGCACACTGGCCCATGTTGGGGAGCCAAGGGAAGTAGGCGGAGGTGAAGTAAGTGTACGAGGCGAAGTAGATGAACCCTAAGAGCACGTCAGTTTGTTAGTCATTCGAGGTTCCGGACCGCAAGCACTTACCGACGTCGATAACGAACTGCAGAATCTGCAGCATGGTGATGTACTTCTTCCACCAAATGCGGACGCCACGGGCGCTCTGGAAATAGTACCAGTACATGACGACGTGGACCAGCAGGTTGATGGTGATGGGCACCCACTGCACGGCAGTCACACCAATAAGCTGAGTGTAGCAGAGGAGAGCGGTGGCACCGTGGTGGTAGGTGTGGAGGAAAGTCAAGGGCTTCTTCTTGAGGACCAGGAAGATGGTGTCAATGAACTCGACGTATTTGTTGATGTAGTTGAGCTGGTCGAGGCGTCAGTTTTCTCACATCCTAAGATTCGGGCGTCTGCGACTTACGTAGTACAAAATGATGAGGGGCTGAGTCCAACCACCGCTGTGGTCGCAGATAGTGTAGAAGACTCCGTGTCTCCAGAGAGTGGGCAGAAGCTGCTCAATGAACAGAGCCAGCAGGATGGCGCTGACTGTGGTCAAGAAGAAGTTGTGGATCATGAACAATGTGTTGAGCTTGAATGCGGGCAGCTTCTTCATGACTTCACGGCCACCAAAGATAAGGACATAATAGGTGACAAGCATCATTGTGGTCTCCTTCAAGGTGGACAGAGGGGTCACACCCTGAATGAACTTGAACTCGCTGGCGGGATAGCCCATGACCTTCTCATAGGCCTGGTCGAAGAGAGGCCATAGGTGCACGCCAAAAGGGCGATCGATGGTCGGGTATGAGACATGCTTGAGAATTTCGGAGGCCATAGTGACGGAATTGCGCTGTTGTTCGACCAAGCCGGTGTACGATTGGAGATGGGAACAGCCGAGGAAGGCAACTGTTGACGGGCAGAGATTGAACTGCAATAGACCGTCAAAAGAAAGGCCAAACGAAGTAAAAGGAAAGAAATGAAAGTAAAAAGGATAAAGAAATGAAGGGAAAGGGGGAAGGAGAAGAGAGGGAAAAGCTGGAGAAACATAGGAGACCGATTACTTTTTGCGTCCGGCGCGTCCGTTGAGAACCAAAAAGGGTTTAGCGTGTCATAAAAAGGGGAACTCCAAGTTCCGATCGCATCTACATTGATCATTGAGTAGTCCGTACGTTCAAATAGAAGATCAATTGGAGTAATGCAGACATGTAGGCCATTGGGTTACAATTTGATTGTATTTATCTGTACAATTGGTTTCTAAAACTCACCCAGACCTTCCAATATCGAGCAGTAACTGCGTTGGGGGCTGCCAGGCTGTCCTCGGTGAACTGTCACATGCTGTTTACCAACACCTGCATGCCAATTGGCAGCGCATTAGAAGTTCCTCCCATAAAGTAGCAAGAGATCTATTGTGTCCAGCATAAAATTGCCGAGGGTTCCAACCTCGATTGAAGCTATTGCTTGAATGATAGGTTCTTTAACATGACTTTGAATGCCAGAATTGGGTTCAATATATATACTTGAACTGGATACTTCATTGTTACCCAAATGACAATTTCGCATGTCTACAATCTATTTCTCGAACTAGACTCAACGTAACAGCTGCATATCAACGAGTAACCAAGTAATTCATATCACAGCTATCATGACTCTAACACTATCTAAATCGTAGGCAAATGACTGCATTTCGGGACGGGGCCAATCGGATGATGACTCAGCACCCGTTTGGCTGCCTCAGGCGTCAACACCACACCACCCGCAAAATCCTAGAGGGCACTTCTCACCTCCCCTTCCCGTCTCCATCCACACCTCTCCCCTCACCATTGCTCCCGTTCGGTCCAACGCGGTCCCCCTCTCACAATGTCCTCCCTCTCCATCTTCCGCATGGCGACCCGCGCCGCTCGCCCTAGCAGCTTCTTCCGAGCTCCCCAATTGACCCGCAGCCGGATGCAGTCCCCAATGACTCTGTCCGCCGCCCGCGCCCACAACTTCGGCACCACCTCCGTGCGCCGCTCTGGCCACGAGGATGAGACATTCGAAGAGTTCTCTGCCAGGTACGCCTCCGACCGCAAGCCATTGACGCCGGTGGAGTGCCGGGGAAGCGCCGTGCATGCCCCCATAGGCGCTTCCCGGAACAACCGTCGGCAATGCTCTGCAACATGAATTGGGGGCGTGTCCCGCTGACTGTATATCCTCAATGGCAGATTCGAGAAGGAATTCGATGGTGTGCAGGATGTTTTCGAGCTTCAGGTATGGCTTATGTTTCACCCGAGGCATGATTGATCGGCATGCAATATATGGCACCAGCCACAATATTGTCACCTACTATGCGGCTTCTATATCCGCCTTGCGATATTCGACAATTGGCTAATGCATGTCCTTGCAAACAGCGCAACCTGAACAACTGCTTCGCCTACGATCTCGTCCCCTCCGTTGAGGTCCTCACTGCCGCCCTCAAGGCTGCCCGCCGTGTTAACGACTTCCCTACTGCCGTCCGTGTCTTCGAGGGTACGCTTCCAACACATCCCTCTTTGGAGCTCTAGCATATATCGTCTCTGCAACCATGCTAATGTTCCTTCGTGATTAGGTGTCAAGGCCAAGGTCGAGAACCCCGAACAGTACAAGCAATATCTCGAGGCTCTCGAGGGTCTGCGCGTGGAGCTGGGAGTCGCTCTCCGTGAGGAGCTCTACCCCCAGGAGGCCTAAGCTCGCATCGTCAATTCTACGTTCACGTCAATTTTCTCTCAAACAATCAGTACCCCCTCGCCCGTTGTCTATCCAGCACCGTTTGATTGGCCGAGGATTAGATCTGATAGAAGAGAAAACTGTATACATACTTTAGAGATCTCTTGTGTTAGGTGCTGTGTTGTCTGAAAAGGTCATCTGTGCCTTGGTGCTTAATCTATCTGGATTCCATCTTGTTCAGTCATCCTGCATCGCTGTGTTATCAACCGCTCAACTCAGTCCTCGGTCCCCAATCTTCAACCTTTTCTACACTTGTGATAAGAATTGCTTCCTCAAATCCGTAGAACGGTCAGGTCTGAAACTCAGCGATTGCTTCTAAGTAGCCTCATATATCACACAAAATAAGAAAATTGTACTGAGTAGACGGAAGAGCACCAATCCGAACCAAACTGAGCACCGAAAATCACCATGCGCAATCGATATAAGTACAAAGAAGGTAAGGCCCTGGAGCCCTCGAGGAGGTAGCAACGTGGCCAACAACGTGATGTGTGACAAGAAATTAAACCAAACATAAGTAGAAGAAAGGAACACAGAAATCATCAAGACACACAGCTATGTGTCCGCTCAAACGCCGGGTACCAGCCACTGATTTCCAGTATAGTCATAGGGGCATGCAAGGTTATGCAAGAAATCATGTCGTGAATGAGGCACTCTCCATATTAAAGACAAGAGACGAGAGAACTGATCAATCAAAAGACAGGATGTTTAGTGTGTTCCAACATACTTGAAGTAAGTAGGTCGGCAATCCTCCTTGGAGAGCCAGTCTGCGCCCTGGTAGAACTGGCCAGCCTTGCAGCCGGAGCACTTTGGCGAGTTGGGGCAGTTGAGATACGGGATGTGGTTGTATCCGATATCGCGGAACCTAGTGAAGATACGTCAGCGGTCTTCTTCGGATATAAGCAAAGAAGTGACTTACCAGTGAACATTGGCGGCATCGGCGAAGAGACCGATGCCGAGGGAGTGGACGGGGGCATCACCCCACCGTTCGTAGAAGAATCCACCGGCGCGATCCAGGTGCTGGAAGTACGCCTCGTACTTCTCGCCACGGAAGAAGTCAAGGTCGCCGATCTCAAAGTTGGACCAGAAGTGGCAGGTGGAGTATCCATTGGCACCCTTAGTGTGCTCGGGACGAGCCACGTCGTCCGTAAGCCACTCCCACATGTTATTGTCGCTTAGGTACGAGGGGTTGGCGGCGAGGAATCGCTGAGTTTCCGGCCAGAGAGACGGGATACTCTGGGGTGCGTCGTAGAGGTTGATGGTGAATCCGTATGTCTTGTTGCCATCCTCCATGTAGCGGAACACGTCGTAGTCGACGTCGCAGAAGAACTTGACATTAGGCTCAATGCGCCAGTAGTAGCGGTAGCCGTTAAGGGCAGGGTGCTTGTAGAACAAGCCGCTGTTCCAGCGACACATTTGGTGATAGGAGATTTTGGAGCTGTACTGGATGTCCTGTTCCTCCAAGAGCTTCGCAGATTCTAGGAAGAGGTCCATGTTGATCCAATCGGGAACGTCCCAGTGTTCCTTTGGCACAAGTTCTGTGTTTGGGGTTAGCTATGTTTCGCCCTTACTCCGACAGAGCGAGAATCCGTACCATATTGGACCTTGGCCTTGGTCGCTGCCCGGGTCTTCTGCTTAAACTCCTCGGTAAATTCGACGTCGTTGAAGAAGATATAGGGATAGTTGAACTTGTGGTTCCATGTTCGCTCGAGATCATTCATTGTGGACAACAACTGGTCCAATTCCTCATTGCGAACGAGGGTAATGAGTGCGGCATTGGTACGGGCCGATTGCTCGCTATCGGGGGAATAATCGTGTTCGTCGGCTCGCCATAAATTCCCCGCAGGTTCTCCAGTCGCTATAGAAATCAGTCAGTATGGTACTCCGGCGAAGGTTGCGATGGACGATGTGGCAAGGGAGCTGGGGATCACGCACGATCTACAAGAGGATCCTTTTTCATGCCATGGGTCAACTTGGACCCTACTTCAGAGTCGCTCTGGTGTAATTGAAAGACAAGGAATAGACAGAGAAGAATGCATGCTGCGCCCAGCATGCGAATCGGTCGTGCGATAGCCATGATGGTGGTGTTTGCTGAAAGGGGCGAGATGGTCGGAGGGAGAGAGAGGCGCATGAAAGTGGCTCTCTTTCCTTGTCGGGACTAGCGCCGCCCAGACAAAACATCCATCACTTCACTTTATGCTCTTCGCTTTATGACGTCTCTATATTGGAAGTCACGACTTCACCGTGATCTTCGATCTTTACTCAACTGATCCGAGCCTATGTCTGACTATGAGTATGGCCTTTGCGGCGGATTTGAGTACGCTGACCGATGCCTTAATCGCTTCCGTCGCTAAGATTTCGCAGGATTCCAAGGTATGTAAGGTGTATTTTCTTATATTCCCTTAGGACCTATGTATTGATGTTGTCTAGGGGCCCGCGCATGCTCAAGTTCTGAAGCGTCGTGTACAAGGAGGTCTTCGAACTGGTTCTCATTCGCGCACCGACCAGTTCGCAGTCGCCAAGCAACTCGAGGGACTACAAGAGAAGTTCCAGATCCTGAATAGAGATGACCTTGCCGAAGCCCTTGCCAGCCGCTTGAAGGAGCTAGAAGGCAATCGGAATCCCTGGCTCCCAGAGATCTTGAGTCTGTTACTGCAGCTTTCAAATCGCCCCGCCCTTCTGTCCACGGTTAAAAGCTTCACGGAGAGAACCAGGGCGCCAGAGGCAGCAGCAGAAGTAAAAGAGACTCTCTCTTGGTCGGATCTGAATGCAGATGGGACAGCATTCAGCGACGAAGATATCTGGGAACAGGTAGACTTCGCTGGGGACTCATCAGATGATGACTTTTCATCCATTGCGAGTGATGTGTCTGTCCCACGGCACAGACCTCCAACCGCCACAACGGTGGAGGAAGATTATATAGTCCCAGATGATATTTTTGTCCCGGAAGACGATGAAGACCTTGTTGCCTCGCTAGAAAAGGAGCAATTTTGGAGATCAGAGAACCATACTCTGTTGCCCCAAGGAGAGGGAGCCACGCGAGTTGTCACAGAATACCAGGTCGCTAGAGAGACCATGTTCATGCTCCAGGGCCTTCCTACGTCTATCTTCTTACGTCTGGACGATGATGTCAAAGTGGATCGGCGGTACGCCCTCGCACATTCATCGAACCAGGCTCTGGCATCACTTTTGCAGAGTTTCGAAAAAATTTGGCTCGAAAATCGACGCTGTACGTCGTTTCACTAAGCTATCACAGGAAATTCCTTACATGCAGACATTCTGTCGTGGAGTTGAAGAGCGTCTGCTTGAATTTGACAGCTTTCTGTCCCATGTTCAGTGCAAATATCTTTCAGCCGGCTCAACCGTCAGCCTCATTCAGCTTCTCGTCGATGTTCGCCAGCACTCCCACGAGCTAGCATTACTTGGAGAAGTGGTGGCCAAACTAGACAAAGACTCGCATGATCAACCAATGCGCTGTCTTGATCTGTTATACGACTCAATATGCATGCTAGAAGCCATTGGTGACGATAATTCCGCTCGACACCTCGCAGAATTATTCTTCATATGCTTCAAGACGTATTCAAGCTCAATTCGGTTTTGGATGGAAACCGGGCAGGTCGATGCTTCGGACAGCGCTTTCTTCGTACGGACAACTAGCCGAGAGGCTGGTGATCTACGAACTCTGTGGCATGACTGGTTTGTGCTTGACACGGGCCACAAGAAGGAGAAGATCCCACAGTTTCTTGAGACCAGTGTCCAGAAAGTGTTCACAGCGGGGAAAAGCGTGGCGTTTTTGCGGTATCTCAATGCGTCACCAGACATTTCAGAATCCCCTGAACCTTTGAGGTTCGAGGACGTCCATTCCCAAGATTCGGGACTATCACTTCCTTTTCCCGCACTAGTAGAGTCCGCCTTTGAAAGGCTCGTGGATGTGGACCATTCGCTCAGTGCCTGCCTCTTACGAACAGAGCTCGAGCAGCAATGCGGACTATGGTCCTCCCTTGATGCTCTTCAACATGTCTATCTTGGCAAAGACATGAGCGCCGTCAGCGTAATTGACGCCAAACTCTTTGAGCTGATCGACCGGGGCCGTTCCTGGGATGACAGATACTTGCTCACCGAAATCTCAAGAACGGCGTTCAATTCAGTGCCTGCCATTGATACATCAAGGATCCTCGTGCGACCAATTAGCACTCCATCGCGGGGCCGGAGTCACCACCGAACCGTGCGGATTCTCGAAGCAATCTCAACTGACTACGGTCTCCCATGGCCAATCGCAAACATAATAACCGAGGAAGCAATCCACTCTTACCAACGGATCTCAACCTTCCTGATGCAAATCAGACGCGCCAAACACGCAATTGTGAAACAGCGCATCACAACGCCCGACAACAACGACACATTGGTGCACGCCCTCCACCACAATATGCTCTGGGTCCTCGATTTCATCTACGGCCACCTAACCTACCTTGTCATCTCCACCGCAACTCAATCCCTACACAAAGCTATCGCCGAAGCACAAGACGTCGATGCCATGATCTCCGCACACCAATCCTACATGGCGTCTCTAGAAGCCCAGTGCTTGCTCTCCAAAGACCTCTCACACATCCACGACGCAATCATCAATCTGCTAGACCTCTGTATCCACTTTGCAGATCTACAAGTCGCGCATTCGCTCGACGGAGAACAGCAGGAGAATGTGCAGGCGCGCAAAAAGAAAGACGAATACGACTCGGACGTTGATGAAGATGACGATATGAACCATGAACACACATTCACAGTCTCGTTCCGTGAGTCGACATACAGCCAGCAGATGCGAACGGCCAAAAAGGACTTCGATCATCTGACGAATTCTGTCACGGAAGGCCTGAAGAGCTTGGCTCGTGCAGATGGGATCCCGAGTTGGGAGATCCTTGCTGACAGGCTCGAGTGGAGGCAGAATTGGCGCAGACTCTGATACAATATACCCCTGTTTTTGATCCGGGAGTTGGCGTCACATTTTATGAATATGTAGCTTTTTAGCTTAGACACTCATTCGCTTGCCAAACTATACTTAGCTACAAAACTCCCGTACATCAACCTTCCACGATTGCATTGTTTGACTTGTTTTCTTTAGGTCCCAGACATGTCATGTGATAATTGCACCCCTTTTGGAGCCTCCAGTGGCTGCTGCAGATACTCATAGCACCTCCAAAATGTTGGCGCACCTGTGGAAATGTTGCTCGGCTGTTCATTCAGTTCTAAAATATTTTCTATATGGTTCATTTGGCCTTCTTTCTCGCCTACTACCTCCGTTCATCAGAAATTCTTTGTCCACACGCGAAGAGCCTGACGATCAATCAATCAATCAATCAATCAATCAAAGTTCAATTGACCTGTTGCAGTCTAACTAGTTGCGTATGACTATGCAGGCGCTCCTTCCAACTGGAGCAAGAACTCTGCCTAACGCCAGAGGCTCAGAGCTGGAATCACATGATCCCAAAGGAAGCAGGGGCTGATTTGAAAAGAGTGTGGTGTCAGCCCACCCCATGTGTCCAGCCCATATAACCCATATAAAAGCAAAAACCCAGTACAAAAGAAATGCCTATTTAGCGACCGTTGTGAAGTCCATCCTCCATCTCTCCCTTCACTCTTTCATCCTCATTCCTGCACCCTTCCTCGCCCCAGTTTCTATTAGTGTTGTTTTGTTCACTTTGGCCGACTGGTGGGCATGCTTGTCGACTTTTGCCGGGTTTCTCGTTCCCCAACCTCGTTCGTCGTCTTTGGCTAGTACCCATCGTCTTCCACACCTAGCTCCATGGCCGCGAGGCCTTGCGGTTCGTCGTCTTCCTCGAGCTCAATACATCGGAATTGCTGGAGGAGACCTGTCTGTTGCACAAATTTGGCCACGTAGCGGGTGGCCTGCGGGTGTGACACTATTGTGTCGTAGTCGGTCCCCACCTGGACCTCGTTCTTGTCCAGTCGTTCCCAGAATTGCTTCCGAAGATCCTTGTACAACGGGCATTGTAGTAGGATGTGCTTCGGCGTCTGGGAACGAGAAACCCGGCAAAAGTCGACAAACATGCCCACCAGTCGGCCAAAGTGAACAAACAACACTAATAGAAACTGGGGCGAGGAAGGGCGCAGGAATGAGGATGAAAGAGTGAAGGGAGGAGAGATGGAAGATGGACTTCACAACGGTCGCTAAATAGGCATTTCTTTTGTACTGGGGTTTTGCTTTCATATGGGTTTTGCGGGCTGGACACATGGGCTGAAATCACACTCCAATCAGCCCCTGCTTCCTTTGGGATCACGTGATTCCAGCTCTGGCGTTAGGCAGAGTTCTTGCTCCAGTTGGACGGAGTAAAGTCATACGCAACCTACTAGTTAGACTGCAACAGGTTAATTGAACTTTGATTGATTGATTGATTGATTGATAACCTGAGAACCTCCGGGCTCCGACCCGGCTGCCTTAGGCACCCCATGGGGCATCGTGCATGTAGTTATCCAAGGTTCGATCCAAGATAGTCATTCAGAAGTCCTGTGTACTCCTACATTCCATAGTTGTGAAGATTATTGATTTTGTGATATATACTGATTTGATGGCTCATTTTGATATGTTTTTTAAACTCCAGCACCAAGCCGACACAATATGGACACGAAAAAAGAACGGAAAATGAAAACAGAGTAAGAAAAGATCTCGTAGATAAGAACTAAACATTCTAACCGACCCAGCGTCTGGCGCTGTAGAACACACGTCCCCAGGGACCAATATCTCCCCAGGACTCGGCATTCGGAGGCAGCCAGCTGGCAATACCGTTCATGACAGTACGCTCAGGGTGAGGCATAATGGCAAGAACACGGCCGTTAGGGCTGCGCACACCGGCAATACCCTCGGGACTACCGTTGGGATTGAAGGGATATTTCATGGTAGGCTTGAGAGTGGCATTGTCAACGAATCGGACAGGAGCAAGGCCCTCGCGAACGAAGTCGGAAGCCGAGACGCCCTGGGAGGCAACGAAGGAAGCACGACCTTCGCCGTGAGCAACAGCGATAGGAAGCGAGGTGCCGTCCATGCCGTGGAAGAAGACGCTGGGGTTGGATGGGTCGGGGTCGGAGATGCGGGCCATGCAGACACGGCCTTCGTACTGCTCGCTGGCATTGCGCTCGAAGCTGGGCCAGTAGCCAGCGCCAGGGATCAGCTCCTTGATACGGGACAGGAACTGGCAGCCGTTGCAGACACCCAGAGCGAAGGTGTCGGGGCGCTCGAAGAACTCCTGGAATTCCTTGCGAGTGTTCTCGTGCAGCAGAACGGACTTGGCCCAGCCCTGGCCGGCGCCCAAGACGTCACCGTATGAGAAACCGCCGCAGGCGGCGAGACCAGCGAATGTGGACAGAGACACGCGGCCGGAGATGATGTCGGTCATGTGGACATCGACGGCGGAGAAACCGGCGGTGTTGAAGGCAAAGGCCATCTCGGCTTGACTGTTCACACCCTGTTCACGAAGGATGGCAACGCGGGGCTTGTTGGCGAAGGGAGAGAGTTGGGTAAGGCTCGTCATGAAAGGCAAGGCCTTGTCCTTGGGATCAAAGGTAGGGTTCCATGAGAGACCGGGATTGGCATCGTCAAGGATATTGGCATACTCTTGCTCCGCGCAGTCCGCGTTGTCACGGATCTTCTGCATGTGGTAGGATGTCTTGGCCCAGGTCTGCTGGAGGCTGGAACGGGTGTTGCGGTAAATCAAAGAGGCCTTGTGGTAGATGGCGAGGTTCTGCTTGGGTTGCTGAGAAACACGTCCGATCTTGTGGATCATACCAGGAGGAGGACCGCATGTGGCGAAGCATGAACGGAACTGGATCTCATGCTCCTTGCGGACCTGGAAGACAGCTCCAAGCTCCTCGTTGAAGAGGGTCTCGATGACATCCTTGGTGTTGAAAGAATCACAGATGGTATCAATAGAGATATCAACGCCGCAGCGGCCAGCAAACATCATTTCAACGAGAGTAGTCAGAAGACCACCGTCGGAACGGTCGTGGTAAGCCAAGACGATCCCGGATTCCTGGAGTTGCTGTGTAGCATCGAAGTAGTCCCGGAAGAGATCGACGTCGCGAACGTCAGGGCACTCGGAACCGACTTCGTTGAAGACCTGAGCAAGAGCAGATCCGCCAAGAGTCTTACGACCAGCCGCAAGGTCCACAAACATGAGGACAGTCTCTCCAACTTCTTCAAAGCTACGAAGAGCAGGAGTCCAGGTCTTGGTGAAATCGGCAACTGGTGCAAAGGCAGAGATGACACAGGACATAGGGGCAGTGACCTCCTTGGCCTCATTTGAGGACTCGTCCTTCCACTTCATCTTCATGGACATAGAGTCCTTGCCCACGGGGATACTGATTCCAAGCTTGGGGCACAAATCCAAACCAACAGCCTCGACGGCTTCATAGATAGCAGCGCCCTCACCAGGGTGGCTAGCGGCCGACATCCAGTTGGCAGACAGCTTCACTTGGCTGAGACGATCCACAAGATCAGCAGCAGCCAAGTTCATGAGCGACTCGGCAACAGCCATGCGAGCAGATGAAGCCGCAGAGATAAGAGCCAAGGTAGGCTTCTCACCCATAGCGAAAGCCTCACCGGTCTTGGTGCCCTGGGCCAGGGAAGTAGCAGTGACGGAAACATCCGACACGGGTGTCTGCCATTTGCCAACCATCTGGTCACGGGCCGTGAGGCCGCCGACAGTGCGGTCACCAATAGTGATCAGGAAAGACTTGGAGCCAACTGCGGGTAAGGACAGGACTCTCTTGATGGCTTCATCGACAATCTCTGTCCTGGAGGTGAGAGAGGGAAGGTACTTGCTGAGGCTGGAGTCCACGGCGGGCAGCGTCAGCTTCCGCGAATCGACAGTGCGGGTCATGCGGGGAGTCTTTCCGAAAAGGACAGATAGAGGAAGGTCGATGGGGGCAGGGTAGTCCTTGGACTCCCGGTCAAGGAGAATGAGTCTCTTTTCCTCCTCAGACGAACCACCACCGCGACCGACAACGGAGAAGCCACAACGCTCACGGTGAGCGATAGCAGTGAATTTGTTCATGCTCTCCTCTCCAACGGCCATGACGTACCGCTCCTGGGCTTCGCAGCACCAAATTTGCATAGGGCTCATGCCACGGTCGGTGTTATCAATCTCACGAAGCTCAAATGTAGCACCCAAGCCAGAATCATGGATCAGCTCAGGAAGGGCGTTGGACAAGCCACCGGCACCAACGTCGTGAATGAACTTGATGGGGTTCTTGTCTCCCATGGCCACACAGGCATTGATAACCTCTTGGGCTCTCCGTTGAACTTCGGCGTTGCCTCTCTGAACACTGGCAAAGTCGAGCTCGGCGGATCCCTCACCAGAGGCGATACTGGAGGCAGCACCTCCTCCAAGACCAATAAGCATGGCAGGACCACCAAGAACCACGAGGAAAGCACCAGGCTTGACAACGTCTGGGTGCTTGATGGCGTGCTGGGGGCGGACAGTTCCGACACCACCGGCAATCATGATGGGCTTGTGGTATCCTCGGACTTCCTTCTCACCATTGCCCACTTCAATCTCGGTGAGCAGAGTGCGGAAGTATCCACCAATGCAAGGACGGCCGAACTCGTTGTTGAAAGCAGCGCTACCGATGGGTGCCTCCAACATGATGTCCAAACTGCTGGCAATGTGGTTAGGCTTGCCAACCTCGAGTTCCCATGGTTGCTTCAGACCAGGGATCAACAGGTCTGACACACAGTAGCCGGCGAGACCGGCCTTGGGGCGCGAGCCACGACCGACAGCGCCCTCATCACGGATCTCTCCGCCGGAGCCCGTAGCCGCACCGGGGTAAGGTGAAACTGCAGTGGGGTGGTTGTGGGTCTCAACCTTGGCCAGGAAGTGCACAACTTCCTTGGTGTGCATCCATTGTCCAGTGGTTGGATCGGGAGCCCAGAATGTGGCCTCGGGACCCTCCAAAACGGCAGCATTGTCACTGTAGGCACTGACAGTGTGTTCGGGGTGCTTCTTGTGTGTGTTACGAATCATGGCAAACAGACTGTTTGGCATGGGCTTGCCGTCAATCACCCATGAAGCATTGAACTGCTTGTGTCGGCAGTGCTCCGAGTTGACCTGAGCGAACATGAAAAGTTCAACATCAGTCGGGTCACGGGCAATCGCACCATTCGGACCGTAGGCCTCGGCCAGATATTCAATTTCAGAATCATCGAGGGCCAAACCCAGCTCCTTGTTTGCCTCCTCGAGAACCTCTCTAGGAGACTTAGTTCCTCCGTGGAGAGGGATGGTCTTGAGGGGTTGAGGTTCATGCTCAGAGAACATCAAGTTCAACTCGGGCTCATCCCTGCCGATGATTTGAGTCATCCGATCATGAAGGATATCCATGTACTCCGGCTTGTAGTCGTCCCCGCTCTTACGAAGGCACGAAATCTTCATACCCCGTTCAATCCGCTTGACGTACTTCTGCATACCACAAACGTGCGAGATGCCCGTCGCCTGTGAGCTCCATGGTGAGACCGTGCCGGTTCGTGGGTAAACGTAAAAGGTATCGAATTGACCGTCGGCGGCATCGAAGGTAGGAGGGATGTCGGTGATATCGCCGTACTGGAGCAACTGTTCAAGCACGGCCTGTTGAGGCTTGTCCAAGGGTTGAGTGGTGTGCACATAGTGAATCCACTGGGCTCGGACATCCTGAACACCGATGCTGGCAGCAAGAGCTTGGCCACGCGAGCGGGAGTAGGCAACTGCGCCCGGGATGGCCAAGTAAGTGTCGGTGGAAGTCATTGTATAGAGACTGGGTATTCTCCCAACTGATATAGGAGGAGATTGAGTGGCTCGAGTGCCTCTCTCAAGTGGACTTGAGGGATCGCTAGAAGAGGCCGGCGATGACTCTATCGCCGCTTTTTTTTTGCAAGAGAAATGAGCGTTTTCCCCGCCCTAAACCCAATACGGCTTATCGTGGTGTGTCACGTGTCGATAAGACGGTTAAAGTTTAACCTCAACAAAGTTTTTGGTTCATCGCGATTCCTCCTAGTACAAGCAGATATCTTCTGTTTTTCATGTGAAATTCAAAAGTACATCTAGACATCACTAAATTACCTCCTTCACTTCGATTGAACCAAATAGATACCAAGACATAGAAGAAATCGGCACTGGGAATGGAGTACAACGCTCCGTTATGTGGATCCCGGGGGCGTTCTTGGCACCTGGTCAATGTCATTATTGTCAACCTTCACAGAGGCATCCTTATGACTTGAAGGCATTTGTAGATTGCTTCCTGAGTCTACTTCCGTTCAAGTTGGTCCGTTGGAAAACATGTGAGAATTGATTTTGACTTATTTCAAGGTCGGTTGGACCGTTGGAGTAGAATAACACAACATTCGACCTATATAAATGGATGAGATTTTGACGCCGAAATCGGCATCCCCCCAAGTAATGCAGCTAATGCTGGACGGCTTCTCGGGCACCTGGCAGTACACCGCTAGATATTTGGTTTATGTCCATTGACGATAGTATTCTCATTTTGCACAAGAAGTATACGAAATCCCACAAGGACAAGAAGGGACCGGCTTAATCCCTCCCAATGGCAAATTGAGCAAGTTCATCTATGATCTAGATCAACTATGCGAATTTCCATCGGTCTTGACTTGGGTGAAGGAGGTGGATACCTCATGAACATATTCCCCATATTCCTGAACGAGGAATCCAGGGTCCTCGCAAGTTAACCATACTTGGTTCGGTGCTAGTAAGCTCAGTCTGTTAGTGGGTAGATAGTACGTGGCAAGCAAGCTGATGAAATACTCACGACGTGGGAATTGCGGGGCAAGGAGATGATGGAAAAGGTAGAAATCTGATACAAACCACCCGTCGTCCCTGGGCCGGCTTGCATCGTCGAGATCTGTCGTGCCTAAAAGAGCCACAATTCGATGACGAGGCGGTACATCCGGCGGACAGTGCGTCAGGAACCCGCGGCCGGCAAGATCCTGCTTAGTGCCAGTCGTGCGCCCCATGGCAAAAGAGTCATGGAAGATATCCTGTCAGACTAGGATAAGGCCTCCCTAGGCTATTGTGGTCTAGTGGTGAATAAGTCTGTATGGTAACCTAGCCTGCTATTGCGGCAGCTAGTTATCTGTCTTCGATCCTATGTCATGATTGTCATCTCTACATCTCGAAGTACCGTCCAACTGAAATTTAGGGACATTGGCTTAAGCCATTATGCCATACTCGGGGTACTCGGGGAATCGACAAGTTACAGTGAACTAGCGTCGGCGTAAGTAGTACCCAAGTACCTTAGTACTGTAGTGCTAACTAGTGTTTATGTCGGCTTAACCACAGCGCTGCTCCTTCAGATCTGCACCTTTGCTAGACCCTATCCTGATCGGTCCATGCTGACGGGAGTACGGGACCCACACACCATTTTGCTAGAGGGCGCCACTACCTACATAGTAGTGGGATGAGGAGTGACTACTAGTGAGGACTCGGGATTGTTGCCGCAATCTAGACCATGATCAAATATCTATGCTGTGGAGGCGATTCTGACGCTCTGCCTGGATCCTTGCCTAATGGGGCAAAAAGCTTTATCTTCCGAATGCAGTAATATGCTCCGATCTACACGGTACGTACTCCGAAATTTGAAGATGAGGTAGTAGAAAAGTCTATCGGCCACTGCGACCTTGCGGCTCAGGGGTCGTGTAACAAAATTTTGATCTTTAATCTTTATTGTGGTACGGACTACAGTGTACCTGAGATGAACTATGTCAAGGATGCCTACAACATAGATAGCTGGTCATCATATTCCCAGGATATTCATGTACCGAATATGGATAGATAAGTACACTTTGAACTTAACGCAGATTGCGGAAGCGTTTAGCTTAGTCTTGAGGTTTTACTGCTTGACACCTTTTTGGTCGCGACAGAGATTGTACGTTATATCCAATTGCCATGCCGCGTGGTAGCTCGACATTTTGATGCCAAGCTACACAACCTAGGTACACAAGGTACACCAATGACCTCAAGGATTACAAGTCGCGACCTTGGAAAGAGCAAAGTATTTCATTGTTAAGCTTTTTCATCGGATAAACCGTAACATATTATAGTGACTGTCTTGTGATCGGAACTATGAAACCTTCATGATGACGATAAGCTCCGGCGTCATCGTTGCATCATGCCTAATACGGTTAGCGCCACAGGTCCATATCAGGCAATTATCCACTTTTGTTGATATGGCACGGGCCGATATATCAAAGCTGCCGCAAGTAGGAAGAGATTCCATGACCATTGCAGCATCATCAGCCATTGGGAATTTTTCTTCCTTTCCCTTCTAATGACCCACTCATCAAAAACTCGGCGCCGATTTTTATGGGGAACGAATTATAAAAGAATGGCAATCCCCAGGAATCCATACAACATGAGACCACAGGGTTGCCACATCTGCATCTTATATACGCTCGATATATCCACATCTATATCGACACTTCATACTATACCTGGCTACACCCGCAATACCAGACTCATATAGTCCAACATGGAGATCCCACGGGTAGATCTGGCCCACACAACTGGCGCTGCGGCAAGCCCAGCGACCTCCTTCTCGACCTCCGATTCCGAACATGATGATGTCGGACGCCCCGATTATCTCGATCTACCAGTCCGCGTTGTCAGTGATACTGCCGACTTTCGTGAATATACCGAAGAGACTGCGGCTGGTGAAATCATTAAGCCCATCAAGTCCAATGTGACCGGTAAAATGGAGGATTGGAAGATGGTGACCTTCACCCTCGACGACAAGGATAACCCCAAGAACTGGTCTAAGCTATACAAGTGGTACTGCACCATGGTGGTTGCCTGGACCTGTTTCGTTGTCGCCTTCGCCAGTAGTGTTATTACCGCCGACATCGAAGGACCTATCGAGGACTTCGGCATCAAGCGTGAAATCAGTTTGCTTGTTATTACAGTTTTCGTTATTGGGTTCGGTCTCGGTAAGTTGTGCACAGTTTCCAAGTGCTCTGGTATTATTCTAACTCTATTCCAGGCCCAATGGTCTTTGCTCCCATGTCAGAGATGTTCGGACGTCGACCTGTATACGCTGTCACCCTTGGGATCGCCGTTGTTTTCGTCATTCCTTGTGCCGTTTCCAAGAACATCGGAACCCTCATTGCTTGCCGTCTGATTGATGGTATTGCCTTCAGTGCTCCCATGACTCTCGTCGGTGGTACTCTGGCAGATCTTTGGAAGAGCGAGGAGCGAGGAGTTCCCATGGCAGCTTTCAGTGCTGCGCCTTTCATTGGACCCGCCATCGGCCCTCTTGCTGGTGGCTTCTTGGCTGATAACTGTGGCTGGCGCTGGTTGTACTGGATCCAGCTCATTCTCTCCTTTATCGCCTGGGTTCTGATCACTTTCACTGTCCCCGAGACCTACGCACCAATCCTGCTGAAGCAGCGTGCTGCCAAGCTTCGCAAGGAGGAGAACGACCCCAAGTACACTACCGAAGCTGAGCTCGATCCTCGTCCCACGAGCGAGAAGCTGCGAATCTTCCTCTTCCGCCCCTTCCAGCTCCTGTTCCTCGAGCCCATCGTTCTGTTTATCTCTCTCTACATGTCAGTTCTGTACGGCTTGCTCTACATGTTCTTTGTTGCCTACCCCGTCGTCTACCAGGGTGGCAAGGGGTGGAGTGCATCTTCCACCGGTCTAATGTTCATCCCCTTGGCCATTGGTGTGCTCATGAGCGCTGCCTGTGCTCCCTTTGTCAATAAGCACTACCTCAAGATCTCTGCCCAATACGGTGGCAGACCCCCTGCGGAGAAGCGTTTGATCCCCATGATGTGGTCTTGCTGGCTCATTCCTATCGGTCTCTTCATCTTCGCTTGGACCTCCTACCCCCGTATCCATTGGATCGGACCTGCCATGGGAGGCTGGCCCGTTGGATTCGGTTTCATCTTCCTTTACAACTCCGCCAACAACTACCTTGGTATGTACGGCCGCGTCCTGAATGAGCTGAATAATTGCTAACTCCCTTTTAGTCGATACCTACCAGCACCAGGCAGCATCTGCCCTCGCAGCCAAGACCTTCATCCGTTCTATGTGGGGTGCCTGTACCGTCTTGTTCACTGAGCAAATGTACGAACGTTTGGGCTTCCAGTGGGCCAGTTCGCTCCTTGCCTTCATTGCTCTGGCTTGCTGCGCTATTCCTTATGCCTTCTACTTCAAGGGTGAGGCCATTCGCCGCTTCTCGCGGTATGCCTTCAGCGATGATGAGGAGACTCCCATCAAGGCTTAAATCACTGCCAACTTCGTCCTTCGGGACGATCTTAAAAAAGGGGACGTTTTCCAAAGAGAGGAGGTAATTTTTCTCAACTTGCATGGCGTTACGCAAAAGTTTTGCTGTTATGCGCTGATGTGGAAAAGAACATGACATTGATACGGCGTCCTATGATATCCAACGCGTATATACTCGATACAATCTTTACATACCTATTGATAGACTTAATGCAAATAAACAATTCCAATTCCATAATTCGTTCCTTTACACATTTATCAGGGGAGCTACCTACTGAGCGCATCTGTGTAATGCATACCCATCAGACGTATACCTACGTCTGTATAATTTCTCAAGGTCCTTCCAGAAATACACGCAGAATGAATATTACCTACCTAGCTGTAGCAGAAGTGCTTCATCATTGATTTCTGCCCCTGTGGATACCTAGCTAGTAGGGACCTGGAGACCGGTGGAGTGTTTACTGTCACTCCCGTCAGAATGTCAACAACGTCGCTTCTAAACAGTTGAATTCTTTGTATCTGCCATCAGAACGCTGATGCAGGGGCCAAGCTCATCATCGGAGTACTTTATGATATCCGAGCAGTGAAAATACCCTGAACAGGCAACAAATCCCCTTGGTACACAATACAAAAGATATCAAGGTATTCGCGCAAAGCATTGTGAATGTAGTTTTGGAAGGTAGCCGGGGCATTGGTTAACCCAAAGGGCATGACCAGACACTCGAAATGGCCATGACGAGTGCCAAATGCAGTCTTCCACTCGTCTCCTTCATTGATATAGATGCGATAATACGCATATTTGATATCGAGCTTAGTAAAATACCTAACCCCTTGAATGCGATCAAGGATCTCAGAGATGAGGGGCAAACGGTAACGATTCTTCGTGGTAATGCGATTCAGTCCGCGGTAATCCACAACCAATGACGAGATCTCTTCTCGTCTTCCTTGACATCATCGTGCATGCGGATCCAATGAAACTTGCGTTTGAGAAGAGCCTCAGTGCGATTTTTGCCAAAGTGGCCAGTTAGAGGTATTCATGATAAAGGGAAAGAAGTTTGCGACGAAGATTCTCGCCAGCAGGGATAAACAAGCGATCCTTATAACAAAGGGCGCCATCGTGATTAAGAGATCTGCATGTTCAGGACAACGACGAGGAACCTAATGTATCCGACTGGCCACTTTGGCAAAAATCGCACTGAGGCTCATCTCAAATGCAAGTTCCATTGGATCCGTATGCATGATGATATCAAGGAAGACGAGAAGAAATCTCGTGCATGATGATGTTAAGGATTATGTTTCCTCTTGTGGTGTCAGTCAGCGTACTGCTACACCGCGACACCGGTCACCGACCTTATGGCGAGTTGACCCTGTTGACCTCTTTACAAGTTGTAAGGAGGGGAGCCCGATGATACTGGATGGGCTAGTGGACGACCCAATAACAAAGGACCAAAGGTCAGGTAGAAGGATGTATGAACCGATAAGAGAAGAAGATGGATAATACTGAGGTTGTTGCTGAAGGCAACAAGGTAGACGATACGAATCACGAGGTCACCAACTGGTGAATTCCATGTGACAACCCGCTGACATAATCGAACTGGCCGCGGGTTTGAACAACACCACCGCATCAACATGAGATCGATTTAGCCTTTCCTCGAGATCAAGGTCCACGCCAGCTACGACTCCGACGACCAAAGTACCGGTATATTTAGTCGGCCCTTCCTGCTCTTGATCATGGCCTCCGATGCCCCCTCCGCCTCGCATGCCGAGCTCTACGACTCTACCATGACCGTCCCCTCCGACTCAGAGAACTACTCCGCAAACCACGAGATGTCGTCCTCGGCCCCATCAACCTCAAGCTCACCTATGATTCTGTACAAGCCTCCGAGTGTATGGGGTCTTTTGCGCGGAGCGGCCATCAACCTTTTCCTGCCTTTCGTCAACGGCCTGATGCTCGGCTTCGGCGAGCTGTTCGCGCACGAGGCTGCTTTCCGACTCGGCTGGTCTAATACAAAGGTACGTGTGATTCAATGAGACACTCTCAGTTCCGATGGCTGACTGCATACCCTGTTTCCTAGATCTTCCCTAATTACCGCCGCGCACACGCTGTTGGCCCTGGAATGGAGATGCGGGAGCTTCCTTCAGAGCGGAGACGTCCTGGGCTGAGGGATACTGCTGCTCTGGAATAAATGATTGACCTCTTCCTCCTGTTGCTTATTTCTTTTAAAAAAATGACTGCATTTACGCGGGACACAAAGCCAAAGCATTTGTGATTTGAGATCGTTACCTGGCTATTTGTACATCTGAATGGCTGGTTGTACATAGACCCGTTGACTCGGGAGGGGGCGTTTGGCGAACTAGGACTAGCATCCTGCACCTGAATTTTACTTTCTACAATATTAAAGTATCCAAGCCTCCAAAACTTCATCTCTCCGTCTTTTCCATATTCAACTTCTGTGGCGGTTCTCGTAGCCGTGATTCCGGGGTTTCACCGCCCGCGGCAGAAAAAGTCGCGCCGAGAGGCAGGAGAACAGTTCTCCCGCAGCGTCTTCTCCATCACGAACCATTCTAACCACAATGATGGGACCCATTGGCCTGAAAGGGCCCGGCGCAGCCGCTGCGCTTGCACGTCAGCGGATGACGGCCATGTCCCGGTCCTCACGATCTGTTCGTTCTCCTGTCGACTCGGACTTGCAACAACATTGAAATTGACTTAGTTTGCAGATATCCACCCTCCGATCACAGAGCCTTCGTTTCCCGAGCCAGCGCGGTCAACTGAAGTCAGCACTGTCCGGAAGTGCCCCCTGGCGCATGACACCGGTCATCGCCGGTCCAGCTGGAGTTCGATTCAAGTCCACCTCGTCGGACCCGATGGGCGAAGTGTTTACAGATTCCGGAGTGAAAGATGTGACGGATGTTTACGATATTACCACGATTCCGGAGCACATTGGATATCTCAAGCAGCTCGGAATTGACTTCGGCCTGGGCGTCTCGTCGACAATGCAGTTCTTCATCGAGCACATGCACGTCTATACCGGCTTGCCATGGTGGGCTTCTATCGTGGCGGTTGGTCTTTTGACTCGTCTCGTGATGCTGAAGCCTATCCTGGATGCCTCGGAGAACTCCGCAAGAATGACCCATGCCAAAAGCAAGATTGACCCGCTTCGACAAAAGATGATCGAGACCCAAGCCGCAGGGAACGTTATTGAGGCACAGACTGCCAGGGCTGAGATGCAGGCTGTTCACGCTGCCCACGGCATCAGCACGTGGAAGTCAATCCTTCCTATGATTCAAATCCCACTTGGTTTTGGATGTTTCCGAGTTGTGCGAGCAATGACGGCGCTGCCAGTGCCGGGCTTGGCCGCGGAGTCAGCGGGATGGATCAATGATCTTACTATCGCTGATCCAACATACCTACTGCCAATGATCGCTGCGGGAACGCTGTGTTTCTCTCTAAGGGTAAGTGGGATCCCCGTATGGTCTGTCTTCACCGCGATGCTGACTGGATACTACAGAAAGGAGGTGACTCCGGCGCAATGCCCATGATGCAAACCGAGATAGGAAAATACATCATCTACGGTTTCCCTATCATCTCTTTCGTCTTCATGGCTTTCATGCCCAGCGCGCTACAGCTCTACTTCGTGGCAACTGGTATTTTCGGTCTGGGTCAGACATACCTGATCAATTCGAATAACTTCCGCGGTTGGATGAAGATGACGATTCCCCAGAAGCTCGCGGACGGGCATCAGTTCTCAGAACTCACCAGAAACACCCAAAGCAAGGGTCTTCGTCAACTGATGGAACGCATCGAACAAGAAAAGGCCGCACAAGCGGAAGCACGCAAGGCCATTCGGGTGGAGGAAGAAGCCAAGGGTCCTGCTAAGGTTAGTATCATCGACCGGTTCTACGATAAGTTTGGAAAGGCCGGCTCCGACCTGCAAAACTCCATGTCGAAGACGCTCGGCATGTCAACCCCCGAACAACGTCTCGCCAGTGATAAGAAGAAACGTGCAGACGAGTACGAAGAACAGCGCAAAGAGGAGGACGAGCTTATGCGGAGGAAGCGCAACGAAGCCCGCCGAAGGGAACACTTGAAAGCCCAGGAGCTGCAACGCGAGAGGGCTAAGAAGTCCTTGAAGCAAAGCCAGGCGGCAGCTAATCGTCGTGGTTGATCAACCTGTTAATAAAACCTGTAAATTATGGCGCAGTGGCATTTGCATTGGTTTTCTGTGATACTTGAAGATAGAATATTGTTTAACCACAATCTCCACCTGGCTATGTACGTATACTTATCGAATTCAATCTTGCATCGATTACCCTACTATTGCATTGATCAAATTTCAACCTTTCACAGCCCTGCCTTGCGATGCTAGAGCATGCCTCTTGATCGCTGGACTCGGATGCTACAATGACTGGCATGACCAAATTGGCACCCTCGCCAGATATCTGACCTCCGGGCTCGATGTTCGGCGAACCTGACGAGGTCTGCGAGAGTTTGCGATATATTGGAGGTCGTGCACGGATGGTGACACGCCACAATGCGCCACAGTGACTTTTGGCGGATATCTGCAGATCCCCCACGAGCCACAGATCTACTACCCGTGCATATCACAGCGTTCAAGATGGCCACAGTGCTAACGGGATAAAAAGCACCTCAGGTGCTGAGATTACAATGGCTCTTGGACTATGGTTTATGAGATTAATTGTTTGTATAGTACACGACGAAACAATAGAGACAACCAGAGACACATTAGTCATGACACGAACGCTTTGAGAGAAGACCAAGCTACCGACAGGACAAATTGGATTTAGGGATGTCTTCCAGTGCTAGTAAGACCGGTGAGATACCCACTGATCATAAAAGCGGCGGAAATTTTGTTCTGTCGTCTGCTGTATGAAATGACCACAGAAGGCTGGCACCTCTGGATCATAAACAGGCAGACCATCGATCTAACCGATAGCCGGCAGATCTCATCACTATATACACCAGGTGCAGCAATATAAGTATAAGAGAGTGAGGCCATCCGTTACCGTGGTGCATCAAGACAGTTTTCCCGGATCCAGCTCCAGCCCACAAGTTTTTGGCCATTCCCGCTAGTACCGAAGTACATCTCTTTGCGGGGGTCTAGCTCCAGTAATCTCCTGTCGATGGGTTCGGGACGTAGTACCGTGCAACCCTCGGGGGGTCCCCGAAGTAAAACCGCGCAACCGAAGGAGGGGAATCAAAACATCAACCAAACCAAACAGTAGAAGGGAAGAAGGGAGGAGGAGAAAAGAGGAGGATATCAGGTGCATCAAGATAAGCATCGTAGACAGTTGTGCCCCCCGGAGCTTGACTGTAACCCACAAGTTTTTGGTCACCCCCGCTTAGTACCGAAGTACATTTTTCCGCGAGGACAGTGAGTTCTCCACAAGTGTCACAATGGGTATCTTGTAGCAGAAGAACACCTAAGAAGGGAAGAGGAGAAAGGGAGAGGAGAAAGGGAGAGGAGAAGAGATGAGGAGAAGGAGAGAAGGGAGATGAAGAGAAGAGGAAGAGGAAGAGAAAGAGAAGAAGTGAGAGAAGTTCCAAATATTTATACCCTTGAGGGACACCTGCCTGTTTGGGAAATCAATCAATCTGAAAAGGAAGCCGCAATCATGAAGACATTGACGTGTCTTGTGACTTCCCAAGAAAGACCACAAGCAACCCAGTCATAACACCTCCAAGAATATGACCTTCAAACCTTTACAAGCTTGGGCAACCCGTTGGAAACACCCTGTTCTGATTGACGCCATGTGACACACCTTTTCTCTATTCTCCCCCTTACCATGAGGATATCGTCGAATCACCCAGTGAACAGAGATAAGACTGACATGACTCCTACAGGTCTCCCGTCACCAAGCCAACGCTAGACCGCTGTGTCACGATTCATGAATGGGTGATCCCAGCCCCCGAGTGGTCTCTACTGCATGCAATCCCTCCTCCTCGAGGCCTTCACTGAGGCATCTTCAGCATGCGTTGCCGCCTTCTTGTGCCCGCCTGGCTTGCACCCTGGGACATACTTGCACCCTGGGACATACCTACCCTATTCTCACGTGAACACTGGACTGATATTGGGTTTTGGGGGTTTCAGGACGTTGGGCATATACGAAGAAGCCCAGTGGTACAGGCTTCTTGCGAGATGGCATCGAAGATGGACCAGCTTCTGGCTTCAATCCAAAATCCCGGGGTCACTGTTGGCACTGACCTGCCTGCAAGAGGAGCAAGGCAGTAGGAAAACAGTACGATGCCTCGACGGTCGCTCAGCGATAGAAACTACGTTAGCAGCCCACTCGGTTGATTTGGACTGTTGCACGCGCAGCCGGAGATTGATAGTAGCGCAAAAGTGGTACCTTAGTTTATTAAGAGAAAATCAGTACAAACCAAGATCACAAGAACTATGTACAGGGCGAGACAGCTAATGACGGCTTCTGTGTCAAGCAGGATTCCAGCGTCCTTGGCTCAATCTGCCAGAATCCGCTGAGTCCAGGAATATGGTGCTTAAAGTGAGAGTCCATTCAGATGAGGACATAGAGTGCGCATATCTAGACAGGAACAATTTTTAGTACTAGAAGTGTTACATGGTGCGTACCCTGGCAACAAACGGAGCGTTTATAAAAGCCAATAGGATCAGAGTCAAGCGTAGCGGCTATCGTCTCCCGTAGAATGGACTCGGACAATCAAGACTCTGCAGCAGGAGTAGGGAATCAATCATTAGAAGAGAGTGACCTGGTCACACAAGAAAGAAACACAACGCCCCAGTAAAGCCGAGCAAGCAGGAGAGACCCGCCACCGCCAATGGTTGTGCGTAGCCTTGCCAGTTGGCGGATTGTCTGCCAGTTGGCGGGAAGTGGGACCAGTTGGCGGAAGATTTGCCAGTTGACCGGACGCTTGCCAGTTGGCGGGAAATGGGACTCGTACAATTGGGTGGTTGTTGTCTGAGTGGTCTTCTACTTTTCTGTAGGTGAATAAAGATATCTCTATTCATCAATGCATATATAATATCGCGTTTCTCAGCTAGCATCAAGAAAAGAAAAGTACAGGGCAACGACGCAAGGAATGCCTGGAGTTTTCTCCAGGAGATCATAATCCCAAAAACCTATCGCCTAGAAACCACCTGGCCCGTCTTCGAACCCATCACAATGTGCTGGGCGGTCAGCACATAGGGGAAACCGTTCTGCTTCGCCTTCCCCATCCATTGCAGCATATCCATAGTCGGAAGCGACGCCCATACAGGATCAGCGCTAACAGCAGCAGTGGAGCGTTTGATATCGAACCGTTCGTTGGGGGTGTATAGCACCGTCCCGAAGACAGATGTATTGTTATCGATATCTTGATGCCCATTCAGAACAGCTTCGGATGCCGTTGCGATGAACCTGGTCGTCTGACTGAGATCCATATGACCAGACGTGCCCTCGAGATCGGGCCGTGCACCAACGCGTTGGGCACATTCGATAAAGTGTTGTTGGACGATGGGATCGACCGTGTACGTCGTGTCTGCCGATGCTGCGCTTGGCCTGTGGATAAGCACCGGTAAATTGAACTGCTGGGACAAATTGTGAAGGAACTCTTCCGCCGCCCATTTGCTGGTCAAATAACCATCGTGGACATCCCTGGAAGACATCTTATCCGCGTGGTCGGCGACAGCGCCGGACGAAAAGAAGTGAAACGGCACGTGGCGTGGAAGGCACAGACGGGCGATGTCACGGACGGACTGGAAGTTGACGGCTCTCAGTGCCTGATAGTCATCCCAAAAGGACCGGTTGGCGGCACAGTGCACCACGATGTCAGCATTGTCGGACAGATAGTTGATCTCATCGGAGGTTAGACCAAGATTGGTCTTGTCAAGGTTGCAGGAGATGGCGATGACTTTCTGGGATTCGCTGAGTAATTTGGTCTTGTCACGGACGAGACAGATGATTCTGGACACCCGGGGGCTTTCAACAAGAGATGGGAGAAGGTGACGGCCGATATACCCAGTTGCGCCGGTCAAAACTACCGTCATTTTGTCTTTTTGAGCGGAGGTCGTGGCAATCTCTGCGAAATCAGCCCACGATGCTGGCACAGACGTTTCAGCCTCCCAATCGATCACATTAGAACTGGTATGCTCCAGGAGTCGAGCCATATCACTAAATATACTCGAGTTCATGAGATCAGTGAGCCGTGGCGAGAACCCAAAGGCTTCCTTGAGGTGGCGTTGGAGTTTGACAAGCAGGAGCGAGTTTCCTCCAACATGAAAGAAGTCTGTCCCTGCGTTGATGGCAGCACCGGATGGTGGCAAGATCTTTTTCCACTGTTCGCAAAGTTTCTCTTCTTGGTCATTCATCCGGCCTGGCTCAGAGGGGCCCGAAGTCGCAATGTCCGGCAGATGAATATTGTAAAGAGCCTTGCGATCGGTCTTTCCATGTACGTTCATCGGGACACTGTCAATGGGAATGTATAACGAGGGTCGCATGTAGTTGGGAAGGGGGAGTGATGCTTTGATGGCCGCGAGAAGCTTCTCGCCGGACTCCTCGCCTTGGGATGAAAGAACAACATAAGCCACCAAGAATTTATCAGCCTCTTCGCCGTGGACGGCGACGACTGCTTGAGAGATCTTGCCGTCTGCAACTTTTAGGATAGCATTCTCGACCTCTCCCAGCTCGATACGAATGCCACGAAGCTTGATTTGATCGTCACCGTTGATCCGACCCTCATAGATGAGAGTGCCGGCGTTGTTCAGGCGTCCACGGTCACCGGTCCGATATAGTCTGTTCCATCCATGCGCCTTAGAGCGTGTGTCCTGCAAGTTGGTAGGGACGTGGATGAACTTCTCCTTGGTGAGCTCTTCTTGTCGGAGATATCCCGCCGCCACTCCAGGTCCGCCGACGACAATCTCTCCAGAGACACCAATTGGGAGAGGCTGCAGCGCTTCATCTAGAATGTAAACAGAGTAGTTGGGAAGCAGGCTTCCGACTGGAATTGGTTGTTCAGTATCAGCGAGCGCGAAATCGACTTCGCCTTTGGTAAGTGCAATAGTGGCCTCCACGGGTCCATAGAAATCGAAGAGCCTCAGGCTACTCGAGTTCAAATCCCGGAAACGTCGAACAATGGACTTTGGCAAGGCTTCGCCGCCGACAAGAGCCCATTTCCAGGAAGGACATTGAGAGA